GGAGTTACGTAGCCTCTGTGGGGCCGAAAGGATCGTGGGAAATCCCAAAGCTTTTTGACTTAGAAGAAACGTGGGAGTAATTATTGTGCATGATAGGTACCTGGGTCTTCGAGTTGTCGTTTTCTTTTTATTATTTTACGAATAAGCCTTGTCGCCTGCCCAATTCAATGTAGTGCGACCGATGCATCCCGCGTCGCGGATAGATATCTCGAAGAAGCTTGACATGCTTACATATCGCAATGGAAGCTTTACTATCTAAAGTAGGTGGCAGTCTCTTCTTGGGTACCATTCCTTCTAGAACCTGTCATGATCGCCAAAAGAATCTCCTAGACTTGCCTTCAAAGGGGATCTGCCGCGAACGCAGATGATTCGGAGGTTCTACCGAGATGTAAATACCACAGTACTAATTTATCATAGTCGGGCAACTGTTAACTGATGCTTCATCTGTTGTGCCTAACGTGGAAGGTTAGGCCAAAGTTGGTATCTGGAACGTATGGTATGGTTCGTGAGTTGTAGTGGTTGGGGATCACGAGCTTGGTATGCAAGATGAGGCTACCACGATTGGATAGCCTTAAACAAATCCCGACATCTTGGGAGTTGTGACTCTTATTCTTCATGAACAGCGACTTGACAACTTAAAACAGGACGAGGTCAGATGATGATTTGGACGTAGCCTAGGCCTTTCTATAGTCCTAACAAGTGTATAACCATCCACGTAATGACACGATGTGTAAGAGGACAGTAAGAGGACATCACATTCTTAGAAATGTGTCTCGTTGACTAAAGAAATGATGGTCGCGTTTGAGACGCGCGGATGGGGGTTTCGGTAGCAGCGGTAATTGAACGAGCACATCGGTTTTGGCGCTCGTCGATGGCGCGCAAAGTGTGATAGGAATCTGGTCTTGGCGTTGTGCTCGACGGTACAAGTGGTACAAGGTGTGATGGGGAGCGAATCTGTCATCTCGGCGTGGGGTTTTGTTGGCCGATTGGCGGAGGTAATACATTTGTTGGCGCTATGCTGGCGAAGCAATGCGCTGGGAATGCAACGAAGCGGTCACAGGTCTGCGTGATATTGATGCTTCAGGAGAAGAGCGAACAATGTGACTACCTACGAAAATAATAATAATACCAAATAATACCAAAAAAATAAGTCCTACCCTTGCCAACAATTGGGCTTTTGTTTATTTAGGATTTTATCTCATGGATATTCATGATATTCATGATATTCATCACAATGTAAAGTTACGTCGGTTAGAGAATCAGTTAGAACGATGTAATAGGATATGACTTTATCTCCGGTGATCAATCCCCTGGGGTTGATTTGTATGTTGACTGGTGTTTAAGTACGTCCAAGTTCTTGAAAGGAATCTTGTCACATGTACATTGTGCTTCGAGCACGATCATCTCGAGAGTAATTTCCTAGGCAGCCTGTAAGAGGATGATGGACAGGCATATTGAAGATCGTGTATGACAAACGTGTTCGGCATCGTGTGCGTATTTCTATTTATTGCGCAACATTAATACTCATATTAATACTCATAGTATTTATAAAAAGATCAATATTAGGTTAATAGATTTAAGTCGTCCGTCGTATCAGGGTTTCTTGTCTTTGTCAGTGTACTCTGAGTGCTACTTCGTGTTGTATTGTATATCGAATACAAGGCTGTTGTGTTTCGTAAGTTGTAATTCACAGTTACACTTTGTGAGTAGATTTCGTGATCTAGCCATGTCGGCCATTGTCTAGCCAGGTAGGTGGCTACCTGGGTAGGCAGGTTACCTACTTGATTTACTTGATTTGTGTGGGGTGAATTTTTAAATTTCCAATTGAGCGAATTGAAAAGATGAAAATATGTCGCGAGTGTGGCTGAGAATGCTCAGCTGATACGACGTTTTTATGCGGAGGGAACGTCTAAACCACAATCTAGCCGCCACAATTCCATTCTCCCCCCGCCCCTGGTACATTCTACATTCCACATTCTAAGCATTCTAAAGTCCAAGTCCGGTCCAACGAGTACGAGGCAATTTCTTCACAATCCCCGAGTCCACTCTTACTCTCTCATCCCTCTCTTCAGCATCTACCGTTTCCGATGTACCTTTACTTACCTACACATAAGGTATGCACATTTTTTATGTGACTATGAGATTGCCAACACATAAGTCTGTTGAAGATGGCACAAGACGAGATATGTCAGCCTGACCAAGTTACTTTACCTAGGTAGGTATTTACCGCATCTATAATCTTTATTTCTACTTGAAATAGATATCTCGAATGATGCAAAAGAAGAGGATTAAACTAGGCAGTGTCTGACATCTGAGTTATGCGCTGGCAATTCGTTTTTCGGTAACGTGCTAGGTTGGGGTTGTGTTGTCATTGTCGCTAAATCGTTCAAATGACTTCTCCCCACGGCAGCTAAATGGATAGTCCGAAGTCCCAGCTTTAAGAATGATGGGTATGAGATAGAGGCAATGCGGGGGCGGTCCGTTGACTGAAGTGACTAGAGTAACCACCCAGAGTGACCTGAAAAGGAACCGAATGAAGTTTCAAGTTACTTAAATGGGACGGCATCACGAGGGCTGTTTGCGAGGCAACTTTTTCTTAAAATCTAGCCGGATCTAGGCAATCCGGGACCGTCGATCCAAAGCCCAGTCCAAGCAACAGCCTTTCACCCAGCACGTGCTCCCTATTGTCAGCAACCGGAAAACCAAGCGTCCCAAGCAACAAACGTACCTAAGGTCCGGGGCATTGGCGTACCTTAATCGATTCGACAGTAGCAAACGTTGGCCGAACGAATTGACCATCGAGTGCACTGTAATCTCTGCCGATTTGCTTGTAATTTTTGTAATTTTGTAATTTGGTAGTTTTGCGGGCATCGTGGCATTGTCATCACTCCTGTGACCACCAACCCTTCCAACGTCTGGCTTTAAATTAACGCAGCTCAGGATCACGATGCTAGAAAAACTGCCCTATTAAATATAAGGCAGCCAACCATTGTAAATGGGATGAATGGAAACATTGAACCAACCCGAATTGGGTAGTCGTGATTTTCCCTCATAGTGTATTTTCTGCCTTGGAGAAAAGAATTATTTATTCTTAATTGACATAATTAAACAATCAATACATTCTCACTGACAAGCATACGAAAGAGTGTGGCTACTTAAGGCTTGTTTGTTCACACATTCGTTCAATATTTGCAATACTAATACATACATGTGTGTGTGCGGTTTGCTAGAGGCTTTTTTTTTTTTTTTTTGTGTAGAGAGAGTAAGGGAGCATGTAATTGATTTGATTCATGGAACTTATCATAGGTAATCAGATGTGGTTAGAAGTATTGGATTCCTTTGTTGAACACTACCCCGTCATTATGTGTAACCGTAATTCCGTCGGCAAGAATCCCATGATATTTTCCAGCGTCGTTATCAGGAAATAAAAACGCCGTATCAATCCAACGCTTCCTTACTAGTAACCTTCGAATTTAGCAATAGGACCTCTAGGAAACCGGAGGCTGAAATTCATGATACCCGATACTCTCTACTCTAGCTATACTACGGCTATCTAATAGCTACCTAGGTATCACATGTACCCGTAGAATTAGACGATCCGGCTATGGCTTCTGAAAACGAATAGGATAAACGACCCAAATAGCAAATGGAACATGAAGTTTTATCTACACGTAGGCATGTGTAGTTGTTATATTAGGCAAGCTGGGCACATTCACCGGCTAACAACAACTTCATGACCTTCTTTGGAAAACAACAAGCCGAATTAGAAGGGTAACATGTGCCTAGTTAGACAATAAAAGGGAAACCGCTTGCAGGTCCCAGGCAAAAGGGTCTGCTGGTCAGTGGTGCCCAGGTGTTGCCGGCACCAGTAAGAAGAATATTAGTTAGTACATGACAAAAAAAAAAGAGAGCGAGCAATTTGATTCGGGAGACTTAGTCTAATTGACCGCGGGTGGGTTTCCGGGCAGACCAGAGAATGGCCTTAAGTGCCTCAATAGGAATCTGATGCCCAGTTTGGTCTAGATTATACACTAACTTTTCAGCTATTCCATGAAGGGTATAAGAATTTGAAGACACTAAAGGGGACATTTCGGGGCGAGTCTGGCCGCTGGTCCATCCATCGGAGCAGGAAACAAGAGGCCAGTACGTACCTATTGTGGGTTTACTTGTAAGTACCTCAAGACAGGTACCTTCAGGGCCCTCTGCGCGTGTTATTCAAGGGTTAGTTACCGCCCCTGATCCATGATCCCAGTTCCGCCACCACCCTCATCACTCCCCAAGAGATCCCCGCCGGAGGACCCAGAGTGAATAATAAAAGGTACTTAAGTACAGGGCTACATAGGTACGAGGATACTTAATTACATGAGTACGTAGCTACTTAGATACATATTGCGATATCCACAAGGTACATATGTACATATGTACGTACCAGACCCAGTGAGAGGAGTGACCTTGCCTTGCACACCGCGCCTTCTAACCCTCCACCTAGCCTGGCTAGCCTACCCACTCCACTTCCCTCCTATCAAATACATATGTACACACCTACCCGCTCTCATTCTTCCCTTCCCAGGAACCTGCATCATGAACATGAACCACGAAAGAGTTTAACTACTCTGAAGTGCTAATAACGTCGTCGGTCTTAGCATTGATCACGACAAGCATTAATCCGCCAGTTCAGAGCAGCACTTGTCCCACCTGACGAGCATACTACGGGAATTCGAATATACATTCACCATCACCACCTACGAAGGCACTTATACAACGGTCACATTGTATTCGAACACCTCTCGCCTCCGCGCCTCTACGAATACACCAGAACCTTCTCCACGATCCAATTCCGTTTTGGTGCCGATTACTTCTTAATCTTCCCATTGAGAACTTTGCGAATTCATTTTCTTACCCAATTCGACTTTCGCGATCGACTTCGCGAAACCATCTCCACCATACATCCCCAACTCTCCCATTGTCTGCTCCAGCAGCCGAGCAGCCATTTTAACGGCATGCCTTGTAAAGCTGAAGGCTTGGTCCTGACTGTGGATCCCAACGTGATTCACAAGGTCGACACAAACAACCCTCAGAACCTCTTTAGCATGTGGACTGGTACGCCTTGATTTATTTTAGTACTAGGATCGGGTAGATCTTAGGAACTGCCTACTAACCAAACCTTTATAGTCTTCTCTAGGTGTGCCGATTCAGTTGAGCAAGGACGAAGATTAGAAAACTTGAGCTGGAGGTTATGGAATAGGGAGACGTTCTGTTGTGAAGCCAAAGCACTACCTACAGTCAGCGCCGCCGCATTACCAAAAGACATCCCCGAGCATCAAAGAATACCAGAAGTTCCCCAACTATCTGGAAGCGTCGATTCGGTCGCCGACGAAGAAGCGATCGATTTTTCCACTATCTCTGAACCCGTTGAGATCCTACGACCTCGAATTGTCCGACAGGACTCTTGTGCTAGCAGCCGAAGTAGAGGCCGAGAACGACATATTACATCAGATCACCTCGAGAAGATGGTGGTTTCTATTATTCAAGAGAAGGAGCCGAACTTGGCGCCACTGCCGGATATGAGCTCACCTTCCATCGAGTCATCGGATGCCGACCAGACCCAATCGTCCCCAGATGTAGAGCAGATGCCTACCACCCCCATCACCGAATCCGCAAGCGAGTCGGTTATTGCGCCATGCCAATTACCTTCACAAGCCGAGCTTACGGAAATCCCTGCGACTACGGTCATCCGAGGTTTCTCGCCGGCACAGACTTCGTCTTTCCATTACTCGCATGAGTCCAAGTCGAAAGCGCAAGACCCAATCCCCGAGCCTCAGTCATCTCCTGCTGCCAAGCCAGTCCAGCCTAAGAAGCGTCCGGCTTTGTTCAAGCTTGGTGACTCCTCTAGTAATGAATCTTCGCCTCAGAGCGTAGAGCCTCGCAAAGCTGTCCCTCAACCCGCCGCTGCTGCTAAAAAGCCTATGTTCGACATTGGTGTTAACTCTTCCGGAGAGGACGAGAGCCCATCGCTAAAGAGCGCTATGCACTCTTCTCGACAAGGTCCAATGCTCAATGCGCAAAAGAAGCAGACATCGTTCCACAACCAAGTTAGCACACGATTAATACAGACGCCTAGTGATCAGTCAGATAGTTACATGGACGAGAGTGCCATTGACGACGATGACGAGGACTCGGAGTGGGAAGACTCTATTGAGGAGAGTGGCAAGTCTAGCGTTGATGACGCAGTCACATTCAAGCGCGTACCATCGAAGGCGAATCTCACCTCCCAAAGATCGTTGATCAGCCTTATGTTCGCTGGACAAGAAGAGCGAGCTAAGGGGCTTAGCAACTACGCCTCTCACTCTACCCCAGCCATCCCCCAACGCGCGCGAGCATTACAAAACCCTTCTAACATGAATGTCGTGTCTTCCCCGAACGATTCTGACAACGGTCTTGAGATGAAGAGAGGCTTGCGATCCACCCCATTGAAGCCCATCAACGAGATTCCCCGATCTACTGCGCAACCTATCATGGTCAACCCGCCAACCCATAACCACCAAGCTGCTCTCTCGCCCAGAACGACTAGAAGGAATATGTTGGCTACTGAATTGACTGAGTCGCTTCGCCGTCAGCTTCTCTGGGAACGACAACAGAAGTCGTCAACGGCTAATGCCGTACTAAAAAGACGCCACACCGCTCTAGACGTTGCCAACCTAAAGCAGTATCCCGAAAAGGCGTACATGAACCAGGGCAAAGATGAGCCCAACTCCAGCAGCTGGAACCAATATTTCAGCCGCGAAGACTTCGGCGGATACCATGCTCAAGGCTGGTGATCTGATTTAATCCAACAATACCTCGATCTATCATACCCTGAACTGAGTTGCTTGGATGCACTCAGCGGCAGATCTACGAAAACTGCCTTGTATTTTTTATTTTCTCATTATTTTTCATTTTTCCAAGCATTGCGAAGGTGGTTGCTTTCTACGATACCGACTGCATTGCATGAGGCCGGCGTTTAATGATGTTGTTTAATCACGAGGCACTCCATCGCCCATAATCACACACTGCATGGCTAGCTGGTGGGTTAGCCATGCACACCAATCACGGCGGGGCTCGACCGTTACAGCGCATTGTTTTGGCGCTGTTTTGTGGTCCGCAACGAAGCCCATCGTCGTGTCTAGGGCAACTTCGCCTTTAGTTTTCACATTTTATCTGGCACTAATCGGCGTTGTCACCTGGATGATACCACGGTCCGCATTTGATTTCGCCCCGGCAAAGGGCTGCATTTGCTTTCTATTACTCATAGTGTGTATTTCAAAGGAGAATCGGAGGGCAACCTCATGAAGGATGGGGAATGACGAACCAAAAAGGGGGAAAACAAGGGATTGTGTACTGTCTTGCCTGCTATAGCAGAAGGGAGGAGGTTTGCTAGCTGGCTTAGAGATATGTGTGCGCAAAACACAGCGGCCTGAGCAAACAGCCAGCCAAAAAAGGAAGATAAAACAAAAGCATGCGCCATGACCACAAAAACATAGTAAAAGCTACACAAGGCCTACAAAATAAAAACAATAATAAAACGTGTTCAATCACTCAAACATCATAACCTGTCTTCTATTACTATCATCGTGCAATTGTGAAGTCTTACCTACCTAGTCTAACCTATGCTACGTACTTAGGTATGTGGTGTCCCTAACAACATTTGAAAATAATAAAAAAACCAGCTATTGTCATTGACCAACCTACGAGTTACCACCGAGCTAAGGTGAAGAGTGGACTTCGGCGCAAAGTGGCGCTCGAAAGGAAGCAAGCTCCCTGAGCTCTCTCAATGCAGTCAGACGCGCTGTGGATAAGGGCTCCAACATGTGAAAATGAAGGGAACATCAACGTCATTAGCGCCTCACCAATGCAAACTAGCGGAGATGGGCACGCTGGCATTACATCTCATCCTCCTTGATCAGGGACAGAGTTATCCACTATCCATTCGTACCGTTGAAGAACCATGGATATCATACGGAATTTAATCATAATATAGGAAATTTAGAGGATACCAAGTAACGAACGAACGAGCGAACGCACTGACGGGAAAACGGGTGTGGCCGTATTTACCGCTAAACGTTTTTAGCACTACCTGTTTTTAACTTACTGTAATCGGTGAACGGCAGAGAATCACGGGAAGAAGAAAAGTATCTGAGCACCACTAATTCTATTCTTTTTTAGCCAACTGACTAGAAATTGCGAATACAGTCATTTGCAAGTGACACATATATAGTAAGCAGCTGACAATATCAAAACAACATCCTCTTTTATTTCTTTCCTATTCAACAGAAATAAGAGCAAGATAAAACAGTACAAATTCAAGAACGCGGGATGCCAATTCTCTATCTAGATTACGGCATCGAACACGCACACCGACACGGACTTTGCCCCATCGTGACAGCGACTTACCTTCCTGACGGAGCGGCCTTACCCACACGTGCAGCACGTTTGAAGTGAGGTAGGTAGGTCCTAGCTGCAGCCAGAAGGACCCTGGATCGACGATCGGAGGATAACAATGCTGGACCGCCTCGTCTTCTCCAATATCTATGGGTATTCCTCAAACTTCCTGTCGACCGTTGACCACCTTACAAATATTCGTATCGTATCGTATGTCCACAATAGATTGGGGAAAATGTAGGTATAGGTATTGTGAGTTGACCCTCAGGGTCATTCAACCCTTTCCCTGATGATACCCCAGGCCGTCAGCCCGTGGGGTTGTTTATCTTTCTCCCTCTTCTCCTTCTCCTTCTCCCCACTGGAGTTGTCCAAGTCATAGGCGGACAGGAAAGAGGATGCAAGGCTGTGCGCTGTGCTACTCTAGTAGGCAAGAGCAGCGCGCGGAAACTAACGAAAAGAATGGAGATCCGTCGGGATTTGCAGGAATTGGAGGGCTTCTCGAAAAAAAAGGAAAAAGCTCATGAGGTGATGTGATTTGCTTGGGACTGCATCTCGGATACGCAGTGAGGACCTTTCCCCGTCCATCCCGTCTTGTCGGCTTCCCTTTGCTTTGGCGGTACCGACTGCATCACTACCTAACCTACGGTGAATTACTGGTGGTTTATTTGTCCATTCTCGAATTTCTCGAAACGACGACTTTCTAGATTCGGTCACTTAGATGTTAGATCCCTCCCAACGCGGCGCGCGGTCAACGACAACATGTAACTACTCTGCTACTCTCGTAGACCGCCCTCATTTTTTCCTCTTTTTTCTCATTTCCCCTCTATTTTTACCCCATTTATATCATCATAATTTACCTAAGTACTTACCTACTTAAAATAAGACGCAGCGACTATAATATGGCTCTCCTGACAACAATTAAAATCCTACCTACATATGAGCTACTACATACAGCTACGCTACGTACGATAATAGTGAGGGACGAGCGGGTCTTACTCTCCAATTCCTATCACTTAGATCTACTGCAAACCAAGGAGTCACCCTGTACCAACGGAGTAGTTGGGCGGAGCTTCAGTTGCTCCAAGCGGGCCTTGCTAGCTGTAAGTGGGCAAAGTAGCTGGAACGGCTGCTATGCGACAATAGGGCGGTGAAGTAGTTTCACTCATTCAACAGAATACCTACATCAGAAACAACTTCCAAGTTACTTGACGCGATAAAACACTCTTTTAACAAAGACCCCACGAGTTTAAGAATGCGCTCTTTTATTTCTTATGTATGACAAACTAATTTGTAAAACGTGAAGTTGTTGAGAGGGTTGGCGGCATTAGTGCAACGGTGCAACATTAACCGTAACGTTAGCGATTAAAGACTCCAAGTCACCCTACCTAACCCTCGGGACTACCCAGAAGCTTAGGCTTAGGGCTGACTAACTACTTAAAACGGTATACCACTACATACTTTATTGTCTTACATGGACATTTGTGGGATATAGTATGACTTCAACTTTCGCTACAAAGGGGAAAAATTACAAACAGTTGTCTAAGTAGGTGTGTATACCTACCTATGTTTATGGTTATAGAAACACTCTCATTCGTTCGCCCAGCTTATAATGCTTCCCTGGATGCAGGAATATCTCATCAGATACCAATAGGATGCACCCCGCGAAGGCGGTAAAGCCAAGTCAGCCTGTCAGAAGGGACTTCAACCCTATTTCTATTCCGTACAGCTCTTCTTTCAGTCTATATTTATTTTCATGTTACCCACACTTTTTTATTGTTGATTGACTCTGCATGCCCGTTTAAATGTATTTATATTTAAAACTTAAATCGCTTTTATTTCTCCTTTCGCGCTTTCGAATTTTACTATTGGTTACAGAGAGGTCATAAGTTCTTCCTTCGCCTTAAGCTGTGCCCCCCTTGTCTTTTTGCTCTAATACCTACACTGACATACATACAGACCGGCTGGGCAGAGGTAAGTCAGTCAGGCAATGTATGTACATGTATATGTGGATGCGAATGTAATGTATGTGATGTACACTGCATCTGGTCTTAGACAATTCAGGACAACAGCAAGAGACGACAACCCACTTTCCTGCATGACACCATCGTCAGGTTCGATAGGGCTTATCAACCATTTAAATTTTATTATTTATTATTTATTTTATCTCTTTCTTGGGTATTTTATCGGTGGTGAGTGGGTTAGGTAGTGATAATGGTGGTGGTAATGATTTAATGGGTAGGTAGTGAGTGGGTGGTTGCGGCCACAGGCACGATGAGTTGGCCTACCACACCCTTTTTTCCCTTTTTCGCAGCTTTTCGCCGCGGCGCGCAAATCAGCGTTCGAGAAGGACGACTCACCGACTTTTTGTCGTCCTGCAAAACGAAAGCAACGGCGCCCTCCCCGCGGCGACTAAGTATCAGATGCTCAACCGGCCTTTGGCCTGGGCCTACGGCGCTACGCTACCACCATAGGGTATGCATTACTGATACACGCTATTTCTACTGAAGAGAGATCACGACTAGCTGACATGCGTCGTCGGTTTGAGGATGAAGAGGGAAATACTCACCTACCTAAACAACAATTCTCGAAGCACCTGGACTTGATCCTTTCTGTCTTCTCCCTCGGAAGCCCGATGTTCCGTAATCAGCTGCCGATTTCACGAGTTACTGCCGGTAGGCAGAATGACAAAGAGCCGTATAATGGACGTAGTCGTAAGTAAAAAAAAAAAAATAAAAAATAAAAAAGCCGCGTTTATTATCTATCTCTATACTACTATTACAAAGTAGGAAGTAACTCGTTTCGAAACTACACTTCTTCAACCACAGACCCCTCGGGACCCCACTCGTAAAGCAAAAACGGAGGCGCTATTTAGGACCGTTGCTTGGTGGATGTTCCCGAGAAGCATATGCCAGTCATTGAGTGTGGCGTTTTTTTAGGATTGCCTGATGATATACATACATGAAGGACCTACATGAAGTATATATGTACAATACGATAGGTACACACTTACACGTTTACAGGCACGTACAGTAGTGTCATGATGAAATGATGTGGCTAGGATGAATAAAGAAAAGGTTCATCGGAGAATATAATCTCTCTCATGACAAGGCCGTAATGCAAAAACGGGTAGGCAGAATCAAAATCGAATAATATTAACAATCCTTAGGAACGAGCTCCGTTGCCGCACGTAGCAACGGCGTCATGGTAGATGCAGGTGAGTGAAAGTCATTGGAGGATGAGATGATTGTATCCTGGCAGTTGGAACTGGTAGATCTGGATTGGCGTCAATACGAGTCTGTTCGAGTCATCGCATCTTTCTAAACTTCGCGGGGTATAAAAAAATAAAGAAAGAAAGAGATAAACAAATAAAAGAGTGTGTTTGCCCCTCTACCCAAATAGGTAATATATAGAAAGGAAAGCTTTAGATAGGTGCGAATTTGGCCCGCTGACTTGAACTGCCTACCAAGATTATATGCATCAATGCGTTGTCAACCGTGGCTTGTGACGATTTAACAGGGGGATATTCACGCAATTCATAGCTATTAGGAATAAAATAATGTTCATATGCCATTCAATTGTTTATTACTAGTTGTTTTATTATTTTTCATGTTTTTTATTCTTATTTTTTTTTATTGTGGTCTTTCATCTCATTTCTTGTCTTTGCTTCGTATACATCCATGTGTACATGTGACAATTTCAAATTCCTTCATCGTGGTAGCGTGGCAAGGAAGGATATTAGATATTGTCAGGCATATGATATATGTGTGTTATTGAAAATAATTTTATTTAGATACCTTCAATGATGCAAGTCTGAGCGTGGAAACGAACAAGTTTAAAATATCAAAATTCAAAGTGTACTACTGTATCGAAATTCCCCTGCTCTTTGCCGATCGGTCCTTTTCTTCTGGAATCGCGTCGGCATCATTCGGTTCTATTGGGGCATTTTGACAGCCGATCGGCCTGGCCAACCGACGCTTAAATTTAGCCGCCAAGTGATTCGCCACCGCGGAGAGCGGCCCCGCTCCCTTCTAGAAGGCTTCTAGCGTTCTTTTTCTCGAGCAAGGTACGTACCTAGATCACCTTATGTAAGGCTAGAAGAATACAACGGTACTTTGACAGGTCGGAGTTACATGGTCGGGAATCTTAGCAAGGATAGCGGAGCTTATGAAAAAGGAGCTTAAAGCTAGCTGACCATTCACGTGAATGCCCGATAAGAAGTGGGGTTTGGGGGAAGAGAGAAATAACAGTTAATAGGGCTTACATAACTGGCTCTCTAACCAATTCTAACCAATTTTCTAGCACATGATTTATGTTTTCTATCCAGTTATCGACCCCACATGAGCTCCAGAAAGAGACCGAGAGTTGATCCAATTTCGGTATCCCTCATTAGCATAGCGTCTTCCCTCATAATAACGCCGAAAACATGTCCAAGCGAAACATGGGACGGCAAGAGACGAAACAGAAATACGTCGCACGAGAAGTTCGAAGGAGCTGAAAAGTATTAGGTACGCAATAAATTAGAGAGGTCTAGACAGACGGAGAAACAGAAAGGAAATGCGAAATGAATTGAGAAGAGAAACACATGATTGAAAGCGTGTCTCCAGATCTCCAGTAATCCCCCAGACTCCATTTTTGACTTTTTGAGTCGTTGCTCACGTTACGCGTCCAATATAATAGCCGAGAGAGGAGGGGGGATTGATTTTTTATTGAATTTGGGGAACAAATAAGTTTGCCTCAACCTCTTCTTCTTCTGCCGTGTACACCGTGTTGGTCCTAGTTCTAGTTCTAGTTCTCTAACAAACAATAACGCTCATATATAACAGGTTTATCACATGTTCCGAACCCTGCGGGTCATTTCGTTCCCATCAATTTGTCAGGGAAAAATCTGATGTGCCGGGTCCTAGTCGTAAGTACGGGTACGGGTACTGTATTGTACCTACTTGAATCTCTAGGATGAACAAGGTCACCCAATGAAATGAGTTGGAATGGTGCAAGAACCGAAAGGGTACAAAATTCCAACGGCGTGGATAATCCGTTCAGCTTTACTTTACGTTTCGCCAAAATCCACGTGGGGCCGAGACGCCGGGACTGCTTAGAGCCACGGCTTAAATCTTCGTAATGCCTAGACGCCTGGCAACTTGGCTGCTGTTGGGAGATACATAGTAATATGTATCCCTCTAGCCCTTGCAAGGTGGAGTGCACCAGATAATTTCGCGGGTGCTAACGCCGTCATCGTCATGGAAGAAAAATTTCAAGGAGACAAGACCCCCTCCTTCAGCCTCCGCGATTTCATTCTCGATCCTGGGAATTAGGGGAATTAGTAGGTATATGAAAGAAATTTTCTATTTTCTCTAATCCATGTCTTGTAGCCTCCGAAGCTACAACGGAGAAGAGCCGCTAGCCTGATGGGATTCAAAACAGGTATGAAATGTATGTATGTATGTATGTATGAAGATGCGATGCTCGAGCCGCATCCTTTACAAGCTATATGACATACTGTAGGTATGTATCCCGGTGAAGCTCAACCCAGATCCCTGGATACTTGGCAACGATTGGCAACGCTGCTTCACCTTTACGGCGCCGGTGAAGAAGTACCGGCCGCCCGAAACTCCTTCTACATGGTTGACGGAGCACTGACCAGTGAGAGGCTATGTAACGTCGGTCTGGCCGCACCAGCGAGGAGTGCAATTCGGTTGCCCTGCTAATATCAAACTACATTGTACTTGCATCCCATATGCGAGTGTTTTAAGGTCAAACAACATCGAGTACTTCATTTGAAGACATGGTATATCTCGCGGATTACTAGGTATGGCTATATAGTAAAAGGGGCATCCCTTATTTTACTAGGTAGACACATGGTGTCGCGTGTTTCTGTGTAACTTGATCCGTTCGTTACCAGCGTGAACATATCCCCATAGGCACGGGATTCTAGCAAACTCTGAATATTTTTTATTCTATTATTTTTATGTTTATACCAATTTACCGCCATTATTCGGAATTTATCGAATTTATCTTATTTTATTATTTTAGCACTCCGGGGCTAACATACGCCCAGAGTTTGCGAGCCGCATTAGAGCAGGATAACCTACCAGCCTACATTCTTCTAGCACTCACGCCCGACCCAAAAGTCTGGCAACGGGCTCTCCAGCCTCGTGGAGAACCATTCTGGACCACCCTTCTAGCTTGAGAGTTTGTGCGAGCCTACTCGTTACAAAGGACGCGCCGTCAGCTGACTACGTACACAACATCCATTATGCGATGGGGACCGACCGATTTCCTCCTCCACTTCTCTTCTCGCCTAATTCTTGCTTAGGGAGCCTTACGTAGTGTCTCCGAGGAACTGGGACGATCGATCTCTGCTTGCGCAAACTATGATCTGACAAGGCTGGATGTCTACCTAAGTATGGAGTCGGTTCCGCCGTGACCGTGACCAAGAATCGTGTTGTTCTAGACTAGTAGTATCGGAAAGCAAGATTTATAGTATATGTTCGGTAGATGTTCGTCAATGATGGCTTAGCCGTCCCAGCACAGGGGTAAATTAACTTAAGAATTGACTACATTATCATTATCCTCAGCGTTGATCTCGCATCAGCGGCATCATCTGAATGCCAAGGGAGGGAGGCCTCGAGAGAATGACTTAGATAGTTAGTAAACTAAGAAACGGTTGACGACATCCGGGTCTCTGATGGAGGGGTGGTCACCAGCCACCCCCAGACTGACTTAGGACTGCTAAGGTTTTGGCTAGCTCTCGATTCGTTTTCCCATTTTTTCCCGAGCTTCTTCCTAAATACCAAGGATAGACAGCTAAACGTTAGCAAGCTTATGGTTGGGTCGGTAAGGTCAACTAAACTATGTACTGACTGACCCTCAGCGGCTCGTATTCTCGGCTGGGGAACAGACGATCGTCTGTGCTAAATAACAATAAAAAAGGAGGATCACCCGTAAACGCTTCCATGCTACCGAGAAAACGGAAAATGGCTTTTCGTCATAAATATGGCTATTCCCCCTTCCCCGCGATAGCTAGCCGACTCCATGCCCATCTACACACACCTCAAACTCCTATCGCTGCTAGACGAAGCTACGACTTACTCAACTCTTGCACATGCTTTCCCCAGAGTTAGTAGCTACCGGATGCATGTGAGCTGCTGTTACTTATAGATCCGTGAGATCCGCATGAGCGGTTGATGGTGGGGGTTAGCGGAAACTTTATCGATTGAGTAACCGAGATGCCGGATATCTCGAGCCGATGTATGTACGTTCGTTTGGATGGGATATATATAGACTTAGCCTAGAGTCCCCAGAAAATGGCTTATTGGGCGGTGGGAGGTAGGACGTGTGGTGAGCTAGAAAGTAGCTGATTCATACTTAAGGGTTATATACCTGTCATTCATATGATTACTGAACACTCCAAATATTGGTCTTAGATGTACGTGCATAGTGTGTAAAGTATTAATTGTTGCCATCTTCCGTAGACCTTGAGGGTGTATGAATTATGTAGGAGTTAATTATCGATATATCAAAGATCGACGCGGACCAAAACGATCCTACATATAAATCGACTACGTAAGTGGCCTCGGAGATAATGCGATATAGAGGCAGGTATCTAGGTACCTCATAATAGGGGTATATGTGCTTCCACATAGTCCTAGCACATCGGAGTATCTCTTTGGAGTATATAGTGAGAGGTTGGATAGCAAAGAAGAACCCGAGCGCCACGGGATGTCTCGTGCCTAATGGAAAATAACACTAAGGGCTAATAATCTATTCCCATGAAGGATGAAGTAAGATATAGAGTGTCGGAACGAGGCTGGGGTTGGCAGAGCTTGGAGTATTGTGGCTTGTTCGTAAATGTTAGGGGCTACGAACAATAACGAACTAGAATGTCTAGAACTTACCTGATATTATAAGGGGTGCAGTTAGCTAATAAGTTAACATTCTATGCTACTGATTGAACATAGACCTAGTTTTGGTGAAGTCATGTCATGAATGCGACCGCCTGCGATCGCCTACATATACCTAGGTTCCCAAGGGCATGTTAAGCGTAACCTCACGGGCTGATTTAATTATCCGATTAGAGTATGTTGACAAGGTGCACGTCGCGACCCGATGGGTCTGATACTCCAAGATAACACCCAAGCTAGACTCCTATATCCGAATGTCGAGTATGAAGCCTGGGGAGAAGATAAGAGCTGTCTCACTGATGCAAACGAATAGGCCCTTGATGACAGATGAAAAGAAGAAGCGGAAAGCATAGCATGTGTGAGTGAATCATAAGACTTAAATGAATATTATTCGCTTGCAGGCTATGCCCACCAACATAGTTAAACCCAACGTCTGCTGTAATAAGAAGACGCGAGTCCAACAATCTACAATATTCTAGAAAGGGGAACTAGTGAATGAGCTGAACCCCCAAATGAAATAAGGTATCTCTGTGGTCCGTCGCTATATCATGAATGCTTCCGTAGAGGCGGTTTAATAGGTGATCGATCTATTCCATCGCCTTGTATTGAGATCTGGCTAGAGTGTATCTACCACTTAGGTTCACCCTGTTCTATCTTTGGCGTCACAACAGCATTCCTATCAGCGAATGGGTCGTTTTCGTCCTCATCTGCATAATCATCATCTTCATCAGAGTCCGGTTGTGGTGCTGGACGCGCAGGTATGACTGGTTTAGACGCAGCAGATGGTCGAGGAGGCGGAACAGGCCTTGGTGGAGGGCTTGGATTGATACTAAGATGAGCCATTTCAGGGACGGGGCTTGATGGGCTTGAAGTGCTCGTTGGTGACATCGCCTGTTTGTGTTTCTCGGTTGCCACTAGTTTTTGTAAGCAATGGATGAATAGTATTTACGTGATCGTGGACTTACTCCTATAAAGATGCGCCTGTTCCGCCATCTCGTCTTCAGAATCACTATCCGCGTCAATAGAACGGTCAAGTTGCTCATAAGTCATAAGCGCGACGACAAGCTCATCATTCGCATGGAGCAGGCCACCAAGCCACTGCTCGTCTTCGACGTGGTGAATCTATTACGTGTAAGTAGGTACTAATGAAGGCTGTGGAATATGGACATACGTAGCGTAATATTTTCCTTCTAAGCTTTTTGCAAGCCTCAAATCGCTCAACAGCTGCAGCGTTTTCTGATATCCTTTCTCGCTCTCGATTAATGCTCTGGAGAGCATTGGTTAAATTTGTAGCTGCAATCGAGGATTCGGCGATCGCGACTTTCATGGTATCTTTTTCGGCTTCGAGATTGAACGGCTTATGCTTTCTCTTTGCCTTATCCTTATCCTTCTTTTTCTTGTCTTTTGAAGAACTGGAGAAAAATGAACCAGAACCAGACGCGGATCCGGACCCGGATGGAGATTTAACATGACTGAATGACTGGACGGTTTGGGTTGGCTGAGGGTAGCTGACGGGCTGACGCGAGGATGAGGCCTGAGGTGGGGATACTTGGGGCTGTTCAGCTTCGTCCTCGGAGTCGCGAAAAGGGTCCTGTTCGGTTTCACGGAGCACCTTGGATTTTGCTTGAGTGACGACCTGTTTACGCCGTGGCAGCTCCTATCATTATGTTAGCTTCGAGGCTCCCTGATTTATCAAAGAGGCTTCTTGCCTTATATAACATAGCAACCCTTTCGAGACCGGGGGTATTTTTATATTCCGTAGCCCAGCCTCTGAATAGCTCGGAGCACTTCTTCCTGACGTCGGGATCAGATAGGTCCGATGTGCCGCATACTCGTAAGCGTTCAAGTAAAGGCTCGTCGACAAAGGTCCGCTGGAAACGAGGACCACCATTCTGGATTAAGCCATCAAGAAGTACGAGAGCTCTGATCTGTCTATGAACACTACCATATTTTAGCTTCTTCCTGAGAGCACGAGCAGCCTCTGCGGGACCAGAAGCTTGTAGCTTGATAACCTCGACTAAGTCTGGGATGCCGCTGAGATCATCCTCTTCATACTGCTCGCTAGTGAGGCGCTCAACCGTCACCGTGACGGCCGAGTATGGTTTCTTCTATATGAAGGGTTAGAATAGTTCGTACGTAACATTTAGGATGCTAGATAAGTTTCCGTAAAACTCCAGTAGTGACTTGCGTGATTATTTGTATGCTAGATATATATCGTGGTGGAAATAAAATTCTTATAAAACTTGGGGAAGGGAAGGGGAACTGCTAATAAGTAGAATCAATACGGGCGAAACTCACCTGAGAGAACATGTTTTGCAGGTAGTTTTGATTGGTAAGATATCTCTAAGACCGAAGAAACGTCCGGGTTCTATGTAATATGTACTCTCTTAAGTAGTGTAGTTTGTTGGAATATATTGTTGGAATATACCCTAGAAGGCTGGCGATGAGATGTGATGGTGTCACGGCCTAAAAGCAATCAACGTGTGAATATGACGAGTAATAGTCGTACTAAGTGCCTCGAATAAGGCAGAAAAGATGAGTAACCAATGATCTGATTTCCTGTGATCCCATATGTATGCGGTTTGTGGTACTCAGTTAGGCTGACTGGATTTCCTTAACAGGGAGCCTGCTGCAGACATGCAACGACTTCCTTAGCGCCCAGCTCCGATGCCAACCAGAGCTTGAATGAGGGGTGTTTGCTTAGCTTTCTCTTGTCGTAGAAGGTGAAGCCTACTAAGCGAGTAAGCTTCGGCGGAATGATATATTCAAATTACTGCTGAGTTAAAAAGGAGATGGAAGAATTCACACGATCTTTTCCTCAAGGTGGGAAGCTGTTGAAGATGATGGGCGGGCAGGCGGGGTGCGATAATTAAGATAATCATCATGTTACAGTGATGGTGCCATCTTTTAGGCGAATTTAGTGGATTATTGATTTATTATTGCATTACCGAGGGATCCTTACAGTCTCGGGCTTTGTACCTTCTACTCGTACCTGTATTCTAAGACCGTGCCTTCTATTTCTCAACCATCGTATGAGTTATCGCGCGAATGATTTCCTCTTTTGAATGTTCAGATTTCTCCATAAGTACCTAGGTGCATGCTAGTTGTAGTTGCTAATCTCACGCCAGGAAGGTATCGCCCGTAGTCAATCCCCGTTTTCAAATCTCCAACCCTACATGTAAAACAATCGTAAGTTCGCACTTAACCAACATTTATTTATATCCTACTACAGTATGTGTATAAGTTGCTTATGCCACCATCTGTGGTAATATTCCAACCAGCGAGCCTTGAAACGATATTCCGAAGTCATTTATAATGCAGAACTCTAATCGACCTAACGATCAAGATAGTTTGCGCATAGGCCAGAAACAAGTGGCAGATGCTCTTGATGAAGGTTCACCCTCAATTCTGCAAGAGGAACTTCCTGAGAATGACGGGCCCTGTGACAACTGTGACGTTTCAATCCCAAGCGGTCACGCGTGGATCAATTGGGACGCCCATACGACAAACGGCCAGGCTCAGAGCTTGAAACACCATCGACCGGAAGATGGAGATGGAGAAGGCAGTATAGCAAAGCGCTATAAGCGTCGGCTCCCTCCACCGGCCACGCCATCTTCTAGCTCCTTTCAAACTTTGAAAATCACAAAATCTAGCCATGGGAGCGACCATATTTATCTTTCTAAGTTTGAAGATGTAACTCACGGCCAGACCAGCGGTCCTCTATATCAACAAGGACAGACCACCATGGATCAATTGACCCCCTATCCCACTAGAAGGCCCCAAGGACCTGTTATCCAGCTTAGTCGCAGCATCGAAAAGGAATCGATGATCGGGTCGGATGTTAACAGTAGTCCACCTCTTATGGGTGGGCAGCGTCTTGTCCCCCCAATCATCACGGGTGCATCTGAAACGAATAATGTTTTGCAAAATTTGAACCATAGTGATGGACTGGCTGATGTGGGATACCAAACTACATCGAATGGCACGAGAATTCGGGGCGACTACGTCGTCGTCGAAGACGAATACCCCCTCGATGAGGATTTAATGGAAGAAGACATGGCTAATGCGCTTGATAGTACTTCGGACAATGCTCAGGAAACGCACTTACCTCCTTCTAGCGTCGTTCATGCTTGGGATCATGACTCAAGGTCGGCAGCTGAATATGATCCGACTTTACAATACTCATCACCCTCCTCTTCATCAGGAAATCCCGGGGATTCGCAGTCGGCAACCGTCGTAGGAAAATCTGTTAACGACGGCAATCTTCTTGATGAAGACGTCGACTGGAACGCTGTGTATGCTATAACGAGCGTCATACCGAAAAATTCGTCGTCTGCCGCTCCTCAAGACGCGAACCGCCGATTGTTAGGGGAGCAGCCTTCTCGTACGGTGAAATCTGTCGAGCGTGGTCTGCATTCCGAAGATGCAATACCCTTGAAGCCCTTCGTTCGGTCCACTTTCCCCGAGAAAGTTCGTGATCGTTCTGCTGTGTCAGGTCTGTCCTCGAACACTGTGCTGCGGACCTGCTTTCGGATAGGGGAGATGGTTAACCAGGCAGTACGCTGTTTAACCCACCAACAAGAGGTAGTGTTCGAACTATTTGCAAGAGTAACATATTCAAATCGAGAGACGCTTGATAGAAAACAACATTTTCAATTTGTTGACTTGTTCAAAGACCAGCAACCATATCCTGCGGGGATACTGACGAACTGGAGAGTCGGTAGCCAGCTAGATGGCCAAAGTTTGGCTTTTTTAGGCACAGAAGCTAAGCCGAAGATATGCCGCTGCGTATGTCGGCCGAAGAAGGAAGTGAAGGGGGTCAGTCTTGTCATCCTCTCCATCGAAGAGATTGACTGGATGCAAGTTAGCTGGGCCAAAATAATGGTGTGCGGGGAATGATGGGTCCTTCTAGAAATTCCGGTGCGAAAAAGCTGAAGAGAACGGAAAATGGGCTGACGGTGTGGATGGATGGAAGGGATATATGGGTGCTAAGATCATTGTAGCTTATTGAATGGGTTGCCCTGACACCTTTAGGTATGAATGATGAGTTGGGGAGCTCGCTCTACTCCGTATGTATGCTGTGTCTAAGAGGGCACCAATCATTTGCATTTAATTGCTATCTGGGTATGGATTTATGTCGTACACACACGGGACGCGATACATGAATGCTGGTGGTACTCATAAGACCGGAGCACGGGCTGCGATTCCTAGGACGGTCTGTGGTCAGTAATATCTCAAGATCAGAACACTAGTGGGAGAGTTCCATGTAGGACTATGCTGTAGGGTGTTACCAAGGCGCCACCTGGATGTAAGAGATATGATAGATGTTTGTTGACGCGTATTGATGAGATGTAGAAGATGGATGGAGTGGGCATACAAGACAAGGTACATACATATCGTGAAGTCATGTCTCAGCGACAATTGTCAAGCAGATAAGTGAAACATGCCTTACTACCCGGGTATTAGGTAGCGCCCAAGATCCAGCATTCAAATAAAAAAGGGAGCTATGCTTAGCTTATATAATTACCCCAATAAATTCATTCGAATTGCTCGGATGAACTATGAAAAGAGAATAGAAGCTGAGCGTAAAGGGAAAATATTGGTTCGAGTGTAGCTTTATTAAGTTGTATGAGATGTGACGACGATGCATACCTACATATAGGTAGCTTTCAATTAACACTGTACAAGAACGGGTGCTTATGCATGATATATGTATACACCTAGGTATACATGTACGTAGCCCTGGGGAGGCTTGGATGTACCCGTGCGGATCAACGACGAACTTTAGGTTGGGTACATAAAAAAAAAGCTACATCAAGCGTAGAAGCAGCAGTGTAGTAGTCGTTAGCGCCTCCTCAGCGCCCTTTACGTCGCACAATACCTACATGGTATATACGGACACGTCCAAGGTTAGATGATACCTACTACATCACGTGCCAAGGATTTTGGAACCCAGCGACCAGCGTAACCTGCCTGGGCGCACCCTAGGGCAGTACCTAGCACCAAGCAACCATCACCTTCGGCAGGGTACTTTACTGCACATTTAAGAAAATCAAACCAAAACCAAAGTAAAGCAAATCCCCACAGTTCCTAACTAACCTAAAATCATTATCTCTATTTGGGCTCTCGGAACATCAACCGATACCTTCAACTTATTCCTTGACAGCAAAACTGGGGATGTGCTTGATCGTATTTTTTTTTTCATCTTTCAATCACTATTTAATATAATCTACCCCGATTTGTTTTTCCTTCTTGTTTCTTTTTCGAAGGTCGAGTGTAGAACTAATCGAAGGATTTGTACTTATCCAACTGATCTTTATACCGCACAACCGGGAACAAATTCACGTTCGCACATTCGCATATACGAACATCCAAAGGTCCTCAGTTTGGTTCATTCGATCCATTCCAAGATCCCAGGCCTCAAAACCCACACAAATCCCACCGTGAATTCTTTCCATTCTTTCCTATTACTGCGCAATCTATCTAACTTCCTCTCTTCCCCAAACACCCTTCATTTCTAACGAAACTTGATCCTTTCCTTACCTGCGATATCATCGCATCGTATCGCCTCTTCCCGGGCGCATGGGCTCCTCAATCATGTTGAACGGGTCGGACCCCGTGTCTTCTTTCTCAACCGAAGCAACAAACAGGCTTAATCATTATTATCAAGTTGATAACGAGAGGCAGTCTTTCATTCATGTACGTAGACCCGCTTGATTTTTTGCTTGTTCTTCTTCCCCTATATTTCCGCCCCTTACGCAATCTCTCGCTTTACTCACACGTGCCTATCAGAATATTCTCGAAAAAATCGAAGCCGATTCTAAAAAGATAAATGAACTCGAGCTTGATCTAGCCGACCAAAAGCGATCGCGAGCTTCTTATCAGTCTAGGGCGAGCACTCTCGAAAACGAAGTGGAAAGGCTTGCTCATCAACTTGTAAGTCTCTTCACCTTCCATATTAGACCTCTCCACCTACTGACTTTCCTCTCAATAGAATAAGGATTCATTTGTAGTTGTACTTATTGATGGTGATGGAGCTAAATTTGCGGATGAATTCTTACGCGACACTGTCGCGGGCGCCGAAAGGGCTGCGATAAAGCTCAAGCAAGCCGTCAGAGAGAATCTTAGAGATACAGGCGTCAGCCAAGATGATATCCCTATTATCGTCCGCGTCTATGCTAATCTCAATGATCTATCTAAATCATTACGCCTATCACAAGTTACAGACTTTGATGACCAGATGCGCTTATTCGCAGAGCGATTCACAAACAGTCGAGCGGACTTTGACTTCGTTAATGTCGGCAAAGGCAAAGAGAACGCTGACTCCAAGATAAGACGTACGTTTCAAGAATGCCCTGCTAGAATGACTATTGGACCTGGTTTTATGTTTACTCACTCGTATTATAGGCATGCTTAATCATTACTATAGAAATATTCAGTGCAAGAAGATATTTCTCGCCGGCTGTTGCCATGACAATGGTTATCTACACGATCTTCGTGACTATACCGGCGCGGCCGACGATAGATTAGTGCTTTTGGAGACTACGCCCGCGGAACCAGCTTTCAGGAGCCTCGGGTTTCCTCTCTTACGATTCGACGATGTTTTCCGTTCAGAACCACTGACCAACGAAACGAAGCATAGCTTTTCGACAATGTCCTTTGGACCTCATTCACCCGTGGAGACCCCCGTCGCAACTGGTCCAGGTCCGATTGCCAGACCTACACAGCCTATACAGAAACCTAGTACGGTGGTGTCGCCCACAGCACAGGAGCCAAGGCAGTCTTTTACGCCTCGCCCCACCTCTACACCGGTGTCTGTCAGCACATCGTCGTCGGTCCCACCTCCCGCTACCCCTGAGCAACCGAATGCTGCACCACCTCGCGGGCCAAACGTCATTAGCTCTGGGAATGGCGGCACTTCTATCAGTTACGCTACGGCAGGTGGAGTTACTGACTTTCAGAACGTCACAGTTAAAGCACCTAAACCCAAGAAACTCCCAAAGATTATATATTACAATAGTGATAGCTACCGCATTGATTCACCTACGCAACATCCCCCCAGAACTCCCGCTCAGGCGTCCTACCAGGCCAAATTTCAATCTATCAAGCCGTCAGTGTTTTGCAACGACTTTTACCTTAAGGGACGCTGTAAATGGGGTATTAGTTGCGACAAAACTCACGATGCTGAATTAACTGGCCCGGAACTTGCTATCCATCGCTATAAGGCTCGAACTAGCTTGTGTCCTGCAGGTCCCTATTGCTCCGACTACGACTGCTATCTCTCCCATCACTGCCCACGAGCGCCATGCACCCGAGGAGAGATGTGCCCCTTCTACGATACCGATAAATTTGGAGACCTGCATCTGACTAAGGACCAGCTTCAGCCAACGTAAGTTACTCCTATTAACCCCTTAGAAGTTTCAGATATCCCTCCACCCACCAGATGAATATCCTACTGACATTACATTTATCCGCAGTACTAGGTGGACGGAAGGACTTGATCTTCCTGAGCACATACGCTAATTGCCCGGAACGAAGGAGTTGGGGAAAAAATGATTGCTTAAGTAGGTGTCGATTTTTATTATTCTTATATTTAAAATTAAGAAAAGCCAGAAAAGAACAGAAGGTGGCGTGATAGCTGTTCTTATGATATCGAGGAGTTGGTTGGCTTTAGTGGAGGAGGCAGATCTTATTTTATTTTTATTTTATTTTATTCTAGGGGGGTACATATCATGAGCATGCATGATACTCCCTTCCTTCCCCCCTAATATGGCAACGAGAACATAGGACGGATAAACAAACGGATTTATTCGTGTTGGGGGTTACGACGAATATGACTTAAAAAAGACCACCATCTCATTAGCAGCATATGGTGGTCCCCTGGTACCGAAAAAGCAAAAAGGGAAGAGCAAAAGCAGACAGCAGAGAGCAAAAATTGTGAATTGTGGCAGATTGGCAAGATTGATCAAGACAGAAAAGAGATACATCGTTTACGTTTGCACGCATTTGCAGCCTTACATACCTGTAAGATTATTAGGTAGTCATCTCACCTAAGCAATAAAATATACTTGGCTACCTACCTACCCTACCGTCCCCTACACTATGTTCTAGCGTGCGCGGGCTGGCTGACTAGAGCTGCAATGCATCGATCCCGTACATGCATCCCCGTAGACGATCGAATCATCATCGACAACGCGTAGTTAATCATTGCCTAAAGTACCAGGGTATCTATGTATGTGTCTCACATCCTCTGTACTCCCCCATATTCCCCGGCTTCGGCCCGCCCTACGGTAGGGTGGGTGTGTACTTACATTACCGGGTACGTGTTATATGTATGTATGTATTATATACTTCCAATCCAAATGTGCCTTTTTAGGTATTTATATACTCCGAGCCAACCCAACCGACCAATTAATACGAACCCACGGTTTTCTTCTGCTCGTTCATCCGTTCTTCTTCCTCGACTTCGTGTAGCGCATCTTGACCACCCGATTCCTTGACTACGGCCCGTAACTCTTCGCGGAGCTTTTGCTCCAGTTTGTCGAGGATCCACTCCGCTTCCTCGCGTGTGTCCATTAAAGGACTCCGGTGTCCGACCCAGCTCCATTTCGGGGTTTTATTATCAGTTGTAGAGGTTTCAGCTTCTTCTCCGTCTTCTTTTTTGGTTTCGCTGTCGTTAGTGTTGGTATTGGTGATGCTAGATTCAGCGCCAGGTTCTGAGGATGTGTTGTCGCCGTGCGCGCTGAGATGCTGGCGACCGTGCGGAAGCGGGTGCTTCTCAGGTAGTCTGTGGTTCTCGGCGTCGCTTTCGTCTTCGCCTATTAGACGTAGGTACCAGGCCCTAGGGAAGTTAGCGTGGGTATTGGTATGGTCCGAGCCCGCTCGGATGGGACGGACGGTCTTGGAATACTAACCACTCCTTGAAAGTGTATTTTCGTGGCGGCGAGTGTCGCAAGTGCTTCGTTACGCGTGAGATCTCGTCGATAAGAACGAGATGGTATTCCGGACGAGTTTTGGGTAATTCGGTAGGCAAACTGTCCCGGGCTATTGAGGAGCGCCCTGGAGACTTTGATCTGGTGTTTCCGGTAGGCGATGAACTAATCGTGGATTCTAACGCATTGACACTCCTTTCAGTTGGGGTATCCCTTCTGAGAGGAGACGTCGGCGCAGATTCCGCATTTTTGGCATCTTTATCGGCTCGCTTGTTGCTTTCCGCATTATTTATATTATTTGTTCTAGACGACCCAGTTCTTTTATTCTCATCACCTTCGTTACCTTCCCCTTCGTCGTCGTCGTCCTCTTCTTCATCGTCAGTATCCGAGCGTGCTCGAGCTGCTCCTATAAAGCCCGGAGGGTCCTCTTCAATGACCTCATCTAAAAACAGTACACCACAGGATAACTTTGCTAACATCTGTTTTATCTCTTTCCTAAACCCGTGTTCTCCGGGTAAGATGGTTATGTTTCCGAGTAAAAGGGTACCGTCCTTGACGCCCTTTACAATTGTGTCCCCCGCGTTAGATATGAGAACAGTCATAGTAGGTAAGGCGAGTAGAGACCAGAAGACGAAGAAGGCCTTAGCGGAATTTGATACTGGAGTTAGATCTCCGTATCCGATTGTTGTTAGGGCCGTGAATGCGAAATAGAAGCCGTCAAAATAAGTCCACCCTTGATAAGGCGATTCGCATTCTTGGAAGATCTTCGCACCGACAAGCCAGAGCACTACCCAAGTACTGGTGGATACGGCCATTGCCGTCCATCTTTCCCTCTTTGATGCCCTACTACATGTTAGCATTGTACGGACCGTTTTAAACTTCTCGTCATCCGGGCATCTTGGAAATCGAAGGAAGGCTTTATTTGACTCTCCGCTAACAGTGGTAACCGCTAAAGAGGTAGCATGGAGAAAAGGAAGACCGGATACTTACTACCACTAATTAGCATATACACCATAGGTGTCGCGGGAATAGATCCTTAACATACCTGCGATTGAATTCTCCGCATAAGCTGAAATTCCTTCTGTCGGCGTTCAAATTCCGTCAAGTGGGGATCATCGACAGCATCACCGTCAATCGGTTTGAGAATGTCGCCCTTTCCTTTCCTCAAAGCACGCCGAATTGATAGACGTCGCTGTCTCTCCAACATTCGCGCATCGAGTCTGTGCTTACCTCGATCCAGGATCATACTTCGAATTGATCCTATGACCAAACCGAGGCTTATAACGCCGACAAGCGCGTATGGGACGAGCAGGCCACGACCGAGCCTAGTTTGCGGGGAGATTTCGCCGAAACCTACGGTAAAAAGAGTGACGTCGGCCCAGTACACGGAATCAAGATAATTCCAACCCTCAATCTTGGAGAAGATCAATGCACCCAAGAGCAAGTACACGAGGAAGACGATAGTCTGAAGCATCAATGTTCTCTGACTAGTCGTCAACTCGAAATCCTTGCCATAGTGTCCTCTGTTTGCGCCCCACACGGTGATAACCATCAACGTGGCGACTATGAAGTATAGGATAGCCGCATACATTCCATAATAGAAGGCTTGAGACCAGACATATTCGATCTGAGGTTGAAGATCCAGCGGTCCGGATGCTGTGGCACATAGAGCTATGAGGCATATTGCTGATATATACCAGCCAATTATCGTGACGGGCTGTGCGATTGAGAAGCGTACTCTCTTAGTCATGTTTAACAAGAGGAACGCGTTCGCAACTAGAGCGATGACTAGTTGGACGGCATTCACGATCGTCAGCCATGGCGGATCCTTAATGAACACGGCCTTGGTAACATCGGAATCCGGTAGAATGTGTTGTCTCCAATACTTGACTAGAGCACATATACTGAAAGCTGAAGCCACTGGTCCGAGCGTACCGGCTATCATAGGAAATGCTGCCGAAGCAAACCACCATCGACTATATCGCATCACGCCTGTTAGATATTTCATTTCATTGGAGCACGTCGGTTATCGCCCTTACCTGGGATCGAGGTGTATCTGATCACTCATAACGCCATCTTGACCCTTCTCGCTTTCAAAGTCATCAATGATCTGTGCTTGGCCATCGATGTTTTCGCCTAAGTTCGCATCGTCCATATTGATAGGCGGATGGATTCGTTCCCATACATAGTTTATAATTGTAGGTTTAGACGAAGGTAGGCTCTGCAACCGTACACCGCGGTCTTTCGATTTAAGCGAAGTCTAAGCCCATTAAAGTGACCTGTACATCATCTATAATTTTAACATCCGACATCCGTTCCTCTTTAACGATGTAATCATCGGTCTGAGACGCAACTTCCTCCGAATAATAAAATGCGAGATTTATGTATGACTTAAGTTTTATGTATGAATAGGAAAACAATGTCTTGATATATGACAAGACAAAGGAGGGTCAGGCGATATGGTTGGCCCATGTGGGATGACGTCGCTTGGCGATGCGATCACGAAGCTAGCGGGGGCTAGTGGGGATTTTAGGGTCCAGACTGCTAGGATTAGGGAGCAACAACCTGCTGGAATAACCAAACGATTGGCATTTATAGTGCCGCCCCCGCATGCTTAAATCCTCACTAAAGCCGCTGAACAAGATTGGAAACCACCCAATCTCATCCCCATTTATAGCTGATTTTTTTTTGTCGCACGCCGCGTCAAGTATGGCACCTTCACTTTTTTTTCACATGCGCTTGATAAGAATTATTGAAGATCTATATGCAACACCTTCAACGCGATTATCTTCAGCTAACCTAATCAAGCTCAATTATAAGAAAATCTTCCATTCAATCGACGATTTATGAATACGAATTGATAGAGGAAAGAAGATGAGAAGATGGATCTTGGCTAGGAGTTCAGTTTTCGCGGCCCTTCGCGGCCCTAAGCCTAGATATTTTAGTGCTGCTGTTAACGATATAGAACGAGTGAGTATCCGCAACGGCTCGTCAGGTCTCGTTACTATTGAGTAAGTCAACTACATGAATGACATAGAAGATGAGACTTACCCTGAGTGTAAATTAATAGTCTACACAATACCGCCAAGGTATCATCTGGAGATCCTTTATTGATATACCTACCACCGTACTCAACCGCTTTTACGGACAAGCCTGCGCAACTGCCAGGATTCATTCAGAGGCAGCCGACGGCGGTGATAAATTATCGTTGGAAGGGGTTCTCTCCATTTCTGGATGAGGATTTACCTGCTTCAGCATCCCATGAATCGTCGGAAGAGGATGATGAGCCAACCCATCTATCATGGCCAGCTCCTATTCACGATACTGCGAAGGCATATAACTGGATTGTCGAGAACCTAAGTCCTTCAACTCACACGCGCCGAGATATCTATATCTATGGCTCGTACCTCGGCGCATCGCTGGCAACATCACTAGCCTTGACGGAAACTCTTCCCCACGAGTCTATGGGTGTGCGAGGATGTGTCGCTTACAACGGGATCTATAACTGGACCAGGTTTCTTCCCGACCACCCGACCAACAAACCACCAGAGTCGTGTCCGATAGATGTACTAGAAGGACTTTTAGCTCAGCCAGTTGAAACCCAATTTCAGGAGCTAAGACAGCATGCCGAAGAGTTATTTGAAAGAGCAGAGAATCTCTTCGACCCCTTCGCAAGCCCTTGTCTCTTCTTCCATACGCCGGATCTTCTCGTACCACCGTCCTTCAACTCATCGGGGATCACTGCCCTAGAATTATTATTGTTAAAGTTAACAGGATTATCCGAGGACTACATGCCCAAACCGTGGAGACCTGTGAAATCGCCAAGAAAAAGCCGACTTGTCTTTCCGCCTGAGAGTTCAACGCTGGAAATCCCCGAGACATTGCTACTGCATTCTACGCCACCCCCACTTCCGTCTTCGATTCTAAGGAGGGCGCAGAGACGAAAGAAGGACCTACGACATATTTTCAGAACCCATGCTAAAGAACTCGCTGATTTGATGCGGATAAGTATCGATGCGATTGAGTTGGAGGAAGGCTTTGAGTGGGATGAGAACATTTACTCTAGAAGTGATGAGGCTAATCGGAGAGTCCGGGTTCATGATGTAGGACCCAACCCTCGAGGTTTCGACCTCGGTGCTAAAGGGGAGGAATTGGCGGCGACTTGGTTGATGGATCATATAAGAAATGCAAAATCTAACTAATAATTACCTACATATTTAGAAGCTTCCGTCCCAGAGCGCATGTCGTACTCATCTACGAAGATATTCGAGCTGAGTGATTTTACGGCTTCGCTCGAGAATTGATAATGTTGAGTGAAATTATAGAATTTACTAAATGCGTCTGCATTAACATATTAATGCAGAATTGAAGTCGCGCAAATCGATGGCATGGGCAAAGTTCAATTTTTACAATGTGTTTGTTCGATTAATTAACTATGGCCTCGATCTGTCGAGGGAGCGTACTCGAGCATGCACACGAATATCTTCGATGCAGCAACATTTCCTGGTTTAATTAGTACGCCATTTATCAATTGACTCATCCCCGGATTTTCCTACGTCGATCTGCGTGCTTGCTCAACTAATAGTGCGGGTTTTGCAGTGGAGCGAGGCTCGGACACGATTGGACACAGTCACAAGGGTATATAGGCTAGCTTAAAGAACCGAAAAATACATACAGGGGTCTGATGGTCTAGTGGTAGGATTCTCGCTTTGGGTACTTTCTTATAAAGAATCATAAATGCGAGAGGTCCCGGGTTCGATCCCCGGTCAGACCCTCGACTAAATTTTTTTCTTTTCTTTCCAAGAGGAAAAAAAACAAAACACTACCCCCCTCGGGGGGTGTAAGGCGAAATAGAGCATGCACTAGTATAACCAACTTATTCACTAATAATTTTGCGCTTTTTTGTCTTTTCTTATTCTCTCCCCTTCAAGCATGGTTGTTGCCGGGTTGGAGGAGGTAGAAGGGCGTTATATAAAATGTCATTATAGTATGAATACCGCTTCCAACCGTGCGGAACAAACTGTGTATTTTTGTCTCTGAGATTGCGCACAGTTTCCCCAGGATGATCCCTGCAGGACATTGAACCTTCTACGCAGAATTACTGTAAGCAAGGACGAGGTTCAGGTTAAGTCTGCTGGTCGTTCCATGATAACGCTAAATCCAAGTGGAAGGGACGTTCGGGCCCCACCCTATAAAAAGGAAATCTATTCATATCATTGCAGCGGCTGGCCGGCAGGCCGGTTCTAATCTGTCTTACAGCGGAAATGCAGTCAGAACACACGATCCCGATTAATAGGACATCTGGACACCAATTTTCTATGCATATGATGTGGTGATTGTGTTTTGTTCATCCCCAAACATCGCCTCCTAGAAAGACGTGTTACTGTACCTCCTGACCAATAGCATAGCCTGTTTAGCACAGTTCATTATGATACTCTCTAGCATACCAAAACGGGAGCGATGAAAACCATATCGATAATTCGTTTTCACAGCACACGCTGTATTTCTCTACTCCTTTTCTTGCCTTTTCCTGCTCCCTGGCCCACCCTACAATGGGCTCGGCATCATCGGGAGCTTCGGTGCCAATATTCTACATCCGTAGAAGTACTATTAACTATGATAAATACCTAGTATGTAGGCCTAATGCTTGACCAACGACCAAATGACCATTTACCATAGAAACTTCAACTCGCCTTCAACTCGGTTTCAAACTACCCGATTCTAGTTCATACAAAATAAGTATCCTCTTCTCTATGTCCCCTCGGACGATTGCCGGGCTATCTGCCACGAGACACATTCTATCCTCTGCCAGCATCAAGCGCTTCCCTCCTACCCACACAAGATCCCCTACTCTTTTGCAAAATAGGAACAAACCTCCAACCCACGGCCCCAATGGGAAGCACCTAACTCTTTCTACCCTTATGGTTGCCTTGCCTTCTTCAACCGAGACCAAGCCACCCACTCAAATCCATCATGCCATTGTAGGGATGAGGCCCCATCGTACCAAAGCTCCGAGCCGTATACGTACATTTGCGCCAGGCGTCCTCGGCCGGAGTGTACGTTTCAGCGTTAGTCTCGACGTCCGCCATAATGCCCGCGATACCGAAGCCGTCAACAGACTTCAAGTTACTATTGCTAGCCGCCGGCCTAAGCATTACATGCTCCGGCCACACGGCGAACGCACTTTCATGGTAGTCAAGGCCCGGATCATCCCTAACGGCCCGCGCCGTAGAAAGCGGTTAGTTGTGGGTTGCGATGGGATTCTCTTCGCGTTACGCAAACACCATCTAGGCCGTGGCCGACCAAAAGCAACAAGAAGTCATCGCCCTAAGCATAGAGCCCCTTCGAGTACAGGAAAACGTTCGCGTTGGTGGTATAAGTTGGTGAAAATTTGCATCATTTTTATTGACATTCTGTTTTGGTAGATGCTGATTTATTTTCCCTTGCTACGTTTGTATGAGTTATGAGAAGTTGGCATTGAACGGTTATTGAACGGTTATATATTGACAGCATGGGTGTACTGTTAGAGTGGCTGGCTACCGGACTATCATGAGGCTTCAAAAATTTCGGGGTTAAAGGGGGTTAGAGGCGGATAGAATCTCCTCCATCTAGGTCATGTAATGATCCAACGGGAATAGCAACAATGGGAAATTCCTCTCCAAAAATTTGCCCGCAGAATTGCTTACTGCAGCATGAAATTACAATGTGAAATAAGTGGCTCTTTGAGAAAACGCTAATATTTCAGAGTATTAGACTATATACACATCTCTTGCCCATCTAATCCCCGTTTCCATGCATTGTATACACCATGCTTCATCCATCTAACAACAGGGAGTTCATATGCAGCCTATATCATACCTGATCCCCGCCTCTAAACATGTGAATAAAATGGGATATATCCGTACCATAACTTCAGTAGCTTGAGAATAAATAAAAGAAAACGTCTATGCTTGAAAAGTAGAAGATGGGAGATATATGGATGGAAAAAGGGGGCGGAAGGGCTTTACGACCGGCTCCAACTCCACCAATTCTTCTTCTTCGCCTCACTGTATCCTTCCTCTTGGACATTGTGCTGTCCAACAATCGTCAGGAATACCTGGTCCAGCGTCGTCGGCGTGCAAGAGTAGTGTTCTACGCCGAGTTCTTCCTTATGTTCCTCTAGGATAACGATAAGTCGACCGATAGCACTGCTACTGCCAACTCCAGCATCGGTAACACTTTCGATCTCGCTGCCGTCTTCTCTTTCGCTATTATCTGTTGTAGCAGGTGCTAATACCGCGCTAGCAGGAACCGAAAATCGCATCTGCCCATGATAGGTTTTCTGCTCCACCTCAGCACCAGGCCATTTATTCAAGACCCAAGTACGCACGCGCTCCATCTCTTCCGGTGTCGAGTACGGCGCGCTCTTGCTCACAAGATGGACATGCAACGCATCGCCGAACCTCTGGCGCAGCCCCTCTGTCGTTCCCATAGCCAACATCCGTCTCGCTAGTATACCCGCACGGCTCGCCAAAGCGTCGGCTTCTTCCATACTATGTGTCGTGAGCAAAATCGAGCGACCAGGTACAATCGAGTGTAGTGTCTGCCACATAATTCGCTTCGCTGCAGCATCGAGGCCAGAAGATGGCTCGTCGAGTAATACCACACTTGGATTTCCCATAAGCGCAATACCTAGCGACAATTTTCGTTTATTACCACCAGACAACGCATGCGCCATCCTCGTTGAGAACGCCTCAAGGCCAACGGCGCGCAGGACCGCTCGTACGTTATGTTCGATATCGGGAATACCGCGGATGCGCGCGTAGAAGCGGAGGTGCTCGAGAACGGTCATGGAATCGATGGCGTCGAACTGTGGACACACGCCTAAGTGTGCTCGGGCCTCGGCGCGATGGCGGCTGATTGATGTGTTCTCGACGAATACGTCGCCGCCATTGAAGCTCGGTTGGATGTCACCGCGGATTAGCGATATGATTGTCGATTTACCAGCGCCATTGGGTCCTAACAGAGCGAAAACCTCGCTATGTTGAACGCCGAATGTGACATTATCGACGGCTGTATTTTTACCAAAATTCTTTGTCAAGTGCAAGGTTCGGAGACCGTCGGTGTCTTGTGATGTGCTAGTAACGCGGACGAGCTCGTTTGCTACTTCTTCGTCTGAAGCGGTCGCATCTTGGGAGGCTGGGGCAGCCTTTCGCGTAAACCGGCTGATAAGACTGCTTCCTGATCCGCTATCGTGCCATAATAAAATGCCGAAGTAGATGATCGATTGTAGGATTAAGTAAAGGATTGGTGCACCGTAGGCAAGTATGTCGGAGGGATTACTTTGTATTTGATCTCCATCGCAGGTTGTATTGAAAAGATTGAGAGCGACGAACATTGTTCGGACAACCGAGCCGATAGGTACGATCGCCGAGATTACGAAATGCGCCACCAAAATAGACGAATCAATGGTGGTAACCGGCGCGTAGGTGGTGACACAGAGGTAAGCAATTAGGTAAATCAGGAAACCGACAGCTTGTCCAGCTGCGGAGAACGCATACGTGGACAGCTGGTTACCGCAAAATAGCGAGATGACATACGAAAATAAAATCGATGCCAATCCATATAGAATAAAAATAAGATAAAGGTAGGAAACATGGTACCAAACATCCGAAGATGCGGCAAATGCGACAACAGCAAGTGCAGAGGAGACTAGCACGATTGCGAAGTCGAACGCCGTGTAAGAGGCCCAGAGCGGAAGAGAACGTACACCGTTCGAATATTGCAATCCACGGACGTTACGGCGCCTCTCAATGTTCGGATAGAGACCAAAGAAGGCAGGATAAATGGACAATGCTAAGCAGAAGTAAATCAATAACTGCAGCGAATCTCCGGTCGATGGCGCCCAAGGGGTATCGAAGGCCGCATAGCTTGCAGAAATACTGGTATTTGCAAGCATGATATCGAGGGCATTCTGACCAAAGACTGAAGTCAATACATCTCCAGCATCAGCTTCATACGTGACAGTGGGGTCCGAATTGGCGTCTCCGAGCCACCATCCCGCAGGCTTGACGTCTTTCCGTTTCTGTTGGACGAAGGCATTAAACTCATCTAAAGAGTCAACAAGGTGCAAGCTTTCGATGAACTTGAGTAAAGAACTTGAATTGCCTCCAGCAGTAGCGTTGGCGTCGGGTATGGCTTGACGACGAAGCTGACTCTGGCTTTGACTCTGATTCTGGAAGACGGGAGCGAAAAGTCGTTCCATAGTGGCATTATCGAATCGTGAAGATGGCCCACCAACTAAGAATAGATCATCGTACAGATCCGAAAACCCCGAAGAACCAGCCGAATCTTGCGAGGCCGGGCTGCACCCAACTGGATGTTGATCTGTCACATAAAGAGCCGTCAACGCCGCGGCTATAATCGGAATGAGGAAGGCTGCGACGTATGGAAACCAATTGGTCTTGAAAATAGTGCATCGCTTCATAAACAATATTCCGATCTGCTCCAAGTAGCCAATTGGCCGTCCTGACAATAGCTCTAGTTTGTCCTTTTCGAATTCACTAGCTTCAAGACCTTCATCGGAGCTAGCATGCTTGTCGTTTCCATCGGCAGGGGACGGCGTCCGCGTTGGTCCCATTGCACTCTCACCCTTAACCTCCTCGGCGACTTGTAAGAAAACGTCTTCGATTGTCGGGTTCGAGAATTTGTAATCGTGAATTCCTGCGGATTCCAAAGAGCGAATTACTTCCGCGGCAAGGCTAGAGGTTGGCGCGACGTAGCTTATCACATCAAAACCAATCTTGCGAGTAACATTTTCGATTTGCGGAGGGTTCTTGATGTCTCTGGCACCGAAGACGTGAACGCGATATCCAGCACCTAGCCTGTCCTTAAGTTCGACGGAGGATCCTTGGGCGCGTAGAGTACCCTTAGATAAGATGGCAATATGGTCCGCTAGTAAATCGGCTTCGTCAAGGAAATGAGTTGTGAGAATAATCGTTCGCTTTCCACGCTCAGCCAACAGAATGTCCCAAATTTTGCGTCGAGAAAGGGGATCAATTCCCGAAGAGACTTCATCCACACAACAAACAGCGCTTCCACCAGTTAACATTATTCCAAGTTGGAGCTTTCGCTTTTGGCCACCCGACAAAGTCTTAGACATCGCTTTGGCTTTAGTCTTGAGGTCCACAGCTACCACCAAGTCGTGAATTTCTTGCTTAGACGCAGTATTATGAGGGGCCTTCAGTTGATTGAAAATCTCAATATGTTCTTCAACAGTTAATTCGTCCCACAGAACGTTCTTTTGCGGCGCAATACCTAACCCCCCAGTACCGTCAATTGTGATATCGCCGCTAGTCAATTTGCTGGTACCAGCAATAGAATCTAAAGTCGTACTCTTTCCACTACCGTTGGCACCCAGTAGGGCTAGAATCTGTCCTCTTCTCGCGGTGAGGGTCAATTTGTCAACAGCCACAACCGGGTCTTTCTGTATCGAACTGAAAGGGAGTAGTCGAGCCAATGGGTTGGGGAAGTATATCTTCGTGAATCCCTCAAGACGAACGGCGTCCGGGGGTGCCGTTTCGGCCGTTTGGCTATGAAGAATTGTACGGCCCTTCGTAGTCGTACCATGTAAATAGCGCTCAAAGTACGCGCCGAGGATAGGATAACCGATAATTTGAATTGCGAGGAAAACCCAGAAGACAACACCGGGAAGATTCCATGGATTATCCGGTGGGTTCTTGGTTAGGTCTGCTGGAAATGAATTTCTTTCCCATCTTGCTATGAAGGTCATATACCAAACAAAGTTACAAGGCGTCTATGCGAAGAATTAGTAATAGTTTTGTTACAATTTGGGATGGGGTAGGGAATGGTTCGGAATACGTACGAAGAGTAGACTGAGGGCAGTGACTGTACCAGTACTAGGCGATGTTAGTGTTTGAGCCAGGATTGCCAACAGAATACAGGCAAGTGTCGTTATGACACCTGACAATTGCGATTTCTTGAAAAATGCACCCGATAAGATGGACAAGGATCCTAAAGCAAGGCCAGTAAGGATGAAGTACAGAAGCACGATGGCAACGTTTGTATCTGCCCAGACTCCAAGTGAGATGATGATCGAACCAACTACCCAACCGGGGAGGTACAATATGGTAAACGCAAGATGATACGAGAGCAGCCTCGCGACTTGGGCTTCCCATCGGTGCTTCGTGGGCATAGTCGCATCTAGTAGTTGAGACATGCCTATTTCTCTTTCGGTAGCCATATGACCTGTCATGTGATAGCATATACCAATCACCACAACGAAGAAAGATACACCGAGGAAATTTGTCAATGCGGATTGGTAGTTCCTTCGAATGTCGGCTTCTCGTTCCTCTTGGGTCTCGGGTGTAAATGGATACTCGTCCGTGGTATCCGGGAACCGTATTTGGCTGTTAGTGCCCGCAATGGCAGCGTCGACAGCTCGCTGCAAAGGAAGAGTATAGACCTGGGCGCCATTGGTATCTTGGGTCACATCAATTTTCGTACCTAGTGCACCATCCGCTCGCAGAGTGTAGTTCCATATTCCTCCTTCTCCTTCGGTCGGAGAGGAAAAGAAAACCACGGCGCCGTAACACGGCGAAACGCCGCGCAAGGAACTTCGGCACGCATAAGTCAATCCGGATATATCCGACAGTACTGTGGCATTCTTCCCGGCTTGTGTTACCGTCCCCGAAATGGTGCTTATGACGCGATCGATATCACCTCCGGTTAAACCATTGTTCACGAAGACGACTGTATTACGATTCGTATCGGTAGCTGTAGCAAGTCCATCTTGTAGCGACCTAATGGGACGTGTCTGTCCTATACCGAACACAGCTGGAGGTACAAATAAATTCCGCGCGAAGGTAAGAAATGCAGCAAGCAAAATCGGAAGAACAAGCGCTCTAATGGTTGTCGCAATCGAATGGCGGAGGAAGACGATCTTGAGATTCTTGGCCGTCAAGGTCCAAGTTTGTCGCAAGAAAGCCATTGTCGACACCGGACGATCGCGCAGTCTCGTCTCGAAGGAAAAAAATATCCTACGAAAAGCCGTCGAGTCGAATTGAAGGCCCCGGTGTCTGCTAAACGGATCCGCGCCGTGTAGAAAGGGCCTTTATTGCTCCATGCGAAATCTTTTTTAGCTGACGTTATCCTCGGTAGAGTTGAGTAAAACGACCGGAAACGAAGAAACCAATGCTGAAAGGAGAAGGAAAAACGAAAGTCTCTATTGTTGTGATCTTAATAAGCAAGAGATATACAAGCAGGACTAAGCCTCCACCATTTACGCAAGGTACCAAGCAAATACCGAGCCCACTCCAAAGCGAACGTCCTTCGTCAGCAAAAATAAAAAAACAGTGATGTGAGTTATAAGAATCGTAGAATCATCAGATGTAACACAATCGAGGCTCGTGGGACGGTAAGAGCTGATGCGACATGGACCAGGAATCCATTAAGGTTGGCCCCATACCCATACTATGGGTACTATGGATATTAGACGGCAGGTACGGATCATACAGCTATAGAAATACAGATTCGCACTGTGCGAGGTACTACATGTATTGTCTACATACACCAAATGTAAGTCGTCATTAAGGTGCGTGCCTACATAAGACATACATTAGGCGCATGTATCTTCTGAGTCTACTTTTTGACTGTACAACTCGAGGCTTTACTGTGATTGTTGGATAAAACAAACGTACATATTACGCCAAAATACAACATTAAATTGATCCTTTTCCTCTCCGATCACGAAACGAATGAAGCAGTATTTAACGATCACGCCGATCTCTAATCCATATCAGTGGCTATGCACCTTGAACCTTTGCTGAAGACGGCATATCGACCAATCAAAGCCGAGAATAACTAGCTGCCTAGGACTCTCGGCCGTTTAGTGGTACCGCCCGGGCGTAACTAACACATGCATCGTTTAGATCCCGTTCCCTATTCCCAAATAAGCCTCAAACAATCTCTAACAAACTCAGAAACAGACCCGGAAGCCACATGTTTTTAAGCTACATGTACCTACCTACTAAGGCAAACCAGCATCATTACGTGCATCTCGCTACAAAGCAATTGGAAACTGGTTGTATATAGTTACAATAGGCAACAGTGAAAAAAAGAAAAAGAAAAATTACTTCGCCTCATGCTACGCTACGAGCGAATAAAAATGCCTTACGGAACACATGCCACGCGTTATTTTATTACTGATATAAATGACGATAGGCGCTGCATCAGGTTGCGAAATACGATACGAACAGGTTACTTTTAACGCCTCGTGGGATCACGAACGGACATACTTAGGTACATGATACCTAAAAGCCGAACGTTACTCTCCCTATGATAGGGCAAAACTACGAGAGCCTAGGCTCTTTAGGTAAGTCCTGTGTAAGCCCAGCGCCCTGGCGCCACAGGTAATTTTCCTACATTTTAGCGATCGTTCGGTATAATCAACGTTATTAAGTCTTTAGATTCGAGTTATACTTGAATTCTGATTGGCCACAATTAGTGAAGAATAAAGCAGCACAGCGATGATAGCGAATCTAGAATCACGAGTACTTTACCCAATTAATACACAACTTTGCACAAACATCGTGGTTTGAATCAATTTTTGATTGAATTGGTCGAGTCGGACATCGGGGCTACTATACAAGCCACCATCGTAACCAAGTACCTAAATGGGTAGGTGTAGGCGTCTAATGCCTTACATCCCTCAATCAACCATAAAGCCCCCTCCGTAATCCTCATCGTCGATCATGAAGCCACCACCTTCATCGGGAGCTTCATCGCCTCCATCACTCTGCTGTGTGACATCTTCTGGATCTCCTTCTGCCTCGCGCGGGGCATCTTCGTCACTTTTCGCATCCACATTCATAGCATCTCGATCATTACCCTCCTCATCAGAGTCAACATCGGCCCAAATTCGTTGTCGAACCCTAAGATTCATCAAGAACAATTTCCAAGTCCTAAGAACCTCGCGTGCTCGCCGCTCCTTCTCAAAGTCGGCTGCTTGATCCTTGAGACCGTCAACGACAGCTCGCACAGCCTCCTCGTTCTCCTCAGCAACGACTACGCCGTATAGGACTGCAGTGCCTTGTCTCCCCTTGAAATGGAACCCAGTAAGTGCGGGGACATAATCAACACCTAATATGAACGCAGCCCGGGCGCCAAGCTCATCGGCTATGTATGCACCGCCTTCGGGCACCATGCTTGGCACGTAGAGATCAATATTCCCGTACCGATTCCTGGGTACCTTGCCATTGGCCACGGGAGGATGCTTGAACGGAATCGTCTGATCTTCGGTATATATCGGAACGCCATTTGGTTCACTAGGATCCTCCGGCCCATCATCATCAAATCCATCGTTCTTCTTCGCGCGTTTAGGTAGGAATTTAGCAGGTATCTCATTAGGTAGAACTTCTCGACCCATTCGGTACCACTTATCTCTACTCCTAGCAATCCGCACGTCCTTGCGCCTGTAGACCTTCTCCAGGGGGCCGTTACTACCGGCACCTACAGTTCCTGACGCAGAAGCATCCGGCACAAGGACTTCGTTTCGCCTTAGATGTCGCTCAAGAGCATATATCGGATGGTCTTTGAAATCCGCGACGTTGCGGGGCATTGGTTCACGCGACTCGATCGCGACGAGTTCATTAGCCTCGATCTGATCCAAGTCCGTGACAAAGCCTCGAGCAAAAGCCCGGAGAACCTTGCGCCACCATCGTTCTCCCGTAGGTTCAGCGCTCTCAACGCGCATTTTTCTTGTTTTCGCGTTATAAGCTTTTGCATAACGGCGCGTGACGTCTTTTACTGTACCATCAGCTTCGAAGGCTATTACGTAAGTCATACAATTCTCCTTATCTGAAGCCGGAGGTTCCAATTTCTGCGGCTTCCAAAATGAATCCGTTACCAATGGGTCTGCCGGTTGCCATTTCTGGTGAGCCTCATCAAGAATTTCGACCCAGTAGATAGGGTAGGGAGACTCCCGGATCTTTTTAATTACTTGTGGTGCAGCACGGGATGAACTAGCAATAGGCGTAGTAGGGACTCTATATGCTGTAGCATTAGGATGTCCTAATCGACTGCGAACTGAAGAACTAGTTGTCGGTGCGGCCGATTCAGGAGCTTTATCTTTATCTTTCACTTGCATCTGAGCGTATCGCTCTGCGATGCTTAGTCGTCCTTTTTGTTTTGGTGGTTTGCCTAGTGGTGGCCCTCCGGAAGCAAAAGCAAGTGGTTGAAGAGAGCATACAAGCCTAGCCTCGACACCAGCACTGCGCAAGAGAGCGCAATATAATTGAGCACCAACGTCTCGCGAACCGCGGAGGGACTTTGCCGTTTCAAGGAAGTCGTTTTTTTCCATGGGCGTTTCTGCATCATCTGAAAGTTGGTACTATAGATCTCGATTAGCTTGCGATATGTAAACTTCAGTCTAGCGTTCGTACATTTTGTAAGTACTCTTCATTCTCGGCCCACAGTGCCCTTCTCAATCCTCGCTCAGTAATCTTGAATTTCGTTTTATACGTTGTCGCTACTTGTTGCAGTCCATCTTTGAGAGATTGTGACCTCCCAAATTGACTAAGATTAGTACCTGGGTTGAGATACTTGACCATCTTACTAGTGAGGAGTGTACGTAGAGATTCCTGAACAGTTTCGTCGTTACACCATCGGTTCCTGCGGGCGACATGAGCTAATAAGCAGAGTAGATGCATCTTATGTATTTCAATACGATGATCTTTTTCCGCTTTGCTGAGTGGCTTTCGCCTATCTGCAGCCTTCCGAGACTTTGGGGTTGTCCGTGCTGAGAAATCAAGCTCGAGGTCCTTGTTGCCCTCTTCGGGTTCATCTAAATTTGGGGCTGGAAAGGAGAAATCGACGTTCTCAAATTGAATATCGTCATCTTCATCTTCTTCGTCTGAATCTCTATATACTGTCTGCACTGTGGCGGTCGGAAGTGGCACATCTTCGAATTGGATTTCCTCTTCATTTTCGTCTACAACCTCCTCCTTTGACGTCACCTCCGGTTTCTTAGTTGGCTGCTCATTTATCTGACCGGCTCGCCGTCTTTTTAGGGGTCTCTCGGGCGACGCCGCGCTAGATTGGACACCAGCTTCAACGAGCATTTCGCGATAAATGCGCGGAACTTCGGTTTCTCTTGCACTAGACCTCGTTGACCGGGAGGACCTAGGCGCTGACGCATTAGCCCTAGAAGCAGCGCGCTTTCTTCCAGCCATAGTGATAGTTTTATTAATTAAATGAATTTTAATGATGAAAAAGAAGGGTATAATGACGTTATCATGCCAACGGTGAATTGAAAACTCCAATATACATTTTAGAATTACAGATAAAAAGGAAAAGGAAAAATGAAAATGATATGGTTGCTTGGGCGCTGAACAGCAGCCGCGACAGAGGGGTCCTTTAGCAGCCTTAGGTACATTAAAACATGCCGACGGCGGGGGAAGGCGTCTCGAAAGCACGTGATTTGCGCCTTTCGCGTTTTAAGGGACATTCCATCCCCCGGCAGTCCGGACACTTTCTTCTCCGCCATAACTTCCAAGCTTCCAAGATTCTTTTACTTTCAGCTCTCCTCTTTATTTTCTACTAAACTCCTTCATTCAATCAGCACATGCAAGGCATGAGTTGGCGTTCTTGATTCGTTATATCCGTTTTAATTCTCCATCGTCATCATCTACTAAACTACCTTAGGTATAGGACAATTAATGCTGACAATTAGTTTCTAATGATATTATCCCTTGATCGGTACCCTGTTTACAGGCCCAGTGCTCTATCTGTTCTCGCTGGATCGTCGCATATACGGAATTCATTATCGTCGCACGTCGGCTACCCACGTAGTCTTGAACTACGGTTTGTCTTCGACAGCTTTTTCTTCGAACGCCGGGCTGCTACAGCCATTTCAACTATTTCCGCGTAAACTAGACATCATTTATTTGACTGGATTATGTATTGACTTTTGAGTAGGCGAGCGCAAGTATTTTATTCGCATTCGAGGAAAGCCAAGCAAGATAGGTAAAACCATATAATATTCGTGCCTTATCTCATACTCGTCAGCCAGCAGAAGCAGTGGCTTTAGGGGGGTTCATTCGGTGTTTCCTAGACTAAAAACCTCGGTTTATACGTCTACTGTTTCTATCAATTTCGCATTTATCGCCAAGCGGTATTTCCAGTCTTAAAAGCCTCAACCCCTGGAGGAATGACTATTCGAAGAAGCGGAAGCTGCTGCTAGTGCGTCAGCCTCATCCTCGGCTTCGGCCATCTCCCTCGCTTCCTGGAGCAGTCTGTCCCAACACTCGTTACACATTCCGTCGTTCCATTTCACAACAACTTTGTCCACGTCCCCTCTCGGTCCCAAGCACTTCTTGAATAGTTCAGAACATGTGTCCGGTTGGACAAATCCCCAACAAAGACAGCCGTACCAACGTTGGTAGAGCTCCTTACACATTGCCCTGATGCGCAAATATAGAAAAAGGTCGGAGTTTGTATGAGAGTCGAGTCACTCGGAGAGGAGTTCAGAGAATGTGGTTTCGTTCGTGACAGGGCGGTGTAACTCGGAATATTAAATTCGCACTCTCGAGGTGTTCGTCGGCGACTAGGTCCGAAGTGTTTGTCCTCCTTTTCAATCCCCTCCACCCCTAACCAGGATCGAGTATCGGATGGCGAAAAGATGCCTATCTGGCTGTCTAATAACAACGGCGATCATCTGAAAGATATTTTTTTCGTCTTCGTTCTTAATGAGTCAACATTAGGCTGTTCGCGTTGTTTATTGCCGTCTTCGTTATTGCGATCTTGTTTGCTTACGGCGATGATTCCTGGTTGTCTAGTAACAACGGAATCATGCCACTACGAATAGTTAAGATTGAGGATAAAACACAGAACAGCGAAAGGTCGAACAAAAATTTAGAAAGACGTCGCGTGTTTCGGGACAAGAAAGTGGTGTGTTCGTAGGACAGAGATGTTGTGTACCATACCTAATGAACCTGGAACACCGACACCATTTCTACATCGAGTTGCACGTTTCGAGAAATCTGCTACGGCCCAGAAGCCTAGAAGGGCGGTAACGCTGGCACCTGCAAAGCTGCATAGAGCATGCAGGACTGCAGAGAACCCCACCACCGTGGCTTGCTTGACAGAATCCTGGAAACCACGCCAAAATAACGCTTGACCGAGTACGACCTCCTTGCCAATGTAGCGCTCGGGGAACTTATTTTACACGGGTTTACATAGGGGATCGAGATCTACTTCCTACTTGGTAACCCCCCGTTCGTCTTTCCTCTGGCCCGTCAGGGGGCCGGTCATCGGCACGATGCAGTGAACCATCGGAAAGATCCTTCATAATTCATTAAAACCCTCAGACCGGTCTATCAATCTACATATATATACCACCTGGTTCGAAACTCTTCCTCCATTCGGGAAATTTCTCCATCTCCATTTGATTCGGGACTTTGTACACATGTATGGAGGTTGGTGGGTTAAATGAGCCGCACTCCAATAACACCTCTTAAATTCCCCTGTCGACTCCAATTATATATCTCTTACTGCATATCCTATCTCCATATTAGGATGACAGTTTTCCGACCGGATATGCGGAAGGGATATTTTTCGCATTCGGCTGTATTATAGGAACACTTAAATAAGGTCCCGCCTCAACAGTAGAATCCGCAAACGCGGGCGCTTTGCGCATCGGACGAAGACGAGTAAAATGGTTAGCAATATTTAACAACTTGCTTTCGGAGAACGAAAGTCCCAATATTTCCATTCCGATAGGAACGCCAATCGGAGCATCCTGCGATGGTTCTGAAAAGCCAACCGGCACAGTGACTACCGGGACACCGGTCAACGCAGCAAGGATACCGTTACGTCCGGCTTGGGTGGGCGACCCAATCTTGACCACGAGGTTCTTCTGCTCGGGGTAGATTGCCGCATCCAGTTCGAACTTGGCGAAGGTTTCATTAACTTTCTGTTTCAACATCTCGATGCCTTTTAGGGCTGTCGCATACGTTTCATTGGCGGTAGAAGAGACGCTAGCGTTTTTAATGAATTGATATTGGGCTGGAACGACCAAAAACTTTCCGCTTTCGTACACCTGGTCCCAGGTGGTTGGTCTATCGCCGTAACGATCTGGACTCGAGAGATAATTGTCCAAACTTTCTCTGAACTCGTACTGCTGAACATCATAGTTGGCAAGGGCTGACGCATCATAGATTTTGTCCGTCACATTAACTATCTCCACGCCTTGGGATTTCAAGAATTCGATGGTACTTGCTAGGGCATTGTTTACCGGCGTGGTCTCGTTGGATGCTGTGTGGTTCCAGAACCCATCGAGTAGCCCGATCCGAAGTCCCTCCAGATCGCCATCATTCAACCCGTTTGAATAGTCTATTCCTCGGGCCTCGGGTGGTACAGTTAAGGTGGCATTATCAGCTTCATCGGCGCCAACGCTTGCCATAACGGTTAATGCGATAGCCAAATCCTCGATGGTCCTTGTTATGGGCCCGAGATTGTCTTGCGTAAAACTAATGGGCAGGATACCCGTTCTCGAGAGAAGACCACGAGTTGGCCGTATACTCACGAGATTATTCGCACTTGCGGGGCTCCTTAAACTATTGACAGTATCTGTCCCAGTGCCAACCACCGCAAAACTGGCCGCAATCGCAGCACCAGTTCCGCCGCTACTACCGCCAGGAGTTCGAGTGTGGTCGTACGGGTTGATCGTCTGTCCTCCTAAGGATGAGACTGTGAGGCCCTCGAGCGCCACTACCACGGCATCAGTTCGGCACCCCTATTTCACTATAGGCAGACATCGAAGATCGGATGATACATACATTCATGCATGTTTGTCTTCCCCAATATGATAGCGTTTTCATCCTTGAACGCCTTGACGATGGCAGAATCCACATTCGCTCCATTCTTAGCCAAATCAGAATTTCCTCCAGTCGTATCAAGAGCCCAAACGTCGTAATTATCCTTTAACAAGATTGGTACGCATAGCAGTTTGCCGCCCGGATCACCAGGGACAAGTTTCATATCTAGTTTGTCGGCTGCAGGCAGGGCATCCGTATCCGAGCTAATGATCGCATTGATAGTGGGGTTGAACTTCTCGATACGCGCGATGAATGAAGATATAATGGCACGACACGTAGTCGATCTCGTGACCAGCGCAGTTCGTATCATTTCAATCGTCGATTCTAAAGGTTCAACATCATCGGCATGAACGCCAGTAGCCAATAATTGAAGACATAGCGCACCAAGTAACCACGTCGTCACGGGTGATCGACCACGTAGTAAGCCAGCGGCAACCGATACGGGAGACTTCATGTTGGATTCCTATGCCCAAGAAAGTCAATATACGATCGGCTACTCCTCGTGCTCGATCGATACTTTTTCTAACGCCGAGCCTGATTTATTTATATCAGTGCTCACCGACCCTTTGCTGCAACCAGAACTGTTGTGATACCTACCGGCCCCGGTTTATCCGACCAATTTAAGCGGAAAGTTGAGTGTTGCCAGCGAGTTGGATGTTCCGTTATGGGGACAATCGGGAATCGGAGGATTCCAATGCGCATCCCCCACGTACAATCACGACCGGCTGTGTATTTCTGATGTCACCTCGTCTAACGAAGCAAACTTGCTCAGAAGAAATTGAACCAAAGGTAGGAGAATCGAAGCGAGAATGTATAGTATGGGATTTATTTTCTCTTGCCCGGGCCATGGGTTTGTTGGTAAGCTCTTTATGACTCGGATATATCACGAGCATAGAACATATGAGCAAGACTCATCTTTGTCCGATATTTGTTTCTTTGTGCATCTACCTGGAGTTGGCACTTGCCAAACTTGGGGACATGCACACGCAAACGCATCTTCGGCAGCTGTTATAAGGAAGTTTGCTATTTAGAAGGAACATTGAACATCTAGACCGCGGCAATATGTACATGTACCAACAACATTATCATATCATCGATTAAACTTTATCGTTACACTAAAGCAAGCCCCCTTCTTCATCATGCCGCCTTTATGTGGGCCTAAATTCGATATTGCGCATCATTGCCGAATTAGATAAATTGCTTCTCTCAATAATTACAGCATGCATGAGCGGTACGGAGTTTAAAAACCATTAAGCGGGTCGTAAACGTACCTATCAAATGAGCCAGCGTCGTCGTGTTATAAGTGCGAAGGAAATGGCGAAAAGCCCCCAACGAGGATTGAATCGAGAACGAAGTTTGCGATATCAACAATTCGTGTAACTGAAGGACTGTGGCTGTGAGATATTATTACCAACATTTATACTTTGTATGATGTTTAACAGACGCGAGTCTCACTCATCACATTTACAAGCGATAGATGGTGACGGGCACATATGTAGGTCTAGCCTCAACTTCGTTTATCACCAACAATGGATATTTATTCCTCCCACAGGAATCTAGCGCTTTCCGCCAGAGGTTGATTGGCTAGCCTCGGAACCTAAGGTACGCAGGTTCGGGATCTACTCTCGAGATCGACAGGGTCTCCTGCATATGGCTACATATAGCTACATACATAGTACACTGCAAGAGCCGGACCTAACTAACACCCCACGAATCCGAATACCGCATTTAGAAGTCCGTGGAGATACTCGAGCTGATCGTGAGTTTGAAGTCATTCGAGTGTAGACATCCAGGAATTAACCAAACGATGGGCAGGATGCAGTGTGTCGTTATACCCTATAGTTGGAACATCACAATCCGTGTTCAAAGAAGAAAAGGTGTCGGATAAAGTAGAGCGAACCATTTTCATTTATCCCTATGTACAAGCCAGACCTCACAATGACAGGGGGGAGAATGGCACCATATACTTTTTACATGAACCTCTGCAATACCGTAAGGGGTAATCCGTGATTCCTGCATCAGCCACAAAAATCCCCCACGGCCTCAGATAGGTTACTCAATGGAGAGACGATATGTAGAACCCTTAAATTAGGGTCTACGGGAACAGGTAGGAGTTACTAATACTTCGTATATCCAAACATCGTAACAACATAAAAAGACCCTTCCCAATGCCCGAAAGCTTCGTCATTCATTCTTTTCTCATTCCTAATGAGATACTACTCCGCCTCGAGGTCTCACTCGAATGTTACCTTCTAGAAGTGCTTTGTCCGAGATCTCGGCAAGAGGATCCTTCTTGTCGTGCGTGAAGCTGGCGCGTTCGGCTCGCGACATTCGAAGGATATTGTATCTCTCACCACCAAGCTTGTATTCCTTGCCGAACTTCTTGAACTAAAAAACAGTTACGCATCAACAAATGTTCACTATAAACCCTGTCTTTAAGGGAGAACACTTACTTTTCGCTTCCACTCCCACTTATCGGATTTAGGAGCACTGGAAGATGGCTTGATTCTGGCGCCAAGTTCTCTTTCGTATGCTCTCACTTTCTCCTCCGTGCCGTAACATCCGGCTTCTCGGAAGTTAACGCCGGCCTTCTTGCCGTAGGCAATGACCTCTTTACGATATGGCAAATCAAATCCCTGGCCCTGCAGTGTCGTGGTCCAGTAAATAAAGAAGGTCATGACCAACCCTAGATCCTTGATATCGGAATCGGCCTTAAGGAGCTTCCCCCGATCAAGCTCATTGAGCACGGTCACGAAAGCGCGCCCAACGAGACCTATGGTAGCCTCTAATCTCTTCCTGTCGTCCAATCCTAAATCCCGTAAATGTCAGTTAAATTAATTACAAGTCAATTTTTTAGATTCTCGAAAACTAACCAAGCCAGGCGCCAATGGGTATTTCTACAAGCCACTGCATAATTGCGGCTATGATGGCCCACATCTGCTTCAAGTTCTTCTTGTTGCGCTTCTTCTTTGAAAACTCTTTATCAAATGCAAGAAGCTGAAAATTATTAGTTAGCCCATAGGTATGGACCCGGCGAAGGGTAATGAGTTCTTACCATATTCTCAACAAGTTCCTGCATGCCATGGCTGTGGAATTGCTTGTGAATGTGCATGTTAAAGAACTCGGGATTCGTGTAAGAAGCCCGTCTCTCCCATGTGGAAAATAACTTCCACGTCTCCCACATAGCGACCCATCGGTGATTCGGGTGCTCAACAGCCGGCTTCATCTCGATGTTATCTTCAGCTTTGGCCTCTTCATTGTACTGTTCAAGCAGATCCTCCTCATCGAGCTGGTCATCTTCATCCTTGTCCCAGTTCTCGTTCTCGATGTCAAAGAACGGACGGAACATGCAATAATATTGATATGATCTTCTATTGCTGTTGCCTTCTTCATCGTAATTCTATGAGTCGGTTTAGTAAGGAATATGAAGCTATTCGATTGAGGGGTTACACATACCACATGGCTCTCACCATCGGAAAAATCCGTTATGATGGTCTCGTCATCGTCATCATCTTCATCTGGAAACACAGCCCGTCTGGAACTTCTGAGAGATCCGGTCTGCTCAGTTGAAGAAGAAGCGGCGGCACCGGCACTAGATCGCGGTCGTTTCTTTTGGGGCACGGGGAGGAGTCCCGGGGGTGAAAATCGATATATGAGATAAGCTGACAATAGGACAGGCGCAATTGACAGGACTAGCGTCTTCGTCGATGGAACAGAACCTAGTTGCATGGCGTGCTGCAAGCTTCTCTTTTTGTTCTGAGATATCGGCTACTTTTTCTGTACTGGTAATTTGTCTTATCCGACTTATTCACGTTAGGTGCTTTGTTCTTTGTACACTTCTCTCTCTTTTTTCGCCAATTGGAGTCCCCACTTTCCTAACGACGAGGATCTTTCACACAAGGCGGTCACGTTTTTTAAGTAGGAAAAAAAATATGTATGAGCGGAGGCTGGGCTGGGATTGATTTGGTGCGGGCAAGGTCGGACAAGAAAGGGAAGGGAAAGAAGCAAGAAGCTATGGCCACCCATGCGGATCTACTAGGTACTATCTAGCATTCATTCCCCCATCCGAAAGACTCCTCTCTTCTTGTTCCTAGTCCGCCACACCGCCCTTTCGATCTTAGAAGGTTCCACGATTAGCTGTTTCAAACTGGGGGCCCTCACAGCGAGATTCTAAAACTTATTGCTTGCTTCTATAGTAATGATTCAATATTCTTAATTGAAACTAGTATACAAGTTTATCTATACTCCAATTGATCTCTCTTGTCCCAATTCCCTATCAAACAACAACTGAAATACAACCCCCTGCATAGATATATGCAAGATGGGAATTTAGAAGATGCCCCTCCTTTGAGGACTGGACAAGGATGAATGTCATTGTTATTGAGCAGCTAACTAGGATTATCGGAGGTGGGGTTCTCTCTTTGAAAACTAATCCGGAGCCCACCAACCTCGTCACCTCGCAGCGCATTCAAACGGGTTATAGCACTTCCGTCATCGTTTTTATGCTTTCTTCAATTGCTACTAGTTAATTCTATCGTATCGCGCGCGCCTAAGCTAGCATTATATTCCTTTCCTAACATCCCAAATTACAACACAGAGTGACAACTCAACAACATCCACTTAGTCTTTTTTTCTTCTAATTCCTACGATAGATAAGTACCCAACAGATAACAATTACAAACGGCTCAATTACTCGGGTGCCTACTTAGGTACTTATTCAAAACTTCCCGCCATATATGCATATTAAAATAAGGACGGCAACCTGCATTATATCAAGTTTCACATTCCACCTCCGACCCATCATAGAGGTTGAGAGGTTGGTAAAAAAGACTACCTAATTTTCTCAACAATCAAAAGAGCATTAAGTGGACTTTGAGGCGAAGCCACTTCGAGACTAATATAGTCCATTTCTAGTCACCTGAGGTTATGTTTCAAACGATGGCCTCGGGTCGCCCTCACTCCACATGACGTATGACATTAGTTGATATCGCCTTAATAAACCAAGAAGTCGTTAGATCTCCGATAGTTGGAGTAGATGTAAGAGCCTTGGTGATGAGATAGATCATTTTGACTACGTCAAAGCTCTATCTGAGAAGACTCTTCAGCAATACGCCACAGGAAGTCGGAATACTCAGTATACCGAGACCCACTCTCAACATCTTATCGAGCGAGAAGGATCTCATGAAATCTTCATAAAAAACAGTTTACAACAATAATCATTTTCATTATACGAGACTATATACTATTCGGGAGTAAGTCAGTCGTATAATTACATGAAAGTATTAACATATTGCGACGTAATTCATAAGTAGGAATTACCACTAATTATAAGTGAAATGAGTATTTTCGGATGATTACGGTCTAAGCCGGTTAGGACTTGCGTTTTATTCAAAAATGCTCAATGAAATTCATATTCCACTTCATTGTGCGCTTTAATGGAAAGGCGGTATTGATATATAATTCGTTTCGTTCTCAAGTCCGAGTCTCTTTGAGTTCTTCATAGTTGTACTTGTGTAAAATTCATCCTGTGTAACGCTATGCGGGCCATACGATATAAGGCATTCTCAAATGAAATCTAATGAAAATAGTACGAACATAATTAGATATGCGGACCTAAGAGCCGTACAAAAGAGCTCTACTATATAACTAAAAGGTGTTGTCTATATCTTCATACTCTTGTCTGTCAAGTGGTGATAGATATTATCCTAGAGAACCCATGTTCCTGATTTGTGATAGATACCCAAGTTATTGTTAACTAAATGACTTTCTAGGCCGGGTGAGCTCTAAATAGGGTTATGTGGTGAATAAGCCATTACACCCTATAAGCATTACAAGAGCGATCCTAAGAGATACTATAGTTGAACTTAGCTTTCCCGATGGATGTTTAAGCTTGGGATTGCTCGTGGATTGAATATTCATTTGGCCTTGAACGGGGATCTGCATTTGTGTATATCTCATGAACGTTATATGACGCCACGGAAATATGAAATGCAGAGTACCTAGGTAGTTTATTGATGGCACTCGTATTTTTTCCCATGTCACATAAAGATGTACCCTGAGCAAGTCACTCAACTCCATCCTCTTCAGTCTATTCTATTCCATATACAAGTTTTATGGGTGCTTATATCAAATAACCGACGATACTGCAAGGATAACGTGTATTTTGGGTCGGCGCTTCCATATAACCTTTAGGCGGTGTATTACTACCTGGGCAATTCTGAGGTTTTAGACATGAGGGACAAATCGGGCGTAAGAACCTCATTACTCAGCTAGATTATCATCGCTAAATGATCTATAAAGATATCGTATTACCTCGGTACTCAGAGACTTACACCAAGATACTTTGCGTGAGGAATCACAAGCCCTGGACGTTCCAAGTTCACATATTGCCACCTTGGGCTCGCCAGGCTCATTTAAAACGGGTATCGTGTCGAGATACAAAAATACCCAACCTGACCATCACAAGAAACCAAGTTCTCCTCTCGAGATGGTCCTCACTAGAGCCGTGAATATCCATTCTAAAGATCATTCCCCAGTAACTACCGAGGTAGTCGTTGCTCCCCGCAGATCTGCTCATAGCTATCCAAGAGCTTATAACCTGTGATATATACTATATAGAAGATTAGTGTCTCATTCTTGCTTACAGCATTTGTACTAGTCAAATATGCGAGTCAGACGGTAGTGGTACATGTAGGGTAGCATGGGCGATATATTATTCTCGGTTTACCGGGTTATATTATTTGCGAAGTTCTGCGAATTCCCCGAGAATGTCAGCACTTTTCCTTCCAATATGGTCCTGTCTAGATCCTCAGCCCTAGGCATGATGTAGTTAAATGCCTTCCGGACTGGTACTAGTCTTGTTAATGGCGATGTTCCAATAGGCTGGACGCGATGCTCGTGGGATCTGGGAGGTAATACAGATTCGTAATCCAGCACCCTCAGATGCTGTTTTCAGTGCCATTCCCGTCGTCCATATGGAAATCGGGCATTCTCGCTGTCGTCGGTTGACTGTCGTCTTCAAGCTTCCGTAACCCAACGAGACCGGACCAGGCTCCATGGGCCAAACGGACTCTCAAAAGCAGTACGTGATCCGAAGGTGTGGGGGGATGTAAATTTTCACGAATCCCACGGATTTACTTGCAGCTGGTTGCCTATAGGGCAGAAAATTGTGTGTGTCGGCTGGGATCATGCCATCCTCTGGTTTGTACGTCATGTCCTAGGTATGCCGTACCCACGTGGCAGAGCAGGCATCTCCTCTTCCTGTAAGTGAATGAAAAAAAGTCTAGTATACTCAAGGTACTATACATACACTCCTTCCTTATGGATTGGGTTGCCGTGTAATCCATGTGACCGGGAAACGGCCCCTTTAAGGTAGCTTGGCGATTATGCATTTTGAATTGGCCGTTGGGCACGCTCGCAGAATTAAGTTACGAGCTTTCATTAGGCTCCAGACGTTTCCTTCCGTAAATATAAGCGGCTAGTTATAGAAAGTCCCTTAAGATGACCCCAAAACTGTGACTGGTCCTGCGTCGTAACGTAGTGGATATTGAAGTGTACTACATTTTAGCTGCATGGTGTATGAAGCATGTAATCAAATTAAGCAATTTAGATGATATTGGGGTCTCTAAATAGGGATTGGCTGAATTCAAGTTTTACTGATCGATCTTAGTTGGCATTGAAAGGACGTATGTAGCTCCGCAGGTGTACTGGGTGGTGTGCAGGATATATCATTCGTCGGTTCTTAACTAGAATGACTCGAATTTAATGTTAGAAAACAAATATATCTTAATGGACTGAATGAAGAGGCTTAGAATATATAGGGGAGGTTTCAGTTGAGATATAGAACCAACTGGACATTGCGTAGAGCATATGAATTACATTGCTCTACTATTCGGTCAGCGACCTAATGTATAAACTCAGGGGGCTCATGCCTATATTGTAGCTATCATACCTAGGTATGTTTAGGTGGAATACCTTACATGAGTAGTGGATCTAGACGAGTCGACAGTGAGTTGGATAAGACTGTACCCGAAAATCACGTCCCGGGCTTCATGGAACGGTGGCCTCGCATTTCCATACTCGCCGTCGTTAGAACCAATCTGTCGGAAACAGGACCATCAATCGGAGGTATAAGTACTATAAGATACATATAACTACCTAGGTAACCGCCTATCATCCCGGCTTCGGGGGGTTGCGGAGGTTCTAGATTCGAAAGTGCGTATTTCTATCAGATTTCGGAGCCGTCGTCACATTTCTCTTGTGGATCGATTTTTTTTCAGAGCATAGTGGATGATACCTAACTTAATTGGTATTCGAAGATCACCATCACGCGATCACCGCAGCGGAATGAAAGAAAGTGCTCGTATTTTTCTTCCGAGTCGGGGTACTGAGTCGTAGCTTCGGGCAATACATACGGCCGAACCAATTGACATGTTGAAGTTAGTCAGAAGCATGTAAAGGATTCATAATGACAGACTAATAATGCGATTCTAGTTTGTAAGGATGTTAGCTATGCCATAGTTATGAAATACTGTAGGTGCCGACTAGATGGTGATAGGATAGTCGCGATAGAACCCATAGGCCCCTTGTAGAGAGGCGTCACCAATCGATCGTAAGCTGACCGAGCTAGTCAGAGACATTCGTTTCTGCGTAATGGGTTGTAATGTGATTTTTCTATATCTTAGCGGATAGACCAAGCTAAAAGGGGAATGTGTTCTTCATCTTGTCTCTATAAGATGTAACTCTAGTTGTCGAATAGTCCAATATAACAACGACTGCGCTTGCTACTTGATAAGGAATGATACCCTGCAGTACTGAGTGTATACAAAATATTCATTGACATTACTACTCTGCCACCCTAAAATGTCATGCCTCTGGAAGTCCATGCCCAGCCGGGTTAGGCAATGTTCATCCTGCCGGCGATCACTTCGATACGGCATGTAGAATGCTGCGGATAGGAGACACGGCTTGCAGGAAGAACCTGGTGGAATGATTCCTTCTACCTCGTCAGCCGCCGAAAAAGAAAAATTAGAGGTTTATGCGCGGGCGCATGACTGGACAGGCCTATACCGTGATAGCCATCCACATGCAGATCATGAGGGAAAACAACAAAAGTTACGGTAAATTACTTGAAGAACTTGAAATAATAAAAATGAATTATGACATTGCCCCGCACTGGGGGAAGAATAAGCAGACAGATCACCTAGCACGTATCAGGTTAGGTACCGAGCTAGGTACCGCACCCTAAATTGTTCGCTAGTATGGAATGGGCCTAGGTATCTCGAATAGAGGGGTAACTACATGTAGGTAACACTTCGGATGGATACCTCCTTCTCCTTCTTTTCTTACATTTTCCTCCCTCTCTCTTTCCCCCCACCCCCATAACCCGCGTTCTAGGTAGGTACGATAGATACAACTACGGTTACGCATGTAGATCATGGAAGTCTCAAGCTGCCAACAATAGCTTATGTACGTGAGGTGGGCACACTTTCTGTGGATGTACCCATGTAGGTACAGTAGGCACGATCTCTTTACTCTCCACCTCTTACCTTCTTACCCTCTTTACGCCTTGTGGCTTTGTTACTAAGCATGATTATTTCCAAGTTGGCCCCCAACTTACCCCCATCCCATTTCCCCCAACCGTTCAAACTGCCAGCTTGCCTGGTTCCCCCCCTCCTACCACCCACGCCCATGCACATCATCAAATCCGAGACTTACATCTGCTTCTAGTACGAAATAGTCAACCTCCGATCCCGAAATGATGAGGGATGTTGGAGAAGAAAGAAATAAAGAAGAAGGATGGAAGCGGAAATGAAGAAGATCACTATCATGATGACGACGATGATGATAAATGATGGTAATGCTGTGTGTGATACTCGCCTCCTCAAACATGACACCTTCCTTCGCACTCCCTGGACTGTCGATCCTATTCCAACTCACCTGCCGTGTGGCGCATCGACAGGTTTTGGTTTGTGACCCAGCGTTGCGGTGCCTGGGAGAAGCATAAACCCTCGTCCGCCAATGACGGCTACGATCCTTAAGCGGCGCCCATTTGAGTCGGAGTCTTCCCTAGAATATGCCAATGATGCATCGCAATCTTGTAGAGCTTGGATAGCGAAGTGCTTCCCACATTTCAACAAGCTTCTTTTACGTTAGATTACTACTACGGTACGACGTTCCAGTCTTGGCTTGAACCAATCTTCGCCTACTTGCCACGTTATTACCTACTTCCTTTGCTGTACTGGCTGCGAACATGCCTCTGAAGATGACTGAGATGACTGTATCATATCTCAAGCCTAATCTCCCTCTTCTGAGCCGGCTTGAGGAAACGAGATGCTTCCATCTGATCATGCTCCCTATCTCGATTCATAATTGGTAGCCGCCTCTAGGCAAGGCGAGTAACCGTTATTACTCTCACCGCTGTTATGGATCGGTTCGCGAAACAACTGGAATGTCCGATGAAGCGATGAATCTGCAGGCAGGTCACTCGCAACTTTTGACAGCTTATTCGAATAGAAGTGGCACTGCAGCCACCCGCCCACCAATCCTAGAGCCACAACCACACTTCCTTCCGAACAGCGAGTAGACTACGAGATTTGCGGTTACTTATCCACGCCTCGCATGCCGCTTTGCCACACTGAGTTCAGCCGCTTAATGAGACGCCCAACTACTAGCCGAATCTTTCGTCATAAACGACATTACATATACTCTCATCACATGGCTGACATGGGGCCTTGGCTAATACTCGAACTCGTGACGGCACCTTCGTCGTGTTAAGCCAGCTCATTCCACTCCACTTTCAAAAAAAAAACCAGGCGCTGCCCAATTTTTGCGACTATCCAACCGGGTGCCATAACAGCCCTGTTCGATCGCGAAGCCCCTGGGCATTGGACTACGGCTATGTCGAACCTGGTAGTGTTAGCTGTGGAAGCAGACGCCGGTGAATGTGACTCTACTAATATGGTAAATAGAGATGCCCTTAATAAACGGCAAACGGTCTTTGGTGACTAGACCCATGGCCTTTCTCCGTTCAATTCCCTAGCCTGCGTCCAGACCTGCATGGTCTTCTCCATCGGTACCAGCCTGTCTGTTGGACCTAGGTGTTAAAGGGGCAGATTGCTCGCGTCCATTGGTCAATGCCAAAAGCCCAAATCGGCTGGGCTATCTAGACACTGTATCACCAGCGTCGTCAGCTAACCACTTATGACCTTTATATTAGGACGGAGTATCTTGAGGGCATCACTAATATAGAGATGGTACCAACGTCGAGGTTTACCCCCACATTCCAAAATAATCCACCCTTATGGAAGGACGTTTGTAGTAGTGTACCTGACCGGTACATTGCCTACCTACACTACTACACAACCATCGTCCATGCAAGCCACCCATAGGTACATATAGCTCTGGGGTGTCTGGATGGATCTTATAGCACCTCAATGCATAATACCTTCGTCTAGTGGCTCTTTGTGCGGTATCCGTACTGGCCTTCGCGCGCGATACGAAAACTTTTTTTATATAAAAAAAAAAAACACCCTTGTTCCCGCAGCTTGGAATATGCGGGTGGTGCAGATCTCCATGCACGGTTCGTGGCTTTCCTTCAGCTGTCATCGTTCCGATATGACTGATCCTAGAGGTGCTCGTGGGCGCCACCGTTTGGGCAACAGGCCATAGCAAGACACACGAGGAGACGTGTATAGCAGGTTTCTAGACAGTATATGTGTCTCCGTTCTTGTCATGAGAGTCGGATGTTCTCCATACACCTTCCTCCTCGTCCATACATCTCTACTCTCTGAAGCAGCTCGCTCTTATTCCTGTAGCCGCTCCTCGAAGTAGGCTATAATTATATCCTACTCCATCGCATATATAATTCAAGCTCCCCGACCTTGATTTACGGGAATTGCAAGCACAGACTTTACCTCAATTCTACCCATCTCAAAGCATTTACCTACCCTAATTCCTAATAGTATCATTATACTATCTTAACACAATAATGGCACCCCATCTTGACGCACCGTCTCCTACTGGAAGTTTCACGAATAGCTTCAATAGAATCCCCTTTCGGCCTTCTGCCTCTGCGGAATCGGGAATGAGTTCTCTAGTACCAACTGAGTCGCGCTCCTCATTGGGCAGTTTCTTTGACGGCGACTCAGTGGAGGACTTTCATATGACACGGCCGCTGGTACCAGGCGTCTATGTACCAACCATGTGTTTCTTCGATGAGGAAACAGAAGATGTTGACACCAATGATATCGCCCGCCACACGGTACGGCTTGCCAAAGCTGGCGTGACCGGTATTGCAACGCAAGGCTCCAATGGTGAAGCTGTTCATCTCACGCATGATGAGCGTCAAGTAGTTACCTTCACCACGCGCAAGGCATTGAACGACGCTGGTTTCTCGCAAATTCCGGTCATTGTCGGCTGCGGCGCCCAGAGTACTCGTGAGACTATCCAGTACTGCTGTGAAGCGTGGCAAGCAGGTGGTGACTACGCCCTCGTATTACCCCCATCATACTATGCGCCATTGTTTGCGCCGTCGTCAGAGACGATCAAAGAATATTTCACAACAGTTGCCGATGCCTCTCCGATACCACTCATCATCTACAATTATCCTGGCGCCGTAAACGGGATGGATTTATCATCGGATGTAATCATCGAGTTAGCGCAGCATCCCAAGATTGTCGGCGTTAAGTTGACGTGCGGCAACACTGGCAAGTTGAACCGCGTAGCTGCCGCAACGCGGAAGTTATCAAAGGACTATAATCCAGACAAGCCCGGTTTCCTGGTCCTTGCAGGCTCGGCCGACTTCTCGATCCAATCGTTGATCGCAGGAGGGCACGGTATCCTAGCCGGCCTCGCGAACATCGCACCGAAGGCGTGCATTAAGACCATCGAGCTATTCAAAGCAGGAAGATATACAGAAGCCCAGAAGATGCAGGAAATTGTATCACAAGGTGATTGGACCGCCATCCAAGGTGGCGTTGTGGGTGTCAAGTCGGGACTTCAAGCATGGTCGGGATACGGCGGCTATGCGCGTAGCCCGCTCCCAAAACCGACTGCCGAGCAAACCAAATCATGGAAAGACGGATTCAGAGAATTGGTGCTGCTAGAGAAGTCCCTATGACAGCCTGCTGACTTCCCGGGACACAGTGGTAGGGGACACGGCCTACCGGTAATGCAGTTTCATCGCGATAGGAGTGTGCGCTATTTAATTGCCGCGAGTACTAATTCACATCTTCGGATAGACGCAGAGTTATTACTCAAAATTCAAGGAAAATGGGCTTATTAATTTTGTGGATTTCGCTTACGAAAAAAACAGAGAAAAAGAAAAAGGATATGGCGTTAAAAATGGCTAGGATCTTAGCTTCTGTCTGACCTGGGCTAGGTTCGTGGCTCAGGGTGTTGTACGACCGTATATTAACCCTTTCTCTCCTTTATCGTTCGCGTTAGCACTGTAATTTCCACTGTATCGCCCAATGGTTGGGGCTACAATGGCTCGTGGCAAGCCTCTCTCCTTGCTGAGGAAATGTACAGATCTACCTAACGATTATTGTACACACACTCCCTCTGAGAGTTTCAATATAATTATCCCACTTACGAATGCGAAATCTATGAGAAATGCAATCTACTCCCACATGATTTAAGTCATATGATAAAAAAAACAGGTAATTGGGATATGAGGCTCTAATATTTCCACCCATTCCTCGGTTGGCGAGCCGAGGCGTTTTATTTCAAAGTTTTATGTCTCAGTGGCCATCCATGTCTTCGATATGAAGAAACGAATAAAAGCCCCGAGATGCAGCTGACCGAATTTGGAGTCTGAGACAGAATTAATGCCTCAAAGAAAAACAAAAAAGGAAAAAAAAAAATTTGCTGGGTACTTCCTCATACTAGAAAATATTAAAGAACGGATGAGAGAATCGACAACACATATGTATCTGATATTACTAACGGGTACCTACCTAGGTACCTATGGAGGCCGAAAGATGACACTGCCCAACGGCTATCGTGGGGTTTGTTGTACATATTTGGCTCGGCACTCCTTTCCGAGACCAAGGAACGCGAATTGGCTTCGAAACTCGATATCTAGACTCAAAGACAACCCGAACATCATTGATCTACTCGCGAGATAATCGTACGATGGACAATACTAATTTACTACTACCTACTTAACAGGTAAATAATGGGAACACTTGTGCTGTGCCAGCCCGTCTGTCGGGTTCGAGTACATGCTCTCAGAGGTTCGAACTTGGTACCTGAGCTGCACTCGGCCGAATGAGGACCGTAAACATTGGGATCGTGCATCAAAACTTACCTACCTCATTTGGCTGCCTGTCAACCGGGATACATACACTATAGGCAGTCCGCTTGGGAACCTGCATGGCATACGCAATTCCCAAGATATTCGTGCTAAAAGCGGTGAGCGACACACTCGACTTGTCGTTCCTGACCAGGCAACCGAACCCCCGTGGCCCACACCAACCCCCCCTTAACATCGTGAGGTCATCGTGGGACGCTGCATGAAGGGTCTCATGCCGCGCGCTATAACGTCGAGGTACAGCTAAACACTGCGAAAAAGGGTCCAACCCCTGGTATTCCCGGCCCGCTATTAAGTCATTCCCCGGATATTGGGGTCGTTGAGCTGGGTCAGTCCCCGATAGGTCCAACTGCAGGCTGACTACTGCCATGTGGAAAGACGTTACTTGAACCGTAGGTAGGACCTTGGAACATATAGCCCATTCAGGTTCCTGCAGCGTGCCGCAGCCGATGTCCGCTCCCACGCTCCCTCCCACTTCCCACGACTGTGTGAGAAACCATAAGCATGGCTGATGCTGGAGGTACACACGGATCACGCCTTGCGTTCCGCGAGGGGGGTCAACATACGATCCAGACCAACCCGAATACATGCAGTAAATCAGTCAGTTTTTAAGCCCTAGGCCTTGGAACATAGTGGGGGTTAGAGAATTAAAAAGTGATCGATCTTCGCCTAGGCGCTGGGCCGAGCATCGGACGACCCCCAAATCACCGCCCAGCCCAATCTACTTGACGCCCACGGACATCCCAAACTCCGAGTCAAGCCAGAGTCAGTTGAGATGACGAACGTGGAGTCAGAGCAAGAAAGCAAGATCTAGCGATGTTAGAGACATTTCTCGTGGCCTTATCTACCACCTGTTTGCATGATACATGCCGTGGCCCCCCAAATCCCTTGCGTCGCTGCTCCATAGGTTCATCCCACTTTGTGGCCGCGGTTTACTGCACGATGAACACGTCGTTTTCTGCCTGTTTTTTCCTGCACACATATTACGGTAGGCTGCGAAGTGATTCAAAATTAAACGCACCGATGCTTCCGATACGATACAATACGCAGTATCGTGTCCTCAGCCCTCTCACTACCGAATGCGGGATCCCATGATCCCTTTTTTTACCTATCACAAGGAATCAAGGCATGAGACCGGATTTTATAGATACTTATAAGTGTAGTGCGCAAATATGGACATCGTTATTGGACGCCTTGTAGATTCGTTCGTGGAGGTATCCGCAAGTACTTGCAGTATCATTTTCTACCACCACGAATTTCCTACGCCACCCCCAACCATCCCTATGTCCTCAATTAAGAGACTGATCACTTGGGCTGCTTGCGTGCCTGTGGCGGTTCTTAATGCTCGGCCCGAGTTCGATGGACGGACCCAGCAACAACCGGTGCCCGTCACGGGCATGACAACAGGCTTTGATAATCGGACCGGGCAGTATCCGGCGCGATGGGAAGTTAATGCCCTACAAGAAGAGGGTGGGCCTCGATGGTAAGTTGGTCCACTAAGGGAAAGAAGATCCGGGATCGTCTGATTCAGAAATAGGGATTTGTATATCCAGGCCCTTGTGGCGCTGCAAAATAGAACGGAGACGGATGAGTTATCGCATTTTGGAATTTCCGGTAAGCACGGCAACTACTTGATAAATAAAGTCTTATTAAGTGTCTTATATTCACATTACGATTTATTGTAGGCATTCATGGCATGCCCTACGCTCCGTATAACGGAGTCGGGCCGGTTCCCGGGGGCTCGGGTGCTGGGTTTTGCCCGCACGGTGTAGTTATCCTCCCACGACAACGATACTCCTTTCATGACCACCGAATTACTAACTTCTAAAAGGAATCACAGTTCGTAGCATGGCATCGTCCATATGTAGCTCTATACGAGGTAAGTTTAAGATTACCCTGTCAGGGTGGCCAACATGGAGTTGTTTCTCACCGTGCCTATGCAATAGCAAATACTCGGGGCGCAGGTTCAGCGCATTGCCGCGTCGTATAACAGCTCTCAGAATAGCTCTGCATACCGAGAAGCTGGAGAAATTTTTCGCCTGCCGTACTGGGACTGGGCTGCGAATCCCCAGCGTATGTAGAGTCGAAACATGCTCCTTATCGTCCTCCTAGCTTTCTAAGTTGAAAATAAAAGTATTGGGGACTAATGCTCATCGATAAAGTACCACCATCATGTACACAAGAAAATATCACAATCAACGGCCCACGCGGACCCCTCACTCTTCGTAGCCCCCTATATAACTATCGGTTCTCTGGATCACGAAAGGGCTGGCCCACGGAGACGACACGTGCGTCGGACGGGAAATCGAATTCCAATCCTGATGTAGTCAACGCGAACCTAGCGGCTGTGGCAGACCAGCTGAAATACCAAGTTGTGAGCAACTCGAAAAGGGGCCATATCCGGTTGGAAAAGGAGAGGAAGAAATAGGAGCTTGAGGACAAGACTAACTTGTGGTATTCTAACATAAACTTAGTACCGCACATTCACGTACGCTGAGACCTACGACCAGATGTCATCCACGGCAAATTTAGCTGGGGTTAGTCTTGAGGCGTCGCATAATATCGTACATAATGCTGTCGGGGGCACGTTTGCGAGTTTGGACTTGACTGCTTTTGATGCGCTTTTGTAGGTTTGATCGCCCATATATCGCCCAACTCAGTGTATATCAACGCGTAACAGAATCTAACATGATTTGTTACATCCAGTATGCTCCACCACGCGAACCTCGACCGTCTGGCTGCTCTGTGGGCTGCCCTTCACCCCGGCGCAGCGTGTCAATCCGAATGGTACGCGAGCCCAGGCCTATATAGCACCGCCCGCGGCGAAAACATCACAGCATCTAGCCCGACAAAGCCGTTCTACCAAGCCGACAAGCGATCCTTCCATACTGGTATAACCGCCGCCTCGCTCAAGCCGTTTGGATACACCTACCCCGAGCTTAATGATATAGGTAGAATCATTCCAAGGATCAATGAACTTTACGGTGACACGGGATTACTTAGTGGTTGCGGAAAAGGGGGAGGAGAGAAACGAGATTGGTTCGTCCAAATCACGGTTAATCGTTCCGATCTGGATTTGCCGTGTAATATCGATGTCGTTTCGGGGGACATGTTCGCTGGGCGTATGGCGCTGCTCAATATGCCGAAGGAAGGGCTAGCCCATGCTACTATTCCTCTACAAAAAGTGGTCGCTACTCTCGGTTCGAATACCACAGGGATCGAAGCTACTCTAAGAGAATGGATCAGGGTTGAAGTTCGGGAGGTAAGAATATATGCAGATGTGCTGGACTGGTCATTCTGTGATTGCCTGTGTCTGTCTAACTTGAGGACAGGTTAATGGATCAACAATTGACATCTCCAATATCACGAACCTGAACGTCTATCTCGTGGCTATAGATGTCACACCTCGCCGTAACGAGTCCGAATTTCCGAAATACAGAAGTAGAAGTATGTATACGAAGACTGTGCTTGATCGAGGGCGCAGTGATAATGGTTGAAGTATTCAGGATGTTTATAAAAATCGTCAGCATAGTGTATGGTTTTTTATACAGAAATTAGATTTCTATTGTATTCAAAGTTATTCAATCGAAGTCATTCAATATTCAATTATTCATCCTCTAATTTTACCAAATGCCAATAAACCCAGCAGCAATACTAGTAACTGCCAATCCACCCCAAAGCCTCACTCTCTCTGCCCCAGAAGTGTCAACGGGGCTAGATCCATTAGGATTACCAGAACTAGACGCATCCACAACCTCAAGCAACACTCCCTCGGCCCTCTTAATACTAAACTCCACCTGTCCATTCTCTCCCACCGAGACACTTTCTACTTTCTCCTCGCCAGTCTTGTCGCCAGTCGCCGGGTCAAACGTAACACCCGAAACGGCAACACCGCTCTTAGCATTAGTTCCCGGGCCGGTAAGCCTTGTAACGCTAACGTTTCGTCCAGAAGACCACGATGTTGCGACGCGAATAGTACTAGACGGCCTCTCGCCCTCACTGAACACGGTGCCATCCGTTGCTTTTAGAGTAGAATTATTGCTTAGTCCCTCTGTTCCATTCCAGACGCCCATATCGAGGAATACCAGTTTGCTAAGCGATCGCTGTTGCTCTTCGCCGGTATACACCGCGTATCCGCTTAATGAACTAGTATTAGCCGCTGGTAGAGCAACGATGCTGAGATTCTGACTGTTCTGGGCGGCGGCTACTTTCGCGACGAAGTAGTGTCCATACCAATTCGCTCGTATACCAGGGGCAAGTGTCTCATTCTTGAGTTCGTAGGACTTGGGTGTGAAGGCAGAGTACTCGCTTTGAGCGCCGAGGTGGAAGTAAGTCTTCTTGATACCGATGGAAGCTCCCATGAGGACGTAATCCACACCCCAGAGGGCAGCGCCGAAGGTATCGCTGATGCCGCTCTTGCCGGAGCAGGATACGGAGTTTGTCTCGCCCATGACGAGAGGCGCGCCAGCTTTGTCGGCCGCGGCGACTTGCGGCACATATTGCGATACATTCTATTTAGTATTAGTTATATCCCAGCATGAGCTCAAGAAGACCTGCGTAACTTACCAACCAAAGCGTCGTATGATTTGACAACAGATCCAACCGCATCCTTAACCAGCGCGGCGTATCGCACGTGGACTGAGGGTACAAATGCGTCGCATAGCTGCCGATAATCTCCTTATCCTCCGGTCTCTCCACAATACCTCCCTCTCCGTTGCCGGTCAAATTCGCAATGCTGAAATCATCAATCTCGTCCTGCTGGTCTGGAACCCAAGGCGGGTCAGCGAACACCGCAGCTTGGAACTTGGGTCGCTTCGCTTCTTCGACTCCTGTGTACCACTCGGAGTTTCTGATCTGGCCGGTAAGGTTTCGGAATTGGTCGATATACGAGGCCACGTCCCAAGAGGAATCTCGCCATCCCTTGTGGATGAAATGATCAATCTCGTTGCCAAGCTCGAATAGTGTGAGCTTATCGCCGAGCGCCGCGTGCGCAGCTTCCGCCTCCGCGACCGCGATGGACCATGCGGAGGTATTGACAGCCAAATTTAGCGTATATACAAAACCAGTGCCGTCGGGGAAGTATCCCGCCCAGCTATCGTACCAACTTGGCGTGATGTTGAAAACTTTCGCAGTGAGAGGTGCTGGAATTGCGACTGAATCATTTCCAGTCGAAAGTGTATCGTAGAAATACGTCTGGTCGGCCGTGTTCCCGCCCACGCGAATAGGGGGCGCTTTGCCCGTTACATTCGCGATGATGCTTAGGAGGTTTGCGGCTAGAGGCGTGGTGACGTAGTCGTGAACCCATACCGGTTCAATTGAGTACCCGTAAACATCCGGTACGAGTGATCGCGTCGCAAGGTCGCTAGGAATATCGACTGTAGTATCTTGAGCTGTGACACTGACAGCGGCCACAAGTGCCGTGATGGCAACTGAACGAATCGTCATTGTGTGCGATAATTCGCTGTGCCTCACTCAGACAAGGGTAGCTAACACCCACAGTGGCTCTCAGCTTTCAATTAAAACCCGAGGGCGCCTCGCCATTTTATCAGCTCTTAAGACGTCACTTCGGTCAGGATAACGCGTCGCCATTCCCCTTGTCCAAAAATTTCCCCGATGGTAAGTTCCCACAACCCAGGTACGGGGTAGCATTTCCAACTTCCAAGACAAGGGACCGTGGGCTTGGATTGCGGGGAATTGGGGACGGCGCAGTTGACGATCCGGGGAAACTCATCCCGAACCTGAAAATTGTCCACCTGTGGGAGCCTGTCGCTAATGGTGATATTTCCTATTTCCACTTATATAATAATCATACTATACCAAGATATTTGAAAAGAAAGTAAACAATAGCTATTCCAGAAAACGATGAGAAGGATGAGGATGGATATGAGTGAAGAGGGTATCATTTAGCTTGGCAAGTTATGAATGTGCAATAGTTATGCAATTTATTTTATTTTATGCATCATGTAACCACCTAATTTCCCCTCTATGCTTTTGCTTTTGCTTTTGCTTTTTCTGTTTTTTACAACACCAACTTCTTCTCCCCTTCATCCTCTAAGGCGAAGAATACTTATACCCATACTTTTCCTTACACTCCTGCAACCACTTCGCATCCTCCTCCGCCTTCTTCTTCTTCTCAGGGTCCGCCTCCTGAGCCTTCAGCAACGCCTCATTCCCAATGCCCAAGTCCGAGGGGGTCGCAAAACCCCTCTTCACAGCCGGTCGCTCCAAGCACCGCGCAACCCAAGCCTTAACATTCGGGAACATATCCGGGTCAACACCCGCAAGAACCGTTCCGTTAGCCCAACCAAGAAGGTTTATATCCGCGATGCTGTACTTGCCGCGCCCGGCACCGGCAACGTAATCTCGGTCCGCGAGTCGCTTATCGAGGACACCGTAGAGACGCTCGGCCTCGCCTACGTAGCGTTGTACACCGTAAGGCACCTTCTCCTTAGCGAAGCGGAAGAAATGGTTTGCTTGTCCCTGCATAGGTCCAACGCCACCGCTACACCAAATCAGTTAAGCATCCCAATCACCAAATATTCAGGTAAGGTAAAGTAGTTAGAAGCACATACTGCTGCCAAGCCATCCACTGCTCACAGACACTAAACTCATCACTATCCACCGGGAAACTAAACTTAAACTCGGGATCATAATGCCTCGTCAAGTACCCCAAAATCGCCATCCCCTCAAACACGGGAAACCCGCCACGATCATGGTCGACGATAGCCGGGATGCGGCCGTTGGGACTGATGGCCGTGAACCACGGCTCTTTTTGCGTGTTCTTCATGATGTTGATCGCTTGCCATGTGTATTGCTTCCCGTATGCTTCTTTTAACTCCTCGAGGAGGATGCTGGCTTTTACACCGTTGGGTGTGGCTATAAGTGGTAAGTGGTGAGTACTTCGGCATAGGAGGGGAGGGAATGTCACCGAAGGTGAATAACTCGATGCCGCTCGTGGCTTTGGTACCCGTTGGTTCCGACATGATTTCTTGTTGTTGTTCCGGTGCTAGTGAGATTCGGGATGTAGAGAATGAGGCTCTACTCTTTATGTATATAGAGGTGGTGGGGTTGAACTGTTGTGTATAATGAGAAGTCAAACACCGAGGTGAGAGACGGGAGGATGGGATTCTTATACGCTGCGCCAACAGGCTACGGAAAGGGTTGGCCGACATGAGGATTTACGTATACATGTACATGTAAATCCAAATATTCTGCCTATCTACGTTGATATCACCAATCAACCTTCCTGGGGTATAAGTGTGACCTTACTCGAAACTCTCCGAACAGCTTTGTATGGAGCAGATATGTAAAGCTAGCTGATGAATCATTACAATTAGACCCTGTTAAGACTACACATATTACGCAATCCAAGTTTTACCTGTTGTAATTCCAATTGTAATTGTTCTTTCGGTATTTGTAAGCAGGTTTCAGACCCTTAAAAATTGGCACTAAGTAGAGCGGCGTAGAGGGAGAGTCGGGAATAGATACAACCGTGATACGATATATGCCCATATATGGCTATCAACCATGGAATTTAGTCGGCATTTTCAATGATACCGAGTCCGAAAACGCCTACAATAAATAGCTATCTCGGCGGGATAACAACTCCAGACTCTTAACAACTACTATTTCTAGAAAGCACAACATCCATAAATGTCTTTTCTTACCTACATTGAATCTATTCGTTAACACACCTTGACCAATACGATAATGCATGAGGTCTTATAAATCATGTAGCTAAGAGATCGTACGGAGATTTGGGTTGGTAATGACATTAAGTCCCTGAACAATACTTCATAATTACTAAGCAGTGCTGTTAGGGAATAGTCTCATAAGTAAATGAGGCTAGCTTTTCTGCAGCGATCGGATCTAACGATTCGGGACGGATCCTACCCATACCCACATGGGTTTAGGTAACAATGATAGTCTGCATAACCTCATGTACGTTTTTGATAGCTCGAGACGACCTGAATAATTTCTACGGCTCCTGCATTAGGCGAAAAAAACATCTCATTCGTAAAAAACAAACGCATCTGTAACTATCTTGCTCGGTCATCATACACACAATTAACCAAAAGCCAACCAGAGAGCATGCATGGCTCAACCAAGCTTGTCAAGAGAATACCATTTGACATCCTGTCCCCGCCGTCCTCATCAATACGTCGAAGCCGGCCGTCTCAAGAAAACAATAACTTCATCGCAACTTCACATGAAAGCTACCCCATGAACAACTTTTGATTTTACCTTTCTCTTTTTGGTTACCTATTATGTAGCTTTCTTCCCTAAAATATACCATGGTCACGGCACAATCGTCCGGCCAAATCCGAAGGGGAAACGGAGTGGTATCTAGATAACGTAAGGGGGGTCGTTCAGATAAAGATGAATTAAGAAATTTACCAGTAACCGCCACCGCGGCGGTAGTCCTCCCGAGGGTATCCGCCACCCTCACGAGGTCCATATCCACCCTCCCGCGGGGGGAAATCCCGGGGAGGTCGATCATACGGTCGACCGTTAACGTAGGGGTCCGGCGGGGGACCATAGTCGCGTCTATACGGGTCCTCGTAACGTCCACGAGGTGGTGGGTAGTCATCGACAGGCCCACGGCGCGGTGGTGACCTGTAACGGCGCTCGTCGTAGTAATCACGACGGGGAGGGCTCCTATCACGGTAGTCATCACGGTATCCGCGGGGACTGTACCCACGGGGTGGTCCACGTCGATCGTAGCCGTCACCGCCTGGCGCGCCGTGAGGTCGACGGCCCATAGGAGAACGAGAACGACCACGGTCACGGACAGGGAAGTCCGGTTGAGTCTGATTTTGGGAATTAGCGCGTGTCAAGTATATGGCGGTTTCTCGTGAAGTAGACATACATCAGCAATACAGTTAACTCGCTGTCCCTTGAACTCTCGGCCGTCAAGCTTCTCTACGGCAGTCTTCAGATCTGCTGCAGTTTCAAACTCGACAAAGCTGTTGATAAATAAAACATTAGCTCTCGTTCTAGTTAAAGTTGAGATATTGGTCAGTTTTTCACTTACCCGCGACCATTGCCGTCACGGCCGGTCTCTGAGTACACGACATCCAAACTGGATTGTCGGGCAAAGTCTTTCAGGTCCTAGATCCAGATTCCATGTAAGTGGGGGGTCCGAGGAGCGGTGTAGAACATATGCGAACGAGGCCAAATATCCCCTATTCCAGAAGCAGCAGTAGAAGTAGTAGTAACACCAGCAAAGAAGTGCGGTCAAACCAATCCAAGCAGGCGGGTTACGTCCAACATGGAAATCCTTGAGGCACCTTGGCCAGCTCCTAAGACCTGTCCGCCAGAGTGTGGGAGAGCTAAATTTCGATGGTCATGACATCACAAACAAAGATCTTGTTGGATACCAGCGTCCCCTGCGCTGTTGAGGCGATAAAGCACACGAAGCAAGACGGCTCGCTGGACCAAGGAAGGGAAAGATGATGGTCTAAAAAGCCAGAATCCGAGGGCGAAGAACGGGAAAACGGGGGTAACAGACCTGCCAGCTGGTATCATTGGGTAATCCGGTAATCTGCATTCGGTGGGGAGTGCGACGGGGGCGCGGTGCGCTGCGCTCATGGCCACCGAAGCCTTCGCGGTGTCGAGAACCTCGAGCGAATTGGACGGTTAAACGTTCGCCCATGAAGTCGGATCCATCTTTTCGTCAAAATTAGCCAGGGAAACAACGGGAGAATCAGGAAATATGGTGGCCAGAAACGGTCCGAGACATACGGAAAGCTGCAGCGCGATGAAAAGTTAGCTATCAAATTCATACTTCTAGAAGCTATTGGAAGGACTAGCAATCCGAAGAAATGCTGGGGGTTTGTGGGTTTGCTCACCAGGAACAACGTCACGCGCATCCATAGGATCCTTGTATTCGATGAAGCCGAATCCATTCATCAACTTGACCTCGGTGATTTCGCCAGTTCCATGGGTAGCGAAATGAGCTTCAACGTCAGCCTTGGTTGCTACAATGTTCATGTTAGCAATCACGATGGAGCAATAGGAAGCCAGCTCAAGCTCTATCACGCCGCAATAGCGACTTAATTAAGCTTCTAGGTACGCCAACTTACCGCCCTTGGGAAGGTTGCCCAAGTAGAGCCGAGTCGCGGAAACCTCAGTTGATGCCATGGTCGCGATGGGTAACTGTTAGGATCGGAATCCGGATTGGAGGCGAGGGACTGGACAGAAGCTGGAGCTGCCCGCGTGCGCGGCGGGGAAGAAAAATCCTAGTCTGCGGGATGTCGCAAAGCCAGAATAAACCAAACGGAGATAATTTTTTGATGAAATTGTTATCCGATCGAATGGATTGTGTGGGATAGAACGGAAATTTCGGAGGGCTCAGGCTCGTGCTCGTTAAAAAACCCAACGAGGGGAGAAAAAAAACCTTGAGCTGTCCGAAGTGCGAACGGGCAACGAAAAATCAAAACGGCGAAGTGGACGTAGAAATATGGAAGGAGGGTATAATGGATAGACCGGCTACGGGAACTTTGGTTGGAAAAAAAAAGGAAAGGAGAAACGGCGTCGTTCTGTATCGTTTTGGAGGGTGGTAGCAGTATGTTTGAGGAACGGAATACTGCTTTGGCTTGTTATTAAAGTTGACAAGTGATTGATTTGATGCAAGAGACGAGCACCTGGGGCAGTGTGATGGGTGTGAAGAGGAACTACGGGGACTACCTTACATGAACGGTACGGTAAGAAAGGTGTGAAGGGGCACCGTGCACTTTAAAAAAATGTGGAGGCGCTGAAGCGGAGCAGGCGTTTTTTTTCTTAGCGCAGAGATTTTGTCCCTCGAGATCCTCGTCCACCCCGCACAGACCATTGAGGTAGTACAACCCCGACCAAGCTAAAGTACATACTACTTGCATGTACCTGATTTACTTACTCCAAGTGGGAACTCCTTCTTAGATCCAACCCAAAAGAACAAGGTACTATATACTCCAACCTTCCTGAAGCCTTTTCTGTTCAGATGGTACTGTAAGTCGAGGAAATTAATCATACATTACCAACTCGGTGTAGGTGTGATACACATCTTTTAGGCTTGAAGAAAATTTGGTGTGTAGCTGGATGCCTAACAGGTTCCAATTGTCAATGATTGTTTGTTATAAGTGCGAATGTGTATTTAATACGTGTAAAGAATATATCCATGAATTTAGTTTGTTTAAGATTGCTTCCATGTTCAAGTTTAAAGCACTTGACCTAAGAAGCTTTTAGCTTGCATATTAAGTTGCCTAAACGGGTAGGTAAGTACATAAGCGCCAGAGTACCGACTTAGGTACCTGTGTATGTACATCCTCGCCTCGCGTTGCCGTCGTCAGCTTTAAAATAGGTACATACCACCCCAGACATGGGTGTAACAAGTGATCGCCTCACTTTGATCTCGCGCGATGGTGCTCGATGCAGTGTGCCGGTATCACTTTTAGTGTCTCTACTCGGGAAAGACATAAATAAAAAAGAGGTCTGTACACCGCCAACCGCCTTGCATGTATGTATGCAGCATCAAAAGGTATTCATAGCATTCATTGATGCCTCGACGACATCCTAAAATCCACCGATCCGAACGCCGATGCTATGCTGTGCTGGGTAGAAGAAAAATACGACGATGCCCCGAAACTAGGGCGGGTTAAGTCTCATTGAACAGAACGTCAACTAGTTCATCTATAATGGTGAAAACCAAATGCGAGCTGTGGCTTCGTTAGCATCACAATCGTGCATACGATATCGGATTTGTAAAATCACATACTTTAGTCTTGAGTTATTGAGTGTCGCAAAGAGCCTGCGACTCGCCGCTTGAGCATTCAGTCGTCCAACCACATTTCCAGCTAAATCTGGAACAAGAGTAGCCAGCATCAAGCTTGCTTCTCTCCGAGTCCGTGCTTTTTCTGAAGACGTCCTTGGTTGCTTATTTCTGTTGAGTTGTCCACCAGGCCACATGCTATTTTTCAAAAGGTCGATATACTTAAGAATGGCATCTTCCTGGACTAAGACCTTGAAGTTATCCCTCACTTTTCGTTCAATTGTGCCTCCCAGCATTTGATGCAAAACAACAACGACAGCTCGCCCCCGGAGCCAGTTATTTCCCCTATTAAGACCAAAAACTTCGAGGAAGATATCGCAGATTGGTTTAATGAATGGTTCTAGTTCTTTGTTCTCAAATGCGTTCAGTTCGGCTTCAGCTTCAGCAGTTGATATGGCATCCTCCGTGACGCCTAGTGGGATTGTACTCATCTGACTTGTTGCTGCCGCTATAAGGTTCTGACCTGCTAATGAAAGCTGGTCTAGGACGGGTATATTCCCCAAGATATCTTCCATGCCATCTGCAACGGAATCGTATAGACGAGTGATCATATCTTTCTTGTCTTCACGATTCATCAGATCTTCTCCTTGGGTGATTACACTTTGCGATAGGAAGGCTCGCAAGTCCCTGCTTCGACACACATCTGGAAGTAGAAGCAATTGGCTTAAGTAGTATTCCAAAGCGTCGCGCCGCTTACGAAGAAAGTCACTCTGGAGCTTCATGACCATTCTCCGCCGCGGAAAGTCAAGGTTTCGTACTGACGGATATCTATGCCGTAGTTGTTGGTGAAGCTCATGGAATTCGCTATATCGTCGTGTGACAATCCAAGTGGCGGCTGGCATCTTTTCGCCCGCGTCCCTCTTCACTTCAATAACATATAGGGCGAATTCTTTACCATCCTCCTCTCGTCCAACTTGGATAGACTTGATCTTAATTAACGCCCGTCCATAAAGACTATTATCGCTTTCTTGGATTACATATTGTTGTCGTTGTAATTCTTTTCGTCGAAGTTCTCTTTGCAAACTTGCTTTAGACTTTCGTAAAATCCGGAGTTCAGCAGTATTATTGGTTAACTCGGCTTTCTTCGTTAATGATTCTATAACAGCCTCCTGCGCGGCAAGTCGGTCAATATCATTGGTCAGAACCGTAATGGCCTCCGCAAGACCTAAATCACCTGGTGCGGCTTCGTGGACCTCGTCCTCGATGTCACCATCTACTTCTTCGTTGTGGTCATCACGTTCGTCCGACAAGAACTTATCTTCATCTCCGAAGAGGTCATCATCCATGAATACGCCGATTCTAGATGCTGCACTTACAAGCCCAAGGGATGCCAAACTAGGTTTCTCGACTTCCTTTCCGGATTGTATTGGACGTTGTTGGTCTAACGAAACCCTACCCGAACCAGTGTCTTGACCTGAGAACAGGCTTGAAGCCCCATCATCTTGTCCAAAAAGTGACTCACGAAGATCTTCTGCGGTTTGCGGTCGGTCATCTTCCATAATATTATTAAGCGCCTCTTCCATCGCTTGAACGACTTGAGTATCTGGCACAGGTCTTAAGGGTTCCTGGTCGAGACTCAATATGGAGTCTCCCATCGGATCATGATCCAGATCATCGTCATCGAATAACGGTGACGCAGTCGTATCGTCGAGAGATCGTCGGTGGCCCAGCAAAGGATCAGAGCCATTGCTGGTACTTGCAGTAGTCACTTTTAGATCCGAGGCAGAAAGGCCTCGTCTAACTTGCCCATTCGATGTATTTAATCTTGGGTTAAGCTTCGCGACAGGTGTGGGCTTTAATGCATAAGACTGAGATGCGCGAAGAAGCGGCGGATTTGTGGCAGGCCCAGCTTGAGGTTGTGGAGCTAGAGGGATATTCCTTGAGGCTTCTTCCGATGCCAGAGCCTTGTAGAAGAGGTCCGATTTCTTGAAGGCATCAAGAAACCTAGATTGCATGTCTTCGAGTACAGCACTTTGCGTTCGGAGCACAGCCCGGCGTGCCTTGTAATATTGCGCTGGGGTAGCTGCCTTTCCAGCGTCTAGAAATTCACGAATAGCTCTTCGTGAACTAGCCGATACTTTAAGTTCTGGCTTCGATAGGTACGCTTGATTGATCTGGGCGAGGTCTGTGCGATCCGATTCTGCCCAGGGGCTCAAAGTCGAAGGCATATGTTCGTCGTCGGGCCCGTCATCTTCCAGGGGATTTCGTAACCCATCCACGACCAACCAAAACTGTACCAGGGACATCAAGCCTTGTCTGTCCATGTATTCCATGAAATAAGAAAGACCAGACGTATCGCGTAGTAACTCGACTAAGGATGCCTTCTCCAACATTGAAGAACCCGTAATTGGCGACGGATGGCTCGAGACGGGTATATGTCGCCCGTCGCCGCCTGCTGCTAGTTGTTGAACTCTTTGATCTAGAAGTCGCTTGCCCATCTCTAGCCGGCGAAGGTAAATCTGATCCTGACCAGAGTACTGAGAGTCTCTTTTCAATTGACTTGCTACTTCACTGCGGAATCGCCTTGCATCAGACAGGTTATTAAGTTTACGTATTGTTCGTATGAACTTTTCAAACCGTCGCTCACTATCACCTGGACTCAGTCGAGGGAAAGCTACCGGTTTAGAGCTCTTTGGTGTCGGCGACGCATGCGCATCCAACGCTGCACGAAGTTTACGGACCGTTGATCGATCCTGCAACATACTTCGACCATAGTTCTCCATAACCTGGTTCCAGGTGTCGGGTTCTGATAGTAGTTGTATGGTAGGGAACAAGACAGCACAGGCAACAATTTCGCGAATTATGCTGAACACGGCCCGACTGTCTAGCAGATTTTCAGGGAGCACTTTCGGTAGGACCTTAGTAACAATATTCCGTAGATGGTCTTGCTGTACTAGCTTCGTATCTGAATAGGTAAGGGAGGCCGCAGGGTGCAGTTTGCCATCATTGTACTTTGCGGCGATAGCCAAATCCAGCTCTTCAGATTCTGTGACATCGCGATTCAACTTGCGACCGCGAACGGCCCTCTCAGCATCATAAAAATCTCGAAAATGAGCTGTCAATATTGGGACAATTCTGCTTGTTACCACCTCTACTAAATCCGTCTCGAAAAGACGATCCCGGATTCTACCCAGCGCATGTCTTATGGCCTTATCCACCTGGTTTGCGAATACGGGGTTTTTGCTTATGTGCGAGTACCATGACTTGACGAAATCTCGTACAATCAATTCAAGTAAATCGTCGAGGGAGTTCGAAATAGCGGGAGAGTCGGCATATAGGGGAGCTTTGATATAAGTTTGTCGGATTCGTAGGGCGATGGTTTCTTTGTGCCAAGATTCAGCACCTGCGAAGGTAACTGCGTTGGGTCGTGACGATCTGTTTCGTTGGCCATATACCGAACCTCGAGAAGTCAGTAGCAAGAGAAGACATCCCAAGAGGGTTACAACAGCGCCGCTGACGAATGCATATCCGGCCCATCGAATGGCAGGAAACCAGCTGGTCGCATAGCCCCATGCGAAGAAGCAGACGATGCCAGCAATAATGACATCTCTCCCCTTAAGGGCCATACTCAATTTGAAGTCGTGTTAATCCCGGCGGCATGGTTCGTTCGTGGGGGTTAAACAAGTTCAAGGGTATCGTGGGAATGGTTCGTAGGTTCGTACTGTAGGTGAGGGCCAGTTGGAAGCCAAGCTACTTATCGATTAAGACGTTCCACGCCATTGGGCTATGCAATGGAAGACCCACCCTGTACAACGTTTCTATATACATGTACCTAGGTACCTCAGTACTTGAGAGTACTCACATCTACATCCATGGATACATACATATGTACATGTCATTTTGACCTTCCTCTGAATCACCTACAACACTTCACTCGTATAATTGTCTTCTTACTCCAATTTCGTCTTAAATACATATGTATCTCTTAGGCTTCGGTCGGATCCGAAGTATAAACTCATCAGTGTAATAAAGGGTATCTTTTTTATCATTAATCAAAGGACTTAAGTCCCGGATCTCACAAGCCCTCGCTTATTTTAACTTCGAAATTGGTGGTACAAGTTGTTCTTTTGCTTCTTATCAAAACCAATCAATGTAGAGAAGCACCATCGCCTACCATGGAGGATCCTCTAGGCGTCGGAACAAAGCGACAAACTTTTGACCTTTATTCCTCTCAACTTTCTTTCCTTCCTCAGTTTCTGTCCTCATAACTTCTACACAGGGATCGACGTCCTGTTCCCCTTCAGAAATTCTTTCAAACGAAGGATGCGCTTCGAAATGTTGTACCATCCATTCATGCAGATTTTCCACATCTGTGATTGTGTACGCGATCCCACCTGGTTTTAGGACATATGCATACTCAGAATTAAGCGTAGTAGATACGATCCTCGCTTTGTGCTTGCGCTGCTTGAAGTGCGGATCCGGGAAGCATATAAAAATTTTCGATAATTGTCCTTTTCGGAAGAAATTAGGGAGGAACTTCATCGTATTCGCTCGTAGACAACCAATGTTCTGATATTGCTTTTGCTCGGGGTCTTTGGCGCGGAGGGCCACGATTCGATCTTGTACGAATTCTGATACTTGAGATCGGATTTCCATGCCTAGGAGCAATGTGTCTGGCATTACAGGCGATAGGGCTACTAGCAATCCCCCAAAACCGCAGCCTATATCTACAACTTCCACATCTTTCGTGAGTTTCTTCGGAGGGGTCTTCGCAATTGTTTCAGTATTTTCGGTCGTCTGCGGAAGTGATTCTGGCTTTGCATCTGCGACGAATGCAGGAAAGAATGTCGACCAATCCATGCCGTCGGGTCTTATCGGGCTGTTTTAAATGAGCATTGAACGAGTCCCCGACTTATACGAAGGAACATTGAAAGCGTACTATGTTAATCTATGATCCGAGAAGGGATTCGCATGTGCCCGTTGGCGATAGAATTTCTTCTTGGGCATATTTGTGGCACCATTTTCTTTTTGGGCAAGGCGGTAGTCTTCCCGCTTCTGCTTCTTATTCGGTGCTCCAGGCATCGTAGATATATCGGGAGGTCGTATAGTCCTAGCTCTCGTGTTTTAATTCAAGTGTTCATAGGTAGGTGCTGAGTCGAATTGAAAAGAATGAAGACTGCTGAATGTAGCTTCGAAGATGATGTACATAGTGGGGTTATAGCTGAAAAAAGTTGGTGGGGATAACATTGAACTGATAAGCGATAAGACCCCACTGTTCGTCGGTTAGAAGCAGGAACGCGTGTGTACGATACGTAGGTACCTGTTTGTTGCTGCGGCAACTAGACCCCAAATCTCCACCAAAAGAGCGGCGGGATTGAACTTAAACAAAAAGTCTCCATGAACTCAATTGCAGTTCACACCCAGGTAATGTTCAACACTGAGTTCTAGACTTTTTTATTTTTTTGTTCTCAGCTCAGCTTTGGTGATTTCAGCTTTCAGATGTGGATTTTTCAATCAATTGTTCGTTAGATTCAGCATCCCGCCCTTAAATGCGGTTATGTTCTGAGCATCACTTCAGAGGACATATGGCATAGTTCGGCGTATTATCTTTCCTACTAACAGCATCTTTGCTTTGCTTCTAAACATTACTTCTTCTTTCTATTCAATTACTATACATCCTCACTCTTCATACACAATGGCATCGGTTGACGATTATCATATCTCAGCGAATATCGCCCCTAGTGCTGGCCGGTCACCCCAGCATTCACGACCAAAATCGAGCGTCCTAAAGTCCTTTATCCACCGACGAAACAATTCCGATGGATCCGCATTACCGCCTTCTGACCTTATACTCCCGCCAAATAGCACGCCCTTTGATTCTGAACCAGGCTTCCCAAATTTCTCTCGACCTGCTGCCCTAGGTGAAATTCAACAAAACCAGATTGGGACTTCTTCTCGATCACCCACGAAGCAACGACAACAACCCAGTGCCCCACCATCTCCGACCAAAAAGGGCTTCAACACAGTATCAGCTAAGGAGTCGGAAAAATTAGCTAAGCTAGCCAAACAAGACGAAGGCAAACCCAAGAAAACCAAATCGGCTACGAACCTCGTTGGATTCCTAAGTCGCCCCAAGAGCTCTAAAAATTTGAATAAGCAATCTACCGAAGACGATATGCGCTTCAAGAAGAATAAAGAGAACCAACCACCTCATGAGGGTATTCGGCCTCCCATCTACGCCCAGTTCTCCAGTGGTGCATTGGAGAAACAGTCGGAACGAAATGATGAGAAGAATGGGTACAAGAATTCCCTCCTTACCAATACCGCAAACGGCGGATCAAGCGGCCGAATGACCAAAGAACGACCTAAATCTTACCACGCGCCATCAACACAACTCACCGATTCTAAATCGAAATCAGGCAGCTCCAAGGCTTCACCGTCTAAGATACAGAGAGGCCTGAAAGTATTCACCGGTGGCTCGGGATCGCAGAATAGACCACGCTCCGCCGAACCTGCTGAGCCCGTCCTCGACGGGAAGGACATTGATAAGCACCTCGAAGCAATGTTGGACCGACGTAATATCCCCGAGCACCAAAGATACAAGATGCGAAACCTCGCAGATACTATCAAGATGGAGTTCATACGACAAGATTGGGCAGAGAGCCGCGGTCTTGGTATCACCAGACCGGAGAGTCACGACAGTGATTCCAGCATCAACGCTGCCCAGGTGATCGAACACGGCAAGCAGAAGAAGTCACGAGGTCGAAGCTTCACCTTGTCTAGAGGCAAGAAGTCCGAGTCGACTTCTCCCACAAAGAAGTCGAAAGGGGAGGGTTCCATAGGACGGCACTTCCGAAGTAGATCCACAGATAGCGTTGCTAGTGAGCGACCTTCTTCGGCCGGATCGAATTCAGGAGGTGGTATATTCTCGAAGGTGAAGTTGCAACAAGGACCCGTCGACTTCGTGAACTACCTGCGTAAGGTACAGAAGCCGGAGTTAGTCGAGGTCGGAAAATTGCACAAGTTGCGGCTACTACTGCGGAACGAGACGGTAGCCTGGACAGAAGAGTTTATACGACAGGGCGGGATGGAAGAAATTGTAGGATTACTACATCGTATCATGGAGGTTGAGTGGAGGTATGTTCACCACCTGAACCTACAAGTTATTGATGACGCTAACCCCATAATAGAGAAGAGCACGAAGATGCCCTGCTACACGAGAATCTTCTCTGTCTAAAGGCGCTCTGCACTACAGCTCTTGCCCTGCAGTACCTCCATTCGATTCAAGCAACGCTATTTCCCGCCCTTTTAGGAATGCTCTTCGACCCCGAAAAGAAGGGTCCCAATGAGTTCACTACTCGAGGTATCATCACCTCTGTCCTTTTTACCTACATACAATCCGCCTCGCTCGCCGATCGCCCCGTCCGTGCCAAGACGGTACTTGGTCATCTACGTGACCCCGAGCCGAAGGAGGACGCGCGACCCGTCGGATTCGTCCTCGAGATGCGTCGAGAACGTCCATACCGTGTATGGTGCAAAGAGGCAGTGAGCGTCACCAAAGAGGTCTTCTGGATCTTCCTGCACCATCTCAACGTCGTCTATCTACCCCGTGAGAAGGAGTCGAAAGAAGGCGCCGGCCCTTCTGGCATAGACAGTCTGGCGTACATGCAAGCTCACTTCCCACAAGAGAGACCCCCAGTCCCTGCTGCCCCCTACGTTGGTGGCGTAGAGTGGGATGCTACGAATTATCTAGCATCGCATTTAGACCTCTTGAATGCAATCATCGCTTGTACCCCCACGGCCGAAGAACGCAACGCCCTGCGCGGCCTATTTCACATCTCGGGTTGGGAACGCTGCATGGGTGGTAGTCTACGCCTCTGCAAGGAGAAGTTTTATCCCGGTGTGCACGATGGCCTGAGAACTTGGGTCGCAGCCGCTGCCGAAGACGGCTGGGACGTGCGAGACGTACGCTATGGCCCGCCGGCCGAGCCCAAGAGCCCGACCAAGAGATACGCTGGAGGTGGCGGGGGTGGTAATAATAACAAAGGAGGCAAAAACAACAAGGAGGAACAGGCTCCCAGGATCGACATACCAAAGCTTAGTCTAGGCTTAGATTCGTCTACTCCTGCTCCTGCATCAGGCGCGGCTACTCCCGTCGGGAAATTGAGTCACGAGGGCTGGCTCTCATAGCGAGAGACCTGGCTTAGGCGTTGGGAAATGGATTATGAGGGTCCAACAGTACCACCATTGCCACCGGTGCCACTCCCATCGGTGGAGATAAGTTCCCAAGCGGGAATGATGAAGTGACAGACGAACAGACCAGACCCGGTCTTCGGGATCGATAGTGCTGACTTGGCTTTGTCTTGGCCGAACCGAAACACCGAAACTCAACACTGAGCTGGAACGTCAGCATTCTTTTTTGTCGATTTGGTGGAACATGGATTGTATTTTGGGGGCTTCTCATTCGGAGTTTTTCTGGGGGAAGGGAAAGGATGCTCTTTTTTTTTTTTTGCTGCTGCTGCTATTTTTCCACGGGTCTCGTCTCATTGTCACGCCTCCTCTTCTCGGGATTTGGAATGTGTTTTTTGTGATTTTTTTCTTCCCATCTTTTCTCATCATCCGGTAATGACGTCCGGTTGGACATACACACAGGCACAAGGCACAGACACACACACATGGGCTATTCACACGCGGTACGCGGTAGATTGAATGATCACGACGATTATGACTAGGGGCACAGGCTCAATGAAAACAAAAATCAAATGATTTTCCATTAAGAACAGACCCTATTATTTGCTACCTAATTTTTATTGTGTGATATGAGCTAGCTCGTATGATCTCGTGCTTACTTACCGTTTACGTGGCTGAAGCACTAGTTGACATTATACAGGATCAACCATCTAGATAGCCCGATGCAGCACCCGAGGCCACATAAAAGAGACCAGCTCGTAAATCTCGTAATTCTGTGGGCAGTGGAAACCTAATATGGATATCCGAGCACGGCTGATATGATATATCAACCCACTGGAGACATATGGGTCGTGTCTCTGAGAAAGGAATCACGTCTGATTGGAACCAACGATCGGAATATTTAGAACAGTCCCCTAATTTCTCTACCTAGGTATCGTCTTGCGAAGAACCATGGTCAGGAATTGAATCCTCCATGGAGAAGTCAAAAATATGATATCTCAGCAGAAAACTGCGAGGCCAAGCTCAACCAGTCTGTTAATAACAGAAGCTCGAGACGACCCGCCCTGGATGATTTTCACCGCTATCGGCAACGTGCAAGACATGCGCTTCGTTCCGTCTTGCTTTGAAGGTGGATACGGTAAGCATATGTCTGGAGCTTTGTACAGATTGCATAATCATGTCGCGTGCTTCATCTGCCGAAAGACCGGACCCACGCTCAGCTTCGTACTCGTCTTTCAGTCTTGATAGGTTTTCGGCAAGATGATCTGCGAGAGCTGGGGGACCTCTATCATGTCATTGCATCACACGGGTATCCCTGCTACGGATTATGATATACATACCTTTTACTAAAAATATTGAGCTGTTCCAGAAGCACATCGATGTAGTAAGAAATAAGGTCGTCTTCGCTTGCTCAGGTCCCAATGCGTCCAGGGAGCATTCTAGGCTTGCAGAGTGGAATGTTTCCCATCGGTGAAGATCCTCCAGCATAGTCTCATATGGTATCCCGAATGTATCCGCTGACTGACGTGGTTTTGAGCCGGATATCAAGAAGATTCGCCATAGGTCGACGTCAATGAATGGCAATATGTGCTCAAGAGGAGGTTCGGTTAAGGAGGAGATAGCCCGGACCAGTGATCTGCAATGCGTGCTAGGTCAGACCGCAAGGACAAATTAGAATCATAGTCCGAGGAGGATTTCACTTTGGGGCCGTGAGGAGCAGAGGCCGGCAGTATCTAGATTCAAATAACGTAACGTAACGCTCCAAGGCCATGGCGCCCCATCCCCTTCTACCAGGTTGGCCCATGGCCTGGAGCGTCTCATGTTAACGAGACGTTGTGCGGAGTGGCCGGTATAGAAAATGATGAGTCCCTTCTTGCTGCGGAGCCGCAGTCGAGGGTGAACCAATCAAATGAACTGCCGGCGAACAGGAGAGCAGATCCCACAGATGACGGCGCAATGGAATAGGTATTCCTCCGGTAAAGTCGCATCATATGTGGGTGAATCGGGGAATGGAATGCTCTCCGAAGATACCATAGGGTCCGACGCACTTGGTGGGTTGGGTTGGGTTGAGTGAGCGACAGACAGCGGCCGGCCAGGGTCTCGTCCCCAGGTCTGCGTAGTGATGGCCTCTGCAGGATAGTTCGGCTTGGGTCGCTCTGTAGACTCTGATAGGTTTGACAGGATGGACCAAACTCGGGAGGCTAGACACCAAACGCAGGCCTGACAGCCAATGACGGATTGTACGACGAATCATGTGTGTCAAGGAAGGAATCCAAGCCCAGGTAGGTAGGTAATCGATATGTTGGCATGAACGCATAGAATAGGAGAAAAAAAAAGCAGGACCCTCGCGGATAAAGGTACATGTAGGACTAATAGAAAGAGGGGGAAAGGAAAAGCAGAAAAGAAAAGCAGCAAGTAAGCCCGGAAATGCGTGGGTAGATCAACCGAGGCCATCAAGACATGTTCGTACGTCAATAAGTTTGAAGATCATGATAAGGCGGAGGCAAACACCATGATGATCAAGTTCCAATTAAGAATTCTAACATCGTCACGCATGGCCCAATGTCCAATGTGTGCATAGAACCAATCCAGGGTTGTTGGTGACAAGTGTAAGAAGGGACTGAAATGAGACTATATATTCGTTGGGAAATTGAAGCCGGTGTAGAAGAGATGGCGGTACCATCCGAGGATCTGCTCGAATTGTATCCTTTCTAGGCAAGAGCTTCATTGCTTTCTGTAAGCCACGGCGCGTGGGCATTTAGGGGGGGTTATCGATGCCATGTTGTACAAGATTAGAGGGGAGATCTTCGAGAAGGTCAGAGAATTGTGAGAAGTCATCGAGGCGGCGAGGCAGCGAGGATCAATTGAGAATTAACTGAGAATTAGAATTTACAAGTAGTTAATAGGTAATTTACCTAGGTACCCAGCGAGGTAGTTCCGGTCCCAAATAAGTTACGTAATCCAAGTAGCTCTTGCTCCATGATGTAGTTTTTTAGTCTATAGTTTGTATGCATGTACGAATTTAAATATAAGTACTGGTAGCCACAAATAAGATGAGAAGGGAAACTATATCGTTCCCTTTCTTGGCAATATGTAGGTTGAATTTTTCTAATTTCTTTTTCTTTTTTCCCTCTTATCCGAAATAAAAATTGGTATGAAAATTACTAAATCGTCAGGTTTGTCATACATCCTGTTTTGTGTCCTCCAAGTTGCGTAAGATGTTACCAAATTAGTTTATATGGATGATATCAAAGCATGTGAAAAAGACTACAACTAAGAAAAGAAAAAAAAAAAAAAATCTACCCCTAGACATTAAGAATATGTTAGAGCCAATGAGGGAATCGGACCCGACCGAATAAGTCCATGTTCAATCCATCCATCCGCATATACATACGCAACTTACATACATACATATATGTATCATACATGAGGTAGGTACATGAGACAGAAGTAATATTTTAATCCGTAGATGCTACTCCATGTTAAGGTTTGTACGTACTGAAAGTTCCTTCTTCCGTGCCGTGGATTATGTAAGTCATACTCGATGTGTCAATTTTACCCCTCTTACACAACCTTGTGTCACCGTACCTAATCAATCTTATCGAAGCCGTAGTACATAGGCTTTACACCTCTCTATAGCCGACAACCTAGGTACCTAATATCCAATGGTTTAGAATCTACATCGTCACCACCTGCTAAGTCTAGTTAGTCAGTACCATACCTAGCCATTCCTAGCTCCTTGCCTTAGGGCTCTTGCACCCAGACCTTGGCGGTGGCTTGGTACGCAGACTTGTAGTGTACTAATCCCTGGTCTAGAGCTTGCCTTCTAACCTACCTTAACCTACCATACCTAGCCGTATCGTGCATCGCTTATCCCATTTTCCCCTACCACGACCATCCATCTTCGTCATCACGCCGTTCTATCGTGAATCCAGAAGACGGAGGACCCTGCCCCAGCCATATCACACACACACATATACACACATACATACAGAGGGGGAGGAAGAGAGAACCGGGAAAGAAAGAGAACCTCGCTGTTTTTTTTTTTTTTTGGGTAACTTCGGCTCTACCGGTTGGGAAGCCCCCCTTGACGCCTAGGTTGAATAGGGTATATCGAGACGAGCAAACCGGTCTGCACCTTGCAGCAAGAAGGCGGGAATTCTCCCGCGCGTTGTTCAATCTCTCTCTATCTCACAGTCCATCCACCATCCACCCACTAGAGCTATCCAAGTGCCTCCACACCTGCGAGACCTTGCAGACCTTGTCAGTCCTTGCAGCGCCCTACCAGTCGCGCGCCGTTCTGCCACCAGTTCCGGCAGGCCAAGTTCCAGCGGCTACCGTGTTAGTGGCCCACATATTATCAATATCAACATCTCCATCAAACACTTTCTGCAAGCCGTGCCGCTCCGAGACCAAGCCAGAGCCCACCGAGCACCCAGTTCCTTCAGACCAGAATCACTGGAACCCTGCCCGTTTTCGTTGTGCCGACGAATCCCAGGAGTTCGGTTGGCACTTACTAGGACTTGTGTGCACAAGACCCGAAAGCTGACCACCTTCAAATTGTTCCAAAATGTCAATAAAGTATGTATAAGTTTTTTTTTTCTTCCTTCTTTTCTCTCATCTATTCCTGTCGCCATGAGCCTAGACTAAACATTCGGTTACCCCCCTTTTTTTTCTCTTCCTTCCTTCCTTCCTTCATCCCTCTGTTCCCCCTCCTCTACCTGCCCGCGAAATTTTTAGGATGTAATATCTATCCTTGTCCTCCCCGAGAGCCTCGCTCCTCATTCCGCGGTCTTGTGTGTGTAATCGATTTGTACTATCCATACATTGTCGCCGCCATGGATTACGGGCTACACGACCAGCACGCATCATATATCCTTAGCCAAAGTAACCGGGGTGAGGAGGATACTAACTTAGAGGCTAGCTGGGTTATGTTATCCCGGGCTGGGGAAATAGAACCTTTACCACATGAAAGCATTCTATATAGGACAAGAGGTCGAATAGGTCTCAACATAACAGCCCCAAACCAGCCAGCCGGTGTTTCTCCTCTCAACATCAAGAGCGAGAACGGGACAGCATATATAACGAACCAAAGAGTAAGCGGCAGCACTTTGTGGCACGATATACGAATTAGAACGGTTGATTAACGCTTATCCTCAGTTGATATATCTACCTTCCAAACCCACAGACCAGTTTAAGTCCTTTTCGTCCAAGATATTAGGATGTTTGGACAGCCGTATGTGCTCATCCTGGATTGGACCGTGGTATTGGGAAGCCAATGTACGACCGGTACCTGATGGAAATATCCCGCCAGAATTTCCGAGAGTGATCCTGAAGTTGACATTCAAGGACGGCGGTTCTAGTGAATTCGAGTCGAAATTCGTGGAACTCAAAGCGCGCCTTCACCATGCGGCGCAGATAGCGGAGGAATCAGGTCAGAGTAACTGGGCCCAAACGGTTCATGACGAACAATTACCAGAATATAGTGGCCCCCAGGGTGGTAACAACCCTAACGAAATAGGTGAGGTGGCTCGGCGAGCAGATGAAGCAGCGCGGGAACAGGAGGCCCACCAGCAAACTCCCGATGAGCCCCCACCAAACTACGACGAAGCTCAAGCCCAGGCGGTCAGCATGCGCTTTGATGAGCGTGCGCGGGAAGAAGCTGAGAGGGAATCATGATATAGCTAGTGTAGTATACTAGTCAACCTAGAGAGCCCTAGAGCCCTAAAGCCGTTGATACGGTTGACGAAATAGGTTATCCGAGGACCCCTGATTATAGGTCAACTTTGGATGTTGATACAAAAAGAATTTGATACCCCCCTGCAACTGAAAGTTTGGCACTCGGGGTACTAAGTTCCTGAGTAGCCAATCTCCGTATAGTTCATATGGATATCTTCGGTGAGATTCTGGATCCTGGCGAGTTGACAGAGTCATAGTTTAAAGCATGACGAAATTAAATCGAGTATTTGGTTAGCAGCAAGGAGATATCCGAACTGATACTACATGCAAGGAAACCAGGAGCAAAACAATGCGATCTGGTAATAATTTCCTCACAAAAATTGAATGAGACTCAAGGCGAAATACACTAAAGCATGCGATTATAACATACTTAAGTATTTGTCATATTTTGCACTGCTAGGAATATTCATAATCACCGCCTATAGGCATATAAATATAGCAGCATGTGGGTATTCTAGGAAAAATAGTCAAAAGGAAAGACCCGTTACGAATCCATAGATCTACCTCTCAAGGTAGTAGCTACTAGAGGTAATGATATCATTAAACCTTGATGCTGGATACCTTGACTTTAATACGTAAAAATGGTAAAACGTAAAACTGAATATTTCTGTATCCCATAGTGTGGCTGCAGCTTTGCGGATGGATCGGCGGAAGTATCACGTGATAGTAGATTGCGGGCCTCGGCCAATCAAAATGGCTCAATTGGTGATGCTCTATTTTTCTCGGTTGCTCAACGTTCCCTGCAGACTGCATTTCATCACCAACCATCGATCATTCCTCCGAAATCAAGGCATTGCGATCGCCCGACATCCACCACCCGAACACAATGGGTATCTGGGAGACTATTCAAGACCTCGTCGAAGCGGCTACGCCGTGGACAACCGCCGAAGCCGACGCTCCAGCTGAGGATAAGGTACGATATTTTCCCCATCGAGAATACCTCAATTCGACATTCCATAAGCTTCTATGAGCTCCTACCGCGGCTCAAAGTTACAACGCCTTCGCGCCCCGCCCACGTTGATTATATTAAAACATTTACTAACGATTCCGTCATAGCCCGAAGATTCATCCGACGACTCGGAGGAACCCGAAGAAGAGGAAGAGGACGACGAAGAAGAAATTGAGGACCCGAAAGAAAAGCTTGAAGAAGGTTTGTACTATCATGAACCCGGCGCACACGTTTTCGGGCAAGATAATTATTGGTTACTTGGGCCTGGCATCGTGCTGCTGAAAATACCGACCCCACAACGCTATTGAATATATCGCTGATGATTGCCTATTCAGAATGCAAAAACTCCAAGCAGTGCGCGCCGGCCAAGCACCACTTCGACGAATGTGTCGAGCGTGTTACGAATGCATCGGACGACGGTGAAGCTAATGAGGACTGCGTTGAAGAATGTGAGAAATCCCCTCTGGACTATCTGGATTATTCCTACATCAAATTTGATGCGATTTCACACGGGAAACATGAAGCTAATTCTACCTTTCGTCTTTCAGTCTTCCACCTCGCACATTGCGCCGGACAATGTGCTGCCCCCAAGCTGTGGTCTGTCCTCAAATAAACGAAATAGACAGAACCCGAGAAACACCAGTATCGCTTATGATACATCTATAGAACTTCTAGAACAAAATTGCCGGTGGATTCTCTATCAGGTAACCGACCAACGTCGTGTGACCCCGGTCGAATCGTCAGAGGGTCGTGGTTCTGTAACACGATTTGCGGCTCAACGTGGTGATACGTGGCCGGGGTACCTCATACCGCCTGTCCTATGTACCATAAACCTGCATTATCAAGATTTTAAATAGATCTCTGTTCCTCAATTTTCTCTTACCAGGCCGCCACTTGTTGATTGGTATGGATTGCAATAGCCATTGGGTTATATTGTTACATAAGAATATATCGGATGTATTGGTGAAATCTTGAATTGGTATGGTATGGGGAGTAAAACTGTCTAGGGCATGTATAGTAACACAAACCTGGTAACATCTCATCTATACAACAAGCGTCTTAATATTAGTTGAGTCATTCAACCTTAACAGCTCGTGATATAGATACTGATATAGCATGGCGGAATATTAAGAGAAAAAAACATACAATAACTTCTTACCGAGGTTTTGTTATCTCGAAATCATCTATCGAGATCTGCTCAGGTTATGACATAGCCTAAAGATTATGTTATAAGGTGACATCGAAATAGTATATATACGAAGAATGCGTCATTAAACTATGACTATAGGATCTCTATAGGGATTACCTATTCAATTTGTTCGAACGCCTATAATAACCCACAGTATAGTCCCAACTTTCCTCTCTATATACCGAGCATTGTTTCAGAACCCCTCCCTTCAATAATGAACCTAGTTCAGTTGTGTTACATAAGTCGCCCAGAAATCAAGGAATTCGAATTCAAAGTCGGAGAAGTGCATGTGGTTAGAGAAAAAAAAAAAAAAAGAATGGCCGAGGGAAAAGCAAAGTCGTCGGAGTTGTATAAATGGACCGATTATAGAGTTACACAAGTGCACAACTAGGGGTTGCAGTAGCATAAATCTTTCGAGACTTGAGGGTTGTGTTACACGGGGACGGCGATCAAATACGGCAGGTATGCCCTAGCTACTACCCAATCACAGCCGAAGCGAGTGTCGTTAAGAGACAAAACCTAGTGGTAGGTGAAACGCTGAAACCCTACAACATTTTATCCTATTTGGCTCGTACTTGCCATGCTTCTAGACGCACCTTTCCGTGCTGGCTATAGAACCGAATGATCGGTGGACATGTTGACAGGGTCGAGGCTTCTAAAAAGTACAACCTAACTAACGGAATCGGGTTATCTCCTCGCGGCTTGACCTATCGGAGTCCAAGCTTGTTCCCCTCGTCTCCAATTTAGTACTCCAACAGTAAGGTACTACCTACTAGGGCTGCTAGGCTAGGAAGCGTCGATACGGTTGCCGGTAACTTTAGCACTCTTGAACTCTCCATCAAACTATGTCTTATCCCTGAATTACTTCGCAAGAATTTATTTTTATTGTAAAACATCTTAACGCATCTTCGATTCTTAGACAGGAGACGAGTACACGTATACGTAGACGAGATTAATTTCCCCGAGAAGAGGTAGTCTGCATGTAGTTGCTTTTTACTTTCGGAACTTACCATGCCATGATATTACCTCTCTTTGCTAAATTTCCCTTTCTTCCCTTACTTCTTCTAGCATTCTATAGTACAACGCGAAGGTAGGAGATAACTATTCGACGCTCCTTAAAAAGTAATCTACGAAGCCAAGAACGCCACGATATACGACGTTCTTTTCGACGAATCTGCCTTACATTCACACAGACATCAATATTTACTTACTGTAATAAGTCAGCTGGCTGGCTGTCAGGGCCGTTCGTTGGAGATCGACGCGCGGGGGTACCCGGCTAACCGAGACGAGAACGAGCAAATACACGAGCGCAGTCTGTTCGCCAGTTCATTTGATCAACACTTTTGGAGCGACCTACCTAAGTACCGCCCCCAAACTTATACATACACCAAAGCTTCTTCTATCGCTATCACCACCATCGACTGAACGGCACGGAACGAACGGGAAGCTTCCCCCCAGCGGGCATCATGTCGCGCGGTAGTAGTCGTAGTAGATCCGACGAGGCGAACGTTACGCCGACAACGTTAACGAACTACGAAGCCGACGATAACGACGCTATTAAGAAGGCGCGCGACGAATACGCTCTCAACCCGATCGGCTCGGGGTCTTCGGGCAGCAAACATTCGCACAGAAGCAAAAAATCTGGTCACTTGCGCCTAGCTTCTACATCGACCGACGGCGACGGCGACGACCTGGCTGCTGCTGTCACTATGGGCCGGTCCCAAGAGCAGCTAGATAATACTTCGATTGAAAACGGCGACCGTAGTAGCATAACGTATAAGGTGTACAAGAGGCGGTGGTTTGGTCTCGTGCAGTTAACGCTGCTGAATATTATCGTTAGTTGGGATGTAAGTCGCTATCGCATTTCGTTACATTCTATTCCATATTATTGCAGTCTGGGCAATATATATCATATGTACGCTGCAAGGTACGACTTGTGAAGAATCGATAATAAGGTGAAGGATGGGAAGGAGTTGTAAGATCTACCAATCGGTAGTTATCTTGTCGCACACCATCCTCTATTTGCTCTCCATTATTCGTCTCTATTTTTGCCTTTGCGCATCACAGCCTCGCAGCGGCAGGATGGGGTTGGATCCTCTTAGTGCGACTCTGCCTGGCATGACGTGATACGAACCAAGAGAACATATATAATGCGACAGGGCAAGCAGGCTGACGACCTAAATCTCTAGTGGCTTACCTTCTCGCCTGTCTCGCAAAATGCGGCTGTATACTATAACACAACCGAGTCTGCGATCAACTGGTACTCGACGGGCTTCTTGTTTTCTTTCGTCGCCATCTTTCCCGTCACTATCTACGCCCTACATTGGGGCCCCAAGCCATCTATTGTCATCTCCGCCGTATTAATTCTTGTCGGTAACTGGATCCGCTACGCCGGCTCCCATTCACGGGATGGCGGCATATATGGCGTCGTCATGTTCGGACAGATCCTGACGGGTTTGGCGCAACCGTTCGTGCTCGCCGCTCCTACGCGTTACTCCGATATGTGGTTTACCGAGCGAGGCCGTGTTACAGCAACCGCCCTAGCTAGTCTAGCGAATCCCTTCGGGGCCGCTCTCGGCCAGCTTGTCGTGCCGTTTATGGTCTCGGGACCGGCTGACGTCTCGAATGCCGTGCTCTATGTTGCTATTATTGTGCGTTCTCTCCCTTTATCTGCGCCGTGATGACCTCACTTGCCCAAGTGTCTATGCTAACGAAAGCCCGGATCTAGTCTTCGGTAGCTGCCTTACCATCATTCATCATCCCAGCAGCACCGCCGACACCTCCAGGCCCGTCGGGAAACACGCCAAAGGCATCGCTGCGATCTTCGTTGAATCTCCTAAAGTCTCTCGAGATCTGGCTAATCTTATTCCCGTATTCCATCTACGTCGGCTTCTTCAACAGTATATCCTCGCTGCTTAACCAGATTATGATCCCCTACGGCTTTTCGTCCGACGAAGCTGGTATTGCAGGCGCTTTGCTTATCGTCGTTGGACTTGTCGCGGCTGCTATCACAAGTCCAATTCTCGATCGCACAAAGGCATTCTTACTGTTTATTAAAATCGCCGTGCCGGTTATCGCTCTGTCGTATCTCGTCTTTGTCTGGATGCCCCAGACTCGCAACCTTGCAGGCCCCTACGTTATTCTCAGTCTCCTAGGTGCGGCTTCATTCGGTTTAGTCCCCGTTGCGCTCGAATTCCTCTGCGAATTAAGTCACCCTGTCAGCCCAGAAGTTACATCCACCGTCGCCTGGGCTGGAGGCCAATTGTTCGGCGGTGTTTTTATAGTTATCAGCGATGCGCTGAAGGCCGGTCCTGATGCGGACCCACCGTTTCATATGTACAACGCTCTTGTCTTCTCTGCGATCGTGGCGCTTGTTGTCATGCCGTTACCGATGATGTTAGGGTTATTCGGACGCGGTGATAAACTTGTTCTAAGGAGGGTGAGGAGTGATGATAGGAGTAATAGGGGGGGAAATGGTACGGTGGTGGCTGTGGCATGACGGTAATGTGATGTGATCGTGGTGGGAAAAGGTCAGGAAGGCGGGCTGTATATGATGGATGGATGGATAATATTTATTATGAACATACCTATATACCTCTGTCATATACTCATGCTTACATACATATTTCATACATAGAACGCGATGCGTCTATACATAGGGCGGGCGGAATTTTGTCTAATTTGGATGGTTTATGGGGACGATATCCATGCGTTCACGTTATCATACACCCTTCTTGTATCTAGGTAGTGCGAATTCAAGTATAATTACGTCGTTAGAAACTATTAGTCGAATTTTGTGATATTATGTGTGTAAATATATATAAGTAAATATTAAATATTATATGCTCGAGGTATCATCGTTTTGAACATCGTGTTGAATCATATGTACTAGCACGTAAACCGCTCGCAATGCTATCAGTCCAGATAAGGAATTGCTTTTAGGGTATATAAAGCCCTCCTCATTATTACGCGCTATGCCCGTTAGCAACAGCGCCCTCTGGTTCTCCGAGAGCGGTCTCCCAGGCTTCTCGCAACTTCTCTAGTCGGGACCAGCAATTACGTCCTTCTTCCTCGAATTCAACTAAGAGGTCTTCAGTCGTATCTCCGGCATTCCACTTGCGGCCCCTTTCTTTGCGCAGGATGCCTTGGGCATCGTCACGCTTAAGGGTCTCGCGGTTTTCGACCTTGCCTTCCCAACCCCAGCCTGAGACCTCGGTCTTCTTAGGAGCGACATGTCCCATTCGCGTAACGGCGGAACCCCATTTGACGCGCTCGGCGTGTAGGGAGTCGAGTGTTTCTTGGTCCGCGAGCGCGAGCCAGGATGTTGCGCCGGCACCGGCGTATGACCCTACGACGTGCCAGGGTGAACCTAGCCATCGGGCTAAGTACATTACGAGGCAGTAGGCATAGAAGAGGAACCAGTTGAGAGGGAATAGAGGCGTACAGACCACGCCGGGATGGGATAGGTAGAATCGGGGTTTGATGGGTTTGTCGGCGGTGGCAGGCGAACTAAAATATGGCGTGGATACTTTCTGTACGCTGGGTAAGTCCGCCGTTAGACACATTATGTCTGTTATCCGCTTGCTGCTCTCGTACGGCGGTTTGTCCGAGCGTGCCTGGAAGTCCTCGAAATTGAGATGTTCGTGTGTAGCATCCACGCTACTCGTCCAAACAACTCGACCCAATGGTTCGCTAGGTTCCGAGCGGCTTAGAAGTGGCAGTAGCTCGTGAGCGAGAATATAGTGCCCGAAGACGTTGGCGCAAAAAACCTCAGCTAGTTTAGGCGGTTGGTTCTTCGGGTCGGATTTGCTAGAACTTCCTAATAGCTTCTTTGTGTCTAGCTCAGAACGCGGCACAGCTGCCATTTTGAAAGCAGGGAATGTACAGCTCTGTACGATCCCTTCTGTGACGAATTGCTTCGCTAAACAAAGCCAATCGAGCCCAGACCAACCGCCGATGCCCGCGTTGAAGAGCGCGACATCGATGCGAGGTATTCTCACGTCATCGATTACACCGGTCGGATCGCTCACTTTGCCATGTACCAATTGCTTCGCGACGCTATATATCGAACGGGGATCGCATAGGTCGACTTGGACGCTAAGCACGTGAACTCGGGAGATGGCGCTTTGGGGGTCGTAGTCGGGGCCTGCTCGAGCTCGAAGCTGTTTAGAGCTTTTCGACGTCTTTTTTAAATGGGCGCGTAGGGAGAGGATGGTATCGCGAGACTTGGAAGCTGAGCGGGTGGTAGGAATGAGGATTAGGTGTGAGGATAGAGGTCGAGAGGCGAGGAATTCGTCGATTATTCGTTGACCAATACCAAGACCGACGCCACTATACAATTCTTTGTTTAAGATATGAGATCCCTTGATGTCTTTTTGAAGGGAAAGCATACCTATTAGCTCCTGTTAGCAGGACAAAATATTGTTCGTGGCTCGCAGCCCCTGCCCATGGAGGTGATGCCATCGTCAGTTAGAGGGTTAAGTATATTTTCTAATAGGTATAATTAAAGGATGGAAAATGTGCGTAGAGGGGATAAGACATCAAATCCCTCTCATATTAATGCACATTCGCAATGGTAAGCCTTCGGAAACTGGCCTCAAAAACCAGTATATCCGTAAATATACTTTCAATAGATGGATTGGGGCGGTGAGAATGGGCGAAATTTGGTAGGGAAAGATCTTAGATGACGGATAGTGGAGCGAGGGGTTCGTTCAACCGGTCGGCGGGTCTAGCGTAGTATAGGATTGCCGGCATGATTCCGTGATTCCGTGTGTAATTCCAAGGATAATTTAATGATTCCATCTTTCCAGATCGTAAGACAAATGTGGTAAGGCGTATCTTACGATTTATGTGTAATTTCAAGTTTTGAACCTTCTTTTTGGTAGCACTTGACATCTTTTAAATATGTACGTGATGTAGAAGTTCCAATAGGGTGGTCACCTTTTGCTTTATCACGTTGGCAGTTTCCTGTATGCAACCCGTTATTTCAAACTCATTCCTTATTGGGTACGCTAAATGCTTGTGTGACGGGCTAGTCCGATAAACTTCTGAGTATAATCGATTTCCAGGGCTGTAAGTACTGTAAGTACCTAGGCCGTTATGCTGCCTCGGCAGGTTTAGTGCTCAACTAATGTGTACCTAGGCACATATTTAGGTACATATAGCGTACATATGCAGCTGTAAATAGACTTACTAAGTCCAATAAACCGCCTATTATAATACAATTATGTCTTAAATACCAGGTTAGGTAGGTACCCAATGGATATCCAGTCCAAGTCGCCGCAGTAAAGTATTCTTAGTCGTAACACCTGATTTAGGTACATACCTAGGTATGTAGGATGTTTAGCATGTAGACTAACACGTCGGAGAGACATGACAAGCCTCGGAAGACCGTAATGATATGGAAGGAATTTAAAATTTAAGGTGCAGGTCCAGATCGCCAGGGACATCTTGCCATCCTAACATGCACGTAAGCTGACAATTATTTGATGGAACGTCATTTCCATCTTGTTCTTCAACTTTTTCTTCCCTTCTTTTCTCATATCACCACTTTATAACTGACATACCATACATAACTTGCTGTTTTATATCTTTATTATCATAGTTTATTCTACGTCTCAAGAAAAGTTACTACTTTTGCTATCCGTTACGGATATTCCGGAAGTGCATCATTATTTAACGATCTTAATTATAATTTAATCCTTGGCCTGATGAGTTTACGCGACCGCGCGCCTCACTAGCTGTCAACGTTGTCATTCGTCTTCGATAACCTCCTTAGCCCGTCAAGTTTTCAACAATGAACAAAATACCAACAGACTTAACCATGACTTGGTTCACACATACACTTGAAGCTGGTTTATTTCCAGATGAGGTTTGGGTTATCATCTCTTGGATCGCCTTCTTTTTTGTGCGCCTACCTCCATCGTCACCAACACTCGGCTTTGCCTACTAACTGCGCTTAGAAGCTAGCCAGCTTAGCCTTTGCTGTGCCTCTTATCGGCCTCATCATCTTCGACTTCTGCCTTTGGGTATGGCGACTGAACCGACCGCAGCCTAAGGATGCATCACGATCGAGTCGCATCTCTTCCCAAACTACAGAAAGGAAAACCAACTCAAAACCGACTGGCTCCGCAACGTCTTTTGCTACTAAGTCGGCCACGAGCCAGAGGCGGCCCAAACGCTCAGAACACACAGACGATTGACGAAAGAACAATAAAACCGGCTCCTCCAATATAGAATGCGACAATAATACTTAATAGAATATCGATAGAATTTTTGTACCTCAACTTTTATCTACGAAATTTGAGACAGTACTTTAAGCAAATCGCTAGTGACTCCCATCGCCGTCACCTCGCCTCCTGCGCCAGCGCCTTGTATAATGAGCGGGTTTGCACCATATCGTTTCGTGTAGAAACTAATAATGTTATCGCTCCCCTTTAGCGCCGCGATCGGGTGCGATTTATCGAACATTTCTAGACCGACCTTGACATCCTGAGTGGCAACGTCAATGCTTCCGACAAACCTTACCACCTTGCCTTGATTTTGCGCCGCGACTCTTGTTTCCTCCATTTGAGAATCAAATTCGGGTAGTTTTTGCAAGAACTCGTCACCGCTAGCGACAGATTCCAATTCCTTCGGGATCAAACTCTGCACGGGGAAAGAGGTGGGTGACTCAACAGGCAGACCGGCCAATCGCGCAAGTATGGTCAGCTTCCTGGCAACATCGAATCCGTTTAGATCGTCCCGAGGATCTGGCTCTGTGTAACCCAACTCCTTCGCCTTCTTGACCTCGGCAGACCATTGGCCACCAGATCCCTCGACAGGGGCAAACGAATTGAAGAGGAAAGACATGGTTCCGCTGAATACACCCTCGATCTTAGTAACCTCATCACCGGTATCCACTAGGTCCTTTAGTGTTGAGATAACCGGGAGTCCAGCTCCAACCGAGGATTCGTGGTACACCTTAGCCCCAGATGTAGCAGCAGCTGTGAAGATATCCTGCCATAGCTTGTATGATCCGGAGAACGCCTTCTTGTTGGGAGTAACTATGCTGATGCCGCGGCTCAGGAAGAGGGGATAGGTATTCGCCACATCCTGCGAGCTGGTGTTGTCCACAAGAATGACTTTGGAAGGCGCTGCAGCTAAGTAATCTGCTACCTGAGGCAAGTTTAGAGGGGGCTTGGTCGAGGAGTCGAGTTCTTGGAGGACGTTCTTAATATCGATGAAGAAGTTGTCGTTAAAGAGAGCTTTCTTGCTAGTAGAAATATAGCAGAGACTAAGCTTTGGTGTCGGGCGTCGCTTCGATAGGGCTTCGAGTTGCGAAAGGAAACATTTGCCAACACCTCCAGCGCCTGTTTAGTAAGAAATAAATTAGTCAATCGAGCTATTTTTCTGACGTTTTCGTTGTTCTATGTAGGACAGGTAGCTTACCTATGATGGCAATAAAGACCTTATTAGTTGCAGCCATGTTCCCGACCAATTGTTTTTGGTCTGTTATTATGATTGAATCTTGTTGCTTCAGTGTTTAGATGTTTTTGACTGCGACGGACGTGGGGTAAATTTATGAGGTAGATTTCTAGAAGGCCGATCGCGGGGTATTTTCAAGGAGCCATCCGCCTGGAATTATAGTGGAGATAGGGTACCTAGCGGCGGTGCCACCTACCAACGTGCTAACTCACCTAACGTTGTCTTAGTGGACGGGAATAATTAACTTCGTCAACTTTCTCTAACATCATTCATTCACCTCGGGATTTGATATTACCATATTACCTCTTCTCCGCGGCCAACAACCCAAATCCCCCATCCATCATGCCACAAGACCCGAACCTTTACGAGCAACGACCCGCCAAGCGCCAAAAGAAAGAGATCCCGCTCTCTAGCTCCCTCGATTTCGCCTCGCAACTCACATCCCTCCTCTCCTCCGCGGGCTCTGGACAACACCAATCCCCAACCACATCCACATCCACCCCCTCGGTATCTTCGGGCCGCGCCCGCCCATCCAAGACAAAAGACGACATCTTCTCCATCAAAGCGAAGCGGAAAGCTAGTACCAACCAAAATGCCAAAGATGATGGAGAGGATGGTAGGGGCGGCGCAAAGCTCACCCTCAAAGACCCGCAAGGCACCGAAGATGAAAAACGCGACCTAGCCCGCGCGCGTCGGCGAATGGAAGAAAAAGCGCGTCTCTACGCAGCCATGAAACGCGGTGACTACGTGCCCAAAGAAGGAGAAACAGCGCCCCTCGTCGACTTCGACCGGAAATGGGCCGAGCGCCATCCCGATTCAAACGCAGACCACTACTCCTCTTCCGGCACCGACAACTCCGATTCCGAAGAAGAAGGCGAGGAAGAAATGGTAGATTTCAAAGACGAATTCGGCCGCACGCGTCACATCCCGCGCTCCGAAGCCACGCGTTTGGAACGGCGTAGCAAGCGCAGTGCTCTCGGTGCTTTGGAATTAGAATCCATGGCCGCGAAACCGACGCGTGCTCCCGAGCGCGTTATCTACGGCGACGTCATACAATCCGCGGCTTTCGATCCTGGGGATAATACACTGGATCGCATGGCTGATCTAGCGGCGAAACGGGATAAATCCCCTACGCCACCGCCTGATACGCATTTTGATGGGAATGCGGAGATACGGACTAAGGGGGTGGGATTTTATCAGTTTAGTAGGGAGGAGGGGGTGAGAAAGGAGGAGATGCAGGCGCTGGAGAAGGAGAGGGATAATACGGAAAAGGTGAGGAGGGAGAGGGATGGGGCGCGTGAGGCTAGACGGAGGGAGATTGAGGAGAGGAGGGCGAAGATTGGGGCTAAGCGTGCTGAGAAGTTGGCGGAGAATTTCTTGGATGGACTTGCTGGCGAGTTTGGTGTGAATGTTGGTGGTGAAGAGAGAGAGGCCAAGGAAGACAAGGAGAAAGGAAAGGAAAGTCATTCATGATGGACTCGACATTTTGGCAGGTTAGAAGAGAGGTCTTACCAGGCTCTAATTCAAATTGAAGATACCCCAATTCCACTATATTTGGAATAACAGACCCAAAGTAATACATATTCAACCTACTAAGTTCAAAGATGCAACGAGGGCCCTCACATAGTCTAGTCCCGATTACCGTACTATTATTTGAATTACTCAATATATTTCTTATAGGATCGTTTCGGGAGTATTGAATCATCCATATACGAATACCTTCATCTCCGAGGCATATACTATTTAGACAACTAAGTGTAAAAGCTATTATTGCACGTGGTCTTAATCTGTACCTCGTATATTGAAATCATCTAAAGTATCTCAGACCTACCTACCCAAACATCACTACAAATACAGATAACCACGATACCCATAAGCGATCATACGCAGCGTGAGGCCATGAGGTATCTTGATATATGCACTATATATGTATATGTATATATAGACCTATATATAACAACCCAATAACATAACATCCCTAGACATTTATAACAATAGATGATGAGGACGACGATGACGATGAGGAAAAGGAATATGCCGATCCTATTAACACGATACCGAAAGGAAAAGCAGTTTGATTTCCCTTCCATCGTGTATACCCAAAACGCCGAAAGCCCCTCCCCCCAAAACACGCGTCGTCAGGCTGCGATACGCAGTCCATGGCCAAAACAAAAAATAGGGGGGAAGGGCAAGAAAACTATCCGCGCTAATTTTTTTCCTTTCAAACTTGGACAATAAATAACCCGTCTGAGCGAAGCTCATCTCGTCTCTCCTGAACGCCGGAACATATATGCGCTGTCTCGCAAGAAAACCAAAAAATAAGAATGTGATGCTATATACAGTAATAGATTGGTATTTTCGCTTTATTCACTTGAAATACACACGAAGCGCGAGAACTCTCGATACTTCGCATAAGGTTCCGGCGTTCAGGAGAGCCACCATATACAACCACATTCGCTCATATCGGTGCCTTTAGCACTATTTCGGATTCCAAGATAATGGTCAAAATCGTTTCGTTTTGATTCCCCTGAATCATCATCATCACCGCCTTCGTTTTCGTTGATATAGATTTCGATCGGGTTCTGGTTCGCGTCCAAAACCGGCACCGCCTCCTGATTATCACCAACAATTCGAACCTTACGACACCACGGCTTAGTCGACGTTGAAGCACTATTACGACGCTCTTCAACTTTCACAACTCGCGGATATATCGGCGCGGGGCTAAAAGGCATGGGGAGGCCTTTGTCGAACGAGGGTGCTGGGGGAGAAGCGGAAGTCGCTGTGGCAGCTCCATCGCTAGCCGAAGCAGAAGTGTGGAAGTCCTGAGGATCTCCATGCGGTCCTTGCGATGGCCCCCCAAATTCGCCGCCGTTTCCTGCGTCCGCTGCTCCAGGAGTGGGTGTCGGAGCCGGACCACCGCCACCGTTGCTACCCGACGCAGTGGGAGCATTCGTAATTTGACCTGGGTCCATTGGGTGGCTATAGCTGTTATTTTGGCCCGCATAGATAAATGCTTCCATGATGGTATTATCCCAATGACAAATCCATGGCTGTTCGCCGATTTGGGCCTGTTTCCTTTTGAAGTCGCCACCAAATAGCATTCGACGGCGCTTCTGACTCGACGAGGGTGAGGCTGAGCCAGCTGATATGAATGGTTCGGGGACGATGACGGTTTTATTATAGCCTACCTCGAAGTTCCATGCTGGACCTCGAGAAGCCTCGTTGACATCACTGACAAGTTTCAGCTTCATGTCAGTGATATCGGGTGGTTGCACCCCGTAAGAGTAGACGTTGTTCTTTAAACTGGACGAATCATTATACAAGAACCCGAAGGAATAATCGGATATATTTGGTTGGCCGGTTAGTTTTTTTATTGACATAGCAAGTTGGGAAAATGTGAGATCGCAACTCCACGCTTGGGCTAGCGTTGGGTCGCTAAAGCAGGTATTAGATATTCGATTATTCCTGCCCAAAAACATAGAAAAATTGCCCTCCGGTAGGGGCGGTAAATCGGGAGGGAGGGTACTGAGTGGTTGTGTATCCCAATTACCGGGAGATATTACTGGTGATGGTGGCCTGTAAGAATAAGTTTAGCATTAAAGGCTGAAAGGGCGGTATGTAGTAATGGAAAATTCGTACCTATCTGGAGGCTGAGGTTTTTTCACATGAGGGTTGGCCAACGTGCCAATGACAGCACCAAGAATTACTCCCATCAACACAAGGACAATAGACGCGAGAATGATGGCCCAACAAGGGATAATACCCCAGACTCGCCTCTTGGCCGTTGTTTGCCAATCCTTGGACAATCTTTTCTCATCTGTAACTTCTTCTTTGTCTGGCCGAGTAGCCGCGGTTAGTTCGCGTTGACTGCCGTCGGACGTGAAACTCCGAACGGATTGTCGGGATTGAGGCGAGTTCAGGTTGCCTAAGTCTTCTGTGGACGCGAATTCCGGATTCCGGGTGGCTACTCCAATACCTCCGGCACCTGGGATGGCCAACATCGGTTGCACAGGCGCCGGTTGAGGTGTTTCTATTCCTAGTGCTTTTCTGTTGTACGTTTCCTCTGGGTATCTCGTGTAAGGTGGTAATTGTTCTGTATGACCGTCGGGGCCAATTAGATCCGCCACGTCTTCTCCATCTGGTCCAATTCTTCGTTGATAATTGTCCGTTGTCCCAGGAAACCCGACATTAATTTCCCCCTGCGCGGTTCGATTACGCATTCCATCTGCTTCCGGGATTGTGTTTTGCGGGTATATGCTGTACGGATGCGCCGGCCCGCGTGGACCATTGTATGACCGTTCAGAGATTGGTGCTGTTGATGTGGTCGCTAGACTGGCTGTTCGTGCTACTCGTACATCTTGTGGGTACATCTGGTAGGGATGCGATGGACCAGATGGGCCTTCATAGGAATCTTCGGGGTCGACAAAGGGGGAAGCCGTCGAGACCGTCGAGACTCTACTTGGCGTTCTATCGCTATCGGGTTCAGTAGAGGAGCCATCGTGTTGTAGAGACAAAGATTCTTCCCGTCGATGCGGTTTTGTGATACTCGAAGGTCGTGGCGGTGGTATTTGCGAAATGGGAACGTCCTGTTGTGTCGACGAGGGTCTCGAGGGATCGTTATGTTGGACTTCTACAGGGCGAAACCCATCCGCAATTCCCATTGCCTGAAGGTCGTAATCATCGTCGTCGGCCGGAACATTAGAAAATCTTACAGATGCTCTAAGAGATGAGCCGCGGCCCAATTCAGACGATTTGTTGTTGTCGAAACCACCCATTGCTGCGAAAGGGGATTCAAGGGAGATTGCTTCAGCGGAGCGAAGGAAGGGCGAAGACGCCGTGCAGCAGCATCAGATGCACGACCAACGACAACCTTGACGCCAGAATGTCATCGAGTTTACTAGATTAAAAAAAAAACGTGCCGAATGATTGTGATAAGACTTTCGCGGTTCGAGTGACGTCCTATCGAGTCCGGTCGATCGAGGGTCCCAATTGCAAGTTGTCCGTTGGTTTGTGTTTTGGTAGTAGTGTAGTGTAGAATGTAGGTAGTGCAGGTAGTGCAGGTAGTGTTGGTGGTAAACAGGTGAATAAAGCCGCCAGAACAGCGAAAGGATTGTACAGTACTATGGATGTTAGGTGTTAGGTATTAGACTGGTAGGTTGGAAAACAGCCGTTCTAGTTTCAGTGGCTAGTGGCTTTTACGGGTTCGGCACAGGGAGCCCCAGCACAATCAGGGGGGCCCCAATACTAGGCCTAGTGGGTTTCGGACTTTTGAGAGGGGGGCAGGAGGAGGCAGGTGCTGAGCGAATAGTCATAGCCAATCTAGCCCTATTGGCGGGTTACATATGTACATCCCATACAAATCCATACAAATCCACCACACCTACATGTACCTACCTACCTTATTGTACCCTACCTAATACCCTACCTACCTACTCTAATCTACTAATCTACACCTTTCAAATCGATGTTCCTTCCTACATTTTCCTGTACCTTCCCACATACACTTTACCTACATGCATATAGACATACATTAGAGCCACACTTTTCCAGGATGGTACGTTCAATTGCTCTGGATAAGATAGGGAGAGAGTATGGGATGGGCCGATGGAGGGAAGAACGAGGGGGTCAATGTTGCTTTCCATGGCATTCAACACATTTTTTGAATTTAACGTAAGGTTGTCTAGAGATAATGTACTTACTATAGGTTACCTTTACCTACTACATACATCTCTGTACATACAACATTGAACAATCAATCCTAGAAATGATATGACTTTTCGTACTCGTCTTCATACATGTATGCTTAATACTTTAGATATATCCCGTCCAAAACTATATCCGCGTGTATATATGACTATAATATATACATATGTATGTAAATAAGCCCTTGAAAGGGGAAGAAAAAACCTGGTGGGAATACAGCAGGGGCAAATCAAAAGAATATTGAGTTGATATCCGGGTCGATCGGTTGGTCTCGCCCAATTTGCCTTCCCTCCTCTATATTCGTCGGAGCACCACTCGATCTCTTGGCGATGGCACTTTGGGTTATTGTTAAATGTGCGAAGGCAGTAGAAAAGAACAGGATAGAGTGTAAACTTAAGAGTGCCGTGTAGTTAGCAATCGCCTTGTCAGTGTCGTACCTCCAAGGACTTTGACACGGTCCATCGTGGTCGAGAAAAAAACGTGCCCGAATCGAAAGACATCTATCATCAGGCACGATTCACCATGGTCCCGTGAAATGGCATCAGAGAAGAATTTATTGAGCAAGTAATTTAAAACTGGCCTTGTATTGACAGCAATATGCCCCGCGGGCATAGATTCGCTACATCCACTTAAGCCTATTCTTGTGCCGCTGTAGGGGTGGACGAGTCTTTTCCAATATTCCCGGAAGACGGACGGCACGAGGCCGCACATGAAAATGAAAGAAAATGAGGGGGGCGTGCTGATAGATCTCGGTTGTGCGAAAAGCTAAGGTATTAGCAATACAGCCGGATGAAGCAGTCATTTAGCGTTGTAGGTCAAGTGGAGTCGGCCCGGGCAAGTTTTTAATACATATGTAATAATAATGTTTGTTTGCCTGTATGTATTTGCGTCTGCTTCGTTCGGTTGGTCGTCGATTCAATTCTTTCCTTTAATTTTCTATTAATTATTTATTCAGAGACCCGTCGTATATGTAGAACGTGTGTGGTATCGAAACATTGGAAGTCCTTGCGTCACCCCTTCTGTCATTTGTCCGGGACGTTCCAGTAAGATGTAAGATGGAGGAGGGAGAGAACACGATGACCCAATAGCCCACACTCGTGCTACTACACTTTTCGAATGTTTCTTATACTTCATCGATTGATACTCTGACGTACCCCCACCATACATATATGTATCATTTGTAGTGTTAGAATGGAAGTTCTTGCTATTGTGATGTAAGTTGGTAGGTACATAACTGAACGCACGCTACAGTAAACTTTAAAAAGTTAGGTAAAAAAAAAAACAGTCCCACACGCATGTGGGCGGCGATCCGGCACTTGTTTCCCCCTATGAGCGGGTCAAGCCTCTCTAAGATCTTGTTAGTTTGCACTAACTTGCAGGTGATGAAAAGCAGGAACACTTTACACAGCGGATCCTCGGAGCGCCTATTCTTCCAATAGACGAATAGGGCACCTACATAAGCATTCGATGTGTAAATGAAAACGATGCCGCTGACATCAACGAGGCTTCGAAATGATTTATGAATTTGAATAAATAATGCATGCATTCCTATCGCAAGAACGCAGCAGGAAGAAGAACGAGCAAAACTCGCAGACACTGAGATGCAAAAAGGGCGCACTAAACCAAAATAAGAAATAATATATTAATCTCCACGCGCTTAGCATGTGTGTGCACGGCACGTTGCTTCCTGGACGAATCAGGCAGGAAACCCGGGCTGTTCGAAGTTTCTTAGCATAATCTAACTACCTTCCATATTTAGATATTTCTGTTTAGTTGAATAGTGACAGGTTTTTCTTTCCTCCTTCTCTTTTCTCGCTACGCCGTACATATACCTTAAACTTGAAAAGACTCAGAAGTGTGTATACGATATGACCCTATCATAAGAGATTATGCCACTTTTTTAGGTTATAAATATCTCGAACAGTTACTCTCAAGAAATATAGTCTCGAATAACAAAGTCGAATAATAAGCAACGAAAAGTGCCGTGATGATGGAAAGTTTGTCATAAACTGGCAGGGCTGTCTGGCTTTCAATTTTATACAACTTCCGTAATTGGTGGGATGGTGTAATCCCGTACAAGCCGATGCTGATTCGTAGTGTCGAGAGGCCTGCACCGCTTGTATCCTCCGAGATCCCAAAGCACGACATTTGTCATGCTCACGTTTAATTCGGTATAGTGACTACAAGCCTTATCACACTCAGCTCAGAATGGAAACAATCCCTCTCTATCTATGATCCCTCGGCTGAGAATTGCTTTTGGCTACCTGATGGTAATAATCAACCGCCGACTCGTCAGTCGAGCATGCAGCTTTGTTCGCTTATTAGCCTAACGTCGCAGTTAGAACCCGGAGTTCAATCAGCTTTGACAGCGGGTCTTGCTGGGGAAACTCCCGATGCCCTAGTAGCTAAAAGCATACCTATCTACGAAACACCACACACACCTACGATATTTATAATATGAGGTCGCTTTGTGACGAGCCGCCGGCAGTGGTAGCGACAGTGCCTTTCGGCAGAGAAATGCGCCAGGCTCACTTCAACTTCGCTTCTTCTTACACTCCACTGAACCATGGTTCGTTCGGGGCCTTCCCCTCGTGTGTTCGAGATTATCAGCAGCGGCTGCAGTGCGAAACTGAAGCCAAGCCAGACACCTTCATACGTTTCATATATCCTAGACTCCTACGAGAAGCAAGGGAGACTGTCGCTCCGCTATTAGGGGCAGAAACTGACGAAGTAGTTTTCGTACCTAATGCACTTACTGCGATTAACACTGTCTTGAGAAATGTGACATATCAAGACGGCGATGTCATACTGTATTTCAGTACCATCTATGACGCATGCCTCAAGACTATTCAGTCGCTAGAGGAGACTACCGGGGTCGGAGGGTATTGTATCGATCTGATCTACCCAATCGAGGATGGAGAGATTCTCGAGAGATTCCGTGCGGCGATCCTTGACATTCAGAAGCAGGGCAGTTCGGTCAAGCTAGCCATGTTTGACACAATCCTCACTTTTCCCGGAGTTCGATTCCCATGGGAACGTCTAGTCTCCATATGTAAAGAACATGGTATCCTTAGTTACATAGACGGCGCACATGGAATAGGTCACATCGACTTACGACACGTTGGCCGTATCGGACCGGATTTTTTCATATCCAACTGCTACAAGTGAGCCTACCCGTTTTTCTCTCCTTTTTCATCCCCGCATCCCCTTCATCATCCGTTAAGTTTTTTGCGAACTAAATCCATATAGGTGGTTCATGGTTCCTCGTGGGTGCGCGGTGTTATACGTACCCTTTCATAACCAGGCTCTAATCAGGACGACTTACCCAACTGCGGAAGGTTATCAGCCAGTAGCTCACCGAGAGATGATGTCTCGAAGGAGCTATTTTGTCAATCTGTTTGAGAAGGTATCCACGATAGATACTACTCCGTACATATGCGTCATAGAAGCGTTGAAGTTCCGAAATCAGGTTTGTGGTGGTGAAGAACGGGTACGCAACTATTGCATTAATCTCGCAAAGGAAGGCGGCGAGTTGATGGCCGCGATACTGGGAACGGAGGTTCTCGAGAACAAAACGGAAACGCTTCGAAACTGTTATTTCACTAACGTAAGGTTACCATTAGAAGTAGCAGAAACAGCAGAAGAACCGGATGAATCCGGCCAGGCGATGCGTAAGGTTCCAGCTAAAGAGGCAAAGGCTGTGGCCGACTGGATTACCATCACGACAGTGGAGGAATTCGACACATTCATAGCGACAAGATATTACGCCGGCGCTTTTTGGATTAGGCTATCCAGTCAGATCTACCTTGACAAGGCCGACTTCGAATGGGCCGCAAATGTTCTGCTCGATCTTTGTACCCGAGTAAGAAAAGGTTTACGGTTGACATAGGAGTTAGGCTGCCTGTTCTCCTAAGAAGAGTCATAAAAAAATTTCGATGAAAGGTAGGGCCACTAGATCTGAGCAACGTGTTCCTGGGGGTGTCGGTATTTATATACCCACCTAAGTGCCTAATATTTACTTGCTTACGCGGCCTTAGGCACTCGACGACTTCCCAAACCTCTAAATCATACAATGTGCCCAATCAGAGCATTCAATAGACGGTAAGTCACGTTGAGTTGCGTGTCCTAATTTTACAATTACTAATAATCATGGTTAGGTAATAAAGGTAAGAAGAGAGCGAATACCATATATATAAATCTATTTATTATATTATTTGTTGTTAAACTCATTGGGTATTCATTGTTATGTTGTCATTTTTTTATTAAAAATTGAATTCGAAGTGTAAATGTAGGGGTGCGATATCATATATCATAAATCTCATTCTAAGTAAATTTCGTCATTCGGGGGCATTTTCATTCCTGTTATTGCCGTTGATACGCGATTCAATTGACATGTCAGTCAGAATATGTCGGAATGATTAGGACAGAGTGCATACAAAAGTTGGTAAGCTTCACTTTGATGTGCAGATAAGGCTGCTACATGCCCTCCATCACACAGCATCGATCGTGTGCCGCCGGATGCACAAAAAACCTCAGCTATTCCTCGTAGGGCGTCGAGGTGCTGAGGTCATGTTTGAAACGGCAGCTTCGATTACCAATCATTTGTCGGTGCGGTACCGGGTCAAAAAATCAAGTCCAATACATTCGGTGCCGGGGTCTCTTCCCCCCTCATTCATTATCTGTCGGCCTCTACTCCATTCGCATTATTTTCGGGCGTTATAGGAATCCTTCCTTGGGCGCTTCTAGTAGTATGCCTGCTTGGAACAATTCCGCCGGGGAAATATTATTATTCCCTCATCAGACCACCCGGGTTCCCCAGAATCCTACGTCGTTAGCCAGGCAATGAGGCTCAATTGGTGGGAGAGTTGGAGTTGGGCGTAGGGTCCTGAGTTGAGGTTTCATTTCTATTTCGTAGAGCTCTTCTAGCTCGTGTACGCCACTGCTGCTGCATTACACCCCAGTACCGACCCAAGAAATGGGGCGAGGCGACATCCCTCGATTCGTGGTTCGCTATCTTGATCGAGTCGGTTTGATGTAGCTGCCCATGCGAGCACACCCCCCCCATTGAACGGGAAATAGGGCAAGCGGCATCTAACTGGTTCTCTAAATAGCTCCCTGGATGCTTCACCGACTGGCCGTGAGGGGATGAGGCTGCCCTCGCCGTGAACTGCAGAAAATGCTCTCGTCCACTAGTTCACTGGCTCAACTCCGCTCGTTGAGGAAAATCGAACTTACCTCTTTAGAGATCGTCTGCAGTTAGGGGCGGAATCTGCCAGCTCCCGTCGAATCGATATCTGTGCTCACCGTGGCTTACACCCCACCAATCCCCGTCACTGCGTATACCTGAAATGCATAATGGACAGGGAAATGGTCGCCCGAGCACACAAGCCGGCGTTCCTGATAGGCAGAGCTGCTTTACCCTGCTAACGAGCCTCCTAAACAAAAATTTGGCACACTGTCCCTTGAAAATATTTAACAGTGTCTATACCGCCCCGGTCCTGCCTAGGAACAGGCTTCCACCCTACACTTCTTGCCTTGTTTTTCTATTCTTACTCAATATACCTCAATAGATAGTCCAGTCGCTGTCTTTTCTCACATCTCAACTCAACTCTCACCCGCATTTTGCCACAAGGACAATCCTTGTTCAATACAGTCGGAACAAGACATCGAAGCCACAATCAGTCACAGCTTCGCCCCCCGGACTTAAGTTACTACTCTACCATTTCTGTGTATAAAGGGAGCTTGCATTCCACCACCATCCGTCATGAATCCGCGACCACGAAACGGTTCATTCGGCTCGGACACTTCGTCTTTTTACTCGGGACGTTCAGGATCTGTTGTGTCGGCAGATTCTACGTCTTCTATCTGGTCCTCTTCGGAATCGGACTCATTTGTCTGGCGAGATGATCCTTGGGGATTCTATGGCGTGGGAGGCGCTGTCACCCGCTACGTGGACCAAGGTGATGACAGACGCAGGAAGGTCGCGTCGCACATACTGAGCGGCCCGTTCGCTCAGTTCTACAAAAAGCAACGCCAATCCAATTCTCGTTCACACTCCCACTCTCACTCCCGCCCAAAACGCAGCGCCAATAGTTCGCGCTCCAGCTCTCGTTCGAGTAATGGTAATGCTAGCCCTCCTAGAGCTCATAGCCAACCTTTCCCACCGAGGCCTATGAACTTTGAGCCTGAATTTCACGAGGACGAAATGTACGACGACGTGGAGCAATTCCATGAGGAACCTTTCATGCAGGGGCCATTCGGGCATCCCCCTCCCCAATTCCGAGGGCCACCACCACCTCCTCCCCCGCCAGCTGCACCACCTGCTGGTTTCGAGGGCGGCTTCATTCAACTAGGTGGTCCTAGCGGTCCTCCACCGCCTCCACCGCCTCCACAAGGCGACCCCTGGAATAATGGAGCTAGATTCGGACAAGTTTACGATTAATGACAACGATTTATGATTAATGATGGAGATATCTTCCCCATGAATATTACGAATTATTGGTTCTCTACGGTTTTTCAAGGAACTGGATGATTTCTACTCGTTAGGCTTTGGGTATCCGGCGTTTTTATGTGGAACTCGTATTTTTTTGGTAATCTGGGGCGCCATGCACCTATTGTTATTATTTTATGACACGCCAGCTATATGTATGTGACGAATCGCAAAAGAAAGGAAAAAGGGGACAACAAGAAGGGTTTTACGAGGACAGAAGAGCCGTTCCTTGCGAAAGATACCCACACCCCATCTGCGAAAGGGCAAAAACAGATATAATGACCCAGTATTTCAAGACGCGCACCGAGCCAGACGGACGCAATCTTGGGTCGCTCGATATAATGATTAGTATTTACCTGTTAAAACGAAGAAATGTTCAATATTATCCATTGTTTTTTGTGAAGACGAGTGTTGTTCCTACGTACCTAGGTGCCTTATACCTAGGTAGGTGCCTGGTGCCTTAGGTATGCAGGGTCAGCTAGCGAAAACGGCGATATTATCCACTGCCCATAAGCCATCTTCGCTGTCAAGTTGGGCTGGCAAGCCCTGGCATGTCTGAGTTTTAGAAATTGAGTGGCTATCCGAAACTTGGATGGAGGCAACTGAAGCTGACTAACTGGGTCGCTATACATCACTCATTGGGGACTTATTGGGAAATGGGCACGCTTGCATGAAATTATTATGGATACCCAGGAGAAAACCATTGGCGAGGAGAAAGACAACAACGTCTCTTGGTATAACGGAAATCCTGGTAATAGCTTTTTGACACTTTCACGGAACTGGACTGGACTGTGCTGCCGGATCCGACCGGATTGCTCTGCCTGAAGCTATGCTAACCTCTCGTGGATAGGTATTTACAGGGCTATGTACCGCTCGCGATGGAGATGTATGGTGAAAAGAGCCATTGAAACGGGAATTGGCCTCAGTAAGTTAGTTGAGTCATCGAACCTGGATCACTGTTAAGTATGAGTGATTTATCGTGTTTGAAACTTCATACCCAATAACCACAAAGTCTCATCAAAGACTCAGCCCTTTCGCTATCGTAGAAGTCATTTTTGTTTCGGTTAGCGGCAAAGATGTTTATGGGGAGAGTTGTATCGGGGGGCCAAAGCGGTCTTAGCTTACGGCTGAGTCTTGTTAACGAACTGGGGTGTTTGAATCCTAAGCCACACAACTAGATCTCTTCTCCCTCTCCCCAATTCCAGGGATTTGAAGTGCCAATTCTTTAGCGTACAATAAGACCTTACATAATTTCCACTGACACGGTACCGAACCAGGTCCCCTCTATCCATGTGGTTCGCGGCAGGCTTCATACCCCATAGCAACCCCCACAAACAAGGCAGACATCACCCATCGTCCACGCCGACGGAAAAAGCCAATGGTTCCCTCACTCCCACCCGAAGTCTTACATTTTTGTATACACAACGTTTTTTTTTTCTTATGCGATTAACGTGTCGTGACTCGCACGATATGTAGGTCAAATGCATTCGCTTTCCTCCGGTCGCTATCGGATTGGACAGGACAATCCCGATTGTGGCTTAACCAACTACTGCTAGCTAGCTACTGTATGTCATCCGAGAAAATTTACGCCTGTTGGTTCGATAAATTCCGAGCTTTGCTGAACCACTTCGGCGTGAACGATCGAAGGCGCGAAAAAAAAAATTAGTATCCGTAAGACTCATTCCACGCCGAAATTGCGGATAGAAAGCTAGTGGGTTGGTGCCTGTGTCTGCCTGATATTTCGGCCAACGATCTACATCCATGGATGGAAAACCGAGTGCGATCCGTTTAAGCTTGGTTGTGCTTACATAGCGGTCTACTCAGGCAACTCATCTACAAGCTATGGCGCCAGCAATCATGATATCAAGTTTGATTTCGTGCAGGTTGCCTCTTGACTCTATCCCACTCATACCTATAGTGCGCAAATATAGATCCTTATGAATAGTAACAATCACAGTATAGTATATAACAACCTAGGTAGCAGTGGCGGCTAAAGGTTCGTATGTCCAAAAAAGGGTACATCACCGGCATTCACAAGCCACTCATCAAGCCTGCTGTTGGAATAGTGCCATGCATAGCTGACGGGCGCCGGATAGCCAACTAGAAATGCTAGAGAGTCGTGGTTAGCATAGCCGTTCTATGCGGTCTGAGTCAACCAATTAACACCGGTTGTGGAGACCTCCGCCAAGGGTCCTCCAGGGTGTTGTAGATCTTGGATCGATGGTTGCCTGGGGCTCTTACTTGGACAGACCGACGTTATATAAACGTCCTTCACCACGACATATCTATCATCGTGCTATACTACAGCAAGCAACAGTTCCCGGCTTGGACTAATTCACCTCTTTTCTTCGCAGCCGGGGCTGAACTGAACTAAACTTCAAGACGAGCCCTGAGACAGAAACTCACTGTCTCTAGGTGTTGTGTTAGTTGTGCGTTCTCTTTATTCTTCCTTGTTTGGTCGAATGTCTCTACTAAGTCTCCTATCGCCCGCCATGGCAGCCGATCCATCAGGATCCCCCGCCGGCGTGGCCAACGGCACTCCTGATTCATCACAAAGTTCCGAGATGCCACGAATTTCTCAATTCGCAGTCGTCGACATATTCTTCCCCGGATTCTCAACCTACGCAGGATTCATACAAAAATATCTCCGTATCGATCTCAACCTATACATCCCTCTACTACTTCTAGCCGGTGCTCTAACAGTAGTCTGGAGTTACACAAGTTCCTACTTACAAGACAAACTTGAAACTCATTTCATGTCCACCGTCGACATCCGAACTGACGATGAAATCTACAACATTATAATGGCCTGGGTAACCCGGCAGCGATTCTCAAAAGGCGCTCGGAAATTCGTAGCTAGTACCAACATCAACTCCCGGTGCTACTACCTTTGGGACGGGGGCTACGACTACGACGATGATGACGATGAAGAGTATAGAGAGTCGGACGCTAGTGCGAAGAAGAACAAGACTTTGTCGTACACGCCCGCCTTCGGAAGCCACTACTTCTGGTACCGCGGCCGCTTGCTCGTGTTCAAGCGGTCCACTGGCCGGAACCAAATGTCCTCCGCGACACTCAGTCAACGCGAGGAGATCTCGCTGTCATGTTTCGGCCGCGATCCCTGGATTCTGAAGGAGCTTCTTATGGAGGCTCGTGAGCTGTATATAAAGAAGGACTCGCACAAGACTCTAATCTACCGTGGAACACTCAGGCCGGGGTCTATGTCACCCTTTTGGCAGCGATGCATGGCTCGAGCTACTCGCCCCTTTTCGACCGTCATCTTGAACGAGGACACGAAGCAGGAGCTCATTGATGATGTCACGGATTATCTCTGCCCTGCGACACAAAGATGGTACGCGAATAGGGGTATTCCTTACCGACGGGGTTACCTTTTGCACGGTCCTCCCGGCACAGGAAAGAGTTCTCTTAGTCTTGCTCTAGCTGGTTACTTCCAAATGCGGATTTATATCGTCAGTCTTAGCTCTATGACAGCTAGCGAGGAAAGTCTCGCCTCTCTATTCGCTGAGCTACCTCGTCGCTGTGTGGTTCTTCTCGAGGATATCGACTCTGCAGGTCTCACTCACACACGTGAGGAAAACCAGCCTCTACCCCAACCTCAGAAGGATGACTCGGATGATGAAAGCGATGAAGAGAAGGTTCCTGGACAAATAACGAATGGCGAGAACACTCCAAGTACTGGTCGTTCCAATGGTTTGTCTTTATCTGGATTACTTAACATTCTAGATGGTGTGGCATCGCAAGAGGGCCGAATTCTGATCATGACGACAAACCATGTTGAAAAATTGGACAAGGCTCTGATTCGTCCGGGACGTGTTGATATGACTGTTCACTTCAGCCTAGCGGATGAGGGCATGTGTTCTGCCATCTTCCGTGCTATTTTCGCGAGCCTAGATGGTGACGATGAGCCCGAACCTACCGATACCCCTCTCGACGCGGAAACCAGACAGAGACTGAACGAGGAGAAGGCTAAGAAGCGGGCGGCTAAAGATGTTCATGTGTCAGCCCTAGCGGAGGAATTTGCGTCCAAGATACCGACACACGAGTTCAGCCCTGCCGAGCTACAAGGTTATCTCATGAAGCATAAGCGCAATGCTCAGAGGGCAGTTGAGAATGTGAACAGCTTTATCGAGCAAACCCGGAAAGATCATAAGGAGAAGGAGTTCAAGGAAGCGGAGAGGAAACGCAAGGAAGAGGCCAAGAAGAAGGAAGAGGAAGAGAAGAAGCAGCAAGAAGAGGCTAAGGAAGCAGAGAAGAAGAGCAAGGCCCAAATGAAGGGCTCAAAGAAGTCAAAGTCATCGTCGACCTCGGATGAATCGACGGCCGAAGAGAATAAGACGGAGAAGGAGGTTCCCACGACCGAATCCTCCGCAGATAAATTGGATGTTAAGGTGACGGATGGACCGGGCCGCAGGAAAGATGATTCTGGATATGTTACACCAGCGAGCGGGGAGCCGTGATGGTGATGACGTCCCAACAGTTGGTGAATAGATGAATAGATATCGTCTTATCTTTATGTAGCGGATCGTGTAGAATTTTCTTACCATATAGATAAAATACCCTTGTAGAGTTTCAGCGTATTATTCCCGCATCATACTCGTCGTGGCCTAGGTGTGAGATTTGTTGATGTTGATCGTTCACAAAAGTGAGCTGATGGATTACGTGTGGGAGAAGTGTGGTCAGCCACTTTCGTAAGGTAGAAGGCAACCAATCATTGAGTTCCGATTGCATGTGATGACATGTGAGACACATTACCTAAAGCACCTCGCAGAAGCTGAATAATTTAAACGTTTGATAAAGCGATTCGATATCCTGGCAACTTGGTTCGTTGCCTTCGTGGCTTGGCCGGCTCGGTTGTGATTGTAGACGTTTCATTGGATCCCATGGTAAGCCTCTTACCCGTGCGTGCGTTCAGCCATGTCTGAGTGCTCAAGCAACTAGGTCCCTGGACGAGCCGTCGTCGAATTTGTAGCTTAATGCCCGAGATATATATCCGAAAGTCCGGGTCACCATCGGTTGGATTTCGTTATATATCGCCTTGCAGACCTGGGGTAGTACGATGTTGCTGATGTAGGATTATCCCTCAAATCCTGTTGAGATTGTGACATGTTTTGGAAAAGAAAAGGAAAAAATAGGAAGTGATGGAAACAATAGATAGTACCAACAAAGCAAAAGCCCTGTGCGTCCATCCCGCCGTCCCGTTGTTGCAGAAGTATCAATTGATCCAAAGTTCGAATTGTGGGAAGCTAACCTCTTACGTTGCTAGTCCCTTAACCTTAAATCCGTTAAACTTTACAGGGGAAGTACCCAATAGAAACCTTAATACAGTTCGGTACTTACTCTTTATGGAATGCGGCGGGGCATTTTGACCAATCAGAATTTAGGGGTCCTGCAATAGATTCTATACATTGATACCTGTGATCGTGTGGGTGGTTGTAGTCTGTAGATGGTAAGAGATGAGATGAGACCAGCGTGGACTTCGGGAACTTCCACGTTGAGACCTTACCAATCAACTAATATTCTACTTTAGTGCTTATATCTATGCACGTGTAGCTAACATTGAGGGTTTGAGGCTGTTGAATGCTATCTTTTTTGGAATTGGAACATGGAAATTGAAAATATTCACTTACATCCGTAGCAGCATCTAATGTTTCTTCAGGTCCGCCACGTAGTATCCATCAGTCAAGTCTCATGTAATTGGAAGATGGATTTTTGCCCAGACTTTTAGTTTGTTCTGGTTGATATTCGGCTCAACGAAAAATAGAGCCAAAGAAAAGAACCACCAGGCACAGAGCAACAAGTCTTGCAACTGGTGCTTGCCAGATAGGTTTAGAGTATAAGTCTTATCCACTTCGGGTAAGTCCGCGCCCGATGTTGAGGGTCCTTAGATACATCTCGATACATGTGAGTTAAACAGCATCAGCATGTATGGTGACTTCTGGATAGTTAGTCGGATAGGTACCTAACTTAAAAGACTCGGCGCCTTATTACGGCAGAGGGCAATTTGGTGTAACTAGACTAAAATATTAGCCCGTTCGCATCCTTTCTACCCCCCCTCCTCCTTGTTTTTTTTTCTACCGAAAAGGTACATAGCAGAATGTTGTGACATGGGACTAGCATCGATAAGTTTTTTTTTTGCTGACAGTTCAATATCCTATTCCACCTCTTACTGCTACCACTACCGCTACCGCTACTACTCTACTTGCTACCTAATCATCTAATTTCATTTTATTTAATCCATATCCCCATCCACGCATCCACGTTCGTTTCCCTCTGTCTCTCCTTTTTCGTTTTAAGGAAAAAAAGAAAAAGAAGAAGGAAAAACAGAGCCTGACGCATACGACAGTACCAGCGTTGTGTTGTTTTCGTTTCGTTACTATTTTGTCTCGTGACAGGACGATCAAATACTACGCTGATACGTCCAAGATAGGTTGCCGATAATTCGTTGATAGGTGAGTTCATATGTCAAAAAGGGACAAAAAGAACAAGAACCTCCCCTCCACATCCCCTCCAAAATGTACCAAAAACGCACCAAAACCCTTTCAAGAACCAACCCCTGGCGGTCTACTACATCCTGTACCCAGATCCCACCCCACCATGGATCGACACACATGTAAATCTAGTCAAATCCAGACTGGGCGTTCGCACGCGCAAACATTCATCTTCTCACCAAAAAAAATTATGTCCTTGTACCCTCTAATGGCCCCCCTGTTCCCCTGTTCCCCTCCTATCCTACCTATCCTACCTATCCTATCCCACCAAGCCCGCCAGCCCTCCTATCCCCTTCGAAAGTTAGGTTCCATTGCCAATTGGCGGTGAAACCAACATACAAAATAAAAATCACACCCCCCCCCAACCTCGAAAAACCCTGCCTGCCACCTTGCCATGTGCCTGCTGCTGTTTAATTGCTAATAATACTACCTCTACCCGCCCACACAGACAGCCGAGATAAACACACTCGTTGGACTTGACCTCGTTCACAACCATATTTTTCTCTCCCACTTACAATTTCGACGCGACGAAAACATACTGTTCGACACCATGGCAACTCGTCCTCAGAATATTGGCATTAAGGCCATTGAACTTTACTCCCCCAGCCAGGTGAGTGGGAGCCCTGCCGCCCCTCCACGACCCAAGACATTTCCGTGACCCGCCACATCCCGCCATAATCTACCCCTCCGACATCGCACGAAGTTCACGATCGTGAAGGAAAACCCTATACTGACAGAATTGTACTTTGTAGTATGTCGAGCAGTCGGAACTTGAGAAGTTCGACGGTGTTAGCGCCGGAAAGTACACAATTGGTCTTGGTCAGACCAAGATGACCTTCTGCGATGACCGTGAGGGTAAGTTGCTACAATTGCTACTCCTAGGAGCTCCCCGTCTCTACACGCGCTAAGAAAGGGGCAACCTACAGATATCTACTCTATCGCTTTGACTGCCACCTCGAAGTTGCTAAAGAACTACAACATCGACCCTAACTCGATCGGCCGCCTCGAGGTTGGTACCGAGACCATGCTCGACAAGTCCAAGTCCGTCAAGTCCGTATTGATGCAGCTATTCGGCGAAAACACCAACATTGAGGGTGTCGACACCATGAACGCTTGCTACGGCGGTACCAATGCTCTGTTCAACTCTGTCAACTGGGTCGAGTCTTCTGCTTGGGACGGAAGAGACGCCATTGTCATAGCCGCTGACATTGCTCTCTACGCCAAGGGCAATGCGAGACCTACCGGAGGTGCCGGTGCTGTTGCCATGCTGATCGGCCCTGACGCCCCCCTCGTCGTTGAGCCCGGTCTACGTGGATCCTACATGCAGCACGTGTACGATTTCTACAAGCCCGACCTTACCAGTGAGTACCCGTATGTCGACGGCCACTACTCCGTCAACTGCTACATGGAGGCTCTCGATGCTGCTTATCGCGCATACTGCAAGCGTGAAGCGCAGCTACAAAACACCAATGGCAACGGCAATGGTGCCGCCCCTACTGAGGGCACCAAGACACCTCTTGACCGCTTCGACTACCTAGCCTTCCACTCGCCTACCTGCAAGGTCGTACAGAAGTCCTACGCACGCCTTCTGTACCACGACTACCTGTCCGACCCTGACAGCGCTGCTTTCGCCGAGGTCCCTGGCGACATTCGGGATATGGACTACAACAAGTCCTTGTCTGACAAGGTTGTTGAGAAGACCTTCATGGCTCTCACCAAGAAGCGCTTCAACGAGCGCGTCTCTCCTGCTATCCAAGTCGCCACAAACTGCGGTAACATGTACTGTGGTAGCTTATGGAGCGGTCTTGCCAGCTTAGTTTCCTACGTCGACAGCGCTACTCTCCAGGGTAAGCGCATTGGCCTTTTCAGCTACGGTTCTGGCTTGGCTGCCAGTTTCCTCTCCCTCCGCGTCAAGGGCAGCACGGAACAAATTGCCAAGATCTTAGATATCCCTAACAAGCTTGCTTCACGGCGAGCAGTCTCTCCTGAGACATATGAAGCTGTAAGTTGAAAATCACATACTCTTTTCTCTCTTCAAGACTCAAGCTAACAATTGATTGCAGTTCTGCGAGCTCCGTCACAAGGCTCACTTGCAGAAGGACTACAAGGCGCAAGGCGATGTGTCCACTCTGGCCAGTGGCACCTACTACCTAGAGTACGTTGACGACATGTTCAAGCGTACCTACGCCATCAAAGCATAAACGACAAAAGATCAGAAAAGGAAGCATTAGATGCAATTCACATTCGATATAGACCGACATGACATTCAGTTCTCTATAGACATGGGTGGGTTCATTACGGTACCTAGGTATCTAGACCATGACGATTGTGTTATGTAAGCGTGTTACGAAAGGTAACATATACAGCGAGGGATTATGACGACTTGTGAGATAGGAGAGAGTCAAATTAATAATAGCGTCGGGTGGATGGAAATGATGGACGCCCGACTTGTATATAATCAAGGTGCGATTCACATTACGAGTCGCACGAGTACGACAGACGCAATAAGATCTAGATTCGGAAACAATACTTTGAGTGAATTGAACGTATTACGTATTCGACTATGAATAATATGTCTAGCTGTGGTACTCTATCTCAAGCTGATGACATCACCTCGATTTTCATTTCTCTTATTCTCCCGCAGTCTAACATATCTAAATCTTCATTGTCATGATAAGGCCTCATAATCTACTATCGCTTACCACTTACTAGTATCAATATTAGACTTAGATCTTAGGTTACTTCACTTCCTCTTAGCGTTCATCCTTCTCCGAGGTTATACGGAGGGTCGGAGGTAGCCTTGCATGATATTCTATAAGATATCTTAATATTGAAAACTATATATCAGGCTAGAGCCCTTGCATCTTGCCAAATGTTCGGTCGATCGGATCGTGGATAGTGTTTTTTATCGTAGCGCGGTTGAATAATCGCCCATGCAAGGGTATCGCCTTAGTAAGTCAGATCGGAAGGAATTATGTGAGCTAGACATGGGTAAGGAAAGGGGGAAGGGGGATGATGTACAGTTCTAGGATCTAGTGTGCTTTCTACGCCGCGAAGGAAGGTTGGATTCGTGATTTGGGGCGGAATATCCCGCATGTGAATACGTAAGGGTCTAGACTTATTCAGGGGAGTAGTTAAGTGAACGCAATTCATAATTGTTGAGTAATCGTTGATGTGGTTGAGACCGATGAAGTTGAGATGCTGGGTTTAGTTGAAGTTGCTTACGAGATTGGCTAAGCTGTTTTGTGATAGCCTCTTCTATTAGATATTGGGTTGAAATATTAAACCTATTGTGGCTTCTAGCTAGAAAAATGATAGCATACTCTAAAATTCAAGTTTAAGAAGTCTCATAGCTTATGTATTCTTACGAGCTCAACAAGACCATCAGGTATCATTCCTAGCCGCCATGCGAAACTGGACTTCTGGTCCGCGACGTAAGGCAACGAATGCATCGACCAAATGAAATTGTTTCCTATCACGCGCACCCCAGCCCATCTCAGGGGCTCCAGCTCCCACCGTCGAGCCCGGCACCCTCCGGACATCAAGTCGATGGAGAGTCCGCGCGACCACAATCATTATCTCAGACATCACTAAGTGCTTAGCAACGCAACTTCCTGCACCGAAAGAGAAAGGGTAGAAATTCGATCGTATCCGGGCAACGTCTTCCTCGAAAACCCCGTGTTCTTCGTTAACAATCCAGCGTTCCGGTCGGAAAACCTCGGGATCGCCGTAGATCTCTTGATTGCGAGAGTCGACCCAGGCCGACGTACCAACGATAGTCCCTTTGGGGTAATATTGTCCTTGAATCGTAATACCATCTGCGAGCACTTCGCGCGAAAGCTCGCTCGGGCCCGAAGGGGAAAGACGCATGCTTTCGTCGATACAGGCTCTTAGGTAAGTGCAATTTTTCAATTTTGGCCCGTAGATAATGTCCTCGGCCGATTCGAACGTGCTCCGTAGCTCTTTAACCAGTTTCTGATATCGATATTGGTTTCCTGTGAGGTAAAAGAAGATTCCCGAAAGAGAGACCGCCGTTGTGTCGGACCCTGCGACAATCAGCAGGTTTGCTTCCGCGCGTAGGTCGATTTCGTCGTAGGCCGGCGTCCCCGTATCTGGATTTTTGGCTTCGCATAGGAAATAGAAGATATCTTTACGCCGCTCTGCTTCCGGTATAGCAGTCTGGGCTTTGTGCAAGGCAATTTGCTCGGTGACGCTGTCGTAGACAAACTGGTAATACCGCTGAGCTCTTGGTGGGGTCATAAGAGCGAAGAGACGATTCAGGCCGCGAGGCTTCAACCATACGACGAAGTCCAGGAAAGGGGAGCGGCAGATCTGAGGATGGTATTTAGTATCTAGCATGGCCGCTTGATAATGCTTGATCATGGAACTTACTAAGTAGGAGAACTTCATGTACTCTATGATATCATGGGGAACATCTCTCAATGTATTCTCCTCGGGCTCTTTCGTATTGAACGATTTCCCAAAGCATAAGTCTCCCATGATATCAAATATCAAATAGTCTACCTTTTGGGAGAAGTCAACGGGAGCGGACCATTCCGAACCGCTCTTTTCAACCAATAGTCGATTCCAGCGATCAGTATGCTGAATCACGAACTCCGATGCAGCACGCACCGACTTTTCCGTAAAGGCAAGATTAAGCAGCTTGCGCCTGTATGCGTGCTCAGCAATATCGACAGTGTTCAATGTATTCTTGTCACGCTCATCTCGCTGGAAGGCCGTATAGAACTTGCTGCGCTGGACGTTTGACTTTGTGCCGTATATCTCAACATGCGCCTTCGGATCACAGAACAACACGGTGTTAGGTGAGGCGCGAAACCTCGTGCCGTATATTTGGAATTGCTGCCATAGCCAAATATGCCGATTTCCACTGTAAGCGTAATACCATGATGGTATACCGCTCACGCGTGCCAAAATAGGCCCAGGAACATGGGCAAGCGGATGGAAGAATAAGTTATAAATAGTGTTGGTAAGAATCTTCGTCACGTTAGCTACCTAGGTGCTGGTTGCACAGGCAGAATTATGATACGGACAGTAAGAAAGCTGATGAGAGCGAGTAACGTGAACCAATCTTTGAGGTTTGCGCCTTCAAAATTCACATACATCATAGCAGTGGGCGGGATCCGAGTCTGTTAGCTCTGTCTTCCTATCCGTGGAGGCAAGGTAATGAGTGAAAATGGGTCGCAGTTACCTAGATGTGCGCTGGTTTGGGAAAAAAAGACCAGGTGTCAAGTATTTCCTTTGCCGTCACAAGGCAAATGGGACCGTACCTATTCGTCAATAACACTGTATTACCGAATCTCTACCAAGGCAACCATTTTAATTCCTCTGAGAGGTAGCGCTAGCGAGAAAAGCAAGTAGAATCACTTTGCGGATAGGGGTTATCCGGCAGTGTGACGAGTGCTATACTGTTAAACAAGTGGCCAGCCTGCTTCGAGTGATCTTCCAAAACCAAAACCTGCACAATATACAGGAGGATTTCTTCACGAAGAACCATACAACAAAGTACCTGGAGATAGTGACAAACAATGGTGCTCCCGGTGGCGGCGAAGCCACGTCCCCTTTTCAAATTCTAGTCGCTTCCTATAGGGAATACCAAGTTTGAGATAGCCCCTATGTAGACCGGTGGCTGCAAACATCTAACTTTAATCTGATAAGTAGATAGTGATCCAATGCTACCATCTTTGACGGAGAACAAGTCTCTTGTCGCATTGCCACTTTCGACTATATCTCCGGCTTATTAGCTGCATGGCGACCTGTTTATATTCCACCATGGCGACACCTCCACTAGAGCAGTTATCACCTGAGTACCTCTCTGAAAATAACGGTAGCTCCAGGCTCATGAACACAAGCATCGCCTTTATTGTCTTATCAACAGTCATCTACGCCGCCTTCGTCGTTTCTCGAGTTTCCCTCGTAGCAAGGAATGGATGGGAGACATGGACGCTCTATCCACTTTCTTACCTTTTGGCATTGGCACTTTGCGTGATTGGGATATGTGAGTTTCCATCGCACTACATCATGTCGGTTTGCTTCTTACCCGTACTAGTGATCGTTACGATTGGCGGGGGTGGCCGGCATACCGCTGTTTTTCTTGCTAGCGATCCGTCGGTAATCACGACGTATTTAAAGCTATAAACATTAATCGAATCGATATATATGGCTGGAGTCACGGCTCCGAAGGTTAACTTGTTGCTGCTCTACAGTAGAATATTCGTCGAGAAAAGGACTCGGATCATAACATGGGTTGTTCTGGCCGTGGTGGTATTATCCTTGTCTTCACCATTTGCAAACCGTTCGCTTTCAAGTGGGATAAGACTATCCATGGAGAATGCGCCGATTGGATGGCCAGTTACCGCTATGTCAGTATCCCCAACATAATTACTGACATAGCTATCATTCTGCTGCCTGTGCGGATGCTGTATCAGCTGAATCTGGGTAGAACGGAGAAGCTTGGCGTCTTTGTGGCGACCATGGCAGGTGGATTGTAAGTAACAAGCTGACGGTCTAGATCTTGGAGTGGTAATTAACAGTACTTATAGAGGAATAATCACTTCTGTGATTCGATTCGTCGGGTTCTACTTAGCCGACCTACCTTCAGACGTAACGTGGTACACCGTGAACACATCGATATATACCATTATCGAAGTCGCGGCCTATTTTGTTTGCTCCTGTCTCCCTGGCATTCGTCCCCTCGTCCGCCTGTTATACAAAAAGTTAGATCTTTCCATCCTAACTTCGCGCGTGACTAAAAGCAGTAACTGGCAATCACCGGAGGCGGATATGCCCTTGGGAAATCCGAGGGCTACTTATAAGGCTTCGGTAACTTCGTCTAGGCAATTGCGCTCCGGCGGAAACGAAGGTTTCATTCTTCTAGAGGAGACCATTCAGGTTGGGACCAGCTCCACAGGGTCGGATCCTCACGCTCGGCGACAGTGCCCCAGTGAGCTTTGACACGAGACTTGAATCTAACTACTTATCCAGTGGAAAAGAAGACACCTAGGGTCCGATAATAGTATTTTTAGTTTTGCTTAAAACTTCGCTTGTGCGGTAGTGAAATTCAAGTGTCGTGATGAATTCTAACATGCTCCTCATATGATCTGCTCTTCGTAGCTGGTGGCGCTTAAAACGACGTTGTTATCATATGTCGGCGTACGTCTTATCAAGGAGAACTGTTAATTTGTGTAAGAAAACTAAGCTTCCGCAAGTGGAAAGTTGTAGATAGGGTATCGGGTAGGTACCTAGGTAGGCTTCGGAGTCTCTTATTAGTTACACAAATAAAACATGCATGTCTCAAGTCCTTTTATATTGGGCAACAATCCACGACACACGCGTATCCTAGAAAGCTGGCTGCCTACTTAGTAAGTATCTTTTAGATAGTTTCACCGCTCCTTTTAATGGGGCGCATTGGGAGATGAAGAGCACACCCCTAAAAGTGCTTGGACGCCATTGAAACTGCTTGGTCATGTCGTACAAAGGCTATAGGGAAGGGGGTAGTGGCGCAATGTAGCCCAGGAAAGAATCTCGATCATCGTTCACCGGTTAGACAGGAAATCTACACCAGAGCGCCACATTCGTCATCGGCGGGATACCGGTCTCTGCTTTGTTTGATATGAGTTCCGGCAATGGTCGTGTTGGCTAGATGCTACATACTAGGTACTCTACATTGGTAGTACACCTGATGTAAGCTCAACTGAAACAGACGAACCCGGCCAATTACAGAATGAACCTGGTCATCTCGGCCTTGAAGTTGCAAATTGGAGATGGGGTATGGATTCTCAGTAGAGATATTGACTACCTAGGTAGGTGAATTTGTAGGATGGAGAGGGAGGGAACTCGAGTAGCTGAAAAGCCGACCTCCAATGTTATTATGCACTCGCTTACGCAAGACAGGTAATGAGGTCAGAGGCGCCAGGGTGCGGCCCGAGCCTTTAATTACTGCTAGGTACCTACCAGACGAACATGGTACCTAACCTGCAAGAATTCGGATCGCGCAATACTCGGATTCTTTTAGACTGCAAATGAGTTGACTCTATGCTGTTCTAATAGGATCGGCTTCAAATCAGGTGGTATGTAGCACTGACAATTTCGCATGCTGCAAGAAAGTGGTATAGGTTGATGCGTATAAGTAGCAACTCGAGGCCTACCATCGCATCCTCTATTAGTTGAATAAGCACCGCTAACATTGCGAGTTGTCTAGTCGATTCAAAAGAGAACAACATCTTTACTGGTACATGGACGCGAAGAACTCGAAAATACTAGACATCGAACTTTCTTCCACAAAATACTCTCCTCAAAACTGCCCAGCGAAGAAAAATCCCTCAAGCGAATACAGGATGAAGCCATGGGTATCATCGGTGCTGGGATCGAGTCGACGAAGTGGACGTTGAATATAGCGTGCTATCACATTGCTGCTAATCCAATTGTTGAGGACCGGCTCCGTGCTGAATTTTTGGGTACGATTCCAGATCCCGATAACATGCCACACTTCACCGAGCTAGAAAAGCTCGCATACTTGAGAGTCATTGTTCACGAAGGTATAGTTCCCTCCCTCTTAATCGATACAAGGGCTGAAAGGGTTTGCCCTAGCGCTTCGTCTCTCCTGTGGTGCAGTCCAGCGTCTCACTCGTGTCCATCATAAGCCGATGATATACGGGGCCTAACGCCCTACCCCTTTCTACATGGATAGAAGTAGTTTGGTGCTGTGATCTCGACGAGCCTACATCATCACCCTCTGCTGTCGCGTTAGCCCGTCCTGTTGGCAATGCATAAAACCATGGAGATCGCAATACCTAGTCGTTACGACGTCTAGACAACAAGAGCAGCAAGCCATCATCCTCTTTGTAGCGGTGTAATGCAGTGATTCTCCGATCATCCCAACCTACGCCGTGATCCACTTTTACAGCATCTCGAAGCCCTTGAAAGAGGCCGAGGAATCCATTCCAGTCTGCAAGATCGTAGTCGCAACAGAAAGTAAACCTGTGCTGTAATCGACCGTTCCAGACAAAATCTGCCAGTTCCTGGCATCCCTTTCCCTCTAGCAGACGTGCGAAGGTGGTCTCATCATCGCCCAGACTGTTCGCGCCATTGTAGAAATCCGCAACTGGCAACAAGCCAATTGGGGAGTTGAATGCGTGAGTTGGCGGTGCCGTGTGAGCCCACTCCCAATCGATGATACCAGTAATATTAAAATCCTCATCTACCAGGATGTGATCCCCCTTGTCGTCCGCGTGTTTCAAATAGTACTGCTGGTCATCTTGTGCCGACAATGACGACATAGAGGGGACCAAATCGACAAGAAATCGATGTATTAGGTAGGCATCCACCGGTTGCTGCGAGTAAAGCTCTCCACGAATGATCAGATCCAAAATGAGCCGGAGCGAAGACTTATGATAATCTTCTAAAGACGAGAATGGACCCATTGTGCGCATTTCAGCTTGCGTGAAATCAGTAAGTGATTCTCGAGCAAATGCACCGATATGAAAATCTCCTGGGCGATCAAGGGAGCCAAGAAGGTTGAACGGGTATTTGCGAAGTTCGATGAACGTATTAGCAAGCTGGTTCATCACCTTTCTCCGTTGATCCTGATTTGCAATGGACCATCTCAATGATTTCCCGGGTAGCTTTTCCATCAGAATATAGCCAACGCCGACAGTGTTGCCCGCATGGTCTAATGCAAAGTCAAATACCTTAGGAGTAGGTATATTAGTCTCCTCGAGGAACTTGAGTGTTGCAACCTCACACTGCATAGTATAATCTCGCAGTGCTGCTGGAGGTGATGTAGCGTTAAACCTACGCATACGAGCGAACCATTTTACTCCGTCGTCAAAACAGACTTCAATGTGATAATTCATACCACCCATAACAGAACTCCGAGTAGCTCTGTCATAAAAAAGCGGAGGGATAGAGCAAGGCATCCCTCCGCGCAAATGACTGGCTCGAGATGCGAGCGCAGGAGTGTTGATCTTGTCAATCAATTCTGTAAGCTCACGCGCTTCAGCCTCCCGGGCCGCAGGATCATATGCATCTGCGTCCTGTCAAGGACACACAACTCAGTAAGTGAAGAGGTGTATCGTGAAGAGCTGAACTTACCTCCCATTTGGGACAGGTATGAAATGCATGCTGAAGATGGTGGGAACATAAATGACGGTTACAAAGTACACAATCACCGAGGGTACGAACGGCCGGCTTTTGGCAACTCGCAAAATCACAGGTCCTCATAGGTATTGTGTTGGAATTTTAGTCAACTTAAAACTTCACAAACTAGAAATGAAATATGAAGTGAACCAACGAGGGTGGCAATTGAGCCCCAATGCCAGTGCTGCGTAGTAACCAAAGCGGTAACTTGACAAGCCGCCGAGAGGCCTGGCCATACTCACGGACGTGATCCTGTTTCTGCCTCACATGTTCAGGTTTGGAAAGAATTACCCACGTAATTTGTATCCCAGGAAAGGTGGCTTGGCCTTCACGGCCAGCATGCAGCTCGCACATAGCACGTAATCCACGCAAGGCTTCCGGATCGACAATCTATCAGCATCTATCTAAGCGCCCTTGTAACATATTTACCCTGAGAATGGGAAACCGAGACAAGACACAGTTTCCGCGCGGGGGTCATATGGTCCACCATAAAAATAAGGATATTGTGTTCTGATGCGTATCCGCTGGTGGCTTGTTGTGGCGTTATTTTTGCAGCTGGAATGTGGCTGGAGATGTGAATAGCGTGGAGGAAGTCGTATGAAGTGCTCTTTTCGTAGTGTGAAGGTTACCAAAAGTCAATCTATAAGCCCGTTAGTGAGCTGAATACGAATAGGTCCATTAATCTATCAGGTACCTAGGTAGGTACCTATCTATCTTGATATAATAGCGTGCTGTATAGCACTTGTATGCTAACAGCCGTCCCTGGTAGTAGTACAAGCCTCATACGCAATCATTACACGTACCTAGGTATGGATACCTTGTAAACCTCATGCAATGCAAGCCACATAGTCTCATTCCGTCCCGTTCCATCCCGTCTCTACAAGCCTCCTACCTACGACGCCTTCTCCTTCGCGTTTCCCCCAATCCCCTTCCATTTCCACGTCGCGTTGCGGTGTAGCATATAGTCCATACTTTTGATACCTTTCCAGATACCCACCAAACCGCCAATAGGCCATAGTGCCTTGAGCCAAGGCTTCCACCCCCTATCCTCCGATCCATCGACCTTAATCCTTACTTTCTCGTATACGTTTGGCAGCGACGAGGCGCGGTACTTCTCTCTTAAGGCTTTGTACCAGTTCTGGTACCCGCCGTACGCGTTCCAAAACTCAGGCTCTGTGTAGTACGTATGAGCATATAGCCACTTCATACCGCCCAGATCGGCAACACGACGCTCAAGATCCCGATTTGCTTTAACGAATTCGTCGCGGTTCTTAGGACCCCAGCCCCAGACACCGATGTTAAGCATTTCTCCCGCCACCCCTTGTTCTCCATTTGTGGAGTTAGGGGAAGACCTTAAGTGTGGATGAAATGTTGGTCCCGCCGGCGTCTTGAGGGGACATAGCCATAGCGGCCAAATGCCTAGCTTGTCAGAGACATAATCGACGAAGGGCTCCGCGGACTCATACGGCAACCCAATATCCTGGACGACAAAGCGTCCACTTTCGCCGCTGCCGTGAAGCGCGCGGTAAAGCATACGGGTGTGCAGGAAGTCATCAAGAAACCAGCGGAAGAAGCGTGTGAATGGTACTGGCTTGAAGTAGTCGAAGGCTGCTTGTCCAACCCAGAATCCGCCACGGTCGTACCGGAAGAGGTATTCCGCCAGAGGGATGTACTCAGTGACCTCTGTGTTTTCCCCGGAAGCGGCTGATGAAGGTAGAGCATTGGTACGATCCCGTACATGCATATAGAACCACGGGTCCCACGCATGGCTGAATGTCTGTATCTTGGCGTTATCCGATGGTAGTTCATCTGTCAGTTTCCCGGAGACAATTACGCCGTGATCCTTGGAAAATAATATACCATCTACGTAGTCATTTCCCTTCTCTGGCTTGCACTCCTCCTTTACCACGCTGACAGCCTCTGCTACACTTCCCGTACGTCTGTACGTGGCGCGCACGAAGCGTCTGGCCTCGACTAGCTGAAGCTCGAGTAAGGTTGCCACTCCTAGTGTCCCCAATGCGCCAGCAGCGCCGTGGAACAAATCCTCATACTTCCCACCCTTTTCAGGCGTCGCAACCACAACCTCTCCATTCGGAAGGACCATCTCGACACTCTTCACATTCTCATCAAAGTAGCCGTGTTTGAAACTACTACTCTCACCCGCCGTCCCCGCGAACCCACCTCCTGTAGTGATGCCGGGAAACTCCATAACAACAGGAGGCACAAGGCCGTGGGGTAAAGTAAGTTCTACCAGACGGTCCATAGGCACATTCGGCTCAACAAGAGCTGTGCGACGTGCGGTATCGACGGATAATACACGTTTCAAGCCACTGATGTCGATCATGCGAGCCCCGGCCTTCTGTGTTGGTGGACGTGTCGAATTGGTACTACCGTGAAAGATGCGGTACGGTTCCGCCCGCTCGAAGAGTGCGCGGACCGTCGCGGATACGGTGCGAACGGCTTGTTTATGAGCTTCCATTGTGAAAGTTGACTTGCCTCCTCTTGCCTCTCGAGAACAGATGATCCTATGTGAGATTTATATTCGCAGGCTCACCAGCTTGGCTGACTGGGGTGCCACTCGTGGCTATAGCCGGTGAAATCGAACTGAGATCTTCACAAATGTAAATCGGAATACACCAATGGCTGACTCTTCATAAATTTACCCCTACGTAAAAGGTAGCACGACAGATAGTGGTATGATATTCTAGGGGATCACGAAAAGAAAAAGAAAAGTGCAACAGGGATGTCAGACCGATGCAAGTGGAGTGTGACGCCCCATATTAATATTCCGTACGCCTTTAATGAGACCGGCAGAAAACAGTGATAATTATCAAGGTACATACATAATGTATCTACTTCCATGAGTAATTTCATAAGAGGTAGATGCAATTCGAATTTGTGTCTGCCTGCATAAGAAAAAGCGCCACGAACGAAAGGTTATCTTAAGAAAATTATATCATGTGGCTCTAATATCTCTTAGGGTACCTAGGCGGGTACGAGACGGACTGCTGGAACTGAGAAACTTTGATTTTAATAAGGTACTATTGGACCCCTGAATCTGGATATTTAGCGCTACCGATGGGTTGGGCGAGTTACTAATCCGTCCCTCTTCATCCCATTTTCTCTCGTCATATCTCGCAAATCTAAGTCTTTATTATACATACCTAGGTACCTTATGAGGTATAGAACCAATCCTATCCTTCTCGGGATTATTATATACGTGATAAATGTTTGTATATCGCCTATGACTTGATATCTTATACGAATGACATGGAAGAACCCAATCCTCAATTCCATCCCCCTTCGCAACGAATTCATATGTGAAACAAATAACCCAGCCAAAGAACTTATAGCTTGGGCGGCACACCAGGAGCTGGCGCTGGCGATATATTCAGGCTAGCCACCTTTTTTCGTGCCAACTCCTTGAATTCTTCCTCGCTGAACTCAGACAGCTTGTCCAACTCGATATCTACCTCCTCTAAAGTCTTCGCCCTGATCAATTTGTAAGACGACTGGATATTCTCCGGGCTTTCACACACAGTCTTGACAAAATTCGCAATGCCCTCATAATTGCGTCTTGTTTCGGGGCGGTTGGGTAAGATGGCCGCGAACACGTGTGGCATTGCTTGGTATTCCTCGAATACCACCGTTACGCCGTCTCTCGCGAGTTTTGACACTATGAATCTGTTCTCATCCTGGTTACGTTCCCAGCCACAACTTGAATATACCGGCGGAGCACCTTTCCAGGACTCATTCAACTGCAGACAGACCAACGGATGTAACAAATTCGCATCATCCATGTAAATGTGCTTCCGAGCGGGTTTAGCTGGCCATAATTCGTCCGACGGCGGCTGCCAATCTTCCGCCATTAACTTTGGAGGTGGGAGATAATCCCATTTCCCGTTCCTGAGCAACGAAGGGGTGCTCTGTATGGGGTCTATCCACGGGGACAAATTGGCAACCCCGGCAGGTAGAGGGACTACTCGATCCTCGCCATACCAAGTGATCTTGCGGCCTTTCCGTTGGAGTTCTAGTAGAACCGCAAGTAGTGCCAGAGAAATACCGCCTCCCGCGCTGTCGCCGGAAAACACGATGTGCTCGGGAGCTACTGCCTCATGGATGGATCCTGGAGGAGGATACAGCAGAGTGAAATAAGAAACTAGAGCGTCTAATATCGCGGCTGGAAATGGATCTTGCGGTGCGAGTCGATACCGGACTGAGTATACGCGGCCGCCTGACATCTTGGCTATCCTTTTCGCCATCGGTCTATATAGTACCGGATCACAAAGGTAATAGGCACCACCGTGGAAAAATAATATCGTCGAAGGATTCTTACACTCCTTCATCAATTCATGGTATTTTCCTTCTTCTGAGATATCCGGTAACGTCGATTCTTTGGTTGCGGCCTCCCTAAATCCTGTCCATTCCGCTTCGACAGGTACAATGTCAGGTATTTGAAATGTCGGCGCAGTGCCTCTCGCGGCAGGGCCCCTGAAGCCATCGACAACATCCAGTAGAGCATCAAGAATTCCTTTCTCGGGGGGTACTTGAGACGCCACTTTGCTAATCCATAATCTTCCCTTGATGCCGGGGTCCCGACGTGTCATGGCTTGAGTCTCAGCAATAGCCCCGGGCTTCGGAGTATCTATTATCGACCGTACAACTGACACGGTCAGTTCGCTTTTTAGGTCTAAATATTGGCTGGTTTCGGATTTCTTCAGGATATGTAGCAGAATTATTTTGATCATTAAGGGGACCTTTGGTAGGATAAGTTTTAGGAGCTCAAGCCCTCCGCCGCCAGCGGATTGGCTCTTCTCATTGTTGGTAGACATTTGGGAATAGCTTGATGGGCTGGGTATATATTAATGGGAAGTACAACACGCTTTTGTGATTATGATTATGTTCACGTCTGGGGTCGCTACCTCATATAAATGATATATACATGAAAACTTGTAGCTATGGCGCATGAGACGTCTAAGTTACTTATTTTCCTATTTCGAGGTAGACTGCCTACCCCTGCTACCGTATAGCCCTGGTATAGCAGCTTCTAGCTAGTTAATTATGCGCCAGGAAAAAAAATCCTAAGCCCCCATCATTTCCCAATCCACCCTCCCCCTAAGTAAGACCTAAGCTATTACCTGGACCTCGGCGGGATTTAAGCCTAATTAGATTGCTCCGCTGAGAGCTTCTACTGGGCCATGCCACTCCGTAACGAGTCAGTTTTATACCCTACGAAAGACGTAATGAGACATCAAGGTCACCTTTTCTGATCGCAGATACGAAAAGAACTATAAAAGTATACCTACCGATTCTTCCAATAGACCTTTCATAAGAAAATTTGACCGACACATGCTTATAATATTCCGCGGAATAATTGTAAAGGAAATAGGAAGACGACAACGCAACGCTACCTAACGTAATTAAACTGTGCCCCTTGTCATCCAGCCAGGTCTTAGTGTCTCCAAAAACTGAACACATTAACGGATGATTCATAGTGATTAACTATCCGAGTACATGGGGGGTTCTCAGCTCGAATCTGATGTGAGTTCTGATTGGTCACATTGGAGTAATAATACCCATATAGCCAGTCTTAACGGATGTTTTAGCTTCTAGTCGTGTACTCCTAGGACTATGTAATGACCGTATATTCCTATAGGTCCTACCGAGGTATCTTGGAGATGCCCTAACTGCTATTGGTGTTAAAGTGTACATAAATCCATTATATGCTAGTCGAATAATCTCTATAGCCTCCTTATACACCTTCACCACTCGCAATCACAACACTTTGGACGACTTAACAACTGCGCATAATTCTTAAGATGTTTATTACCAAATTCATATCCACCGCCCCTATCCATACAAGCGTATTTAACTCGTAGACTCAATAAAACCTATCTCAGGCCGTCTCTCATCCACAACCCCGGATGAAGTACGTACGCCTTTGACTACTAGTAGCATCTAGAAGAGGGAATCTAGCATCACCGCCCTTCCATTTTCTCTTCTGCCCCCTATCACACGCATGAAGAATAAAGTATAGTAAACGGATTCAACGCCGAACAAGTAACAATGCGTAACCCTAGACGTGACGTGCCCTCCGTATATTAAGTCCACTTCCACTCCCCATCACCATAGCCCTTACGAACTACCCGAAGCCTCCTGACCCTCACTCTTTCCGGCAGCCGCCAATTGCCACGCGGGAATCGACGCCTTTTGGGCAGGCATGCCGCTTCCGCTTCCGAAGGGACTAGACCGGTCACCCAGCGCCGACAAATAATCGCGCCGGCTTCCACTGCTACTCGTCGTAGCACTACCGCCGTCTCCTCCGTTCTCATCTCGGATAGCTTGCTTCGCGTCGCCGATCTCCTTGGCCATGAGGTCGATACCCGGGGTCGAAACCGCACTGGCCGTAGGAGGCGCGATGTTACCGCTCGTGGGACGTAGGTAGCTATTTAAATTGATAGAAGGGGGAGGTGGGATCGTGGATGTTGGGGTGGGAGAGGCGGAGTTGTTATTGTTGTTGGTGCTGTTCAAGCGTTGCGTGACGAGGGACTTCAGACTCTTGACTTCGTTGGTTATTTCCTTGAGGCGGTTATCGGTGAATTCCTTGTTCGCGCTCATCGACTTGGGGATCACAGCTTTAAGAGCCTTCATTTCTTCCCGGAGGCGGTCGGTTTCGTCTTCGTGCCGTCGGCTGGCGGATTTGGTGTCTCGCATGAATGAATCTAATTCCTCGAGCACCTTATCGAGTTTTTCGGTTCGTTCTCGTTCCGATGATTTTAGGTCTTCGGTGTCCTTTGCTAGTTGTTCCAACGTCGCGAAGGCCTTCTCGAATTGCTCGTCTACTATCGTCTTATCTTGCTCTAGCTTTTCTGGGGTCGGCGGTGAGACCAAGGGGTATAGGTAACGCTGTAACAATAGTTAGTTTTTGATGAATTGCGCGGATGATCGGTAAGGGAATCTGGTAGTACCTTGGTAACGAAGTAAAGTCCGTATCCGACTCCACCCATGACGGTGGCCATTATGAACCAATCTCGCCAGTCCCTCTTAGGTGGTTCCGGCGGAGGTGCTTGCCATCCATAGGGCTGTGTTTGGTATTGGCTTTGGCCATAGTATGGCTGATGTTGTACAGGGCTGGATGGTCGTGGTGATCGCGGTGAAGTAGCAACAGAACCCGACGGTGTACCGCTTCGCGCGAAAGCAACGTCAATTTCCTCTTGCGTTAAATGCTTCGATCGAAGAAATGATAGTTTGTTCTCGGTCGGTGCGGATGCTACGTTCGGGTCTTGCAGGACTATATAATTGATTGCACTTAGTAAGTCATATTTCTTTTCCGTCTTTTAGGCTTGAAAGAAAGATGAATGAGATGGCTGGGAAATACTTACAAGAGACCGCAGAGGTCACTACATCCTCCCGGATTGCCATGGTTGTAGGATGAATATTAGCGCAATGTCATTGCAAAACGTTGATTACAAAGTACAAAAATTGCAATGTGTTGGTTGGCAATGGGACAATGGATCGCTGTGCTGTAATGGATGAATTAATTGTGACAGTTAAGGCTTCTAAAGTTGTCGCGTGGAAATTGGAGAACGCACGACTACAATCCAATGACGAACCCCGGTCTACTTAGCGGACCGAGGCTCATGGCTTTCATTCGATGTATTCTTACGTAAGTGCGTCTCTAGCCGATTTAGCATCACGTGTCTAGCGTGGAGAGTTCGTCAAACCTTCTGCAGTGACACTTAGACCTGTGGATCTTAACAAAAACAACATATACCAGCCATAACACTTCCTATAAGATGAAGTCATGAAAGGCGGTATACCTATAAAAGAAGATAATGTAAAGTTAATGGTTGTCTATTCGTATCTATCATAAAACTTCATCCTGCGGTTCTAGACCAAGTGAGTCTTTTCAGCCATTATGCTATCTTTCTCTCCTACTTTCTCCTCTTTTCGTGTGACCTCAGTTTATTATGAATTTGAGAAACCACCCATTCATTTCATTCATGAAATCTCCTCTTTGGAAAAGAAAGAGAAGAATAGAAAAATCGCACCCAGAAGCAGTCTTCTCTTTTCTTTCTAAGAGCCATGCTCCATACCATATGCATATTCATGTAAGTGAAACCCCTCAGCACGCCGGCCCATCGAACGAAGAAAAAAAAAAGGCTATGTATCCTGTACGGCCACGGATCGTCCCATAGGATCGTCCCATACAGCGACGGGTGATTATCCCAACGCACCGCCCTACCAACTCATCAATCCAGTCCCGCGATCAAACCCACCTCTAAGCTGCTTATCCCCCTTAACCACCTTACCCTGAAGAATTGTATACTTGACGATATTCTCGCAATCCTCAGGTCTAACTCTCGCGAGCCAAATACACTGCGCAGCACCCACGACGCTGGTACCCGCGGCCTCACTTCCCTCCGCCTCATCCACAACCGGTTTCACCAATTGCGGTTCCTCGCCCGGCGGCAGTTTCGCGCGCTGCACATCATCGATTCCGAACGCATCGGGTCTTCGGTACACTAGCATATTCGCCGAGTATTTATGACCACCAACGTGGTTGATGAAGTATATTCCAACACCACCCGGTCGGTCGTCATCGAGATCGCGATCCAAGCCTAGAGGGCGTAGGTGTCGCTCGAGTTCCTTCTTGACGAGCGGTGCGCTCTGGCCACAGCGCGCGTCGCGCGTGCGATGCGAGCAGAGGAGTACGATGGCTCGGTGTGGGCATGGGCGCGCGATCATGTCGCCGACGGTGGACCGTGAGGAAGGTATGGTCTTAGGTAAGGAGACGGGCTCGAGCGGATCGGAGGTTGTGGGTGCGCGCGAGATGTATTTGGTGATAAGGGAGGGGACCGCGGGAGGCGTGACGTTTTCTATTATGGTGAAAGCGGGTAGAAGAAGGAGTGTGGTAGGTTGCGAGTAGTCGGGGCGGTTGGAAGGTGTGGGCATATTGGATGCGGAGAGCATGAGGCGCTATTCATTCCATTATTAGCATGTAGTTCTCTTGGATGTGTACATGAACAGGCGTAGGAACATACCCCATTGCTTGGTTTACTCGCGTTACCAAAAGCCTCCATAACACTACCTTTCTCATCTTCAACGCTTCTAACCCAATCAGATTTACTGGTAGCGACTAGGACGTGTGTACTCCATGGTTTAATGTTGCCGTAAAGCGGATGGGAGTCCTCGATCTTGAAGTGGCGCGGGTACTTAACCGTGCAGCTTTCGCAATCGTGGGTACAAGACTCGCCGTCGATATCCGGCTTCGTCTGCGGGAACAGATCCGATAACTTAGGACTGCCATTGATCACCCGCTTTGCGCCGCCAAAGATAGACAATAAACCAGCCGCCATCTTGACTCTATCCCTCTATATTCCCACTATTCTTCCTCTAACCACGCCGAAAAAGACAAGACGCGAAGACGATCACACCGTGACCGCGGTGAAACGCTGGCCTTGCAGGTGCAGATTCTCGGGGCAAAAAAATAAAAAAGAATAAGGATAAAGTAAAAAGCAAGCTAAGCTTTCAAGGTTGGTGGGGTAGTAACCAGTTCGGAAACTGCCAGTTGAAATTTCCTTATCTGATCCGAGATTTCTAGCCTAAGATAGTTAGTACTGTGCCTTTTTAGAGGGATGGGGCAGCATGTGGTGGTGGGGATTAGGGGAAAGGCAAGGCACGGGGATAGGAGATACGACCCGATAGTATGGGTTAAGTTAGGTATTGCAGGTGCCTATGTATTGGCGGTTATGGTGCAATTTTAGGGGAAAAGAAAACATTAGTATTTGTAAGGTTGCATACCTTTCTTGATGTGATGTCTGGTTTCTTTTGCCAAGTGCCCAATTCTTGAATAAAAGTTGGGTTGAGATGTGTCCGTCAGATATAAAAGACGGTAAGAAGTTGTAGCTCGGAGGTAAGAAAAGATCGATTTCAGCTTTTTCGTTTGATATGTATTAACCCAGTTTCCAAGCCCAAATCAAGGCAGACAGACAAACAAGCAAGCAAGCCGCTAATTCACTTTTCTTGTCTCAGTAAGTGATATCGAGAGAAAAAAAAATATCAAAGTAGCGGAGAACCACGAAAATCTCACATATGTTGGGGGGGATGAATGGCCAAGATGACAAACACGAAATAAGAAGAATATTATTCGAGACGTATTTTTTTGGCCCCCTTACCTCTTATTATACCACAACTTCCGTCGGTTGACGGGGTATTCCAACTCGGACAAAAGAGGGCACGCACTCTCGGTGCTAAGCCCTCGAAAAGCCTTGTATCTCTCACGGAGAAAACGGTGGGACCCTTCGGCGCTCCGAGGCCAGGCCGCGCGTGTAATCTACCTAATTATTACACTGTTGGTTAGGCTCCCATCTTTTTTCCCTTCACTCTTTTAATTCCTAATAGCACAGCCCTTATTGGGTAATATTCCGTACCCTGACGGAAACAAACGGTTTCCCCTTTTCTAGGTACATTATGCGGACTCCTAGAGCGGGTAGGATTGAGTAGGCTGTCATATTACAATCGGTATATTAGTAACTCTCGTGGGTTTTATGGAAATTTATCAGATCCTTAGCTGTGTTGTGACTGGCCAGAATCCCTGCTCGAGATCTCTTAGGTTATACGGAGGTACTTCCCGTAAGCACTTACATATGCGTATATAATCAAGATAAATTTACACACCGCAAATTCGCTTGTGAACTGGCAATGATAGCACCGAATAGATTATGTGGCTGCATGTCTGAAAATCTGAAGAAACTAAAGTCTTGTACAAAATGGGATATTCTAGATAAACGATACATAATGCCACCCATAAACCCATATATCTAGACTATGTTCGTATCACATCTCAAAGCCCAAATAGCAAACACTTATACCTAGGTAAGCGATTATGAACCATTGCGAATGATCAGGAACCGCCATTAGACACCCCGATCCCACGTTACACCTCCCTCTCCCCGAAAGGTTAACACGATTATATTATGATGATCGATAACTCAAGTCAAAGTCAGTCAACTCCGAATCCAAAACATACATGCATGCATAAACCACCATGATTGATTCGATCCGTATCCCCCTTTTCCCCTCCCATTATCCCCTATTTTCATTAGCCCCAATCTTCACGCCCCTTCACTCGCGTCACCATCTGATGATAATCCACTCTTCCTCCTCCTTAATTGTCCTCTTTGGCGCATCGCTGCGCGAATCTTGTTACTCGCCTCATTGAACCCCTCGCTCGTATCCAGCGCCGTAAACCCGGAAACCGGGAATCCGCCGGATCCGAAGCCGCCTCCGCTGCTGCTGCTCCGACTTCTAGACCGGGAAGGCGGGCGCGTGGCAAACATGCCAATGGCACCAATGTTGCTGAAGGACTCGTTGCGCGGGATCGCACGGCTGGATAATGTCGTGTTCTTTCTCGATAGATGCGGCGACTCTGGTGGCGTCGGTTCGGTTCTCTCTGGTATTCCTGCTTCCTTTGGCGAGCTGAGTGCGCCGTCAGCGCGGGACGGATCGGCAATGAGGCGAGTATGTTCGAAATCCTCATACATGTCGGGGCCAAGGTCGTTGATGACCTTAACGACCTTCTTAGATAATTCTGCCCTCCGCTCTCGTAGCTTGTGGATACTATAGCTGGATTTTGGGCTAATGCACAAGACTAGCGGTCTGAGCGACTTGAAGATATCCATCCCAACCTCACCAAATCGTAATGCGCCAAATGTGATGGCAGGGAAGACGATCCATCCGGCAATGAAGACTAGCCAGAATGGTACCCATTGTGGAACGTAGCCCCATAGATGGTCTTGGTAAACTTTGAATGCGAGTAGGATGGAATATAGATTGTATAGAACGGGTGCAAAAGCCATAGCGACGAGCAATTTCCATGTCGCCATAACGTCGCGACCCTGAATCTTGACCGATGAACCTGCCAGGGCTTCCTTCGCCTTCTTACGGCTTATAATCTTAGAAGCGGCGAACACTGGAGCAAATAGGAAAAGGCCAGGGATCACACCAATGGAGAGGAGAATGAGCTTGATTACTCGGTATAGAAGGGTGAAGATGACCGTCGGAAGAGTCATCTTGGCGTAAGCGACTTGGTGATCTTTAATATTCAGATAGCGAAGTTGCTTGTTGTAGTCCCTAACGTTATTCATCAAGTCAATAATGCGCGGGTCGTCCCTGTATTTAGAGAAGCCCACAGCTAGCCTTCTGTTGAGCTCAACCACCATTGGTAATGGTAGTTTCCTTCCGGTGTTGTAAAGCCTCCTAGCGCCTTGAATGCACATTAGGGTATCGTAATCGGGGGCGGACACCGTGACGGCGCTCAAGGCCTGGTGAACCATGTCAAGGGTCTGCCCAATCGCATCTCTTCTCTCGTTATTTTTGTACTTCTCTACCAGATCTCTTGGGATTTGGAAAGGAGCTCCAAACTCAACAACGGCCCGTGATCGAAACTTGTGAGCATGGAAGTAGTTCATTCCGACAGGGACAATCTGTAATCCACAATCGGGGTCTTCAGCTAGGGCACCCAAAGCCATGATAGCGACACCAGCCTTCAGGGGCAGCAGTTCTGTTCTGTCGTGGCTGCCTCCTTCGGGAAAAATACCAATACAACCGCCTGCCCTTAGACGGCTGAAAACAGCCTTGTAAACTTCGGTCTGGTCAATATGAGGGGCCAGCTTAAACTTAGTACCTTCATAGCCATCCTTTATTCCCTTGAGGTCCTTATTAGTAAAGTTCCCCTTCTCGTCGATGTCGTCTCGACCGGTAAGTTGTCGCATAGGGAGCTTTCCCTTGAGTGGTCGCTTGATTCGGACTTCCTCGGGTCCAATGATCTTGGAAATATCGACTGAACTACCCGACTCTCCCTTCACGGAAGGCAAGAATATCATACCACCAACCTCAGCTTCCTTCTCGAAGTTCGTACCCACACCCCGAATTAGAGTTGGGTCATTGATGGGGTCGGGAAGGTAGATGAGACCTGTCGCGGGTTTCGCCTTATCCTGAGCCCGGCCGACCGGAACAGAACCAGTTTGCCGAGACCCCCACCCAATAAAACCGTGTACAGATTTCTCAGCGATCAAGAGACCGAGACGTCGTTGCGCTTCGTTCTTCAAGGTTCGCTGTAGGACTAGGGCGTCGACGAACTGGTTCGCATGCGGCGCCGCGACAAATAGGATAGGTCCTGTTCTCGGAATTCGCCATGCGCCTCGTGGGTGGACTTCTCGGAAGAACAGGTCTACGAGGACGGAGAAGGTATGTAAGAAGAGATCGTACTTCCAATCCGACATTGGATATAACTCTTTCACTTTCGTAGGTTTCGATTTCGGTACGACGACCGGAGGCTGTGCCTCCTCAGCGGGTTTACCGTCCGCCATAGTTGCGAAAATGCCGGATTCTATTAATAAGGGTGGGATGAAAACCTAACACAGAAAAGAGAATCTCGCGATAATGCCTAAACCATATGCTATATGCCGTAAATATCTATTCGCAGTGGTGATAAAGACGAGAACTATCCATCTATCCAAGCAAATTGAACGGGTGTTGCGGGGTTTCGCGTGGCGCGCGGACTTGCGGACGGACTCGAAAACGTTCACGTTCTAGAGGGTCGGAAAATCTGATAAAAAACGAACGGAGATCGCCTATCTAAAGTAAGTTATGTACTTTCTAAAAAAGCACGTCGTATTAGTTGCTTTTTTCGTATGGAAAAGTCTGGCTTCTAGACAGCTAATAAACAGAACAGCGAAATATCAGTGGTTCAGCACGCGAGCTGCGACCAGCGTCATTGTTGGAGATGATGAATTAAGAAGAAAACTGAAGTGGTAGGGTATGTAGATCTTCACGCGGAACAGACAGGGAAGGAGGAATAAAAAAAAAACTCGTCAATCACAGGCCAAAAATCAAGCATACAACGCATGGAAAGTGCAGCCACAGCGCGTGGGGAGTGGGGAGTATATACCCCTGTAAATTAAGAAGATACGCTGGAAACAACTGGAACCTTGGCAAGTTCGGCCTAGGTATGGAGGGCTATCGGCGCCACAGTGGAGGAGGGGCCGATGGGAAAACCTGTCTTATTACTAGCGTAGCGAAACATGGATGTACCTTGTATCTTTTATCTTTCAAGATTCCGAGGTATCTTGGTTTTTAGATCTATATAAAAGTTAAATAACTTGCCTAGGTACGAGGAATAACCAAGTAGAATTAACCCAAGTAAGTTCTGCGTCATCTATAATTACATACGTACCTAATCGAAATCGGAATTCTGTATTACGAAATTACTCTTGTACAAACCGGACCTTTAGGTACGCACACGTCTGATTGGATCAAAAAGGTCCCAACGGAATGGTCACTTACTCAGAGTACATACTATGGTACGATCAATTTCCGAGACACTTCATATGTAGGTAGTGTTTAGGTAATATACAATTTTTGTTGGGGTGTTATACCTACCGGTATAGGCATCCCGCATTTATGTATGCACGTCTGTACGCTCTAATATGTAAGTGTATATATCACGCGAGTTGAAGCGCAATCAATCGATCAAGGAATCATACAATCATAGAAACCTACTGATACGAATGCGACTTATACACCGGCATACCGGCACGCGATAGATCACAAACTCCATGTGAGGTAATTCAACATTATTGGGTATACATGCCTCATATTAGCGAATACGATAAAATATGATCGATGAAGTCGGCCTGATGAGTTCGTAAAACAAGCTCTGTATAATTACCGAGCACACCGGTTTCACCACCTTAGACAGAGGGGTAAGTCAGTAGATAGCATCGAGGCCTCTAAGCCGAGACTATGGTGATTATTGTCTGATTCTACACATATCTATAGAGAGCAGGTGGTTTATGTCTACATCCCACCGACGCCACCAATGGGTACGGCGATGAGAAGCGAAGAGGCTTAAGTCTTTCCCTTCCCCTTTCCCTTCCGTTTTCTCTTATCCTCCGGCAAAGACACGCTACCCTCCTGAACCTCATTCTCTTCAACCCTACCCTCAGCCTCGAGTTCCTTGAGCTTCTCCTGTCCCGAGATGAACATGCTCAAATCGTGATTTTGGTCCTTTAAGTCCGCATTCTCTAGCTTGAGCGCATTGACCTGTTCACCTAAGCCCTCAAGCTCCTTGCTCATATGCTCGATACGTTTCATCAGTCCCTCCGACACCTTCTTTTCCTCTTGGAGACTTTTACCTAGTCCCCTAGCAAGATCTGTCGACTTAGTAGCACGATTGCGCTCGCGCTCCAAGTCTTTCTCTAGCGTGGGGATGATGTCAGTGCGTTGATGTTCATGCTCCTTCCGTAGTGTCCTAAGTTCCTGTAACGCTTGCGTGGCTTGGGCTGCGGCCCTATCTGCAGCAGCTGATGCTTGAGCCGCTTTATCTGCGGCTTTAGAGAGCATCTCTTCGAAGTATACACGTTGACTCTCTAGTTGACTGCTAAGGAGGTGAGTGTACTCCATGCCAATACTTTCGAGTTTGACTCGTGGAACCACATCTTGATCCTCATGTTCGTCATGTCCCATAGCACCCCCTTGACGGCCCGGCAACTCGACAACTTTTCCATCGCCCTTGTCTCTGATCAAGCGATGCACCCACATATCCCCAGCGTAGTCCCATACATGCTGGGTCTCTATTTCCAATGAGAATGTATGTGCTGTGTCTTTCCAATGTTCTTTCGCGTGACCTCCTTTATACCGTCCGCAGCCTACATTACCGCAGATGAGACATATCCAGAGGTCATCAGGTGAGTCGCAGACTGAACACAAGTTGGATACACGTGAGCCGAAAGGTTGTGTGTATGGGTTATCGGGATCGTAAGGGGTGTGAGCGTTCGACGATGATGATGCAGCTGCCGCCAAAGTTGGATTTGTATGTCGGCAGACAGGGCAACCGGAACCCTTCCACTTCTGTAGACACGAGCAGTGAAATACGTGTTGGCAAGGTATCGTCAGTAGACCCGTAGTATCGTCCATTCGCTCTAGACAGACGGGACAAGTTGGTAGTTCGATTAGGTTCGGTGTCGGCGGTGGGAATGGTTTGAGTGAGTTCGAAGTAGCGGAAGTGGATGGTGTGAATGGGTCTTGGCTAAGATCTGGGAAACTCCCATTCGGACGGGATGGACTCTCGAAAGTAACGGATTTTATAAAAGCAACATTACATGCCTCTGGCTACATCATATTAGCTTCTTGGACATTTCTGTGTGCCTTGGCTATAGGACTGCACTTACCTCAATATCGTTGAACACCTTGCCATCAAACTCGCGTCTAAAGAGCTGTGCCTGCTTGCTCTCTCGGAACTTCATAAGCACCAGATACCTGTTCATCCGACCCGTCATGACCATACGGTAATGACTGATTTTATCCCTCCACTTCTCACCTACGAAGCCGAGGAAGTCGCTGGGAGACAGGTAGCTAGGGACCGCCGGAATACAGACCGTCGTACAGTCGACTTGCGCGCGGTCTTGTTCCTCTTCTCCTTCAGGTATACTATCGGTCGGTATTGTAAGTTCTGGGCTTTCCGCCTCTTCCCGGTATAGATGGACTATGCCCCAACCCAGCTCTGTATTCTTTGACGTAGTTAACGGGACATATTTCGCCTTCGTAGCCTTGCCAGCGCCTCCCATAGAAGGGCCGACAGCGGCCGCTGCAGCAGATGTTCCCTGCATACTGGTGTGATTTTCGTAGCCGTCCACGTCGATACCCTCTATCCTTAGTTGCCCAAACCGCCAATCCTTAACCGCGGTATGTGGATTTATAGCGACGTTGGACTGGGGAGGAGGGTAGCTTAATGTTCGTTGTCGGAGCTGCCTCTCACTAAGTCGTATGATATTGCGATCGTCTTGAGCTTCGGGTGGTCGAGGGGCGCCGCAATCAATAACACTCGGCTTGCTCTTAGACTGGTGAGTCGAAGTTTGGTTACGTTGCCGTCTGGCGGTTCCCTTTCCGTGACGCGCCGAGAATATCGTCTGTGCTCGAGGATGCGACGGGAGGTCGTCGAAGATACTCGATGTATCCCGTGGCAACCAGATCGGTCCTTGGGAAGACTGGGATACGTTCCCTATTTCTTGGGACGTCGGTGATGACGTAGGGTAAACCTCGAGTTTTATATGGTAATAATATGAAGGCATAGCCTAACAATTCAGGAATACGTGGACTTTTGGTAATAAATCATCCGTATGCATATCTCGGAAGTTGGGCCAGTTTTCGTGGCGAAATAGTCTTAGAATTTGCGAGTGAAGCGGGAGTTTTAAGATCTCTCATGCAATCTGAATAGACGACTGTTCCCATCTTTAGAATCAAGAAGGTGGCAGTTTGATCTGAAAGAGGCATGATTTAGATATGTATTTATGAAGAAAAAAGTAGAATCATTCTTTAGAACGCCTTGGACGTCTAGCGAATTCTAAAATCTACGTGGGCGGCTCTAGTGGGGTTTGACTTAGTGGAAAGGTACCTAAAAGTATCACATTTAGTGGTGTGCTTAGCACTCGTAACGGCCACTAACCGTTAGAAAGCTTCAGGCGGAGTTACGAAAGTCAAAATCACAAAGCAAATTACGCATACAATCATGTTTAAAGGTCAATGAACTCTGGTATATTCTTCGCAAGCATCACTAATTAATATGATGCATTATTCGTAAACCACTATGGTATGTCCATTGATTGATTCCATAGCCCATGGCCCTTGATCCTAGGCTCAAACCATTAACGCCGAATCGTGCAAATGTCGTCATTCTCCGCTGTCATGAAACGATGATTCGCTTACTGTCCGCCACGGAGACGAAGGACCAGGTGAAGAGTACTCTCCTTCTGGATGTTGTAGTCGCTCAAAGTGCGACCATCCTCCAACTGCTTACCAGCGAAAATGAGGCGTTGCTGGTCCGGGGGAATACCTTCCTTATCCTGAATCTTCGACTTGACGTTGTCAATGGTATCCGAAGATTCCACCTCCAACGTAATCGTCTTGCCTGTCAAGGTCTTGACGAAGATTTGCATACCACCACGTAGACGGAGCACCAAGTGCAGGGTCGACTCCTTCTGAATGTTGTAGTCGCTAAGGGTTCGACCGTCTTCCAACTGCTTACCAGCGAAGATAAGTCGTTGTTGGTCGGGAGGAATACCTTCCTTGTCTTGGATCTTGCTCTTCACGTTGTCGATGGTGTCGGACGACTCCACTTCTAAGGTGATGGTCTTGCCGGTTAGAGTCTTGACGAAGATTTGCATACCACCACGGAGACGAAGGACGAGGTGGAGGGTTGATTCCTTTTGAATGTTGTAATCGCTGAGGGTTCGGCCATCCTCAAGCTGCTTGCCGGCAAAAATCAAGCGCTGCTGGTCGGGGGGGATACCCTCCTTGTCTTGAATCTTCGACTTAACATTGTCGATAGTGTCGGAAGACTCGACTTCGAGGGTGATGGTCTTTCCGGTAAGGGTCTTGACGACTGTATGGCATAATTAGCATATTGAAAAATGACTTATTGGTTGAAATGGGAAAACCTACAGATCTGCATTCCACCACGGAGACGGAGGACAAGGTGGAGAGTGCTCTCCTTCTGGATGTTGTAGTCCGAAAGAGTGCGACCGTCCTCAAGTTGCTTTCCAGCGAAGATCAATCGCTGTTGGTCGGGAGGAATGCCCTCCTTGTCCTGGATCTTGGACTTGACGTTGTCAATAGTGTCGGAGGACTCGACCTCAAGAGTGATGGTCTTGCCAGTGAGGGTCTTGACGAAGATCTGCATCGTGGCGGGATTACTGATGAGAACTCGAATACGAAAGGTTTAGTATCGCTGGGGGTTGATGTGAGATGGTGTAGATGCAATAGATTTGCTGATGGGTGCAAGGTGAAAAGAAGTTGTACTGGGGAAGAAGAAGGTTTGAAGAATGGCGGCCGGTTGGAGTACAAATAGTAGTTTGGGAAAGCGGCAAACGAACACGGATACCTGGATACCTGAGGCGCAGTGACCTGAATGGAGAATGGAAGCCTTGAGAAAGGAAGTGAGGGGCGGGGGTACTGGTCTGACCCAATTATGTCTCAGAAATCCACGCTCAACCAAAGTGAATCATTGAGCAGCCACCACCCTACAGTTTAGGTAGCGGGGGAAACCGCGAGAAGTGGCTAGACCCCTGCAGCATTGCCGGGAAGTGATTAGTACTTTCCAACTTACCAATCAGGCAAACTAGTCTGACAATCCAAAATTGAGGAAGTTTGCACCTACATACATTATCGCCTCCCCCCAGCCACAAATTGGCAGTCGCGTCAGCTGCTGACGAAGTTAGTGTCTCTCTCAGGCATTTACTTTCTTCGTTTGAAAAACGCTACGTATTTTAAATACATTAAGGAAACTCTAATGCGAATTTCAACCTAATAAATTGGGTAAAACGATTAAAGGTTTAACGGCGAAAGGTTCAGTGTACCTACTGCCTTATCTGGCCTATCATTTACTCTCTACGTCATGTGGTTTAACGGTCTTGATAAGGGATCACAAGGAACTTGGCTAGGCTTATCTTATTGCGAAAACGGGGAAAATCCACACTAAGTGCCTTAGCCATTTAATTGATGAGACGATACGGGTTTGACAACATTCCAGGTGAGGCATAGAAGATGTTGCTACCATATGCAAGCATTCGCAATCATAAAAAAAAGCCATCAATTATTTTATTACTATATTAAGTGATTGAGATATCAATTGGGCCAACCGATGTGATTTCTAGCGTATCGCACGAGCACGTTTTCTCGTCCCTTTCTCTTCCGAGATCAGCATCTCCGGAGCGAGCCGAACATTAGTGGTATAGGAGGTATAGTGAGTCTCAGGCTGGGGGGCGCTGATCGATGGACTAAAAACGATATCGTGCCATCATGGTTGCTTGTTCCTGACTTGCCCATGTCTGTTCCCCCCTTGTCAATATTTGATATACCGCGGATCACCGTCCTACTACATACCTAGATAATGGAAATGGTAGAAACACCAAGAATACCAAGAATACTTGCATCGCAACTTGGAAAAGGGAAATAGAGCCCACTCGTTCTTGCTCTCCACAGCATGTGGCCGGTCTTTCCGACAGGAAGTGCGGGGTCGATTCTCAATCAGTTAACGCTAGCACGCATTAATTGACCAACGTCATCCCAGTATACATACACGTAGCTAGCTCAATAGCTCAACTATGTAGCTAATCGTTGGGGTTATTTCATTCCCGGCGGTCTAACTTCCCTTAATTCCAAGCTTAAACGAGGAAATCCATTCCGCGGGGGTCCGTCCTCTTATGGATCTCTATCGAGATCTAGGATATGCCATACAATGTTTTATGTTTCCTAGCCCGTTACAGACCGCCATGTCTTGTACACACCGCAGGATATTGTGACGGGATATTCACCGTAACAACAGAATAGAGGCATTTCTACCTATGGTGGAAATCATTTTGAATCATTATTAAAATTCCGTCACCGCAATCATGTAGATGTTCGCATTACTAAATACATAAATAGTGAATACCGGATCTCAAGTTCAAGACATGTTCTCACCAAGCATGACAACCGTAAGCCGATATTACCTTCTAGTGTTACGAAGGTAGGACGAAAGGATTCACTACCCCCTTTATGAGAAACAGTAGATGGTGAGCATCAATGGTGTTGGCTAATTTCCTACTAATATGACGTTGTATTCAATTTCTTACAGCGCTTACCGACGCAGGTCTTAGATCTTCGCGGCATTTTTGGTCACATACACGAGCACTATAGGATGCAACGCCACCACCTCACTACACTTGCTGACCAGACCGAAACGGAGAGATTGTTGGTGGGAGAAATTGTTTTCCAATCTGAGCTTGAAACCATCAAAGCAAAACATATTTATTTAATTATCATTTGTTTGTTTGTATCTTTTCTGCCCTACAGTGATACAAACGAGACCCGCGAACCACAGGTCCTCGCCGGGGAGGGCGACGGATCTCTCATATTTCTCATATTTCCATCCATCTAGTAATTCATGAAGGCCGTCTAGACCGTTTTGAGGGTCATTCTGACGCCTTAAAAAAGCCATTCATGTAATCTATGCTCTTGTACGTAACCGCATATTTCTGTATGTGTGTGCGCGTGAAATCCATAGCTTCTTTTCGCATTTTCGTAAAAACATGATCCATCGAATCGCTTTTGGTGCTTGCGCGTGGTAACGATCAACATAATTCCAAGTCATACAGTCATCGAATCTGCCGTTAGAAAGGTCGTAAGGTCGGAGCAACATGACGTAAAAAACATCGCATGTGTCGTGAGGCGGTGACCAGCCGTAAAGTGAGAGAAAAGAAGACGAAGGTATGTAGGTCCATAAGTGGTAAATGGTAGTAGGTCATGACGATAGATCATTTCCTCAGACAACGCCATCGCTAAATGTTTCCATCAATCTGAACAAAGGAAAACTCATAATAAGGAAATAAAATCAAATATGTAGCGAGCACTAAATAGCGTAGGCTCTGCTAGAATTGTAAATATGTTGTCTTTCGTCAGGCAAAACTTCAGTTAGCTTTGATGACTAGTTTCGACAAGAACTTGTTCGATAACGAATCAAAGTCATATCTGTCGAATTTCGACGTGTTTCTTGTTCTTAAATAGGATTCTAGTTTCTGGTTAGTATATGATTAGAAATCTGTTAAATATAGTTCACTAACCATGCTTAAGAACATGTTGTCGCACTTCAGTCATTGCTTCGCAGACGGCGACATTGTTGTTTAGAAGATGACCATGTCGTTCGGTATCCCAATCAATCAAAGCCGGCAATTTTTGGGAGATGGCGTGGAATAGACCAGTAATAACACCAACAGGAGTACTCTCCATATCAGAGCAAAACTTCTCAACCGCAACGGGGTCGGGTACTCGGTAATGGCAGTCGAACTGCATCTCCTCCCAAACAGCGAGCAATAAAGACGCTAGCATGAAAATAGTGGGCCAGTTCTTTAAGCGGTCGCCACTATACACACTAGAGTAAAGCGCGGAAAGTTCCTCTAAGATGTCTTTCTGCAAGTCTCGCCACATATCGGCCATGGCACACTTGATCTGGAAGTTGATCATAACGGGAGCCACATACTTTCCAAAGTACTTAGAGTCCTCATCATCAATCTGGCCCTCCATTGTTTGCTCCGAGCCCTGTTGTTCGACGAGTGTAATGTGCTGGGTTAAGTTGTAAGCTAGCACAAGTTTAAGCGCCTTGCGAAGAACCGGAAGCTTTTCCTTGGTGTAGAAGCGGTAAGCGGTCTTAAGAATTTCCGTAATAAAGGGCGTTCCTTCGAAATGGTCGTCAATGAAGTTTTCGAATCCGTTCTCAATGTGCTTGTCCAAATATTCAGCAAGTGCTGTCGGGTCGATACCGCCCTCACCAACGTCGAGCCTCTCGGTCTTGAGTTCGAATTCAATTGGTTCCTGATCAATTTGATAAGACTCGACCCAGTCAACTTGGAAGCAGCTGTCGTCGGCAACATAAACCTCGCGAACCATAACAGGCAGGCAGAAGCCGTAGCCGTGGGTGATCCACATCAGGGTCTCCTTCTGAGCGAAACCCTTCACATTGTAAACAGAGACGCCACGGCCTAGATGTCGCTCGTAGTCCGCCTTCCAGTCCTTCATGAAGTAGCCAATATCCTTGATATCAATACGCGTGCAAGGAACTTGCCAGAGTCGAGCGTGCGACGGCTGGCAGCCACCGCAAGGCTCACCCTTATCACACGTCTTCTTAAGGAACTTGCATCGAAGACAAGCCCGGAGCTTTCGGATTTCACTAGCTTGCTTCCGTTGTTCGGGAAGAAGAGGACCCTTTCTTCGACCCACCTTCTTCTCAACGGTACCATCCTTCTTTCCATTGGACGTCCTCCTGATGACCGACTTGGTCGACTTTGTGATAGCGCTCTTCTTGGGGCCCGAGTTTCTACGGGACGGGTTGTCGCGAGTTGGGGACGCCACGCCAGATCCACTGGCGGGGCTAGGACGGTTTGATGTCGATGATTTGATTGGCACTGGCTCAACGGCCGCAGCAGGGCTGATCATTTCGTGAGAATGGTGGGACTCCCCGTGGAAACAATTCCTATGGCTAGCGGGGTCCGAGTAGGTGTCGGACTCTGGAGAAAATGGAGAGTAATTGAAGGGAATATCCTCGAAACTACTGCTGCTGAAATCAGTTCGCTGGCCGCTTCCATCCGAATGAGACGCATCCGAATTTGTCCTCAAGTGCAGCGTCTGGCTGGGGTTAAAAATGGCAGTGTTCTGTGCTTGGGCCTGCGCTTGAGCCTGAGCTTGCTGGTACGAGTCGTAATTCTGGTACATGTCGACCTGAGCCCATCCGTTATCACTAGATCCCGGCAACGATAATACTTCAAGGTACGTTCCGGTTGGAGACTGGCTTCCTAAGCTTCCGAATCGGGGAAGTCCATCGGCGGGGAATTGCAGAGAGGCACCAAAATCTTGCCAGTTTCCCATTCCCATACCATCCCACTGGTGCTGCATAGCACGGCCATCGTCGATGGGCGAGACATTATTAAAACCTTGCTGTTCCATGGTCATTGCGGGCTCAAGCGGTGCTTGTGTAGTCGAAGGTAGATAGCCGAGGGCATTTGCCGGGTAGTTTGCGGCAAAAGGGTTGAAAGGTATCAATGTCTGGCTCTCTTGCATAAACTGGCTAAGGTCTTGCACTGGCGGGTGCTGCTGCTGGTGTTGGAGTAGCGTCCAATCCGTCAAAAGAGGCGGAGAGTGAGTCTGCGGAGGTGCGGGCTGGTATGGCGAGTGCTGTAGGGGACTCGCGCTATGTTGCGAGGGCGATTGGGACTGCGCTTGAGACTCGACAGGCGAAGGTACATTGCTCGAGTTCGGGTTCTGGGGAGCGGCCATATCAAGAGAAACCGGCCAGGCACCTGCTGGACGAGTAGGAGTCATTGCTGTGGCCGAGATGGCGGGATTGGTGCTAGGTGCTGTAGTGGTGTACGGATAACGCTCCCGCTGGTCGTATGTGGTCAGGTCCAACAAGGCATCCCCCCCGGCGGCATTGAATTCGAGGGTCATTGTCGTCAGAAGTCAGGAAAAGGGAGGAGAAATCAACTGGGGGATTTGGGACGATTCCCGCTAGTATTATTGACGAGCAGATTCGACACCGCTCTTTCGTAGAATTCCCTGACGGCGCTGATGGGCAGCTCCTGGGGGAAGGGGAAGGGGTGTGAAGGGGATGTCTGGATGTGGAGGAGGTAAGATTTTGCGGTGGATGGTCGTGGATGGGCTGGAGGGTCGAGTGAGATCGAGGGTTGGCCGACGGGGAGAAGCCCTTGAAGGCTAATGGAGAGGAGGCATGAGATTGTGCGAGGACACACGGGAAACTGGCGGTGAGAAGAATAACGCTGGCGTCCCAGCTCCACCTGCAACCTGCAGCCGTTAGGCCAATCACGGGAAACCAGTCCTGCAAGAATCGTGGGACGGCGATACAAGATAGGACATGGGGGGTGGGCCACGAGGCCAATAACCAGCCGCCGAATTAGTACGCTAAGTTATTAAGGTTCGGATTCGCACTGTCATGGGTACCTATGTCCACTACCCAGGTAGCTAACGAATTGACTTTTCTCACTAAACAGGGAAGAGGGTGGCGGGGCAAGAGGGGGTTAGGGTAGGTAACAACTAGCAAGAACAGAAAATCGAAGGGAAAGCGTTATGCTGATTGACTGATTGATTGATCGAGTGATTGCCTCTACCGATTGGATACGAATTATTTCTACTACCAATGAGTATCTATGCTCATATTTAGAGTATGCATGTACAACTATATCAAGTACCCGTAGCAAACGCAACGCACAGAAAACCCACTTGAGCTACCTCATGTATTTGCCTTCCCCCCGGCCTACCCGTCCCAAGCCCAGCCTACAACAATACAAGCTCGTACCTAGCAGTCCCCTACCGTCTCACAACGCATACTGTACGATCCGCTTAGTTCGATGGCGGGGTATCAACCCTTATCAGTCTTAGTTTCCAAGGTCCCCTATGTCTTCCCTAACCTTGAAGTGCCTCCTATGTCTGATCCATCTGCAAACTCCACAATCATCAATCTCATGTTGAGCTAAGTTGGATGATGACATGGCCAGCAACATTGGAACATTTTGACGGCTTACTGCAGATATGTAGGACCGCGTTACCCCTAATACCTAATAAGTCAATGCCTGTTTCAATGCTTACAAGCTTCTCAATTCTACGTGACGTTTGATGCAACGCCATACGTCGCAAACATTTCCATAGTCCAGAGCGAGCTCACTCGTTCGCTCGGGGTTTTCTAGGTGGCTCCTCGGAAAACCGAGAAGGGCCTGTTTACTTACCTAGCACTACTACTAGACAAGTACCCAAGGTACGGAATACGGATTATAGGTATACCTACCTAGGTATCGTTGGGGAACGAACGAATAAACGAACAAGTCAGCGAACCAAGAACCAAGTGAAAAAGGCTAGCCATCCGCCCACTTCACTAAGTCCCTAGAGGTGCCCAGTCTGTGGGCCATATCGTTCGACATTAAAAAAAGACGATCCGGATCTGGAACAAGTTATGGCTATCTAGGTACAATATAGAATAGTAAAACCCCACAATCCGTGAGGCGCGAAGATCAAAAGAAGGCAAAGGGGAAAAACAGCGCGTAAGAAAAAAAGAATCTCACCCGTCTCTCGCCCGTCGCTCGTCGCGGAGAAAGTCCACACTAGGTTCAATGTTCCTTGCCAGTGTCCGCTTTCGCTCCTTTACTGTGCATATCACCCTGCCGTCAGCTGCACCAAAATATACGATATGGTGATACCCTTCGCACATGAGCCACTTGAACACGCTGGATCTTCACATTGCAGCCCGTCCAATACAACCGTAGAACGCCATACGACCCCCCTCACTCTCCATCCATTCCCATCCATCAAACCAACGAGCCAACCAACCAAATAAAAAACGCCGCTGGTCCCTGGTTCATTATGATGGTAGATGGTGCGATATTCCCCTCAGGCTTTAAAACTCCGTCTAGCGTTTGAATCAGAAGAGCCGCAAGAAAACATTCTACTTTGGGCCACAAGGCTGCGATGAAGAGATTAAATTAGTTAGATACGAGAGCCAGGCCACCCACCCGATTACGAAAATTATCTTATGTTCGAGTAATGAGGCTTCGATCTCGCGTTTTCAACGAGACATACAGATTCATACATGCGTACAGTATGTAGCGTCGGCAATATGTTGAGGTTATCTAGGTTCTTATGCGCCCGTGAGGCGAAGGATCTCTTTGTCGCATACTTTGATAGGTCCGCGGCATATACCACCTTGCAAAGCATACTATTACTTTCTTCCTAGTTGCATTCGGGGAAAGCGTGGTTCATTTTCCTTAGTTACCTCTGTCACCAAAATTGTGGCTGTTACTATTAGTACCTACCTACTTCCGACAGGATTACCTAGGTATTATACCTCCTTTTGACTGCATATCCCCAAATCTGGATTTACTCTAGGTTACTTGTCCTTTTTTCAATCGGCTACGGCCCGCGGCTCGTCTTGTCAATCAATCGTGGGTTATACGATCCTGGCTCTTCTACCCCGGATACCCGGACGCCCGAAAACCAATATTAACAGGTTTATGTTTGAGACTAGCTATCTCCTTCTATAACGGCAAAGGCTTAGCCATCCCGGCTTCGTCGTACGGGATCACATCCAAATTTCAATTTGTTACTTACTGTAGGTACTAGCATCTTGCGAGGCAGAAAGATTTCATCTCCCCAAGTGGAGAAGGGGGCTGAAGCCGGAGGTTGGTTGGTTGTATGTAAGTCCCCTACCCGGATCAACAAGAGGCTGGGGAAAACTCAGCACGGACTTCCTCACTCCCAGACTCCTCACCACATGCCTACCTAGGTAGGTACCTAGTAGGCGGATAGGACAAGTAACTATCTGTACAACGCCTACTCGGTACCCTCATCAGCCTATCATTTATTCTACTATTTGAGGCTAAGCCTGCAAGGCGATGCCGAATTGTATATTATCTGACTCCAAGGCCATTAAACAGAGTGCTTAAGCATATATAAGGGGGTAAAAAGTGGCATGCTGAACTCGGTCCCGGAGAGCTGCCAACCCGCTCATTTGTGTGACCACCAATCCAACACAATATAATGATCGGACGTCACCTTGCTTTCGGGTAGCCCTGTTGCAGAATCAAGCGCGTACTCTAGGTAATTGGTTCGAAGACCCACGCATTCACCCTTACAATTGTTCAATTGCCGCCGAACGAAGCGACGACCCATAAGAGGATTATATTTGTCTCAGGATCAATTCCGATAGCCTCATACACAACGTCTACACCTACTCGATATTACTCCGGGCACCGTTTTAGTTGAGCGACGATGCGAAGACAGTTCTCTTCTCTTTTACTGGTTGTGATATGACACTTGTGACCCACTCGGTGAGCTGTTGCTCACCCGCTCGCGTATTGATCGTTCTTTTATTCAAGCTGGAGGGTAAGCATATAAATGGCAAGTAAAAAATAATTAAATCCGTATCATGTCAGCTTTGTTTTATTTGACTTGGGCATCATCAGGCTAGTTGGTCCGGCCTGACCTCAGAACGGAGCCGGCGACCTATCACCGATTGTCGCACAGGTATAGATCGAACAGTAAGACCAGAGCCTCGAGATTTGCTTAGTCTTGTTGCGGTTTCGGCGGCATTTAAAAATTACGACCATGCAGAGTATATGAGAAATAAGATAAAAATCCATATGCTAATAGAGGCTGAGCTAGAAAGATGTCAGAAAGCGACCATGAGCATGTCTGGATATTCGAATACGTAAATCGCGAAGAGATTATTACCTAAGTGATCTTGTACCGAAAGCCACATTGAAAAAAGTAGCGCTTGTCTCGCCTGATTGGTTCTTCTATCTACGCCTTCAATTAATAGTTCAATGCAGTTTCGACCGTTCATCTCCATGTATTTTACAATTGTTCTGTTAATTACCACAATCTCTTGAGCGCCAGAAAGCTACATTACGTAGCAATTCGCATGGTCCGGGGTTGACCAATTAGAATTCCCGTCAAGGATTATAAGATACATACTCTTTGTGGAATTCCATAGACCTTTTCAACCAATGAGAATTGTAAATTTCGAAAGCATAATTATGTAGTTTTTATACCTTCTTATACTTTGAAGGAGACATATATAAACGAGATATAGTTTGTGACGTCGAAAAAGGTAGGTGCCCTAAGTAACAAGTAGTTGCTACACAAGAGTCTTTTCACCTTACATAAGGCACCCACGTATGTACGTGACAGGTGACGAAAGTGCATTTGGTTTGCCGAGATTTTCCCGTGGTTGCTAATTCAGGAAAGTAGCTCCTTGTGTGTGTGGTGACATGTCTCGCGGCAAGGACGACTAAGTTGGCTAAAAGAGGTTTCGTCGTTTTAAGCAGTTGCCCAAAAGTTTAAGACATTTGAGACATCCATCCACTACCTTCCTATATGTAGGTACAAAGCGGCCATTCTTCATATGTCAACTAATGCCATTACAACAAAAGAAACATTAATCATTCCATCGGTCACGTCCTACCTTTTTCCCGGTTTAAGCCGAAATCCATATCACCAACACCAACTCCTACTCTATCCTGTCTAATAACCAGACAGAAGTAACACTGATCTCATATGCCAATAAAGACGAGCCTTGCCCGAGTGCGCCAACGGACTACATACAAAGGGAAGTCCACGACCTCCATGTATCCTCGTTCCATTCCTTCAAACAGCGCCCAAGACCAGCAGGTAAATCAAAGAATCAACCCCGCCCAGTAACCAAATCAATAGCTCACAGAAGCTAGACGCCCAAGATGATCCCTGAACTGTTTACCACATGGCCCCCTATCTGGGACACCCTTGATACCAAGACCTCCACCGCGCAGGACATCACCATAGATGAATGTCTTCCTTTTCTGGCCGCCCAGGTTGGTGATATACGTTACAACCGACGTGGTGTGCCGCGGCTTGAACGGGAACGGCATATCAAATTCCTTCGGAAGCATCTCGATGGCCTCCCCTCCGGGTATGTGACTTTAGATGCAAGCAGGCCGTGGGTTCTCTATTGGTGTCTCAATGGCCTATCCCTCCTAGGCTATGATATCTCTGGCTATCGCGATGGGCTTGTCGAGACAGCACGGTCCATGCAGAACGCGACTGGGGGGTTTGGAGGAAGTATGGGCCACGAATCACACCTAGCCTGCACCTATGGCATGGTCTTGGCGTTATCTATCGTTGGTGGAGAGGATGCATATCAGGTCATCGATAGGAGAGCTCTTTGGAAATGGCTTTGCGCCTTGAAACAGCCGGATGGGGGGTTCCGGATGGCAGTCGGAGGTGAAGTCGACATAAGGTATACTTGGTCCCGTTATACCGGCCTCGATGACAGGTCACTAATGATATCGGCAGGGGGGCTTACTGCGCAGCCGTCCTGATTACCTTACTGAACCTTCCCCTGGACCTATCGTCCGACTCGCCGGCATGGACGCCCGACCGACCAAACTTACTCACTGGTTTAGCAGAATATGTAAGCCGATGTAAGGGATTCCACCGAAACAAGCTTTATGGTAGATCCATACTGATCATGCAGGCCAAACCTTCGAGGGCGGCATTTCAGCGCAACCGGACGGCGAAGCTCACGGAGCATACGCATTCTGCGCTCTAGGCTGCCTTGCAATCCTTGATGCACCCCATCGTACATTTGCCAGGTTCGTATTGCCTATCCCTGCTTGATAGAACTTGACAAACTAGGTGAAGTTCTCACTCACGTCTACTCTTGCGCGCAGGTATCTCGACGTCCCACGGCTTATTTCCTGGCTCTCGTCGCGACAATATGCTCCAGAAGGCGGGTATAGCGGGCGCACTAATAAACTTGTCGATGGTTGTTACAGCCACTGGGTCGGATGCTGTTGGCCACTGATTGAGGCCAGTCTCGCTGGACCAACTAATCTCATGTTCAATGTAAACAAAAATAAGCACTCCGATATTGATATCCACAACATTTACAGTCGTGAGGGTCTCATACGCTATATTCTCTGTTGCGCGCAAGACCAATCGAAAAAGGGTGGTATGAGGGATAAGCCGAGCAAGTAAGTTGACCAATTTCAACCGTAAATCCGAGCATAGGCTAAAAAGTACCAAAAAGAGGGCCGGACGCGTACCATACTTGCTACGTACTTACTGGATTGTCCTCAGCTCAACATGTTACACGTTTGCTTGCCTCGGATGGTGAAGGATTGATGACGCATTCGGAATATGACGTCTCGCCTCACCATGGAAGCCCTCAAATCTATGAAGAAGAAGACCGACTCGAAGCAACTGATCCTGTATACTTTATACCGGAGGGAAAGAGAAAACAAATCATGTCGTATTTTTTATCGAAGCCGGGATTTTGACCCGCTTGTGGCCGCATATGAAGAGGCCATATCCGACACTGCGCCGGGCCAATACGAAGAAGGCTGGGTTTCTTCCTCTCAATCCTGCGATACATCGACCTTCCGCCCGTAGCTACGAACGAGTGTTAGCGTTACGACCTCTCACGTGTCGAACTATATAACATAGCTCGACTTGCTGTTCTTCGTATATGTCATATAATTCCTCCCTTGGTTGAGGCGAGCTAACCCGTATATCCGCTTGCTTGCCTGTTGAGGTACTTAGAGAAGCATCCCGGGCGGGCAATGGCTCGAGGAATGGGTAATGGCTGCGCCCCTATTCTTACTGGACGCATGCCTCCGCAGTTACACATCAAGTCGGTGCATCGAGAAGCTCGGCAACAAAGATTGGCCCGCTCATTGTACAAGAAGGGCCCCATAGACCTCGACTATACCCCTTTCACACTTTTCTACAGGATGTATTATGCACTTCGCAATCAACAAGTTAGTCTTCTGGCGGTAATACATGAGCAGGTTCATAGAGAAAAGGCACGCCCGATTGAAGTGAAACAGAATCAGCTAGAGGGATTCCAATGCATTCGTTAATCTGCGTTCTCCACCATATGTATGGTCATGCTGTCCCACGCGGCAAACGGTACCCTATTCAGCAAGTATGGGACGCATTATAAGCCAACGCTGACCGGCAAGGGTGGCAAACTCTCCCAGACATTGGATTCGACCCGACTCCTCAGGTCGCTTTGGACTCCGGAAAAGCGCCACCTGCTTATATCTGAAGTAGTCCAAATCGGAATATTGACGGCAGACGGCAGCTCTAGTCAAGGCAAGGAGGCTGGCTAATGAATCGTACGACGGAATGTCCCATCGCCGCCTTGGTGTATAGGACAAACGCGCGCCGTAGTGGTTGAGAGAGGCGCTCTGCAGAGTTGCATGAGCTTTGTACATGCTGATCGGCTCAACAGAATCGACGGGTTGGCCACATGGTGTGGTCGTTTCGCATCCCATCCGTTCCCTACACGTACACCCCATGCCACCTTGTACTTCTGCGGCCACATTAAATGCTTGACGTGTCAGTCCCCATCATGGGCCTCCTTGGGGTGACCATGATTTCAAATGGTAGAACGATGACCGAACTAACGCGAGGGGAGGTAGCATTTGGCATCATATCCGTTGATCGCCCGTGCTTCTTCACACGACGTAGTGAGGTGCTGTGCTACACGCCCACAGGCACATGGTGAAAACTAGTTGACACGAGGATCGAGTATGTCTCACGGATCTCATAGATGGCATAAAATAAGGGATGAAATTCGATATCGAGTTCTTAGGCTAGGATCTATTATTACGCAGGCAATCAATCTAGCACCTCTCCTATTCACGTCCATAATCTGCCCACTCCTTAATATTACCGACGAAGTGATAATCCCGTAGGATACGATAAGGTAGACAGACATGGTAGAAGATTGCGAAGCGTGTAAGATGGAATGGGGATGTAATGTACCTCCCCCACAACTAACAGGCCTATGCTGCGGCCCCCTTTAAGCTTCAGGCTGCACCTCGGCGCGTCGATTGTAAACAAGGCCTGCTGCACGACATTACCTTTGCCTGTGGGCCTTTTCCGGATGAAGGAATCGTCTGCCGCGTAAACAATACATAATTGATTGGTAACATGCCGCTAAAATATCCTCCCTAAGAAAGGATGCTTCCGAAGGCTTAAAAGGGGCTTGCGATGACCTCACGGCTCCTTTGCTCGCAGCGGTTCGGACGCCGTGGACCTAGGGCCGAAAATTTTGGTCTTTACTCCTCCCCGAGGTCTCGGATCTTGCAAACACGTTGCATTTCTGACAGAATGACTTCCAATCTACGTTATGTATGTATGTCTCTGGGCAATTGCTCGGGTCTCACAGATTAGGTGGGATCGTGAGTGGTCTCTTACCACGTACGTGGAAACGAGGACTTTCTCGGCAGTATCCTTAATGGTGTTAGTCCTCTTTACCCTGGAAATCGGCATGGTATTACTATGTACGATGCATGAAAAGACGAAGTTTTCTCTTCATATAGCTAGCGTCGCTGTCGGTTGAATGATGCCTCGGCGTCCCCTTTTTCACATTCTATATGTCGACGATGGTAACTCCTCGGTGGAAAAGATCACGTTGCGTACATATCTCAAGATACAGAATAGCATGTATCCAACTACTACAGGTACATGGATACATCCCATCCCACCTCATCGACAGTAAGAACCGAAAAGTGGTACCCGTTTAAAGCCGCCTGTGTGTCTTACAGGATCCATCGATACTTCGCATATATGTACACGGTGATGTATATTTAGCTTAATATTGTTATTATAACCATTAAATAGCTAGGTACTTAATTACTTACTCACTTACCTACCAGCCTAACCTCCCTGCCTCCTACATTACATATACATGATACATACGTACATAATTTGCTTCTCGATTTTTCCATTTTCCCAATTCTGCCTTTGTTTATTTGATTCCTTGGTTCTCTGGTTCTTTTCTATTCCATACTGTTAGCAAGATATTCTACTATTTTTGGCGGTGATTTAATTGTTCAGGCCTTGAATGTGTCCCTCGCGTCGGTACAGGGGTTCTCTTCCTTACTCCTCACTTCTATTTCATAATAATAATATACAACATTGCCCTAGGTGCATCATCATGTAATGTTTCTTACTATATATGTATGTACATGTATCATGGATACATGCCAGGTATTATACTAAGTAGGTAGGTACTTGTATAAAAAGTGCACTTTTGATAGTACATCGTCTAGGTCCGTCGTAGTGTAGCTAGGTACCTATATTTTTCTACACTATGTGGGCTTCGCTGCTGGTCTGGGCGTTTCTTTCGCTCCAACGTTACGAGGCGAAGTGGGAAAAAACAATAAACCAAAAAAAAAAAAGTAGTCCTACATACAAAATGCTAGTATACCGACATATGCGTACATACCGACATACATACCGCCGCTACATTAAAGTCCGAAAGTTACATCCCGCTGTCTCTCCCTCTCTATCTTCTTCAATGGGATGTCATGTTTAGTTTGACTGTCGCTGTTCGCCTGCTGCGCCGACGTATGTATGTATAGTAGCAATCATCACCACCACCATTCCTTCGTCCCTCATCCAGCAGTAAGAAGTAGCAGAAGTAGCCGGCAGCAGCAGCAGGAGCAGCGAAAATCGTCATCATGAGCGGCATCCCATTTCCTCATATGCAACCGGGTGGTCAGGCCTGTCGGACCCAAAAAGTCGTGTCGCGGTACCGCTACCTCGTTCGCAGGCGTGGCGTTGTTGGATCGACTAGTACCCGTACCAATCTAACATGCACAAAATAAACGTCTATCTTGATTTAATATCAAGCGGCAATGCCAACTCATCATTGCATGAGGTGTTAAACGTCTGTTCTTCGCCTAGTCGCTTCGCCGCTCCCGGACGTTCACGATTCTCATTGGCCGGACACCCCTCGGGTCTCTTAGTGGGCTCCTGGTCCCTCCTGGTCGGTCTTTTGGCAGGGTCCCTCAAATCGCCTTTCGAGTTTTTTCTCCAATAGCTTCTTAGGGCAGAGACCAGGTTCATGTCGAAGGACCAGGGTTGCCCAGGCAGGCTAGCTCACTGTTCATGCATCTCATTCTTCCTTCACCGACTTGATGGTTCCGACCATCGAGCTACTTCTTACTCGTCCAATTTTTTTTCTTCTCTCTGTTCACTTAATTTTTTCTTTTTCCTCTTTTGATGTTTAGCTCCAGATTGCTAGAGAGGAGTAGAATGAAAAAAAAAGGGGGGGAAGTATTTACATACCGCTAAGTACATGCTGAAGTACCTAGGTACCTGCATATATGTACCTACGGAGCTTAAAAGTAAAGAAAGAGGTAAAAAATAATAACAAGAGAAAGAACTAACGAAGAATAGGAAAAAAAGAAGGGAAAGGAAAGAAAGAAAGGGGCGGAAGAGAGTTAAGCGCTTCTTCTCTCTAGCTTTTCTTTAGTTATTTCACTCTATTATCCTATACGATCATACAATAGCCATCGGTACATGTTAACCCAAGCGCCGGCAGCTTGCTACGAACACTTATCATCAAACCATTCTCGAATAACCATCCAAATAAACCCCAGTCCGATGTTGTACCTCGATTTTTACATTTTACTAAAATAGTTGTTTTCTTCTCAACTATTACAATTCGCTCTTCTGATTTGTCCAAATCCTTTCTTGCTTACGTTGTCTATTATTGTTGTTATTATTATGATTATGATGGCACCGATGCGATGCGAATCGCTCACCCCCCTCCCACTCCCACTCACTCCCCCCTTTGGTCCACCATGTAATGTACATACACTCTATCCTATCCTGTAAGTCTGTCTGATCCAGTGGGTTGGCTTGCTGTTACGTTCATTCTCAGATCCGGGACTCCATCCTCACCGTTAGTACCCCCCCGCCCCAGTCTCTCCTCACCCATTTCTCTCACTTCCTCTCATCTCTCAGTTCGATCTCCGAGTCCTTGTCATGTACATGGATCTATATACATACATATACATGATACAGGTGCGCGTACATCAATACAGACGGACAGGCATCTTTGTAGTAGCAGACAAAGACAAGACTACCTAGCTGCGGCATGCACGTACGTGGGGAGGTATCATTATTGACCCTTTTCTGGTCGTCTAAAAACGCCGTCTATCCAAACCGTACCAGTCCTTTCGTTGTTTTGATTGAGTATCTGTTGCATTAGCGGCCGCCGAGAGGGATCTTGGAATGGCAGTTTGTTTCTTTCTCGCCTTTTTCACCTTCCCCTCCAGACAACTAACCAGGCACATCCCTTCATTTGCGGTGCCCCGGCTGGTCTGGAGGAGGAGAAGGTGGATGATGATGAGGAGTACCTAGAAGGAAGAGAAAAAAAAAAGAGGAGGAGAAGAAAGAGGAGAGATCTTACTGGTGGCCGGGTCTCCTCTCTTTTTTTTCCCTTTCCCTTTTCCCCCCAGTGGGTAAGTGGTAAAGTAGGTAAGTCTTTGCTCTCAACCTATCTTATTGTCCCTATTATTTTTATTTTTATTCATTTTTTATTATTATCAGTTTCCCCCCTTTCCCCTTTTGAGTCTATACAAGTTCCGCCGAGGGTCGTGGATTGGCCGCAGAAGCCTGGTTCCAGTTTCATTTCGCCACTTTCAATATGCTTACCTCTGCATACACCATTACCTCTATCTTTTTTTTCCCTTTCCCTTTTCTCGCTGGCTCTCTCTTTTTACCCAGCTGGGTCCTGGGCTTGCTCCCCCATTGTCGGACAGGGTTATGGAGAAAAACCCTCGGACGGAGACGGCGGTACCACATTCTGCCAAAAGGAGCCCCGGCCAGACTTATCAGAGATGATCGTCTAAGGGAATGCATACCCCATGTGTTGCGGTGGAGTTGCCTAGTCTCTCGACGTTTTATCAACTGGCAACGACACGCGCCAGCACAGCAAGATGGGGTCACACTCTTCAAGAGCCGCATCTTCACCTGCGTCTATCGACCTGGTTCCCTTCCGTCCCATTGCCCCTTCGGCCTTGCTGTGTTTAATTGCGTCTTTCCAGATCCCTGCCCCGCACTAACAAGTCCAATTCTGCAATAAAGCACACATGTCTCGCCGTCGATGGCTCGTCTCGTCTGCACCGCAGCCCCGAAATACGTAGCCCTATCCTTTTTCTCCCCCTTCTTCAACACCACCACAACCACACCTCGGTTTCCGTAGTACAGAGCTGCTCATCACATCGAGAGAGAGAAAAGAAAGAAATCTTTTTTTTTCTCAGTGCTGCCCTACCGGTCCGTTCCTGGCCCTCTCTAATCCCCTCGCACAGTTGGGCTTGACTGCATATCAACTCAAACGACGCACACCACGCCCGGAACTTCATCCCGTGTCTGCTTACGACATTGCCTGTCTATCTGTCAGTCAGTCTTGTCTTGTCTTGTCCTGTCTTGTCTGGTCTGCCTCAAACCGGGAATTCGTACGTACATACACCCGACCGATCTTTATTCTTCGGGTGGGGTGTTTCTATGTTTTGAGGAGAAAATACCACCCTGCCGTATTTTCTTACGAGTTCTGGGCCCCAATTGCGTTGTTAAATTGTGTGTGCTGTGTTGCTTTGCTGTCAGCAATATGGGAGGATTCTACATGCAGTATCTTGAGAGTAAGTCAATTGCTTGCCTGCTTTGCCTATCCGTCTGCCTGTCTGCTTTGTTCGCCTCATCTTGCCTATCATTACTCTCAACACGCCCCCCCTGAGAAGCTGTGTCGTTCCCCAACGACCCCACGATGACGCGCAGAGGCGCGGTGGTGGGGCTAGGACAGCGAAGAAGAGTTCGTCTCACACGTGGACAACCCCCTGCGTCGAGGCTCGATATGCCGCAGGAACACATCAAGCCCTATTGCCCGATAGAAGTGTTTTTTTGGTTTGTCCTGTCAAACGCCACGTTTCTGGGGTGGGAAGGGATGAGTTGTGTGGATGTACCTATCCCGTCCGTCCGTCACTGCCACTGTCACTATCACTTTCTGGCGCCCGATCTAGAGCGTTCGCGATCCGGCTGTCATGCATATGCAAATGTGTCATGCTCGATCTCTGTCGCGTCATTAGGGCTGCATATATTGCGCGGGACGTTATTGGCATCGAACGATAGGGGGGTGTGGGAGTTTCCCAGGATTAGCAGCTAACTTGACATCCGATAGGCCTGTGCCGGCGTCGTGGGTGGCGAGACCCTTCGTACGAGTGTTACAGAGACCCCAGTGGCTACACGTGCCTGGTACTGGTAAATGGGCGCGAGTACCAGACAGATCTGGCATACGAATCGGACCATCTCGCGCAGGAGAATGCGGCCATGAGGGCCTTCATGGTTTGCCGGAATTTTTCTGTCAATGGAGGCATGCTTGCGCGTAACGGCATTGTCCAGGGTCTTCCAGCCAATGATACCACCAGGCGCAAGAAGTCCCGCCATGCTTCGTCTGGCCATGGCCACGGCCAAAAGGAGAGCCGTCATAGGTCCGGCCATCACTCGAGTAGCAGCTCGACTGCATCCTTCGAATGAGCAAAAAGTGTTTTGATTGCCTGAGCCGTTCGGATCGACGGATTGTGGGCCCCAAAAACCCTTACCCCTGGCTAATTTTCAAAAAAACAAAACAAAAACCAACCAATGGATACAAAGCAGAGAACAGAGAGGCGTCAAATATTGATGATATATATACACGTGGTGAAGCTTCACAGCTTATCCTCAGGCATATCCCGCTGAATACCCCCTTAAACCCAGCATATCCCCGAATGAGAGAATATGAGAGATGAGAATGAGAATGAAGGAGAGAGACAAAAGTTTGCATACATCGAACGAATTTACGACCTGACGAAGAAATCATTGAAACGACCTTATGAGAAACCAACCAAATTTAATAATCGGCAATTTCGTACCACCGCAATCCTAAGAGAGAGTTTGATTGCTCTGATACACTTTTCAATTTTTATATTTCCTTTTTTATGATTCTACCAAAAAAGACTTGATGAAACCCCCTTTTCTCGGCCCATGGGATTTTTTCTACAGAACCAGGCCGGTTCGGGAAAAAAACGGATTCTATTGGAGGCAACTCTGCTACTGCTGCTACTGCTGTTATTTAGCGAAGCCTGGTTTTGGGAGGAAGTGGCCATTTCCCCTAGTCCTACATATATATGGCTCCAGAGCCATTTTCCCCGACTGTCACGATGGATGGACCTTGGCTCGAGGGAGATATTAATTATCTCGAGATAGACTTCTTTTTGGATAAATGCCTTGGGACTGCTCGGGCGGCCTAAATGAGGGCAATGTGGCACACGCCTTGCTCGCTGCACTGGTTCTCTTTTTTTCTATGGCAGACCCCTTGTTGGCATGGATCTAGTTTCCTCTATCGTTCGGACGAAGAGGAGGAAAACGAATGGGCCAAATTCTAGAGTCGGGATGAGGGAAAATTGGTAGAAAACCGGGATGAAGCGAGTGCATGAAAAAAAAACAAAAGAAAAAAGATTAAGATCAAGAAAGAAAGAGGCATTAACTTGGGTGGATTATTTGTGTTTTACTTTTTCTCTCACAGCTCGCGCTTTGAAGATTGGACGGAGGCCTTATTTCTTTTTCGAATTTTTCCTCATGATTTTTTTTTCCTGCTCGGAAGTCTATAAAATTTAGGATCTCACGGCTACAACCTAGATAGATGATGATCATGATCACGATCACGATAAGTTACGAAGAATCGAATTTACGACGTTCACGGCATGACGAAAGCTCATGTCCTCATCAACAACAACCAAACATTTATTACTTTCATTTTGTTAAGACGTCAGCTAGCGTCTTCTGATGCAAGTGGCCGTAATGTGTGTATCCGACATGCGTGACTCAAAAAAATTGGGCTAGTTACGGTTCCTTAATTTCCATTCGGGTCTATAGCGGTCGAAAAGGGAAAATGGAGGAAATCAATCATTAGAAAGGGGTAAATGAATTTGAGACATAGGTCGATTTATCTAAATCTAAATCTTAGAAGCATGTAAGTCGAGGTTGACAACGAATTGAAGATATACGGAAATCGCTCATCGAACGAAACATTATGCGATCTGGGAAGAATGATGATAACTTCCTCCCACACCCCGCAGATCAACGGTCTCCAACATTTCCTTCTATCCCCCCAAAGCTTGTCCCAGATCATCTCGTCCGCGCACCGGTTCCTCGGCGGGATGACGGGTGGGTGAGTGGATATTGCATCGGTCGGTTCGCCTTGTTCCTGTGATAGGCACCAGGAAACCTGCAGGTCGTAACACAACGTCTACCAACTTTGGGACGGGAGAGGCAACGCTCTGCATGTCAGTTACTGTACCTACCTAAGGGGTATCCATCCACCCATCCATCCATCCATCACCTTTTTTTTTTTTTTTTTTTTTTTATCTACATAGGGGTTTAGTTTATTACTACTGTATGCAAGTATGTCAACTAGTACGTTATGTATGTATGTATGTATGTATGTATGTATGTATGTGAGTGTACTATGTAGGTATATGTAGGTATGAGTGTCGCACATCAATCCTCCGTTGATCACATACATAGTCGGAAGTTGGGAAAAGAGGCTGTGACTCTGTGACTCTTATCACGTAAGAATGATGAAGATAAGAAAAGATCGTCTAGATTACGTCGGCGGGGAATGGGGAAAAAAAATTACTTCAATCTGTCCTGTTATGATAGTGGTTGTGTGCTTGCTAGATGGTAACGTATGAAGTATGTAGTGGTGGTAGGCAGTGGAATGATTCGAGGGGAGATACTGGGTAGAGACAACTCGTATTTGTTTATATGGGTTGGTCATTTACACCACTCCAATACGAGGATGATGTAAAAGGCAGAGTTTATACTTGGATATTAAATATAGGTACAGGTATGGTATGGTACGGCCTCGGTTTTTAACTTTAGATACGTGATGATTGTGGAATGTTACACAACATTATGTGATTGGAATTGAAACAATAAATACCCTGGTTGTTTAATTGAAAGGATGGAAATTCGATGCATGAATGTAATTCAATTTGATACTACGTAGATTATTTCTTCGTACAGCGTGGGGTTTAAGAGCATGTGATTGGTCGTAAATCAGGGGTGACCTATGCCACACATTGTGGCTGAAGTGGTCTGCCCTTTTATGGCGTTTTACGAGTTGTGGTTGCCCAAAATCGCCAGATGCCAGGGGTCTAGGATGGAGCTAGCTACCTAAAGTAGATAGAAGAGGGGGGGCAGGGGGCCGCTAATTTCAAGCACTCACTGGCGCGACAACTTTACTTAGGGTTCTAGTAATAAGAATAAAGGGGGGACGATTCGTAAACTGTAAACCTGCAACATCTACCTACCTAGGTACCTAAGGTAACCAAATTATTATTTGACTCTTCTCTCTCGTTCTATCACAACTATAATCCTTTTTTTTTCTCCTTCTCTCGTGACTTCTGTACCAACGTCCAAAAGAAAAAGAAAAAGGAAAACAAAAAGTTTAGGTGTCCTTTAATCCACCTAATTCTTTTATAGTACTAATTTAATTGTTCCACTACACCTCACTTTATTCAATTCGCGACAGTCTTGTCTTGTCTTGGCTTGAACATCTGCCACACCGACTTCTTTACGAATTTCCCTCCCACGATAAAACTTTCGCCGTCCTTCGTTTATTCGACAGCTATAGCATTCAATAAAAGAACGTGATACTGTTAATTCCGTTCTCTTTGCGACAATCATACATATTTTAATACAAATCACCACCTACAGTCAATATGAAGGGTAAGTTCCACACCATAATCGAACGATACACCAATCACCAACAACATACTAACTATTCTACTTCACAGCTCTTATTCTTGTCGGCGGCTTCGGTACGCGTCTACGGCCCTTGGTACGTGTGCCAATTTGTGATTATGCATCGTCGAATCGAGAATTGCGAAATGTCTCAGACTCGACTTCGAAGAACCAAAAAAAGATTAATTAGTCTCTCATAGACCCTTACTATGCCAAAGCCCTTAGTCGAATTCGCGAACAAGCCCATGATTCTACACCAGATTGAGGCATTGGCTGCTGTCGGCGTCACTGATGTTGTACTCGCTGTCAACTATCGCCCTGAGGTTATGGAGCGGGTTTTAAAGGAGGTTAGTACCCAAAACGAAAATCAAAATCCGCAGGTGACCCCTATTTTCCCCTCTGCTGACATTACCTGGTTTGTGTAGTACGAAGCCACCCTAGGTGTCAAGATCCATTTCTCCCTTGAGAGCGAACCCCTCGGTACTGCCGGCCCCCTAAAGCTCGCGGAAGAGATTCTCGCTAAGGACGACTCTCCCTTCTTCGTCTTAAACTCCGACATCACCTGCGATTTCCCTTTCAAGCAACTCGCCGATTTCCACAAGTCCCACGGCGATGAGGGTACCATTGTTGTCACCAAGGTAGAAGAGCCTTCCAAATATGGTGTCATTGTTCACAAGCCGAACCACCCCTCACGCATTGACCGCTTCGTCGAGAAGCCTGTCGAATTCGTTGGTAACCGTATCAACGCCGGTATGTACATGCTGAACACCTCGGTGCTCCAGCGTATCGAGAAGAACCGACCTACATCTATCGAACAAGAGACTTTCCCTGCTATCGTACGTGATGGTCAATTGCACTCCTTTGACCTAGAGGGCTTCTGGATGGACGTCGGTCAGCCTAAGGACTTCCTGACAGGATCCTGTTTGTACCTCTCGGCACTTGCCAAGAAGCAACCTCACCTACTTGTCTCTCCCTCCGAGGGCTTTGTCCACGGTGGCAACGTCATGATCGACGAGTCCGCGAAGATTGGCAAGAACTGCCGAATTGGACCTAACGTGGTTATTGGCAAGGGTGTTGTCATCGGAGACGGTGTACGTCTACAACGATGCACACTCCTTCCCGGATCCAAGGTCAAGGATCATGCGTGGATTAAGAGCACCATTGTTGGCTGGAACAGCACCGTCGGTAAGTGGGCTCGTCTCGAGAACGTAACGGTTCTCGGCGACGACGTTACCATTGGTGATGAGATCTACGTCAACGGTGGTAGCGTCCTTCCTCACAAGAGCATCAAGGCGAACGTTGATGTGCCCGCTATTATCATGTAATTGATTTAAGGCACGGTCTGCGCTCTTCATTACTCCTTTTCGACTTGCGACACTTCTTGTGTATATCTGGTACTCCTTTTATTCGCCCTTAAGATTTCATAATATGCCGGCGGCTTCGTCTTCCACTTAGTGGTAAACTCTTAGCATTTTTGTTCGATTCTGTTTTTCAGATAGGGTGGCGTTCGGGTCAGCATTTCATGATAGGCGATGACTATCATTCTATTTGCCAGATTACTGGCAAGCCTTACGGGATAAGGAGGGCAATTTTTGCCAGCTGTCGTTGTCTCCCCGTTGAATTTAAACCCCTGTCCTGATGACGGAGACTTGGGTTCTCGAACTCGCGATACGCCGACCCCTCCTATCTACTCAAAATCCTCGAGGCCTCGAATGAGGTACTCTTTCAGTCTATCGGGGCTTATATACAAAATCAAAGACGAAAATGGTGCCTACGAGGAAAACGGCGGATGACGTGGACGAAGTCGACATGGGGAGAGTCCCCTAAACCTAAAAATAACGGACGTGAGAGCATACGACTTTATGGAGGCGGAATAATTGCGGTTCTCATCGGAGGTAGTATATGCGTCGGATAGCTTAATGCGTAGACGTCGTAGTGAAGGTCTAACTAATGGTGACCGAGACCTGGACTTACTACCTACTGACATAGGTACCTGTTTGCCTTGCTCAAGCTACCTACCTGCTATACCCTGCTTGCTATTTCATGCAAGGGTTTGCTTGCTGTGTCGGCTATAATGACGAGCTTGAGATTTCTAGGCTAGTTAGGTGAATGCAACTAAGATAATAATCCAGATGCTTCGTGTTGACTCGACGTGTGTATATGAATGGTATGCGTACTTAACGGCTGGCGAATGGTAGAAAGTTGGTCAGACAATAATTAAAGAGGCGAATACGTCTACCTATTATATATACGCTTCGACATCCCGTGATAGAGAGCAATATATGTAATGGAGGGATGTGATGAAGTGAGATAAGACCAGCTGTAGCTACATACGGCATGACGGCATACCGTACACATACACGGTAGAAATTCACCAATGTAGATATAGCATGCCGTGCCACGTCGTATTGAGCACCTCTTCTGTATCTTCAGCTTATAAATGCACTGGTCAGACAATATCAATGTTCTGGTCGACTTGGGCTTACATTCACACACCCAATTCATATCACCTTCAGTTACTATATGAATACCTCTACAGCATTACCGACGTAACAAGCGATAAAATAGCAAATCGCCGACTAACTAATTCAGTACCCATCTACCGACCGATGTATACCTACACAACCCATACCTATATCTCTCTAGCTAGTGTATGCTGTATCCCCTACCTATATCTCCCCAACATCCACATCCCTAAATACGGGCAATGTGGATTCACAAGGACAGGGCTACGTAGCTAACCCAACCCACTAACACGTAGGACAACAGCTCCATTCCATTCCCGTTCACGTCGGTGTTACTCCAATCGGTTTACCTAGTACTATACCCCGTATCGCAGCGGTGAGGTACACGATATCTCTCCTGGGATATATGTATGGGTATGAATAAGGACGAACAGAATGGATCACTAACGTATTTATAAACAACCCCACACCAATCGGATCAAGTCCGAACCAACGTGTATGGACGGATATAACCCTATCTATCTACATGCGTACGTACCTTTCTTATCAAAGTACCTTTCACTTACTCCGACAGAAACAACACCGAAGCATGCAAGAAGATGGAGACAGATTGCTACTAATTTCTTTTCTTGTATTACACCTTTCGGTAGGTATTTGTATGTATGTAGGAGGCACTATCATTACTACTACTAACTGGGCTTGCTGGGTTTACCATCCCGACCCAACCGAACCCGGAAAATCGAGCCCACCTGTCATCCCGCCCATCCATCCAGCCACCCCATAATTCTGGCGGTGTTCATCATTAAGTCTTTCCAGAAACAAAACTCCGGTGCGTACATACGTACATCCGCATACATATTTCCCTTTTTGAATATGTACGTGAACACGTAGGTATATGTAGATTAGATACGTACCTCACTAATGTAAGGTACCCTATCCACATATATATGGAGAAGAGGTGTCTGTGTGTCGTATTGTGTCGAGTATCCATGGATGGATGTTGTACCTCTTTGCTGTATGTAGGTTGTATGTGTGTGTGCGCAATGCTGCTGGAGTGTCCCTCCTCCGGCCCCGGATACCTACATACATACCAATTACCCACCACATATGTTGCGAATATATGGGAACCCTAATGCAAGGAGATGTGAAGTAGGGAAGGTCATTGCGCCCCGTCGAGCGCTTCGTGCGTCCAGTGAAAGGCCCTCGTCATCGACCCGAGATCCACTTTCTGGGCAGCCATCACACCACTTTGTCGCAGCTCGTAATAAAGGAGAATTATTATAACGAGGGAAATGCCCACTTCTCCAGCAGTCGAAAACAGAAAACGGAACTCTCGCTTGCTTGCTTACAAAGTTGGCTTCCTCAAAATGTCCGGTCTGGAAGATTGATCCTCGTGATCCTCGTCGTCGCGGACCCATCCGCGGCTCATGTCCACTGCTCTCTCCCAATTGCGGTACATGTGAGCGGCCCTCTTGCGGTCAACATGAGGATCAAAGACTCTGCGGCCAGACTTCTTACGTGTGATCCGCTGAAGTTCGTCAAGATCACTCCAACAGCCTTCGATAGCTAGGCCGGCCGCGATGGCGGCGCCTAGGGCTGTTGTTTCACGCATAGCGGGTCGCTCCACTCGGATATTGCTGACGTCGGCCTGGGTTTGCATTGTCAAATCCGAGTTTGACATACCACCGTCAACCGCAAGGGACTCAAGTTTGTGACCCGAGTCTTTCTCCATGGCCTCTAGAATTGCGCGCGTCTGAAAGCAAGTGGCTTCCAGTGTCGCACGAGCGATATGGCCTCGTTGCGTGTGCTGGGTTATACCAACTACAACCAATAAATTAGCAGTGATTCTCCATGAACAAATCTGAGATGGACCAGAACTTACAAATGGTGCCTTTTGCGTCATCAATCCAGTAAGGCGCAAAAAGACCGCTGAAGGCAGTGACAAATACCACACCACCGTTGTCTTTAACACTCTCCGCTAATTCACCGACCTTAGTTGAGTCTCTGATGAATCCTAGATTGTTCATTAAAAACTTCACACCGGAACCGCCGACCGCTATACTGCCTTCTAGGGCGTAGACAGGTTTCCGGCCCTTGCCGAAGTCAAACGCGACCGTGGCCAATAGGCCATACTTGGAGAGCACAGGTCTGTTGCCTACGTTGTACAGGAGGAAACATCCGGTACCGTACGTGTTCTTGGCTTGTCCGGGATTGAATCCGCATTGGCCGACCAAAGCACTGGACTGGTCACCAAGACATCCGGCAATTTTTACTCCGGCCAAGGCGCCGTTGGCGATGCTTCCAAAAGCTTCGGGGTCCGATGAGGGCACAATCTTGGGTAGTGCGACCTTGGTCCGGTCAATACCGAAAAAGGCGAGCAGCCTTTCGTCGTATTGCAGGGTATGCAAGTTCATGAACATGGTCCTACTGGCGTTTGTGGTATCGGTAACGTGGACATTATTATCCTTACCATTGAGGCGGTAAATCAGCCAACTATCTACGGTTCCGAATGCGAGGCGGCCTTCTTCGTATGCATGGCGCACTGCGAGATTGTTCTGCAGCAGCCACACAAGCTTCACGCTGGAGTGATAGGTACTTAGGGGTAGACCGCAAATCTCGGGGATTTGATGTGCCCCCGGGCAATTTTTTAATTCCCGCACAATTTCTTTGGTACGGGTGTCGGGCCAAACGACGGCGTTGCATAGCGGCTCTCCGGTGTTTGTGTCCCAGCAAACGATCGTTTCTCGCTGGTTAGTAATACCTACACCTTTTACTTGGGATTTCTTGTATCCCTTAAAGGTAAATTGCTCCATTGCCCTCTCGATACATGACTCAACTGAGCTCAGCAATTCGAGCGCGTCATGTTCGTGCCACCTGTCATGGTAAGATGCGGGCGTTAGTCGATCAGTGATGTAATAGGGGGTAGGAATAGAGGATGAGTGGCTAAGGAGCGGAGGGGTGGCTAGGGAAAGGGCTAAGGAACGGGGTAGGCAGGTAGGGTAAGAATAATAGGTAAGTGTGACGTCAAGTTACGTACCCCGACTCAGGATAGTGGTTCTCAAACTCAATTTGATGACTGGCGACAGGGTCCATTTCCCGATTGAAAATTAAGAATCGCGATGATGTGGTACCCTGGTCTATACTGCCAATAAACCATTCCGACTCTCTGCGATGGCTCCATAGCCCACCACCGCCGCTACTGCTGTTGCTGCTACTGCCACCGTTTGCAGTTCCGTTACCATTTCCATTGGAATAGCCATTGGTGCGACCATTGGTTTGGCCATTACTGTGGTTTCCATTGCTGCTACCGTTGGTATAGCCATTCGTGTAACCATTTGTGCGACCGTGGCCATTGGTGGTGGTGGTGGCGTTTCCATTGGTATAACCATTGGTATTACCATTGGTGTAACCGTTGGTGTAACCGTTGGTGTGACCATTCGTTAGAGGGCGACTGGCTGATGCGCCATTTACTCCGTTGGTTGCACGATGATCTCCCATATCGTGTCGGTCGATGTAGCTGAAACTGTCGATATAATAATTTGGAATGTTTGCTGACGGGGCTGGGGAGGAGTCGAGGTGAGGCAATTTAGCCTTATCCTAGCAATTTGGGTCGAGATCGAGATGGTGTGCGGTCGGCTTAAAGGATGCCGAATCGTTTGTTACGATAGGATGCCGTCTGATATGGGGTAGCCTGGGTACCTTTCTAGGTTGTCTTGGGAGACCAGTTTGGGATGGTGCGTGAGGAGTAGAGTGGACGAGAGTGACAAAGCGTCTGCGGCAGTGCGTACTAGTGATGTTGGTTTTACGAGAAGTGTTCAGGATGTTTAAGATATGGAAGAAAGAAAAGGGAGAAGAAAGAGGAGAGGGGAAGGGAAAGAGGGAGGAATGGTAGGAGTAGGATGAGGAGGAATAAGTAATGGAAGCAATGGCAGTGGTAGTGGTGGTGAAGGGGACAATCATATTGGTAAGGTAGGTTAAAGGACAGGCCGATCGCACAATGTCGCACTTACGTATTGTATTTTTGGTGCAATGCCAATGCTATGCTAAATAATATAATATCGTAATACCGCAATACCGATCTCAGCCGGCTTGTATAGCTCTTTGCTCTTTAGCATGCGAATTGAACAATGCCTAATGCAAATGCGACAATGCAGGAATGAGCAGGGATTGGGAGCCGCCGCGCCGTGTCTCTGGAGCAATTACCTCAACCTCAACTCGTGAAAGGTCGGTAGGCTCGTGGGGAGTGGAGGTTTGCGGGGAATCTTTATTGGCTTACTTTGGCTTGTGTTTGGGTACTTTGGAAAGACTGTGGAAGGGACTGGGACTGGGACTGGACTTGTTTCGCAAAGTTCATCGGCAACATACCGGCAAGAGTGCCCGGGGTAGCTTTGGTAATCCAGTAATCTAGTTTTAATCTATTAAATCTACACTATAAAGGGAAAGAGGTATGTACCGAGGTACCTAGATACATACACATATGTACACATTTTATCCAATGTGTGCGTATTATGTAGATTTGTATGTCGTAGTTGCGCAGTTTTGCGTCGTAACCACTAATACGGACTAAACGGAACAATCATTACTGGTGCAAAGCTAGGACCCAAACCTAGGCAGGCTGGAATGACTGACCTGACTGGACTGGACTAAGCACACTGGCGATTCCTTCTGTTGAGCTCTAGGCCTCGCGGAGCTTGTGTCGCGCTGTCTCCACAATTATAGTAGATCTTTACGGACTCGGGGGATTGGTGGAACATCTCCTTTTTTCTTCTACAATAGAAGGAACCTTCCATTAGTTCGATTTTTATTACTTCGATAGGATATGAGATGAGGGGATGCGCGAGGGGCAAAGAACTCAAAGAAAAAGAATAATAGAAAAAAAAGAAGGAACGAACACACTAGGGCCAACTAAAAAAGGGGGCACTCGGTAGCGATAGCAGTAGTAGCTCGTTAGTTAGCAATGAATAGCAGTCAGATGCAGTGGGCTTGGGTGGTCCGAGTGGTTCCTGGTGACTTTGGAAATTTGGCCTCCATTTCTTAAGCTCAAGCTGGGAGCAATCTGCCCCTCTCTCTTCAATAAACTCATTTCTTTTTTGCCTTTTTTTTTTCTCTCCCATGTGAACGGTTTTCCTACCTTATTGCTCCATTATTCTTAATCGAATTTGCTATTTCCATCCTTATTATCCTTGCCCATCTATCTTTATCTTACGCACAGCTACCATCGTGACCCCCAGGTGACCTCCTGCATTCCCTGCCTAAGCGCCTAAGAATGGAGCCCCCTTTTTTTCTTAAACCCCCTTCATTTTTTTTTTCTTAACTTTGCCTCCTCCGACGCCGCCCCTCACGATGCGGTCAAGAAAACACATTGCCATCCCTCCAAGGTCCAACAAGGGACCTCCAAACCTACACGAGGGTGACCACTTGTGCACTTCACGATAATTTATCCCGCGTGATAAGTTACATAGCCGTGCAGCCACCGTAGTCTCGACCGGGACGCGTCTTATTCATACAGATATATGTGGACTCGGGGGCCACGTATCCTCCCTTCCGAGACCCCGTACATACATGGTATACGTCAATGACTTTTTTTTTATTCCGTTTCAATGCATCCTTTCTCTATCTACCCCCAACAAGTGTTGTGTCTCCCTTCTTTGTTTCCCCTTCCTATCTTCTTACATTCCTATTCCCCTTCCACTTTCCCCCCTTGCCCTTCTATTTCCTCGTTTCCCCCACCCTGTGCCTATGTCTTGTTCCTAGGTCTACCTTGTTTTGCCGGACCTCATCCTTCCACCGCTTGGCTAGTTTATTATTTTAGTGTATGAGGCATTTATTGGTTTGTGGCACGCGGGAGAATACCAATTCAGAAATTCATCGCCCATAATGGAAGGTCCACAAAAATTCGTACTCGTTATTCCGATCGGCCTCTTGGTTTTGAGGATGGAATTGGTCTAGATCCCATGGGTTCTGCCGTTGTAACCAACCTCATCCTCGGCCAATTGTGGACTCCTTGCGGTCGGAAGATCGTCCGTCCAACTTCCATTCCGGTAATCTATGTGGGGCCGAGCCCCGGATGCTACCTATTGCCACTCGTTTTCTCTTTAGAACATCCCTTATTCCTTAGCAGGATGAGTGAGCAAACTTCCTATATTATGTAGGTCGTCTCTCCTTCATACGAAAAGATGAAATCATTTCTCCGGGGACTCCGCAAACTTACTGTTCTCGGCATTGGCGGAGTTGGCGGGGTCAGCAAGCTTTCTTGATGAAGAGACTAGGCAATTGTCGGTGTTCGTCTCGTGTGATACACTGCCTTGCTTGCATCCCTAGTCAGGCGCTGGTAATAGTCCCACGGACCACAAACACAGCCTCAATAATAATCTAGAATCTTACTCCGTACAATTCATCATGTCATTTATCCTCCCCATCGTATAAACACAAGACCATCGTAAAAATCGAATACCCCACACTACCCTGCTAGGCCAGGTACATGCTTTAGCCTCGGTTTCTTATTCTGCTTTGTCTATACTTTATCTAGAGTTTTCCCCAACCAATAGCTTATTTTCCTAGTTCCCTTTTTCCCCTTGCGCTCTCCATGGTTATGGTTATGGGCTTGCATCAGTCAAGAATAATAAAGTTAAAACCCGAATTACTAATCATCGTACCTTTTTTTAATTCCCGGGCTTTATCTGCTCTGGCATATAGTTCTCCTGACTGCGTTGGTTTCGGATGTTACCGTGTCCAATCCTCGTGAAAGGGTATATGCGGGCGTCTAGGTCTCCTGCCATATTGTGTGTTCCCCGGGCAGGGGCAGATAAGGGCAAATGTTGAATTGTACCATCTAGAGGGTATGACTGGTGGTGGAGCGCACGTGGCAGAACCTCACAAAATTACTTCCCCGATCTCGGTTGTGCAACAGTATTTTAATTTTAAACTTAAGTTTCGTCCGACATGCATGTTAGTCGGACGGTAGCTCCATTTTGACCGCAACCTTATCGCGGTCAAGCTCTTTCTCTTTCTCTCACTGCCCGTCCCCGTCCCCTTCCCTCTCGTCTTCGTCTTTTTTCCTCGTCACTCTCGTCACTCCCACCCTCATCTTCGTCACCCCTCAGTTTTCTTTCCCATCTCCCCCTTCCCCCTCTTCCCACTCCTTCCACTCCGTTCACTCCCGTTCATGGCATTCATACCCCTCACCTGCAACGGTCCTATCGTGGTCACTCTCATCGGTGTGCCTTCATAACCGCTGTTCTCGATGCCAAGCGAGCTTCTCTCGACGTTCCAAATGATCGAACATGCTGTCTCCCATGCTGAAAGGTCTAACGCGGCCGTGGAAGTGGTCTTTCCCGCGCTTCGGTCTCATATCGGTGCCAGCGGACTTTTCGTCTACGTACTACTTGCGGGTCATATTCCAGTGTAGGTCCAATACCGCACCGTAAGGAGAGTCTTTACACCCCTTCCTAGTCGTTATGGGCACTGTCCAGCCCGACAATATCCCGCCCACATGTTCCTCTAGCTCTAACGTGAGCTTGACATCATCTTTGTCAGGCGAACGACGACGATCTCCAGCACGACCTATGGATGCTGCCCCTCGACAACGAAAGCCCACGAAACGGACTTGCTGCGCTTTTCTTGGCTTCGCGCCCCTAGCTTTGGCGAGGTGATATGGAGTGTAGAGGGGTGCGATGCGCGTAGATGACATTGTGAAATGGCCTACGCGGCATTCTAAGTCCGACTGCAACGTCATACGTTAATAACCTGTATAAGAAAGGTAAGAGGTTGGCGTGGACTCACCGACAGGCCTGCGAGGGGTTGATCAGGGTTGCTATGTGGTAGGTTGAGCTAGAGTTGTGGGAAACTGTAGATTTTGTGTGGCTTGTCCGCCGTATCTTTTCGAGGGGGGTGATGATGGATGTCTTTAGTGTTGATATTCCTTGCGGGTTTGAATGGAATGGCTCTGTGACCCTAGTCATCTGCCAGGCCTTAGGGAAGCTTTCGATATACTTCGATCGAAGATAAAACAAAACCTGATGAGTGAATCCCCAATGGCTATATTTGTGACTCGAGTTGTTGGTTGCTTAGATGGCTATTGAAGAGGTTGAGAGAAGGTTGGAGTATTGAGGATCGAAGATGAATGGCCACTTGGAGAGAAGAGACGGGGTTTAAATACTTGAACTATTAAGAGAGATTGGCTAGTCTTGTGATAATGATATTTGCTGTTTCTCTAGATGAAAGTTCTATATATGATGAAATGGCAGAGTTTGTTCTCCTTCTAGGGTAACAAGAGCGAGTGAACTGGACTAGAGATAAGGAAGTGCATGCGTTAATATGAGACCCCAAGGTAGTTACGCGTATTGTTAAAGATAGTTGACGAGCATAACAAGAAAGCTCTACGAGTCAAGAGCAAGGCTAGATCACATCTAAGAAGCTTATCCTTTGCATTTCTAACACATCAGTTAACTTTACGTCGATAAAGGGTATGGGAGGGTAACTGCGGGCTGAATGTATATGCAACCAACGTATGATATATGGTTTGGTCTATTGAACTATCACGTCGTTTATGTTGTAAGGAGAGACATCATAAGAGACATGGGAAAGAGCTTGGGATTGTAGGGAGAAACGACGCTCTATCTTTGATATACTAGGAAGAGTCGACCAATTGGTAATAAAACTTTGTGATATCTCGCTTCACATTCGATATTTTATGAAGAGATATCCATTTAGCATTAATTGTGCAATCATACCTAGGTATGTTGGGATTTTATGGGTGTTGGGGTAATATAGAATCTCGAGCACTATCATTGGGTTAGTTGTTGCACATCTAATTATAAGGGGTACCTAGGTAGCTTACGGGTAACTCCAAATATCCAATCTAAGGATAGCTTCATAATGTAGTAAAGGCAACGCATTCACACACACACAAATAACCATGACCGAATACTTTGAGACATCGTCTATGATATGATTTATGTAGAGGTTATATGACATCTCCTATCTCCTAATTCCATAACAAACGTAACTTCGCTCTCCACATGCCACTCACCAATATACATCAAGTATTCTCTGAAGTAAATCCTCCGCTCTAAAATAAGAACGACCTAACCCCAATCTCATATCCTCACCGACATGGAAGGGTTTAGGTCGCGAAAGAAGATAAAGTACTCGTGCAGAGGGCTCAATACTGACAACCACCTGCAAACTCGAAAGATGCGCGATTCGACAATCTTGACTTGACCAGGAAACCGCATTCGAATTTCTCAGCAGTCCGCCACCTAGGCATTGCCCAATCCGAGCAACACCAAATTCGCCACATTCATAGCAACAATAATCAACCAAATCAGGCCTGCAAGCACCGAGACATACCACGGATTCGCAAGTCTAACCGGCCGATTCGCAGGCGCAAGACCCATCTCGCCATTCTCTCCCTCAGCATCAAGTCCCAACGAAACGCCGTTAATCACAAACGTATCCTTGCCCTCGGTCTTATATCTTGCGTGGCCGGGTTGCGCCGTCATATACTTCCCGAAACAGGTGAACCAAATCAGAGGCGCTGATACAAAAGGTAAGACGACGCTAAGCGCGACTTGACTACCGTTCAGCGCAGCGTTGAGTTTCTCGCGGCCGGCTGCGCCCGCGATGATTATACTCGGCGTTATGGAAATGGAGCGTGTGACTAGGCGGCGCAGCCAGGGTTGCATTTTCCATTTTAATGCGCCTTCGCATATCATTTGTCCAGAAATTGTGCATACGATACCTGCTGATACACCTGAGAATAGTAACGCGAGCGCGAAGATTGTCCCGGCGGCCGGACTTATGCTTTCGGAGAGCAGGTCGTGGATGCCGAAGATATCGGCTTCGAGAGCGTTCGGGTTGTTAAAGAGCGATGCGCCGGCAACGATAAGGATCGCGCTGTTGACGAAGAGGGCGAATGTGAAGAGTGAGAGGGAAACTTCGGCGTAGGAGTACTTGAGTGAGTGCTTGATGGCGGATAAGCTGGGAACGTAGTATGTCTTTTCGCCTGTTTTGCCTTCTTTGGTACTGTTCGGCGCGGAGGCGGGTTCGGGTGGGAGGAGCCCGCGCTTCGTGTCGTAGTCTTTGAGACGGCTTTGCACGATACCGGAGCCGAGGTATAGGGAGTGCGGCATTACCTATAAGCTAGGTGAGTAAATGTACCCAAGTATTCATGTATTCGATTCAGCTGAGGGATGCTTTGGTGGCGCCGCCACTGACGAGCCGCTAATCTTGAAAGGGGGAGATGAGGGGCCTATAAGAAGACCGACTTACTGTAGCACCAAGGATACCGCAAGCCTGGAATAAGCCGGACGATTGTGTGATGGAGTCATTTGGTACATAACCCAAGAAAACTTCACCGGGGGTAGTACCCGTGATGAGTGACAGTTGGATACAGAAACAAATGACAACAGCCAAGACAAGGAGCATCACAAAAAACTCGAACGCACGCAGACCCTTGATCGTTCCATGGGGTTGGTAGAAAATGAGAATAACCATAACATCCAGGATCGACAGAGCGCAGCCAGCCACAAGCGGCAGCTTGGGTATGAGCAGATTTAATCCAATGGCAGTACCAATGACCTGCAGAAGTCAGCGATGAGTCGCAAGCCACGATTCGGATGAGGGATCTTGGTACTCACTTCAGCGATATCGGTAGCGATAATGGCTGCCTCAGCCATGAAATACAGAAAATAGTTCAGCCATCGCGGTAGAAATGCGCGGCACGCCTCAGCCAAGTTTAGTCCAGTAACAGTTCCCAGCTTGATAGAAAGGCATTGCAGAAAGATGGCGAACAAATTGCTCATCAAAATGATAAAAAGCAGGCGAAATTGGTTTTCAGCGCCGGCGCTGATGTCGGTGGAATAGTTACCGGGATCGACTATAGGTCTCAGTTAGTAACTATTTAAATAGGTAAGTACCTACATCCTCATGTACATCTTCATGTAGGTATCCGTCTAAGTATAAAGTATATGTCATATATGTCATATTAATGATATTAAAGGAGATTATCACATACTATATGCCACGGCGACGAGAAAGCCGGGCCCGACGAATTTGCAAAAAGTAAAAAGAGTATGTTGGACCTGGCGCAAAGGAGTCCTCTTCTTGTGGGATGCAATTGAGCTCTGTTCGTGAACGACTTGACCTAGTGGTTGAGATGGTGGTGTCGTTCCAGGGGACTGACCAATCGTACGAGCGGAAATGGTCAGATTTGCAGGAGCTCGGACGCCACCATCAGGGTCCTCGTCAATAGAAGGCGGCACGTCCTCCGCCACGGGTTGTCCCGAGTTGTCCATACTCCTCGCAGAATCGCCGCTTCTGTGCTCTCTGGCATTGGCAATGCCGTTGAGGTCAGAGTTCGTAACGAGGTCGTTCGAGAGGGCGTTAGGACTTTGATTAAGCCCTTCGCCCTCGTACGGCTCGTCCGTCCTCGACGTCTGGTTCATGATCGAACCAGAGGCCCAGTTAAAAAACGGGCTATGGGAAGTTTCCTAGTTCCCCCCTTTTTTTACTCTTTTTATTTCCCGAGCGGATGGTTCTCTATTTCTATTGTCATGGGGAATGAAAGAGAATAAGAGGAAATAAAAACGGGTAACACAGTCCCGAATATTAAAAGGACAAAGAATAGGAATGAATGATTGATTTAATATTTCGGTGTTTCAATCGCTCGGTAGAAGAAAATGTTGAGTCCGGAATACGGGTGTAAACGGTATCGGTAGGTAGTAACAGAAAAAAAGAGGCCAAAAGGGTAAGTGGATATTCGATTCTATATGAATTGATTCGTTAACGATTTTCTGTTTCCACTTTGGATCTGTTTGAGTTGCCTCCGTAATAGGTACCTACATACGGTACTAAAGGGCTGAGCAGTTAGCGTAGTCTCCACCGGGATTGTACCCTTACCCCAGAGTTTAGCGTAAGAGTTACCACTGACTTACAGCTATTACACTTATACACACTTGTATATACTAAACTGAGAGTAGATCACCATTACTTTTACTTACTTACATTCTAATTCCCTGTTGTTCCGTATGTCACCTTACCCATCTAGTTCCTTGCTAAATCGATCGGGTGCATCATCGATAGATAGAATTTAACGGTTTCTCCCGTAATACGGCCTAATCCCGGCTACCTTGGACCCGAAACGATGCCGGACCATGTGGTGGTCCCCGGCAGATCCTTGTAATTTGATGAAGATACCGTATCGATACGATGGTAGTCGTACAATTGCTTCTTCTTATTACTAAATAATTTGTTAAGTGTTTTGTGCTTAGTGTTTGTGTAGTTGTGGTTGGATTTCTATCTCAGATTCAATAGGATAGAGAATGTGAGTTGCAAGAGGGGAACATTAAAAAGTGATTCTCATCTGAAGGAAATCTAGATGCCTCTTTCCAAGTAATATGTTACAAGTCCAGGTCACGGCATTGGTCAGTTGAAACTATTAATTTCTTAGGGACGTGTTGATGTTCCTAAGGTACTGTAACTACGCTTTCCTCATCATTCGCTCATTTCATATCACTCCTCGCTAATTCACCCACCCATCCGTTCCATCTCATTCCTCGTCAACTTCTTGATTCACGCTTCAGTATCATATATGTCATACAAACTTCCTTTCACCCAGTTGCTGAATACACCATCATCCCACCATACTCACGCATACGTACCTAACCTACTTAATCACTACCCACACACACACACACACACGTAATCTTCGCTCGGAATGTCTTCACCCATTCCTCGGCCAACCCACCGGCTGGTTTCGGGCGAGTCTCGGTAAATCTCGGTATGGCAATTTATCCCGATAACTGAATTTGTCGACCACCGGGAGCTTATTGCGACTTCTTACTACCAATCTTTCCCGCAGCACGCTCCCTCTCTCTCTTTGCGTATATTTCAGCCGTAAACGGATTCTCATATTTAAGAGCGATCTGGTAGACGACGAAAACCCAGGCGGTCAGTAGGATACCGGCAGGCTTGCCGTATAATAGTGCAGTACCGAGGAAACTGCAGGTCGAGCCATTATACATAGGCGCATCTGTAATGTTGAACGGAAAGCCGGTGACGATATCATCCATTAATATCCCGAAATAGTCTCCTAGGAATGTTCCCGTAATTCCTAGCATCCATGTTGAAGATATTACGAGAATGTTACCGACGGCGAGTAAGGCGAAGGCAACATATTTGACCTCATCTAACTCGAGTAACGGGTATGATGGTTGTTCGCGTAGTGCACGTTCGTATAGGAAATCGCGTACGAGGCCAATGGAGAAGATGGTGAGGGCTAATCCATAGCATGCGGTTTGCGATCGGCCACCGAAGAGCTTAGTGAGTAATTTATTGTGATACTCTATTTCGGAATGTTAGAAACAAGGATTCATGTGGGATATGTTAAGTCGTTGTCTATAGAGGAGGCTGGTGTCGGGGTTAATTTGCGCACCTTGTCGAGCTACGATACTGTTTCTTATTAGCTTCCGACTTTTAGAACTATATGAGTATATAACTGTGAGACATGCGACCTACTTCCAGAATAGAGGATTGAATGCAATAGCACTGGCCGAAACTGGTATTGTTAGCAAGTATATCGTGTGTCGCGGCTATTCGAGGTTTAGCATACTAAACAGGCTTGTCTGGCTAAGGTCGACCAGCTTGGTCGTGGGAGCTTCAAATGATGCCATAGCTTAAGCTTGCTTGTTAGGTATACTTGATTATGTTGTTTTTTACTGTATGATACGAAAGCTCAGAGAAAATGCGCAAGTGATGACGATGACGTTAATTGTTATTTCCCAGGCAAAATAAGTTTAGTAGGCATGTATTAAACGAACGTGGCCTGGCGGCTTAAGAAAGTTGGAGTGGAAGCTTGTTTGGTCGAGCTGGCCAAAATAATTGGAGCCAAGACTTCTTTTAAGCGTTCCGTTCCCGTGAGACATTCACATGGTGTCATCCCGCAGCTTCTCTTGCCTCTCTTTTGACTTTCGGAGCCCCTCCGCGACAACTTAATCATTGCCGATCGGGACGCACGTGCGTATATTACGTTGAAGTTGTGGTTTACCTAAACTTTCTTCGAGTTACATCTATCCATGTTACACTTCCATACTACGTACATGTACCACACAACTTTTCTCCTCATCTAACCAACTGCTCTATTTATTCCCCGACATTAGACAAATAGGAATTATACTATAAATCGTAGTTGTTCTTATCTTAACGCCACTATATCTCCCAGTTTCCCAGCGGGGTAGATCTGGGGGAGTTCCAGTTTCTCCAAGGTTTGATAGGGATAAAACCTAGGTGTGGATGGATTGACCAACACAAGCAAGATAGGGAGGAAGAATGTGGAAGCATCTCCATTTCATATCATATTCGATTCGAGAATTGGACCTAAGCCAACTATCTCCTTGGGTATTCGATAACAGCTAACAAAGTCCGCCTTAAACAATTCCTTCTGGCATAGCATGTCCTAACCTAGCTAACCTTTACCGTCATCACCTACGCGTCCTCGTCTTCTTCGTTGTCTGGGTCGTATCCTCTTCCTCTTCATCTTGTCCTTTCTTTAGATCGTCTTCCAGACCCCATTCTTCTTTGTCATACCAATCCTCTCCATCAGACATGTCACGGTTCGGTCCAACATGTGCCTCGTACTTGGACCATTGCAAAACTGTCTTTCGCATCCGGTCCGCCCGGAGTAGTCCCTCATACAGTCGCTTTGCCCCTCGACATACTTCCTCCTGCTTTTGTACATACAGCTGTAACAGTCGCCGCATGTCTTCCGCCTCAGCTTCCGGGATTCCGAGATCCCGGTCAGGATGTGCTGATCGTGGGGGCAAAAAGAGAGGATGGATCGGGGGCTCATCCGTGGATTCCGACATCACGGATATCCCACGACTATTCGCATGCTCCATTTCTCTGTCGGCTTGATCGGATTGGGCTATTCTGTCGATTTCGCTCTGTCTGATGGAGGAGAGCTTATTTGCTACTAACAGCTTCGCTGCCTCTATAGTATGTGACTCTACGTCTCCATTACTGATGTCAGCATTTATGCTCGGTCGCCTTTCCGTGGTGTCGACTTTCTTGTCCTTGCCTTCGGGTTTGTCGGGAGTACCATCTTGCTCATTGCATTTGTGGTCTTGCTTTTGTCCCTCTCCGTCGACGTTTTCACCTGGTCTTATTGACCCTGCATCTGCGTTGGCTGGTTGATCTATATCGATCATCGGGATATCGACACTATTGGATTTTCCTCCATTCGTTGTGGTCGCCTCTTCAGTGTTTGTAGAACCCTCTTCTTTCACTACAGCATCGACAGTTTTGCTAGTCTTTGCTTGTGCGTCTTCTAGCATTAGTATATTGGCGTCCGACTTGACAGACCCTTGCCCTTGACTATTGTAATCCGTATAGTCGTCACGAAATAGTTCTATGTCGTTGGGACCGATCATTATATCGCAAGGCGCCCAAATATGGTCGCCGACGAGCTTCGTTTGGAGGTGTTTGACTCTCCAAAGCGCCGCATTTTCCTTCTGCATGATATTGCAGCTCTGCTTCGCTAAATCTGCGAGAGTTTTTGTAGTGTACGGTCGTGATAGGGTGGGATGTGAAGGAAGGTCGGTAACAGAGGTAAGAGGCGCGAGAATGTCTGAGGACGGTAACCTGTTAGTAATTCTGGACACGCTAGGTCGGGGAGCGACAACGAACTTTCTAAGCGCACGTTTGCGTATGGGTTAAATTCGGCTGCTGCATGGGCAACATCTTGGACGTAGTCTTGGTCATCGTCGCTATCGAGTTCGTAACCATCATCGTCAAGGAGTACGGGATTTCGGCTTATGATGGCTCTTTGGTAACCGGCGTGATTGACAATCTGTAAGGTGAGAATTGATTAGGAGCTGTTCCCGCATGTTTTCGCTTTGGTGAAGTATGGAATACTTGCCTCTTTGTATACCTCCGGTCCTGAAGGTGGTGCTAGCTGTCCTTCATGGACGAACCTAGCCCTCTTCATCAATTTGTGCCCGCGATTGCCATGGTAATATATTTCGGAGTCAGAGTCGGATTCTAAAAAGCCGAAGCATTAGCAACTAATACGAAAAGTCACTCTGTTCAATAACACTTACCGTATGCCTTGCGCTTACGAGCCTTCTTCATTGCCGTGATGGTCTCGGAGAAGAGGACTTGTTGAGACGTCATTGCGATCGTCTACTCCTACACTTGTCGCGACGCTTGTGAATCCAACTTGTTTTTCCAGTGATCTCTTAATGGTTTGAATAACTGGTATAGATTTTTTATTTGCGGCACCGATTGTTTTACGACGTAAGGGAGTATAAAAGTCAACCAATACAGACAAACTTTTCGTACCAATCGATCGAGGATAAGAAGGTCTATCGGTCGCAGGAACAGGGCAACGAGAAAGGCGCCGCGAGCTGAAAGTTGAATTCCTTGAATGGTAAAGTAAAAAGGGGTTATATGGATATGTAGATAACTTTCTGGGGTCTCTAATTCACCCTTTTGGCGATATAACACCGAAGTTCTATGCAATGAAGAAGACTTCAGAGGAAAGTTGAGGGAGGAATACTTTGGTAGCAACACGGGTAGAGAGCTGGAAGCGAACAAGGCTACTTTACTGCCCGCAGTGCGCCTAATGCTAATCAAGATAACGATATTACCTGACTTGTATTGGACAGTATAGGTATTTTTACAGTGTAAATACTCCTTAAAGATACATAAATCTATTCTTAATTAGACTACGCTAATCAGAAAAAGGCTTAAGGTGTTTAATACTCCACGAATCAGTCGACGCATTTTGATAAAGAGTATTACATAATCTGAAGAATCCCGGCACAAGTTCCCGCCGAGCCTCCGACTTTTCTAGCGATGGTTCTTAGCAGACTATGGCCGTAAGGCTAGTGATGTGAGGTCACTGAAGCTATGGAAATCAAATACTTGTACCCACTTCGATTTCTATGTAAGACAATGCTGCAATCACAAGCAACGCGATACCTTCTTTAATGCAAATACAATGATGAGTTATGATACCAACCCTTCTACTTGGATCGCTTAGTTGCCTTGATCTTGTGTCATATTAAATACTATCTGATAATAGCAAACTGGTATAACACTTTTAGGATCACACCACATATGTGAGCCAAGCCATGCGAACTTGAGTGGAAATATATTGAACTGATCGCATTGCTTCTAGGGCAATGTGTTAAATCGATTACGAGCCTAGACCGATACTTTTGCGCTTTGGCATGACGGTTCTCCATCCATTCGCACATACAATCACGCAAATGCATCCCGATCTCCTGTACCAATAAACCAATGGACGGCTATCCAGCAGGTAGCTTGGACCATAATGTCCCTTTCCTTGTCGTCTCTGGACTGGGTACTGCCTCCACTAAACATACCTTGGAAGATCCTGGTTTGAGAGAGCAAGGCATACTCGTCCGATCAGAGCTACCTTCGATAGAGAGTCGAGAAGCAAAGATAATCCTTCGTTGTATTCAAGAAAAGGATGCTACGAGTCTCCCATGGAACTCCCGTGATACCTCTAGGCGGTATAAGTTCAAGATAGAGACGATTGGAAGGGTATGTCTTCACTTCTAAGAAGCATCTAGACATACCGTATTATCATAAGAAACGAGTCTGACTTCGCTTCTTAGGAATTCCTCCTACCACCTCGCCGCGCACGTCTCCCCGACAACTTCGAAGCACCTCCGTCCCCTCCTATACTACATTCCCCTTTCTCGCCTCTAAGCCCAGGTTCTACGTTATATCCTGATGGTCTGATAGATACGAGATGGCTTCAAAAACATCAGGAGTTCATACCTAGTGTGTACTTGACTTTCTATAGTCTGACCTCGGATCCTACACTTGCGACTCTGCACGATAATCAACTCAAGACGGACATAAACGCTGTAAAAAATGCCATTGCACAATCCGGATATAAGACCCGTTTTGTTGCGGTTATTCTCAGTGACCAGTCGCCGAGCTCCGTAGGCCAATTCCAAGAAAGATTGGAGAATGTTAGGAGGAGTACGGGTTTAGATCCGAAAGCTTCACTTTTCGTGCTACCTACCCAGCGAACTGAAGCAGACCTGGATATTGCTGTTGATAGTGTCCTGTCCGCGGTATTCGACCAAGCGGCTGAGTACTATCGCGATCTTGGTAGGCACTCTCGGAAAAAGAAGTCAAGGGGTATTGCGCCGCAGCCGACTATTCCGCCCACCACGGGGACTTCTCATACGCTATCTCTGCAGGGCTGGAATGTTCGTTACGACTTCAAGACAGCCGTCTTCGCAGAATTTCGCCAGGAAATAGATACTGCACAGCGCTCTTATGAGCAAGCGTACGATACCCTTCTCGGCGCCGATGTTCTTGAAACTATTCCCGGATGGAGCCCAAGGTTCAATGACTCTCGGCTTCTAGCTGACATATTAGCTATCCGGATTTTAAAGTGCTTATTATGGACTGGCCAAAGCACTTCCGCTGTCAAGAGATGGCAAGCACATCATGATAGGATATTCGATTTAGTCGATCGACGGGGACGGGGAACACAAAATTATGGATGGAAAGCTTGGGAAGCGAGATGGAGTACGGTAATGGCGAACTTGATAGAAAAGGTTCAGTTCCCGGAATTGGATCCGTCTGTTACTATACCATATCGCCTACCCGAAAAGAATCTTTCTGCCGAGCGTTTACAGCCATGGGAATTCCTTCATCATCAGGGGTATTGGTACCGAATGGCTGCGCGGCATCTTTCGAATAGGCGAAAGTTAGCACTGTCTATACCTGAAGACGACCGAAAACCACCAGACACAACCTCGCCGTCCCAGCCAAGCAAGGCCTACGTTTATGACACTTACATGTGTCCGGAACCTCATGAAGAGTATCCACTAGTCGGGACTGGCGTCAATCATAGCCAGCTGATATATGATCACCTAACATTAGCACGAAGAGAATTTCAGAAACGTCTTCAACTTCGAACATCAACAGAATTAGCACTCGAATGTTCCAAGGAACTAGAAAGACTACGGGAATGGAAACAAATTTTAGGAATTCTTACGCCCCTTTGGAGGAATATGTCTTTTCGCAAAGAAGGTTGGTGGGATATCATGGAAGCATTAAGCTGGACTTTAAGAGGCGCAGCTGTAGAAGCCAACAGAAAGGACCTTGTCATTGCTATCGACTGGGAGCTTCTCAACAGAGGCAAGTGAGGCCGGCTCTAGAAGGAACAGCTTATAACTAACGATCACAATAGGGTTTTCTCGACGACCAGGTTGGCATTACGATATAACAAAGTCGTTGGACGATATAGATGAAGACGACGATCAACCCGATATTAGCATTAGCGATGAACTCATTACGTCGTTCCTACAAGCATCATTCATATTTAAGAATGAGGAAGGGAAAGCTGGACAAAATTGTGTCGCACAATTAGCAATTTCGTCAAATGCATTTCCGGACGCTGCGCCTGTGGAATTTGAAGAGATTCGAGTTCAATTTGACGGTAGCTTACGACCAATACACTTGAAGCACAAGGCCAGCAACAAACAAACATCAGCGTCTCCAAAATTACGGGTAACCAAAGTAGCTCTATCGGAAGTCGAGCCTAGCAACGATGCCGATTCTGACGACGCCTCCGAGATAAGTTCTCAAACGATTACCACCATTATACTTGAGGGGACGGATGACTTGACTCTATTGCCAGGTCAGACACGAGTCTTTGAGATAGACGTCCCATTACGGGAACCAGGTGATGCGGAAGCCTCCTCAGTACAGGTTTCAGTAGCTCCGGAATCTTTTGACCTGAAATACACAATACACCTGAGGGAAACGAACTCAGTAGGTTTGTGGTATTCGCCGACGTCCTCTAGGAAGAGGGTTACACGAATAAATCCGCACAGAATCAAAGTACTTCCTAGGCCTCCAAAAATGGAAGTCAAGCTCATCAAAATGCTGGAGCAATATTATGCCAATGAGCATATCCCACTTGAGTTAGAACTCTTCAACGAAGAAGACGCCGATGCAAATACAAAGCTTGACGTAGTGTTATATGGGGATAATGTGCCCAGCTATAAGGTTCAAATCGAAAATGGTGCAGAAAAGTCGAGTTCTGCAGGAGTTGAAGAATCAAAACTCGAGGGTGTTTCCGTTGGGACAATCCCCAACTCCAAGTCAATACGAGCTAAAATCATTATCGAACCGGTCGATGGACCTATGGTATTCGATCTGATGGTCAAGGCACGGTATCATCTCGTTTCAGATCCAGCGACACCAATCATTCAACAAGAGAATTACAACCTGAACATTGTTAACCCTTTTGAGGCGAGCTACGATTTATCTCCAAGGCTTCATTCCGAGTGGCCGAATTATTTCAATCCTGAAGACATACATGACTCATCAGAGGGAAACGAGGCTACCCGCCGTCCTCGAGGACTGGCACAAAAATGGTCTCTTGCGACGAGGTATGCATCATTCGCACAAGAGGATTTGGCTATATTAGGCCTGGATGTAAATATTCTCTCTACACAAGGTAATGTGACTTGCAAAGCGTCTACGAGCCAGCCGTCAGTGGAGCCTGGCATGGTTATCAGCCCCAAGGTCATCGAAGAAGCACGTTTCGAGCTCATCGCCCAAAAATTCGACCTCGACGATAGATCACCAGCTACAGCCGATCTCGCCTTCATTATCAAATGGCGACGGCTCACATCGTCTAAAGATACAATAAACACTACGTCCCTGCCACTCCCACGATTCTTCATCACAACATCCGAACCACGCGTTCTAGCCAGCGTATCCTACTACTCACCTCCCGATCCATCCTCCTCACCCTTATCTCCACGATCCCCCACCAAATCGAAATCTAAACCTGCATCCCTAGACCCCGCACCACAACTCTTATTCCTAGACGTCACAATCGAGAACCCGTCGGCGCATTTCCTGACGTTTGGTCTTATGATGGAACCCAGCGACGAGTTTGCGTTTTCGGGTGCTAAGGCGACGACGCTTAATGTGCTGCCTGTTGCTAGACGCTCGGTTACGTATCGGTTGCTGCCGCTTGTTAGAGGTGCTTGGGTAAGACCAACGTTGGTGGTTAGGGATAAATATTTTCAGAAGGTGTTGAAGATTATTCCCACGGAGGGTATGAAGACGGATCGTGATGGGGTGTTGGTGTGGGTATCGCCTGAGGAGGAGGGTGAAGATGATGGTGAAGAAGGAGACGGAGAAAAGAAAGAGGATGGGAAGAAAGGGGGTGAAGAAGAAGAGGAGAATGAAGAAGATGACGACGATGATGAAGATGAAGATGAGGATGAAAGTGACAGTGAGTGAGTGAGATATGATTAGAGCGGCTTAGGTGATGGAAAGGAAAGGATAGGAGCTTAGCATATGTTCAAGGTTGTCCAAGGAGAGGACTGGGATGGGGTGTTACGTTAAGCTGTTTGATATAGAGGAATTTATCGAAAATGTGTTATGATGAGTTATTCTACATTGGATTTTCGAAGCAATTACGTGAGTCTATGTAGCTTGTAATTATGTGACTACGTGTTAAACTATAACGTTTAGACTTAGCCTGGACTTTTACATTTTATTAATACATAGATTTATGATATCCACTCTCATTATACTATTAATTCTCCGTCAACGGGAAGTTGTGTTTAGGTTGTATTCCAATTTTTACAAATCTCAATGGGGTTCTCGGCCATTTTTATTGTACCTACTTTCGTTATCCCGACACAAAATGGTCACACTAAAACACCGGGTTAAATAGCCCAACCATATGTCGCATAGCGTAAGACTGAGTCGTAAAAGTCAGTTGGTTAGTTGTGTTTTCAGCTCCATTCGCAATCTAAAGAGGTGCCTATTTTGAACTACTAATCAATCGGCGCCCGAGTCATGCCGTGGAGCCGAATGAGAAGGTGTTAGGAATTTAGATCCATGTGATGAGGAAATAACATGCCAGGAACGCGGCTTTGGGGGAAACCCTTAACTCCTACCGGCGCTGTACGACGTCCATAACTCCGGTATTAGGTACATTAAACCGAGACTTCCAAAATCAGATGATTTGAAAGCAATGTTGGTATCTCTGTAATCTCAATCGAGACAAAATAATAATGCAACCCTCCTTTTCTTTCCTATTACTTCACACACCTACCTAATGACTTCGTTCTTACGAGTTCTCTTTAAAAGAGGACCTGCGTTATCTCCGGGCAAGATCTCAATCAACAAAGCATCGATAGCTGTAACCACCGTGGGGTTATCAATGGCGGCCTATTACAGCACAGTAGCGGTACGACCGTCGCAAGTCCCCGAAGCGCAAGATTTCAAACCTCTAGCACACCACGTCAAAGATCGTCATGGAAAGACCGTCAGATTCCAGAATCCGTACCCGTCTTTCAAACCCCCTAATCTCAGGGAGCTAGCATTGACAATGATGTGCGTTTTACATACCGTCATACGAATTTTCATGCATGTCTAAGCTGACTCTAGAAACGTGTAGGAGTAAATACCTGGGATTACTGAAATGGCCTGAACCAAAACTGGAGGAGAAAATTGTATCTGTAGTGAAACCTGAGTTCTTGCCGACGCGCACGGCGTCTTCAAAACTCCGCGCCACTTGGCTGGGACATGCTTGCTACTACGTGGAATTCCCATCCGGGCTGCGTGTGCTGTTCGATCCCGTATTTGAGGACTGCTGTGCTCCGTACAGATTCCTTGGTTTTATGCGGTATACCGAAAAGCCTTGTGACATCGCCGATCTGCCTTTTGTTGATGCGGTTGTGATTAGCCATAGTCATTATGATCATCTGTCGTACGAATCTGTACAGGAAGTGCAGAAACATCATCCGAATGCGCACTTTTTTGTGGGCTTGGGGCTTGAGAAGTGGTTCAAGGAGGGCGGGTTGAAGAATGTGACAGAGATGGATTGGCGGCAGGAAGCGGAGTTCACGTTGACGCCACAAGCTGCTAAAGCAAGTAGGTCAGAGGTGCAAAGTGCGAGTAGTGCAGAGTCGTCAGAACCGATTACTGCGACGATTTCGTGTCTTCCCTGCCAACACGCCTCTGGTCGGAGTCCATGGGATCAAAATCAAACACTATGGGCGTCGTGGGCCGTAAGCTCAGGTTCGCCCGCGAAGTCCGTCTGGTTTGGCGGCGACACGGGATACCGATCTGTGCCGAAAGTAGCCAAGGGCGTTGATGACCACGGAGCAGAATTTCAGCACCTACCAGTGAGCCCAGTGTTCCGACAGATTGGGCAGCGGTTCGGGAGGTTTGATCTGGGACTCATTCCCATTGGGGCGTATGCGCCACGCCATATGTTCTCTGGTGTGCATGCAGATCCGTTTGACTCCGTGGACATCTTTCAGGATATAAAATGCGAGAAGGCGATGGCCATTCATTGGGGTACGTGGGTTATGACACCAGAAGAACCATTGGAACCACCCGTACTATTAAAACAGGCGTTGAAGAAAAAGGGGTTACCAGAGACGGGGGTGTTTGATATTTGCGATATTGGTGAGTCGCGGGAATTTTGAAAGCTTTGCTATTTATGCATTATTTACGTGGTGAGCGTTGGAGTTTTCGGATTGATAATATCCATGATAGACGGGTATGAATTGGTAGAATTTTAGTCATGATCCACATATGTACATGAAACCAGATTTTATCTCATCTCTGTATGGAAATGACTGTTTTCGTGGTGTTTTAACCAGATGGAATCTTGTTTGAATCTAAATGTACCTGGATACCTAGGTATTTAAGACAATGACCCCACTTATCACTGGCACAACCATTACGGCTACTTTTTGGTCGTGTGTTACCTGTGAGAAATAACCGACCGATGACGACATCCCGGAAAGCACAGCGCATAAATACATAAAAGTTAGCGCTTATCGGCAAGCCACACGCACCTAAACCCCAATAAGATGTTCAGCTAGAAAGCCTTCCCAGACACGAATCAGTCCGCCAACCAATAGGAATTAGTTCAGCTCTTCCTCCGTACATATCTATCAGATCGTCCACGTCTTTCTCATCCACCAACAAAAGAAAATCAACCACACGATCCCATCATTTCATACATTCATCCAGTAAATAAATCCCCGCCCTAATTTACCATGCATCGACAACAGAACAGAGGTTTTTGGTACTATTCTTCTAGTCTTTCTCAGTTCTTCCCACTATAAAAAAAGAACGCATGAAGTTTTCGTGGTTAAATCTGAGATGGGTGTACATAATACTATTGCTGGACAAAGAAGGCGTCTTGTATTGTTACATCTAATATGGAAGATCCGTATAAAAAATTGATTGTAAGTTAACAATCCCTTTTTTTCTTCCTCGGCGGTCGCACAATCAATTTAGTATGAGTGAATCTCGCAAGCTCAGTTTACTCATCGCCTGTCATTTATTGCGTTGAGTCAGACTGGCGAATCCAAAAATTTAGTCAGGCGCCAGGATCAGCCCTCTGCTTTTTGTCAACGGAACTTTTACGCGAGATACTTGCATTTTCATACTCCTATCCGGCTAACTGACGAGCTAAGGATGAGCTTGGGTCGCTCCTTGATGAGACCATCATCATTTCTATATCCAACGACTACAATCTAAAAGACCCTGAGGAATTTTCTGCCGCGCGGGATGTCCTTTTAACCATTTCTAAAGATGTGGTCGCCGAAGAAGCCACTGGATTCAATCCAAGTGGACTTGGCGTTGATGATGTTGTAGACATCAATTCGTCCAACAGAGGTGACGACGTGGAACGTGGCGGGGCAACTAGTAGTGATATTAAAAGTATCGACGGCTTTACTCCCACAACAGAAAGTTCCGTGCCACCAAGTCTTGTGTCCACGGGATCATCTAGGACGTCCACTCGTGAAACACCGGGGCTCATCCACGTTGACATATTCGACGGCCTCAGTGATAGCGAGAAGGAGAATCAGCTTTCCCAGATGTTCACCTCGCTTAAACCGTTTGACGTGAAACTAGCTCTGCAGAAGTCAAGGGGTGATGCGAGTCTCGCTATTGACGAGCTCCTTAACCTGCAGTGGCTTGAGCAAACAGGCCAACGTCCTAAAGGTGTGGATGGTTTCTTTGTTTCCGATGAAGATGGCGTACATAATAAGAAGAGGAAAAAGAAAGGCGGAAAGAAGAAAAAGGTGGCCAAGGCGACATCACCTGCATCCCCCACATCGCCTACGTCTGCTACGTCTACGACTCCGGAAAGCCCAGCTGAAGAAGCAACCGACATTGATTTAGTGCAGTCTGGTATGTTGGACTTTATTCTCAAACTTGAGCTAATCATTACCTATTACTCACAGCTAACACCACTGATAGATCATATTGCACTTATATCTGATAGGCTCAATTTAACCCACTCAGAGGTGACAAGCATTTACCACCGGTATAATGCCTCTGCCGGAGCTACGGTGATCGAGATTCTAGATAACTACATTGCCTTAGGGTTAGCATCGTCAGATGCTGGTTTGCTATCCGATTCTCAATTAGAGATAAACAAGTTCTCTTGGGTACCCCGCGAATATGTCAAGGCGACCATTGAAATTTGCGCGACGCTAGACGATGCCGAAGACATTATTCGTGTCTTAGGGGATCACTTTGAGAAACCATCGTATCTAAAATACGATGTGGCATATAGCGTCGTGGCCTCGGATCTAGAAGTGGTTACTGCCGAATCTGGGCTCACGCCCATCAATACGTCAAAGATGAAGCAACTCCCAAAACTTTCTACGAATGTACGCTCATCGGGAGTTCAGTCGCCCTTACGCACCCTAGGTTCACCGATAAATCTTCAAGCCGCATCAGCCGCGTCAAGGACGCTTGCCGAATCGAGAAACCATTCGTTCAACTCAGCTGCAGCAGCTTTCAAGAAAGGTAGATCTGACCCTCTATTTAGACAAGCTGGGGCGTATTTTGCAGAGCGTGCCCACGAACAAGCGAAGAACTACCGCCAGGCTAGTTCCGTCGAAGCTAATATCTTGGTCGATCAAAAGAGTACCAAAGATATGATTGACCTTCATGGCGTTACAGTCCAAGATGGTATTGATATTGCGATTGACCGGGTGTGGAAATGGTGGCAAGGCCTCGGGGAGGAACGAGTTCGTAAGGCGAAGCAGGGATTCACCGTTGTTACTGGCCTTGGTAGGCACACCGCAGACGGCAAATCCCGCTTGCGCATCAACGTGTTCAAAGCATTGGTGGCTGATGGGTGGAAAGTCGAAGTGATGACCGGTTCGTACCTTGTCACCGGAAGGAGGTAGTTCTTACAACTGCTTTTATGAGGCGCCCCACCAAGTTGATGCCCTACCGCCTCCAAAAAGAAAAGAAATTACGATAAAGCTTGCAGCTACATACCTTGACGGCACGCTTATGCCGATGAGATCACACAGGAGGGCATTGGCGGCGTTTCAAGGCGGGAGATCGTAGGCACATAGGCGATCAATTGTTTTGACGGCAGGATAAGGCAAAATCTGAGTGGGAACATTAAACCTTCAATGCTTTAGTCTCGCTATTTCAGGAGTTTTGCTTGGCGTTTAAGATCCTTACTCAGAAGCTTGCCTCGCTACTACATTTGTAGATTTAAGACAGGATGCGGCTGAATTGGTTCTAGGTCTAGGCGGGTCAGTGGTTGGGTTTGGTGTAGGCAGTGGTGGATAAGGCGACTCTGGAACATTGTTGGTTGTGAGCTATCAGTTGTTCTGGAAAGGAATAGGTCTAGGCTATATGATCTGCGAGCTTAGGAGTTCTTAGTAGGCACCTGTGCACGTATTAGTGAGTCAATTAAGGCAATCCGGGTAGTGGAGCTTCTAACACATTCTATAACAAACAAGAGCCAAGACATTTTTTTCCCACAAGGCCAACTTCGGGCCTTTGCGACACCAGAACGGGAATGTATTACATGAGCTATTATATCGGTTAGTCTAGGATACACATGACATTTCTTGAATGTCCTAGGTATACTCTAGGTACGTAATCAGCATTGCAATTGCGTGACAATTTGAAAATATTACCAACCTCATATATCTTAGGTATACCTAGGTACCTAAGAAATAAGTATTTATTCGACCCCGCGAGAAAATCCACTGTGCCAGATGCAGCTGGGGATGCTCTGAGACGGCCCCTCTCTCCTGGATCCCTAGGTATGCGCGTATACTAAGTTAAGGCAGGGGATCAAAACTCCTTGTTCTATTCCAGTTAACCGAGGGGATTCATGAAGCATTGAAACCGTCCTCTTTTGTAATTGATGATTGATAGTCAATCCATTAATCAATTATTACAAATGAGAAATTGCCTAGGTGTATTGTACTGCCGCTACATAACATTGAACCCGGTTATTTAACCTATTTCAGGTACTTTCAATGCAACCAGTAATATGATTCGGTTGATCAGTAAACTTAATCGCCTTGATAATTGGAAGTTATCTCTGAAGGTATGCAAGTACTTCTCAGATCATCTACAGATACAGACATGTATCTGGCAGGTATCCTGTAGAATTGATGTACAAACACAACACCGTCATAACTCCAGTGTAAACTTGGACTATTTTAACTATTTCAGTAGACTAAAATCACACGTAAAAGAGAAATACCTACTCGGGTACTTAAAAACTAAGATAGCTACACGAATATCCTTACAAATACAAGAACTTTTCAACTTAAATCCGCGGCTAACTCTGCCGGCCAACGCCGACCACGGCCATAACTGACTTGACTAGACCCCCAAGTTACAGGTTCAATAACAGTACTTAGGCCGTACTTATCCCCGTCGGGGCCCACCAAAGACCTGCTGCCTTTCAATTCCTTAGCACCTGCCTAGGTACAGTACCTATGACTTATAACGTCTTCTCTACCTACCGAGCCTGCCTACAAATCATAACCATACTACAAAGAAATCTAAACTACCTGCTTTTAACATCTTTCATATTAAACCGATATTTTATCACGCGATCTCCGATTTCATAGCTTCTCTTGCATTCACGTTTTTGCAGAGAGAATTCCTCAACCAGCGAGCTTAAGTTACCACTACATATCTACTTTTTTTTACGAGCGCCCACCACCCTACCAAATTCAGCGACGATGACGAACGAAGCTGCCGCGGGGCCAGCGCCGCAGGCTGTATCGGACATGACGCTGGACAACTACAGATTCCCATCACACCGGCTGCTGCGACAACAAAACGATTCCGAACGCACCCCGTTGGTACTGGTAGCCTGCGGTAGTTTTTCTCCCATCACATATCTCCATCTACGCATGTTCGAGATGGCAAACGATTACGCACGCATAAATACACAATACGAGGTCGTTGGAGGATGTTAGTATTGCCTCTTTTCAACATTGGAAAATAAGAGAATGAAGGACAAATTCTAATATTGTGTATGACCAGACTTATCACCAGTGTCGGATGCATACAAGAAAGCTGGTTTAGCAGAGTCGCGCCACAGGCAAGTAGCCACCCATTTCTAACTCGAATTGTTCACGATTCGAGTTGTATCATTTATCGGCACAATCAATGGTCTAATATCATAAAACAGAGTACGAATGTGTGAATTAGCAGCGGAAGAGACGTCAAGTTGGCTGATGGTTGACCCATGGGAAGCCATTCAACCCGATTACATGCCAACCGCTAAAGTGCTGGACGTGAGTATATACCAAACCATCTAAGTCGCACATATCGAATCGCCATTTCACAAGATGGAAGAACTATTGAGTCATAATGAACCAATGGACTATCAATTTCGCCGTTAGTAGCTTGATGAATAATCACTAACACAAGATGCTCTAGCATTTCGAATATGAAATAAATCAGGTCCACAACGGCATTCTTGCTGCGGATGGCGAGAGCCGGAAGTCCGTCAAGATTATGCTGCTCGCAGGCGCAGATCTAATTGGGACCATGTCTACTCCTGGTGTCTGGGCGGAAAAAGATCTCGACCATATCTTAGGCAACTTCGGAGCTATGATTGTTGAAAGAAGTGGAACAGACATGGACGAAGCCCTTGCTAATTTGAAACAATGGGAAGACAATATCCACGCAATTCCGCAGATGATACAGAACAATGTTAGCAGTACTAAGATCAGACTGTTCCTACGGCGCGAGTGAGTAATCCCCCGAAATTTATTATGCCTCACACAACCCATTGAGATGTCTTGGACTAAATTATTAACACGAAAACGCAATAGTATGAGTGTACAGTATTTAATTCCAGCATCCGTCATTCAATACATCGATCAACACAAACTTTACACAGATGATGGTGAGACAAAGACGAAGGATAAGGAAAAGCAGAAGGCGACGAATTAAATTAGCACCGGACTTTTGTGCTGGTCAGATTATTCACGGCCGATCTACACTTACGTCATGGTTACTCTTGAGGGACTCAATGTTAGGCTTTGGGGTTGCGCAAAATGCCACAATTTGCATCTTCCCATTCTCACAATATTGTACAAAGACACATCAGAACAGTACGCGAAACGTTGAACGAATCAATACCGAATTTGCGTCGCGGAAAAATCAAGAGGCGGGGGCCTTTTAGGAGGCCTACGCAAACTCCGGCACAGGAGACACTGGCGGGGGCAGGCAAGCTCCAGTCAGCTACGCTAGAAAGAGGAAGACGGGAATGAGGGGCAACGCAACGAGGGGAAATTCAATTCTTCGTCTGTGCCATTGGCACCCCCCACTCCACCCTTACTCAGGTGCCTTGGCCTCAAAATTCGCAATTCCCCGGTGGAGTAACCAAACCTATCTCCCTTTTTGTACTATGGAAGTTGGAAAGACTCTCTATATGGCCCTTAGATGCCGCCAGCCTATTAGCGATTAGCACTTAGGTGCTTCATTTTTTTTTTTTTTCTTTTGGGGTAATGGGAATTTTTACGTCGTATTATTAGCGGTTAGAGATGATATCCATCCGTCTTCATACACACACACATAGAGTGTACATAGGTGCAAATTTCATGGCATTTGGGGTCGGGTCGATCATTCAGATCCCATTTGCTTCATTACAACCGATAGTAATATGCCTATACCTGCCGACATGCTTGCCTACATATACATACATACTGTCTATGCAAGGTAATCCGTACCAATAGCCAGCCACAGTTGCCTGCCGGTTTCCTTTTAAAAGGAAACTTGCAGTTGAGTGGCTACGTCTTGCAGCATTGCGTATTCAGAAAGCCACCTACCTCTTTGACCGCTTGGAGTGAGGTCAGGACGAGTTGTCCTCTTGTTGTAGATTGGAGTCGGCTGAAGATATGCATGCGATGAGACGCTCTTGCTTAGGTGAAAGGTACTTATCTTCCTAGACATGTAAGGACGTCACATGTAACTGTTCGTCTTACCGGGCTCCTTGAGTTATTAGAGTACCTAGGTATCGTGAGTGACCTCTTATATGGATTGATGGGATTCTATATGTTCTAAACTGTTCAGCATAGAGACGCCAACTCGACCCTATGCATCATTGTATTGGGGAGAGTATTCAAAGCTATGTGTGAGGATCGTAGCTCACTTAGTGGCCTACCGTGCTACTCCAAGTTAGAGCGCGGGTGAAGCTTTGATGACCAATTTAACGTGAAATTCGGCTTGAAATGTGAATTTAGACAAAAAGTCGATTACTTGAATCGATTTGATATTTATCGCATTTTGAGGAGAAAACTAGAACATTACTATTGTGTATTCCCTCTATTCCACCTCAACATGCCATCTAATACTTTCATAGGTCAAATGCAGTATCATGCTATCTCGTTGCTCTTGGGCATCGTCCAAGTTTATCTAGCTCGCAGATTATCAAAACGACTACTCCTTAATGTGAAAGATGGGGTCGTGGGCTCTTATTATAGAAGGGTTAGATCCCAACCGCCTATCTAACGGCTACGTTGAGAGTGTATGAGCGTGCCTTCTCGTTGCGACAAAGGCAAACCATTAGCCCCTTGACTCATCGTGCAAACTAGGATATCATCTTATGACTTTGGGATAACATTAGCCTTTAGTATTCGTTATACGATGCGCACAGGTACCCCCTAAAGCTTATTCATAATGGAAAGAATGAAGGTATCTACCAATGCTTTAATTGCTTCAAACTCTACCTTGGTAGTACAGAAGTCAAACCCCATTCTGTCGATTGAATGTAACAGGAACGACTCTGGTGCAATAGCCCCTAGTAGACGAAAACCGATATATAGAGTTTCTCTATGAAACAAGTGGTCTGATATACCAGTAAAATGAGTTCATGTATTAACGATCATCGGGCACCTGAGTGTAGTGGTCGCTCTATCCTCCTCAACAGCAACACAGGTATACCTAATGTTAGTCGAACTTGATGCGCCATCTTATTCCTCAGTTAGTCGAGTCGATTAGGAGAATGAGCAAAGTTTGATTGACAAAACGAAAACTTACCATATATCAAGACGGTGCGTCGTTTCCTTTCCAAATTACCTCAACATCGTTTCCTTCAGACCAGTATATATACTTAGGTACCCCCCGAATTTTCTTCACTTCTACTTTCATCTCATTCTCATATCAACAACTCGCAATCCCTCAAGAGCTCAACACGAAAAGAAGACTGAAGGACCAGAATAGCCCCTTCAATGTTTCCAGCATACTACGAACTATCATGCCACGAACTATTCTACTATGAAAATATCTTCCTTGGATTCATACTCCTCCTTCTCTTAACCTCTTCCCTATTCGTCCTTTCTATCCTCTTTATTTTGGCATTCATTAATCGTCACGTCGTCTACGGAGACGTCTCTTCATACGTGGGCTCATTCCTACCCTGATTCACATCCACCCACAACCTTTAGCTGCTTCTCCGCTTAGCGATAATCTACTTCCTGTAGTTGAACAGTGTACCTATTGGCGAGATGAACGGCCAATCCACCAACATGGGGAAGCCGAGCGGCTGCGGCTATGAACATAGGCATAGCCGCAGCCGCATGGGAAGCTCTCATACCTCACGCCCAAGGACTCGGGTACCATCGCCGGAAGTATCACGCTTCGGCAGTCAGATGAATGAATGTTCTTCAATACTAGCTCACCTAAGCAGTGCCTGGCTCCGGATCAGGTTCCTAGAGCGGGAACTGGAGAGTCTGGTATGGTTGCAAAAACGAGTTAAGGAGTTGGAAGAGGATAAGGCGGAATTGAAGGAGAAATTGAGGGTGAGCCTGGAAGAGAATGAGAGGCTTAAGACAAGTAGACCTAGTTCACCCTGGCGAGGGGAAGGGAGAAGCTCACGACCTGGGGACTCTCGGCCATTCGGCGAGTATGTTGGTTTTACGGCGGAAGAGGTAAGGCTTCACTGTAATACCTAGTTAAACATGAGTCGTTTTTGTTGAATAACATATGTTGACAGCTAATGCCACTCTCTGCGGATGAAGAGTCGGATGACGACCTGTTTGCCGAGGGGGGTGACGGGTGGACGATCTTATGAGGCATCGTCAATACATCTATCATCGGTTGCACGGTTCAGCAAAGCCGCAACCGCTTTTCGTTCCAACCACCCCGGAGGCGGGGAGGGCGACTCCACCGGCGGTCCCATGTCTCAGCGCTCAGCTTTCGGCTTGTCGATCAAATTGTCCAAAGGTCCGAGTACCCCCGGGATCCGGACCAGAGAGCCCCTGGCGATTTTGTGGCAAACGCCGATGTGCACGCAAGACATTTGGAATTGACCTTATATTTGGCTTTCGTTGCGGAATCGAAAGATGTGAGGCCGCGCCTTTTATTGCTATGTACTCTAATCAACTTAATACGCATGTAATTATCCAGTTCTAATACATCATCAATTACAGATACACATACAGCGACAAAATATTTTTCCTTTAATAGTTGAGAGAAGGCAGCAACTTAGAATCGTCATGTACTTAAACATGATTGGCACGTAGCTATGGACATGGAGGAATCTCAGATAGATTCCCTTTATTTCTTGGGTAAGTACGAATGAGAATTATAAGTAAGACCTGTCCTCATGTTTCATGCTCTTGCTACGGGCTTTGACAATGGATATCGGGACCAACCATATGCTATTTATTAGGATTCCTGTAGACGGGCGATCAATATTACAATCATACCTCATGACCCAAATTAGTAAAGGTGTAAACTTGCAATCCTCAATACGCTGTCTGTATACGAGTTGAGAGTTATAGTGCGCGATAGCGACGGTGGAGAGATAGCTATGAGTCCGAAGCAAAAGCCGCTTTGTTATCCTACATATTACCTAGTAGCAACATATTCTTCCAGTTACACTTGTACAATTGTACAGAGCACATAATTTCCAAAATATTTAACCCAATTTGCTTATCGATCCCTCTATCACCATAGGTACTCCAAAAAAGCGAAATGCATACGCTTGACTCCCATGTAGTTCCGTTGATCCTTATGTTACAATTACTATTCTACTTCTCTGGTCTTCCCCTTTCCTCTTCCCTTTTGGGCTATTTCTTCCCTCCAGTGTTGAATTTAGTCGTCATCATCGTCGGAATCACTAACATCATCCGGGACGAGAGCGCGGTACCTCCTATTAGCAAGGTCTTCGACAAGTCCCCCCTCGCTCTCTGGATCAACGTATCCGCCTCCACCGATTAGTGATAGCGCGACAGGGAGGAAGATAAGAGCGTGAGCGGCGGCTAGGATGACGAGGGCAAGCCAGACTCTGAAATAGTAGATTTCGAAGATCTTGGATCGCGTGAAGGCTAGGACACAGACGCCGAGTAACTTGGTTATGGTGATACCGGAGAAAACGGATCCGCCCACATTGACAAGGGCGGTCCAGGCGCGAGCGTCGCGGCCACGGAAGCGGTTCTTGGCGCGCTCCATGACGGCACCCGAGGGGAAAGTAAATGCGCGGGCGATGTGGGCGCAGAACTCAACAGCTATGCCAACGCAGATGATAAGGTTGACGAGTGAGACGGCGTTGAGGGATACGTTGAAGGCGGCCATAGCGGCGATGATGTCCACCACTGTCATGACGACCGTTAGAGTCACAACAAGCGCGGTGACGGGTGAACCTAGAAGAATGGAGGATACGACGAAGATGATGGCCACGGCAGAGCCAAGTAGCGTGCCGGTCAGATTGACGATGCTGGCATATTGATCGAAGAAAATGTAGAAGACACTGTAGGGGAAGATCTCAACACCTGTGTTGGCGCTGACATCATTGGCGATGCGACGTGCCGATGCGTAGGCGTTGATGAAATCATCTTGGCTACGCAAAGGCTTGTGCATAGTGCGGAAATGACTGGCTGGAATTGTAAGCCTTTCAGCGTCGACAACGACCGCTTGGCTATAAGATGCCTGACCGGCTAGAGGGCAATCGTCGGTTGTGGGAGATTGTAAGTATTTCTCCAGGTAATGAATAAACTCATCACCCTCTGGCATACCATGAAGAGTAATGTTCCAAGTGGGGTCCCGGTCAGAGAAACAGACTTTGCGGTTCTCCTTGCAGCAGCTCTCAAAGTCCGGGTTTAACCAGAGGAAATAGTCGTCGAGCCAGCTGGCGGTTGGGGAAGAGATGTAAGAAACGTCGGGTCGCTTGCGCTCTTGCTCGAGCACATTCGTGAGAGAAAATTGATCGCAAGTTGTGAAGCGAGAGCAAAGGTCTCGCTGGTTATCACGTTGTGTCGTGTTCAAGTTCTTGGTGACGAAGTATACAGGCGGGCCAGTATCCAAGTAGTTATACATATCATTGAAGTAATCAATGAGATAAGAATCGTCAGGTAAAGCAACCCGTTGATCTAAACCAAGTTTGACATACGGAATTAAAGCAACACCCGCAGCGAGAAGACCGAGGAAAACAGCGACGATAAGAACCTTGACCTTCTTCCCGAGTATAGCAGGTGCGTAATATTTTCGAATAAATTGCTGTAACCAGGTTTCATCTGGTATGTCGTATGGGCGAGGGCCACCAGGGCCGTTGCTACCACTTAAGTGAACGCGGGCTGCCTTGACTTGAACACAAGGGAAGCAGTCCGCTCTGTGATCCTCTGTTCGCATCTGGTTGTAAGATAAAATAGAAATAAAGAGTGTCATTTGAAGGAGTGCGTTAATGAATACCGCACCAGCAGCGTAAACTGCGAAATTTCTCACAGCTGGCATCCCGACGAACGCACCAAGAGCAAAAGAAACTGTCTCAGTGATAGCGGAGAAAAGAATGGAAGGTCCCATACGACCGAGTGCTCTGGCTATCCTCTCTTCTACCATAGCGTCGGGGTGACTTAGGTTGACACGCTCAAACTCATGGACGATGAGGAAGATGTTGTCCACACCCACAGCCAACACAATAAAGGGGATAACCTCGGCGATGATAAGGGTGGCCTTGATACCCGCCCATGAAAACAGTCCTATAGATGAAGTGATCGACATCAGGACAATCAGAATACCGACGAGACCCAGGGTGAACTTGCTCTGTACTAAGGCAACGGCTGGGTTCCTAATCAGTTCTCGGATAGTCATGCTGGTCGAACCCAATGCGAATGAAGCATAAAGGAACATGACGAGATAGCTGATGACAATGATCGTTGCATCACTGTTGGTAGACTTGTTTAGCTCTTCCTCTAAACTAATTTCAGTCGAGAAAGAAAGCCGTAGACCTCGATCCGCCGCTTCCTTTTGAGCTTCTAGAAGTCGATTCTTCAAGGATCGTTCCCAGTCTGTGGCGTGAGCAAGTTCCGAGCTACCCTCGGGGTGATTGTTGACAACCCATGTTACTGTGATTGCTTTTGCTTCGGTAATATTATCAATACTATCAAACCCTCCCAGAATCATGTTCGGCTCTATCGGTTGCCCGAAATCCGGACGGCAGTTCACAGGGGATTCGGCGCACTCCTTAAATTGTGATTTCCAGTCCTTAGTACCGTCGAAATAGATAGTTGGGGACTGGACTACACAAGCAGGCCCGGTAGGCTTGAAGCATACATCTTGGAAAGTAGTACCGAAGTCTGACCCCTTGAGCTTCTTCACGCTATCCTCAACCTCTGACCACCACTTTAGAGTGTCGTAGCTGAGTACCGGGCCAGGGCCAGATGACTGGGTATCGTTCACGAGGAACACCTTCTGTGCGCGATAGAAAGCACCGAAGTTCTCGTCGAAGAATGCCTTCTCCTGGGCTGCCGCCGAGTCTGGGCTAACCCATAATTTTGCAGGCTCTTTTTCAACCTCGAATTTGACCCATCCGACACTAAAAATAATGACGACTAATAGACTGAGGAATATAGTGATTCCGGGAAATCTTGCGCAGAGATGACCCAACTTGCTGAAAGCGGTATCACACCATGTATTGATCACGTAATTCCTCTGGGGCTGGTCATACATAGCCCCATTACGAACAAGATCACCCTCATCCTCATCGTCACTCGGTTCGGCAGCCTGGAGCAGATGGAGGCGTTCACTCCGTCGCTGGGCATGTTTCATCCAAGCGACATGGCCGACCAAGGCGATGATAAGCGTAAATAGCAATACACCATAGGTGAATATAGACGCGAATGACAAACAGGGGAGCACACCGACTCGACATGAACCTGCTCGCTCCACAGCCGGAAGTTCCGGACATACGGCGGGACAGTCAACGCATGAACACCGGAAGTTCGGATCTTCGTCATTACACTTCTTCGGCTTCATTTCTCTCGGTGCCATGCCCGGTTCGGAGTATTCAAGGGGGAAGTTGATCTGGAAGGGAGATCCAATAGGCTTCTCGTCGCCGAGGAACTTTAGAAGTTGGGAGTAGTTCTTCGCGCCACCCCCAATAAAGTCTATGGCTTTGGAGTTCGAAGCGCCGAATTTGACCTCCTTACAACTATCGTAGAAGCCCTCGCCGTATTCTTTCGATATTAATTGGTCTACCTCGGCGACTAAAGTCTTTCCATTCTTCTCGACCGTTTTCGTTACGTTGATGAATAAGGATTGGTCGGGCGAGCAACTGAAGGAACAGAAGAGGTTGTAGAAGTTGTCCTTGCACGCGGGACAGGAGCCGATGATCTGGTTCGGTGTGGACATCTCGGATTTGAGCGCGCTCAGCTACATCGACATTAGTACGTCTATAATCTGACATATTCATTTGTTTATATGGTAGCTATTTGTAGATACACATTCGCGATGTGGGGTGGACGGGAATGCAAACGCACCTGGTCAGCGTTGCAGCAGACCTTACTATCCTTCCATTTCGGACCGCACAGCGCCTCGAGATCCTGCGCGAATTCGGGATCGGGAGTAGTAGCTAGTTCGTTATCGACGCATGGTAGTTGCTTTCCGAAAAAGCTCTTCTTTCCGCAATGTCCTCGCATGGCGCATCGTCCGGCTTCGTGTTTGGGTGTGTAGAGCTCATCGGCCGCGACGCTGCTGACTAGCAGCAAGGCGCCCGCGATTAGGCGGGATATTCGAGCCATGGTGATGCTCTACTGTTATGTCTGACAATACAGTAGTAACACCATGGAGTATAGATGGTAAACTCAAGATGTTCACTACAATAATAAAATGTGGATGTATAGATGTAGATGATTAAATTGATTATACGGATGGGGAAGTAGGATGGGTTTGGATGGTTTAGATGGGTAAATGATTGAAGCTGCAAGGTCCCCAAAGATGGTAAGTGTATCGCATGAGTTGTCCTGCGTCATCAAATCAAGTTGCTCCGTATCTAGGTACATGTACTTATGTAGGTACCTACCTGCCACCCTCCTGAGTTGGCTTGGCTTAGCGTCAAAGCTAGAAATGAACGCCAAACCCCTTGCACATTTAAGTAACTCAATTAAAATGTTTCCGTTTTAGGTTGGCTCGGGGATATTGACCAATCAGAATTAAGGATGACACGGTACTCGGTCCCCCCAATCTACTTTCGTCCAGGCTTAACGCTATCAACAACTTATACGCCAACAAAATATCACATCACAAGAGTTGATACTATAGAGTGTAATATTATACAAAAGTCATTTCTAATTTCACTTTTGAGTCTATAACATTAAGCATCTAAGTCTAAATGCTTCTATACTACTCACGAGACCCCTGAAATTACACGTAAGCCATACTATACTCATTGGTTCAAATCAAAGCCACTCAGCAGCCACTTACATATTTGACGAAAATTAGTAGGAAAGCGGCATAGAAACAACACAAGTACCCAAATATCTTGAGCCCTATTCAATCCCGTTCAACCATCTCAATGAAGCTTCGACTAGAGTGTTGTTATAGTATCAATACTCAAAGCTCTCATAGAGCATATCTTCACCGTCTGCCCACTCTAGCAGTATCTTCGTCATCGCAGGACCCGTACAGGAGTAAAACTTCCTTCTCCCCTTCTCTCCCTGTGACAATAAATCATTCTTTTCTATCCTTCTCTCTACTATTTTAGTCCCCAACCCTCTGACCGTATCCGCCAAAGTTTTCTCCTTTTCACTCATACCACTACTAACGAAGAGTGTAGTTACCTCCCCTAACCCAACTGTCCTCTCTAATACATCTACTGCAAGAGGCATATCCTCGCCCTTTAGACTCCATATCAGTCTAAACCCCTTCCCACGGCTACTCCTTAGTACGCCCTCAGCCTGTGCCATCACAGGCGTAATCCCCACGCCTGCAGCAATGAACACACTTACGTCCTCACCGCTCGCATCTCCTCCTGTAGGTAATCTGAACCCCTCAGCGCCACCAAATCCAAGTACCGGAATTTCGAGGGGTGCTCTCATATTCCAGCGCTCAAGCAGTCGTGTAACCGGACCATGTCTTCTAACTGTAATCTCAAACTCCGGTTCACCGACAGCGCCCATGTCTGGCGGTGGTCCACTAACAGTAAAGGTGCGGACGAAATCATCGTTCAGACTCTGCGGGTCATCATCCCGCATGTGTGAATACCCTACGTCTAACTCCGCTGAGAAATCCAGCGTGACATGGTGACCCGGGAGCCACGGCTTGAACTCCTTCGCCTTCTTCCCTTCTTTGAGTTTGAACACGTATCTGGCGATATTTGGCGTGATTATTTTTCGGCTGACTAGTCTTCCCGTCAATGTATCCTCGCCTCCGTCACCAGCAATACCAGCATGATTTTCAGAAGCTAGCTTTCTCACCACGGGGTTGTATGGCGAATAATCGATTACTTCTCCCCTGAATGGCAAGCCATCCTTCACAAACCTAGCCTCCTCGACGTCAATCCGTATTACCAACTTGGCGCGAGGCATCAACTCGCCCGCCTCAGCACCAGTCAGTATCGCTGTCCGCCCGGTCACATATAACACATCGCCGGTTTCAAAGTCCGGTACCACGATGCCAGCGTACGGGTCATCATACAGATTCCCCAGCGTCTGGTACAGACGGTTACCCGAGTACTCAGGATAAAGTAACGTAGTTCCAGTCTTTGCCTCGTTTTGAAGTACACGCATGAACCCGCGTGGTCCACCGCGATGATTCACATCCATTGTACTCGGCGCACCAGCATGACCACTATGCTTGCTCGCAATAAAGAACAAGTCCGCCCTATGAATCAAATCCACCGCCTCCCTCGGCAGCGGCATACCAGTTCCTACGCTCATGGGCTGGGGTGAGGGTATATGCGGGACGATATGTTTTTTATTGAGGTACTTCGGGCAGTTCCCAAGCGATTCCTCGACTCTCATCGCAAGCTGCAAATCCACCAAGCCGTTCCCCTTCTCCGTATCAAAAGCTCGTCTCGACGCAACACCCACAACCATGCGCCCGGCAAGCTTAACCCGATCGCGAGTCTCAAGATCAATCGACAAACCCGCCATAACCTTCCCACCCTCAGGCTTAACAACAACTTCATCCCCATCCTCCAAGCCTCCATCACCACCCCAAATCGCATCAACAACCGGGTCCTCCCCAACACCCGCCCTCACACCAAGCACATCCCTCGCCACAGGACTACAAAACCCAGCCTCCCCTCCCCAAACCGTAACCCAAGGCCTACCCCTCCCATCCAACGTGCCAAACGCCACAAGCGGCGACTGCGCAACACGCAGTTCCAAATGCGGCGGTAGACTATGATGTGTTGGATTATGCAACAACGGCGCTGGTAGAAGAAGTTTCTGAACGGCTCGTTCGCCGGTATGATAGGCGTTCGGGTCGAGGGGTTTGTCTGGGTCGGATTTCATCCACGTCGACATTGTTGGTATAGTATATCGTTAACCGCTTTATTGATAGGTTTTACAGAAGGTAAGTAAGTCAGTTTCGTATATCGCAAGCGACGTCAAGTCCAACGATCCAAATTAACTAGATGATGTTTCAGATCGAACACGTATTTAAACCAGCAAAGGTATCATCATCAAACCCCTTACACGGGCGACTAGGCTCTTAATTCACCCGCGACCCCATTTGGTGCTTATTCACGCTCTACATTGCATGAAATATATAAAGGCTACCTGGCAGAAATTAGCGATTATTATCTGCAATGACGAGATAGAATCACTCTTAACCCATACGGGTGGGTTATTGACAAATCAGGAAGGGCGCGGCTTGCTATGGAATTGGCATTCAAATCCCGAATATGTGTTTAGTAATCGCCCATGTAATTAAGGGCGTAAGTGCGCTTGTTCATAGGCTGGATCGTTTTATCTCCACGGGTTACATCTTCGAGCTAGGTCACTTATGAACATTGGAAGGCCGAGGAATAACCGTACGTGGAAAAGTTCAAGTATAGAAGTGGTAGCTACAAAGTAGTAGTAGTAGTAGGTAGCTGTAGCTAATACGACCAAATGTCGGTGAATATAATACATCGGATTTTCTTTTCATTAATATCATCGGATTCGACTCTGAACGCCTCCTGTCCGGACGCTTCCTTCGCTCCCCGGGTATAACGGCCCTTCCGAACCATTTCATACAGGCCCAGCCGTAGCGGAGCCACATCACCAAAGCTACCCTCTAAAATAGTATGCAATTAGGGTATCCATATGTCCCAATTCCTTTACATAACAAACCGTCATTCAAAATCGAAGGTTAGTATCTCGAGAAACCACGCTCCATATCACTACCGTAGTTGTATCCTTGCCCCATGTTCGGTTGGCCAGGTCCTGCGCCAGGGCGTTGCGGGTAATATCCATCTGGTTGTCGAGGTGGCATCGGGGCCGTTAAATTGCGCTGCGGCGGTTGTCTCTGCGGCGGAGGCATGGGGTTGGTAGCGCTACGAGGAGGGTACGAGTTACCACCATAAGCAGGCCCATTGGGTGGAGGTCCGCGATTCGAACGCATAGACGGGGCTGGGCTAGAGCGCCCGCTAAATTGGTCGATGGGACGGGGCATAGGTCGGCTATAGCTATCCATTGGGGGCGGAGAACGAATAGCTGACGGAATCGATGAGGCATCGGGAGTATACGTAGACGGGCTCGCACTGTAACCGCCGCCAAAACCAGATCCGTTGGTTTGCAAACGACTGGGGGGCGCACCAGGGCCATAACTCCTATTTGAGGCCGCGGTACCCGGTCGAGGGGGTGGTTGGAAGTTGGCGAGGTCAATGGGTGGAAGAGACGGTACTGGAGACGCCGATCGATCGTAGCCCATAGCCGCCGCATCGTTCATCAAGGGTGCACGAGAAGAATAACTAGACATCGATGCATTCGTAGTCGTTGTTCCCTGTCGCGAGGCCTGCGGTCGTTTCTGATCCCATGCGTTCAACTCGATACTACGTGAAGAACCGGGCCGTGAACTGTAGGCAGGCAAGGTAGCCATAGTATCGTTGCGGTTGAGCATAGGCATTTGTGGAAGTTTATCCTCGTTACCAGCATCCAAGAAAGTTGGCAAAGTTGCCTGTCGCTCGGTAGGTGGTTTCTCGCCATTCTTCTTCGCGGCCTTAATTCCCGCCTTTATCCGGTCTCGCTCTTCCTTGGCGAGTGCCTTATTAACCTTGACCGTCACGATGCTGGTCAATCTCTTGTTGACTTTTCGCTCACAGTATCCGTGTAGTCCGCCATCCTGTCTTGGGATGTAATGCCAGAGGAAGAACACATAGAATAAAGCCCCGATGATGAGGAACAGAAGAGAAAATATCCAGATAACCAGAGTGAACACCATACCCGACAGAATCACTACCTGCTGCTTATTCTCGTTGGCCAGGGTTCCAAGTTTGCCGAAGAAAGTTCCCAGTGTGCTCTGCACGGAAGAAACGTCTGTCGGGATAAGATCTGAGCTGTAGACAGAATACAGCGTCAGGGCGTTCACAACCTGACGTGGTCCAGAGCAGAAGATAACTCGAATCCAAGCTAGAATCAAGTCAGCAATGAGATTGTATTATTCTACGACCAGGGATAGCACTTACATTGAAAACTGAAATATGTAAAGAGCGCAACATATTCAGCGCCTTTCTTAGACTTAGTCAATTCGGCGAAAACAAGGAAACGTCTCCATCCTTGACCATCCCCGGGCCGGATACTTTCCAGGCGAACGGCTAGATTGTCGAGGTAACACTCAGCCACGCTTCCTCGCTTCATAACTCTCATAGCTCGGATATGTTCGAATGCCAGGTTGACAAAAGAGGCGATAATGCAAATCGAGAAAATCCACTTCGAAACGTCAAATGGAACAAGTTGCGTAGGCTCAATCGAAGACGACCAGGTGTTGAATGCCAATAAATTGACAGCAGTGAATGTATCGACGCCATAGACGGCGAGAGAAATAAGAAGAGAGAAGTAAAGATAGCCGTAGGCGAAAGGAGCGAAACAAGATGATGACTTGAAGTCTCTGAGACTCTGGAGATCATAGTTAGCCTTATATTCAACCAGAGAATATCCTACTGAAGAGAACCTACGATAGCATCCCATTTTTGTTCAGGTCGAATTTCGACCGTCTTTCGACCTAAGCAACCCATCTTGTCGGGAAATAATTCGTCGCCGCGAGAACCTGCCTACAAAAGCGGGAAACTAGCACGGCCAAGAATATGGGGGTATCAAAAAAATCGCCAATCAATCAATCAGCTTTAGAAGAATAGAACTGAAATGAATGTAATCTCAGTCGTTATTCCTCTTCGTTGTATTCGTCGTCGTGAATCAATGGTCAGTTTATTGAAATCGGACCCGCCGTCTCGCACAGTCGTTTTCCCTCGCCCGCGAAGTGCTCGACTGTGCTCTCGAATTGGAAGAAGAGCAGGTTGCTCGCAGGATTGTCAAGTAGACAAAATATGAGAGGAATCGAGAAAAGAAGGAGATTCCCGGAAGGGGCTCGCAAAAGAGAGACAAACGTCGACCTGGACTAGGAGACGTTGGAAATGAAAGCCGTCAGTAATGACAAGTCTCACTAGGGTGAAGGCATGCCAGACAGGCTAGTTGGTTTCTGAAAAAAATGCGGCTGGCCGCTATTGGGGTCTCATCGCGGCCGAGAGAGGCTATTCTTGGGACCTTCGGGTTCGGTTGACGGCAACAAGCTTTTTCTTTTTTGCTGGCACGGTTGTTTGATACCTAGGTTTGGTAACCCTCGGGTGGTCGTGAGAGATGGACCGACAAATGTCTCGGATGGTTGAACTCCAGCTGGTTAAGGAGAGTAGACGAGTGACAAACAAGATAGCGCTTGGATAATGGGGGGGAGCGCGGACCCAACGTTGGCTGATGTCGTTCGGCTTTGTTTGATCGACTTCTAGGGCGTAATAAGGGAGTTGCGTGTATGGAGTATCAAAAGATCGAATGGGGTCAAGCGCGGACTATGTGGGTATCGTGGGTTGATCGAAGAGCGATTGAAGTGGGTGATGGTACTAAACGAGTGTTATTGTAAATTGATATTGTACTCGAAAATTCTAATTGTGAATCCTCATTCACGAGAGTCACTCGAAGGAGCTCTTGTGAATTGGGGAAAGGGTATAATGGACTATTGATTCTTTGCGACCGAATTGAATGAAGGTAACGAAAAAAGGAGAGGGAGGGAGCTTGAAAGGTCTCGGAATTCTGGGGGGGACTTCGGTGGGCTTGGTGCCTTTAGTCCTTGTTCCTTGATCCCTGCTCCTTGGTCCTTGGCTTTGCTTGGGAAATGGGGGTCCAAAGTCGGACTTACCGTTTTTATGGTTTGAGATAGCGGAAACGGGCATGCAGCATTAAGTTGAACGATACGCTACTTTGGTACGGTCGATCAATCCGGCTGTTGATTGGATATCTTTCCCCAGGCATGCAAGGTACGGCTACTAAATTGAGTTTAGCGCTGAGGTTTCCCCTGTAGCTCCCTCGCAGTCTAAAGGTTTGAGAGTTCATGTACGTCGTAGTAGACGCGGGGATCCTTTTAGTATAGTGTACGTATATACGTATTCCCTTACACACGTATCTTAGGTTGTACTTGGGTGGTAACGATTAAACCCTTATTTGGTGGGAATGTAACTTGACCAGTACATCATTGTAACACCGATAAAAATACCTGCCTAATAGAATCACTCAATCTAAAGAAAAACACGAAACGTCGAAACGCCAAATTGTTTCCCTCTTTCTTAAACAAGAAAGCGGCTAATATTTTCCAATAGCTGTAATTCACCCACGAATAACCTCCTTAAATACCCAAGTAACCAACAACGAGGGATTATATGTCGAGTTTGTCCTACGCGATCTTCAAGCGTCTAATTATTTCGAATTACTTCAACCAACGGAATTACAGTCACTTTGATTTATTATTCAAAACACTCTTGCTGATGCGCTCTTATGGCTTGAAATCCATCTGACTCCATTGCTAAGCTGACCAATCCTTTGGTCTGATCTGCGCCTGATCCGCCAAGTATCACTATCTAGTCAGTTGTTCTTCATCGGAACTCAACATTTTCACATTACCGATCCGAGTTCCGGGTAAAATATTGTATCATAAGATAACGAAGCGAATAAGTCGGATGGTAACGTAATCCTACGAATTCGGTTTCGTCGACGGATAGAATATTCAAGTCCGAGATCAGATTATCAAGGGGTACGAGTATCTCGCTTCTAGCTTTTGAGAAATCCCGGAAGTGATTCTCAGCCATCCCAACAGCGGAATGATTAAAGTGAGATGTTAAAACCACACCCCTCTCAAGTTGGTAGGTTAGTAAGAGGATTAATAGACAATGGACAATAGACAACGGCAGAATCGCGTGGATAAGAGGGAAAGAAAACCACTTTGGGAATTCTAGACGAATCTGGCTCTGGAATGCCGCCTATCCCTTGTGCGGATTAAGTAGTAACAAAGGCATTCAGAAGTGTTAACATTCCAGCAAGACTTCGCATCACTATGGCACCTCACTCATGCCCAGATTCGCATAGACCAACCTTTAACTTCTTCTTCTCTTCTATCTCGTGTTACTATTCTTGTAGAGTATCTTTAGGGCTTCGCAGAGGGATCTATCGTCACCATGCAGTACTTTGATATTGCTCCACACGTCGAGCGTGCCGCTAAATATGACTTTATCTCAGAGACGTCGCCTGGTGTCTGGAAGATATGTCGCAAGAATGACCGAACTGAATTCCTCGCCCACGATGTCACAGCCAAATTAACTGTGGACCCGTTTCAAACTGGCGTGGCCACCGAGACCGATTTACAATTCTTACTCCAGGATGAATTTACCAACTTGTGGGATACGCTCGAACGCATCTTGAACCACGAAAACCTAGTCTCGATAGTAGACGCCTTCTTCGTTCAGAAGAGCGACGCAGGAGGCCGTCCCCGTCTTGCATATTATATCGTCTGGGACTTCTGCAACGCCGGAAACCTGGGAAATCTGCTCGTTCCTGATACTAACAGGCATTATTACACCAGAAAAGTCAAAGATCCATGGGGTCCGCCCCCAACGGACGAAGAATTAATAGAGGCAGGCAATTCGCCGCCGCCGCATTGGGTGGATGGTCACCCTGCCCCTCTCATACCTATCGTACCAGAGTCTCATTTACCAGAATCACTATGCTGGCACGTACTCCTCTCCCTTCTCAGGGGTCTCGCATGGCTACACGACGGGACCTTTGGAATCGAACGTTCACCAGATCCCGAGTCAAGAGCATATATCGTAATCCCGGATCAGAATTGGGAACCCATACTACACCGCAATATCACACCCATGAACATTTTCTTCCAGCATCCCGTACGTGACGAATGGTACGGAGAGTGTAAGCTAGGTAACTATTCTAGCGCGTTTATATCCAACCATTTCCCCGACGGTCAGAACAATCCCAGGCGCCCACATCATAGGGGTAAGGCCTTAGCTCCGCCTCTTGGGAAGTCATTTCAGCCACTCGAAGAGCTCGCGAGGCTAGATGATAAGTATGGCTATACAATGCCCTTGCAAGTAAGTCTACAAACCTAAACCATCTCTCTCTATGTAGATATTAACGATATTCGCCTAGGAGGATCAGCCCTACACTATAATTAGCGAATGGAGGGCACTTGCGGAGGTCTTACTGCGTATGATGGATAAGAAACTCAAAACATATGACTCGCTTAAACCTGATCTAGACTATATTCTCGAAAGAGTGGACTACACAGATGCACTGAAAAACATCGTCATATTGATGGCAACATACAACCCAGATGTACAGTCCGAGGAGAACCCGTTCCGATTTGTGAACCAAGATTGCCTAACCTCCGAACTCTTGCTCTTAGTCCACAACCAGTGGCGGGCGTGGAAGGAATCTGAGCATCCCGAAGCGAAGAGGTTAGTCACCAAGGATACTGGACACATACAGCAGTCGATAGAGATAATAGAGAGGGAGAACCAAAAAGGACGATCCGCCAAAATCGTTCAAGAAAACCTAGAGAAACAGGATAAGCTATTCGAGGAACAGGGTATTGAACAAGATCCGTGGGACTTCCTTAACCATGATTTGTAATCTCAGCTATCGTTAAGTTACGTGGTAACGCATTTGGTGGTTGTGGTTGGGATGAGCACCCCAATTCTCACTAGAAGGGACGGGTTGGATGATGACTTTGTATTTCTCCATTGATGGGTTGAGGATATCTATTCGTCAGTGGATTGGCGTTAAAGAGTGTTGGCGCTGGTTAGACACATCATAAATTAATAGGAGTTTTCAATGTGTTCTCCCGTACTGGAAATTAACCGTTTTCCTTTCCTGGATCTTCTCTACTTGCCTCGTATCTCCCAGTATCTCCAAGTGCCACTAGACAACATGCCGTTCAAGAATTCAATAACGCCGTAGCCTTTCTGCCATTCTTTCCCCTTAGACCTCTCCTCGCTTATCTTCCAGAAAAGTGACCCCTCATAACAGGCCCTTAAATCATCCTTCCATACTCTACCATCCTTCTGCAGAAGAAGCCATGTTGTCCACCACTCCATAAAAGCGAAACTCCAACCTGCCGGATCCGCGGCGCAACGGTCCTTCTTCAACAATTCAGCCAAATCACCCACACTCAAGCCCCCAGTGCCCGACGTATCAAATCGATCAAACACGTGATCGAATTTCTCGGCATCAAATTTCCCGTCAAAGTCATATATGCCGGAATCTGAACCGTGCTTCGCTTTGTGGATGTCGTCGACGTATATACGTAGTAGGGGATCTGGAATCCATGATCGGCCCATTCGCGTGGGGTAGGAGAAGAATACGGGGATGAGTAAGGAGCCCAGCGAGAAGAGGATGCAGAATCCTAGTTCACGGAACCCGTTGTATACGTCCCATGGCCATATGATACCATCATTGTCGCGATCGAAGAAGGCGGTATGTTGTTGAAGAGCCGTCTGTGATTCTTTTGGTGGTTGATATATACCATCTCCATCCGCCAGAGGCTGTAGATATTTCACGTCACCATTGGTAACTTTTCGGCATTGTATTGGAGGCGAGCTTGTTGTACTTCCTGCCATGAGGGTTTATTATTCTGATTCTTCTGATTTGGTGGGCGAGACATTTTTTGATTCTTAGAAGTTCGAGTCTTGGCCTATTAAGTTGCAATGGTAAGTCGCACCAGATATATGTAGCCGTCAAACCACGAGCCTAATTACGAGGTATCGACGTCATAAGTAGATCAGTATATTAAATACTCATGCCACTTTTCCCAATTCACATCGGAGAAGTTCCTATTCAAATCACCACCCCTCTCGACCTACATGTATTTTTGCTTTTTGATACGTACCTAGGTATTCTACCCCTCTTAATGGAATCGTTCTTCGTCGCTCCTAAGTAGGAAGCGTTCCTTTCTTTTTTACGCATTCGATCATATATTCACATTTAAGGATAGGTTCTCAATACTTATCTTAATAATATTAAGTTTATAGCTACTTTTAATTGAGTTAATCGAGTCTCAGTACAAAACGTGAAAATATACATAAACCTAGAGTGCATCGACGTCATGTTACACCCAACACACGGCGTCGCGATAACCTTACCTTATCTTATCTCCCCTATCCGATGGCGCTACCCGCGAATTTATACATACTGTACGCAGCGCTCGGACCATGCATGTCATAATCCCCAATGCCCCATCGCCCCCCTGAACTACCCCGTTAGGGACCGAGAGACCCAAGCCTCGACGTCACATCATTTCCATTTGCTAACTTTCGCTTGCTTGCTTACCTACGCTCGATTTAATTCTCAACTCTCGTCATCTCACGATATCATGACGACCAAGATAAAGTGAGCGACGCCTCAACGAGTTCGATCCTCCGACATATACAAGCCTCTCACAATTCCATGCGATACCCGGTGTAACTACACGGCGCGCCGTCGTCCGATCCTCACGGCCGAACCTCCTATCTACCTCACCCTCCAATCCCTTACCCGCCTACCATTTCTTTCCTCGACATACACCACGAACCACGACCAAAATGCCACAAACATCCGCACCCACCCCCTCACTCCTCCTAACCAAACGCCTAACCGCCTTCCTCAACTCGAACCTAAGCCCACAACTCCACACAGCCGCTCTAACAACGCCCTCGGGCAAACTCCTCGCGCACGCATCCTCACCACCGAATCCCGTCGGCGCGCTACGCACGCAATGCACAGTCGCAGCCTCGCTATGGGCGCATTACGCCGCGAGTACGGATACAGTGATAAACACGCTACCACCGCCGCAGCAGCAATACCAGTTTGAACAACGGTATTTATCAGGCGGGGATCCTGCGTCGGGACCTAGCGCTGTCACGGTGCAGCTCGCGGGTGGAGTACTGGTGATTAGGAGGTTGAAGTGTGGATTGTTGTTCGTGTGTATAGGACCGGCGGGTGGTGCTGGAGGCGCGGAGGATTTAGCGCAGAGTCAGACAAGGACTCAGGGCGTTGGACCGGTGCCTGTGTCGGGCGCCCAGCAGCAACAGGCGGCTGGTAATAATGAAGCGCATGGCGCAACGACACCTCTGGGTTCGCCGTCGGAAGTCGAAAGCGTGGCTAGTGCTGGTGCCGCGACGACAGCCAGTATAGCGACTACGAATAGTATCGCGGCGACTGCGGTCGTGGCTACAAGACGCCAAGCCGAGGAGCTGGCGCGTTGGCTCGACGATAAGTTAGGGTCGTTGGGAGTATTGGAAGAGGGATTAGGGATCGAAACGAGATAAGGAGCGGTGGATATATCGAAGGAAGATTATGGGTTTCTATCAAAAAGGAGGATTTGATGGGTCTCTCACTTGTCATCTTGATATCTCCGGTGAGATGGCCAGGCCCCCGCATTACTGCGAGCTCTGGGTCTTGAGTTGAGTTTAACAGGGTGATTAGCTCTTCGCAGCTCGAGGGAAATGCAATAATTAGAGGGGAAGCAAAAGAGGGATTTCTTCTGGGGAGGAAAAGGATCCTAGGAAATTCGGGCTGTTTAACTACGAGCTCTAGAGGCAAAAATGCTCACGCAGATTTTACTAACTAGGTCGGAATGTCAACCATCGCGTTTTTGATTTGAAACGAAATGCGCTGTAAAACTGAGCTGTGGGCAGATCAGGTCATGAACTGACCGAGATAATATCTGCTTCGGATCCGCTATCGACCTAGATATTAGTAATGGCCTAAAAAGGATGGGGGATCCCGACGATTTGGATTAATGATATACTTCGACTTCTCAAGCGAGTCTTTGTTCATGGACATAATAATTCTATAGCTATACCAATGATACCACGTTCCGGGTACTCGGATCCTGACGAGTGAAAACGTGCTTTGTTCTGAGGCAGGATGTTCCATTGAGGTTGATGGCTATGACTCGATGACTATGATAATATCGCAGTTGTTTTCAAGAACGTTATAAGACAACCTATGAATTCCGAAAGAAATCCGTGGGGAAGAGGCTGACTGACATCGATACGGGCAACCCATTTTCGTCCTTCTGTACTCCGTACCGACATATCGCTCGTACCCCGGAAAGAAAAAAATGAGGGTCTACTCAACAAGATCTCCTAGTTTCCCCTAGCCCCGATCTATGCGGCGTGGGTTGAGGTCTGTATATCTCAACGACAACCAATCCCACGATCCAGCATGTTTACGTGTCTTATTCTGGATCAATCGTAACCGGTAGTATCATCCTGACTATAAAACATCTACAGTCGAAACCAGTTTAAGCATGTCTCATGTGCAAGAAGTAACTAGAGTATAGAAACTAAGAGTACCTAGGTAGGTACTATTCGTCTGCGTAGCCATAGAATCTTCGCACATGTGTTCCCGCGGCTATGGTAGAGCATTTGTAGAAGGACCCCTACAACTCATGAGACATTTCAAACTTCCAAACTAAATATAATCCATCAATTTTAACACGTGTAGATGCTTTACATTTTCTTTTTCAATTTATCCTAGACAGAAACTGATTACCCCTTTTCGTAGGGCTTAACCCCCAACTCCTCACCATTACCACAACTATCACCATTATCACCGAGAGCTAATCATTGTATTACGCGACAGAAAACCGCTTAATATCCCAAAAGGGCTTAACACTCTATCTCCTCTTCCCTAAGCGGATCATCCGCTCCCCTCAACCATGTGTTGACTCACCACCAAAAGCCAAAGCCGTAATAAGAAAAGCCAACGAAAACGGAACCAAAAATTCGGGTCTACGCACCAACCCGCTCCGATGGGGACGATCTACCATCGGTAGGGCGATCGGAAGGGAAGAAGTCGTAGGACTTCAGCTTAGCCTCGCGGACGTGGAGGTAACCAAACCCTATCAATCCACCCAACCGGAGCCTATGCCAATAGAACGAAAGATTTCCAAGGTTTGTATTCTGTAGGTAAGCTTACTGCACACGGGGTAATACAGCGTCTTGACAAGCCGCCTCCCGTGCCCGCGACGTAACATGACACTACTTGATAGTAATAGCTCCGTTGTTAAAATCTGGTTTTGGTTGCTACTAGGCGAGTTACAATAGATCACACGATGCAGATGCAAGAAACCGCGCTTTAAATACACAAAGAAACATGTGGTTGGTTGATATTCGAAGTCCCCTGGTCACAATCGACACGGCTCTACTTGTCCATGGTACGATAACGGGTCACAACCATTGGACCGATCAGCGAAATAGTGGTACCAAGTTATAGATCAGAAGGCTGGTAGTAATATAGGTTTACAAGCCTCATGGCATCAAGTGGTATGTTGCTATCGACCCATTCTGGCGCGTTCTATAGGATTAATGGAAAGGCAGTCATATTTGCGTTTATCAACTATACTTTTTTTGATACATCACAACCAGTCAAGGGGGAGGCAAATGTTGATTATCATGATGTAATGATTTGAACAGACTTAGATTAACCGTAAATAACCCCAATATCTCAGATATCATATATTGTCAGATCCTCATCTCTTTGCATGTACTCTCATAAGTCTCGTCAACCTAATGCTAACCAAAATGCAAGTTATGGGGTATCATAAATAGATGCAATGCCTAAAAGCAAGTAATTCCCTGTAACGAATATCATAATGTAGATGCCTGAAAGCATCCGGCTTCGGTAACGGGGTATCATCTTTAGAATCGGAAATTCCATACTCCAAACGCCCTTCGCTTTTATCCTTCAATCCCTCAGTAATTTTGTGATTTTGTAATTTTGTAGTTTTATTCTCGGGGATCGATGTTGTCGGTTTGTAATGGGTTTCCGTCGTTTACCATGTTTTCTCAGCTAGGAAGCCGACGGAATACCGGGGTGTGAGGCTATCCCAATGAACCGGAACCATAGCCAACAAATTGACAAACTTCTTCCCGCTCTTCTTGAAATTGGTCACTTCGATGGCGAGTTCTTTGTTCGATTCGACCGCGCGTCGCATTTTCTTAACTAGGTCCTTCTCCACGTATTTGCGAGAAGAATGTTTCCGGACTTTTGCCCCAGGTGCTTGCAGGAACCGACAGTTTTGCCCAATGACTTCAGAAGATGTGTATCCAGTTAATTCCGTGAAGGCATCTGATATATATACTATAGGGAAATCCGTCTGTTGTAGATCGCACATGACGAGTGCACAGGAGGCGTCGATGGCTCCAAGTTCGATAACCGGATTGGGCCTTTGCATGACCCGGATCTTTTGACAGTTAGATTGAGTTTGTCACGAGTCAACAGTTTAATGTTCTTACGAGAATGCTCATCATATCGAAGCCGCTTGGGGCATATAGTCCAGGGTATATAATAGAGTCATGTACCGTGTCTTTTGACCCCATAGGAATGCCGGATGGTATCGAATATGTAGGAACCGCATTACTGCCATCTTGATAGTGATACTAGATCGTCACAGTGTATTAGCAATCTATACACTGTAATTGTAGCTGAGGTGTGCTGCAAAGCACTCTTTGTAATACAACCGAGGGAAGTGAACACGACGGCCAAGATTATGGATTAGTACTGGGGAACCTACTTGTAGAGCACTTTCTTCCCATGGGTTCATGATCGACATGGTTACCGAAGTATTAATGATAGTAAGGCTACGAATTTGCTGGAGTTCGATGAAGAGTGTTGTAATAGCCTTAGAATGTTATGGTGTATCGTCGGAATATTAATATATCTTTATGGCCCCAAGGTGTCCCGATATTAATGTTATAGTGTTAACTTATTCATAGAGATGAGGAATTACAACGACGAGGCTGTGTCTATTATAAAGGATAATATAGAAATTCGGAGAAGTTGGCGCGGGTTCATCCGAGTACGACTCGACTCATGTGCCCCCCTCGTCTCGCGTATGTAGCTAGGTATGCACTGGATTCATGACATTGGATCGTGATGGCAAACGCTAAAGGAGTCTTACTAAATGAAGGATGCATTTCGTTTCGCATTAATGAAAGGCGGACGTTGGGTCTGCAATCGGGTAAGGGAAATAAAATTTGGCGTACGGCATGTCCTAGTCCAATGAGACAAGGAGCAAGGACCGAAAAGTAAGAGGATTAGATCTTCTTTAGTTGGATGATGGCGGCCGCCTGATGTCATGGCCGTGATCGAGCATCATAAGGCCATCCGCCTTAAGCCACCGACTTCTGTTCCAGGAACAGTCTAAAGCCACGCATGCTCGATACCAACGCTAAGTTGGTCCATTCTGCTTTGGGAAATGGGCATTTTTTACCGTTGGATCGATCTGTGATCAGAATTCGGGACTCCGATGGCCAAAGCATGCTAATGTCCCTGTCTCAAATCCCAAATCCCTAAGCATAGGTCCTTTGGGAGTTTATGCTTTGAACCCCTAAGACACACGTATACGCGTATGTTGTTGCTACTACTGGAAACAGTGGGTTGGAATTCCGCATTGCTTTGTACGATGATTGACGACAACCGTAGTCGTAGTTGAACAATGGGTACAGTATCCCTTCACCGTATCGAAAGTGACGGGTCAAGTTCGCCTTGCTGGCTGCAGAGTGACCTCGGACCGAGCATCTCGAGCTGCTGCGATAGGTGGCAAATTCATATTTTTTCACTTTCAATTCTCAGTTAGGCTTGGGCCGCAGTGCAGATAAAAGTAACATGATTAACATGATTGTAGATTAAGAGGCTTCAATGAGGCTAGAATTCTGTCAGGAAGGTCAGGTTGTATCACGTTAGGCAAACAAGAGATCCATGCATCGATCTGCTGTAGAAGCGATGTTCGTCGAGATCTTAAGAAAAAAAAGGTGTGAGCGTCAATGTAGGCGTCATCATAATTGGATCGGAATGTTTAAAGGCCAAGCCAATGGGTGGGGTCCTGTATTATGTAATCAACGCTAGGGGCCAACAAGGCAAGTACTTCCGGGTATGTACTCTGCATTATTAAAGTCCGTGCTATCCTCCGATACCCCGGTATCATATCATGCCGGGCCTTGGCGGTAACCGGGGCTAGCCGGAGAGGCTGGGGTTCATATGTTCAGCCTCAATGTTCAGCCTCCACATACGTAGATACTCAGCGATCTACATACAACCTATCGATCTTTAATGGCGTACGGGAAATAAGGGGAAAAGCAATTCCATCCTCAATTTTGAGACATCCAACACGTTATTGCAACCATTAGGCACGTGTTCCGCGCATTCTCATTCCTTGAGGCTTAAACATTTCAAATCAAAAAATCAAATCAAATCAGTAATAGTCTCCCTTAGTAATGCCCCTTACCGAGAATTCAGATAAAATAAAAACCCATCTAAGCTTTTTGCTAAAAGGAAAAGAGCAATAGTCTCGGTTTTGTGATCTAGCTTAGACCTATCGGATTCTTCATATACGGAATTTGTCCACGATTACCTACGCACGGGTTTCTTTATGGTAAGCCCCGGGATGAATGTCTCGCGTACTCACACTTCCGTATTATAAAAATACTAAGCATCGAGCATTGAATTTTCATGAACACCGAAACATGGCTTAGAATAGCTTAGATAAGACCAACAAATTCGAGAGTAAAGTCCATTACCGGGAAATTGACCGAAACCCGACTATGTAACCGAAGACCGGCGTATGGTTAACTCATAACATCGTAGGTAATTATGATGGGTTTATGACATTATCTTCACGCTAGACTAATGGACTGGTTGGATGCGGAATTCTGCTTTCAATCTCAACCATTATCCGCACAGACTTACGGAAGACGCAAAGCAACAAACTCCGAGGTTGCTCAAGCAGATACTTCAACAATCATGGTAGGTAAAGGCCACGTGGGAAATCTACATGTGATGGACTTGAACCTTGGCGCTAGTTTGGATCGAAGTGCTTCGATAATTATCAGAGAATTTTGAGGGTGATGGACGCTTCCCAAAGACGTATTTTGAAGTGGTTTGGCCATATCAGTCTGGTTTAAGCACAATCAAGCACAATCAAGCACAATCAAGCACACGTCCGTGTCAATAGCATCTAATCCTAATAGACTAAGTCAAAGCACCAACATCACGAGAACGGAGTGCATTTTATATGTATCTACCAGGCCTGCTAGCTTATCAAGCCGTAGCTATGCCTTATGACCTATGTACCCTATTTATACCAGTAACTCCTCCGGTTTGAGGCCCTTTGCTTTGAATGCTCAACGCCGTGTGCAAAATGCATGCTATGTCGTCTCTCGTAAACATGCGTATGCATATGTCCCTAACGCCGGTGATGCAATCAATCATCAATGCCGAATTATTCCTCTGGGGAACTATGCATATGTCTGCAATGCAAATAGGCAAGTAAGGGGAGAGATAGGCAGGCCATCGTGCCTGCGTGGAAAATGAAAATACTGGTACACATACTCAAACAATAAGCCCAAATCTCCATGGGCTGTCTCCTGGCTCTCGTCGAACCATCGTCGGTACCAATGTCGGTACTCTTGCCGTGTCTATAGCTTCGGCATACCACCTAGTACGAGGCATAATCCCCAATCCCCAAACTCTCCAGCGCAGTTCGAAGCAGCATCTCAAGGACAACCTTGCAGACGCCCAGTACCACAGTGCTCACGGCACTAACGACCCAAACCGCCGCCATGACGACATACCCAACGACCGGCCCAGCCAAAGCCAGTTCCTCATCCTCTTCGTAATCGAAGTCGTCACCATCGTCGTTGGAGGAGTAGCCAGGCAGTCAATGCAAGCCCACCAACCTACGATTCTTAGCCTGGAGCTGGCGAAACTTTTTCTCCAAGCCCTCGTGCTGTTTCCTCGCCTGGCCCCACGCGGCCTCCGCGTCCTCGACACTCATCAATGGGGCACTGCCGATTGAAGTAGCGGCACCGGCGTGATCGTGACATCCGTAGACGGCGTTAGCTTCGTCCTCACCGGGTCTACCTGAGAACATTCGCGCGCGGTCTTCGGGGTTCTCGACCGAGGGACAGATCCAAGGTGCCAGTTGTTGAAGGTTGACATTGCGAGCTGAGTTTGAGGAGCCGGCATTGCTATTGGCGTTAGAGCTAGATCCGGGTGCCTTGTACCCGTTAAGGTTTAGAGACGGGAGCACGTGTTGGTTGATGCAACTGATAGCTTCCTCGCGGTGCATCTTACCCACTGGGTCGCTGGGGTAATTATCGGGTCCTGAAGGGAAATACGACGGCGTACCATTGGGCACGGCACGATTCTTTACGAGACTAAATCCAGTCGAGGGTGTGTGACGAGGTGCGGAGAAGGCAGTAGGAAGAGCGCTGTCTGCTCTGATGCGATCCTGAAGTTCCAGGAACATCTCCGCCTCTTCATCTGTCAAATTGAGAAGACAGTCCCCGTTCGGTGTTAGGAGCACATTATGTTCATGCACCATCTTACGCACCGGCTGGAATGCGCTAAGCTTATCTTCATCCTCCTTGGTGACGATTGTCTTGAGCGTAGGCGGGAGCGTGCTTGGATAATGTCCATCAACTTCTGTGCGGTACCCTATCGCAGTTTTGAAGAAACTGATGGCTTCGGGATCGGGGAAACTGCCACTCTCCATAAGAGCCCGGAAGACATCGCGGAGGTTAGGCACCTCACCAATATCTTCGTCAATAGGCTGCTCTAGCTTCGACTCGGAACTATGATTCACATAGTCGGGTGTCAAGACTGTAGTCTTCGTCGACTCATTTAACCTAATGGAAGTGTCGACTGTTGCTACAGGGCTCTTGGGAGGGCTTTTTGGTGCTTTACTCTTCTGAACCGTCGCATTGGGAGGCTCTGCTACGGACAGACCTCTGTTACCTCTAGTAAGTTTCTCGTTTGGTTCTGGAGGAGCCGAGGTAGGTCCGTCTTGAGGTACGGGGGTATCTGCCCGCGTCTCTGTACCACTTGGCGTCTCCGGCCGACTTGCGGTAACCGCCCTCTTTTCTTTCTTCTGTTTTTTCTTCCGTCCAAGAATAGGGGCAATTTCTACTTCCTGTTCCACGGGTTTTGTCTCTGCAATCTGAGCAGCAGCTTCTTTCGAGGCCTCTTTACGTTGTTTGCGCTGTTGGCTCTTCGTAGTTGCGCGCACAGATGCGGAGCCAACCTTGGTGGGCGGCGGGGAGCTCGTTCGGGAAACTGAAACGGACGCGCTCACAATTGATGCAGTATCTGAGATTATTTCACTAGCTGGTGTTGCGGGACGATGAGAGGAACTTCCTATTCCAGCAGCTCGAATCGAAGCCACAGCTGCGGGAGGTATATGGATGGGTGGAGCCTCTGTTTTGGGAGTATGTACGAGGCGGAGCGTCTTTGGAGCAACTTTTGCTAGTGGAGAGGATATAGATGCCGTAGTTGACGTAGGAGTAGGTACGGTAGAAGCACCTTGGATTTTGGAAGCTTGTGTAGCACTAGTAAGAACGTGATTGGTGAATTTGTCTATTCCACTAGCCGTTTCACCGGCACTTGCTTGTGAGACGGTGTTCGTGGCGGCGGCGATATCAAGAGTGCTGGGTACCGGACGTTTGTCAGATTTGCTAGAAGTAGACTTTCCTGATGTCGTTTTGCCTGCTGCTGCTTCGGCTACGGTGGCTTTCTTAGATAGGGACGCCTTTGCAGATGCTGATTTTGACGGCAAAGCTGGGGTCACTCGCGGCGGCGAACTTGTCTTAACTGAATCAAGAGCTGGGAAATCTTCTTCCTGCAGGACACCTTTTCCTTTGGACGATTTCGAAGCTTGAGCAGCGATGTCTTTCGATAAGCCACTCTTTGCGGCAAGCTCTTTGATGCTCTTCTTCGCCTCTGTCCCGCCAGTGGCACTACTTTCCTCCTTGGCTGAAGCCGGCGACTTTAAGCCGGTTTTTGGAATGATTGGAGTTACAGGTCGTGGGGCAGCTGGGGATCTTAGGGATATTGCGCCTGGACGAGGCACGGGAGTGGGAATTCTGTCGGTAAATTGCGCTGGGGGATGGGAATGGCTAAGACCAAGGCCTGGCGGTACTGACGGTATTCGTAATCCTACATCATCTAGTATGGACGAGATCGAAGGCCCCTCGAAGCTGTCAGAATCCGCGACGAGCGCATCAACGGAAGAGGAGACCTCATCCAGGGGGAGGAGGTCATCATCTAGAGATAGGAATACGTTAGCTACTAGAACCAAGATACGTCGAACTACAATACGGAGATGACAGAGAAAAGCAAGGGTCAAATCACAGAGCTTCCATCGTCGTCTTCCAAAAGTTATACATGACAATAGCAGCTGGTATGAGGAGGAAATGATGCTATATTGAGCAGCCTTTCAACTGAGGTCTGGAGTTTCGACCTGCGTGTTAACGTACATGAAGAACTTGGGAAGACGACGATGGCTTGCCTGAGGTGACCATGTAACCGAAATATGCGTGGGGAAAAATTAACAACTGAATCAAGCCAGAAATGAAGTGTGTATCTTGTGTAAGGCAAAGCATTGGTCGCAAAGCCTCGTCGTTTCCAAGCAAAAAAAAAGGGACGCCAAATGCAACCTAGACCCGCCTGGGCCATGCCTCTCTGCAATGCTCGCTCAAACAATGTGGTGGAATATTCCGATTATTTCCTTGACCCTTTCCGAACCTGGACGCCCTAGACGAACCCCTCGGTAAAGCCGAGCAAAAACAAAGCACGCCACCATACTCCATTAAGGGGGGCTACATAAACGGCTACCACCTGTTGTGAAGCCCGCCCCCGTACACCATGTTGGGGTTGTTGTACCCACCTTGGTTTTGACCACCATAAATCCCCTGCCCGACTCCGGCGCCGCTCCCCTGCTGCTGATACTGCATTCTCGCCTGCAGGATACTCGGGTCCGCAAGATCTACTAAGCCACTCCCCCCAGAGGAGGAAGTGTTAGCGTGTCTGTGCTTCTTCCCCTTCTTCTTCTGCTTTGGTCCGAAATCTTGGAAAGCTCCTGGCTGGGTACCATGGAGCGATGCCAGAAGGCCCGGAGCCGGAGCAGGAGCTGGGGTGGAGGAGGTAGAGGGAAGGAATTGGTTGCTAAAGGGAAAGTACTCACGCTTCGCCGCCTCGTGGGCTTGGGTGCTGCCCACACCCCTTCCGCGGATAAGAGATTGAAGTAGTTCACTCGAGGAGTCCTTGGATCCTGCGTTAAATGCCGATCCTCCAAATGCATGCCCCTGTCCAAACATGCCACCATTAACGGGTGTCGTGCCAGTAGACTTAAGTCCCGGCGGAGGACCAGGAATAGACGTGTATAACTGACTGCCAGGCTGTGAACGATACGCAGACGGCATCATTGATGACTGCTGTGCCATATATCGTGGATCGCCAGTCGACTTAACATTGATCGAGCTGGAGTTGTTCTCGTTTGCAAAACTGAACCGAGACTGCTGGCGACTATGTCCTTGACCCTGGAAGAGAGTCGAAGACTGTGTAGAGATTCCTGGAGGCATCTGATCTGCGAAGCTATTCTGGGGTCGAGCGAACAATTGCTGTTGTGGTGTTGCAGTACGACCACTGCCAGAACCAATAGCAGAAGTTTGACCATAAGCGGACAGACTTGGTCCGAATAAGTCGCTCGCGCTGGTCGCGGTAGTACGTTGTATCGGAGGTTGCGTTGCATTTCGTCTCTGATCAAAACGGCCACTGTCACGAACCTGTTCTCTATCTTCAGGCTCCCCACCGAGTGCAAGACTACCGCTTTCAGGTTCGCCTTCAGATGCCTCAAGGTTGTCGACTTGCTCTTCGTGGTTGCTCAAGCGATTCTCTTCGTCCCTCATAGCTCGTCTTCGCTTGCCGCCTTGGGGATCAAACAGAGGAGGATAATCGTCGCCTGCGTCTTTTAGTGGCGCAAATGCGCTCTCTGGGCACTCAGCAAGGTGCTTCAGGATAATATTGAAATCAGGTATATCGCTTTCTTTTCGGGGCGCACCTTTAGTGCTGACAGGCATAGTCTTAACGGGCGCTTCGACTGCTGGTTGTTTCTCCGCTTTTCGATTGGTTGAAGGTGGAGGTTCTATAGGTGCCGCAGCTTCGGTAGTCTCCTGAACAGATTCGTTGGTGACGGGAAGCGAAGTCGAAATAGCAGGGCTCGATGCTGCAAGACTAGTAGCATGACTGCCTCTTCTGCTTCGTTGCTGTGTGGTACGCGCCCAATTCGCGGAAGCTGGCAAGGCCGGTCCATCACCAGCATCTGATCCTTCCTTACTAGAGGTGCGGACCATAGGTTGCGATCCCGCGGCGGGGAAGTGGGACGTTTGCTGTCGCGATGCGGAGCGCGATGACGAGCCAGCATTCGCAAGCGGACGCTGCGTGTGGACACTGTTTAACGATGAGAGATCTTGTCGAGAGTAGCTGTCTTCTTCATCACCAAGCTCATGCAGAAACATGCACTGTCGGTTTCCACATTGTTCGTGTCTAAGCCATGCCGAGCAATATTTGGTTGTTCCCAACTGTGCCTTGAGGACGCGGTCCCCGTTTTGTGAACCATGTACGGCTTGTATGCATCGAGCGGCATCCTCCTTCTTCTCGAATGTGACGTAGATACCGAGTGATTGGGGCTGACCATCCGCAGATTTGCGATTACTGATCGAAATCTTCTGGATGTTGCCATACTGGCCGAAGAACTCGGGTTTGCGAAGAGTCTTCAGCAGTTCATCTTCTCGAACGGTAGGTGTCAAGCCTGTGACATAAACAAGGTTCTTTTGGACGACACGGACACCTTGGAGGTTTTTGCGACTTTCCTTCTCGGCCTCACGTTTCTGGACCTCTTTTTGACGTTGTTCCGTCGCTCGCTTTTTTTGGTTCTTCTGGATGTTTGCTCGAAACTCCGCTTCCCTATATTATATTAGCCACCATTATTTACTGTATCGAACGTCATATACGTACTCTTCATGAGTGACAACCTTCCATTTAATGTCCTTCTCGTCGTACGGCCGTCGACATGCGGGACATAACCCGTTAAGGTTATTCCTTAGGTTGTTGAAGCAAAATTGGCATATCTGCAGCAGTATGATTATTAGTAACGTAACCAAACACGAGAATAATAATTTTTGTCGGGTTCGTACCTGATAGCCACAAGGGCATGGTCTAAAGTTTCTATCGGAAAGGTCGAACTCTTCTATGCACAGAGGGCTTTATATACGACGTTAGCGGTCGAATTATAAGGACGTAGATAACACGCCGAGAAGTATGGAGTTCAAGCTTACCAAGTGTCATCTTCATCATCGATAAAGCTATCTTGAGGAGCCATATTGATCTGTCAAGCTTGCACAGGTACTCGGGACCACTTGAGGATCAAATAGCTCCAGCAGGGTGGAAGCCCAAGGTAGATATGTAGCGTTTGACTCGGTCGATAAGTTACCAGCTATCGGTAGAGTCGGTGTGGATGCGTATGCACAATAGTCGCGTCGTGGTATAGGTGGTGTAGGTGTCAAGTTTTTTTGGGTTGAAATACCTATCGGGTGATTATGCAGGTGAAAAAAGAGAAGATTATACCGAGAAAAAAACCATACGTAGAAAAAAAAACTCCTTAAGAGAGAAAATAAAAACGCGTCGGAGGAAAAACAAGGTGATTAGAGAGTAAGCAGTTGTTTCGTGTCTTTGCGCGTATGGAGAAAGAGTTTGGCTGGTTGTGAAAGGGAAAAAGACGAAAAGACCAGCGGGAATGGTTTGAGGATTGTTGGCGTGAAGGTAAGAGCAGGTGAATGTGAAAAGGCAAAGGAGGTCTAATGCAAAAAGATTGGACCAGAGCACCGCCGAAAAGAAACGTTGACTACACGCGCTAAGTACCTTGGTCGGCCTGATGCGGGTTAGTGCAAGCAGCGTCAATTTCAATTTTTGCCTCAAGCCATTTGGTGGCTACCGTACCTTCCCACCGTGCGTACGGCGTATCGATACTTATTCCCTTACTAAGAATGATTACATAAGGACAGTTAAAGAGGTACCTAGGTATGCACTAACACTTTTTTTTTTAGGCGGGAAACAGCGACGATTACTTAATCCGGATTATAGACTCATCTACGTCAAGGCGAGTATTTAAAAAAATTACCCAAATGTAGTGCATTTATGAATATTAAATTCTGAACAGATAGATTGCTGTAGTAATCGCTATCCGAATTTCCGCGATTTTCTACGCGAATCTACACTAGCTGAATCCGAGGGGCAGGAACGTTGAAGTAGAGAGTTGGAGGTGCAGGTCATCTGCTACGTCACGAATACGATAAAGCGTGCTAACCTTGGAAGAAATATAATTGGGCAGGTGGCACTATTTAAATGTTTTACGGGCAACACGTTCTTACCTAAGCAGTAATTAATCGGAATAGAATTCAACATTGTTCCGCGAATTGGGAACTACTTTCACTTGATTGGCCCAACTTCTTTTCCATACTGTGATACACTGTGGGGATGTGTACCCACCCTTAGGTAATTCAATTCGATCTCGAGTCTGTAAACTTCATAGATGGTACCTAGATAATAATTAAACGGATAACACTCACTAAAGTCGCAACCCATCCTCTATCAATTGGCTCGCCTGCCACTACCTACCGATCATGGCGACCAATATCTGCCGAAGTAGAGCTCTCGCCTCAGCTCTGCGACCTGCGAAGCCTTCGTTACAGGCCCGAAACGAGCAGATCGTCCGCTGCATCGCTTCCACTGCTCGACAAAATGTCGCTATGCCCAAGGATGCTCCGAACATGAGGCACGCACCTCGAGACCACCCCAAGGAGCTTAGAGCCCCCATCGTCAACCCCGCCGACAAATATTCCACAAAGTCCGACGATTTACATCGTTACGGAGCTTGGCTTATGGGCTGTTTGCCCAAATACATCCAGCAGTTCTCCGTTTGGAAGGATGAGCTCGTTATCTATATCCCGCCTTCCGGGGTTATACCAGTATTTTCCTTCCTCAAATGTAAGATACATACACACTCCGGGCCCAATTACTTGCCTATTAAATGGCGCATGTTGCTAACCCCAAACTAGACAATTCGGCTGCCGAGTTTACCCAAGTCAGTACCGTTACGGCCGTCGACTTCCCAACCAGAGATCAGCGATTTGAGGTTGTCTACAACTTATTGAGTGTGAGACATAACGCGCGAATCCGAGTTAAGACGTACGCCGACGAGGCCACACCGGTACCAAGTATCACTCCCCTATTCGATGGCGCCAACTGGTACGAGCGAGAAGTCTACGATCTATTTGGTGTTTTCTTCGTTGGCCACCCGGATCTGCGCCGAATCATGACCGACTACGGTTTCGAAGGTCACCCTTTGAGGAAGGATTTCCCTCTGACCGGATACACCGAAATTCGGTATGATGAAGAGAAGAAGCGCATTGTTACGGAGCCATTAGAGTTGACACAGGCATTCCGTAATTTCGAGGGAGGTTCTACATCTTGGGAACCCGTCGGACCCGGTACCGACCGCAAGCCAGAGAGCTTCAAATTACCTACACCCAAACCCGAGGAAAAGAAAGAGGAGCCTAAGAAATAGATGCCACCTAGCGCAACTTGTATATAAATGTGATACAATTAACACTGTTACCATCCAGTACGCAGCTACGGTTTAATACGTATCACGAAGGACCATGAAAAACGCTCTACTACACCATATATGTATAGTGAGCCTCAATTTAATCCACGAATTAGAATATGTCTAGCTAAATCTGGTAGATTTTTACTAGCGGTAATTCATATCTTCAAAAGTCGATGTAGCCACACAGTCGTATCAATTCTCGGCTAACACCGCTTTCCCCAGGTTGCTTGGGGGCTATGGTTGGAAATTTTCAATGCCGCTCTCTTCCTCCTTGCCCTTTGTGTCATTTGCCTTAGGCTCGGTCACCGGTGTCTTAACTGTACTAGTTTGCAAACCTCCAGCTTGAGTCTTCTGGCTCCCCTGGGGCTGAGCCGCGGATCGAGTGTTGGGGTTCTCGTCCATTCCGCTACCTTCTCCAGGTGCGGTATGGCCGTACTTAGCTTCATGAAGTCAGCCACTATGACCCATAATTCGTCTTAGACACCTGGACAGATCATTAGTATACTAAACTTACTGAGCACAGGCTTATCGGTGCTGTTAGCTTCAACCTACTCGAATAAAGAAGACATAGTCCACCAATATCTCACAAGTCTGGATGCTGCAGTATAATGTCTGTTGGATTTGAGTCTTCTCCTTTCTGGACAATTTTTTGATTTCTATAGGTGACAACATGCACGCTATGACATTGCCACATCTTCAAGAACTCGGTCCACCAATCTACGAAGTTGAATTATATATATAGGTGGTCACTGTCGTGGAGATGATGTCATGGTGATGGCCAGTTGCTCTACAACGCACGGCACATATCCCCTTAGATGACTCGGAAGTGCGGCAAATCGCATTGTTTCCGTCTCATACTACTCAGGTGGCAGTGCTCATCGTATGCATCAGATCCTGGTACGTATCTCACCTCGATTTCACTCAACACTAAGTGATCTATCACCCAATACTATATAGCACATTATTCTTACAACAAAATCAAATTAAGGAAGTAAATGATCACACTTCAAAGGTTAAGACTAAATAGATATTACAATATAGTGAGATCACATATTCAATGTTCTTATTCAAATACGGGCAGGTCCGTTAAGGCTCGCCAGCACCGTGACTCTACGTAGAACGATCGTGGGTATCTGATCCTATGAACTTGCTCCTTCTATTTTATAGACTCGTTGCTTCAGTGTCCATTGAGTTTTGTCTTCATTCGAGGTTGTTCCTCCCAGCTATGTCGTGATCTTCAGCAACTTAGTTGTATTAGATTCAGAGTAAACTCTATCTGAAGGGACAGAAGATTCTCGTCGTTGGTTTCGAGAAGTAGCTATCAGGTCCATATACAGCAAAATCCCTAGGTGGTTGGGCCGATCTAGATGGACTCTATTTCCCCTTTCCATAGAGCCTAGATATAACTCAAACTCAAACTCAAGCTCAAAGCTTCACCAAAGTGTATACGAGTCTTGTGACCCATTAGATAGTTCCTACCTAGATAGCTGAGCACCTAGAAGATCATTATAAATAGAGCGTCGATAGACGAGTAATTCTCTTCTCGACTTTCATTCCTCAAACCTTATTCACCACTTCACTTCCACACAAAAGTAGACAACAACTACTAGCTTACGATCCAGTACAAATCACAATGGCTCATAGAATCCAACCACCACCGGACCTAACGGATCCCGACAGGGGTGATCGCCAAGGTTGCAACATTCTCATTCCGAGGGATAGTCGCAACCTCCTTATCTTCGTGGACGACCCGGATATCTGTCATAAGTAAGTCATTCACCTTATACCTGGTACCCAGTATCTCCCAAGTCTCCTCTTAAACAAACCTACTAACATCTCCCCAGGTACAGAATCTACGGGCACAACTTCTGCTGTCTCCCACCATCCTTCCAGGACCAGTTCAAAAACAACTGTCCCCCACATTACCACCTACAGCGCGACTCCTACACCCACGCTCTCTCTCCCCTACCCTCATCGCCTTCCGCGCCCGTCATGGAAGTTGCCGTAGGGTCCGTGGGTGCCAATACCACACCCACACTCTCCACCCAGGAGGCCAACCAGGAGGACCAACTGGACTTTTCACTCAAGGAGATAGCTCTAACGGCGATTGAGATAGTGGCGTTGATTGGCGTCGTGTGGGTCGTATGTCGCGGGTGGTGGTTGCGAGAGCGACGGTGGCGGAAGAGTGGACTAGGTTGAGCTCTGGTTTAGGTGTAAAGGGAGTCTGGGCACTCTTTGCCTGCCCGGCGCGCATCTGATTATTCTAGGATTCCGTCGCTTGTTGTTGGATAGCCGTCACGAGGTAGACCAAAAACGCCCTCGAATTAAGACGGTGATGATTTGAGAGTAGGCTCAGCTACATGGGTCATTTCTTACAAAGGAAGGAGCAGACGGTTGAGGGCCAGGAATCGTGTGAGTGGTAATGGATAATGTCGCTATTGATCATATCTAGTACACGGCGTCGAGTCGGTCCGTTCCGCCACGACTAAGCATGAAGCATGCGAGCGAGTCAGGACTTGTGGCGGCTCAAGAACGGTATCGAGGCCTGGGAGTCGTACCTTACTCTTTTGGGATGCCCTTACAGAGTTAAGCCGATAGATGGCGATATTAAGGCAGACAAACAGCTAGGATAGATGATTCATAAAAATACTCCCGAGGAGCCTCTAGGTATATGATTGGTATTAATGACACCTATAGAAGATCTTCATAATAGACATAGTTGCCAATCTAGTATTCTCTAATTTTCAATGTGCTCGATATCCTCATGATAGCTTTGGGCTGTAATCTAGCCATCCTAAAACTCCAAAAACATGCAAATATTCATTCCCGCCAAGCATGGCTCAGCCTAACTACCTATACAATGATCATAATGGAGCGTCTCAACCCCTAATATACAAGAGTTTGATGTTGTTGACGTTTGCGAAATTAATCCGATTCCTCATCAGCAGAGTCCCATATAATCGGAGGCGGTTCCTGGATTTCGCCATTGATCAGGCTATCCGGCAGCATTTGACTTCGTGTTTGAAATTGCGAAGATCTAAGAGAATTGTTTCGTGCATTTCGGAAAAGTATCGGGCTGCTACTGTTGTAATTGATGGCTGATGGCTGGCTTGAAAGATTTATGGGTTGCGGAAGTGATTTTTCTGGCGAAATGGTTGGGCTTGAGACCGTGGTGGCTTGCGAGGATCTCACAAAACCCCGCACTCTTTCGCTTGAAGGTGCGGGATCCGATCGGGTTGAAGGACCTAGCAGCATTTTGGATGGTGTTGGGTTTGTGCCATCGCGATTTTGTTCAAGTTGCTTTCTTTTTCCTGCTGACTTGCGTGATACTGGGCTTGAAGCAACCATATCATTGCCACGTTCGGACGAAGGGTGCTGTGTTGAATAATCTACATCGTCCTGGATCTGCGCTTTTATTTCTTGAGATTCCGAGACATTTGGACTGGTTGGCAGGAGTGTGGCGGTCTCGGCTGCTTGTTCCTCACCGCCGAATAAAGCATATTTTAAATTTCCTGTGAGCTCTCCGACAACTGCTGGAGGGACCCAGATGTACTTCTGTGGGGCAGAATTTACCCAGCCTTTCTTTTTCATCTCATTCAACGGGACTGGGTTGTTGAGCTCATACACTTGTACTATCTCGTATGCAAAGTTGGCATTCATAGTTCCTTGGTTGAACTCGACGTTCCCGACTCCTTTTTCGTCTTGGATTTCTCCGGGTACCTTCGGCGGGCTGAGGATGCACATGTATCTCAATTCGGAGGTCGGCCTGGTGCTGTAGATCCAGATGCGAGATACACTAGGTGGTATTTTCCAAGTCCTGAATTCATGATTCTTTGAACGATCTAAGATCATCGCCAAGGGCTCAGGATGTAGTGACACCATGATATCGGAGTTCGGGGTTTGGGGGCCGAGAGCACGAATTTCTTCTAATGGTAATCGTTGGCTCTCAACACCCTGGGTGTAAATTTGAGTATGCGCATTTGGTGTATTTTCGTCTGTTGGTCCCCTTTGTGGAGACGATATTTGCACTTGTTTCGTTGTAGAACCCGGGCGGCGAGTCGGCGTGCTTATGTCCTTTGCTGTACGAAGTGGTTCCTTTTTCTTCGGCTTGGGTGTGGGGGTTGCCGATCGCGACCGGCTTCCCTCTAGGGAATCACTCTCACTAAGCTCACGGCTGAGCTCATCTGCCGAAAGCAGAATCTCAGCCTGTGTTTCATCTCCAATAACACCATAGCATGTTTCTGCAGGCTCCGGGTCATCCGTCGATGGTATATTGTCTTCGTTTGGTGCAACATTATCTTCCACAATGGTAGATTCAGTTGCATCAGAATCGTAATCAGAATCGGGGATTTCCTGGTCCGTGCGAGGTTCTTCGGGAAGTTCCTGTAGAGGCGTCCGCGAAGAGGTGTCTTTGGGCGATTTGGGGGGCTTAGGTTCCTTTCTGCCCGGCGTAATATTTTCTTTGTCTTCGGGCAGGTCGAATCGGAGTTTCTTGTTTGGGGTAGCTTTGGAGGTCGAAGTTGATAGGGCTGCAGCTGGGGAACTATGAGCTGTGCTGTATGAGTCTGGAATGATTCGACGACTTGGTGTCTTGATAATTGGAGATAGTGTTGCTGCATTGGTAGATTTTCCTTTCAAAGGTGAGTCGCGATGTTCTGGGCTGAAACTCCGGGTGAGCATTGGCGTCAGTGGTGACGTCGAAGACGGAATCTCTATCCTCCTCTTGTTGGTTGGTGTAACAGACTGAATGAGGGTTGGAACTGAGGACCTGTATTCCGGCTGCTGTTCCGGCTTGGCATTGTCCGTTCCAAGCGAAATATGCTTTTCTGGTTTCTTCGGAGTTTCTAGTATCAAGGCGTTGTCATCGTCACCCTCCGAATCGTCAACTTGATCCCTCACAATGCTTTTGTCCAGGCATTGCGTTAGAGTCTGCGTTTGGAAGTTACGCGTAGGGTTTGGACTGGGGATATCTCCCAAAGTCTTCCGCCGTTTTGAACCTTTCGGCTTCTCATCATTGGGTAATTCATCTCCGGCTGTCTTACGCCGGTTCCCTCGAGTCCTCTTCCTAGATTTAACTTCCACAGCCGGAGGCACTTCGGATTCTCCGGGTTCTTCAGCATCATCCTCGTCTTCATCTTCGTCTTCAAGTTTCAAGAGGTCCTCCTGCATAGATGGAGACACCCACTGCATCTGAGTTAACGTCTCTTGTTTCAGCGGCTTCAGGGTTGGCCGAGGACTTCCATAAGTCTTTAGTTGAGCCCGACGACCCGGAAAGCGCTTTTGCTTCGGGGCTGGAGTAGTTGATTTATATGATCCGTCGGCAGATTTGTTTCCACGATTCCTTGTCTGTGGCGCCATGGCTGGCTGCAGTGGCCGAATAAGATGTGTCCCTGTATATTGGTCCTGCGGAGCGAGTGATGGGGCCTCCTCAACTCAGTTGTATGTGAGAGTTATGTCCAAAGTGTCGAAAATAATTATTCCAAGATCAGTACAGTATATCTTTATCCTTCTCTTGTTTCCAGTCTTATCATTAAGTTCAAGTTCAAGTTAAACCCAAGTGAGAGTTGGGGCAGTGCAGGAGACGAGTGTGGGTCATGACGCGGTTGTGGGAAATAGCTGAATAGTTTCCTGGGGAGGAATGGATTGTGCTAGGATGTGGGATTTTGACTATCGCGTCAAATGCATATCAATTAAACAAAGTGGATACTGTGTGGCACAGCTAGCTTATAAGTACATATGTATGCACTTAAATAACTGCCCCCGCGTAAAGTCCCGCTTTTTGCATGGGCCGAGGTACAATCCTGCAGAGACAATGAAGTCCGGATCGTCAGATCGGCTTCGATCATCGAGGTCTACCACCTACAACTATTTATAAAATGACTTATTTCCTTGCATACACTTAATTGTTACACAAACTTCAGCGTTTAGAGGATGAAGAAACAAAAATAAGAAGAATTGCCTTTTTTTAATAATTATATAATCTCTCTTTTCTTACACAATCATTAGATCCCCGAGTTGTTGGTGACGAGAGCCGCAACTCATAACCGCGGCTAAATTCACCCAACTCCCATGCATAACCCTATACACTTTTCTGGAATAGAGCGTTACCAAAGTAACACTTGGGAATCTCATTGAGCATAATACACGGCGGCTTCATACGTTTCTGTGTGATTGTGACGGCGAGAGGTTATCGTCTCGACGTGTGATAAGCGAAAGGTCTCGGGAGCTGGATAGACCATACAACGCTTGTGACACAAACTCCGATTCGTCCACCTCTCGTCGGGGGGCTTAATATCTAATCGCGGGACTATATATCTCGGGCAAATCCTCGCTGAAATTCATCTGTCCTTCAGATAAGAGACAGTCTCGCAACCACTCATCACAATGGCGCCCTTCCCTTTCCACATCAAAGAGCACAGCGTCCCGGCGCAACACATCCGGGAATTCCCCCAAACGACCTCGCACTCACAGGAAGACGTCCTCTACATAAGTGTAAAGCAATACATCCCAATCGACAATCCCAACCCTCAACCAGGCGACATCACCATCCTCGGCGCACACGCCAACGGGTTTCCCAAAGAACTCTACGAACCCCTCTGGGCCGACCTGCACGCGCGCGCCCACTCCCCCACCAACCAAAACGGTTTCCGCATCCGCTCGATCTGGATCGCCGATGTATCGAACCAAGGCTACTCCGGTGTGTTAAACGAGCACACCCTCGGCAACGACCCCTCATGGCACGACCACGCGCGGGACCTCTTACACCTAACCAATGTCTTCCGCACCTCGATGCCGCGTCCCATAATCGGAATTGGGCATTCATTCGGCGGCGCCATCCTAACCAAACTCTCGCTCCTGCACCCACGGCTCCTCACGACCATAGTCCTGTTAGATCCCACCATAACAACTTTCTCCCTCAAACGCAACGGCCCAGGTAAATCCGTCGCACGCGCAAGCGCCTTCCGGCGAGAAGTATGGCCCTCTCGTGCTGTAGCCGAAGAATCCTTCCGTCGCAGCGCATTCTACCGGACCTGGGACCCACGAGTCCTCGACGCATGGGTCAAGCACGCAGTCCGCGATACACCAACCGCAATCTACCCCCAATCCAACCAAGCCACCTTACGAACCACCAAACACCACGAAGTATTCACATTCTTCCGTCCCTTATGGCCGTACGTATATGCCGACCCCCAAACCGGTAATATCAACGTAGATAAAGACGGCGCGCCAGATTTCGACCCGGAGGCGCAGGAGAAACTCACAACGACCAAGATCGCGGACCCGGATAAACCGGGCACCGGCACGTTTCCCTTTTACCGGTCCGAGGGTCCTAGTATTCTTAAGCAACTCCCAGAAGTACGACCTTCGGTTCTGTGGGTATTCGGCGGTGAAAGCGACCTAGGATCACCCGCCGAGACGCGGGATTTCAAGACGAGGAGTTGTGGATCAGGAGGTGGTGGATCCGGTGGTCTTGCGGCAGGTCGCGTCGGTGAGGTCGTTATGGAGGGGCGCGGCCACTTATTCCCAATGGAGGTTCCGGATGAATGTGCGCGACACGCCGTGACTTGGATAAATAAGGAAATGAAGCGGTGGAGGGAAAAGGAGCGCGAGTACGAGGAATGGGTTAAACTACCACAACGAGAGAAGACGACGTTGAGCTCTCAATTCTTGGATCACGTCGGTCGCCCGCCACCGAGGAAGATCATCTCGGGGTCGAAGTTGTAGGAGTACAAATGCTAATTATGCTCATGCTAGACTAGATTATAAACAACTACCGTATACTTATACTCGAGACCTTGAAGCTATGGATTCTCAAAAATTATCACAGCAATATGCAATGCATGAGAACGAGAAGCGGTAAGACAGCAAATTTGTATTACGCAGAAGATGCCCAAAATGTGGAAATGAATACTTGACAAATTGGCCAGTCTATCTACCTGATGAAGCCACCCTTGTGCGAAGAGTCAAACAAAGCAAGTGCTACTAGACCTTGTCAGGGCTGTCCAGTCTGATGCCAAATATCCCCGCCTGGAATCATGTTTCATTCCTGCGCCGAAACAACCTTTCCATGCATCAGACAAGTCCTTCTCGGCGTTTTTCCGTGTTTCCTTCTCTTGTTCTTGCTTTGACTTCCATCTTCATTGTTAAGAATCGTGATGGGCGTCAAAGGGGAATTATGACCGGTTTTGCCAAAGAAAAGAAAAGCCACCCCTCACTTATTACGCCGGGACGAAGAAGAAATAAATCAATGCCTCATTTTGCTTCGTCAATGCCCCAACCCTGTGACATAATTTTGATATGAAATCCTCGGCTTGTTCATCGCCCGTAAAACCCTCAAATATGTGGATCAGGACAGATGGAATGCGCCTTGACCTTCTCTAATAGCAGTGAAGAGCTGTCGCCTCATGCTGTCGATAGTAGTGTAGTCTGGTAACTTTAGGTAGTTGACGCAAGTCATGACGCTTGGGAGGTAGTCATCAGATGTATAGGGTGGTTCACTGGGTTTACAAACCACGGTAAACATAGGGGTCAAGCTCTTGAAACCTAGGATAAGGGTTAGAACTAGTTTTTAAGTAGGGTAGGGGACCGCAATACATACCTCCAATAGGAAGTTTTGGACTACCAGTAGTGAATTGCAGGAAGTCGCGGCGTTGCGCAGGAGAAAGCTCGCTCATAGTCTGGAGGAGATTTCGGACGGTTCTGCTATCCATGTTGAATCCATGATCTGCTTTGATAGAGTCCATAAGGGCTGGAACAGACAAGTTAGTTTCATTATACCATGGAAGAATATATTCACAAGAAACTTACTCTCTAGAGACCAATCCTCTTCAACACGGCCAAATAGTGCCACCAATTCGTCCGGTGTGAAAGCGCTCAAGGCGGAATATGGGAACACCTGAGAAAAGCCGGTTCGGAAAGCCTCTACTTGACGTTGGACGCCACGACCGAGTGTTAAATCAGTAACCTTATCTAGATATGACTCGACGTTATCAATAGTAACTGAAATTTGTGAGCCTCCAGGTACAAGCTCAATGTCAGGATAACCAGGCAATGTAAAATCCAATGCAAGTTCCTCCAGAGTCCCGTTGTCGACAACAATTTTCTCGGTATCGGCAACCTTTTGCGCAGGCGTACGACGAGGATCTTCGTCGATAGCTTTCTTTGCAATTGCGAACTTCTTGATGTGCTTGAGAGAGTTTGCTAACCAAGGGTCCACGATCTTTACGGCACCCAGCGACGGCTTCACACTAGAGGAACCCTCGCCGATACGGAAGAAGATAGGGTTGAAGTTGAGATCAATTATGCGCGAATCTATCATGGATCGTGCGACGAACTTCCCAAGTACCTTGAACAACTGGAGGATCACGGCGGCGCTTGGGTCCTCGTCGCTCAACGGTCGAGGAAATAAGCCAGTAGCGCCAGAAATGAACTCGTCTGAATCATTAGAGTCCATATCACGCCAGAGCTTAAGTTTTTTCTTTGAAAACTCCTTCGACACTGTAGAATAGAACTCTAGGGTAGGACCAAGACCCGTCCCAACTTCTTCGAAGTATTCAACCTCGAGAATACTCTGTGAGCTACCATAGAGTTCCATCACCTTCAAAGCTGATTCAAGGATCTTCGATCGCGAGATCCGTACTTTTTGGCGTTGAAGTCGACCAAGGAACAGATGCTCATCTCGCCGGTCGCGACGCGACGTTTCCTCCTGTTGAGCGCTCTGCCACCGACTCATAGATCGAGCATAACCGAACGACGTCGATTGGAGGAAAAGGTGACGAGTCTCGAAGGGGAAAAGGAAGGGGTATAGTCGGGCCAGATCTTCGCTCCAGCCCGGTAAACAGTTGCTCGCCACGATTAGAGGTTCCTCTAACTGCCTATTCAGCTTAGCAGTCAATTTCGTGTTGACGAACTGTGATAGAGGTTCCACATTTAGCTTCAATGCGTTCTTATTCTCCACCATGATATCGTCAATGTTAGTATTCAGGTCATGGAGTATGTTTAAGAGGCGGAGAATAGATGCAGCTGTTGGATTGTTCGCAAGCGAAGGAGGTACGCCGTTTACGTCTAACGACCCGTCGAATGAAGACCCGAAACCAATAGGCTCAGCAGGCGGCGGCCCAGGAACACGGCGGAACTTGATATTATGCATAGTGGACCAGACACTACGGCTTAGATGGTCATCTGTAGAAGTTGAGGTATTGTGCACGGCGCGGTAAATGGTCGTCTCGTTCGGGATCACCCGATCATTCAGACTGAACTCGATATGCCAGTCTTGAGGTACGGACTGAATAGCGGCCGCATAGGAAAGCGGCCGGGAAGAAGCCGAACCACTGGGTGTCGGTGTGTTCTGTTGCGATCCTGAGGGTTGGGGCGGCGCACTTCGACCTGGAGGATTGCCCGGGCCACTGTGAGCTGGAGTGGGAACCCGAGTTCCATCTTCTTTCCTAGCTGTAATCTTTCCTCCAGCAGCCTCCACAAGGTTTACCGCAGATGGATCCGGAGCAGGAGCATCTTCCATATCTTCATCCAACTCGCCAACTATGGCGTCCAAAGCGCTGCTATCGGCCGCCTCAGCTTCTTCGTCATCATCACTGATTGGCTTTTCGTCGGCGCACTCTAATGCATTCTGTAGATCTTCATCCTCCTCGGGAGGTGGTGGTGGAGGAACAGGAGTATGTGATTCGCTCGGCTGTGTGGGTTGGCGTCGAGTCGACCTACGCAATATTGCCTTTTCCCGACCAGATCCAGGTGTAGAAGTTGGCGTAGCTGGTGCATCAGATTGTCCTGGTTGCTTTGATTTAGATCTTCGTGGTCCACGAGAGCCAGACGCCTGGGACGGCATTGGAATCGCAGGTGGACTGCCTGAAAAACCGGATCCTAGTCTTTCAGCGAGGCGTTCCGCTGATGAGAGCCCTGCCGAATTAGCCATTGCAGCTAGGGCTCGAGATAATCCATCACGAGGTCTAGTCGCGCGGGGGCGTTCGTGAAGGCTGATTCGTGGTCGTAACCAGTCATCAAGAGCCTTGAAAGTTGCAATAGCGTGGATATGGACGTTAATACTGCGGAAAGATCGCGGAATATCGGAGTCCTCATCAGCAACCAATTTCAGCCTGATCTGCTTCGCAAGCATGGATGCTGCGCTGCTGCGGTTACCATCGAATGTACTATGATGAACGGTAATGACTTCAAAATGTTCCGAGCGACTGAGCAGATCCTGAAGTTTGTGGATTAAGACACTGAATGGTGTTGTAGGCGAATCCGCAGTCGCAGTCTTTGGCCTTGAGTTAACGTAACGACCCATGAAAACCTCCAGGAATGCAGCACGTGCGTCGTTGGCCAATGCATCGTCAGGATTGCTGAAGACGTCTTCTAGGACACGTACGAGTCCTGAAGCAAGTAACTCGGCACTCGTTACGCTGTCCAGGAGATCGGTATCGAAGTAGGATGCCAGGCTCTCGAAGAGAGCAGTTCCATTCTTAGCCGATAGATCGCTAGCGGTCCTACGAAGATAGAATTCCTCGATTCCAGATGCGAGAGCTTCAAGGTTATCAAGAATCTTCTTAGCCTTCTTTCTCACAGCCTTACTATGCTTTTCTGTTTCGTGGGTCTCGAAGAACTTCTTCGCAACCTCGGCGATGCGTGACTTCATAGACGGAAGGTCGCCAATAAAAGGTCGGGGCGGCCCATCGATGGACATAGTAGATCCATCAGAGCTAGCAGGCGACCCAGACAAATCGTCATCATGACGGTCGTTTTCTTGATCGTCTTCGTCGTTTTCGTCCTCATCTTCATCCTCATCTTCGTCATGCTCCTCATCGTCTTCGTCGTCGGAGCCATTATGTATCGAAACTCTGTCCCCTTCATCTCCAGATACCATGCTATGGTCTCGAGATGTCTCTGGTGCCTTAGTTTCGGGTTCTTGATACTCAGCCGCCAGTTTGGTTAGTTCGCTGACGACACCCTCGCGGTAAATTTGGTAGCGATAAATATCATCTAGTCGGTTTAGAAGCAGTTCTGTTATCTGAATGGCCGACATCACTAGCGAAGGATGGTCTCGCTGGGATAATATAGCTGCCAGGAATGAAGCGTATGGGACAGCTTTTAATGCATCAACGAGTATGTCCTTATCCAAGTTTGACAGCATCTTTAACTGAGCCGTGAGAACCTTTTGTCGGACGCTCAGATTTACGGTACTCGAAAATGCATCGGTTAAGGTAGGAAATAAGATCAACGCAAATCTCCTCACTTGGTCCTTGCATCCGTCGAGTAACTCCAGCCTTTTCTCGTTAGATGACTTCCTTCGCGACCCAAGGGACGAAGAAGCGATAGGCTCGGCAAGATCGAGATCGGCGGGAATTGGAGGTGTCGAACCGTCGTTTCCCTTTGCGCCTGGGAGTAACTCGCAAACAACGTTGAGGGTCTCAATAATCTGCTCGCGTGGTCGATGGATCAATGCCTGCATGATTACAACACTATCAAGTTTCGAAGCAACATCCTCCGTCTCACTAGGGGGAGAAACGCCCGTAAGAATCTGATAGAGAGTTTCAACCACATTCAGCTTGAAGAGTTCCGCAGACAAATTTGGGCTTGCTCGAGCGGTAATAGCCAATACTCGTAGGAACTGAGTATGGATATTGGTGCTGATAAGATTTGTGGTACCGGGCACCAGAAGTCTCAAAATGACCTTAAGCAAGTCTACGCTGACAAGCTGCTCTAGCTTGGACGATTGGTACTTAAAGCTCTCGATTATACGAGTAACGCAGAGTGAGGCTTGCTCCACAACCCGTTGGTCGCTGCTGTTCAGCACGTTGAGGAGAATTGGCATGACTCCTGTGATCACACTGAACGAATCTTCTGGGATATTGCGGCAGCAGTTTGCAGCGGTTGTCACGGCAGTCCGTTGAGTGCCGGTAGGAAAGAAGTCCAGATAGGTTAGACAGGCAGTTAAGCCACCTTCTCTAACAATGCTCGTAGGGTACTCGACCGATATCTTTTCCAAGGTACTCAGGGCCTGTTCCGCAAGATCAATATATTGAATTTCCAAGAGCTTCTGGCACAGAATGGGAACGGCGCCGCCATAGACTACGTTAGCAGCACTAGCCGGCAGTGCCTCCATCAAGTTTGCGAGACACCGACAAGCGAGAAGCATAATTTCAGAATTTTCCTCGCCCGTGATTTCATTAGGCTGCATCAGTGTTACCAATTCCTTCACGAATGTATCGGGCGAGAAATGACCCGACAGATTATCCTCGTTGGAGACGAGTAGAATCTCGGCTAGCTCTTGTAGAGCTACTAGCTGTACCGACGGGTCTTCTTTCTGTCGAAGGTGCGAAAGGATATCGCGTAGCCTAGAAGAAATGCCCGACATCATACCAGTCAGCGCTCTAAGAGTACTGGACAAGCCCGATCCCGGTGGCCCGCCAAATCCACCGAAGGGATCGTCATCGTAATGGCGATGAGGTTCTTCATCGTCATCATCATTATCGTCACTGTCTTCATCGGGTTCGTGTGCAGGGGGGGGCGGAGGTGGAGGTGGAGGTGGCAGTGCTTCTGTTTCGCTATCGTGATCCCTGGTACCTGTCATAGCTGTGTCTGGATCAGGAGGAGGCATTGGCGGTGGATGACTGCTAGCCGTCCGCTTTGATCGCCTAGTAGAGGTAGAAGCGCCCGATGTGGGTTGTTCTAATTGATAAGGATAGAAAAAATCAGCACATAACTAGGCATCGAGTTAACACTATGAGAAATTTCTTACCCTGTGATGTTTGGCTAGGTTTCTTGTTACGGCTAGACTTCCTGCTCGATGAGGCTGAAGCCGGAGCTGTAGAGTCCTGCATCCTGTTAGGTGGGGGTGGGTCAGAGCTACCACTGAGCAAACATTAGCATTGAATATAATTTGAAGAGGTACTAGAATTTGAAGTTTAGAAAACGTACGCTGCAGGACTAGACATAGAAATTGTGTTCTTTCCTTTCCGCTTACGCGAACTGGAGGTGGTGGGTGCAGTAGTAGGGGCGGGCGGATTTTCAGGTGCTGAGTCCGAGACCTTCTGTCGTTTAGGTCGACGAGCTGATGGAGTTGACTCGTTCTGTGCAGGTTGGTTAGGTGGGGTATTCTCGCTCGAGGCTTGCTTTCTCTTTTTTGTTATCGTCGGTCTCGAAGAATGAGAGGATTGGTTGTTGATGTTTGTATTAGTTCCGGCGGGTGTGGTCGCTTGAGCAGCCGGAGCTTGGCCAGAAGATATATCCCCCGGCGACGCTGCTTGGCTCGCTGCGTTGCGCGCGGAGGAACGTGTGACTCTGGGAGACATGAGTACTTGATTTTTTTTTATAAATTCACGACTGCATGCGAAGTAGCCTGGCAGCACGGCGTAACTCGAAGGAAAAATGTGGTGGGGTGCGAGACTGATTATGTCAATAGACGGCGAGAGGTTTGATAAGCCTTGCCTCGGAAAACTTGGACAGTGCAATAGTGGGACGGACGGGCTCTCGTCACGAGGATGAAATTCAATGATCCTCTTTAAAATTAAAGGCAAACCATAGGCAACATCCAACACACGTATATAGACGTCACCTAAGGCTGTACTGATTCCACTGATTCCATTTGCCTCGTGACGTGAAGTAGACCGGCGTGCAATGTTCAGTGGAAGGGAGGACTGTCGTAACTCAGGCAACAACAAAGAGGATGATAGGTATTTCGGCGAATCAAGGTATCAACTACGAATCCTCAACTGAAGCTCGTACCCCTCCACCGATTGTTCATGACCAACCAGAAGGCACTGGCCAATACGAAGGATGGAAGACAATTGGTGGCGGTCGTGGGGGGAGTATAAGGGAAAACGTGCTAGAGTGGAGGTGTAAAGGGCAATGATGGATTCATATGGGAAGATAGTGTATCATCAGGGTTGGTGGAAGGAGTTTAGAAATGAGAAGTTTGATATGGATTAAAAAAATATAAAGTGGTGCCCCCTCGGGTTGTACCAAAGTATTTAAATAGTGTACGTGCAAGAACGTGTTTGGACTTATTCGTACCTTGGGGTCAAAGATAAGGTTGAGGACGGCGAAGAGGCAGGAGCGGCGGATCGCAAGTTCAAGTTTGGGTGTAGGTCTGAAATAGAAGGAAGTCGCGCCTGAGGATCGTTATCGACTGCCGATCGAGAGCGCGGGTTCGCAGCAGAGGGTTTTCGGTCTGCCATGGATTACGCCATGGGGCACGGCGGCGATAGATTATCTTTACTACGAGATTCGAGATGGCTTGTTCGGTCGGTCGCTCGATGATCGTTCGTGGCTTTCCTCTCTCTCCGCCCTTTCTTTTTTTTTTTTATTTTATTGAATTTGTGCTACAAGGTCTGACTGTCAGGATGTCGTCAGAATCGATTGGTAGTTCGAAATCCGTATTAAATCGAATCGATTCGAAGGATACAAAAGCGGTAATTCACGTCATCACATACCAAATAAAGCAGTTGATGGAACCTATACGATACGTTGTCGCCGTTGTTTCGAAGCTTCAAGATGTAGTTGGAGGTTATGTCGGAGGAGGTTCATTCGAGAGAGGTGCGTCGGCGGGCGGCTTGTATGGTTGGGCTATGTACATTGAATAATAGTTAGAGCGAGGTAAGGTGGGTTATTCATACCCTGTCACCCTGTACATATAGTACATGTAGCAAGCAGTTCGTGCGGGCAGGGGGTGTGTCTATAGTAGTTGCTCCTCCGGTAGTGTAACAGAAAAGCGCGACCATTCACATACATTGACTCTGTATTCCATATGACGCTAAAAGGGGGGGTCAACTTTATGAGTAGGGGTAGGGGTGACGCTAAGAAAGCTATCCAGTAAATCCCGCTAGACGATAACGTTAATCAACTCAAATTCACCCGCTAAACCATCTTGGGTATATCGTCGTTGTCACAAATCAACTCTTGCGGCTCTAAATCAGTACAACACGCATATTTTATTTCATTATACGCCCAGTTCTTGCTCGTATCGATACATGGTACCTATCAATGTAAAGCAATAGTATATAAACTATGACATCATTTATCCCTCCTTTCAATATTAAGTACACATCTAATACCCTCCTCCTATCCATGATCTCCTACACATTCAATTTTATTACAACTCCCCTTTTCGCGGAAATTTAATAATATCAAGTAGCATAAGGGCGGATTTTGCATTTTCTTTAATTCACTCTGATAGGACGATGTCATATCGAACCTCCTGTAAAAAAATTTGCCAAGTTCTCCATATCTTTGTCCGACGTGGCTGACAAGCGTTGGTTATCTCTCAGCAGCCACCAATCACAACTAACAGAAAGGAGACATCTTATAATTCATCGTCACATAGAAGACAACTAGCCAGGTATGTAGTGTGGGTATTCTGTAATACCGGTGTATTGATTTAGCTAATTAACCCCATCTGGGTGTCAAAAAGATGACTCGACTAAACTCGGATGTTCGAATTCGGTATACCAAAACTATCTATGACTTTAAACTATCAATACCTCCCTCATACTCGCCCAGATCATACTCATTAGGGTAATTCTCTAGATGCTTGTTCAGTTGTTCCATCTGGGCCTTTAAGTCGGGTGTCAATTCCTCATAGATATCCTCAAACATTGTTCTAATGGGTGGTTTCTTTTCCCGTTCTGCCTCGGAAAACGCCTTCAAAACATCCCGTCTAGTACTCTCGCGAGCTTCTTTCTCTTTGGACTCATCCCAAATTCCCTTCGATTCCATGTATTTTCGTAATCTGGCAATAGGGTTGTCCCGACGTTTCCAGTCCTCGACTTCCACTCTGGCTCGGTATGCGAAAGAATCGTCGGATGTACTATGATGACTGACGCGATAGCTCATTGCCTCGATTAATACAGGCTTGCCACCGTCTTCAAGGGCCATCTCCCTTGCTCTCTTAGTGACTTCTCTAACCGCCCAGATATCATTTCCATCTACCCTCACGGTGTCAATTCCGTACCCAATACCTCGACTTGCAATGCCATCACCCCGATATTGTTCAAGAGTAGGCGTTGAGATTGAGTATCCGTTGTTTCGACAGAAGAAGATGACGGGACAAGATCGCGTTGCGGCAATGTTCAGTGCAGCGTGAAAGTCACCTTCGCTTGCAGCTCCCTCACCAAAGTACACTGCGACCACCCGAGGTTTTAAAGACGGATCGTTAATACGTTGCATTTTAAGGGCGTATGCCGCGCCTGATGCTTGTGGTATTTGCGTCGCTAGAGGTGAAGAAATCGCATGCTACACGAAGAAAGTTAGTAATTAATTAAGTAAATTGCAATTGGACACAGAACGTACGATATTGCACTCCTTGCTACCGTAGTGAACGGGCATATTTCTACCTTTTCCTAAATCATGTTTGTTCGCAAAAAGCTGGTCCATGAAGTCCTTCAAAGTAAAGCCGCGTTGCGCAAATATTCCTTGTTCGCGGTATTGGCAAAACACCACATCTTCTCGGTCCAGTGCGGAAGAGGATCCAACACTGATGGCCTCTTCGCCCGCTGAAACCATGTAAAAACTTATCCGGCCTTGTCGCTGGGCATCGAACATAACAGGGTCCATTATCGAAATAGTCAACATAGTTTTATACAATTTTATGACTTCCTCATCGCTAAGGTCGGGCTTGAATGCCCGGTCGACAATATTGCCATCTTGATCTACCACCCGATATGTCGGTAAAGTAGGGTAATCGGAAGGTATTACGAATTTGAGGTCGCTCGTGAAAGCGCTATTCACCGCTCCGGGGAAAGAAACATGGCTTGAACCGAGGCGTTGCGATACGCTACTAGCTGACCGAATAGCTGAGTACTGGAAATTAGGAGTACGAGAGGCGAGGGGTGTAGAGCCTACGGCTCTTCGTAGAAAGGCTCTCGATACTGTTCGCGCCTTCATTGTGCCTAGTTCATGGTTTATTATGGATTAATCATCGGTGAAAACCCCAATTGAATTATATAAATGGCAAAGAAAGCAAGACTTTGTAGCAAAGGACAATTTTGAGGATTGATTGTCCGTCTGACATTCTAGGTGTTAGACGGAATTCCGAGGTTAACGACGTCACTTAAGCCGGCGTAAAGCGAAGGGGCCTAGACCGATACCCCAGCTTTTACCCAGCTTTTAGCTTGGCTTTATTATATAAGCCGGGGTATAACAATTTCAAGCCCCTATTATTACCTAGAGAGCTACGAACAATAAAAATACATGCTCATTTCTAGGTTTACTTACACTTGCCACATGATAGGAGGGAGTGTTGAAGATATCATTGAATGTTTATCATCTCTCTCGGAAACTTCAGAATGATAGGTAACAATGTACCTATGTAGGCAACCTCACATAATATATCTCTCCACTAGATACCTAGATGGTCAGTGCAAAACGTAAAGACGGCTTGGTTCACGCTTTATGATAGTGATAGATGCCAAATTTCTCTAGTAAATCATAGAATAAGTAGGCCTCCATCGTATCTTCAAAGAGGGGTTTTGGAATTACCTACTGTACCGCCATAGCAACTGCGGCTTGCATGCAATGACCAAATGTGAGCACCCGGGTAACCTCAACACTGAAATAAACAAACCAACCTATCTCTATGTATTAAGTCAGCCTGTGCTGCAGGCATGCAAACCTCGGGTTCCTTTATTTTCCAAATAAAAGTTCATCCTGGCCGGTTCTGCAATTGGAGTAAATTAAACCATCGCGATTCTCAACTCACCCGCAAGCCACCAAAGCATCATCTGTACCACCAAGAAACCACGCTAAATAGCAAGCCGTCGTCAATTGTCAATTACTATCACGAAAAATGCCAAGCACCGGCGAAAACGCAGTAATTGGCGTCGTAGTTGTCTTCCTAGTCCTAGGCATCGTCGTTCTGACCTGGCGCGGCGTCACATTCAAGGAGTTTTTCGCGGAGCTTATGTACCGCTCTAAACAGGCGTCTCGTAGCAGTAACCAGCAATCGTCTATGAGCAATCTGCAGGAAGCACCCGTGCTAGCTTCCGTCGTAACTCCTATACAGATTACCGTGGAAACTCCCCCGAAACCTCCCACGAAGCCTCCTACAAATCCAACCACAAACCCACCCGCGAAAACTCCCGCGAAAACTCGCAAGAAAGCCCCCAAGAAAGCCCCCAAGAAAGCTTCCGTGAAGACTTCCACACAACCTCCTAAGCAAGACCCCGTACAAACTCCCATAGAGCAAAAAGACCAAACCCCCTCGGCTCCTCAGGAGGCGCCCGCGTCGACAGTTGCGAATGTTTAATAAGGTGAGCCGGACGAGTCTTCTTTCTACCGAATATTTAAGGACGGAGTTTCTTAGGCGCTACCCCAAATTAAATATCCCAAGCTTAAATGTCTTGGCGCTCAAGCCTCAGATCTTCTCCAAATCTACACCAATTGTGGCTGGTGCCTCTATACGGACTCCTAACAGCCACCCCCGAATTCACCCCACATAGCACCGATCGACCCATACCCTTGCATCGGATCAGCGCAATTTCTATCCGTAGCTTCGTCTTTTTTTTCGGCGGTCCGGTTCGGTTTGCTAACATCCTATCTTCTCTCCCGACTTTATAGGACCTCACCCGGGAACGGCCCGATATTGTGTGAGACCATGGCCGCCCGTCCTTTAGTTTTGCGTGGAGCTACACGAATATCACGAACCCCATGCTCCCTTTCCTCTAGTTCCCGGTGTATAAGACAGCTCAGCACGACAACCCGCAACCTCCGACCCGAACTCTCCTCACCCACGACATCTACCTCTACGACACAGTCCCCTAGCGAAAACGATGCTAGGAGTAGCAGAACAACACATTTCGGCTTCCAAGATGGCCTCTCAGAAACCGAAAAGACCGAACGAGTAGCCGGCGTCTTCCACAGCGTCGCCGAATCATACGATCGCATGAACGACTTGATGTCCTTTGGCTGGCACCGGATCTGGAAGTACGTTCCCGCCTGCCTTACGTTATACCATACCATACCATACCTAAACTAACCTGTGAAAACAGAGACCACTTCGTATCCTCCCTCAACCCCGGCCTCTCCTCCACCACCCCCCCAAAACCCCAACACATCCTCGACGTAGCCGGCGGCACCGGCGACATAGCCTTCCGCATGCTACACCACGCCCACATCCTCAACAACAACCCCTCCGTGCACGTAACAATCTCCGACATAAACGCCTCCATGCTCGCTGTAGGCAAACAACGTTCCCTCACCCTCCCCGCCTCGCAACAAGCATCCCTCTCCTACCTCGAAGCCGACGCAACATCCTTTTCCCCCACCGCCGTGCCCTCCAATTCCCTAGATCTATACACCGTAGCCTTCGGCATCCGCAATTTCAGCAACATCCCCGCGGCCCTGCGCGAAGCGCACCGCGTCCTAAAACCCGGCGGTGTATTCGCGTGTCTAGAATTCAGCAAAGTAAACCCGTCCATCCCATTTTTCGACGCTATATACAAACGCTGGAGTTTCTCCGCCATCCCCTTAATCGGCCAGTTGGTCGCCGGCGATCGCGACTCATACCAGTACTTAGTAGAAAGCATCGAGCGCTTCCCGTCGCAAGAGGAATTCCGCGACATGGTTGAAGACGCCGGGTTCGTGGTTGGCGGAAAAGGATGGGAGGATTTGACGGGTGGTGTGGCGGCTATACATAAAGGTATGAAACCTTTATAATACTAGCTGAGGAATGAGGGCGGTTGTTGATGGGAGGGAGATCTGTATATCACTTGTAACGGCCCATAGACAGGGGACTAGTCAACTCTCAACGACACGGAGGATGTCGAGAAAATAAGGCAAGTTATGTACCTAGGGAGTCATACTTGCAACTATAATAATAAAGAACTCACGAAATTCGTACCCACCCCCCTCAGAATCATCTTATGAGTAATAATAGTTATGACTTTTTTTTACTAAGCTGGCGGGTGCAATATTTCATAATACTTACCCCTTAAAACTTATCTAGGCATTCTTGATGCTTCTAGTATTAATAACTGTATAAAGATTTGAGACAGACTTGAACTCATACAAATGGGCGAACTTATTTATATACGAGAATATCAGTTAAAGCTCCATTCCGTCTACATGGTCTACCCTTATCATATATTCAATCGTTAGTGATCAATCATAATCACAACATTAGCACATTTAAAACAGCGAAAATCAGATTATTCCGGGTGTATTAGCAAGAACCTATCTCAATGATCCGATCCCGTCCGGTCCAGGGAGTCTCAGAATGGTACAAGAAAAACACCGAACCGTTTTGAGGCCTGCAATCCGCACGAAAAGACAACCCTTAGCCCTCCTCATCCGCAGGCCACCGAGAAGAGAAAAAAAAACAAACCCTCTGTAGGCCGTTTTGCGGAGACAAAACCTGCATTTTTCGGTCCTTTCCCCCCCTTTCTTCTCCCAGCTATGACATGAAGGCAACTGGTATTTCCTTTTCCCCTTAACAAAAAGAAACTTCCTTCGCAGGCCGGCAGACTCTCTAAACTCCACCTGTTTGACGACAGAAAAGTTCTTTTTGTGGAAAGGTGCCAGAATACAAGTAAAAGGTCGCGCGGAGTTGCGCGAGATCATTAATAAAATATGGTAACAGGTAGAAGCGTATTTTCGGCGACCAGTTTAAGAATCACCTGTAGGAGCAGGTGAAGCACTACCACCTTCGCCCTTGCCTGCACCTCCGCGGCCGCCTCGACCGCCTCGACCACCACGCTCACCTCGGCCTCCTCGTGCGCCACCTCGACCACCACGTTGGCGGCTGGTCTCGGGACCACTCTCACCGCCGCTCAGAGTACCACGGTCACCGGCGCTACGGTATCCACTAGCATTGTCTCGGCCTCGCCCACTGCCCCAAGTTCCGGCTCCTCTGCCCCCGAAGGCCTGCTTGGACTCGCGAGGTTGGAAGATCTTGACTAGGGGTCTTGATCGGTCTTCTGAGTGTCTGACTTTGAAATCGTCAGACAGGCTAGCGTAGGCAACTTCTCGGTCTTCCACGGTTTGGAAGTGAACAACCTTGTTGTTACTGTTATTTCCCCACTTTTCGATCTTGACGATCTTAGCCTTGTGGTCGTCTGGGAATATCTCACGTGTCTGCTCGTCGCTTTGGACGTTCATGACGAACAGTCCAATGATGCTGTCAGCAGAAGCACGAGGTGCAGGGGACGGTACAGTTTCTGGTCCATTAGCCGATCCGTTGGTACCCGCAGGCTTCTCGTTCTCTTTACCGGCAACCGCACTAGGGGCCGGTGATGAAGCGGTCGGCTTGGGGGTTGCGGGTTTGGGAGGTTGTAATGGAGTCGCAGCCGCTGGCTTCGGGGGTTGTGCCGTAGCTGAGGGGTTCCTCTGAGGACCAGTAGAAGTTGCGGGAGCAGTGGGTGGTGCCGAAGGTAAGCCACTAGTGCCAGGGGCTGGCGAAGGCGTTCCTTGGGGCACGGCAGCTTGTTGCTTAGCACCACGGTGTGAGAAGTTAAATCCTTGAGCTCGCATTTCCGTACCGATGCGACCGTCTTGGATCTCCAACACTAACCAACCGAATGCAGCATCTGCAAGGTTGAAATTCCACATATTTTTGAAGGCACTCTCATCAACCTGTCCTTGAGCGCCAGGTCCACCAACTGGACCACCGAAAGGATTTCCACCAGCCGCGGTTCTAGGCATTTTCTCGACGAGCTCTAGCGCATTTCGAAGGAGGTTTTGCTGGGCCTCGTTCTGCTGAATTGCTGGCTCGACTTCGCCTTTGACCGTCTCCCAAACGTCGTTAAATGACGCCTTCGAAGCAGCGAGCTTACCTCGGTAGTGATCCAAAGTTGGATTCACACTGAACTCGTTGTAGGAACTGCCGTAACGGAAATGTAGACCTGCTGAGATGGAGAAATCCGCTTTTAGACTGACAGATAACTGGTTCAGAATGCCCTCACGGGCGGGAGAGGCATGTGTGATGAAAATACGGGTTTCGGTCGGATCGTAAACGCGGTTTGCGGTATCAACCAATTCACCCATTTGTAACAATGTAGTCCACATTGTACCTTGTCCACCAGCGATCGTGGTTCTGCCCTCGCCATTATCAAATAGCTTGTGCATGACAACAGCACCACCAAGACCAAGAAGTCGCAGCTTGACACCGCCAATCTCTAGCAACATGGATCGAGCCTCGTCGATAATATGGAGGTTTGGGACCTTGTATTCGCCGGATCGGAATTTCTCGAGCACGCGAACATCCTCGCAAGCACCCCAGACAGTGTAAACCGGTACATCGAGCTTAACTTGTCCAGAGATGAGTAGCGGAAGCTCGGATAGCGGTAGTTCTTGAGGTGAGAATCGCGCTTTGACGGAACCGGGTCCACCTTGGCTGATGGCCTTCTTGACCTCCTCGGATATCAACGGCGAGTACTGAGCGACGTGCTTCAAGGTCCTGTTTAATAACGTAATTAGTCGCCGTTAACCTACCAAGAACGGGGACAACAATATGCTGTATCTTACTTTTCCGCAATGCGTTCTAAGGATGTGTCATCATAGAAACCGAAATCTCCAGTGTGAATGATATGGTCCGCTCGTGCCGTTCTCGCAAGTTCGTTGAGCGATCGTAGGTTTCCTGTCGTACAATTGTCAGTCCCGCCTTACATCCCATTATTTTTGTCTCGTGATTTGACAATATGACCTACCTCGCACGTCGGCTATGCAGAGAACTCGAATCGGACCGGATTGGACGACGCGGCCTTGATTAGGTAGTAGCGGAACTGCGCCCGGAGCGGGTTGGCCACTGGGAGCGCCGTTGGGCATATAGCCTCGGTTGTCAAAAGATCGTTGCTGCGGAAGGATTGGTGTCAGCTCTTGAATTTGGATTCCAATGAGTTTTGGGCTGCCACGGGTTATAAGTCGCGGGGAATAGCGACTGTCATAATCAGGTACGAAATGAGCAGGCGGGCTATCGGTAGAACGATGCTGCTGTTGATATCTATCGGAGTACTCGTAGAATTCAAAGTGGTGATCAGAGGGTCTAACGCGAGGCGGAATTCCAGCAGCGAGTTGTGCAGAGGGCTCTGCTACAAAATGTGGGCTGGCCAGATGATGATAGTGATGAAAATCGTGCAGAGGGCTTGGGTGTGGAAGAATGTTATTCGGTGGGAGCCGCAGTGGTAGAGGCGACTGCGACAGCTGGTATTGTGGCAAATGAGGTATCATGGCTGCAGGTGCTCCTGCATCGACATCTACTACATCTGGGATCTGGGAGGGTGGATAGGGCTGGAGTTGGGTATTGTGATGAAGATGGTCCATAATGAAAAGCTACTTGGGTAATTTGTGTCGATGGCAATGATGTGTTGATTTGACAATGTCAAGAAGGAAAATAACCAGGTGGAAGCGCGAGAGAGAAAGTGGCCTCGAGGAAGAGAGCTCTTCTTTCCTTGAAGGTAGGTATTTGGACGCGCGCGCATGACAAGAACGGGGAACAACGAGAAGGTAGACTTACAGCCATCGACAACCAATCTCCAGATATAAAACCGACGAGGTTCTATGAGGTACCGTAATGGTCTGTGGGTGTTGAACGCCGTTAGATATGATAGTCGCACCGAGAGGTCGTGGGTGGTGAAGAAATAAGGAAGAAAAAAAAAGGAAGAGGAAAAAAAATATTGGTCGCGACGTGCTTGTGTATGAAGGGTTTGCGTTGGCCAGCTGGCTCGACCCGATGAAGGAAATAATATGTTTGTTCAATGATCAATAGGCACGACCGGGTATCAATAAAGGACAATGTATCGAGGAGGAATGTTGGTGCGACGAAGAGAGAGTGCGTACGGGGTGGACGGCCGTCTGCTGTCAAGAAGATATGAAATTATTCGGCGACGAAGGCGAATGAGGTGAGGTCGATAACTTTGTATTTTTCAGCGGCGACAGGCAGTGAAGGAAAGTTTGGGGGTTGTTCAAAAAGTTTCGGACGAGGGATAGGGAACTCGCGACAATCCCTAAGCTTTTTATCGTTTCTGATTGGATGAAATTATCAGCTTAGGGTCCACTTTATCGATCTTAGGTAGACGGTACCTACTTCCACTTATATTTGACAAGGGGAATAAGGTCGAGGTTACCCGTATCTATCTACTGTCTTAAATCAACAGAATCGCACCTGCAGACCCACCTATTTACACGTATATACTGTGCAAACAGAAGCTCAGTTGTAGTATCCCAAATCCGATCTGTCGTACCTTTCGATATTGTATACTTAGTTGGGGAAGGTGCACAGTATACATGTTTTAACTGTTTGCACATGTGTATTAGGTAATCGAAATTTAACCCCTAAACCCTCGTCCCGCCTTAGTTCCCCCTAAGGTTCAGACCATCTCAGCCTTATTCTAATCACTCTGAAACATGCCTAGGTACCTATCTCGACTTCCATCATTTATACTATTGTGATGTATAATATTATAGATATCGCCAAGTTTGGTCTCTGATATCAAAGATTGACAAAAGCTTCTATATTGCACCTAGAATTAACTGACAAGTATTCAAGATATGAGATAGAAATCCAACAATGTTATAATTGACTACATGAGAACATTACTCCAGTATGTCAAGGCCACTTTGCATTGTGAAGATTGGCAAACTTCCTCAGAATAAGACAACATGAAGTGATATGGCAATTATTGACGGCTCAGAAAGTCAAATTCGTCCTACCTACTTCGGTGACACGAGTAAGACAACGACAGTACATCCTTCATTAGACGTTGAAGAGAACCGTTTATAACTTCGCTACAGTTAGACATAGTGGTACACGTAGATATGTGACAAGAATCAAACGATATTTTCTTAGGATGATATTAAGCCTTGTTGTGTCCGTGATTGGTGGGAGAATTGATACCACTGCTGATGTAATATGATGTTGTAGCGAATTGCTCATACGCAGAATGACCCGCGCAATTTTGTGGTTTGTGATTTATGATTTATGATAACCTCTTCTATATATAACCGCAAGGGGACCGGTTCGGGAAGACAGCTAGATTAGATCGTACCTAGTTCGTAACCGGAGTCTAGATGGTAAAATAAATCAGCATCAAATCACAGACATAAACGACTACGTATTTACGCCCGCGGGCTGATTTAATTCTTATTATGATCCAAGGGTCTCTATGTTTGCCCATCAACACAACGCGAGACTCCCTCGGTACGCTTCCTAATAGTCATCATGAGCGATGCTATTTTTCGATATATTCTCCTACCTCCCCACACCCAAGTTCCCATCTCCATCCCCGACCTTCGAATTTTCCCTGCCAGAAAAAGGTTGTTATTCGCCTCGCTCTTGTGAAAGAGGAGGGATGCGTGCGTAGTCGCCAAACTCCAAAAAAGAGGGCGGGAGTGGGAAAAGGGCCAGAAAAAAAGGGTCCAAAAGTTGTCCTCCCTGCTGCAAATGCCATCCAAAAATATCCACCCTTAGCACCATGCTGTCGCTACCCGTCCAACAAAGGGGAACGTTTGATTATGTAGATGGGAAAAAGGGGTTGATGTATTTGTTCGTCGGGCTCCTGATGATCTGCCCTGCACGACACGTTCGTAAGCTGCAACTGGTTTCCGCCCTCCCCAAACTCCAAGAATATGCACTGAATGTGATGATCCAGTAAATGAGCTTGCTAATTTCTTCTTATAGTTAGGATTATCACCACATTTCTTCCTCTTCCTCTGGCTGCCGGCGACGCGCAGTTTCATTAGTATACTGCACATAAGTGGAATAATAATCCTTGTCTGCATCTTGATTTTCGTAACTATCCGTGTCCTGATAGTCGCCATCGCGGTTCGTGTTGTCTTTGCCGTGGTCGTAGTCATAAATCTCAGCTGCCTCTGGATAATCCCCAGCCTCATGTTGCATGCTAGGATCTCCGTATTGGTTTGTTGACTGGGACTAATATTAGCATTAAAACCTGTATTCCGCGAAGTTTGATCATGTAGACTTACCCGGTGATATTCGAAGTTATAACGATCAATGCTGTCCTGAGCTTGCTGTTGCTCCATATATTGTTGTTCTTGCTCACGTCGTCGCCTTTCTTCCTCTTGTAATCTCTTCTGTTGAGGCGATTGGGGAACTTGTATCTGAGGATGCATTGCTTGAACTTTTGCGAGATACGAATACATGAAGTTGCTGAGTAAGACCTGACTATACAAGGCACGACGAGGATTGGCGAGCTTAATATGTGCCATTCGGTAGATAGCTCGTTCTTCGAGGATGGGGAATCTGGTCCAGTGATAGTCAACATCGGGTCGTTGAGGTCGATACGGAGCCGGTTCTGGTGATAATGATCTTTGGGCCTGATGTTTCTTACTGCCCGACTCCCTCTCGCTTTTTCTCTTGCTGCTTCCAAAAAATGAGGCAAACAACCCGTCTTTTTCTTTCTTGTGCTCCCCGGACTTTCGACTACTCTCCTTTCTCCGTTCTTCTTCTAGCTTACTGTCGACAGTGTCACGGTCTAGTAACAGACTCTCTCGTCCCTTATGGATCGCTGTATCGATAGAGGTTTGGAGAACATCGAGCCGAACATTATCGTGGGCCTTTTCAACCAAAGCCTTGGTTTTGGACTTCCTATTCTCGTCATCCTTCTTTTTCTTCTCCTTGTCCTCGCTCTTGAACCACTTCCAAGTGGCTTTGGATTTTTCGCCATCGCCTTCGCTCTTATCTTTCTTGCCTTTCTTCTCTGGCTTCCTTTCCTCGGATTGCGTAAACGTGGGAATGAAGGTCAAAGATTCAGTGCTAGTAGCACTACTGCCAGGGAAAGGCGAAGGCGTCTGCGACATATCATTAAGGGTTCGATTGGAAGTACTTGAGGACCGATTCGGCTGTGAAGCCCGACCTGCAGCTTGTGGCTGCGCGGAGCTTTGGAGTGGTTGTCCATAGTTTGGCCTTTTGCTTGAACGTGCGGGAGGTTCGGCTGGGGCCAGAGGTTGTGGCGCAGCTTGAGCGGCACCCCTTTGTGAAGATGATCGTTCGGGAAAGGGCCGGCTGTTTTCCGCGTTCTGTAACGCGGGGCGTTCCTCTTCGATTGCAGGCGTCTCTATAATCTGCGGAGTAGAAGTAGATGTCTTGATAGCATCAGCTGATGGTGAGCGTGTCGGTCCTTGTGGTCTGGTCGGAGCAGCTTGGCCTGACTCTTGAGAGTCGTGCTCTTCGTATGTGTCAAGTGCAGATTCTTTAGAGAAAGGTTGCTGCCGCCGTACGGGTCTATTTGGCCGAGAAAAGTTTTCAGAAATCGGTTCTGACTGTACCCGCGTCAAACCATGCCCGGGCGGTGCATCAATGTTCGACTCGTTACTAGGCAATGCACTTGATCCTTCTTCGGCCTTTCTTGCCGCTATGCGCTTTGAGAAAGGGAGCCGATCATCAGATCTAAGTGAGCCTTGTCGATTCTTCAAGCTACCGCCTTTTCGATACGTGGTGCGAGTTGATCGACGCAAACCCATGCCTGGCGCAACAGGGAGTATAGGCATATCCTCCGCATTCTGTATTTCGCCACCTCCTTCTTGACGTTGTGATTCGAGAGTAAGCTTCTGAACAACTTTCGATGGATCCTTCATGAGTTCGTCGATACTTAGTTCTGGCGGACCTTCCCCTGGCTGCCTTTGGGATTTTTTCCTCTCCAACCTCTCAGCGCCATCCATATATCCTTCCGCAGCATGGCCACCTGCGTTGTCTATTTGTCTAGAAAGCATGGACTTTTTCCTCCGTAGTCCGCCCGAGTCGCTCCTTTCTAAGCCATCTACAGATAGAGTAGATTCGGAGGATCTCCGCTTCATCGACTGCACCCTTTTCTCAACGAAATTCTTGAACTCAGTGGGAGCCAATTCTGGATGAACACCAGCTGGAACCCATAGCAATCTCGAAGGATCGGCTTCGTCGTCTCCTTTTGGTGCTATCGATGGCATCGCCATAAGCGACATGCCTTGGAAGGGAAGCAGATCGGGATCGCTATTGTTCGAGACATCCATAGACATGCGCCGTAGCGCCTGTAGATTGCTAAGCTCTTGAGCAATATCACCCGGATTGTCTATGTTGGTTATCGGATATTGTTGAGCGTCTTCGCGCATATCGCGGAGCGAAGGCGACATGGGGGAGATGGGTGACTTCGGACCGGACTCGTTACTTCTCGACGTCGTACTTCTCTGGCTTGGCATTCGACCGGGAACCGTCTGAGCTTTCTGCACCGAGTTTCCGTTCGTCGTGGCAGCTGATGAACCTAATAAGCCTGTCTTGTCCGAGGTTGTTCGAATGAGCGGCAGTCGATTCTTTTCCGAGGACGATTGAGATCCGCCATGCTGAGCTATTTGTTCACCCCCTTGCGGGGCTGCGATAAAGCTCAAAGGTCGCGAGTCGTTTTGATCGTCGTCGTCGTCGCCGTATAACGTGCCGATGGTTTCGGTTATGTGATGGGTCGGATCGGATATGGAGAGTTGATTAGTATGGCCACGCCGACTCGCAAAGCTTCCACCGACATCGCGAGGCCGATGAGAGGTCTAAATATTTCGGAAATGGTTAGTCGCATATGATATTAGTAACATGTAGGGAATATCGTGAATAAATAGCCTATTGATATGCCAGGGTAGAGATAGCCTTTTTGAACGATATTACGATAATAGTAGGACCAAGACATGCGACCATGGATACGAGGCGGAATGACGTACCATCATCGAGGGTGTTCGCAGCGACCTCACGCGAGGTCCCTAAACCTCCAGGATACCCCTTTACGAGATTGTCGGGTTGCACGAAGCAGAGTCTGGACCGGGTCGCGGCACTATCATGAGGATGACAATGTCGGGTTGGTTTCCACCGTCGCCGTTGATGTCCGAAATCCAACAGATAACTCTCCGGGATGCATACAAGGGGACGGGATGGGGTTCCGACAGAAAATCAGGCCGAGGACTCGAGGATTAAGGCGAAGCAGAAGATTGTAAACGGCAACGGTCGGACGTTTGGTATTAGTGCTGAATTCGACGAGTTCGGTCGATTCGAGGGGGTAGATTCAGACTCAGATTCGCCGGGGGGGGTCGCGTCGGGGTCACAAGATCGCCGTAGTTGCGATGAACTTCTTTGGGTGATTCAGCGAAGGATTGGAACAAAAGTATTATGTACAATGCAATGTATATAAACGAGCAGAGAGGAGTTTGGAGGTAAGAAGGTAAAATAAGGGGTGGACGGCCGAAAGTTGCAAGTATAGAGTTGTTGGGCTCCGAGGATGGGTGAGGATGGGTAAGAAAGGGTTGTTTATTAGGTAGACTGCGAAGTTAGCGGTGCTTGGTTCGAAATCATGGTCTCGTCACTTTGTCGCCTTCGTTCTCTTTTCGATCATCTCTCTTTTTTTTTCCCCCTCTTATTCGGTTCTGGATTAACTTTCTTCTGTTATTCTTCTTCCTCCTTCTTATTCTTAATTCGTCTTCTTCCTTTCCCTCCCTTCTTCCTTAATAAAGAAAGAAAAAAAAAACGAGAAGATGAGGAAAACGAAAAAGAGAAAGTAGTAAAAGTAAAGTAGTAACAGTTGTAGTCGTATCGGTAGTTCTAACTAACTAATCAACTGACTGACTAACTAATTAAATCCTGTTAGTGATTGGAATTCATCCCATCGATGTTCAAGTGGTTCAAAATGGTTCAATCAAATGGGAAAGGGCGCCAATTCTACTTCTTTTCCTTGTCTCTCTCACTTCTCTCCTCCGGGTCATCTAGGTCTAGGTTCCAAGGTTAGCAGGTTTAGCTAGGTTAGGTATGGTATGGGTGTGGTCTGGTCCCCTCCAGGGCTCTTATTCCGTACAGGTTAGAACGTTGCATTAGCGCCATCAGATGTATATGTCCACTCTATTTAGGTACTCTTTTTTTTCTTCGATCGGATTATTTACAGAAGGTACTACCAGGGCTGCTAGGTAAAAACCCCCTGAATTGTGTCACGTGTGACTGCCCGGAATAGGGAATCAAAGGGGGTCAAATTCCACTGAAGAATCCACCTGGGCGATGGACCGACCGACCGATTAGCCCCATGTTTATTTGATCGCTATTCGCTATTCGGGGATACAATGCCTCCTAGCTGCCGTGTCCCACCATTCTTATACTGCTACGAGCTTAGTGGAGCACTAAACTAAATGATTAGCAATGCATTTCTTTAGCCATTAGCGCATTCTAATAAGTAATTGCGACACCTATCTCACCTAACCGTAGTAACTTGATAACCTAACGATTATTTGATTCTGCGATTTTTTATCGTAAGGGATAACACGAAGATATCTGTTCATCGACAAGATTATACTTATACAGAGCATTACTATTATGAAGAGTACCTAATTTCATCCAATGGCTTAGTGCTTCCAGGATCGGTGTTCGGCGCAGCATCGTCTTCTCGAGACTCACATTGCTTTCTGGACGTTCGGACATGAGATACCAAAAATACTCACGTCATGTTTGTCCACTATTTCATATAGATTAAATGAACAGATGATGTTCGCAAACATTCGTTCAACCTACTGCGCTTAGAAATGGGCTCTCATAAGCCCTCTATTGGGCCGTTGTTTGGAATAGACGATCGCGTCGATTTAACACGGGCATCCCCATATGGGAATTGCTGATGTTCAACGTCGGAAGCCCTCATGTTAAAAATATTTCAGCGCCAGCAACACTATTTATACCTAAATGTGTAAAATGCACACCGGCATTTTCAGAGGAAAAAAAAGCCATGGAGCAAGATGGGACTGGGACTGGTCAATAAACTAATTAAATAAGCTGGGTCCAGACCTTTCTTCTGTACCTCTTAATGTGCTGACTTACAGTGTCCTTGGTGCTCGATCCTCTATCGAACGCCCTTATTTCAGCCACGACGATTATGTCTTGCGGACCCTATCCGAGACAATAACACGAACATCTTCAGGGCTCATCAACGTATCTATGTAGCACTACTTTCTACCATGTGCATGGTTTTCCTCGCATCTGGTTCAACCATACTACTTATCTGGGTGGATATTTCAGGTACAGATTCGTCCTCGAGAGGTCAAGCTCAAATACGAGTTCAACTTCAGTTGGTTCTCGAGTGTCGACAGCAACGTGGCATGCGCATGGCATTTCGAGATGTACCACAAACTAAAATACACCAAAGCTGTGTTAAGTACCGTCGACCCTACTGACCGTACATGTACTGTGGCTTCACAGATGCATCACTAGTTCGGGGTATTAAATTCGGCTAGGCGATAGAGTTCGTCCACTGAATTAGCTACGACCTGGATTCCCCTGCGACATTTAAAGGAATGCCTTCTTTTACACTTCGCCAACACGCAATCACTCGTCATGCCACCAGAAGGCTTCTTTTATCTAGATGTCTGTCTACGCCAGGCCGCTAACGACGCACGGGCAGGTGTCACTAAAAAAGAAATTAGTATTCGGCCAGATCCAAATCCATGATAAGATCCTACCAAAGTAACCAAAAGTAACCAAAACCCGACAGCGTGGATATATCTAAACCTAATCTGACATACAATGAGGCCCTTTCCCTCTACGTTTAAGTAATAGTTTGCTGATTAATTTGGAGTTTAGTCTTATTATCAAGTCTATTCCCTATTGACTTTTAACAAGTGGATTATATAAGGCTATAACATCAATACTTCTACATGTGACGACACATTCGGAAATATAGCTCGGCCCCAGATTGAAATGCCGGGGACAAGTGGACCTGGGGGACGGGCGGATTCGTCGGGATCCTGAATACCTATTCCCACTCGAGCCTACCGAACAAAGCACCCCCGCATACCCCAGACCCAAGAGGCTCACGAGACTGGCCAATTTGAACCGAGAATGCTTGCAAGCATCGACTAGTGATCCCTTACAATGCTTGTCCAACTTTTATGTTGCTTTGTTTTTCACCACGATGTTGTCATTCGAGTCGCTGTGCCGCTCAAGCGACCCTAGCTAGGCCTAGGTCTGACTTAGGTGGGGTGGTTACATGCTATGTACCTACGCTGGCCTCGGCGGGATGATGGGACGAGCAATAGTAGCTACATACAGGTACAGTACCTGTGCGATGTTTACACCATGCGTGGCTTGCAACTTCTCACCAATCATATAGTTTTGCGCCTTTAACGATGCCCCGAGCAAAGGAGAGTTCCGGCGAAGTACGTGTGGATATAAATCCCATGCGCTCTCGTTCTCTTTCACGATGGGGTTCTTTTCCTGGCGTTGCAATACTGAGCGCAGTAGTGCTGTGCTGTCTTTCCGTTATGTTGTGTCATTCTCCTCACTTTCTTTTCACCCTTGCGGTTTGGCTTCTCGGCCTCATACAGGGCGTTTTTTCTCATGACTGCTGGAGAGATACGAATTGCACGGGCCCTCAGACCGCAGCCTTCCGTGGCGAGTGGGAGTCAAACATATTCTCACCGCCAACACGGACTGTCACCCCCAAAGCTGCCTATGATCTAGATTCCGGAGACCACTATGATACAAACACTACCCCTTTGACCAATGCTCGATCAGGCATCTATTTTGACTTCGGGCTGGAGGTTGGAGGTGTTGTTACCATCCAATTTTCTGTGCCTCATACCAAGGGTGATGCTGCCATTGGGATAGCTTTTACGGAAGCTAAGGATTGGATTGGTCGTATTTCGGACTCCAGCAGTGGTATATACGAAAGAGATGATGGCGCACTCTACGCTAATTTCTCCTCGAAGGGGGATCATACCTATGTTATGCCTGTCGAGAATCTCCGTGGGGGATTCCGGTATATGACTTTGTTCCTCGTCGGAAGCAAGTCTTCTGTCTTTATCGGCGATATCAGCGTGGAAATTTCTTTTCAACCAACTTGGTCAAATCTTCAAGCCTACCAAGGATACTTCCATAGTGACGATGATTTACTCAACAAGATATGGTACAGTGGCGCTTATGTGAGTTTATTCAAGCTTGATGTTTTGACTCTTTCACTATCGGATAGAAATTTTAGCGGTTCATTATGAGAAGAAACATGTCTTATAGTTCATCTCACCGCTCCAGGACATTCCATGTATTATACCTAGGCATACATGCGATGACTAACATTGCTATAGACTATCCAGACCAACGCGCTCCATCCCTCAACGGGACGAGCCTGGCCTGCCCCTGAGACTCAGTGGACTAATGACGGCGACATCGGGGTAGGCGATACTATAATCACAGATGGCGCAAAACGTGATAGAACCGTTTGGCCTGGTGACATGGGTGTTGCGATTCCCTCTGCATTTTACAGCATTGGTGACATCGAGTTAGTCCTCCTAGACTCGTATAGGCTCTTAAGCTAATCTGCTCACCGCGTTTTAGAAGCGTAAAAAACGCTCTAGCAACGTTGTTCAACATTCAAGTTAGTACTCTCACAAATGGCGTATTCATAGAGAATTTCCCACTGACTATTTCTACCCGTGCCTAGGGGGACGATGGATTGTTGCCATTTTCCGGGCCACCACTTCTTGCCACGGATGGTGATACGTATCACATGTAAGACATAACATCCAAAACTCGTGGTTGCCTGTGCTAGTTTATACTAAATATCTTCATCATATAGGTGGACTATGATTGGAATGTACAACTATGTTCTCTATTCCGGCGATGTGGATTTTATCCGACAATATTGGCCTAAGTATCTTGCAGCGATGAATTTTATCGAAGGCCAACTTGATCCCTCATTAGGCCTCCTTAATATTTCGGGCTACACAAACGACTGGGGCCGTTTCTACGTGGACAATACCTTAACATCAGCTCAAGTTCTCTATTATCGAACATTAATAACAGGCTCCGCGTTGGCTACCTGGATCGGTGATACCACTGGGATTAACTCGACATGGGCGAAGGCCGCTGCGAAACTGCAAGAAATCATAAATGAACTCCTTTGGGATGATGATTTTGGCGCATTCGACAATAGCATAGAGTCGCGTGATAACGAGACTGGTTTGTATCCGCAAGACGCCAATGCCCTGGCCTTACTCTTCGGAGTGGTCAATGCTACGTCAGATGAAGGACAAAAGATCTCACTTGCTCTCACGAAGAACTGGACCCCGATCGGAGCTGAAACTCCGGAACTACCTGGCGAAGTCTCCCCGTTTATCTCTTCATTCGAGATCCAAGCGCATTTGTTAGCGGGACAGACGCAACGTGCTTTGGATTTAATCCGTACCAGTTGGGGTTGGTATCTAAATAACGAAAATGGCACGCAGTCCACTATGGTCGAAGGTTATTTGACGGATGGCACCTTTGGATATCGTCATGATGCTGGATACCAAGAGGTTTACTCTTATACGTCTCATTCCCGTAAGTATTCTTCGATTAAATGTGTTTCTTGGATCGAAGATACTCGATTCCGAGACATACTGCAAGTAACTTTACTGACGTGGACTCAGATGGGTGGTCTACTGGCCCAGTAACCGCGCTAAGCGAATATATTGTCGGCATTGGTATAACTGGCCTCGCTGGATCGACTTGGCGAATTGCGCCGCAGTTCGGGGATCTTCCCCATGCTGAAGGCGGCTTCACAACTAGCCTAGGTAAATTCTCCGCCAAGTGGGTGGTAGGCAGTGACGGTAGCTATGTATTGAATTATAATACTCCAAAAGGGACGTCGGGGGTACTGGACCTTCCAGCCCCTAACAAGAACGGGAAATATAATGTGAAAGTGGATGGACAAGCGGTAGCGACGAATATTAGGAGGTCGACTGAGACAGCGGGGAATAGGTACCTGTACATCATTGAAGGATCAGGCGGAGAGCACCAAATCGAGGTCAGCTAGGGGAGATTTGGAGGCCTGAAAAAAAGGGCAGATTATAACTGTAGGCAGACACGTCCGCCTATGCGACCGTTCTGTAGCATAACCGACATACCAACATACTTGATGCGCAGGTAATTGTAAATTTGACTCATTTGATCGAAGATTAAGGATGCATCGTAATATGGTATTTTCGTGCTATGACTCACCAATGATGCATATGAGGAATCTATTGTGTTACATCTCTCAATTGAAAGAATCCTCTAGAGAAGTTTTATTCTTGCTCAAGGTCCCAACATTTGACAGTTGGAACCTTGAAGCTTAAGTAATTATAGCGTACTCCAGTGTTTAAAGTACCTAGGTACGCTGACAAAGATCGCCGCTAGGTACATGCAAGTACCTAGAATGCGACTAAACAGTGCACTAAAAATCACCTGATCGCGACTTCTTCTCGCGTTAATTACAAGGCCCGCCAAACGCGTCGACCCGATTCTACCAGTAGCTAAGAAAACAAAATCGCCGTCCCACCTTTTCTTTTTACTAGGCAAGTTAAACTGATGGCAACCTATTTTCGATCCTTGATCATTCCGATAATCAAACAGAGTAGATATCTTGTAGCATATCTACTTTAATGAGTTAACGCAATTACTTCTATTCCTTTCCTACGCCGCTCCTCTTCATTATTTAATCATCTTTCCCATCCGCCGCAGACATTGTGTCCCCAAGGGGAATGCTTTGATTTATCGGCGTCGGCCCGCAAAAAAAAGGCGTAACCGCGTTCGACGATCTCAAGATGCCAGAACAAGGAACGCCTGCCCTCTTTGGCACTTGCAAGTTCGCCTTTGTGAACAGTAAGGAGCTCGGCGATGATTTAATCATGGAGGTATGTCTCAATTGGTCATTACATGCATTGAGCTGCGAGTCTAACACAATTGAAAGTTCACTAATAGTGTCGAAAAATACGGCGGCGAAGTATGTCGGGCGACACGAAAAGGTCTCCCGGACCTTTCGCAGATCACCCACATCATCGCCAATTCGATAGACTTCCCTCAGTACAACGAAGCGACCGCCCGAATGATCCCTGTTGTTAAGTCCAAATGGATTACAGTATCTTTAATGAAGGGAAAACTGGCTCAGATCCGACCCTTTACTCCTGACCCTCGAATGATTTTCTCGGATGTAGTCCTTACGTGCGCCGACATTCCGTCTACTGACAAGGACGCGATCATCGGCGCCGCAATGGCAATGGGAGGAATGGATTCCGACAATGTTACCAAACTCACAACCCACATCTGCGCTCTCTCCATGGATCATCCGAAATGCAAGCTAGCTATCGAGAAGAAGTTGAAGTGCAAGATAGTTCTTCCTCACTGGTAAGTAATTTTGGCCGCCTACATAGTGACCTGTGTCTAATCTTTCGAAGGTTCGACGACTGCTTTAAGCTTGGAAAGCGAATTGATGAAGGCCCGTACCTTCATCCTAACCCTCAAATTCTAACTGGGAATTCCGACGGTGCGATTACGGTACCTTCCAGCCAGCACCTTGAAGGCGCCACTTCCGCCCGACCTGATTATCTGCCTAGCCCTCCCGCCGATGCCATGAGAGGTCGCCCTACTCTCACTGTGTTCGAGGGTATCAAGGTCATGCTGTCAGAAGATTTGTCAATTAGGGATCGACTTAGGGACATTATCATTGACCTCGTTAAGAACGGCGGCGGTGAGGTCACGAAGGATGTCGATGCTTGCCATTGGTTTGTTTGTCAATATCGCGACGGATCGGCATACGTACGCGCTTCGCAGATCGGAAAGACCGTCGGAAACCTCTCCTGGCTATATTATCTCATCACTCACAACCAATGGACAGATCCTTTGAGTCGACTCCTTCACTATCCCGTTCCACGCAACGGAATCCCCGGATTCAAGAACTTAAAGATCACGGTTTCCAACTATGGAGGTGAGGCCCGTATTTACTTGGAGAATTTGATCAACGCTGCCGGCGCGCGGTATACCAAGACTATGAAATCCGAGAACACACATTTGATCACTGCTCGAGATAGTGGTGAAAAGTGTGAGGCAGCCATTGACTGGAGCATCTATCGACTCAACCATCTCTGGCTCGAAGAGAGCTACGCCAGGTGCGAGCGGCAAAACGAGGCAAATGGCCCGAGATACACTTGCTTCCCATCTCTTACGAACCTCACTGAAGTTATTGGTCAGACACGCCTGGACGCGAGCAAACTGCGAGCCTTGTACTACCCTGGCATACCGGAGGACCTTAACCCGGCAGCTAAGCGAAAGCGTAAGGCGTTAGAGATGGCCGACGAGAACTCGGCTTCTGATGGCCCGGCTGAGGGTGTCGTCATTGGTCGTCAAGTGCATAAGGAGTTTGACGTCATGAAGGATTCCGAAGTTGAGTATGCCCAGAAGACAGCTGATGTATTTGGAGTACCGGCACCGCAAAAACGTCGTGCAACCACCCAGTTCACAACCCCAGCTAAGGGCCACTATGTTCGTGCTGGAAAAGAGAACGAGACCCCCTCCACGGTTTCGTCTTCAAGTCGAAGTGCCAAGGATAAGGCACTGAGCAGGTTATCTGGTCTCGCACCCGATATTGCACTGTATGAGAAAGAGAAGAAGAGAGGTCTTAAAGATGGTCACGGATTATGGGGAGGCAAGCGAGCAGCTGACCACATCGATCGCGAGAATCTTAATCGCCGCAGCGCTTCGAGCCCGGCTGCTAAGGGTGAAGAGACAGAGGTCAAAGCTGAGAAGCGTCCTGCAAAGAAGGCGAGGCCCACTCTTCCGGAGATCACCATGCGAATCGTTCTCACCGGATTCCAGCGATGGGTTAACGAGAAGCATCGTGAGGACGCAGATCGAGTAAGTGAACCAAATCCTTACGTTATGAATTCTGCTAATATCTTAATAGAAGAAGTTGCGTGACCTTGGCATTGCCGTCGTCACTGATGGCCAACCGTGTGATTATCTTGTAGCACCGCACCTAGTACGGACGGTCAAGTTCCTTCGCAATCTATCTAAAGGTGCTACCGTTGTGTCTTCGGACTGGATCGAGCAGTGCCTAGATACGAAGCAGCTCCAGGACCCGCAAGACTATATCCTTAAGGACAAGGAGAACGAAAAGCGGTTTGCCATTAAGCTCGAAACTTCGGTTCGCAGAGCTCGCAAAAACAACGGTAAACTTCTGTGGAACACTCCTATTTACTGTACCGCTAGTATCAAGAACGGCCCGCAAGGTTATCAAGCGATTGCCGAAGCCAACGGCGCGCTCTTTATGGTGTATGGCGCGAGGAGTGGGTCGACTATCAAGCCCACCAACCCAGAAGAGGATGAGGGTGAACCGGATCCGGTATACCTGTTGAGCAACACGAGTCCGGAGGAAAAGAAGCTATGGCAGAAGTTCGAGGATATGGCGAAGAAGGGTAACATGGAACCCCGTATCGTCGCTGCGGACTGGTTGTTGGACGTTGTCATGAACCAGGAGGTATTTTTCGATGAGAAATACTTGGTGTCGAATTTCTTCAGCTGAGCATAGGCGCTTTTCTTTCGCTTTGGTAGGGAGGGTAGGGATATACCATTTGTAATGCTCGCATATGAAGTTCCGCTGCATGGCTCTGAGGTAGGAGGGAGAGAAAGGGAATAAGGAGGCGTTTAGGCGAGCTCGCATTTTTGCTTCCCACGTTACTTTTCAGTTAGATGAAAGCATTTGTTGCTTCCCCGCTTTAGCTATGCCATTGCTTTTTCATATAGCAGTGCTGCTTGCGATTCTTTGTAAATATTTTCCGAGCTGTACGCACGAGCACATTGGGAACCAAAACGTAAAATTTGATCTCAGAAGAACTTAATTCCTTGTTGATCTTCCTGTCCAAATATTTGTGCTTTGCCTCGTTTGACTAGGACTTGTAGTGCTTTTTGGAGGAGTTCGGGATCGAGGCCGTGGAATTCTGGGGAGGTTTGTGTTAGCACATGTTCACTTTATGTACTTCTTGTTTATTGCATCTTTTCCATCTCTTACGATAAGTATATAAGAATCCAAACTCACCAGTCCCTCTAGTCCCCTCGCCCTCCGTCAATTCATACAACGTCAACACCGCACCCTTCTGCGCCGTCTCCTCAACCCACTCCTCCACCATCGCTGCCCATTCTTCGGGCGTGCGCCAGTATATCCAGAATAATTCCCCGCCTCCGCCTCCACTACTACTATTACTTCCACTATCCACGGGTTCAGCTCGTCCTTCTTTTTGCATAAACTTCAATATCTCGCGCGCGTCGGATAATCGTAAGGAACGTGATAATCGTCGGTTGTGGAATAGGTCCTCGTGCGCGGTATCCGTGTAGGAGAGGGTGATGCGGTAGATGCGGTGGTAGCGGCAGTAGGAGAGGATTAGGGAGGACCATTTTTCTTGTTGCGAGCGTAGGGTTGCGTGGTTGGTTTGGAGCGTGAAGAACGGTGGGAAGTGGTATTCGCGGGGGAAGTCGAAGGTTGGGGGTTCGGAGGAGGGGGGTTTGGTTGGGATGGGTGTGGTGGAGGACGGTGTTGAGGTTGCGAGGGGTGTGGATTTTGCTGGAGCAGACATCTTCGATTCGATCGTGAGGCTTGTGGTGTAGGGAGGGGTGTATGGTGAGGGAGAAAGTTAGGATGGCTCTTAAGAGTCTATTAACGGAGGAGTGAGAAGTTGAAGCGAGATGTTAAGTCTATGTAGATCTGGCGCGGCTTGATGTTGAGCTAAAGTACCTAGGTACAGGACCCCGCCAGCCCTAAGCCCCGCTAATGGGGCATTATCGATAGCCTATTTACTACCCCGAAGTGTATTAGGGTTCTATAATTACCACTGCTCCGTAAGTTTAGCACGATCCTGTATTGGACTGCTATACTTAGTGTGCTGGATCTGTGAAGAGAATAAGAGGATGTAAATATATAACGGCTCATTATAATATGCTCAACATGGTATATTGTTACCAACCTGGCCTTAATTGGTAATTGCTAGCTTTTAGAGGAAGATAAATAATCATAATTTGATTTAAAACTGATATAATACCCCTTTATCACTAGGTTTCGAGGGTATTTCTTATATCCGCCCGTCTCAAGAACAAAAAGCATCATACAACGGGGGAATACCTAACCAATCAACCAAACCACCAGCCATGAGAACGTCCGCCGCATCATCGTCAATCATTATGGTCGTCCAATAGGTATAGTCCAACCAAATAACTCCATACACCACGAATAACATAAAACGTGACAATAACCCAGAAGAACGAAACCCGAATTAAATATCAAGACCGCGGGTATCGTCTCTCATCTCGTCACTACCGAGTTCCTTCTCGAGCTCGTCGGCTACGAAACCTTCGTAATCTTCCAAGTTCTTCTGGATATGCACCTTGAACTTGATGATGTCGTTTAACATCCTCTCGATCTCGGTGTGGAGCTCTTCACGTAATGCATTCGCTCGGAGAGTTAATTGTTCATATCTAGTTGTGTTGTTAGTACGATGCGGGATTGATGAGTGGGGAAAGGAAAACATACTCGATGTTTGTGTTCATCTCTCTCTGCTCCATAAGCTGCACGGACTCCGTGAGTTGAGCTCGCATCTTGGCGAGTTCTTTCTCCATCTTCTCGATTTGTGTATCCGAGGCTAGTTTTTGCGTCGTGGTGACCTATAACCTATTAGTAAACGATATAAGCCTTGGAAATAATTGCGAGCGCATACCTCCTTGGTCTTCTCATATTCCTCTTCAGCGGCCCTGACTCTGTGTTCGAGCGCCTCAACCTCGTTCCGCTTATCTTCGATGGCCTCCTTAATTCCGTCAAGCAGATCGTGATCCTTCATCATGGCATCCATGGCCGCTGTTCTTCGCTCGGATACCTCCTTACGTAGGGCTAGGAAGTTGTTCTTAACATGCCCGCGGAGATCCAAGTTGAGAATATGTGCTGGCTGATAACCCGTTACTGGATCAGCTAGTAGGCGTTCGCTTCCACCTCCACTTGAGTAAGAGCCTTTCACAATAGAGCCTGTAAAGTCCGACTCGTTGACAGTTACTGCTAACTCGTATGCGACGCCCTTGGCGTTGACGGCTGTTGCGGGAATCAGTCCAATTTGATAGGCGAGCGTATTATATTTGTCAACGAGTCTCTCCAGTTCGTCAAGCTTGCGACTGGCCTCCATCTCCTTTTCTGCTACCCTTTTCTTCCCTTCGTCAAGTCGCTGCGTCGCGCTCTCTATGCCCTTTTGCAGTCTTTCGCGTTCCGAGGTCATGCGGTCAATATCCTGCATGCTAATACCTTGGTCGTCGACTTCTTTCTGCAAAGCGCGTCGTTCATCTTCCGCTTCCTTCAGTTCTTGCATCAACTTATCGAGCTCTTCTTGCAAGACTTGAATGCGGCTCTCGTATTTATCGGATCGAGATACCGCTAGTGCATTATACTCTTCGAATTTAACCTTGTCCTCTTCCATGATTTTGAAGTGATTGTCAAGAACACGTGGGTCAGGGGTAGACTTCTCAAGGTCTTCGATTTGCTTGAGCAGTCCAGCGTTCTCTGCTTCGAGCATCTCGAGCTCTGTTATGTACTTCGAGTTTGACCTCTCGAAAGCCCTCGCCATACTCTCCACGTGCGGTGCAAGAACTCTTTCCGCATCATCGTCACCAGCATCCTCGTCCATAGCAAGCCAATCCCGGTACGCTGAGCTTAAAAAGTCGAAAATGATATGATCGCCACTAACGTCTATACCATTTTGAATGCAAGCATCATCATAGCGATTACACGTATACCCTTCGAGCATTTGTGCCAATTGCATCATCCAGTGAAGTAGGCCCAAAAAGGTGCTCCAGTTTTGACCACCAACAGCCGCGATTTGCGATTTAGTAATGCTCTTCTCGTAAGGATAACGTAGCTGTTTTAGAATTGGAGGAACCTCTTGATCGATATTTTTCTGGAATCGATAGCTCGGGTCGATACGATGGTATAGCCATTGAAACATGTAGTTAAAATCCTTTTGGGTAGGCGATTTGATTATATTATGCGATAGAGTATGTTTCATCTCCATCTCAAAGTTATGTTGCGATAAAAAATCCAGGAGTTCTTGACCGATGCGCGCTTGGAACGAGCGGTCCTTCAATGGTCGCGGGTCGCGTGGTACACCAGCTGCTTGCGGCGCTTGTTGGAAGAAGCTCTGATGCGCGCCTGGGCCATTTGTTGATGTTCGAGATCGGTAAATACTACTCCTTCGTTCGTTTTCCGAGTTTCGCATTGGCAAGCTACCAGATGCATAGCTTTTTAGTGTAGAGCCGGGAGGATTTTGGAATGAAGAGCGCTTTACTGCAGAACCTCCCAAGTCGGGTAAGTTGGTACCAGAAGATGATCGCGAAAACATGGGCTGACTTGGGCGACCGAGGGCGAGGGATTGCCTAGATCCCGACATCGATCGCATATGACTACCCGAGAAGCTGGAGCCTCCATTTCCAATGGAATTGGATCTTTTCATTGCTGAGTGAGGTTGAGGTATCGCGGAATTGGGATTAATGCCACCAAGTGTCTAGCGACAAACAAAATGTTAGCTTCAAAAATCCAAAATCCAAGACTATATCCAAATCTGACCGCCGATTGCGACAAACGGGGATTTGCGCGTCGAACGATTTAAATTAGCGTAGCGTACCTCTCGTGGTCGACGGACACTCCAGAGTCCCGTCTCCTGGGACATGATGATAACGGAGTGCAAGAATGGTTTTTGAGTTCTCTAGCAAAAAAGAATAAAGTGCTTCTTTCTAACAGTTCTTTGTGTTCTATTGATTGAAATTTTGGGGGGGGAATTTGGGGAAACAGACGGTGGTGGGTTTGAGTGGTGCAAACTTGCGGTACATCGGTGCCCGATTCCCCGTTTTTAAGTAAACAAATCGCGAACGATTATGATTGGTCCAAGCATGACGACGTCAACAAACCAAATCCAAGCTAGAATGTGGGGGCCGTGGGCTACGCCAAGAAATCTACAGCGGTACCTAAGTACATCTTTCAAGATCTTAAAGTTCAACCATCATTACCGTCCTTACAACGTTTTCATCATTCAAGCTGCTCATGCGAAATCAAAAGGCCTCTTCTTTTCTTTAATCCAATCCTTGCTTACATAGCATCGAGGATTCTACTCTGCCTCATCGGCAATCATGATTTTTTCTTAGGTCGTCATGGTATCCAAAGTCCTGATCCTTGCAGGCGCCCCAGATAACCATGGACTCGACTGGAAAGAATCCAATCTCTTAAACCAATTTCTCGACCCGATCGCAGAATTCGCCCGTCTTAACACATCTTTAAGTCAGGTAGACAATAGTCACATACTAGGATCTGCTCTAGATGTTGCCGTCTGGAGATCGATACCACTAGAAAGGGCAGCATTACCGACTGGATTCTCTCAACTTCACCAAGTGGAACAAAATCATTATGGAGGTGAAGGTTTCTTCGCAGCTTTTACCGCTTCTCTCGAGTCTGCGTCCGCCCTAACAGGAAGCGGAAAATCAAGCCAGGAAATTCTGGACCAGTTTTACGACCACTCCTTGGCTGTACATGACGATATTCGCTCCTCTCAATTGCCAACTGCGAGTTTCAGCACCGACGGGTCCTCATTAAATACAACCGAGGAAATAAGCATCCAGGACTCAATGCGCAGTAGTAACGCCTCCACCCGCCAGACTCGAAACTCAGCCGTTCAAAATTTCCACCTAAGTGACCTAGAAGACCTACCGAATGCATCGCATCTCCAATCCATTGCACCTCAGACGATGACAGTTAACCTCATCGTCGGTATAATATCTATCGCTGAGCCGCGGACTGTTCGGACGAGGTGGGGCACGACTAAGTCCCTAATCGAGCTACTCGTAGGCGACGAGACCAAGTCAGGTTTTAGTGTAACCTTCTGGCTATCGTCTGAGCTAGGCGAGTCCTCCGGTAAGATTCTTAAGGAGCTTCGCCGGCAGGATATCGTACTGCTCCGTAACGTCGCGCTGAGCGTGTTCATGAAACAGGTGCATGGACATAGCTTGAGAAAGGGCCTGACGAAAGTCGAGTTGCTGCATCGGAGGAAATTGGATAGGAATGATCGCGGTGGACTTTACAATATGAGGGATGTTTCGTCGAAACGACCTACGAATCCTCAACTGGCGAAAACTAGAAAGGTGCGGGAATGGGTTATGAATTTCGTTGGTGATGGTGGAAAAGTTAGTGGGAAGAGAAAACAGGGCGGAAGGCCCTTAAGAAGTTGGGATATGCCGCCTGAAGATACTCAGTAGCGACCTAAAGATGTCGCAAATATTAGTGCAATTTAGTGTGCTACTGGCTTTTCACCTGCTATACGATAGTGGTTGATATAGGGCTTAGGGGTCGGCGGAGTCAGCATTAGAAGCGTCTCTCAGCACCTAACAATTCAGCCAACCAATGGTTCCCACAAACATTGACCCCAAGATATAATTTCAGTCGTTTCGGTCGTTTTTCAAGAATCAGGCAACACCATGACTACTCACTTTACTCACTACGGTAATAGGGAGGCCCTTTGCATCAGACCAGAGTAATCTCACGGACACTCTGCTCTCCACCCCAAAGGTACAACAGTCTCGACCTATATTCATCCGAATACCAGTCATCATGCTCGATCCACCTAGAGCGGTCGCGTCCCCATATATCCCACATATTGAATCGCCCAACGCGAAAATACACCCCGTGTTGTTTTTTGGCTACGAGGAGTCCAGAAGGCCCCTTAACTTGTCCTTTGAGAGTCTTCGTATGGCCAACAACGAAAAGGCTTAACTCAAGTGCTTCAGGACGTGGCTTACTGCCTTGGCACATTAGCGTAGTGCTGTCCGTAATAGTTCTATTATCATCATCATCATCGCCGTATCCGGGTATTAACTTGTGGTCGTCGATGGATATCTCCGTGCATACCAGGGCATTGGATAGTTCCTCAATATGACGTCTTTCCTCAGCAAGCTCACACTCCGTCCTCCTAATTAAATAGGATCGATCTGCTTGGGTAAAGTCACCGAATTTCGGGCGACAGATATCCGGTTTTGACGTTGGGTCAAGTCCGAATATACCAACTAAGTTCGCCCTTTTATCATTTAATATATCTTTTGGCATGGGGGCTATGAGGCCGCGCACCCGAAGGCTAGCTGACTCAACAACACAGTATATATCCCCATCGGTCGTAGGTTGTACGACATGTGATAAAACTTCAAAATCAACGTCCTTGGACATATCTTTTTGAAATGGTTTTATAACACCTTCACATGCGGCCCAGCTCCATGAGGGGTTAACATGAGACGGATTTTCACTCGTTTGGTAGGGATGAACTTTGCTCCATAAAAGGTCTCGATAAAGTCGGGATTTCCAGAGGCCACAGACGTAGGTGTCGTTGATAGCGTTAGCGAATTTCCTGGCGATGCTAGAGATCGCAGGCAGTCGGTCGGCCTGGTACCTTGTATTACGTCCCGAATAGTTTATGACTATTTGATCCCAGGTGTATTGAGCAGTTTTGGGATAAGGGTAAGTTCCATTATTTGATTCGGAACCCTCTATAATCTGGCTTGCCCTGTTAAAAAGTTTGTCATCCCCAAGGCCAGTTATAATTGAGTCTCGAATAGGGACCCAGCCATCGCTGTCTCTATGCTGCATTATGCCGTGATGACAAACCCACGTAGTCTGTTCTGGGCCAAACTGTAGGCGCCTTTTAGACAAGATGCCTTCCTGCAACGTCCACGCGCGTTCGAACCAAGGCTCGCGTTTACTTTCTATATAATCGCATAATAAGAGTATAACTGTGCGGCCCGGAGCAGCATTGTCGTCGACGAGATATGGGAATTCGAAGGTAAATTGAGGCGTAGCAGAACCGGCGACATCCCGCGTTGAAAGGAAGCTTTCTTTCACATTTACTACCCTAGATGGTATAAGGGTTAGAGTGGCATCGCGGTAAATTTGGTGCATTTTTACAATTTCGCGTGATTTTTCCCCTTCGTCGTCTTGAGTAATGCATAAAGCATCGACCCAGAGATATTGAAACCCCACTTCTCTTGTAATATTCACAGCCTCTTGAATGGTTGTGTCGAGGTGTTCAAAAGGGATATCATCAAAAAGTTGTTTTTTATTATTGCTTTTGAGCAGGGTCCTTTGGGTTCCCTCTCCCCAACAATAAGACAAAGCGGCATATCGAACATTCGGCTGGCCGGCATTATCTACGAGATGAAGACGATTATTCCCCACTGCTAGGAGAATAGTTGGTCGCGAAGGTGGCAGGTTGGATATTCCGCAGCTATGGTGGACAGAGCATGATTTGATCCAGGACCGAATTAATTGGATCGATTTGTCGGATCCGGGATTCGTGTTAATCGGAGATCCCAGGGCGTGCGACCCTGGATAATTGTTCGCATCTTAGATCTTGTTAGGATCACTGCTTCTATCTCATCGATAGGAGGATAGCCGGATACCTGGTTGCGTCAAGGCGATGAATTCCGCGTAAGAACGTTTATCATTGACGTTTAGATAAGCGAACATTTTAATGGGAGACTGCATAGACCATTCCATTTCAATGATGGCGGTGCCTTCGCTTATAACTGATGTCGAGGGACCGAAATCATACCATGTAAAGGTCTGCTTGGCTACCGTAGGGTTGGTATAGAATTCAATCCGGTCGTTAAATAATTTCCACCAAAAACACCCAGCTATAGCTAGCTCATGAATTTCGTTGGTCGTTTTCGAAACTTTGATTATAAATTTCGAGCCATAGGATGATGGTGCTCTATTTATCGTGAATATCCTGCAGTGGTCACACGAATGAGCGAACGAGTAATCATCTGCTACGAGATCCTGTTTTAAGGCGATACTTTTTTCATCGGCGAAACAAACATATTGCTCTGTTTGTGACATTATGGCTACACTTGGAACGTTGTCGACTCGAGGCTCGTAAGTTTAAGTATATGCACTGATAATTTCTGTAGCTTTTGAATACTGCATAAAGCACCGAAGGGACGAGAGTTGATACATCTGCGGGGAATAGATGTGGATTGGGATGCCAATGCTTACACGCAGACACCTGAGAAATTGATCCCATATAGAGGCCTGATGGAAGTTTAATTGTTCTTATTAGTCATCTTATCTTGGCCTTATTACTTATTTGACAACTGAGGGTCAGCTGTAATTTAGGCCGTTGCTGCTACCTAAAACCATGGGGTTAATAGACCTACGTAATATATGGTGGTATGGTGAGCTAATACAACTTAAATTCAGCAAACGGACCCCTAAGATTTAGCGCTTTGATCCTAGAAAATGTCTTCTGTATTGTAGACCGTAATCGGAGATGCGCCATAGCTTATCTAACTAATCGTCCATCATATCTCACTATTTACCAATCAGACTGTTTCAAAATATGTAGTTTCAGAAATATTATGCCCGCCCTACCGAATTACTATGGGGCTGAGCGGAAGTATCGAGGGTATCCGTCTGCATGTCGAGCATGCGGGACTAGAAAGAGGTACATAACCATAGTTTGCTCATGTCCGTTCCTGGCTGAATTGACCAATGACGATTCGCTCCTGCTTGCCGGGGCTTAATGGGTCTTTGACCGCCTACCCTTTTAGTCCGAATTACCCCTCCATTGAGACTTTTCTAGGCCTTCCACCCCGCCGTTTAGCATGATGAAAATTATCTTTAGTAAGAAAAAAAAAAAAGATCGCATAGTTCTACATACATAGTCCTCTGCATAAGACGAACATACATAAAACATAACGCGATTTCACGAACTAATTTATTTCTTTTTTTTGTGCCGTGTGACCTGTCCCGGGCTGATCTGGTTAGACATTTTTCTTGTCTCGGGTTATCTAACCCCTTTCCCACATTGAAAAATCGTGGTGCGCTCATCCTTCCCTCGTCGTCTTCTGTTCCGGTGCGCGACAAATTGTACCTACCTCAACACCTCGACGCCGATAATCTTACTGGCTACGCACCCATCTAAATAGCCTCATACAACGAATATCGATCATGGCGGGCTTCGATTATTACAAGACTCCTCTTGATTCACGCTATTCCAGCGAGGAAATGAAGAAGTTGTTCAGTCAGAGGAGCAGACATGGTACCTGGCGCCAGCTTTGGCTGTGGCTTGCAGAGGCCGAAAAAGAGCTTGGACTTGAGACGAGTAAGACACCCAACGCCTGTCTATATCCCTGGCCGCATATTCGGGGGCCTACTCCGATGGATAGCTACCTTAGGCCACTGCAACCCCAATGGTTTCTGGAAATCATATTTATTAACTTGTACTATCGCAGTCACGGACGAAGCACTCGAGCAAATGCAGACCCATCTTACCGTGACCGACGAGGACTTCAAGGTCGCAATCGAGGAGGAACACCGCCGTCGCCACGATGTAATGGGTCATGTCCATGCTTACGGCGTTGTCGCACCCGCCGCTGCTGGTATCATCCATGCCGGGGTATGGTCATGTCGCGAATATACACAAGCATATGCTAATACAGCCAATAGGCCACCTCCTGCTACGGTAGCTCGCGACTTACCCCTATTTGATTGTTTCTCGTTATTAATTCCATTGTAGTTACCGATAACACCGAGTTGATTCTCATTCGTGAAGCTATTGACCTTATTCTTCCCAAGATAGCTAAAGTCATTAGGGTAAGTTTTCTATGCTATTGCGTTTTCAAAATGACCTCATATTTTCAAACAATTTAAATATGAATTAAATGCTGATATAATGTAGTACGTGGATGAAAGAGTTGCGGTCACAGTTACATTCGATGTTATGTATCCTTGAAGAGGTGCAACTTCGAAGGGTCAGTGGCGCCCTGGCAGTGGATGCTAACTTCTCATAGCAACCTATCCCAATTTGCGCAAAAATGGCGGGATGAGCCAACCCTAGGCTATACGCATTACCAACCTGTAAGTAACCTTCATGAATCCGCGCGGAGCTATCTGCTTGATGGAATTCGTACATGAAGTGAAGCATTTGGAGGGAGGGGGGTTATTTCCAAAGAAAACTATCGAAATCTCAATGATGTCACGTCATTTAAAATAAAAGGGAGTACTGACATGATCTTGATCGTAGGCGCAAATGATTACTGTCGGTAAGCGGGCTGCTCAATGGATCCAAGACCTTCTCATGGATCTTGAGGATATCGAGCATGTTCGCAATGAACTCCGATTCCGAGGAGGGCAAGGAACCACCGGAACCCAGGCGTCATTCCTTGAGCTGTTTCACGGTGATGAAGCCAAAATCGACCAGCTAAATGTTCTCCTTTGCGAGAAGGCTGGTTTCCCTGGTGTGGGTGGATTTCCAAATACTAGGAGATAAGTAGCTAACTCTGGTTATTATAGTGCTACCCTATTTCTACGCAGACTTATACCCGAAAGGTTGATCTCCGTGTTGGTAGGTAGCTAAACGCCTCCTGAAAATAGGGGAGTCACTGATTACTTTTAGCGAATGCTGTCGCTAGCTTAGGCGCTACTGCGCAGCGTATCACTTCCGATTGTAAGTGCCTACAGGTACCTTGATTGGACCTAGCAATAAGCTGACATTTCACAGTTCGCCACCTTGCCAATTTGAAGGAACTGTTCGTAAAATAGATCTCTAGCTCGTATTAACCTATACTAATACCTATTTTAGGGAAGAGCCATTTGAGAAAGACCAAATTGGAAGTAAGTAGCCTTCTTTTAACACAAATGGGTAGAATAACGCCCATCTCCGGCTCCGCTGGCCCTGGAGGGTCCCCTATTTCCATGATCTACGATCGCTAACGTTAGTGCTCTAGGCTCTGCTATGGCCTATAAGAGGAATCCTATGCGGTATGTGTATCCCTCTTCATGGCTAACATGCCGAAATACCTTCCATATGGATTAATTCGAAATAAAAATATTCCCATTTTACAGATTAAGTAAATACTGACCTCGTTCATCTTAGTTCGGAGCGTATCTGCTCTCTTGGTCGCAAACTAGCGAGCCTCCCAGTCAACTTCTCCAACACCTACTCGTCACAATGGGTAATTAAACCCCCAAGAATATTAATAAGTGCGATTACTAATACAATTGCTTTAGCTAGAGAGATCTTTAGATGATAGCGGTAAGCAGAGCTAGTGCTATAATAAGCACCTGGGCATACAATGCTAACGCAGTTTTACAGCTATTCGCCGCATTGATATCCCTGAAATGGTGAGATTTAACGCCTAAACTAGCCTGGATTTAGGGCAACTGACAATTCATAGTTCCTCCTTGCGGACGCTATACTTCTTGGACTTGATAATGTGACCAACGGCCTGGTCGTTTATCCCAAGCGCATAGACGCGCGTAACAGACAGGAGCTTCCTTTCGTACGTCCATTTCATTACTCTCATATTCACGAGCCCACGGGTTTCTGCGTAACCGCAACTCTAATTATTTAGCACTTACTAATTTGAGACCCACAGATGATTACTGAAGCTATTTTGATGAAAGTAGTTTCTAAGGGAGGTTCTCGACAGGAAGCACATGAGAAAGTCAGAGTACTTTCGCATGAGGCCAGTCATGTCGTTAAGCATGAGGGTATGTTCTTTTTTATCATATCGCCTATTCAATGTCCTATTCTGTTAATATGCGTACCATTGCTAACTCATTTGTAGTACGTCGTCATTCTTCAATCCACTGGCCCTCACTTCCTCCAATATTGTGGATGAAGATTTAGTGTCGGGTTTCTGTGTGGCTAACTTTAATTAGGGCGGCAACAATGACCTCGTCGAGCGTATCAAGAAGGATGAATACTTTAAGGACATCTGGGACGACATTGACGCTATGCTAGACCCCAAGCTTTACACTGGCCGAAGTTCCACAATTGTATGTTGACGCTACTCCTTCCTTGTGAAGTAGTCGCTAACTAGGAAATCCAGGTTGATAGGTACTGTGGCCAAGGGGGAGTCGTTGAGAAGAAGCTGGAGCCATACCGGGATTACATATCTAAGGTCGAGACCGCTCAGCTCAGCCTCTGAACACCGGAGTTATGGCAGGCTGCCGTAAAATCTTTTCTTTTTTATTTGCCGCTAATGATTATGATTTTTTTGATACTTTATATGTAGTAAGGAGTTCGTGGATACGATGGCATGTGCTGCCAGATACGGAGAAAAATGGGTTCTATATGGTAAAGAGGTGTAGAGAGAGCAATCGTTCACGGATCAAGAGAAAATACGAATGTCACTTTCTGAGGAGTCCGACCGTCAAATTCCTATTATGAGTATTGTTATCTGGTATCTGATCTAAAGGTCAAAAACAGACTTCGACGTACCGCCCATTTCAAACCTCTACACCAACAATATTTCCCGCCGGCGGAGTGCCGGAAGCGGAATGGATACCTTCCATTCATATACACCCATCCAATACCATTTCTCCTTACAATTAGAACCGATTATCGCAACTAAAACGCCGTCTGAATCACTGCGGTATTGAATGGCTGCGTCTGCTAAAGGGGCCTCCCCTGGTTGGATTAGAGCGCCCCAGCGATAGCTTTCTAGATATTGTGCAGCAATACGCTGAAGCTCACGATCGACACGAAACCGCTCGTATTTTAAATCCCGTGCTGTATTATTTAGTATACGTCGTAGTCGTAAGTCTGTTTTAAATTCAGCAACAAGCCACTTCGCACGGAATCCTTCAGGTTTAACGAAACCGTAGGTACTTTTCGAGCCGTCATCTGCAAAGAATTTCCTTGCTTCCCCGTTAGTATCATCGCCAGGCATATCTGGACGTCGAGGCGCCCAGCCGAACCCTCCATTGGCTTCGACCTCATACCCAATTCGAGGGTGACTAGACATTAGAAAACCGGTGGGGATTATGCGATTTACCATACTTCTCCAAAGATCAATAGCGGTTTCTTTGACATCGTCGCCGCAGAGTAAACTCCAGATTATTACTTCGTCGTTTTCGCGGGAGGCATGCCGATGGCTTAGAAGACAAGATGCTTCGTGGATGGATACAAACCCGCGAGCGCGGTTGGTCATTGCGGCACTTGGAGTGCCTCCTACGGGGAGAGTTCGGGCTGGCATTAAATGCTGCGCTGTTGAGAGGAGAGTCGCGATAGCTATATCACCCCTTTCAGCGACGTCGTTGATTACTTCCCGCAGGGGCACGACTTGGTCGTCTTTACATAGGAGGTGCACATTGTTTCGGCCACGATTCGCTTCTAGGAATGTCTAGGCTCTTACGTTCTAATCGCAGACTAGGAGTACGGAGAGCAAGGATTCGTATAATTCGGTTGAGGGATTGCTCACATCGATGAGCATGAGGTCTCGGTCGCAGACTAGGGTTAATTTGCTGGTGGCGAAGACGCTGTTCATGTGTTGGATGGCTTCTCTTCGTAGTTGATGGTCTTGCGGTATGCAGGGTGTGTCCATCCAATATGAATCACATCCGAATTGACGCGCGATTTCGATGTAGCGCTCGTGAAGGCAGCTGTTCATTCCGGTACCGTGGTTTTCGGGTCGGCCTCCTTGGCCGTGGCTCCATACGTGGCTAACTGTCATCGTTGAGCTGGAAGCTGTACGGTAGTCGAGTTGCTCGTGATCGCCATCTTCGATTGTGACTGCTCGGGCGCCGGTTTGACCCCTGTATGACTGCTCATTCCAAAAGAGCCTTTTACACCCCCCAGATCCGCTACATGAACTTGAATGTGCTGATTGGTCTTCAATTTTCATGCCCTTGAATCGCGTGCAGCTTTCTGGTGAGGTTCCTTCGCATTGTAATCTGTCACCTCCTGTGGACACGATACACCGCGGAGGTAAAATGCCGAGAGTCTCTTCGTAACGCTCAATAAAAGCCCTGAAATCCAATCCCACCGCCGCGCGATCCGAGTTCAGGAGCTTGAAAGCCCATTTACACATATATCCCGGCACATCGGGCCTGTTCGAGCCAACTCTCAATTCCCTCTGAATCGCAGGCACAATGTCTACTGCGAGAAATTCATTCTGCTCATGATCATAGCCTAATTTAATCTGATGATTCAAACCGTCAGAGAAATGCAGCATCAAGGCTCTCTGCCATGATGTCCATAAGAAAGCTTGTAGGACCAAAACGTAGGGTCGCCTGACTGAAGATAATTCAAGCGCTGCGCTGAGAAGACTCGAGATGGTGTTGATGTAGAAGGCGAAAATGCCGCTCCACTGAGCGTCGGCGATTTCTATTCGAAGCGCGATGCGGATTATATTTTTGTCCACGTATCTGACCACTTTGAGATTATCCCAGGTTTTATGTGCCTGGTTTACGAAATATTCATCGTCTAATTTGGAGATGCTTTCTTGGGTCCAGCGATTACCTAACGAAGGGGGGACCTCAGGGAGCCTAGCCAATTTATGACAAGCCCCGTCGATAGTAGCGTCAATATCGCGAGGCTGGAAATGGCATTCGAGGAGTTTGCTATATGCAGTATCAAGCTGCTCAAGGTGGTTGGCGGGGGTTGCTTTTGAGATAATATCACAATATTCTCGGTATCGTTTTGAAGCTGCTTCAAGTTGAACTTTTTTAATATCGCCAAGTTGGAAACGTGTGTTGATTTTGGAGTGCTCAACGTACAATTCTATCGGAAGGCTGGTGTCGTTACTGTTTGGATTAGGCGGAATGTAACGGGCTTCGTTTAGTATCTGTGCTACCCTGTCTCGTGTGTATGTTATCTCGCTCGGTTGTAAGTGATTCGGCATGGCTATGGGCAGTTAGCTAATATGTATAAAGTGTATAGCGAGTCGTTGGAAGTGAATGTATTTATGCGAAAAGAGGGAGTGAATGCCGGTGAACTTGAAAAGAAGGCTTACATAAGCAAATGTTTGATGCCAGCGCATCTTCCTATCAAGTCTTAGCATTGGCTGAAAAAGTTCTATACCGAGCCTATAAAGATCTGGATGTTCCGTAATATGCAGGGATTTGGAGATTAATTATCCATCTCTTCCCTGAATTGACTCTTCAAAGGGGTTTCTTTCAGCTATGATGTGTTAATCTTGTCAACACCCCTTGATGTTCCGCTGGTGGAGACTGACTACCGCCTAAATCTATGCTCGGTATACTGGGTTGGGTTCCAGATCACGTACCAGTGGCTTTTGATCCCCGGATTATTCCAGCAAGATTTCTTTTTCCTCGAAGTACGGCAAGGTGGTATCATCTCCCCAGTCAATTACCCCCAGCCATGTCCACGTCCCTTCGCTGGAGGTCATACGGATTCTCCCACATACCGCAAGTAGGAGTCCTTTAGTAATGCTTCTATAACCTCCATAGATGTTCGCATAAGATTCTTCAAAGCCTTCTACTTCCCCTTGTGCACCTACTCGCTGCAAGGGGTGAAGTAGTATACCGTCGTAACAGCCTTCAAAGTACTCTCCTAACTTATCTGGTATCGGCTCATTGTCCATGGGTTTTCCTGAGCTATGGATACCACGATATGACGAAGCGGTTTTGTTCTTGAAGCGAATACTTGCGACTCCCCAATTAGCACGGAGATATTTTATCTCGAACCCCTTAATCTCGATCGTACCAACTCGTGACTGACTACCGTCGTAAGGAGGGTATAGTATAGATATAGGGGATTTTTCATTGGCTGCAAGATATGGGCCTGGCTGCTTAGGTGCCCATGATGGGTTTCGGGGATAACTTTTTGGAGGGAGCCTCTGTACGCTTGAGAGCAAATGACCAGTATAAACAACTTGATCGAGGCGCGTCCCATCTTTCCCTCTAGTCCATAGATCCTCGGCATTTCCGCGTACAGGGTCGTCGACAAGAAGACTCCATATGATTACATCATCCCCGGGGCGGGAAGCGAACCTTTGGCCCAAGAGCGAAGCGGCTTCAGAAACCGTGATAAAACCGCGCCCCATACGTCCTGCGGTGAGCTGAGCATCGTGAGAACTATCAAATGTAGAGCTTTGGAATGGAAGCTCTCGACTTGAAGTTTTGAATTTAATCCAGTGGTAGACTCCTGGAGCTGGGAACAAATGGTGGTTCGTCAGGAGAAGTATTGATATGCTTATATCCCCATGGTATGTCACGTTGCGGAGTATATCTGTTAATGAAATCAGTCTGTTGTCACCACTTGACTTACATAGAAGTTGGATGTTTTTTCTGCCACGCAAGGCCTCTAGTAGCGTCCAAGCCCTCACATTCCAATCACAAACAAGGACTATGGTAAGGATGGATTCCATAAGAGCCACACTAGCGTCGGAAGTATCGCTCTCATCTTGTATGATTGAGATGTCAATATCCATTACATCCCGGTCGCATAGTATTGTTGCGTGGCTAGTTGAGAAGACCTGGTTAATGGTTAGGATAGCTTCTCGACGTAGAATATGGTCGCAGGGGATGCCTACAAGAGAAGCATTAGCTGACTTCATTTAAGAAGCGATACTAAAACCCTTATCACTAACAGGCAGCATCAATCCAATAACTAGTACAATTGAATTTCTTTGCGATATTGCAGTACCTTTGATGGAGACATTGATTCAATCCATCTTCCGGTCTACCTCCTTGACCATGACTCCACACATGGGAAATCGCTAAGGTTGCTGTATCGGCTGCCTGATAACGTAATTGATCAGACGTGCTACTGATCGATACAGCGCGTGCCCCGGACACCGTCAGATAGGATGACTTGTCCCATTTAATTCGATTGCATGCCTGTCGATCCGTACAGGAGAGATCGTGTTGGCTTTGGTCTACAACTTTGGCTCCTCTGATTCTCTTGCAATCGTCGGGTCCTAGTCCGGAGCATGCCTTGTTACCAATGCATCTTCCTGATCTCTCGCCAAATACGCCAGTAAACCTCTGATGGAAATGCCGAAGATCGAGTAGAAACGTTGACCTGCTTCGATGTAGAATCTGATATGCCAGGCTACACATGTATTGTGACTTAATTGTTTGAAGCGAGTCTAAAAGGAGGTACGATCCCCTATTTGGACTGAGTCCAAGTTCTCCGAAACCAGTGTAGTCAAATCCCGTCTCCAGACTATCTTGAAGAACTCTCCTTTTACGTGTCAGTAGATATTCGGTTCATGTACCAGAGAGCTCTTCACCAATAATGCAAGGCGAGACAGCGGTGCCAGGTACTCCACAAATAGGTAATAAGGATAAACCAACGCCACGTATTATTATATTTCGCAGGGCCTTTTTCAAACTCGTGGAAGGCTCCGTCAATTAGGTCTGAGAGGAAATCTAGAAATTGCCTAAAGTTATGAGATTCCAGATTTTTGGTGTCGGCATCAGAACTCCTGTTATATGTTAGGGATATAGAAATGCCCATACGGATGACTCCGCCCGATAGCTTCTGAACTGTAGGGAGATCTTCCCAGGAGTACGAATTTGCGTTAATTTGGAGCCAGCTCCCCGCTATTGAGTCCTCTGTTAGTAATATATGGTTGGGTAGCGGGGGTGGCATAGATGGTAAACGTGATAGTAAATCCACTGTGAGATTGGTGACGGCGTCCCTGTCCGTTTCAGCTCCAGGTGCTATGAACTTCGTTATTATAGCGTTGTGAGTAAATGTACGGTCCAACTCAGTCCACGAATAGTCGGAGCCAGTACGTCTGTAGAGATTTCTAAGCATCATCCATCGTGATCGTTTGAGAGGCTCCGATAGGTGTACTCCGGGAAATATGACGCGCCTGATAGGAATTGATGCTTTTGCCTGTGTATTAGCACGTTCTTTAGCTAATCGTCCATCTATATCGATCTTTGCAATATCTTGAGGCCTAAATTCGCTAACGACGTGAGCGTCTATATCATTTTCATCGGAGCATTCTCTCCAGACTTCTAATATCCGCTTCGCAAGTGTATGCTTAGGCCATTGCTCCTTGGAACACATAATGAATAGCTGGATAATTAATCGCTTATCGAATTATCGGAAGTTACAGTTCCATTGCCAATGGAACTTTTTTATCGAACGAATAGTCTACCAAGGGCTTCGTTTGATATATGTTAACCACCTGGGTGGTGACTTAAGGAGGGAAAAAGATAGGTAGAATGGGCGAACCCCGCCAAAACTTTGAAGGTATTATAGCTCCTTGCCTACGGTGCACAGAGCGTTAAATCCACTAAAATTACAGTCAGCTTTAGCGAGCTATCAACTATCCTACCCCCTGTACCTAAGTATTTTCAAGGACGAAAGTCATTAAATGCACTTAGTCATCAGCAAATTTCCAGGGCCCTATGTGTCTAGAATTATAGCGTGCTACTCCCTATAGTTAAAGGTTGTGACCTGGAACGAACAGACTAGGTGAATAGGTTAGAGTTGAATAGAGGTTTAGGTTCATCGAGTAACCTCTACTAGCACAGGTTCCACCAAAATTCACCTGTACCCTGACGGGCACAGCGCTTTAATTAATAAAAGAGGCAGAATTAACTAACTACTTTAAAAATATATATATTTCTGGAATAAAAACTTATACCATACTAATAAGCATTTCTTAGCATTGTATCTTTTTATATTTCTGGGGCAAATTAGGTGCAAAAATACATTTGTTAATTACTGGCAAAAATGCTAATTGAAGCGCTATACCCATCAGGACACAAGTGAACTTTGATAGAACCTATGCTAGTATTTACACTTCTCTCTCTCTTTAATGTCTCGTTAGTATAAACTAATAACTGACTGAATTAGTTAACTAGGACAACTGTATTAGTCTTTATATACCGTGTTCACGTTAATCACCAATCGTATCTTAGGGCTGTAGAGGATCCGACACGAATAGCATCACTTGATAAGTTTTAGGTCATAAATATCTCCGTCAATCTTGAAGCAGAAATTCGCCTCGGGACCGAGATGGTTGGGCAGTGGGGGTGGCGTATATGATAAGTGCGTCACCTAGCACCCTGGACTAGGTGCTTAGGCGGCTAGGTACATGATAGATCCACTTCTGACGGGGATGAGTGCCTTATAATTATAGGGAACATGGTGCTAAGCCTTACTGTAGTCTCGATAGCTATAGCGTGATTTCTTGAAGAAGATAGTGACTTGATGAACCAATCATATGTAACCTAAACCGTTTATATTAGCTGACTAATTACCATATCCATCAGTAATCGCTCTTCTCATGGGCCTTGGCCCTTCTCTACTTAGTGCTAAACTCCTTATAACTACAGCGCACCCTGGCCCCCCAATCTGCCTTGGCTTCCTTCAAACAGACCAGGGTCCTGGGGTTCAGCTCTCCAGATGATCTGACGCCAAGGGTGAGGCAGAGCGCGTAATCTATAATCTTAGAGAACCATCACTTATTCGATACTACTAAATCCAAAATATGAAAGAAATGATTGGTTACCTCCTAACTTATTATTTCACTCCCTCTCGGGCTGTGGTTGCGGAAATGCCTCCTGTATTAGGCACCCCTTGTCATGCAAGAGGTGGCGTCAAGATGTTGATATATGACTGTCCCTACCCCGACGCCTGAGTGACTTTTCATCTCTGTTAGCTCCTGCTTGGACGCTATCATCTAACACGATATGGCGTCGGCTCAGGTGGCCATTACGGAAACCGAGCAAGGCCTCAAGGTTTTGTCTCTAGGTAAACTTCTAATATTCTGTTAATATTCTATTGATACCCTTAGCTAACGCTTCGGTACCGTAGATGGAGGAGGTGTGAGGGGAATGTCGAGCCTATACATTCTACGTCACTTAATGAAACGCTTGCAACCCAAGGACACGCCAAAACCATGCGATTACTTCGACATCATCGCGGGGACAAGCACAGGAGGGTAAGACGAATGATATTGAGTATTTCGCATGATTCACTAGACTAACTGCTATAATAGTCTCATTGCGATTATGTTAGGTCGTTTGCGAATGAGCGTTCAGGATTGTATTGATGCATATGGGAAACTTTCCGAGAGAGTTTTCAAACCGAGAAAGCGGTCGTTTAATGTAGTGGGTAAGGGAAAGGATTTATGGTCTCTTAGCGGCGCATTTGACGCCGATGAACTTGCCCAAGCGATACGTGAAGTTGTTGTTCAAGCAGGTGAGGATGGTAACGCTAAGCTCCTTGAAGCCGATCCGGGCTGTAAAGTGTGAGTATTTTTATTGGCGGGGGTCTTTTTACAGCGCTAACAGGCGATCAATAGCTTCGTATGCGCTATGAGAGCTGAAATCACCAAACCTGTCAGGCTCCGAAGTTATGAAACACCAACTACAGTTCAGGAAGTTGATTGTACGATTGTTGAAGCCGCAAGAGCGACTTCTGCTGCGTCTTCGTTTTTCAAACCCATTGTAATAGACGGGCAAACATTTACCGATGGCGCTACGGGTTACAACAACCCCGTGGAAGAAGTTTTCGATGAAGTCAATCAGATTTGGCCGGGGGGCAATCGGCCTATCGGGCTATTTTTGAGTATAGGGACCGGAACGCCTGCACTGAGGTCATTTGGCAAGAATCTCAAGAGCCTGATAGAGACACTAGCCAAGATCGCAACAGAAACGGAAGACACAGCTAAGAGGTTTCAAGAAGCTATGCGGGAGAGGGGTTTGAGTAAAGCATACTTCCGTTTCAATGCCCAGGGTCTAGAAAGAGTAGGACTTGAGGATCATAAAAGTTTTGGTCTGATTATCGCTGCGACAAATAACTACCTCAATGAAGTTGAAACACGGCAGAAGCTGAATGCTTTTGTCGCGTCGGATCGCTGTATGTAATTTCAAGGACGACGATATGCTTAATTGTTACGATACTAATAACGGCGGAAGCTTTCTTGAGCCTTTCCCAACGGCACTTTTATCTAGAGTCTCTGCGTTCATACGATGTGGGAAGTGAGCTGTCGGAAGTAAGCGAGCCTGTGTCAAACACCTTTGAATGGGTTTTAGAGGCCGACGAATTTCTTTCGTGGGCACGAGATACCGAACATCCCATCATGCTTATAAGAGGCAAACCAGGTTGCGGGAAAAGCGTGCTTCTGGCCTTCTTAAAGCGAACGATGCCCACGAATACGACTGCCTTCTTCGCTTGTAAGCAGACCGAAGATATTCGCCGAACACCGGAAATGATTCTATCATGCTTACTTCGACAAATCCTAATGGAACAGCCAAACCTGTTCCGATACGTGGTTCCCTTGAGCGCAGGCTCCGAGTCTTGGACCTACCGACAACTAATGGGGTCATTCGAGGCCGTACTCACCTCGCCCGACAATAAAGGAATCACCTGTATGATTGATGCTCTTGACGAGTGTCACGAAGTTTCCCGGAGACAATTTATCAAAGACGTTTCCCGCATTTCAGAGATCATCAAGCGCCAGAACGCTGGGTACTCGAGGATCATCATAACTTCCCGACACTATGCCGATATTACATTTCCATCCTCAGTTACCATCGACCTGGACACAGCACCACCCATGCTTGAAGATGTACGTCGATTTATCCACTTCAAGGTCAATGAACTTGTTCAGGAACGCCCCCACTACGCAGATGATATACTCAACATCCGCGAAACCCTATCTGAAAAAGCAGGCGGCATGTACAGGCTTGTAGAACTGATTGTGCAAGACCTTCTATATGCGACCGATTCTTCCCCATCTGCTGTGAGGCGAATATTGGAGTCTGTACCACAGGACATTGGAGAAATGTATGATCGAATATGGGGCCGGATCGGTGCAGTCGATTTACCACGGGCTAGAAGGATCTTCGCATGGATCTTACTCTCCCTTGGTCCATTGAATAGGGAAGCTATGAGCCTTGCTATTGCGATATCTTCAGCTCCACAGGGGAGCAATTATCGATTGAATGTGCCAGTCGACGTGGAAGGCGATCTCCGAGGGTTATTCGGACCACTCATTCGAATAGGCGCGTCTATCGAGGTCTCGCATCAGTCCGTCAGGGACCACTTCCTGATCAATAGGTCGGGTTTTAGTTTATACGACGCTTTCACTACTGGGTTCAAGGAAGACAATCAAAGTAATCGCTTCCGATACCAAGAAGAACAAGGGCAGATCGCTCTAGCTTGCCTTCGATATCTTAACGCACTTGACCCCGATACGATACCGAACGCGCCGGAACCGTTTCTCGACTATGCACTGGAACATTTTGCGAGACACGTATTGGAAGCAAACCACCACGATGAAGGTCTTGACAGAGAAATATTGCTATTTTTCCAAAAAGGGGTCTGGCAAGGCTGGTGGTACCAATCCCGGCCCCGTGAATACGTTTTCTCTCCCGATACACCCATGCCATCAATCGACGATTTGCTATCTTTCGCGTGTTACTATGGAAGGCCTCAAATTGTTCGAAAAATCCGGTTATCAGAGGATTCCTATAAGTCTTTTACTCCTTTGCTAGGTATCTGTCCGAAGGTGGCAGTGAGAGCGGTATACTTAGCAATGATTGGGCGAAACGAGGAATGTGTCGCGGAATCAATTCTCATCATGGACAGAATCATGTTGACGCCAAGCACACCACTCAAATTTGAGTCATTTATTCTCGAGGATCAACACGAGACAGACGACTACTCTACCTGTAGTTGTGCTCCAGATGAATTTGGGGATCGATCGTCAAAATTCCAAATTGCAGTATACCGTCGTGTCGCAGAAGCCTTCCACCGTATCCAAGCGCCAGAGCAAATCCTCCAACGGTCGGAAGAAAATACCGAAGCCTTACAAAGTCGTATACTCGGTGCGTATCGAAAGTTGGCGACTCAAGAACCTTCGGGTACATATGACTCCATACTTCTGGAGAACACCGATTGGACATATAACCTCGCCTTCTTACTCAGCCTTTATATGACTTGGACCTATGGTGCAGGTTCAGTAGACTTGATATCACCTAACGGCGCGGCTCTCCCTGAAGCTGTCAAGTCAAACCGTATCCAGGCAGTCGAAATATTACTTCACGAAGGTGTCAAGATAGGAGAAATATCGGACGGGAATGGTGCTAATCTGCTCCATTTAGCTGCAGAAACAGGCAATTATGAATTGGTAAAAATAATACTTGCACAGAAAGCAATTAATATCAATTCTGTCGATGGAAGGGGGCTCACGCCTCTACACTACGCCTGTTCGCTATACCCTCTTTGGGATTTTTGCATACTCCTCACCGAAAGACCGCGCTCAATCTCAAGGAGAAGAATTGTTAAGATCCTTCTAGAGTCAGGCGCTAATCGTGTCGCGAGAGATCACCTTGGCAATACACCATTGCAGACCCTGTCTCGAGTCTACACCCCAGAATGGGTTGACATTCCGAAGGGGTCCAGCCTAAATTGGCGTGAGAACGACCTGGGCGCTACTATACAACTACTAATGGAGGACCCTTCTGACATATTGGAATGGGACAGCCACGGCGTGACGCCATTACATTATGCTGCATATCTCTGGCCTCTCAGCGCAGTAGAACAAATTCTAGAATTTTTGAAAACATTTTTCATCTCAGGAAATCTCGTGGATCATTTGGGGTGCACACCTCTACACTACGCCGCATTCCGAGGTTTTGACGAGCCTGAAAAGATTGTCGATGTATTATGTGCAGCCCGTGTAGATCCACGGATCCAACAGATTGCCGGAGAAACCGCCCGATCAGTAGCTCAAAGTTATGGACGATTACGCACTGCCGAGGCGATCGAAAACCAAGAGAAGAATTTCGAAGAGAGAGCAAAAAGGGTCTTTCAAAGAACTCTAAGCGGATCAAGATTTCCAGATATAACCGAGGTGGTAGAACGAATTGCTCATTCACATGCTCAAAAATCATTCAGAAGCTCTAATTTCTTACAAACGGTCTATACCATCCCGATCCCACAACGAAAGCCATCGCCCGCGATGGCTTCACTGGCCCCGCGGCTTTTCCTTGGACCGTCGTTACACGATACAGACTATCCCAGTCTACAAGTGAGTCAATCGTTCTATCCCCTATTCGACGTTCTCGTCTAACTTCAGTAGCTTCACAACCAAGTGTATCGCGTCCAACAATTTCTCACATTATCGCGACCGGAACAGCAAGCCGAAGAAATGCATCTTCCTAAGAGACTATTGGACATGCTCATATTTCGGTTCTACAATCTTCATACGATAGAACCTTTCGGAAGAATTGATAAAACTCTACTTATGCGACCGCTCACAACTGGCCAAATCAAAGAAAAGTTGGGAATCACGTTTGGTGATCTAAGTCAGATGAGCGAACATGATGTTAACTTCTACGCGCCACGAAGAACAGACTCCGCAGATATTAATCAAAACGAGTTTTCTCAAGAATACGAAGGACACGATGATAACAACGACGATTACGACGAAGAGTACGAATATGAGGACGGCGATGAATACGAGGAAGATGATGACGAATGGGAGGACGATAACAGTGAGTGGGAGGAGGAAGAGGAAATCGAGGACGCTGGCAGCGAGTATTATCCCGATGATGAAGACTATTATTATTATTCATCCGAACCCCCCTATCCCGAAATCTCGGAATTCAACCAGGCACTGTTGTTCTTCCTATCCATATCTACTTTACTTGCTGGCATTATCCAGCTCCTTTGCCCATACTTCCCCCTACATGTAGGTACCTACGATACATCCTGGAGATCGGTATTACACCCACGACAACTTTGGTATTATGATGGGGACCTATACGATACGATGGTGGCCTTGGATTCCTTTCGAGATGAGATGCTAAGGCTTGCACAGGCTAAACACCAAAATAATCAGTTTATTTTGAATAATTATATATAGTGTATAAAAAAATGTTTAAATCATATTCAAGCTATTTACATTTATTTTAGACATTTAATTGCATCGTTTCGTATAATGATACTAGACGGTCACGCCCTATAACTATAGTACATTTTAGCACTAACCCACCGTAATTACAGCACGGTACGACCGTGGGAGTTAGTGCATGCGCCCCTAATATCCCCCGACCGAAGGCCCCAGCGTCAAAAATACAGTGGAGGTGAGTTTTAGCGGGCGTCATAATTCCCAGCAATAAAGGGGGTAGTTTTAACATAATCCATATTGATCCTATAAACCATCGTTAACCATGCCAGCTACAGCACATTATCATCTTAGAAACACTTACCATGAAGTCCCTTGAGCAGAGAAAAAATTAGTAAGTAGGAACTGCTCAACATCCGCATCGGAAAGTTGTTTCGAAAAAGCAACACGGGCACTTGTACCAGCCCCTGGCCCATGGTTATGGTACTCGCCGAAGAGAATCGCATCGGTTCGAGGATCAGACTTCCCCCATACTGACCAACCTTCCGGTGATATTGACTCGTCTAAGTAGGTCTGAATATATGCAACCCGAGAATAACTATTATACGGCCGACCTAGATAGACAGAGCCAGTAGTGACACCTTGCTTGGCGGTGACTGTGCATTGATCGAAGACGAGACCTCCAGGGGCGGTGCTGGAAGCTCTCTTCATAGCCGCGATTCTACCGCCGTCAAAGTTGGGTACTATTGTTGAATTGAGGAAATATGCTGAGCCTGCACCCCATATAAAGTCAACAGACCCCTGAACCAAAGTGTTATACGCGAAAACGTTGGTTCCGGAATTGAGGTCGAAGGTATCTTGATTGCCGGTAATCTGACATCCGTAGAACGAAGTATATCCGTTATTGCCACTAGCAAATCCAAGCGACGCATATCCATGCGCCTGACCGTAGACATTGTTCAAGTTGACATTATATAATTGAAGAATTTTTGCTCGAGAATACAGGGTCGCGGAGTCAGAATTACTTTGGCCGGCTTGGGTGTCAACTCCTTTGCTATTCTGTATAATGACTTGGTTTTTAGTGTTGTCGTATGGATCCTCTGAGTAACCACGGAAAATTGTGATACCCGATCGGTTGAAGACGAGTTGTTCCTTGTAGACACCAGGGTAGGCGAATACGGTTACAGTTTCCTTGCTCAATACCTTCTGAATAGATACTATTGCTTCGGTGAAACTCGAGTAGACCGTCTTACCTTTGACAGGTGACTTTGAGACAATGTAATCACCGGCAGCTGGTGCCGTAGAGTTCACTTCAGTGAGGCTGTTCAAATTCCCAGGGGATGAATTTCTCGTCTGCACTGTTGAAAGACTCGTTGGTGTGTTAATGCTATCCCAATACGTCGAATCAATCCACGAAGTCGAGTCCATAACACTAGAAAGTGTATAGCGATCAGACTTCAGAAGAGTCGATTTACCAAAACTCTTTCGACTATCGGCATTATTCTCCCAGTTCCCAGGCCCAGTGTTGTTAAATTCGGCGAACACGATGTGATCAGTCCGTGGATCAGAAGTGCCCCAGATCTTCCATCCAACCGGATGTACCATAGAATCCAAATACGAGTTCTTGAAGATAACTTTCGCATACTCGGAGTACGGCCGACCAAGGTAAACTCCAGATTTGGTCGCAGACTCGTAACCTGCGGCAGCGGTTACGAGACACTGGTCGAACACATAGATACCAATTCCGGACTCGCTCTTGCGGCTATGTGCTGTGATGCAAGATGATTTTCTCTTAGCAGCGATCGTACATCCCTTGAAGTATGCTGCAGAGTAACCCCAGATGAAGTCGATAGCCCCGTCTATATAGCAAGACTCATAGTACTGGTATCCATCCTTAGAAGCAGTGAGAAGCGTATCCTGCCAGCCAGTGAATGAACACCCGTAGAATCCAATGTGACTGCCAGATATTGAGGCAGCTAATGTCACATAGTTGGGAGTGGTACCGTTCAAGTTTTCGGTGTTGATGAAGTTGATATTGTAGAAAGCAACATCGGAGGACGCGGTTGAAATAACCGCAGTTTCAGAATCAGAGTGACCTTTAGGGAGAGGCGAAACTGAGAGACCACGGCTGAACGATATAGTCGCTTGGTTTCCGGAGTACCCCTTTCCAGGGCTTTCCTTAGTGTATCCAATGATTACGGTCTTTCCAGTGCGATTAACAGATACTTGTTCGACATAAGTGCCTGATTTTATGAAAATTGTCTGGCACGAAGAATCGCTTGGGAGTGATGCTAATGCGGACGTTAAACTAGAGAATACCTCGGCTCCTGATTTGATTGTGTCCACTATCACGGCATCAACTGGCGCTTCTAAAGCGCTAGTGGGGTGGCCACCACAGGCGGCGGAGGTCGTCGCCACATCGGACCCGTATGCCAGTGAAGCAACACAATTTATGAAATGCCCTACAAAAAGTATAGTCCCGGAGGAGAGCATTCTGAGTTGCTAACCAAATGGTAGGTGGTATCGTAAGACAGTAATTCCTTTTTGAATGAAGCTAATCCCTGAAGGCGTCCCCCGTTGATTTTATTTTGATAGAACCATTACATAAGCCAGTCCAACCGATCGAGTTTTCGGTTGCCCTTAGTTCTAGATTGTTAACTGGTTTGCCAAGATCTGTATTATCCAGAGTGAGGTGGTAGTAATACAAGGAACTAGAAGTTCAGTGTCTCTAAGTATATCCGGTGGGCTATAGAAGTCTGGTTATAGTTAATCATGCAAGTCTTGAATGGTACCCGGGTAGGCAGTTTAGCGAAAGTTGCCATAGGTCCAGGATTACGAGGACGGACACGAATATCGCTCCTGTATATTGGTATCAATGTGTGTGCACTAAAGAAAAATCAGTAGTGTATTACTTCGAAGCTTGATATACCTATCCCATAATTGACACTGGGCAATCGCTAAGATGTCTCCCATTCAGGGACTCGGACCCAGGATAACGGCTAATAGCCCGATTTCGACGAGCTATGTAACAATACGCGGCCAAGAGATCACTCCCCGCATTCTATCGCAAATATCATCAAGTTCATTTTATTTCTCCATGAATTATCGTTCGGTTTAACAGGGACCGAAGTATTCATACCGACAATGCCACTCTTGGGGTAGGCCTAGACTTTTAAGTGAAAACCGGAAATATTGTTTAGATATTTATATCAGTCTTCCCAGCCATAATATTACTCAAGGTAAAAAAGGTTTTCTTGCAATTGGTATGTCGTGATTGTTGACATATTCAATGCTGACAAGATGGTGTCGTTCAAGGTGTTGACTTTCGCGATTTTCGCGTCACCAATAAACGCCGTCTTAACTGCGACTGAGACTAGCAGCCAATATATTCTCAAAAATGACGATTTATCAGTAGCAGTTAGTAAAAGTAGCGGGCAACTCACTCAACTATCTCTAGGAAAGCAGGATCTCTTAGGAAGTGGAGGTAAGGGACCTTACCTCGACTGCTCCTGTGTACCCAGTGGTTTCTGGTCCCCCGGAAGTACAGCAAAGTTCAAGCTCATCAAAGATGTCGACTCAACTGGAACAGCGTATGGTGGCGTTGTGATGAGCGACACGTACTCGTCCACGAATCAGACACTGGAGCAGTATTGGTTTTTACGAGAAGGCGAGACGGGCTTGCACGTCTTCTCTCGCGTCACATATTTCAACTCGAGAACCCCATTTCTGCGAGGACTCGGCGAACTTCGCACGCTTTTTAGGCCAAGCACAAGTCTATGGACTCATCTCTCCAGCAGTGACGGCAATTGGGCCCCTTTCCCCTCGTCGGATACCAATAAGAAAGGCATCACTGTCCAGGATGCGACGACGTATTTCAAGGACTCGGCGAGTGACGCTTATGTAAAACAATACTCGGATTACTTCACAAAGTACGCGTTTTCCGAAGTTTGGCGTGACCATGCTGTACACGGCCAATATTCGGACGGATCGACTAGTTCCGATAAGAATACATACGGAGCTTGGTTGGTGCATAACACACGGGAAACGTACTATGGTGGTCCATTGCACTCAGATCTAGTCGTAGATGGTATCGTCGTAAGTTTCCCTGTTAGCTCTTTCTGGTTTCTTTTCACTTACCACCACATAGTACAACTACATGGTATCAGGCCACCACGGCGCACCTGTTCCCAATATCACACATGGCTTTGATCGCACTTTTGGCCCGCAGTTTTATTATTTCAATAAGGGCGGCCCAAAAACATCACTCGCCGAATTGAGGGCCGATGCTGCGAAATATGCGGATCCCGCATGGAATACCGAGTTTTACGATAGTATCGCTAAACATGTCCCCAACTATACACCAAGTTCAAAGCGCACTACATTCAAAGCCACGGTGGCACTTCCCAGTGGTGCTAAGAGGCCAATCGCGGTTCTCTCTGAGAATAAGCAAGACTTTCAATTGAATGTTTTCGATTCGTCGAGTCTTCAATATTGGGGTGATATTAATACTGAGACCGGAGGAATTGAGATCCCCCGAGTTAAGGAAGGTACTTACAGATTGACGGTGTATGCTGAAGGTATCTTTGGTTGGTTCATCCAAGACGACATTAAGATATCTAAGACCGCGAGTGGCCCGCTCAGTTTCAAGTGGGAGCCAGAAAGTGCAGGCAAGGAAATCTGGCGGATTGGCGTTCCTGATAAGTCAGCAGGGGAGTACAAGCATGGCTATGCGCCCGATACATCGAAGCCTCTACAGCCTGAACAACATCGTGTGTATTGGGCCCACTGGGATTTTCCAACCGACTTCCCAGACGGAGTGAATTTCAAAGTCGGAGAGAGCAAGGAGGCCGAAGACTTCAATTATATCCATTGGAGCGTATTTCCTGGGCGCTCTAATTACTTCCGCCCTCAACCATACTACGAGAACGTTAACAATTGGACAATTCAATTCAATCTGAGCAGCGATCAACTTGCTGGTGCGAAAACAGCGACCCTTACGGTTGAGCTCGCAGGCGCCAAGACGGCCAATGGGAATGACAAGTGGGCATCGCTTCCTAAGGAGAAGTATTCTAACCTCCCCTATACAGTTGCTGCCAACGGAAAGGATGTCGAAACATGGGTTATACCGTCCTATCGCAGCGGATCGTGCGGGGCTAGAAGTAGTGTGGTTTGCCAGAATTTCGGGAAGAAGTTTGAATTTTCGACCCAGCTTTTGGAAGAGGGCGTTAATGAATTCGTTTTGAGTTTACCGTTCAACGCAACAGATACGGAAACAGCGTTGTTACCGGAAACTGTGTATGTACAGTACGATGCTTTGAGGTTTGAGCTGAAGTAAAAGTTGAGGAAGGATTGACAGTTTCTAGACTAATAGAATTTATTATGCTTGTACGACAACGCTAAGTCTCATCGAAGAGGGCAAACGGGCTCAAATCAAATGATTGAGTTGGACAACACAGAAACTTAACCTTACACTAGCAGATTAGATGAAATTAAAACATTTGTGACTCGCGTTCATTGTCAGCGTAAACAAACAACTTCACTTTAGAGTACGAAGAATTTTAGGAAAGGATTTAATGAGTCTTACCTTGACTTTTAGGGGTCGTAACATTGGCGCTTATACCAAAGTCGGGCGAGGAATGTACTCGGTAGATATTTATAGCAAACGTCATGCTAAGATTGGGAATGATGATTGGTTACTGGGTATATCCTGGCAGCCCTAATCGTAGTAGAAAGGGTTATCGATAAGTAAACAGCTAGGTATTTAGGTTATTTAGGTACATATATAGTGCTGTACCCGGTAGTAAGGTACATGTCTAGGTATTAAGGTAGGGCAGGCCTACATTTACCGTGACATGACGCGCGCGACGTCACAATCTGAACTTCAACCCTTTCAAATCCTCATCTCTTAAAATCCCTCCTTATTCCGTCATCTTCGAATTACCGATGCTCTGTTTCCCTATGTTCGTACTGATGCAGTCCGTGAACTGGCCGCAATCCATCACACACACGAGAGATCCAAGTCCCTGACACTTTCTAATTCAATTCAATTCGTGAAGAGTTGAATCCGGCGCAACGATCAGATCAATTTTCAAGCATACAAATCACTACGGCATCCTTTCGTAAGATAAGCTAGAATGGCTGCGCACGAATATGACGAGATAGCGGTGATGGATGAGGATATGAAGGGTGATAATGATAATAACCATGGAAACAATAACAACAATATCAATATCAGTAGTCACGGGTTTGGAATAATCGAACGGTCACCCCTCTCAAAAACTAGAAGTTTGTCGGATGGAGGTGGAACAACACAATTATCTCCATCCCCTCATATTCTCGAAGCCTCACGAAGAACATCAAAGGACGATACCGACAGTTCTTTGGTTACACGCGAGAGAACACAAGATCCAACATCAGCATCAGCATCATCAGCAGCGGTAGCAATGGGAACAACAGGAACATCTACAACAAATAATAATTCTTTAGTCACTCCCGTTACGCCCCGACGACCAGAATTCCCCATGCGCGGCCTGTCGCTGCAGATGTCACAGTGCGATTCATCTGTTTCGCCCGCCCAGACGCCCAACCACGTCAAACTCGCCCCTCTTTCCCCGAAACTCGACCATTCCCAAATATATGCCTCCCCCACAAATATCCTCCCGAGACGATCGCGTGGTCTAGATTTTTCGAGGGCCGCTACAAGTTTACATCATTCTACCCTTGCCGAACAATCATCCCCCGATTCCTCACCTACTATCGGCGGACGTGCTATGAACATACCCGGCCGTAGTACTGGCGAATATGGTCAAGAACAATCTGTAAATTCCTTGTGGTCCATGATGGGTAACCAAGAACGTATGAATATTTCTAGCTCGGTAGGGAGCACCAATCCTCTAGCTTCCGATTCTTCCTCGAGCTCGGGTGATGATGATTATATGGATGAAGAGATGGAAGATGCCATTTTCAGTACACCACAAGCAGCTAAGAGCAACCAACAAATTGGCGGTATCCTATCCGGTTCTATGAACAATGTCGTCCCGTGGATGTCTTCAGCATCGCCTGCTATCAACAGTCTTCAGAGCTTCCGAACGCGACCGCGAAAACAACCCAGGAAAAGACAACGCGGCCTAGCTGGCTTAGGCTTCAGCCCTGCCGCTCCACATACATATTCCAAGTCACCGCCGAACAACGTCGTGAAGGAGATTAAAGATGTTCCTATCCATGCACGAAGAGAAAGCATTAGTTGGGCTGCGAATCAGTTGCATATCTCGGGTAGTGAGAGTGAAGAGAAGTCTATGGATGCCGGTGAAGCAATACCACGAGATGGTACTAGAGGTGTAGTCAAGCGCGCCGTGACGCGGAGAGGTAGTCTTCTGGTAAGTCTCGTTATTATCCATGTACCACAAATAACACTCGCTAAACGCACTCCTAGCCAAAGACGAAAGGCTTCGCGCGTATCCGTGCCGCACTGGCAGAAGAAAGTACACCGGTAGATTCCGAAGTCCGCCGAGAAGCCGAAGTTATCCGTCAAGTTCGCGAGAGTGATATGGACCTCGAGCCTCGCGTTACACCTAACCCCCCAGCATTAGACATACCGTCTATGTCTACCGCACAATCATCGCCGAATCTAAATACCGCCCAAGAATCTCTCGACGATACACCGGAAGACGATATGATGACCGACTCAGCATTATCAAGCAGTTTTAAGCAACAAGCTATGAAGAACTCGAAGGGTAAGAACTTCTGGGAAACCTTCTCCGAGACGGGTAGTGTTGCCGGTAGCCGAGTCACACCTCCGCCTTCGTCGTTTATGCCTAGAGGCTCCTCGTCTGGGATGAGTGAAGACGTTAATATGGATTCACCATCCTTGTCGGCGGGTTCCGGTAACATAGGACCTTTCGGCCCAGGTCCCCTCAATGCCGGTGGTCCTGGAAGCGAGAGTCAGAAATCGGATACCCCTCAACCGGCTTCGGGTTCAGTATCCCAAGGAGGCAGTGTCCCTCCGACTGCGGCGGAAATTACTCGCCGTATTAACAACAAGCGGCGAAGAGACGACGACTTCGACCCGCATAGTTTCAAGCGAAGAGCTGTGAGTCCGGGCATGAACAGTGTCCACAACTCACCTATCACGCAAAGTCCTCTACAACGAGACCTCAACCCTTGGGGCTCTCGACCAGGCAGTAATCATGGTGGCGATAAAGCCTCGGCGACCCCCAGCGAGAATGGAAGTAATGGCGGAAGTGGTAGCGGAAGACCTATCAACGGCGCCAAAGGCCGGGTGGGATTCCAGGGTATGGTTGATACGAATGATGGCTTGATGCGGATGAGCATTGAGTAGATTAGAAGGAGAAGGGCGGTTGTTTTTTGAGATGAATCTTGCTTCCGGCATTAGCATTTGGAGTTGTGGCAATGTGATTTGGATATGAACTGCAAGGGATGCTATCCATCCCTTTACCGATACCAAGATGGATCGGGGGAGCCTAGGTCGTTCAGATGAATAGACCTTGGCGGATGGAGAGGATGCATGCCTACCCGCCTGTTTGCGGGGGCTCAGAAATGCATTATGTGCGGCAAGGTTGTCGGTAGCGTACTTGCTATTCAATACCCTCATGATATAATGAATACAAATTAGACATAGCAGGCATTGATATTCATCATTCCCAGCTAAGCATGGTTCTGTCCAAAACGATTATCAATTGGTTTTTATTTAATCGCGGTGGCGAAAAGATGCGTGATATCGATATGAGTGAACTTCGTTGTTTAATAATCCACGGACGTTTCCTAAATACTTGCATAACAGCTATGCGCCTCTAAATAAATGCATCCATATTTCTATTCAGAATACAATAGAAAAAAAAAAAACAATGGAATGCTGTACGAAGGAAAGAAAAATAGAAATAGAAATAAAAAAACCAACAACACCCCGACGATTCGAACCCTGGCGTTCTAGGACATAAAAAAAGTAGCCGCCATTTCGGTAGTTAGAGCGATGTATTTTCCATACGCATCTAACTAGGTCCGCAACATTTTCGTGCGCCCAGCTACGAAAAACACCTATGCTATAGGGTTGTTTCTAACCTTCGAAGTCATCCATAACGGAGTCAGGCTACCGGTTGCTAAGTTACTACCACTTATAACCTTTTCGAGGGGAAACTGTAAATTTGTAGTGGAAGGTGCACGTTCCTACATGTAAGTACCTACACGTACACGCCTCTGTACGTTGCCACGTGATACCTGCTAAACATAGACACTGACATTTGAGTATCACTGTTGCAATTGACGTAGTTTTATTCACTGCTCATAATCTATTCAGAGTATCCAACCTGTCTTTTTCCAAGCAAAAAGGGGTATCCTTCATAACCAACCCACTCACCCAATTCGCCTGTACCAATTAACCCAACTAACTAGACTCAGGTTTATCCGTAGGAACAACATTCTCCTTTGATCCCGCAGGCAAAGACTCCTCAGGCAGAGACTCAATACTCTCACCCTTCTTAAGACCAAGCTGTCTCGTATCCCAGCCATTGCTCTCGAGATAGGCCTTGAAGTTAGCGTCTTCCTTGGTGATAGTATCCTGATCGATATGAGGAAGAAGCAAGGCCAAACCAGCAGCGAATATGCATAAACTGGAACTAACGTAGAACTTGTACTGGGCTGACTTAATCGGATCGCCGTCTGGCGATTGGATTTTCTTAAACACATAGGTGCCTACGAAAGCCCCGATCTTGCCGAATGCCGCCGCGATACCGTAGTATTGTCCTCGTACACCTGTTGCGCAGGTCTTGGCGGCTAGTAGTCCGATGTTGTTCCCGGGCCCGAGCTCGCCTAGAGACAAAAAGATGCCGTATACGACTGCAAAAGCACCAACGACGGAGGGATGTGAAAGCTTCGTGTATGTTCCGGCCATTATGAAACCTACGACCGCTTGCAAAACCTGGCCAAGAATGAGAGTATAACGAGGGCCGATACGGTCGCTGATCGGAGCACCGAGCATAGTCCCGGGGATGTTAAACAGATTGATGACCGTACTCCATCCGAAAACTGTTGTTAAGACGCTAGATGTCCCGTAAATATTGGCGACAATGGTGTTTGAGTAAATTCCGAATGAGTAAGCCGAGAACTTAAAGGTCGTTAGCTACCCCGGTACTGATAAATAGATTAAGGGATAAATACTAACATCATATATGAACCAAATTAAGCTGACGATGAAGAGTCGGAACCCGTAGTATCTGAGTACGTATGCGTACGGTATCTTGACACTAAAGAGTATAGTATTAGCTATCGTAGTTCGAGATACGACTCATCCCGCCGGTTCCATCTAGAACCGTGGATGATGCCAATTGAAGCAACTTACTGCTTCATTGAGTTTCGTGAAAACTCCTCGGGCTCCTTGAGCCTTAGACGAAGGACGAAGAGTACCAGTGGGAATGCTACACCGATTCCCAAACTCGTTCGCCATATCGTGCTGTAGTGTTCATTATGGGCCGCCGCAGCTACGACATAAGGCACGAAAGCTCCAAGAACGAAACCCCAGTCTATCATAGAATTCGTGAACAGGATAAACCAAGTGTTTCGGGTGCCCGCTTTCAACTCGCCGCTGGACTCGGCGCAACCCACACTGCCGGCTGGGTACTCTCCTATATCAATGATTAGTTCCGACTCCGCGCCACAATCACTTAGTGAGAATCTTACCTCCAATACCAATGCCGACCTAGAACCCCGTCAGTAGATTGCTTAAATAATGAGATTGGAAGTTATATATACTTACGAAGAATCGCCAAGCAGCTAGGATATTGAACATGCCCACAGCATCTCCACGATAATAGGACCCAGCGGCAAGAGCCGTGAACACGATCAAAACGATCGTCGAGATAAGAAGTGAGTTTTTCCGCGACCACTTGTCGGATAAGTATCCAAAGAAAAGTTGACCGACGACCTAAGCTTGTAAGCTGAGTCCTTGGGGGAGCTTGGATACCCTCATACCGTTCCGGCGAACGCAATAGCTGGTACAACGCTAGCAGCGCTGGAGTCTGTATAAACAGTGTCATATTCCTTTTCGAGTACTGTGTTCACAGATCCAATAACCTAGATGTCGCAAGTAAGCATAAAACACATTAGGGAATGCCAAATGGGCGGATAAGTAAAAAGCGAGACCTACATTGTTGATATAGCCATCTGAGAAGAGACCAGCGCCACAAGCTAGGACGGGCAAGAGAGTCTGAAAAAAGGTCTTCTGGCCATCAAGAGGTACTATTTCGGGTGGAGTATCAGAGACCACCCCTTGGTCTTGGTCTTGGTCCTCTTCCTTTTTCTTGCGCCAAAACATTTTCTACTGTTGACAATTACCGGGGACAGTTGAAATCGTGTTGATCAGAGTTGGCCGAAGTGAGCCGATGGCATGCGAATGTTCGTCTTATCAGTAGCGACGCAGACTAAGCATATCGTGAAGTAATATTATTATCCTCACTGGACAATCTTGAAGTTGGAAAGACGAGTGCAAGATAATGAGTGGGAACTAGTATATTATATAGCCAAGAAAGAAAGAAGAAGGAATAAATTCTTTACGATACTAGGTTGAGCATCCTGAAGATTGAAAATAACTAGGTTACATAGGTAGATAGAGGAGCGCGTTGGTTCATATTAAAAGGATAGTAAGTTCTTACTATCTAACTTTGTAGGGAAATAACCAGATAACCAGATAAATCTAGACGAAAAGGCCGAAAGCCACATGGCTTTTCGTCCTTCCTTATCTGTATAGGTCGCAGTTCCCATTTGTTCTAAGTTCGCTCCAACCTCGTACCTACCTAGGTACATGTATTTTGACTTCGGATAGCCTTCTTTAAGATAAGACACGGCTAACTCGATAGGGTTCATCCTTGGTCCATCCCGCGCCCACTATATGCAGCGGGTTTGATGAATAATTCGTCTGTGCCAACAGGAAATTAATACAAATTTAGCCAATCAGAAATTCGAGATATACCCCGTGCCAAGTTCTTCCACGAAATCGTCAAGATTGTTTGTTCTTTCCCCAGTCCAAAAGTGCTGACGTTTCGTTTTGCGGCGCAACCGAGTCTTTTCAAGCTTTTAGTTTTATTTTTGGCGTCACGGTCCGAAGTCTTGGCTGCAGTAATTACCTGCGAGATACATGTAAATCATCTTTTGGTCGCGTGCTTCTGCTTCTGCTTATATTTTATTTCTTTTCATTTTTCTCATATCTTTTTTGGTATTTTTCTATTCAATTTCGTCCTCGGAGCAATTACTTTATTTGTCCGGAAAGTCGGCAGGAATTCATCATCCTAAAAGACAGTAGGTAGGTACAAGACCTTGTGTCGTGTAACCCTGCATATGCAACCCGGTGTACTACGAAGACGAAATCCTACAGCGAGAGCTCGGACACGCCGCCATTTTAGAGACATCCATTAGCCGACAACACCACTTTGCGACGTAAGGGAACCCGCTCAACACTTTATTAATCTACCTGCCTACCTATCTTTTTGAGTATGTAAGCCACGTGAATTTACGGTGGCTTGATTGTATTAAGAGAACAGCTTAAATCTCTTCGCGTGGCTTTAGGTTACTGTTATGTACAACCTTATTTGGTCAAACTAGATTGACTCTAGGAACCATCTAGTCGGGTCAATATGATGTGTATGTTACAAATAATATCAACTTCCACCTGTCGAATGATAACAACCAATACAGCGTTCGCTTGTACGATCATACCCAATTAATACTTAGAAGACATTGATCCAAAATCATCCGTATACGTAGAAACCAATACTCACTGGCTACCATACTCGAGCGTCGCAACTCGTGTAGTACCCAGGTGTAGAAATACATAATAACGCCACGATACGTCGGGATTGGCGAAACATAAATCAAGTACGCGTCAGCTCATATCAAGCTACAAGATATCGTTGCAAAATTCAGTACCGATAAATCGATCTTAAGTAACTTTCTTCAGACCAAAGACGAACTACTTATTTTTTTTAATAAGAAAATCCACAATAGAGCTACCTACGTCATCGCATCTTGCTCGATCTACCCTCTCCATAGAGAAAGTATCTGAAACGCAAAACTACCAATTTTGTACACTGTGACTTGTATCGATGATATGCATCATTGAGAAAGAATCCCTATACTGTAAACATCCGGGCATATGTAGAAGAAACTCCCCTATCCCCTATTCATCAAGATGCTCCCATCCCTAAAGTCGCTGCCACTCCTCCCATCAATACGCCTCTATCCTGGACAACGCCTCTAACTCTCTTTCCCTTACGCCGTCTTCTTCCATTGCGTGTAGACACCGATCAAACTGCTCACCGTACCCGCAAGACCAACAACTCCGTCATCGAAGCCAACCCAACCAAGCGCCGCCGTCGGGACCGTCAAGTCGCAAAGGTCGGATAGTAGCTGTAGTTGGCTAACTGAGCGTTCCCTATTCATAACCACGTTAGTCCCATGTCCCATTTCTCCACCATATAGAAGAGGAGAAACTTACAGCGCAATCCTCTTACTCTCAACAACCCCCTCACCCTCCTTCTTATCAACCTTCGCCTCCCTCTCCCTAAGTCTATAAAGCGTATACGCCTGCGCCACAACACTACACACCAACCCCGCGGCCCAAAACCTATAAGCCTCCCTCTGCGCCCTCTTCGCACCATCCCACTTCCTAACCCCCAACGCATCAAACAGCGTCGCGCCATCAAACGTCAAGTAACCCGCATACCCGATCTGCCTCCCCACCGTAGCATACTTCAACACGGGATCAGCCAGACTCCCCGCCTTCGCCGTATCAGCAGCCAATGCCGCGGCTTTCAGATGTTCCACATTTTTCCCGAAACGCAGGAGCTTTCGCGCGAGCCCGAATTGCTTTTTGATAGCTTCGTAGGGCGCGACTTCGGCGCGTGTACCGTTCGTTCGGTACAGGTACCACGCGTAGAAGCGCGCGAAGTATTGTAACGTGCGTAGGAGTTTGTCGCGGCCTACGGTCGTCGCGACGAATTTTAGGTAGTGCGATACCGTGGGGTGGTAGATTAGGGCGTCGGCGACCATTTTCGTTTTTTCTTCTTTTCGTTTATCGGGGAATGGTGTTCGTAGGTAGGTGACTAGGTGATAAAGCGAGGGCTGCGCTATATGTCGTTTCTCGGGTTTGCTCGGTAAGTCGGCTGGTACGTCAGGTAAATTAATTAGTCGAAGTTCCCTAGCCGGCTAGATGTCAACTGTAAGGATTGTCAATTCGAAGTCCGACTTTCTTCGTAGTGGATCGAAAGGAGAGTTAAAAAAGAAGAAATTGAACTAAAAGTCGAATTGACTAGGTGATATGCTGATTAAGGAGTAGTAAAGACAATGAGGGGGTAGCAACGGTGGACGTAGTTTCTATTAATCGAATTTGACTTGGACTGACTCTCCCACAGCCGAACGGGATGAGCCAAGTGACGGAATAAGTCTGATCTGGGGAAGGAATTAGTGTGGTCCCAGAGCACATGCCGAGGTCCACTGGTCAAAATGGGCGAATTGGGTCGGCACTTTCACCTAACGTTTTGCCGGCCGTAATCCGAAATCCGCAAAGGCTTTCCGTATTGAGACTGTAGTAACTAATTGTGGCTTCTCATTGGTTGGGGTATTTTCTCGAAGTGGATTAATCCAAACGTTATTCGGAATTGAAACAGCAGAGGTCGCATGAAAAACGTTAACCGAGCTTTAAATACGGTATAATCACCTTATCAACCCTCGATATATCGTCACCAAATCCGGTCTCATCTATTACAACTCCAAAAGTTCAAACGATTACTCAAAAATTTACATACGAGAAGTATACAAGCAAATATTCATATAATAATGTTTTAAGTTTTATTTGTATTAAATTTTGACATGATCATGATCACACTATAGCAAATAGTCATAATTTTACTCAGTTCATAAGGTAACCATAATGTACACTTAAGCCTAGTATTTATCCCAACCTTCCGATAAACGGACATGAATGCATTCAAGCCAACCCTACGATCATACCTACAATAAGTAGAACACGTAGGTATCTGGGGTTTGTAAGTAAAGACCCGACATCTCGACATCATGAAGACGGAGAATGCCCACATTGCAAATCACAGATACGAAGCTTAGGTAGGTCGGCGTGGCATTTACGATGAGGTAGGCTTGTGAGAAGCTCGTGTTACTTTCCCGACCTAGAAACTCCTCTCTATGAGATGCAACTGATTCCGCAACCCCCAAACCATTACCAGATATGCCCGGTCGTAGTGTGGCAGACGTAGTAGGTAGTAGAAAAGTGAACCAGCTAATAAATCTAGCCTACCTTGAATGAGAGGTCGCCATCGACCTCAACGCATTCCATAGCAAACGAGAGACGATTAAAACCGAACGTCGAACGCTCGGATCCAAAAGAATTCCCCCAAACCGGAAATGCGTCATTCTGCTGAATTTATAACCGTGAAAGGGATTCGTCCAGTAGTAAAAATGTGGTCCATTAAACTCGTCCATTATGTCCTGGTAGACTTTTTCCGAAGAGATGACCTTGAGCGGTCGACGAGCCCCTTAATGGTAAGATAACTTCCGTGTTATCTGTCGCCCCGCGACTGTTCAGTCATACTGAAACAGGACGCTAATAGATTCACCGTGATGAATGCGACGAACAGCCTCGGCGAATATAGGCGCAACGTCTAGCACTTCAAGTTTGTGACATAATCTCTTGTGCTCGTCCTGTGGAACCGAGTTGGTCACAACTATCTTGTCTATAGCGGAAGCGTTGATGCGAGCAATTGCGTCGCCGCTGAACACGCCATGAGTCAAGAGTGCATAGACAGCTGTCGCTCCCTCCTTTCGTACGAGTTTCGCAGCACGTGTGATCGTGTTGGCTGTATCAGCCAAGTCATCAATCAGAATACAGACTCGGTTGGCAACATTTCCTACGAGCATCATCGTCGCATTTTGTCGATCCGTAATCCGCGTTGGTCGTCGTTCCTAATTGGGCCGAATGAGTTTGAAAACACATACGGAACACATTTTCCTTACCTTATGGATGAGGGCAAAATCCATGCCCAAGCTATCGGCGATAGCAGTGGCTCGCTTCGCACCTCCAGCATCCGGACTCACAATCACGGCATCCTTGTAATCGGGAATATTCTGTTGGATGTATCGCTTTAGTAGGGGACGCCCGTAAAGATTATCCATCGGAATATCGAAAAAGCCCTGGTATTGAGGATCATGAAGATCCAGGGCAACAACGCTGTGGGTTAAGTTAGCTAATACCCTTACATATAAACCACCGGGTGGGAATCATGTCATTGGGGAGCTTGGGGATGGAGATATCCGGATAAAAGCGACGGATCCATCTTCAAGCTAAGGAGACACATACTGGTCTGCACCGGCACAGGTCAATAGATCTGCCACCAGAGTTCCAGCCTGCGCAACCCATCTCTTGTATCCCGGTTTGGCTTGGAAGGTCGATATCAGTCCCGGGTTCTCGTAGTCATGAGTCGTATAGCTACCCGCACGTGAGTGGGTAAGAGTGTGATGATTCTGAGTCTCTCCATTCGTGCTTCCATTTGTGCTACCGTTCGCGTTGAAGTAGTTTTCGCTATTACTACGAGGGAGGCCATTCCCAGCTCCATTAGTAAGGGACGTTTTGCTCATCACTCTGGCCAAGTCTGTCTCTCTGTTGAAACCTGCACTCTTAATGATGCCGGGCGCCGGTGTAGCTGGGACGCTCTCGAATGTGTACTTCCCATTTGGAACTTCGGATGGAGGTTTTGACAATGGTGCCCCGACCTTGTTGTAGGGTAAATCTGGTTGTCGTGAATAGGGAAACAACGGAAGTACAGCGGTAACACGCTTAGCCGAGCCCGTCTTGCAGGCGGATATCACTATTTGCCTTGGTTAGTTTCCGTCGTACAACCTCTTGAGAAAATCTCTCATGAATACGTACTAATGCATAGTTCTATTAAGTGGTCGTTCACGGAACCACCTCCGGATTGGATGATGAAAACATCTTTGCCTCGTACAGAATCTTGGATCTCGCAGCGGGTCTCGCCAACAGAGAATTTGCTTAATATGCGGTTCCCGCTGGGGACTCCAAGCATATTACATACGGACTCCGCGAGGGTAGGATGGGAGTTCCCCGATAGAATGACGATGTTCCTAACCATCTTGGCGATCTGGCACAAGAGTTTAAGGAAAGGCGGTGTCAAACTGGGGAAAAAAAGAACTCCTTTGACGTCAAAGATCCACGCAAGATGGACTTTTCTTAGAGGATAGTAGATGAATGCCACAACTCGCAGCGTGTTTTCTTGTAAAGCGGTCCTTCGAGGACGAGTTTCAAGGTTTGCCGCTGCAGAAGAATCCTAATTGCTCCGATTGCGGTGTGTGTTCAAATAAGCCGACGTGTAGAAAGGTCAATCTGGCGTAGTAGTAGAGCTTGACCGATACGGGGGCGAAGCTTAGTTGGTCACAAGACACACAAGGCTAAGGGAAGAAAGGAAGCGAGGAAGCGAGATGATTGTAAGAGAAGGTCTCAAGCTGAAGCCGAAGCCGATGATAGACAAGGTGCGCAAAGAGACCCTTTGGGGATAAAACCCTAGAGAAGATCCATGGTGACGACGGGAAAAGAATAACGTGTTTTGGACAAAAATTGTGCGCAATCATTAATTCTTGAAGTTTGGTAGCTTTGCTGCATGACAAGGAAGAAAAATTGTATTGGAGGGATGAATTTCCTTCCAATTGCCAATTGACCGCGGGGCTCACCTGCAAAGAAAAAAAATAGAGAGAAAAAAAAAAAATTCTGCCAGGTTTACCTGGTCTAAATTTGTTACGCAAAATGGACCCTCTGGACCCTCAGCGACGGTTTAGTGGTTGTAAGTGGGTACCATTTAGTGGGTGCAAGCACGCTACGTGCTATGATTCTCGGTGGCAATCGCTGCGAACCAACGTCAGTACTACCTGTTGCGACTGCACCTGCTGCACCTGGGGTCTGCTGGGTGCCCCTACTGCGCAACCTACAACCTAGCTGACCTGTAACTTCTCAAGTGACCACTAAGCTTTAGGCTTCTCAGCCGCTATCCTCAATAATCCTCCGGTTATGTCTCATAGGCCCATACCGGTTTAGACAAGTTGTAAGTTTAGTGGGGGCCGTTACCGCCAATTCTCTTTATTTGGGGGTAGGCCGTTATTGGCTAAACCGCTCCTAAAATTGCCGACTTGATGCGGAATCTGCTTATTTCTTCTTATCTGCGTCTTTAAACTGTCCTGATCCGTTCGTCATTTCAAGCTGAAAGCACAAAATCGATTCCAATTTATATTCGTACATAATGTACCAAAGTATCTTAATTACCTCATATTGTTTTTGAGCTAATAAAATTGTCTGCATTTGTAACCTTATTATTTTATCTACCTAGGTATCAACAGAATCTCAGATTCCCATCTTTTCTCCAAGAGATCCAAGATGATAGATAAGTAGCCGTGCTATCAGATCTCGATGCCGGGAATTCCAGGCTGCAAGATCTGGTTGAGTCAGACGGCCAAACTTCAAGCCACATATGCTTAGTCATCAATAATTTCGTATACTCAATTTCATTTCTGAGACAACAATCATCATCACTATCACATTATGTATCTGAGTCACTAATAAATTAATTAACTTTGTATATGAGTTAGATTTTATCAACTTCGTATTGGTATATAATCATCTGTTGTAATTTACTTGTCAATTTGATATATTAATCATGCCCGAGATTGCCGAAGGTGAGACGAATTCATCACAAACCCCTATTCCACAAAATATTAAACAAACTACAGTCGCCCGCGTAACACACTTTCTCAGCAAACACCTAATCGGCAAGACCATCAGCAAAGTCACCGCCGTCGACGACGCCAACATCTACGGCAAAGTCGGTACCAGCGGTGCAGCATTCCAAGATGCTCTCACGGGGAAGAAAGTCCTCGATGTCGGACGTCAGGGGAAATATTTCTGGATTATTTTGTCTAGTCCCCCGCATCCCGTGATGCACCTGGGCATGACGGGATGGATTAATATTCGTGGGATACAAACGGGGTACACACGGTATTTGGAACGTACCGGCGGTGCCGATAAAGAGCAATGGCCGCCGAAATTCTGGAAATTCCATCTGGAAACGGATAGCGATCCGAAAGTCGAAGTCGCATTCACGGACCCCCGCCGCTTTGGACGCGTGAGGCTTGTCGATTGTCCCGGGAAGGAAATTCGGCAGCACACGCCGTTAGTTGAGAACGGTCCGGATCCTGTGGTTGATGTGGATGTATTTACGGAGAAGTACTTACGGGAGAAGACGCGCGGTAGACACGTGCCTATTAAGGCATTCCTGCTAGACCAGGCGATGATTAGCGGGATTGGGAATTGGGTCGGCGATGAAATTTTGTATCAGGCGAAGCTGCATCCGGAGCAGTACAGCGACGATTTCTCTGATGCTGATATTAGTACACTGTACAAGGCAATTAAGTACGTGTGCGATACCGCAGTTGAGAAACTCGGGGACTCAGACCAGTTTCCCGAAGACTGGATGTTCAAATACCGGTGGGACAAGGGCAAAAAAGACTCGGCGATGGCGCTACCAAACGGAGAGAAGATTACGCATATCAAGGTCGGTGGAAGGACGAGTTGTATAGTGCCGACTGTGCAGAAGAAGAGGGGACGTACTACTATAGACGATGTTAAGGAGGAATCCGCAGTGCCGGACGGGGAAAAAGAGAGTCGATTTTTCAAGGGCAAGAAAAAGGAACAGACGAATGGGAAAGTGAAAACAGAAGTGGATGTGGAGGAAGAAGAGCGTCCGGTTAAGAAGGTCAAGACTGCGAAATCAAAGCCAATTAAACGGGAGGATGAAGAGGAAGATGGGGAAGAAGGTGAAACAAAACTTGCCGTAAGAACGTCGCGGAAATCCGACAAGAAAGATAAAGGAAAGGAGTCGGTTGAGCCCCCATTAGATGGTTCTAGGAGGCGCTCAGATAGACTAAGAACGCGTAGTTAGAATTGAGCCGAGGCAATTATATTCATAGTGTGTATTAATGGTGTTGGGGGCATATAGTATCTACCTTGGTGTTCTGTGAAACATGTGGTTTATAACGAATCAGATCTTCTACCCACATCGACGCCTATTTAGAAACCTAGACAATTATATAATGACCACCAACTAGACGAGAACGTCCACCTTCAAACGCATATTTCAATACTACATGGCTTACAGTCAAAGCTCGCCTTGGTGTACTAAGGTATATATATCTTTTCTCTTGACCTCTATGGTATTAATGTATCACGCAGCAGTTTTACCAGGCTTCCAACTATCCATATGACAGAGCGAATAGCATAGGTACCGGAGACGGCGAGGATCAAAACACAACACCACCATCACGACAACGAGCATTACCCTCTCACGCCAGACCAACAAACACAATACCTACCACTCAATCAAATCAACGCATTCATATCATATCATTCTCGCATCTTCAACATTCAAACTAATCTCATTAGTCTATCAACAGACGACCATCTCGACTGGCAGACATAATCCCATCAACCTGTCATTTGCAATTCTAGCCTACAAGAATTAATCATTTAACGTAAATTTATTTCGTTTGTTGCGCCTTTGGGTATGCTACTTGAAAAAAACAGATCTATGAAGAAAAAAATTACAATTCATCATGGTCCGTCGACGGTTCGTCGTCATCTGCGGCACCACCGGCACCGCCGTACAACTTAGACGTAATTGGGTAAGCGACGTTCGAGAGCTTCTCCTTCTGCTCCTCGAAGTCCTCGGCGGCCGCCGTAGCGGCGTTCTCGTCGAGCCAATCCGTGGTCTCCTTCACGGCATCAAGGATCTAATTCGTAAGTTAGTATATAGTTGCTTAAAATGAGACGGTAATGGGAATCAACTTACAGTTTCCTTGTCTTCCTCATCAATCTTGCCACCAAGACCATCCTCGTCGTTAACTTGGTTCTTTAGGTTGAAGGCATAGTTCTCCAGGCCATTTCGAGCTTCAATACGCTCACGAGTAGCCTTGTCTTCCTCGGCAAATTTCTCAGCCTCGGCGACCATACGTTCGATTTCCTCCTGGCTAAGTCTGCCCTTATCGTTTGTGATGGTGACAGACTCCTTGTTGCCAGTGCCCTTGTCGTGGGCAGACACCTTGAGAATACCGTTGGCGTCCAACTCGAAGGAAACCTCAATCTGAGGAACACCACGAGGTGCGGGAGGAATGTTGGTAAGCTCGAACTTTCCGAGCAAGTTGTTGTCCTTAGTCATGGATCGTTCACCCTCGAAAACCTGGATCAAGACGACGGGCTGGTTGTCGGCAGCGGTAGAGAAGATCTGACTCTTGCGGGTTGGGATGGGCGTGTTGCGGGGAATCAGCTTAGTCATAACGCCACCGGTGGTTTCGATACCAAGAGTCAACGGGTTAACATCCATGAGGACGACTTCGGTAGCGCCTTCATCACCAGAGAGAACACCAGCTTGAACAGCAGCACCGAAAGCAACGGCCTCGTCGGGGTTAATACCCTTGCTAGCCGGCTTGCCATTGAAGAACTCCTCGAGAAGAGCCTGGACCTTGGGAATACGGGTAGAACCACCGACTAGAACGACGTCGTCAATTTCGTCCTTCTTGACCTTAGCGTCATCTAGGACCTGCTTAACGGGCTTGAGAGTTCGCTTAAAAAGGTCGATGTTGAGCTCTTCGAACTTGGCCCGGGTAAGAGTCTCGGAGAAATCCTTGCCCTCGAAGAAAGCTTCGATTTCGATACGAGTGGACATCTGCGACGATAGGGTTCGCTTCGCCTTTTCGGCTTCACGCTTCAATTTACCCATAGCCTTAAGATCCTTGGTGATGTCGACCGAGTTCTTCTTGTTGTAGGCCTTGGCCAAGTGGTTGATGATTCGCTGATCGAAATCCTCACCACCGAGATGGGTATCACCAGCAGTAGCCAAGACTTCGAAAACGCCGTCCTCGATAGAGAGAAGGGAGACATCGAAAGTACCACCACCAAGATCGTAGACAATGATGTGACGCTCACCGCCAGACTTGTCTAGACCATAGGCAATAGCAGCCGCAGTAGGCTCGTTGACAATTCGGAGCACATTAAGGCCAGCAATTACACCGGCGTCCTTAGTAGCTTGTCTCTGGTTGTCATTGAAGTAGGCGGGGACAGTGACGACGGCGTGGGTAACCTTCTTGCCCAAGTAGGACTCGGCAACCTCCTTCATTTTACCTAGGATAACGGCTGAGATTTCTTCGGGGGTGAACTTCTTGGTGGCACCCTGGAATTCGACTTGGACGACGGGCTTGCCATCTTGTTGGATGACCTTGTAGGGGAAATGCTTGATATCGTTTTGGACTTCTTTCTCGCCCCACTTTCGACCAATGAATCGTCTGGAAACGGGAGTGTTAGCTATGAGTTTATCTTCAACGAGGGAGCTTGGATATGGCTTACTTGACGTCGTAGACAGTGTTTGTGGGGTTGGAGGCCGCTTGTTGTTTAGCGGCGTCTCCTACTAATCGTTCTTCCTCGGTGAAGGCTACGTATGATGGGGTGATTCGGTTTCCCTGATCGTTGACGAGAATTTCAACCTTTCCTTGTTGCATCACACCAACGCAAGAGTATGTGGTTCCTAAATCCTATACAGCGTAATTAGTTAAAAAGGGGGACTCCTAAAAAGGTACGAGCAAGCCCATATTGGGGGTCTTTTTGGTGTACTTACAATACCGATAACAGTGCCATAGTCGGCAACGTCGTCCGCTCTCGCAGTTCCGACGAATGCTAAAGGACTAAAGAGAAGAAGGCTCCAGGCTATCATGCCAAAGGCGATAGCCCAGTAGCTCTGAGAACGAGCCATGGTGAAGGGATGGCTCTGTCGCAATCCGGGTAGACGCAGATTTGGAGGAAAATGACAGAAAAAGTGATAGAATTAAAATGATTAAGCCACCAGAATGCCCTGTAACCTCTCTCGGTTGGCGGGGTACGGCACTGAAAAAAGAGAAATTCGTCGAAGACTATGCGAGAAAAAAATTAGGAGAAGAATTTGTCAGGACAATGGCGTGTCTGCGAAATTCTTATATGGGTACAAGAAAATAGTTCAAAGATGAAGTTGCCAGCTTGCAAGAGAACACATTGCAATAAAGTGTGGGTCAGGCGCCAAGTATCCAACGAATGCAAGGTGTCTAACTAGAGGGTGTTCGGTTTGGTGCATGACCTAGTCAACTTAGTTCCCCCAAATCTAGTGATTGTGTACCTAAAAATTGCTCGAATATACTGAGCAATCACTATATCTATACCTAAATTACAGCGGCATTCACTAGTGATTGTCTGTATCTACCTGGAAGTGCCGACTTTCTATCATCAAAACTTAAAAACATTTAGTGAGTATATATACATTTGTAGCAAATAGAATATGTGATAGAATGTACACATATGTACCCTGGTCGATTTCTATTGACTGGAACCTTCTTTTTATCTCGAGCGGACTCGAGCAAAAGCCAGATTGCCCCAACTTTGCTGTGCGGTCCGTCCAACGAAGTCTTTTTTTCGGAGCCCCAGCCCCACTGAACTGCGGGACAATCCCTGCTAGTCCCTCTAAAACTCTTAACCAAACTGCTAGAAGCCATGACGATGCCCCGTTTCTAGTGCCCTATAATACCTAGAATATTGTAGGAATAACTTTCTAAAGTAACATCAAGTGGCGGATTAGTGACACATTTAGATGTGATTCATACGACCTCCTATCAAAAAGGCCAGATTTTATTTATTGTAGACAATTTGTTACTCACAATTGTTGCCACCTTGGTAAGAGATCTGTCCCTTTATATTCCTCTAGTTAACATGTATACAGATATATGCATTTACGTATAGCTATTCTACAAGAGATAATTAGATATTATACGTACACATCTACATATACGGTAGGTATCATTCATTTCATCTAAATAGAGTGCGGCTGGTATTCAATATGGGGGCCTCAAACGTGGCATAGCACCTCAGTGTATTATATCTATGTAGGTATATAGCAATGCGACGCTCTCATTCCAATAACCCCGCGGCCACCGTCTCACCTCCGCTTCTTAATACAACTCGCTGGCCCTCTTCCAAAGGTACTTCAGTCCCCATCTTAACTACTACCCTCGCGACGCTTGCCGGCTTCACAATCCTGGGTTTCTTTTTCAATACCGTACCTTTCGCCTTATCGAGAAGTGCCGGTATCTCCAAGATCTGCCCTGCCGCATGAAGGCGACCCCGATGAACATCCACTTGCATAGGCATCAGAATATCAAACGCAAGAACCTTGACCGTAAACGTATCAATGCACGTAATTGGCTGTTTCGTGTCGCAAATGATATCTCCGGCGCGTACGTGGATTGGGTCGATATTGCTCAGGTGAATGACAACATTCTGGCCCGCCACAGCCCATTCCACCGGTTCTTCGTCGAGCTCTAAGGACTTAACATAGGCCTTCTCCCCACTAGGTTGGACCAAAAGCGCATCGCCCGCCTGCAGTGACCCAGCATCTATCCTTCCTGATACCGTCACCGGACTTTGTGTAGACCGATAGACTTCAGAGATAGTTAGGCGTAGCGGCTTGTGCAACGCTCGAGCCATTGGCTCCGAGCTCTCCAATTCCTCAACTAACGTTTTTCCGTCGTACCAGCTAGCGTCTGCGTCCGTGGACTTGTGTACTATGTTGTCTCCTTGTAAACCGGAAACGGGAACAAAACTGACGTTTTTGAGTTGAAATCCCGTTGCTGTTAAGAAACCGGATACTTGTTGCGAGATCTCGTCGAAGCGTTCTCGGGACCATCCGACTGTGTCCAGCTTGTTAACGGCGACAATTATACGCGATACCCCCATGCTACGAAGAAGTAGGGCGTGTTCCCTTGTTTGACCCTTGAGACCCGCCTCGAAGGCTCCGGTCGTCGCGTCAACCACCAAGATAGCGAAGTCCGCCTGACTCGCGCCCGCTATCATATTCGGAATAAAATCGCGGTGACCAGGCGCATCCAAAATAGTAAACGATGTGTTGTCCGTCTCGAACTTGTTTGTCGCAATGTCGATAGTTACACCCCTTGATCGTTCTTCTGACCGTTGATCCAACACCCATGCGAGCGCGAATGAGGATTTCCCTATACTTTCTGCTTCCTTACGGTATTTTTGTATTGTTCTTTGATCCACAACGTTGAGATCCAATAGTAACCGCCCCATCAGGGTGCTCTTGCCAGCGTCCACATGCCCTTTCCATGAATTAGCAAAGAGACTGTAAATATAGTAGTCGTCTGTAGTCCTTACCGACAACCACGAAACTTGCACTTTTCTTGCTTTTTGTTTTCTCGAACTCCTTTAGGACGTCGAGGTTCTTGCTCTTAGGTAGCGGGGTGTCGTCAATCTTCAGGCCTTTTATGCCGTCTGAAGTTGAGTCACTCTTCCCCCCCACATCGACCTTCTTCTTGCTTGTATTAGCCGCATTCTTCTTGCCGCTTGCTGATCCCAAAATATTAGTATGCCTATCTCATCACCTTCTTCGCTAAGAGCGAACCTTGGGACTGTGCTGTCAACACTACATCATCCGGACTTGGCGCTGAAAAGGCGTCAGCTATTGACGAAGTCAAATTCATGTAAGGGAACGGGTAATATCTTGGCACGCGCGTGGCAGAACTGCTAGCGGAGCCGAGGAGGGCTTGGGCAAAGGGTGATGGGGCAGCAGTCTCGACGGGCGCGGCCATCCGCGAAAGGTCCGCAGGTACATATGAATCCGGAAGCCCATCCACAGGTTTTTCGATATGAGTTCGAGTCGGTTCTTCTCTTGCGACATGATGTTGGGTTTCTTTTATATGACCGGAAACATTGGGCGCGGATGCGTTTGTAAGGCTCGCAATATCCTTGGGAGCTGCGGTAGATGGCCGGACATTCTCTTTACTGGGGTTTTCCGCCTTCGGTACGGTAGAGAGGTTGCTTAATTTCTCGGTTGCCTCGTGGAGCCGTCCGTCTCCCGATTTCTGTTCTTCCGCTTTCTTCTTGCGCGCCGCAGCAAGAGCCTGAAGCTTAGACATTTTACCACCTGTACTGGCGCCTCCGAGTAACCCGCCCTGTATATGCAGGGGCGCAATAAATCTGGTCTCCCGATCTTTAGGAATATTCAACCAGGGCATATCGCTGAAAAAGTCGGAAAAAGAGACGCGTTTTTGGAAGGTTTCGCATTCACTAACTACTGCGATTACCGTTAGTATGTCGACCGAAGGAAAATGTTCGATACATATATGCTCGAAACGCACCTGGTACCATGGGATGATGTAGCCCTGCGACTGATATATCTCCTCGTGTGTTATGTTGGCGATGATGAGAGGTGATGATGGGAGAGTAAGGAAACGTGTACCTACCTCCGGCCTTCTTTTTGTTTGCGGGCGCGATGAATTTGGAAACCAAATAGGTTACGGACTTGTCGACGTCGTAGTAGTAATGCCATAGCGCCTCTTGTATTTGTTGGGTTGTGACTTTTGTCGATTCAGTTCCAAGCGCGGCTCGAATTTGGGCTGTACCGGCGTCCATCTGGGCTTTATTAGGATATGATTAGTATGGATAGGCAATCGGTGGCCTCGTGCAATAAACACGCACCCTTGTCCTCTGGGCTTAACTCTTCTCCCTCATCTGAGTATCCTTCTCCTTCGTATTCGTCGAGATCATTCTCGTAATCGTAATTACGATATGCTTGATGGCGGGACATTGTGTTGTCGACTGAGGCAACCAAGGAGTATGTTAGAAAAAAATAAGGATTTGAAGGTGGATTATGAATGTATATGCGTTATAAAAAGATGTATCGATCTTTAAAGGCGTGTCTATTCATTAGTTTAATCAAAATGAGGTTTGACGATACGACACGAGATTTGACTGTATCCGGAAGATCCAATGTCAAAAATGACGTTGTACAACAAAGGCGGGGCAGGAGGGGTGCTCTTTTTGTGTACCTTATGTAGCTACTACCTAGGTACCTAGGTAATGTACTGTGCGCTAAATGTACTAATGCCTTTATCTTATCAGCTCTTCAACACTTTGACGAGTGACGTAACCGGATGTTTAAGAGGATCAGTCCGTGCTTGATTTTGTACATGTAGATACATGTATCGGACGGACGTACCGTACATATACCCACATCGATGCATATATACGTTCGCCTAGATGCAAAATGCTACATCTCAACGCCTACGGATTAATTCACAAATGCCCGTATATTCATACTATTCCCGTAGATTTCGCTTAGTTGACTCAATCTTGGTTAGATTGGTGGATATCTCTATTAAGATTCGGAGACGACCCGGTTAAGAACACTATTAATCCTATCTCCACCCAGTAGTAGCTGATAACCCTCACCCATGCTTTTCTTACTTCTCTTACAGATCAATCAAACTTTCTTCTATCGCGGGCTGCTGAGGAACGTGTTGAGGGGCAGCAGGGAATGAGTCCTGCGTAAATCTAGAATACCCCGGACCACTTGTCTGGTATGCTTGGGGTGCCCGGTCAGCATGTTGCTGTTGTTGCTGCTGCTGATGCCAATATAACTGCGGTGCTTGTTGGTTGGATGGCTGGTACTGCTGGGACGGCTGAGATGGCTGTACGGGAAGCGAAGCGGGAGTGGGAGGGACAGATTGCCCTGCGTAGTTTAAGTTGTGCTGAAGGTTAGGGTACGGTGATGGCGCTGGCGCTGGTTCTGGGGGGATGCTTGGTGTAGCACGGTCGTTGTTCGATTGTGAGTTATTATAGTAATAAGCCACGTTAGGGTCAGTGGCTGATGTCCCAACTGTCTCAGTGACCCTGTTAAGTGGGGTTTGTGGAGAAGGTTGAGGTACGTGGCTCGGTTGTGGGGGAGGTTCGCTGGAAGCAAAAGTTGCTTGTTGAGGGTATTGTGCTGGCGCGGATGGTCCTTGATGTTTCTGCCAACTGTCGCTTCTTTGGACTGTATGCTGCGGATATTGGCCGTTCGGGGGCCCTGATACGGATCCTCGCTTATCGTAACCCGTAAATTGCTGTGGCGGACCTTGTTGAATATGATGGTATTGATGGCCGACTGGTGTTCTGCTAGTATCTGGAACCTGTTCGCCTGTGTAGAAATTCTCTGCTGATGTAGAAGCCCTGGCTGCGGCCGACTCGATTGGAGGGTATGGGCTCGCCTGCTGTCCGGAACTAGGTAAACCGTAGCCACCAATACTGTGTTGGCTGTAGGCTTTTGAGAGACGCTCCTCTAGCATCCTATCATAATATCGAACTACGGTAGATAGTTTGGCATGTAAGTCGAGAAGCGTATCTATTGGATGGTTAGCGAGAATATTGTACCTCAAATTTGCAAAACATGAGTAAACCTACCGTGCTTGCTCATTGTTTCGCCATATGTACGTGCCAGTTTCGGCCTCAACGTCCCAATAGAATCGTAAAGCTCCTGAATCTGCGGTTCCCTGAGGATCGTTCCGGGTGGCTGAGTCTGCAACCTGTCAACTAACGTCGAGAAAAGGTTGATGTTTTCGGCCTCGACAGGAGTAAGCTCATAATCGTTCTTCGGCAATGCAAATGAAGTAGTCGACGCGTTTTCAGACCCGTTCGTATGTTGCTTTAGCGCTGCGGAATGCTTTTGCTTCTGCTCTTCCATGTCTGCCAAAGACGCGGCGATGGCAGCTTTCAGGTCATCGTCCTCTTCCTCAGCCGTCCCTACTACTGCAGGTGAATGGACATCAGCGACAGCACGCGATGCCGGAGGAGTGTTATGCGACGGGGGAGCGTAGCCCCTTGAATGACCCTGAACTTCCTCTAGACTCATAGCTAAAGCCTTCTTGAGATCTTCGTCAAACGCGTCATCGACCCGGGCGTCTCGAGGTTGCATGGCGGAGGAACTGCGATTCTTGTGGGGGAATGTTGGGGTCGTGGGGGAGAGCTCATGCCTACTGAGACCGCCTCTATTGGATCGGTCCGTTAGCTTGGCATAGCAACCGTCGTCAACTCGTACTGGCTGCATGATCCCTAGATGTGGTAAAGGAAGCGTCTTGGTGGAACATTGCTGGTCGAAGCAGTTACCGCAATTGCGACAATGATGCTTACGGTTCGTGAAGGTAAACGGGGTGCGGCAGCGCATACACACATCGGAATCGATCCACTCTGGAGGCTATCATAAACTAATCAGCTTCGTCAAAAACGAAGGGGATCGGTCGGCATAGAAGGCCGACTGGCGCAATACATACGGCGCTGCTGTCAATCATACTGCTTGCCACAGTTGTCCGGGGAGGGAACTGAAATCCTTCTCTCTGCAGGGCTCTATACGTCTCCTCGATGTACTTCAGGTCATAACGACCCTCGGTAGCGGCAGCCCAGGATTGTATCAACTCTAAAATCTTGGCTCGAACCTCGAGGTTTACGGCGGCGGGACCGACTGCGTGGATGAGGGACACTAGATTATCCATGAACTCTCTGGAGGCAATCTCGACGAGGAAATGGGAGCCGCCATTCTTAACGCAGGTGTCTGTCAACTAAGCTATATATTAGCATCGCGTTGAATGCGCCGCGGGTATGAGATACGGAGAGGAGGACTAGTCGTACGTTTAATGCGCTTAGCTGGGTGTTGGGGTTCTTATTGCCAATACGACGCTTCAGCGAGCGCATCGCCTCCTTGGGTTGTACTGTCTTGGATCTAATGACATCGGATATTTCGAGATTAAGCGGAATGTCCTCTCTGGTTTCAAAATTATCATTAGCGCCATTCTGAGGCTTTGGAGATGGGCATGACATACAAACTACTCCCAGTTGCTTTGTCAATCTGCTCATCCAAGGCGCTATTGGCCGAGGACGACCACCAACCTCCCATCATGATGCGCGAACGATGAGTGGTAATTGTAATAATCTGGGGGTTCTTGATCTATGAGCAGAAGGTAACAGGCGGGGTTTGAAATGATAATTACGCGGTTTCACATCAAGATATTCAACGATATGTGAGTGTTGGTACAAGTTGATGGCGAAGATGATGTTTGGTGATTTAATGATTAGGATGTAGGTACTGTATTAATGATGGAGCATAATGATTCGCTGTATGTTCCACCCAGGCACTACCTTAGGTAGGTACCTTCCTAGGTACCTAAGTAGACGTATTAGGCTACCATAGTTCGTCTACGTTCCGCCTCAGCGTCTCAGCTACATGTACGTAAACTGACTCCACTAGCTTTACAGGGATGCCCCTCAAGAACTAAGCTAAGTTCTTCCTAGTAGCCTACCTAAGCTGCCTAGCCGCTTAATTTGGTGTGCTTGATGGATTAGGTAAGCCTCTCCAACATCACCTGCTCTTCGACGTCAGATACCTAGGTACATACCTGAGTAACCTTTAACCTTCAAATTACAAGGTAAAGTTTGTACTCGCATCCTTACGTAATACCTACCGAATTTCAAAAACTTCCAATCAAACACATCATCTTAGAGCGCGTATCTCGAAAGTTTCATCCCATAAATATATTGATACCTCGATCAACAACTTCACAGATGCTGGTTACGCATCCAACAAGCAGGCCGTTCGGTCAAACTCTTCTTTTCATATATCCTTAGAGTTAATACAGTGGTTGATTTATCGTCGTTGATTTTTTCATTCCCACTTACTTATTGGTTTTTACGGATCCTTTCTTACTTATTACAGTGCCCTTCTTTGTTCCTTTCAGCCTTCCGTTCCCGTCTCTGAACCTTTTTCCCACGTTCACACATCCCGCCAATACGCTGAAAGAATGCAGAACCATTCCAATCCTCGGCCTCAGAATAGCAACAGTATATAAGACCCGCATTCCGTTTTCGCTTCTATCTCGAGTGCATCCTTTCATACGTTTTTTAAACGAAATTACAAATCTAACGCTAACCTATTCAGTAATCCATTGCTTTTGTGCTAACCCCACGTTGTTGAGCTACCATCTATTCATTCCCGATTATTCTCAACGAACCACCGTCTGATAACTGAAATATTCCCCGTCCACCTACCGACATGGTAACAAGCGCCATGAGTTCCGTTGCCTTTACGACGACCTCGCCGTCCGCTGGAATCGGCCCGCAAGGTACGATGGCTTCCGTTGCGAATGGCAACTATAGAGCTACCGCCGATGGAGGCAGCAAGTACGTAGCTAATGGAAGCTCGGGTTCGGGTTCGGGTTCAGGAAGGATGCCTTTTCGCCATATAAATGACTTAGTTTCCGTTGAGGTCTACCTCGACCCTCACACTCCACTTCGGAAAATGCTCGAGGTTGGCGATACTCACATGCGCCAAGCGACGACTTTCCGCGACTTCAAGCGCCCGGATCTCGCGTTACAGGAGTATATTAAAGCTTTCACGATCGCTGTTGATAAGATTCCTAGGCACAAGGACTACCCATCTATGAAAACCGACCGGGGAGATCTAAATCGTTTATACAATGCTCTTAAGATGAAGATTACTACCAATGGCGCTGCTTTCGATCAGATCAAAGAGGATATTAAGGAAGATAATAAGCGAAGTGGAGTGCAGCCGACGGTGGCCTCACAACCCCCCGATGACGCTACCACCCTGACCCGGCCTGGTTCGTCTTCAAGGGCGCAGGCGCCCGTTCGAACCAACGGGTCTACAGATCTAGGGAATGCTGGACTTGGCAAGGAACACGACAGACTAGTCAAGGAAAACGCCGGGCAGAGTGCGAATAACAATGCTGGTGCAGTGTTTAAATCGAAACCACCAGTACACCCGAAGCCTCAGGCATTACACGGTAACGCCATAACACAGACCTCGAAGGCCAGCCCGGAAGACCTTACCGATCGTTTTGCGCGGTTACGCGATACCCGAAAAGCTGGGAATTCTGTACTAGCCATGCCCAAACTTCCGGAGGCAATTTATAGTCCCGCGAGAGGTACTGTGACGAGCGAGGTCGCTAACCTTCCATCGAGTACGCCACGCGGCATGTTTAGCCGAACGAATTCGACCGCATCAAGTCCCACCGTTTCCGCTCGGATACCAACGGACTTTCCAATCAGAACCTTGAGCAAAGAGCGGTTTGTTACCGCCCACTCATACGAAGCGACTCAATCGCCAATAACGCAAACTAACGTACGGATACCCGAGGGAGATACCATTACAGCTAGCGCGCTCGTAAATCTTACAAAACAGGGCTCTCCTAGTATTGAAATTCTCGTAATCGACGTCCGTGATCGCGAGTCTTTTGACGCGGGTCATATTAGTTCCACTAGGACAATTTGCATCGAGCCCGAGATTCTCATGCGAGAGAACATCTCTGCGGACGAAATAGTCGATAGTATGGTGCTTGCTCCACCAAACGAGATTGCTGCGCTTGAGCAGCGCGATCGAGTTGATTTGATTGTTATCTATAATGAAGACAGCACTTCGATTCCGACTAGGATAACCGGCAACCCCTCAGAAATGGTTCTACGCAATTTATGGCAAGCATTATCATATTATAACTATAATAAACCCCTTAAGGGTAGCCTCAAGCTATTAAGCGGTGGTCTAAGCTCGTGGGTGTACGAATATGGATACCAATCTCTCGAGACTTCTAGCACAGTATCAGATATATATCCTCAAAGCAAGAGTTCGGCTCGAAGATATCGAAGCAAGACCAAGACACTTAGCCGAGATGAGATTAACCATTTCGAGGACATTATCAAAAAGGATCAGACAGGGGCGTCTGACTTTGACTATGCTAAGACTAGGGAAGACTTCATACGGCGGTTTCCGAGCATAACAGGTGCCCCCGAATCAATGACTTCTCCCGTAGTTCCATATGAGGGAGATTACTTTGATGGTATATCGCCTGCACCCCCAAGGAGACCGGCGCCTGCTATCCCAAGAGTAAGATATAGTGGATTGGACTCTAGGGATGACTCAAGCATTGGCGGCGTGGCCATGGCAGCCTCTGCCACTCCTCTGGTTTTATTAACCGGGCTAATCAATCCTGGTACTGCATGCTACTGCAATACTACTATACAGGCGCTGCTCGCGTCACCCGGATTCGTTGAAGATTTTGTTGACCCAGCATTTCCCGAAAACTGGCGTGCCTCGGAGGTGAAAGAGCCCACGCGCCCGCAATTGTTGGCCAAGATAATGAAGAACTTGTTTTTATGGATGAGAAGGCGGCAATTCAAAGTAATGAGACCCGAAACGCTCATGGTATGTTAATCGCGCCCCCAATAACCTCTAGACTCGTACTGACCGGTATTAAAGCATTATTTACGCGCTATACACGAGGGATACGTAAATGGAAACCAGCGTATGCGACTTGGCGATGGTAATCAGCACGATGTTGACGAATTGACACTTTTCATATTCGGCCAACTTGCGTCCGAGACTAACATAGCGATCACCAAAATTATGGTGGCACAGCCAGATGCACCAGCAGGTCCGCACCGGGAAGTCGTCCAGGAGACAATTCATAGATCTTGGCAGCTCTTTACTGGCGATGATGGGGCCTCGTTTATAGACAAGCATTTTGGGTACACACAGGTAGACGTAAGGCATTGTACCAAATGTCAGACTCGCGTCGTACTTTCTTCACACGACCGCACATTGTACCTTACCCCTAAGCCACCACGAGCGACCATATTCGGAGCCTTTAGGGATGAAATATTCAACACCGAAGAAATCGAAGTCAATTGTGACAAGCAGGGTTGCGGGGGAACAAGGGGTGTAGTACAGCGCCGACTAGCGAGACACCCACCCTTGCTTCGCGTATACATCAGGAGGACGCCCTTCACCTTCAATGTGGAGAATCGCTTTAAGAAGAGTTCAACGCCAGTAGATTTCCCTTTGGAATTCGACCCCGCGGAGTTTGCCCTAGACGTGGGTCAGCGGGAAGCCGCCGCCTCAGTTTTACAACACCATTCTAGCGCCAATGAAGGGTTTACTTATGACGATGGTTTGCGCGGTAAACCAAAGTACGTGCTTTACGCCGTTCAGGTCCACCAGGGCAAGTCGCTTGATGGTGGCCATTATTGGGCCTGGGTCAGAGATAAGGAAAACACTACCAAGTGGATCCGGGTTGAGGATGACAAGGTCAATAGCTACGCAGCGTCTGCATGGGATAGGACACATCAAGACTTACAGAATTGCCCGCGAGATGTTACACCAATGCAGCTTTGGTACAAGCGGGATGATATTAAATGGGAATATCCAGTGCAGCCGATTCATGAGCTGTTGCCCGAGAAAAAGTAGTCTTAATAATTGAGACGAGATATTCCGGCGGCTGGAGATAACGGGATATTACTACATGCCGTCCTGGCGTGAATAGTATTATGGCTGCTGGAAACGTCTGGAAAGCATCGGCATATTGCCACGATTAACGAATTATAGAAGGGGCGGGTGGTGTTTTCCAATGGCTTATTCACCCCTCCTCTACATGCATGATCCCCAAGGCGAAGTACATATATACGTGGCTACGAGTGGGGTGTGGGATGTTGCATATGAAAACGGAGTTGTATCTGGGAGCGAGGCCTTGTATATATCTACCGCATATATATCGAGGACGTGTTTGGTTATATGCCGACTTGCTCTCTTCGTTTGGAGTAGTTAGTTGTCTTGTTTTCTTGCTTTTTGCTACTGATGTAGAGAAGAGGAATTGCTACGCATATACCCCATAGTCAATTTAATATGTGCTTGCTCGAGTTTTGAATGTGCTGACTTAAAATATGATGTGAAATATGATGGAAATACTTCGAGATCTAAAAGCTCAGAAATAAGCTCAGAAATACGCAAATTATGTAAACATTTTCTATTCACGATCCGAGTAAACAGATATTCTTGACCTATTCATAATGCCACATGTGAGATGAGTCTAAACAAGCCCGATCTTATTATACCCTTTATCTGCCTTGAAACCATATCCGATATAACACAAGTCTTGCATGCCATGGGATTAATAACATATAAGAATACCTAGGTAATAGCATACTGGTACAGAGAGTAAGTAATGATACAGAGGCCTGGATCCCTTGAAACCCTTTGAAAACCGAGGAACCTATTCGCAAGGAAGTCTGTAGTTTAGCATATTACGACGTCCGCTTGAAACACTCCTGGATCTGCTTCTTGTATGCGTCTCTTATCGCCCGTCGGTTTACTTTTTGTGTTGCTGTGACAAGACCCTATTGCATTATATTAGCATTGGAAATTAGAGAGGCATCGGGGGAAAACAACTTACACTAGCAGGCGTCCACTCCTCCTCCACCAGCACAACACCAACCACCATCTCCAAACCCGTAAGTCCAGCCTTCTTGCCAACAGCTATTAGGTCCTTATGCACAGCATCCAAGATCTTCGGATCAGAATGCTCGTGCGCGTGATCCACACCCAACTTCTTCGCCAACTCAGCGAGGGGCTTCTCATTGGGACTCACAACCGCAATAGCGCGAGCATGGTCGCTGTCACCGTGCACCATGAGATTATGTACATATTCGCTTCCGCGGTACACAGCTTCTAGTTTCTCAAGCGCGATATACTCGCCGCCCTGCATTTTAACGAGGTTCTTGACGCGGTCCACGATCTTGATATGTCCGATAGAATCGATCTCGCCGATATCTCCGGTTCGGAACCACCCGTCTGACGTAAACGCCTTTTCGGTTTCTTCCGGGTTTTTGTAGTACTCCTTGCAGACAGGCGGTCCGCGGAGTAGAATCTCGCCTTGTGGTGGGTTACTCTTTGCGTCGTAGCCTAGGTCCGGTAGACTGGCGAGTTTGACTTCTAGGGAGGCGGGGACTGGTCCGATGGTGTTGGGTGTCCATTGTAAGGGGCAGCCGAGAGCGCCGTTGGCGCAGGTTTCGGTTAGACCGTAGCCTGTGATCATTGGTGCGAGCACAAGACTCACGAATTGTCTTGTGCCGTCTGAAATGCCACTAGCTCCGTTGAAAAGGAATCTCACTCTTCCACCCGTCGAACTGCGAACCTTGTTGAATACCAAAGCATCTAGTAGTCCACCGCCAGGTAGACCGGTGGCCACAAGCATGGATTTCAGGTTGTAGGCACCCCAGAAGAGATTCCTGGTTAGCATACCGCCAGAGTTGACCTTCGCTTCTACACCTTTTCGTATTGTCTCCCAAATTTGAGGTACACCAACCATGATAGTGGGTGCAAGCTCACGCATATCACCAGCGCAATTTCGTGTTGACGAATCAGCTAGTGTGCGAGGAGACCCGTAACCTAATGTGCCACCAATAAAAAAGACGATATGTTCTAGTGCCATCTCCAAGATGTGTGCGAGAGGAAGGTATGCTAGGACGGAGTCTATAGGCGAAACAGCCTCCTCGACAACGCTGTAAAGACCAGTAATACCCGCGACAATGCCTTCGTGAGTGATTGGTACACCCTTTGGCGTTCCCGAAGAACCTGATGTGTACATAATACAGCACATGTCAGTGGGTTTCGGCGGCACTGCATCTATGGGATTTTCCTCGCCCAAGGAGACGAGATCAGAATAGGAGATAATGGTAAGGTGGGAATTCGCGGATTTGAAATCTTCCAATTCTTTGTCGGATATGGGGATGTTCGACGAGTCATTGTAGACTAGAATTCTGACGTCTTTCGCGGTTTTTAATGGGCGGCTTGTGGTTTTTAATAGGTGAGGATCGGTGTAGATGGCTTTCGCGTTCGTCTGTGTTAGGGAGTATTCGACGGCGTCTGAACCGAGGGTATCGTATGCGGTTGCGATTGTGATGGATTGCGAGGCACAGCCATGTGCCATATTCAACCAATTCGCACTGGATATCGGATTTAGCAACTAGTGGTATTTTTGTGATACACACGTGCTCCCTTACCTCGTCGTAGCGAATATGTACATAACATCACTCGATTCTAGACCTAACTTCCTCAATCCGGCACCTGCATTTAGAGCCCTAGTTTTGTACTCGTTATAAGTGAGGAATGAGTAGGGTGATAACTCGAAATATGTCCATTGCTTTTCGACTTCCTTCTTGACTCCATCAACAACTTTTGGTACCTTTTTCGTCTCGGTGTGGGTTTTGATGAGTTTTCTTGAACCTATAGCATGTTTGTCGCCGAACTTATTCGCGCTATCGACTACAATATCCCATGTTGTGGTGATGTGAGGTGCTGGGCGGGTAACAAGTTCGTCTTTGGCCTTGATATGTCTGAATGGTTTTGTTTCACCTTCGACTTCTTCAGCGCCTGGAGCTTCGACCATAAACGGTGGTTTTTGTACCATGTAAAGAGGGAGTACGCCCTCGAATTGAGTTGCAAGGGCCATAATTAAGATGTAAAGTCTATTAGGATGTGTATGTTATGTCGAGGGTGAAGGACAGGGATGTATTATGTTGTGTTGACTCTATAAGGAAGATAAAGAGGGAGATAGGATGTAGGTAGGAGACGGAGTCGGAAACTTTTCAGCTGTGCTGCGTAGAGCTTGAGCTAGATACCTAGGTATTTTAAGTTGGATTTTAGACAGGGTTAAAGACGTCAGCGGGGCAACCTTTGCTACCTAAAGCTAGGGTCTAAATGAATGGTTCGCTAGGATAAGTAGTGTTAAATACATAAAACGACAAGGGTTTTCTTTCAGCGTCTGCTTTAGCTCGAATTAGAAGTTGAAATTTCGCGATGTTGGATACCATCGAAATTGTTTGCTACCTATACGTAAATGCATTTATTAGCGAGAAAAATGGCCGCCCGGAGCTCAACAACGATGTATTCCGAACAGATACCCCGGGAACTCCGTGCCTCGGTTTGTGTAGGTTGATAATCAGGAGTGCATTTATTTTGTGTAAGGTCAACTATCAAGGTCAAATGACAATCCTTACATTCTGGTCATCCATCCACATCTTCCTGCGCCTCATTGCAGCTGTCGTTCACGGCCGAGTATCGCGTTTTAGATAGAGTGGGATTCGAAGTTACCTAGTAGTATAAATAATTATCCCTAGGCTCAATTGCCAATGACTCGGTACTTATTGGTAGAGATACCTAGGTACCGAGGCAAGTAGAAATTTTATTATTTTATTATTTTATTTGTTGTTGTAATTTTAGATCTTTGTAGGCTGCAGGGTTACCCATGCAGTTACTACCTTTTCGATAATCTGTAAATTATCGCTTGTGATTCTATGGGCACTAGAAAATAACTAACTTGAATGGGAAGTGGCTGATAAGATAAAGCTTTAGCTGAGGTACCTGGATACTTCGCTCAAGTTCCCCGCCTCATTGGAGTCGGTGAAGTGAATTTTCCGACTTGGGGAGATGTGGGGCTGAATCTTTTAGAATTTCTGAATTTCGAGATTTGTACCGCTCAACAAGGCAGAACCCAACCAACTTGACAGCTTTATATCACGGCGCATACGGTCAGATATTACTGGGTCATCTGTGTGCTGGCAAGAAATAAATCAACACAGCACCAAAAGCTCTCCTGAGCTATAGAAGCAGGCAAAATGGCGATGAGTATGCGACTGAACCCCACCATGAAATAAATATTGACTTTTTACTAATATGCCACTTCAGATCTCGACCTCCAGAATGGTATGCTACGAACAAGATTTATGAAGGAATCTTGGATACTAACATTTTATTCTTACAGCCGCTGTTATGAAAGATGAGCAGGGGCGGCCCTTTATCGTTGTTCGAGAGTGAGTCCCTTTATTCTATAGACGACCAAGTCAAGGACTGGCTAACTAACCCCCCTTTTAGTCAAGGAAAGAAGAAGCGTCAGTATGGAAACGAAGCCGTAAAAAACCATATCCTCGCCGCCCGAACTGTTGCGAACATCGTCAAGACATCCTTAGGTCCCCGAGGTCTCGACAAGATCCTAATTTCGCCCGATGGAGATATCACGGTTACCAACGACGGTGCTACTATCCTGCAACAAATGGAAATCTCCAACCACGTAGCGAAGTTACTCGTCGAGCTTTCGAAATCCCAAGATGACGAGATTGGTGATGGTACAACAGGTGTCGTTGTTCTGGCCGGAGCTCTCTTAGAGCAAGCCGCCGAGCTCATAGACAAGGGAATCCATCCCATCCGAATAGCAGATGGTTACGACCAGGCCTGTGATATCGCCGTGGAGGAGTTGGATCGGATATCAGATACCATCGAGTTCAGCCGGGAAAACACAGAGAACCTCGTCAAGGTAGCCCGAACCAGTTTAGGCAGCAAGATCGTATCCAAGGCACACGATCAATTCTCCCATATCGCCGTGGACGCCGTTTTATCTGTTGCTGATCTGGAACGAAAAGACGTCGATTTCGAGTTGATCAAGGTAGATGGTAAGGTCGGTGGCGCACTAGAAGACAGTATTCTAGTCAAGGGTGTCATTGTCGACAAGGACTTTTCCCACCCACAAATGCCATCAGAAGTTCGAGATGCCAAAATCGCTATCCTCACATGTGCATTCGAGCCACCCAAGCCCAAAACCAAGCATAAGTTGGAAATCACATCAGTCGAGGAGTTCAAGAAGCTACAAAACTACGAGCGCGAGAAGTTTATCGAGATGATCCAGCAAATCAAGGACACTGGTGCTAACTTGGCTATTTGCCAATGGGGTTTTGATGACGAGGCGAACCACTTGTTATTACAGAACGAGTTACCCGCAGTACGATGGGTGGGAGGACCGGAGATCGAACTTATTGCTATTGCCACCAATGGTAGAATAGTACCCCGATTCGAGGATCTGAAGGCGGAGAAACTTGGCACAGCTGGTATAGTACGAGAGATGACTTTTGGTACTACGAGGGAGAAGATGCTTGTCATCGAGGAATGCGCTAACACTAGAGCTGTGACGGTGTTTGTTCGAGGAAGCAACAAGATGGTACGTACACCAACAATACCTTATCCATTGTGGTGATTACTAATTTCCCACTAGATCATTGATGAAGCCCGACGATCACTCCATGATGCTCTATGCGTGGTCCGTAACCTAGTGCGAGACAACCGCGTCGTATACGGTGGCGGTGCCGCTGAGATCGCCTGCTCGCTGGCTGTCGAAGACGCTGCAGTGAAGACACCCGGTCTAGAGCAATACGCCATGCGTGCGTTCGCCGAGGCCCTCGACGCAGTCCCCATGGCTTTAGCCGAGAACAGCGGTCTAAACCCCATCGCTACACTCGCCGAGGTCAAGTCGCAACAAGTCAAGGCTGGTGCGGCCGATCGCGGTAAACTTGGTGTTGACTGCATGAACCGTGGCAGTAACGACATGAAGCAAGCCTTCGTCATCGACCCTCTAATCGGCAAGCGCCAGCAACTGATGTTGGCTACCCAACTGTGCCGTATGGTGCTTAAGGTCAACAATGTTATTGTTAGCGGAACTGGGGATCAGGACTTTTAGATAGGTCAGGTTACTTGATGTGACAGGGAGTTTAATCGGTTCGTGCCTACCGTATCGTTGACGAATCTGTCATAAAAGAAGGTCTCGTTGCGGATGTAGATAGGTAGTGCTAGATGAATGACAGAATGGGTGGATGGACTTGTAAGGTCATCAAAAGAAAAAAATCAAGATACCTCATATTAGACTGTTCGGACAAGAAAAAAGTGTCGCCAGGAACATTATGCGTCTACTAGAAATATCCAAATTTCTATATGCCAAATCGTGAATATATATCTCTAGTATAATCTAGATATAATGTTTTCGTAAACACATGTATATTGAAATAAGACCTATGCGTAGTATATTTCAAAACCAATAAAGACCGCTCCCTAACTTTTATTGTTGCACGCACGAACGCTAAAGTGGCAGATTCATACTATAACGATATTGAGTGAAATCCCCTCGCGCCCATCCATATAGGTCGGTAGGTGGGTAGAAGACAGGGAAAGGAAGCGGGTAGATGGATGGTTGTGTGTGCGCGAGGGGAAGAAAAAAGATAAAAAAAACCAGACGAGTTCGTCCTCCCTTAAATCCTAACCCAGCTTTATTTTGCTCTCTGGGCAAACGCATCGATTAATTGACGAGTGGTCTAGAGGCGACGAGTATTCTCATCTTACTCCCCTCTTCAACTATATGAAACCGTGTGGCTCGTCCACCTGTTCTCTTTTTAAAATATCTCGCGGGGTTCATTCCCTATTTAATATATCCTTCATTGAGGCCGATCTTTTCGCATTCTCGGCTTATTTGTTGTTTTATTTTGCTCTTCGTGAACCCCGTAACTTCGGTGACTCTGACACTCTTAAATTTCCCTGTTCTTCTTCCTTGCTTATAACCCCCATCCCCTACCACTTCTCTCTACTCACCCACCCCCTTTTTCTTATTTACGCAAATCCGAATCCTTGCGCATTCTCCAATGCCATCGCTAGTCGTTCTCTTAGAACGTCTTTATCGCGATACTCTGGTAGGAGTAATGTACCATAGCATGTATACGCAGTGGGTAAATGCCCACCTTCCCCTTCCTCACCATTCCTCTGTATCACAAATTGCACATTCGCCATACCTCCGACGGGCACACGATCACTGGCCGTCACGAACTCGAGCAGTTTGTGGCGCATACGGTCGTCGTAGCGCTTTACAATGGACCAGAAGTCACGAACAGTCCTGTGCGATGCATCCCAGCCCACATATCGCGCTGCGCGGCGCAGTTCTGAAATATCGATTTCTTGCGTACCTTCAACAAGGTTTTGTAGTAGAGATGGTGTTAGGAGTTGGAGGGACTTTGGGTGGAGACAGGCGCGGAAACCACGTGCGAAAGCGGTGAATTGAGGTGACACAGAGACATCTGTGAGATACCGGATGTAGTCGCTAACATATGCGTTCCGGTTATCACCTGTCACAAGTGGCGCATTGTCTGGGTTGGCGGCGGAGAGAGGAGGGGAGCTAGGTCGGCCCGAAAATTGTGGCCATGAGGTTCGTCGTTCGGGGTGCATCTCGCGGGAGATGGGCTTGCCGAACATAGATGTAGAGAATTCGTAGGTGAGAACAAAGACATCTTCTACAGAACCGTCCTTTTCGTTCCATTCTAGAAGGTTGGTGAGTCCATTAGCTAGATCCGGCCACCCATCTGCGATGTGATGGAGTTCGGTAACGGGTTCGCCGAGTAACTTTCGGTATAGGGCTTTTGGAAAGGTGATGGGTAGAGTGAGTCCATTGTAGACGGCTAATGACATGAGCAAGCCGACAAGTTCAAATTTCCATTCTGGCTGCACGGAGCCAGGCTGAAACCATGTCATCCTTGTCCTATCATCGATGGCGAAGGCGCCGTAGTCTGGGTTCAGAGCATCCGAAATTGCAAGGCGGAAGAATTCCTGCTGCACTCCGCCACTGTCGAAGCCCTCCTCTCCAGAGTCCTCGCCAAGGTGAACTTTTAAGGGCCTCAACAACTCTCGCTCCTCACGTCGCCAAAGCTGATCAAAAGCATCCCTCAATGCGTTCTTGCGGCTGATATCCAATATCAAGTACTTAGCCGAGGGAACCTTTAGCAGATCTTGAAGTACATTCTTCTGGTGTTGCTCTGTGATAAGACTATCGGGTCGAACGATAGCGGCGATTCGTTCTTGTAAAGAGCTGGATTCTTCATAGGCGCGGCTCATTCTTGAAAAATTAATAGCTCGGAAATATGAGACTAAAGATGTAGGGTTAAAAATGAACGGGTAATCTAAGAGATGGACATTCTGCCTAGTCGAGGTGAATGATAGCCAAGACACTGGCATCTGCATGGGATCAAGTCGATCGCCGAAGTATTCAGAACGAAATGGTACATCGCCCAAGAGAAGAGATTGTCGCTTCTGGTCTATTTTAACGTTAGTGAAATTATCACCATAATTATATAATAGGAATACTCACACATAGCCGTCATCAGCAAGAGAGCACCGCCAAATGGGCCATCTCCAGAAACATCAGGTTTCCCCTCCCATTCATGAAGCATCACTGCTCTCGCCCAATCTAGGAGTAAAATTGGAACCCTCTTTTCATGCATACTTCGCTCGCTTTTCGAAAAACTTAACACCGACTGTGTTGATGATTCTAGATGAGAGAGTAGTATCTCCAAAACATCTGGCTCTTTAACCCTATCATCCGCGTCCAAGTCGAGCTCAATTAGTTCATCGAAATGCCGCCGTGTCGGAATTACCCTAAGTAACCGCCTCGCCAATCGAAGAGCCATGTCGTCTGTGAAAGCATCCTCATACTGCAGACATAACGGAATAGGTTGCCTTGCGAGAGCACCGCTGCCTGTGAGTGATAATCCATGCGCCCTAATACGAGACATGTCATGTAATTGTCTCGAATCAGTCACTAACGGAGCTGCTGCTACCAGAGCGTGGAAGCATACTGACATGAGTGACGCTGCTTCCATATTTGTGAATGACTTCTGATGCCCCGGAAATACCTTTGAAGTAGGCGATCTCATAGATTGCAGGGTTTTCGGCGGTGCGAAAAGGCCAGCTAAAGCAATCCATAGGCTGTCGAACACGAGGTTGGGCGCTACTCTTGTTAAGCGTAACATGCAGTACCACAGAGTTTGTGAGTCGATTACACCACTAGAGCTAGTAAATGAATCCAGTAAAGCTTCAGGATCGCTGAGGACATGGAATATACTCTGTTCGGCGAACAGTTTCCACTGGAGCTTCATATCCTGGGGGTATGGGGCTTTGCTTTTTTGTTTCCTCCTCCATGACTTGAGCCGACTTGATGATCGCTTAACAGACCCACAGACAGTGGTCGGTTCTAAGAGATGCTTCTCACAGGTGGAATCGTCCTGGAGAATATCGCATATAAAATTGATGGCTTGGATACTTAGGCGCGACAATGATTGAGGTAAGTAGCTATCGAGCTCGGATATCGACTCTAACTTGTCAGCACCTACTAGAGTACCATGATTTTCATCTGACGCATCCAGTGATTTCGTGGTTTCTGCACTACTCGATGTCTCTTCGCCACTAGCGCCGTCCACCTGATAATAATGCTCATCAACATGGGAGCAAGGACTTGCTGGTTCTAGGTCCTCCTTTTCAAACATGGTATGTCCATTTTGTTTTATTTGTGGCGTAGCTCGTGTTATAACAGGAGCAGGCCGAACAAGTCCTTTGGGTACCTTTTCGCATTGCGTATTGTGAATGCTTGGTGATTTAGGTCCTGTCTCATCCACAATTGACTCGACGAATGGCTCGGTTAAAGCCCTAGGCTGTGATTTTGAGACCGAGGACGTACGAATACGGGCGCTTGAATTTCTCCTTTGATGTGATAGACCTTGAAAGGTCGAATTCGTTGCCGACTGGTGTTCGGAATGTGCCTGCTGGTGGAATCCGTTGACTTCGCTTTTCGGAGTGAGACGCGATGTAGCGAACCGGGGAAGGGCCGGGGTATCCTTGACACTATCTATACTCTCCAAATCGCGAATTAATGAAGTAGACTGTGGACTAGTCCGCCCACCGCATTCGCCTGAGCGAGACGAAACTGCTCGAGATTCCTCCGTGGTATCCTGATTTTCATCAATTACTGCAATTTTGTCTGACATGAACTCCATGTTATTCGGCGTCAACCATTCTAGCATCTTGAAAGCAACAGTCCCAAAGACATTAGCGGCAAACGAGCGATAATCCTTGACCATAGACTTTTCGGTGATCTGTATTTCATGGCGAGTATCCGGTGGTGACGATGCCGCTTCATTCCGTAGTGCTTCATCCTCAACCTGCCCATTCCGACTCTGACTGCTTCGCCTAGGACTCGTGTGTGTAGATGTTTGGCGACCCGGGCTCCTTGCATGTCCCTTCCTTAATGTCACCAGACCCCCATTGCCTTTAGCGGATGCAATCCTAACCCCTGGGCCTGTATAAACAGAGTCGACCGTATCGCTGGAAGATGTATATTTTGGGCCGAACATTAAGGACTTCGCGCCATCGCTTGGACCAGCTGGGGGATAGAGATAGGGACATAGTCGGCTGTCGGCGTCGTCTTGGCTTGCTAGGAACACGGCTAAAGTTCTCGCGCTGGTTATGTTATAACGTCGAACGGGCGCCTTACCAGCTAGTCGTTTCCGACAGCTAAAGCATGAGGAGGTCGTACACGCCTTGAAGTTACAACCATATTGTAGTTGATCGATGAATCTGTAGGAAGTTAGGTGACGTTCTTTAGCCGGTACGGCTGAGCTTAGGCAATTGAAAAACCTACTTCTCGATTAGGAGTTGAAGATCATGCCGGCGACTAGCGTGATAGACGGCATAAACCTTCTTAGGATTCTCGACGTTGACTACAAGATCTTTTATCTCAGATGGCGCATCAAGCGGTAGCCGCGGGAAAGGGACCTGTTCCCAAAGTGCTGCTAAGATATCATTTTCGAGACTGTGATGGCTAGGACCATGGTCCGCCGGCCGGTTGACTTCTCGCGTCATGACATAGGGTGCAAATGTTGCCCCCGTGTCGGAGCTAGATGTAGACTCCCACCCAGATCCGCTCGTATCAGTAGGTGTAGTTATCCTGAAACTATCGGAATAATAAAGGCGATTCGAATTGGAAAGTCGTCGCGTGGCTGAAGACCCAAGTCGATCGGAGGTAACAAGCGCCGAGATGATAGGAGCAGGAATGACGGAGGTCGCGGAAAGGTGACGGTGATTTCAGGGTACGTCTTAGGTCTTAAGTTTGTCGATACGGCGAGAAAAAAAAATCAGATGAGGGCAATAGATAAAATAGATAGGTAGTTGGAGTAGTGTAGTATCTACTGAGTACAGAGGGAACGACTCGAGCCGCAAGCCGCACGCCGCATGCAATGAAATCCAATCCAGTCCCAAGCAACTGCCAAGCCCAGAAAATGGCCCTATGAATCTTCAAGGCTGAGTTTAAGGGCGCATAAGGCCGAGATGTAAGGTAGTTGCGTAGGTGTCTAGGTGCATAACACGCCTGCATAGGTACCTCGATGCATTATACATTCAACCCCCTGTCTTTCTTATTCTTAGCGTCATTCAGTGGATGCACATTACAGCTGTAGGGCGGATCCCGCGCATACTACACGTATTGACCTCTCCTAACCCCACGACCAATCCCACCCAACCAATTAATGAACGTGTAAGCACCTACTTAAGTAAGCTACCTAGGTACCTTATATAATCCAGTTCGTTACGTAAGCAATCTATTTCTATGACTTTGAAAGTTATCGATAATTATAATTCCTCTCGCATGAATGGTATTTGAATTGACTCTTTTCTGAAACAAAACAAGATGTTTAAGGGGTTTGGTGTACATGAGTATAAAGTTTCGACTAAGGCCCTACAGGAATTGCTTCCTGCTAAAAACGAGAAAAAGGGAAGTGAAATCTACCAAGTGCTTACTTAATCCACACATGCTTGTAATACCTGAGATAATGCATAGATTGATTGTATTGTACATGCTATCCAACCAATACCTTAGCCCTGATGAATGTACCGCATGTAACCCGCGATAGTTCTAGAACTGACGTATGAGTGAGCTAAAAAATTGTTTTCATTCGGCAAAGACTAAATAGTAAGGCACGAGGGTAAAAATAAACCCCACCAAACGCCACTAGATTCCAACCAAGAATTTCGACGATTATCGATTATTTCAGCAACTCTGATCAATTCCATTTTCCCAAACTCCGGCGTGCAACGGCTCGTGACAAATCAGTCCGACCGCATACCATTATTCATTCTTACAATCCTACCTTACACTTGGATTGTCCACTTGCGCATCAAACCCTTTTTTCTCTTCTCTTTTTTTGCCATCCGGCGATTTAGATACACATTTAGATTTTGTCGTCACAAAAATCCGAAATTCTTCACACTAGTGGGCTCTGATTATCCAGATAAAGCCTCACTCAACCCCTCCCCCTCATCCTTCCACCTGCCCTACGCCGTTTAGACCACCTAGATCTACGACTAACGAACTTTGTCAACCCGGTTCTTCCGCCATTGACATATTCCGAGCTTTGGGAGAAACACAAATCTCTTCCCTACCTTAATTTTACATCCATTAAAACTGACCCACAAGATCTCTATCTGCGGACTAAAAGTTCAATCATGGCTACTGTCGCGGGTAGTAGACCTTCGGGCGCCGCCCTGCATTCCCAGCAGGATCCTGCGCCGTCTTCTCATCAGTTCACCTGTAACACATGTCAAGTGGCTTTTCGCTTCGCCGACACTCAAAAAGGTCATATGAAAAGTGACTGGCAGTAAGTCATGTTTCACCCTTGTCTCTCTTTGTTTTCTTCGTCTTATATCGGGTATTGATCTAACATGTGATCGTCTCTACTACGTATAGTCGATATAATCTCAAACGTCGTGTTGCGTCGCTTCCTCCGATTTCGTCTGAAATATTCACCGAAAAGGTTCTTCAAGCCCGGGCTGCTACCAGCGCTGAGGCAGATCGTGCTGGATTTCAACAGGTTTGCGATGTCTGCCAACGAACATACTACAGCGAGAACTCGTTCCGAAATCACATTTCGAGTCAGAAACACAAGGTGAAAGAGGCGGCATCACAACGTCAAGGATCAACCCAAGATGATGCCAGCTCTGTTATGAGCTCTGCCTTCTCTCTTGAACCTGTCCCTGCGAAAACGGAAGTCGACTCTGATGCCGAAGATGAGTTTAATGAGGTAGTTGAAGGTCTCCAGAAGACCAACTTATCAGACCGTCAATCTCCGGTAAAGCGACCGTCAAACCCCCATCCTTCCGCTGAAGCTCAGCACAAAAGGGAACACACTGTTTCGGAGGATGCTACAGAAACATCTGCTGAAGCTACTTCAAGCACATCAACGCCGGTTCCGAATTTGTCGCTCAAATCGTGCTTGTTCTGCAACTATGATTCGCCGACTATCCCCCTGAATGTCGTCCACATGGAACGTATTCATAGCATGTTCATTCCCGAAAAGCAATACTTAGTCGACCTTGAAGGACTTATCGGAGCATTACAACAACGGATCCAAGAATTCCATGAATGTCTATACTGCGGAAAGCTCAAGAATACCGCTCTCGCCGTGCAAACACACATGCGCGACAAGGGTCACTGCAAGATTCCCTACACTTCCGAGGATGAGCAGGTCGATATCGGTGACTACTACGACTTCCGAAGCACGTACTCAGATGGCGAAGACTCGGATGATGAGTCGGTTGAGGATGGTAAGCCCAACGGAGGAGCTAAGCTCGGGGCTAGACGATCAGCTAGAGCAATTGGCGAGGATGGAGATGAGATTATGGAGGAGGATGGCTGGGAGACGGATAGCTCCACTTCATCGTGCAAATCCGAAGACCTTGGTGCTATTCCAGTTGACAACCACTACCGTCAAGTTGAGCGACTCGACAAGCACCCCCACCACTCATCTCATGATCCCCGGCACCACCATCAAATGGATGGATGGCATTCGCATGCCCATAAGCATCGCGCTATTTTCTACGATGACACCGAGCTACATCTTCCATCAGGCCGTTCAGTCGGTCACCGGTCTTTGGCTAAGTATTATCGCCAGAACCTCAACGGTTATCCGACAGCAGAGGAACGTGCCGAAAGACAAGCGATCGAGGGAGCATCACCCTCGGGGGATGAGATGGAAGTTGATGATGCTGAGGACGGTAAGCGGCAAGTTGTACGACGCCAAGAGCGTGGACGCAACGGCGCCGTTATAAGCCGAGCAAATGGTGGAACTGGTATGTTGGGAGTTTCGGACCAGAAGAAGAGAGAAGTGGATCGTGCCGAGCAGAGAAGTCGGAAGCAGGAGCACAAGGCGGCAAGGCAGAAGGAGTGGGCCCTAAACAAACAGGCGAACCACCAGAAGTACTACAACTACCAGATCTTGTAAAGAAGCTATTCACGATATTCGCGAGAAACCTGGTCATTAGGCGCGAACCAAATACTAAAGTATTGGTACCGGCTTATTACACTGCCTCTCGGTCGAGAGTCGAGTTCGCAATATCGGCTTGATCGGTAATAAGAAGCATGCTATTGCTAATAGAGAAAGAAGAAATGAAAAAAGTTTTGCGATTTAATTGGATGTGTCGAATCATAGGTGATAAACCCTGGAACTCTCCGAAGTACAGTACCTATTGCTTTTACGCTAGCACGGACAGAGTGTCGGGTAGAAGCCCTTTAGACAATGCGACGTCGGTATCGGCCGAGATAACGTTAGATATATCTAGTTTCTATGATGATTCGACTAATCCCGCCTGTCTACCCCAAGGTGCTTACCCCAGGTATGTATCTTCCTAACCAAATTTAGGAAAGATAATACTTTGGTCCAACGGAATTACGTAAGGGGCATAATCTTGATTATTAGAATTATGATTACATCTACCGTATTAGCTCTAGGTTCCGGTCAGCCAGGTACCTAACTTTAAATTTTACCAACTTACAACATCAAAATCGTCACCATCATCAATTCTACATATTCTCTCTTTACAAACCTACCAATTCCTCCTTGCGTCTACTTATTTACTTCTACTACGTAAGTGATTATCTATCTCCATAGATTTAATTCTAGACGAAGCACGTGGGAGATCTCTCGACCCGGCCTATCGGACAGGAGAGGGGTTGTATTTTCAGCTAGGTTCGGTCCCGCGCAATTGGAACAGCGCTGCGCCTCTTATTGGACCATCCGACCCGTTTGCTACTATGGGATCCTTTCAATTAGGATCGCCGACCAGGGATGATGAGGCACATGTGTTTATCTATTTCACTGATAGGTTAATCCATCACAACGCGTGGTCAGCTCATAATACCTATAAGAATCCAGCTTTAGTAGCTCACGTCAAGCTTCGCAGTCCCGTCACTTGGCATTCCACTCGTTACCGCTAGGTCCCGTCTTTAGGTAGCAGATCTAAGGCGAAAAGAAGAAGACCAGATCAAGATGCAGCTGGTCAACTCTGTCGCTCTCGTGTCAGCTCTACTGGTTCACTCCGGTAGGGCTGCCGCTGACGATAACGCTTTCGTTACGGCCGCGCCTCACGCCGGATCAGCTATTTCGGATTCGTACCCTCCCAAAGGCAGTATGTACTACCCGATTTGCTACTTAATCTATTATCCGATCTACGTCTTTGTATCTATGCCTTAGTTTATCTATCATTCATATAATTGCTCGTGGTTAGTAGATACGATCGACCACTGACAAAGAAGCAAACTAGCCTCCGTCGACTCCGCCCTCTTCCCACCCGAGTCCGAGGTCGGCTTCCCTGGTCCGACCGCAACGGGTGCGCAACCCGCAGCCATTCAGACAGCCGCGTTGTACCCAGGTAACCAAGGACCGACGAATCAATTCCCTCTAGTCGCACCCCAGCCGCACGGTCATAGCGAGTCCGCCGACAAGTTCGACATTACTAAGTATTGGGGTAACTTGTCGCCGTGGTATTCTTTATCCTCCGCCGACTACGGTTTGCCCGATACCAGCCCGCTGGCCCCCGAGGGCTGCAGCGTCACGCAGGTGCATATCCTATACCGCCATGGTGCGAGATATCCGACCACCGGTGCCGCGCCGGCCCAATTCGCGTCCAAGATTGCGAACGCGACGCAAGAAGGACTACAAGTGAGCGGCGACCTAGCTTTCCTAGCCGACTGGACCTATAAGTTGGGTGGTGAGCTCCTTACCCCCTTCGGTAGGAGTCAAGAGTTCCTCCTCGGCGTACAGCACCGTCAGCTTTACGGCCATCTCCTAAACAACTTTACCGAAGCCGGTGCCATCCCCGTCTTCCGAACCGAGTCTCAAGATCGCATGGTCAAGACCGCCCAAAACTTTGCGGCCGGCTTCTTTGGTGTGCCTGAATTCTTGGATGAGGTAAACATCGAAATCCTTGTTGAGGCGGCAGGTGTGAACAACTCCGGTGCACCTTATGAGGTTTGCACCAATTCCAATGTCAACAGTCGAGGAAGTATTGGAAGTGCTTTGGCGTCTAAATTTGCCAACAATGCTTTCAACGCTACCCTCGATCGCCTAAACTCGCAAGTAAGTTTGCACCCGATCCACGCGACGAGAAAAAAATCATTAACAGTACCTAGATCTCTGGTCTTAGCTTTACGCCAACTGATGCTATTGCGATGCTTCAACTTTGCTCTTATGAAACGAACGCGCTGGGTTACTCTGCATTTTGTGAACTTTTCAGTCAGGAAGACTTCCTGAATTACGAGTATTACTTCGACCTGGTATGTTCATTATGGTTTCATTTCCATCCCGCCCTCTCCCTTTATATCGGGCTAACATTCCTAAGTCGTTCTACTACAATAACGGACCCGGCTCTCCCGTTGCCGCTGCTCAAGGAAAGGCTTATCTACAGGAATTTGTCGCTCGCTTCACGGGAGAATTCCCCGAAGCCTGGTCGGCCTTGAACGAGACCTATGATAACTCGGAAACCTACTTCCCTCTCAACCAGTCCATCTACGCTGATGCAACCCACGAGGTAGTAGTTTTGGACACCTTAACCGCATTCAACCTAACAGCACTGTTCAACGGACCGCCGCTGAGCGCCACTGAAAACCGAAGACAAAACAGCTTTTCGGCCAGTAAGCTCGTGCCATTCGGAACACATTTCGTCGTTCAAGTCCTTGAGTGCCCTGCCTACCAACCCACCAAGCAAGCCAGGTTCCTTGTGTAAGTTCTCTTATCCATTTTAATCAATATCTCGAAAAGGGAATCTAATTAATTTCACTAGAAACGACGCGGTCATCCCCATCGCGGACTCTTACTCTGGCTGCTCAGCTGATCCTCACGGTCTCTGCTCATTCGAAAACGTTGTTTCGGTTCTCAAGGACCGTATCAATGAAATCGACTTCGACTACGACTGCTTTGCCAACTACACCACCGAGGCTGGCATTGATTACAATGGTAGAGCGCCTCGGAGTTAGGAAGACGAGTCGCAGGCGTTTAGTCTGCAGAGCGGAGTGGCCGGTGCAATGGTGAAAGCTTTTATGGTCTTGGGTAGTATCATCGTGATAGCGTATCGAATGTAGTAAAATCTGTCTTAGTAACTTTTTGAAGCTGGGAAGTTTGAATAAAAGTTATTACGTCGCGTTAATCTGTGTTTTGGAATAGAACAGTGCCTCGAATTAGCAGGCACTTTAGGTACCTGGTCAGGCTACACAATCCAATCACTGGAGGGCTTTGAAAGGAGCCCACGTGCGACTGCATTGGGCCATAACTTGGACGGAGTAACCGTGTGGCCGGCGGCATGCAAGCCATTCGTGCTAGGAGTGTGGAAAAGTCCGGATGCCTCACTTTCCCCTCTCGTCTACGGGAGCTTGAGAGTATCCGACTTCTACGGCTTCCTTTCGAAAGTGGGCGTGATTGCCGTTTGCGTATATGGTGATAGAGTGAACTAGCCTCCCTTACATCATTTTCTTGTGATATGTTAAGGGGGTGACCTAATTGCTGTATTGGGGATGCGCACAATCACCTCCCTATCTGCCCCGATGGTGGGAAAATACCTCGGTAGATATTCGCTGAGCCATGGAACTTTTAGTTCTTGGTTTTTCATCCCTTGCATGTTGGGTCTTCTGCAGGCGGTTCTAGCGCTTCATCTAGTACTGGCGCAAGGACTACATGTGCCTAAGTATCACCTTAAAGTAAGCTGTGTTAATAGGGATTTCGAGACGAGGAATTTCTTGAAGCCATCAAGTCTGTCTTAATAAAATAATATAGGTGTATAAATTTTCCACGAATAATCCTCAATTTGGACTAGCCTCCGGAGCTCGATGGTCTATGAACTGCTTATTGACATTCTCGTTATAACACATCGCCGAATTACAAATCTAATGTTATAGTGCATTCTATTTTCTATTTTTTGGATTTTGTTGTGTCTGTTGGACGTTTCTGTCGGTAACATGGAGTTGGTACTGTCTCTTATGCGTCGGAACACCGTGCTACATTCATAAATCAACAGATACGTATACCTATGGGGACGGTATTAAGTATGGCAGAATTCTGTCGTCTCTTAGGATGTAAGCCCTTCGTTTTCATGCACTTCTTTCTGTTCACACCAATACAGCAACAGTGGCGACGACGCGGTACGAGCATACATATCCTTTAGAAAATCAGGAGGAAGTAAAGCGATTCAGCAACCAGCATCAAGTTATTAAAGATGCCATGGGGCTCGCGAAATTTGCGAAGAGTGAGTTGGCGCTTTGTATAATCATATCTCTATCAAATATCCTTCTCCAAACGGTGTTAACGTGATCACTAGCTCTACCTCCTAATAAAACAAAACTCTACACTGGGTTCCGATTTAGAAGGGGAGCTTATGAAGGTAGGAGCAGTGTATCCGTTGCGGATTGTGTGGTTGTCTAAGTTTATGTAATTTAGACATTGTTGAGGTGAAATCAGGGAGTTGTTTTCAGGCGTAGGTATTGCCCAAGGGCAACGATACGATGATCTCGTCACTCGTTGCTGGAGTGTGGATGGTATCCTGACTTTAGCTACGAACGCAAACAATGTTGTTGTCATGAACGATCTGACATGTTATCCAGTTAACAACATTGTTCATCTGTCTATATAGTCCACTCTTTTTCCTTTGCTAATTCTGGATCTCAGAGTACTGCATCAACACACATTATCATAGTCACTTTATTACAAACCTTTAAACATCACAATATCGCCGAAGTTGAACTGTTTTAGTCACTTATTACAAATCACCCAACAATCACAATGGCTCCCCCACAATTGACATACGACCCCTACGAGGTCCTAGGAGTAAGCCGCGACGCTGATGCTAGAACCATCAGGTCTAAGTACCATAGGCTTTCTCTTCAAAACCACCCTGACAGGGCTGGCCCTTCGGGTCACGCACACTTTGTCCAGATCCAAGGAGCGTACGAGTTACTATCTAACCAGTATGCTAGGGCAGAGTATGACAGGACACATAGAGCAGCCCCGCGTACTTATGAAAACCGCGGCACGAGTACACGGCACGATGCAAGCCACAACAGAAGCTCACAGTATCGCAACAGTGGTAGCCAAACTTCGCAGAATTATCAAAGCTTCAGTGAACGCTCGCGACGCGGTGAAAGCTACAATGGAAGTTCGCGACACCATGAGAGCAGTGGTAGGGATTCGCGATATGAGGAAGGTGGTAGTAGGAGCAGGCCTTACAGTCAAAGCTACAGTCAGAACTCGTACTCAGCCTACGACGGAAACCATGGCAGAGACCCGAGGTACGATGAGAGCCACAGCAGGAGTTCGCGACACAGTCAAAGCTACAGCAGAGATCCGCGATACGACGAAGTTAGTAGCAGCCGCCACAGAGACTCTCAGTGCGACGTAGGTCATTGCACAAGCTCACGACATAGTACAAGCCACCACAGAGATTCGCAGTACGATGAAGGTCACAGAAGACAATCAAGGTACGACGAAGGCGAATATGAATCTGAGAGGCCACGTAGGAGGAGGGTAAGGGATTCATTCGAGTTTACGATTGACGAAGAACAGCTTGAGGAGTTAATGTCGTTTCTACATGTCAGGTAAAGGGGGAGTTCGGATGGAGATCGCCGAGAAGGAGAAGGGCAATAACAGGATGAGTAAACCGTGTTAAGCTACTCAGCCTCAAAAAACATACACGCGCGTAGGTAGGTACATTTCGTTTCGTATTTCGTAAACACAGTAATAGGGTTTGTTTAGACATGGGTTAGGTAATATAGACTTGGGTTTAAACAATCTCGTCAGGATGAACAGTGAAATTATGGGGAGGTCTCTCCCTGGCCCAATCTTGCACTACAATGACCGTAAAGTTCCGCGGCGTGATAGGTTGGCTATCTCCGTCAGTATATACTCATCTCTCGATATGTACGATGAATGAGACTGTAAAACATACTCTTCGGGATGAAACAAATAGGTAATGGCAATGTGTACCTGTATGTCTTGAACGGGAAGTACCCTCGCTAGCACGGCAGCATCAGGGGCACCGCCTTCGACTTTGTCCAAGCTGCATACTGTAAGGTTTGAGCTAAGGGGACTACCGTCTGCGGTCCCTTCGCAATGGGCGAAGAAGGGTGGTATGTGTGTCGAAACTTCACCGTACCTGGGCCCGGACACGTTGAAGTCTTAGGCAAATATTAGCGTGGATTTTCGGTTCAACAAGGTAAAAGAAATAATAAAAAATAGGGAAATGCCTACTGAACCATCCTGTAACCGGAGCTGTAGGGTTACCGTGAGACTCTCCAGCTTGCCACTTCAAGACCTCCCACACATATGCTATAGTTGTGTCCCTAGGCACTCCAGCGGCAACCGAAGTCGCTAGAGCAAGAATTGATAGTAATTGCATCCTGATAGTTTTTTTAGTATCTGTTTAAAGATACAAGAAATAATTTGTCTCCCCTAGGTTTTGGTGGAGTTAGGCACGTTTTATATCACCTTTTAGTATCGACGGAGTTAACGCATGGCACCATAAGCTGCATGCTGGCTAAATACAAATCACCTAAAATAAAAGTGCAACGTTACTATAATTATACTCATAAAGTCGTAATAGGAAATAAATACGAGGTTTCTTTATTTTCTTATGTTTTGAATAGGATTTACGGGTTAGAAGAGATGGTGTGAGGTAGGTAGGCCAAGCATTCTAGAATAGGGGTTAACAGCACCCCCTGTTAGCCAATGATAGAAGTGATATACTGCCACACAAGAAATAAAGTCTAGTCAATTGAGGTATAAGCATGCGCTCTGAATTTATGACGGAGTTCTAGAATAACAATCTAATATATAACTTCGTCCGTCCTTGTAGTGGATCCCATATGCGTATTCATGCTCAATTACCCCTGAGCTTCTGTCCGTGCAATCATATCATATCCGTGACCCATCATCATTAGGCATTACCATAGCCAAACTCAATCCAAACGCGTCTCGACTTCCGGCGTTGTTGTGAATCAAAACATTAGGAAATAAATATCAATGCTGAGATTTTTTTTGTTGATTGTTTTGTTGTTTTTTCGTGTGTTTTTGTGTTTTTGTGTTTTTATCTCCCTGGTCCGCATTAGTAAATATTGAAGTGGTCTCGGTGATATTCAGCTTACATTATTGGTAGTAATATCATACTCGCGTACTCGCATAATTCGTAAATAGCATTGAAAAGGAGAGTTGCCAAAGCGAATGTAGAATCGCTGATGAAAGTGGGATGTCCAAAAGTAAGAAGACATCCAATTCCCGTGATTGGCTCACCAGATGTAGCAGGTGAGGTTGACCGAAATGCCATTATCGACTTTGCTTATGAGCGATCCTTGTGGAATAGGATCTCTTGGGTCCTGATGTTTTGGAGGCGTTCGAGCTTTCCTCTAACGAACGACATGCGAATTTTCTTGTTTTGGTCACGTCGGTGTTGGTAGACGTATTGACGCGTGATTCGGTTGTAGACTGAACGTAGCCGACCGTGGTGGCCATCCTCATAGATGATGACGAAATGTGGAGATCTTGGTCGGAGGTTGTATGGTCGCTGCTGAACTGGCTCCGGCTGTGGCAGCGAAGTACGACCACGCTCAGCAAGGATTCGAGAGACCCGTCGATTGGGTCGAGTAGAAGACTTCGGGGGGAGCTTAATAGATTGCCTCTTTTGAGGCTTCGTAGGGTGAGCCATAGTAGGCCTTTTGGGAGTGGAAGGTTCGCTTTGCTTTCCCATTTTGGACTGGTGAAGTCTTATGTTCGAAGATTTGAGTGTATGAGTATGTAGAAGTCTTGAGGGGAATAGATGCAAGAATTCGGAAGATCTTATAAGATGGAAGTTGTTGTTTGTGGTTATGGATGGGGGAAAAGTGACTGGAGATTCTACAGGCAGGTCGGGCTTTTATACCAGTCCTCTTACAGCTATGTCCTCCTGTTGAACAGACGAGGGAGATATCCGCAGGTTATTGTTCATCACGAGCAAACTCAATAGGCACTCACTGGACTATCACTCGGTGTTCGATAGTCGATGTGACGGCGCGGATTAAATATAGAGATAGAAGCTTATTCTGTGACTGTGAGCCCTCAACTCACTTGAATCATGTACTAACAGTGATTAGGCTTTCGTTTTTGCGGTTATTGCTATATATTGTCATATTAACAGTAAATATGTCTACATTCAAGCATATTATCCAAGTTATCTAGAATAATACTTGTGGCACGTAGGTAATTCTAATTTCATGATAGGCATAGAGGTAGGGGTTAGTCACTATATTAGCCTAGAAGATATGATAATAGCATATGAGTGATAATAGGTCGATTCATCGTGTCTACGCATCAGTATCGGATGTGAATACTAGATGTTTCTGACTTCAATTACCTAACCCGTTCGGACGTAAAATAAAGTTTATATTCCATTAGATCACGTCCATGTGGCCCTGACAGGCCCGTCACACTACCAGCAACCGTGCAGGATTTAGATCTCCTTCCATCCCATGCCAGTTCGAAGCTTCCGCTCGGGTCCTGGCAATGGTATATAGATGGTTTCTGAGCGAATCTTTACTCCTATAGGCCCCCGAAGAAGTATAGTAATTTCACTATTTCCTAAATAGTCTATAAATGGATGTTATAGGCCTGAGGATGACCAGTAACTGCGTAGAGGCATCAGCGATGTCATAACTTAGAGAAAATTTATTATTTATTTATTCTCGCTAGGAAGGTTTGCGCTACAGTACTAACATTTGTGTCGTTAAGGCTTGGTTTTTTGACGTGTTGGGTCTGTGTAACAAGTTTTATGAAGTATTAAGCCCGTAACCAATTACAATAAGACCTATAGCTATACTTCTAAATACGTGATTTTCAATGAAAGATAATTATCTAATTTCATGTCTAGGTATGTATGAGTTAGTAACGTGACATGTTCCCAGGCTACCTTTGTTTGCTCTTGTAATAACCATCCCTTGCTCGATAGCGCCTCGACTCAGAGGTGTGATCAACAAGTTCCCATGTTGTAAAATTTATCCCAGTTGACACGACGCTCTATTATATTCCCTCGGTCATAATGGTAGCCTTTTACTTCTAATAATCTACCATGCCTACCAGCTATCCTTTTAGTAGAGGAGAGGGCGACAGTGCGTGCGTGTTTATGGCGCCAATTCTTTGTCACCCGGCCCCTAATACAAGATGTTGACCTGAAAGGCAAGACCGCGATAGTCACGGGGTCCAATATTGGTATTGGCTTTGAGTGCGCCCGTCAATTGCTCGACTTGGGTCTATCTAAACTAATACTTGCCGTGCGGAATGAGCTCAAGGGTCAAGAAGCAAGCACCAAACTATCATCCGGCCGTCACCTTCCAGACAGCGCTATTGAGGTGTGGAACTTGGATCTTGTCTCCTACGACTCTATTGTCGCATTTGCGGAGCGTGTGAAAACCTCACAGCGCTTGGATATTGCGGTGCTCAATGCGGGTGTCTTTAAGCAGAATTACGAAATCGTTAAGGCGGCCCCGTCTACAAGCCACGAGGAATCTATCCAACTCAATGTTATTTCGAATACACTACTCTCGATCCTGCTTCTTCCTAGCCTCAAACCCAAAATGCCCTCTGATTCTCCTGGGTGCTTGGCTGTGGTATCGTCAGATGTGGCTTCTTGGTCTACCTTCACGGGGGAAGATGATATAGACCCTCTGCTCCCGGGTTTTGATAAACCGGAAGTATTCAGTGGCTGGTATTACTACTGCACTTCTAGATATCAGTTAACCTGGTTTAAATGAGGTATCGCGCGAATATTGAGAGAATGAATACGGGATTGAAAAGCTCTTCAATTTCCGCATATTGAATTTCGAAATAACAAACATGAAACTCCTATATCTTTTCCCGCAACACTCTTCGCCTCCCCCTTAGACCGCCCATGCAATACATCGGATATGAGTAGAAATAATTTTGTTTACATCCGAATATTTAACCTAAGCCTTGCTCCCGGTCTTATCCTCGGGGGCGAAGTTCAAGCTAACACTGTTAACGCAGTGTCTCTCATCAGTCGGCGTTGGGTATCCCTCGCCCTTGAAGACATGACCAAGGTGTCCACCACAGTTGGAACAAACAATTTCGGTTCTTGCCATGCCGTAAGATCTGTCTTCATGCCTAGTGACAGCACCGGGTATACTGTCGAAGTATGCTGGCCACCCACAGCCAGACTTAAACTTGTGGTTCGCCTTGTAGAGGGGTGCATCACAACCGGCACATGTGTAAACTCCAGACTCGGAAAAGAACTTATCATACTTTCCGGAGCCCGGGGGTTCAGTACCCTTTTCCCTAAGAATTCTAAATTGCTCTGTAGCATGCGGATTAATGGGTGTTCAAATAGTGCCTTTTGCTCTCATATTCGTACCTTTAGATAAGACGGCGCGCCACTCGTCGGACGTTCTTTGATCTGGAAAGGACATATTGTTGGTTGAACTGGAGCTCGAACCAAATAAACTACCAAAAAAGGGGAGAGTTGGCATGGATTTTACTGTTATTGGATGGCGTAATACTGCTTGGTGGGCAAGCGGGCGGGTCCGAGTGAAACTGGAAAAGGTATAGAAAGTACGCAGTAAATTGGAGAATGGAGGTAGTTTCATGAGGTTTTGAAGAGTGAATGTATGATAGATATATATATGGTTTAAATGTTGGATGATTTGGAAGAGTTTCGGAATGGAATTATTGTTAAGTCAGATGAAGATAGGGATGTGATTTGGAATATTTGGAATCATTGTCGGGCGAAGTTATACCGCACGAACAAGATCTTATGTAACTTATGTAAATGCATTTGAAGCCGTTGACGTCTTCGGATAGCTGCGTCTCCACAATTCTCGACCCGATCCTTGCCACTGTCTGTTCCACCACATGAGACATTGGCAGTTTTGATTGATTCCAACTACTGTAAGCTGGCGCCATCGGATTATTAGGATATAGCGATCTCCGATATCTCAAAGCGCAAGAACAAGGTTTCATTAGCTAATCCATTATTAGAAGCTAAGACCAACTGACGAAAGCCACAGTTTCTTAGAGAATTGCAGCATATCAGTGCCACACGACACTTTACCTACTCAATCTTGGAACTCTATATAATACACCCCTTTTTTATTTCTTGCAACCTACCTCCCTGCTAACCTTCCAACCCTCGCACAACAAGATTTGCCAATCCGATAATATACTCGACGTTTATACTCCCCGATTCCCGCATATAGGCATCAATCGCATTATGTCTAGACGCCCCCCCAACCCGGCCGCTGAGAGGGCCGCCCAAAACCAGCAAACCATTAAGAGTCTACTGAAGTTGGAATCCAACAAGATATGCGCCGATTGCAAACGAAACAAACGTACGTCACCCCTTATATATATGAAATAACCGCACATTGGTATATAAAACTCACAATTGTTATAGATCCGCGATGGGCGAGTTGGAACTTGGGCGTCTTTATCTGCATTCGCTGCTCAGGAATCCACCGAGGAATGGGAACCCACATATCGAGAGTGAAGTCCGTCGACCTAGACTCCTGGACTGACGAACAACTACAAAGTATTCTAAGCTGGGGCAATGCGCGCGCCAATAAATACTGGGAATCGAAGCTGGCTGCTGGCCACGTACCGTCCGAGGCTAAGATCGAGAACTTCATTAGAACCAAATACGAACTGAAGCGATGGGTGATGGATGGACCTATGCCTGATCCTGCAACCTTGGATGTAGATGGCGACGATGATGTTCCACTAAGCATCGTAAAAGAGAAGCAGAGTATAGACAGGAAAGAGTCAATTCGGAAAAGCTCAGTTGGGCAGCAAGCAGCACCGCGCAAGATAGCTTCGCCAGCCCCGCAAGCAGACCTCATCGGTGGTGACGATATTCCTCCGAGGGCAAGCACTGCCGGACCTGCATCGTCGCAAGTTCCCCCTAAATCGGCTCCTGCTCCTCCAAAAGCTGTGAACCCTAAAGATTCACTTCTGGGCTTAGATTTCTTGGGCGAAGCACCTGCTGCTCCACCTCGTCCCGCAAGTACGAATAATGCCGGTGGTATTGGTGGCCAGTCGAGACCCGATCTCAAGCAATCCATCCTATCTCTATATGCCTCCGCCCCTAGACCCCAACCACCTCAGCAACCGTCGCATTCTTCTTCTGGGTCATTTGGTGGGTTTGGTGCCATGCAATCTCCATTGCAATCTCCTACAATGGGACATCAGCCCCAAAAGTCAAATAGTGGAGGGCTTGACGACGCTTTTGCTAGTTTGAGTTTCGGAAATGTGACCGCGCAGAAAAGTCCTCCAAAAGACGCTTTCGCAGGCTTATCGAATATGTCTAGCAACCGGTCTACTCCTCAACCGGCGACTTCGTCATTCTCAAGCTTGAGTGGAGGCAGCTTTTTTGATCCTAAGCCCGCTCAACCAGCGACCCAACCGCAGTCGAAACCCCCGATGACAACATCCGATAGCTTTGGTGCGTTTAGCACATCTTCTATCTCGCCAAAGCCAGCCCAGTCATCCTCGGCTGCCCTTGGCGACCTGTTTGACTGGTCTAGTCCCGCTCAGCCGGCCGCCGCGCCAACGCCAGCTAAGCCGACTCCCGCACCGTCATCAACCACCGATTCCATCTTCAACCTTTCAACCCCTCAACCTAAGCCAGCTCCAGTAGCAGCGCCCGCTACGAACACCACTCCCTCTTTCAACGCAGCAGCACTCGGCGGCTCGGACGTCTGGGGAAATGCATGGAGCAATCCTGAATCCACTCCTGCCCCAGTTTCGAAGAGCCCATTGGCAACCCAAACTTCTACAATAAGCAGTAGCAATGATTTTGGCGCCTGGGGCAGCAGCGGAGGCTCTTTCGCTAGTCAGAGCCTAGTACCCGGTGCTTCTGGGGGGTTTACTGCAGCACCAAAGGTAGCGGCAGATGAAGAATTTGGTGGTTGGACCAGTAGTACTGGTACTTCTAACAACAACGGAGGATCGAAGCCCAGTGGTGGATTCGGGAGCGAAGATCTATTCTCTAACGTTTGGCAGTAAGTGGTCTTACGAACGCAACAAGGTTATCAGGTCTCAATAGGATAGGGTTTTTCAACCCATGGAAATTGAATTGTAGACAGGACACATAGGCATGACTTCTCGCTATGCATAGTCTCTTCAAGCCGATTACCAAGGCTCAATGTCAAATACACTAACACATAAGATCCATCAATACAAATTCGTGGGTCTATTCAATTGTAAATCGTCCATTTCGTATAAACAAGGCTAAATCCATAACGCCTACGCTATGCCAGGGAATTGCTAAGCCCCCAAATAAAGAGCAGAACTTGGTTTGCTTCCCCTCTTGCTAGAGCGACTGCTGATACTATCGAGGCATGTGAGCCCCCCCAAAGCAATGCAACATCGACCAATGCTTGCCCCCCCCCCCCCAAATAATGTGGTATATACCAAGCAATACAGGTTTAGTAGTCGCTCTCACAATCCTAAGACCGCCCAGATGTCGGTGTGAATAATTCCATGCCATATTCACCCGGGAAGCTATCGTCGAACCATTTGTGGCTATCTAGTCCGCGCCAATGAGGGTTGGTTGGCTTTGAGCTAGCGGGTATGTTTCATATTCGTAGGTGTGGTTATGGGGTCGGAATCGGTTTAGAAAATCCATCGTAGGATGTAGTATATGACTAAAAATGTGCCGATGATAATACCCGAAAGTTTTAGAATGGCGATTTTGTTCCCTGAGGCTGCCATGCGACCTAATCGACCGGCGGACCCTTTTAATTGCGTCGACATGGACGAGAATGTATCGGACTAGATGGAATTGACCGTATGTTAGTGTTACGTAGGAGTGTAGGGGTATGCGAAAAGGTTACGGAGAAAGGCGTACGGTAGAATCGATGACATCTTGCGCTCTTGCGTTATCGTAGATATCTACTGTCACGCCGCGTAGCGACGACACCTTTGCGGATAGCTCTTCTAGTCGCGCATTGTTCTGGCGCTCGCGCTCGTATGCTTCCGACATGTCGGCGTTTACTGTTGAAGTATTCCGTCTCGTATCGTGGGTCGGTATTCGCGGAAGTTGGAAAAGTTCGGGAAGGAATGGATTTAATGGCTGGGCGTAGGAGTTTTTGGTTGGCAAAAGTTGTTGAGGGTTACGAGAAAGTCCGAAGTGGCATCAACAAATAAAATGGGTCAATTATTGATTAGGTACGGAATATAGTGAATTGGTTAATTAATTGATTTTCGCCTTTGTTTTCCTTAATGGTATCGTATGCCTTTTACCCAATATTCGGCTTTAATGGGGAGGCATGAATCGTGTCTCCGTGACGAGAAAAGGAGGCGGCGAGGCGAAGATGACGCATGAAATGTGGCTAGTGTCTTGTAGTGAGTGCGTCAGCCACATATTTATCGGTTTTCTCCCCACATAAAGCTAGACCGCGGCTGGGCATGGAGCTTTCTAGCTTAACTCTATTGTATCGGTACTAAAGCGGTACCGCCTATCATCCGAATTGGTTCTACCCCAGCTGAAAGTTTTAAGCTTTGAAATGCGTCACTCGGAACAGGTGGGTCTTATTCCCTCTGACCTCATTATCTGTACTGGTCAAGTATACCGTCGTACCTGTGTGTTTGCAGCTTCCCATTTGGAGCTTGACTTGCCTGTTCCTAAGCCGTTGTTGCCGTCTGCCCCGCCAAGGTGGCAGAGCTCTTGCAGCTGACGACGCCCAGAATTATTGTAGAATTGTAGAATTGTTCCTTCTATTTCGTAAGAATAAAAACATCTTCCTACCCACTTTCACCACATCACTTTGTCATTGTCAAGTCACATACCAAGGTATTAACTTACCTATTTATCTACCTTAATTTGTATCTACGAAATCGCAAAAATTGTGCGATCTAGATTCACGATTACCGACGAAATATTCCATCAAGTTACTCGGTATCGTGTCCATTATCTACAAATTCTACCCCAATTTACTTAGATAGCGCGACCTTTGATCCCCCGCAGTTCGTGTTTGCAAGCCACCACGATAAATCCACCACCCGACCCGACCCTCTCTCTTCTTGTTCTGAAAGATTTAGCTCGGGAATTCCGGAATACAATCATTCTTTTATCTGCGACAGTAACGAGTATCCTTCAAGATGGGTATCAACAACCCTCTTCCGTCGTCTATGGCGTGTAAGTAGTCTCCACTCCCGAACAGGCGCAATCTCGCGCACTGAGGCAACCCATCGTTGCCTACACTACCTTGTATCTTTACGAGCGAATACTCACACAATTCCCAACAGCGGAATGCAAGAAGTGTGGAAAGATTCTTACATCCTTCATTGACCCACGCCAAGCGTTTGGACCCGACAAGATTATTCCTCCTTCGGTCCTCGCAAACGCAAAGGTTAGTTATCCTATCTGCGCCACGATGCAGCGCGTTCAGTCTTCGATCTAAAGCTACATACTACCTACATATACCTTCCAAGGATGCATACAATTGTTCGTGGCTTACTGTTACACTAGGGTCTTGCGATTCTTACCGTCCTCAAAGCCGGCTTCCTCGGGTCAGCGCGTTTCGGTTCGGGTCTAGTCGTCGCCCGATTGCCCGATGGCACCTGGTCTGCTCCATCTGCCATTATGACGGCGGGTGGTGGATTCGGTGGCCAAATCGGTTTCGAATTGACCGACTTCGTTTTTATACTGAACGATTCACACGCCGTTAGGACGTTCTCCCAGCAAGGCTCTATCACACTCGGTGGAAATGTGTCAATAGCCGCGGGACCAGTCGGTCGAAACGCCGAAGCTGCCGGTGCTGCGTCACTCAAGGGTGTAGCCGGTGTTTTCAGTTACAGCAAGACAAAGGGACTTTTTGCCGGCGTGTCGCTAGAGGGTTCGGCAATTGTGGAGCGGAGAGATGCGAATGAGAAGTTGTACGGCCAACGCTGGACCGCAGCACAACTCCTCACAGGTTCCGTTCGACCAACACCGCAAGCAGCGCCCTTAATGTCTGTGCTGAACTCGAGGATTTTCGCGGGTGTGCGCACGGGCTCTGTCGGGGATGAGAGCATGTATAACGATGTCCCTGTTTATGACGATCGCCATGATGACGTAGTATGGAACGGCCAACGAGGAAGTGCTTATGGCGAGCCTGCTGGTAGAGAAGAATTTGGCGGACCAAAACGCGCGAGTACCTGGCAGGATGACGTATATGATCGACCAGCTGGTGGTATTTCTCGATCCAACACTGTGGGATCGCGAGGATTTGATGATGACTATGTATATCGCGACCGACCCTCACCTTCCACTAGCACATTTGCAGAGGGTTCTGGCCCCGGTAGACCAGCTGCGCCGAAACCAAATTTCGCGAGCAAACAGGCTTTGATGAAGAAGAACGAGGCAGTTGCGTTGTTCAACTTCGAAGCTGATCAACCGGGCGACTTGGGTTTCAAGAAGGGCGAGATTATCACGGTGGTGAAGAAGACGGATAGTGCTAATGACTGGTGGTAAGTACATACACTCTCATTTTGAACTGACGTTTTAATACTAATACGCGTACTACAGGACTGGTATGATTGGCGCAAGACACGGCATATTCCCAAGCAATTACGTTAAAATGAAGGAATAAAAAGGATATCCCACTAAAACTTACTATCTCGGAAATTACTTGGACACGGGACGGGGCGTACTCGGATCGTGGGGAAAGTTTAAGGGGTAGGGGAGAAGGATGGCAGTTGTGAGATTGTTTGAGATACCTAACACCTAGATTCTACTCTTCCGCATAGGGTTCTTGATCGAATGGGTTTGGGTTTATGTTACATTTGGTGATTCGTGCTGCTTTGTTTATTGTACACGCTACTGCGACGTTGGGGCGTTGCAGGTAGAGCATTTTATATCATAGCTTCATGGTAGACAATTCGATTCAGCGTTCTGGAATTAAGTTAGTGTTGCGCTGGTGATATACTTCTGAGTCGGTAGATGTTGGTGTGAAATATGTCACGAGGACCTTGCATTTTGATAGTGGTGGAAATTACATACGTATTCTAAATACCGCTACGATGTAGGTGCTCAAAACCTGAATTGTTTATGGGGTTAATTGACCATTCCTACGCGAGAAGCAACCTTCAACATTGTATAGACTTAGTAAGAGCCTCCTGAACCGACCGAAATACAGTTTGAACAGCATGTTGTTTGCCGGTTTACTTTCGGATCATCCCGATGAGAGACCCACTTTACCCGATAGGATCGCCGGAAAGAATTAGATGCTGTTCCTTCTACATCACCGTAGATAATCTTATACGGGACGGTATCATATTGATGTCTTTATACGCGTATAGATATATACGTAGTTTTGAGGTTCTTAAGGAATGGTAACGGGGGAAAATTACTTGTTGTTTAGTGAATAACATAATCTACACTTTGCTTCAAGCTAAGATTGATATAAGAGTCAATGTTATATGGTATTTTCAACAGTGTTCGAAACAAGAAAAATGGCATTTTTAATACATTTTTATATTGTATGGAATATTATATACGTACCTAGATTACCAGCTATTATTAGATTTGATATATACATTCGGATATAATTTACATCTTAATAGTTGTTATCGTGTTAAAATAATCACAATTCTTAACTACAGGTTATATACTTAGGTAAAAAAGGTCTAATTTATAAGTTATGTAGATAGATACTGTTAGCAGTCTTCCACACTCATACGTCCATTATCTCGGGGCTTGAACCAACTTGCCGTTCATAACCCGAGCCTACCCACCAAACCGTCCCTCTTAAGAGCATAGCATAATTCATATCGAACTCGACATACAAATTCATCAACGAGCCGTATAAGTCCTAGGAGTCATGTGGATAACAGTATTCGTGAAATTTCCAAGTATCGTATATTAAATATCAAATCATCATCCTTTTAAAATGGATCATATTCAACATATGACTATCTTATGTCCACATTCCACCCTACAAAGTAGTAAACTGCGTACGCTAGCTACTGAGCCCCTTTACGTTGCCCAGACAGATTTCCTCATCAATGACATACCTAAGAAAGTCTGTCCAAGAAACTACTTTGAGGCTTAGAAGTCAGAATGGACCCCATGATAATCAACTGCCGTAACAGTCTAAGGGGGTGTATCTATAACGGAGAGCTTAGGTACTGTATATTTAGAAGTAGATGCCGTCTTAGTCTAAGTATCTAGGAGAGCTAGCCTTGGCTTCCCCGGCATTACGTGGCCCTGCTAGCCAGATTTGTAATGTGAACTATAGTACAACTCACCTAGTATGGGGAATGGTGTCTACTCGGTGTTTTCCGTGATGCTGGAAAAGTAAGTGGAAAGTAGATGGGGCGTGCTTAAGGTTGTTTGCTAGAGATGGGACTGTAACCTCCTTACCAGCACCACAAAATGTGAGAGATTTTTGATTAGAACAAGTTGTCGGTGTGTACTTTGACATTGTTGATGCTGGTGATGGGTCAAGGACGACCTAGGAGAGACCACTATGACGTCTAGTCTGGTCTACTCGGACTTGGTCACAGATAGAAGGCCAATGAAGAGATCTATGACGCTTCGAGGTCCCACATGAGCTTCAGTATAGCTTCAAAGCTCCATAGCTACAGTTTTTCACAGCTCTAGTTCAGGCCTAAGCTCTAGCAACCCTTGCCAAACCCTGTGTATCTATTTTCTCACGTCGAAAGACCCTCTCGATGAAACAAAGCAAACATGGAATTTGCCGTGTGTTTCAAGCCCCAGAATAACAAGCTTGGCCCCATACTCTATGATGATTCGGAGAGCTACGAACGGGATCGGAAGACAGGCATCTCGGGTATCTTCCGATACTACATCGATTTCGTTCGGATGCTTAGAGTTCCTGTCGATCACTTTTATTTAGACTTTCTCCAGATGCGGCGTATGTATCATATCTATATCCACCATCGATGCCGGTAGAACAATATCCTTCGCGCACCGGGAGCTAGCTAGGGCGTGCACGATGGAGCCGCCGTGGATTTTCGTCGACAATGGTCCGTGCCATTCCCGTCCCTTAGTAATGACCTACTACCTTGAGAATAGGGTATGTAATCTTTTGTTTACTTTTTGCTTTTCTTAGGATAGGGTCGTGGTGGAGCGAGCCGCTTCAGAAGCTGTGGTCCGCCGTTGTAGAACGCGGGAGGGCTATTTTTGGTCCGGAGGGGGACGTGATTGGCTCACTCGGGACTTACGCGCGCTACTATGTGTTCTGGTGTATTAATGGATTATGTTATCCTATAACGGGTATTTGTGTACATGGGGACTGTTTTTTTTTTCTCCATATTAAATCCACGATGTAGCAATAAGGTGGTAATAAATAGTATTACCTAATAATGGATAGGACTGGACTAGAAAATCTGGGGTTGGGTCGGCGGCACAGAGATTGCCCGTTGTTTGATTTTCGATTTCGTCGGTTTAGGAGATTAGGTAGGTATCAGGTAAACCTGAAAATAGCTGCGAATTAAGAAGCGCGGCGCTTGTGGAAATTATCGGAGAATATGGGGATTGTAAAATTGGAATTGTCATTGCGCTTTTGCGCTTGTTGAAACTGGGCGCCTGCGAAATGAAGTTTGATTGCCATTTCAGGCGAATAGCCGCCTCGGCGGGGGGAAGAGACGGCGGATCTGGATAGAGTCGTTTAATTTATTTTCATTGCGAACATGATATGATGATAGACGCGGTGTCTGAGGGTTCCGATCGTTTAACCGCCTCAGCCTCGATATGCCGCCAGGCCTCCAGCATGCGCTCTGTTAATTTTGCATAGTAAGTAAAATATATTGAATGTTTACATTATGTTTCAGCATAGCATTTGCGAGTTTAGGTTGTCCGAAGCTTGTGATCAAGACGGATGCACATATGAGCTGTTTACGTGATGGAGAATACCTGATTGAGAGACATTTTCCAGTCTGCCTCTCCATCTTATCGAGACATGCAGCTCAGCCGGAGAGGCTGGTGTAGTACTTACCGTTGTCGCTATTCGTCAGACTTTAAGACATCAATATCACCAATTCGTACATTGCTATAATGGTGTTGTCAATATAGGGTAAGGGTAACACTTCCAGGTATAATCCTCGGAGATCCAACGGTTGGGGCCTCGGCAATACGTGCATCGACCGACGGGACGGAGCAATTAACTTGATTACATGATTGGATTTTCAGAGGCGCAATGGGCAACACGTATGCAGTCTTATAGTTCCCGTGTGGCTTTGGATCTTAGATATCCTTCATTCCTTCCCATGACGTGCAGCGATATAACCACCCTATAGATGAGGATGGTGATGATGTTCGCGATGGGTGGATGATTATAGCACCTTGTTATTAAGAGGGAGACCGACCGTCCTAGAAGGGCCGAGTAAAGAATAGTAAAAGACGAGTCCTTCGTCAGCGGGGACGGCGAGACATTTGGGCATGTAAGCCACTTTCAATTTTGGGAAGTAGATCGACGATTTCTTTAGCGGGAGGACGAATCGAAAGTGGACTATATGGCCTGATCAAATAGCGTATAGTGTCCTCTATGAGCCACACTTATTGGTTCTGTTCCCTCTTTCGACTTTACAGGGCGACCGAATCTCATCTTCCTCGGCACCCCCATGAGCTGCTGAAAAGGCTAGGTGCCTTGAGGCCTAGGTATAATAGCATAACAGCCTAGCATCTCGGCAGGACGCTCCGAGGCATTTGCTGCTTTGGTATTAGGTGCTTATGTACGTTATTCTACCTCGTCCGTATTTACATTACAGGTAAGACACATTTTCTATTCAAGGCAGTTTAGAGTATCGCATCGCATCGCATTGCATCGCGTCGCAACGTCACGTCCGTAATCTGCACCTACATTTGCTACGTGTAAAAATGCAAATAAATTTATGTAGGTTAAATTGATGTTTGTTTATTTATGTGTATGTGTCTGATTTTTTTTCTTCGTATTGATGTATGAATGCGCTGTTCTCTGGGGCCTCAGGCCGAGACCTGCGTACGTACCAGTAAGTGGCTGACCTCCACCACCTGCCATTTGGCCTACCGAGAGCCAATGCGTACCCACGGCCGAGAAGATAGGGGTCTAGGTCATCAGCCACACGGCATGAGGGTTACCCGTTCTGCGGGTAGTTAAACATTCGCGACCATTGGACCGGCAGCGATGGCCTAGGTTGTTTCGATTCGGAGGCGCTCCGACCAATGGCGGCATTTGCATAGGACTGTCCCTTTTCGACCTTACCCTTTTCTGGCTCGGGTGAGATGCATACCTACCCAGGTAATGGATGATAATGCCTGATGGAATAGCATTGGACCTGCATACATACAATACCTCCTACCCGCACTAGTGAATATGAGTCTGACTTAGTAATATTCAGCTTCTGGATAGAGTGCAAAGTTCTTACTCCCCCGAACGTTGGTGAGCGGCGGTGAGGTCTTGGCTTTGGACGTGATTGTTTGGTACGCATAGAAAAATCGGTCCAAGTGCGGCGAATAAGTGCCGTCGGTCAGATGGGATCCATTCCTTCTCTGCTAGGGAGTTGAGATGTTTTACAACATCGTGAAATCCTATTGTAAGTGGTTTACGAGGTTTCCGCGACGTTGCAATTGATTTTTATGTCTGTTGGTATGATCTTGATTTGTTGCTATTATGGCCAAGATATGGCTGACCTTTAGAGGGGGCCAGGGGTGACGATGGTGACAATTAGGTTACCTTAATTGAAATGGTCCGTGACTTTGGCCAAGACCATTTTTGCTAGGGCTGGATAAGACACTATTTAGTTTATCGCACAGCACGGCAAGAGACCCAACGCCACCTACAGGAACTGGAATGCGTGGCTTCAGGGGATGGGGAAAACGACGTTCTTTGCCCTGGCTAGGGAGTCATAGAGACAAGAGGCAAAGCTTCATTCCAATGAAATCGTACATACCTGGGTCATATGTGATATCAATGCAAATATTGTATTGAAGGGGTGTGAGAGTGAGATGGATGATAAATCTTGAAACGCCACAACGGCGAGATATTGACTAGATTAGGCAATGCTGATGGTTTTGAATGAGATTGCCTATCCGGATACGTAAACCAATACGTGTAGTCAGGATGGAATTAACAAGCATATGATCCTTCCGGGAAGATAACCCTTCTGCCGAATTTTTGCATGTACAGTAATTATCTAGATGCACTCCAATGTTGGTTACCTTCTTTTCTTCTTCCATACTCCTTAGGGAATTCAAGAGATCGCGATTCAGATAGGGGCGCAGGAGAGGCGAAGGAGGCTAATCACAGTGAGTCCATTCGCAATGCTACTATCAACCCTTTGGAATGTTTCTTTTTGACTCATCCGCGAACTTTGCCACAATACCTAATGGTCGCATATGGTAGAAGCCACTGGTATATAGCCGAGTTTTCTATACCATATTAGGAACAACATTCTACTAATTGGTAGAAACTATATCGTTTCGATACATCGTTGCTTGAGGATGCGTCAACGTCTTAGTTGACCTAGGTCAAGAAAGTGTCGGTCAGGATCTACGGAATACCAAGACTACCAAGCATGGGTGGTTTGGTGGTAAAGAATAAGAAAACTGGAGAAGATCCGGGGTGATAAACCCATGTTCGTTTCGTTTCGAGGGGACAGAGCTCGGCCGATCTCGACTTAAGATGACGATCTATAAGCGGTAGGTGGTAGATGTTAGATAGACGATGCTATCCATGACTTCGCGGAGATGAGGGGATTAAAATGAATCAAGCAATATTTCGTGATGCTTAAGATTTCGTCTTCTCTCAACGCCTTACACGCTTTCAGGTAACGAGCTATTTTGCGACTTACTTTTTCTCGAATCCATGTTTCGATGCAGGTCCATTGGTAGGTCATTATTTTTACAGCAACAAAAATAAGCACAGTTAAACATCAACCGTCAACAACGGCCAAGAAAGGTACGCGTAGAATTGAATACTATAGCCAGCTTCAGGGTCCCAAAGAAGACCATCGCAGCGGGAGAGGCCTGCAAGTCATTAACTATTTGCTGGGAGTTCATTCAGCACACAAGTTTCGATTTCTTAGTTGAGATCAATATCCGAAGATCTATTGGCCCAAGGAGGAGACATGGCAATCAGTTTGCGGTTAGCTTATGGATTAGATGAGTGCGCTAACTGGAACCCTTGATATGCGTATCGAGTGTCACCAGCGAATACCTGACGAGCCTGCGAGTACCTGTGGCTCCGTGCCCAGCGCTACGAGTTCCCGCTCCTACGTATGGTTAGTGTCTCTTGTAGCGAACCTGGGCGACTAAATCCCCCCTAGTCAAGTGGTCCGGGAGGTTCCAGCAAGATTCTTGGCCCAAGTCCCCGACCCCTCTCTCGCTTGTTTCATGTCTTGAAGCTCTGAACCACTTACACCAACGAACCAATGAACCACTCACCCGCCTCTGTCACTCTCGACCCCGTCTCAATCAAAGGGATCATGCGGCGCATACTGTAGGCGGGCGGGTCGTTTGGATGAGTTGTAAACCATCAGCCATTCAAATCGTGTCGACTCCGGCCTTTTGGGGGTTAATATTTGTATACAACCGAATTTAGGGGCGAATAGGCAAGAAGGGCTGGAACAGGGTCCCTGGCGGCCCTACATACCTACGTATTGACCAGTAAATATTGTACCTAGATGACTGGCGATTCGCAATCAGATGAACCTGAATAGGAAAAAACCCCTGTACAAAAGAAGAAAAGAAAAAGTAGATATAGATCTGGAAACTCACACTCCTTTCCCCAGATCCCTTCCATCATCATCATTCTTCCCTTCCTCCATTATCATCTAGAGTATAGTCACTAGTCCGACGGTGACGAGCAGAGAAAAAAAAAGAAAGACACCCACTGTGTGGAATAAGTTTGGTTCTATTTCGACTGTATTGAAGGAAAAAAAAACCGGTTACTTTCATTACGACATACAGCCACCCACGTTAACGACTGATACGAGCTTTCACGCCTCCACGCTTCCACGATACGAAACCCACTTCTGATAGACTCTGGCCAGTTTATCATCATTACCTACCACACACCGTCCCTTGCCAACAACTAGCTAAGACTATTCGGCAATTAATCGTTATAACATACCTATCTTTGCATCTTTTTGTATCTGCATCTGCATCAGTCTGTCCATTTTTCCAGCCCCTCTTTTCCACGACAACCTCCTTGATAGGATCGACAGAGCTCCCCCCTGGCCTTAATAAAAATCCGGGTAGATCTTATTATATATCAGGCTTTTGGTTTGCACACTCTCGCCAATCTTTTCTTGGGACACACAAGACACGATACAGTACAAGACAAAGCTGGTCACACTCAGCTACCCGGCAAGAAGTTGCGGTGTATTGATTTGATTCTATAATTCATTTCGAAGAGTGTTACGAGGTTTTGCACAGTCATTTCATCATTTACAATTCCTCGTGACTCGATCTCCATCTTTTTAATTATTCACCTCTTACACTCTTTATAAGAAACACACACCCCTCGACGATATTTCGACTAGGACTGCGCCTTGAGGCTCGGAACTCATCAGGTACCACTTTTTTTGCTACCTCCTCGTCAGCATTCACGAGAGAGATTCGTCAGTCTTTTTAATTATTCTTACATCGCGGCTTTTCAGCCTACGCAAGACGCTACGTTCTAAATACCTTTACCGGCTCGGTGGTATTTTTGTTCAATTCAACACTTTTTTCGCCAAGGCGCAATTCGTTGTTGTTCACTCACAAGTTCGATCCAGTCGAACCGTTCCGATCTTTTTCAACCAATCTAGCGAACTCCAGGTCTTCCGCCGGTTCGGGAGCCTTTGCCATCGTTTTTTTGCAACCATCTTTCGCCACTCATTACTGCGCAAGTACAGGTTTCCAAGCTTGATTTGCTTAGTTGGTTTAATCACTTCGTACAATTGATTCGGCAGTCTTCTGGTATCATTGAACGCCTTCTGGAATATTGTCCACGTCAGCCACCCAAAGGCATTAATATTTGACAAGACCCTTCGCGCATCAATTTTCTCGGCACTGCACTAATACGTCCAACGATCGCACGAGAAAAAGGAAAGGGAGAAAAAATAGAAGAGCGAAGAAGAAAAAGGAAGTTTATTTGTCGCATCGAAACCAGATCTCACGATCCCCTTCAAAAACGACGAGTCGATTTTTTATTTTTTTTTTCAATCATCACCGACAAAAAGTTTATTTATTCTTCGTCGGTATCCTTTCTATCTTATCCCTTCTCTTTTATAAGAGTTAAATAGGATAAATAAACTTCTCTCCTCGACCAACCGGAGACAAGCGAGACAAATTTACTCGAATCCCAAGCAAGCTCCGAACTCACTCCCGAAGCAGTTCCGGAAGGCCCGCCCGTTCAAGGAGCAACGTATCCCGCGGTGTTCAACTTGGGCAACTGGATACCCCTGTCGGTCAAATCCGGACTCCAGATAGGTACTTAGTACTTCGTATACTTGGTACTTACGAGACCTACCAATTTGAACCCACCTCTCTCCACCTTACCTAAACAACCCCTCTCCTTACCCCCTGCATACCTAGATATAGGTACCTGGATACCTCGAATACCTGGAATACCTTGCCTAGGCCACCCGCTTCAGCGCGCTGCAACATACCTAGCACCTGCCACTAGCTTGCTGCCACCCCCTTTTTACCTAGCAACCTTAGCGACCTAGGTACCTCCGGGAATTTACCCACTTCTTTTTTCAATCCAGCCCAGCCCAGGCGGACCTTGCGCGTCAGCCGTCGATCTTTTCAGGGTGGTCTACTGAACTGACTAGGAGCACCTAGCCCAGTAAACTCGGCTCAGCCTCGACTGTCTTTCGCGTCACACAGAAACCTTACGCACCCTTCCGCAGTTTAATTGTGGGCATCTACTTTTTGGGGTGGTTGTCTACATAACTGTTGTACTGTTGTACTGTTGCGCCTTCTAAGTCAGTCTTGTTAGTCTGATATGATCATAGGCTCCGCCTCGTGATACACCCATCTTTCTACATCCTCCCTCCAATTCGCACACCACCTACCATTCACCCCACCCTCCCCTAGTCACACGCAAAGGTCGGTTAATATAATACCAGCCGTCCATCCCAAACGTCGTCGCTTCCCCGGATTTTCTATTCAGGACTCTGACGTTACTTTACATTTGCCGTTTGGTTTTTTCTTCTTTTCTTTTATATTCCATATCTCGGGATATATTACGACGTTGGTGTTTGGATCTTGAACATCAACTTTTTACTACTACCATCTAGCATCTTACGCTTCCTTGGCTTAGCAGGACACATCTAAGGCTTACTTAACCTTCTCACTCACATTTACACAACCACAATGTCTTCGACATCCAGGATACCTATGAGCGAGCTCAACGCTGCCGCCCTTGAGCATTTTGTTTATAAGCCAGTAAGCCCGGCTATGATTGCATACTTAGCACGAGCTGCCCGCGATGTTATACAATGCGATCCCACAATGATGCCCCCGCCGGCACAGAAGTCGCAATATCCCACACCACCCAGGACACCTTCTCCCAAGGCTATTCGATGTGAAGACAACAGCTTACCGACGTTGGAGGAGTTTATCACACAGCTAGTCCGTTCTTCTAACGTGCAAGTCCCAACACTTATGTCTACGTTGGTATACTTGAACCGATTAAAGTCTAGACTACAGCCTATGGCAAAGGGTCTACGATGCACTACTCACCGAATCTTCTTGGCTGCTCTCATCCTCTCTGCCAAGTACCTCAATGACAGCTCACCTAAAAACAAGCACTGGGCTAACTACAGTCGTATGACCATTGATGGTTTCAGCTTTGGATTCAGCAGAACGGAGGTTAACCTAATGGAGAAGCAACTACTATTTTTGTTGGAGTGGGAGCTAAGGATTACTGAGGAGGATCTCTATCGCGAGCTAGACCCTTTCCTAGCGCCTATCCGCGACCAAATCGAGGCTACTCACGCCCGTCGCATGCAGCGCAAGGAGAATCTCCGAAGGAGACAAGAGGCCGAGGCTTGGGCTGCTACGCAGTTCCCCTCGCCGCCTAGCTCGCGTGACAGCTCGCGCTCGCGGACAAGGCAGCCTGTGCCGCAACCGCAGCAGACGCCGCCTTACGAGACTATCCGCATGGTGCAAGACGTATCGACACCTCCGGGATTGGTATACAGCTCTTCTGCTAGTAGCAGCGGTAGCTCTTATGCCTCGTCTGTTTCGTCTCGACAACACTCGAGATCGTCGACGCCGCTCTCGGACCCGGAGGATAGCTACGTCTATGCAGCCTACGGTGATGGCTCCCTCCACGACTCTCCGGTCGAGGTTGTTCTTGATATGCCTCAGCCTAGCAAAGGTTCTGTATACCGCAGCGAGGCTACCAAGCAACTACTCCCGTATGAGATTAGCGCAGACGAGCTCCGCTCAATGCAAGACGGTAATGCTAAAGCGAAGCGCGTAAAAACTTCCAAATGCGTGTGGGGCCGTATGTTCGGAGCCGCGCGATGATTTAATTCTAATCAACCAACTTTTTTCCCTTTGTTTTATTTGAGATTTGATTCCAATGCATCATAGCCAGGAGTTCTACGGGGTCTTTTGGGTTTCAGGGGCGCAAATTGTTACGAGTGGGGTGTTCAAGACACCAATTAAAAAGCCATTTTTACTTTTTCCCCCATAGAAAGAGAAGGGTAGATCCCTATTATGGTCATGATACCTACAACACTCGCGGCGTTTTTCTTAGTAATGGTATTGGGTTTTGGTATGGATGGATAGGCGAACACGGCATTGGGCACGGGGTCCAGGGTGCATGGGTATAATTGGAAATGGTTTTTGGTTTCTGGCGCCTCCTACCAAAGAGCGGAGAAACAATCAATCAGAAGCATACGTGTGCATTTGGCATATGGGGAACGGGCAAGTAGTATAACTCAAGGATGGTAGATCATAAGGCGATCGGATCATATCAGATCACTGGTGTTCTACTTACTAGCTCAGTCAATGAAATGCCAACAAAAAATCAAATCATAATCAAAAAGTCCTATGTCATCGTGTGTGTGAATGTGGCTTTTTACTATGGTCCCTGATGACGTCGGAGGATGATAGCGAGGATTGACGGAGACTCCCGGTGGGGACTACAGGGGTACTTGGGTACTTGACTGAGATAATGTATTTGCTAAACTTACTCATGTGGAAATTCAACGGTCGGTGTGTGTTAATTTACCACCGTTGAAATTTTATTCTGATTAAACTCTACAATTGTGACAGAAATAGTGAATAACTATCTAAATTGTTTGAGTATAGGATGAAAACTAAGATGTATGGCTATAGGTACACGGTCCATGGTATCGCAATAACTTTCTTTGACTGAGCCCCTCCGCTCCGTTCTTCGTGATAGCCGTCTCCGATCTAAGAATTAACCCAGAGGCTTGATAATTATCCTATATTTGGGATGGCATAGTAAGTCGATATCCCAGATCTACTAGATCTTGACAGAGATCGGCAAGGTGTCCGTCTATGTATATGACCGAATTGGTCTAATAATGTGGGTCTGCTTCTCGGTATAATGACAACTTGTATGGGTTCGGACTTATTTGCTCTGTCCTCATGCTAGGTTAGGTAAGGAGGGTAGTCTAGAAATAGGTTTATGGGTGTATATTTGGTGAGGGTTTAGGTAAGTGAACGGTGCTATGAGGTAAGGTAATGTCATGGCTGGCTGTGATAGAGAGAGATCCATTATCTGGGGTTGTTGGGGTCCGACTATTGTGGTGAGGAGGTACGTAGGTACATGCTAAACACCCGGGTATACACATGTTCATTAATGGGTTGTGCACGGATGCTTAGGTAAATTATAGATCGGGTAGAAGTTCTATCCGTATTATGGAGTAATGATTATTGTTTGCTTGCTTGCTTGCTCTTTCGCGCGCGTCAAAACGGAGGGCTTTTGTGAATTTTTCGGCGAGGCTATGATGTAGGAAAAACTTGGGTTCTCCCTCTTTAGAATAGCGCGTGGTTATTCTAGGGGTCACATGTAAGGAGAAAATGGCCAAGCCACGGGAATACATTTGTTGTAGGTGTGGTATGGAGAGGTTGGGTATATGGTTTGATTTAATTGCTCGATGTATGCATCATTAATAGTGGACAGATGATGGTGGTGTTGAGGATATCTATTGATTGCGGAACGATGCATCGCTAATAAACTTACGAGTTGTTGGCACCCATGCCGCAGTGAGATAGCGCCCGTGTACAATGCAGAAGCGCTGGGACGCTAATCCCCACACGGAAGATCCGCGAGGATGGAAACTACCTAACTAATGTAACTATTGAACTCAATCGTACGCACTAAGCGCGGGATGGAAGATGCGGATTAAGGTTGTTAATCGGAATCGATAAATCCCTCGATATAAGTCCAGTACATCAAAAGAAATGCTATCAAAGTTTAATCGACTTTTTACAATAATGGAAATGCCAAAGTAGACCCGCCGATTGCGTCACTGCTCAGCCAGCTCTCTGCCATCTATGTTTACCGTAGCATTAATCTATGAGCTGGTAGAACGGTTGTAGAACGTACAACAATTGCTATTCCCTTTACATTGTTTTGAACACACGATTATAAAAAACCAAGGTTAGTTCAACTAATTAAAATGTATATAACATTAGGTTTAATATATACTTTTAATGTGGTTTTATATTAGAATTCTTACTGGATCACGGCTATTAAATTACGGTTATTACTACTAGGCTAGGGCTGCTGTTACTGCCATTGGCTTACTGGATTGACCAGACCAGACCTCAACACAGACCTTAAGGATTGATATGAAAGAAGAAGAGAAAGAAAACAAGAACAAGCCAAGACTAACTATTAAAAGAAATTAAGTGGTAACATAAACGCGATAACATACACGGTAGTATCAACAATAATAAACTATATAATCAAGATATCTTACCTTATGATTGGTTCAATCTAGAAATAGAAAAGTCATTATACGGACAACAACTATTTAAACGTTTTACAATTGTTGTTCAAACTGACAGATTGACGTTTTTAGGTACGTACCCAAATACCTGAGAATTGATCGGCTTGAGTAGATACATATATCTATCTAGATCTGAACGCGTTTATCTACATTCACCTAACATATTCTTTTAGAATAACTGCAGAATCAAAGGAAATCGAGAGATGTTAGTAACGTTTTGTTCTTCCCTGCCGTAATCCGTAATCCGCCGATTCCCATTCCTACCATCCTTAGGTAATGACGCGGTACCGATGCGACGCCGTACGCGCCTGTGGTATCATTTGTGACGACACTGCCCATAAGCAAAGTGACAAAGGAACGAAGGGAGAAATCAAAATGACCGGCTGGTTGGTTCGTTTGTTTATCTCCGAAGAGCCTCCAAACGACTTCAAGTCTTATCCTTTGCCGCCTGCGCCAGCAGCGACACGCGAAACACACATGTTTGCATAGTTTCGTTTACTGTGCCACTGCACTGGCTTAAGAAGTCATCGGAATCGTGTGTAACACACCATCAATCATTGCTATCTACATAGGTACCTAGATAGGTACCTGGGTATGCACGTACCCAGGTACATATTTTCCAGATCAATACCTAACCTCGCCGGTAGACCGTGATTTCAATATTTCTGAACGTCAATATCTATGTCTTATAGATGAGTTTATGTGGTATTGGGTGTTTTTGCTACGATATATTCATCTAATCTATCAGGTATGTTGTCGCCATCCTACATGTCTACGGAATCTATGAAACTGGGAATTAATTAGGAGGCGGGCCACTGCATTAAATGGCAAATAGAAAGTCCGGCGGCAGACTACAGATACGGAACTCTGCATAGACGACAACGCTGCTGCCTAGTTTCTTTGTTATAAATGAGGCTTTTGTTAGTTGTTCAAACGCCGCGACGCGTTATAAAACTTGCGAGAACAACCCAGATCTTAAGGAAGATTTATTCCTCATACTAAATTCTCCGTAACATACGAGGATATTGCAATTTTTTTGTTGATAACTTTTGCATCACGCTATTCAGCATCATGGAATCCCATCTTCCTCAAGAGGGGTCGTCCACAGCCCCCCAATCTTCTCACAACGTAGCTAATGAGAAGCAACCCTCAAAGTATGAAAATCATTCATGGGATGTCGTATACATGGGATTAACATTTGACCATGTAGGGGACCTTTCAATGCAGATCTAGCGTGGATTCGGGAAACGCTCGAACAACTTGAACAGGTTAGATGCTCTCATCCACATATATTTATCCATCAGGGTATTTATCAGTGAAGAAATAGTTGAACATATCCAAGCCTCACGTATTCCCTCCATCTAGTCGAAACCCTCAGGGGACTTCATACTACGATTCCGTTGCGCTGGACGCCCCTAATGTTCGTCAATCAGACGATGCTTCCAATGCGAGCGAAAGTTCAGGAGACGCGGACCCTTACCACGATTATCCATCCTATCTAGCGATCAACCACATTGGAATCTGGCAGGATAATGAAAGCAAGCTGCCGAAATGGGTAGCTAACCTGATACGAAGAATAAGATAGCCTCGTTTAAAGGAAGTCGATGGCCAGAAGGAAGTAGACTATCAGCAGTCGAAGCAGTACTGGGAGGAATACAATACACATTTCGAACCGCGCGAGACAACCCTGGAAGATACTCGGGAGTTATTATTCCGTTGTTTACGATTGAATGTGTTCGACATCCGTCAATATGGCCTCACGATGACGAGACACAAACTCATTTCGGAAGATTTCCGCAGCTTGTTACCAAGCCCTCTGTACCTAGAGTACTGGCAGGCTGATGGGATCTTTGGATATTCGGCTGGGATCTTCCCCGACTACACAGAATTCATCGAAAAATGCGAGCGTTACTCGGAAAGTCAATATAGACACACGTTAATGGGCCAATTGATGCGGAGTTAAAAGTTGTTTTTCCCCTATCTTCTGGTGAGAGTGAACCAACAGATAGACATACAAAGAGGTGTGACCGATGGCGCGGTGTGCCTAGCGGCGATGCAGCATGCGATTCCAGATCAAGAAGAAACTCCTATCTTCCTCGCAAGTATGAATGGATCGTTTGTGTCAATTGTCATTATGTGGGCAGAGCGGGACCAAGTTTCCGGGGTGACTAAATACCTTGCGAAGCTATTTACTTCTTTCTCCATGTTAGACGAGGGTGGCTTTCTTAGGCTTTCTGACATCATACTCAATATCCACGAGTGGGCATCCCGGAGAACACCAGAAATTCGGGAGCAGCTTGCAAAGGAAACCAACAGGCCGGGTAGAGTACCGCCTTTGTTTCGCACAGATACGTCTATGACTGAAGGGGAAACCTCTTCGGCAGCCGAGCATGTCAGCACGGTAAGTGGCTAAAAAGCCATCTACGAAGACGTGTACCCGTGATCCTATCAAAGTTGCAGATGTGGAGGGGGGGTGAGGAAGAGGCTGCATGAGAAGAGGGGAAAGGGAAGAATCAAAGTGAGCTTGATGATGTTAGATTATCTCCTACCGTAGGTACACAGGTATGTTGTCATTTCAGTCTTATGAATACGCAAATGATGACCCTATCCGAGTATCGTCCGATTCTAATGTAGAGTGCTTTCAATGTGAGATCCACTTTGCCCCGAGGGGCCAATAAACCAATTCGGGCATTATAACAGAACATCGCAGCTATAACAAGCGAAGAATCACATGTCCTCAAATTCCATCGGGTAATTCCCATTTGATACTTATTAATACCAGCCAATTTCAAATCGAGAAGCGGTTGTCCAGAAACGAAAAGAATTAGGTCACGGGAATTGAAATAACGAGCCGAACCAGGTATTTCTGCGACCGGTGGAGCCCGTCCGGAGCCTATGGTAGGCTTATGAGAATTGGAACCTGGGAATCGTGATTTATGGTAGACGGGATGCAAGCAGTGCAACCTGTCCTGCGATGTCTATATCAGGTTTAGGAGCGCGTCGGCTCGCATATCTATGCCCGTAAGGTACTGTGATATCACCCTAACGCGTCGGGCCGCTGATTTGATCACATCGGTTAGAGGGCGAATTCGTTGACGTTGTTGAAGGATTAGGAAAATGTTGTTATAATTTTTGGTAAGCTAATTTCTGGTTTCCACACACCTATACAATCCAGCGATATAGAGGTTGCTTGAGTGTGGGGCGACCCGAGGGGCGGGGAAAGGGGGGGATATAAATCTGGTTCCCTCGTTGTGAAATAAGGTATGGAATCATTGGAAACCAAACATCTCAAACATCTTGCCAACTCCTAAGATTTGCTCATTCTCCGTAATACCCATCCTCCATAGTCCTCAATCGCTCCAATGGCATCATCAGCAGCACCCACAGCCGCCGACGGCACCACCAAGCTTGTCAAGCTGACCTTCCTCATCAAGAAGAGAGATGATATCTCTTTAGAGGAATTCCACAGATAGTAAGTGTTTCTAGAAAGCTTAAAGATTTCAAGCGCAAGTATTAACTCAAGGTTCCAGCTGGAGAGAGAACCATCGCAAGCTTGCTGTCTCAACCCCTATTTTCCGCGAAAAGGTTGTGAGATATACCCAATACCACTCGGATGGCTCTGTCGATCTTAAGAAGATCGGTATCGGAAACCCGGGTTACGATGGAGCTGCGATCGTATGGGCGAGGAGCTTAGAAGACTTAATAGAGGTGAGTCGCTTTCTAAGTTACCCCTGCTTCATTTCTAGCTAACACGATTGACCATTAGGTATTCAACCACGAAGACTACCTAAAATACTTGGCTACGGATGAGCCAAACTTCCTGAAGAGAGATGAGATCATTACGATGTTCGGATGGGACGAGCTCAAATTAGAGAACGGAGTGGAGTTCTAAGATGAGCGCGCACATTACCTCTTATGAATTGAGTGTTGGAATGTTCTCAACAACGATTCAAAGCTAAAGCTCTGTCGGGTTATGGATAACTGGTAACTCAACTTACCTATCGGATACTGCCTCCGGTCGCGGCAATTTTCTATTGTCTATTGTTATGAGCTACCCGTCCTCCCATTAACTCAGGCGCTCATATACGTACGCGATGCGATGAACTAATGTAGCTTAATAATAAATAATATTAAGAAAGCGTCGATATGACCATTGTAAGGGCAATAAATAAACTCCAAGCCCGATTTATTTTAGGCATGTGTCAATAGCCCGCAATCTCTCGAACCAATCCCGACTTAACCCAACCCCTTGCAAAGTTCCTCCCTGAGCCCAACAGAACCGTGATCCACCATAACCTGCCAACCCAACCATCATACCACATAATCTTATTGAAGTCTCTTTTCTTCCTCCAACTCCTCACTGTTCTCCATACTGCCCCTTATATTACAACAGCAAGCCCATTAAGCGCAAAAAATTTCGCTTCACCAGCAGCGCTACTCCAATCACCCCCTAAAACACCCCTGACCGAAAAAGAATGCACGAATGCACTAGAAAGAAAACCACCAAGCACCTTTCCCACATCAGCAGGCTCATCGCTCCTCTTCCCCGTCAATTTCCTCTCTACCCATTCCCCAGGCCAGATACCATACACCAAAAACAATCGCGCGAATAGCCGATGCCAACCGTAGGACCAGAATCCACGCACTGAGATGATATCCCAAATCCGGGTGCTGTATAACGGCGGGAAGAAAGCCAACGGACTAGGCGCGAGAGGACTTAATGCAATCGCGAAGAGCGAGTGTCCGAGTGAAAATGCTGCCATGAGGAATGCGCCTAGCGCGCCTGTTAGGAGGGTTTGCGCTATAAGGGGTAGGTCCTCGTCGAATAATTCGCGAGATTGACGCTCGTCGCTATCGCTGACGGACACGGATGGTGGACCGAGATATCGTACGTAAATAGTGCGAATAACGAACCAACTAGATAGTAGAACAGGCAACGCATGTACTAGGATGCTGTGAGCGCGGTTTCCGACGGTGGGTAGCCAGGTCTTGCGTGTATGCCGGACATCAGCGGTAGTCCATGTGAACCCGACACCGCGCATACTTAGTTCGAGCTCTAGAGCCCAAGAAACACGATCGCGCAGGGTTCGGGGCCATCCGGACTCGGTGGTTGCGGTTTCAAGGACTGGCTGTGGATCCGGTCCGTGTAACGTCCGGCGCACTGCAAAATAGGAGTCGCAGGCCGCGTCCGGGAGCGAGGTAGACATGCGGCGAGCTACGCGGCTGATTTCGTCGGAGAAGCTAGGACTCCTATTTTCCTTGATCACCGTAGGCTCAGGACCCGAAGTCCTAGTGGGCCCGGATTTGGAATCTCCCTTTTCTCTGTGGAAGTATGGCTCTTTGACTCCGCCGTCGGTCCATTCTCTCGTTGGTTCTATCTCTTCCGGTGATGGCGTCTCGACTCGTGGTTTATGCACGTATGTGACTCGTCGCGGGATATGTTTGAAACAATAGGGGCTTATGAAGAAAGCGTCTATCACTCGACATCCGCCGTAGAGACCGACGAGGCCGAGTTGATAGGTAAGTCCAATGCTTTGAGGGATATGATAGGCGAGCGGCAAACGGAAGAAGAGAATGCCAGCAGTAAGAGCGAGAATATTACGGATTGATACGACGTATATAGAGTCGATGGCGGGAGGAGGTGGTGGAGCCAGAAGAAGCAAAGCGAAGTAATAGATTAGCGGTGGTAGAACGGCGGCGCCGAAGGTAAGTGGTTGACTTCCGGGTATGGGATGTAGACCCGGCCTTAATTCGGAATTCATTACCAAAGCGTGAATCTGCGCTACCGAGTCAAGAACGGATGAAGCCATTGCCATCATCACCACCACGGTGTCTATATTCAGAATTCAATTGAAGGCAGCAAGTTTCAATGATATAGACAGTTCTGAAAGAATTCTAGTTAAAATATTAAATAAAAAATGAATTTTAATGGATTTGGAGATGAGAGTTTGATAGGACGTCCGATGACGTGTGAATTCGGGTCGCTTCGGCATATGACTCCCGCATCGCTTACCTACATAATCTAATCCTCAGTGCTTATTTTACATTTGACTAGAAGGTCTAAGAAAGACACGATAGTGAATTTATAACGGCTTGAAATTACCGCCAAGAGGGGCCGTCGTTTTTCAATACGCGACACAATATTCGAACTGCACTAGTCATACACTCGCTATTAGTAGGTAAATAACTAATATTTATAATAACGCCAATATACACTATATGTGGATTAGGGTGTAAAAGTAAACACGGTTATTTTTCATGGTTTTTTACTATACAAAATAAGCTTAAGGGGTTAAATAGGGGTAAGTAAAAGAAATAGGAGGTGGCTTAAAGTGGTGTAACCTGAAGATAGTACCTAGATGCAAAAGGCCTGGCATGGCTGTTTCCATTTCTGCTTAATAAAATATCAAAGAATTTAATTTTTAAGTTATAAAGATAGTAATTAGGTACCTGTATCTAGGACGCTCTTTACAATGTTCCGTATCGGGTGAATTAAAAGGAGAAGCGACTATCGAAATTCCAACTCTTGTTATGAAATGGAATATCGCCGTCTTATTCATTGTCTCCTAACTGAGTAAAGTCCAACACAAATCCTCCAATATACGAAATAGCACGCCATATCATGTACGCCTTCGTTTGTACCCAAAATCATATCAATATTTCCTAGAAACGCACATATATCATTGAATGTTTCTGCTCCGGTTTCTCCTTTCCCTATAAAGACAACGCGGCAGAGTAAATAGACGCTTGAGTCAACAATTAAGATGCGTTTGGATCAGTTACCAGTTGAGATTTTGGCCAACATTTGCTCTTATGCCGATGTCGAATCCATCCGTTCTCATTTAGGAGGTAATCATGGCCATCCTAACCTTTGCGCTCTGGCCCTCACTTGTCGTCGTATATCAAGGGTGGCCAATGACTCGTTATATTCCTACATCAGAGTTGATCTTACCGCACCAGTAACTATGGATATGCAGAGGGTGCCGCTCCTAAATAGAAGCTTTCGCGAAGATCCAACTCTAGTCGATAGCGTTCACCATCTCCATTTTGACGCGACCCAAAATCAGGTATTTTCCAAATCCTCTCGCTCGCTAAAATAGCGGACTTGACAAGATGCTGCAATATTCATATCTGCATCGGTCCCTACTGATTTGGCATTATAGCCTGCGAATTATATGAGCATCCTCGGCGAATTAATTTGCCACGTATCAACATCGCGGAGTTTAACGAAGCTATCATGCCATTGTATTGATCACGCATGGATGAAACCGTGTACCACAGAAGACAGTTTACTCGCCATTTACGGTCGTTTCCCTAACCTAAGGCGCCTGACAATTGAAACTATACGTATGGATCTGGGGTGGGGTCTTGGTAATGGTGGTGGTGGCAATAGTGGCGGCAACCAAGACGATGACGATGATGATCTCTTAAACGACCCCGAATTAGACGACCCTAACGACGATGATGGGCACATAATCGTTTGTATATTGTTTAGGCTATGCGAACTACCATCCATGGAAAGGATAGATATCAACGCATCAGTAATTAGATACATAGAGCCCCGTCGACCGTCTCGGATACCAAAATTCCCCAACTTAAAATGCATGAATTTTTATCCCGGCCGTCCTGTCGATGTGGATACATTGGAGTTGCTACTCCTACGAACTCCGAACTTGGTTGCCCTACATCTCAGTATGCCTGGCTACAACGAGTGGGCATTTGCTCAGGGAGTGGGCCTGTTTCAAAAACTTTGTGGCTCCTTGAAACCGTCATTCTATGCTCATATATTAGCTCCAGTAGCTAATCATCTACGGCGCCTATCTCTTGGAGGCGATTGCGTCAGGTTTGACGAACATGATAAAACTACGATCAACTTATCGAACTTCACGAACTTGTCCCACCTATTTATTGGCGGTTACTTCCTCTTTGGGCCTGCAAGTCGAGTATCAAGCAACCCAGACGTAATGGATACCTAGAAATTACTTCCGCCACGTCTCGAAAGGCTCTGGATTCTCTTTGACCAAAACCTGGGTTTATTCTGGTCGTACAAAGAAATGAAGAGATGCATACTACCGACTGCAGATCCGAATCAAACACTGGGTGATTTTAATACACTGTGGGGGAGAACACGGAATAACATCATACTAGCCTGGTTATTTGAACTTATTAAACAAAAACGCAATCACGAATTTTCGTCAATATTGAAGTCGATCACGCTTATCGAATCCGCGCCGATTCATAGTCAAATGATTTGGAAAACCGTGAAATGGAGGATGACAGCAGAACTAAGAGCTGCGGCCAGAGAGGCGGGTGTAGAGCTCGAAATCATACTTCTCGTCCCTCTATACTACATTCCACCTTTTAACCCTGCGGAGTACGATATGTGGCCAGGCTCATTCGATCTCGGTTATCGAGACCCTTTACGCTAGGATGATTAGTGAGAGAAGTCTTAAAGATGGTTTGTTGTATTGTGTAAAGCGAATCTTTTCATAAGCGATTGAAGGACGAAGCTTGGGATGGACCACTTGTGTGACGTTTGAATCGCGTTTAGTATAATAGGGATAGTATAGCGCTCTCACTGATATTATCGCCAATAAGATGTTTTTTCTCACCATATAATTCTTTACACGCGGTTGGGGCGCTAGCGCAATTATCTCGACTCGTCTCTTGTTCTGGTGTTGACCAAGCCAATCCATGGACCCGATAATAGATGTCTCTTTAAGCTCATCAATGTTTATACGTTTTTTGAAAGAGTGCGCCTCGAGATTTACGCAATCTTTTGTCGTGGCTGCTTTGTGTTGATTGTTCGTTTGTATAGCCTCATCTTTGTGAAACCCCCTTTTTTAGAACAGCCCAACCGCTCGGGTCGGCAAAGCACCCGCGGATGAGGTCAGCTTATTTTTCTCGCCTGACATTACGAAAGTAATTCCTTGTATCTCGATTTCTCGTATTGATTCCGAGTCGACGTCACTGTATTTTTATATTTTAGTGCAGCATTCTTCATATCGTTGAATATTAAACTACCGAATCCCTCAACCAACAACCGAAAAACAAAAAGAACAAGCATCCAACATGAAGTTCTTAACGACAATACTTGCGCTATTATCAATAGCCATCACCGGAACAAGCGCGTGGAAAGAATTCGAAGCGATCGAGTTCACAACGACGGACTGTACCGGGTGGATCAAGCACGCAGCTATCGGCATGAAGCCGGAATACTGGCAGATCAAAAGTAAGTCACCATCACCCCTACCAGACACCTAAATTCCTTCCCTAAAACCAATTCAACATATTTGAAGCCTTTCAATTTGAGAGAATTCACGATTAACAATAAACCTCACAGCGAACAACGAATCCAACAGCGTCTACGCATCAACCGTCAACGACGGCATCTACCGGTGGTACGCGTTCTCCGAGACATCCGAGACAGGGTGTGCCGGGGACGTACTAGGACGCGTGTGGACGGGGTGCGCGAGCATACCTAATAAATTTGCGGACAGAATACGGTGTTTACGCTGGTGTAGTCTTTTGGCGCATGATGATTACGGGTGTGCGGCGATTGGTCAAGGGGAATAGATGGGTGAGGCTGTGTATGGGATGGATGGATCGCATAATGGGGCGCATGTAATGGGATTAATGAATTGGAGATTGGAATCTGGAATCACGCTGGATGTGATTAGATTATATGGTATATAATGAATAGATTTAACATCATTGAACGGTGTCGTTTAGAATCGAAGCGGTTTTAAAGGCGTAGTAAATTCAGTTACGTCTAGAATTTGCCTAGTTGCAAACGTCAAAACCGCGCAGTGAATCTCGGGAGCTCCCGGACCGTATTCTATTAATAACCTACCGAGTAAGCGGACCGAGGGATAGAATCCTATTCATTTCCGAGAGACCTGAGATGAACCCATGTCACCGTCCTCTCTCCACCCCCTTTCGGCTCCGCGGGACCCGGAAGTGGGGCCTCAATCCGAATATTCCCTCGCTCGATATCCTTCTGTAACTCATCAAGCCGACTAATATTCTCACGCGGCCGCCAAGCCGGCCGTCCAGAGTCAAACACATCATCCATTTCCTCAAGTGTCTTCCCCTTTGTTTCGTGTGCGAACAGGGCCATATGCATACAAGCCGCGCCGTTAAAGGCTGCGAATATCATATACGTCTTCCAACTAATATTCCATAGCAGCGCGGGCGCTGAGAAAGCCAGCACCATATTCCAGAACCAATTCGACGCGGTGCTGACACTTACGGCCGTGGCGCGGATACGCGACGGGAAGATCTCTGCTGTATAAGTCCATGATGTTGGGCCCCACGTCGTCGCGAATGTAGCTACATATAGGTAAGAGATGGCCACAATGGCTGATGACACAGGAACGTTATCTGGTATGATCCATGTTACGTCGCTGCTGCCTCGGCCGTCGTTGGGCTGACCGTATATGGCTTGCAGAGTCCCTGTCTTCGCTGTTAATCCAATGGAGACTGGTTTTGGGGGGATACGTCAAATACATACCGGAAATGAAGAAAAGCACCATCATGATCAATGCGCCATAGATCAACGAGGGCCGACGTCCGACCTTATCCAGATACATGATAGCAGGCAATGTTAATGCGACGTTAATTACATACTGAATAGATGCGGTCGTGAGGGGTGAACCGATTCGCGCTGCTTCCACTACACAGACTATAATTAGCATACGTCTTCGGAGACACCCGAAATGCGTTAAGCGATGTATTATTATGTATTAAGGGAAAAGGCGTCGGCGAGTATTGGCAAAGAGTACTAACTGATATAGACGATGTAGTACATCATGATGTTTATGCCACTCAACTGTTACCAAATTGTGGATTAGTACACGGTCCTCTCCTTGTCATACCTGGAAATATGCTTACCTGCGACCACATCTGTACACTCGCACCAAGTATCACGCGCTTAAGAAGTCGAGGCTGAGCAAGTGCTCTAAAACTGCCTTGCGACTCTTCACGTTCAATCCGTAAGGCTTCTTCGATCTCCTTATACTCTGCCAAGACCTTGGGATGATTCATGTCCCCACCGCCGTGTAGTCGTGCCATTACATAAATGGCCTCTTCCCAAAGATCTTGCGACGCGAGCCACCTTGGGCTGTAAGGGAAGAAGAATAGGCCGATGAAAAGGACGAAGGCAGGGATCATCTGGATGCCCCACGGGATCCTGAAAGCTGCTTCCGACTGGTTCGGGGCGTCTGGTCCGCCATCAATCTGCGCTGCGCCGTACTGGACTGAATGAAGTCAGTGCTGGCTATTGGATGATAATATGGCTGATATTCGAGTAGAAAAATATCAATTTTTCTTGATAAAATGAATCCTAATTGGCAGAAAACGGAAAAAGGGAACCAATTGCGCATACTGAAATATTGGATCAAGATACCCCAAGTAATCGCCCACTGCTGTAGGGATACAACACGGCCACGAATCTCCTTCGGAGCAACTTCTGAGAGATATACGGGCACGATCGATGATGCGATACCGACACACAGACCAGCGATGACCCGCCCGGTACAGAGCATGCCGATATTTTGGGCGGCGCATTGAATGCTAACTAGGTCAATTGAGTTGCTCTGAGGCCCGATATCACAAGCTAAGCGTAGGGGGTACGAAATTAAGTGAATAAATGGGTTGAGACACACGTTGAGCCAATGATCCAGAGAATACACGCCACCTGAAGGGCGACTTTGCGAGAAAACTTGTCTGCGATAAAGGAGCTTGCTAGAGAGCCTCCATCATGAGTTTCGTGGTTAGTGGGCTATTAATTGTAGTACGCTTAGGCTGCTACATACCAACAAGCGACCCAGCGGGCATAGCAGCGGTAATTCCACCTTGGCGGTATGACACTGGGTTATCGAAATATCGCTTGTATGCACTGGTTCCCAGAACGCCACTCATAGAACTTATATCGAAGCCGAATAGTCCGCCTCCTAATATCAGGAGTAGTGAATTAGTAGCATGAGGGGATTATTTTAGAATGCCCGGACCGGGGGCAGAAACGTACCGATAGCGGCAAAACCGCATATAAAGTACACATTACTTGCTTGATACATTTCAGGGGCCGATATAGATTATTTTGGCGTTTTTGTGGTATGATATGGTAGGAACTAGATGAAACCTTGGCTGTCAAAAGCGTAGATGTTATCGGATTTGTATTTCGACAATTAAAAAGGTTCGTTGCTAGGGTTCGAGTTGATTGATCTTGGCTATAGTGATAAATGAGTTCTTCTGCTACACGACATTGTAGCACATCAGACGGTAACACCCTGTGATCACGCAGCATATTCGTCATAAGTTAGTCTCAGTTGTCGGGAGGCCGCTCCAGTGTTCGGGGTTACTGATGCCCGAGTCATGGTAAATTTGGCATCGCAAGATTTTCGAGGCCCGGTGGGGATGTATCCCTCCCTTGTATGGGTGAGCGTTGGGAGACCGGGCGGGATTGAGAATGGGGATGGTCATCGTGTTCCCGAGTCCTAGATTGATAGATTAAAAACCAGTTAATTGGCACTCTACGAATCCTTCAAGAAAATCCGCAGGACAATATAACCAATTCCCATCCAGAATGTTGCGCGTCCAAGTTACGACATCTGCAAGGCCTACATAAATGCCCTTAGTCAGCCCTGAGCCGAGGCAGTGTACTCAGTCTTGGATCTGAATAGCGGTGGAGATAATATTTTCTGATTTTAAAGCACACGGCCAGCGAGAATGACTGCGTTGGTAAGTCGCGATCCAACCCCAAGCATGCGGTTTGAAAATGGGTACTAACATCAATTGGTTGATACTATTGAAATAATTATAGAATTCTGAATAATGAGGTGGACTTCTTCAATCCAAAGCCCCGTAATCAAGGCAGTTGTCGCCCTTGCAGTGATAACAAGGACGAGTAGATTTCAATTGCTGAATATAGGGCGATTATTGCGAAAACGGACATCTCTGAGTGCTAGGTATTTGGGTCGCTGCGTCTTGTACGATTCGACTACTAAGGTAGGTTGTAAGCTCGTTTGCTTCCGTTGTTCTAACAACTCAATAGTCTGGTATACAGTTCAAAGATCTTCAACACGACACGACGATGGGAAATTGGCTATGCCTTTGGCGGTACACAATTGGTAGCAACAATGTCGGTATATGTTTGTGCTTGTTCGTGTCATCGAGGCGGGGGTGTGCTTAAGTTTAGACATTAAATAATTTCTGTAGTGGAACGTAACGACGAAAACGCCGTGCTGCTTGCCTAATATACCTGGAGGGACCAAGGAAGGGGCTTATGCGACTCTAGATGTCTGGTTTGGACTTGCTTAATTGACAAAGTTATTTTCTTTTATGTTGTCGCCCCAAGCACTTTCCTCGCGAGCTGCTTTAGTACGTAGGTGTTCGATTGCGGGGGGTAGCGGTGAGGTATTGAGAAAGAAATAGGGCATCGACAGCCCTGGAAGAGTCGAACCTAACACTGTATTTAAGCGCCAGTCCAGTACCCCGGGGATCCTTGTAAGTCCCCCCAAGTCCCAATCGGAAGCCTCAACGCCTTCGAGTTTGTACCAGTACCTGTACAATTTAGTGCGTGTGCGACATGCAGGCTACACAGTCCATGCAGCTGGGGATCGCCTACTCTTTTGTCCTCGACATCGCTGTCATTTATCACATTTAGGCGCTTGGCTATCCAAGTACCCCACCATAGGAAGGAACGTTGAAATGATATGTAGTATGTATCGTGCATAGGGTGCAGAGATCGGCGATCGGAAAATACGTACTCGATAAACGGCCCTCGAAATGAGAAAAAAAATTATAACAGTAATCACCTGGAGCATAATTCTGCTATCGTCGTCTAACGATCATCCCACGACATGAAGCATCGTACAGATGCTTGATGCCGTGTAGTTCATTCGGATCCGCCGATGTAAACACATGGAGGAATCCAAAGGTTATAACCCAATTAATTCCCCTCCGAAGCTCGGCATAAAGCCCAGCATCCGGTGGGAAAATGAACAAGACGAAGATGTCCCATTAGGAACATCATCGCCTCGGTGAAGAGTCGAGATTATTTTGTTGAATAGAAAGAGTAAAACGCCTTGAATCAACTGTGCATAATCTGCGAATATATTAGCACGAGATAATATTAATATTGTCACCACAAAAGTTCAATCGTCCGGTCACTTTGAGCTCGAAAGCCCTTCTCGACCCTAGGTAGCAGAAAGGGTCAGCAAGCATGCTAGTCAAGTCAGTCACTTAATCCTCTCCACTGGAGAATATGTCGAACGAAGAAATGTAGGAAATACGAATTCTGATTTTACCCTCGCCACTAGGCCGCGAGTCACTCATATTTGGCCAGCCGTAATTGTGCAAGGGGAGGCTAAGCCGATGAAGCCAGACAGCCAGGCGGTATGGGGCGTACCAACACCGGCATCCGGCCACTAAAATACATTAGACCTCATCGTCCAGATGGGTAACGCCTGTCGACTCCCTGAAAAAGTAATGATAGAAAAACCATGAGCAAAGTGAGAAAAAGAAGCAAATGGTATCTGAATGTTTTCCGGAACGCCGTGTGTTCATTAATCCCAACGATCCGTATCGGGTCCAGCATCGAATCATCCTTAGGTACGGTCAACCATCTAAAATCAACGCCTCCGTATGCGTACTTCGTCATATAATCGTTCCGAAAAGCCGGCCGAGTGTTGTACAGTCGTCAAGGGTGCTCCCGATAGCATGGGGTTTATCGACGTGAATTTTTAGATCTAAGCCAATAAAAGTCAACCAGGTTAAGTCCTAGCGTTCTGAGTAACGTCCGCTGGTCGAATTACCACTCGTCATCGCGGGGAAACCTTTGATGTTGCCTTTGATGACGACTATACTCACCAAAACCCTGATCATGTAGAGATTTAAGGATAGATCTCTGCTTCGTATAGGATTCATAGTTTCCTCCTAGAATGGGCTCAAACAGCGAGCCCTTCACCTCTTCGCCGTCACCTCCGCACTGAATCTTGACGATGCGTTTGAGCATCGTATCATAGGCTTGCGCAAAGTGGCGCATGATTGTTTCGGTATTACTAGAACCTCCGGCAATGTCGTTCTCAGGGTTGTTGGGATCTAGGATGGACAGCCTATCCATGTTGCGATAGACGAATGTGCTAACCTCGTTCTAAATCCATACGATTAGTATATACCCTGAATGTGGTTTTGGGGTACTCACCTTTGGTACTAGTCCGGGAGGGTTCATGCGTATAGCTACGGTCTTATATTTGAAATGGTGACCGTAATATTGGAAAAACTCCATCAGAATTTCGCCAACATGCGAGTCGGCCGGCATAGAGCGACTTTGCACCTGAGGCATAATATCAAGAAGATGAACAACCATGCAAATAACGGAAAATCCGCCGATACCGCCGTTAACAGGTTCATTGAGTCCTCGCATGAGCAGAAACTGCTTAACCACGGCTACCAGCTTAGGCAACACGGGGTACTTTGCCTTCCAGTCGAGGAATGTCTGAATGGCTCGGTGACCATCTATCTTCTCGAAGGAAATATCGAACTTAAGGCGGCTTCGCATTTCGGTATACTTGACCAATGGAACTTTTGCTCTCGAGATCACTTCAACATATTCGTCGAAAGTGACATTGTAGTTGATAAGATGTTGCTTCAACGCCCAGAGATTATTTTTCTTGTCGTATCGAGGAATGCCCCGATTGATAAAGTTGTTTGAGCAAATTGCAATATCCATGTCAGCTGTTGGTAGGTAAAGACCGGACACAAATGAGCCGAAGAGGTAGAGGTCTGCATCCGACCATCTCATTTTGATAATTTTGCGGAGTTGATCAACTATCTTCTGACGGACAGATGCTTCGAATGGTTGAGGGCTCACCCAAAGGTAGAAGTCTGTGATCTCTTTCTGCATCCGAGTACCTATACTAGGAGTATCCGAATAATCAGATTGGAGCCAGGGACAAGGGTTCTCATTCGCGACTGGGCGCCAATCGGACAAGATGTAACCGGAGCTACTCATTTTCGCGCCTTTTCCCGTGGGGGCAGATGGCTGAAGCGGCTGTTTAATTTTATCATCAAAGGTGCGCTTGCGATTGCCGAGAGATGTAGAAGATGTTAGATCAATAGAATTTTTGTCACGCGCGCCGGTGCGTGCATTGTGTGCGTCGTGCGCGGGGTGTGAGGTAAGTGGTGTGGACTGAATTGTTGCTGGTGCTATTGCCCCACTATCCGGTGCACGATGCGCGCTGTTACTGTTAAAAGTAGAAGGTTCATACTCCTTATCATCGTCGAAATCGCACGAAATAAAATCCAACCCCTCTATCTGCGCGGCCGGTTGCTTGGCTTCTGCTTCGACGCGTGCTTTGCGAATTAGCTGAACCATATCTTTCTTCTTACGTGTACTTTCGTCCGGCGGAGGTAAAGCCGTGTATGGATCTGGGTTCGACCATCGAGGCACATCTTCCTCTAGCTTGGTGGTTGTTGCAGTCGCCGACGTACGCGCACGTTTGCTTGCGGGCTCAACTACATCAGAGCCGGATTCATCGGAGATATCCATTTCAGTCTCGTCGCTGTCTGAGAGCTCATCAATGTCTCTATAAGTAGCTCGCGCAGCGGTATCCCCCAGCATAAGCTCCGGGTTCTCATCATGCTTCTTATGCAGAAGTAGCCTTGCAGCTGGCTTTGGCGGCTTCCATCTTTCTTTGAATCCGGTACGCTGCTTGAAATTTTGCTGGCGTCTACGATCATCGTTACGGCGAGGCCGGTTATCACGACCCGTCAGCCCGTCGTTGTCATCATGATGCGGTCGGTCGGATGTGCTCCGATTATCGTCGTGGTTACTTCTATGACCATCAGTGTGATTAGTCGGGGGTTGAGGGTAGTACGAATCGTACGTTCTTGGTGCGCGTCCCTCCCTTTCGCGGGGCCGATACGAGTCGTGATAATTGACACCCGGAGGAGGTTCTGTGCGAAAAGTGAAGTCGCCTTGTGGAGGACGATAAGAATCGCGGTCGGTATCGCGATAATCTCGATCGGGGCGGCGACGGTCATCTGAGCGATTTCGACGAAGGTCGGAAAAGGGACCTCGGAAATGAAAATCATCCCGACGGTCTTGCGGAGGATAGCGATCATTCCACGATCTTGATGAACTAGCCGGAGGCGGTGGGTATGGAGGCGGCGGCGGTTGATCGTACCTCTCATAACCATAAGACGGCGGTGGAGGTGGCGGAAGCGAGGGGCCTGATGATGCAGGCAAATTGTTGTAGTTATTACCATACATCTTGGGCAATTTGGTGTTGAGAGATGAGGTTGGTAGGATAAAGAGATTGGGAGATGATGGTGATGAAGGAAAGAAAATTTAATGATGCGCCTAATTGCGACCGAGACTTTCTTTGGTGCGCGCGTCGTATGAAAGAACGAGAACGTAAATTAGCTCACACACGGATAACACCCACTAATATTTACTGTCTATTCCCCTGTAAAGTCACATATAAAAGGCACCTGGTCCGTGTGTAGCCCCACTATCAAACCGCACATTAAGGCATTTACCGTGTCGGTACTTCGGTACTTATTCAGGTCCCCAACTTCCCGACCGGATTTAGTAAGCGTACTATTACAGTGTTCTGATTCGCCAATTATCACTAAAACAAAAGGTGAGGTGACGTAGTGACTTCTAAATTTGTAGAGGGACAATAACTCCTCCAATCATTCTACTATAACATAGTGTTTGTTCTTAAGATATACTCCCTAAGGCCTATAGCAAATCCTAGAAGCCAAAGTTATCCATTACTCGACTCAAAAGCCTCAGTCAAAACATAGTCAAAAGCAGGGATAAAAATCATGATGTGATTTGTCCCCTTAGAATTTAAGCAGTTTATTTCAAACGCTATTTCGGTATTCAGAGAATCGATATATAAATAGCTTCCAATATGTGTATTTCATCATTTAAATGATGTAGTAACTGTTGTCTGCCTACCGAGTATCTATCGTTGAGTTGCACGCGATTGGCAATAGGCGGTACAGCGTTAAAATAACGATGGCATGCATCATATATTAGAATCGTTGACAGAATGATAGAAGCTAAGATACCACAGGGATTAATTACAGGCGCCGCTATCTCAAGGAAATAATGAGATTGTCTAGGGAATTTTGCGCGAAAAAGGCTGGGGGGATATTGCTGTTTTGAAGACCATAATTAGCTTAACTCCCAAAGTACTAAGAGATATCTATAAGCCTGCTTAAGACATACATTAGAGGATTCAATGACTAGTGGAACAGGCTCTGAATAAAGGGGCGTGCCTAAGAATCAACCAGTCGTAGATGTTGCTTGCCGTGTTAAAATGTTCTCCGTTTTTTTAGAATCTTTTTTTGAAAAAAGAAGGTGCATAAGTTACCTGGCAATCATAATATTCTCGATGGAAAAAAAAACACCGCTATTAATCGATCACGCTATTCATCATAGGCATGAAAAGCAACCTATCGTCTTGTCGACATCACAAAGGCAGATCTACCTGCGGTTTCCCCGTCCCCGCCCCCGTCTCTGTCTTTCCCTCTCCCTAGCTTCCCTCGCCCTCTCCTCTAGTATACAACGGACCCTGTAGCAATTATCACATTCAACCTCGGCCTCTCTGTATATAGTGATGTCGAGATTCGGACAGTATTCGGTCTTCGCGCTTGGGTGGGCACAAACTATCCAACCAACAGGCCATGTTGATTTTTTTCCGCAGGAGGGACACTTGTATTTGTTCACGTCACACAGGCACATGTTGTATCTCGATGCCTAATCCTCGCAGTTAACTATCGAGTAGGTGGAGTTGAGCAACGATGGTGTCGATACTGGTCAATATATAAAGGGCTGCTGTATAGATGGTGTAGTTACGCAACTTTTGTTTTGCCGTAGTTGTCGCTGCAATTGTCTTTATTGCCGTCGTTGTTCTTGATGTTCTTGTTTTGGGCTGGTTGTACTTTTTGGATTCAATTTCAAAAGCTTGAGATCTCCAAGGAATGCTTGATTTTATATTTACGCATGCCTTTTCGTTCTGTCATCTTCTTGCGAGCGTAGAGTGAGTCGTTCCATAATGTTATCGTACGAAGTTTCGACGTGTATGCTTACTATAGAGACAACAACCCCAGGACTCTCTATAATGATGGATGTTTTCTCCAATATGGTCGAGTCACGTAGTAAAACCTTCTACTTCTTAGTCGCTTTGTGTTTGATGAGTCTCGAAGCTACAACATGCAAACCTATTGTGCCGTTCTGCTATATCATTAGATGGGAAGAGTTAAAAACCAAACGAATTACAACGTCCGTCTTGAACTAGTCCTTCCACCGCTTGCCCTAACAGGTTAAAAATTACCATTGCCTGTGGAGTCAACTAATGACTAGATATTCGGTTGTGATTTTCGCTACAGGTAGGATGTCCTGTTTTCAGTGAATAATGGTTCATCGACCAGCGCTTAGGGGCATTGTACCACGTCTTCGGTCTTTGGAATGACCATTATTAATGTGTTACTTTCTAACATCTCAATTTACGGCAAAGGTTACAGGTAGAAGATCAAAAGTGATACGTTAAGCTCTATTAAGTCCATAGCGAGGATATTAATAAACCAATAACTTATATGTCTACCTGGGTAGGTGCTGGTAACTAATGAAGAGAGCACCTATCTCTCGACTTAACCACCTACGTTAACAGGCCTCATGATTAATAGAAAAGGCTTAGTAATTTGACATTCAATCGAAGTTATTCACCATCCTCTTCGTTTTATAGACTTTTTTCAGTGGAAAATAATAAAAATATGCTCATATAAAAAACACCGCTACCAGTCAGCTCCAGCATTCGCTATACTAAAAGCAATCCGTTGTCAGTTATAGCATCACAAAGGGTGGGCTATCTGCGAGATCCACTTGTGAGTGTATAAAGAGTGATCGTATTGGTACTGTAGGGCTGTTAGCTCTTTGCTTTTGTTGTTGGTGTAGTTGGTGATGGCGTACTTGCCTTCTGGGTGCTGTTGCGGCTTGCCCGGGTAATTTCGAGTCCAAAAAGCTCGAGAGCTCAAGAACTGCTTGATTTTATATTTGCGCATACCCTCATGCCTTGTCATTTTAACCTGTAACTTTGGAGCGCAGAAGGAGTCGGCATGGTGCCCCAATCAGCATGTTTGCGGCACCGTCCATTGTAGTACGATACGAAGGTTCGACATGTACTCCTATTATGGAGATAATAGTCTCAAGATGTTATACGGATGAATGTTTCTCCCCACATGACCAGGCCGCTAAGTAAATATTCCCTCTCCTTAGTTTATTTATGTTTGCTGGGATTCGGATTTACTGTTTACAAACATGTGAATTGTGCGTGGATGAGATAACGTGTTACACGAGTAAATGGGGAGGCTCAAGATGAAATGACTTTAAACATTCGTCTTGAATAGTTCCTTGCACGGTTTGCTTCAAAGAGAAGACTATTATCGCTTAACGAGTCACCTAGTGACTAGATAGTTTATTGCAATTATAACTGCGGAGAGAAGGTACCATTCTCGTTAAGTCAATCGAACCATGCATTCGAAAAGACCACACATTTTCCAATAATCAATGTTATTGTACAGCTTTGAAACGACTTCTCTTGCGACCATGCGTCCGCCCGTAGTCTTCAAGTAATATTCAATTTCACTCTTATAAGGAAAATGAACATCGGCTTTGAGCAATCAATCAACGTGAGCGAAGGTTATGGTACCTGCTTATGTCCACACGAGGGGCCGAAAGACTAGCCACGGTCGCCTACATAGGATGAACTATCTTCACCTCTATACACACTACAAAAGCCATTTCGGAGGAACAATTGTCATCGACGTATCATGAATAAAATAGCAGAGGGCGGAGAAAACTACGGCAATATGTTACCCCGTATCCAAGTGGGTTGTGTTGTTTCCTGAGTGGTTGATTAATTTCCCTATATTGTCGCGGATCTCTAGGCGCCGCCCCCCCAAATTCGTCTTGAGACGAACCGCCTATAAGTGAATCCATGATCCCTAACTCATGTGGACAGCAATGCATCACTACACATCAGCGAACCTTTCCCACTCCTCCAAAGCGTGTAGTCAAACAAGATGAAGGTGCAATCAATCATCCTAGCCCTGGCCAGCCTGGCCTCAAGCCACACCATCTTCCAGAAAATGTCGGTCGATGGCGTCGACCAAGGGCAGCTCAAAGGTGTTCGCGCTCCCGATAGCGACTACCCCATCCAGAACGTTAACGATGCCGCTTTCGCATGTAACAAGGACTTAAAACATCTCGACAGCAGTGTTATCTCAGTCCCGGCTGGGTCGAAGGTAGGCGCATGGTGGGGCCATGTCATTGGAGGCGCGCAGTCGGCGAACGATGCCGACAACCCAATTGCTAAGAGCCATAAAGGTATGTACAAGGGCTTCTTACCGAATATTTGAGCAGAAATCACTGCTAATGAAGTTAGGCCCAATCATGGTGTACCTCGCCAAGGTAGACAATGCCGCGACAGCACAGCCGACCGGCCTTAAGTGGTTCAAGGTCGCCGAGGACGGTCTAAGCAACGGACAATGGGCTGTTGACAAGATGATCGCCAACAAAGGCTGGCACTACTTTACCATGCCAAAGTGTGTTGCGCCTGGCGACTATCTTATGCGTGTTGAGTTAATTGCTCTTCACGGTGCACAGAATCAAGGACAAGCTCAATTTTATATGGAATGCGCGCAGTAAGGAAAAATCTCCCTATATCCTATCGTGCACTCCTGTTTTCTGACACCATCTAGAATCCGGATCACCGGTTCTGGGACGAACGCCGGGTCCAACTTCGTTAGTTTCCCCGGAGCGTACAAGGCAAGCGACCCCGGTATTCTGGTTTCCATCTACGATAACAGCGGTAATCCGTACATGGGTGGCAAACCATACACGATTCCCGGCCCGTCGGTCCTCACTTGCTAGAGGCATACCAGTGGTTGGGTTGGATAACATGCTACCTAAAAACATAGTGGTTTAAACAGGCTCAATGTACGTACGTACCTAGTTAGTGAGCCTAGCAATATATTCAATGCCCTGTCCTAGGAAATCGTAGGGTCTGGATTGTGCTGTGGACTTAGGGTTTTAGGGGTATTAGAAACGTTTTTGGTACTTTAGCCCCAGGAGCCGGGGTTTAAATGCTGTAGGTGAAACGCTAAAATACATCATTATACATGATACTTTCAAAGATAGGACCAAGGAAATACCTAAACTATGTAATTTTACTGCGATGTGCATCACTCGTAATAGTTGTTGTCGACTTGATTTAAGCACGCTAAACAGCCCCAGAAGAAGGGGACTGTGTACCCTGGCTTATTACCGTATTCGGCAACAGCAGACGATAATCTAAGAACCTGATTGGCTCCGACCGCGCAGGCCCTATAAAGTTCAAGGTTTTAGGGTCGAACCTACGTGATGATTAGATGATATGGCTACCTAGGTATCAGAAAGAAAATAAATCGAATTCGTATTCCAAGAGGCGCGCGAGCTATGGGATTCTCTTGGTGATTCCCTAGGTACCTATAGTCCGGGAACTGTTGTTTGAGTCTTGTTTTTGGCTCAATTGACACGGTTGTTATTTGGCTGGGCAATTCGCTACCCACCATAGGTACTGCAAATCAACTATCGTTGGTCCTGTATTCACTATAGTAGGTGCTTATAAGTGGCCAGTTGGCGGTGGCAGTACTAGGAAGCTATAGCGCTCTTACAGGCCCCGGAGTTCTGATATACCATAGTGAGGACTCCCGAGGACTACAGGGACTTATACTACATCCTCCAATTTCGTAAATAATAACGCCAAAAACATTCCACATTATCTGCCTTCTACCCAACGGTATACGCTATCTTCGTGTTCCCCTTCTTAGTAGATATCTTCCCCACGACCACCCTCCCAAGTTTCGCTGTGCTATGTACATGTGTTCCACCACATGGATACCCGCCTAATTCACCTATCTCCACAACTCTCGTCCCACCAGGTGTTGGATCATGAAAAGCATCCGGTAGAAAAATACCCCTCTCCTTAAGGCCTTGAGGATCTAACCAAGTTACATTGATAGGTAGGTCCTGCTGCACGAGATCATCAAGCACCTTCTGAATTGCATCGCGATGCTTCGGATCAATTTTGCCTTGGAACTCGACGAAAGCTGCATCGGGATAGTGTTGTGCCTTCGTCTCATTGACGTTTGGGATCTCAGATGAGAGTTGACGAACAGCTAACCCGAGAAGATGGCCGGCTGAGTGGATGCGAGAGTGCAGGTCCCGCTTTTCACCGTCAATGAGCTGCTCGACTAGCTGTCCAGCTTGTAGAGAGGTGTTCTGATCGGTAGGCTCTAATTGACCTTGATGGAAGATGGTGCCATTGCCAGAACGCCGCACGGACTGCACTAGAAAAGAGGGATGGTTACTTCCGCCTGATTGAACGACCATGCGACCCGTGTCGCTTGGCTGCCCACCCCCTTGGACGTGGAAGATGGTCTCTTCTGTTACGACAACAGGGTCATCCGGTAGTGCCTGCTTGAATAGGCTTCGGCTGACCTCAGTCAGGGCACTGACTTGGGTGACGCCTATAATCTTCGTATGCAATGACCGTAGATCCCCTTGAGACTGATAGACAGCCTTGGTTGGGCTTAGAGATTCCTGAATAGGGAGTCTTTGTCAGTTCTAGATTCAGGAAGACGTAATGAAAATCGCGATCTTACGATGTCAGCCATTGAGCTTCTGATGGTGTAGGACTTTCTCGGCTTCTGCCAGTACCGAAGACGCGATATCACGATACCCGCCGAGGAGAAACGTCGATGAGAAGGCGAAAATGAAGGAAATGGAAGGAAATGCCTTCAATATTCACATTTGCATCAAGCCACATTTCTATCCTGGATGCTTCCCCGTAAAATGGGTGCTAATTAGCGAGGCAACCCAGCCTGCATATAAGCCGCATATTGCTGATGCTTATGGTGATGACTGACGCTACGCTAGGTAGGTAGCTAGGGAGCCGCGGATCAGTATCGGATCGGCTAAGATCTGTCGGTGTAGGGCAGAGAGACGCTGGGAGGTCACTAAATGCGACCCCCTTGTAGCGGGGTTACGGGGTAGAATGAGGTATAAAAAGTTTATAATAACATCTTGGGAGCACCTGTCAAGGTAGTAAAGGAATAATACCCAAGTATTGCATAGAAGAGGCACAGTGTATTTTCTAATACTGATTCATCTTCGAGATAAATAAAAATAGTTACTTACCTAATGTATCTAATTATTACAACGTTCTATTCACGTCGGGAACAACACCCAGATCGCTACATATAGATTATTACGCAATCTTCTCACATAGGTAACCGACTCGGCTTTGAAGCCTGAATAAGCGGCATGTGGAGATCGTAAGATCCACAGTCGTCATTGTAAACGGTCAATCAAGATCGAGTTCTCTTGACGAGTATTTAGATATCAAGTTTTGTTGTAAATGTTCAGAGAAAGATGTGTCATCCAATGGGTCAAGGCCTCTAGTCTAGTTAGTTATTCGTCGCATTTAACATGTCCCTGAGAAGATTAAGTCCGCTGCCCCGCCTCAGCCGTTCCCTGGCTAGGGTCACTACTACACAACCGCCCAGGGCCTTCGCCCGCCTGTACTCATCCGCACAGGCGGTTGCGAGCACGCCTAACGATACCCCGGAATTTACTGCGCTAGGGCATAATAATGCCCAGGGCTTATTAGTGAATTCGAACTGGACGACGCTGGAGGACCGGCCATTAACTCACAACTCAGTATACAGTCTTCTTCAAAATTCCATCCCATCCATACGCCATCGAAGCTTGTTGTCAAAAGAAGAGTGCAGCAAGCTTGTAGGGATTATTCAGGACCACGGAATTGTAAGATCAAGCGTTTTCACACATCTGTGAAAAGACAATGGCAACTGTGCCAATAGTAAACTAACTGAATCAATAGAGCACCTACAATCAGAAAGTTGTGTTCCCCCCTCTTGGTTCTGTGGGGTTGTCACAATTCGACCATGGTGAGGATGATTCTATGTTTTATCAATTAACCTCATACTCACGAATCTTTTTCAGACAAGGAAACATACCTTAGTGGTGTTGAGCGAGCCAGCTCCTTACAGAAACGCTTCAGGGAAGAAGCCAATGTGGATGTTGTAGGTCGTGTTGCTGCCGCTCTCCAAAAGGCCACTGGCCTAGAAACGCGTGTAGCGCTTGAAGATGGTAGACCATACTTCGCTGGCATGCTGCGGGTGGTTAGTAACTACATCCAAATTCATTCTGACTATGGCCCATTTGTAAGTCATCTCTTCTCTGCTGTTGGTCTTGAAGCCACTAACATGAGTGATTAGGATGGTCCTGATTGGGAAATTGGAGGTGTTGTCGGCCAACTATCATGGAATGTGCTTCTGAGACAAGTCCACGGCGGGGACACTATAATCTACGATCGCCAGTGGAATGGCGCAGCCGATAACGCTGAATTCCGCAAGAAGTTCCCCAGCTACGCATTCCAACCCCTAACCGTACAGGGTCGGATTCCCAAAGCCCTTGCTGCTATTGAAGGCGACTTGACATTTTTCAACTCTCGGTACGTACATATATATGCTCTTCTCTCTACGCAAGGCTAATCTATTATTCCTAGGAATTTTCATGAAGTCAAACCTTGCGACATGAGACACGATACGCCTGAGGATACCATCCGGTACACAATGAGTTCATTTGTGGGCCTTCTTCCCGCATCGAACGGGAAGCCTCCGTGTCTAGTGCTTTGGTCGTAGAAGCAGGTTACACACCTGTGTAAATTAGGAGCTTTCTGAAATAAATGCGAATTATTATTGTGTGTCAGTCATCCCGTATAGTACCATTCTCGTGTAGTCAGACGAATCATATAAAGTGCATGTACATGTATAACCCACTATAATTATGGGGGTTTGCAGGTAGAAGCTCGCCATGGTTTAGGTGGGCTTCCGCTATACGCCCCCGCAATTATAGTGGTTGATGCGAAAAGAATTAGCCCTAGAGGACCGCTATCACTGCTGTGAGTGTAGGGCAAACTTCGCGATAATAGCCTGGAGGGGCCACTCACTAAAGCCCACTGAATCCATAGCGACCAATGCGCTAATAGAATCGCATGACATGCGACGCTATATTATAGCACATGGCCCTATAATTACTGTACACTGGAGGGTTTAGCGAATGACTACCTGGAATGGTAGCGCATGATGCCCTATACCTCTGGGTATTGCACGCTAGAATTCAACCAGCTCTTTCAATCAACTACGGGCTAGGTAGCGAATTGATCATTCACGAAATTTATGACTTCGTGGCATACCCGTTTACGGACGCCTTCCAAACTATCGGCTTTCAATGAATATATATTGATAATGCAGCCGAATTCCTTCCCAATTCCCAGTCTATGGCAACAAATTGTGCCGTTGTAGTTGTAGATTGGCCCCTGTAAAAATTGGAACCATTTTGCCTATGTACATCTAGTGACATTATTTTTATAGTAAAGAAAAATATGCTATTCTGAAACTTTTGTAAGTATAGTAAAAATTAAAAAAGAAATTGAAAGTGAATAGATGACATATATAGGTAAATTCGCGAACCGAAATCAACGGAGCATAACTCTATGAGGAGCATGCCCGTTCACCAATGTTATGAGCCTTCTTCCTTGTTCTCTGGCTCGGCGGAATTGCCATCCACAGATGAACCCTCAAGAACTTTCTCGGTATCTTTCTTTTCTGGTTGCTTCAGAGAAATCCAATCCATGAAAATCGGTCCGAAAATAGACAGGGCGCTGGTGGCAACAGCGACGTAGAAGGTTTGAATAAGCGCTTCGTTATACGCTTCCAAAACAGCAGGTCGCTGATCAGCGGGGACATCGCCGCTAAGAGCGGTGGCACCGGCGTTGACGACAGAGCCGGAATCAATACCAGGAGCCTTCGCAGCCAGGTTTTTGATTAACTGGTTCTGGAAAATATTCTGAGCCACAGCGAGAAAGATGGAAGATGAAAGCGTCTGGGTGAAAGTCAAGATCGAGGTAGCCATGGCCATATCGGCCAATGGAACGGCGACTTGAGCGACGAGCATGACGTTTTGGGCGCCCAAGCCAGCACCGGCTGCAAGCAACACTTGGTAACCGAACCAATGTCCGATGTTAGAATTGACCTTCAAAGTGCTGAGAAGGCCAGAGCCAACAGCGCTGATAATCGACGAAGCGATAAGCAAGGGGGTGAATTGGCCAAGCGCAGTCGCAAGACCACCACCAATGATGGAGAAAATAACCAATCCAAGGATGCTAGGCAGGTTGTCAATACCAGATTGGGTAGCAGACACGCCCTTAATTGCCTGGAACCAAATAGGTAGATAGTATGAGAAGACGAAGAGCGCAGCACCCATGCATACGCCATACCACAGGCCACCTATGATATTCTTGTTCTTGAGGATGCGCAAAGGGACGGTAGCGCGGTCCTTCTGCCAAAGCTCAATAATCCAGAAAATGATCGCCAGAACGCCAAAAACAACGAATAGAGCAATGATGCGACCATCACTCCAGGCATATTTCGCGCCGCCCCATTGTAAGGCAAGTAGTAGAGATATAACTGAAGGAATAAGGAAGAATGTTCCAGGAAGATCGAATTGTTTGATTTGTTCTTTCCATGGCAAGCCAGGTTGTGTCGGAGGCTTGGCAGGCAGGAAGAGAATTAGGAAAAAGATAGCGACGCCGCCGAGAGGAAGATTGATGTAGAAGCACCACCTCCATGTTACGTGATCGGTAAAAGCGCCACCCAAGATCGGACCGGTGACACTCGCTATTGCATGGGAACTTGAGAGTATACCAGTATACAATGGACGCTGTCGCAGAGGAACGGAAGTGGCGAGGATAATGATGGCCCCGGCGAAAATACCAGCCGCTCCTGCGCCGGAAATCGTTCGTCCAGCGATGAGGACAGCCGAAGAGGGAGAAACGGCGGCAATGAGGGAACCAATTTCGAAAATCACGACGCCTGCTAGGAAGACCCATTTCACGGGATACATAATGTAGAATTTTCCGTACATCAACTGTAAGGCGCACACGGCAAAGAGGTACGAGCTACCGTACCAGGCCACATCGTCAAGTGAGTTGAACTCGTTGGTAATATGGGGGATGGCGGTAGCGAGAATGGTTCCATCCTAAGAAGGGAGAAGGTTAGAGACTTCAAGTGCTATCGATTATCGCATTGAGTGATAGCAACTAACCAGAGACACAATCAGCATCGCCATGCAGAGAGCGATGGTCAAGAGAACCAACTTCCACGGGGTAGGATACTCCTGCTCCAAGTCCGCGGTGGCGGCATCGACGGTGGGCTCATTCTTTTCTGGATCTCGGGTATGCTGCGCGTTTGATGCCCCCCCAGCTTCTTGGTGATTTGATTCCGTAGCGGCTTCTTGACTGCTAACCTTCTCGAGTGCCACTGAGTGCTGAACAGTGTTCGACAACGAAACCTCAGCGGCAGTAGAAGCGGTCGTATCGTCAGGGGGACGCATCGTGTACAGTGGAAAGACAAGTTAAACTATCTATCCAAAAACAAGTAGGAAACGCAAAAGTCTCTAGAAATTATAGATAGAAACTTATCCCAGCACCGCACCTTGTAGCGCTTTTCATCAATAAAGCTATAGCGTGAATGAGTCACGCCGGTGTTCGAGGTCTGAACACGAGCCTTATTGATGTGAGGCGCAAGATGGATGGCAAGGTTGGTGACGAAGAGGAACAGTGTAAGGAGGAAAAATTGAAGAAAATTGCAAATCATTGCCATCATTTTTCACGTGGAGAACCCATACTCCTTAGTAAGAAAATGGTTGATACCCTATAGGTACCTAGGTACCTAAGTATCCAGATGGTAAGCAAATCAGCTTATTTAAACTTAAACGAGAGCGACAGGGGTATAGGGCAACTGCATGCGAAATGCGCCGCAAAATGCAGAACGGTTAGGGAGACTTACTACGGCCGTGGTGAGTAATAGCAATAGCCGGGAGCTACTCTGGAGAACTGCAGGTACCACGGATAGGGGACTGCCCCACTACGGCACGGCGCCTCCCGGGTTTGTAACACCCTTGTATTGCCGTTAATATCTAAAAGCAGGCAGGCACGAGGCGTCAATGCCGAGTCGACGCATTATACAATTAAGTTAGGTAATAGAATGACAAGTCTCTTTAGAAAATGGGAAATAGGGTTATAGTGAAATGCATGTTTTAGGTTGAGTAACCCAGCTTTTTAATTGGCCATTTATAGACATCGCTAAACACGTGTAAAGACTTCTGGCAGTTAAAGGTTATCACCGCTTATTCCGTTGAATGTCATCATTTACAATTTCATAACGCTTTAGCTATAACATGATGTCCTTCTCTCTTATCGTGGTCATAGGTATCAACTTTGTGTATGAGAGTAATCTTAATCTTGTATAGAAAACTCCATGTACTGATCACGAACACCACCGAGTACATTGGTACTTCAGCAATTACTAGTATACGCGGGTCAATGTATTCCGGAAGGACTTTTACTTAAGTAGAGGTTGTTTTATCCATTCTTTTTACGTAAAGATATATGCGGTCATATCGGTAGTTGTTAAGGAAGTGCTCTTTTTTTTTTATATGAAGGACCTAATTCCCATCTTAATGCCGTTTGAAATTCTATCGTTATTTTTATAGCGTTCTTTATCATCATGGCGATCAGGTAATTCTATTGCTAGCTTAGTGTTCTGATTGGTCAATTAGACCTGGCTACTGAGATCAGAGCAGGGATCGTATATGCACGCATCGTAAGTTACCCGATTTGGAAAGGCCTTTACGTAGGAGCCGATTTCTCTTAGCCGCTAGATCTTCCTTTTCTTTAATTCCAATATTTTCTCACCAACACCTGCTGTGGGCTGAACGACACGACGATCACTAATATTTGCCGTGACATTCTTCAATAGGAAAATGCCTAGGTTAGATTTCTGTTAGCCTCCCAGCAACGAGTCACCGCGTCAGCCAGTAAGTTACACTTACAATAATCCCCGCTGTCATCTTTCCATCGCTGTTGGATGTGAAACCCAGCCTTTCCGCAGATTTGCCCCATTACCTCCTCACTCCATTTCCCGCTTGTCACCACTCTCACTCGTTGCCCCTTATGAATGGTCACCGCATCTGTACCTTCAGCCACCGACGTCAGTGGCACCAGCACGTCATATTTGGCTGTCAAGTAGAAATGCAGGTTGCGTTCACGTTCATCCAGCCAACTTGCCGGAGTCCAGTCATCCGCGGAAAAGGCCTCGTAGCCTAGCTCTAGGTTGGCGGCATCTAGCGCGTTGAGCAAGAAATCGCGATACTCTGGCCGACCGACGTTGTATGCTTCAAGCACCTTCTCATCACGCTGGCATATGTCGGTCGACACCAGAAAGCGGCACGCTAGCCGCGCATGCTGACAGGCTGTGCCAAAGCGTGCCAAAAAAGCGCTCGCTTGATCATGGCTATCTAAGTTGGCGATGCTATTACCTAACCACAGTATAGTCATCGATCCCAAGGCACGCATGGTCTTCAGGCCGGTCAGCCAAGCCACGCAGTCGTCGTATGTGCCAAGGAGTCCAGTAATGGTTATGAACGGTGAATCCTTGAACAACTTTCTCAACTCAACTAAACTAGTTGTGAGGCCTTGATGTGACACATCCAAGGCGAAGTAATTCACTGGTTTCTGCTGTTGGCGAAACCCGGACAGGATTGATTTGGTTTTGCGGACGGCGCTTTGCAAGTTAGCACGCACGGCTTGGCACTGAAAGGGGCAGCAGGGAAGGGGGGCTGCACGACTCACCCACAGCCTAATTCAAGCAACGCCCCTTCAGCGGGCACACTTGCTCCAATATCCGATCCATATCGGCTCAATACTTCGATCTCACCATGAAATGGATAATATGTTGGTGTTTGTGAGAATCTATCGAAGAGATCTTGCCCCTGATCGTCCCAGAGCAAAAGAGAAGGCAACGTAGGGAGTTGGGATCCAAGCCCTCTCACGATCTCCCCTTTCAGATCAAGGCCGTCATAATTTTGTCGGATATCAAAGATCTGAGGTTGGTCCTCTAAGTCTAGCACTGTGGGAGACATGGCTACGGTGATGTGTGTCTAGTTGTATCTAGACAAGGGCGTTGCCTACGATTCAACCTGATTTTATGTAAATGAATACGCCTTAAAAATACAGTAATGGTACTTAAGCCCAGGCTCAGGTTACAATTGGATTATATTGATATTGAATAGTATAACAATATTCCATTAAGAGGTATACAAAGTCTTGCCGACTTGGGACCTCGTACTGTGTCATTCATTCATTTCCTCATCAAGTATTGATGACATTACTTGGAAGCAAGTATACCGTTTCCCCTGACTCGGCTATCATTTCCGCTCCGGCAGGCGGATGGGGCTCGTTGTAAGCAACCGGCACTGGGATCCGCGACTAGTTTACCTAGTCAATTATCTGGTCTCGTGAAGATGTCAGCGCAAAATATCTGCTTATTGTACATGGCGAGGCCCAACGTTGAGTGGAAGTCATGACAAAGATATTATCACGTCAGCTTCTTCCCTTACCGGATCATCATCCCCTAGTTTCGGTTCTCGCCCCATGGGCAAAATTGTGATGTCGTAAGAACTTTGTGGACTTGAACTATAATAGTCCTACTTACTCAGCCTTGGCCTATAGTGGCGTCTTCGGTGTGAGATTTAACGTTGTAGTGACACTATACAGGTGTATACTATAGTTTCATCCCCGGATATGGGAACTCCCTTCTTAGGAACTATTGACTTGTCACATCAATCCCCTCTTCGCTTCATCCTTGTGTGATCTGGCGCAATCCTGACGCTCTGATGCTGCTTTAGCGAGAGCTCCTCTAATTCTTGATATACCTCACAATATTAGATGTACGTAATCCTCTAGCCTCGCCGATTGCCCATCGCGTGTGTTAACTAACCTAACTGCCGCTTTTCCCCATCTCAGCTCAGCCTTAAGCGACGATCTTAGGGCCCCTTAGTGTCGATCATCAATCCTCTGCCGTAGAATTCACTAAGCCAATATCGGATTCTAACCGGCCTTAACTCCCCTGGGAACTAATCTTATTATAGATTTTATAGATGATAGTGGTGATGCTTTGTAGTCCCTAACGTATAGAATATTCCATTAAGGGGGACTTCGTCCATTGATACTTCGAGAGGGTGTGTGATTAGAGGGAAAGAGGGAGAGAAGAAAGCAAGCATATTCATTTTAAAGAGATTTACGTAACAAGTCTATATTTTTTCTCGCTCTAAACTAACGACACTGAGATCTACTGTTCTGTCTGGGTCAAATCAAGCTCCGTTCTGCGATTTCCTTATGTCCGACAACACTCGAAGCAGACGTTGTGCTCTGTAAGAGATAGAAGCCTACGTGCAAATATTAGTATAGCAATATGACGCCTGCAATTGAGATTAGACACTTACAATACTCCTTCTGGGTGTCCCTCCAGGTTTTGCCTACTTCGAGCCCCGCCCCTTCAGCAATAGAGCCAACTTGTGACTCGTTCCATTTGCCTGACATGAAATAGTGAATTGGTTCGCCTCTCTTCAACGTAACTTGTAGTTTGCCAACATCCAAGTGGACATCTTTCTTTGGTACATAGCTATATCGAAGTTCGTTCAACACCTTATCCCATTCAGGGATAGCGTTCCACTCCTCTTCCTTGAACACAGCCTGTCCTAATAGTCGATTCGCGTGGTGTAGACCATGGAATAGAAACACACGCGATGAACCACTGGTAGGATCGTATGCCTTGAGGATACGGTTTTCATCTGCGCAAGAGTCCGCAGAAATTAGAAAGTTGCAGTCTGCTGACATCTTACGGCAAGCCTGATGGAACTGGCCTAGAAGAATGCTCACGTCCTGTTGGGGCATGTTGGCGACGCTGTTTCCCAACCATAGGAATGTTATAGTTGACGCTGGTAGACTTGCAGAGCTGGCAAGCCATTCAACGCAGTCATCGTACGTGCCACTTAATCCTGCAATACTGATGAATTGCGAGTCAATGAACTGCTTCTTCAGACTATTTAAGTTCTTGTACAGGGCATCATCCGAAACATCAAGTGCATAATAGTACACATGTCGACGCTCCTTCTCCATCGCGGCTAGAAGCCATGCAGTCTTCATGAGGTTTCTACGGTCAAATTAGTACGCAAATCAAGTTGAGCCTGTAAACTTAGACTAACTTACCCACAACCCAGCTCGATTAATACAGATGTTGCTGGGAACTGGCGAGCAATATCATGTCGATAGTTGGTCAAAATCTCCCACTCGCAGCGTTTTGGATAATACGATGGGGATTTAGTCCAAGTATCAAAATTTCTTAGGCCTTGATCATCCCAAAGTAGTAGCGAAGGCATGGTTTTGGGACTTTCTTGTAGGCCTGAAATGATACATTCTTTCAAGTCTAACAACCCCCCTTGACGTATGCTGTGGAGTTGGACAGCTTGGGAGGGTGTTGTATCGAGCAACACGGTTTGAGACATCATTAAAGGAATTGAAGTTAATGAACAAATCTGTCTTGTGAGAACTTCATCGGGTAGGATGTATGTGATTTGAATTTGATCCTGGCCTAGCAAGTTGTACATATGCGGTTCAAAACATCGCAGCGACTTGCCAGCAAGAGCTGCCCCCCTTTCCGATCTCCGCTATGCGTAATCATCTATACATAGCTATGAGTAAGCCATGATTATTCCTCTAGCAGGAATTCAATAATGAGTATACACCCTAGGGAGTGAAGATACGTCCGATTTAGTAGGGTTGTTATGGTTAGTTACTTTGTAATTATCCCGGTGGTCAATAAAGGCGCTACTTACCTAGGTACTTTTCATTTGAAAGAATATAATCAATTTCCGGAAATAATCTCTTGTTACCACTGGGCGCTTTTTGAATACTGTGCAATAAACTCGTGATTTGCGTGCAGAATAAGCGTGACCTTTCCTCTTATGGCTTCTGCTGATTCTCGTTACCTTAGCGAATCTCGCTCCGGAACGCCAGGTTAGTCGCCCTTACATCTGGGCTTACATCCTGGTAAATCTGGCGTCAAATATTTGACAAATGATGTATTTGCTGCTGTTGGAAGGTCGATTGCAATCTAGGCTTACGTTACATCGTCATAGATGTTCGTTACCTAGGTATACGACCATGAACCTGATATTGCTCGGGATCGGTTACTATTCTCCCTTATATCCTAACAGAATGTGTGTTGAAGGCCGTGAACTGATGGATTCTACTATGCTAGAAGAATAACCATGAACTCCTCGAGCGAGAATCTTGTACTTCATACTTGTTCGACAATATTTGTACACTTATCTTGAAAAAAAGCTAGACGGATAGAAAAAAAAGTTTCTTCCCCAATAATCGGACGATATCTTGTTCCTGAATCTAAGTAGGGCTCAAGATGGCGCCTCACCTTGAAGAACGGATCGAGTCCGGCGTTAACGGATCTTGGACTAATGGTAAAACAATCTCCGCCTCGTCTTTGAAGTCAGGAGGCGAAAACGGCATTGGCGAGGGCGCCGACATGGCAGAGCTCAAAACCTGGGCTTCGCCTATTCCACAAACGTTTGACAAATGTGTTCACCACATGATTCAAGAGCGAGTTCGTACTCACCCTAGGGCCTTAGCAATATGTGCCTGGGATGGGCAATTGAGCTATACAGAGCTTGATACGCTCTCATCATCGTTTGCAGCGCATCTAGTACAACATGGAGTCAGACCGGAGATGTACGTGCCAATCCTGATGGAAAAGTCGCGTTGGGTGCCAGTAGCTATACTTGCAGTCTTAAAGGCCGGCGGTGCCTTTGTGCTACTGGACCCATCTCATCCGACAAGTCGATTGGAGGATATACATAAGACTGTTGGTGCGACAAGCATTATTGTTTCGAAACAGACTGCCGAGAAGGCAGGCGGTCTTACAACCAAGGTGGTCACTGTTAGTGACGAAAATGCAGCGAGGTGGCCGAAAACGCCGGTGCCAGTGGACGTAACCCCTAATAATGTTGCGTACGCCATATTCACGTCAGGAACTTCGGGCAAGCCCAAGGGCGCTGCTATTGAGCACCGAGCTTTTTGCAGCAGCGCCGTAGCGCACGCCAAGGCAACCAACATGAATTCATCATCCCGCGTGTTGCAGTTCGCTTCATATGCCTTCGATGCCTGTTTGACGGAGATGTTAACCGCATTAATCGTGGGTGCGTGTGTTTGCATCCCGTCAGAAGAGGGGCGGACTCATGATCTCGCCGGTGAAGCGCTGCGGCTACAACCAAACTGGGCTCTTTTGACCCCTTCGGTGACGCGCATACTCGATGTGCGCGACTTCCCTATGATAAAGACCCTGGTATTCGGAGGAGAGGCAATTCGTGAGGACGATGTGCGAAAGTGGGCACCGTACGTGGCGTACCTGTTCGTTGCGTACGGGCTAAGCGAATGTGCAGTAGCCAACATTGTCCGGCCATGCAGCACCAAGGATGAAGATCACGCAAACCTAGGTTTTGGTGTTGGCGTAATGTGTTGGATTGTGGACCCGGATGATCATGGCCGGTTAGCATCGGTTGGTGATGTTGGGGAGCTTCTTCTTGACGGTCCCGCGGTCGGCCGAGGTTACATTAATGACCCGGTCCGAACTGCCCAATCTTTTATCGAGCCGCCGTCTTGGCACCGCCGACTCCGACCGGATGCTATTCCCCATAAGGTTAGACTTTACAAAACGGGCGATTTAGCGGCATATAACCCGGAGGATGGTTCGGTTCGGTTCGCTGGACGAAAGGACGACCAGATTAAGTTTCACGGGCAAAGATTAGAAGTCGCTGAGGTTGAGCATCAACTCCGGCGCTTACTTTCAGCTGCCCGCGACATTGTTGTGGACATTGCTAAAGTCGACGGCGCGGAGACTTTAGTCGCTTTTGTATTACCGGAATCTACTCCGGTTGAACAACATGCTAATGGGCGTATAAATGGGCACACTTCCTGGCTTAGCGGGCCGAATGATGGATTCAGATATCAAACACAATTGACTCGGCAGGAGCTTCAAGGATCGGTACCCCAATGGATGATTCCGAGCATTTTTCTGCCTTTGAAATCTATGCCCCTGATGCCAAGTGGTAAGAGCGATAGAAGACAATTGCGCTCTTTAGCCACGAGTTTGACTCGGTGGCAAGTTCAAGAGTACGCCGGCTCCATGTATTCTGAAGCTAAGAGACAACCGTCCACTGCCATGGAAAAGGCGATTCAACAGCTCTGGGTGAGTGTTTTGCAAATTGATGTCACTGAAATCGGGTTAGACGATAGTTTCTTTGGCCTCGGAGGGAACTCCATCAGCGCAATGAGACTTGCTGGAGCTGCTAGGCAGCAAGGACTAGAGCTGACGATGAAGCACGTATATGGCAACGAAACCCTCGCCGTTCTAGCAGCTTCCGTCGGACACGCCTTCGACAACACCACGGTTTCCATCTCGCCTTTTTCTCTCATTCCGGAATCAGAAAATCGCGCGGCTATACTTGAAAGCGCCATGCGCCAGTGTCAACTTCATGACGAATCCGAAATTGAGGACGTCTATCCTTGTACCCCTCTTCAAGAGGGTCTCATGTCGCTTACGGCAAGGAGACCAGGAGCATACACTGTCGCCTTTGAGTACGAACTTCCGTTTGATGTGGACGCCCGTAGATTCCAGCAGGCCTGGGATTCTGTCGTTGATGCAAACCCAATTCTTCGAACGCGCATCGTACAGGCTGGTGATGGTTCTATGTACCAAGTTGTCATTCGTGGGTTGCTCCAATGGAATTCAGGGGTACACATTGATTCTGGATCAGAACAAAAAGCGACTTGGGATGACTGGAGATTAGGCTCGCCACTGGTTCAAATACGTCTTCGCAACCCTGAACCAGATGATGGTAGATACAAGTTCACCCTAGCCCTCCACCACGCTTTAAGCGACGGCTGGGCTATGCCACTGCTTCTTCAGCAAGTCCAGGCTGCATACGATGGGACGACCCTTTTGCCGCGGCCGTTTCAACCCTTTATCGAATACATTACGCAGACGAAGCAAGAATGCGAAAACTTCTGGAAGAATCATTTCGCTGACTTGGAAGCTGCTGTATTCCCTGCTCTTCCATCGGCTGCGCATGTCCTTAACCCTTCTGTCAAGGAGACTTTGGTAATTCCAACTGAGTCTTTAAGTAATTATGAGTTCAATGTGCCTAACAGGCTGAAATTGGCGTGGAGCATCCTTATTTCCCTTTATACCGATAGCCCGGACACCATATTCGGCGTTACCGTCGCTGGACGTGGGGCGCCTGTCCTGGGGATCAGTGAGATGACTGGACCGACAATCGCATCAATCCCGTGCCGAGTGCGCGTGCCTCCAGAATGCACCATAAGCGACGCACTATATGAGCTTCAAAGGGATTCCGTAGCCACAATGCCGTTTGAGCAAGCTGGTCTGCAACATATTAGCCGTATGGGATCGGAAGCGGCATCGGCATGCCGATTTCAAAGCCTGTTAGTCATCCAGCCTGAACAGGAAAGTCTTCCGGAATTATTTCGCTCCGCTCGTGATCTAGCAGCACTGGACGCGTTTAGCACATATGCGATTACTTTGATCTGCCGGCAATCGTCTGGCCTGGTAGAGATAGAAGCGACTTTTGACCCCGATGTTGTGGATGAAGTTCAATTCAATCGTATGTTACGACAGCTGCGACATATATTCCAGCAGTTAAACCCCTCTCGAGAGTCGATGCTCATTCGGGATATACACACCACCAGTCCTGAAGATTGGTTGGAGCTGACGCGATGGAATAAAATTCTGCCAGAGCCAGTCAAGGTGTGTGCTCACGATCTCATCCGGAAGCATTCAGTACTTCGACCAAGCGCACCAGCGGTCTGTGCCTGGGATGGGTCGTTTACCTACAGCGAGATAGAAGAACTTTCGTCGAATCTAGCTGCTTCCCTAATGGACCAAGGTGTTGGCCCTGAGATATTCATCCCGCTATGCTTTGAAAAGTCGCGCTGGACCACAATTGCCATGCTAGGTGTTATCAAAGCTGGAGGGGCTTTCATTCTCCTTGACCCGTCACATCCGATTCAGCGTTTGCAGGGAATTTGTCGAGATGCAAAGGCGCCGTTCGTCATTTCTTCAGGACGAAATGAACAAATAGCCCGGACCCTTGCGCCACACTCCATAATTGTCGGCGATAACCACAAGCCTTGGCCTGAGCGTCAAAATGTATCGTCCGTGCCAAATCCCTTGGTGACCCCAGAAAATTCGATCTACGCCGTCTTTACATCTGGGTCAACGGGTACACCTAAAGGTGCAGTTCATTCTCATATCTCCTGGTGCACGAGTGCCCAGGCTAATCGTATTGGGCTCTATTTGGAACCAGAATCGCGAGTTCTTCAATTCGCCGCTTACGCGTTTGACATCAGCATCGCTGATAACTTGCTTACCCTTGTCGCGGGCGGGTGCATATGCGTCCCGTCAGGACAAGACATACAAGGGAACATCGTAAAAGCAATCAATGACCTCCACGTAAATTGGGCGTGTTTGACCCCGTCAGTGGCTCGGATTATTGATCCGAATAAGGTTCCTGGTTTGAAGAAGCTCGTTTTATGTGGTGAACCTATTGCTAGTGAAGTTATTTCGCTTTGGGCACCTCACGCCCACCTTCTTAATCTGTACGGTCCGGCTGAATGTGCAATTCTTACTACTCTTCATCGGGACGTTCGCGATCATAGAGATCCCAATAATATTTCGACCCCGACATCCGCTGTATGCTGGGTAGTTGACGCGAAGAACAAGGCAAGACTGGCGCCAATTGGCACTGTAGGTGAACTCTTGGTCGAAAGTCCAATCGTGGGACATGGCTATCTCAATGACCCGAAAAGGACTGCGGCGTCTTTTTCTCCTCGCGAAAAATACCCTGAATGGCTTACGAATTTCCGACCCGAAGGAGCCTCGCGATTGTACCGCACTGGAGATCTCGTGCAATACACAGGAGATGGATCCTTACGCTACGTTAGTCGCAAAGACACTCAAATCAAACTTCGTGGACAGCGCATCGAGTTGGGAGAAGTAGAGCACCAATTACGCAAATGTTTCCCCAAAATGCAAGAGGTCGTCGCCGAAGTCGTAGCGCAAAGCCGAGGAACCAAACGGTCGGCTTTAACGGCTTTCATACTACTCGAACAGGACATATTCAAAATTTCTGATGGCCGCTTCAGGGGTCTCGTAGAAGAGGCCCTCGAGCAATTGGAGCTTCTACTCCCAGTGTATATGGTGCCTACCGTATTCATTCCTGTTGATCGTCTTCCATTTAGTAAGTCTGGGAAACTCGATCGGAAGTTGCTTCGCACTCTTGCAGCAGAGCTTCCTCCGGATGAATACAACAGGCCTGCTTCCCCAAAGAAGGTACTCCCTCCGGCATCTAACGAGGAACGCATTATCCATGGGCTGTTCGTCCAGGTTCTAAAGGTACCAGCTAGCGACCTGAGTATGGATGATCACTTTTTCCGTTTAGGTGGCGATTCAATCATAGCAATGAACCTAGTATCTTTAGCGAGAGATCGTGGATTGACGTTCACCACTGCCGACATCTTTAAGAACCCCTCTATATCTTCTCTCGCCAAGATCGCTCACAGGTATACTAATGGAGTTGATCATCATATCAAGCCGTTCTCCCTCCTACAAGATGGCATTAGCCATGGCCAAGTCGAAAATGACGCAATGGACCAATGTCAAGTAGGGCGAGATGAGATCGAGGATATCTATCCTTGCACACCTCTTCAAGAGGGGTTAATGGCTCTTGCGGCAAAGACTCCTGGAATGTACATTGCGCGATTCAAATATGAAATCCCTCGGGAGACAGACCTTTCCCGTTTCCGAAAAGCTTGGGATGCAGTATCAAGTGCGAATTCAATCCTTCGTACGCGCATTATCCAGTCGGGAAAGGATGGTATCTTCCAAGTAGTCCTAAAAGAAATGCCTTCGTGGGAGGTTTACGATACGATTGATGAACAGAAACGCCAGTCGGAAGCCCAAGTAATGGATTTGGGCTTACCGTTGATGCATCTGAGTTTGGCGCCACTATCCGATAGAATCAAGACTTATCAATTCATCTTGACCATTCACCATTCGCTTTATGATGGATGGTCACTTCCATTGCTCTGGGGCCAGGTAGAAAAAGCATATAATGGAGACGAATTGCCATCTCAGTCGTTCAATCACTTCATTCGTCATATTGCTCGTGTTGAAGGTAGCGAAGAGTTCTGGAAATCGCGAATGGATCACCTGAACGCAGCAGTGTTCCCCGCCTTGCCAAATGTCGACTATGGCCCAGATCCGAATCAATCATTTACCCACTCTATCACAAGCCTACCAAGCTCGGACAGGGAGCATACCCTATCAACCCTGATTCAACTATCATGGGCTCTGGTACTCTCGCATTACACGGACTCGGAAGATGTGGTTTTCGGGCTCACCTCCAACGGCAGAGGCACGGCGCTTGAGGGTATTGCGGAAATTACGGGCCCGACTATCGCAACGGTTCCCGTAAGAGTATCTCTTGGTCGGGAGAGAACGGTGACTGAGTCGTTATCGGAGTTACAGCAACAGACCATCGCGACAATTCCTTTCCTCCACCACGGCCTGCATAGGATCCGGAGAATTAGTGCCGACACCGCCAAGGCGTGCGATTTCCAGACGCAGTTAGTTATCCAACCTGCCGACATTACTGCGGAATTGGACCTTGGCGGTCTCGCGAAAGCAGAGCAAGAGGATATCCAAGGATATGAAGGCTTCGCAAGCTACGCTTTTGTGATGTTTTGCCATATGCAGGAAGGGTCTAATGATCTCCAAATCTCCGTCAATTATGATCCGCACGTGCTTCAAGAAGCCGAAGCACGAAAATTAGTAGAGCAATTCCACGCCGTCTTACGTCAGCTCTCTACGAAGCGGAACAAGGCTATTAGTGAGGTTCAAATCATCAGCAAAGAAGATATGGCGCAACTCTCCCAGTGGAATGGTAGACTTCCATCCGCAACCCGAGAAACCCTCCACGATCTAGTGCTTCGCCATAGCACAGAGAAACCGGACGCGGAGGCTGTTTGTGCCTGGGATGGCGACCTGACCTATAAGGAGCTAGACGACTGGTCCTCCCGGCTGGCCGGGAACATTTTTAGTCAAGGGGTCGAGCCCGAGTCCAAAATTGCTGTCTGCTTGGAAAAGTCTCGCTGGTCGATTGTGGCACTTTTAACCGTACTTCGCTCGGGCTGTGCGTGTGTGCTCATTGACCCTGGCCACCCGCGTCGTCGCATTGAGGAAATTGTCAAGAAAACAGCACCACAAATCATGATTGTGTCTGAAGTTCATGACCAACTTGTGCAGGGGCTTGTTGACAAAACAATTTCAATCTCCTCGGCTTCGATACAGGCTTTACCACGACACAGCGGCAGTCTCCCCACAGTAACACCTACACAAGCCGCCGTGATATTGTTCACATCAGGCAGTACCGGCACACCTAAGGGTATCGTTATGGAACATGTCAACTTAAGCACAAGTATTCTCGCCCATGCCGGCGGTATGGAAGTTCGTCCGGACTCGCGTTCTTTGCACTTCGCATCTTACGCATTTGACGTGAGCATATACGAGATATTCAACACGCTCATCTTTGGTGGTTGTGTCTGTGTCCCATCTGAGCACGACCGGATGAACAATTTGGCGGGGTTTATTTCCGATAAACGGGTCAACTGGGCCCTTTTAACTCCGTCAACTCTCACATTATTCCAGCCAGAAGATGTACCTTCTCTGAAGACTCTTGTGCTTGCTGGAGAAGCAGTGACTCGTGATCCCGTGGATAAATGGGCCGACAAGGTAAGTCTTATTAACGCATACGGTCCCGCAGAAGGTACTTTCTGTACCGTCGGGCCTATACCACCGGTCGGGTGGAGGTCTGGTACGATCGGACAAATGGTAGGTAGTGTTGGGTGGATTGTAGACGTCTCCAGTCATGCTAAACTAGCCGCAATTGGGGCAATTGGCGAGCTTGTCATCGAGGGTCCGATTGTGACAAGAGGATATTTAAACGAGCCAGAAAAGACCGCCGCCGCTTATATTGATTCGCCGCCGTGGTTACGAGCTTTCCGTGCGCTGGGTACGGAAGGACGACTTTACAAAACTGGCGACCTCGTGCAATACAACGCGGACGGTACGATCCGCTATATTGGACGAAAGGACACCCAAGTAAAGCTACGCGGCCAGCGTATAGAGCTTGGAGAGGTGGAATATCACGTACGAAATTGTCTTCCCACGGCAGCTGATGTTATCGCCGACGTTATCGTCCCTCGCGGCGAAGGGAGAGCACCATTTTTAGTAGCATGCATCTGGATCGGTTCTAATGAACAGGCGAATGAAGGAGACAACGAGTTGTTCCTGGAACCGACTAAATTCTTACGTCAGACGGTTCAGCATGCAAATGTCGAATTATCGACCTTAATCCCACCATTTATGGTCCCTGAGCTGTTTCTTCCCCTTCGACGACTTCCTCTTACTCGAAGTGGCAAGGTAGACCGCCGTCAATTGCGGGAAGCCTGCAGTTTGCTATCGACTTCTCAGATCTGGGAATACTCCCCCGAAGGACAGACTGTTAAACGGGCGCCCTCATCAAGCACCGAGAAAACGTTACGGACTATCTGGGGCCGAATATTGAACATTGATGAGGATTCCATTGGTATAGACGACAATTTCTTTCGCCTCGGGGGAGACTCAATTAATGCAATGCAAGTAGTTGCTCAGTGCGCTGCTGTCGGACTTAAAACATCAGTAGCCGCCCTGTTTCAAGGGAAAACAATAGCTCAAATGAGCTTGAAGACCAAACAAATGCGCCCGACAGCTAAACCAGGGACCGAAAAGTTAAACGTGGAGTTTGGCTTATCGCCGATGCAACAATTGTTCCTCGGTATAAGTGGGCAGGAATATGATTACTTTAATCAGAGTCTTTCCTTTCGACTAGCTCGACCTGTGTCGTCTGAGGCGATCCAAGAAGCCGTTCGCTGGGTTGTCGTCAATCATTCCATGTTTCGTGCCAGATTCGTCGAAGATTCTAGTGGCCGATGGAGGCAGATGATTACTGACAACACCACTCATAACTACTCGTATCGTGAGCATAGAGTATCATTCCGCGACGAAGCAGCCACTTTAATCCTAGCCGACCAAAAAGAGCTGGACATCCGGGCCGGTCCCCTTTTTATTTGTCATGTATTCCGAGTGGGGGAGTCTGGCCAGCTTTATCTCTCACTCACTGCCCATCATCTGGTTATAGATATTGTGTCTTGGCAGATTCTTCTCTCGGACATCGAATTATTGCTCGCAGGTCAAAGACCGCCCGCACCGTCTCTATCTTTCCAGACGTGGTGCCAACTGCAAGCCACATATGCAGCGAAGAACCTCCGTCCATCCGACGCAATCCCCGATTACACTGCTGCGAACTATTGGGGATTTGATGTGCACGAGAATCGTTGGGGAGATGCAGTCGAAGATGGGTTTGCCCTTGCTGAGCGGGATACTGAAATTCTCCTTGGCGCTGCCAACAACGCCTTTCGAACCCAACCGGTAGAAATACTCCATGCAGCTATTCTACGAGCGTTCGTTGAGACGTTCCCTGATAGAAATGCTCCCACAATCTTTACGGAAGGACACGGACGAGAAGCGTGGGATCCTAGTATCGATTTGACACGCACTGTAGGATGGTTTACGACAATGTGGCCAACTGAAGTTTCCGTTACATCAGAAGATGACTTGATCAAAATAGTCCGAAAAACGAAAGATTCGCGTAGAAGAGTCAAGAGCAATGGTTGGGACTACTTCACATCCCGTTATCTTCATCTAGAGGGCGTTTCTAAATTCCAGGATGAGGGCCCTTTCGAAATACTGTTCAACTACCATCCGGGCTTTACTAATGACCCTAAGTCCGTCCTCAAGCCCTACTCGTTCGTTCGGGGAGAGCTAGCGCAAATGTCACCTAAGATGTCGCGATTCGCGCTGATTGACGTCCTGGCTGAGGTTCGCGGTGCTAGATTATCGTTCAACTTCATCTTTAACCGGCGTATGAAAAACCAACAAGCTTCGATCCAAGAGTGGATACAAAATACTAAGCGATGTCTCAAGTCTGCATCGGCCATTTTAGCGCAAAGAGAGGCTTCTTATACGTTATCCGACTTTCCACTGCTCGATTATTCGTATCCCGATCTGGAGAATTTCAATGGAGAAGTAGTCACAGCATTGAAGGACAATTCTTTAGAAGTCGAGGACGCATTTCCATGCTCACCGATACAAGAAGGTATGATTTTGAGTCAAGCTAAGGTTGCGGGACAGTACGTGAATAGGTGGTTCTGGTCAGTGAAGTCGCGTTGGGGTTCGCCGATTGACCCAGAACGACTTAAAAATGCCTGGAGCCAAGTCTTATTGAAGCATCCTCTTCTTCGGACGATCCTTTACGGAAGCCCACATCGCGATGGTTATCACGACCAAGTTGTGCTTAAAGAGCCTCCACAAAGACTGTGTCTAGTCCTGCCTAGTTGCGGGAATCCTTTACAGCAACTAGAACACTATCGATTTGAAATTACGGGGTTGACCCCACCGCACCGTCTTGCGATATGCCCGTCAACTGGAGGCGACATTGTATGTCTTCTAGAGATAAACCACACGGTGGTCGATGGTATCTCGAGGCAATTGTTTTTGCGTGATCTGCGGCTGGCTTATGAAAACAGGCTAGACATAACACCTCGACAAGCATATAGGGACTATGTCGAATACCTTAAAGGTCTTCCTCTAGACGAGGCTATTGATTACTGGAAGGGTTATCTTGCATCGGCAGAACCGTGTATTCTCCCGGCGTCGCCACCTCGTCGTCTCTCCGACCATGATAAGGATATCAAACGAGATCTTAACTTCACACTTTCCTTTGCCCAGGAGCTCCGTGACTTCTGCTCTCAGCATGAGTTGACATTGGCGAACATTTTTCAACTAGCCTGGGCGCTGGTTCTTAGGCGTTACCTCAATGCGGGATCCGCATGCTTTGGATACATGACCTCGGGGAGAGATGTTCCCATTCCCGACGTTGACAACACGGTTGGTCCATTCATCAACCTCCTGATTTGCCAAATTGCACTGGGTGAAGACGAATCGGTCCTGGATTTGCTTCGGAAAACTAGCGCCGAATTTGTTCACGGTTTAGAGCATCAACATTTATCAATGGCGGATAAGATGAAAGCCGCCAAGTCAGAGACGCCGCTATTCAACACGGTTATGTCCGTTCAAAAAGAGATTGAATATCCTCAAGAAGATTCCAATCTGATATTTGAAGATTTCAAGGGAGATGATCCCACAGAGGTTAGTAGTGATTCTACCCGCCTAGTTTTTTGTCGCTTTTGCTTCTGACGAATCCTCGATGCTGATTTTGTTTCTAGTACGATCTTGTCGTAAATATCGGAATTCTTGAGAATGGAATTGACATTACTTGGGAGTATACCGAAGCGTTCATGTCGACCGAGCAGATTGAAAATATTGCAGACGCATTTCAGCAGGCTTTACTCGGCATCATGTCAGATCCACACCAAGCAGTTAAGGACGTGAACTTATTTGGCGTTCTGAGTAAAGATCGCGTCGGCAAGTACAATGAGAATGAAGCGACGCCATTAAATGAATACGTTGACGAACTCATTGAAAAGCGCTGCCTGAGCCAACCTTCTGCTTTAGCTGTTGAGGCTTGGGATGGAAATTTTACGTATGCCGAAATCAATGAACTATCATCGCTCGTGGCGTCAGAACTTAGGCAGCGCGGGGTCGGACCTAACCAATTTGTGCCTCTCTGTTTCGAAAAATCGCGTTGGACTGCAGTGGGCTTACTTGGAATTCTTAAGGCCGGCGCTGCATTCATGCTACTAGATCCATCTCACCCCGTCGACAGATTAAGGGACATTTGTCGCGACGCGAATGTGTCTATCATAGTAATATCGGAACAAAAACACGATCTGGCAGCTAATCTAGCATCGAACGTCCTCATAATTGGTGAAAATATTCGCGCCTGGAAGAATCAAAACGGAGTGGCAAGCGACATCACAAGAGATGTCGGCGACGCTGTGTTCGCGGTCTTTACCTCTGGTTCTACAGGAAAACCAAAGGGAGTTGTGATCCAACATGGTGCTCTCGCAACTAGCGCCGTAGCACACGGGAAAGCACTCCTAATGGATACCAATTCCAGGGTCCTTCAATTTGCTTCGTATGCTTTTGATGTGGCCGTTATGGAGCATATCACTACTCTGCTGATGGGGGGTTGTATTTGTGTTCCATCTGATGTGCAAAGACAAGATATCGCAAAATCTGCGGCAACCTTCCGGACAAACTGGGCCTTCCTAACGCCATCCGTGGCTAGAGTCCTCGATCCATCCGATTTCAAGACATTGCGTACGCTAGTCTCGGGTGGAGAGTCTATCACTGCCAAGGAATTGAGCATGTGGCGCTCCCATGTGAATTTCTTCTTGGCATACGGTCCGTCTGAATGCTCAATTATGTGTTCGACGCAATTGGTAACCGAGGAGATAAATGACAGCCGTAACTTAGGACATTGTTTTGGAAGTAACGGATGGGTTGTGAGTCCGGATGATCCTAATCAACTTCTCCCTATCGGCGCCGTGGGTGAATTATTACTTGAAGGTCCTATAGTTGGAAGAGGATACCTCAATGACCCCGAGAAAACCTCGGCAGCCTTTATCGACCCTCCTTCATGGTTAAGCAAGTTTAGGGGCAAATATGCTGGTCGCGTTTATAAGTCTGGTGATTTGGTTCGTTATATCGATAATGGCGAATTCCAGTTTGTCGCCCGAAAAGATTTCCAGGTCAAATTGCGCGGCCAGCGGATTGAATTAGGGGAAGTCGAATCACGCCTCCATGCCTCTTTCAATAACGCAAGTGATGCCGTTGTGGAAATCGTCAAACCGGTAGGGGATGATCGTCAACCAATGCTCGTCGCATTTGTCTGTTGGAGTGAAAACGGGTCGAAGAAAAATGAGAAGATTGATCCCTCAACTGAGAGCTTGTTCACCAAGCCGAATAGGGAATTTTCTCGACAAGCCCAATTGGCGGAGGCACAAATGAGCAAGACTCTTCCCATTTATATGGTTCCCGTTGTCTACCTCCCACTTCGATATATGCCCTTGACCGGAAATAGTAAAATGGATCGCAAGAAGCTTCGCGCGACAGCGGAACGTCTTACACCCGAAGAACTTGAACAATACAATTTTTCAGCGGTGCCTAACGAAATGCCTAGCACCGAGGGCGAAATACTGCTCCAACAAGTTTGGGCGTACGTGCTGAATAAGGACATCGCGTCCATAGGAATTCACAATAACTTCTTCCGACTTGGTGGCGATTCTATTAGCGCGATGCAGGTGGCATCGAGATGCAATGCAGCAGGAGTGAACGTGACGGTCGCCGACATTTTCCGTTATAAAACCATTTCACAACTCGGGGCTGTTCTACAGAAGTCTTTCGCCTCTGATTATCCCCCCGAAAAGATCGACGCACCATTCGAGCTCTCGCCAATCCAGAAGGTATACTTCCAGGCAGCTCCTCTTGGAAACCACCATTTCAACCAGAGCTTTTTCCTCAAGTCAACGCGGCCCGTTTCTTCGGGGCAACTGGAAGCCGCAATTCACCAGCTGGTGCAACAACATTCTATGCTTCGATCTAGATTTACCCAAGATGAAGATGGGAAATGGATGCAGTATATCGTGACCGATATTCCCGGTAGCTATCGTTCCGAAGAGCATGTCGTTCAGACAGTTGATGCCGCCGGTGAAGTGATTTCAGACAGCGAACTGGCAATAGATATACGGTACGGTCCTATTCTGGCCGTTGATTTAATTAACGTTGGCAAGGAACAGTACCTTTTCATCGCCGCGCACCATCTTGTAACAGACTTGGTCTCATGGCGTATAATATTAGGAGACCTCGAGGAGCATCTGACCGAAGGCTCTATTTCTAGCAAACCCTCGTTGTCATTCCAGACCTGGTGCGACTTGCAGGCAGACTATGCTGCGGCGAATTTGGACCCGGAACATTCAAGGCTAGATAAAGATATTCCGTCACCGCCGACTGATTATTGGGGGATTGCTGGACAGTCCAACTTGGTCCAGGATACTACCGAAGCCAGCTTCACTTTAGACCGAGAAACAACCGCAAGGTTATTTGAAGCGGCGAATGAGGCCTTCCAGACACATCCTGTTGAATTATTCCAAGCGGCGTTGATCTATTCTTTCAGTCAAACCTTCAAAGATAGGTCTGCGCCAGCGTTGTGGAATGAGGGTCATGGCCGCGAACCTTGGATTTCGCAAATTGATCTAAGTAGAACGGTTGGTTGGTTTACTACCATGTGGCCACTGTACGTCGAGGCTGAAGGCCGTGATGTACCAGATATTATTCGCCGGACGAAAGATAGGCGTCGAACGGTACCAAGTAACGGATGGGCACATTTTGCGTCTTCCTTGCATCCTAAGGCCCAAGAATCATCCGATCTCAAAGAGGTAACTTTCAACTTCTTTGGGCTTTACCAACAACTTGAACGTTCGGATTCGCTTTTCCATATGAAATCAATGCCCAAAGTTCGTGTATCGGATGTTTCCGAAAAATTGGGTCGGTTTTCTGTCATCGATGTTGTGGCAGAGTTGCGAAATAACCAACTTTATTTCGGATTTCATTTCAACAAACACGCAGCTGCTCATCGTCCTATTCTAACATGGATCAAGAAGTGCGAGCAGTCGCTTGCAGAGATCGCGGTAAAGCTGCCGTCAAGGCCACCCGCATACACACTGTCCGATTTCCCGCTCGTGCCTTTCACATATGGCACATTAGACAAATTTATTACGCGCTCCCTGCCGGAAAGCGACATCGAGGTTTCCAATGTGCAGGATGTATATCCCTGCTCTCTGATCCAACGAGGTATTTTACTCAGTCAAGCTAAGGAACCCGAGCATTACCAAACTTTCGTTATTTGGACGATGGAAAATAGCGACGATTCTCCCATTGATATTGATCGTGTTATTGCCGCATGGCGGAAACTAGTCGCTCGTCATTCAATTCTCAGGACAGTGTTTATCGAGAGTGTTTCTCCAGATAACTTCGTTGATCAAGTTGTTCTGAAAGATGTGTCAGCCGAAGTCAACGTGCGTCTAGTCGGCGACAGCAACGAAGCATTCGTCAACTTATCTGATGGAACGCACCTCGCTCCAGGTAACGGGAAACTTCCACATCGACTAACCATCAGCCAAGCCACAGGAGGTTGGGTCTTTTGTGGCCTTGCAATCAGCCATGCGCTATTCGATGGCACAACGAAGCAGAACCTTCTACACGAGTTCAAGCTGGCTTACAATGGAACACTTCCTTCCGCTGTCGGTCCTATGTACCGTGACTATATATCGTACCTTAAGGACCAACCCACAACGTCGCAGAGGGAGTACTGGACCAAATATCTCGATGGTGTCGTCCCTTGCCAATTTCCATATATCCCTGATATCAAGGACTTGGATGATACTGTGCAGTCGGTTTCAGTCGAGGTCGGCAACGCTTCAAGTATCCGTCGATTTTGCGAAATGAATGAGTTGACTATATCCAATGTCTTCCAAGTGGCGTGGGGTATAGTATTAAGATACTATACTACCTCCGACGCAGTCTGTTTTGGTTACTTGTCGGCCGGTCGCGATGTGCCTGTTCCTGGGGTTCAAGAATGCATGGGGCCATTTATCAACATGCTTGTCTGTCGAATGGAATTTTCTAACACGGAACCGCTGACCACAATACTGAGAAGCAATCAAGATTCCTTCGTGGAGAGTTTGAAGAATCAGCATTACCCTCTTACTGATATCCTACGTACAGCTCAAATACCAGGAGGCGGGTCTTTATTCAACACTGCCGTGTCTCTTCAAAACCTGAGGCATGTCGACATCGAGGAGCAGTCTTCTCTAAAACTGAATGAATTTGGAGGGCAGGACCCGTCAGAGGCAAGCCCCCTCATTATCAGCCCTACATGGTGGACGGCGTGGCTAATTTAAATTGAATTATAGTATGACATTACTGTCCATATCATTGTTGGACCTGATCGCATAGATGTAGCGTTGGAATATAAGCAATCGTTTATACCGAGGGAGATAGCTAATAGCGTCGCGGAAACCCTTGGGCAGATTGTTAACGAGATAGTCGCGAAGCCGGACGTTCCAGTCAGCGGAATAGAGGCAGTAGGGGAACGAGAACTCCAGACCCTACGCTACATCAACGGAGCATTGCCAGTTCCAGAAGCGAATCTTGTTCATGAGTTGATTCATCAACGCTGCTTGGCTCAGCCTGATGCGTCTGCTGTTAACTCCTGGGACGGAGACTTTACATATCGTGAAGTGGATGAACTTAGTTCCGAATTCGCGTTCCACCTTGTGCAATACGATGTCGGTCCAGATAAATTTATCCCCGTTTGTTTCGAAAAATCCAGATGGACAACGGTTGTTATGCTCGCAATCATGAAGACTGGTTCGGCTTTCGTTCTTATGGACCCCTCTCAACCGGTGCAGCGTCTACAAGAAATATGCCAGAGCGCGCAAGCCTCAGTAGTTGTTGTGTCAGAGGAACAAGCCGATATAGCGAGTAGCTTGGCAGCATATACGGTGACCGTGGGTGATCGGAATCGAGAATGGGTTAAAATCGAATCCAGACCATTACATCCACCATCGCCCAATAACATCCTCTACGCTGTCTTCACTTCCGGTTCGACTGGGAAACCGAAAGGTGTGATGATTGAACACCAAGCTTTCGCTACCAGTGCTAGAGAACATAGCGTGGCCTTGAAAATCAACCAAGACTCTCGTGTGTTACAATTCGCATCCTATGCATTCGACGCTAGTATCGCCGAAAATCTCACTACCCTCTTGAATGGTGGTTGCATCTGTGTTGTTTCAGACGTTGAAAGAAAGGAGTCCCTCGCTGAAGCTGTTGGCAGGATGCAGGCTAATTGGATTTTCACCACTCCCTCTATGGCTAGAATCCTTAATCCTGAGGACTTCCCATCGGTGAAGACAATGATATGTGGCGGTGAGCTGGTCTCTGATAAAGAGCTCACTATGTGGAGGAATAAGGTCGAGTTGTATCTTGCCTACGGCCCAACCGAGTGCGCCGTGTTTTGTGGCGCGACTGAACGCGTTCACTCCTATACTGCTGGGAGGAGCTTGGGCAAGACATTCGGCTGTCGGGCCTGGGTGGTCGACCCGAACAATCACGAAAGGTTAGTTCCTTTCGGTGCTGTCGGCGAGTTACTCCTCGAAGGTCCAATTGTAGCCCGCGGTTATCTGAACGAACCAGAGAAAACGGCCGCTGTGTTCATTCAACAACCCCAGTGGCTGAAGAAACTCGGAGATGAGCCGAGCGCACTATACAAGACTGGCGATCTAGTCATGCATACCTACGATGGCACTCTTCGTTATATCTCAAGAAAGGACACCCAGGTCAAACTCAGGGGCCAACGTCTTGAATTAGGAGAGGTTGAGCACCGTACACGACAATGTTTTCCTCGTTCAACTGACGCTATCGTTGAGCTCGTGGTGTCCGAAGACCAATCCCGCCGCCCCGTTCTCGTGGCATTCATATACACCGAAAGTGACTCATCTGTCGAGCCTGGGGGCATACTTGCGCAGCCATCTGCAGAATTCCGTTCGGAAGCTCAAGAAGCGGAGAGCACTCTTAATGGACTGCTCCCGAGTTACATGGTCCCCACACTATATCTTCCTTTAAACCGCCTGCCGCTCAGTACCAATGGCAAAGCTGATCGCCGTTTATTACGACAACTCGTTTCTGGGTTATCGCAGAGTGAATTGTTGGAGTATAGTGCTCTAACAACCAAGAGTCAGCCGTCGAATGAAATGGAGCAGAAACTCCAGGCCATCTGGGCGCGGATCCTAAACATCAGCCCCGAAGAAATCGGTGTGGAGGATAACTTTTTCCGTCTTGGAGGTGACTCGATTAGCGCGATGCAAGTAGTATCTCAGTGTGCCAGTCAACAGCTACAAGTGAGGATAGCAGATATCTTCCGCCACAAGACGATCTCCTCGATCAGCCAGCGAATAGCCGCTGCGAAGACACCGGTCCACAGCACAGAAATCCAGACCGAGAGCACATTCGCTCTCTCGCCCATTCAGCAACTGTTCTTTGAGTCGGCACCTAATGGGATTCATCACTTCAACCAGAGCTTCTTCTTCCGCGTCAACAAACCGGTAGACTCGAAACAGATACTCGGGGCTATCGCGCAGCTTGTGGCGCGCCATCATATGCTCAGGGCCCGATTCCGTAAGACGGGGGACATGACAGCAAATGTTAATACTTGGCACCAACTCGTCTCCAGTGCTATTGACCATAGTTTCAGGTACCAAGAGCACCGGTTTACTTCCCTACAGGAATCCAAGGACGTCGTCCTGGATAGCCACACATCTTTAAATCTCGAAGATGGCCCCGTATTCGCTGTTGACCTTGTCAATACTTCCTCTGGGGACCAATTCTTGTTCATGGTGGCACACCACTTGGTCATTGATCTCGTATCGTGGAGAATTATCCTCAAAGATTTGGAGGACATCATAACGTCGGGATCCATAAAATCCCAGCCCACCTTGCCATTCCAGACTTGGTGCCGCCTTCAATCGGAGTACGCCGCTAGTCACCTCAATCCTGCCGCTTCATTCGGCGGCGTAATCCCTGCACCAGGTTTGGATTACTGGAACGTCGCTGGTAAAAGTAATCTCATCAAGGACGCTATTGACAAGGAGTTCGTCCTAGATGAAGATGTGACACAAGCATTATTCGGAGCAGCCAATACCGCATTCCAAACCCAATCCGTGGAAATCTTCCAAGCCGCTTTGTTGCATTCATTCGTGAACACATTCAAAGACCGCGCCCCACCAGCAATATTTTCCGAAGGCCACGGTCGCGAGGTATGGGATTCGAGTATCGACTTAACCAATACTGTAGGGTGGTTTACCACGCTATCCCCGACGTATATCGAGTCGAACGATGTGTTGGATATCCTGCGTCGAACTAAAGATCAACGCCGAAAACTTCGCAATAACGGATGGGCGTACTTTACGTCGCGCTACTTGAATCCTGAAGGCCGCGTCGCTTTTCAGCATGACGGGCCTGTTGAGATTCTCTTCAATTTTACGGGCTTGTATCAGCAGTTGGAGCGAGCTGATAACCCATTTTCGACCGTTGAAGACTTTGACCACGGTATCTTGGACGTCGCTGATGATTCGCCGCGCTTCGCACTCTTTGACGTGGCTGCAACCTCCTTTGGTAATCGTCTAAGGTTTAGTTTCTTCTATAATCGTCATGCTGGCGAAATTCGGCCTGTTGACCAGTGGATTGCCAATTATGAAAAATCTCTTCGTGACTTGGCCCATAGGTTACCGTTTCAACCAGCCACATACAGTCTTATCGACTTCCCGCTTATGCCATTCAACTACGCGACGCTCGACGAGTTTGCGAAGACAACTATATCCGGATGTGGAATATCCATGGACGACGTGGAAGATGTATATCCATGCTCACCAATCCAGAACGGCATGCTTCTAAGCCAATCCAAATCGACGTTGGTGTATGATAATCGGTTTACCCTGAAAATCACATCCAAGTCAACCCCTCCCGAGGTTAGAACGGAAGACTTTGCTCGGGCTTGGTATGGTGTAGTCAAGAAACATTCTATCCTTCGGACCTTCTTCGTGGCCAGCCAATCCCAAGGCAATTACATGGATCAGGTCGTTTTACGGAACCCTCCAGATGGTATGATTACCGTCTTGCCTCCGGCTGTCGACCCTCTACAGACGCTTAATGAGCATCCTTCGACTATACCATCAAAGGGTTCGCCGCCGTACCATCTCACATTATGTAACTCTCCGAGTGGCGAATTGTCCTGTTTATTCGAGATTAACCATTCTCTCCTGGATGGAACTTCATTGCAGATCTTAGTCCGAGATTTACACCGGGCTTATGACGATGCTCTACCGGCCCAATCTGGATTGCTATATCGGGATTATATCGAATATGTCCAAGGCCTTCCACTAGAGACATCTAGACAACACTGGAAACAGTACTTAGATGGAAGTGATCCCTGTCTATTGCCTACCTCATTTACCGGTAACATGAAGCCCGAGTCTCGAAAAATGCAAGCCGCTGTCACGAAACTCGGAATGGGCGCAGAGCTGCGAAAACTGTGTGAAGCTCATGGACTAACCCTCTCCAACATTTTCCAGCTGGCATGGGGTCTCGTTCTGAGAGCTTACACGGGCTCAGATGATGTTTGCTTCGGCTATCTTACTTCCGGTCGAGATATTCCACTCTTCGGAATCGAGGACGCAATTGGACCGTTCATCAACATGCTCGTGTGCCGAACCAGGTTCTCCAATGATCTAGCCTTGGTGCAGTTACTCGAACGCACTCAGGAGGATTATTTGCTGAACACTAAACACCAACACCTCTCACTGGCAGAGATAAAGCGATCGCTTAACCTTCCGGATATCCCGCTGTTCAATACTATTATTTCTCTGCAGAGGGGAGGAATGGCTATGGAAGTCACAGAGGCTGCGTCTGTTCGGATTGAGCCGGTGAAGGGAGAGGACCCGACTGAGGTAAGAATTGGTAAAATGTTTCTCTTTGAGTACGAGCGCTAACTTCAGCCAGTATGATGTAACGCTAAACGTGTGGGCCGAGGGCGACGAGGTCGAGATCGCCTTACACTATTGGACTAACTTCATGACCGAGTCACAGGCGACTATCGTATTAGATACCTTAACACAAGCCGTCTCTGAAATACTAGCCAAGGTCTCTCAGCCTGTAGCTGATTTGGATCTATTCGGACCCAGGAGCAGAGATCAGGTGCTGCGGTGGAATGAACATGTTCCCGAGCGCGTCAATCGTTGCGCGCACGAACTTATCCAAGAGCACAATTCAGAAAGGCCACATGCGCCTGCCGTATGCGCATGGGATGGCAATTTCACTTACGGCGAACTGAACGAAAAGGCATCCCTATTGGCAGCACATTTCGCTCAAAATTGTGGAGTTGGTCCCGAGGTTTTTGTCCCTGTCTATTTCGAGAAATCGAAGTGGACGACCGTAGCTATCCTTGCCATCATAAAGGCCGGCGGCGCTTTTGTATTGATGGATCCTTCGCATCCAGTTCAACGACTGAAGGATATATGCCAAGACGTCAACGCCCCCTTAGTCGTTACTTCAGAAGCTAAAGCTGCCATTGCTACTCAACTAGGGCCGAAAGTTGTCGTCATTAGTGATACCCAGTTCAATTGGGACATGGAAACGACCAAAGCGCAGTTCGTTTCGTCTGTAGCGCCGAGTAATCCGATATATGCCGTGTTTACCTCAGGTTCTACCGGCAAACCAAAAGGAGCCGTCATGTCTCACGCTTCATGGTGTACCAGCGCGGAGGCGAATCGAATCGGTTTATTCATGGATAACACGTCGAGGGTCCTTCAATTCGCCTCATATGCATTCGATATTAGCATCGCGGATATGCTCCTTACTCTGCTTGCCGGTGGCTGTATTTGTGTGCCTTCGGATGAGGACCGTCAGTCTAATTTAATTGGAGCTATCAACACCCTTCAGGCCAACTGGGCTTGCTTAACGCCTTCGGTTACCCGAATCATCGACCCCGTAGCAGTACCCTCCATTAAGAAATTGGTGCTTTGTGGAGAGGCAATTGCGCCAGGAGACATCACGAAGTGGAAGCCCCATGCTCATCTGTTGAACCTCTACGGGCCGGCTGAATGCGCTATTTTAACCACTCTTAATCGGTTTGTGGACAATGAAAGGGATCCTAATAATATCGGTCTTCCAACTAGTGCTGTTTGTTGGATTGCCGATCCTCAAGACCATGAAAAATTAGTCCCAGTGGGGACAGTCGGCGAGTTGCTGGTAGAAAGCCCCATTGTTGGTCGTGAATACATAGGCGACCCGATCAAAACGGCAGCCTCATTCCTAGATTATCCATCTTGGTTGCGAGAAATACGGCCGAATGCTACAGGGCGCCTCTATAGGACAGGCGACTTAATCCAGTATCTTGATGATGGCTCGATGCGATATATTGGCCGTAAAGATACGCAAGTCAAACTCCGGGGTCAAAGAGTTGAGCTCGGCGAGGTTGAATATCATCTGCGACAAATATTCCCGCATGCCAAAGACGCCATCGCCGAGGTGATCAAATCCACCGATGACGATAGACCGCCAGCGTTAATGGCATTCATTTATCTTGACGAAGATGAGAAAGTGCCGCAAGAAACCAAATCGGAAATCTTTGGGGCCCCAGATGATCCTTTCAAACAAGCTGTAATTATGACAATGTCACGACTAGATGGCGTCTTGCCCGTGTTCATGGTTCCAACAATATTCATCCCTCTCGTGAAAATACCTCTCACAAAGACTGGCAAAACTGATAGGCGAGCAGTGAGAATTGCTGCAGCTAGTTTTACGCGCGAGGACATCAACTTTTTCACTTCGATGAACTCAGTCAAGAGAGCACCATCCACCAAAGCAGAGCAACAATTCCAAAAGCTTTTCGCTGGTGTCTTTGGCCTTAATGTTAGCGATGTCGGCATTGACGACCATTTCTTCCGTCTTGGAGGTGACTCCCTACTAGCCATGACGCTAATTCCCAAGGCCCGAGAGGCAGGCTACACCATCAATATGGCCGATATCTTTAATCATCCTAAGCTATGTGACTTAGCCGCTGCATCCGTTCAAATCACAGCATCAACCGATATAACAATCGCACCTTTCACGCTTGTGGACGATAAATCCGATAAAGATGCTCTAGTTGAATTTGCAGCAGAGCAATGTGGGATCTCAGCCGACCAAGTAGAGGATTTATACCCTTGCACGCCGTTACAGGCAGGCCTTGTCGCGTTGGTCGCTAAACTCCCAGGCCATTACATTGCGACATTTGAGTATGAGCTCGCCGACAACCTCGATATGGATAGGTTTGTTGCCGCATGGGATGCCACGGCAATCGCTAATACCATTCTCCGCACCCGAATTATCCAGTCGGATGAATCCGACTTCCTCCAAGTCGTGGTCCGGAGTCCAATTGTCTGGCAGGCCTTCGACAATGAAGAGGCATCCAGAGAGCAGATTAAAACATCCAGCATGGGAATGGGAGATCAGCTGGTGCATTTTGCGCTGATCAAACCAGAGAACGTTTCCCAGAAAGCATTCAAGTTCCATCTAACCCTTCACCACTCACTATACGACGGCGCGTCGCTGCCAAAACTATGGAGTCAAGCCCAAGTTGCGTATGATGGCATATCTCCGTCTCCACAGCCGTATAATCGGTTCATCGAATACATGTTGACAACTAAAGGGGCTGACAATTTCTGGAAATCCGAATTCGAGGGCCTCAACGCGCCTATCTTCCCTGTTCTACCGTCGTCTCGATACATCCCCAATCCAAGTTCTTCGCTTGAACACGTTATCTCCGGAATAGGTCACCAATCAACCGAATTTACAACATCAACAACTATACGTCTAGCTTGGGCTGTGGTGATGTCGTGTTACACTGATTCTGAGGACGTTATATATGGTTTAACTGTGAACGGACGTAGTGCCCCTGTCGCGGGGATCGAAGATATTACGGGTCCAACCTTCGCCACATTCCCAGTGCGCACTCATGTCCGCGAAAATGACACGGTCCGAGAAGCCTTAGGTGCAATCCAACAAAAGACCGTAGCCATGATGCCGTACCAACAATTCGGAATGCAAAACATGCGCCACCTTAGTCGAGAAGCAGCAAAAGCTTGCGACTTCCAATGCCATCTAGCTGTTCAAGCCCCGGCAAGCTCAGCTGGCAACGAGCTTCTCGCAAGTGCTCGGACCAAGCACGAAGATTACGGAGCGTTCTCCAACTATGCTTTCGTTCTTGTATGCCATCTCCCGGCAAAAGGTGAAAACGACTTAATCGTCGCGGTGAGCTACGATAACAAAATCGTAGAGCCAGCGGTAGCGACGAGAATGGTTCAACAATTCGAGCATGTGTTGCGCCAGCTATCCCAGAGTCAATCACAATCCCTTCGACTAGGCGAATTGGACCTCGTCAGCCCTCAAGACCGACAGCAGCTAGCGAAGTGGAACGCAGTCGTCCCACCAGCTTGGGATGTTTGTTTGCACGATGTAGTGTTGCAACACGCTATCACTCATCCCAATGCTACCGCAATCTCAGCTTGGGATGGCGACATGACGTTCAAGGAACTCGATACCGCATCCGCCGTTTTAGCGCAGCAATTACAATCCCGCGGTATTGAAGCAGGATCGTTAGTCCCATTGTTATTCGACAGGTCCAAATCCGTCATCATCACCATGATAGCGCTTCTTCGATTAGGTGCAACATGCGTTAATGTCGACTCGACGCATCCCAGAGGACGAATCCAAGACGTTCTGGATCGGACAGAGGCAAAATTCATTCTCGCTTCTCCAGCTCATAAAGAGTCTATGGTCTTCGAAAATACTACGCTCATAACAGTGCCCATAGAAGGCGAACAGCCTCGAGCGGAAGATCTGTCAACTTCTCCAGTAGGCCCCCATGACGTTGCTTTCATCGTATTTACGTCGGGCAGCACCGGAAAACCGAAGGGAATTGTCATGGAGCATGTCAATCTCGCAACTAGTATTCGTGGCTACGCTGAAGAGACACGTCTTGGCCAGGATACTCGCGTTCTCCATTTCGCGTCATATGCTTTCGACGCATGCATTTATGAAATCTTCAGCGCCCTGCTGTACGGTGGCTGTATTTGCATACCATCCGAATTTGATCGCATGAATGATATCGTACCTTTCATCAACAAACACAAGGTGAATTGGGCTCTACTGACGCCCTCATTCCTAGCGCTGCTGGAGCCTGATAGTGTTCCTTGCATGCGTACTATCTACCTTGGAGGCGAGGCGATTACGCAAGAAAATGTCCGCACGTGGGCGTCGAAAGTACACCTTGTTTCGGCGTATGGCCCCGCCGAGTCTAGCATGTGTGCAGCCGGTCCTATTACCGAATCCGACTGGAAGCTAGGAAATCTCGGTTTCGTGACGGGAGGCGTCGGATGGGTGACTTTGCCGTCCGATCCGTCACGCCTCGCGCCCATCGGCGCGCCCGGTGAGCTGGTAGTTGAAGGTGCTATAATCACACGAGGCTACCTTCGTGATGCCGAGAAGACCGCAGCAGCGTATCTCACAAATCCATCATGGCTCGGCCCATTCCGACAGGGTGATACTGATTCGCGGCTGTACCGATGTGGAGATTTGGTTCAGTATAATTCCGATGGAACACTCCGTTTCCTTGGACGACGAGATACACAGGTTAAGCTAAGGGGCCAAAGAATTGAATTGGGCGAAGTAGAACACCACTTACGATATTCGTTCCCAAACGTCACTGAAGTGGTAGCCGAGGTGGTAGTGCCACAAGGAGGGCCTCCTACACTCATGGCATTTATTGCCAATGTTACTAGCTCAAAAGGCCACTTCGCTGACACCCTATTTGAGGTGCCGAATGAAGAATTCCTGGGTCAATGCGAGGCAGCAACCCGCAAGATTAGTGCCGTGGTTCCTAAGTACATGGTACCCGCTGTTTTCTTGCAAGTAGCGGAGATTCCTCGCAATAGTAGCGAGAAGACAGATCGGAAGAGATTACGACAGGAAGCGACGATGCTTTCCCAAGACCAAATACAAGCATTCTCTGGTAGTCATGGTACGAAGAGGAAGCCAAACACCGAAAAAGAGACCTTGCTGCAGTCTCTATGGGCGCAAGTATTCAAAGTTTCGCAGGAGAATATCGGCGCAGATGACGATTTCTTTCATCTAGGCGGAGATTCTATTGTGGCGATCAGATTGGCGGGCATTGCTCGTCGAAGAGGGATACATCTTCCAGTATCACAGGTCTTCCGTTACCCAGTCCTCTCCGAACTAGCCAATGTTGTGACGACTTTAGTATCTTCTAATTCTAGGGAATATCGACCCGGATCGTTATTGGGTATCAGCGATCTCGAAAGCTTCTTCGATAAACACCTCGCGCATATAGCACAACAATACAAGGCCGGGGATGTTGAGGACATCCTTCCTGCTACCGAACTCCAGAATTCCCTTATTCGAGGGAAGAATGTTACGTACAGTCGTCTTCACATGGGTACTTCTGTCGATCCAGAACAACTCGAGGCGGCTTGCCATGCTCTAGTTCGCAAGCATGCTATTCTTCGTACGGCGTTCGTACCTTACCACGATGACATTCTCCAAGTGGTTTTGCGTGAGGCGACATTCCAAATGGAGCGGCTTAACTGTGAAGAGGAATTATGGGATTACTCAGAAAAGTTGTGTTCTCAATTTGCAGCCACGCCAGTCGAGCTCGGGTCCTTGCATTTCCAGCCGTACTTGCTTTCGCGATCTAGGGCGGAGCACATGTTGATTATTAGGATGACCCATGCGCAATATGACGGAGGATCCTTCCCCTTGCTCTCGAAAGATCTGACTTCGGCGTATAATGGTGACCAATTGGAATCAGGCTCCAGCTCCTTCGCACGTTACCTTCATTATCGTTTGAATCAAAAGTCCGGAAAAGCTCACGAATTCTGGAAGGAATATCTAAATAATTCTGAAATGACGAATAGCCAGACATTATGCGAAATTCCACGAAACGATACGCAGAAAGAATTCTTAGTGAAGCCATTAAGAGAAGTTCCACGTCCCTCCGTCCCCGAGGGGATCACTGTGGCGTCTCTGGTCAAAGCTGCTTGGGCCGTCGTCCTGGCAAGAGCCGCCAAGAGAAAAGATGTTGTATTCGGCCATATCATCAACGGACGAGATGCACCGCTACACGATATCGATAGCATTTCAGGCCCTTGTATCACCATTTCTCCCTTCAGAGTGGCGATTGAAGATGATTGGGCCGTGCAAGACCTACTAGCTCACGTACAGAGCCAATACACACGTGCCATGCCATTTGCCAACATGGACTTCAAGGATATACTGAAGAATGCCACTACATGGTCACCCGACACGGACTTCGGCAGCGTTCTCACGCATCAGGACGGTAATATTGATTTATCAGGGTCGATTGAAGGGACGAAGTCGCAATGGAAGACAATTGATCTTGGGATTCAACCCCACTTCCACATCATTACGTATCCAGTGAAGGATAAGCTTTTGGTTCAATTCGCTGTCTCGAGTAATAAGCTTCATCCTGAAGATGCCGACCGTGTTATTGATCAGTTTTGTCAAGCGATGTCCGAATTCTCGTCGGACCCTCAAAGTCGCCTAGTATTATAGGGTTTCGGGTAGTCTGATATTCATGCTAGTTGTATATTATGAGTCAGGAAGGTAGACAATTTTTTTGTATATAGTATCGTTGCGTAAACGCGTTTTCCTATGTCGTCTAGATTATATATTTTGTATGTATTGGGGAAATCCGAAGTTAAACCCGGACTGCGCACATTTTTTTAAAAACAAACCGGAGATTCCATAATTCCGTCGGAACATCGTAGAGCCGATGCAATGTTACGTCATCATTATGACACAATTATCTCACGTGATTTGTCAATAAGCCATGGCAGGTACCCTAGGTACGCACCTGAGCGTACCCCTACACTATTATCCAAACAAAGCGATTCAGTATAGACGAGCACACATTGAATGCCGTTATTACCATGTTACTACTAGTTTGTTTTCCTCCTATGTTTGACCTCTATTTAATAAATGACGTGGTAAACCTCGCGAGACACCTACATACATTATTCTTCAACGCGAATATCCAATCCAACAACTTGACGATGTTGATGTCTGATTGAAGGTAGCTTTTCTATATGTATGATCTCATTAACAACCAGATTTCCAGATGGCCTCGCCGATACTTGGGAAATTACCATCCTTTTCTTTCTTACCTAAACAACAATAAACAGTTTCAGACAATTCTTTATGGATTGTTCTGGATGAATCGGGTCCCGGAATAAAATGGACCCTGCATTGGAAGCGAGACACATCATGAAAGACACCGATAATAAAGCCCATCGTTGCAGAACTACTAGAAAGAACACAATTGGACACGAACAATCCAAAACTATTAGCTTGTATTAATGTCAATTTAAAATATGTCGTCCGCTCGTATTGCTTCTTTTGAAATTCCCGAGGAACTCGTGACTCCTCCGCTTGCCCAAACCACCGCATCTATCAGGCCGTATATAGAAGATAACCCTTACACCAAGTAAGGGTTTAAATCAACGACAACGACACCACTCAGTTTTATAATTCCCACCTGGTGCCAACCAAGCCGGCCTTGGTATAACATAGAGCCCAGGTCGGGTTAAGCATATTAAGGCCCAAGACCCCTTCTCCCAACCTTGAGCTAGCCAGTTGAGGTAGCTACTAGGCAAAGCCTCAGCGAAGATGTGTCGGAAGATCATTATCCATCAGATGCACCACGATGTGCGTATACCAATGATATGTGACGTATTCGCGGAGCAGCAAGAAGTTTACGCCAACCCACGGCGCACAAGGTACCACCAATGCGAACTTTCGCATCCGCCGCCTGGGCAATTGCTTCTGAACACTTGGTATCCGACATGCGAGTATCATAGCTGTTGCATGCCGATTGTTGAAATCACATGCTGCGATGCGGGGCTGAGGTACGACGACGACGATCACGAACCAGAAGAATGCGACTATTTTGTGCTAGAGCACAAGCACGAGCGTCTGGAGTACTTCGGCTGTCCGGAGGACTACCCTGTAAGTTACTGCCCTGCCACATGGAGCAATGACATTTATGAAATCGACCGGAATTGGGATGATTGGTACCGGGAAGACTGGGAAAGGTTATATGAATGGGAAGAGGTGTTGTTTCAAGAGTGCGAGACTATCTACATACTTGAAGAAGAGGCCAAGACCCACTTCTTAGTTTGGAGGGACCTCAACCGGTGGAGGAATTGGAGAGATCGTTTACTTGTTCAAGCGGAGATCCACGTTGAGCAAGCGCAGAAGAGGCTCATTGACCAGAAAGAATTGGTATCTCGCATGTTTAATTGGGGTCGAGGAGATGGCTTTGTATGTTCATCAGGATTCGTGCCCATATGGTGGATGCGGCTATGGGCTGAAAAAGAGGATATGTACGGGGAGCTCAACGGGGTTAAGATACGGCCAGAGAATCTACAGTGCATAAGTTAGGTACCTAGGTATATTTCGAGCATTAGTGGCGCCAAGGTAGGTGAAACGGATAGAATGGGGTATGGGGATAGGAGTTTTTCGAATTTTGTTTTCGCCATGACGTGTTTCGATGTTTGTAGAGCAATAAATAATAAAATCTGTTTCTGTTACAGATTATGATCTTGAAAATTATTAATTGTTCTCAGAATATGACAGTATGTGGAGACTAAATAACCGCTTTCAAACGATTCAACTAATTTAGATAGGATGGTCCGTTCCGAACAGCATTGCCATACAACGTCTCGTCGTCTGATGCTCATTGGCATAAAAGGGCCGAAGTAGACTCAAAGCTCCATCAGGTTACAAAATACAATTGTTCGCGTTAGCCGTAATGATATTATTGGAATCGTTGGGATGTATATCCTTATTTGTGTCAGGTAGAGGTGCTTGTCTTCCGAAGTCTCATTATTTTTAGAATTCGTCGCATTTTGAGTAAGCCCTTTCGAAGAATAGGGAACTGTCTTGTTCAAGGGGGCGTATGCTGAAAAATCGCTCTCATGAACTATCCCATTCCAATTTCTGTATCACGGAAGATGGCCTGATGTGATCTTAGGTTGTAAACTCGCGATACCGAGGCTCTGTAGCTATTTTCAGCTCTCACCGGATAAAGGCGGTAGAAGAAAGGCCTTGTTTACTCGTCCATGCAGCTAGCGAGCAGTTATAGCCGGGAGCTCAGCCGGTGAGTCGACGCCAGTTAGTAAACAATGGAATGCCGCTTTATCATTGTCGGCGATAGCTTAGCTAATAGACACGGGGAGACGCCATTTTATGGCTGAATTCATAATCGGGATACCCCTAGACTCATCCTACTTCCTGCAGCCACACCAAACCCTGGTAGGCAATAATACAAGTACCATGGTTGCAAGCCCAGAAATCTTCGATCGATCGGTGTGGTGGGCTACTTTACTAGGCTAGCCGTTCAGTCGGTTATTAGCCGTGCCATGCCCCGTCTTTCATGACTTCTAACCTCGCCGACAACAGAATGGTTAAACATAGGCGTTTACTATCCAATAGTCGCATTTAGCTCAAATTTAAGTTATTGGTGGAATAAAAAGGTTATTTTCTTGAATAACTGATCCCTACGACGCTCATCGCAGTGTTCCCCTCACCTGATGTGTCATACAGGCGTTCTCGTAGTAGAATTGATGTAATGATGTCGAGGCAAGGCGTGCTTAGTACCAGCATTCGACCAAAATCGGTACGGCAAAGAACTCACTCGACCCGGTCTGTAGCCAACAGATCTTGTAACTTGTTTTGACGTTGCTTTTACCTTCAGGTCTGACGCACCCCGCATATTTCCAATTCGTAGGGGGCTGGATAAATTGATTAGCTTGCAGATATCTAATATGCGGCTCTCCGGGTACCTAGATTTCATTACGTACGAGATATGTAGGCCCTTATACAGCTTTATGTTACAATAGCTAGAAGCTGCCTTAATGCGCGAATCTGCACTGTTGGTTCGCTGACATGGATAAGCTGGGTACATTTCAAGATTTTGAACTCCCTCGCCATCGACGGCCCGGAGATGGCCGCTATAAGTGGCAAATTTAAGGAATAGCGCCTCCCACCGTGGTAATACAGATAATATGGATGAACGAAAACCAATTTCGATAAAGTTTGGTATCTTCGATAGTAGGCAGTCTTGAATTGATCAATAGTGTCTCTGTTTGAGTTGTTGAGTTGTTCATTCAAATAAGAATATAGTATCCAACCTACACAAGTCAACTAGTGAGTTGATCGACCGGCATTTATGGGATCGTCGGTGGGGAGAAGAAAGAAGCTTAAAATTGACAGCTGCGATCGTCAGGTCCCAGGTCTATTGTGTTGAGTCAAAGTGGCTTAGAAATTGAGGTCATTTACCTCGTAAAATCATTGACATCACGAAGCATACGATAAATATACTTAATACCACATCAAATCTCGACTAATACGAAAACGGGGCTATGTTCAGGTCAATTACTGGTAGAATTGACTCCCGACGAAGACGTTGTCAAAATTGCGTACCAGCACGCAAAGCCAGGGGTAAAAGGAGCCATGACCAATGAAGTCACAGGTCACACCACCTTCACCGTGACGAGCACTTAATATCATCTACTACGTTGTTGTCTATGTAACGTGGAACGTATCCCGAGATTATAGAATTGTCGTTCGGATTTCGGGCATAATATCCGTTGATTAGTAGCAGAATCTTCTTAGTCATCCAATGAAAAATCCGAGCTCCATCATGTTAGCAAGGAGGTTATTTCTGGCTGATAGATTTTATTGATCTATATTGAATTGCTTCATTAAAGATGCCGATACTCAGTGGCTTGTAGGGAGATTCGCCCTAGGATCTCGACGTCATACCGCAGGATTATGCGCCTAGCCTTCATATGAGAAACGTCAGAGAGATTGCTTGAAGGGGTGCATGAAGGTGTAAGGTGATTCTGCCTCCGGCGAAGCACGCAATCTAGAGCAATCATTAAATAGGGTGAAATGGGATACGCCGTGAAAAGCATAAATAGAACGGTAGGTTCCCAGAAATGTCGACTTTTGTTCATCACTAGCGATAGGAACAGTCTCCAGCACAACCCAGCTCTCTCATCTTTCTTGAATCTCAAAGTTCAGTTTGACTTCGACTTATCTTCAAAATGAAGACCTCAATCCTTGCCCTCTTTGCCTTCGGTGGCTTCCTTGCTACCACCATTGCTAGCCCCGTCACCGTCAAGACCAGCGTTGAGAAGCGCCAGGACATCGACGCCATTGAGACGAGCTTGGAGGCTCTGTTCACACAAATCCAGGAGCAGACCGGCAAGATCAGTAAGTAGTCCTATGAAGCATTAATCTTCGCAGTGTCTAACAAAAAGTAGACTCGACTTTGACTCCGGTTGCGGATGGCGCTCCCGAGGCTGATGCCCAGGTCGCTGCCGACTCTATCGCTCCTCAACTCGACGCAATCTCGGATCTCTTGGAAAAGTCCGTAAGCATCGCCAAGCGTGCCATTCTAGAGGGTCGATTCGTCAAGGAAGACATCTTCAAGACTGTTTCCATCATCCTTTTCGAGTTGTTGGGCACTGTCAAGTTCATCCTTATCAAGCTCGGCCTCGGTAAGTTTACCCCACTTCAATCTAAGGCTCGAGGACTATACTAATGTGCGAAAACGTAGGGCCCGTCTTGATCCACCTAGTTCCTCTCATCCTTGGTCTCGTCAAGCTTGTTAAGGCTCTTGACAAGGTTGTTGATGGTCTACTCATCGCTGTTAAGTTCATCGTCGACGACCTTCTCAAGGCTGTCGGTCTTGGCCTTTTGGGTCTCCTCCCCTAAATTTTGAGTTCACAATCATTTACCCATTTAAGAGGTGTGGTAGATGGGGTATGAGATGAGTGTCGCTGGCGTCGATATATATGCTTGGCGTCTTAGATGGTTGCTGTCTTCTTTTCCATCAACTCCCTCAGATTATCTTCAGTTAGCGCAGACAAGATTTTACCGGTAGTTAGAAAGCTGGACATATGCGCTTTAGATTAATGAGAAACGAAATATAAGAATTTCGCTGACATAAAAATGAGGTTAATGATTGAAAGTGAAGATGGAAGGGTTGAGATAGTGGGGGTGCACCCTTACGGACATAGCAGGGGTCTTGTAGATCACACAGAACCTTAGCCTCTGATTGGTCAATGGCTATAGTGAAACCCAGTCCCCCCTAACCAGGGGATCGCCATTGAGGCTCTTTGCGATGTCTGGGGTCAACGCCCTACAGTTAACCAATAAGATAACAAAGCTGTCGTATTCCAAGAGGACATCCGGGGTAGGCAATGGAACCTCCAAGCTGGGTCTCAAACCGAGACCCATCAGACATGAGACGAAAAGACCAAAATGTGGTCTTGGTGATCTGATTCTTTAGATCTCCCCTCGTGTTCCGTTGATGATAAAAACCACGAGGGCGCCCGTTTCATCATGATCGACGTTCTTCCCGTCATCTCTCACTTTTTGTTTTGGTTCTCGATATCGTCATCCTTCTGGGAAGGGGTTTTTCGTTTCTTCGCATACCCATTCATTCGTTCTCGTCTGGTACTAGACTTCGTTTCTCTGTCGATCGTTTCGTCTTTTTATAAATACATACCGTCGCCTTAATATCACCAATACCCCCAAACCACCACAATGCGTGCCTCACTCCCTCTTGCCGCAGTCCTCGCCGGCACCGCCGCGGCCGCGCCGAAGATCCCATTCGTCACGTCGAGTACTGTGATCCCCCTTCGCAATGGTGTCGTCGTCAGCGCGCGCCAAAGTGCGCAAAATGCGTGCTTCGTCATCGGCAGCACAACCTTGCCTCAAGAGACCGCCGACATCGTAGACGATCTCGCGTCGACTGTAACATGCGACAAGACTGCAACGACTATTTCGGGTGTACCGGATGTGACATCCGGGTCGACGACTTTCTCGTCTATCGACTTCAGCCAATCGAAACAGACACCTCTCGAGTTCGCACTATCTAAGTTTGCGACCGCTAGCCCTCTCGCCAACTCAGACCTGGCCACCTTCCAAGACCAATTGAATGTGTACCAGGCGACCGAGGCTGGCATTCGCAGTGTTGGAGGTTCTTTGGCGATCAAGGTGCCCAAGTTCTTCCTCGAGTTCCAGGTCAGCCGTATCCAAACCGCACAGGGCAACCCGCCGACGGCTGCTGGTCTTCAGGTCGATCACCTTCGCGACAAGGTATTGAAGAATGCTCCCAAGGAGTCCCAGGACCTACTCGACCAGGTCACTCAGCTCGCGACACAGTTGAAATAGAGACGTATAATGGGATGTATGTTAATGTAGTAGATGATTGCTTTTGCTATTAGCGAGTTGTCAGTTCTAGCTAGTATGATTTGACGTTCATCTATAACGAAATATTCCTTCCGAAGAGTGGTATTGCTCCTAAGTCCGATGTCGTCTGTTAACGCCGATATATGCAATTCCATATCTATTCCCAACCGTGTACATAAATTAGACATTTGGTGATAACAAATCGTATTTAACACATCTCTCCACCTATACAAGAGGTTAGTATCTACGCGATTATGGTCATGCGTCGGGGTGATTGAGCTTACATCTTCAATGCTGGCTTTCATGAATCTCCTCGCTTCTAATCCTGCCCAAACGAAGAACATGGAGAAATCACCGCCCTTCATCATCTCGGCTCCGCTTTGTGCACCCAATTGCCTGAGAATTGGTAACGAACTGCTGAGTAGATCCACATTGGGATCAAGGCTGCGACCGATACCTTCGAGAAGTAAAATGCTGATTACGACATTGACAAAATCGCCCTCTAGCCTCACGTGGTGTTGTCTAACCATATCAAGGACCCGCTGCAAAATGTCCCCAATCTTGACATTGCCCAAAGCGAGTGTAGAACTCTTAACATTTAGGACGAGATGTTGCATCTTTAAAGCAAATACTTCTTTGTCGATGACAGCGTCGGGCTGTCGGCAGCGCTCGCACATTAAATGACCAGCCTTATACCCGTCGAACTCAGCAACAGCACGGAAGAGATCTAGGAAGTTTTGACGGTTTGTGGCATTAAGCTCTGTAACCAGACCAGTATCAATAAAAATCAACTGAGGTCTGAAGCCTTCCTGGTCAATCTTCTTCAATTCCGCCTCCCAAGCTGCGGGATCTTTCCTCTTGCGGAATGGACGGAGTCGCGCAAGCACTTGCTCCGTAACATCGGCCTGGTCCTTGGGGTGCGGTTTTTGGCCGTTAGATGAGTTGCGTAGACTCAAATCTGGTTGATACGCTTGATAAAAGCGCACCATAATGTTCCCTGGATGTAAATCCGCATGCACGAAATTGTCGATAAGCAGCATGCGCAAGAATGCATCCAGACCTTCCTGGGAGATGTCTCGTTGGAAAACCCCACCTCCATTCTCTAGGAAGTCCGCTAGCGGTATACCCTGCGCAAACTCCTCAATTAAGACTTCCCGAGTCGTGAACTCTAGATATGGGAATGGGAACCATGCGGTGGTACGGTCTTTGAAATTTCTTCGAAACTTGGCTAAGTTGGCGGCCTCGATTCGCAGATCAAGCTGTAATTTCATCATCTCCCCAAACTGGGTGACCTCATCGGGGAGTGACAGCCACTCGATAGTAGGTATAATATTGAGTACTGAAGCGAAAAATACCATGATACGAAGATCGCGTCTAACCGTTCGCTCGACTCGTGGGTGCAAAACCTTGACGGCAACATAAGACGATGGAACCCTCTTGGGCATGCTCTTGAGCACAGTATCCACTTTCCGCCGTACATTCCGCCGAAGATTACTACGACTTTCCAAGACATCAACGTCGCCTGGGGCTGCAAGATCTGGCTTCAATTTCGCTTTGTATACCTGCGCGATAGCGCCGACGCCTAGAGGTGTCTCCTCGAACTCTTCAAATATTTCTTGGAATCTCCGGCCGTCGAACGCCTTTTCGACTATTCGCATCGTCGCTTCTAAAGAGTGGGCGGGCGCATGGGAATGAAGTTTCGACATTATATCGCACATTTCGGTAGGGAAAATATCGGTTCTCGAGGCTGCCCATTGACCGAGCTATTCATTGAGTACCTTTGTCAGTTTGCTTGACAAAGTACAATCACATTAATATTGGCGCACCTTAATGAATGCCGGACCAGCCCTTTCCATGCTTTTCACCAAGAAATGATACCACCAGAGGGTACCAGATCTCTCGTGATCGCGGTCCGGCTGGCGACTTCCAATCCATACGGCTGGGACAGCAAATATGACAGGTATGAATATGAACACAAGTTCGACGAACCTGACGCCGGTACAGAGAGGTTCCCAAAAATAGAAGTCGAAAAGGAGGACCAATTTGTGGCCGAGCCGGTATATACCTTCTTCATCTTCACTGACCTTTTTTCTTAGTTCCTCTCGTGATACTTTGAGCATACGACCTTCAGCCGTTTGTTCCGTATCTTCATTGTCTTTCTCAGATAGTGAGACAAAGGCCACAGTCCCGAGGGCAATATTAGCTGAAGCTCCTAATAATCTTGTTTTTAATCGAGGATTTCGCCATGGTGATTGTCCTAAGAATTGAGATCGAAATGTCGAATGCCATCGTCCAAGGTTGGTCGCAGATTTGGTAGACCGAGGAGAACTCCGGCGAATGCAGAACCGGCCAAAAAAGATGACCGGTCGCATCTCTCATGAGTGTGAAACCTACAATTATAACGGAAGATAGGAATGAATTATCATGATGGGCAGTCCCTATGATATTAGTCACAAGGAATTGATCATATCATCGGTACAAGTAATGCTGGTGCAGGTATTAAAGCTTAGTGATGCTACGAGAATCGTGAAATTTGGTTTGGGAACATGGGCGAAGAATCAAGCCATGGTTGTGACGTAGTACATTCAATTTAAACCGAAGACGGCAAAATCCCGGTCGTTCTACACCGAGAACTTTGACGCCATGTGACTATCGATAGTGCACTATAATATTACGTAACACAGCTATCTGGGATTTTTCGGCGCGTGCCGGTTCCATGTTTCCATAATTAAGTCAGAGTCAGCCTCGGAAAACCGAGCGCGGCAAATGAAAAAAAAAAGTCGAATCAATTGAAGACAACGATAACGCCATCACAAATAGTATTTCCATAATCCTATTTCAGTTCTAATTCCTTATATCTGTCCTATAGTATCCTAATTATTTTTTTCTCCATTCGACTTATCCAAACGAACTTTAGTCATGGGTTGGTTCTGGGCAGATGGGCCTCAGGCAAAGACCCAATCGCATTCTTTATCGCATCATTCCTTCACTGAATCTCAAAATGGATTTGGAGGCCGATCACCCCCTGTAAGTTGTCTTGAAATCCGAACACCAGCGGTGTTTTCTAACCACCGTTCATATAATCAGCCAGGATGTCCAATGCACAAACACCAAAAGTCAGCCGACGCGATAACATCTTCCCCGGGCTATTGTCCCGTGAAGCATACCCTGTCCGCCGCCGACCCCCCCTCAGCATGTCCAGTGCCCCATGGTTCATCAACAGAACGTAATGAGTGGAAGAAAGAATGCAGAAGAGAATCTAAGAAAGACTACGAATCATCATCTACACTATCGAAGTTGAACCCTCTCAACTACATGTTCCGAGAAATATCACAAGCCCCCGCTCCAGACCAAACGCACGTGCTTCCCACCTCACGAGAGCCCTCAACGATTCCGAGGGGTGATGGCGATGGGAATTGGGAATACCCATCTCCCCAACAGATGTATAATGCCCTCCTGCGCAAAGGTTACACGGACACGGATGTCACCGCGGTTGAGAGTATGGTGAGCGTACACAACTTTTTAAACGAAGGAGCCTGGGCCGAGATTATGGACTGGGAGAGACGGTTTTCCGGCGGTTTATATAAGGGTTGGCGCATGTGCAGCCATGGCGAACAGAACTTCGAAACCCAGGTAAAGAAGTACGGATACGAAAAAGAGGTGGAAGACTTAAGTCCAAGCCTAGTCAGATTTCAAGGTCGACCACAGGATATGACACCCAAGGCGGCCATGTTCCAAGTCATGGGCTGGATATATCCCGGAGCCTTTGGGTAAGATATAATTGGCATTTCTTACAAGAAGCTGCGCTAATGAGTATCGTAGCACTGAACCACCTTTTGATCGACACGACTGGTACGTTTCCCGAGATATCAACGGCCAGCGCAAAGAAGTTCGCTACGTTATCGACTACTATTCCGGACCACCTGAAGAGACGGGTGAGCCAGTCTTCTACCTCGATGTCCGACCAGCCATGACACCGAGCGGAGCAGCGGAGAGGGCGTTGCGATGGGGATGCGACGTATGGTGGAGAGCGATAGGAGGGGATACACGAGAACGCGAAAAGCTAAATCGGCCAAAGTCGTGAATGATAACTATGTCTTAAACGACCATAAACACAATTAACGTTGATGGGGCGTGGAGTTTTGGTATTTGGTTTGCGGGATGTATCATTAAGGGAACGCTCAACTTTTTTTACGGCGCCTCGCGATGCATCATGACATTTCGGATTCACGAACTTTGATACTCTGTACCATAGTTAGCAACTTCTGCCAACTCCTCTTCTCCCAGAATAGAGATAACGGACCACGTGTTGCGACATTTCCGTGGATCTTCCCAAAGAACGCTACAACCTCAATATTGAAATTGGGAATAGCTGTTAGTTTAAATCTAACCGATCTTAATTAAAATCTAGAAATCAGTGATCGACCCCGCCGTTAAGTGCAAGCGCATTAATAAGTCGGTTAAAATGGATTGCGCTCATCCAACATACCGTACCGTTCTGAACAACACCAGGGAATCATTATCGTCTCCCTTATTTTCCCCTTATTACCTTCGAAATAAAGAAGAAGCAAATTCATTTCCGTAAAACGAGAAGTACAAGTGCGATAGTAACAATTTATAGTTAAGGTGCTTATGCGGGCATCATGGGCGCCAACGATGTACCGATATGTAGCCACCGAACCGTTATTAAAATATATTTGATGCTATAAATGGCCTTCCCGGTACGTTGGTTTCCATAACCCCCGCAGATTCCGTGCACATATTTTGGAATCCGCATGACGTGTTAAGACCCTAATTCTTAAGACATCCTTCGCACATGATCTTCCAACGTGTCCAATTTTATAATTGTAGTAGCTGTCTATAAGACATTCCGCGTATTTAAAGATCGCAGGACGAATCTTGCAGTTTTGCTGCTTCGCGTGGAGTCATAAAGCGCCATGAGATTTACCTATATCTATAGTGTATCTAGGACGCTGCATAGCGTATAAGACACCACTATTTCCGCCCGTAAGCTATTACGGTACGGCCCTATAAAGCAATGCCCACTCATATATCGAAACGTAAGTTATCCCCCTAATTTTCCTCGATAGAAAGCTTAAGTATATGTCTGTGTATTATTGACTCAATAGGCCTATTCGATATTCACAACCTCTGAATTGAGATCACAATTTTAATTCCTGATGCCACAACTCATACCACACGAGTCGCTAAAGTGGAATCTTGAAGGGTTGTTGGGGGGCTATAAGGTGACAACTTTGGATGAATTCTGGATTGGCCTATTAGCGCTGGAGGCCGTCTTGATTACGGGCGTTTTAGGCTTGTGGACGTTGGAGGCCATAGGTCGAAAAGAACAGAAACTCGGTGGAATAAGTCAGACTACACTCTACAACTATAGGAACAAATGATATAGAAAAATGAGATGGAAGTTAAATGCAGTCGTACGTGGGCGAGTAAGAAACGATCTAATGAAGTTAATCCATGGAGATATATCCCCATCTTGATAGGTATGGCAATACTCTAGTGTGTTATAATCAATAATATAGAGGCTCTAGGGAGGTAGCTTCAGTGAGCTACGACCGATAAGAGTAAGCCGAAAAAACAGGTTATGTGCTGGAATAGTGAGCGAACTGTACCCGCTATTCAAGAATTACAGGACTATCAATTACTTGAACGAGTTAATTGGTGCGAGGAGCGGCTATACGCCCGCTGTAAGCACGTGGCACAGGCCTTTCCTTACAGGTGGGCTTAAGCCTTACAACCTTGGAAGGGATATGCCCACCGCGGGGTAGCAGTGAATCCCTATTTAGCTCCTCTGACCCCGCCATAAGTCCTAGAATTTCACAATAGAAATGACAGGTCTTCGGAATGCTAGACCATCCCAGCTTCAACTTCCCTACGAACATTTTTCTACACCGCTCATCCATGCCTTATCTGGCAAATGTGTTTGGGATTAACACGTAGCAATCTCGTAATTGCTATTTTGGTAGCGAGGCCCTCAGAGCCTTGTTACTCATTACTCTCGCGAGATCAAAAGGTGGCAGGGTGGGACGAAGCTCAAACAGAGAATGACTGCATCTCTCGATCTAAGGTGGGTGTCGCGCTTCGCGTTTGCGAGCGAGGCAGCGAATTACCTATTAGCGTAACATTTGTCGTCACATCGATGAGCTAGTAGAGCTGAATCGGTCAGTTAGGGTGCAGTCGGATAGTGTGGGCGGATTTAATCCTGGACAATCAGCTTGCAGATAATCGCGATGACAGACGCGAGGAAGCGGGTTGTTAGTGAGTAATGCCCTCTATCCACGAATGGAAAGCCGAGATTCAGCTTACAAATATTTTCTTAAGGGGAGCTTCAACCAACATAACATGAAGCTCTGTATGATATATAAATAATGTTAGTAAAAGAAGCTGGTGCTTTGAATATTTCCCTTGTCTAATCTTCTTGGTTGTACTGAATCAAACTTGAATCAATAATTTCTTTTGGTGATATTCCTTGGCGCTATCAACATGACGTCTGCACCCCCTTCTAGCTCCCTTCTCCTCTCCGGGGGAACCATTATAGCATACAAAGAAGAGACTCAATCACTAGATGTGATTCGTTACGGCGCGGTACTCATCAAGGGCGACACTATCGCGGCGCTATACGATACCCCCAATCCAAGTGACGTGCCAGCGGGTACAGAGGTCGTCGACTGTACGAATAAGATTATCTCGCCCGGTTTCATAGACACACACAGGCACGGCTGGCAAGCAGCACTGAAGACATTAGCTCCGAACACAACCCTGGCCGACTACATTTTCCGCTATAGCTCCCCTGCCGCAGGATACCTGTTCACACCCGAAGATGTTTACATCGGACAACTCGCCGGTTTGCTTGAGGCCCTCAACGCCGGCGTGACAACAACTCTAGACCACGCTCACCACATCTGGTCACCCGAGACGACGAAGGCTGGTCTACAAGGATCAATTGACAGCAGTGCCAGGGTTTTCTGGGGTCATGATTTCCAGGGCACCAAAACGTATCCGCTCTCAGATCAAATCACTACTTTTAAGGAGATAGTAAAAACAAAATCTCCCACAGACGACCTAACTACTGTGAGTGCGGCGTACGACCAATGGGCGCACGCCTCGCAAGAAGATAAGGAGGCGATTGTCAATGTGGTCAAGTAAGCGAAAATGCGATCCAATATAGCGCTGAATAAGAGCTAATAGAGAAAAGGGAATTGAATATCCCAGTTCTAACAGTCCATTACGTGGGCGGTGCATGGGCGCGTAAGTCTCCTAGCCAAGTTATACGGGATTAAAGGGGATATACTAACTGTTACTTTAGTCGAAAACTCACCGGAAATCCTTCAACCCACTGGCATCCTAAACACTGACACAGCTGTCGTGATCTCCCATGCCTCCGCAATTACAGCCGCGGGCGCCAATATCCTTCGTGCCACCAACCAGTTTATCTCCATCACGCCCGAATCAGAGATGCACTATGGGCATTCACACCCTACCTCGCATCTCATACAAGATCAAGGCTCGATTGGCGTCGACACATTTATGACCTTCTCGACGGATATGATAACCCAAGCCCGCTTATGGCTCCAGAGAACTCGCACCCGCCTTTTTGATGAGGTCCTCGATAAATGGGAGGTTCCTGTCAATAACCCTATGTCAGTCAATCAAGCCTTCCTCATGGCTACTCGACAAGGCGGATTAGCGCTCCGACGTCCAGACCTAGGTGTAATCCGAGTCGGAGCCAAAGCAGACCTCGTCATTTTCGACGGCCGCACGCCGGCATTGCTAGGATGGCGTGACCCGGTCGCGGCGGTGATCCTACACGCAAGTGTCGGAGATATCGAACATGTCATAGTCGGCGGCAAGTTCGTAAAGAAGGATGGCAAATTGACTTATGCCAACTACGAATCTGTAAAGGATCGATTCCTCGCTAGTGTGGAAAGAATACAGAAAGCCGTCATTGAAAGGCCTGCTCCTGTGTTGGAGGGCAATTTCTTCACTGGATGTGGATATGGTCGTGCTACGGAGGTGAATGTTACTCGGAGAGGGAACAACGGTTATGGTGAACAGTTCCTCCATTAAAAACTGATGTATATATGTAAGCGAGTGGCTCACCGAAAGTGAGAGCGAATGCTGCGGAATATCTGGGGACGAAAGACGCCGCTCAATGCTATTACGACACGAAATCTCACATTCTCGATGGATATTATTATATGCAAGCCATATCAAAAATCAATGAAACTTGAAATTCGCTCTTGGACTAATTTCACCAACTACTTCTTCCCTGCAGACTGTTGTTGAAAATACCGAGTCATGGTATACCCAGGCACACGATTAGTATGGGGAAGTTCATCTAACCCATTCCGTCGACCGAAGAAAGATATGCAAGGTTGTGCTAATCCTTGAAGTCCATATTTTAATCAGTATAGGTCAAGGTAACGCTTCCATCCATACTTCAAGCATTATATAATACTCATATTATCTTGAATTGTATGCCTTCTCGACAACCCGGTACCTGGGCTACAGGAATGTTCCGTGAAAAAACTTGTGGGCTTGGCATACATTTCTTGATTTGCAACCCGAAAAACCAGGAAGCGGGTGGGTATGGAGGTAACCTTATCGCCGTCTCCAGCTATCTCGAAGGGGGGTTCCCCGTCTGAGCGCAACTGTGGACAGGGTAGAGCTTTTGGTTTGGAATTCTGTAGGCGTGCATCCATCACGCCGTTCCTGAATCAGCATGGATATGGTGTAAAATCATGGCTGATAATTTTCTATGATCGTTGGAAAAGTACCATTCGACTTCTTGAAAGGATGGTTATGGTATGTGCCTTATGATCTTGATTTCAGGATATGTCCGGGTGGGTCAGGGGAAACCCTGGCTGCGATCTGGTGATCAAAACTCCTCTTATTGCCAAGGAATGCATAATATTACTCATTGGCGTGAATATGCCTCAAGATTGAACATGGAGCATAATTCTTTAGCATCTATTTCTTCGCTTCGTTGGTGATTACTTCGTGCCCGGGAATATTGCTTGTATTATGCGTGACCTGCTACACGATATCCGTTACTTGTTACTCAGCCTCTATGTAGTGCGACGATTCCGACAACCGCGCCAATCATGACCGCCGAAAACAACGATAAAACGGTATACGAAGCGTTAGGGGTGGCCAGATGGTATTGATGACACATGTCTACGTCGGCACTGTTTAAGAATAATGCAGTCTGTAACAGTAGCCAAGCTCGTAACAGCGGATACCTGGCACATAACTCGGCCGCTAAGGCTCTAGGGTTGGCTCCTTCTTGGCCCTGTCTTTCCTCAAAGGGAGTACGAGGATCAACTATCAAGATACAAGGTACGGACGAAAGTTCATCGGGGCCACGTGCCGGTTACCCAAGGACTTGGAGCCTTGGAATCATCATACATCAGTGCCAAGCGCTAATCCCATACGGAAGTATGCTTCAGAGTTGCTAGTTAAAAGATAATGTCCTATATATAAGAATGCGTGCCGTTTGGTGCTACCGGTGCAGTGGACGTACCCGCTCACGTCGCTGCTAGAGTACGCTATCGATGACCTGTCTCTTTTAGTTTCTACTGCCACAAAAGAGGGATTTGCCTCGGGTTTGGGATTCTTGCTTATTTTGAAATCGTCAGGTTCTGGCCAAAGTCTGAATCTGCATTGGGATGGGGAACCGATTTACTAGAGTGGACGAAACCGCTTGGGTCCAATCGGGATCAAGCCTATTTTGCCTTAGTCGTCCGGGATGCCGGAGGCTAATCGTAGCACAGACTCCTATCCGCCCGTTCTATACTATATCAAGTAAAAAGCTCGCCAGGTATTTTAATTACCATATGACTTTGTGGTTCATAGGAAGTATCCAGCATAACTATTGCAGACCCTGAAAGATAGTTCAAAAAGACCCCGAGTTCTAGACAGCGAGTTAGACGACCAAATACGCAATAGCAACGAAATCTGGAGTGGTGGAACTGACGGTAAAAAAGGGGCTCTTGTGTCCCTAAGCTAGCCGGCACTCACTAAGAAGTGCATGATGCTGTTAGGTATAGGTTTTGTGGGCCAATGAACCATAGGTATTATCTTAACTTGTCGGGGCAACTCTTCCTCTTTCTCTTATTAGTAGTCAGGCTCGCTTCTAAATTCCCGGCTTGACGAGGTGGTGTGTCGTGGGCATCCGGTGGTTTTCTGGGTTTATGGCAAGAACTTGCTTCGACGCTTCTGCCTCCGATAGACGACAGTCCTTATAACCAAACTGGGCGTCATTTCGAAATTTACAAGGTTGCCTAGCGAGACAGACATCGGCCACGACTACCAGTCTACCCGTCAAAATGATTGAGCTTGGACGAGATGACTACGATGTCTTTGCCAACAGATTCCTATGGTCTGTTCTCGGAATAACAACAAGTATGTCCACCAACTCCCCTGATGACTTTCGATCCTTACAGTATTTTCTCGTATAGTTATCGTTGGGCTTAGAATTCTATGTCGTTTGCGTTTTGGAATACACCAACGGGCGGGTTTAGGCTTGGACGACTATATCACCATCTTCTGCCTCATACTCAGTCTAGTGGTTTGCATACTTGTAACAATAGCATCTGGGTATGGTCTTGGAAAACACGCGAGCGAATTGAGCGACGACCAGAAGAAACACGCACTGAAATACAACGCCATAATAAATGCGGTCTTAATCTGGCAATTTTCACTACCAAAATTTGCCATCATTGCCATTCTAAAACGAATACTCAACTACGGTACAAAGACGGCGGTGTTATTCTGGACGCTTGGAATCACTTCGCAGGCATGTTTCTTCGCAGTTTCGGTTTGGTGGTTTAAACAATGCGATCCCGTCGAATTTGGGTGGGATAAGAGCATTAAGGGGGGAACTTGCGCGGATATCAGTGTAATGTCTAACCTGGCTTACTTCACCTCGGCCTATTCCGCATTTCTCGATATTTTCTTCGCCTTCTATCCGATTCCTTTTATTATGCGATTGAACATGCCGTTACGAAGCCGCCTCGCCGTCGCGGCGGCTTTAAGCCTTAGTTCCCTTGCGTTTGTTGCATCAGTTATCAAATTATCTGCACTTGGGCAATCCTTTGCTATATCAGAAACAGACCCGACTTGTAAGTTATCTTGTCAGCCACGTTTTGGCCATTCAATTGCTTACGATACATGTTCAGATCCTGTCCCATACCTCGATATCTTAGGCATGTCCGAGGGATACATCTTAATAATATGCTCCTCGCTCCCTGCCCTCGGGCCTCTATTCCGGGCGGCGAAGGGGAAGTTGACGAGCCGCGATATTAGCGCCAGCAAATCAGGTGCGAATGCTGGATTGAGTGAACAAAGCCTACATAAAAGCTTTGCTGCTTCCAAGGACCAAAGGCTTACGGATGAGATTGAGCGTTCCATTGGAGGAGGAACTTCGTCTAGCGTCGACGACATACCGCTGGTTACTTCACCCATGCCAATATCTTCCAGCGCAATGGATACTAGCATCCAAAAAACGGTGGATATTTCCATAACTTCAGAGGCAATAGAACCCGAGTCGCATACACAACAGCGAGGAAACAAAATATTTTAAAGGCAAAAAAAGCAATCACAAAAACTATATGCCCCCAAGAGGAGTCAGTTGGCATAGTAATATATCGAAATAATATCTACGCATTATCTTACTGCAGTTGCTTCGATTCAATCCGATCGCCAATTTTTATGTGTATCAGGGTAAACATTGAATACTATGCCATCTTTCCACTGTCAAAATATCCGGAACTGATACCTGCCTAACCTCAATATTCGTTTCCCACTAATTGTGAGTTGTTTTCTCGCCGTGAGTAGAGCGATACAACCCGTTTATTATTCCTACTCTCTTGGCTTCTTTGGTGGTGGACCCCCTATTAATGCAGCAGCCTTAATATCTAGCACACCCCCTTGGCGGAATGCTTGTAAAAACGTAACACCGTCTCACGCGAGGGCGCTATATGGTATAGCGTGAGGAGACTGTTGTATACTAAGTGATGCGCTAGTCTTAGCTCTCCAAACTCCGCCAGGTCAGCAAGATGACGCGCCCCATTACGTCAAATTTTACTGCTACACTAATCCCCATACTCGCTTATAATCACAAAGAATTTACTGAAATATCTAGTGTCTAGAGTAGGTATTAACACATTGTACCGAACGACTACTAGTAGATATTGAGAAGCATAGCATTATACGAATTTCATATCCGCCCAGCCTACCTAGGTACCTACCGTTTGGCGCAATCTTTCAGGACATTAGTATCCCAATTTCTCCCTTGGCGTTGTGAATGATTTGAGTAGGTGGCGTCCATAAACTAGTGTTTAAAATATTGATTCCGCTCTATGGTCGAATCTGGCCTGCCAACCTATTCCAATACCATTATCAGGACCAAATCGACGCTAAGATTCAGGGGTCGACGGAAAGTGGATGCGATTCGAGTGGCGAATACCTTAATCAACGGTTGACCTCGTGGCATGTGGAGACACTATATTCTTTCATGTAGTAGTGTATATATACCAAGCCATGTCCTGCGTAAGCTCCTCCGCTATCATCTATTTTTTGGCATCGATCAAATCTCTAAGATGGCGCTTACCGCGGTATTCGGCGGCTTGGGAGATGACAGTCAAATATCCATAGTACTAAAAATCTTGTGGAGCACCAACCTTGAGGCATCGCTATCCCGATTAGTGTTTTTTAGGGCCATTAAGCCATATAATATCACAAATCCGACTTGACGATAGTTAAAGTGTTCTCATAGTTTCGCAAACTAAAAGTGTATTTGTTGAGATAGAAAAGTAGTCACTTCAATACTCCCACGGGGCCGGTTACAGGTGCTTCCAATTCGTCCGCGCTAATTCCCTAGCGACTAGTTCGTTCGACCATCGGCGAGACCGTTGGCATGTCACTCAAAATGCAATCTAAGTAGGGCTTAGATCTAGGTCCCTGAATCGACGTATATCGTACGGGCCGCATTATCGCCGTCCCGGAGGGATGGTTCTGTCGCTTACTAGTGGTGATGGCGAAGGCCACGTCCCCGAAAAACTTTGACTGCGCCATCCGCGAGTATCATTTAGTATTGATAGCTGAAGATTCATGCCAACTATACTAACATAGGTAGGTCGAAGCTAAGGAAGCAATTTGATGTAGCCAGCAGGTGGGCACTTTGCTTCTGAATGCAGGTGTCTGTATGATTGCCTGAAAAAAGCGTGGCAACGGGTTAGCTATTGGGTCTGTTAGATTACCTAGGTATGGGGGTCATAAACAGCCAAATTACACCGGAACTATCTAATACCGGGCTGGTATCGTGACGCAAATCTTAGCGGTTGGGGCCACGGGAAGTACTATGGGATAGAATATCCCTACTACAAGGGATTGAATACCACCGTTACTGAACGCTCTTTGGTGATGGGAGGTACTTACGAATACCAAAGAAAAGCAAAGTAGAACCATCGTACGATACAATTTCCGAGAATCCCAGCTTCGACGCCTTAGCTACAGGCTTGAGTTTCCAGGTGACATTATAGGACTCATGATGTCCGACTAACTCGACTATTCACACTGTTATGCGGTACTTCTCCTTAGGGTATCATGCTGTGTTGTGTTTTCCCCTATTATCTACCTACCTAAATAACTAGAGTACGACAACGAGGCTACTGGGATTATTCAAGACTAGCATAATATAATAGATGCCACATCGTAAACTACCTAGGTATGTTACGAGGGGAGCTATAGGAAAAATCTCACTCATCATTGAATGTGTCTAAGGGAACCCTTTCACCCGAACTTACCGAGGATAATAGCTCAGGCAATGAGATATACCAAGAACTAGTCAGAAACCTACTCTAGACCTTCCTTAAAAGAAACCCGTCGTTTTGTAGCTTCTGAAAGACCCCCTCTGGATCGTATTTCGCCGCAGCGTCCCGTAGTCTCTTCAAGTTCTCCGCACCGTAGCCACCCAGAACATTCTGCGAAGTGTGGGCATCATTCATAAAAATGAAATCCAGATGTTTGCCCTTTTTCTTGGCAAGGTTTATAACATCTTCCGTAAACTCCTTGAGTGCCTGCGCAGCAGCAGCATCCCCAGTTTCATCCGGCCATTCGGCAACTATGGCCCACCCTAATTATCATTATTAGCTAAACGTGCCGTAGAAGCACATGTTCGGCCCTACTCACAACTCTGAGATACCTTCTCAAGTCCTAGAGAGTTCCCGCCTCTGTCTTCTCCGATCTGCGCTGTAGCTGGTGATGCGGGTTGGATGGAGTACCATAGGTTAACCCCCGGGTACTTGGTTTTCCCTTCGAGCCAAAGGTTATGTATATCGATATAAAGGTCATATGACACTTTCGTAGTAGTGGTATAAGCGAGCCGTCTATTGGCAATTAGCATTATTTATCCAAGGACTACTTGACTAGCCACTCCATACCTGGCTGCGGGGCCTAGGATCCCAATGGCCTCGATTAGTGTTTTTAAGGTACCTTTTGTGGTTGGCACTGCGGTTGCTTGGAGACTTTTTAGGTTGAAGAATGTCTCAATAAATTTTGGTTGAGCCGCTTCTGTATCTAAATAGAAAGCTCCGACGGCGATGAAGGCGGGGTTGACAGCCGTGAACATGCCAATCTTGGAGTCCACTTCCATGGCCGTTTGGGCTTCGGCAGTAGCGCGAAGGACCTCATCATAGCCAGATGGGTCATACATAAAGACTGTGTACTTGACCTCAATGAGAGGGTATGTCTGAATATCAAACCTTGTGACGATTCCTATCATGTTTTCGTAAGTGATTTAAACCACAGATGAATTGTTAGATGAGTTTGAAGAGATGCTTACCAAAGTTCGAGCCACCGCCCTTCAACGCACGGAAAAGGTCGGGGTTTTCATTGGCATTTGCGTTGACAATGGTTGAATCGGCTAGGACCACCTAAACCATTGGTTAAGACCTAATAACGATATTTAAATACGGTATACATACCTCAAAATTCTTGACGCTATCCGCAGCTAAACCATGGTGGTTAGGAAATGCCGGCATCCCACCTAGCACATGTCAGCATGAAAGTAAAGAAAGAACTCGTTATGCGGTCAGCGCAAGGAATTAGATAGATTAACCTCCAAGAAGATACCCCGACACGCCTACATCACGTTGGCGCCCACCAATTGCTGATAGGCCTTTTTTATCCAAGAAGTCGTACACGTCCCCCCATATGCATCCCGCACCTACACGCAAGACTGCGTCATCCGCTAACTCGAGCGATTTGAGATTGAGTAAGTTTACCAGGATACCGTTGCCATCAATACTATTGCCACCGGGGTTTGTATTGTGCCCACCACAGCGGACGGCAAATTTAGTCCCAGTCTGCCTAACAATCTTGAGTATCTCGGCGACATCATTCATACTCGAGGGCCGCACAAAGCAAGCAGCGGGAAGCCAGCAGGTTTGACACCTACACAGCATTTGTGAGTAAATGGTGGAAGTAGACAAATGTTCCAATTTACCATGGTTGATCCTTTTCGGATTGGTATTGTGCATCATCTGGGACAGCTACACGCCCCGGAAACGCTGAGGTCAAAAGATCACGGGCGTCAACCGCTGCGGTAGTCGGGTCGGATGTAACAGCCATCTCCAAGCTTAATATCAGCTGCGCAACAGTACTAATATTTTAGAAAGAACCAGAGTCTTTGACCGTATTCTGTTGCGAGTTGTGATGTCTTGTTAAATAGCATCTGACAGGCGGCGAGGAGTTGGGCGGGGATGTCAGCGATTTCCGCTCTGTTAGCTTAACCCCTGCTCTGCGGCGTATGCACGTCCATGTATGTTAGAACGTAAATGTAGCAAATCAACGATCAGGATCCGGCAAGGAGAGTATCATAACCATAATCATTCTACAACTGGATACGTAGGACAATCCCCTTTTCGATGGAGTGGGGTATCAAAGAACGTGCCTTTTTCTAAGGTTCCTAGTAAAATCCTGAAGATCAATACCCGAAAGACTATCAGGAGAAATACTGTATTCGCCCAATGAGATTCCCTCTCACGGACAGGGCAGGGACTACGGGAAGGATTAGTCAATTTTACCGATTCATCTTGGCCTCTAATGTAACAATAAGCGGAACTAGCTTGGGTTCTGCGAAAAGGTACTTTTCTTACATTTATACCCTATCGCGCGTTCTTTCATCTAACATAACAATCCTATACAGTATTAGCAGTAGATACATTGCTCGCGCTACGTCCATAGAAAAGATTTGGAAAATGCTATGTTGATTAGTAATCAAGCGTATCGAATAGGGGAAGCTGGCTGACTCAATGCTGACTCGGCAGGTTTCAGGGGAACCGTCTGCTGACATAATCGATGATATGCTTACATGATGGGAATTGTTGTACTACCTGTACGAATTGGCGGCGAAACCTCTTCTTCCCGAGTATATGAAAGCCCTCATGAAGTACAAACCTGATTGTATGGATGAATGAGTAGTATTTTAGCTATTGGTGCTGCATTCTATTCGAAAAGGACCTACATCAAGAAAGAGTCAGATTGACAAGCGACAGACCTAGCTAGGTGAATGAAGTGGATACTGAAATTTCATAGTTCACCTCATAATCTTGAGGCTTCCTCCCCTCAAGAAAGCGGCAGTTCTGTCATCATAAATTTAATCCAATTAGTGAGCCAAGTACCTGGTCATTGTTTTACGTACGTAGGGGTTCGAAATTTTCAGCATCACACGAACAGATAAAAGCAAACATTGCTCTACTTTCATCTGGACTGCACCTAAGCAAATAGCACCATGAATACATACGTACCCGGTTGCTTTTGCTGATAGGGATTTCTGGGACTGGAGTTCGGTACTTCCTTAGCTAGATGGATGGGCAAGAAGACATGGCATCGTTTTTATGCTATATCTTGAAAGATTACTAGTAAAATGGATCTCTTGGAATTGAAAAGGTTGAAGCTTATTCTCTCTGCTTTACCTCTTTGGCTTAGGCACTTAGTAATAATACCGCTCGAGATGAAAAATCTACCCACGCCCAAATTTAATTAGGATTAGGCCACAAACGCTTATAATCGCTTATTACAGGTTGTTTGATTGGCTCTGTGGCTAATAATGAAATTGTAAATCGCGGAAGCAACCAATCTAGAAGTCGTGGATTACTCTTATGTTGTGCTTCGGTAAGACAGTTTCTTAAGGCACCCGGTTGCTAACGTACCGCAGGGAGGAAGTATCTGCGCACCTGCCTATTATGCTGTAGGTAAATGCTCAGTTTTCGCGCGCTAGGACGTACTAGCAGCATATTGTGGATTGCTTGTTGTATTCAATCCAATAAGTTTGCAATTGTTGTAAACCTACTTAGTTGCCTTGTGTGTGTAAATAATCAGTTGAGTCCGTAGGTAGTGCTTTCAAAAATAGGCAGGTGCGCCTTACACTGTCCACTATTACCTGCGTACCACAGTCAACCAGGTACCCTTATCGAAAAAGCTTCTCGGGTATTTAATCGAGTAATTTGTGCTTTTGCTATCGAGGCAACCTTCCCGTCAATCACCAAGTGACAGGGTGGGCACCGTTTCTTCTCTTTATCACCATTTTTAACCTATTATCACCTCCAGAACACACAAACGCTACGAACATCATCAAGATGTCGATTCCGGAGAAGTGCATTGTCCTTGTGGCAGGTGGTGGTCCTGCTGGATCCTACGCTGCCTCAGCGCTGGCCCGCGAGGGTATTGACGTCGTTGTCCTTGAAGCCGATAAATTTCCTAGGTGAGTAACTCCGCCGAAATATGATTCACGACATAGCGCTCGAGATGATTCTACTTAGATATTTATGTGGCGTATAGATACCATATCGGCGAAAGCATGCTCCCGTCCGTGCGACACTTCTTGAAGTTCATCGACTGCTATGACAGGTGGGAGAAGTGTGGATTTCGTATCAAGGTAATTAAATCCTACATATAAAATATAATGCGCCCCATACTAATGAAATTTTTTTCTTTCTAGAACGGCAGTGCCTTCAAGCTGGATCCTGACCATCCCGATACCTGTAAGTGCTTCCTAGTTTGGTCCCTTGATTCACAATCTACTAATAATTTTCAAGACACGGACTTCCTTGCCTCAGGAGGTCCTAAAGGCTACGCGTGGAACGTAATCCGTTCCGAAGCTGACGAGCTTCTCTTCAAGCATGCCGGTAGTTGCGGTGCCAAGATCTTTGACTCCGTCAAGGTCACCGGTATCACATTTGAATCGGACACAGCAGCTAGCGTAGCACCAAAGTTCGATGGTCAGAATCCGGGACGCCCTGTGTCAGCAACCTGGAAACACAAGGATGGTAGTTCGGGAAGCATCTCTTACGAATATCTCATTGACGCTAGCGGAAGACAGGGTATCCTCAGTACTAAGTACTTGAAGAACCGCAAGTTTAATGAAGGCTTGAAGAATGTTGCTAGCTGGGGTTACTGGAAGAACGGTGGTATCTACGGCGCTGGTACCTACAAGGAAGGTTCGCCTTTCTTTGAAGCATTGACTGGTATGTAAGCGAAGCCATTCTATGAGAATATTCGTACTAACTATTAACGACCTATCAAGATGCTAGTGGTTGGTGCTGGTTTATCCCTCTGCATGATGGTACCCATTCTGTCGGTATTGTTCAGAATCAAGATTCGGCCACTAAGAAGAAGCGATCCATGGATTCAGTCCCTTCTTCTAAGGAGTTCTACCTACAATCTCTCGACTTTGTCCCCGGTATCAAAGAGCTCCTGTCCAAGGGCGAGCTTGTATCCGACATCAAGTCGGCATCCGATTGGTCTTATAACGCTTCGAGCTATGCGTTTCCTTATGCGCGAATTGCCGGCGACGCCGGTTGCTTCATCGATCCGTTCTTCTCTTCAGGTTACCACCTGGCTTTGAACGGGGGTCTCACGGCAGCTGTAACAATCGCAGCTGCTATACGAGGCGATTGTGACGAGAATACCGCAGCGTCGTGGCACTCTAAGAAGACAGCGGATAGTTACACCCGTTTCTGGTTAGTCATCCTGAGTGCCACAGCGCAGATTCGAGACCAGAACAAACCAGTGATCCACGATTTCAATGAAGAAAGCTACGAGAGAGCCTTCTCTCTCTTTAGACCAGGTAACAAGCTCGTCTCCGGTGAAATACCCTTAGCCGCGGCCCCTACTAATCAATAAAATGTTTAGTTATTCATGGCACGGTCGATACCGTTGCTCCAGAAAAGCCGACCCAGGCAGAGATCTCCCAGACGGTGGAATTCTGTTTTCGCTCTCTCGCTTACATCCCATCCGACACGCAGGAAATCCTTATCGCGAAGTTGAAGAACCTCAGTCTAGAGAATGAGCATGACGACGAGAAGAACGACCGTATCATTGATGACATTGAGAAGTCTCTTACGCCGGAGGAGTCGAACATCCTGGATATCCTTCGCGGAAGACGAATGCTTCGAAACGAGGACGCCGTTAGCCTTGTTAACTTTACCCTTGACTCGATCGACGGGCTCGCTCCCAACATGAAGCGTGGAGAACTTGGTTTGATCAAGGCCAAGCCAGTTAAGACCGACCGAGCCCAGCTATACTCCCCCTCATACTTGAAAATCGGGCGACCTGACATCAGATCTCAGAGAGAAGGCACTGCCTCCGAGGCCAAAAAGGATGAAAATTGATCAAGCCCCGTAGGTATTACGGACGAATCACAGTCGCAATGATTCCGAGTTTTATGGGAGAGCTAATGATCTGGTCCGGTTTACCATTTCACCAAAATTAGTTCACCCATACATGGAGGGAGGGAGGGAGGGAAATAATGTTAGAGTACAGAAATATGGTCATATTGGCCTAGATTTGCCTGTGATGCGGGCGTTGTGATGATATATGGCGCCTTGGCGGTGCGATGGGGTAACGGTTACGATTACGTACCAGGCAGACCCTGAAGGGATAGGTACCGAGGTACATGAACGTTGATATAGCCGCTTCGGTATCCCCGCTTCTGATAAGTACCAACCTTTAGGGCTGGCCTCATATGAATTCTACGATTTTCATTCTACTGAATATTTGCTTTCGTTTTCCGACCTGTGTTCCCCCAAAAGTAGTACGAGTAAGGGTCTGTAATTATTTCCTAAAAAGGAAACTATGGATCCCGGCGTCGGCCCCACTCCGATCGGTTCTGTTCCGATTGTAGAGGAAGCCACCGCCGTCCAGATTGCCAGCTTAATTGACGTGTGGTGGGGTTCATTCAACAGCGACTTTATTCAACGGATTTACCCGCAAACAGTAGAAGGGCGGCTTTGGCTCCAGCGTGCGTTCAAGAGGAGTCTGAATGCCGTTCCTAGCCCTAGGGACCCTACGACAAAATATGTCATTGTGCGCAATCCAGAAGATGGTACGTACCTAGGTACCAGTGTTATCTCCTGTTACCTTTATTCACAAAGCAAGGATCAGCTGATTGGGGGCTACTAGGACGTCAAAGATCCATTATATTTCTTACTAACATTCTTTTACATAAGGTGCTCCTGTTGCAATAGCTGTATATCGCATCATACCAGCGGGCTGTGATCCGGAGCGTCGGTCTTGGCGGGTGCGGTGGTCCGGTTTCGAGGATTTACCCAGCATTCACGAGGACATTTTAGCGGACTTTTTTGACCCTATGGAGAAGACGCAAACATATCTTTTAGGAGATCGCGCTCACATTCGTAAGCCCATCCCCAGTCCGTACTCTGGATGCTCCATTCCATCCACGATATTGGGATGGAAGCTCATAAGAGCTGTAACTAATGATGATACTTAAATTAGATCTCGAGGCGTTGGGTACGATTGAAGCTCACCAGAAAAAGGGATATGGGACTGCATTGATTAAGTGGGGAACTAATCTCGCGGACGGAATGGGCGTCGAGTGTTATCTTGATGCCAGCCCGGTGGGAAGACCGCTTTATGAAGCGAATGGTTACGTGGTGCAAGACGTATCTGCCGTCCTAGAGAAACCTGCTGGGGCTCCAATGGTTCGACCGAGGAAACGTTAGGGCTACTTGTAGGTGCCCAGCCCGTTCCAGTGGAGGACAGTTGTTAAAATATAAAGCATCATTGTTGATATTTATTAAAAATAGTATGCATAGGACGGTAATAAATCACTATTTCTTAATAGATTTAGCGACTAACGCTGTTATTATAGCGCACCCAGGCCATATATACAGCGGCTTAGTTAGTCTATTTAGTGCGCTATGGTCCGCTCTATGAGGGGCCGAAAATTGCGACTCACGTCTCGCTTTGTTTAGTGTAGCGCCGAGGTTTCTTGCATGTGGGTAGCACACCACCTTCGTGCTATTCTTAAGCAACGGGGCGCTTCACCTACCTTCTTGAAGTCTCACTTCACGATCCAACGTTTTCGCACTACCAGCACGGCGCCCCTGCTTGGACGTTCCGTGGACTTAGCATGAATGCTGGACACCAACTCGCGAATGAGCTCATTCAGCCTGCGCAAAGAATAATATGCTGATGTACGATATGGCACCAAGCTTCGTTGGAGATGCCGAGTAGGACGGTTTCCTCGGTAGACATGAATAGGCATGTCCAGGCGACTACTTAGTGCATGCAGCCTTGTGAAGTTTGATGTCCATTTGCCTCTAAACGCACTCCCTGATGGGTCGTAATGCAATTATCGTGGCTGGTTGGCGCTAAACTTAAGTTCTTGAATAGATGGTTGAATGACAAGTCCCCGAGCCATTTAAAGGGCTTATCGAGAGAAAAGGGGCTTCCAGGTCTGTGGCTATACAGAAAGAAGCCCCCAGGCGGGAGTAGTGTACCTTCAGCCACTACCGTCAGATCGCTTGAATCGATTGTCCAGTCCCCGGTTACGTCTGTATCTATTTCTGCCGGCATAGGATCATCCAGGATCACAGAGTCATCGTAGATAGGGTCGGGGAGGGAAGTAGTTAAAACGTGGTCTTGCCCGGTATGTTGCTGCGCCTCGACGACAGAAGCTGAGTCGTATATGATGTTGGCTTCGGGAGCCTTGGGGCCACGGATATTCGGTTCGGCTGAGATTGGGGTGAAGTCAGCTGGCTTAATTTCCGTGAGTCGAATCCGTGTGCCATCTTCGCATCGAACCTCGACAACAGTATCAAGGATATCATTGGTCGTATTTGCGCGTTCCGAATTGGAGCTCGGCTTGGCTCTACAATTTCGTCTTGCACGTTCAATTCTCGATTCTGGGATTGGCCTGCCGTTCAATACGACGCGACTGTGGGTGTTTTCGGGGAGGCTGTCTATAGTCTTAAAGATTGCTTGCCATTCTTCTGACTTTAATCTCCGCCGAGCCTTCCAAATTTTGAGCTGCGCCTCCAACTGAGAGATGCTTGAATGCTTCAGGTGAGAAACTGTTTAGTCATGTTGGGCCAGGACCATTCTTACGTGATGCTGAACGCATGCTCAATTCGCAACCGATGAATGATCTCCTCCAGCGGGATGTCGGCACTCAAGTATAGGCTTAGTATAGCGCTTTTGTACCGCGACCAGTCGCTGTCGGGAATCTTGGCTGTCCGAGTAGGGGCCATAGTGACATTTGGGGCAAACGTTGACAATGACAATGTGCTAATGTGACAATGGACTTGGGAGAAATGGATGAAGGATAGATCATGGAGCTTTGTGGACGAAGAATAAATGCAGCGGTGTCTAAGTAGATACTTAACACCTTTAATAATAGGAGGCTACGACTAGAACCTAGGCGCTTGTTACTCTCTAGTCTCGGGCCGCCGCGGGTACACGTAAGTACTAAGGTAGGCTCTAGCCCAAATTTTCAGCCACATCAGGTTGTGTCTTCCGCTCAGGGTATGTCACAAGGATTTGCCCCAGACTACGATTGGGTGAAGTATGTAGTGGCTCTACAATTGCTGCTTCCTGCAGTGGAACTACGCGAGCATAACATATGACCTGTTTTAAGGGTTAGAAGATACCTAGGTACGAATCAGACACATCCTGTCGCTACTTGGGGTACCTAGCGCGTAACCTATTAAGGGCGTTGGTAAGGGCGATTGCCTACACAAGGCTAGCAGAGTGGTTGCACATATACTTGGGAATCTGCTGTATGATTGGTAGATTTCGGTAGCCTGCCAGTGGCTGAATATCGATGCCATATCCTGAGAGTACCTACCCAGGTTATGTTCTAAGACAAGAAATCTGTTCCAATTCGTCGATGCGTCATGGCTCGAAATTCGAAGTAATTGTACCTAGGTAACCGTGAGTGAATTTCAACTAGGAAGTGACTTAGGATATAGCAGGAATATCAGGATATGCCAAAAAGAAATGAGAAATAAGTAATGAAGTAGGGCGTAGCCAAAACGTATAAATAACGGCCGACCGCCATGGAATTAGGGAAAGCTAGTGTAGGTCCTCATTGCATCACCAAGGTCCATATCCACGAGCAGTCCAAAATCAACAAGCTACAATAGAGAGCAGCCGCAGTCTCAACTCCTCAATCATGTCATCGTCTCCGAAGACCGAAGACCACCAAGGGGACGAAGGAAGTAATTCGTATGTATCATAGTCTAGATGCTCACCGTCAGCTAGCCTAGTATTAGCCAACAAGGTCATCAACTGTCTTACATGCTCCAAGTATACCTTCACGCCCAATCAACTATTTCAGAGCGGCTTTCTGGTGCTATCGATCTCAATAAAGGGAAGAACGATAAAGAGGGAAAGGATAGGGTCGAGGACGTATCGAAGAAATCCGAGGATGATCGGAAGGGCGCAGGCAACTAACGGTAACCGGATTTCGCGGTATAAGCACATCTATGTAGACTTCATCGTTATGTCAAGGTTTAGGGGTTCTTCCAAACCTAACGGTTAAAGTTGGTAAAGACACAGGATACTTGAATTGACCCATAAGCTGGAGTGGTGATTGCAGGCGATGCAATGTTGTGAATCCCGCTTAGTGATTTAGTCGTTAAACAAGCTCAATCGCGCGAACCGCGTCCTGTGTTAGCCCCTGGAGCGATTCCTTTATAACGATCTCATCCCCTGCCCAGAAATACCCCACCCTCTCAAACCTACACGCTGAGTTTGCCACCGGGCTAACTACGATGCCATGTAGTTCTCGGCTAGCTTCGTAAGAATTACCGGTATTCTTAAACAATAAGACTGCGAGACAGAAAAGGCCCTCATATTCCTCATTGGCGAGACTAATATCGCAGAGGAAGTGGTGGCGTAGACGATTGAGATCGAAGAGGGGAATTCGAAATCTTACTTCAACAATCTGGGTGCATAGATCCTGGCTTTCCTTTTCGTAAGGAATTGTCTTAGTTATGTAAACGTCAGGATGCTCCCCACGGCCCTGGGCAAATGGATTGAAGGATGGCTCTTTACGTAGTTGATGCGAAATGCACCCATCAACCGATGCCCAAGACCAAGTAGGAATCCCGCGATCGCGGGGTCTCGGAAGGGGTTTCGTCCCTTTAAGGGTCCAAAGTAGATTAAACGGAAGGACTTCCTCCCAAAGCCCAGCGACGAACTCGGGACGGACGAACTCTGACAGGCCTTCAATAGCAGCAAGCTTATCATTGTCTTTGGTCAAGACGCGGGTCGAATATTTCTCGACAATCTCGTACCATAAGCAATGGAACTCAAACCTCTCGGCAAGTTCTGTGCCTTTAAAACGCGAAAGAGCCTCGAAAGCGCCGCGCATGCCCAGACGAGCCGATTCCACAACCTCACCTCTCCAGGTTTTCCACGATAAATACTCCTGGTAAGACTGAAAATTTCCAAGTGACTCAATCAAATCGTCGGTATATTCAAACCCAAACCAGTCTGAGAAGCTAGAACCCAGGTTCCAATTAATATTGACCTTGGTAGTCTCTACTGTTCCGCGGGCTGGCCGTGAAAGCGGCCGGGTACTGACCCTAGCTTCCCGAACCGTTTCCTCCGATAACGAAAACATTCTATCTGCCGAAGTCGATGGAAGTTCAAAAGTTGGAATGTGAATTGGGGGCAGAAATGATTCCGAAGGCGGCGTCGGGCCGACAAATGTCTGCAATCTGCCATCCAGGGAGATTTGCTTTCTTTTGGAGTACGGCTGAGCGAAGCCATGGCTACTTGATGCTTGTATTTGGTTGCATTCGAAGAGAACGGTGCCTTCGCAAAAATGGAGGATCCGACTTGCGAGCACGCGCTCTTGGAATGTCCATCCTCGGCTTGTTAATTCCGCATCATCTACCTTCGCCTTAAAGAGATTGGTCATGATTGTATCGAGCTGTGCAGAAGGATTGACATGGAGTGAAGTGTTCCCCTGGCGACGTAATTGGCAGCCACCCGCTGCATTAATTCTGGGGAAGATACAACCACCGTCCGAGTCTTTAGCTGCTGTTGCGGAGAGGACGCAAGTGGCGTTAGCATAGATAAGGCCCATTTTAGGTGCTTGTTTTTTCCAATCATCGCTATCCTGAATAATACAGAAAACGTCAATCCATAAATAACGAATCCCCAGATGGCGTGTAATGTAAATAGCATGTTGAAAATTTACATTCCATTCGTGGAAGAAGGTAGGTTGCATCATAGCTTCCAGATTCTCGTACGAAAGAACTGTGTTCATCTTCTCACGTGGACTCCAACGATGACTTAAAGCGACATACTTGATATTGGTGTTGGCAGGCAACTCAGATTCCGTGATGAGGCGTACCGTAGCATCGCCTATCTCGCCAGTATCGATAAGTCGTGCCGGACAGAAACTACGTTGAGATTCCTTCATGAAATATGTCCCACAATTGTCGTGGTCGCTTTCGCAAACGTGGATTTGTTCCCGGGCCCATAAAAGGACATCCGATGAGTTAGTCATCTCTCTATGCGCGTCTAGCTGACTGCGAGGTCGATATTCGGATACTTATATAGCACGTTAGCGGTGTCACGTCTGGGTTCGGTGGTGGGGCATCATCACCATTCTTTACTCGTCCAATCACCAACTCTTCCGACTTGAATTGGTCGCCGATGAGTTGCATTCGCAGTACTTGTCCCGCCAGAACATGACCTTCTTCCCATATTTTGACCTCGAGGGTTTCTTCCCTGCCCTCCTCTAAACTAATATTTTCATTTAGCGAGTTAGAGCTAGATGTAGCGGGGCCAGTCATCGACTTAGGGCCTGGTAAAAGATGGCACAATGCGCACTGCTTAGCGGATATTTCTAGGTCTCTTGCTGTATGGTGTGAATGAGATTCCACACGTTTGGCGAGTAGAGACCAGGTGCCAGTAAGAAGTGCGGAACGATCAATCATACGCTCGCAAGTAGAGCACAATTCGCTTTCGGGTAACTTGGTTCTGAATCGCGGCCAGCGCAGGACACAGGCTTTGGAAAACAAGGACAGTGGTGGCGACAGTAGTGATATGAACAGCAAACGTGGTAGAGGCAGTAGGCGTCCTAGCGCTAAATAAACACCCAAGTAAACACGAAATGATACGAAAAGAATACTAGACAGGGTTAATAGAAGCGCGAATCGTATGCAGACTACAATCACAGCTAAAACGTAGAGGATGGTTGAGATGCACCAAAGCAGATATGAGAAGAGGTATAGTAACGATGCCTTCAGACTGCCAAAAGCAGCCGTAGATAGAATCAAGAACCATATTTCAAAGGGAAGGAATCCCAAAAATGCTGGTTCAATCCAGAACAGAAACGCCTCGCCTACAACCAACGCAACCCAAAAGCCGGGGAGGAAAACGTGTTGCCAGAAGCCCATCGCTGTTGTATATTAAGTAGGCGCTGTATAGAGATCTCTATAGAGGCCATTTTTGAGTGTCCCGCGCGTGGGTAATCCATTCTTATCAGCACCGTTGTTTGTAGAGCCGAGCCTCGTCTTGACGATTGTGGTAAGGTGCGAAATATGCAGCTGAGTTTTCAGCTCCTGCATGACGTGTCAATTTCATTACTGCCTGACATAGTATACCGGCTCAATCGTCTGGCATCCATAGGTTTAGAAGCGACTATATCGACCATTATTCGAACTAGAATGGGCGTATGTCTTTGGGCACGGATTGTATTTTCCTAGGTCTATAGGGAGATAATTAAATGAGTGAGTCTTAAATCGAAGACGAGACGCGGGGAAAATACCGCGAAAATGTTCCAGTATGCTTACGTCATCATAGTCCTGTTTCTGCTGCACCAGGAATGGATTACATAATACAATACCAGTATGACTAATAGCACACTATTGTTGCTAACTTACAGCGAGCGTATCCCTAACCATCAATGACAATACAGTACCTATACGCTATCGCCAGTATATTTACAGCGGGGGATAGGGCTTCACTTTCTCATCATTACGCCGCACTAGTAACCACCGCTATCAAATAGGCAGATTAGGACAATACCTGCACTACACTCTACTAGGTCAAATTGCCCCTCTTTCTTCCCAATACAACATCCATTTTATCTACTACAATGGGGGATGTTTTCAATGGTGTATTCAATATCGCATAGAAATAATTGCACATTAACAAGTCAATGACCCGGTCTTGTAAGTCCGCCCTCTCTATCATCCTTATGCGACCCTTCTTCAGCGTACCAGCCTAACCTCAACGTCCTTATCGACGTTAACATCGACAACAAACCGAGCAACAGGCTGATTCTCATCAAGTTCTTCATCTATCTTCAGGTATTTATCGATGAGCGGGTCTTCGACAACCCTCTCTAACCCTTGATTGATACTACGTGCACCAGTTTTTCTATCATATTCCTCTTGCGCGATAGTGGAGCAGACCGTCGCGTCCTTGTTAACGCGAATGTTGATGTTGCCAACATAAATATCTTCTTCCTTATTGAGAGTGAGGCGCACTTTCCGATCCACTTCAGCCTCCATATCCATAAGTCCCTTATGAACAATGACGGCCGCCTCTCGCGGCGAAAAGGTGAGAAATGGCAGAATTTCCGTTATGCGACCGGCTAAAGGTGCCCCGAATTGGCCGATGACCTCTTTGCGGAGCTGGCTGCAAAGCTCTCCGACTAGCCTATCTTGAACGTCCTCGTCTTCTGAGTAGAATAATACCTGTTCGTTGGCTTTACAGAACGCATGAATGCTGTCGTCGAGTTTATTGGTGGCGAGGATCCAAATCGTCCTAGAGCAATCGACGAGCGTTCCTTTACGGCGATCCTCATACCGCCCTGTCAGACATGTCAGTGCGCAATACTTCGGCGGGTGTGGGAGTGATTGACTTTATGTACCTTCTTGAAACGGAAGCAAGAGTGTATTATGGATCTCTTCGCTGGTCTTCTCGAACTCATCCATAAACACAATACATCGCTCACCCGACTTCCGAGCTAAGAAGTTATTAAGAAGCGAGCCGTCTTCATGCCCAGAATATGGAGGACGTGGCCCGAACAATTCATTGTCTTGTTTGAAAATGGTACAGTCCACCCTTTCCAGTTCCAATGACATGAGCTCTCCGAATCTTCGAGCAAGTTCTGTTTTGCCATGACCGCTTGGCCCAGCGAAAACCAATATGAACGGTCTTCTCTTCTGCTGAGCTAAGTAGCTGGGAAGCGTTAGTTATAAAAAAGATCAACGTGAAGCATACAGAACTAACATGAGAAGCTTTCTTTGGAGCCAGCGCGTCGCAATCGATTGGCCAACTATCATCTGGTGGAGTCCTAGAACCTCATCGGCTTCCTGTCGATCCAATACCGTCTTTTGACGCTTGGTGGGTGGCGAGAGTTTACTGGATCTATACAGGGAATACCTTTGACTCAGATTCAATGCTTTAGCCAAGTAGGCGCGCACTTCTTCCGTGCACCATCTCTTATTACCATCATTAATATCGTGAAGGATCTCTTCGGCGGGTCCGCCCTCTGGCAGATCTACACAGTAAGGATCATAAAATGCTTTTGGTATTAGGCGAGGATTCGCGTCAAACCTCAGGAGCGTCGCAAGTGTACTTGACGCTTTCTTCATTGTCTTCGCTCCATGAAAAATGGAGAAGGCAACCAAGGGGAAAGCTTCGGGCCCCCAAGTCGCGTTGGGATTCCCTCCATATTTGATCCATTGACGGATTATACCGACGTCGTTAGTCGAAACGATATAAAACATAGCTGGAAACCCCCTCACTTCGGTGTTGAGGTTCGTGGTCAAGGTTTCCTTGTTGAAATAATGAAGATAGGTCCGAACCCTATCGGCATCAAAGTGACCAGCCTGGATTGCCGCGAGAAGTTTATGAAGCTCAAAGTTCGACGGATCGGGAGGCCCATCATTGATGAAGTCATGAGAAACTGGGAGCTTCGGGAGCTTGAGTATCCACGACGGACCTTCCTCGTCGCTATCCGTTTGGCTAGTTGCTCGCATTTCGGTTTCATCGGGGCTGGTATCTGTTGCTTGACTTACTCTGTCGTCATCGTCGTTATTGTCTTCGTTGTCGTCATTGCTGCCATTATCTTCATTGTCGTCATTAGATGGCACTTCTTCTGGAAGAAATTTCTAAACAGCAACATTAGATGAATTACACAAATTCGCAATCGCCAACAAACCTCAACGCGCTTGTATTTCTCCACAGCCTTATCAACATCATTTCCGCAAAGCTACAGAATATTAGCGTCTTTGTTTCATATATGGTACTACGAAAGAAGACAACCTGTAAGCAAGTTGAGGCCATATCTTTGGAACAACCAGGACACTGGGCCATGACTCGGCGTATGTCGTTGATCGACGGTTTGTCACCCATGATGTATAAGCGTCGATGTCTAGATATTGGAATTGAAAAGTGCAATGCAGCTTAGGTACCTCCTAGAGCAGGGGAAATAGACTTGGTGGTTTAAGTGTATTAAATACTAGAACACCTGGACACCATCCAAGTAATCCTCCCAGTGCAGCTCGCATATCGCCCCGTTTATAATAACCAGCTACCTATTTTGACGGGTATTGTAGAACTAACTCGCTACCAAGAGAGGTACTTTTTCCATTCTACTTTGGTGTCGGTAGCCTACATAGCATTCGTTCGTAGCCGACGAACTTCTAGCTCATGCTTGTCTCCAAAATACAATGGAGTAAACGAGAAGGTGAATCATATTACGCATTCATAATTTCCGTTGCGGGTAAGAGCAGTAGCTGCTACCTCGATCCATTAACTCCCATATCCCTGGAACATCCGAGACCCACAGTGACTAGAAACATCCCGTTGCAGAACATCAATAGAGCGTGACCTGTTTGTAACTTCTAAGTCTGGCCAGCAGCTATTAGTAGGCGAACACATCTCATTATTTTCGCTGGCGAAAGTTTGGATATTCAATGTTAAAAACTAGGAGTATCACCCTCATATCATTAATGCGTAGATTTCTAAGTTAGAAACCCACCTTTCTACTGCAAAATCCAACTATCAACAAACATCATGAATAACAAGGGCGCCCCTACGATGCCACGAGCGGCGTCGAGTAACATGGCGATGAACATGTCAACCACCGCAATTAAATCGCAAAAAGTGGATGAGGCCGCGGAAACACAATCAAGCAAAGAAAACGAATCATCTGGGTACAAGAGCCCTCCAAATGGCAAACCCTCAACAGCAAGCCAGGCGGCGATGAACATGCAGCGCGACACAACCCGTCGAAAGGAGATATCGTTCAATATGGAACGAATCCAGATGGCAGAAAAACTTGGAAACGAACGCAACTTGTGTATCGCTCTAGACAAGCGCGTCACGGACTTAGTGAACGAACTAGCCAGCCTCAAGTCCAAAAACAAAGTTCTTGAAGCCGAATGCGAAGCACTTCGTTCGCAGCTCAATGACGTAACGAAGCAGCTAGAGGCTCGAACTTCCCATGCGAGGGAGGCGGTGTTGACTATGCAAAAAAAGATTGTCCGATTAGAAATCACGCTTGCGTTAACAGAACAATCTCTTGAACAGTCGAAGCTAAGCCAAGACGAACTTAAGGAAGCTCACCGCGAAGCTATCGAGAGCTCCACCTCCCAAGCCGACCAGAGAGACAGGGAATTAGAGGCGATGCGAGATAAACTCCATGATCTTCAAGTTACGTACGAAGAGGCGCAGGAAAAGCATAAGTTAGAGAGCGAAGCCAGTGAGATCGCCCTTGAAGAAATTCGGATTGAGTTGGATGATGCGAAAGTCGCCAATTCCAACTTGCAGAACTCACACGAGTTACGTGAGCGCAACCTACAGCAACGTCTCACTTCGAGAGGTAATGAGGCTAAGGACCTCAAGCGAGAAGTCAGTAGTCTAACGGCTGCCCGCGCGGAGGCTGTGTCGAAGAAACAGGCTGCAGAATACCAACTTCGAGAGAGAGCTGAGGACCAAGTTAGAAGGGAGGAAGAGTTACAAGAGAACCACAAGGAGACCCAAGCAGATCTCGCGAAAGTACGGGAGGACTTGCGCAAACTACAGAAGTCTACCGAGTCTTTTCCCCAGATGGTGGTTATATGCGTCGACGTCAGTGGAAGCCTCTCCTCAAACATCCATGAGGTGAAGCAAATCTACAGAGATGTCCTACACAAAGTCGTGTCGAATAACAAAGAAGCCGAAGTTGCAGTCGTGATCCACGGGGCCCGGTCCCAGAACGACGGGCTCCCTGCCCGAAAGATTTCCGATGAGACATTCCGATTCTTGGACTTCGTCATTATCGGAGGCAATGAGGATTATACATACTGCATTAAAAAAGCTAATGAACTTTTCGAACCTGTTCCCGACAGCCAGAAACTTGTCATATTAATTGGAGACGGGGACGCCATGTACTCGAATAGGACCACGCTTGTTAAAGAATGCGAGCGCTTAAAATCTTCACGGATACTAGCACACTCGATGATTATGCTATCTAATCACCGTCTTCGCTATTCAACAGATTTCGACATGGTAAAAATTTCGAATCTGATTGGCGGTCGGACCGAGTGGAAGGATACATACTTGTCTGCTCTTGATGAAATTCTTCTCCACGAGCGCGAACAGTATTTCAAGGCCTCCTAAATGTGGCAGTCGGGTTGTTTTTTTTCAATTCTAATAGGGTTGTAGGTTGGACGTTGATCTAAGTAGCATTCTGAATCACTAATTTTCTATAAATGTTACTACCATGGTGCCAATTAAAGAATACGTCCATACCTACCTAGGTACCTGGATACCTAAGGTATGTATGTACTATATGTAGCAGTCTAAATTGCATAGATATGTACATCGCATAGTGCATCCCAAATACTTCCTAAAGTGCCCAATTTCTACTATACTAGGTACTTTTTTTATTTTGACAGGTTACGTATGCCAAACGACGACTGCTAGGGAAGTACCTAGGTACCTAAGTATCAATGATTTTTGCTCATTCGACCTCCATATATCCATATCTGCTGTGTAACCACAGACCACTTAGACGAAGAGCGGCGTTTCGTCGTGCAGAGTTGAGGGCGAAACTACCGTATAGCTGTCCCAGTCGCTACCTACAGAGGCTTACATGGAAAATCATTACCACTACCTACGGGGGGAGGGGGGGCTCTAAAGACCCCCGCTACGGCTGGTCCCGAAACAATAGATCAGCCATGTACAACCATCTACTATACGTGCTGGTCTAAGTTGGCTTTAGGCCATTGGCCCGCGGTGATAGGTACCGACAATGTCTATTTCATATATTCTCTCTTTTCTACGTATATGTACCGCTTACTCAAGGATGCCAGCCCCCCTTAGCTCAGCTTCCGTCCAATCCCACAGCTTCCTAGAAAGTTCTTCGTCTTTCGCCGCGCTGGTTTCTTTATCAGGTACACCAACGGGCTCATAGTACTTACCGCTTATGACATTAGGGCTTGTCGCCGCCCACAAATAGTTTTTTATACCGACAGATACCGGCACGCAGAGGAGTGGGGCTATCGGCGCCGTAACGCGGGCGAGTCGACTCTCCTTTCCGAGGGAGGCGGCCATTCCCGTGATAATCCTGCCCGGGTGTACCGCAACCGTCCTTATCTCCGGCGAGCGGTGACCAAACTCGCGCATGAAGGCGATTAAAGCTATCTTGCTCTGTCCGTAGCGTTGCGAATACGACTTGAAAACGATCATCCATTAGCAAAAGCTGCGCCTTGGAAACGTAGCGCAATATTAACATACCATCTTAGCACAATCCGTCTTCAACTTTTCGAACTGAATCCCACCTTTTGGTGCCATAGCGTGTCCCTCGCTTGAAACAACTACGAGGCGCACGTCAGCATCCGGTTGTTGCGCGGTTCGCTTCATCGTCGCCGTCAATAGTCTTGCTAAGAGTGAGTGGCCGAGGTAATTGAGCCCAAAATGGATTTCATAGCCCTCCTTCGTCTTCCCTGGCATAATACGTATAATACCAGCATTAAGCACGAGAAGGTCAAGCCGTTCCTCTTGGGCGATAAACTCGGCTGCACATTTCTGTACGCTTTCGAACGACGTGAGATCTAAGTCGATATACCGAAGGTCCGTGGGGGTGGTGTCCTGCTCCTCATTGAAAGCGGACCCGTCGTGAACTTCTCGATCAATCCGATTGAGAAGTTCTTTCTTCCCATCCTCGTCCAGGGGTAAATCGGCAATGTAAATACGAGCGGGCTTCCCATAACGCGCGAGCTCAATAGTTGTCTGCCGGCCTAAGTCCCCGGCTGCGCCTGTAATAAGGATGATTTTCCCGGCTAGGGACGGGATATCGCGCGAAGGCTCGAAAGAAACGCCACTGCCGTCATTTCTAGACCCGAATAAGGTTACACGAGCCATTCCTTTTAACACATTCATATTGAAAAATAATGTACGATCATACCCAAATTGTCAGTCACTTATAGAAAAGTGATGATGCCCCTCTTGGGGGGGTTAAAACTAAATAAATAAGTGAACTTGGCTTAAAAGTCCCCGGGTGGTTATGACTACCATACCTACCTAGGTAGGTATCTCGGCTTACCAATAGCAGTATAGTGAGGTTATATTTGGGGGCGCATTTGTGGATGTAGGACGCGGTTAACTTTGAAGTCCTAGAATGTATCTAGGTACACAAACAGGCGAGGGAGTTCGTAAACCTTGACGAGGTAGAAGGTACTACAATCATATCTTCCATGACTTTAATCTGTTATTAATTAATATTGCAGTAGTAGGTCTCCTCATTCATTCCCTGCACCTTGTTTGGTTTCCGAGATGATATTGATGTTATACACATTGGAAAGTCGGGTGCCCGTTAAGCCAGGATCTATCAAGAAGCAATATTAGCCCTGCTAAGGAAAGTAGCAGCGTTTCATCATACAGTATAGATACATTGTTGGATGCTTATCAGCTATAATGCTTTCAATTGGGGGCCACTTGGCTATACTCCAGCGTTGACAAAAGTCTAGTTTATGTTCAGAGATTCGATTAGTTCCCCATTGGGTAGTGATAAAGTGGAGAGCATAGGACTGAAGTTACCTAATTAGGTTATAGTCAATTACATAAGCGAGGGCCTTACCCACCTAGGTACTATTAAAAAGGGTTCTTGTATCTTAGTAATTTAATCTTTTCTTTAATCTTGTGATCTTATGCCTTTTCAATAATATACCTTTAATACATTACAATTTTTTTTTAAGTTATATAACGAGTTACGGTATTTTTCAACGGTTATAATAACGGCTAGCGTTGTCTCCGCGTCGGGGGTGTTGGCCTTAACTAGTACATGCATGATCAAGTCTGCGCTGACTTGATTGGCTCTTCACCGCTCTTTTACTCACTAAGTGGCCTAATTGGGTACTTATTTTTCACAGCACAAAGAAAGTCGTTCAGCGAGCTCTTTGTTTTATTCAAGTCTCATAATCTACTGTCAGCGATGGTTGATGGCATTTTCCCGCTAACATCCTGGAAATGGGAAGGTATACCCCTTCCGAAGCTGGAAGAACAACCGGATGAGCCTCATCTTCTCTCCTCCATTGACTTAACTAGTTGGGTTGTAAATCAATTGCGCACCAGCCGGTATAATGATGTACGGGACATAATCGAGGGCAAAAAGGTAATAACAAAGTGGGTATGGTTTGCTCAATACTGATAAGTTTGTATAGGACCTTGTAAGATTGATTGAGCTTAAGGAACGACGGGAAAGGGGTGACAAAGTAACTGCGACCATTCAATTGACACGCCAACAGCGGTTCTCTTCTTCAGCAGCTTACCTTGTAACTGAACCGACCAACAAAGAACCCTGCCAGCAATGTAACAGCCGTTCTTCGTCCGGCCCTTGTGCTTTATGTATCGCTGGTGGCCCGGAACTGTTTACTGGCGCCTGTACCAACTGCCAGTACTCGTCTAACGCTTCGAAGTACACTTTCTACGCTAGTGAGTCTCTGAAGTACCGACCAACCACGTACAAACTAATACAAGATAGAAAAGTGAAAGAGTCTTGCAGGGAAGAAAAGAGTTGCTAGCTGTTCTATTGAGGAGGATGAGGATGTTCCATTCGGTTTGACTGAGGAGTTGCTTGCAGAGGCAACGACTGGTGAGCTTAAGCGAATGTTGAGGTTATTTGAGGACGAGATAGCAAGGCGCAAGTGTATCCCGTTATCAAAAAGAGTTCGCCGCCGCCTAGACTAAGTCGATGGAAGGTTATAGGGAGTTGAAGATATATACATATAAAAGTGCGGCGGTCTAATGAGCCAATGACCAACATAAAGTAAAAGTATCAACGAGGTATATTTTCTGAGGTTGCTATTTTCGTCTTTTTATAGTGCATTGTTGGCTGCAATGCGAACTAAGTACATGTACCTAGGCGGAGCGGGTGAGTGGGGTTTCAAGTACCTAAACGATGGACCAACAATCTTAAACCCTCGCTCAGTTCAAACTGTCCCAACTATATATTATTTCTAGATCTTTAAATACTGACACTGAGCTTGGAGCGAAAACTTCTAGGCCCTCGTCTAATCATTTGCCACACCATGGCATTCATCGACGTTAACGTGCTTTTCTTACGTGGTGGTTGGATTATTGTCGCGGTTGTGGTATTGAGGATCCTCTTCCAAGGCTACACACACCGATCAAGAATTAGGGCTCTAAAAGCCCAGGGACTGGTTAGTGTATCTTGGAATGGCGCGACACCTAAATAACTAGAAACTAACTCGCCTATATTCTACGATAGCCCATCTTACCTCACTCTCTGTTGCTCGGCCATTTGCCCATATTTGCCGAATTTCGGAAATCTCATCCCTTAGATGTAAATCCATCCATTTTCCATGCCTGGTTATTCGACAATTGCAGCACGTATTTCCCCGGTTACGAGTACCCGCCTTCAGTGGTTTACTTAGACCTCTGGCCAATCACTGATTCACTTGCCATAGTGAACAATCCAGAAGTTTTGGCCCAGTTCACATTAACTAAGAATTTACCTAAACTTGGCGGGTTCAAAAAGTTCATTGAGCCACTTACTTCATGTAATGATCTCCTTTGCACTGAAGGGCAAATATGGAAAACTTGGCGTTCTACATTCAACCCTGGGTTTAGTCAACGAAACCTGACGGCGATGCTTCCGGAGATTCTTGAGGAAGCGACCGTCTTCGCCGATGGCCTAAAAAAACTAGCCGGGGAAAGCGGGACTTGGGGCGCCGCTTTTCAGCTTCAGAAGAGAACGATAAATCTAACATTCGATATTATTTGCAGGGCGACACTGTAAGTTACAATCCCTTAGTGTTACTACAAGAAGATGTATTGACAGGAAATATTTTCCCTTAGTGATATGCGTCTTCATGAACAAACCGGAACTTCAGACAGCAAGCTGAAAGCCGCTTTGGTTGACCAACTAAGATTGATGGGAATAGTGCCCAACGTCGCACAAGGCCGTCCGGTCGGACGGTTACCTTGGCACTATGTCTCAGTTCTCCGGAATAACAGAACCATGCGAAGTATTCTATACCCCCAAATACTGAGAAAATCGAGGTCGGATACGTTTGACTTCCAGAGGAAAACTGTTATAGATCTCGCCATAAAATCGGCTAGGAAGGATACATCGAGCGTTTCGATTCAAGCCGATACCGAATTCATCGATAGACTTATTGCCAATTTAAAGATCTTCCTTTTTGCTGGCCACGATACGACGGCTTCGACGATTTGCTTCATGGTCAAACTGCTGCAAGATAATCATGGTTGCCTTGAAAAACTCCGAGCTGAACATGATGAGGTACTTAGCTCGGATGCGGGCAGAGCAATGCAGGTATTAAAATCATCCCCTCATCTCTTACACCAACTCCCATATACATTAGGCATCATAAAAGAAACGTTAAGACTATATCCGTTGGCTGCCACCGTCCGAGAGACTTACCCCGGTTTCTCCTTGACGGCGCATGATATTGCGGACAGAACCACGGAGTATCCGATGGAGGGGTTTGGGCTGTGGGTATCGGCTCTTGGAATACAGCGCCACCCACGTTACTGGCATCGTCCTAACGACTTTGTCCCCGAGCGTTGGCTAGTGTCTGATGGACCGCTGCGTCCAGCTAATAATGCTTGGATACCTTTTTCGCTTGGTCCTCGCAATTGTATCGGGATGGAGCTAGCTCTTATGGAGTTGAAGCTTGTGTTAATTCTGACAGCTCGGACATTTGACATAGAGGAGGCGTGGGATGAGTGGGATAAGATGCAGTAAGCACCCTACATCCTGGTTTTGTGGCTTCTGATCAAAGGACTAATCACTATCTTCAGTGGCAATGAAACTACGCCTGCGCCTACAGTGAATGGACAGCGCTTATATGAAACTGGGATAGGCATTGTCCATCCCAAAGATGGAATGCCTGTGCATGTTAAGTTACGATGATATCATAACCAAATACAGCCAAATTCCCAGATTATCACGAACAATTTTCTATAGGTTATCTTATCGAAGTACATAGTTTTCAATGTTATGGCGGGGAGGCTTCGGTGTACTTCTCATACACCCCTGTAGATCAGCAGCAGGCACCAGAGACAATGCGTATGTTCGAGCTGCATGTCGCAATTTAGCAGCCTTTTTCCCTTTCCTTCCCTCCCGACCTCCTTAATCTTTCTTCTTGATATATACGGTACAATAATGTGAATCTTGGAATATAGATGGCGACGTTGGGTAGCGGCTGTCTGTCCGACAGCGACCAAGCCTTCGGGCCTCGAGTCAATCCAAACTGTCGGTCCTTCGACTTCACACTTCAGTTCGAGGATATATTCTTCGCTTGCTTACCTGCAGCTATCTTCCTGTTGCTTCTACCTATCCGCGTCGCGGCATTCTTTCACCCGCGACAGAAATCCTTCGCCAGCGTCTCGTTCCTTCGTTCGGCGCTCTTGGGGGTCAAACTCGCTGTATTTCTGGGCTTATTAGCGGCACAGGTGGCGTTTCTAGCGCTTCGGGTTAAGTACCCCGCTTTCGCTACTAACGCTTCTCTCGCTGCTGATGTCCTAAGCATTGTCGCGATTACTGCGGCCCTGTTGCTTTCTTTCGTGGATCATACACGCAGCCCGCGACCCTCTACTTTGCTCAGCCTTTATCTCACCGTATTGGTAGTTGCCGGCACCGCGCGACTCCGTACTTTCTGGCTATTGTTGCCCCGCGGTGACAGTAACGAGGGGCAACCCGTTCCTGCGATAGCTACTCTTGTCTTCGCGTTTACTGGCCTAGCTTTACTCCTGGAATCCATAGAGAAGAAGGCCAATGCAACAGATGCAGGTTTAGCCACAGCTCAGTCTCAAAGACACGATGAAGCGATACATCGTCAAGACTCTGCTGCCAAGGGCGGGAAGCTGGCGCCCGAGCAGAGGAGCGGAATCTGGACCCGAACCAGTTTCGCCTGGCTTGCTGCTACATTTCGTGCTGGCTACACCAAAATAATCACGCTCAACGACCTTCCACCTCTCGACACCGCACTCGAAAGCCGACGACTGGGTAAGGCTCTAGCAATAGCTAGGGCTAAATGTACGTATTACCTGTGATAACTGATCCAATGCCGCTTCGTAGTTGCAATTGTTAACCAGTCTTCTCGCCACCAGACAATCCAACAGCTAAACACAGTCTCCTTCGTGCGTGCTTCTGGGCTTATCTATTCTCCGTGCTGTCCGCCGTCGTCCCCAGACTCTGTTTGACTGCATTTACCTTCGCGCAACCTTTCCTCGTCAATGCGACCGTGACTTTTGTCGGCTTGGAAAATCCAGATTCCACTTTCGGAAAGGGCCTGATTGGTGCCTGGGCTCTTGTGTATATGGGCATAGCAGTAAGTGATCAACTAGAGACGCCATTACCTAGGTACCCCCATGTCTTCATTTGGTTCAAGATATTTATCAATCTCGTATAGGTAAGCAGTTCCATATACAATTACCAGAACTTCCGCTTCATCACTAGGATACGAGGCGGCTTGATCGCTCTTGTTTATGATCGATCAATATCTAGACGAGCTTGCGACAATGGCGAAACCACCGCGATGGCCCTGATGAGTACGGACGTAGAACGAATAGTCATTGGGATGCGATCATTTCACCAGACTTGGGCCTCGTTACTGGATATCGCCATTGCTAGTTGGCTTCTCAGTAATCAAATGTCTGTGGCTTGTATTGCTCCTATAATCCTTGTTGCCGGTAAGATTTCAAATGCCCATGAAGCCATCCCAGGAATTGTTACTAATTAAGGGTGCCACAAACTAGCTTTCATTGCAGCTACATCCAAAGTGTCTATGGGAAGTCGAATTGCCCAAGTGCAATGGATCGAAAGAGTCCAGGAGAGACTGAAGGTTACATCCAGCTTTCTAGGCAACATGAAAGCTGTCAAGATGCTTGGGATCTCATCTATAATGTCGTCAACAATCCAGAAGCTACGCAAGGATGAGATCAACATATCGAAGAACTTCCGAAAACTTCTAGTTTGGACAGTACTGCTAGGTATGTTGGTGGCTAACATTCCTAACGGCTTAAATCAGCATTTCTACCTACCTAGGTGCTAACGGCAATATCCAGCTCTCACTCCTATCAATCTCGCGCCTGTTGTGACTTTCGCGGTCTACGTCATCATAGCGGTTTTCTGGAAGAACGAAGCCCTCCTCGCTGCGCAGGCCTTCACTTCAATTACCTTGATAGCCCTACTAACGACTCCGGTGATCATGTTCATACAGTCGCTCCCTCAGGTTTTCCAGTGCGTCGGAAGTTTTGAGCGTATCCAAGAGTACTGCCGCCATGATGCGACAGATTCCGAGGTGAACGAGGATGTGGCCTATGACGGGCCGTGTAACGTCCCCAAACAGAACGAGAAGGCCGATTCCACTTTAGATATCCAACCAATTTCCTTCAGAGGGCAAAGCTTCGCGTGGACTAGAGGCAAAGAAGCCATATTAAAGGACCTCAACGTGGATATCCCGCGTGGGGGAATCACAATTGTTGTAGGACCTGTCGGATGCGGCAAGTCGGCATTCTTAAATAGCCTCCTCGGTGAAACGGTCGCCACGAGCCCATCATCCACACAGAAGTCTAAATGGAGCAAGCCCCGCGAGGCGGCAGCATACTGCGCTCAAGAGCCATGGCTCGAGAATAAAACGGTACGCCAAAACATCATTGGCACGTCGCCTTATGATAGGAAGTGGTATAGCAATGTCATATGTGCGTGTAGTCTCGATGTCGACCTGCGGCATTTGCATAAGGGCGACCGGACCAATGTGGGAAGCGCAGGGCAGAACTTGAGTGGTGGTCAGAAACAGCGCATCGTAAGTTCATTTTACCAATACATATTTTCGAGGTGAATAGTATGGTGATTAGAAATTGGTTGGTTCTGTAGGCTTTGGCTCGTGCCATTTACGCTAGGCCCAGTGTCATCATTCTTGATGATGTATTCAGCGGAATGGATTCCAACACTGCGAATCTTATCACATCGCGTCTTCTAGGCCGAGACGGCATATTGAGAAAGCACCAAACGACAGTTATTATAGCTACGCATAATAGTATTCCTCCCCAAAGCGTATAGTTACTAAGAACATAATGCTAACAAAGCTATTCTAGAAAACATCATGGCACTTGCGGACAATATTATTGTACTTAAGGACGGCAGCATCATCGAGACTGGGAACCCCACTGCCCTTCTTCAAGATGATGGTTACGTCAGCAAGTTTGGAATTACTACACTGCCCGAGTCTAACGCCGAAGATGTCATCGAGACAGCTGAGACCGGAAACTCCGAGCTAGCCCGCGAATTTTCCCAATTTTCGACGGATGCGGCCGAGGAGATAGATATCTCTCCGACAGACCTCCGACGCAAGCACGGAGATATAGCCGTGTATAAGTACTACATCGCCAATGCGGGATATCTCGCGGTCGGTGGGTACGCCGCGTTCGTGACTCTTTGGATGTTTTGCACGGAATTTTCAAGTAAGCAGCACCAAGATGGCTCTGAATGGACTATAAAGCTAATTAGGCTCTTAGCTATTATTGTAGATTGGTGGTCCGAGGCCAATGCCATTGAGCCGAACAAGGACGTGGGGTTGTATATGGGAATCTACGCGATGATTGGTGTCCTTGGAGTTATCGGTGCCTGTGGAGCGGCATGGTGAGCGCTTTCTACCCCCGTCAAAGAAAGAGGCGACTGCTAATGAGATGCTGGAGGGTTGCAATAATCTCCATCATATCAAATACAGCAGCTGGTCTTCATGCTGACTTGCTCGATGCCGTGGTTAAGTAAGCTCACTTCGCAGCTAATTTTAACCGTATCATGACGCGTTAACCAGTTCACTAGGGCGCCGTTCAGTTTCTTCGCTTCAACGAACAGTGGCGAACTTCTTAATCGGTGAGTAACTTTTCCAAGTAATATCGCCAAGGTCGCCCCTTTTCATTATATAATCATGCTTACTAATCCCTGCTTGTGTAGATTCAGCCAAGACATGGAACTCGTGGATATGGAGCTACCTCTAGCAATGATCAACTATACGTCAAGTCAGTAGTATCTGCTATTACCAGTGCGCCTACAGTAGAGTGGGACTGACAACAATAATAACTAACAGCTGCCGTGTCTATCATAATCAAGATTGTGATCCTAGCCATCTTCTCGCGATATCTTGGCATAACCATCCCCTTCCTAGCCGTGGTCGTGTATTTTCTGCAGCGCTTCTACTTGAAAACTTCCCGACAGGTTCGTCTCTTGGGGATCGAAGCGCGTGCTCCACTCTACACACATTTCGGTGAAACTACCGACAATACCGCAGGAAGCACAACAATCCGCGCATTTGGTTGGCAATCGCACTACCGACGCCGAAATTATGAGCTTATCGACGATTCACAGCGGCCTGTTTATCTGCAGAGCTGTATTCAACACTGGCTCACGTTCGTGCTAGATTTACTGGTAGCCGCATTAGCTGTGGTATTGGTAACTATCGTCGTCACATGGCATGATCGCTTCAGTGCAGGAAACGTTGGTGTAAGCTTGTTAATTGTGATACAATTTAGTGAGACCCTCGCACGTTTAATCCAAAGTTGGACGAAACTTGAATCGAGCGTTGGTGCTGTTTCCCGTATCAGGCGGTTCGTGGCAGATACTGAAGTAGAAGAGGGAGATAAACGCGGGGAAGTCCCTCAATTACCACCGAATTGGCCTAGTGATGGGGCAGTCCAGTTTACCAACGTCTTTGCCTCGTATGGGTAAGTTGCCCTTTTCCTTTCACTTCTTTGACCACGCTGCTTGGGGCTTCCTAGCACGAAATAGACCCTTGATCAGAAGTTAATTAACCCGTACGAAAATAGGTCTACAGCGGAGCCGGCGTTGAAAAACATCTCCGTATCGATTCTACCTGGACAGCACGTAGCCATCTGCGGGCGCACCGGAAGCGGCAAAACCTCATTTCTGCTTGCGCTGCTGCGCATGCTCGATGAAACGTCGTCACAAGGCCAGATCAAAATCGACGGCATCGACATCACCGCCATAAAACGGACGGATATGCGCGCACACATCAATGTCGTGCCACAAGATTCGTTTTTTGTCCCGGGCACTTTGCGCTTCAACATGGATCCTTTCTGTTCCACCTCCCCCACCGCTACTTCTAGTAGCGGTAGTACTCCTTCTGGTACTAGCGGCGGAAAGCAAGATAGTGATGCGATGATCCGCGAGGCACTTAAGAGAGTGGGGCTTTGGGACTCCGTCAACACGCAAGGGGGTCTAGACGCCCCAATGGATCCCGGGGCTTGTTCTACCGGCCAGAAACAGCTTTTATGCCTTGCCAGAGCTATAGTAAAGCATTGGAAGAAGGGTAACAAAGGCGGCATATTGGTGCTTGATGAGGCAATGAGCAGGTATGTGTTTAGTCATTGATATCTCCACTTTTACCCCTATCTCTCCTATTTCTCCCCTATATACAGCAAGAACACAATTATGAACGGGACGAGATGCTAATTGCGGTTTAAACACCACTTCGAATAGTGTGGATGCCGATACAGAGTCTATAATGCAGGAAATAATCGATACCGAATTCAAAGACTGCACTGTCCTATCTATCATGCATCGTCTACGCCACGTAATGCACAGTTACCATGCGGTTATGCTTCTTGAATCCGGTGGATTACTTGAATTTGGTACACCGGAGGCACTTATGCAAGGAAATTCGGGTTTTAATGAGTTGTATAGATTGAATATTAATTGGTAGCACTGTTCTGACGCGGGCGTCAAATGTGCCTAGCCGTTGATTATATAAGCAGACGTCTCCGAAGCAAGAACCCGTGGCAATATCTGTGCGAATAAACCTATACTGGTTAAGTATCTGGGTACTTACATACGTACCTAGGTAGGTATATATCTTCATTTATAATACATCACTCAGGGTGGGCATGTACCTAGGTACATAAGTGTGTTGGTCAGGGCAGCAGGAGTGCCAATTACCAAACAATCCGACCGACAACGCCCAACAGCGAATTTCCCCTCTTTTAGTCCTACACGATATTGGAAACCTAGCGATAACGGGCAACCGAAATAGTCACATCAGCCATGGGAGTTGACGTCGGCTTCGACATGGTCCCTCGCCTATCCAAGGGGGCGGCCGATAGACAAAATTGGGACCACTTCATTGCCACTGTTCAAAAACATTACAAAGACGACGTAAAGGTCGAAACGAAGGCGAATTACATCGAGTTTAATGCAGGAGAACATCCCGTACTCCCTTTCGAAGGCCATAAGTTCCTCCGTTTCAGCTCAAATACTGCAGGATCTATCGCGGTAGAAACAGGAGTAAGGGATTATATCGACACCGTTATCAATATTGCAAGACTCCATTTCGGCCCTCGTGTTCATGTTTGGAGCGAGTTATCTGGTCAGCTTGGTTACTACGATTGGGCAGAAGTTCATAAGTCATTCAAATCCTATCAAACAGTATGCCTTGTCTACTCCGTCTTCTTCTTTTATTCGTAATAAAACACTATATCTAATATCCTATTCACAGCGAGACGACATGGAGACACATACCAACCTTACGCATATCACCGATCCCATTAAAGAGCTTAGTACGCCTCTCCTTGAGGTCGCGATCATCCCAGGACGAGGTAGAGGTCTCATCGCCCGATCCAATATCCCTTTAGGCACGAGGATTCTTTGTGAGAAACCACTTCTCACAGTGAAACCTATGCCAGACGATGAATTAGAGGAATACATTTCCACACAGCTCAAAGCATTATCTAAAAACGAGCAGCGGCAATTCCTATCACTCCACAACAACTTTCCAAGGATGCATCCTTTCCGTGGTGTTGTCAAAACGAACGGTTTAGCGTGTGGATGCGATTCCTCTGTAGGCGGAGTCTACGCTAATATATGCCTCATCAACCACAGCTGCCTCCCCAACACGCACCACAGCTGGAACACCGATGCAAAACATGAAACCATCTACGCCATCCGACCAATTGAATGCGGGAAAGAGATCACTATTTCATACCACCCAGGCAAACCATCCGCTGTCCGTCAGAAATCCTTAATGAAGTCCTTCGGTTTCCAATGCACGTGCAAACAGTGTTCCCTTCCGGCCGCCGAACTACAAGCCAGCGACCGTCGTCGCATACTAATCGAAAGTCTTGACGACCAAATTGGCGATCCAGTGACTTTTGCAGGAAGCCCAAATACAATTCTCGAGAGCTGCCGCACATTACTCCACCTTGCAGAAGAAGAGTACGAGGGATATCCTGGAGCCATTCTCGCCCGATTATTCTATGATGCTTTTCAAGTATGTATCGCCAATGGGGATCAGGCCCGGGCAAGAACATTCGCACAAAGGGCCTATGAAGCTAGGCTTGTCTGTGAGGGTGAAGATAACCCCGATACGAAGAAAATGAAGGCATTTGCCCGGAAGCCGACGGACCATCATAGCCATGGCCTATCATCTATGAGGTGGAAAACAACGAAGGAAATGGTTCCGAAAGGTCTCGACGCCGATCAATTCGAGATGTGGTTATTTCGAATGCAGAAGTGAAAATAAACGGCATTAAGGTCGCCTTTATGCGATGAAATATGTCCTCATTTCTAGGGGGCTGGGGGAAAGTATGGGATGCGTAACGAAGCTATGTACTTTATGAATGCTACCCATTGCCGAACAAATACCACTGCTTATTGTTAAACGCTGCCATAAATTTCTTCTAATATGCATCCGGAGACGTATAAACTCTCCATTACGCAAATATATTGACCATTAAAAGGATTCCTAGAAATGATGTTTCTTTGCGCCTCCCTTCGAAGGCAAATAGTGTCTTAGGTGGGTTCTTCGGCGCGATGCCGACGAACTTAGCTTCAAAATTTACGCCTAAGTAATTCAATCAGAAACAATATTTTAACCACTGCAATTATAAGGACTATTTAATACTCTAAAGAAATATATATGCTTAGTTCTTATGAGAATCTCTCACTCACGTAGTTTAGGAAACTTTTATTCATCGGAATATCCCCGAGTGACAGTAATACTAAGATGCCTTGATGTGAAATGAGCGGCATCTAGGAGATGGTTATTCTATGGCGCTACTTATGGGGATGGGCCACTAAAAGCCACTGTAGCCATGATCAATTTCAGCACCCAAGCTAGAACCTATAGGGCGGAACTGATCGGCAGCATGCACTAACTACACTATAAATGCAGGGGGTCAACCACTCAAATTGCTGATGCTATAAAAAGAGCAACACCAATTCCTGAAAACATCACAGCAAACCACAGCAATCGTTAGAAATAATATTCTATACGGCCCATCACGATTTGCCAGCTTCTTCCCTAAGTACTCGATGGTTCGCTCACCGGCCCATCAACAAACCTAATCACAGCTGACAGCCAAGTTTCATGGTCTTCCAGCAACCCAGGATCACCACCCCACCGCAGCACAGTAGCGAACCACCTATAATCGCCCGGACCAGGCGAGTACTCAGTTCCATTTTCTAGAGTAGCCGTAAGACCCTTACCCAGTGGCCAATTGAACGTCGACGGCGATAGAAGTTCCGTTGAGTTAACCAGCGTTCCGTAAGACGGAAAATTGAAAATCCTGGTTGGCGGGGTTGCGGTAGGTGGGATGTAATCATATGTCTTGGATGGATCGAAACCGTATAAATCCGGCACCACGTTGATGTTGGCGGGCACGAGATCAATGCGATATCCGCGCGTGAATTGGTCGCGCCCGATTAGCGAGCGATATGATAGCGTCGCGTTGGCTTCGAGGAGTCCGGTGTTGACCACCCAATCATCGCCATATTTGTAGGATACTTGTGGCTGAGGGACTGTGTTCGCAGTCGCGTTGACGATGTGGAAGTAGCGCGCGTTATATAAGGAATAGGGTGGACCAGAGTATGGCACACTAAATTCTTCATCGTCGCTGTTTACTTTGACGAAACCACCAAATACAGGGATCCGCTCGGGTTTAACGCCGACGGTGGGAGGTAGGATCCTGAATGAGACAACTGCAGATTCGCCCGCCGCAATTTCGACAGTTGGCGACTCAAATTCGGCAGATCCATAAACAGGAAGTTGATTCTCTTGCGAATAGACAGGATTGTTGGGTGGATTTGGTTCGGAGTAAGAGGCACCTTCATGAGACAGCGTGTATGTTTTAGGCGAGTCGGAACGGTTTTCGATGGTGATGTTTACTACACCATACTCGGTACGAGAAGTGTCGCTTACGAGAAGCTGACCAGGCGATATGCGACTTTTATACGTAATTGCTTTGTAGGCATTAACCAAGCCGGCGCCTTGCTGAAATGTGCCCGCGGTCATGGTGTCGTTCCAGACCCACCTAACCGGAGTTGACGTCGACTGTAGAAGTGAAAGGATTTCTCGAACGGATAGATCCGGGAATTGGGACTTAACTAAAGCATAACAGCCGCTAATGAACGGCGTTGCCATAGACGTCCCTGAAAGGATAGTATAATAACCTTGGTCTCCTAATGGCCAAGTCGAGAGGATTTGGCCCCCCGGAGCTGATATTTGGGGTTTTAAGTCGTATGTGAGGTAACTAGGTCCAAAGCTCGAGTAATAATCCATTTGGCCACCAACGTGCTGTTGGGGGCTAGAGAAAGAAGAGTCGTTGAAAAACAGTTTATACTGGTCGGATTCGGTACTATTCAGGTTCGCCAAGAGTGTCGCGCTGTCATTCGCGTTTATCGCGATGTATTGGACAGAGCCGTCACCGAAGAACCCGGTGGAGGCCATCTCATAGTCTACGTGATATGGGTCTGATGTATCAGTGTACAGTCCCATTATGTATCGTAAATTGCGATTTGAGCAGCAACTCCCAGCACCGGTATAACGACAACTGTCTGTTATTGGAAATGCGATTATCGTCGTATTGAGTTTCCCCTGGGTGTCTAAAGACGATATAGCATCATTCCAAGTACTAGATCCAGAACAGCCACTCTCGAGCAAGTAGACCTCAAGACCATCTGGGAATTCGATGGGCCATAAAGACGCGTAAGGTATTGTGGCACCTTGGGAGTCAGTAAGAGCATAAACAAGTGGGAAGTTTTTGTTGGCGATTGACCCAACGGATATTATAGACGAAAGCTCCGCGGGTGTCGATGTTCGGTATAATTGAGGGGCATACTTGCTGCCAGAGCCCTCATTTCCTTGGGCAACAATAACAGCGATTCCCGAGTCGACCAAACGCGCAGCAACATTCATCAAGGGATCATCTCGATCTTGCCACGACTCTTGAATGCTTAATGACATGCTTATCACATCAACACCGTCCGCTTGCGCTCGTAACATCGCTGCCATGACACGATCAGTTGTCTCGCCATGTGTCGAGCAGTCAAACACTTTATAAATGTACAGTGTCGCTTCCGGGGCCACACCAGAAATATTCAATTTTCTATTTCCATCTGTAAGCGGGTTCATGCCAACGATTCCTAGCACACAGGTTAGCTCCCTAATTAATGAAAGAATGGGGCGTCTTTCGAAGGGTATTTTACCCGCAACATGCGTTCCATGGCCTGCCGTGTAACAAGTAGTAAGAAAGTTATCGTCCTCGACCGCGGTACCATTGTCAGCTAGCCAGGACCAACCTCCAGCAATCTTGAAGTCGGCGCCAACACCGCCTCCCAGGGCTGGGTGCCGATAATCGACTCCGGTATCAACAATCCCTACTTTAACACCCTTGCCTTTAATTCCGAGCTGGTGCAGCTTAGCAACTCCTGCCATTTTATGAGTCGAGGCGAGATCTCCATCGGACTTCGGAGATACTGCCGGCATTGCCGGTGTATCTGCGTAAGGAAGATCTAGGTTCTTTGAGTTGACCGACCCCTCCGGGAGACCAGGATCCGACAAGAACATTTCATACACAGGGCTCACCGATACCACGCCGGGGATATCATTGAGCTGGGCAGAAACGGCTTCAGAGTCACTGTTCCCAGTGACTCGGATTGACAAGCCGACATAGGTCCCCGGAGACCGGTACTCGTGCGCAACCGCATATTCAAAAGGCAAATTCTCCGCATGCTTATGAAATTCAGCATGCCGATCTAGGGGCTCCGGATAAATGCCGTCTTCCACCTCGCTACTATTCAGCTCAATGATAAATGCGCCTTCAACGAGCTCAGGGCTTCTAGCCGCAAAACCTAGAGAAAAGAGAGTGGCGAAAATCAGAAATTGCAGCATAATTAACCCCATACCGCCGTCTATGAATTTCGAGTAGATAGTATAGTAGGTCCGTGGTTGTGGCGCGTGAGATAGATTTATAGTCCTAGTCACTTTAGCCTATACCCCTATATTACCACCATAGGCGAACGCTCTATACTGTGCATATCAGCGGATCATCCCGAATGTAACTCACATCATTTTACTTACAGTAACGATTCACTAGCTCGATGCGTAGATAAACAGCTCTACGACTAAGGTGAAGGAGTCGTGGCGGCGGCAAGGCCGCGACCGACATATTCTACTTAACATATTTATATTCAGGTACCCGCGCAAACAACTTCCACGCCTCTGAGATGTCTGGGAAGACGGCTCGCTTAATCCTCACTCCCCGGCCCGACTCTCGTCGTGGGGAGCATCTGTGAGAACATGACGACCTATAGGTATGATAAGACGGTCATGGTTCCCGAAGATCCGTGAACGGGAGCGGTAAGCAGTTAAAACTTTCCAGCCTTGACATCGCGAGCATGGCGTAACTGACGGTGAGGTTCCTAGGACCTTCCGACCTCATTCTAGCTTTATAACCGGGGGACTCAAGCAAGGTCACGAAGGCAACCCAAATGAGAGAGCCAATGACTACCTATATTAGAACAGGGTCTTTTTGATCTAGATGTCAACAAGGTCCATCGACAAGAGCCTTGCGCGGCATGCAACCACGCCGCGTTCGGGAATTAACCCATGTGCCAATCATGCAGAATTAAGCTTATAATCAGATATTTACAAGGGCCGAATGCAGGGCTGAGCCGAAAGTAGCAGGTCGATAATGAGGTCGTCATGTTTGTTGATGGTAGCGCGGATCGATAATCGGGGACCGATGGTATCATTTGGCGGCCTTGTGACGACAATAATTAGATAGCTTCACTCTGATTGTAACCTTGAAACCGGCATCATTATCTTCGAAGATTCAAACGGTAAGCGCCAAGAGTTCTTGGCGAATACGCGATTCTGGCTTCGAGTTGGAAGCTAATCGGAACTTAGAAGTGATAATGCTATACTACCTATGGTGATTTGGTGGAGAAGGCCTTGCAATATATAGCGTACCTGGTTCCTAAATGCGCTGTAGATTGATCGACGAGTTCAATGTAGTTTTGTTGGTGACCGCAGGAGTTGTTCGCTGGGAGTCAACATAGCCACTCTGTCGGGTGAACCTAATCGGACGGGATATCAATGAACGACGCCTCCGGATAGTGTAAAGTCGGAGTAGTAAGTTATATTTGCTCTACTTCTAATCCAACGGCTATGTCTCGTGCCATTCTTAGAAACACTGGCCTGGCATGATTATCGTGAGCACAGCGGATTGATTGCGGGGTATCTGGCGGGCTTGGGGTTCTAATGTCTTCACCAATCAGCGAGTGAAAGGTTTAACAGAGTAGAGTGCCCAGCCCTAAGTAATATAACAATCGAGTACGATATAAAAAAACATTCAGACGAACATTCTAAAGGAGCATAATGATGCTTCAAAACACAATATATCCATATTAATATTTGAAGTTGTTACGGGTCTTTAGACTTTCCAGAAGGATTTACAATATTCTAACCCGATTCTTAAGCCGGCTCTAACCCGACAACAGCATCACAGCCAATCATGAAGCTTTAATCCTTACATAATTCGTAGCACCCCTTATCCCGGATTTAAGGGTCTTTTTTCCGGCCCACATGGACAAACAATTCACCCGCGTACAGAACTCTAGTGTGAAAAGAAGAACGCTGATTGGTTCAAATCACCCCAGGATATCAAACGGGAGCGATGTTATCTCCATCAATCCCCATTAAGTAAGTCTAGCACTCCTAGGACCGAAAATAGATACTCAATCTGATCGAGACCTGTGATGGGATCCATGACGATAGGCAACCAGTTTTGGTACCTGCATGATTCGTATAAAAAGAGCATCTCTTTGAAGCAGCTATGGGTGGCTATATCAATTACTCAAGTATAAGACTTTTTGCCATACGAAAAGTTGACTTCAGCAGTCATCACCAAACTTGGCAGCAAGAAACCTCATTAACTAATCATTTATAATAAGGAGAAAACACTAAACAACAACCGAAATCATATTAAACATGTCGAGACTCTGGAACTTTCTCCATATGTTATGGTATCAAACGACCTTCAAGCCACAACCACTCCCCGATGATATCCGGCTCGAAGGACTGACGGCCATTGTGACGGGTTCCAATGTGGGTCTGGGATTCGAGGCGGCCAAAGAACTAGCATCGCATGGTATATCAAGACTGATTCTTGGTGTTCGCGACCCAACCAAAGGCGAAACAGCCAAGGCTGAATTTGCTCGAGTGGCCCCTAATTGTAACATACGGGTGTGGCAATTGGATCAAGAGTCATGGACAAGCATGGTAGCTTTCGCGGAACGCGCGCGCACTGAACTAGATCATCTTGATATCGTATTATTGAACGCAGGGTTGAAGAGGTTGGAGTTCACTCGATCGCCCACAGGCCACGAGGCGCACGTTCAAATTAATCATCTCGGAACGGCACTGTTGTCATTGCTTCTCGTGGAGCCATTGCGACGGACCTCGCAAAAAACCGGCAAACCAGGCCGAATGACCATTACGGCATCTGGCGTCGCATTTGATGCCCCTATACGCGATGTCGCAAAGCCTAAAGGAGGGAAAGGTATTATCCCCTGGCTCGATGATCCAGCTTCATTCGTCCCTGGACAAACTCGGTATGAACTGTCCAAGCTACTCGATATAATGTGGACCCGGATCCTCGCCGCTCGACTCGACCCCACCGAGGTTATCATTAACACTATCAATCCGGGGTATTGTCAAAATTCATTTCACCGCGTCGATCCGAACGCAGAGATGTTCTCCAAATATATCGCTTGGAACAGCGCCCAAGGTGGTTACCATTTGACTGATGCTGCTGTGCGACATCCGGATAGCCACGGGGCATACTTGACCGAACAGAGAATTAGACCGTGAGTCGAGTTATAATCTACTGTGTTGTTTATGTCTATGGCTGACAATATTTCTTAGCGCTCCCAAATTCTTATATACCGCCAAGGGCAAGGAAACAGAGCAGAAGTTAGGGGATGAAACAATAGCACTATTTCAACAAGAGTGCCCAGAGGCAAACATTGAAAAATTCACTAAGAAATGAGCGAAATTGGGGTTTTTACGCTGCCAAAATATGGGGGAAAAATCAAGGACTATCTTGAACAGAGGGAATGATTTCATTCTCAGACTTCGTGTTGGGAATGGTGATTGGAATGACGCATTGTTTTGGAGGGAAGCTCCGGAGGGACAGTGCAGAGATATTGGCGCGTCACATCCGAAAGGCTGGTGGCAACGGGATTACCAGCCTGAAGTTTTCCAATGAATTTTGGTTGGTAAAAACTCCCGAGTCCACTCTACTCAGGGACGAATTCTAACGACTCGAATGTTCAAATAACATATTTTGTGACTTATTCAATTCGCTATTTCCCCCAACTGTCACTGATTTTCTTCCGAATGACTCAATTGAGGTTTTAATATAAGAATCAGGGAATTGTGATTCGAATTGCGCCAAGTATGTCGTGAAACGGCTGAGACATGATGTGACTGCATCCGGTTCAAAGCGAGGGGTTCGCGAGCTACCATCAAAACAATTATGAAGAATATGGCAACTTATGAGCAATGCGCTTGACATTGGACATTGTTCAGGAGAACCATAAAATTGATAATTGAGTCAAGAGAATGTCTTTTCACAAGTTGCGAAATTGACATGGCAAATGGTAGTAAATAGAAGAAAATGACGGTGACAAGGCCTACTCCCCGCTATCGCCGTTATTTACCCTAGCAGGCATTGGGGAAAACAATGTAAGGGCACCTATACAGCAACCCACGAGAAGTAGTAAAAAAACAACGAGGGTAATAATAGAACTGACAACGATTCAGATCAATTCATCGTATTATCATCTTATTTAGATATAATTTCGCCGCACTCGGCAAATATTCAGGCGCGCGGCAGCGTCCAAGAACCAGTGAAATTAATGAACGTGGTCGCGATCCAGTTCAGGACCCAGAGGGGATCTCTGAGAATATAACACGCCTGACTCGATCTAGTAAGGAATATGTGACATCAACAATGGAGAAAATCGACCACAATACGATGTGGATACTCATATGAAGATGGAATAGAGAGGTGAGAAAGAAAAATAACAAAGTAGGAGAAGAGTAGGAAGAGGACGAAGCAAGGAAGGTTGTGATTGTGATTGAGAGGAAGGAGGAAGGAATTAGCATTAAAAATCAGGACGGCAGAAGGGTTCCCCTCTCTCTTACCCCCCCTAGTAAATCGCATCGCATCGCACCTTACTCTATAATCATCAATCATAGGCGCCCGCTGCTGTGCTATCAAACTCGTGGATGTGCCCCAACCGTTTTTATGATCCGATCATTCCCTTTTCCTTCTCAATCAATCGACCACCTGCACCTGGACCACTTAGCACCCAGGCAATTCCAACCAATTCTAGACCTGATTAGCCGGGTCTGTTTATGCGACATGTTGTCACTTCTTTTTATTTATTTTTTTCTTCCATTTTTAATTTCTATTATTACATGCCCGGGGTATTGTGTATTATGTATTATTTATTCACTATGTTATTCGGGTAGGGTTGGGTGATGTTGCGATGAGTTAGCCGTCGAATCACTGCCCTCAGCGCGGCAGAGAAAACCATAACACACCTCACGCACCGTAGGGGCTAGGCCTATTATAGGTATCGATACAGTAGGCACTGTACCTGACCCGTCCTATCCTAATCACCTTGCTGCCCTCCGTCCTCTTAATCTTCCATCGTCCTTCCCCCCCGTTGACAATCTTTTTTTTTTCTTTCCCTTCTCCCTCTTCGTAATTTCTTCTTCCCTCTCTCACACTTAACTAAATCACTCCGTATTCAATTCTTGCGAGTAATTTACTAGAAACAACCTGTAATTCATCGTACAAATTTTCGCTACGATCACCATCTACAGCATACAATTTTGTAAGTCGCCCAATCCAAATCCTTTCGCGCAATAACAATCCACCATTCTCCTCGGTCGCATTCTGTTTTGCACCAGCACCCTGCGTCGCTTCTTCATTCTCGAAGCTTTATCATCAACACTACATCGCGTTCTAACATTTGATATAGAATTTACCATATTTTATTTTACACACATACAACAAAATGCCACGCGAAGGAACGCGATCTGCCACCGGCAACTCCAAGCCGCGCGTCTTCCAGACAATTGACACTGCGCCGGCTATCAAGCGCTCAACTAAGCCTAAGGCAAAGAAGTCTCCTACTGCTACCACCACTGCCACCAAGCCTGCACCCAAGGCCAAGGCTGCAAAGCCAACTGGTGTGACTAAGAAGAAGTCTGCTGCTCCCAAGAAGGAAGGAGTCGCAAACAAGGTAAGCTTATAATATTTCATTGTGCTATGCTGTCACATCAAATCGCGTCGCATTCCCTTCAGACAGTACCCATGACCCAATTCCCCCCTCATCTCGTTATTACTTTCCACGCCCATCGCATAAACCCCAGAAATCATTTCGCTCCATTTTAGACAATAATTATGTTACTACCCTATTCGTGATATAATATACCCAATTTCTAACACATAAAATAGGTCAAGGCTGCTGTCAAGAAAGCAGAAGAGAAGGTTGAGAAGGCCGACAAGGCTGAGAAATCCGAGAAGGCAGATAAGGTAGAGGAGAAAGAAAAAGAGAAGGAGAAGGAAAAGCCTAAGAAGGTATGTTACCACCAAAAGTACTCCACCTATAACCATAAATGCTAACAAATCCCCTAGGCTGCTGCCAAGCCTAAGACTGCAGCAAAATAGATCCGTCACCACCGTTCATCACCAGTCTCGGCTCTAATTTACCAACTGGCCTGGACTAGAGAGAATTGATGGTGTGGCTTATGATCTAACCACCGTGTACCACCTCCCCCTAGCTTCCAGCACCACGCAATGTAGTCTTCCGATGGAAGACTCGCAGACCCGTATCTGTTCCTGGCTTCTATTCCGGCAACAACGTCAAACTACCATGTCACCTAGTCCCGGAATATCGGCCACGCCTGACCTCCACACCTGCTCTTGCTATCTTTTATTTCCATTCCATTAATGGTATAATCATTTGAGCGCAATCCATATAGTCATGGTCCCAGAAATGAACATGGGTAATTTTCTTAGTTCATCTGTAACAAAGAGGCAGGGCCAATGCCAATAGGGCTTCCCAGCGCGGGTCATCCCAACTCAGATGGACGTAGAGGCACATTGTGTATCGGACCAGGACAGTCACGGAAATATTCATATGGTTATATAGCTTTTACACGAATCCGAAAGAGCGCCTATAACATAATCTAGTTTATCCTCCCAAACCCCTGTGACCTAGGAACTTATATCTCGTGCCATGTCATTTCCTCGTTCTAACCGATTGACCTTCCTGGCCTAACACCCCTAACCATTCACCTAGTATATGCAAGTTCTTGTTATTTGATTAGAAAAGTGACTAGGGAACTATCTAGAAAATTAGGGACGCATTTACAACTCTAGCTAGAGATGCGATTAGGTTTGATAACATAGATCGAAATAGGGGGTAGGCTCCACATAAATTTCAACAGCACCTCATTCAATGCCTTCATCTGTAGCTACCTCCATCAAAATTGGCCTATACCAAGCATGCCCGTAAAATCAAAATTAAAATCAACGAACCATTCACTGCATGAAGAATCGCAAATGAAAAATAGTCTATCTCTGTACATTACTGGTCATTAAAATTGATGTCCTATTCCTATCCCGACCTAGAATAACATCATTCTGTGCAACTCGGCCCTTCAAACGGCCATCTTCAGCACACAAATTCTCAACCACTTCCTTCCAAAAAGTGTAAACCAAATACACGATATAATCTTCATAACAATGCCGTCTCATCCTTCCATGCTGTGGAAGAATTCAACAATGCTGGTATCAAATATTTCATCCCAGGAGAACCCAACTATCCGCCATTATGGGTGATAGAATGCTCAATGCAATAAAAGTCCGTCTTGATAATTCCGTTTAACATTTTAACATTACGAAAGGAGCCCGAACATTTTCGATGTCGGGGTCCTTAAACCATAGCCAATAGCCATTTCCAGAGATATGTACCTGATCCGAAGTATTACTTGATCGCTAACCTTATGCGGTGCAACAGTAAAAGGTGGGCTGAAAGCTCCCCTGGCCCGAACACCAAGGGGTGGAAGCTTTAGTTATTTTGTCCGCGTGTGCTGGAAGTTTGAGAGGATTCGAGTTGCTGCTTCTTGCGTGCTTTCTCGGCTTCCTCTCTAATTCTCCAGCTCACCATTGGGTCCCACTTCTCACCTGGCTGTTGCACCTCTCCATGTTACGTGGGGAAGTGCATCACTTGGCCAGCAGGAATCTTGATATTCTCCCAGTTCTTGTCCTCGCGTTCGTCTACGCGTTTTGTGTCAGTAGAAGTAATGATGTCGATAGGAGATATAACTTACCGACTCTGATGACTTGCATCTCCCTAACGCCACAGAACATTCCATTTCGACCTTCTCGTTGGACTAGCTGCCAGTGACCGGTGTTACCCTCCCCGACCCATATTTCTTCCGTAAAAGTATCGCCTTCCTGGACCGTGCGATGCGGATTGCGAGTTGGCAGTGAGTATGACCATGACATTAAGGCGTGCGGAATACTGAATAACCGCTCCCACCTCCGTACCCACGAGTGCCAGTATAGTACTTCGTGTGTGTACGCAACGCGTACATATGGATTCATGTATACGCCTAATTCCTTATCTTGTGATTTTCTTGCAACCTGAGCTACATCGGCGTGGAAAAGGCAACACTCGCAAGCATCAAAGAAGACTTCGGGTTCGTAACGGAATCGGACCGGGGCGGTAACATTATGTGGTTTCGCGGGATCGACGACATAACTATTGATTTCTTGAAAATGAGGATTCGGCAATGACTCGTTCAAATTCTGTACATGTTTTGCCTGCATTGCTACCATCCCACTCCAGCATGCGGTAACCGGGACGGCGTCTTGCTGGTTAAGCATAGCAGCCCTGGATGCGCCTTCGCCAGCGTTCAAGAACAGCGGCCAGAACGGCAGTCCAGCGGAGTGACCTTCGGCATCGCGAGTAACATAAAGGTCGTAAAATTTGAATGCGTCCCAATAATCCATGGCACAAGCCGACAAATAATGCGCCCGTCCATCTGATTCGACATTGGTACTAAAAAGTAGGTGAGCTGCATCGATGGGTTTAAATATAATGTCATTGAGGAATAAAATCTTGTCATAATGCACTGTCCCGGCATCCGGATCGAACCGATCGAGAGGCCGTAAAGCCCTATTCCGCATTTCGGAGAGGTATGCGAGACGCTTCACTCGGGTAGTGTCGTCGGGTAGTGTCACGGTTGGAAAATCCGTGACGGGCACATGGGGCTCGTTGACGATGTAATTCCGACACTTCAACCGCCGTTTCAAATTCTCAAGAGCGGCTGCACCATCCGGACCGCTATCATTTTCGTATATGCTTAAAAAGACATTTTCCTCGCCAATCAGGTCTATTAATTCCAACAAACTCTCTCCCCACGACCCGTTCGCTAGGTCACCGCCCTTATCATATAAGGAGACGCTGATGAAAACTTGTTCGCCGTGGATATTTGCACATCCAACCTCGCGAGTGGGTCCTCGGCACCTAGATTCGAGATCTCGATAGTGTTTAGGAAGTCGAGTATACGATGGGAAAAAGACCGGGGTCCCTATGAATAGTACCAATATTATTATGATAGCGTACTTAATAACGGCGATAGCAACTCCCGATGGATGTCTTCGTAGTTTTCGTCGTAAACTCCTCGGCCGGGCTAGGCACCAAGAAAACAATCGGCCGTCCCATCTCTGCTCGGACTCATTCAGTGGCACAGCCTCCACGTCCTTACCTGCCTCATCCCCGAGGAGAGCGGCAGAGGCTGAGATTGGTGCCTCATCGTCTTCTAGGATACCTATCCGCTTCTCTGGTGTAGAGCTAGGCATTGAATGCGGCAGAACATCAATGCGAACGAACGCAGGTAATTAGGTGGCTTCTTGTGTTATGCTGGGCGGGCGTAGCACGGCGATGGTTGCCTCTACGCCCCCAATATATAAGTCGTAACACCCGCTCAACGAGCTAAGGCGTAACAGACCTTAAATAACAATAAACCGCGTCGCCAATATGACGAGAGCAGAAGATTGTTAAGCGCTAAGAACCATACTCTCGTCTCTGTTAAGAGATAAAGAACCACCTCCTGTTTCGATCGCGTAAAGACGCCTACAGCACATATATAGCCGTCCTGTAACAGTCGATGATTGAATGTAGATGTCGAGTTGTAAGGGCGCGGTAGTGTAACTAATCGGCGTTGGAACGAAACGAACACGATCGGGATTCGGAGTCGATTCGAAGGATTTCACCGGCACGCGAGAAAATTGTTGGACAGATTAATCGGGTATCACAATCTGGAGCGATTATCTACAACTAGAAAGAAGACAATTGATTAGAAGAGAAATCTAAGGGGTATAATTTCATATAATAAGTTTTCAAGTTGGTTGTGGTTTGTGCGATGTCCGTGGACTGTGGACGTTGAAATTATTTCTTAGATTCAGGAGTCAAGCGGGAAGTGGAACAGGAGTAGGAGAAATAGAGTGTCGCGCGCTGAATAACTTTAACATTAGCATTAGGGAAGGATGGCCTGAAAAAGCGCTGCGCCGCATTACGTAGTGGGGAAGAGGCTTCGCTGTCCTTGGCGAGTAAAGTAGCTGCTACTAGTCAATCCCGAGCCAAAGTGTGGGCGTATTAGGTACCTTCTACCTCTTTTCTTTAGTGCCCAGTGAAGGTTAAAAGTGGACATATTTTTCAGGTACAGAAGCAGGCAGCCGTTATCCGTACTTTGGGGTTCTCTAGCAGCATTTTAATAGCTGCCTAAACCAAGCATCTCTCAATTTCATTGGCCGAGACTTGGCATTAGTCAATGTCTGCTTACTGCTTCAGCGGCCTTAGAATTCATTGGTGCCGGCATTTAAAGTTTTATGTTTTCAAATGTCAAATTTCAAAGTTGTCTAAGCATAAAAATCCCATTGCACGATTTTATACAACGCGAATCGAGCATACCTAGGTCCTTTACGATTTGTTCGATATGTTTCCTTTTTGCGAACGAGTAATGAAAATCCATTCTCGAAGAATCTGTTCGGCCTAGCCATACACGTAGAAGTGGGGCGTCAGCTTGAGAAGACATATGGACTGGTAGTAAGTTTTGATTGGCTGGTTTTTCGATATATAGAAATCAAAACTCCCTGTGACATCATGGCACGGCGTAGACGAGAGATAAACAATATCGATTCCGTACGATTAAGGCTGCGTCACGGTCGGTTCCGCGGTTTCCAATTTATAGTTCTCATTGTGAGGCTCACCAATGATATATAGAGTTATTAAGATGAACTCTATGCATTCATGGATGAGCCTTGTTATGTATCTCGGAATGTGGGGGTTGATGGTACACGAAATCTACCTAGAGCTAACTATATTAGTAAGTACCACCCACTAACCCATTGAAATTAATCTCAAAGTTGAACCTTCACCTGCATTCAAAGAAGCAACTTTGAACCTACTGACCTACCCATGCAATGCAAATAAAGTAGGAAGGTCTGAAGCTGTTACGGATATCTAAGCAGCTAAGCAAGGCAAAACGTCCATTGATCTCACATTCATCCAGCATGGATCATGAGGATCTCTTCCAATCGCCACCGCGTCGTACAGGAATTAATCTAGCATTGTCAAGCACCCAATTCCCTCGAGCTGCTGTAGCTATAAAGCTGTCTTACTACTTAAAGGACTGCACCACGCGACAAGTTTTCGATAAGTTTGCCAATCTAGGTCCTCCCATCCTACCTATCCCGGATACCTATCCGGTAAATATTCGATAGATGAAGTGGATTTATCGGTATAGTTTTCCCTACCAATAACTCGGCAACACGTGCGTAACAGCCCTACGTACGCAGGACTATCTTACAAGGAATGGTTTGAGCTGCAATGAATCCCGGGTTCTTAGCCGTCATTCCATGGGGAGACCTAGGACATACATCTAAGCCAGAAATCGGACATTTTCACGGGGTCCGATGCATTCCGCTTGCTCCGCATGTCGCCGCATGGTACCACCTTAATACTACCCAGAGAGAACCTTGAACACAATAAGCTGTAGGCCATGCCACTGCAGCTCGTTCTCGGTTACACCAACCCATACAATCATAAGTGAAGCTGGTTCGATACAACTCAAATGAATGGAATCGTCGGTGAGAATGCGATTGCTGCAACATTTGATCCAATACGTGAGCAGATACAGTTACACAGCATTACAATCTTACGGCAGGGGTTTTATAAAGCGAAGCAAATAGACATTTTGCGGGCATGGCAAAGCCTCACGAACGCCCAATATAATTCCATTCCAAGGCTCCCCGGTATAAGTCAGCTTTGTAGTCTGATTTATCAACATAGCCATAGGCGACCATGGCTTTCTACTCGACAAAACGCAGGTGCAGTGGGTCTTCCACCCCAGCTGGTTACGTAGAGGGGTACTATAATCCAATCACCATATAATCCGATAATAAGCTAGACTATACGCCCTTTTGCTAAGAAATCTTCGAAACCGTCATTCGACCTAGCTATAATTACCATAACACGAATAGAACCTTTCAGCCGCCTTGGTCCTTTACCCAATTAGGGGGCGTTGGCGCGATCTCACCTCGTTACCTAGGTACCTCGTCCTATCTAGCCCGGCTGCCTAGTACAATTTCAGGTGTTCGAAATAACCTGGTCACGCCCAATAGTTCCACATAAAATATAAGCTGGGTTCTACTGGTCGCATTTCGCAACTCGTTTCATCACAAATTCAACATCAACTCAACACGATTTCAATATGGTGGGCGTGCCTAGATCTAAACGGTGCCAGCGCTGCAAGCGCATTAAAGTCAAAGTGAGACTCAACCACCAATATCTCATCCAATACAAGCAACATAGGAATTAACATAACATATACACCAGTGCGACGAAAATTGGCCAAACTGCACTCCTTGTGTACGAGCCAATGTGCCTTGTTCTGGTCCCCCAACTTTGACCAAGTTTGTCCACCACAAATCAACCGATGAAACATTGGTCGGAGATAAAACCGAAGGCCGGTTTTCGGCAGCGGAAATGCCGGTCGGTAATTTAGAAAGTCTTCGACATCGAAACTTGCCCGGCGGCGCCTCATTCGGTCATTTCCGTTTAGCCTCCGATGAACCACGGAAAAATCTTACTACTGTAGCTGACCGTGTAGGAGCCCGTCTAGTGAGGTTCGTTGATCATGAGGACGCGCCGTGGGATATGCTGACTTACGCTGGCTACATGAAATATATCCCGGGCCGTTTAAGCGAAAGTGCTGCATTACGAGATGCCGTCGCTCTGATGTGTTCTACATGGGCCAACGCCCGACGGAATGTCCCAACTAACCAGCTCATCGATCCTAGCCTCTATGGCAAGGCTTTGCGAAACCTGCAACGCGCTCTTGACGATCAAAAGCAACAAATTACCGCTGAAACTCTAGCTGCGGTGACAATCCTCGAACGGCTAGATGGCGTATTTGACACCAAATATCCCTACAATGTATCAACGCACGGTGTCGGAGTCGCGGGCTTGATGGCGGTGCGGGGGCCACCAAATATTGAGGACGAGTTAGATATTCACCTCGCGACTGAGAATCATGCAGCATTAGTAAGCAAGCCCCCCCTATTCTCCTAACGTAGCTAACTTAAAAAGATATCCCATTTGGCTTTCAACGGCGGTGACAACTTCTATCTTCGTTCGCCATGGAAGGAAGTCATGACGCAAGCGCGGGTACGATTAAAGAAAATTGTATCGAATGAGCGACTGGACGGTTATGCGATAGGTCGTTACTTCGGATATTGGCCTGGTCTAATCCACAGCCTTCTAAATATTTCTGAAGACCCCGATATCAACACAAGACAAGCACAGGCAGAAGCCCTTCAACGCCTAGTCACGAACTTCGACACACAAGTTCAGAATACTTGCGAGCCCATCACGCAAAGAGCCTTTAATGCTGGTCGCATTAACGAGCTGCCAGACCCGGAATCTCCAATTGGTACAAAGCTACATTTCAAGAGCTTAGATATCATGTCCTTTTTCCTATCATATGTATGGATGCGTATCATGTTAAATCGAATGCTGGATCACCTTGCGGGGCTATTAGGAGAGTCAAATGACCTTTTGGAAGCGGAAAACCGAGAACTCAGCAAACAAATATGGATGTGCATTCCGTTTTTAAGAAGCCTAGGCAAGGTTCCTTATGTCTTTTCCAGAACACCGATAATCATATCATACGAGGGGGGCAACGAAGTCGAGAGAGAATACATCCTAGATAATTTGATGGGAATGCCGGTATACTCCACAAGGGCTTTTCCGGCAGACAAAAAGACTCTAGAAGCTCATGTTCTCAGTCTAGCAAAAGCTATGTCTGGTCGACAACGGATCACTGTTACGCCACGATAGGAGAGTGGGTAGAGCAGGATACCGAACATTTCATACACATGTGATCCGACCAAATGGTCATTTTTTAACGGGAGGCTTATATAATATTACGATTCCGCTCAATAACATATACCCAGAGGGATAGGATATTTTCGATATATTTAATTGGAATATTTCATCTAATATTTTATCTAATTAATTTCACGCACGGGGCAACTTCGTTCAGGTTTTCGGCGAGAGAAAATACTGCACATTCACCTATAATGCCATTAAGAGGAAAAATTAAAAATACAATCCCCCAAAAATCCCCGTTTCTATTAATTCGCATTCCTCCGCTTGGATCCCAAGAATTATATGAGAAGAGAAATTATCAACAAGCAGCATCCCTTCCGCAGATTGACTAATAGCGCACGTTTAAACTTGGCTTCACAGATGTACCGCTTAATACCGACACGTCCGTCGCCGCCCTATCTTCCACCTTAAAGACCGTAGAAAACGACCGGAACAGCAGCCAAAGCAACCACCATCCCAAGCGTAGCCCTGTTACCCTCAAATGCGCCATTGGTCTTCGAATCAGAGGAGCCTGAGTCCGAGTCAGAGGTAGGAGAACTGGAGGCGGAGGAATCCGACGAAGTGCCAGAAGCGGTAGGAGTAGAAGACGGAGAGGAAGATGAAGTAGAAGAAGACGCACCGGAAATCGCGTCCTTGTACTTCGTGTCGTAGTCCGGGTCGTCCTCGTTGATGCGCGCGATGCACTTCATGTTGCTGGTGATCACGAAGGGGTTGTCGGCGCTTTGCACGCAGCAGTCGGTGCCACCGTTGGAATCGGCGAGGGCTACGCCTTGGCAGCATTTTCCGTTTATGAGTTGTTGTTCTTTGGGCCCGCAGGACTGCGTGGGGGGTTAGTATTGTTGTTTGTGGGGTGGAAGGCGTCTGGGGGTGGAGTAGAGGTAGATGTGGAGTTTGGTACGGTGACTTACGGCTCGGATACCGACGTTGGCGGCGGAGGCGCCGAGGGCGAAGAAGATGATTCTTGAGATGGCGACCATTTTTATTAGAATGAATGTTATCGAAGAAATATTATAGCGAAAGTTTGGATGAATTTAGTTGAGATGTGAATGAGTGTTGTTGAGTGCTTATAGGAAAGACTTGATGTTGTACATATGTGGTTATAGGTGAATGTGATGTTCTGCTCTGGTTAACCTCCCATATCAAGGGAAGATCGAGTTGGTTATATACATTTTTACGTCCTCTCATCTACTGCTCTTTATCTAATAGTTACGCACTACAGGGGTCGCTGACATGCCTCAGCTGCACGCACATTCGTGCCTATTCTGTCGTTAAGACGTATCATCCAATTAGAGGCTACATGGATTATAGAAAAGTACGGTGAATTATCTAGAGGATTACTTACATGAAGCTTAGGGAATGATATTGGACTCACGTTTTGGGCTTCGTGGATGACTATGCACCGCCTTCGATTTCCTAAAAGGGAAATCGATGCAGCATCGTTGCGGGCATCCACTATAGCTTAGGTAACAATGCGGCTGAGGCAGGGCTTCATTATAACTGCTACCTCGGTTATTGGTGAGACGAAAACGACTTACCTCGTACTAATTAAAGAAATTGGTTCGTCACGCTTGGATGGCTGTAATCTATACCCCCTAGGTTATACATGCTGCGACTGTTGTCAGGGACTTGTGTACCCAAGAACCCACCTAGCCTTAGAATGCGGCGTGGTCTGATTCAAAATTGGGTGTCTAGGCCTTTTCATAAAAGCCGAAAATGAAACGATACCTAGGTCGTGGTAGGTATAGTGTACTGACCTGAGAGCCCTACACATAGCCCCATTCCTATTATGCTTCCTATGTTGGATGGGAGCTGGGCATCAATTTTAGCTTTAGCCTCGCATCCCAGGTAAACCCACCATACTATGCAGAGTGACATTGCCATAATAGTAAAACCTTAGATGGTACCTTAATACATGACTACCTAAGTACCTAAGTAGGCCCTCCCCCTTTTTCATTCCGTGGCGGTGATGCGGGCGGGGAAGTCCCGGAGTAACCCCCCCTCCTTGCGACAATCTGAAATATGTGATTGAAGTCAAACTTGAAATGCTTTAGACTAGATCTAATATGAACTTTTGGTTCCCATTCTCATCAGTCACAACTTCTGAGAATAGGTTGGCGTCCAAGCTACGGGACTCGGGCCAGATTTGATTTTGTCTTGGCTCTTCTCTTTCCCCTGAAGCAAGTTTCTGAAAACTACCGACTCGTTCGTATACTCCTTTCGCGTTGTCCATGGCTCTGAGAACCACACCAGGCGTTCTTGCATAGGAATACAAGGGGAGAAAGTAGACCTGAGCCGGCACAGAGTCCTTATAGTCGAGAGTATCGAGAACAAAGTTCACCCACATATCTTCTAGGCGAATTATCATGCACCCGGGGAATTCGTCTTTGGCGAAAATATGTCTCTCCTCGATAGTGACGGGCCGTAAAGCGCCACAATCTATCCTCAACGTGGCTTTCTTAACGGGGCCTAGGGTATTTTTCCGATCGGCATAGGTGACTGCTGCTTCATGCACCCGAACGAAATCTGATGAACTCTGGCTAGGCATCACCATCCAGAAGATCGGGCCATCTGCAGAAATCCACGACCAAGTAGGATACTTGAACTCTGTGGATACCTCACGTCCTGCCGCACGCACCTTGCGTCCCCAAAATAAGTCGTAGGGGATGCGACTTAGCCACATACCCGCGATATATCGATCGCGATCGCCTTCTCTCCACCGGATCTGTTCGCTGTTCTGATCGTCCTTCCAGTCGTACCCCGCTTCTTTCTCGAAAATCACTCGCGCGATACCCGCGATAGCGACCATCTTATCACTCGACTCCGTTAGAAGTCTCCGAGTATATTCTTCTACATAGTAGGGCCAGCGTATCTTCTTAATCCGACCGTACGCTGCCGCGTACTCTTCGACTCCACTCATGATCACATAATGGCCACGATTGATTTGATATCCGGTCGGAAAAGTCTCATTGGCCCGATTTTCCTTGCACTCCCAAAAAACCTGGTCTCTGGCGAAATGTAGAGATCGAGGTGATAATTCGCCTTCCTGGAGGACCCAAGCGCGTTGACTCAGGGGATGTTGAACTTCAAAATGTGTGTCGGGGACACAGTTGTATAGTCTGTTCGGCTTCCTGGGATCAGGGACGATTTGACAACGCCAAGTCTTCTCCCGCTCAAAGAAGCATCCGACGCTCCCATTATAGGCAGATTCGGCCGAAATAGTCAATTCGCTGCTCCCGTACACATCAGTCATCAGGTATGCCTCTTTTTTCCAGTCATCGCCACTGTCCTGAATGATACACAGGGAATCGATCCAAAGGTACGGGATGTCTAAGTAGCGACATACTTCAATCGCATGCTGGAAAGTCGTCATAAGAGCCTCCGACGGTATGCATTGTTTAAATTGTTCAAGGCTACCCATTCTGAGGGTCATGAACGGAAGAGAGCCCCAGCAATGGCTTAGTGTCGCATACCGAACTTCCCCCTCGTCTGTTCGCAGGCCTTCAGATAAAATGAGCTTTGGCTCGCCGCTGGTAGTGATGAGGCGCGTAGGTAAGAAGCCGCGATAATGATGATCTTGTTTTCGTCCGAGGCAGCTACATAGTGATGCTATACAGCTAGCGCAGCTGCGGCGCGAGGGAGGTCTACGAGTGGACGGCGAGTAGCAACTGTGCTTATCACGGCATTCTTGCAGCCAAACTTTACATAACCGTAAGGCGTCTCTCGTACTTGGCCGGGAAGTGTCGTAGTCCAGAGCTAGCGATTTTCTTGCGTTAGACACTTCATGCGACTGTCTTGTTTACCATGACATACCTCTAGTCTCGGTTGGAATTAACTCTAGCACAATTTCTAGGTCTATTTCCTTCTTCTCTTTTATACACCATTCCTTAATTCGTTCCCATATCGGGTCGGTGAATTGAATCGAATCATTTTCTAAATCGTCTTTGGTGATTCGGATCGGAAATTTGACTACTCCGAAGTACTCGCGTAATTGCTGGGCGTCTCCGGTTCTCGACCCGAAAATATCGGCTTTTGGTTGGGTATCTTGGAAAGCCGCCCGCCACTCTTGGTTCTCGTCCTCTTCGGAATATCCGTGAACTTTCGGGTTTGACTTGGTACGATGTATGTACTCGAGTGACTGAATACACATGTCGCAGCCTTTCGCAGACGCTCTCAAACTCTTCAAGTCTCTGAAGTTCTCTTGCTGCGGTGGAAATGATCGCGTTCCATTGGTATAAAAGCTATGTACCATGTTTCGGCATAGGGCGCATAATGTCGAGTGTTGTCGCAGAGTGCATCCGACTCTACGGCTTAACTCAACATCACTGCCTAAGCTGACCCAGTCTGGCGGGCTCTGGTTCCCGAAGTCATGATCAGCGGCGTTAGCCATGGATTTGAGATAGTATGAATGCTTCGAACAGGACTGGGGATGACATTTAGGCTTGGGAAGTTGGGGCAGAATGAAGTTGCGCGGCTTCTAGCGACCTAACTAAGTACCTATCTATACCTTGGCAACGAGCACTGCCACCATCGTGTAACGGAACATCGAAGAAGCGATCGCCCAGAATGGCGTCGGGCTGAATTAGAGCGGACCATGCTAGTGTTTTTAAGACAGCTGCATTGTAGAGATCATGTAGTAGAGTCTTTAAACCAATAAAATAGTCTTATTTACATATTAACCAGCCGTACTCTGTATGGCCAGCACTACTAAGTTGATACAATGCAATTCCTTCAATCACATCAACCCAAATTGTCATTCAAACCAGAAGACGTCGGTTTCCGAGTCGAAATATCGTCAATAGAATCGACTCTAGCCCATGCTCTCCCCGGCGCGGCTTCACGCCCCATGTCGGCGCCTTGTGTAGCTAGTTCTATTGAAGCTTCCTCTGAATTGACCTTGGTCTCAGTCTGAGAAAACAACGACGCCCCTAACGTGTAACCCTTCTTGATATTTCTCAGTGGGATCGATCCGATCGTGCGCAGAACACCTTGTGGTTTGTCGGGTGTATCCGACCATTCTCTCTCCTTTTTCGGCAAAAGTGGGCCTAATGTAGGCACTGTAGCCACGAGTATGCCCCCGGCTAGTTCCGCTACGACTAAAATACAACTGATGAGTGCGCAATATGAGACATCGAGGGCGGGACAATAAGTGTCGTAAATCAATCGACCGAGGTTGATTCCAGCGGTGCTATTTCCTCATGTTAGCGAATGACAGTAAACTGGATCGGTGCGTTGAACTAACCATAAACCCAGTGCAAACGACGCAGTGAGAGACCACTTTCTAGCTGTTGAAAGTTGAAGCTTCCAGATCATAGGAAGTGGGAGAAACACGACCCAAATATCAATAGCCATATTCAAGGCTGCCGTAAAAACATATACGAATGCTACATTGCCGCAGGTTCCATCTATGGTCCGGTCCCAATTGAATGATGTCGGTCGGCACAATGCGCAAATGGTGATAATGCAAGCCACCCACCAAAAGAACACCACTGTACCTGTACCTATGACTGCCCATCGGAAGCTGGTGAGCCGGAAGATCTCCAAGTATAGCAGCAAAATCGAAATACGAAAAGCAAGTGTCCCTGTTGCCCAAATGAATTCTTGCGAGAAATACGTCTGGGCGTATGTCAATTGAAACTCTCGATGCCAGTGCGAAAACTTCTCACCTTCAAAGAAATAATAGCCTTCGTATCAGGCAAGTCCTCCATGTGATAGCCATATCCCCCGAGTGTTACACCTGCGCTTGTTAATTGACGCCCCCACGTAATATAATTGCAGTTCGACTTACCGATCGATATATGTATCATATACACAATTTGCGAAAGGTAGGCGAAGAAAACCAGATAATCACGTAACTTGAACCCAGTACCACGGAGCCGGATCGCCAGAACCCTTAAAGCAACAGAGATTGTGCTAGTCGGGAAAAGGATACAGGCCGCGACGATCCAAGCGGCTTTAGGTTGACTAACCATGGTTGAGAAAATGTCTGTATGCTCAAGAAATCACTCTTTGGCATTTGGGGTAGTAGCCTGCCTGAGGAAGTTACCTAACCGTCGCAATAGATAGAGGGCAATTGGGATTTTAAGGCTTCCGGTGGCGAGTTACCGTTTGGGTTTCTAATAATAACGGTAAATACTGTGCCATTGGGGGCGGAAAGGGTGTGTACGGGCGGCTGCAGTAGAGTCGTAGTTGTGGCTGCTCGCCGTAACTACATGCGACGGCACACCACACACCTGTTGCGTAACTCGATAGAAGAAGGATCTTACCAACACGGCCCGGGTGGGGTTTTATGAAGTCTCCAAATATGCACAGGGACTTGCAATGCGTGGTTTGCAGTGCTACGGTAAGTAAATTGCCAATTTCACACTTACATATTTAATACGTAGACTCGGCGTAAGGCCGAGAACGACAAATTCTAGGCAGAATAGTCCTACTTGAGCCCATCCAAAGAGGAAGTATGTCTCATCAATCTTTGACCTTGATGATGAAATCCTGAACGGCACCAACCAAACCATCGGTCCAGCTCAATTGAGGAAAGTGGCCGGTTTGGCAACGGTATATCGTAAGCTCTCCCGTCTTTTGACTCTGAAGGGCCACCATTCCCTCCTGGTGTTCTTTCGGCATAACCACGTCCCGTTCCGTCACAAGATAAGCAAGGGGCAAGGCCGCATAAGCATTGTTAGTCAGCTTGGAATTGAAGCCAGGGCCTGCGGTGAGAGTCTTTGCCCATTTCTGCGCTTCGGGCTCTTCTAGGTCGTTGAAAAGGAGTTTATCAGCGCCCTCCGTGGAAATGAGCCCATGTTTCTAGCGTATAATTAGCACATCGGCCATCTAATGAGTGACAGTTTGAGTTACATAGAACTTCATCCCCGGTGGTGGCTCTACTGGGCCATCCTTGGGCTGGGAGAAAGAAGTGATCGATTCTCCGACCGGGACTAGAATTGCGCTTATATAAAAGATCCCAATGATGCCTCCACGAAGCCCCTTCTCCTTTCGGACCCTTTCTTGTAGCTCTGGACGAGATGCTTCTGTAGCAACCCAGCCGCCAGCTGAATGGCCGATCATAAGCACCCTCTTGCCTTGCTCATCTATAAGAGGGCGCAGAATATCAACAATGAGTTTCGCGTCGTGTTCGCCTCGTAGACAATTAGTTCAGACACCTCGATGGCTTGCATCTTACTCTACCTTGAGGATAACCCCCCTCCGGAGGTTCTCTATTGTAATCTGGGTTTTGAATGTCTCCAACATTGAGTTTGGTGAGATCAGAGGAAGGAAGCTGGGGACAGTGTGTCTCTATTCCCTTCGCCTTCAGCGCCTGGATAAAAGGCTGGTAGGGTTGCGGCGTAAGGAATCCACCGTGACAAATGACAGCCACAATATCGTTAGATGATGCCATGGCGTAGATAAAAAAGCGAAATATTCACGTCAACGTTAAAACAATAAGTGGCTAAGGCAATTCTTATCCTTTAAGCAAACTCACGTAACATCATAGATATTAAGAGGATTCTGAAATGATTACCGATGTGTGCAGGACAATGAGGGGAAACCAGTATTATTTTAAGCGGCACCAACAGGTGAGATGCAAGGAGGTCTTAGAGTCCATAAAAATTCTACCGTAACAAAAATAGACTAGAACGTAAAAGTTGCTAGAGCCGTCAAACTCATTCGACTTTTTTTTAATTTAAATCGGAAGTAAAGTGAATAGAACAGCTCACTTGACATGATTTTCAGAAAATATAGTAAATTGTAGGTATGTTAAATCTCCAAATGTTTCGTTGTACATGTGTGTTATGAAGATTATGAAGTATGCATAAAATTAACGGTTCAGTGAGTTTTGCGTTGTTATCTGCCGTTATGTTGTGTAACGGCGGGAAAGGGGGCGGGACAAAGAGCGGCACAGCCTACCTTAGATACTACGGTGTTACATTGCGATTGATTATGTATCATGAAGTTTCCACAGAATTGTGCCTGTTCCGTGGTAATGTGGCGTAGATAATGACTTCACATAGCGTTTTCACAACGCTGGTTGGCGAGTATGCATGGGTGTGTTGCACGAGAAGGAGCCGAGATGAGACATAACTTCTAACAAGAAAAATAAATATAATTCATAAGTAGAAGAACCCACCCAAAAGGCGCCAGGAATCTTATGACTTCGGGCCGTTATAGGACTTTTCTATTGTCACTTACTAGGTTCGTCGCTCTCGGTTCTTATACATTCGTGAGCGAAAAGAAGCGTGAGGAGTGAGATGTGTAGTTTATATGCGCCTACCTGAAGTACCCACCATCTTATAATACTATTGGTGCCGGAATACCCGCCTCAGCTTCGTAGAATACATAATGGGTGGTTTGCTAGGTTGATAACATCTAATCACAAAGCATTTAGAGAATTATCAGTCCTCAAACATAAAATCATGTTCGAGTAATACAAAAATAAATACCTGCTCTCCAATATATGCGCAATTCCCACAGAAATGATTCGCCTTCTTCTTGGTGTCTTCGGCGGTTTTATTGCCCATATTGGGTTTTTCATACGCAATGAGTGGCATATGAGCGGTGCCAAAATAATCGTCGCCCATTTAGCGCTTTGTTCAACTCTTGCATATGTTCTCATCCATATGGAAGACTCAGCAGGCGCTGTCTATCGCTCCTTGGCTACCTTAACCACTTGGTACCTCTTATCGTTATTCTCGAGCATATTAATCTATAGGGTCTTCTTCCACGCCACGAGATCTTTCCCAGGCCCGAAACTAGCCGCTGTCACCAAGCTTTGGCATGTATTCCACGTTCGCGATTCTAGGAATTTCCTCTTCATGGAGAAACTCCATAAGAAATATGGAAATTTTGTAAGGACGGGTACGAATCTACCGCTTAACGCCGTTATCCGCATATTGATGTTAAAATTTGCAGGACCCAACGAAATTTCCATCTTCCACCCGGCCGCCATTCAATTACTCGACGGACAGAACAATGAGACTACCAAGGACGGTTGGTATGATCTTATGCATCCGCGGAGTTCTGTTATCTTCAGCCGCGACCCAAATGAACATAAGGAGAGACGGATGGTGTGGTCGCAGTCACTCTCGACAAAAGGTGAATTGGCCCTATCCTTCTCGTAGCCCTGACAGTTGATATGAAGCTATACTTACACTATGCACACAAGCTATGGACATACTGCGTCCTCGTGTAGCAGCGCAAGCCTTATCATTGTCCCAATGTATCGCAAAGTATGAAGGTGGCCCCGTCGATGTAAACGAGATAATGTCTTGGTTTTCTTTCGATGTAATGGCCGAGGCAGTTTTCGGAAAGGACTTCGGTCTTATGAGTTCACAAGCCATGCTACCAGCAATTGGCCATCGCGACAGAGCCTTGGCCCTTGTCGGCCCTCTGAATGATGCCATTTGGATTGCTCTACTCGGCTTTTCGTTGATACCCTTCTATGGGAGGGTACAAGATTGGTTTCGCATGGTCGCATTTTGCGATGAACATGTGCAGGAGCGTCTAAAGGTAGGGGCATCGTGTCTAAAATATTGAGGTTATCGGGCTAATGATAATTATTTAGCGAGGAGAGGATGGCGAGAAGACGGATATGATGGCTTGGTTCCTTGACGAATACGAATCTCTCAAAGGCACCAAAGACGTCCAGGCTCGACGTAATCTCTTGAGCGGATCAGTTGTTACAGCTGTTGTTGCTGGAAGGTAAGATCACCTTTTGCGTCGTTGGTGTAAGAACTCTAAACATTCAACAGTGATACTGTCCGCGCCTCATTGATCGCCATCTGGTGGTATCTTTCAAAATACCCCGAACACGCTAAAAAGATTCGGTTGGAGATCCAAAACATCAGCTTCGACGATGCGAATGCGTTATCTCTTCTTCCACACTTAAATGGCGTTATAAACGAGGTACTCCGCTTAATACCGCCCGCTATGACCGGTAACAACCGAATGACCGGCCCTAACGGTTTGTTAATTGATGGTGTATTCATCCCGCCATTCACCAAGGTTGCAGCGCCGAAATACGTTATTCAAAGAAGTAAGACGTCAATCTTATTTTGGATTCGCGTATTTTATAGTCTTCATCTCGTATGCAGTCCAGTGACAAGGCCTAACGATGCTATATCAGTGGAATCGGCATTCAAATATCCAGACCAATTTATACCTGAGCGTTGGTATTCTAGACCAGAACTCATTCGCGATAAACAAGCTTTTGCCCCATTTTCAGTTGGTATGTTTCTCCCTATTGATAACATCATGGTTATACGAGACTCCTTAGATCAGGGCGCGATCGAGAGCCCCGAGAGATCTACCTATATACTGAAACTAATTATTCAGGAAACCGTCAATGCGTAGGCAAGGCACTTGCCTACACTGAAGTCCGACTATCAACGGCAATTTTACTACAACGCTACGATGTTAGTTTTACGCCGGGATACGATCCCGAAACCATGTGGCGTGATATGAAAGATCGTGTTACTGCGCAGCCAGGCCAAGTCCTCTGCGTATTTAAATCCATGTAAGGAACATGTAAGATGAAGACAAAAGATGATGATAATCTCTTGTGTTTAACATAGGTACAAAAATAAGTGGGCTAACAAGAACCAATCATCACCGACTGCGGAATTAAAGGGGGACCTTCAGGGATGTCACGTGATATAGGTAGAAATAGCATCGTTTCTTCCTTTAAAAAGCAGAAAGAGAATCGTTTCTTGGCTGTATTCTTAGCAGTTTGGGATATACCTTTACACGAGTGATTACTAACCCGAATTTGCTATGGAAGATATCTAAAACCACCTTACTCCCGATTATCCCAAGAAGGGAGGATACTCATTTGGCGTCATATAGTCACTCTCATTAATACTACCTAGTAGTAAGTAGATGTACCTAAAGCATCCGCACAAACGAACAACCTTTTACGGGGGTATCAATGAAGTATTCTGCCCCGCCTGGAGCCTTCGATGTCATTTGCTCGTTCCGACCCTAATGTAAGGGCCGTTCATTGGATAGTTCGAAATCTCGTTAATAATAATGTTATGTATTAGGCATATTTTAATGCCTAAGGTTAAATACCGAATCTGTTGGTTTGGAAGGATAAGCGAAGAAGAGTCCTACGCCTGCACTCTTACATCACGATGGCTTCGGTTGTGTAACTCTCCCGTAGGAATCGATAGGTCGCATCTGGTGTGACTATTCCTACCTAGGTAGGCAATGCTGCTCATAGGCTGGTAAATTATATTATACTAAGCACTCAAATGCGTCTTTTACTTCACCGGCTACCGTATTTTACGTTTAATATGCTGACATTCAGTTTCAATGCCTTAATATAAGTACTCATCGACGGACGACTTCAGGAAGGCCTTTATCTACGCATCCATACTAAACATATCATCATGGCTGCCTTGGAGCAAACTTTTGTCACGGAAAACGCCGAAATAGGGCCCACTCGCTCAATAAACAGCCAGCCAAGAATTCTTAGCTTAAATATTACTAATAAGTCGCCGCAACTTCTTGGCTGGATAATACGCCTCCTTTGCTTTTTCTGGGATTATACGGAAAGTAATTTCACCACATTCGTTATTCCAAATTCGAGTTTCGGTCTGCTAAGTGCATTGGCATCATCCGTTCTATCAGAAGGATCAAGGCCCTCAACCAAAAATCTCTTATGGCGCGCTCCACTTGTCGTACTCTTCAACTGGTTCAATGTCTTGAACTTTGACCTCGCGAATCAAAGGTCTCCGAAATCTATTCAGGAAGATCGTTTGAACAAGCCTAGACGCCCGATTGTAGCCGGAAAAGTGACAGTGGACCAGACTCGCAGGGCTATGCTTGCTACGATTCCAGCGGCTTGGCTATTCAACTATGCTTTAGGTGTCTGGAAACAGGGAGCTTCTATCCAAATTTTGACGTGGATGTATAACGATCTCGAGGGTGGCGACGAGATAATTCGGGACCTAATTATTTCTATCGCTTACGGCATGTTCAATAGCGCATCTCTCGAAATCGCGTTAGGGTCGGGACAAGCCGGCCAAATTAGCCGGAGGGGAATAATCTGGACTGCTATTATCAGTATGGTTATTTTGACCACGATGCAGGTCCAAGACCTCAAGGATCAAGCCGGCGATCGAACCAGGGGCAGAAAGACTATCGTTGTCTTCTTCGGCGAGCGAGCATCACGTACGTCTATCGCGCTCTTCGTCAGCTTTTGGTCCTTGGTATGCCCGATATTCTGGAGCACCGGGCCCTTAGGATACTTGATTGTTGGTACACCCGGGGCTTGGGTTGCGTGGAGAGTAACGCGGAAACAAGGCCCAGCGGAAGATTGCAAAACGTGGAAATCGTGGTGCCTCTGGACTGTGGCGCTTTACTTCATGCCCATCGCTTATCTCCTCGGGTTTTGATCTCGCGCCAGTATTATGTGTCGCCCCTTTGCGAATGTGACGGATATTTCGTTGCGATACCATATAGGTAAACTCTCAACAGTTTATGCGAATAAGGTGTTATCTTTTTATATAACCAGGTGTTCGTCGGGGTTTCCAGGAATCATAAAAGAGGATTTCGACAACACAAGAAGACGAGTACGATACACATAAAAATGCCAGTTGCATTACTTATCTAAACCGAAAGATCAAACGAAACTCGATAGCCTTTCCGATTTCCGAAATAATTATTCTCTAAGTGTCCGGGTGCCTACCCTGCTCAAAATATGTCCTTCCCCAACCCGAATGTGTTTCGATAGGTACCTAGACAATTGCTACGAGCAACCGCCACGGTTTACCTAGGCGCGTTCCATCAAGTCGCGGTAAGGCTTACCAAGAATACCTAAGTAATTAGAAGCTATCTTGTGATATTTGGTGAAATGACAAGTCATCAACCCGATCAATTGATAGTCGCCGATGTGTGTGGGCCGGCAAGAGGAGGATCCGGATCGGCCGGACTAGGCGCAATCAACCCACGGATGAGTGCAACTCCGGACGAGGGCGCCAATTCGCATACCAACTAGAAACTTCGTATATTCAGCTCGGGTCGATCGCTTCGGCGTTATTGGGGATACTTTTTTCCCGTATTCAGCTCTTAGGCTTCCTCACATCGTATGTTGACATATCATTTCCAAGAGTTTTTACCGAGTATGCCACGACGTAGAAACGATTATCTCTTTCATCTACAGTGGAACCGAATTTTGGCCCCCGTGGCCCAATTAGTTAGTTTATCCCATATAATGTGGGAAGTTGTATCCATATTTTCGTAGCTCGCCTAGAGAATATAGCATCTCTATGACGTAAATATAGAATATCGTGATAGTTCGTATCAGGGAAATTGAAGCTACCTACTGATCCGCGAATACTTAGGAAGACGTCCCATTGAGACCTTGCTAGCTCGTTTTCCATACCCCGGATAACGTAGTATAGATATACCACATGTAGCTATTTAGTATTATAGAATGTTGAGCTGAAGTCGTGTGCCGAGGTAATAAACACATGGCGGAATCGATTGTCGATATTTCTATGCTGAAATAGGCTATTAGAACCCATGGTATAAGTTGCACTTATATGGGGATTTAGCTACGATAGGTAGTTGTGAGGAAGGAATTGTATAGATGTATGTTGGTTTTCGGGGTTTGCTGAGCCACAGGGGCGTTGCATTCGTACTGTGACTATACCGTTGTAGGGACTCAGGGGCAAAAAGTCCTACATGAAAATGGAACCAATCGGGACTCAAAACCACATAATCTGTATAGGGCTTTGATTAATCATCGTATCCACGAGAGTACCATATTTACACTTACTATTGCACTTGCTTCTTAGGCTTCCCAAGAGCTATATACAGTATTTAGAAATTATAACACAGTATAATAGCCGATCGAATATAAGAACACGACTTTAGAAGCTGCATGAAGCTTTCCAGGTATGGTATGGTGCCTTAACTCTGATTGGCTATCTCTTTGCGGCACAGTCGCTGAAGAACTGTATTTAGCCTCCGAGAGTCATACCTTAGAAGCCTGCTGAAGGATTGGGTGAGGCTTGTTCACTTCCTAGATATAAGCACCCTAAAGTCTAACACAACATTGCTTCATATTCGGGATGAGCGTTGGTGACCGGTCTGAAATGCGCGAATCCTTCCTTCTGCAACGATTATTCAGTTAGGCTTCGCCGTGGACTTATTAGTCATTAAAGCGTTGGTAGGTAGAAAATCACTAACACTTAAACTAAGTGGATTAGCGAACGCGATCCTACGCAACGGCCTTTTTTACCAACAGAGTTGCAGCCTGTTGGAATTCGAGCCTAAAACGACATATAACCGATTTATAATCTTTCTTGGAATTTACGGAAGCCAACTCTTTTTGCTTGTGGGACAATGACAACACCAACCTCCCGAGCTTCGGATGATACACCCTGGCGTGACCACCGGTCAACTGAATTAACAGCTGGTGTTCCACAACTAAATTGCGAATTATGCAGAAGACGAAAGATTAAATGCGACAAGTCTAGTCCATGTTCTAACTGTGTGAAGTCGGGGGTACAATGCGTACCCATTTATCGCAAGCGGTTACCTCGTGGCCGCTATGTTACTCCTCGGATGCCGGCGGTATCGAACGATGGGGCCGATGAGTTAAGGGACCGCATCCGAAGATTGGAAGCGTTAATATCGGATATGAATGACCTGAGAGATACACCAGCCAGCACAAGTTTAACCCCTCCAAGACCCGGTCCGAAGATACGTATTAGCCACGAGTCTACCACTGATATAGGCGAAGGGAAGCAGGTTGGGCGGCAATTTTGGGCTCACATCGCTGAGGAGGTAACAAGTTATCCCCTCAGGACGGCTTTTCCCAAGACTAACTGCTAAAAGATAGAAGGCCTTCGCGATATTGTCGGTAACTCTTCCGATGATGAAGAGAGTATAGGGTCAACCCCGAGGTCTGCTTCAGGTGCCGGCCTGAGGATATTAGGCATCGGTTCTTCTGGTCCTGCAGCTATTCAGGCAACCGAGAGTTTGTTTTCGAATCACACGACTACTGCCCAATTAGTATGTAACTTTCGAAGTTTTTTTTTTATTATTATCTTCTCTTCAGATAGGCTAGTAACTAGGGTCCCTTGTGCCCGGTAGTTGCCTAGAGCCCCTTGCCTAATTTATCTAAGTAATTACTAACCCAGTTTGGATTAAGTGCGAAGTTTTCCTACGACAAGTAGACCCTGTCTTTAAACTACTTCATCGACCGTCGCTTAGCAGATTCATGTTAAATGGTCAACGATATTTGACATACGAGCCCGACCACATATGTTCGAGATGTGTCCGATCCGTCGTCTGTTACTCCGCTTTGGCGAGTATGACAGAAAACCAATGTCAGAACATGTTCGGTATATGCAAGTCGGCAGCAATAGTTGAATATAGAGCAGCATGTGAAGCGGCGCTGGAACAATCAGAACTGCTGACTACTAATGATATCACCGTCCTACAAGCATTCATGTTATATCTTGTTGCGAGACGGACCGAAGACCCGAGTCGCGCTGTGTGGACTATGGTGGCCCTTACCGTCCGAATAGCAAGGGCCCTTTCGCTTCATATAGATAATCATACCGAATCCTTTTTCAATCAACAAATGCGGCGGCGGTTATGGCATACGATATGCGTTTTGGATCTCCAGTCATCATTCGAACAAGCTAGCGAGCCTCTCATAGGTCCCAATGCAATATCTTCGATCCTTCCTTTAAATATTAATGATTCCGAATTCGACGTCGACACATCCGAGGAGCTGCAAAATAGAGCTGGGCTGACCGACATGACTTATGCCCTTGTCACGTATTACGCGCAGCGAAGCGGTCGACTTTTAAATTTCTACGATAGAGAAGGCAAAGGCTTCAATTGGGCAGAGCGAGAAGACCAAGTCTATCGGTTCGAGCAAAGCGTCCTCAATTTATTGAAGTTTTGTGATCCGGAGACGAGTGATTATGCGTGGTTTGCGTTTCATGGAGCTCAATCGCGTGTAGCGTCCATGCGTCTCTCAGCTTTGAGACCCTTGCGTCGCGTCGGAAGCAAGCCGACACGGCGGGCTCAGCTTACAAATCTATTAAATGTCGCTCTTGAGGTCTTGGAAAAAGTGAATTTAATCCGGACGGATCCTAGAGGGGAAGGGTTTCGATGGTATATCGTGGTGCAGTGGCATGCACTTGCGATCGCCATCACCGAGTGCTTCGTCTGTGCCGAGGTCGGAATACTCCGAGCTGCGTGGCCAGTGATTGAAGAATGCTATGAAGACTACAAAGCACTCATAGAAGACAATCGCCAAGGAATGCTCAAAAAGCCTCTTGAAAAACTGATGGGACAGGCGAGGAAGAGAATAATACCATTGCTTACTGGGCAGAACCTTTCCCAGATGCCATCGCAGCTTGGAACTAGTCCGTCGGTCGCATATAGCGCGACACCTTCGGGCTATCCGTCACCTGTACCGAATAGATCCCTGGACGCCATGGCGCCATCGCATGCAGGTTCTGCAGGTCTACCAACGACGCAACGACAACCTCAACATTCTATGGATCTGGACTTTAATTTTAATGCGATGGGCTCATTCATGCCTTTCGATCATACCGCTAGTCCATCTTCGTTACCGCAGTGGTTTACGCCACAGGGAGCATACGCGCAGGGTCGGGATGCGAGCAGTAGCCCCGAGGGTAGTAGTGGCGCTGGAGATGTGTCTTGGAGGACATGGGAAGACTTTGTATCTGGATTGTCTTTTGAGGACTTCCCTCATCAGCCCCCTACATAATCTGGTTTCTTGTCGGGTTTTCTGTTTTAGCTACGGATGGGATATGGGAGATAATACCAGGAATTGGGGACGGCTACTAGGCTAGGACGCATAGGATATAAGACAGATGTGTATGACGAAGTGATGAATAGTGAAATACTAATTTTTCATACAAATTGTGCGTAAAGATCGAAAACAATACCTTCGGATAGGCGCCGATAGAAACAACTTCAGTACAAAATTATGTCATGTCTCGGATATAACGCCGAAAACTTCGGAACCCGAGCCGATGAACCCCTCGGATTTATCCCGCCTTCTTATTTTTCGAGTGGCTGTCAGCGGATAGGTCCGAAACATTACCTAGATTTGAACTCCGAAATTTATAAAATTCACACTCAAGATTTTCTCGTCGGATGCATCCGAATTCTTTATCGGATAAGCTCCGATTATTTTCTTTCTATTCCTAAATTTCGGGATTTGATACTTTTTGATTGTTCACAGATAGCACGTGGAGATGTGAGATTTACCACGTGTTTAACGTGGGACCATTCGGAATTAAAAGCACCTACTCGAAAGGTTATGCATGAATGCTAATCAACTCCGGAAGGGTAGATATGTTGGTGGTAAAGATTAAAAAGAGCCATATTTAGAATTTGGGATCCAACAATCTGGCGCGTGATGCTGAGGATTAGGATCATTAAGGCGCGCGTTAGCTGAATCTTTAGCGGGCATAGCTGGAAATAAAAGGGGTAGAAAGAATAATGGCGTAATTATAAGCGAGACGGAATGGTCCGAGCTTTTTTCGGTATTGTATTCCTTCCTTGGTCTTGTCCCTGTCCACCTTCCCGGATAGAGCGGACTAAGAGCGGACTAGGTTTGAACTAGGTTCAATTTGGCCTTACGATCTGGAGTAGATTACATTAAGATTACATTAGATCTGGCACTAGAATCTATCCGTGATTATTCCATTTGATTATTCCTAGGTACTCCTGCCTACAGTTAGGTACTACCTGTCTAGCCCAATTTTACTTTTTTATCTTACTTAGGGTTCCCCTAGGGTCTCCCAGGGTCCCGTCAAATATCCTCCGGAGTCGCCTGAACTAACATCTGCAACCTTCCATTAACCAACTTCCTCTCCTGGTCGAACGAGCTGGACTTGTCAGGATTGTGTCTCCCACCATCCATCCATCCTTCTGCTTTCTAGTACCACTCCAACACGTTCAACTTCCGAACCCATGCCAGGCACCGTGTACCGCGAATGTATTGTATATGCGCTTTTGTTTCGAATAATGTCGATCAATGAAGAGCCTCATCGCCACGCCACGACGTATCATAAACTTGTCTTGTGTTCCGGTAGCTCAGCGATGATTCGGAACTTACCGTTGGCTTGGAATCCAGCGTAAGAATTTGGGAGCCCTAAATAGATAAGGAGGAAGTTAAGACATTCAATTCTTGGCACTTTAAGTTGGTGCGAGTCTGTGTAGCACTACCGGCTTACCAATGGGATGACGCTATAGCCAAGGTCGGTCACCTGGCGGGTTCCTGGAAGCCAAGGCCTACCCAACTAAACATCTACTACCTACAATCAATCAAGTTAGCGGGCGGGAAGATAAATCCGGCACATAACGTTCCACATGAAGGCCTCTCGAGATGTCGCAATGTTAGCGCAGTACGCAACGAAGTGGCACGGTCTACTCTCACGTTCTAACTAACTGGAAATCCAACAAGCAAGGCATGTTGGTCGATAAACTGAATCGCAATTGTTCCTTAATGTCTTGGCCTAGCAAGTTGGTCGAGTCAGTGTTCGGCCCGACCACCTGGACGTGCCCATGGATATAGTAGGCGAACCAAGGGCGCTTCAAGGATACCATGCGATTACCTCCTTTCAATCAACCGAAATTCTACATCGGATATGCCTACGTCCAATCAATTGTCTAAACACTGACCTGCATCTGCACCCCTGATTTTGGCGAAGTTATAACTGATAATCTCTTTGTCGCGCCGTAGATGCGATGGACACGCGCAATCGGTAGCGGATATTCGTCCCTCCATCCCAGGCTCCTATTTCAGCCCGATAGGTCTTGCGCATGCCACCGTCTAGATTTACACTTCATGTCGTGTCCGGAGGATGACTTCGCGGATATCAAGAAGCAATTCGGGGCGCCAAATTTCCTTTAGGTTCAGTAACGTTGCAAGTATAATTGATTCTTTTAATGCAACCAAAGGTCTAGGCGTAGGTGGGGGTGGGCTAACTAGGTTGGTCAGCATCGTGAGCCTGACCTCGGCACCATGGCCGCGATCTAGGCTAAGACTGGACGCTTCGATGCGGCCTACTAGGAGAACTGTCCCAAATAGGAAATACCTTATCTCTCCACACCACGGAATGGATACCTATGGGACGGACAGCTAGGGCTTAGGACGCTAAAGACAATCCAAGCTTGACATTTGCCTTGCGGGGTCGGCAGAGGTAGTGAATTAGAGCGCCGACGTATTATACCCCAAACTTGTGTGAGTGAGGTTAAGACAAACCCTTCTCCCCTGTGTGTCTCACATAATCTACCACATTACCCTAACTTACGTGCGTTAGCTGTCGTTTTCCTGTTATTGAGAATCAGTTGATCTACTACTGTAAATCACTTTCTTTAAAGATTGGCCGTGATTTACACGCCTCCGATGTGACGGCTGTCCCAAGATCTCATTTGATCAAGTGATGGTGGGGTATGAGCTACAAGTTGATGGGATCATACTACCCTGTGATAAGCTGGTCGACCCTTGTGTTAATCTCATCCGAAGTCTAGTCTATGGTGTTCTAGTCCCCAAGCTCTCTAGCTTCTGATTGGTTGTGCCGAACAGCTTCCCCTGAGCAAAGGCAGCCTTTATTACCGAGTCCAAGTATGCAAGACACATTCCAATGTGTACCTTCCGGATACGGGTTAGGGATAGAGCACGAGGGCTTCTAAACTCTAATATGCTTTTTTTCTGGTTCTGAGAAGCTCTCATGAGCCTCGTCGGTATACTCATGACCGGGGTAACCACCTTCAAAATGTCACCGCAGCAGGGGATACACCAGAATAACTCGATTTAGGATTATGTCTGGGTTGATACTAGCAACGTTGCCGCCCTTGTTCAGAGCCGCTACGGGCTATCCGTCAAGTTATTTGGTGTAGCAATGGCCCCTTTAGTCCGAAGTCAACAGTCCATTACCTGGGATTCAGCGTCTACAGTCACATCCTTGTGTCACATGGGGGAGACAAAGTGAGCTCCTACTGCGTGCCAAATGTGCACCTTCCCTCGTCTACGAGTTTGTATAAATACACGGGTAGATCAACTTCCATTTTGATTTTCTCTCCCACCAAAGCAAACTTCACCGATACAGAGTTTCATTCCTTTAGACTTCTCTAGTCATCACTCTGAATTTATTCGACAACATGGTATCTTTTAAGTCGCTTGCGGCTCTGCTTCTGCAGGCCTCCGTCGCCCTCTCTAGCCCAATCACCGCAGTCGAGAAGCGGGCTTCTTCATTTTCCAACACGGTTTACTTCACCAATTGGTATGTTATTTCACTAATCCATGCACAGACTACGAATTAACGGGGTTATTAGGGGTATCTATGGAAGAAACTACCAGCCCGCGCAACTTCCTGCCAATCAAATCTCCCGCGTGCTGTACTCTTTCGCCAATCTCCGAACTGACGGAACCGTCTACACGTCGGACTCGTATGCCGATCTAGAGAAGCACTACGATGGCGACTGTAAGTGATTTACCGCTCATTTCATGATTAACGAATTTCACTAACATATGCACCCTAGCGTGGGATGAGCCCGGCACCAACGCCTATGGCTGTGTCAAGCAACTGTACAAGTTGAAGCAGGCCAACCGACAGCTCAAGGTTCTCCTTTCCATTGGTGGTTGGACGTACTCGAGCAACTTTGCTGGCGCAGCTAGCACCGATGCGACCAGATCGACTTTCGCGAAATCGGCAGTCACTCTGGTCAAGGACTGGGGTTTCGAGTAAGTGTTATCAGTATCCCTCTCCCCCTCCGGACCCATATTATGAGCCAGACCACCCCAGTCAGTCGATGATTGCCCAGAAAACACCAAACATGTTAAAACTTATACTTGAAGAAGTATTTACTAATTCATTATCACAGTGGTATCGATATCGATTGGGAGTACCCTGCCGATGACACCGAGGCCACCAACCATGTCCTTCTTCTCAAGGCTATCCGCGCCGAGCTTGACTCGTACTCCGCGCAGTACGCTAACAATTACCACTTCCTTCTCACGGCCGCTGTTCCCGCTGGTCCCACCAACTACAACAAGCTCCACCTTAGTGACTTGGCAGCCGTGCTAGACACCTTCAACCTCATGGCCTACGACTACGCCGGCTCTTGGGATACTACTTCCGGCCACCAGGCCAACTTGTACCCTAACCCCCAGAACCCCATCACTACGCCCTTCTCGACTGATGCTGCTGTCGCCGATTACATTAAGGGTGGTGTCCCCGCGTCGAAGATCGTTCTTGGTCTACCCCTCTACGGTCGCTCGTTCGAGTCCACCAACGGTATCGGACAAGCGTACTCCGGCGTCGGCTCTGGCTCCTGGGAGAGCGGAGTGTGGGATTACAAGGTCCTCCCCAAGGCCGGCGCAACCGAGACCTACGACGCGACCGCAGGCGCAGTTTACAGCTACGACGCCTCGGCCAAGGAGCTCATCAGCTACGACAACGTCGACATGGTGCAGAAGAAGATCACATACGCGCAAGGCAAGGGTCTCGGTGGATCCATGTTCTGGGAGGCCTCTGGTGATCGTACCGACAGTGGTAGCTTGATCGCTGCTGCGTTTAACGCACAGGGCGGTTCGGGCTCGCTTGAGTCCTCGCAGAACTTGCTTAGCTACCCTAACAGTCAGTACGCTAACATCAAGAACAACCTCGCGTAAAAACAAGGGTCTTGGTCGCGGCTCAGCTGGCTGGTCTGATCGTACCGTATGGTGGTCATTTGGATCGGGGGCCGGCGCTCCGTCTTAGAGGACTATCATCACCTGGAATATTCTGTTCTCTGTTATATAGTTAGGTATTACCAAGCGGCGGAGCTTTGCTTGGTATGGATATTCGAGATGGTGGTGGATGTATAAAGGGGGGTTGGACATGAGTCGTATATGCATGCAGGCAACACTTGGTTAAGTGCTGGGTTGGTTTCGTTGTATATACTTGATACGCGACCTCGTATATAACCTCAAGAAATAAAAACTGATGAATCAATATATCATCTTTCTTGTACCTCTATATAATAAGTAATTCAGAATAACTAACCGCCGACCGACTCCGAACATCCAAGTACCCCGGTCGGGCCGTCTCGGATGTCGGCTTGCCCCGCGCGGCCATGGTAGGGGTATAGGTTTAGCCCTCCGCCAACATACCTATGTGTGTTGGAACACAAATCGTAGGATAACCCCCTTTTAGGCCTCTCCCTTGCAGTACTTTGAAATAGCTGTTATATTATCGGTTTATACATCATCAAGAGTGCCCCCCAAAGACTTTTCGTCCGGATATTCGCAAGTCAACATGGCCAATACCACAACTCCCATATACACAGATACGCCGTTGCCTTTAATCCACACGCCCAGATTCAAAACTAGCAAGGCACGTATTAATATACAGACGATCGCTTGATCGCGACAGATTACTAACAGATTTTTCTTCAAGATGACCCTTTCACAATCGAAGCATCGCACATGGCTCTTAGCCACAACGCGTTTATCCGCGGCTTCAACAGCATATATCAGCAAGCGCCTCGTATACAGGATCCTATCAACAAATCCGAATTCGTCGGATACTGTCTGGCTTGGATTGATTGCGTCGCACAACACCATCATTACGAGGAGACGGAGTTTTTCCCGAATATCGATAAGGCGGCTGGTCGGAAAGGTTTGATGGACGGCGCAGTCCATGAACATGAAGAATTTTACGGCGGAATGGATCAGATAAAGAAGTATCTTCAGGACAAGGGTGGGGATTTCTTACCGGCGGAGTTGATTGGTATTATGGACTCATTTAAGGAACCGCTGCACAGCCATCTCACGTCTGAACCACCTGCTATCGCAGCGCTCGCTCAATACGATACTACAGATACCCCTATTGATATCCTAGGCACTGCTGATGCTGCTGGTAAGTTCGCTTCGCTTCCCGTACGTTGGTCTTCATCGATTCTCATCTCTGGCGTCTAGGCAAGAAGCAGGTTACCTTGGGTTTCCTATTCAACACACTTCCCGTTTTCTTCCTGAATATGGAGACCATTGAATTTGAGGGTGGCATGTGGCACGAAGTATTCCCGCCTCTAAAGGGGATAGTCAAGACAATTATGACCAAGACTGTTCCTATGTGGCATTCCGGCCGATGGCGCTTCGTGAGTTGTTCACCCGAGGGCGAGGTCAAGCAATTAGCGGTATGAGAGGAGCTTTGATTTGAAGTATGAAGGTTATATTAAGTATTACTAAAAACCTATTGCCTTTGAATCCAGCCACTCATTATACTAGTTCGCATCCTTTAAGACGATACCCAAATTAATCTGAGACTAGTCTTGACATTGTTACCCGGCGCTTTCCCCTATGAAACAATACATCTTACCTACCTAACTTACCTTTCCCGGATGATAACGTTAATAGGCTCCTTTTGCACCACAACATATGTTTTCAATCGACCCCATTCGACATGTCCTCCTGGTGCTATAGACATATCGAACTTCCAGACGAGGCGAGCAAGCACAAGCCGCATCTCTGCCAAAGCAAATGATTTACCTATGCCACAATGAGTCAATATTACTAACCGAAGTATCAAGATGATATGGACGCGGCGTAACCAACCTAAGCAATTCCTCGCCCCAAATCCGAATGGTTTCTGGCTGCCGCGGCAATCGTTCTCGAACTCGGCAGGTTGCATATCCGCAGGGAGAAATCTCTCAGGCAGGAATTCGCTTGCGCGATGGAAATTGTCCTCTGAGAGGGACATAGCGGTTGAGTTAACAACTACATGTGTCTGCACGACTCGATTAGCCAAGACGCCGCTCATGGCCGGATATACTAAGAATCACTAAGACCTACATCTTCAGGAAGGAAACAACCACAAACGGTCGCGCCACCTTTCGGAGCGCTCCGTAAGAGCCCGCCAGCTACAGGATGGTACATCCTCAAGCCCTCTGATATCACGGCATTGAGGAAGGGAAGGTTTTGGACGGCGCGAAGGGTAATCTGCTCTTCTTTGTCGAAGGTACCTCGGATCTCATGCTCCAGCCTGTGTAATTGTTTTGTACTCCGAGTAAGGGCAGAGACTATCCCACAAAGCGTTGTCGCGGTCGTTTCGCTAGCTGATAGACTCTTACAGATTAGGAGAAGAGTCCGCTAAATGTTGGAATGGTAGAACTCACCTGCAAGAACTATGATCGGCATGGTAGATTCTATCTCAGATACGGACATTCTTTCAAAATCCGGATTATTTTCGAGCATAGGGGCCATGAAATCATCCCGATGAGAAGATGCCATACGCCGGTGGATTCTCTCCAACCCCATCGCGTAGTGATCTGTCTGTTTTTTGCGCAGGCTCGAAGGAATGAAGTGCATAAGAAGAGTTTCGAGACCAGCGTAATATCTGGTGATAGCGGCGAGGACCGTCACTAGATCAATTCTTAGAACCCAATTAATCGGAAGATGTAGCGAGGACAGCACGTTTGAAGGTATGGATGCGCCTACTCTTGATGAAGCTAAAAATCATGCGTATCCACGGATGACTCCTCGCATTTTCGAGGCATTCAAAAGACTCGCCAAAACAAAGCTGCCCAGAGAGGTCGAATGCGAACCAGTGAAACCAATCGACTACATCAACAATAGTTTCTCGCTTTTCCTTACCCGACATGACCACTCACTTAACTTTTCAATAAGCAAATCCACATAGGACTTAAGGACCGGTTCCTTATGCAACATTTAGCTAATCTCATCAACACCTCTATACAGCGCAGTATAGCATACCTGCTTCATAACCGCCCGTTCCGTAAACGCCGGCATGACAACCTGGCGCATCCGGGCATTCGCAACCGGATCCGCAGTCATAACCAAGTTATCCGGTTGACCCGGAGGTGTTTTGAAAAACGTCGCATTTCTAGGAAATGGGTTCTGACCACCCACGATAGTCTGCCACGCATCCTCATGCGCGATCGAAACTTCATCAGGGGCAGTCCGAACAACAACACCATAACGTCTGTGGAAATCTTGAATTTCTTAACGAGATCCCCCGACAGCAATGAGCGGACGTATCCCAAGCGGCTTGCACGCCACCATATTGGGCCAGGGATATGTGCTAGAGGGTGGAAATGAAGGTTATAGACTAGACGAACAACCCAGCACTAAACCAACAATCAGTAAACGCTCGATAAAAGTCCATATTGGATCAAACGCCTTACGGAGACGGATAAAATGCCGAGTATATAGATCGAATTTAGAAGCGAAGAGCTTGATGAACCAAATTCATACATAGTAGCGATTTTTTTAGTTGCCGTGAATGATACTCAAGTAGTTAAGGGAAAATTATCGCAAAGAAGCTAGACAGATATATATATTGGCTTACGATCGCTTTTCAGCTGGAAGTGGGCGACTCCAAATCCAAATGAGAGATCCTTCGGGTACATCTTGCCTATCTACACGCGGGGTGTTGCAGTCTGAACCAAGTTTGACGCCTTCAAGGTACTATCGTGCGCATATAAAGTAATATAATGACGCACACTTGCATGCTGTACCTACCTAGGTATGCTCGTCGGGGGACACCTCGCTGCCCATAATCCGTATCTCGACAAAATCTGCCCGCTTTATAGCTGGAACCAACAGATACAGGATAAAAAAATTAAACATTCAATTACTATACAATCTTTCCTACGACCTTTCTTCCCCTTTACGCCATTCTCCTCATTATCTCTTCTCGCCGTTCTCACCGTTCGATTCGGCCGGTTGCTCGTTGGCCTCTCCCTCTGCTCCGGAACATAGCTCTTGTTAATGCCCCTACTCCTCGCCGAACTCTCGTCCACCGCGTCATTTTTCACTAGGAACCACTTAAGGTGCCCCAGGCACTCGCAAATGGGTCCGCGAATACGCCTGGCCACTTCGTCGAGCATGCAACTGTGGGTTCCTCTTCGGCACCTCAACGCTAGTGCGGGGCGAAACGACTGGCGAGTTGACTGCAGAGTTCGGTTGCGAGTTGGAGCGACTACCTGGTAAGCTATCCGGAGGCAGGAAGTTGAGTACGCGATTTACGTGGACGGTATGGTTTATCCTGTCCACGCGTTCGGGATCGCGAGCAGCATGGGAGCCACGAGTGCCGTCGTGGTCATCGTTGTCAGCACCCCCGTTCACGGCCTCATTATCGCCGTCCGAGCTGGAGGAGGTCGCCTGGTCTGCCTCGGCATTGGCGATTGTCTGGGCGAAGCGTGAAGACCGACGGAGTACCGGGCCGTATTTATATACGATGAAGACGGCACTCGTGAGAACGGTTGCGATAATTACCAGTATGATGGTCGCCATGAAGATGGAGAGCTTTTCATACCTATTGTGGTTAGAAACATATGGTTAGCATTCTTCTTTCAGGCAGGGGTAAGTAGAATAAGGAAGGGAGGCGACGACATCGACGATACGATGGGGAGGTTTGACATACTATTAAAATGTTAGTGAGTTTCCCTTGTCATTTATTACTGAGTGGTCACTTACCATGGGGATCGCATAAGGAGTTAGTATTCCAGCGAGGAAGTCTCTCGCCCACCCATTGCCACCCGTCGCGGACGCGGCGTATGGTCCGTATGCCCTCAAGACATAGTCGATGGTTGCCATATAAATGGCAAGATTGGCTATACCGATCATGCAGGACCCTATCATACTGGCTATCGGGTGTATCGGCGTCGTGAAGTATGCCGCTGTAAAAGCGAACTCCAGAAGGCCAATAGGCAACAAAGGTGCCAAGTACAATAGCCACCAAAGCCGAGACTCGTACATCGCATACTCCGATTGTGGCGTCTTCTTCCGCAGTTGTATGTTGCGGTTGATGACGAAGAGGAACGACAGAGCACCGATCACGTAGCCAAGACCGATAGGGATGAAGCATAACCCGGTTTGGAGAGGGGTGAAGCCATATTGCCAGTATACGAAACCAAACGACTGGATCATCACTGAGGGGAATCAAATGTTAGCATACATAACACCGAGGCGCAAAAGAGGGGGGGTAGTAATGAAATGGTAGGTAGCTCGCGAAGACACCTACTAAAGATGAGGGCATCGGAGAAACCGGACAATAGGGAGAATACGAGCACAATCGGTTCTGTAAAGAACATCTTGAACGGCCGTATCCAGATCTGCCCTACCTCGGCCCAGTCTATGCGCTTCCTGCCAGCTACCTCGTTCGGCCCGTAGAGGTGCGGGTTCTTGCCGGACTTGCGGTGTTCCTTAGCGACCTTGTCCATTATGACGGTAGCTCGAGTCTCCGGCACGACCCAGAGGTGTAACAGTTGCACCGCGACACCAACAAGGAGTTGGATCCAGATGCACCATCGCCAGGAGGTATGTCCCTCAATGGCACCACCTATAATAGGGCCGACAATAGAGCCACCGACCGATGAGAACACTATGAAGAGTACCGCATACTGGAACATAGGATCGTCATGATCGAACATGTCGGATACAACCGCAAGCGTCACACTACCTCCGGCGCTGGATAGGCCACCCATGAATCGGCCAAAGATGTGTACCGGCCAATTCGGGGCAAGGCCCACGATGAATGCGAACGCGTTCACCGAGCCCAGCGACAGTTGTAGGACGATTTTCCGACCGAACTCTTCGGACCACGGTGCCCAAAGCTCGCAACCGAACGCGTAGGTAAGCAGGAATGAGGCTGCGCCACCCCACCGTATTAGATACGGGGTTAGCTCCCACTCGAGTGATATGCCATCGATGGCATTGGAGTAGATCGTCGTGTTCAGGTTCATGGATACCTGCACGAAGAATATCACCCATAAGCAGTACCACTTCTTTCGCATAGACCATGCAAATCCCAACCTATCACCACAGTCGGAGGGCTTGATCAGAATACGGGCGTCTTGTCCTGGTAACTCAAGCGCCGGGGGGTTATTGGGTTTGGCCCCTTCCGAGTGGCGTAGGGTGAGATTGTCATTGCCGGTAGGGTCCTCAGCGGGCGTGAGGACGATCTCGGGTTGTGGCTTAACCCGACCCTGCGGTGTCCCCTCCGTAGGTCTCTGTTGAAGATCCGTCAGAGGGACACCCGATAATGGTTGGAATACAGGCCGCGAGGTTGCCATTATATGGGAGGTATGTGGTCGCGGCCTGTATTGAATGTGTGGAGATAAGGACGACTGTGGTATGTGATTGAGGATAGTCGAAGTCTTGTAGTCGTCCTTGATCTGTGTAGGTGCGTGTGCGTGTGTGTGTGTTTGTGAATGTAATGTGAGCTGATGAGGAAGAACGGAGAGCGGAAAATCGTGAGGGCTTGGTGGCCTTTTATAATGATAATTTTCCTGTCTCCTCATTCTATCTAGAAGCTACAACAATGAGAGGAAAAGCCTTGCGGGAAAGGATTGAACGTGCGATTGGCATTAAGTTCAATATATCTGACATAGGCCTAAGTGTAGAGTATGTCTCGGGGAAGCTACATGTGATAGAATGGAAGCTTCAGTCTAATAGACTTTGGATAGACTCTCGATATACTTTTCCCCAGAGGTTAAGTTCCTACAATATCGGTTTCATACTTTGACCAGGTCAGGTGGGAAAGCACGTTTCACGATGAAAGTTTAAGAAGGGTCAGTTCCTATAATTACAGTTCAGTTAGTTTGAGTATATCATTGCATTGGGCGCTAGATACCTAGGTACATATTGGTGATCAGGAGCCAATATAAGATTCTCCCTTTCCATATCGGATACTAGGAGGGAGTATTTCAGCTCATTTCTTTTATGCTTAGTCCTAAGGCTTAACTTATGTTCCTTGTATAGGAATTAATATTGGTTGCAGTTTGCTGGCTACTACAAAATGTATCTACCAATCTGCAGAATACCCCCTTTTTGAAGGCACGGACGCCTCATATCAACTTAGGTACCTAAGTGACACGGTATAGCGAATGATCATAAATAAGCATTGCACGAATTGTGCTTTCTAATCTCACGAAGGCTAAGTAGAGTTTCACCGTTTGCCTATACTCTAGCGTAGTGAGATTACTCCAGCTCACCATTGACATGTCCCCACCTGCTATATCGAAGTATAATGACAAGAGTTATCTAGAGGGAGAAAGACCATTAGACACCATGACGTCGCTTGAAAGCATAACACTATGTTGTACGCCATTGTGTTAACGGTAGTCATTGCGGTTGGAGTTGATGAAGCGACGCCAGGTCTAGCTTACGACATCGTCACCTGATGTTGTCGAAGACATTGCGATAGAAGTGACCTCAAGAACGATGGACTGCCAGGAATGAATGAAACGTAGGATAGTACCAATGGTATTACGTTCTTTCCATAGGATCCTATGACGCTCCTACCACAATGTTTGGGTATAAACTACAAAGTTTCAATATCAAGCCCCTGAACTCTGCCCAAAAACTCGCCCTTCGCACCACGCAGGAGCTCATCCATATCCACCATGCCAGTCGCGATATACTTCTCGCTCACACCAGCATTGACCCTCTTCGACAAGAGCTCCCTAAGTTCAGCGCGCAAAGCGCCTAACTCAGCTTTCGTCATAGCCCTAGCCTGTTCCTGCTTCTCCTTCCTTCCCCCTTTTCGTCCACCCCATTTCCCAACTTGCTGCATCTCATCGCTATCGTACTCGACACCGAGTTCTTCGGCGGCATTGCGCATCCAGTCGTCTTCTTTACTGCCCTTCTCTTTTGCAAGCCCAGCGTCGGCAATCTTTTTCGCCAATGTGACGCGAGGTTTTAGACGATTAACCAATTTCCGGTCCATGTCTAGTGTCTGTACGAAAAAGGTCTTCTTCGATTTCTTACTGCTAGTTGAATGTACTTTCGCAATAAGTCTTCGCGTTGGCGTCACCTCATCTGGTGCGCAAAGAAGTATACTCAACCCTGTTTTATCCGCACGCGCTGTACGCCCGGATCTATGCACATAAACATCCGCAGCACGGGGTACGTGGTAATGAACTACTAAATCTACACCCGGAATATCCAAACCGCGTGCTGCGACATCTGTAGCGACAAGAATGGATGATTGTCCTTGTTTCGCCCCAGTAAATCGTTCAACAGAGCGCAGTCGTGCTTTTTGTGGCATCTGAGAATGAAGTGAGTGGGTTTGGAGATTGAGATTTTGGAGCATAGGGGCTAATCTCCGAACCGAGCTGATGGAATTGGTAAAGACCAATGTTCGGACATTAGGATATAAAAGCAAAAGTGCATATAAGTAAAGGTCCTTTGCATATATTGTCAGTAAATGTGCATGTGGCGTTTTCATGCAATTAAACAGGATCATACCTTTTCCATTGCACCACATTCAACAAGTCCCTCTTTAAGCCCCTCTGCCATTTGTGAAACTGGATTTACATCAATGAATTTCGGCTTTTCTTCGCGGAAATTGAGCTTTTTGAGTAAATACTCCATTGAATCTTGCTGGCTCATTAAGTCATAACGTCCTTTGCCTGCAAGCTTTTGCTGTAAGCCTTTATGGAATGTCGCCGAAAATACGAGAGTCTGTCTAGGTGAAGGTTTCGCATCGCCGTCTTCATCTTTATCCTCGTCGGTTTCAAATCGGTCTAGTGCATTGAAGATTTCAGCGGCTTCTTTAAAGTGACCTTCTGTTAGAAGTCTATCGGCTTCGTCGACCACTAGGTATTGGATTTTCTTGAAGTTGTTCGTCAATTCGGAGCTAGAGCTTAGAACCTCCCATAATCGCCCAGGCGTTCCAATAACGATGTCTGCTTTAGCTAATTGGCGTTGTTGTTTATGAACTGATAGACCACCAGTGACGGAACATACGTAAGGTGAGTTCGGTAAGCCAGCGCAAAGGTTCTTGATGTGATCCGTAAGTTGATGAGCGAGTTCTCGGGTTGGCGAGAGGACTAAAGCGAGCGGAATCTTTGCTGCGTCCCGTGGTGTATCGTCCTGGTCCGATAATTCTAGCCATTTCTCAACAATTGGAATACCGAACGCCAGGGTCTTACCAGAACCTGTCGCAGCTTTACCAATAACATCGTGACCAGCTAATACCTGTGGTATGGCCGCCTCTTGTATGGGTGTGGGTTTCGAGAACTTCAGCTTCGCCAACGAGTCGAGAATACGCGGAGATAGGTCTAACGATACCCATGCAGATAGGTCGGCGTCATCCTGTGCATCTTCCAATTCATCCAGCCCGGTAAAGACATTGGATTCAAGTTCCGGATCTTCTACTTCGCCAAGGTCCTTCTTTTTCTTCTGCTTCTGCTTCTTTTTGCTTTCTTTCGGTGCGTCCGCGTCCAGGTCCTCAATGTCATTCGTGGACAGGATTGCAGGCTTGATTTTCGAGGTAGGTTGTGCCGGGGGCTCATCGTCAAAACCTTCGAACTCATCCTCGCTTTGTTCCTCATTTTTATCGTTTTCCTCTTCGTCGTCGGTTGAAGGTGCAAGTGCTCTCTATTTCCTGTCAGTAGTTGAAATTATACCTTGAGCAATGAAGCATACAAATTTGATCGTATTGTTATTTCGGACAACCTCGACGTCGTCAATCTCCTCTAGACCATAAAAGCCTTCGGCGTCGTTGAACATATCGGGGAGCTTCGCTTTGCGCCATTGTAGCGAGTCCGCGGTTATTGTTTTCCTTGCTTTCATTTTCTTAACGGCTTTCGAGGGTGGCGCATGGGCCTTCGACTTCTTCTTTGCTGGTGTATTCGCTGGTCGGCCGGTCGCCTTGCGTTTCTTTTGACTGTCCATCGTGTCTTGGGAATTGGTTACAATAGTTAAATGTGACGATGCTGCCGAATTGCTGGAAATTTTTGGGACTTTGATTTTCTTATCAGCTTATCTACAGCAGCCACTTTTTAATCGATAAGACCTCTGCAAAGCGCATTGACCACAGCTTAATTCAGCCCTACCATTGGAAGTACCTAAGTACCCGCCGGTCGCTAAGCATCTTAATCGCCGCAAAAATTGTAACGAGAAGAAACTTAAACATGTAAAAATCACGAAAGTCTCATATCATCCTGTACAAGTCAATAATTCACCATGGGAAAGTCATCTAAGGACAAGCGTGATGCTTATTACAGACTTGCAAAAGAGCAAGGATGGCGAGCAAGGAGTGCTTTCAAACTATTACAGCTTGATGAAGGTTGTCCCACCTATCTCCCCGCCCATGAGGGTAAGATGCCTGACACGATGCTAATAGAAGATTAGAATTTGACCTCTTTAACAATGTTACTCGGGTAGTAGATTTATGCGCTGCGCCCGGAAGTTGGTCTCAGGTTTTATCCAGGGTGTTAATCAAGGGGGAGAAATTTGGTCGAGCCGCTTGGCAAGATCGCGATGCCAAATTCCGACAACAAATGCTAGGGTTGTTTGGGGCGCAAGCCACCACTGAGAAACCGGAGATTTCAGCACCGACGCAGCCACCTGCGGGGTTAAAACCTCGTCAGGACGTCAAGATTGTTTCCATTGACCTTCAACCCATCAGTCCACTGCCGGGAATCGTCACTCTACGAGCTGATATCACTCATCCGGCTACGGTTCCGCTGCTATTGAAGGCATTAGATCCCGAATATGATTCGAAAACGAAGAGCCAGCAAGCTGCGCATCCAGTTGACCTTGTGCTCAGTGATGGTGCTCCCGACGTAACTGGATTGCATGATCTGGATATCTACGTTCAATCACAACTTCTTTTCGCGGCATTAAACTTAGCGCTATGTGTTTTGAAACCAGGCGGCAAGTTCGTGGCCAAGATTTTCAGGGGCAAGAACGTAGATATACTGTATGCGCAGCTCAAAATATTCTTCGAAAAGGTCCATGTTGCGAAGCCGAGGTCCTCGCGTGCCAGTAGCGTGGAAGCTTTCATCGTCTGTTTAAATTTCCAACCACCGAAAGGATTCTCCGCAAGCCTGGAAGAGCCCTTAGGTGTCGGATTTCGTTTATCACATATGACGGAGCGAAATGCCCAGAGTCTACCGATTACTGCAAATACGATCCTGCAAGATACGGAAACTGGGGCGTGGAACGCCGTCCCCACTTCTGTCCCGATCACAGATGCTGATGGAGTCACTGAAGTGCAAGTGGAAGACCTCCGTCCAAAGCGTGAAAGCGAAATTAGGTGGATCGCACCCTTTATTGCTTGTGGGGATCTGTCCGCTTTCGATTCCGACGCTTCCTATCGTCTACCCCCAGATTACGTATCCCTCGACCCGGTCCAGCCTCCGACCGCGCCTCCCTATAAGCGCGCATTGGAAATGAGAAAGACACATGGTGGCGCGTACGGAAAGACAAGCAAGGAGTGAACAAACCCCGCATCGCTAATGATCTGGATGTTGTGCCGCAGGTCCTTCAATCAAACCGATTGAAATACCCTCCGTGTTACACTCACGCCAATCCTTTGCGCCGAGGTGTTTACGATATAGGTCCATCCTATCGCTAGTCAAGAACATAAATCGCCGCAGATGGGACCAATCCTTGATGACCTCATTTAGACATTCCATCATCCACCCGCCGAGGCCTTTCCCTTGATATTCTGGAAGGATGTATACGTCGGTGAGATAGGCGAATGTGACATCGTCAGTCACGACCCTCACCAATCCGATTTGGGTCGGACTACTTTGACCTGAACCCGTGAGTCGGGACCCAACGGCGGCAATCCAAGAAGAAACTTACCAGCGATTTGTGAGGTAGACTTAGGAAGGATATATAGGCCGAGGCATAATGAGTTATGAAGCGCCTTTTTCATCACATCTCGCGGTAGTCCTTGTGCCCACCACATCAGGTCGGAACTCAAAGCTGAATTCACCGCATCGACTTGAATAAGTAGTGGTTCGGTTGAAATCAGATACTCATCACGATACCAATTTCTAGAAGTCACCTCGAGAACCATTGTGAATATCAGTAATCCGATGCCGACGCCTCAAGTACTCGGTTTTACGGTGGGACTAGTGGCAGATACGAGTTTAATACGCTATATAGTCTACTGCCTATTAGTCACTAAGATGGATGCAGAATGACGACCAAGATGTACCTATGAATCACCGCATTGGTTCGCCACGTGATTTATAGTGTCTGCATATGCAGCTCATCGCCGTAATTCGGAATCCTTGTCCCCTAATCAATCCACCCCAGGCTCTAAAAGTGCTCTACTCAATCGTTACAAGAGTAAGCCCCTCAAAAGGTAGCTTCACCATAAAATACCAAATTTAATACTATTCGAGCCAGGCGAACAATATGATACAAGACTTCTTGGGTAGACACTGACATAGATACTGTAGTAGACCATGGCATTGCAGGAAATATGAAAAGAATTATAACTACATCAACTACGAGATTACTCGCCAGCATAGTAAGAACAAATTACACCCCGACAGCACCAGCATGTTTCGGCGCGGCCTGAGCATTAAATCCCTTCCAAACCTGATCCTTCGAATTCAATCCCCACGCCGTCGGACTATCATCATGTACCGTCGTCCTTCTCAAATCCCTCCTATACTTGCCCTCAAACACACCACCCCCAGCGCGATGCAGCACACATCTATTATCCCAAATAATCATATCACTCGGCCTGTCCCACTGCACCGTAGTAGTGTACTTCCTCTGCGTAGCATGTTTATTCAACTTCTCCACCAACTCCCAAGAATTTGGGATCTCATTTCCGTCAGCGTCCTCGATGTGGTGTAAATGCGCACCGATATATAAATTCATCCGCCCACTCGGCTCATGCACCTGCGCTATGCGATGCCGCTGCATCGGGCCCGTCGTAGGATCCACATCTGCGAAAAACTCAGGAGAACCCAGTTTCCGCGAGTGCGCCATCGAATGCGCGCCCACATAATCATTCGCCAATAACTCCTCCTTCAATTCCTGGGGCAACTCATCGAACGCCGTTCGCGAATCGGCGAAATCGGTATTTCCACCGTTTCCAGGAGGGGGTAATTCACACGCGCGTAGAAGTGAGAAGGAGGCCCGCCGTGGGTTGAAGGTCGAGTCTGCGTGGAATAACCCGTTCCCTCGGTTCGAGTGCGCGCGTGCAGAGTTCGGGTCTAGGACTCCGCCGGTCTCGCTGTCGATGTTGCCGGCGTCGAAGAGTTCGTACAGGTCGTAGCGGGCTTTGCGGCCTGCGCCTAGATACCGCTTTATGTTGTCGAGTTCGCCGAGTCGCTCGGAGAATTTCACGTGTGCTTCGTCGTCGAGGCCTGTGTTGCGGAAGACGCATACGCCGTACTATATGGGTTTACTGTTAGTTGCGGTTCTTAGGGGGTTTGAAGCTATGTTGGGGCGGTTGATATAATCCAATTGGTTGTGTCGGCGTACCTTGGCCATGGCCGCAATGATCTCCTTGAACTGCTCCTCAGATACATCTTGGAAGTTAACTCCGCTTACTTCCGCCGCAAAGGTTGGATGTAGCTCCTGGACCGTGATGGTCTTGAATGGCGATTCTTGGATGAGACCGGGCATGTTGCTACTAGTTGTTTTTTTTCTTATTAAGATTGTTACTGTTTTCCCTCCTCCAATTCCAAGACTTTGAGATCTCCCACAAGAGACGTCACAACTGGGATCCCTCTACATTTATAAAATGTGCATTTTCGGCTTCAGCCGAATCATATACATGCCGAAGGCAGGTAACAATCGCCAGCAAGGAATCGTGCGGGGTATGCACTGGCGGCAGAACCTGGCAGTCTCATGATTACATACACTAAACCCGACTATTCGGCTCCGCGTCGTTCATTCCGCACAGAGGATTCCGATGGTAGATCATATCTTGGGGTAGTTCGAAGTTGAATACGAAAAACAACATGGGTAACAGTTCGGCGATTACCAAGTTGAATAGCGTTATGTTACATTGGTTTCGACAAGATAATTGTGGAACTATCCTCTAAATGTCAGCTATAACCTCGGGTATACTTTAACACACCGTCATGTATCGAAAAGGCTTCCTTTTATGGATTACATGAATCGGTATTTGTTAATTCTTTAAGAAATTACCGCTACATATTATATCTCCAACGTTATTGCTAATAATCTAAGCCTCGGCAGATCCAATCGCCATAGGTTCTTGGTGTCACCTAGAACACTCGCGTCTTTGAAAAGGGGGCGCTTGGTAGTACAATATTAGTCAGCCCCCTATCCAGTATGGTTTCACAAATATATTGAGCATATGGTAGATACTTACCAATGACATCACGTGAATATTCCCTCAACTTCAATCGGCCCCCTTCTCTTTGTAATCGATAGAAGTTCCGTATGTGACCGCAATACTAATTATGGCATTTAAGAGCTGCCTGGGTTGATTGATGGCTTTGTGGCATATCTGTGAAATTGACATACAATGGGGGCTTGATTGTTCTAAGAGCTGCAAAGGAAAACTATTAGACACATTCTGGGGGATTAGGGCAAACCAGCAAACGGGACAGTCATCTCGTCGTCGTTGACGCCTGCTCTGCTACAAAGAACTTCAGAAAAGGGCCAAAGGATTTCCCTACTACGCCGCCTACCTCGACGGAGGTCGTACAAGCTGTTTGAGTAGGTACGAGACATAGCAGTGCTCCGGCGTTCCTGATGATGACGGGTTGGGTAGGTACTGAGCTGTTCTTGCCTTTCGACGATGAAACGTTTTATGACAACGAAGCTACCATCCGCCGTAGGGCCCCGGAAGACCGGCAGCCGGAACCGGGGCTATCTACGGAAGTCGTCGTAAGCCCGGAAGCTGCCGGTTTTACTGCAAACGGGAAAGGACCTCGCAAATTCATAATGCTTCATAAAACAGTCTAATTCTCGCAGTAAACAAGTAAATAAATAAAAGCATTGTTGACTCATCCTTATTTTCATAGTCATCGTAGCAATCTAGTACCAGTGACCACTATCTGTACCCAAGTACCTACCTAGGTAGGTACACAATCTACCTATATAAACACTGCAGGGACAAGCTATCTAGGCAGTACTTACGGTGATATGTTCCTAACTACATGCAGATACATGTATTAATAGGTAATATACCTGGTATTAGCGTTGGCGCTTTAGTCCACTCGCGTTCTGGCGTGTAGCTGGTGTGTACCTAGACCAATTTAATGTGCTCTAAGAGTTTAATCGCCGTGTACCGAGTATCGGGGAGTTCCGGGGTCATTTGCCCTCTTGTACCTAGGAAGTTTGTTGATATACCAAGGGCAACTGCAGTGGTTAACAGTCAATCATCGCGTCAACCCGTCAAACGGTGTAACTTTGAGCTCCACATCTACCCCTTTCTCATAGTCACCAGGCACCGGTTCGGACGGCAAGTCGTATTTCATCTGAAGTGTAGACTCATCCTTAGCAGATCCAAAATTGCTTCATAATGTAAATACCTATGGTGCCTTCTACAAGTCGCTCGATTGCGTGTATGAGTCGGTTATTGTATGATCGGTACATGTAGGGTAGGCACCTGGCCCGTGACAGCTGGTTTCAATGTACTAAACCACCAGGGCACCTTTTAGAACCCTTCGCTGCCTATGTATCTCTCTTATTTAGCGAGAAACTAGGTACCTACGTAGGCCCTTCTGGCGATTATTCTCCGACTTTACGCCGTACTATCTATTTATCGTACCTAGGTATACGTAATTAGAGGAAGGAACCATAACCAAGGTAACTGGGTGCTAGAATAATTATCCATTTAGGTGAATCCGAGACATCCCTCCAGCCGTAAGAAATTCTCAAGCTTCCCAAATACGTAGTTTTTCTTTCTCCATCCCAAAACAACATCAACGAATAACCCCAACTGTTAACTCGAAATTACCGCCACGATGGCTTCTTCGTCTACCAACCCGGCTACTCAAGCCGCCACCGGTACGTAAATTATAAACAGGTATCTGGAGGGAAATACTAACAAATATACTGCTCGTAGAGCAGCATGTATGTCCCCAGTGTAACAAGCACTTCAAGACACGAGCCACCCTCCTCCAACACGAGGGAGAGGCACACATCGGTACAGTGTGTTTTTGGGTTGGCTGCACCGCAACAACGACTACCGAGGAAGAACTCAACCTGCATATACGTGAGCATAATCGTGTACAAGCCCTAAACGTCGCAAATGGCCATTTAATCTGCCATTGGCACGATTGTAACCATGATTTTCCGACTGTGGAGGGTGTCAGACGACACCTTCGTCGTCATCAGGTGAAGGCCCTGAAGAGTCAAGCATCTCAGTAAGCCGACTGGTATTGTTCGTAATAAATCCTATCAATCTAAATTAAATCATCGCTAACAACTAGCTAGGAACAATGCCTTCTGAGTAGACTTCGGTGGAAAAACGCGTAACGTATGTGTTGCTATGGAGGGAACTTGCTAGGGATGGCCTGTGGACGACACCCAAGGACCAGAATGTCAATTGTCTTTACAACCTTAGGTACCCAGATAGCCAATAATGATTGATCATCCACACTTGTGTCGTTCTTATACTGTGGCCTGACCACCGTAATTCCGTGATTAATCGAAGACGGGACTAATTTGATTGGCACTGTCAAGGTGTTCACAGTGTAAAACGCGGATTACATAAAGTTGTCTAGCTATCGACGAACGTAATCTTTTATATATATGGCAAACAGATGGAATTTACTAGCCACTCTTTTTTCGTATTCGATTCTACAGTGCCGCGTATCCACCTGCCGTTGACTTGATTCTAGGAAGGAACCAGGAGTGAAATACATTTAAAGGTCCTACCTATCCAACCCTTCACTCTCCTTCAACCCAAAACAACTTCTTTTCCCCTACCTCCTACTCACCACGATTTTCTTCGCTTTTCTTCACAATCATCTTCCATACCCTTTCTCGCTTGATTTAATACGAAAACAAAAACCCATCAACTTATTACAATGACCAACGACAACTCGAAGAAGGGCAAACGCACGCCGCTCCCCTACTGGGGTGGCGAGGCACGCCGAAGAGAAAATAAGAGAGGTATGTAGCCAACAAGCACACGACAGAATCCCGATACAGCTCCACGGCACTCTAACCTTTCCGCCTCGCGTCTATATTACAAAATAAATACTAACAAAATCACCAGCGCGGGACGGCGTTGTCGCTCCTGGTGTGATTCCGGGTGTCGCGGCGCTGGCCCAGAGACTCGTCTCTCAGCCTCCGAGAGCCCCTACTCCGGCCAAGAGCACCCCCTCACCGAAGAAGAGTGTCACTCCCCCGACACAGAAACAGGCCTCTCAAGCCTCGAGGGCCACTTCTTCGCCCTCCTCGCCCCCTTCGCCGGCGCAACCTGCCCGGCCATCACAACCTCCTAGATTGGCGGGTCCAACCGCGCTGCCTGACACTCCGGAGAACAAGACCTGCCCCGAGTGCCAAAAATTGTTCAAGACCAGAACCGTGCTTCTCCAGCACCTCCGAGAATCGCACATCGGAACGACGTGCTTCTGGGAGGGATGCGGCGCCACCCTGGCCAGCGAGCAGGGCCTCAACATCCACCTGCGAGAGCATAATACGGCGGCCGGCGACCACATGAAGTGTAACTGGCCGGAGTGCAATACGGCGTTTAGTACCAAGGAGATGGTGGCGCGACACCTACGTCGCCATACGGTGAAGGCGCGGAATGCGCAAGCAGGCCAATCAAAATAGTTAAGTAGCGTCCTTAAGCGACCCGGAGAGCCCCCGATGGAGTGCTATACCTTACCCCGACGGATTAAGGGCCATCCCGAGGTAGTCCGCTAGGAGGGAATGGACGGCATGGAGAATGGTGTTCATGGCAGAGGAGTTTTTGATTTGATGTTTTCGTTGACTTTTCTAAATACCGCGCCGTATTGATGAAATTTAAAAAAAGCAGTTGCTTTATAATATGGTATATCGTGCCTACCTACCTAGGTAACTAACATCTAAATATCAAGAAGCCACCTTCTCATCAACGACCTCCAGTAGGCCCAGGCTCTACCCGATCGCGCTTTATTAGGGAAGACGCGAACCGAGAGAACTGTTCGATAGTCTCCTCCTGACCCATACGCCTTGCCTGGGCGTCCTCTAACATCTTGCTAACAGGATCCAACCTCTCCCACACCGGAATGAAGTTATTCGTTGTCATCTCTCCGAGTTGGGTAAAGGCAAACTTCATAGCTTCGTACTCCGTGATACGAGTCGCGTCGTTAGACGATATACCCATACCAAGTATGTGCCCCTTATTCGCATTCGCCGTTTTCAGCGCTAACACACTCACTTTAACACAATAGATTATCATCGCCGCTAAACCCGATGCCAATGCCGCCGCTACGCTCGAGCCTGTCTCGTACTCGAAATCCGTTATCCTCTTCGTGACTTCCCTCGACGAAGTCCCGCTACCGAGTTGGTTCTTAACCACATCTACACCCGGTAATACGAAACTTATACCATCTTCGGGCGTCCAGTTGAATACAGTGCCGTCGTTTCGGGCGGCGCCGATGCGAAAGAACTTGTCGCGTTGGAAACCGCTGGGATAGTCTAGGTCCGTGAACTTCCCTCTATCGGGGGACGAGCAGAACATTAAGACGTTCCTGTCGACAGCCTTCTGGAGGACTTTGCTCATCTCATCTTTCTCCTTACTCTTCCCTTCTGGCATCGGGATAGTCCACGACATCGATATTATGGTCGCCTTCTTATCTAGGGCCGCTTGGATGGCCTGGAGAGGAAGGCGACGAGTTAGCATGGTACTAAAAGGGTGATGGTTAGGATCTTACCTGCGCCGCATATTTCATAACAATCTGATTCTTTCCGCCGACCTCATACGTCTTAAGTCGGATCGGGTAAATCTTAGCCATAGGACAGACACGCAGTATCATACTCGCCATCACCGTTCCATGATTCTTCGCCGACGAGAACGGCGGTCGGACTTTACCGTTATGGAAGTCGAAGCTCTTCCCCTCGAGTACTTGACCCGAAAACGCGCTATCGAATACGTCGACGCCGTCGTCGATTAATGCGACTACGACGTCCTCCTCGGCTTTCTCGATTGTTCCTTGGGCGCCCAGTTTGCGCGAGCTTGTGAATTCGTCGAGGGTGTCTTTCCAGAATCTACTCATTAGACCGGCGAATCTGGATGTGGAGTCGAGCCATCGGTGCGAGTTAACACCTTTGGCGGGGAGCGAAGATATTAAGAGGGGCATATCGTCCATCGTTAGTTTGCGCTCCTCGTCTATGTTGGCGTATTCGGGTTTAACCTTAATCTGGCGGGTATCTTTTGTCGGTTCGGAGTTGTCCTCGCTCCTGAATGTTAAGCTACGTGTAGTACCAGTGTTCAAGTTCTTGTTCACTCTAGCTTGGAACTCTTTGACCTTTTGGGTGATCCATTGCTCGTCATCGTAGGTCTACCTTATGGTTAGCCTAGTGCTGGGATGGGGGTTGGGCGAGGGGGAAATACTTCAGCAGGTTGTGGCATGTAAAGACGAATTGATTTGAGCTGGGGTAGTAGTGGTAAGCCTTCGGGTTCACTCCATGCCCGAAGAACGGCGTTGCTACCACTCCATCTTAAAACTAATTCCTTTAGCTGTCTATTAGGAAGTAATTCGATATTCTTCTGGTCTCCATTCGTCGGCTTCTTCGGTACCTTACTACTAACATGAAGAATAGTCTGTGGATCCAGATCCGTCTTCTGCCAGTCCAATTGCTCGACGACGAACCTCTCGAGCGACGTTTGAATCGCCTTGTCACTGTGGACTTTTGGCCCCGAGTCATTGACGGATACTCTGATGATATGCCTAACTCCTTTTTGGTACAGCCAATTAAAGAAATGTTGCATATCTTTGCGACCGCTTGCTCCAAATTGTCGCGCCCCTTGGCGCTGTTCCGAATCCCGCTCCATGTCGGCTTGTCGACCGGTTAGTTGTACGTTGACCTGTGGGAAATTTACATATTGTAAGACCTCATCGAATTTTAAGCCGGTCGCGCTGTTAGCACCGAATCGATTCTCGAATACTTTCCATTTTATTTCGCGTGGTATACGGTCGTAATCGAAGCTGATTTGTATATCTAGGGGTTATGTCAGCAACCGTTAGAACTTGCCTTGAGGTTCACATCAGCTCACCATCCATATTTGTGCCGTATAAGAATATGATGGCCATCTCAACGTCTCTCGTTCGCATGTAATGTAGTTTGAGTTTCGCAAGTATTTCATCGGAGTTCTTCTTCCAAACTCCCATGTTACCCCTTTCTCCAGTGTTGCTCTTTCTGCTGGTTTGTTGTGGCCTCAAAGGTGGCTTGTCTTGGACTGGCTTATCAAACCGGGAAGTTCCCGTTCGTTTGATAGGGGTATTAGGAGAAGGCTCTGTTGGCCCTCTCTGATGTCCAGTCTGAACACCTAGCTGATCTGGATGATTGTCCGATTGGGCTCTCCTATTAGCTTCCGCTAACTTCAGGAGTCGGTTCTGTTCGGCGACTTCTTCCCTCGCTCTAGCGAATTCCTCTTCCTTTTTCCGCTGTCGCAACCTCTCACGATCCAGTGTCTCGTCTCTCGGTCTGCCCGTCTCCTGACGCGATCTTTCGCGCTCTGCTTCTTCCTCTTTCTTTTTCTGTCGCAGTCGTTCGCGTTCATCGACTTTGCTAGTCCCCTCCTTTTCGCGGGTGGGTCTCCCGGCAAGCCGATCCACTTCGGATTTGAGTGCAGCGGAGTGCGACACATCCCTTGAGTTAGCCTGCATTCGAGCGGCTTCCTTGGGATCTCTAGATGCAAGCTCTTCGTCATCTTTGGACCCTCGGTTCTGCTCCGATGTCTTGTTCGCAGTCCTCGATTCGCTTGCCTTTTTGGCTGCCCACGCATCGAACTTTTTCTTGGTGGATGCTCTGGTACTTTGGTGTTCACGGTATACCGAACGCCCGCTCTTATCAACCATGTCCAGGAATAGTTTCGGTGGCCGCGGGGAGCTGTGAAGTGCATTCAGATCTCGCTGGATGAAAGTGTCAATAATTTCGGCTCTGACATCAGTACATTGCGCAAACTGAACTGCATAGTGCATTGGAGTCTTGCCGAGGTTGTCTTGAATGGCGAGTGCCTCGTCGCTAGCGTTTTTTATTAACATTTTTATCGTGTTGGCGTTCAAATTCTCCTCTAATGCAACATGAAGACTTGTTTTTCCTTCCTGGGCCTGCTTGCGGAGCGCATCATCTAGGCAGCTCATATGAATTGAGGCCACCGGAGCCGTCTCCTTCTCTTGGGCGCACTCTTCGCATGTGGAGACCATATACTCAACGAGTTGGAAATTCGACGCTCTAATGGCCATGTATAAAGGGTTATAACCATCCTTATTGCCATATAGCAATAAGTCTGGATACTTCCGGACCAATCGCCGCACGAGAAGCTCGACATCGTGAGATTCTATCTCTTCTGTATGCTTGACGACTTCTACGAGCACGTGCAGAAGATTTCCAGACTCCTTGGTTGACGACTTGGGAGCGACATCACCATATTCAGTAAGGAATTCATCGACATCGTCTTCTCCTTTAAAACTCCTCTTTCTCTTAATCGCTTTACTTGCTGCTCTGAAACGTTGCTCATAACCATCCTCGCGTTTTAACTGGGGGTCTTCGGTTCCATCTAATTCATCAAAATCAAACTCGTCTTCGGATATCCCGTTGGCCTCCACTTCCTCATCGTGTTCCCACTCGGACGACATGGCGAATAAACATCAATACTAATTCGCATTCTTAACCCTTCGGTATACGTGAGAGTTTTGAGTTGAAGGTTGAACGACATCTCGTCTGAGAAGGCTGGCTATGGGTAACGAAAAGGTACGGAGTAGTGGTCCATTCGGGGTTAGTGTCTCCCTTCCATCCGCTATTCCCAGCCAAGCTGACCGGGAGCTAAGACACACAGTGTAGACCAGGGTATAGCTCCATGAAACATCACAAGGTATTAATTACTCCCCCGCCCCCATCTTAATCTAATACCTGATAGGCAGCCAAGCTGACGGCCAGGGTAGCCAACCCCGGCATAGCTCTATAATAGTCGATCCTTCTCCTCTTACTAAAAGCCTCTCGGTCAAATTATATCTTTGTCAGCCATCAGCTGAAAAAGCAGAGAGAAAAAAGCTATAAATCCGATATAGTATCATACAGTAAAACCTAAGCTGGTGGCGTTAATCGAACCATAACCGTGACGAAGCAGAGCCCGGGTGGTATCGATGCAACAATGGAGACCGAAGCTAATGCAGAAACGGTTAATCTAGAATTGTTCGAAGCTGGGGGCGAAGAAGGCAGTGATTTTCACGTTTTCAACATCTCCGATGATCATTATCACCGAACGGAAGCTTTACAGCGCACTGGCGCTATAGATATCAGTTGCAATCTCAAGAAGGTTGTTCATGGCGCTATATCCCCCGACAGCGATCGATACGCTACTTTACTTGTTTTACAATGGGGATTCAAACCTCAACACAATACGCGCCGTATCGCCGAAGCAACTATTGAGCTTGAATTCACACCCAGTGCAGATGGTGGCGATGTCGAAGTCGAACGCATATCATTCGATGGCTCATATAGCCTGATGCCAACAACGCAGTCAGAAAGTGTCACGAGAGGGGCTGAGGTGAGCCTTGGAGCTAGCTATTTTGCAGATTTGAGTATTGGAGGAAAATGGGAAAAAACAGTCGATAGTGTGTCGTCGGATGCGATCTCGGTGAACGGTGGGATGCATCTCGTCAACAATATCCCACCATATCGAAGAGTAAAGTGGACCTTATTGGAGAACGAAACTCAGAAGTCGGGAATTCCAGCTTCCCTCACAGTCGCAGTACTCGTTTCGAGAGAAGACCAAGAGAAATTCTACTGCGGATTGGGATTTACATGTAAAACGGACAAAAAAACAGCCGCCCAAAGCTTCTTCAAGAAAATCCCTAAAGATGACCCTATCATATTTCAACCGGATCCTCGGGAGAAAGGGAAACGCCCACATAGAAACATCCTATATGGTGACGATGAGCTGGGTAGCGTTGACCTTGAGAAGTTGAGTGATGTAACTTTTACAACCATAGTTACACGCGCAACGAAGTCTAGGGAATAAAACCTTTCTGCGACTTATTTGCCTGAAAATTTCATCGGATAATGTTGAAGAGTCTCTACACAACTATAGCGTGAATATTGATTCCACTTTCGCCGAGGTAACAAGGGTAGGAGCAGGGCTTACGACACGTACGCCCAGCTATGCACGCGATCATCTCAGGCGCATAGGTCCGCTAGCCCTCCACTTTATAAAATCCAGTAAAATAAATTGCTATTAATTAAGTAACTAGGTATCTACCTAGGCAGCAAGTACAAAAACGTGAAAATAGCTCACAGTATCATATCGATATTCACACGTACCCTGGTCAATAGATGACCCCATTAGGATCCGCTAGCTTGGGTTAACCATACCATACGACGTGGGCTGAAGCTATGATCTAGGCTCCTTCATGAATGTTATTTTCCATTCACAGCTCAAAGGCTAGCTTACTTATGCGCCCTCCGTATTCAAAAAGGTTCAGGTGTTGCTAGTAGGGCATCAAACCCGAAGCTATGTCTGAAGACGCTTCCGAAAGTAATGAAGCATCAGCTCCGGGGCAGGCTTCGGAATCACCGAAAGGCGACGCTTCATTTCTAGAAAAAGATGTGAAAACACAAGACGACGGAGACGCCAAAAATGACGAAAATGACGATGCGAGAAGCACAGGAACCAGAACCACAGAGCTACTCACCCTTCCGAATGTTTTGCCTCAACCAACCCCAGAGATCCTTAACAATAGAAAACTTGGGTTGGACATCAATAAGCCTATGGGCTGGAATGGATCCGATTATATTGACTATGAGTGAGCGTTTTTATCTAAAAAATACTTTGATAATATGATCCTTATTATTGCGAAATAGCATAATCACTGTTCATGGTATACGGGATGACTACAAAAAGGTCTGGATTAACGATGAGGGCAAGTGGTGGGTCAGAGATCACCTCTTCAAGGATCTATCGAACAGACAAGTCGATTATTCCTATTTGATCTCGGAAAACTCGACTATCTATGAGCCAAATGGAATCCTTTCCCACGCAGAGGCATTAGTTACAGAGTATGCGCGAAGACGAGAAGCACTTGAAGAGGCAGGTTTGAATCAATTTGGGAGCGCGATATCCACTAATAACTAACAGACCGAAACCGACCGACCAATAATATGGATATGTCATGACATTGGAGGTAGTATTGTGAAGGAGGTCGGTATTTCCTGCATCGCTTTCCGTTAAGTAGCCCCTTTCGAAATATTTATACTGACAGCCCAAGGCCCTATCCCTGGCCGTTGCGCATCCGGAGAAATACGGGAAAATAGCCATCTTAACAACCGCCATCGTAAGTAGGACCTTAAATGGGTATATACAGTTTGAAATAGCTCACGGAGTAAGATATTCTTAGGTTGTCCTCATAGAGCTCATTCTATCGATGACCTTGAGGATCAGATATACCAGCTCATACAGCTTCCTGGACCTGATATAAAATACCGGGTGACACAAAAAGTCAAGGACCTCGCCAGACAGGTGAATGCGGCTAATGAGACTTTCTTGGCGACTAAGTTACTGGACCGTGCCGTGGTCTTCAACGTTTTTACTCACAATGTTCGTACAAGTTTGGACAAGTGTCCTATCGACGATAATGCGTCCTACATTGCGAAACCTTCCGGCCCATACGACGAACTAGCTAATCCAGTAACTCCCTTTCCACGTTATGCACATGCTATTGGCCATTCGTTCGAAGCATATGGCAGGATCGCTTGCCTCACGATAAGTCACATGGAACTAATGGAGGATGACCCTTCCGATGGATGGCTTCCGTTAGTCACGAACGCCATAAACATCCCCGGATCCAGTAAGTCCAAGTCATACAACTCAAGGAAACGGGCAGAAGATCTAACGAATAGTCTAGTAATTAAGGTGAACTACCATGTTATCCAATTTCAGGCACGTATTCTATCACTCCTGCCTCCAACGCGAGCCTTGAAAGTGGACTTCGACCCTGCGACCCCAAGGTCACCTATAGTGGCCTGGATCCGTAAGCATCCTGCGTTCAAGAAGTTCACCAAGCCTCCCCCTGGGCCAAGGATACTGCATATACACGGCAGTACGGATAGGGCCCTAGACATCGCCGATATCTCTCAACGTTTCTGGCTCGATTATGATTGCGCGAAGACAACAAGCGAATATCAAAGACGTCCCGAGTCCTCTACAATCTACTTTGAGTTTGACCAACAGGATTCCAGGTATAGTACGCTCTCCACTATGTTACTGTATTTCATTAATGCCTTGATATGGCGCTTTTGGGAAGGCCGAGAAAACGTAATCCAAGGTGACTTGAAGTTCTTGGATGATACGCGATCTTGGTCGCTCAATGATTTATACCATCTATTCAAGATCTTCATGTATCCTGTGGCCGTCAATCATATCACGTTCTTCATCGGCTGTTTCGACCAATGCCCACAAAAGGAACGGAATTGGTTCTTAGAGCGCGTTCTTGACGTACAAAGTTATAAGGAGAAGTCCTGCCGAATGATTATATCCACTGCGAATCGGGATGATTTGGCAGTCGATTCGTTCCCAGAGGATTCGCGCGTTGATTTAGCGGATTCCCCAAAGCCCAATCAGCCGGCTCTTGATAGCGAGACACGCTACCTGCTTAGAACAGACCTAGACGACCTTATCGAAAGGCGACCAATATTCAAGCATTATCGAAATGAAATCCAGGACTTACTGGATCAGTGCCAAGGCACGCCTCATTTGGGGTATAGCATCCTGAAATGGCTGGATCATGGCAGACGGGGCATTTCCAAATCTTGGATAGGTTGCGTCCTGAAAGATATGGCGCATGTTTCGCCACAGAACCTGATGAATGCTTTTTTATCATCTTTAAGCCCGGAGAAAAAGGCGTGGGCGAAGGATGTATTCCATTTGGTCAAATACGCCGCGGAGCCTTGGTCCCCTGAAGCACTAGTTGAGGCACTTGCCGTCCGAGAGTCCTCCGAGGAATTTTCTCTTGACGACCTCGACTCTTCAAGGTTAACGGAAGAACTCGACCATATATTCGGTGGCATGATCGTCGTGGACGGCCGTGACGTTAAATTCAGCCATAATTCGTACCGTGGCCTGGCCGACATCGATGTTACAGGAAACCCTGGAGATTACACGGCTAAGATAAACGGCGAAATCGTGGAGACATGTCTGAAATACCTAGGATTAGAAGCCGTCCAAGAGAAGCTGTCTAGCTTGTTTCCCGAGAAATATGTCGAGGGCACATACGCGACACAGCTCGACGAAACACTAATGGCGACGCAGGGACTAAGTATGATGGAGTACGCAGTCAGATTCTGGCCAACGCATTACCAGCTTAGCGGAAAGTTCAAACTATCTAGGCTTGTTCATGAGTTTTTCTCTAATCGGAAGAGTCGCGCGGCTTGGGAGTTCTATTACTATAAGCTCTCTAATCCTTTCAATCGGATACAGAGAAGTTATATCTCACCACTGCCGATTTATGCTATGCTAGGCCTGGAAGACTTAGTTGATGAACAAATAAGCAGGGAGAAATCCCTACCCTCTTTTAAACAGAACATCAGTTACGCCACGACGGAGGCTGTCAGAATCGGTAATGAACAGCTTTCGCAGCAATTAATAAAAGAAGTGGCTATGAATGACCAAGAACTTCAAGAAGCCTTGCTTTGGACAGCCGCACGAGGGGATAGTGGGGCCGTTGACAGTATTCTCGAGAAAATAGACCCTAAAACGATCCAGTGGTCGGAAAATATACTATGCCGAGCTGCGGCCGCCGGTCTAGACAAGCTTCTCATTGCTGCGCAAAAGTCCGGCTGCAATATTGACGAGACCAGGGACTACCTGGGGACGACCCCATTCGGGGTTGCCGTGTGGTGGGACCAACTACATACAGTCAAGGCTCTACTCGATTCTGACGTCAAGCCAAATTTAAATATCCGCGACGACGAACAGTCAACGCCTTTCTTGACAGCTGTGAATGAAGGTAACCCACGTATGATCAGTCTCTTACTGCAAGATGAGGCCGTCATCCACCACCAGACCTCAACTGACAGGGGCGTTATGCAACTTGCTTCGGAATCTGGCAATCATAAGGCAATAGAGCTACTCTACAAAGCTAACGCAGATATCGACAGCGAAGACAAACTCGAACCCGCTGAAGATGCCCCTAGGCCACCGTTAATCGGCGCGGCTAGTTTTGGGTACAGCCAATGCGCCCGGGAGCTGTTAAAAAGCGGCGCCAAACCAGATGTCAAGTTCGGTTCGAGCACTCCAATGTCTGAAGCTATTCTGAATAATTCTATCGATACTGTTCGAGTGCTTCTCGAGTATAAGGCCAGCATAAAGCAAGAGGACGGTAGCGAGAACATGCATTTGATGCGGGCTATCCAGACCGAAAATTTCGATCTCGTTTCCCTACTAATTGAGCATGGCTTGGAGGTTAACATAACCGAAAAGAATTTTTCGAACGTCAAAACGCCGTTATCTCTAGCGGCTAATTTAGGAAATATTAAACTGGTGGAGCTTCTGTTAGAAAAGGGGGCTGATGTCAATTTTTGCGGCGGAGATACGGATTCGCCCCTATTCTCGGCGTTCTATCGAAGCGAAACTGAAGTCGCGAAATTACTTCTCGAAAAAGGTGGTGATGTTAACTGGAGTGCAAGTGATGGATGGACCCCCCTTCACGCGGCGTACGATATGCCGCACCTTATACCCGAGCTGCTCAAACGGGGTGTCAACATTGATTCCATCTGCAGTTTCGGGACTATAACTATGATGGCGTCAAGACGTGACGAACCAAAAACGATCGCAGCCCTATTAGAACACGGAGACTCTAAACCAGACCTAGAAATCGTCTATGGGGACGACGGGACAGTACCTGAAGATATTGGATACACGGCGCTTCTTATAGGCTGTAGGAACAAGGCTCCAGAGTGTGTAAAACTTCTTCTAGATGCAGGTGCCGACCCTACATTCCGGCATAGTAATGGCGATGGGGCCGTGGATATCTGCGTTCAGAAGGGCGACTCGACGGAATTCGAAGAATGTCTCAAACATTTGCTACCTTATAATCCAGATTTGGGTCACATAGATGACCAAGGCGACACTCTTCTACATAAGATCCACGAAAATACGCTCTTATCTATCGTGAAACTTTTGGTTGAAGAGGGTGCACCAACAGACGTGGAAAATAACGAAGGTTATACACCTCTAGCAGTCGCGATCAATGAGAACAATATCGAGGTCGCGAAGTACTTGATTGAACAAAACGTCAATGTCAACGTCTACAGCTCCAAGTTTGGCAGCATTCTACACTTAGCTTGTAGCAAGGGCTCTTTGGAGATGGTGAAGTTGCTGATTGAAGCAAACGCCGATCCATCCGTGGTGAATCCCGAATACAGCCAGTCACTGCTATATACTGCTCTCAATATCGGGAATGAAAATGACCGTTTGCCTATGATACGGTATCTTGTTGACGATGTAAAGGTTGACATCAATGCTATGGGTGGCCGATACGGGTATCCTCTCATCCTGGCTGCGTCTGAGTGCTCGGATGAAGGCGAAATTAGAACCAAAACTTTCAAATTCCTCATTCGCCGTAAAGCTTACCTTGACGTGTCCGATGATCAAGGAAGACGTGCTGTACATTTAGCCGCTACCACATACTGGGATGCTGGTCTGAAGCTTCTCGCTGAAGCTGACGCAGATCTTACTGCCAAAGACAAATATGGACGTACTCCACTTCACTTTGCTGCAGGATGTGAATATTCCGACTGCATCAACTATCTCGTCACGAAAGATGTAGATATAAATGTAGTGGACCAAGACGGCTGGACACCGTTGATGGTAAGTGCCTGAGTAGCTTCAGTGGTTCTTTTGCCCCTCTCTATTCTGTGAAGTGGTTGCTGACTCCCATCATTATAGTGGGCCGCAAGGTCTGGTACTGTAACTACAATACATCTGCTACTGGATAAGGGCGCCGATCTATGGGCTCGTGGACATAGTTATGATGCTGACTGGTCGGCATTGAAGTTGGGTAATTTTGTTGCAAGATATATCGATATAGAAGACCTACTGGCGCCAAAGGATCTTACACGGAAGCGTTCGGATGGAGAGATTGAAGAATGGGACGAGTATTTCCACAAGACTCGTCCGGCATCTAACAAGTATAAAACCTGTTGGAGTTGCCTCGTGGTATGTTGACCATATTCGAACATGTGAGACCTGAGATGCTGACCAACCGATCACCCATAGAACATATGGGGTATTCAATGGAAGTGTATCGAGTGTACCGATGATGTTTCGCTTTGCTTCAAGTGTTACAGCCATAGGTCAACCATGCACAATCCCGAGCATAATTTCGAAGAGATTGGGCCTCTCTACCTTGAGACATCATCGCCAGCGCATAGTCAATCCGCGACTGATAGTGAGAATGCCGAGGAGAAGGCTCAGTCGGACGAGGAGACCCCAGAGAACAATGGGGGAGATGCGGTTGAAAAAGAGGAGGACAATGATGATGATGATGGTAAGGACGGTGAGGCGCTGGAGTTTGATAACGAAACAATCGGGGATGATACCGAATTCAATCCGGATGATTTTGATGTAGATGCGGAGTCTACTTTATAATATATTGGGTCACGCTTGGAATACCTTGACAGTTAATATCCAGGTAGTTGATTCACTCTAAATTTACGTGTGTCGGAACTGAAGTTCTTTACCTGGTTAGCAATATCATCCCTATTTTGGGTGTGCACCCTAGGAGCATAAGGCCTAGAGCGCTGTAACCCAGTGCACTTTACCAAGTAGGTAGGGAGTATCTCGCTATAATTGTGGCGTATGCGGTCGCCGCAGTGTGCTGTAATTTAGTGGTAGACGCTCCATGCGGGTGGTAATTCGACTGGTCAATTTGGGCTACTAACGTCTGCCTCCTGGGTACCTAATACCCGCCATGCGCTAAGCCCGCTAAGCTACAGTGTGCAGTCCCCCGTATTTATAGTGGGACTTGATGACCAAAGCACATCCATGGATCTGGGTCAGCCTAGGGTACCTACTATAATTATAGCGAGACAAACGCCATAACCCAACTATCTCTAGCGCGCAATTCCTTGTGCCTCCCCGCATCTTTTAATTTCATTACACAAAAGCCCCTGAATGGGAACGCTCTTAAATGTTTTTATGGTATCGCGTAAAACGCGTATCCGTCTTATAAAACCTCAGATCTAATCTTCTTGAGAAATCCTCTTAGTAGAAATGCCTAGGGATATGATTTGGTAAAGACTTTCAGCCGCGTAGCGATTTGGTCTTTGCCTTGATATACCTTCGAATCCTCTTCCCACTGGCGCCCAGTTGCGTCGGAAACTCAGAAATGACAAGACGCAAATAATTATAAGGCTACCGGCGGGTGGAATGAGCAACCAGAGCGCCTCGCTACTATCAGTACCAAGTCTTGTTACTTTAATAAGCGCGGACGAATCGCCTCCACGATCATTCAATGCCGAGGCTAGAACAATATACCCTATAACTACCATCTTTGAGACTGCCAGAGCCGATACAAGGCCCAAAACATCCTCCAGAGCATTCCTACTATCTTGAAATGCGTACGGTGGCTTTCTATACTGCCCAGAAAATTCCACAAGCGTCTCGACATAGCCGTCTACCCCTTGATGCTCCTGAACTAAATCTTTACTCGCAATCCCGGCCATCGCGAATAGTTTGTTGCTGATTGTTGGTTCGGTAGGCGTGCAAGTTTCGCCCCCCGTGAGATACTGAGCCAAATTTGATCCCTTTCCCAAAGCTCGCAAATCCAACGTCACCAAGCGATATTCAAACACATTTCGCGGGTTGACGACGCATGTTACCGCATATTTAGAGCCACCTGCACGATATTCTGGCTCATACCGGTTACTGATCGTACCAGCTAGGTAAGATGCATACGGTACTTGATTAACCGGCCCATTCACCGCGCCAAACCCAAGCAGCATCTTGCCTACATGTTCTTCGCCGACCAATGAAGGGCTAAATACGGAGTTAGCCATACCGCCATCAACGGAAAGGTGTTTTATTCAAGGTCTTTGTGATCGTGGCGCCCCCAGGCCATGTCTCGCCGAATGCCCTCATTTCACCTCGAGTGATCGTCAAATTATTAGGAAGCTCGACGGTCACATTCCCTCCCACTTCGCACCTCACGGGGTTAGATACCATGACAGGCACGCATTGAGTTGTGCTGACCAACGTGCCCCCATAGTGTGATGAAAGACTCTGGAAGACTTCCCCCGAGAAGATCGTGGTCGGAGCCCCGATCGCAGTCCGATCCACGGCAATTCCCGAATATGCATAAACATGGTCGGTAACATTTGCGGTGCTGATCCCGGGTGCAAGTTGCATCATGAACGATTCCGGACATTTTTTATTGCCAGCAGCGTAAAACTGGCTAGCATAGAACTGACTGCCATTACTGAGCGGCCAGCCATAAGCAGAGCGAAGACTCATGTTACAAGGTGCCTCGCACATACCAAGGCACGGCCGATCAAATGCGTCAGAGTACATGCCAAAGCTAGTGTCAGGTGTGACAGCGCGGTACGGAATTCTTTTCGTAGTCATGGTAGGCGTAAGCGACGTGACTATGGATGTAGTGATCAGAGCACTCAGGAGGAAGATCAAGAAGACTCGGAGGTGCAAAAGCTTCTCCCAAGAGGTGTTTATGTTCAGTACGGCTCGCCAGTCACCTTCGATTTCTTTTACGGCATTGCGGTGGCCATTATTCGGCGTCGATTCCCTCGGGTCTTGTACCAGATCCAGTTCACCAAGTTCCCTAACTCGATCTTCAAGGCCTCGTATCAAGCCATGTTATATTTAGGATCCAACCAATGCGGTATATACAGTAGCAGCAGTGGTGACGCTTATTAGCAAAATCCGCGATTTGATGGGGGTCAATCCCCCCACAGCTAGTATAGGTGACGCACAATGGATGTAAATGATAAGAATGATTACCAGGATAAGCGACAATATCGTGATTATATCTAGCGAAAGACCTCTATGGTACGCAATCATGTCCACCTAGGCCCCTAGATCCATGAGTAGTTCGGAAAGGCATATGGTAAAGATAATCTGAGCGATTGAAGGGTGTAAGATAGAACAGGAAAGCATAATAGGTAGTAAAAGCCTTACAACCATATCGGAATTATTTCATACCTCCCGTATAGCAGAGCAGATCCTCACCGTATAGATACTCGGAAGTAAGACAAAGAGCTATTTCAGCTCGGGGTCCGCGAAAAAGTTAGTGTGTTTTATTTCCATAAGCAGCCTCCTCTTTCAAAATAACAGAAGAAATTTCATGTCAATACGGCCGACAATACATTGTTTCAAAGAGCTGACCGGTGAGAGACAGTATCTCCCGAGGGCTAGTCCTAGCCGCCAAAAACATACGTACCCCCAAGTAGACAGATATCACGACTCCTAGGGATTGCGTCCTTCAGGGCCATATCGATCTTACATGACCAAGCCCGATTTATATGATATTGTCCCTGGATCAATTGCAATGGACCTGGTGATGGGTTCAGTTTGGGGTCCATTTCATTACTAAGGTAGGTGAGGAGCAGGGGATGGCGCTGTGGCGTTCTCGGAGAGCGTATCCCTGTCTCCCCAACAAGAGTTCGTGTCTCAGTAAACCATTATAGATTAAGGCCTGAGGAATATTGTATACGATACGATGAAGACATTAAACAAACCCTTGGCAACTAGCTCCTCCTACCTATATGAATGCTATAAATATAGCGACTCATGACTATTACGCATTCCTTGAGATACCATCATACGATATGATATCAAGAAGCGCAAGCTTTAAGCGAGGGATTTAAGACGATTTAGGAGTGATTAGAAATAACATAAAGGATGCCGCCAAATAGTACATAAGAATGATGGCGCAGTAAAGCGGGCCGCACCGGACATATGACGAGCCGGTCCGGGGATCAATGACTAATATGAGACATTGACGCCACTTTACTAGCTGCATCATGCGTGGCTGCAGGAAAGTTCGGTTACACTACATGTGGGTGAGCCGCCCCCTATTGCCTCTTAATATAACTGGAGTTTATATTCTCCGATACAGAACTATTTGAGTATTGGGGAATCAACGCATTCTCTCTTGTAAACCTTGGAACACATCCAGTTCATATCACCTAAAGTAGGTAGACAAGACAGTTTACTCGCGAATCTTCATATTTAAACAAACGCAACTGTTACACGATCCCTTAGGTAACGATTTCATCTCATTTCTCAGAAAGTAAAAGCAGACCGTTCATGTTCATGTCGGCTTGTCCTTTTACACTTCTTCAGGAAGTGGTTCTCGATTTAATACATACCAGAATAACAGGTAGTGAGTCTCTTTCGATTCACTCCATCCATATGCCCTCCAGTTGCACCTCTTTAATTGCCTGCCTAGGTAGGTAAGTAGTTAGTAGGCTGGGAAGCATTTGTCATCATCGCTGATGAACATGACGATATTAATGTATCTAGGTATATATCACAGATAAGTAGTTATTACAAATGTTCTTTTGGCTTAAACCAAGACGAGAAAGGCAAAAAGTACCGAGCAAGACGCAGTTAGACACCGTATAGAGGCGAGTTCAAAATAGGTAATCTACAGATGGAAAGTCATATCATCATCGAGTTTGCCTTCGTATTCTCAATAAAAAACTTGCCCCTTTTCTTCAGCTCCCAAACTTTCCATTTCTTGGAATTACTTATTGAATCGAACGGCGATCTTCATTCTCAAACCTTGGCGCCCCATTCCCAGCCATTCAAAGTGACCCGAGTCACCGAGAAACCGCTTCCCTCAAGGTAGGCAAGGCAGGAAAGGTAGGTATTTCAAAAGGGTAATCTCAAAGTCAATCCATCGAGTGAGGCTCTGATTGCTAGTGGGTTTCTAACGGCACTTTGCATTGGCTAGACGTATTACAAATATCGTAACTCATTATGAAGCGTCATTGCCACGTCGTGCAAATACTCAGCGAGGCTATCCAGCCGAGGCGTCACACGTAATATCCTTGACTATACCTCGGGAAGAGACGTAAGAAGCTTCCCGGTCTCCTAAAAAGTTAGTAAACAGCGAGATGATTAATAGGAGTGCATGACTTATACTAGAGATGAAGCCCGAAATTGTTACGTCTATACGACCAAGTGATGCAATCCTATAGACAACGGGCATCGCGAGATTCTATGGATCTTCATATGCATGTAGTCGGCCCTCTGACATAATTCAAAGAAGATTGCGTAGTAGGCTATCCACACCTACCACTGACCCGGTTGGGTAGGTAGTACCTAGGCAGAACAGTGAATATGCACGAATCTGCCATGCTTGCGACGGTTACATTGTGGCAATACCGTTAACCCACTTGACGCGGCACAAGACACATGGCGACCAAGAACCCGCAGATCTAGGCGACCACACGTTCGGACCTAGCCGCATAACAACGTGTTTTAGGACTCTTGAGATGCAACCATAAGATATTTCGACGATCCATTTAATTGCTTCATTTCTCTTGCTTCTCTTACAAATTCGAGTATGTCAAATATGCAGGACTTTCCGAGAGACCCAATAGGTAGAGTGATTTGCAATTGGAATTTCTTGGTTTTCGCGATTATGACTATCGGTCCGTCTAGGGACCACCTGGTCGTTCTCGCGACTCGCGTCTTACAAATTTAGGTAACTAGGTAGAAAATGCATTTCAGGTGCGACAGTAAGTGGCTTACAATTGAAGAAATACATCTCGAAGAATATGAAATGAAGCCTTACCGAGTGTTTCCCGATGGTTGTTTCATCAAATACGGGATGCGGGATATGATGCAATTCCCGACAAGTTGGTAATGCGGCGTATCGCCTAAGACCTAAGCCTTAAATCGGTACTTAAATTAATATCTTAGATACGGTGCCACGCGCGGAAGAATGGTCCGAGATAAGATTCTTCGTTTGGGAAACTCGCGATGGAATCTGGAGGAGCGAGAGCGAGGTACTTAAGACTTTTGCATCTGACGCAATCTTTCTTTGGGAAAACCTGTTGCTATGTTTAGGCCGTCCTGCTGCAGTGTAACAGAATGTGTACGTGGATTGATCTTCTTATAGTCTATCTAGCGTTCCTGGAATGCGACATACCTACATTTAAATAGGGGCCAAGCTGTGGGTAGGGTAACAACGCTTCAGCCCTAAGGATTATGGGGTAGCATTGGATACCACACCTTTTTCGGTCCATCCGACCCAAAACGGCTTAGGGATCTCGGTGCTTCGCTCCCTCTAATCTACATCTGTCACGATATGGTGCGGCTCAGCAATGATTTCTCACAGGTACCTGCCGGTGGCTGCGGCACTTGCTGCAAATGCTGTCAATCTGCGAGCCCGATCGCGAATCCGTTCTGGTAAGTTAGATACGCAAGGGGGCGGCCCGCAAGCAACATTCCGAATAAGGACTAGGGATACTATACCTCGGCCCTAGTAGATCAACGGAATTCGCGATGGCACAGGCTTTAGTCAACCTTAGTCCCTACGGGATCTCACTATGATTTCTTCCCCAATGTGTGGAACTCGCTCGGTGTAGTGATAGGCGCATGCACAATCATTACGAAAGAGGCCAAACCCAGACCTCAAGGCACTTTAGAGATGGGACGAATAGGCACCTCCGAAGATGAAAGCAAGTCCTGAACATCCGAAAAGGAGTAATAAGAACTATTCTATATAAACAAACCATGGAATCAACTATCCAGGATGAATGGAAACACCATCCAACAGCAGTTCATCGAGGACAAACAGCAAAGAGTTCGAACAGATTCAGAACCATGTCGCCCTCAGACAATTCAAGTAAGATTCAATAAGCTAGGAAGCCCAACATATCTTGAGGTTGAGAGACTAACCAGAATACAGACAAGAACAACCGCTCGAAAAAGTCGAAGGATGGCAAGAAGAAGTCCAAGGTAGTTGTTCATGAAGTCGAGTATGGAATGAGGTCTAACAGAGTGCAGGACGGATCGGGTCAAGACAAGGGGGGCTCATCAGGCCAAGGCCAAGGTCAAGGTGGCAATGCTGGCGCACACGTCTCACCACCAGATTTTTTCTCCTTCAACGATCCCAATTCTGGATATTCTGGACAGTAGAAACGATGAACATGATTTTGGGTTGGATTAGGCTATTCTCCGGCGTACATGGGAGTTTTCAAGCGGATCTTGAAATCAGTCAGCTCGTATGGGAATGATCGGTCAAAAATAATGGGTTCGGTTATGAGGGGAAGGGGATTCATGACAGGCTATTTCTTACGACAACTTATTTTCTGGATAAAAGGAGAAATCACAACAAAAAAAGGGACGGCTTAGATCTTCACTTCGAACCGCCATATAGTACTATGTACTATCAGCACTCCCTCCTTTACACTTTGTATTATTAGGAAATCATGTACCAGCTCATGATCAACCTTTTAGAATTGGCTATACGCCAATAATTACCTTTCATAATAACAAATTTCCCTCCTTTATGGACTACAAAATCTGGCGTTCAGAAGATGGAAAACTGCTAAAAGACAAGGAGCCTTTAATAGTGCATATACAGGCCAGAAAGCCTCTGCCTCGTAGGTAAATACCCAAGTCAAAAGGGAATCACTATTAGCACTGATATTTTTATAACTAGAAAAAGGAATGCTTACCTAGGTGTACGGTATATATACCTGAGTACTTTCTAAGGTGTTATTCTGCACCTCCCCCTTAAAACTGTCGTGCAACGTGATACCATCTGCACTTACGCCACATAGGTACCTAGATAGCTATGCAGCATGACCTGTGCAATATCTTCCGGTAGTCAATGCGTTCATATTTGCTAGGTAGTTTATTTATCAGCTACAGTTGTGAAAAACAAAGTTACTGTTGATACAGGTTATGCTTCTATATTGCAATGTACACTAACATTTTGGACCTATTTTCCGCTGGTCATTACACGTAATTCACGAAGTCTTCAGTAGCGCAAATATCCTTACACCCTGTTGATGAATGGTTCATTTTGAAAGAGTCCCTGTCTTCACACCATATTGTTTATGGGAATTAGTATGTGCTTCGAACTGGGCTATCAAGTTGAACTTTTAATAACTAGAAAGTATACCTAGGTACGAACTATGTGTTACAATATGTATAGTCTGCTGCGGTGTAACCTCCCTATAAGCCTAACATGGACTTGGGTATAGTTAGGCGAGAGAGTACATGTGTAACCTCTGGGGTTTATGTATAACATCATGTACCGCTGCTTAGGTTTAACCACGGAATTAGAAGACTATAACAACTTTAGGCATCCATAACTCAGAGAAGCCTAATTATTAAATTTAACAACTAGTTGATTATAAATGAACAGATTGTTGGATTTATTTGGTCTACGACTCATTTACATGAGAACATGTGTTTTTATTTTTAGGCAGACAGAATTAGTTTTAAGGCCGCGTCACAGTACAAGTTAATGAGGCAGATATAAGAGAACTTTAGAACTAATTTGCAACGTGTTCATCAAGATGCGAATTATATTAAACATCGCGTAACAGACGATATATCGAACTTTCACTACTTTATTCCGATATATTCTTCCAAATTTGTTCCATATTCAATCCAAGTTCAAATTTGTTGAATACCAAGATCGAACTAATACTATTCTAGAACATCGTGTTCCTTAAATAGGTAGGTACCTCTCTGTACTATTCCTAGCTGAAAGTGACCTTGGGCAGTCCCGGTTGTATGGCAGCGCACGGTTCAGCTGCAAGTATGCTAATTGAGGCAAGTCACACTGAAATCTTTCGGGTCCTGCCCGAGACCCGAAGACCCACAGATCCGCAAGCCCAAGATAGCCTAGCATTCCGCAAGCCCCGCGCGACTAAAATACCTAGGTACCCAGGTAAGGCACCAATGCTTATCTGCCCTCTAGGGGGGTTATCCGGACTATCTTAGGAAGCAGCAGTAGCGCAGGTGATTGCTTATCCTGTGCCGCTCTTGTGACGTTTGGCGGGGTCATCCGGTCGTGATCTCTTTCCGTCGTCATTTAGAACTTTAAGCAGCTTTAGCTTCGAACCTTAAGAAACTTAGTGGGAAGAATCACCTGCGAACGTCGCTAACATTTGCGAAGATCTACATAACTTACTCACCAAAATATCCCTTCACCTTACCATCTTACCTAATCGACTTTGTTTTTCCTTCACGCTTCTTTGCCGGCCTTCCGGCAGCGTTTCTTGGTCTTGACTCGATCTTCTAATCGTCAGGCAACGCCAAAACAATACCCCTACTGTTTTTGAGTACGACCCTCCTTACTTAGACCTAGACGAGTCTCCATAACCCAACAACTATCAATACTACCACGGAGATCACGAACTCATCAAATTGCCTATACTACTTTGCGCACTTGCGCTTGAATTGAGACTAACAATCAATCAACATGTTTGATCTAATTCCGAAACTACTCTCGTATGTCGAACCACCCAATCCCCGTTATTCTTTGTACGTTTATCCGACGAGAACATCATTTACTAACCCCCGCCTCTTCATGCGACAACAGCTCCATAGCATCCTTCCTCTTCCCCCTTTTCGCATCCTACAAGGCAGTCAAGACCTCCGACCCCGCGCAGCTCACACCATGGCTAATGTACTGGTCCGTCCTCGCCTGCGCCCTGCTCGTAGAATCCTGGCTCGAGTTCATCCTCGTGTGGATCCCGTTCTACTCGTACATGCGCCTGTTCTTCCTGCTCTACCTCGTGCTACCCCAGACCCAAGGCGCCCGCGTGCTCTACGAAACCTACCTCCATCCGTACCTCGCCGAGAACGAAACTGCCATCGAAGACTTCATTGCTAGCGCCCATGATAGACTCAAGGCCGCCGGTATGGCGTACCTCAAGCGCGCTATAGAGGTGTTGCGCACACAGGTCCTTGGCATGCCCCCGCGCGAAGATGAGCGCGAGGAGGAAACTAGGGCGGCGGCTGCGCCACAAGGTTACACTCAGGCGCTTCTTGCCCGATTCAGCGTACCCGCTGCGCGATGGGCTGCTAATAACGCTGGCACCACGGGCAGCGATATTTATAATCTATTCGCGGGCGCATTTGCTGCTTCCTCGACTACTGATACGGGTAAAGGCCCGACAACTATGTCGTCTTCATCCATGGCGACTCTAGTCCCCGATAACATTAGCACCGCCGAAAAGGCATCGTTTATCGTAGCGCAGCGCGAGAGACTGGCTCAGATGATGGGCGCACTCGACAAGGAGCTCGAGAAGTCGGAGCAGGAGCGCAAGACAGAGCAAGCGCGAAAAGAGTTACGTCCAGGAAGCATGAGCCTAGACGGACAAGAGGGAGGTAGTGGTAGTTCGCGACCGCCGAGCGGACATAGTGTGTGGAGTGGTCTTAGTAAGAGCCGGAGTGAAGTCGACTTCGAAAAGATCGATGCCGAGAGCGGCACTGAAGAGGACGACAACAACCTACGAAGAAGAGCTGCTGGAGCACCGTCTGTCGAGGATAGGCCCGTGGGTGCTGCTCGTGGCTGGAGTTTTCTGGGTTGGGGTACTGTAGGGACTGGTACTCCCGACCAGTCGACGCCGGATTCTGGACACAGCTCTGGTGTTCAGAAGTAGGTCGATTACGCGCTACGCCTACGATATATTGAATTCAATCGCATGGAGTTATTGGTTGCTTGGTTTGTTTTTTTATTAATGAAGGAACCGGTAGAGGGGGTTTGACACTAGGATTTAGACAATGGACTCTACTCTTGTCCACCTTATCGTCTTCTCGCATTCTAGTAGTACGGGGGGCCGTATCGTGTATACGGCTTATACCATTATATTCTTTACCATAAATTTATGCTTTATAGTCTGTTGTATGTGATGTAGTGAAGTGATGCGTGCGTACGTATATACACAGATCTGGACTCGTATTAGAGCAGTCTGATTGACCCCGTACCTCATGCTAGGGGTCTAACATCGGGGTATCTCCCGCCTCTTCGTATCATACACCGCCTCCTTATTCTCTTATTATGACTTTTTCCACGGGTAACGAATCTCGTCATCCTTGCGCAACCAGATCTGCTTCTTCTTCTTGGTAGTAACGTGCTCGACCCACTGCTGAACAGCATACTCCTTCATAAACTTGCGAATAAATCGCGGGTCCCATAACTCCGAAGCAATACCCAGATCTTTGCAGCATCGCATGAGTGCATTGGATTTACATCCCTCAGCCGCGGTTGACACGCCGTCTTCGCTGAAGTATTGTTGTTCGCCTCGAGCTTGTGCCACAAACCTATCCCAGAACATATATATTAGCACCATCCAATACCAAAGCACCAATTTGTAACCAAATAAACAACTTACCGTCCATGCACCACAAGCGCATACTCCCGCGTAACCAACTTCTCCTGCACCGTCAACTGCCCCCTAGGAGCCAAACCCCAACCCCCCGGGCCAAACGCCGCATTTAGGATTCGGCGGTACTTGATCTCGGGGAGGTAGATTATGCCGTCGGGTTTTACTTCTATATCTTCGGGGTCGAGACGCGCTTGGAGAATGGCGGAGGTTTCAATGGGGAAGGCGGAGGTTCCTAGGCCGTGGTAGGATTGTGTCCAGTCTATCGGTCCGTTCCCGTTGGTGTCGATGTCGGTTTGGGAGGAGGAAGAGGGGGAGGGGTAGGCTTGGGTTGTTCCCGGGGCGTTGGGGAGGGGCGTGCCGGAGACTGCGGGGATTGGTGTGCGGGTGCCGGATGTTGGGGTTGGTTTGGATGCTGTGGCTGGCGTGGGTTTGGAGGTGGAAGCGGAGGAAGTGGTTGTTGTAGATGCGGACGCGGATTTGGAGGCTGGTGGAGGGGGTACGTTGCTTGTTTTCGGTTTTGAGGCGCTGAAGAGGGTTCGGCTAGGGAATTGGACTCGATCCGAAGAATTTATCGGCGCACGAAGTCTTCTAGACACCGCCCGCAGCGGTGTTAACGTCCTTGAGGCCATTGTTTAGTCAGGGGTAGGTTGATATCGTGGTGTTTGTTGACGTTGTAGAAACACGATAGCGGCTATCGATTTTGACGGGTTGGAAAAATTTAGGTGTCATCGGTAGCGGCTTCACCTACAGCTAGATCCGGTACTAACGGCCGAATCTTTACCGAATTCTACTTATCGATAGGGTCTAGTGATTCATCTAACCCCCCTGTATCCTAGCTTCCAGCTAGGACATCCCACCCGACAAATAGCGGAGGCCCGCAACGGTTAGTGGACAATAACAGCCCTAAATCTTACAACGGATCTTCACTATAATCAACTAATACCTCATCGTCTTAGCATCTTTGAGTGGGATTGTTATAATATTAATAGCTCAACTTCTTAAGTTTCGCATCGTCATATTCTTACATATAGTGTTTATTCCCTCTTAATTAGTGACTTCTGCAGTTATGCATCTTTGGTGGACGTCCTCTGGTCGTTGTTGTGTTTCTTCCAGCACGCCCTGAAAATCTCCATCTAGCATTGGTGAAGTCCGTCAGCAAATTATCAACAGCGCACCTTGAAGGAAAAGCAAAGTTGTTGAGAACCATCAACTCACTTCTTTTTTACACGCTCTCCAATCTTTTTTCTCAAAGTAGCAATCGGTCAGTTTGGCATTCTCATCTGGTTGAATTAATTAGCCTCATTACTGGGAGAGTGGCGCTGATCTATTATTAGTTAGGAATTCGTTACCTGCGCATCCCGTACTAAAAATCCTCTTATCCCTATTTGCATCAGGAGATGTTGAGTCAGCCTAACAGGATTGACAATCGTTTCAGGGATTCATTACATCGGCCTTACCATTCATCCGGCTCATCATCTTGAGGAGCGCCACTGCTTTGCTGCTGACTGGTGTTCGTATTTTCTTCCTTGGTCATTTTGTAGGAGTATTAGGTGTTGAGCTCTAGTCTGGCGTGATCCGGCGTTGCGAATTCCAGGGGGCTAAATCACTAAATCCCGCTAGAGGGCGGTGTAAAAGGTGGAAATTCGGGCGCTGGAATTGCCTCACTAAGCAAACCCCTGAACCCGTCAGCTCTTAAATCTGGGAACTGAAATCAAGTCACATTATTCAATATGACGTCGCGAAAACTTAACGTATTAGTTTATACCGGTACGGGGTCGACGGTGGAATCAGTTAAGCATGCGATTTATTCTTTACGCCGACTTCTATCACCAAACTACGCAGTTATTCCCATTACGGAGACAGTCCTTCTAAAAGAACCATGGGCACCTACTTGCGCGCTACTAGTTTTTCCAGGTGGTGCTGATCTTGGATATTGTCGCGTGCTGAATGGTGAAGGAAATTCAATTATATCCGAATATGTGCGACGTGGTGGCGCATATTTGGGGTTTTGTGCCGGTGGATATTACGGGTGTAAAAGATGCGAATTCGAAGTTGGAAACAAGGCGATGGAAGTTATCGGGTCGAGGGAGTTGGCTTTCTTCCCGGGTACATGCAGAGGTGGCGCATTCAAGGGTTTCCAGTATCACAGCGAAAATGGCGCCCGTGCTGTGCGGGTGAACGTTGTGAAGGATGCGTTCAGGGGAGCAGGCTTGGTCCCCGAAGTTTTTACCTCCTATTATAATGGTGGGGGCGTCTTCGTCAACCCATCGGATAAAAATAACGAAATCGAGGTATTGGCAAGCTACGCTAGCGATCTCGACGTCGATGGTGGTCGCGAAAAAGCTGCCCTAGTCTACTGCAAGGTTGGCCAAGGTGCCGCAATTCTTACAGGGCCTCATCCTGAGTTTGCCGCCGCAAATCTGAGCCCGCACCACGATGTTTTGGGCTATGATGACCTGATCGCCGCACTCCGAGCTGATGATGATGCTCGAACAAGCTTCCTGAAAGCTGGTTTAACCAAATTGGGACTAGAAGTCAGTCAGGAGACAACAGGTGTGCCATCCCTCTCACGACTTCATTTGTCGTCTATTTCTAGTAACGACGTCGATGACCTGTTACACTCTTGGGAAGAAATAATCAGCAAGGAAGACGGCGAGGAATACATCAGGGCAGAAAACGACACATTCCACTTACAAAAACCTGAAACCATGTGGTCCGTCACCGGATTAAGAGAAGCGCTGACTCCCGATGGCAGTTCAGATCAGAAGTCGTCTGAGCTAAGCAGCGGAGGCATGGTTGATTACACCACTATCGTCAAGCGCATTGTAACACATGAGACAGCCTGGCCAGAAGCTAAAGCGACCCCCTATTTCAATCACAACGCTTTTTACTCGGCTTTACGGGATTATCGACTATCAGATCCCGAGGCGGAAGAATGGGGCGACTTCTTGATGTACGGCGAAGTCGTCACAAGTACCAACACGCTACTTGAGAAGAACTTCAAACTCCTTTCGAAGTTACCATCGGGATTTACACTCACAGCGACAACCCAAGTCGCAGGGCGCGGGCGCGGTAACAACGTCTGGGTATCACCAGCGGGTTCACTAATCATGTCCACCGTTATCAACCACCCGGCCCACCTCGCACCCAGCCGACCTATCGTCTTCATCCAATACCTCGCCGCCATCGCCATCGTCCAAGCCGTCAAATCCTACGATCGGGGATACGACGAAGTACCCGTGAAACTAAAATGGCCGAATGACATCTACGCACTTGATCCACGCCAGCCCTCATCATCGCCACCATCATACGTCAAAATAGGAGGTATCTTATCGAATTGCTCTTACTCCTCGGGATCATACCAAATAGTCCTTGGCATCGGCATAAACGCCACGAACGGGCGTCCCACGACATCCCTCGACGCCTTACTCCCCTCCCATCTCGCGCCGTTCCGCATTGAGAAGTTGACCGCTGGTATACTGACTCGTCTAGAAGCGCTATATAAGACGTTTGTGCGTCGGGGTTTCACAAGGGATATGGAGGATGCGTACTACGCGCATTGGTTACATGGACGGCAGATCGTGAATCTTGAGGCTCAGGGTGGGGTGAAGGCTCGTATTGTGGGTATCACGAGAGATTGGGGTATGTTAAGAGCGGAGGAACTGGGTAGTGACGATAAACCGACGGGTAAAGTTTGGGCGCTGCAGAGTGATGAGAATAGTTTTGATTTCTTTAGGGGGTTGGTGAAGAGGAAGATCTAAGCTCTTAATTCTAGCGTCGGGAGTAAAGGACGACATACAACTGCCGGCCATACAAGTTTCCACCACAAATTTATCTATGCGCCCATCTGAGTAGCCCAGACCGCCTCCGCCTTCCGTTGAAGCCATGCATGGACGGATGGGTTCAGGTCTAAGTGCTCTAGAATTAAGCCGGACTACACACTATGCATTAAAATGTTTTCCAGGAATAGATTGGATGTCTCCTCATATTTGTCCTTTGTGGAGTCGAGGAAGCATATGAGTAACAGCTGGCGAAGCCAAACTTTCCTCATTGGTACTTCGCATCGATGCCTTGCACATTCCAGCCAAATCGGGTGTATATCTGAAGGATTCACACTGAGTGGACTCCTATCAAGAAGAGAGACTCGTTCTAATTCTGATAAAGTCGTAGCGTGTTCCAAAAAAGGGGTCGCAAGAAGTTCGCGATTAGGAAAATCGACATCTTCCATTCGACTATCCAGCCACGGACGCTCGCGGAAGAAGTCATGGAATGAAGTTCTAGTCGATGACCCAATAGGGGCAGATACGAAAGCAACCACATCCATGAGTGATGAAACGTCAGTTCGGACTTCTGGTTTCAATCGCTCCAAGGGCCGTTCGTAAAGGCCCAATAACGATAGGGACCCGGGAATCTCTTGTCGGAAGACTGCCCGACGAATTTGCCAGTTATACTCATCTAAGAAGCGGACTAGCTTCCCTACAATGCTGTTAGCTGGATATATTCGCCGAAGGATGTGTCGCATATAATGGACCAAGGCTAGCATCATAGCGGGGTGATAGCATGAGATGGCGGCAATACGATACAATTCCTCGTCCGCCGCGGCAATTTCTGGTCCAATTTCCCTCCGGAGAAGTATCCTTGATTCTTCGGGCATTAATCGTTGAACTTCAATAGGGGTCGCCTTAAGTTCTGGAGTATCGCATAGTATTGGGTCTCTAGACGAAAAAACGAAACGGTCGCTTTGGCGAGGAAGAGACTGTTGGATAACTCTCAGATCCCCGAGTCCATCCAGATCGTCGAATATCATGATGCAATCCGTATTTCTTCCGAGATAAGCCATTCCTTAATCGCTTCTATAAGACCGGACCGGCCGAGTAACTCCCATGTACTGTGAGCTTCCTGATATCGTGGATATCGGGTTAACAGTGAATTGTGACCAATCAGAAACGACAAGCCAATATAAGCATCTTCTAATTGCTTCGAGGTTGAGACGGGGAACATAAAGACGTTACTTAAAGACGTTACGAATCTCTTTGTGCTCTCGTGCGATCTCGTAGCTTATTTCTGTTTTCCTTCACTCCAATTAGTCTTCGCCCTCTCTGGTATTGAATCAACTGGCGCCATCATACCCAATACCTCCAATACCTGTAAGACAAACGTGTTTTCGAACTTGCCCTTGCGATTGTTCGGGCAATCCATCCAAAATATTATTTGCTTTTATCATGGCCTGGGACTGGCCCACAAGCTGATTCGGATTGCGCAGCCCTTGGTAGCCTAAGTAGAAATGTCTTCCGCATGCCGGAAGAGGGGTTCTACTCGGTACATTTGGGGGATACCCGAATGGTCTGGTCTAATAGAATGTTAGTGGTTGAATCCATAACATCATCGACGGCCCTACGATATCATCAGAGATTATCCGCGATTCTTGCTTCCTCCTAAGTAGCTCTCGCCTAATAGAAATGAAATTCTCTACAACGATGTTGTACGCATTCTCGAACGGCGTCTTAAACTTGCAGATTGTGTGGTGGTCCGTTCCAATGGCTTTATCTGCCTTGTAACCGAGGAAAGAAGCTGAAGACGGTTCTACGATCTATCGTGTTAGATACCTACCTCCTAGGTAGGTAGACGTAGATATCTTTAAGGTAGCCACTTACAAGTGTACCACTGCGGAACCAGGATGAGCGGACTGGTTCGGCTTCGCAAAGACATCTCACCACAGGCTTCTTTTCCATTCTTTTCCACAATTCCATCACATCCACTACTGATAAATTCAAGGTTTGGAGTGTATGAATGATGGCACGCCGTACGCCTGTTGTTATCTCGACAATCTCAACCCAAAATTTGCCCCAGTCAGCAGACTTAGACCTATAATGAGGTGTACTAAGGAAGAGCATACCACATTGGCCCAGCGATATGTTGCAAAACTCACTTAGTTGGTCGTGGAGTTTGGGCATGGCAAGTCGTGACACCAGCCCACCCATAGGATGTGATATTATGATCAATGGTCTATTTCGATCTTGAATAGAGCACCTTGCTCGATTAAGCTCCCGCAGAAGTGTATCAGCATAGTCCTCGATTCTGTCGTATATCTTTGTTCTGCTTTGTAATTCTGATGTATACCTAAATACTATTATTCGGCTTTTATCAAACTTGGGAGCCCTCGGCAGGAAATCCCTCAGCCACATTTCCCCCTCCTCCTTCGAATACCATGTGTCGAACGCATTTCCATTCAATCCATGGATAGCGCATATACTTAAAATGGTCCATAAAATATCTCTGTTTCAGTACGAAACTTACTCCGAATCAATATCACTTGGCTCGTGAAGAATTGTCACACCTAAAAAGTTATCATCGATGTCCTCCCACTCTATCGAGCCTTCGCTCGGGATATCGACTCGTTTCAAAAAGTTGATTTTCTTTTTACCTTTCCGATCAAAGCTAATAGTAGCAATATTACTATGCGTAGTTTGTTGGGAAAATGTGGCAGCTATCTTTTATATCGCTAATTTTAAAGGTCATAAACAACAAACTCGAAGGAATTTACATCGTCATTTGGTTTGCTCACATGGTGACCCGCTAAGACCGTCCCGATTTGGCGTACGTCGTGCACCGTAACGGATTCCTGGCTATCTATTCTCCTCAGATTTCGTAGACGAATTGCGAACCTAGAGAGAGGCATTTCCGTACGTGAAATTGGTAAATATTCCCCTACCAACAAAAACCAACAACAGTCAAATGTTACGGGGTGTAAGTAATTAGAATAAGTATTTGCATTTAAATAAGTGGGGAGAGAGAGGATAGACATCATGTCCAGGGTGTGGCGATCTTGTTTTATAATACACGCAACGGAGATACGAGTCTCAGGGCTCGCTGCCCGAACGCAATATCGGCGTTACTCGTTGTGTGGCTTGTCGTATCACCCTCGCACAGGGTGCGTACTACGTGAATGTGCATAGGCATAGTCCCCCGCTTTTAGGAAAGCGTACGAGAAGGTTAAGATGCCTAGAAAAATGCCGCGAATCTAAGAGCTACACGTCTATCGCAGCACCATTGTCATCGCTATGAGTTTACAACTATACCCTACCGATGTATCTGGTAGACCCTTGAGATTGTGCTTGAGGGATGGTACCTACCTCTGTCCCACTTCGACGGAGCTATGTTTAAGGCTTGCAGGTGTTCACACCAGCAGATTACCTGCATTTATGTTCTCTATGGATTTGCAATATCCATACTATACGGATTCCAAGACGAGAATCATGCCTATCCTCTTACCATACAAGGATATCGTGGACATTTTCGCTGTCACAAAATTTGGCCCCATATTTAGCAAAAATCGTTTATCCCGTGGTTTCCGAGAGGCTTTTCGCTTCTCTTCTAAAAGAACGAGTACTAATGATTGAGGAAGACGAATATACACCATATATTGCCCTTTCTCCATCGTGGTAAAGCAAGATAAGACAAAATTGCTGTGATGCTGACCAAGTAGCCGCCATATGGCGTATGGCAATTAGCCTCGGTGCTTGCCTCTCTGAGCCTTATACTCACCCCTTTCAACTTCACCTAGCTGTGAACTGCCGCGAAGTTTTCACGACGACAATCCTACCCTACTACCTGAATACTGTCCATGATTTGCTGGATATGCCTGCAACAATCTTTCGTGACATAGGGTCTGAATCTCTGTAAGTCCTATAATTTAGTAAAGCTAAAAGGTGTATTCTAATCAAGCATATTCGATCAAGAGTCCGAATATGTGTGCAGCGTCTATGTTTTTACACGCTGCTGTGCGCTGTGTCGTTAAAAGAGGAACCCAATTCAACACCTCCCACTGGACTCCCTCAGAAAATATGCAGATTTATCCAATTCCTCCATCTACTCGGGGCGATCACAAAGAGCGTCCTTGACAATGAACTGCAGGAGCGCGAGCGTTACCTGGGTCGTATCTGCCAGGTCATTCAACACGTTACAGAGGATGAGCAATGGGGCCAAGCATATATTTCCTGTCTCATACCAATAATTCAAAAGTATTTCTATTGCTGCAGAGCTGATCAAGTGTTTCCACGGCGCAGGCAAGGAAGTGGAAGCAATCGAATTCGGCGAGAGTATTCTGAAAATTAGTCCTGAACCATTGGCAAGTCTTTCCGGCGTGCCACTTGTTCGGATTACTCTTGCAGATGTGTACATAAGCACCGGGAATTATCGCTCTGCGGTACAGCTTTTGGAACCAATCCTTGGAGACAATGGAGTTTCAACTCGCCTTACAATTCTTGTTTTGCTAAGATTGAATCAGTCTAAGAGAAAGATGGAAGAGAAACTATACCCAGAAGCAATTGGGCCGAGAAGTCCACTGGTATTCATTTTCAAAGAGTTTGGGGCAGCAGATCATCTCCTAAGGTTAGAGTGCCTCTCTGAGCTTCTAGCGACTTTGCAGCAACTAAATGTTTATGGGATATCAGTAGACAAATACGCCCCACTGCCTTGGCTGGCTTGGAGGCGGCTCAGGGAGGATCGGTGTATCAATTCACTCTGGATGTTTAAAACCCTTCAGTGCATGCTCCAAATCCCCGAGGATATCATTCTGGCCATCAATCCTCTACTTGGAGAAACGAGTTCGACCACCCTGCAAAGATTCCATTCCTGGATCAAGCGGGTCAGAGTTAGCGGGCTGACAGGCGATGACCTTACCGTACGTGCCGATTTCATCCCCGACATTGAAGTTCAGATACTTTTCAGAGATGGGAGTCTGCTCGACTCCATCCTAGAGCTTATTATGAGGACAGCACGGATGAACATCAAGCGTAAAGCTATCAGAGAGACGTGTGGGAAGGTGATGTGTATATTGCTATTATTAAGGCGATGGGATTTACTTCCGATCTTTGTATCGAACCCGGAGCTTCACGATTCTAATCTACCCTTTCTTGCGAATCCGGGCTGGGCACCATTTGATGACTTTGCACTTTGGAGACGGTTTGATCAAGTGCAATGGAGGTTCTGTGTAAGGGCCCTGGGCTTTCTTCATGAATGTGCTTCGTCTATCCTTCGAGAAACGAGTCGATCACCTCAGGAAATCCTCCCGATCAAGTCCACAAATTATCTTGGAGTCAGTGGTTGTGCGATAATTGATAGGGCAGTAATCCATGGATCATATATTGGGAATCATACCGCTCGTCATTGGAACCTACGAGCTGGTGTCAGGGATACGACTTCGTCGTGGTCGACAGACCCCGTTGTGTGCGCATTGAAAATTTTAAATCCTCCAATGCCAAGGAATACTACGAAGCAGAACTACGTGCGCTTAATCGACTATCGGCAGAACGATTTGCCACGGAAGAAATTGTTGCCCACTTTGGAGGTGTTCGATTTGGGAATACGTTCTGTCTGCTACTTGAAAACACAGAAATGGGTGACCTAGGATCCTATATGAAGAATAATACACCACCAACCTCAGAAAACGAGATGAGGCATCTCTGGAAACGGATCTTCCAGCTAGGGAGCGCACTATTATATATCCACAGAATTCCATACCGTGATCTAAACGGTAGTTCTGTATTCGGGTTTGTTTCCTGGCGAACGGGTATTCGACCGGATAACTAAGTGGATACAGATGGCTTCGAAATATCAGACCAGGAATAATAATGGTTACGGGCAGTTTCGACCCTTCGATTTACGGTGTCACTTTTAAATTCGCGGATCTTGGCTTCAGCCATTTTAGAAGTATAAAACCAAAGGCCGAAGACATATTAGATTGGGACAGTGCTCGTACTCGAATATACGGTACGTTGAAAGTATATATAACTCGCTGGACGAAATTAGGAATGACAAGTGTGCACAGAATCTCCAGAAGACGCCAGTTCTAGGCCGACTACTAATGTGAAAGATACTGAACTAGGCCAAGCTGGGGACCTCTGGTCTCTCGGTTGCGTATATAGCGAAGTAGCAACATGGTCTGTATTTGGATATCAAATCCTTGAACGATATAGGCGCTCTCGTGAGAAGCAGACTATAGACATTGAAGGAATCTGTTCGGTAGGGTGCTTTCATGATGGACGCTGCGTTCTCAGTTCAGTCAAAGCGAGCCATTCGGCAGTCAAGAAAGAGGTCGAGTACGGTACGCTACATATGGTCATCCCAGTAATTTACGACATGTTATTGACAGATATCCACCTTCGGTCGTTCGGTGTCCCCTCAAGGCTTGAGGAGGTTCCCTTTGAGGTAGTATATATGCTACTGCGTTGAAACACATATTAACTAATTTATAGGATACATTTGTTTCGGGGGGTTCGGATTCGGACGCGACGACGGACGTCGATACAGATGAATGGGATGAAAGGTATTCATAGTACCCAAGGTCTCTCTTTATTGTAACGTGGAAAATAAGCTCTTTGTTGAACATGTCTCACAGTTGACTGCTGGGCCTAACTACATACCTGTTGACCGTGTGGACGTACGTATCACATACCTTGGTTACTTGGTAATGCGCGCAGGTATCTAACGTGGCATGTTTAGTCAAAAGTGAACGGGGTATATCTATCTTCGTTTCGTCGGAGGCTTTCCGAGAATTCCCACTCCTGATCCAGGTGTGGGGCGACGAATGATGACCATTATATAATAAATTTTTGCGTGTACAAATATGGTGGTACAAACGTCTTTTTCCGTCTAATCCCGACCAGGAAACGAATCGGACTATGGATTCGTAAAATGAACTCCCCAAGTAACGCCGGGCCATGCCATTCGAGTGAAGATGCTTTTCCTAAATATGTTGTTGGGTGTAACGAGTCTCTGAATCCCTCTCAGTGACATTCATCCCATACCAGAAACTGGACTTCCTTAATTCCCCCCATGACCAAAGTCACTACCGGTCTTTATACATCTTTGGCTTCCAACCTTCTTTTATTTCAGCCTCCTGCGCAGCTTTCTCCATAGCGGGTCTGACTTCGGCCTCTATACGTTCCCTCGCTCTTAATATCTTGCTCTGTAGGTAGAAACTGCCTCCTTTTTGCGGATCGTTCTGATCGAAAAGTTTCTTAAACCGTTCCATGACTTCCTCCATATTTGCCTTTCCTCCTTGCGGCGGCTTGACATTGAGGATTTTGCAGGCTTCATCTAGGGTCATGCCGCTTGAGAGACTCGCTCGGGCGGAGGCCGCATTCGGGTTGAGCTTCGCTTGTGCTCGCGCGTAGTTGGATGAGGCTTGCGCTTGCTTGTAGGCTTCGGTAAAGGCACGACCGAGTACTCGGCTGCCTACGAGGACGATTTGTGTTACAATGCGGTGTGCCTGCTCGTACTGTTAGTAAAACATGTGTGTGGCGCATCGGCAGAGTTATTCACGCCCAGAAAAAATCTTGCTCAAGAACGTACCATCTTTGCTGTGTGAAGATTGCCGAAAGACAAAGAACGGCGGCTAGGGTTGGTAAGCCCAGAATGTGTAGAAGACTGTGTCGATCACTACAATTGAAAGCGACGACGAAGTTTCTTTTTGGAATTATGAAGAGAAATAAGTCGTCACAGCTAGAAAATTGTCGCGATAACGGACGATTAGAAGACCATGTCGGAATTGCCGCTCCCTCAGGTCCGATATTTTTTTCGCCCGCCTTTATCGATCTAAGTGGATCTAAAAACTCTGGCCACACCAGCCACTTATTGATTGGAATTGAGCCACAGTACAGGGGAGAAGCTGCAATGGGAAGAGGTTACGTATTTCGTACCCGACCGAGCTTCGCGGGTGCCACATCGGTGAAGACAGATTCATTTTTAGCGATCCCTTCAACTTTTTTGAAGCACGAAAACACCACCAGCCATCTAACCCACCGAACAACATTCCACAACATCCACCACGCCACGTAACCTTCCGACCGCCACTCATCTCCTTCGAACCTCCTCTTCTTTGTTCGGGAATATAGAGAAGGCGGCTCATTCTAAATTAATTTGTATTCTAATCCCCAAATCTACGCGGTCCCGAATAATACAAACCGAGCGAGCTTCCTCCGATCACCATCCGTCTAGGTACTTAATACCACGAAAATATGTCGCAATACTACGGCGCGCCCCCTCCAAACCAATACGTCGGCGGTGCAGCAGCTGCGCAAAACCTCCAATTCTACCCGTCATCCTACTCCCCCGGCGTCCCTGGTCAAGGAGCCCCGGCGCAATCATACGGCTATGGCGCGCCTACGCCAGGGCCCGCCGCATATGGAGGGTTTGGCGCTGCACCGGGTGTAAGTGGGCGGATGGGTGAACAAGGTGGTCTACGGACAGGTTGGCTCGCTGCTTTCTCGACGGAAGGATATGATGGCGAACCGCCGTTACTGGAAGAATTGGGAGTTAACTTCGAACACATACAAATGAAGGTGAGCATCCCAGCCAGCTTCGTGGATTCTTCTTAGTTTATCTAGCGACGTTACTAATCGTTATTTAGACATTAGCAGTTCTCAACCCCTTCGGCCGAATAGATCAACATATAATGGACGACTCAGACCTCGGCGGTCCTATTCTTTTCTTCCTCCTCTTCGGTACATTTCTGCTTTTCAGTGGTAAGGTGCATTTCGGATATATCTACGGACTGGCACTTATGGGCTCGGTCGCCCTACACACGATCCTCTCGCTTATGTCACCCGACGGCTCTAATACCGCATCGCCTGGACATGCAGCGGCAGCGTATTCCTCTGCACCAGGCTATCCCGGCGATCCTACTGCGGGTGGAAGAGACGATGGCAAGGGACATTTAAGCAATAACCTTACGTTTGCGAGAAGCGCAAGTGTGCTAGGATACTGCCTCTTACCTCTTGTTATAACGAGTTTAATAGGCATTGTTGTACCGATGGATGGACCTCTCGGCTATATCCTTACAAGCGCGGCGATTGTATGGTGTACAACGAGCGCGAGTGGCATGTTCTGCGCAGTGGGACGAATGATGCAGATGAGGGCTCTAGTAGCGTACCCCCTAATGCTGTTCTACGTTGGATTCGGAATCATGAGCATATTTAGCAGCCGAGGGTCTGGTAGCCTAGGCAAAGCAGCAGGTGTGTCATGAAGTACTGGTCGGATTGTTGGAGACATTATATCGAATTAAAAATTGTCTTGAGGGTCCATGATAGAGAAGAGAGGTTCCTCGGCCTGCCTTCCACTGACGAAGAATCTACTCTACATAAGCTTGGCGATGAACTCATTGCAGTGTGTTTACCTGTAGTGGTAGGTAGCAATTCTGGGGAAGGGTGGTGGAGATATCTGGGTACGGATGGATGGTGTTAATAGGAGTGATGACCCATCTTCTACCCAAGCAAACGGTTGAATGAAATACTACAAGATACCTAACAATTGCGACGTTGCTCCAGCCATAATCTGCTCCTGTGTATATAAAAAAAGAAAAGGGGCGATAAAGTTCATGATGTACCTTAGTATATGCAGGCAGATTCACGTGTCTGGACTTATTATCCCGCCTAACAAATCACTCCCCGCTCCCTCGTTCACCCCACCATCATAAGGTCAAAATTGGGACACTTCTTATATCGTAAGACTTTAACTTCTAACTAATGCCATTCAAAGTATAATTAGAACGTATAAAATCGACCATGGATTTATCCAATACAGCTGCCATGCAACTCCCTCTTTACTCCACTCAAACAAACCCACCAAGTAATCCACGCAGCGGTGCCAAATATCGTGCTTATTCAGAGGATGATATGGCAAGGGCCGTACAAGCCATCACAGAAGATGGCCTATCGTTACGTCAAGCATCTATGAGATTTCGGGTTCCCAAGACTACCTTAGCAGAGCGCTTAGGAGATAAAAGACCAAAACCGCCGCCTCGTAAATCAGACGACGGGGACAGATTACGGACCCGATACCAATGGAGTGGAACTGACATGGAGGGCGCTGTCGAGGCCGTCCGAAACGGCGACAAGATTAACGAAGCGGCACGACGTTTCGGTGTGCCGCCCAGCCATCTCAATGCGCGGACTCGTGGTAGAGCACCTAAAGATCTACGGAGCGAGTTGTCGCGATTGACACTGAGACAAGAATGTCTTCTCGCCGAGTGGGCGTCTGCTCAGTGCCAATTAGGTTGTCCGCCAGCCAAGGACGAGCTATTCAATCTCGCGGATCGAGTGCTGAAAAAGCAAGGGTCCGACAAGAAGCTCGGAAAACAGTGGATTGTTCACTGGATGAGGAGATATCCTCACATTGAAATTCTTGAATGGGAACCTAAGGAGACTAAAGAAACGAAGGAGCCCAAGGAAACCCATGAGACTAAAGTCAAGAGGGGACGAAGACCTGATTCCACTCTGACGTTCTCCGCGAGCAGTTTTGAACCTGTTATGGATCTGAATGAAATTTACTACGGTACTACGGGGAGCGGCGCAAGAGTGTAAAACCCATTCTCATTACCCACGATGTTGAAACTATTCCTCATACTCTAAGAGTAACTTAACACCGATATTCCCGGTCAGGCGCATAGGAACATGAGCTCTGCCTGAGCTATTGTTGGTTCACCAAATTTCTAGCTTGGGGTATTCCCCAACACCAACTCCCGATCATCCAATCAGGAACAGGTCCGATATTTACACCTCGGAAGCTCCACGTGGAATCGGGACGGGGATATGAGCACGGTTTAATTTTTGAAACGGTGTCGACTTTGGTTAGTACCGTTTTCGGCCTGTACACCTCTGGCTTCAATAGAGAACAATTATTGCCGACCATCACTACCGAAGAGTTGGAGTTTGATGTAACAACCCGAACCCTACCTAGGGATTCCTTTCCTTACGAGGAATGAGATTATCATCTACATTACACAACAATAGCACCCTCGAAACACAGACCAAGCTTTTGTTTCCAGAAGTCTGAGATGCATCCATCGCCAAGCTACAAAAAAGTAGGGATCCAAGGTCTCATTTTGCTCTAGACGAGTCAGACAAACCCCTGAGCCCTGAAAGCTTGGCGTTTGCGGCCCGCCGATGGATGGACTTGCAGCTGTTTTAATTGCGGAACGTTGAGCTGCGTAATCAATTTGCCGCAAGGTTGTATCGCGTCGTGTTTGCTATCAACTATCTCCGGTGTTGGTAGCAGCAAACTCGAATCTGTGATGCACGACACATGTGTGGTGTGTGGTGACGCTCGAACATGATCCCGTATCCATTGTTACTCTAAACGGGTCACTGCGACGGTGTCCTCGGTCATATCGAGACGCCACATACCTGAATAGGTACACACTTGGTTGTAATAGCTAACCAGCCAAACCCCGTGCACCTCCAATGATTCAACAAGCTACCCCAAAATCAAGGCCGCGAACTGCGCGATAGCTCCGGCAAGTTGCCAGCTTCCCCGCGTTCCTTTCTTGGGGTAATGCTTATGCTGATCCTATCATTGCAAGCCATTGACGCCCACAAAGAACGGAAACCCAGGTGATTGGCTTCGACTTGTCGAATATAGGTACAGCTGTACATAGTACAATGAAAATTTCCCTATCCCGACCCCTACTGGGATACCATGCATACGTAACTTATCTGTGCTCGAATACATAACCCTGCAGTCACCCGCCAACGTGAATTTTTCTGAATTGGGCTACGAGGCTTATTCTTCTTCGATGTTTTTCTCGCGCGCGGTCAATTCAACGTAGAAGAAAAGGCATGAGTAATTATTAAAATGGCGGCATCCGATGAGATTAAAACTTCGTCCGACGCGAAAGAATCACTTCCTGATTACACGCCGCAGGAACAACGTGTGGAAAAAGATGTCGATCTTGTTGCCGAAGAAGGATTGGCTGCTACTGATAGGTGAGATGTCTCAAGCCACCGGACAAATTTGGAACGCAGCAATATGCGTACTAATCATATCATAGCCATGGCGTGGCTATAGTTGAATTCGATCGGCAGGCTGAGAGAAAGCTGAGGACTAAAATAGATTGGATGGTTGTCCCGACGGTCTCGATATTATACCTCTTTTGCTTTATTGATCGTGCGAATATCGGTATGTTATCGCCATCAGTTGTTTATGATGGCGCGGCTTGTATCTAACTACCTGCAGGCAATGCACGATTAGCCGGGCTTGAAGCCGATTTGGGCATGAAGGGAAATGATTATAACATGCTTCTTTCCATTTTCTTCATCAGCTATATCCTCTTCGAGATCCCGTCTAATTTGGCATGCAAGTGGATTGGCCCTGGCTGGTTTCTCCCTTTCCTGTCATTTGGTTTCGGGGTCTGTTCTCTGGGAATGGCATTTGTTAAAACGCTGCCGGCGGCTTGTGGTGTCCGTTTCCTGCTTGGTATCTTGGAAGCCGGCATGATGCCCGGAATTTCGTATTACCTTTCGCGATGGTATCGTCGCTCCGAGCTGGTCTTTCGGATATCTTTATTCGTTGTTATGGCTCCGCTGGCCGGCGCTTTTGGAGGATTACTTGCTTCGGGGTGCGTAGGCTTTTATGAACGGGATTGTCTTTCTATGTTAGTAGCCGCTAACTCTGAAGTGTTGTAGTATTCTAAGTCTATCTCATATCGGCGATGTCCGTGCCTGGCGCATGGTCTTCTTGGTCGAAGGGATTATCACGATGGGACTCGGCCTGATCGCTTTTATTACGTTGACGGACCGGCCCGAAACGGCGCGTTGGCTTACCGAGGAACAAAAGACTCTAGCTGTTGCGCGAGTTAAGTCGGAGCTCCTCGCGCAGACTACAGTTATTGATAAGACCGGCCGACAGAAGGTCTGGTTGGGCTTCTGGAATCCCGCCGTCTTATCAACTGCCTTTGTCTTCCTACTTAATAAGTATGTCCCTTCTACAGACGCCCGAAAACCGCGATTACTAACCAAACACCACAGCGTCACCGTCCAAGGTCTGGCATACTTCGCGCCAACTATCGTAGCAAGCATATACCCCAACTACTCAACGGTGCAAAAGCAACTGTACACAGTCCCACCATACGTAGTCGGCGCCTTCTTCGAAGTCCTCTTCCCATTGCTAAGCTGGCGTATGGACAAACGGCAAATCTTCCTAATCATCATCTCGCCTCTCACAATGATGGGCTACATCATGTTCCTCGCGAGCACCGACACCAAAGTGCGATACGCAGCGACGTTCTTCTGCGCCATCAGCACATTCGCCGCCGGCGCCTTGACAAACGCACAAGTATCCGCGCAGGTTATCTCCGATTCAGCGCGTAGCATGAGTCTAGCGACTAACATGATGTTCGGCAACATCGGTGGTTTGGTAGCTACTTGGTCGTATCTCAGTTGGGATGGACCTGATTACCATATTGGAAATGGATTGAATTTGGCTACTTCGAGTATGCAGCTTATCGTTGCTACGATTACGTTGTTTTGGATGAAGGCCGATAATAAGAGGCGTGATAAGATCGATGTTAGTAAGGCGCTGGAGGGGTTGACGCAGGAGCAGATTGAAAGTTTGGAATGGAGACATCCGGGTTGGAGGTGGAAGCCTTGATTGTGTTAAGAGGGTGGGAGTATATAGTGTGCGTTATAGGTTATTGGCTTGGGATTCGGATTGGGTTCGGAATGGAAGTATATGTTCCGGTTGAGTTAGGTATATACTAAAATGTTACTACTAGCTTTACGATCTTGAGAATCGTACCTAGGTATTGTTTGATCTCGTGTTTGCGTGCTTCATCACACCAGGAATCTCATCTAGAATTGTTTACCACCCCCATGGACAACGATTAAATTTGAAGGTATTGATCGCCTGGAAGGAATATTCTATACCGGGCGCTAGAGCTCCATTAGCCTCGAGTGACGTAGGCACCTGGATCATAAGTAGAATGGTACATGACGAATCTTTGGAAGGCCAGTCTTCCGATCCGCTACACTAACGCAAACTCATCCGGCGCAACGTCGACGTTTTCCGCACATTCCGATAAAAGGCCAACGCGGCGAGACTGTTCATTCGATCTCGTGTATCGGGATAGCTTCGCTTCACATAGTGTGGGTATTAACGTGTTTCCGAAAGGCGTAATCCGCTGCAGTACGAACGGCGGAAACACTGGAGGTTGCGGACTACCCCACCGCTTAGTCCGTAGAATAACGCCTTTCCCGGTACCTAGGTACGCTCCGACGGGAACCGAATCCGAGAGCCGAGTGACATCGTAGGCACTGATACGACAAACCTAGATGCGATTTTGCGTGCGTATTTTCTTACTAGATTACCTAGGTACCGCCCCAGCAACCAATCGTATACGATTTCTTGGTTCTCGTAAAGCACAACCTAATCGTTTACTCAGAGACGGCGAACGGTTCTATGTCGAGGCGGGAGATTAGCGGCGCACTGATTATACTGAGTCTGCCTATAAGACGGCTTGGGCTCCCATTCATAACAAGTTCAACCGACGAACACTACCTATTTCAAGATCGAATCGCTCGTATTATATATATCATCTCGCTATACAGTAAGACAACTCTACATACATAGGACCAACATCTATAAACCCCTACGTATTCTTAACCCGCCTAAACAGCACCTCCTTAGTCGGATCCGGGAAAGCATTCGCACCCTGCGAAAGATTGGCATAACGCTCGGTAAGACCGTCCGGCATCTTCATATCGAAGTCAAGCAACAGACGCGCGATAATGAGCTTGATCTCCTGAGCGGCAAAATAGCGACCAGGGCAAGAATGGCGGCCGTAGCCAAAGGACATGAAGTCCTTCGTCATGGTTACGAATTGGTATTGTTCCTTGTTCTTATAGTTTAACTTATCCTCGGCTGTGCCGTTACGTAGGTTTTGGAAGCGGTGCGCGTCGAATTCCTGGTAACGTTAGTATTGAAGTCCTTTTGGGAAGAGGGGGACTGGTTTAGCTTCTTACCTCAGGGTTCGGGAATAGCTCCGGATCCGAGACCGTCAGGCCGTGTGCTGTCTCGATCATGTATCCGGCAGGCAAGTAGGTACCATCACTAAGAGTCACAGGCTTGGCGACAAATCGCTGGAATCGGACTGTAGATCCTGGATTCACGCGCTGCGATTCCTTCATAACACTGTCTAACAATTTCATCTCGAAGAGCGCTTGGGTGGTCATGACGCCATTGTGTGCGGCGGTAACCGTCCTGATCTCCTCGCGCAACTCGTTAACCACGTCGGGCCTGATTACGAGATCATATATTCTGCCAAGAAAATGATGTCAGTATAAGGGAATTCCGAAATAGCCGGTTCGTTCTTCAAATGGGGTCTTACATAAGAGTTAAAGTCAAAGTCGTGGTGTGAATCGCGGCCAAACTCATACCCAACTGCGTCTCAGCCAAATCAGCATCAGTCAAACCGAACTTATCCACGCTATTCAACATCCATTGAAGAGCATCATCAGGCATTTCCCTGCCAGCCTTCATAGCGGCGCGTCTTTGTTCGATGATAGGTCGCAAAAAGTTGTGCGCCTTCTTGCGGTCCGAGAATAGCTTATCGACTTCGGGTGTAAAATATCGTCCGAACCATCGCCATCGCCTGTGCCACTTCTTAAGATTCTCCACAGCGCCGATGAAGTCCAACGTATACCCAATGCTAGCCTGAATGTATTCTTCTGAGCGACATAGTTCCTCGCCGATGAAAAGGGCGCCCGAGACAATAGCTACTATTCGCAGCAGTGTTGAATATACCACAGCAGGGGTCCAATCGTCGCAAGGCGGCAGCTCCGAGTGAACCGCACGGTTTGTCTCGGCCGAGAGTCGGGGGTTGACACGCACTACATTCTCATTTAGTTGCCTAACCAGGCTATCCCGATATTATATATGACGTACCCAAGCCGCGAGTTAAGTCGTGCTGAACAATATGGACGAGGAATTTCGTTCGTCGAGTGTCGCCCATGCCAAGGTGTTTCTGCTCATTCATCTTCATCGCGTTAGCGTATATGATCACCATTCGAGGTTATAGACAAGACATACGACATCGAAGGCCTTGTGAATATCGATACATTCATCCGGAAGTTGTCTCACTTCTTCCATCAGATGTCGAGGCAAGACAATGACATCGCCTATAATACCATTAGCATTCCCTTGTCGCCCAAACCCATCGACCGAGCAGCGTTTTTCGTACCATCGAGTGAGGTTATTCGAAATGGTTTCGACTTATATAATTCGTACCCCTTCTTGTAAAAATCCAAACTGTTCGTGATGTACGCCTTCCTTCGCTTTTCGGCATCCCCAAACTCCGCGCCCACCAGGGGTAAATGCGATAAGCTCTCCCTGTCGAATAATCGAGATGCGATGAACACCGTGACGAGGATTATGGCGACAGAGGCCAGAACAGGTGATCTGTCCGCGAGGACATTTGTGATCACATCCATATCTTGTTGCGCTCAGGTAGTAACTTTACTGAGGAAACAAAATAAAATACAGACCCTACTCGGTCAGTGGGGATGTACAGAGCTCGGTGGACCGACGGAATAGTACCGTACCCCATATATATAGGTACGACAGTGCCTGAGCAGTAGGGAGATTGGTATGTGCGGCGGTGTTAGTCATTGACAAGTATAAAAGTAAAAGTAAATGCGAACACGAATGCTAGCCATAGACGTATCGCCGTATTTTTCGTAAAGGCCTACCAATAATTGGGTAACTAGAGAGATCCTTGCATGGATGATCTGTAATACTACCTGGGCTCTAGCATCCTATCTCTTACTTGACAGCCTGACTGAATGAAGTCTTGTACACAAACTACTTAGTGTGAAGAGGCAGTTACCTAGCACCGCCCGCATTTAACCGACGCGATCTAAATAAGTGCGACCCTGTTATAGAGAGGGTATTACTAAAAAAGTAGAGCTTCTTAATCTAGAAGGCATCTCGGCTGTCGTTACATCCGATGCACGAAGCTCTCCTGATGTGATACTAAAAGAGCCAAGAGTGGCCCCCATACGACGTGCCCAGTGAGCAGCTAGCAAGGTTATAAAGACCTACAGCTAATTAGTCGTTTCTTCAACACCTATCAAAGATGATGAGGAATCCTTCTACACACTTATGAGTGTATACTAATCTCATTCTCGGCATGTTTCGACCGTTTTGAAACATAGCATGATGCATAATAACAATAATCACTGATGTGGATCAGTATGTGTTAGGGCCGACAGGGGCTGGTATGGAAACACCTTTCCAAGCGATGCTGCTCGCATTCGGTGCTAGTTCGTGTTTTTACCCCAGTAAACTAAATGATTACCACCGACAAGGTAGTCCTACCTTCTGGAAGACATCTATAGCAATGGACACGTCCATCTAGATGCGTCGACGAGAAGTGTTCGAGTGTTGTGTATGAGAGCGCGTATATCGTTGTTCAACTTCCCCCACAGTGACCCGCATTCGTATTCGGATTTGCTACCAATTCTCCCTAAATTCGAAGTACTTTATTCGACATGTTCATTTCTATTTTGCGTGTGGTTGTAATTTCAAAAAAAAAAAAAAAATCGGAAGACATTATTGGGCGATTGGGTTCCAACGCGCGGGTGACCATCAAATCTGTACAACGTGTGTCTCGAATTAAGGGTCGAACGTCATAGTTAGGCGCATCCACGAGTACCTAGATAGTTACGCTTTTGAAAGAAGTAAATCTTCAACCTAGTCAAAGCAGCACTTCTAGGATATACATACCATTATGTTCCAACAATTGTCGGTTGCTTGACGATCTTCTGCTTCGCCTCACACTATAGGTCCTGTTAGATGAGCAAGTGCATGAACGACGCAAGTTCCTACTATAAATCATCGTAGCAAAGCCCGAAGGACCAACATCTTTATTCTTCATATCCCTTGGTATTCCAAGTTCGCTTTCGGTTTCTCGTCCTCCGAGGAGTTGTTAAATAGAGCATCGCCGCCTGAGCCGTAGACTATCACGCACCGCACGGGGCTTGTGGTGCCGGTCGGGCTCACCATGTCGCCCAATCTAAGTCTGAAGATAGCAAGATTATCAACAATAGGCCGATGGCTACCAACCACCCAACCTTGACATGGCGAGGAGTGATGGACTGCGAATAAAGGAACTCAAATCCCCTGCTCGATATTGAGGTCGTTATTAATGCGAAGTGATAGAAGGTTGGTCTCGACGTCGCATCGCCTTTACTCCTATTGGTCGGGATATAGTAGCGCTGCGGCTGTATGGGGTAGAGCATCCCAGGGCTCCGGAACCATCCCTAGATCTATTTCCAAGTTGGATGTGAACCACACATTTGTCCGGAACTCCGCCCGACAAGAATTTGACGTTACCCCTGCTCTACGAGAAATATTTATGACGAAGTGCGGATCGTCAGAATCATAATTGGGGGTACATGCCTGAAAAAATGTCTCGTTATAAGATGTTGGTGACGAAGAGGGAAGAGGGAAGAATTCTGAATTGGAGGGGCTCATACGATTAAGAGCTGCTTATGTCATCAGATGGATTCTTAGTAATAACTCATTAGATAAGCGCTAGGCATTACATAAGCCAAAGCGCCATGGATGACGTAAGCACTCTTAAATTACCTAATGTTTCTTGGTAAGTACATCTATCCATATATCCCATCGTATGCCAATAACCAGATTTCTTATTCTAATATCAGATGTCCTCCTCAAACACACCAACATTCTAGTTCTAAAGACTCACCATATCCACGAAGATTATAGTCTTATATCATTCCATCAGCTCGAATCTATGCCATATATCGCTTTTAAATTTAGTCCCGGAGGCTCATTACTGATGCCTTAAACAAGAACGAACGTGCTCTCTGGCTTCCCCATCTTCAACGCCTGCCCCTCCATGAAACCATCCAAGTATGCCTCGCCAATGTACTCATAAGAATCCGCGGCAACCGGGTCCGGGCGCAGGATAGAAGCCACACTGCACCCAAATAGGACACACACCTTATCTCCCTTCTGCGCCCGTTGCGGTGCGGTGCCGAGGTGTCCCTGCTCGGTGACAAAAAGACGTCTGCAAAGGTCGTCCGTGCTAGTGGAATGGGTGAACCTTTCGATGAAGCTGTTATTCCCTTGTGGCTCGCGGCTTTTCTCTTGGTTTAACGCTTTCTCGTCGCCAGGCTGCGCATTTTTACAGATGTCTCCGAGAGTCAGGCCGCGGATACGAAGGGTCTTGTTGATCTTGTACCATGCGATGAAGTCCTTGGTTCCCTGGTCAGTCTTGCCGTAGCCATCACTCTGGGCGATCGCTTTAAAATCGGATAAGAAGCGTCTCCATGGTACCGGCCGTTTTAGGAATTCATCACCCCGTCCGTGTGCGAGACTAGATACTACCTGCCTCCCGACGGTAGTCGGCACGTCTTCCTTCTTAGGATCGGTCGGGGTATTCGCGGATGAAACTTCTAGGTTAGATACGTCGAGCGAATTAACAGGTGACGTAGACTGAGTTAAAGGCTCGGAAGTCTGGTCAGAAGCAGGTTGTGACTCATCAACCATGCCCGCGATGCCGTCCAACACATCAATCAGGATGCCTTTACATACGAGTCTCCGACCATCCTCCGAAAACTCGACTGCAGGCTTCTTATCCCCAGAGGCGTCATACTTCAACGCCCCTCGAGTGTCATATTCCGCCCACGGACGAAAATTGCCAATATGCTGTTTCCCACTCTGACTAACCAGCACAGGGATATGCGTAGCACTCTTAACATCTCTGTTTCGCCAGTCCGGAACCCACGACGGCAAAGTCGAATCAAATTTACCGTGTCGCCTATGACACATGTGCGCAAAGGAAATAATATCCAGACTCTGATGAGATCGCACCCAATCCTTGACTAACTTCGTATAAACCGTCTCGACATCTAGATCGTATCTCGGAAGACCCACAGTCTCACGGTCCTTCTGATTAATCACTCCAAGCAGAGAGTAGATGTGATCCCTATCATCAGAGACCACCGTCTGACAATTATACGCCATCAGCGCCAACAAGCTAACCCATCGTCCTGGGCCTTGGAACCGGTACCAATGGTAAATACGTCTGCGATTCCAAAGCGGCAACCAGTTATCTATATCAACCGGTATACCGTCAGGTAACCGATACCGAGTAACGTGCGCAGCGCATATAACCTCCCATCTCGTCAACATCTTATTGCCAAAGAAGTATACAGACGTGTCGTCGTATCCCGTGATACTCTCCTGCAACGTCCACCCACGTCTGAACCAAGGGTTGAGAGCGACCTGTTCATAATCCTTCCAGGCATCAACATCCTGCATTTTCGGATCCTTCTTTTTCTCCTCGTCCGAATCGCCCTCCGATATTGCCTTCATCATATCCATACCCCGATCCGAAAACGACGTCCCCTCGCCTAACCAGATTGTCGCGCCATATGATTCTCCGTAGATGCGGACCATTAGCGCGACTTGCATCGCGCGCTCAGCCAGGTCTTCTTGATTGATGCAGATGAAGTCGATCCAAATCCATGGCTGCGATTTCTTGAATTCAGGCCGATCGCAGAATAGCTCGAGAATAGAATACACGGTACGCAGCGTGCCATACTCACGCCCATTTAGAGTAATGGTCCGCTGGCTTTGGTGGTCATCACCCCAGACGTATGAGATAGGTTTGTATTGAGGTTTACCGGGCGCGTCTAGAAAGAACGGCTTCAGCTCTCCGACAATCGAACCATTGGCGTCCCTATGCACGCGCAAGAGGCGGATTGTATCTTTGGTTTGTAGTGGCTCGTAAACAGACATCTCGACATTTCTATCGAGAACATGGTGGAAGTATTGTAGCCTGATCTCGGCCACCGCGAGGTAGGATTATTCAATGCGGAACGGTATGCGTGACAAGGGGTCGACAAGGGCACTCCACTGAAGGAGCCAATAGGTTCCATCACTACATAATGGAGATGCCAAATCATACATATTGCTCTGTGCCCAATCGGCGATTTGGTGGAGGATTCACCCTATACCCTAATGGTCAAAGTCCTAGATGGTCTAGATAGTTAGGGGCCGATAAAAGCAACTTTGGAGTGTACAGCAAGTGATATCAATGGCGTAAATCCTACTTCTAGAGAGTTGCCTTCCTCTAAGAAAGGGATGAAGAACAGCCATGGCTACCTAGGTAGATAAGTGCACAGAGTACGTAAAGGCGCAGACAGGATTTCGCGGCAAAGATACGTCTCTTAGACGTACGTGTCGAAGATACCGGCAACTTTTTGCCGAGTATAATTCCGCGAAAGGACTACTTCGCTGGGCGTGCTTCTTACTGTAGTGCCCGGTAGTAGAGCCGCCGAATACAGTGTTAATCTTCTTTAGAAGGGGCTTGTGGTCTTCGTGTTGAGCCATATTCGTCCGTTCCCAAGTTTCATCCTCAAGCTAGCCACGGCGTCACCTTCCCAGATGCCGCGTCTGTAATAATCGCCTAGAACTCATGATTACATAGGTATACTATAAAAAGCCGACTTGATAAGATGTTGTTGAGGGGTCGGGCCACAGCCAATTAGTTGCAATAGTTTACCAACCCGGATTTGCCTTCAAACCGCCCACCGGGACGAGGAAACAGGTCATGAGAGCTTCATTAATATTACGAATTAGGGGTACCTAATGTGGTAAGCCACTATATCGGCGGTATGCGTATGATCGTGTATATGATTTCTCACCATGTCCTCGTAATTACTGAAGGCTCCCTTACACCTCCTTGCTGATTTTTCTCGGGTGGTGAAATGTAAAGTACGCTCTTAAGTCGGTTACTCTGCCACCTCATAGGTTCATAGAAAAGGGGGTAAGTTTAGATAAGCCGCCTAGGTGGTACAAAGGTCCGGTATTCGTATTACCCAACTTAAGACACGATAATTGGTGGTATATTTTAGCTGAGTCGGAGAAATTAGCTGTTAGAATAAATCTAACGACTGATTATCAATCTTCGGCCTTTTCATGGCGTCCTTTAGTCACCTAGGTGTATCAGGAGCTTATTGATATCGCTCTATGTCGGGACTAGATCGGTATGTGTTACCTATATCGCTTAGTCAGCCTGCGGAAATACCCCCTTTTAGACGACTTCGTCTTTAAGTTGGGGAAAACACAAGAATATTAAGGGGAGCCCATAAGGCCTGCAATTCCAAATTGAATCGGCCCTTTCCAGAGTATTTATGCATAAAGCTAAATACGATATGAATGGAATAGGTTCACTCCTGCGAGTGTTGTTAGGAGAGATCTTCAGCTGTGGGACGACCGCCTAACCTAACCACTATCTTTCGTCTGTCTACCGCGTCAATGTCGTTCCTCAAATGATGCACCACGTCGTCATATCTCCTTTTTGCCCTGTCATATGGCCAGCCGAGCTCGCTTGGCGCCCGGAAAGTAGGGCTATTCTCCCGTACAAATCCCATGCGCCCCGGATTCTGTGTGCATATAAATGAATTTTCCCCGTACCCATTTTCCACTCGGTTCCTCTTTTTTCGAGGATTCAAGGCTCGGAGCGTTACCGTTTAGAGGTCAATAGACTTGTGGCCAATCAGGAGTGGTGTAGAGATGAATTCTGGCTTTACCGGCTATATTACCCCAGGTCCACCGGGAGCCCTACAGCCATACAGCGACCTGGAAAACATAGTCGTACCTTGGTCTAATCTGTCCCGGAGAATTTCCAAATGGCGGGTTGTCGACCTTGACAGTGGCTCAGGTGCTTCGCTATGCTACGGAGATAGAGTTGAGAGACCCGCTAGTATCGGCATCCCCTGTCGCTACTCTATTTCGTTCGGCATATCATGGGATGTAAATGGACATGGGTGATACCACATCATCTATATATATGCGCGATGGCACTCTGCCAGGCTGAAGGTGAACCTCGCTCCTCTAAGGCATAGTCAATTCACGGATCCCATCCTATACAGCCAGACAAAATGAAGTTCTCTCTGCTCGCCGCTGCGGCGTTCGCCTTGTCCGCTGAGGCTCACTGCATCTTCCAAGTAAGCCTTGTTAAGAACAAAGTCGGTGAACAAAAACTCATCTCAACGTCGTTAGGAAGTCTCAGTCAACGGCCAGAAGCAGGGTTCGCTAGTCGGTCTCCGTGCCCCGAGCGACAACAACCCCGTCTACGACGTAACCTCTCAGGGTGAGAATAGGTGTTCGAGTCAACCCAAGCCGAAATACTAATCCGCGATCATAGACATCATCTGCCAAAAGCAGGGCACCACCTCCGACAAGGTCATCAGCGTCGCTCCCGGTGACAAGATTGGCGCATACTGGGGTCACGTCATCGGTGGCAAGCAATTCGCCAACGACCCCGACGACCCAATCGCCAAGTCGCACAAGGGCCCCGTCACGGCATGGCTAGCCAAGGTCGACAACGCCGCGACAGCGAGCAAGACAGGACTCAAGTGGTTCAAGATCTGGGAGGACACCTTCGACACGTCGAGCAAGCAATGGGGTGTTGACCACATGGTCTCCAACCAGGGATGGGTCAACTTCAACCTTCCCCAGTGCATCGCCCCCGGCGACTACCTCATGCGTGTTGAGATTCTCGCTCTGCACTCGGCCCGCATGGCCAACGGTGCCCAGTTCTACATGTCGTGCGCCCAGATCAAGGTCAGCGGCAGCGGCACGTTCACGCCCAGCCAAACCGTTAGCTTCCCCGGTGCTTACCAGAAGAACGACCCCAGCATCGTCGTCAACATCTACGGCGCTGCCGGCCAGCCCGACAACGGTGGAAAGGCTTACAGCGCCCCGGGTAACATTCCCGTCATCCAGTGCTAGATCAAGTAAACCGGGAGGGACCAGTTTCCTGTCTAAGAAGACGTCGGGGCTGCGTATGAGGAGTAGATATGAGTTAACTATCGGTGTATCTCTTTCCACATAATCTACCTAGGTAGACTTCCGAGTCCATAATAATTCAATTGAGACTTAAAAGTCGTGCAGCTAGGAGCATCGTTGATGTTAATATGATGTTTACGTTCTGTTGCTCAAGGAATAATGAGAGGTGGGGTAAGGAAGAGGGGTTAGAAAATAACCCTAAGCCCAACTCCAGTAGAGCCCAGGGTTAGGGTCGGTACTGCGAACCCCGCGATTAACACCAATTTCAGCATTTTCAGGAGAGACGGCTCAATCAAGAAGGTCCGTAGATTTATAAGGCTAGCTGGCCAAGAGCATACTCATCAGCTGAAACTGCCCTAAGAAGTGCAATTATTGGTCTCGAAGCGGCGATATTGGTCGATATTAAGCCACACGGCATGGTATTTCGAGATCTATTGGTCATATTGGTACGCACTAAAGACAGGATCGGTGATAAACAACTAGGCCCAAAGCTGCCCAATTCGTTTGTCGCCACGTTGAGAGTAAATACGAAAAAATATAGGTCCTTCGCTTTGAACCCAGGCAGTCAACTCTCAATCTTCCTCGTTGGATTTGTCGGGCGGGCTGCTGGGGTGGTTGCTGACGGACACCTATTGATGAGTTGAGGTGTAGAATAGGCGCTATAATTGCACTGTTGGTTAGCCCGAAGAGATAAAAAATGGATGTTATAAGGCGTTTACGTAATCTACCTCACCCTCCCTAAATTGTTGCACATGCAGTGGCTTTCCTTACCGCCCACAGCGCCCATTGTCCCAGCTGATCCTTTGCCGTGAGCCGATTTGTAGGGGTGGCAAAACAAACATGTTTCATCAATTATGCTCGTCTAACCCCAAATGTTTCCGTGTCTGTGGACACAATCCTTCGGAAGGATCATTAGTATCATGGGCCACGTAGGAAGCAAGGGAAATAGCGGCTCGACCCTTTTTTCCTCCTAAAAGTCTTGATGCAGGGGCCGTGTTAAGACAGGAGATGACTCAAAGCTGAGCAAGGCTGCCTGGTCTTCTAAGCACCTTAACCGAAGCTATGGTGTCGTGGGGCTTCGGGGCGCTGAATCCTCCATTCAGACAGGGGCTTAATATGTAAGCGCTACCAATCATTAACCCCTCCAAATATGGTCCTCCTGTGATACTACTAGGGTCTGGCCGAGCTGAAATGACATCTTTGGATAGGCGCAAATGGGAACCCGATCTTTTAAGAGGCTCGACATCTCCCTTACTCAAGATGGAGCGAGACAATAGTCGAGAATATGACGTTTTGAAATTCCGCCGATGACAGATTTTTATATGGTTTGAAAAGCAAAATCCCCAAGTGAGACAACGCGTGCGAAAATGGCGCCCCCGCCATTGTTGCAGACATCGAGTAGTGTTTTGAGCACAAGCTCCACTGCCGAGAAAGTAGCAGATACAGCCGAACAAAGGGAAATCGAGGCGATCTGGAGAGAAGTCCATAACAAAGTCATCGAACTAGCCGGTGGAGACCCAAGAAGAGTCCAGACAACACTAGATATTAATGCTGTCCTCAAGTACATCGATAATGTCCAAGCTTCAGACAAAAAGAGATCGGAGAAGTTCGGCTTGTTCAAAAGCATCGTGAGCAAGACATTGCAATGTATTAATACTGTTGGTGGAATCGTCGCCGATGGCGCTTCAACTGTAAGTCATTTGAATGAAATGGCGGGTCTCTAAAACTACTCGTCAACGTGGATGTACCCAATTTAAATTGCTAAAACATCGGTGTAGGTCTTTGCTCCGGCGGGCATGTGCTACAATGCACTCACCTTCGTCATTCAAGCCTGGCAAGGCTATGAAGGCATCTTCGAGAACCTCGCCGAGCTTCTCGAGAAATGCACTGAGTTCCTCGAGCGTCTCGAATCTTACGAGGGTCGCATGGACGCGAGGTTAACCCGTGTTGCGGTTCAAAACCTCCGACTTTTTGTTGAGATATGTGATCGCACGATTAAACTGCGTAAGAAACACACCAAGTTCATTGCTTTTACGAAGCAGCTATTCTTGAACGATAACGGTATCAAGGACTTGCTTGGTATGATGGACCGACTCAACGCTAAAGAGTCCCTCTTGGTGAACGCACAGACCTATAAGCTAGTGAGCGATAGTGCTGGAGACATCAAGTTGATACTCGACGGCCAAAAGGAGCAGAAGAAGGAGCAGGAGGCAAAGAAGTGGCGTACAGCAATCGTCAAAGCGCTAGGATTCCCAGTGACCTCTCTAGATAATGATGGGGAGCCTATTGCGAGCTGGCAAAGGGCCTTCGACGTTAGGAAGAATATGCTGGTTGATGAAACCGGGAGATGGATCCATAGTCATAAGGATTTTACAGGATGGACCGGACCTGCCTCCCCAGCGAAGCCCATCCTGGTTCTAGAAGGTAAAAACGGTTCAGGGAAGACATCGATGATGGCGAACACTGTGAGGTATCTTAGGAAGTCGAATCAAGTCGGGCCTACTTCTCGGGTTGTCACCGCTTACTTCTTCATGGAGGGCGAGAAGAGAAAACCGGACGACGAAGATGCTCCTAGTACACTCGAACTGGTGTCGCGGACTTTGCTTTGGCAGATTTCGACGGCATATGAAGCTATGACCAAGTCCGTATTCCAAATTCTCGAGCGATCTTCCGATTTCAACAACTCGGTCGACCTCTGGGAACAGTTATTTATCAACAACAAGGAACGGATGAATCCCGATACGACATTCTTTCTCTTCATTGATGGTCTCGATAAGACTCTTCTTCCACTCCTCCAGAAGCTAACATCTATACCTGACAAGAGCCCTCGCGTATTTTTGACTGCTCGGTCGCCGGAACTGCTTGACCAGACACAGGGGCTCAAGTTCATCGCCATTCCCATGCATCCAAACAATGAGGATGACATTGAGAAGTATATCACTCATAGGATGGATAATATGCCTATTCTCAAGGATTCTAATCGCTCCGGGATTTCCGAGTGGCGAAAAACGATCTTGAGTACGTTGCAATACAAATGTCGCGGCGACTATTTTAAGTTGAACACAAGTCTCAACGCTCTTGCGAAAGTTGACCTTATCGACGATATAAACGAGGTCCTCGCGGACGCCGACAAGACTCGAACCGATCAAATTGACGCTGAGATTAGACGACTTAACAATATTCGAACAGTTAAGGAGATACAAGAGATAAACGAGATCATACGGTGGATTGATGTCGGTCGGCGCTGGTTCACGGTCGATATGATAGAATCGCTCCTATCTGTGAAGCATTATAGTAGCTCCGCGGCGCAATCTTCCCGTGCCGTGCCACTAACAAGGCGAAAAACAGGCTCTGAAGATGTCGAAAGCATCGCCCAGGAGTCCGCGCCAACGTCTACAACCATATCCTTGCTTCCTTTTTCTCAGAAGCTCGCAGAGAAGTATCCGATATTCGCCGTTACGGATTCAGGCTACGTCGATTGGCGGTCCCCCGAAATCAAGGATCAACTCCCGTCCAAAGGCTTGGATCAAGACGCCAGACTTAACGTATCCACGTCTGGCCCGCGGGTTATCCAAGAGTCTGAAATAGCGATCGTTCGCCACTTCCTTAATAATGTGTGCCCGCCGGATCTTTACTCGCGGTTTGAGTTTGAACAATTCCTTGATGCAAAGCTCGGCGCGAAGCACCGAGATTACATCTGCCTCGACCCCGACAACGCTAACATCAAGATCGCACTAACTTCTTTAATCATCTTAACGGAGAAAGATCTAAGAAGCAATACGGTCCTGCGCAAGTACGCGATGTATTGGCTGCTAGACCATCTACATGCAGTTGACCTCTCGGCCGCCGATAGGGAGTTGAAGGCGCAAGTTGGTCCGCTCCTCGTCAAGCTCTTCACAGAAGAGTGTGGAATTGACTCAATGTTCTGGCCTTTCAATCTGGACGTGAGTATTAATACCTGGGATTGGGATGAGTATATAGAGTTGCGTGAAACTCGAAGCGAATGGGTCTACTCTATGTCCGGCGTCCAGGAGATCTCTAAATGGCTGCATGACTCTTCCGTAACAAAGTACATCAAGGATGAACCCGGTGCATCGTTTGTTGAAGCTGTAAAAACGTCAGCAAATCTACATAAAGCAGTGCTTTCCCACGCTGCCAAACGAATGGCAGACCATCTATTCCGTCGCGTGGAATTTCTTCCCCGCCAATTCTGGTGTGCGTGCTGGCTTATTCGCGGGTATCTATCACGAGTAAGTCCTTGTCTCTCATGTCTTGTGGGAAGGTCTTTCACTAATAGCTCCCCCTAGCTCAATCCCGAGAAGTCTTCTCAAATGCCAAGCGATCCGTCGGCCTACAGAGAAACAGACTCACCTGGTTTCAACGAGTTTGAAGGGAGGCAATTTAAGCTGGATGAAGTGAAGGAAATCGAAGCTTGGGCAGCCGAAGTGCTCCAGAAAACGAATGACACCATAGAACAAGAATCAAGTTGGGAAATCCACGGTTCACTTATCACCTTCCAACTCTGTCGTACCCAAGACGGTGCCGCCGACATTTACCAGGCGCGTGCAAAGAGGGCTATAGAACTAAACCCCAAGAATTGGCATGCATGCCACTTCATCGCTAAACAACCAAGCACCAACAATGAACAAGCCGTAGAGATGCTTTCCAAGGCCAAGAAGGATATTGACGATATCCGTCTTAATAATAAGGAGTGGATCGATGATCACAACAACTCCTCGTTGCTAGCGCGGATTACACTAGACCTTGGAGACCGTCTGTGGGACCTAGGTGCAGACCATAAACTTGCCGCAGAAACCCACCGGGAAAGTCTGCGATACGATTACGTCCATTTCAAGGACTACACCAAGGTGCTCACTCGATACCAAAATCGCGAAGCATGGGTTGAGCTTATCGCGTTCATCGAGACCTTAAATGATACCAGCGACACTTGGGCAGCATACTTTGACGAGTTAGTTAACGAATTCGTTGTCGGCTTGACCAGCGACGACGGCTCCAACGCGTTGGCACGGGCAGCGGATGCGACCAAACGTTGGGACGTAATTGAGGCTTTCTTCACCATGGCGATTGACATGGGGATACGGCAAGAAGCTCACGACCTCCTGTTCCTTCTCAGGGACGGTTTCGCAAGGACATTGTCGAATGCTTCAAACGGTACAGAAGATGATCAGCAAGATAAAGTTATCTCCATCCAAGAAACAGCCCTCGAGCATATAAAGCTCCACCACAGCGACAGCTTCTCTCGACATCCGATAGAAGAAATGGCCAACTCACTTGCCAAGACCTATCTGAACAAGGCATTTCAGTCGAACTTGCCTATCGAGAGGGTTGATTTGTACGGCTCATTGATCGAGAATTTGTTACCCGACACAAGCGAAGTACCGGACCTATGGGCGAACAGTACCATGATCCTCTCCTATATACGCTACCACCACAAGCGCAAGAGTGGCTCTAAGCTAGCTAAAGAATGGATAAGGATGATGGTACGCGCGACGATTGAACTCCTTTCGGATGACGATGATGAGAACGATAACGCCGCGTTTTGGTTGCTTGCTGCTCTCATGACGATCATTGAGGATACACATAATGCCCGGATTGCCTGTACAATGCTGAACATGGAAAAATATGAAGCCCTAGTTAAATGGGAAAGTTGGGTGACAACGTCCCCTATTCAAGAGCATTTTGCCGTTAATGGCGATGCTGGTCTGAAGAGCCCGAAGGCCCCCACCAATGGTTCGAACGGATCCGCGCAGGCGGGCAGGGAGACAGAGCCGCAGGAGACCAACGATATGTTGGCCCATGGCAGCCCTGGACAACCGAGCTACTTCGTCTACTGTGATGGCTGTAAGAAGGAGTATATCGTCACAGATGTGCCTATTTATACGTGTGCGGATTGTCTTGACTTGATACAATTCGATGAAGAGTGCTACACGTTATTAAAGAAAGGCGAACTGAAGCGAAAGGGACTCGACTGCAGGCCGGATCACACATTCATCCCATTGCCTATTTGGGATGCAAATCTGATTAAGGGCATGCCGAAAGGATATATACCCTTACCCGATAGCAAGGAGAACGAGAAGAGATGGATTGCGTTAGATGAGTGGAAGGGTGAATTGAAGAAGTTATATCTTGATGGGGATATCAAAGAAGTTGTCGCATGAGAATAGTGTACAGTAACGAAGAAAATGGACATGATAGAGGGGATGTGGTCTGGGATCACGACGCAAACGACTTGAAATATGAAAAGGGAATAAGTTGACGGGGAGCATCTTGTAAAACCATTGGCGATTCAAGAGATGAAATGATTAGCGTTAAACCTTGTATCATGCCACTCATTGAGTGGTATTAGCCGAGAAAAGTTTAAATGAGGCCTGTCACGCCTTCCTCAACCAGTCTCCATATTCTACCATCAACGCATCGCACTTTCACAATCTCATAATCATTAGAAAGCAGGTATTTAAACTCTCATAAACATTATGTAGATAGTCACTTCCTCTTCAAATCCCCCGCCGCCTCACTCCCATTTATAGGCGGCACGCTCACCACAACCGTCTCATTCATCCCGCCACCACGATACGCATACGTAAACGTCCATCCCGACCCAGCACCACCATGTTCACCTTTACTATTCACAACCACAATCCCACTCTGCACATCGGGATACTTCCGCAACATCCTCGTTACCGCATCTTCTGCCGCTAGTTGAGGACTCATGCCTAACCGCAAATTCTCAACTGCTTGGTAACACGGCAGGAACCGCATCATAACATCCCCGTCGCCGGTGGCCCCGCACCCGCCTACTTCGCCGTCAACATACGATCCAGAACCTGTGATCGGCCCATCACCCACGCGCCCCGGGACCTTGCGTCCGGCGCCGTTGGTTGATGTCCCGGCTGCCATGGTACCGGAGGCGTGGAGTGCGATCATGGAGATTGTGTCGTGGCCCTCTGGTTTACTACTGCGGGGTACTATTTTCCAAGTATAGTCCGCTGAGCTCGAGTTCAGAGCGACGGGCGCATAGGGTCCGCATGAACTAGATGGGTCGGGTGTCACATTGATGCGGTAGTTTGGCTGGCAGTTATCCGCTTTCCATTGTGCGCAGGACTCGGCTGATGATTCCGTGGTTAGGTTCTGCGCGATGAAGCCGTTGGCGACGGCAAAATCTGTTGCGAAGTCTCCTGCGAGTAGGGTGTGCGTGGTGTGTTCTAGCACCGCCCGCGCAACTGAAATAGCTTGTTTGATGCGCCGTAGGGCAGCCACGGCGCCGGATTTCATGGTTGTGCCGTCCATTATCATTGCGTCGAGGGTTGTCTAGAAGAATAAGTTATATTTATGTGAAACAGTGGTTGGGGATGATTTCTCACCTCACAATTCTCATCTGGTGAGCCGCCGTAGCCCACACTCCCATCGCATTGATTTGTTTCACAAGTAGAGCAACCGATTTCAACGGCATCGAGCGCTGATGTCTCCGGCTTCAATAGAGATAAATACGCCGCATCTGTAGCTGCTGTAAACGGGCCACCCCACGTATTTATAACCATAGGTAGGCCAGGCGAATTTCCAGTGTCATTTGCGCAATTGATAGCTTTTGACGCCGACAGCCAGAGGACCAGGGAACTTATCCTTAACTCATAAAAGCGCGCCATGATGAGAGTAAGAAACAAGCCTAATAGTATGAAGTGTCGAATTCTAATAAGGGACGCAGCCCCGTTAAAGAAAGAATTTGTCGTCATTGAAGCATGTTGATCGCTGTATTTTGAATTGATAGCGACGTTCCAGCGGCCAAGCCTTCTCCAATCCCTTATCATTTGGCGGTAATAGGCGGCCCTCTATACTCTATGCCGTACTAACCCGCCTGGAAATATGCCCTAGGAATTCCTTCTACCCCGCATACCAGCTGCCGAGAATCTTATTCATCGCAAGGCAAGGACTAAACACCATATACACGTACACGCTGAACGCCCATCATTACCGTGATCTCAAATGGATATCCATCTAGCTAAGGACCTAAGAGGCCTGACTTGCGTTAGGTTATGTCTCTGCGATAGATCGGAACTATCCGAATTTACCGCGCAATAGATTCAGATCACGACTCAATACCAAACATATTTAACGGAACGGCCGCATTCGCGACACGGGTATAATTTATATACTAATCTAATATTCATACAAGTTTAATCCAATTCGATATTTGCAATTGCCTCCGTGATGAATATTTCGTCACCAAGCGTCGGTTTTTGCTCATCTTGCGATCCTGGTGTACCCGGAATCGATTCTCTGGCTTCAATGCTTGCCCAATCGACCTCCTCACCAATCTCACTCCTGCTTGCTTCGCTGTCGGTTTCTGGGGGGGTCTGCATCTCACGACGTCCCATATTGCGTTTTAGCATGCACATTTCGACAGAGATTCCAGGGCCAAATGCGCATCCTACCACGTAATCTCGAACCCGACCGTCGGGAGCTAATGCGTCCATATCTTTACTTCGTAATCGATCCATTACGCTGAAGATAGTCGCCGAGCTCGAATTTCCGTGGTTCATATATCGGTCATAACTAGCTCTCATATGTTCCGATGAGATGTTCATAACCTTCTCAGCACCCGTCAAAATAGTCAAACCACCCGGATGCATCGCCCAGTCGAAATCCGCCGCTTCTCGATATCCAACGGGAATTCCTGGAACACTTTCTAATAACTCATCGAAACTCGGTCTCAGTACTTCTGTCGCTAGTTTCGGTACTCGAGGTGAAAGAACCACTTTCCACCCAACAGGGTCCACATCAAACCCGAGATCCGCCTCGGTATCTGGAAGGATTTTATGTTCCCACCCAAGCAATTCGTAAACTGGTTCGGCCGTCGCTTGCCCTATTCCGTTGCTGAGGATTACAGCGGACGCACAATCAGAAAATAAACAAGCTCCAATCCGTGTTTCTTGAAGCTCATTGATACTGTTTAGTTCGCTTCGGGCCATCGTTGTGCTTACTTCGAGGGTAACGCACAATATTCTAGCGGGTTTTCGTCTCATAGCATGGCCTAGTGCTAAATTTGCAGCGGTGCGTAGTACCGCTAACCCCCCTGAACAACCGACTCCGTGCAACAGAACTTTTTCGACTTGGTGAGTGATACTCAGGCCCTTTGCGACGAAATGATCAAACCCGGGATTGGCGCTGTCGGTACATGTTGTAGCGACTATATGAGTGATTTGTGATAGATCAATTCCAGCCTCTAGGATAGCTTTCCTAGAGGCTTCAATAGCAAGCGGAACACCGTCCGATATGAACAGCTTATGAAGCTCTGCTATTGACGGCGCCTCTGGTTGGTTCACCACCGGGTGATCTGAAGTACCAATTGATGACCGTGTATCTATGCCTGTGTACTTATTTATTGACAGTACTCTTCCCATGCTGACGCCAGCATTCGTCAGCATGTAAACTCCTCGCGAGTTTTGAGGGTAACTTACGCAAGAGAATCTGGATAGTATTTTGTGGCGATTTTACTCAACTCATCTGGTCTAAGGGAATTTGGTGGATATTGTGCTCCCAATCCGATGATGGAGAGGCCCAGCTCCCCGAAAGTGTTCGACGACGCCATAGTGCTTTGTAGTACTTCGATTTGATACTCTAATTAGAGACCACACGATCAGAATCGAGTAGTTACGTGGGTTTATGTCAGGTGGATATGGTGAAGGTAAGATCGTGGGATATGACAGTGGAGCGGAAGAGATACGGGATAGTGAGTTATACGGAACAAATTTCAGTCCGAGACGACGATCTATGTAATGAAGATCTAATTGTACACAAGGCGAATCTCTGGTAATGAGTTGTGTGTGGTTGGACAGTTCGTACGATGCTAGTAGGAGAATAATAGCAAGCGAAATGCCAAGACAGTGCCACTGTACCGAGGATGCTGGAACCCCATGTATGTATATAGATAAGGTTAGGAAAGTCGAAGGAGAGGGAGCCAACCAGCTCGTCAGTAAATAAGGCTAGCAAGTTCAAAGCGCTTGGTGTTTCGAATAATAAACCTATCAATAGTTGACGGTGTAATCACAGTAGTAGTTGTTGATCAGGGTCACCATGTCCGAGTCTTTGAAACGATGATGTTACAGGTGATAGGAAGGAAGCAAGGTCGCTACTAGGTACTTAATATCTGTACCTATCTCCCCTACAGGGGTACAGGCATTAGCGTCACTCAGCTGGAGCTCTTAGGCGGTCTAGGCTTCCTATCCAACTGAAGGGTTCCTTATCCCCTCGTCCCATCTGCCTACATCTGCACCCTTAACGCCCTTAAGCTATAGGCAAGTATCTATCCTTACGTAAAGCTCGTACCATCAAACATCAAAACTCGAAGCATTACTTGGGATTATCAGGATAGTAACACTCTCCCTCCCTCGAATATACAAGTATGTTTCATTGAGTCCTACTTCAACAATTCAAATCATCATACTCGTGTAAGATCGACAACTCCTCTACCTAATGTAGAACGGTGGATTCTAGCTACAAACGACGAATAAGTGGCGCAATTCCCAAAATCATGATTCATCACAGGCTTTCACAGCCCTCTTCTACCCATTACACGAACTCAAACAACCCGGCGAGACTCAACCTGTCGCCTTAGAGAACCAAATCCCCATTAACCTTCCGTTTATCAACCTATTAACCCGACTGTTCGTCCGATAGTCGGGTTAGCAGTAGGCTTATGCAAGGGGCAGAGGCTCGCACGTACCTCTTGTGTCTGCGCTCCACGTGCATCGTTACTCCTTCGAGAAGCGTTGGGACCGTCTGGAATTAACCACCTAAACCCCCTCGCTAATCTGATAACCCACAGCTTGGAAACATCCACAATGCCACGCTTCATCGCGTCGTCGATTTAGTATCTTCATCGAACTAGCTGGTTGTCTTAGCGCATTATCACGAAGCTTTACTCAGCCATCGCAATCTTCATTGAAGATTATTAACAAGTAATGCCAAATGATTCTGGCAAAGTTACCGTTTGCTTTTCATGCTGTGATCGAGACAGCGGCAGCTCTATCATTCATCTTCAATCCAGATAAGCAGCTTCCCGGATGCACTGAAGCTGCGAAACTCATACTACGACAGTATGGAGGATTGTTGCTCTCTAGTAACCTGATTTGCCTCGTTATTCTCACTGAGCCTGGCTTTACTTATACGGATCGCCTATTCGCAGCGGCTTTGGGGACGTACCACATTTGGCCATGCTTTCGGGCTTATGCTCGAATGTACAGCAATTTAGGCCCATCCGACCAAGAAAAAGCTGCTTTAGGCGGACCCCAATTGCATCTGATAATTCATCTGATTTGCTTGGGAATGTTCATGTGGGCTTCGATGTCTCCTAAATTGATAGTTTAATAATCACTAGATTAATAAGCTGATATATATTCGCAATACGATCGCCTATCTCGAACGCCGTCAATCCTTACACACGATGACGAGATATTTATTTTAGGGGCTCTCAGGCCTGTTAATTTTATAGCATACCTAGCGCCCCGTAGAGCGGTCCGTGGGGGTTGTATAACGTCGTACAAAGGATTAGGTAAGTCGTTGAGGAGCAATAGAAAGAAAACTCAGGTGGAAAAGTTTGCCTGTTTTTCTAACTCCAACTCCTTCAACAATCCCAGCCCGCTGACACGGCCACCATGACCCGACAAAATGGGTCATTTAGCGGGAGTCAGCACGGCATGGCCCGCGAGCTTACGTGTAACGGATAGCCGTCTATGCCACTATCCCCCCGCCGATTTTTCGAGGCATGCGGACTGAGTAAGAAATTACTTGTGCTCATTGCTTTCATATTCCAGAATCCCGGGGCAGTTCTTCGCGGAATCGGCGTACCTACCTAAGGTACCTAGTAGGTATCATAAAAACTGCAAGTCAAGGATCGTAAGGAAGCTTGGCAAAGTTATAGCACCTAGGCACCTGGGCAGCTATGCTACTAATAGGATGAATTTTTACACTTTTTCTCACGGCGCCCAGGCTAGCCTGCTTTTTCGCTGAGGACCAATACTACCTAATATGAGCCCAACGCGCATAGCCTTCTAGACGCCACTGTCGTGCTTGTTTCGTCCGCAGTATAGAGCCCGCTTGTCGTTACATTTACGCACCACAAACTTCCGCAACAACACCTGCTAGGATATTCTTGGTGATTCGCGGTTGGAAGCACAGCAACCGTATTCCTTCGATTTCGTCTTGGTCGACAATTATCATGATCTATCGGGCTATTTTGTCTACCCCGTCAAAAACAGTTGCATACCCAGGTACCTGCCTACCTGGGTTGGTTAGCAGATAGTCAACTACTAGCGCTATTCAGGTATGAAGCATATAGAACCTTGAGTCTCTTTTAAGAAGGAATAGAAGATCCTTATTTCTACTAACTCGAATCAATAAGTACCGAACCTCTTCTCATACGATATCGGATATTTCCTAGGTAGCATAGAGAATTGGGGGCCAAAAATAGCGAGCCCTGCATGGGACCATGGCTATACCACGGCCCTCCCTAAAATAGGAATCTAATATGCGCGATCTCAGCCGCAGCGCTTCACAAGCAAAGCATCGGGACCGATGATTTTTGAACCAAGATGAAACAGGTCGGGAGGGTATTAAACTCGAAATATCTCCAGAATTCCGAAAACTAGCGAATTTTCCATCCCCTCAGATTTCTGGCCCTATCGCCTCGATGGCTCCGCGAAGATCACCGAATAGTGCTAAGGAGCATTTGCTTCCTCTGAGCCCTGCTCCAACTGACCCATGGGGAAGACCAGGCAACACGCTAAAAAATCACACAAACCAACACCCTACGAATTCTTCCCATCGATTTTGGAGGCGAACATTGATTTTAATTATTTTTCCTCTCGCCATCACAGCATACTACTTTTTCATCTGGCTCTATTTCAAACGAGACAAGGACGACCCCGTGAAATATGGAAGTCCCTCGGAGATCTGGATCTTCTACTCATGGTTCGTGCTTAGTGTTTTCGCATTGGAATGGTTTAGGTACGGTCTTGTCGGTGCGGAGGCCGCCATGCTCCAAACTCCATTCTGGCGGGTTCCCGACGCTGCAGCGCTATTGACGCACAGCGAGGCTGCTTGGAGTGGTCCGGACGGATGGTTCAAGCTTCGTGTCATGCACCGGCTATGGTATTTCCTTGCTGCCTTGAGCTTCCTAGCCTTTGTGGCAATCCCACTTTCAGGTCTTTCCTTCGAAACGTCAGACGGGTACATTCCTTTATCGATTCCTCCGATAGTGATAGGACATACTCTAGAGAATTACCATAGCAGGCAAGAGTCGTTTTATTATTCCGGCGCATTGAAAGGGTGGGAGATTGGATCACCTACGATGGTGCCCGGATACGGAATAATATATACACCCGAATACCTTCAGCGCGAGCAATACAGCGGTCTTAAGAGTGTTCCCAATACACTTCCTCTAGATGAAGGTATTCCAGAGATACTCCTCACTCCGCAAGCAGACACTCCTATCGCCGGGAAGGTTTGGGGTCTTCACGCCGGGTACAATTGCTCAATGGTAAAGGATGCCTCCGAGTTTACCATTCTCAACCAGAAATCATCATCGACGTACTCGACCAACCGAAAAGCAACATCAGACCAACTAGAATGGGTTCGTCTCGAAACACCATCCAACGAAATGATCTACGCATTTACCAGCTCCTCGGACCTTATACATGTGAATAATATATGGGGATACGCCGAAATGGGGGTTAGCAGCAACTCAAGCGTGCCCACATACGACGGAAGTGAGCCGAGTTCTTTTGATCAGGACGGAATTGCTAAAGCGGACGTATTGGAGTACGCGTTATGGCAAGCGCGTCTTAAAGGGTCGTATGGTGACAATTATTCCAACTTTAACGATACGCTCGATCCCGCCATCACCGGAATGGGTCTTCCCATCATGCAGGCCTCAAACGGAACCTTCATGCCGAACAGCAGCTTCTTCAAAATGCAGTCGGAAAAGATTTACGGCGATCACTATAACGTGACTATAAATGATTACCTATACAAACAGATTTTATCCCTTGCACCGCCAATCGGCGTCCGATGCCGTGTCGTTTCGACTCTCGGTACTGCAGAACTCAACCCCGTGCGATCGAGTTTCCACTCCTTCCAACAGACGCCTAGCCCCCATTTCAATTCCTCCGCGGAAGATACTCCTACCCCTCGCATGGGCTACATCGCCTCGCAGACACTGCTAGGTCATTACTGGGAGATCTTCACCGCCGCCAATGCCCCCGCTCCAGTCACAGATTCGAACTCGTACCTCTACCAAAACTACATCCAACCGCGCATGTTACAGAAATCAATCATGTTAGCACACGCGATGGACGCACTACAGCTCATGTACGACGGTACATACGGCTTCGAGGGCGCCTGGCGCAATGATAATCTAACAGCGTCGACACCCGGGAAGGTATTGGTAGCTGGAATAGTACCACAATCTGCACTAGCGGTCGTTTTCGGAGTATGGGCTCTTAGCTGTACGCTACTAGGACTTGTGTACGGATTCCGTCGGAGGTGGTCCGACTCATTAGATGGATACAGTTTCTTCCGATTCGGTGTAGAGTACGCCGATGAGGTCAAGGGGAAACAGGACTTCTGGGATGCGAGTGAGTTCTATTACAACCAGACATTGAGGTCTTTACGGATCTTTGTTGGACAGAGGGAGTAATGATTATGATTCGATTGAGATATCCCATGGAGAGGTATGGGCTCGCTTTATATCCCCTAATAACGCTTAGACGCCAAATGTTCGCCAAGAACATATGCGACTCAACAATAATAGATTCCCTATCATCGCCTACCGCGAACGCCCAAGATTACGGTCCTAGGTTCGTCGACATAAGGTCCCGCACCAACTTGAACATCCCACCATCTACACACAACATAATTAGCCACGGATCAATTATCATAAGACAACGAGTACACCTACCCCGCGTGCCGCCAAAAATTAGATGTTTAAATCCATGCTCATATTTGTAAAGGCTGCGAATCCCATGGTCCTCGATTTGGACCACGTACGTCGGCATAGAGAATTTGGACGTTCCCGATGGTGAATTGAAGAAGTCATCGGCAAGGACTTGACTTATCAAGGTACACTTATTCCGGCTCTCGATAATGAGTCTGTGTTTACCCTGCGCATCGGTTGTTATCGTCACGTCGGCATCGGATATATACATGTTTTCGCATTGAACCGCCTCGACCTGCCTAGTAAGGTGTACATATCAGTACAGTATCGATTGCGTGGGTGTGGAGTGCACTTACAGGCGGAGCGCTATTGTCTCGTCCGACCGTGGATATCTGAGGCTTCCGACAAATAATTCCATTCGCATGCCCTCAAGCTTCTCATATAGCTCCCTTGCAGCTACTCTAGTCAGCACCGTTACCTCAACAGGACGATATAGTATCAAAATGCCAATGTCTATATGGAAGTACCTTCTTTGCTTGTCAACTGGATAGTAACATTCATGTTATGGGCGATAATGACCTCCTGATCTGCAAGAGTGCCCAAAGTTTGAATTGAATCCACCTGCACGATGGCATTACGGCCATCGAGCCGCAATACTGTGTTTCGCTTCACTATCACAAATGTCAATACAATCACTGTGGTTCCTCCAAATTCGTTCTTACGGAGTAGAGCGCTGTTGGTAATATCACTTTCTTCGTCGTCATCTTGTTCTCCGTAAACAAGCAAGACCTCTGCATAATCTAAGGGCTGGAGCGCTTCAAGCTGTCCTCTCTCTATCGCTGTGTTCGAACTCATGGTCTGATACTGCAATATTTGGATGTTTTCGACATGTTTACGTGAGTACATTCTCCCGGCTTGGCTAAAAGTAATTGATTCGACTGACTTCCGCGCAATCCTAAGCTCCCTGCGATGATAAATCAAAACGTCAGTCGATAACCAAAGTTACTAAACTTGGAGTATTTTACCCAATAGAAGCAATAATGCGCTCTTCATTCGTATCGGTGGATATATATGCGAGGTTATTCCCGATTCCTTGGCTTAGTATCATATCTGCCTGCTTAATCGCTAAACCTTGGAGGATCGCTTCTTCTAAAATTTGGATATCTTCATCCGCATCAGTATGGAAATTGGGAGGCCAATAGATGGCATCTTACAGACAACCAGGATCAATGTTGGTAATAGACATGGTGACAAGCTGATTTGTAACTTTGTCGCTGGTCTTGTAGAGTAGCCAAGACCTCTTCGCAGTTGCAAGTCGAACAGGGAATGTCAAATAGGACACTGAAGGTAAGTAAGTAAACCCGTCATCAATGTCGTAGGTACGCCTGCTCACCATCATATCTTTTGACAGCAGACTGATGCAATCCAGGCTCTCCGTGATCTTTACAAGCACAAACAAGCATATGTTCTACTTCTATACAACCAGGGTTGGTCGAAAAGCCTTGGCTCCAGTGATTATTGAAACCAGCATGGCGACAAATTATTTCTTCTCCTTGATCCTTTCGAAGGCCAAGTTGGAATGTGTAGTGAATATCCGATCCGACGATAGCCGATGATTCGGCTCTTAAAGTCACGTCCGTAGTTAACTCGGAGCCCTTCAAGTTACTCTCGTACCATTCATATAACTCCTTGATCATCTTCGAAGACTTCTCGACGGACATTTTAATTTCGGAAGCTTGGGAACTAGCATTTATCAGTATCAAAAAGCCGAGAGACTGGGGATGATGCATCGTCTACCTACTTCACGGCGACTCCAAGCAATAGATTTAGACTATTGGTATGGACCGTTATTTGACTTCGGAGCGTATTCAGATCTCCCTTTTCTGTTGTCCACTCGATCTTTTTCCAGTTTTTTACCACATATTTGTTCCAACATCTTAACCCCTGTGATGGGGATGTAGATGGATGAAGAATCACGCTATACTTCTGGACGACTTTATCAAGATGTGTTAAAGTCCGAAGGCAATTCTGAATGACGCGGTCAGCTGTGTTCTGACCGTATAATTCGACCTCTTTTCCTAAGGATTCCAATTTAGAAATCGAACCCCGCCCGAGGTGTCCTTCATCTTGGGCCCTCCTAATCGCTTCTAAAGCGGCACTGAGAGAGTAGAGTTGGTTTTCCACTTCGCAAAACTCGGCGGGGGCAGAGTTGCGACCTTTAGTGAATGCTTGTGCTATCTTCCAAGCAATCTGAGCTAGCAGGACCACATCACCGATAGAAGGCGAAAACGACATTTTCAGTACCCAGGTATTGGTGGTAGAAAATAATCAAATTGGTAGGACTCAAACTGATGCGATTTATCATTGCGCCCGGCTAAAGAGGGGAAATTCCTTTAGAAGCTGTGCCTCTTCGAGATAGGGTCATCTTGACGCGTTACAGTTGCATTGCAGGGCTCAGCCTCCTACTCCTCCACCTACCAAGATCTAGCATGATAAATCAAGGCAGAAACCAATCTGCCTCGTATGCTGTATGCGATGTTATTTATTCCGAGCCACCAACTTCAATTTATTACGTTGAGGGTTCTTCACCTTAGCGTCCACCCATAGCTATTCGTATCATCATGACTCTTCTTGGCGCAGGTATTGTCTGGGATGTACGGGAGCCGCCACCATCGGATCTAGAAGACGTAGATATACGTTCTTACTTATACAATTATACACATCCAGATCCTCAGAGAGTCCCTCAAGAATCCCCAAATACCCCAGAAAGGACCATTCGACATGTATTGCCTCCTTCATCAATATCGATTAATGGACGTATTCTAGACGATACCGCGAAAACAACGGTATCGCAAGTATTTTGGAATCATGCCGATACCCCAATACGCCAAGCATCCTATGTGTTCCCATTGACGAGCGGCTGCACAGTCACCAGCTTCAAATGTCGAGTTGGTCGGGATAGTATTCTAACAGCTAAGGTCCACCCTAGGAAAGAAGCTCAAGAAGCATTCCAGCAGGCAGTCGAGAAGAACCAAGTCGCTGCGCTGCTGGAGCACAATACACCCGAGGTCTTCACAGCCTCCCTTGGTAATATTCCCTCAAATACGAGGATTGAAGCTGAGATAACATACGTTGCGCTATTGAAGCGGCAATTCTCGGACGAGAAAGACGTATGGACATTTACAATTCCTACCGCTATCGCGAATAGATACGGGACTTCTCCCGCTGGTGTCCGCGGGCTGATCACTGAGGATGAGCCTGATACTTTTACTCTACAGCTTGACGTCATAGAAGCTTCCGAAATAGTTGAAATCAAGAGTGAAACCCATAAGATACTAATTGACCGCGGTCCTAATAAGGGGAAAGCCTCGAGTTGGAAAGACCTTTCGGAGGGTAGTCGCGACTCAAGTCCGGAGGTTACCGCCGTCAGGTTGGACCACGGGGGTGAATTCTTAGACTGGGACTTCAAACTTACCATCGAAACTAGCCCCTTGAAAAAGATGAGCCATCCTCATGCATGGATTGAGACGCATCCATCTCTCGAGGGTCAGAAGGCCATGATGCTAGCGATACCTCCTTCGCTCATGCTGAGAAATCGGGAAGCTTCTACAGTTGGAGAAGTTGTCTTCTTTGTTGACAGATCTGGCTCCATGCACGATAAAATTGATTCTGTGAAGTCATCCCTCCTTTTCTTTCTTAAGGGGATCCCTGTCGGCTGGACGTTCAACATTTGGTCATTCGGATCTACCCACAGGCAGCTTTGGGAAGAATCACAGGTCTATAGTTCAGAGTCTCTATCAACGGCACTAGATTATGTCAAAATGTTGAGAGCTGATATGGGAGGGACCGAGCTGCTGAGGGCGCTCGGCGAATTAGTAAGATCTAGAGATCTCTCACGCCCTTGCGACGTGATTATATTGACGGATGGGCAAGTTTGGGGACTTGACAAGACCCTTGCCCTCATTGAGAAAACCAGGACCGTCTCACAAGGCGCGATGAGGTTCTTTTCTTTAGGAATCGGAGATCATGTATCACATGCTCTTGTGCAAGGGATCGCTTCACGGGGTGGAGGTTATTCCGAGATTATCCCAAAAGCGAGTATGGGCGGCTGGGAAGATCGCCTTGTTTCCATGTTGAAAGCGGCCCTTGCAAGCCATATTGGCACTTGGCGGCTCAACTTAAACGGTTGCGAGGTGCAAGATGAGTTTTTAACGTCACCAGCCAATATGCAGACCCTTAATTTGTTTCAGGGGGACCGAATATTTCTGCTTTCCGGGACAGATTCGTCGCTGGAGAGGCTGAATGAAATTTCCGTCGAAACATTGAATGCTCATGGCGGATGGGATTCTACTCCCACTTCGATAACGGCTTTACAGACCCCTGATTCCACAATTCACAGTCTTGCCGTTCGGGCTATTCTTGATGATTTCGAATTTCCTTCCAGGGGTAGCGTGGGTTCCAGCTCCAACACGACGCCCAAGCTTACCGAAGCCCGAGCTGAGGAACTTGCCTGTCGATTCTCTCTAGCATCGAAATGGACAAGTTTCTTCTTAAAGAAGGAAGAGCCAGAGTCCGAAGAAGATGGCTGGCCAAAATATGCCAGCCTTCCTGTCCGACATCCTGTCGATGATCTAGACTTGCTTCAACCACGCGGTACAACGAGAGATAGAAAAAAGAAACGTATTATAAACGAACCAAACAATAATAGTAGCGCTGAGACAGTGAAGGACCAATTCGTATGCTTCGATTTTATGGGTGAAGACACCACTCCGGTGATGCCGCCGCGGCCCCTGCGCGACGAAAACCCTAACCCGAGCGTGACTCCATATCGAAATTTATCTAGGGGAGAAATAGACTCTTTTCAGAGCTCAGCGAGCAGCTTCTCATCGAAGCAACAGGGTCAATCGCCTATGGACGAATCTTTAGCTTCAGGCGGTTCGATGGATGATTTCAACCGATTGATGGCGGGTAGAGAGCGAACCCTTCAGAGACCACCAGAAACCAGTCAGTCGTTATCCCATACCAAGACCATTAAATATGTGACATCCCGACGGTCTTACTATAATACAATCTCAGAGGATACGACCATGTTCGAGCCCGAGTTTGCGCCGACTACTTTTGTTGAACCGCAATCGGATTCAACTCAACTTAGACAGACCCCTATGGTACCACGTTCGTCAAAGAAATTCGTAGCCGATATTCTCACATATCAAAACTTCGATGGGAGTTTCGAGATTGACGTATGCTCAATATTAGGGCCTCTCCTTATGGACGCGGCTCAAGAAATAGAGGCACATATATCAAAGAACGAACTAGCTCCGACTCGACCAGTCGATGTCCTTGCCCGCACAATCGTTATTGTGCTACTATTTGAGCGTGACCTTCAAGAATACAAGGACCTTTGGGATCTCATGATAATGAAATCCTACGCTTACCTTTGGGGCCAAATTTCCGATCAAGCTAAGAAATCCGAGCTTCTAGAATTTGCAAAAGCGAAGCTCGTCGGAAAGGAGTTGCCTCTATCGAAAGTTGATCGGAATCAAATGGCAGAAAGCATTCAGAACCCCAACCCTAAGAGTCATCCAGAGAGAAGTATGATTCGGGTTGCCCCGAGAGACTAGAATAATGAAGTACTGTATTGAATGAAAGGAGGAAAGGCATGATGCTAGGATGCTCTCTATACGTGGGATATTTACGACAACCAGAAGGAAGTTCGCCTGTTTCGTAATCGATCACTATTATTTCCTAAGCACTGGAAGAAATTAGATTCATTCCTTATCCATGAGACGTTATGAGATGGTTTATAATAAATAGAGTGATTTCCGTACACCTCCTTATACCCACCCAGGACCCTAACCCCTATCCCCCCACCCGCCGAAGCCGACACAAAATCGCCAATCCAAATAAGAATCACTCTATACTAACTACCCAGGTAGGTAATAAGCCGCCCGTCAGATTTGCTTAGTTGGAACCATTAGTTTGGCCCTCCCTCTCCTTAAGCGCTTCGCGCACCCTTGGTAGGATCCATCGCCCATAATCAATCGCATCATTCAAGTTATCGTATCCACGGATAGAGATCAACTCAGCACCAATATCAACGTAATCAAGCAGGGAATCAACAATCGTCTGAATGGATCCCACCAACGCAGTCGAAGCGCCCCTCGCATTCGTCGCCGTCACAGTAGGATACCACAGCGCGCGATCCTGAACCTCACCCTTCTTCGCAATCTCAAGCAATCTCTGAGACCCCACATTCTGAGGCGTGGTGGTATCAGTCCGATACCTGCCCCTGCTATCAGTTTTCTTATCCTTTAGCACATCGAGAATATGATGCGCCTTCGCCCACGCCAACTCTTCCGTCTCGGCCACAATCGGTCGGAACGTAACCCAAATACGCGGACGGTCTCCGGGGGCTCGTCCCGCCTTCTCGGCCTCGGCGTAGATCCGGCTGATCTGCTCCTTGGTCTCCTTGAGCGGCTCGCCCCACAAGCCGAAAATATCGGCTAGACTGCCGCCAACCCTGTATGCATCGTCGGATGATCCACCGACTGAAACTGGAATGCTGGTTCCATTGACCGGTCGCACGCGATTGCTGAATTGCTTGAATTGGTAGTATTTACCGTCCCAATCAAAGGGGTCTGCGGATTGCCAGGCTCGCTTTAGAATTTTGATGTATTCTTCGAGGCGGGCGTAGCGTTCTTCCTTGTTTAGGAAATCGCCCTCCCTTGCTTGCTCGACGTCATTACCACCAGCGATGAAGTGCACTACAGCGCGACCCCGACTGAGCTGGTCTAAGGTAGCGAGCGCCTTGGCTGCTACTGTGGGATATAATGTGTTCGGACGAAGCGCAATGATAATCTTCAATTTCTTGGTAGCTGCAGCGATAGTAGCTCCAACGGTAAAGGGGTCAAAGTACGATGAATCGTACGGCACAAGGGTATAATTGAATTCATAATCATCTAGGTTCCGGGCATACCGAGCAAGATAGTCCGGGTCAATCCCCGGGTTCGGGATCGGGTTGAGCTCCGTAGAGGCATTCGGAAATGTCAAACTAATGAATTCAGTAGGCATTTTGATGATCGTTTCCAGTTATTACAGTTTCTAGATTATATGTTTCGGTTTCAGAAGCTTCTAAGTACATGATGGAGTGTTTTATACGGATGTCCCGGTATAGTAACCCCCCAATGGCGACAACCCCTCGAGAATCACGCAATAGCTCTAGGCCGGTGCCGGCCAATTACTCTACCATTATCAACCCCAAATTCATATACAATCAGTATAAAGAGCTCCCTATCGTTCGGTTTAATAATTTATAATCATATGACTTGGCTGATACTTTTGGGTAAGGGTAATTGATCCTGAGTCGATGGATTTTACAACCACAAGGGTCAATATGATTCTAATTGGTAATGGGATTTGTTCATTATATGCAACCCATTACCCTAACTGATGAAATACTATGATTACAGCCCAGCTATACTCAAGAATTAGCAAAGTTGTCTACGTTCAATTCAAAAGGGGGTACGTACCTCTGTACCCCCACGGGTGGACAGGAGGTAATACAAAATGAAGTCAAGATATATATAAGATATGATTAGCATAATCAAAGTCTTTATATCTCATCTCTTAGGTATATAATATTATAGAGCGCCACAATTGTGAACGACAGAGAACTGATTAACTACCTAGGTACCTACCCAGAGAGTGAAGCGATGACGCACGCTTCTAGCTAGTAGATATTTAGAGCCTCTTTTCCCCTTTTCTGGCCAGATACTCGGGTGAGGTTTTTCATCGCCTCAAGAAGCGAGTCATGAAGTTCAACCTATTCACCCCACACAGAGATCTAAACTACCATCGGCTCCACGCTTAACTATTATAGCAACATTTAGCTGTGGTGAGCATAGGGGAGAAGGTGGAGAGTGAAAATAGCGTACGACCCGGCGTTGGTTGGCTTGAAAATGAGCCGCGCGCTCGGGTCCGAGACCTATTGAGGAATAGTCTATCTAGATAGCAAGAATAGGCACACTTCATCAGGAAACGTCACCTCCGGCCTGCCGCGTGTCAATGCGGTTATACTTTCCTCCTGTAATTGTTTCGTAGATCTACAGAAAGCCACAGAACAGTCCGGAAGGAGAAACAGTAACAACGAGTTATACGGGTATCCATCGGGAATGAACAAGTTCATTCCATAATATCACTCATTTTGAACCGGCGAGTATGCCTTGATACGGTTAATACTTCGTCAGGGCCGACCCGAATGTGGGTTCCTGTGGGCTACGGGGCAAATCTGCGGCGGCAATAACGGATATCCGTATCAAGATTCGATATGATTAAAATATTCCAGAAGATAGACAGAATTTACATGTAGAAAGTAACTTCATTTTTAGTAAGGGGGGGATGAAACCTATGTTACACAACGAAGATCTGCATCGGAATAACCACCGATCTAACAATACCCATGTAGTTTCTAGAATAAATCTCGTGTATTCACGATCCGGCATTGTAATCAAGTAAAAATGTAGTAAAACTAGCCTGGGCGTCCGAATTAGGTTTTTGTCTCGGTGTTATCGGTCCATGTAGGGTTTTCCAGGGATTCAATATTGACAGAAGCTTCGTGTGGTAGATCTCGATGTTATCTTCTTACTAGTTCGTATTCTCGGAATTCTATTGAGTTTATTCCTACTTCCCAATTGAAGCAAGGTTGAGATGCCAATCAATTTGTGCGAGGTAGATCGCTCAGGATATATCTACCTAGGTGAGGCATCGAGTAGTAGTAGGCCAGAACACGCCCACCACCAAAGAAATTCGGGGGAGAATCGAATAGGACATAGCACTCGCATATAGCAGGGCTTGAATAGCACCTTCTGATAACGAACTCTACAGTATATCCGGCTACATGGGACCGAATTCTTAGCTTTCAAATGCACTCTTAAGTTACTCCTCGCAGCACTTGCCAAGCCACCAGCTTATTTAGGAAGTTTTCGAAATACATATCACCAAAGTAGATGCATACTGAACTCAAAAGTTAGTGCGGATCGTCATAAATGGTAATAATCTGTGCATTCTGACAAGCAGATTTGCTAAAGGATGAAAGGGTCCGCCACATGAGGCTATCACCAGGACCAGGTGACTTGCCCAAGTTAGCCAAGTGGCGATATCAACTAGAGCTAATCCACGAAGCTAAAGAGCTACCTACATTAGAGCCCGCGCTCTAAAATAACTCGAATAGTCTTCTTTCCCCCAATGGTTGTTACTGCATTCGGTTCGCAGCTCGGCATCGGTTCAAAACTAGCCATTACGCCTCAATACAAGCCTCTCGGCATAAATTTTAATTACATAGGTAGGTAATGATACGATTTTCTATCTGCTGGGCCCTTCTAGTTAGAGTCCTCAATTGAGGGGCTTCTCTAGGTTAGGGTGTTGCTGACGTATGACAAGCACACCGGACGACAATAGTGGCAGAAAAACATGATCGTCAGGAACAAGTTAGCCGCTGGGCAAAGCGGAACATTGATTAAGCGCGATAATCCAGTAGAAGATCGTGGAGTAGAGCTTATATCTCGTGTAAGTGTAGATTAATTCGAAGTTTATGTAGGTATGCGTAGTCCAAGGGGTTGAAGCCACTACGATATCCTGGTATTGCCCGGTACGGCAGGTCACAACCTAGGGGCCTTTTGACAGTCGTTTTTGTCTGACGTAACGTTGTCAAGCCCTGCGCAAATGGACGTGCCAAATTTATGTTCAGGCGTCTAGGATTGGAGGCAGCGGAAGACAGGGGCAGGGGGTAGGTGGCACGGGTGTGAACCGGGGAGTAAATGAAGGGTCCGGTCTAACAAGCTTCTTACAGAGTAGCCAACTCATGTTCACATGCGGCAAAGCATAGTAAAACCGCAAGATAGAATTTTAGAACATGAAGGATACCCATGGCCCACATGTTTTAGTACTGAGCTGCTGTTTTCGGGCGTTTCCTTCACCAGCAACGCTTCCCACCATAGGATGAAAAAATCGCCCCGAAAATAAGCGTGGAGGAACGAAGGGGATATTGGGGTGGTACTAAACAAGAAGATTGAATATTTCGCCCGTAGTTTGTGACGAATACAAAGCAAATCGGCGCTGCGGCCGCTTTAGGGGCTATCCTACGAACTAGCTTTAGTGCGCCGGCGTTAGCTATGGATAGTCCCTCGAGGATTGTCGGTAACTGACTCGCGTCTTGCATGATGCTTTGCTTTCTACACGAAAATGCACGTATTCCCACGATGCACATCGAGGGCGATGATCGTTGCCAAGAAAAAAATTGCTTGCCAGTGTAGGCAACTCATGTCAAATCCGGTTAGGGTGGTATCCCCGTTTCGAAACGTCTGCTGGGGTGGCCGGCGCAGGTCCGGCGAGACGTCACCGCCGATGGAGCTCTATACAATGGCAAGGGGTTATATAAAGAGCCTCAAGATGGCCCCCTTGAGGATTAATCACCAGCCTCGAGCACCACTTCACACACATCCTTGAGCAAATCTTCCATTGAGGGCATTCCCATACCTACTTAGGTACTTCAGCCTCACATCAGTCCTCCGGGACCTTAACCATCATCACAATGGTCGCCCTCCAACCCCACGCCCTGGCCACGGCCATCCTAGCCGCATTCTCCTCCTTCATGCCCAAAACCACCATGGCGCAAACCACCAATCCAAACTGCCACTGCTACCTAACCAACGCCTCAACACCCAAATACTTCGCGCACACCAAATTCTTCGATTTCCGCAACATCGCCAACCCGCGGGTCCCAGCACCCATCGACAACCGGGCCAACGCGCAAAACGCACCCGTGACAAACGCCTACTTCAACAGCACGGCCTTCACCAACACTTGGTCGATCCAGAACTGGGTCGGCGGATCCGATGACGCCACCGTGTACCAGACGTACTCGAAGAACGACGTATACATCCAATCGAACACAGACGCGAACCCGAGTTCCAAGACGTACCTCTCGCTGCGCACGTATAGACACCCAGCGGGTAACTTCCAGTCCTCGGCTGAGATCCAGAGTATCTCGCCGAATTACCAGTTCCTGTCTATGCGCATGTACGCGCGAACCCAAGGCTCGCCTGGTGCTGTGACGGCTATGTTTACGTATCGGGGCGGCAACACGGACGCCGATGTGCAGGAAGCTGACCTGGAGATCCTCACGAAAGAGGCGAATAACCAGGTCCACTACACCAACCAACCGTCCACAGTCGGCGGTGTCTCGCGGCCGAACGCCACGGAGCAAATCACGATCCCCGGTACTTGGTCGGCGTGGCGCACGCACCGATACGACTGGACCCCCGGTTCTAGCGATTGGTATGTTGATGGTGCCCATGTTGGATCGATTCAATACCAGACACCCCGTGACCCGGCTACCGTACTATTCAACACTTGGTCCGATGGTGGGAGCTGGAGCGGTGTGATGAAGAGCGGACAGAGCGCAGTCATGCAAATCCAATGGATCGAACTCATCTACAACAACACTGCCGAGCCCACGGCCTTTGCCCACTGCGCCAATGTGTGCAGTTTCGACCGCGGCTCCCAGCCCGGTGTGCCCGTTCTGATTAGCTCTGGCCCCTGAGTAGATGGATCTAAACGTCTTTTTCATCTCTAGACTCGATTGGTTCTAGATTCTAGTACATATTTTTGGTGTATTATTGCTCACATGTTTGATTATTGTTGGAAAAAATTGTGTACTTCATGTAGCATAGTTGATCTTCGTTTGTAAATAGTGTTCAGTACTATACACCCATTAGCATGAAACAAGTAATAAACATATCTGCTATATTCATCCCGATAAGCTCGTTAGTGATATCAACGTCCAGTAGGAGATGAACGAAAGGGCGCTCGAGGTGGAAACTCGTGAACAAATAGGGGGAAATTAAGGGATGAGACCTGATTCTTTGCGAATTGGCCCCCATGAAGACTTAGGCACAGGCACATTTCATTCCATCACTCGAGGGGTGCAGACCGAATCATAGCACACCGGTCTTCGAAAGTGTTCCATCAGGGTCGAGGGGAATCAACCATATCGAGTGGATAGTACCATTTAACCTTGATGGCCGGTAACACAGGTTTAACGGGGCCAACCTCAAATACAAAAGGTCGCAGGTCTACCGTGACTTCGAAGACTCGAGTACCTAGGTATCCTGAGAATTGTCAGTAAAGCATATAGCAGACAGGCCACCATACCTCTTACTACAAGTTACGCACACACAGCGATAAACACAGTGGTGGATGACATTAATCAGATTCAATTGCTTGCTTGTTCACTACATCGCATCACATTCTCCCCAATACCATCCATCCATCCATCAACCACCCAGCCTCGCAAAATGCCCCTACTTTTCCGACGACAGTATCCCGGCCCAGCAAACCCAGCAACCATTCGCAATGCAAGAGATCCAGAAACGACGACTTTTTTTGGGCCGCCCTAACAAATGCAAAGGAGATGACCTCTAGATGGGGGTATCCGAGATGAGAGGGTATGAAAAGAGTATGAGAAGAGAATACAAAAAGAAACGTTGAACATAAAAATGTCGAATATCCTCGCCAAGACATCCCTTACATATATACTATGTAGTCGTCCATGTCCAAGGGATATATATACCTATAAGATGGTGTTTTCATAGATCCGGTTAGTCGTCAGATTTCGTGCCTATGGCGTGACCTTGCCTCATCCCAGTCTTTTCTATTCCTACTTCATTCGCCAATCCCCTTCTACCATTACACCTAAAACAGCAAAAAAAGAAAAAGGGAAGGAAACCGCCATATGCTAGCCTTCTCAGCTCAACTCAGTCGCCCATAGAAGCCATTCCGGCCATTGGAGCAAATGTGTCATAATCCTCGTCGCTACTGTCGATTTGACTCTCCGGACTTTGGATGTTGCTGATATCGGCGCTGCCCATACCGCTACTATGCGGCTCTCCTATAGTATTCAGGCCCATAGAGAGTATACTCGAACGTCGGCCAGCCTCAAACTCAACGGCGCTTCCGCTACGGCTTAGTTCTGGTTTTTCGGGGAGTTGCTTCAATAGCCCGGTTGATATATCGAGCATACCCATTGCAAAATCGGTCAGACCTTTGGATTCACCGGGCTTGCTACTAACACTTAAAGTCCACCGGTATTCTCCAAGTCTTCGTCGGTACCAGTCAGCCTCTTCACGGCCTGGTGAGGTAGCCCACAAAAGAGATCCAAAGGTGCCTATTAAAGCAAAATTGGTCTTGGAGGCAAAGTACCAAAAGGATCGGAGGTGTTGAGGAGTTAAACGGTTAACAAAATCCATGGCGGATATCAAACGGGCTTTTGCGGCGCTGCGACAAATATGTTGGATATAAGGGTCAACGGCCTGCGATTCGGTCTCAAGGGATCGAATGATTCGGCGGTGTAAAGTGATCTCGGTCGCGAAGTAACCTAGGTGCAAATACCCAATACTCGACAAACGGGTAGACGTAACGACGCCGGATTGAAAGGAAGAATCCATACGGATCACAGCTGGAAGTGCGGCGTACCATTCTTTCAACTTAAGCTGTATCGGTTTAGCCATCCCCAATACAATGTGGGTGCCTTGCTGTCCAGCGTTGCTAACATTCTGCATGGCCTCGAGGGTGTAAAAAGTTTCGAGAATCTCGGCTAGAACCTGCGTAAGATAGATCATTTGTACGAACAATGTCCGGCCCCGTTCGATATCCATCTTCTCTTCTGGATTCTGTTCATCTAATTCGGTCTCCGGGAAATCATTAGGTGTTAAGGGCTGCACAACCCAGTTAGAGCTAAAAATATGTGACGGTCGCCCATGAACAAGAGCCCCCCATTTATCTTGCATGTACAAAGCCCAAGCCAACCTCTTCCTTAATCCCTTTTCCCAAGGCGGGATCTTCCAATGCGTACAGTCTAGGTGCAGACCAAGCTCTTGCGCAATCGCTACTAGTTGTGCAGTCGGGGCCCATTGATCTCCTTCGGGTCTTTGCGAAAGCAAAAGTCCAGCCTGCACGGTAGACAATTTCGGACGCCACATGGCCTCAGCTAGCGACGATCGTATTAATCTCTCCAGTTCTCTGACGTTTGGTCGCTGGGATTTGGATAATTCCTCAGAATAGTCCCACCAGTTAATGGCGAGGATGTAGACGGCCGCCAATAGCGGCGGCGAAAACTCCCGATAGTTTCGATCGTATTTTTCGTAGAAGACATTCTTTTGAAGAATTGGGAAGGCAGGGTGTACAACTTCGAAATAGAGATCGATTAATTGGCGGCCAAAAGGCGCTACAAGCCGTTGGATTTCGTCGACATCGTTGTACTGATGATCGTAGCCAGGAGTGTTGCTATCGGGCAGCAACAAAAACGTATCATTGTCGCTGACTTTTCTTAAAGTACCTCGCGCGAGTAAACTTTCATCTTGCGGATCGAAGGGGGAAAGATTGATGAGGGATGGTTCGAAGTCAGTGGTAGGGCCGATGTATTGACTATACCGATCTTCCTGAAGGCCGAGGGTGCGTTTGAGCAAAGTTGGACCGCCAAAATTAGCCATCTCCTCGACTAAAGAAGTGCTAGCAGTTGTACTTGACAAGCTGGCCTGACGTTGCCGCCTTATTCTGTTATCAGACCTGCCAGGCGAGCTACATTGACCAATGGTACGTCAGCGATTTTTTTCTTTGCAAGTGTCGGTTGACCATGCTGCAAGGTGATAACGTAAGGATGGGGGTCAACGAATAAAAAAGTATCGGTGAGCACTCACCCTCTCTTCCCGTTGCTCTCTTCGGTCGAGTCACGCGCTAACTTTCTTTTACGAGGCTGAGGGCTCTGATTTAAAGAACACGGAATCCCACGGACTTGGCACGATATACAACTTTCGTCTTCTTCTCCAATAATACACTTGATCCGTCTTCTCTGGCAGGATTCACAAGGTGTTCCGCCACCACTTACAGCAGAGTCTGAGTCCGTGGAATCATTACTGTTCATGCTATTATTGAAAGAGGCGTTGTGGCTATGCTGGCGACTAGAAAATATTTGGGATGGTTTCGGAGCAATAGCAATTGGAGCCGTCCTAGGAACGGTGTGAAAGCTGGACATGATGACTGAAAATCTTATCCCGGGGATCTTAGGTGGCCTACACCCAAGACCGCTATCTCTCTTCCTGCGAAGCGCTGAGGTTGGTTCACGCCGTATCCCTATCGGGGGCCCGCTTAGTTGTCAAATGACGGGCCAACCCTAGAACCCGGGCTACAAAGGTGATGTAATGGCGTGTTGCCGGATCCAAGAGGAGACGATGGGGTAAACCGAATGGGAAGCCCAGGATAGCTCCTGAAGAGACAGGGTCCGCTGCCGCAGTACGACCTCAAATCGTAGCAAGTGACGCTGATCTCTGCAGCTTCCGTTACCTCTAGGCACTCCCTAAGGGGGGGGGTGCGTGTGCTTTCGATAAGGGAAGGGTAGGGGAGATAAGGCTGTTTAATATTAAAGGGTGTTAGGTGGCGCGGGGAGGCGTCAAACCCACGCGAGTTCCCGCGTGCCCTTTCACCAGTCCGGTCTGGCGGGATCTTGTTTTATCGAAATTGACGACCCGGGGAATCAGAGATCAGAGATAGCGCAATGCTGGGTCCCCGCTGGTTTCTGGTAAATAACCGTTGGATACAGGCCGCATGCAGAAACCAAATGGCGCATGCGCTCGTGATTTCTTCCGGTCAAGGGGACGAAGGGGGGGTGTGCGGCCTAGAATCGCATAAAGATGGCGCGCGATAGGTCCAAGCTAATGTTAATAATATGATATGATTTGTTCTCCGGTTTCCAACGCCGAGAAGATAGGCGTATGTACGTATGTAATGTGAGTAAGTAATGTAAGTCAATAATAATAAGTATGTAGATAGATATGTACTAGGTAATGACCGAAGCGAGTATAAGATAAGCCTGGCTTATCTTCGTCATTGAAGTACCAGTTAACGATGTCTGATAGGGGATATCTACAAAAGATGTTGGAGGAGAGTAATAAAGCTCATATGTATAAAGTAAGATACAATAAGATAGGTGCCGAGTTCAGGTTAAGTGACTAGGTAAGGTAGTAAGGTAAGGGTATGGGGGACTTGGGATTCGAGGCGTGATGACGATAAGCTGGGTAGGGCGGGTCAGACAAGGTTATGTTGTATGTATATGTAGGTGTATAATGTGTCGAATAGAATACTTCTTCGATTAATTGTGTAATAGTAATGATTTTTTTTTTCTCGTTCTTGGTTTTCTTCGTATTTTCTTCTTTTTTTTTTCTCTCCCTTCTTCCTATTTTTAATTTTCTTCTAATAGAACGACACCAATAGGAATCGCCTATTTTTTGTCCAACTTCTTTACCGCTAGTATTCGACTATATTAATCAACAGTTGTACAAAAGAATAAAAAAAAAAGATATCCGCAATGATGTTATGAAGGTACCAATGTACAGATGTACATATCAAAGTGGATTTGGTTATATGTATTGTAATTGGATATGTTATGTTATTCTCAACTGGTTAATATGTAAAAGCCGGGGGGAGAAAGAGGAACGAAACCTGAGACTATGGTTGAAGAAATCAAATGACATGTCATTTGGCTTGGGAACGGAAACCCAAATGAGCGAATTATAATGGAGCAATTGATAACCCAAAGATAATCTTATCTATCAGAAAGAATGACAGAAAATTAATTGTAATAATCAAAGTTTCGGGAAACGCTTCCATGAAGTTAGATCAGAGTATGCACCTTACCCGTGTTGGCTCGTGCCAAGTTCCAGGTACATGGGAAGAACTTTGACCGGTAGAGACAGCCTCAACTAGCAGCGGGGCAGTGGCTAATGGGGTGAGGCGGATTGGAGGCGGATTGCGGAGGAAACAGCGAGCTACAACCAACTACCGTTGCGACAAAGCGCAGGTAGGATCGGTGTCTCGCGTACCATCATTGTACCTAGTACTTATGCAGGCTGATCTAATCTCTGGGTTTAGGTTGAAAAAAATACAAAAAGATACAAATTAGGGGACTCAGGGACAGGCCAAAGCCTGCTTGAAACCACCGCCATTACTAAATAGAAAAGATACCTTTGGTGGAATCTGGCTAGTAGCGCGAATACATTTAACGTAATCGTTCGACTATCCCGAGTGGTTGCAGGGTTCCTTAGGGTTCTTTTTGGGCGAGAAAGACTCCAGTACGCACGCATATGTACTTAAGAAGAAGTGGGACGGGGGGCTTTAGGACGGGACCAGGACGGTTACCAGGACGGGGATGGGACAATTATTACGGAGTAGGTTACAAGAAATGGGAATTTAGGAATGGACAAAAAAAATTGGTCTCGGGTATAGGAAGAGTAGTCCATGTATGTCCATGTACGTCCATAGTAAACCATGTGCGACAAGACGACAAGCTTACCCGACTTTGTCCGGTTCGGAGGCTTGGTACGGTCCATCGTATTTTCGTTCCTACACTAGTCTATACTGTTAAGTTTGTTCGACTTTATTACTATTGTCTTTGCATAGATATTACAAATCAATGGATGTCAGTGTCAGCGTTTGATGCAAATACTTTCTCGATGGTAAGTAAAGTTGGTGCTTTATGCGCAAGATGTTGTAATACGTGTAAATGCAGGTAGATTCCTTGCTAAAGAATAGAATACATTTGTAGTATAAAATAAAAATCAAATCGGTTACTTATCTTTTATTATTTCCAGGTTTGGTTATAAAAGAAGATTAAATTGTGGGACCAGGAACCTTAAGTGGAAAAAGAGGATTAATAAAGGTTATTAATCGATTTATATCATAGATATCAATCTTTCCTCCCCTTTTTACCCCATAACACATGTTAAATTCCCCAGACGAATAATTTCAGTTCTTTTTCCTAACAATGAAGAAATGGACAGTGGTCAGTTTCAGATGACAATAGTTGGTATCATCAAAATACCAAATATAGTACCTAGGTATGTATCATCCTCTTCTCCAATAAAATGTGTAGTACCGAATTCAATGTATCGTGACCATGTACATTTGATGTAAGGTTGGTAAATCAGATGGTACCTCACAGTTATCTCTTCCACTCTTTTTTTTTTTGCTTTTTCTTCTTTTTTTCTTCCCTTCGAACACATCACGAGAAAAAGAGGCCCTCTATCGGCTGCAAGTCAGCAAGCATCGTTCCGGAGGATTCGGTTGCATTATCGGAAGAGCCAATGAACCTATAGTTAGCGTCTCACAAACAGAATGAATTATGTCACCGTCTCGGGCTAATAGGGCATGGCATTTCTTGGGACGTCACCGCATCGTCGGTAAAAGAGAAAAAGGAGAATCCTAGGTACTGATCTACCACGGCAGCCCTGTAACACCACATAAACATACGTAGTATTCCTCTGCCTTTTTCTCTGGTTCCCCCACGATCCGCTATCAGCCACCATCTATCTCCCGCCTATGATCTTTCTCCCCGCCTGCCAACCCAGTTCAACCCGGTCTGCCCAGCGTGCGATCCCGCTGTGGCTTAAGACATACAAAAAAACCCAACACAGATTTGCTTCTTCAATTCTGATCCCTGTCGTAACCGGTTCGACGGCCGGGGTAGGGTTAACTTGACATGCGACACTGATGCCCAAAAGAGCTGCCTGCTCCATTTCCTTGCATCGCCATTCAAAATACCGGACAGCGCTGCACCGTCTCGTGATGCGCCGTTACGATGTACATATGTACACTACCTAGGTAGGTATGTAGGTATGACTTACCTTGGTGAATAAGACGCCTGTCTTCGGACTTTATCCTGAGCCCATGCCCGGGAAAACCGTCTTGGCGCTCAGGTACGGATGCTTGTGGAGTTGTCGGCTTAAGAAAAGCCTCACATCCGATGAACGAAGCGAAGAATCATTCCGTGCAGGCTGACAAGTACATCGAACCAAAAAAAAAAAAAGAGGCTCGCATCTCGTAAGCTACGAACTTGGCACAAGACCAAGACCCTATAGGAACGTCCACCGGTCCAAGGTTGCCGCATGGATAACGACAACCTGCTACATAGGTCTAGGTAGGTTAGGTAAAGTTCTTACAACACCCTTTTACCACTTTATTACCAATATGGCCACCGTCGAACCACGACCGAACTTTGGTGGTCATGTTCGTGGGGTGCATATCAACGTCGGTCGATGCCGACCTATAAGATTCCAACAAACCAACTCCAAGTCATCGGACATCAGCACGCCAATCTCTTCAACAGAAGCGACTAATGCCGTTGTCTACAAAGAGATGACGGGAACCATCTCTTGGGCTTCTTGGCTTCCACTCATCTTCCTCGGCAATCAGACGTTACCACAACGAGATCATTTACAACCCTAAGCAATTACACACATCTACATATAATATTATGAATTGCGACAAGCATGTTTCCTTGGCCGGTCACACTTTTCCGCGGTAGGTAATTGAAAAAATAACGCTTCAGACTTCATTTTAGTGCTTATATTCACGAAATTATCATTGTCAATCCGAATGGGAAATATATTGCTTATGTAATCATATTGACACAACCATCTCTAGGAAAATCGAAGCGGAAAAGAGCCTCATAATTTACCTTAGGTAGGCAGGTACGGGCTAAGGAATTCCTATACACTTGACAGCTCGAAAGTTTATTAGATTTTGTCTTCCGTAATATACCTAATCGACGATACCTCATATATGAAGTCGTCCAAGTAACACATCTAGCCTACTTGATTAACTTGATAGCAACATGGAAAACCAATGACAATGTTTCCCATGGAATGAGTTCCTATGTATCAAGCCAATTCAATAAGAGATAACAAATAGTTGGAAAAGCATCATCATTGCAGCAGATTCTTCGCAATTAGTTTCATAATACGATTTTAAGCCCCTCGTTACTAACACGGGTAGCTAGTTCTCTCAACATACCTGGGTATCCACGGTTTTCTTGTATTTCCTGGGTTTGATGAGTTTCTGGAATAACCACAGTGGGGGGATTGTGCACTGTTATGAGGATCGGGTATATCCAAAACTCCGAACGAGAGTTCTATCAGTATCCTAGATTAACCCGTGAATTATGTCCCCTCAGCTACAATGTTCTCCTTTGTTCGTCTACATATTACCTAGTCTAGGTTATTTCAACGTCTAGACATTCTCCTCCGAACGATAGGGGGTATTTACTATCGGCGCATACTTCGTCATCAGAAGGCGAGCCCTAAATTGATACCGAGTTCAGATCTAGACTCGTAACTCTAAAGGTATTTCGTTCCATTGTTGACATGCCCCTTACTACGGTAGTTCGGATGGTTGGGGACCATTGTCTGCCCTGTAGATAAATCTATGATTTGATACTACCTAAGGAAGTACAACTACCAAAGTCGAGCGGTCCTGCGCGATGAGGACTTGTAGGGTTTAGCCATGAAGAGTATCGAACTCTATCTTCAACAATCTCAATGACACATAACAGTAGAGTTCAAGAAGGTACGTAAGATGCAGTAATGTTAGTAAACAAGCTATCGTTCCCTCCCATCAAGCGCGTTGCTGGTGGACTGCCAGAGAACCTTGTAGGAACTTTTCTACCTACATGAGATGGACCATTCCACCATTAGAATAATAAAATAGCTTCAATACCATTAATATTCTATATCAACCATCTTAGATGGGTCAGTAAATAGAAGACATACGACAGACATATCAGGAGTCAAACCCGAACCATTATTTAACCGCCGACCCAACACCTCTCATATTGCAGCAGGACAACCAAGCATCCCCACAACACCACATCACCAGCATAAAGCCCTTTCCTCCCAATCAGTCAATCAACAAAAGATGACCAGCCTCCAAGTACAGCCGCGAGCCATCGACCAGCAGGACCTCCGCCATGTAGTCTGGGGTCTCTTCCTCGCAGTCCTGCACCTAATCCTCATCTGGCGCCTCTATACCTGCCCAATATATCCCAACGATTATTCCGAAATGCCAGAGGAATTCAATTTCATATTCATGGTCAGCACCGGGCTAGTCCTAAACGTAATCGTGACACTCGGCGGCACAGCCCGGGACACATGCCGGCCGCTAGCCGGATTCATAGCCTTCGTGCTCTGGATTGGCCTTAAGCCGCGGCGTCCACCTCACCGGGAGACACCTCACAGGGAGAGGCGGAGAAGAGATGGGGTCAATTTTGCCGTGAAATTGGCCAAGGCCGCCATCGTGTTTTGGACTGGATTCTTAATCGAGTGGAGGATGGGGTATTGCTATAAAATTGCCGAGGCTACTGCGTACTACGTCTACGCCGACCGATACGGTCTTCTGAGATAAACGTTACGACAACGTACAGATCGATTGGCGCAGAGCTTCCCCCCCTTCCCCCATGCGATCACAAGACATAACGGCTCGGGACGGAACAGGATGGAACGGAGGCGCATCGTTTGTAAGCGCGGTACCGTAACCACCGCGTCTATCGCTACGTCATCGGGCAGTCGGGCAGAAGAGAGATGCATGTACATGATAGTTTGGATCCCAGCGTTTGGTTTCCCCTTGCTTGGCTTTGATCCCGTGGTATATTGCTTCGGTGAAAAATAGGGGACAAGCATGTAGCGACACGAATCCTAATTCTTGTTTATACCAATAGTGTTGACAACTTTAAGTTAGCGGAATAGAAATTCCAAAATATCGTAAATCTCGCTATGGAAATTCTATGCTAACAGCGCTGTGTTCGGCATTGAGATACGCCCTGAGGCCGCAAGGCCATGATTGGCACGTGTGATGTAACCGACTTGGAGACATCAAGGACTGTGCTCAACTTATTTTGTCTAATGCGAAGGACTTCGTGTAAAAAAACATTACCAATTATAACTCACTTCGGCCGTATAGTACCGTTTATATGCGTAAATAGCCCCCTCGGGTTACCAACCGACTCGAACCATGCTCCGATCAAAACGCCTCCCAATGATTCCTCATCATTCCTAGTCCTGGCTCGCACTAAGGTCCATGTTCTTATCCCAGAGATTTCGTAGGATCGCGGCGACACCATCGTCTGCTCCATCTGCGTAGCTAGATCCACTTATGCGATCATGTAGCCTTTCCTCTTCGACACCTTCAAAACTAGAATTTGCCCCGTTTAATCGTATCGATGTCCCTTGCCGCGGCGTCGTAGGCCTTGACTTCGCCTTGTCTGTATTACCTTGGTTTGGTCCAAGACGACCTGCGCTACCTAGGGTGGACGCCCTCTTTCCATTCGCCGTTCCGTTACTTCCGTTCTGGGTAGGTATGTGCTGGTTTTTGTTTGCGCCGGGGAGATGCGATAGTCTCGCTATTGAACGGGCTATGGGGTTTTGGTATCGCCTAACTACAAGGTACTCCATACCGGTACGCTCGAGAAGCTTCCCTATCCGAGGGTCTCGATTGTCATAACCACCGACTAACGGACTCACGCCCACAACGCCGACGGCACCGACCGGTTGAGTTGGCTCGATGGTTGAGCTTGCGCGTTGGAGGTTCAGTTTCTGTTGTGTCCGCGACTTCTCCGCCGGCGCAGCTTTATAAACAGACTTTTTCGTACGGGGAGCGAGAGCGCTGTCACTCTCATCGTCGCTTATCGACGTTCGGTGGGTTTGATTCAGGTTACTAAGCGACTGGGGGCGTCGTATACTCTCGGATCGGGTCCCCGGTGCTCGCACTGCTGTATAGAATGATCCACTCTCGACGTTAGGACCAGAGCCGGGGCCGGAACCATTCATGAAGCGAGATGTGAGCTCTTCCTGCCCACTACCAACTATTGCAGCATTCTTGGGCGTCCCATATAGGCTCGGCGGGCCTCGACTCGCTTGTGACTCGGGCGAGCCCGAATGATGACGTACCGACACGGTCTCGGCGGACATTTGGGGCGGTGCGCTGGAGGAAGGTGTACGTTGGAGTAATCGCGATGTTATGTATTGATTGTGTTGAGCCGTTTTGTGGTTGGGCGAGGTTTCTCGTTTACGAGGTGAGGGTGATTCGCGAGGAGTCTGCGGTCGCGAATTCTCGCGACTATGCGCTTTTCCTGAAGATTGTTCGCTGCTGACGGCAGAGCCGCGCCTGGATAAATACGGGGAAGCGGATGCGCTCGCGTCAACCCACTCGTCTTCTTGATCGCTACCAAGATCGAAATGAACTTGGCCTTTTGCGCCTTTTAATTTGCTTACTTCTTTATTGGAGGAGGATCGCTTGAGATTTGTTGCAGATTTCGGTCGCTTTCCTATTTCGGCGTGTGATCGATTGCGCTTTAAACTCGACTGCGAAGAATTCTTCTTGAGGTTAGAGGAGGAAGAATCGCGTTGCAGCTTGGCATCGGAAGGAGTGCGGCGGTGTGATTGAGTAGCGGTGGGTTGGCGCTCGGGAGAAGGTGAAGGAGGTCGTCGTGCCAGCTTAGTGGTGGATGAAGCGTGGTGTTTGTGTAAGCCTTTGGAGGAGGGTACGCGAGCGTGGTGACGTCCAGTGGCCCCTACAACGTGTTTCTGTGGTTTGGTTCGGTGGTACTGTTGGTGGGATGTGTGGTCGCTAACTTGAGAGTCGCTGTCATGACGGTTCACGGCCGGTCGTTTTGATTGGGCGGCATTTGCGGTGGAATTGTCGCCTTCCTTAGCCATAATACCATATAATTTGCTTATTCACACCTATTACAAGAATCCGTCTGTCAGCCAAAACAATTCAGCTGGCCCGAGTGGGCGTGGGCGTCGGTGTACAAACCACACGGCTGGCTGGCTGGGTGAGGGGAGGGGTGTCCCCGGGGATAAGGTCTCGGGGGTCTGAATTTTTGGGGAAGGATGATTTGACGGACAGGCGAGTGAGTGAATAAAGGTTGGATAACTGTGGCGTGGTATGCGTAGTATGTGTGGTATGTAGCATGTAAAGGTAGGTATCGTCCTGTAGAATCCTGGAGGTGTTGTACTTACAATACTACACAAGAAAAGTACTGGTACTGTATGACCTGACCGACCAAAAAAGATATGTCGGCGGGGGAGTGGTTTGAGTGGCTTGACAGCTGTCTCAGATCTCCCTTTAACTGGGCAGATTGGGCTACTGATGATCCCAGCTCAGCTCGGATGGATGATGGTAGGTAGCTATTACGAAATGGTAGTATTAATATGTGGAATGGGAAGATCAAATAACGTGCAGAGTATGCAATACAGCGTTTTTAGAAGAGTTAGCTACCTCTAAGGTAGCTTTGTTTAGGTCCGTTACCACCGTAAGTTATTAATGATACTTGGTAGGAAGGTAGATTAATGTGATATGTTAAGTGTCACGCATAAAAATTGTGGTGAGGTGGTTAGATGTTTGAATAGTTTGATTTGGTGGTCCGCTGGAGAGGAAATAACAAAGAAGATAACGAATTATCTAAGATTGATGTCTATAAAATAAAAAAAGACCAAGAAACGCACTGTCCGCAACGCAACGCCGACTAGTCTACACAAGTTAAAGTTCGAACGGGTACCTAGACCATTTCCCTATCCGGACCGATCATCGGATCCGGAATTAGTGTCCACAAACTCTCTTCTAGCTAGGTAAAGTAGGTAATGCGTGGAGGAAACCTAATCGAGTAATCCATGTGCATTCACAATACATACTTGTGTACACAAATCTATTCCACCTGTCACAGTTGTGCAGTGACAGAATGATGTGCAATCAACCTGTCAATCCAAAGTCAGCAGGACTCTGGTAACTAGCGGTGAAACTCCTTTTTCGGGCTACCGATTGGTTTTGTACCCGAATTCCCACGTGTGATAGGTGTAAAGTCCGGATTACTCCGAGTAGTAATTAAAAGACCGAGGTCAACGAAGAAACTCAGTGCACATGAAGCAACAATATAAGCAACTAAGTATTTACACTATGCTGTATAACATTCATAATTGAGTTTGTTCTTGAAAGTTAAATGCATTAGAGTTCTTGATGATGTACCGACGTATTGGCATTGGCATGTGGGGCAAGACCCTGGGCCTTACCCCGTATTTCCTTTTTAGGCCTCAAGTGTCCATCCGTTTCGTGTTTCCCTTTTTCAGGATTCGTTCTGTCAAGAAACAACTTATTTTCTATTACTACTCACATGCAATGACACACAACCGGCTGAATAGAGCCTCATTTTGTATGCGATCTGCGAAACACCTGCATCAAATCTCATTCTCCCCCCGGACGTTTATTTAAACAAGATCTACAGTTTCGTATATTGCCTATAAAAAAACCTGAACCAGCATGCCCGTCAATATGGAACAGGCCCCTTCAAGTCTCTCGAACATGTCTTGTCGCAGCGTGTTGCGCTCGACCCTCACATCCGGATAATTTCAAACGAAACGACAAGTGTCACTTTCATCGGTATTCATCTCATCTCATATTTCATTTCCTCTCAGATAAATAAATAAAATACGCCATTTGAGTATCTTTTCTCAACATCGTGTTCCATATTCTAGTGTCTTGAGTGAATGTCAACTCATAATTAACCTATTAACAAAGTCTTGGCGAGCTGGCCCTCTAGGGATCATCAACATGGGTTATTACGAAAATAGTTTCTACGGACTACTCGCCCTATGTGCGGGCCTTCTTGCATCTCAGCCTACGAGGCGTAATGAGCTGAAGAAACTAGCCGACTCACGAAAGCAGGTTTCAAGAGACGACGCACATCCTGAGGCTGACTGGTACAAAGTCTACGCACTTATTATGGGGGCTGATTGGCTTCAAGTAGGTTGTATGAGGATGAGATGTCATCTAACTATGTTGAACTCTTAACTAATCAGGTCCTTCTTAGGGTCCATACTTGTACTCACTATATCGTGATGAGCATGGAATCTCCGAGCGCTTAGTTTCTACCCTCTTTGCCACGGGTTTCTTATCCGGCGCCATCAGCGCCTACTTCATTGGATCATTGGCGGATAAACATGGCCGGAAGGCTGTCTGCATGGTCTTTTGTCTCCTTTACGCCATGTCTTGCTTTTTCACCATCATCCCGTCCATTCCCCTCCTTTTCTTAGGCAGGATCCTTGGCGGTATCAGCACAAGTATCCTATTCAGTGTCTTCGATAGTTGGATGGTGACCAACTTTCGCGAGCGTAAACTTGTCGAAAATGGATGCGATTTGTCCAGAACCTACGCCACCACCAGCATTGTCAATAGCCTTTCAGCCATAATCAGTGGTCTCGCCAGCGAATGGCTCGTCAGGGTCTCTGGTACCAAAAAGGCCCCTTTTCTGCTTAGTATCGGCCTATTGTGGACGGCTCTCCAGATCATCTGGGCCAATTGGGTGCGTGTAACCACATTCCTTTGCAAGGTTTCGAAGCTGATGAGTGAATAGGTCGAAAACTATGGCACCAAACAATCGGAGTCTAAGGATGCTCCGAAGCCACCAAGTCTCTTGTCGACGCTAAAACAGCCATCGATCTTAGCTATTGGCTTTGCGTCTACTATGTTTGAGGGGTCTATGTATCTCTTCGTATTTTACTGGACACCAACCATTAAGGCTGTACAAAAATCCACCGCCGAGCTTCCTTATGGGTATATCTTCTCTAGCTTCATGGCATCTTCGATGGCGGCTGCATTAATTTTCAACATTGTCATGCAGAAGAGACCATTCAAATACTCGCGCCTTCTAGTGGGTATCCTATTGGCCTCCAACTTCTGCTTCGTCAAGCTTGCTGGCCCCAAGACGGAGGACGCTACTTTTTGGCTCTTCTGCCTTTTCGAAGCATGTGTCGGCATGTACTGGCCTTGTACTGGCTACATCAAGGGCCGCATAGTACCAGATGATGTCCGCGCAAAAGTTTACAGCATCTTAAGAATTCCTTTGAATATCTTCGTTGTCGCGTCGCTATTCATCGCCGGTGATAGTCAGCACTATCTCAGAGTGTTTTCAACCTGCTCAATGCTATTGACGGCATCCTTCGGTATAGTGTGGATAGCAAGCCTGAAAGACAACATGCCCTAAAGGACAAGGGCTGCACAGAAGATAATTCAAGTGATTTACTTCGGGGGCTATTCAATTCGCCTTCAACGTTAGGGGCTGAGAGTTCTCTATACGACAGTGATATTTATTTGCGATTCTGATTTGGAGATTCGCAACGCCGTCTAGTTCCTCTCTTATCTTGTGGGTAATGGATAACGGGTTTCACGGAGATCTGAGTTTCACACGGTCAAAATTAAACGTCAACATATCATCCATTTCCCTACCTACCCTTTTCAACCACCAAGCCCGTTGGGGTCAGGTAGGCGAAACTACCAACCAAGGTACGACAGGTTCACAGAGCCTAAATGCACGCCACAGCCTTCTAACTAGGCTCACCTTAACGCCTGACCGTTTCGGCGTCGTCCTCGCCGCCGCCGTTCTTAGGTGTCGTACGCAGGTGTATCTAATTAAGTAGACGTGTAAGTCTTCTGGGGCTAGTTATCATAGAACTACCTTTGGGGGTATAAATGCGGTTTCAGGGGGTCAAAATTTGAGGAAAACTCGGATGACATGAGTGATCAAGGATTGCAGTTCCTAGCTACACTTATTGCAGGTGGTTGGTATGACATCGGGTAGTGAATATCGTTGGACATAATGGTGGGCTTGCTGGGCATGAATAATGAAATCAAAAGTTCTATAGTCACCTCATTACCTCGCCTTCCGATGTTCTTTGCTCCCATGCGGATCTCGGGAATACTGCCCCATCCATATCGCTCACTTAATACAAATCTCTCAGACGCTAGAACCAACAACGCGATATATGCGCCTAAATCGCTCTTAGGTCAATACTTCAAGAGTAACAGCAAGGGGATATTTCGAGGCTTACACACTTGTTAGACCTCATCAGCGACCCGTATCTCAAATGGCCCGACGAAAAGGGCCTTAAGAAGCGGAGGGTGGCCGCGTCCACAGCTCTCAGCCCCCGTTACAATTTAAGTATCCCTTTCGGGTACTTGTGTGGTCTTTCCCTTGAGACCTATTTTTGTTCCACAGGCGCCGACCAGGTCGCATCGTACAAGCCCTACACCAACCAACAACAAGTCCCCGCGAGCCTCAACAGCCTTAACCATCTATCCCTTAGGGATACCACATCCAAACTCCTAACAACCTCGTCGCATCCAACACTTTGGAACCAAAGCGCCTAGACAAATCTGCGCGATTGAAGTCCCAGTACCATATTATTCAGATTTAAAAAAAAATATTGAAGGTTTCCCAACACCAAGCAAACTCGTCTACCTATTTACAAACCCCAACCCGTATCCCTTCCCAAGTAAACCAAACAACGCATAAAAACCCCCAAGTCACCACACCGCGATCCCGTGCCGCCTCTCCGCAGCTAAATACCTAGCCGCTCTCGGCAGGGAGTAAGCGACCCCCTTTATTTGCGGCACGGACATATAATACGGGGAAACGAATAAGCGAGCTTAAAATGAGTTTGAGCTGAATCGGGCAAAGTAAGCTGAGAGCCAGCTGAGTGGGGAGGGAAGGAAGATTTGGGTTTTTTTATGCTTGATGACTGACAGCACCACACGTGGAGGATCACCCTCGGTAAGACTACCCGACGCCTTATAGATAAAGTTCTTCGTCACATTTGAAAACTGTGTTTAACGTTGAATCTTGAATATCCGCTCGAGCATTGCGTTTCAACTGAAAGTCTAAATAACTACGTGTCACAATTATGAGGATAAAAAGACGTAGTAGGTACAAAAATGTAACGCTGTATATTTTTTCTCTACCTGTTGGTATCATGCATTGGATGGCAGTGAAGCTACAGAGCTTACAAAATCCCTCCCAATCCTATATATGTCACTCATCCTCAAACCACCTTTGTTCAGGTATCATCTCTTCCACTCCATGTACATGCAATTAATCGTTCCAATATCTAACCCATCCCGTTCGCCGGAGCACTAAACGTTTCTAAGCAATCGGGCATCAAGCCCCTGAGCGACCGGATGATGCAGGTGAACCGTAATTATAAGTAATACTATGGATGTGAAAGGGGGGGCATATCAACTTCCTCGCCGTCTTCTACAAAGACGTGCAAACAAGGCTGCCAAGTGGTGCGTATGTGCAAGAGATCGTAAAGAAGAATTGAATAGCCGGTTCATCGAAGTAGGAACCACAGATCACCGATTCGCTTGTGCCGAAAAGGGGCGCGCTAGTTACAAAATATCAAACACAACCATGACTTTTTACAGCATAAGAGCAGCCAACAAGCAGGCGCTCAGGGCAGCACTGCTGAAGCCAACCTTGAAGGCACCAGATGTAGTGGGCAAGCTGGTCTGGGAAGCCGGGGCGCTGCTGGAGCTGGATCCAGCGCTCTGAGACTCGGTGCCGCTGGGGGTAGCGGTCTCGGAAGCGCTGGAGCCTGAGCTAGTAGCAGAGGCGCTGGCGGAAGCAGAGACAGTCGAGGTAGTCAGGGTGCTTTTAGCGCTCTCCGTGCTCTTAGCAGTGGACGAAGCGGAAGAAGCCTTGGTAGAGGTAGCAGTGCTGGAGGCAGAGCTGGAGCTAGAGTCGTCGCTGCTGCCGTCACCAGTGATAACGTTGATGCTCTGGTAAGAACCGTCGGAGCCATCCTTCCACGAGTACTTCTCGGCGTTCTTAACACCGTTGCTGTAGTCCTGGATGGTGATAGACTTGTAGTGAGCGACGAAAGGAGCCTGGGAGAAGTCGGTCTTGCCACCAGCCCACTGGACGGTGCCTTCGGGGGCGTCGGAGCGGCCAGCAACCCAGGTACCAAGCTTGATCTGCATAGGAGTCTGAGGGAATCGGGTACCGCCCTTAGCATCGGCATACTTCAACTCTCGAACCTGCTTGTCGTTGATGAGCCAAACAACGTGGTCCTTAGTCCACTCAACAGAGTACTTGTAGACCTGGTCCTGGGGGTTAGCGACAGGGTGGTAAGCACCACGGTCGTAGGTGGTGGTGTCGCCCTTTCCGAAGTAGTTGGTTTGGGCCTGAGCCTTGTCACCACCGAGCCATTCCCAGTCAATCTCGTCGAGATCATCGGATTGCAACACGAAACTGGTTACTATACCAGTACCGGGAGCGACCTGGACCTCCACATCGACCTTTCCGAAGAAAATGTACTTGTTGCTGGTGATGGTCGGGGCATCCGTCTCCTTGTTAATGGTGAAGAGCGCACCAGTACCATCGTAAGTGAGCTTAGTGCCGTCAGCGACCTTGAAGAGATCGTTGGAGCCCTTGCTGAAGTCGACGGTAACAGTCTTGCCAAGAGCAGCGTCATCGGGGCACTCTACACTTTCATGTTAGTAAATCGCATTCCAATTGGTAATTGGTATGCGACAGGAGCTTACTCTTCTTGGTGGGATCGCAGTCGGTGGAGGTTTGAGCAGAGACCAAGGAGGCCGCTGCCAAGACCACCGTGGTGGCAGATAGGAGCTTGGAGAACATTGTTGTCGGTGCTTTGCTGAGATGAGGGAAATTGAGATTAGGTAGCTAGGGGATCGATCGTGGCTATGTAGTTTTCTTATAAGATCTGAGCCGAGGGCTGCAGGGTAGAGCGAGTAAGAGGGTTGATTATTAAAAAGGTATCAAACTAAAAAGGTTCTGCTTTAAACGAGAGACAGAAATTGCGTGCGGTGGACGATAAACGAAAGGGTTCGGGACCACGCTGCACACGTAAGACAAACAGCAGTGAAGGGAGGAACGCGTGTTTTTGTGGAAAAACGAAGGTGTGGGAATAATCAGGGAGGAAAGGAGACGATTTTGCAGGGAAGTGGGAAGAGATGTGATTTTATTTACGAGCCAACCGCCGAGTAACAAGCGCCTTCCCACAATCGAATACAATCAAATACATCGAATATCCTTACTCGTTCCTACCTTCGTACCTTCGTTCCTACCAATTGCTTACCACGGGTCCCTCCCAAAACCTACCAAACCTACCAAGACTGGACCGAGCCTACTCCTTTGGGTAGGTGGTGGCTCCTTCATCCCCTGTCTGGGAAGTCCAGACTCGAACCCAGCCGCTAAGCTGCAGGTAGTTAGACCCGAGACGGCCAAGCAGGGAATGCTCCAGATTTGTGGCTCTGCTGAACCGTCCTGGCCAATCAAATGACAAATGGCCGGCTGAATGTCCTAGAAAGTAACAGGGGGTATCCTGAGCTGCGCCCCGTCATCTCATATCGTGATAGTCCCCTGTTCGTATCCAAGTATCCCAGGGGCCATCATGGTCATAGCAGAAAAAAAAGTAGATCGTATCACCCCATCTCCCCAAAGAAGCCCCAAAGAAGCCCCAAAGAAGTGACGTTGCAATTCCAATAATGTCTATGATTATCCGATGATCGTGACTGTCGTGATCAAGTGGTTCTTAAACATAAAGTGGAATTTATTATTATGATGATGAAGATGATGATAAGAGGGAGATAAGGAATAAAATGATATATGACAACATAGTTTGTATTTCATTGTGTGACGGCATTATTTTAGAGCAAACCATTCTGTCGGGGACATAATTCATTCATTCGTCCTGTTGTGTTGATTGTTAATTGTAAATAAAGGGGAAGTACCTAAGTATACTGCACTAGCTTAGCTGCTTAGCTGATTTAGTTGTTCAGTTCAGCCGTTAGTGCGTAACAGGCAATAATACCGTGCCGCAGTTTTTCAGTAGCTACCTACGGAGTCGAATATTCCAAGGCTGTTAGGAAAGAGTCATCTTTGGTTCAATTTCAATTTAACGGACCAAGACATGCCTATACAGTAGGTGCCAAGAAGAAATCTAATGCGCATTCCCATTCCCATTCGATTTCAATTTTACAACACCAACAAACCAACTCCATCTTTAGAATATTCTTGTCGGTGTAAGTATCCTATTCTTTCTTTCCCACTGGAGTCGCATCAATAGTGTATTTTCCAAATCTGGTTCTACACAGAGTACAAGATCCGTTGGTTTTGATTTGGTTTGGCAGCTTAGCCAGGGAGTCGGAACAGGTAGGACGATAGTTTCTTCCAGAGCCTACATGTACTATGTCGTACAAAGTGGGTAAACGAATCTTGTTACGGATATGCGGCAGCTAACAGGCTCGGCTTGCATTCCCACCTCAGCCTACTAGGTCTTGCTAGTGAGTTAGCTCGCCTGCCCGCATAGGGGTCCTTTGCTTCTAGTAGCGCCGTCTTGGTCTGTAATTTCTGTCAGGTACGAACGAAATGCGTCAACGAAAGCATGGGTATCGCCTAGGCTAGTACTGATTATACCTAGCGTCACAGAATATTCTCGCTAATTATTGTTACTTTTATTCGTATGTCTGACTGCATCATGTATTGTCGTGTTTATTTTGTAGGCTATTACAATCAATTTTAACTAGGTACTGTACCTAAGCAGTTACTATAGAAGACACATCAGGTAGTATCCATTTTCATATTGGCTAAGCGAAATAATTTGGGATGTTAGTAATCTATGCGATTGTATCATCCGATCACTATAACTAACGTCCAATTGGAGTTTAACCCTCAAGCCTCAACTCCGAAAACAGTGTCCCTTGTTCCACAGCATAGCCTATCGGTAGTGCATCATCTATGATGCATGATGCCCAGCAACCGTACTACCTGATGGCATTCTATGACTTGATGGTTTTTTCGTACTACCCTCCTCCAACACCATAGTTGAAACAAAACCCCGGGCGTCACCAATCCATTCACCGGTTTCTTCAGTACTCCTGTTAGAAAGAGAGGGAAGGGCGTCGGTCGGTCGGCCTACTTCTAAAACTAAGTTGCTACCTAAGTAGGAGTCATTTAACACAGCCTCTTAGCATTCAATCACTATAACTTAGGTATACCGTATACTTCTCTAAATTCTAGAACCAACAAAAGCCGGCGCGCTTTTTGTCCTCGGCTTTTATGAACTGCCGACTTTTTTTTTTTCTTCCTGCTTAGTCTTACCAAATAATTCGGGCTCACTCGCAAATTGTTCGCCGGGCAGCACACTAACGTGTTGCCCAACTTCTTACGTCTCACGATGCTAGGTTACTATTTGGTAAGCACTGATGGGGAAGTTCGTATTACAATGGCCTCATGACCCGGCTTTTACCTGAACACGGTCTCGGAAGGTCCGACATCACGAATTTTCGTTCCCGCCCTTTTAGCTCCGACTGTCACGAGTTACCTAATTAATTAGAGTTTGAATTTGACTCTTTGTTCTAGCCGTAGTGAGACGAGAAAGGGAGCCATGTCATTGTAACAGCCCATGTAGACAAGAACTCTAAATTTAACTTGACGTCGCATTCTAGGTATTCTTTACATTATGCACTAACAATAATACCGCTCTTTCTTTCTACAACATGCGACAACATGCTTCAGTAATTCGAGAATCGTATCGGAGATAGCCTAAGGAAATAACTTTTTTTTCGCCTCATCCTGCTGTTCGTATCATACTATTCCCCTACTTACTACAACAGCTTTGCTATACTCTTAGTATACGTCGTCTAATTATTGGTGACCACGTTGTTTCTATACGCCTTCAGCGAGCTAAACCTATTTTGCGTTTCCAAATCCAAACGATTCGAGAATAGAAGAGAATAGCATCGGGCTCTGTTTTGTCTTTCTAAGTCGGGTCCCGCGGGTTCATCATGGATTTCAACCCCACTATTAACCTTCCTCGACGACACGTTCGGAAATAACTGACACATATCATAATCTAGATCTAGAACACGATAGCGATCTAACTCGTTATTACGCCATGGCAGAGTTTAGCGGCATAAAATGTCTACGAATCAAACAATACCACCGCTAATAATAGCTCCTACACGTGGCTACGTCTCATAATTGGCGATGACAATCTCCATGAATCTAATAACGGTTTCTTCCTCGATATTTCGCATGCCAGTGGAACAAAACACAATCTTGGCGAGACAACGAGATCCTATTTTCGACCAACGATATAGTATTTTGGGTGGCTGCTACAATTTTGAGTCATTAGGCCTGCATACGGAAGTGTGTCAACGCCGCACAGTGTGTTTGAGCCACTAATGTCTTATTAGCGAGTTGAGCGAAAACATTGCCTACCTAGCTATTCACAGGTTAATAATCTCTTTAACCATCTTCTCTAACTAAACGAAACCCTACTCACGACTATACTCAAAGTGCGTCTAGACAGGAACAATACCTACCCAAGTAGGGAGGTACATCCTGGCCGAAACGACAAGCCCGGAGCCTTTGCATACAGTCACTAATAGGCATGTTTGTCGGGCATTCAGCGCTGTTTCGTTTCTGAAAACGGCCTCGGTAGGAAGGTAAAACTCCCTACGACATCTCACCATGGTAGGATCTAGCCCCAAGTTCACCCTTACAGAACCTCATACCTCTCAAGTTGCAAAGCAATGAAATAGAACCCAAAAAACTAAAGAGGGAATTGTAATAACTGAGAGCCCTCGGATTTTCAAGGGTTGAAATTTACTTTGGCCGAAGAACGGTTATCTAATCCCCTATATACAGTAGATATCAATCCTTCACACGAAATAGAGGCTGTTTTAATTAAGCCCCGGATTTCTCGCTAGAATCCGACAAGGTTATCCATCACTCTGAAATACCATTCCGATGTCCAGGCAACCGCTAGCAATCAAACATGCGAATAACTCGCAAGTTCAAGATCCTCTTTTCTCTCATAATAGTGGAGGATAGTTCCACTGAAATAGAGATTAGAGGTTATACAAAATATCTCATCGTACAGCCAAATATACACCAAACTAATATCAAACGAGATGCCAACCGAGAGTAATTTGGGGAAAACGAGCGAACATCCCAACTTTACAAAAAATATCTAGTGTTTGTGCCATACTCGAACAGTCAACAGATATATGGATATCAATTAATTTATATGAGAATTGGCCGAATAATACGTGAGTTGAGCCATTTTCAAGCATATCCACAGGCATCGTGTTGAGATTGTCCATCGCAAGTTGACAGCACTCGGCGCCTAGGTACCCAAATTCTAGGGAGATTCGCAAGCAATGCGCCGTAACGCCCTAGAAACACAGTGATAGTAGGCATTGTTGAAATAGTTGGTAGGTACCTACCTATATAGGTAGAGCGGGGTAAAGCACCTGGGCATTTGGGGTATTTAGCTCGCTAATGACGTCCTCTCCGCCACCACTCTACCTATCTCCAAGATGTTAGCCTTTCCCATAATATCCAAGACAGTCAGATTGGCATGGAACTCTCTTCCAATCCAATTTCTAAACTCGACCGCCGTGAGAGAGTCTATTCCATAATCGAAGAGTGTCTTGTCCGTGTCCACATCATCTAGAGCGATGGATAAAGCTGTGGATAGCCTTGAGCGAATCGCTCGTACAACGATCGCTATTCGCTCGGGCGAGTCCGTCGCTTGTTTGAAGAGAGCGCCATCGTTGCTAAGCCCGCGTTTCGATCCAGCCTGAGAAACATTCCTAGTTGATCTAAATGCTGCGAACATTGGGGTACTGACAGCTGGAATCGGGTCCTCCCCTTGTGCGATAAAATCCAAGGGAGTTTTGGTGCCGATCAGCCGCTGGCTCTTGTCTGGGGACAGGACTGGTAATGAAGGATCACAACAAAGATCAAGTAATGACAAGATCTCTTCTTCTTCAATAGGCCACATATCTCGGGCGACATTTCTTACCCGACGGTACTCTTTCGTCTCAGCAACTATCCCAATCGTACGCATCCAACCAACGTCTATGCTGATTGCTTTTTCTCTATGAGACGTTCGATACCGTGCTAGAGAATCTTGAAACGTACACCCAGCTGCATAATTCGCCTGGGATGCACTCCCCAAAAAGCCGGACAACGACGAGAGTAGGACGAAGAAATCCATTGACCGCGGCAGGAGTTTATGCAGATTCCAGGATGTGTCGATCTTCGATTGAATCGTGCGTTTCCATTGCCCATAGCTCATATTTTCAAAGGTGGAGTCCTACGGATTATGTCACAAATCAACAATAATGAACAATTTCGATGCAATGGTCAACGTACCTGGAGAGCCATGGCTGCATTTATACAACCCTTGATAGGTGGCATGGTGTGAGCGCATTCAGCAAGGACGGCCGTCAAAGAACTGACTGATATGTCACATTTCGGTGTCATAACGGAAACGCCATTCTCCTTCAATTCAGCGACGACATCATGCGCGGCTTGAGTTTTTATACCTGATCGTGAAGGCAGAATCAAATGCTTAGCCCCCTTTTTAGCCATCCATTTTATTATTACTCTTCCCAAACCTCCCAATCCACCAGCAACAAGGTATGAAGCATTAGGATCAAAGGTCCATGCTGTTTGCCGTCGGCGAAATGTCTACAAGTAACAATTAGTTAAATTATTCAACACCATTCGGTTGCAATGAATAGTTGTGTATCTTACCGGTATAACGTCCGATTCATTTGCTTTGATAATGATTCGCCCTGTGTTTGCCCCGCTCTGCATGAAGCGGAAAGCCCCCTCCACGTCCGAGGCTGGATAACAATGAAGTGGCGTGGGATTGCGAATATTCCCGCCGGCCAGAAGATTTCTCACGTGAGAGGTTAAGGCACGCATCAGCGTTGGGTTTGACTGGGAAATATGGAAGATATCGACGGCAAAGAACGAGGCATTCCGAGCAAAATTTGACATAGGCAGCGATGAATTTGCCATTATATCTGTCTTCCCGATTTCAACGAATCTACCATGGGGCGCGATGCATTCCCACGACGCCCTAAGGCCAGCCCCCGAAAGCGAGTTCAGAATGACATCAACACCACGCCCCGCCGTAGCCCTCAGAATACCCTTTGCAAAAGAAGATGGCCTCCTACTATTGAAGATATGACCCTCCGGGATGTCGAAGCCGTCTATAAGTAACTGCTTTTTTTGGTCGGAGCCAACAGTAACGAAGATGTTAGCGCCAATCATTTTCGCAATCCAGATGGCTATCTGGCCTGTACTTCCCGCTCCTGAGTGTATTAGAATGCTTTCGCCTTCTTGAATCCGAGCGACGTTGATCAAGGAGTGATAGGCTGTTATGCCCGGCGTTATAGCAGCGATGGAATCCTCAAAGGAGATTCCCTCCGGGATTTTGAATACGTCCTGCACGTCTGCCCGAGGATAGGTACGCATCCCTCCCGTCGAACACAAGACAACCCTATCTCCGATTTGTAGACTTGCCGCCAACGCGACATCAGTACCGATTCTTGTTACAACGCCGCTGCATTCATAGCCCATGCCTCCCTTTGGCAATCGTCCTAAGGCTATGAAAAGATCCCGGAAACTAAGAGCCCATGCATTTGCCTTGATCTTAACTTCATTTGGACTTAATGGTGCGTCGTAAGTGAGATCTTCCATAAACTGAAAAGTTTCTAGGGGGCCATTTGCCTTAGTAGATAGTTTTACAGCAGGTATTGAACCGAAGGATTCTTCTCTCAGGCGTGGAGTAGCTAAGGATCGTAATTCCTCGTTCAAGCTGGGTCCCTCCACTAATCTCCCGATATTCAAGCATGAGTCACGGACAATGAACTCCAGCTCCGAACTTGAAGTTTCTCTAGAGAGGACTTCGAAAACCTTCTCGATGTGGCCCACGATCTGTTCTGGCGTTTGGGGAGGGGTCGACTCGATCAATAGCGTCACGTAACGCCTGTCAAAAGATTCTGATCGCAGGGTTCTTATGAACCCTGTCGTGGCTTGGTAATGAGGATAATTTGGTTCTTCAATACCTGTTGCCGTAATCCATACCAAGTTTTTGGCTGCTTTCACGAGCTCTTGGATCGCGTAGAACTCGGTATCCGACATATTAGCAAGAAACGGTTTGCCAATATCGAGGTTAACAACAACAATGTCTTCTGTAGTGATCCTCTCCGGATGCAAGCGGTCAAGAGGCATGGTAATAGCACCAAGCGCATGGCGCATTGTTGTGGCCAACGCATATTGCTCTTTCGAGTTGTTGCTAACGACTATGGGTTGTCGACCTGAAATCCCCTCCCGTGGCGATGGTTTGGTTGATACCATGAGGCTGAATATATGGTATAAATCACTTCCACTGTCCCTGAGAGTGAGAAGGTTCTTGGAAAACCCCGTATCTCGCAAGATCTTCTCCCATTGCGATTCTTTTAAGAGGGGGCTATGTGCACGCCAGTCTTCATTGGCTTGCCACCAGCCTGGTAAGACACCGAATCCAATATTTGCAGCAGCACTTTCTGGGATTGTGCTCTCGGCGTTGATAAGGTATCCCCCGGGTCTAAGAGCACGATAGATATTTTGCAGAGCAGTGGATAAATCTGTCGCGATATGGAGGACACTGCCGGCGATAATGACGTCGTAACCGTCACTCAAGTCAAGCCCCTGCCCCTCAATGTTACGTTCAATGTCAAGTTTCATAAAACTAATCCTCCCCGCGAAGTGTTGGAACTTGGACCTAGCATTTTCGAAAAAAGCAGAGGATATGTCGGTATACACATACTCGGAAATTCTAGAAGTTCCGGTTTGTTCTTCTAGCGCTTGGAATGCCGACAGAACATGCTGTGTCAATCCACCCGTGCCGGCGCCAATTTCGAGGATTCGAAGGCCCGAGTTCTCATGCGACAGTACGTCAACGAATCTTCGGAATTTTTCGCTACATAAATCGGAAAAGATTGAACTGTAGAAGGTCTCGGCATAGCCTTCTGTGAAGAGAACTTGCAACGGATCGATTTCTCCGTAGAGAATACCTTTGAGATTGTCAATTATGGCGGGGAATATTTTCCATCCTGGCTTGAAGGTTTCGAGACTTTTCCATGTTGTGTTTATGGCCTCGTCGCTCATCTCCCCAGCACCCTCAGATTTATAGTGAAGTCGGTAGAGGTATCTTATAGTGGATACTAGTTTACTCAAGTGACGTGGCTTATCTAGAGGTTCCTCTGGCCATTTCAAATCCTGTAACACCTTATGCGCCGCTGTGACCATAGCAAGCTCGATGTTTTGATACAACTCAGAGACTGAAGCCGCATCTACGTTTATGGTGTCTGAAGAGGCAGAGTCACAGAAATCCTGTAACTGATGAGGGTCCAAAGAGCTCAATTGCGGCTTCCACTCGATATTATGGAGCAATTTTCGATGCTCGTTTTCCGATGCGTTAGTCTGTGATGTTACGGGAGCCATGACTAGGCATTCCATGGAACATAACGGCGCATTATCGTCTCCAAGGACATGAATCATCGCCTCGAAACTCGAGCCTTGCATTTTCGACTCCGACAATACACGAATTGACGGGGCCTGAATGCAATCCCAGCCCTTTGCTGAGATCCATGTGTTGGACAGCTTCTGAGGGACAAGGCTAGGAGGTGATTCAAACAGCCCCTTTGAAGCGTCAAGCAGAGCAATATGAATTGCGGCGTCGAGAACCGGGGGCTGAACAATATCACGTCCTTTGTGCGCTGATACATCAATCCTAGCTGTGGAAGAACCGGGACCATTCCACCGTATGTCTTGCAGAAGCCTGAACGATCGACCGTATTTGATCGCTGTCTTCTCCAAGAAAGAGTAAAACGCACTTAACTCAATGGTCGCAGCGTTTGGATTGGCAGATACGTCAAAACGTTGGAGAATTGCATCTTTCTCTGATTGTGCCTCGCGGTTTTCATCGGCATCTACCTGATATTGGGACTCGATAATTGCCTTAAAGCACTTATCCCAGATATTTTTCCGGTACGAGAATATGGTGATCTCGAACAAGTTCGAGTCCTTCTCATGTGGTTGTTGCAATCGATGCAGGTGGAGCGATGCTTCCGTTGTACCATTGGCAGCTTCTTCGATGACTATAGGACTGAGAAACTGCGCTTCTTTGATAAAGAACCCGGAGATTTCTTCGCTTTTCGCTGATATTTCTTGTACTGCTTCTACCGCCATCACTAGCATAGCTGCACCGGGAAGGAGAGTCATATTGCCAATCTTGCCCAGGAGTTAGTGGGGTCTATAACTGTGCGAATGGAGAATACGTACGGTGTGGTCTTCTAGCCATGGGAAGTATTCTAGGCTCAAAAGCACCCTCCATCGCGGTGCTAAAGGGTTCCAATCGTATACCCGTCTTCCCAAGATACGCCCAGAAGTTCCTCCGCGTAACCGGAAGTCACGAGCGAAACGGGGCTCTTCCCAGTATATCCGCGAATGATCAAAAGGATACTTAGGGCAATCCACTAATATCCTAGGTGGTTTCGTGCTGGTCGTTTGTCAATTCACCTTCGAAATCGGTATTGGATAGCCGTGGCAGAACAACGTGCCGGCAAGCTCTAGGGTGCTTATGATTGAGGGCTTAGATCTATTAAGCACTGTGTGGTATCTGATAGACTGTGATATGGAGTTTACGGCGTCCCGTACTGGTCGACGCAGCGTGGAGTGTGGGCCTATCTCAATCATGTTGGTAAGGGGCTCGACCCATTGTTGCATGAGGGTGATAACTGCGTCTGCGAATCTTACTGGGGATACCAAGTTGTCTACCCAATATTGGGCTTTAGAGAGTATTTCAGGAGAAATTAGTTCACCGGTAACGGAAGACACCATGATCGCAGCGGGATCACAGCCGACGTTAATTTGGAGAGATCCCATCAATTCCTTATATCTGTCGGCTATTTCCTCCATTGCTGGTGAGTGGTAAGATACACCCGTGTTCAACTTTTGAGCGAATACGCCGTCTAGCTCAAGTTTTGTTTTCAATTGGTCGATCAAACTCTCCGTTGCTGATACTGTGCAATTCGTCGGGCTGTTTATGCATGATATATGGATCTCATCTTTCGGGATTGACGGATTTACCTTATCGAGGTAAATTGGTATGTGGTCCTTTGACAAGCCAACGGACATCATTGCTCCTGGGTTGGAAGTGCTTCTACAAAGCTCGGAAACTAATTTCCCACGGAAGTAGGAAACTTTGCAAGCTGATTGTAAAGACAAGGCCCCTATTACATAGCTTTTTTCTCTTAGCTCGGCGTTCGTTGTTACTTTCGGGTTCACTTACGCAGCCGCAATTTCACCAGAAGAATGCCCAACCACGGCCACCGGGGTAACCCCGAAACTCTTCAAAAGCTCTACAAGAGCAATCTGGAGAGCTGTACATATCGGCTGGCTATATTCCGGAAGGTTGATAATCTCTTTGTTTTCGATTACCTCTATTGATAAATGTATTAGTGAAGAAATTGATACTGTATGGAAGGTCATTTTTACCAAATACAGACCAGGGGCATCCGAGTTGTTTAAAGGCTTCATCGGCCCGCTCCAGAGCTTCTCTAAACACTGTATACCGAAGCAGGCCAGATCCCATATGGGCATATTGTGCGCCTTGGCCTGTGAAAATAAACGCGGCTCCGATAGAGGCTGAAGCCCGACATGGTTTTACTACAGGTAGTTGCTCAGGTATGGAGGCCTTATCGACTGAGTCGCCACCCAAAATGGCGAATGTTCTCCAAGGCATTATACTCCTACGATTGGACAAAGTGTAAGCCAGTCTATCCAGCTTTTCGGAGTCATTGGCAATATCCGTGCGATAGTATAGGCCATAACTTTGAACTAGCCGATTGATCGCATCTTCGCTCGCCGCGGTCCACACGAAGATCTTAGGTGAAGTTGCAACCTCTCCTTCACGCCCCCAACGAGGCGATCCCACTAATTCGGGGTGTGAGGTACAATTGTGAGCCCCTAGGATCCCATGGCCTTCGAAGTAACTCATTGCGTCGTCTAGTATGACCTTAGAAAGTGTAGGTAAGTACCTAATAATCATCGTTGAGAACCCCCTATACAGTGCGTGATACTTTATAAAGTGCACAGTAAAGTTTTCACACACTGTACCGGAGAGGCATAACCTCAAATGGCACGGATGAATCAACTTACATGGGTATTGGAGCCCCCCAAACCAAAAGAATTCACTGAGGCTCGACGGACCCCCTGCGATGGCCAAAGAGTATTTGTAGTGAGAATCTGTCTATGTCAGCTAGGTCGTAGATATCGCACCATTAAAGCAACCTACCGTGATATGATCAGAATATTCCTCTATGCGGGGATTCAATTTCTCAAATAGGGCGTTCGCAGGAATCATGCCCTTTTCTAAGGCCAAGATGGCTTTGACTGCACCTACAAGGCCGCTCGCTCCTTCTAAATGGCCCATATTCGACTTGACGGAACCCTTAACTAAGTTAGCCACCTATTGGTGTTGGCTCCTAGATGGTTCTATAGGGAACATACATGAAGAGGGGCTGTTGTCTAGATTGGTAGGTTTTAAAGACTCTACTGATAGCTTCTACCTCAATAGGGTCTCCAGTAGGGGTACCAGTGCCTAGTTCTTGTCAGCGATACCAGAATGTGGTTTGTATAGTGGCATACCGTGAGCTTCAACATAGCGAGTCGCTCCGAATCCTAGCCCGGCTTTCTTATAAACCCTCCGAATTAACCTTTCCTGGGCATCCGCACTTGGGTGATTGATAGTTGGCGTACGCCCATCCTGGTTCGAGCCGGTTGCTCGTATCACGGCTCTGATCATGTCGCCATCATTAAGGGCAGCCGACAATGGCTTCAAGAGGAGAGCAACAATACCCTCGCCTCTGCCATACCCATTTGCGCGATGGTCGAAGCTGTAACAAACGCTATCCGGTGATAAAAGGTTGACACTTGAAAAATGTAATGAATGCTCAGGACTCAATAATAGGTTGGAGCCAATAACAAATGCCTATCCTAGACGTCAGTTACATAATACTAGGAGAAATAGAAAGATATTTACCATAGACGCGTCTTCACTGCGTAGTGATTGGCAAGCCATGTCCAACGCCGTTAAGCTAGAGGAGCAGGCAGTATCTACATGAATACTCGGGCCTTGTAAGTTGAAGTACCAGCTCACCCGGTTAGGCAACATAGTAGAAGCCGTACCGGTGGCAATTGCACGTGGTGCCGAGTCCGGATCTTTAGCATGTAGATGGGCGAAATCGGTAGTGAATGATGCAGCAAAGACAGCTGTGAGGGACCCATTAAGATTTTCCATGGGAATACCAGCTATTTTCACCCGATGTTAGAACGAAAGATTGTGATATCTTTCCGGTATATTAGCTGTAGCAACTCACCGTTTTCAAGAGCATGATAAGACGATTCTAAGACTAGTCTCTGCTGCGGGTCCATGGCAGATGCTTCAGCCGGTGTAATGGCAAAGAAAGGGGCATCAAATGCTGTCGGGTCTTCAGCCAAGAAATGCCCTCCACGGGAACGTAACTGTCATGATGTTAAGCCCCTCAGCAAAAGGGTTGGGGTCTAAGCGTTTACTTACAACATTAGGCCCAGTGGACTCGCTATCATATATAGAATCGATAGAAACTCGAGACCTAGGCCAGTCAGTCATCAGGTTCTTTCGTTTTTCGAGCATATCCCAGAAACTATTGTCATCCTCGACATTCTGAGGCAGCTTGAACGAAAATCCAATAACAGCAATAGGGGCTGTATTCATTTTTCTTTCGATTGGGATATGAGGTATATTGACTACCGGTTCTTCCGGAAAGCTTTTTTGATTTCTTGAGTTGAACTCGTCAGACTTCCCCGAAGTAGGTACACACTCCCATAAATCTTAATCAAACTTCCAAGAAGGCTATCTACCATACGTAATATCAAAACCCTACTGGTTCTTGCTCGGCGTACCTCTGATAGGTAACCAATGCTTTTTTTTATTGATGTGTCGAGTATTGACCAAGTGTGCATCATTTCCATCAATACCGTCAGCAGAATGCACTATGAATCACACCCAACCAAAGAGGAGACAAGGTATAGTACTGCTAGAAATACTATAAAAGGCACACTGTACCACCACTCTGTCGGCTTGAGATGTAGTAGTGGTCATCCCCAAACTACCCTTTGAAACTAACATGCATGAATAAGAAGCCAACAGCCATGGCTTTAAGCCGTGTCCCACAGATTCCGCGGTATGCGCGATATCTACGCAGCCTAGATATCATGAACTCGAATCCAAGTCCTAAGCGAGAATCGCATTCGTATCGTTTCCCATTTACGAGCTTACGTTTTCATCCCTTCAGATTGGAGCCTCTGCCATAATTTCTCCTCTTCTCTGAAGACACCACGTAATCCATTTATAGCCTCGGGTAGCAATAAATCGTGTGGAACTTGCCGAACACTAGTCACAGATGCCCCTATAGTTCCTACGGGCATCACTTCAACGTTTCCATCACCATATTCATCATTCTCGCACAATTCTAACATTTTCTCTGCTATACTCGGGCTCAAGCAATGGCTCGTCCGATGAGAGTAGGGCCTTGGCGTGTGGTTGCCGCCAAAGGGGTGCCTTGCAGTTGCAATTAGAATTAATACGCCTAAAAGACCGCATTCTCTACCTAGGTAATATGCCCTAATGTAAAGGATAGACTTACATCAATATGATGGGGGGCAATGCATACCACGCGGATTCCCAATCGCTTTCGAAGCGAGTTTAGGCTTCTGGCAAAAGCGTGGAGCCCAGCTTTACTGGAATAATAGAACGGAGTGCCGACTGAAGCCGTATACCCCGCGATGCTACCGATGAAGATAAGGCACGCTTCCATCTTGTTAGTTGTCCAATACCCAATAGCTAGCTGCGAGAGCCGAATTGGGTGGATTAGATTAGTAGCGAAGGTAGAGTAAATCCCGGGATCACACTCGGCTGAGTCCTCCGATGGTGACCCATCAACCCCGTGGGGATTCCAAAATGAGCTTGATGGCGGCTCGAAGATACCGGCGCCGGGCACGGCAAGGTCTACAAGAAGGAAAGTAGAAAGCGCTTTATTCCAAAGCTGGGAGAGCTGAGGCCATGATCTCACGTCAGTCTTGTGGAAGACAAACGAGGGGTTACCTGGTTCAACTGGTGGGTACGGGTACTTGGCAGCTAGTTGTTCTGCCTCTGGCTGCAATTCTAGATCTCCAACAATGACAGAACAACCCTTGGTCAAGAGGAGTTTGACGAATGCGAGCGTGATGCCTATGACCCCAGGTCAGCACCGAATTGACGAGCTGTGCGAGATACCTACCGCAGCCACCGCCCGTTGCGACGGCATACTTTCCGGTAACTGGAAATGGGGCCATGTAAGCCACGATCTGTTTGATAAGTATTAAACCGTAATGGGGAGTCGAAGTAACCACACTAAATTGAAAACCCCATAGGATTAAGCATCGGCAATGATGCTAGAAGAAACCCTTTTGAAATCAGCAGTCAGAGACTCATCGAATTTGCATGGTTGGATTTCGCACTTGTCGATTCCTTACGCACCGACATATACACCAACATCAAGCCCCAATTTAGGCGGGCACGCAACCTTGAAGGGAGGCAAAATGTAGTGAACCAAGGGCAATTGGGTATATAAATTGCGAGAAATGCAGGTAGTTCACCAACAGACGTATCTGTATACTCTCAGCTGTACGGTTGGTGACAGATTGGTGTTGGTTGTACAGATTTGTTACAACTCTCTAAATACCGACCTATAATCCCATCAGTCCTGTGCAACGATGCTATTACGAACCTCTCCCAACGGTTACACAAACGAGTGGGGTATTCCCGTAGGTATCTATACATCACCTAGGTAGGTAACGAGCCACCTATTAGTAGCTGCTTTGCCTTTACCTCTGGCCGATAGGGCTTCCGTAGACGTCCTCCCCGGGTTCATCGGTCCTGAAAGCGACCATCACGGCTCATCAATATATCCCCCTTTTCTCTGCTCAAACGTGAGATTATCCATTCCGAACGTTCTTGGTGTTTTGGCTGGAAGGAAGTAGTAATAGGTTTACATGTGTTAGCAGCGACGCGACAATGATGTGCCTGCTTCATGCAAACAGTAGAACGGTAATTACTGTCTGCCTTTTATGATGGGGGTTGCCGTTGGTAACACAAACAAAAGCGTGTTTTTGGCTTTTCAAGCAATGATTACCGGACGCACCTACACTGGACTGTTCTACCCCCCACGCTTATGGGATATTTGTATTGCCACACCTACATATATGGTAGTTAATTAGGTACCTAAAGCTATTAGAGCAGTAGCACGATCGCTGATGGTTGTTTGATGTGATGGCTAGTGTTAATCCCACACCTTACGCTACTTGCTATAGTTACCCGAAGTCTGCTGAAACTGCACAAATAGGTACCTAGGTACCTTAGCAAGCTGGACGTAACATTTCGTTACAGACATTATATTCAACAGAAGGAAGTAACGTAGATACAAATGTTCCTAATCAACTCTCCGTAGCCTTTCTAGCCCATTCCATTATTATGCCAGTTCCTATAACCATCCAATGCAGAAAAACCCGTATGCACAATCCCTAATCACTCAGTCTATATACGCAGACGACTTCCCACAAGCAAGCCTATGTAGGCAAGGATTCTGTATATGAAGCCGATACCAAGTAGAATCAACATATTCCGCCATTGCCAGTCCAAGTGAAACCCTACAGCTTGAGCAGTTAGGTCAACTTGGTACAAGTATCGGAAAGGTTCGATCATCCGTCCAAAGTACAGCTCTGCGAGCCAGGTGCCGGGCGATGCACGCCATAACCACTCCATGTGCCATTCCATGACACTAGCCAGCGGTGGCGCGGCTCCAGATAAGATGCCCACGATCAGACTGATCATGGTCGCAAATAATGGCGCATCTTCTCGTCGTACAACCATGCTTACGCAACTCGCCAATCCGTAGATGCAGAAGAAATAAACCAGGTTTGCTAGGAATGCTATTCCCCATCCAATAATGGGTGTCGCAAGAAGCAAGATCAGTGTTGAGAAGTGCATGCATGCGAATACCATGCGCGGAATCACTGAAATATTCTTAGCTAGGAAGTACGCAATGCGCGAGTGTCCCGCCTCCGCTTCTCGTCGATATAGGAGCATTTCTTCGGAGAACACTCGGACACCTGGAGCCGCGGAAACTAGACCGATAGCGATAGCCGTGAGAAGAGCCAGTTCCGGGACCGACTTAATGTCTGTAGCAAGAGACAGGACGTCATACGGTGCATTATAAATACCCGTGAACAGTACTCCCTTCTTCGAGTTCTCCGCCAATCCCAATAGTAATCCTGCAACTGTCGCAAGCGCCATCTCGAAGCAGAACGCGGACCTTGTACGCCACTGTTGTAGCATCGCGCGAACGAAACATAACCAAAGCTGCTTTAGACGGGGTGCACCTCGTTTCCTTAGTAATTCCCTACCCTTTGAGTTATTCTCCGCGATCGAAGTCCGTGAGTACCGTAGCGAAGCATGTTTATCACGTATCGACGCATTCTGTCTTGATGCCGCCCATCTTGCAATCAGCGCCTCCTTCGATATATCACCCGCGTGTTTATACTGCCGTCCATTACCCGTAATAATATCCGTCACGACATCGCCGAAATTCGCGTGCGGCGGGAACTGAAACCCAACTTCCCCAAAGAAATCCCGGACCCCGGCTTCAGGGCCCTCGTAGATAATTTGTCCGTTAGCGAGAAGTATTAGGTCGTCTAGCATTTCGAAAATTTCCATACGCGGTTGGTGGATAATGACGATAACGGAGATACCGAGGCGCGCGATGGCTTTTAGGGTGCGCATGATGGAGGATGCGGCAGTGGCATCGAGGCCGGAGGTCGGTTCGTCAAGGAAGATGGCCATGGGCGCGGCGGCGAGTTCCATGCCGATGCTGACTCGTTTTCGTTGACCACCGCTGATAACCGGTTTACCGACGCTGCCTACTAATGAATCGCGGACGTGGGAGAGTTCTAGACAATCGATGACGGAGTCGACGTGGGCTTTTATATCGACGTCTTTCCAAGCGCGGGGAAGTCGTATCCTTGCTGAGTGTAGGATATTTTCGTAGACCGTGAGTTCTGGGAGGACGATATCATCTTGCGGAACGTAACCGATAAGTTTCTTGTACTTCTTAATCTTCCCGGGAACGTTGTTGATCATAACACTACCGCCGGTATTGGTAATTTTGCCCATGAGAACGTTGACGAAAGTACTCTTTCCAGCACCGGAACCACCCATAACAGCCGTGAGAGATCCACGATCAATAGAACCTGTGACGTTTTGCAGAATCGGTTTCGTGCTGCCCTTAGGCTGGAAACTGAGATCGGTATACGCAAACGACAAACCAAATCGCGCACCATCGGTTGCTCTTCGCATAGATTCGACGAATGCTAGGAGCTGGGGCGAGAATGTGCTTTCGCTAATATCCATCTGAGAGCTTTCCGGAGTCGGCATTTCTAACGCGGCTTCAAAACCGGTCCACGCATCTCGGGTCGGCATGTACGTGGCCTGCATCGGCGCCATTTCATGGTCGTGTTCAGTCTCATCGCGCAGCTCCTTATACCCAGTACTACCCCCCATAAAGGTATTCTTCTTTCTGTTTAGACCGGCGATCGTCTGCTGCCGACTCCTCCAAAAACGCTTGCGGATGTGGTACCATATTAATGCGAGCAGGATGAGAACGTCGGCAAAGATAAGGACGGCTATAGGTATTAGGAATGTCTCGAATGACGATTTTTCCGGGCATCGGCTTCCGAAACTACACGGTGTCGGTGTGGGGGCGCCGGGTTGGCAATACGTGCCAGTCGGACATGGGATCATTTCTCTGCCCCCGGAAGAGGTGGGACAGTAATACCCTTGCTGGCAGACGACGGGCTCGAATGGGCCCATACCAATATTCCTGCCCCCCAAAGAGCAAGTAAAACCTGCTAATCTCGCGATTTGACATTCTGTGATGGGCGGACAAAATTGTGGTAACGAGTTGACTGTGTTATTAGCACCTAAATCGTTTATTAGTACGTCTATCGCAAGGTCCTCGAATCTTACGGCTTACATAGAAAACCCGGGTTACATCCGTTGATATTCCAGTTTGTCACATTCTGGATTTCGATCGAAATCGCACCGGGTCGCCAGCATGGAGCGGCGTCGACGGGAGTGTTGTTAGCTTGGAGTTGCGCTGATGCTCTGTAATACGACGTCGAGAATCCAGTACGGTTACGACCAGTGCATGCTTGATCCCAAACACTGAGCTTTTTGGCATCAAGATCGACTAGAGCATTCGTGTCATTGCTGTACATCAAGGCCTTGCTCAGATCCGGCTTGCTCGACGCATCCCATATCGGAAGATTGTCCTGCAAGGAAGTGGTGCCCTGATTGTTGAACCATTTTCCCGTCGTTACGGCGTATACACCTTGCGTTTGGTTTCCGATACATTCCCATGATGCATCTTGACTGTTTATACTCTTCGTTCCTCGTAAAGCGCAAAGACATCCTTGCTCATCGAGGAAAGCTGGCCCTAATGAGTTGCTTTGTGGTAAAAAAGGATCTTGAGGTAGGGACATGCCCGCCTGCGTAAGCCCAGGCACCGACATATTTTGGCGATGATCTTTCTCGGGTGCTACTAGAACACGCACGGTTTCCTTTCGACGGCGGCTACTCCCTACTCCTTCTCGACATACATATACGATCGGATATTATTTCTGTCAGACATCCTAAGAACGTCTGGAGACGGGAAATTGGCGGCCATGACGCTCTACATAAGGGGCTGGTGTACGTAAGGACAAATAGGACCGTCATGGCCCGTGCTGTGCTGCGTCTTCATGACCTGCAACGGATCTCCTTCATCAGGAAATAACCTATCGTGGCTGCGCATGGCGATGAGAAAAAAAGAGCCGAAGGATTCTGAGGCTAAGTACTCGCTATGTAATTTACGACCCATACCACTACGTACAGACCGCCTATCAGCCCTACCAACTAGCCTGTAGCCCCCCCTGCGGCTGAAGTACCGGAGTGGTACTCTGCAATAGCTTGGCGTAGCTGAGCCCGTGGACCGTATAATGGGGGTAATACGTCAAAGGTTATTATGGTGAACAGGGGACGTTTTGTTCTAGCTCCCAACACGTTTGAGGAAATATTTCGCTTTGTCAGGTCGAAAGTGGGTAAATGAAACATGGATCCATCGTCTAAGTCCTATGGTACAGCTGTTCGGACTCGTGTCGAATCAGGTGTGATCTTCAAACCAGGCCTATACGCCGTAATGGAGCAGGTAAGCCGCAGTCGAAAAACAGAGCTAGTAATAACATCAAAATTTTCCCCTTCCTCCCATAAACACCCCCAAATTATAGCACGATTTTGGAATAGAATCGTGTAACCAACTAGGACGGAATGGTGTCAGCAGAAATAGTCCAGTCCGAGAAATAGTTGCGAATTTTTTTAAAGCTACCCTGCCACGGGCGAATCCTGCATATAGATCGTGAACAAATAAGCCCTAGTCTCGAGCGCCACCGGATGTTTTAGTAGTGCTTCGCTTATTTCGCTGCCTAGCCAGTCTGTAGTTCCCGAGCTAAGCGATCCCTTTCCGCTCGCCCTTAGTAAGGAAAAGATAGCTATCTGTAGTTGCTATCTGTATTATACAAATTGGCGACCTGCTCAAGAAGTCGTCGAGGGATAGCGAGGTAAGGACAATTTGAGGGCTGACCAACGACAACATGTGAATGTCAGCATATGTCGCAGATAACGTCTCAGGGCTCACCAACCTCTTGCATTCAAGTCGCACACGATCCTAGGCAACTTGGCAAAGTTGGCAACATCAGTAATAAGTGTCTTACTTCACGAAGAGTTTCCGAGCTGCGTGGTAGGATCTTCCCGAGCAGATGGGGTGGTGGGGTGGAGAGTAAGTGGCTTGAAAATATCGCCTAGCGCGGGTGGCCGTTCGTCTTGCCTTTCTTTTTTCTCCCTTGCATCTCCAGTTCGAACTCCTGTTCACGATGGCTATTTCCATTCATGGCACTATGGTGCTATATGCTATATTAAAGCCGAAATTGGGCTATGAAAGGCAGCCAAGGGCGACATATAACTCACTCACCATAACTCTATATTACCGAAGTTCTCTGAGCCAAGGTTATCTGATGTAGGTCCTAGGCTTGTTTTCCCAGGCGATCGGATGACTAGAGCAATTTCCCCAGATCCTCTATCGCCTTATTAGCTAGAATGTTGCACGGTTCCTTAGGGAGTTATCAGAATTAACTCCTAGGATTTCGCTGATGTAATGCTCGGATTCTCTGATTGTACACGCCCAATTTTCAATGATCTTGAGAGCTCAAGATTCGCTTAAGATAATATGTTTTACAAGCTGTTAGGATATAGTCTTCAAACATGTAGAGCAGTGTTTTATTTCTGTATAATTCCTTGATATTGTTGGCAGTCAACCTCGACGTGTGAGGAAGAGAATGTGATACTTTTCGGAGTTACCACATTCGAAGCCCATCTAGATAGTGTTCTCACCGCTGTGATGTCTGAATACAGGGATTATATCCGAGCCTCTATAGAAGAAGCTTGGCGCGTATCGACCAGTTGCGAAAAAGGCAGTTTTTCGCAGCGACCGCGGACATAATTTCAGGTCTAACTGCATTAAGGAGACAAGTATAATCAATCTCAATGCAAATAGACTTGGCACCCTTAAAGTGCTCTGTAAGATTACTAAGTAGCAATCTGAATGGATGGGTTTAACCCCAATACGCGTAAAAAGTGATTGAGTCCTAGAGCCAAGCTGCCGGAATGGTATATTTATTCAGGTGGACTAATAATGAGCCTTGTTCTTTTAACAAGGACTTTCCGTATGTTCCCTGTCCATCATCCCTGTTGTCATAAGCCCTTTAGTTCATTGAGTGATGACTGGGGTATGCTCAGCTTAGTGGGGATAAATGCGTGCTGACGATGGGGCTGAGAGTAATCACTCCCTATGAAGGGGGATTGACGTTATTTGTCGATGAGTATAAGCTATGTAACTCTAGAGAGTCAGAATTAAAATACCAAGTCCTAGTGAGCCTAAACTAAGTGAGAAAGGGACGTTACTAGTTGCTAGTAGGTATGTTTATTGGTATGTAGATGTCAGTGTTGGCGTTGTGGAGGGAGTTGTAAATTTAGAAATTGGCTAAGCAGCTAATGTCTGGTTCGGAAAGCTAGCCGTTTGTTACATGCTGGTCTAGAAACAGGGGATTGGATTGGATTATATAATACAAATAGCATAACTTACATAAACATATACATCAGCGGATAATGCATATATCACATGATACCCACGTGATACAATTACCCCGCGGACGCGACCTGAGTTTGCGCCCAAATTTGGTGACAGAATTGGCAAAAAATAAAAATTACCCCGCGATCGAATTGAGTCACAAAGTATCGACGAAATCGGTGGACGGAAGATAATCTTTTTACTTTATTTGTGTGCCGACATTGCGACTCGAAATTCTTAGCCAACTTTTAAATTTTCGCACACATATTTCCAAACAATACAATCGCCATGGTGGACGAAGCCCCCGCCGAGCAGGTCGCTAACCTGCACCTCGATGAGGTCACTGGAGAAAAGGTGTCCAAGTCCGAGTTGAAGAAGAGACAGAAGCAACGTGAGCGAGACGCTAAGAAGCAGGAGAAGGCTGCTGCTGCGCCACCCAAGCCTGCTAAGAAGACGAATGCCGAAGCTGATGAGAAGGAATTGACTCCCAACGTAAGTTAGATTATACTATGACTACTACAGCGATTCGCTAAATATTAACGAAATCTAGCAATACTTCGAAATCCGATCTCGTGCCATCACCAAACTCATCGAATCCAAGGAACCTTACCCCTACCCACACAAGTTCAACCGCGATTACAACCTCAACGACCTTGTCAAGGAGTATGGCCACCTCAAGTCTGGAGAGGACGATAAGTCCAGGGTATTGCGCGTAGCTGGCAGAATATACAACAAGCGTGCCTCCGGCAGCAAGCTGCTATTCTACGATATCCGCGGCAACAATGGCGTTAAGGCTCAGATCATGTGTCAGGCCCAAGAAGTCCGCGAAGGCGCCCCTGCTTTCGAGAAGCAGCATGATCACATAAGACGTGGTGATATCATTGGTGTCATTGGTTATGCCGGAAGGACTAACCCCAAGACCAAGATCGAGAAGGGCGAGGAGGGTGAACTCTCCATCTTCGCTACCGAAGTCATACTCCTATCGCCCTGCCTTCACCAATTGCCTGACGAGTACTATGGCTTCAAGGACCAAGAACAGCGCCACCGCAAGCGCTATCTCGATCTCATCATGAACCCTAAGACCGCCCAGACATACCGCACACGTACCAAGATCATCAAGTATATCCGAAACTACCTCGACAACGCCGGATTCGACGAAGTCGAAACCCCCATTCTCAACCAAATCGCCGGTGGTGCTACCGCCAAGCCTTTCCAGTCCCATCTCAATGATTACGACATGGATGTATTTCTGAGAATAGCACCTGAGCTACCTCTTAAGATGTTGATCGTTGGAGAGTATGACAAGGTTTACGAGATTGGTCGCCTGTTTAGAAATGAAGGTGCCGATCTGACTCACAACCCAGAGTTCACAACCTGTGAATTCTACGAGGCATATGCTGACTTCAACGATCTCATGACGAGAACTGAAGAGCTTGTCTCTGGTCTAGTCAAGCAGCTTACGGGCGGTTACACAACTAACTTCACCACGCAGCATGGTGAGACGTACACAGTCAACTGGGAAGCACCGTGGCGAAGAGTTGAGATGATTCCTGCTCTCGAGGAAGCAACCGGCGAGAAATTCCCTCCTGCCGACCAGCTACACACAGACGAGACCAGGGAGTGGCTCAAGGGAGTCCTCAAGAAGGTCAACGTCAAATGCTCCGAGCCCCAGACTACTGCCAGGATGTTGGACAAGTTGACTGGCGAGTTCATCGAGGAGACTGCCGTCAACCCGACCTTCATCACCGAACACCCCAAGATCATGTCGCCTTTAGCCAAGGACCACCGTAGCAAGGCTGGCCTTACTGAGCGATTTGAAGCTTTTGTTTGCAAGAAGGAAATTGCGAACGCGTACACCGAGTTGAACCAACCGTTCGAGCAGAGACTACGTTTCGAGGAGCAAGCGCGCCAGAAGGCCCAGGGAGATGATGAGGCTCAGATGATCGATGAGACCTTCCTCAACGCTCTTGAGTATGGTCTACCCCCAACTGCTGGTTGGGGTTTGGGCATTGATCGACTTACCATGTTCTTGACTGATAACTATTCGATCAAGGAAGTCCTGCTGTTCCCATTCATGAATCCGGAACAGACCAAGGACAAGCCGTCTACTGAAGCTACGGAACAGGCTGCCGAGCAACCTGAAGTACATGTCGAGGGAATTCGTAAGTCTCAATTTATACTTCCCGGCAATGAAATCACCATACTGACTATTACGCTAGCCCACAAATGAATGCTTTCCATCTTAAATATAGGAGATATTCCTCGTTCCGCTTAGGATTGCATAGGTTACATCCCGTCTACAGTGTTTCGTACGATTAGGTACTTAAAGTAGATTAAGCTGGCTATGTAGATTTACGCCACGCTTCGCACTGTAGCAGGGTAAACGAAAAAAGGAACAATTGAGAAGGGTTATGTTTTACATAAGAGTACATGGTATCTAGTGGTATGTCTAGTGAATACTCATCATAAGAGGCATACATAACGTAGCATAAGCAATAACTACCGCGGCTTCGTCGTCGAGGACAGCCTCTTTTGAACCATGGTAAGAGTTGACTTTGGCACACGTAGGCGGTGGCCAAGTACGAGAACTCCCGTCAGTAATGCTAGACTGCCCGCTTGATGCGCCGCAGCTAGCGAGATAGGTACCATGTAGATAAGCGTGCTAATGCCGAGCGCGACCTGTAGACATACTAGGTGCACAACACCTAACATGCCTTTCCTAGCATTCTTAGGTAGCGCAGCGGCCACACGACCTGTTCGCGAGTACGCGAATAAACCCAGTATAGTGCAGAACGTAGTCGTAGCTAGGATCCGGTGGTCTAGCTGCACCAAACTCGGATTTTCTAGGATATTGCGCCACCACAAATCCGATCCATCTTCTTTTCGCGAGTAAAACTTATCCCAAAGCTCGGAGCGCGGGGGCGTCAGACCTAATCCCATCTTTGGGAACTCATTGTATATCAACCCGGCATCGAGACCCGCGACTAAAGCGCCGGATAGTACGGTAGTAAAGACCAGGATCGTAAGCGCGAGCACCGAGCGTCGGAACGGCGCAATGGCGGGGTTCTTTAATGCGGCAGCGAGTTTAGACGCAGATTCGGGTTCAGCTAGTAATCTTCGATCGCGCAAAATTCCCAAACCCGCGAGTAGCATCCAGGAGTAACACACAAACGCCGTAGCCAAATGCGCCGCGAGTCTGTACTGCGAGACTCTTGGATGCGAGCCCGGCGCGAATAAATCATCGCGGAGCCCCGATTTCACCATCCACCACCCGATAAACCCCTGGAAACCGATAAGTGCGGATATACCGAGGAGGTGGAAGGCTACGCGAGGTGTTACTCGACGGCGGGCGATGAGGTAGAGGGTTGGGAGGGCGAAGGAGAGACCGATTACTCGGCCCCAGAGACGGTGCGTCCATTCCATGAAGTAGATCTTTTTGAATTCGTCGAGGTCCATGTGCGAGTTTAGGAGGTGGAATTCTGGGGAGGCGCGGTATTTTTCGAATTCGGATTCCCAGTCTGCTTGTGTGAGGGGAGGCAGGGAGCCGGTTACGGGTTTCCATTCTGTTATGCTGAGGCTGTTTTGCAGGAGAAGAATTGGCGTTAGCTTTGTGGGCATGTAGGAGTGGTGTATTGAGGCAATTGGTAGTATTACCCTGACTCCGTTAACCGTGTAAGTCCTCCGAACACCACGATGCCGAAGACACTCGCGGCGCTGCCGATTAACCAGTATGCTACTGACTTGGGGCTCGTCTCGGGGAACGACCTTTTTTTCGCGCCTTGCGAAGCTGCGTCCGCTATGGCGGGGGTCGCGACGGCCGAGGATGTGAAATACCGAGCGAAGCGAGTCTGTGTCTGCGACTCGGTGCTCGCACACCGCACTTGTAGCGACCGGAGTATCCGCGAGGAAGCTATTCGTGGTTGCTGGCGGAGGCATTGGCGGCAGATAAACGGGCTGCTCGCCAATTTCGGCGCTGCTCTACGCAGCCCCGGGATTAGAAGCGACATTGTGTTGACGCTGCAGTGAGGAAAACTTCCCTCTGAAGGAAGAAATTCGAGGACCTCGGGACGCGAATGGGAAGGTTTTCGTTTCTAATCATACGATAGGATAGCTCGATAAGATAGTGGGATGTATGTACATGTACCAAAGTATTAAGGTGGGTTACACCATCCATCCCGCTATTTCCTCGTCGGAATTCCGATGCCGATAGTTCCAAGGTTGCGATTGGATGTAAAATCTTACATAAGCACATAGTAGATAATTTCCGATATTTACGTCAACTTTACTTTTTTTCAACCTTGATGGTTCTTTTTCCTACAACATCACTAATACAAGTGGTATTTAAGAAGCCTTACAAGCAAATTTCTTGCGCAAAGGATTTCGGACGCTCAATTATTATGTATATGGAGATGAATCGCTCATCGGGTCTATTTGTAAGAATTCGCACGTCGCACATATTATTCGTATACTGTTTTGCTTTTACTTTTGCTTTTTTTGTCGATCCAACTTTTCAGAGTTTCGAATACCCCGGCCTCACCACACCTTTGCTTGGTGGCGGGTTCCACGGCTTCTGGCTCTGGCTTTTCTACGAGCGGAGAAGTTTTCCTCAGCTCATAGGCCTCGCATTCACCGTCGATGACTCCCAGGCCATATTCTCTCGTCAAGGATTAGGGTCTAGTGGGTTGACGAAAAGGGGCTCATCTCGTTGACTCTTCTGTTCGGAGTATTGCTTCGCCTTCCTTCTTCCTGAATAGAAGAATGTCCTTCAAGGTTCGGCCTTGCTTCTTCTCTTCGTACAAAGGTTTGTGTTCCTGGTTGATATCGTGATCGTCGTTGTAGTCAACGTGGACGAAGGCCCTCTCCACGTCACTTAAGCCTAGAGAAGAAAGAAAATCAGTAAGTTGTCGGACTATGGGGGGGCTAATGTCGGGTTTTATTACCTTCGAGCTTCCTCTGAAGAGACTGACTCACATCATGTGAGATCTTCAAAGGGATGTTCTGATCCATGACAATGTCAACCTCGACATAGTACTTCTGCCCAGCATGGTACGCTCGGCACTAGGATCTATCAGTACCGCATCTACCGAAATTTGGATCGGGGAATTACTTACCGTATCCACTTTTAGAACCAGAGGATCGTGGGTCATGCTCATGTAGATGAGCTTAGATACGAATTCCTTCGGTGCCGATTTGCCCACTAACAGCCAAACTTGTTCAAAGGCGTTGGCAACCCAAGAGAAGAGAATTAAGAGTGCAATGCAAATAGCACCAATAGGGTCGAGATACCAGACAAATCGATCTCCTACCACCGACATGACCAGACCGAAAATGTTGACAACGATATCATTACGGTGGTCAACCTCCTGGATGTTAGCACTGCCACCTCCACAAGTCCAGGGGTGTGACTTACGAAGAAGACATGGACTGACGGATACTTGCGGTATGTAAGGCAGTAGAGCATAAGACTGCCCTTTGCGAAGACTATACCCCTGTTAACCTCGGGGTAGCGGCCCCAGAACAACATGACTTACTGGCAACGCCTACGAAGACTATAGGAATGATTTGGAGTTGATCTGAGTGGGTTGGCCCTCCACCAAGGGTACGCGCAGACTCGACCTATAGGCCAAGAGTTAGAGCCCATCGATCCCAACAGGCTGAAACGCCATGGGGAATAGTAGACTCACAAGCAGTTGAATGGCAACGGTAGTCATCAGTGCACAGAAGAGGATAATACCGATGGTCTCAATCCTTGTACGACCCTACGCGGCAATGAGCCTACGACCTTGATGGCCATATACCACTATTAATGGGTACTCACCACTGGGTATTTGTAGACGCTGGCTCGGGCGGCCATGCGCGAAGTTATCAGCATTACAAAAGACGAGACAAGATCCATCTGTCTCCGTGGTTAATAAACCGGCAGCACTTCATCAGCAGATTAAGAGTTTTACGAACAAAGGCATCAGCAGCAGTTGCGAATAGCTGTCAAGAACGCAATGGTCAACTATGTTCACTAAAAAGGAATATTCGCACCCAGGGTCATTTACCGATAGCGACCCAGTCGAGATGGCAGCGTATAGCTGAATTACGAAAAGGCAAAAGTTCACCGTGAACGATGCATTGACGGCGAACTTGATCTTGGGAGCCACTCGAGCATCCTCCTCAACCTGAAGTCGTTCCTCATCGTCGGCACCTAGAAATTGGTCGATAAGTTCATTTTGACGAGAATAGAACTTCTTCAGTTTTTTCTTATCTCCATTCGGGTGGTCAATCTTCATCTGGCGCTGAGAGACATTCTCACGACGATGGCGACCGAAGTTCAGCGGGTCATTTGGGTCGACCTCGGTCGCAGTGGTCGTCGCTCCAGGCGCATGGGATGCAGACTCCTCAATGGCAATGGAAGGAGGACCCTCGTCTTCTTTCTTGGATGAAGACGTTGTTTCCCCTGGCACAGTAGCAGCCGGCGCGGAGACGACGGGACTGGCAGCTGCTGGAGCGGCGTTGGTGTTGTCTTCACCTGAGGTTAGTTGGACCATGTCTCGAAGGCTTCACCGCAGCACTGGTATGGGATAAATGCATTCGAAACACTTGCGCGTCCCGGGAGTGGATGTTTCCATAGAGCCTCATGACAGGATCAGACGAGGGGAGAAGGATGAAAACGACTGACCTGATGGCTGAGCGGTGTTTTGCGATTCCTGATTCGCCATCTTGGGATTTATGCTCTGGAAGCCTTATGGGTGCAATACAAAAAATGTTTCCGAATGAAAGTGGAAAAGGTCGATCGCTGCACACAAGATTCATAATATATCCAAACCTGGCTCGGATGGGAAATGTGAGGGAGCCAACCGCTGTCCAAGGTTGTATTGCGCTCCAGACCGCTCCACTTCCGCCAAGTAGGATTGCAGCGGTACTCCCACGTCAGATTCACTGCATCTGGAATGGCTCAATGGCTTACTACCCAGCTACTACCTTGCTAACCCTCGCCTACCCTTCGCTACCCAACCCCCCGTACAAAAAATTTGGACAGGGGGGTTAATATGCCGGGTCCGGGTCGTCAATGACTCCGCTTGGACCGCAATTCTTGCCCCGTCTCAAACGACAGCGCTCTTGGCAATGGATTCTTCGCATCGGTATAGAGCCGATCGTCATCAAATAGGGTATGTCCAATTGGCCCAAAAATGTTTTGATTCAAGCGGAGTTTAGCATTGCCGTGCCTATCATGTACTCTTTGTCACAGCTAGACTGGCACCACGAGCTCCTCCTCCACCGCCGAGAGTCAAGATGATTGGTCAAACCGAGCTGTCCTACCCCGGACTCTTGTTTGCCAAGCCGTCTGCTGTTTTGGGCAACGCCCAACTTCCAAAATACCGCAACGGGACGCCAAAGCCGCATTATCTTAACCCACAATTATTGATACTGCCAAGAATGCTCTTGTTTCCCCGTGCGATTCAAGCGTCTTGTTCCTAACAAGGCAATATTGACTATCAGACAAATCCCCGACTCGCTGTAGTAGTAAGAAGCGTAGTTAATTACGATATTATTTAGACACTGTGGAGTTTTCACCGGATATACGGCTATCGTAGGAGGCTTCGAAGTTTACTATCAAGAGTAAACCGTCTGGGGGTGAGTGGAACTTGTTTCAACCCTACGACCGTCATTGTTTACAGTATTTTCGGCATCCGCTTGGCTTTAGCACGTAACGCTGCAATTTTCTCATAGATTATACCAATGACACTAACAATGGGTCCAAGTAGAGAATGTAACTAGAAGCCTTGTCTTCGGTCATTTGTCGAGTAGAGATGGACCTCGCTGACCTGAGTGGATAACCCCCAGGTGAGGCTCATGCCAAGCTCTCACAAGCTCAAGCATGATCTTCGACATCGCTGATGCCCAGAGCGGTAGAGATTGCTGTACTGCTCCTTTTTTTCACGATGCAGAACGCCACAGTGAAACAGCCCTGATAGCATTAACTGGGTTGATCTCTGGTTCATTACAGATTATCGACTTGGTTAAGACAAGGTTCCCGGCTCGCAAGCGTCGAGTTGCTGTACTATCATACGTTCAATCGGGAAGAAACGACAAGTTTAGTCGAGATGGATCTATTCTGGACGCTGGCTACACAGGCACTTTAGATTTCGACATCGACAATCATGGGTCTTCGTCTCAAGATTAACCGAAGATCGCCGGGCGAGTCTTGACATACAATGCGTATTAAAGCAATGGGCCTGCCTGATCTTCCAAGACTTGAGATTGATATTCTCTTCTTATGTGCTGTGTCATGATCAAGTGTTAGGGGTCTTCTTTCCTTATACATTCTCTTCGCTTCCTTTTTTTATTTTACCTTCCCTTCTCTTGGCGTGAGGATTGAAGCCTTTTCGTCTGTTCTTCTATTCTACACCTAGGAGTCGCCGGACGGCTTCATATTATCCCTTCATTTTTTGTATTCTTTCCGATTTCGTTGCTAGTCGCCGGATTCCCGACTGTAACTTTTTTTTTCTTATTATTTCTCTCTTTTTTGATAAAAGGAAATAACTAGTCATCATGTCGGACGATACTGGAAGCGCGAAGCCCGTCTGTGGCGGTGGCAAGGAGGCCGGAGAGTATGATCTTGCTCTACACACTGTTGGACTTTGTGAGTTTCGAGTATTCGTGAAATTGCAAGTCGAACTTGGCTAATTGCAGCTTTTAGTCCTTGTCTTGGCTGCTTCGATTTGCGGAGCTGGCTTTCCCGTCGCTGCAAAGAAGATCAGCTGGCTCAAGGTACCAGAGAAGGTGTTCTTCGCTTGCAAACACTTTGGAACAGGTGTCCTAATAGCAACTGCCTTCGTCCATGTACGTGATACACTTATCTTGATTATACTCTACCATTTTATTCTAACGAATATTTTAGCTTCTTCCAACAGCCTGGTTCAGTCTTTCGGATCCATGCCTTCCCGATCTCTTTACCGACGACTACCCACCTCTTCCTGGTGTTATCATGATGGGGTCCCTGTTCATTCTATTCATGATTGAGATGTGGATGAACAACAAGATGGGTGGCCACTCCCACGGTGGTGCTACAGGTTTCGAGCAACACGCACCGGCACCAACACGCCCAGCGCGTTCCGAAACCGTAAGCACCTTCGAGGCCGACGATGTCTCCTACGAGAAGAAGATGGCTCAGAAGATGTATGAACAGACTCAATACCCGTACCCCGAAGGTAACGAACTTGACCTCCCTCAATCCGAGATGCCTCCTTGGTTCGTCGTTTTCTACGAGCAGTACGTCCGCCAACGCCTTGAGCTCATCAACATGATCCGCGCCAATGGCCCCATTCAACCTGCCGCCGAGACCAAGCAAGAAGTTGTCGTAACAGAGAAGAGCATGTTTGACGAGGAGGGCCAACCCATCGACCCCATGGTTTACAAGAGAATGTCCATGAACATCACCCTCTTGGAAGGTGGTATACTCTTCCACTCCGTCTTCGTCGGTATGACCGTTTCGATCACCATCGAAGGATTCGTTATCCTATTGGTCGCCATTCTTTTCCACCAAATGTTCGAGGGTCTCGGTCTTGGTTCCCGTATCGCTGCTGTTCCCTACCCCAAGGGCAGTCTCCGACCCTGGCTGTTGGTGTTCGCTTTCGGTACCACTGCTCCCATTGGGCAGGCTATCGGTTTGGCCGCCCGTAACAGCTACGACCCCAACAGTGCCTTCGGTTTAATCATTGTTGGTATCTTCAACTCAATGTACGTATTTGATTCGCAACTATACCAGGATCACAGTATTGACTGATATTTCACAGCTCCTCTGGTCTTTTGATCTACGCTGCCTTGGTAGACTTGCTAGCCGAAGATTTCCTTTCAGAAGAATCCAACAAGGTTCTTACAATGAAGGACAAGAAGATTGCCTTCCTCTACGTTCTTCTCGGAGGTAAGCTACAACGTCCTTTTTTATTTGAGTATATTTGGCTGACAATAAATAGCTACTGGCATGTCTATCGTCGGTGCTTTCGCTTAAAAGGTGTGTTGGTAACGATCTTATGAAAACCACAAATCGACCAAGGGGAACGATGATGTTAGATCGGAATACCACGGCAGCATCACAATGTTGCATTGAGCAGTGCTTGCTCGGGATGGGAATCACAGCGAGGCATCTAATTGGGCATTTTAAAAATAATTGAGAGTGGCAGCTGTGGCAGGGGACCAGGGCGTCGTTGGGCTGGGCTTGATAACATGGAAGGGCTCCCTTGTCAAGATACGAGAGTTGATTTCCATACATGGAGAGATTGTAATTTTACAACACAGTCCTTACCGCAATCACCGGCATAAACCATCACACACTTCCCAAGTCGGGCTGCGCTGGATCGTGGGTTTGAGCATGCCCAAACTCGGGTTCTAGTGGTAGTTCGACTTTTCACAACCCTTCTCCTAAGAGCGCGCGCGATATTCTCCTTGTTCTACCACTACTCGCATTCACAACAATACCACCTTACGCCTCGAAGAGCCGAGCCGAGAATACGGGGAGGTTCTGCCGAAATACGAAGCCAGATTTCTGAAGATATGGACAAAACGGCCTACCTACCTACGATATACCCCCGCCCTACCGAATTTCACGACGACTGTTGGACTTAGTCGGAGGATTTAATGGGTGGCCTACTGTTTAGGCCGAGCCATGACGGAAAAATGGCGCAGGCACAAGGAAAGAAAGAAAGAAAGAGGAAAGACGGATTTCTTTAGAGCGAAATGAGATGACCAAATCATTGTATCACTAGAGCGATAGAGCGAATTTGTTTTTTTATGATCAGATACAGCTACTTGTGTATTTTCTAGTGTGTCTATTCTACGTTGAGAGACTGGAATTTTTTCTGGTATACGAAGACAGAAAGAAAGACTGAGAGATAGCGATGATAGTATGACAGACACGAATAAAGAGCGAATGTACGCAATACTGGAATATTAGAATTTGGTGACTGACTAGACTGACTGCTCGAAAATCCAAAGTAAAGGGGGATCGCCTTTGCCTCGCCACTTTGCCACTTAACTCTTCCCCTACTTCCATCACGTACAGTAAGTCATGCAATGCGGCCGGACTCACCTTACACGGAAACCGGCAGTCGTGTATCCGCAGCCGCAAGCTTTGACGCATTTCGTCTTGGCGTTTTTTACATTCCTGAAACGACGTCCGTGGAGATGCCGCGGTGGATGAGACACGCCGAGAGAAAGCTTGGCCATGCTCAGACGGTACGGGGGATTAGGAAAGGGGGCACGTGTGTGACTTCCCAATTCAGACAATGAGGAAAAATAAGAATGTTTCTAGAGTTATATATAGAATAACATTAGATAATAGTTTACGTGTAGAGGTTTGGAAACGTGCTTGGCTGGTTTTGGTAATGACGAGGTTGGTGGAAATAGCGGCTTGTTTTTTCTTGGTGGTTCGTCTTTACTATGAGTTGCCAAGGGAAGTGAAAGGCAGGTTTTGACGAGATGGTATTCTGGGATGGTGATGTATAGTAGATCAAGATATTGTTCTATTCACAGGGAATTTGCGCCCTGCAAGAGAATGTGTCTCGAGATTTGTCATAGTAATCTGGGTCAAGACGAAGATCCAGAGTTGAGCAAGTTGACATGGGTTAGCGGGAAGTTGGGAAACATTTCCTGCGATAAAACCAATAGATGTGATATAATATTAAGACGTTAGGGGAGCTAACGAGTATAAAGGCTACTACGGCTTCCGCGTTCAAGTGCAACAATCTGAACCATATGACTTTTCACTCGCTCTCTTTCTATCAACTTAAACGTCTACATAGAGACTCAAGGAGATATAAAATTGTGTTTATACACAAAACCTCGCGACATACTGCGTTGTGTGAATCTTTTTGCGGACATGTTCTCACCAGACGGGATTATCGTCTTGATTTTATTATACCAGCACCTAGAGGCCAACTCATTCTAGGTTCCTACGCGTAGTTCCCACGGGAGATCGCTAAGGATTGGCCAATATCTAGGTACATCTATAGTTGCATGTGCTGTTGGTGGCGAAAGAGGAAGGCTATTGTTGCCACAAACCTACCCCAAACGTTACTGCTCAGTAATAGTTTAACCGTATGGTCCTAGTTCCTACCTACCATCAAAGTACATGCTGAAAACCTTGGTAATATAATCGTGGTAGCTCGGAATAGTTGCGTGTTCAATATCTTGAGCCTCAAAGTGGGAGGCCGAGCTGGGGCGCTTTATTCCAGACCATCTGCCTATTGGACTAGTATTAATTCCAATGGTTGGCTTTGTATTATCTGTACACTCGAGGGGGAGTTTTTGCTATCTAGGTCATAATTCTTTCCCTGGACTGATATTCTGCGATTCTGACTTCCTTAATATCGCCAACTGTTAAGACCAAGACTTTTTCGCCAGCAAAATGGCCTTAATTTATTTTCTCTGGGCTAATCTTGGGAGTATTCATGATTACCTATACAGGCTATACTTAACCCAGTTTTTCACTTTAATACCTTCTATCCTACAGACACGCCATATCATAATTATAACCGTCACATCACATTACATCATCCACACCAAACAAACACAATTATCAGAAGGCAGAATACTTTTCTTTATGTACACCTAATCTACAAAACTGACCCCTAGCAACGCAACCAGCGAAGCATCAGAGCCAAGATCCGGCCGTCGTTCCGAATCAGCGGGTATAGCAGAAGAATACGATATGCCCAACGAGAGCGAACCCCCTCCATCCTCCCCGCGAAGGGAAAACGAAGAAAACCCCGCAAAACGCAAAAACAATGCCCGACGCCTTCCGAAATGCTGCAACTTTCCTTTCCTGACCACAAGCCGTTCGCCGAATACTGAACATCCTCCTAAAGATGGTAGAAGTATTTTGTCTGGAACTTTGGAAGAGAATCGAGTTGTACGCCGCCACCTCATTCTAAAAAACACTTGTTTTCTTCGCATGAAGCCGATGCCCTAAACGCCGCCTATGTACGTCTGTCGTATTATCATTGAAAATGTATAGTTGCAAGGAAAACTGGGGTATAGGGGAACTTTTGACTCGAAATGAAACTGTAGAGGCCGAATATTTTATCGTGTTTATTTTTCGTGATTGCTGTCATGGTTGCCCTCTTCTAACGCCAGAGGGGTATATATTGCTGACCAGACACCACAAGTATAGACTAACATTGTTTTGGCAGATGTTGGATATCGTGCTTGCTCATGCGGTGATTTGGGTTCGATCGTTGCTATTATGTTCAACAAGATGGGAAAGAGTAGCGTAAAGACGTTAACGCATTCGGGACACCATGCTGTTCAAGGACCGAACGCCCTCTTTTACACCTTAAACACCATATTTCCCTGAACTGAAAACTAAGCCACGTGATTTCGAATTCAACACCGGAGTGATTAAACGAGCACTTCCGGGTAGTATTCGATTATGAACGGGGCACTGGAGCTTCCCAAACCCCGATTCGTTGTAGTCAGGCTTGTTATTGTCAATCAGATCTCGCGAATGGTTGACATTGTCGGACCTTGTGGGTTGCCGGTAACTCCGAGGATCGTTTATTATAGGTTTGATGATGCCTGGATCTCATCAACCCTAAAGCTAGAGCAATAGGGTTCCTGGGAGGAAAGCAAGCCAAAAGTCAATGTACCGATAAGCTGTGAACCGTCCGTATCAAGACGAATGCCATCTGGCGTAAAAGTCATATCGATAGAGTATTAGGTTGATATGTCGCGCCATAACAATAGCAATGAGCTCGGTAGTATTAAGGAACAAGCGTTGTTACCCCTCCCGGGTGTCATGGCTCGAGAACGGGAGAGCATCATTAATATGACTCCTATGATCTACAGGTAACGAGATTGTCCTAATTCTTCATGGTTCGTGATGATTGATGACAAGGATATCTGTCGAATTTTGAGTGCATCAAATCAGCAGGAACCAACACCTTCTGCAGGCTAGTAGGGGATTTACAATCCAGCGTGAGTGCTGTTAGCCTCTGCAATATTATCGGAGAGGTTGATTAGCAACTGAGCCAGGCAACGCTTAGTAGCGGCATCGTCGCGGAGCACTGAGCTGAACGTGGCATCACGAAGTGGCTCTGGGAGGCATTGTCGAAGGGCTTCTCTAGCACGGGCGTTGTCACTAAGGCGCAAGAAACAGCGCACCACATGCTTGAGAAGGCGAGCGGTCTGTTGTTCGACTAATTGAGCAACCATGTTGCTCAGTACGGTCCCTACAGCATAGAACCTCTCATAAGTGGCGCAGATGTAATTTAGACCGTTGTCGTCGAGAAGGATCTTTTGAACAATGAAGATAGCAACTGTCTTGCTAAGCTCGGAGCCAGTCTCCATTATTCGAAGGCAGAGAGGGATGATCTCTGTGGTGAGAAGGAAGTTGATTACTTCGCTCGAATCATTCTTAACCAATGCGCCTATCACGCCCAGTGAGGTCAAACGAAGATACTCAAACGGTCGCGATTTGGAGGTTGTGTTTAAGAATGGGTAGAGGAATAGAGGAATGTGAGCTAAAGTCCATCTTGTCAGCATGTCGTGACCAGTAACACGGTGAATGGGGCGCAATCATACCATTCAAGAACAAGGTTCTTGTATCATTGTGTGATGCTACACATTGTAGAAGAGCAAGGGCGTTACACACTCGGTTTGACGCAGCAGCAGTGAGCTGGGAGGGGTTGAGTAAATTGTAGACCGAGATAATCTCCTGCATTAGGGAAGTCATGACGCCTAGACGAATTTGTTTATGTAAGTTTGTGGTTGATTATCACGGGTTCGGGGGTAAGTTACTAACCGAATGAATGCCATAGGATGAGTGCTAGCTCAGGCACCTGCTCGCGCTTCTTGCTAAGCTCGAGGAGGGCGGCTTCACGGGAATTCTCGTTGAGCAAGTCGGCGACGAAGGTCAGGGTTCTGCGGTTGTCCTCCGACACATTCTCTAGACCATTTTCTTGAACATGGCTAGCGACAGAGGCACCGATGCTCGACGTAACGTTATTGTGGGCACCAGCTAGTCGATTGTAGTGCTGCTGCTGGGCAGCAACGGCTGCGGCTGCTGCCTGCTGAGCTTGGTGCTGGTGACTTGGCTGTTGGTGCATCCATGGTTGGTCTGCGTGGGGATTGTATTGGTGGTGACCGTAAAGACTCGGATTCGGCAACATGGCGGCCTTTGATGAGTGCTGCAGGTTCAATTACTTTATGTATTATCTTACTAGGTTGTCGAGTGGACAGCTCTCATCCGCCTTCGATATCGGCCGTGTCGGTACGCGATCAGTTTTAAGAGTAGCACAAGATCTCAAACTCTCCGACAACACCTTCGTCGAGATCTAAACTTGCGCATTATAGTTAGTAACCATGGTTTACTAGGGCATCGTCTGTGGTCGCTCTTCGGGGCAACTTACATTGTGCGGGACGCTACGCCTCCTTATTATGGACAGTATTCCTTGTTGCTCTTTCTATCGTCGTCTTGTTAGGAGTTGTTATGGTGCGGAATAGTTTGGTGTGCGGTAGATCCGTCGTGCACGGAATCGAGCTAGGATCGCGTCGCACAAGTATGTCGCTATGATTCGAGTCCTTGCGGGCGGGATCGATAGGCTTCTATTAGGCTTTAGAGAAGTATACGTTATTCTTTTTGGTTATCGTCAATAGGAGGGCTTGGAAATTGTCGGCTCGATTGCAAATATTGTCGGGAATGAGGGAACCGATCGGTTATCGAGCAAGGGTAGGGAAGTTGCGGGAAAACGGCGCTCTCAACGAGGTATCCCTCCTCAGTTCCGAGATATGGAGTTCTTTGGCACGACGTATGGCAGTAAATATTGTCTCTTTCCAGTCGAGGTAAGACCGAGGGGATAGAAAGGAACTCCAGTTGGTGGCCTTTTCTATGTAAGTAGTGCGGTTAGAGAAGTAAGTGCCCGACTAAATCGTCGTATGTGGATCCAGACACGGTCCAGGTTGGCGTTGATGTTGACCCCCGACCGCGAAAAAGTTTTTGACACTGAGAAAACCCTAGGACTTAAAATCAATCGAATTATCGCACTGACGAACAATGGATAATTCAGAATCACTGAAATATTCGTAGAGTGGAGAGGAGAAGCGTCGGAGGGTTAAGGTGACAAAAAGTCAAGGTTGAAGAAGTTAAAGTCGCTGTTCGCCAAAACGCCGGTCGATGAAAGCCTCGCATACTAATTTGCCGACTGGAATGGAATGGTGGAATGGAGGTACCCCAAAGGAAAGGAAGCAAGCACTGACCAACCTAACCTAACCTTGTACCCACTTGCCCACTAAGAGCGTTATCCGATTGCGTTACGACCGACGGTTACGTACCTAGGTAAGTACCTTACAATGCCTTTCTGTTAGGGTAGGTACCGATTCTACATCAGCCCTAGCTCCTATCTAACTCTATCTAATCCCTTCCATTTGTAATTGCGCCGCAGCGGGGTGAAAGCACGAGCCACTTGTCTACCGTTACGTACCTGGTACGGTACCTAAACTTAATACCCAACCGTCTGAGTGTAACGACGTCGTGCTTGCCATGTCTGTCCTACATGATAGATGTATGTATGTACATGGGTAGGTACCTACATGTAGGTAAGCACGAACTTATGGACGTCAAGGTCCTTCCCTATATTTTATCTACGGTTTATCCCTACATACACTAATATCTTTATACGACTATTCTCTAATGGTAACAACAATGTCGCACAATTGCTCATAAATAAGACAAGATATGGATACCAAAGTAACAATAATCTCGAAGACAATTCCCATATAACATGTCGTATATAAATAACAAAGTCATAAAGACAAATAGAAAAAATAAATATGGCTTGAAGAAGCAAAACAAATCAAAGCAGTGGGAACAACGTGTCTTCCCGTCACCAGATGTGCTTTTTTACATTACTATTGTGTATCTGCTATTAGGAAAACATCCATCCATTGGTCGTCAAGTGCCCGTTTCGCCAAACCTGCCAATTCCACCATATCCTTTACACAATGACAGGAATCCCCTCTAGGTACGGCACGGCCTAACCTCGAAGTAACCTGTATCGACGGCACCAAAGCAACGAAACCTTCTCCAAAGGGAGATGAGGGGGTTAGGAACGAAGCAGCAAGTATTCAACAATTAATAGAATGGTCCCCCGTTTATACCCATCAAAAACCCCCCCAGGAATGGAAGATGGCGAAATGGCAACATAAGATCGTAGAACCCTATAACACTATCACCGTTGGATTCCCATACCCTTTATACCGTTGGCCCCATCGGAGGCGAAACACGACTGCCTGCTGCCCGAAACGAAGCGTCAGATTATAGACGCAACTCCTTTAATATTTGGTCTGCCAAATTCTTGAATTGCCACGTATTTCCTTCCATACGCTTGAACTGAATTCCATGCAACGAAAGCAGGGGAACCTTAACAATGAAGATCTCGAATTCTAGGACCATATTACCACCTAAGTCGCTCTGTACGTGTGTGGTTGTCTCACCCGGTACTCTCCTCGATGATCCAGTTGCGTCTCGCTGAATGCTATCCGCGTCGGAAACCTCCGAGGTTGAGTCACTCCTATCGGCTGCTACTCTTCCAGGCGTCCGTGGTGTGGGCGGAACTCGATCCATATCTCGGATTTCTTCACGATCACGCTCGGTCCTGATACCAAAGCTAAACCTACGACGGTGACCAGGCGTAGGCGCGGGGCTACCCGGTGTATCTCCTCCTTTCTTAAGGTCAATGCTAGGCGTATGGCGACAGGAGAATCCTCCACGGATCTCCGTGTAATCAACACCAAGCTGTCTCAATACCCGCTTAACATCCGTACGAATGGCAGGTACCGATTTGGTCGACGTTGTCGAGACACTAAAGAGACCTTTCAGAAAAACTGGTTTAGCTAACTCCGAGTCGTCTAGGCGCTCCGCCGAATTTCCACTTGCCTCACCAAGTTCCTGGTCCGTCTCTTCGGGGACATCGGCGGCACGAGTTTCTCCCCTGCGAGCCCTCCGCGCTTGGATGCTCTCCCGGCGTGCATGGCCCAACGGCCGAGCCCTCATAGAGGCAGCGCGAGGATTCAAAGCACTCTTGGGCTCGGGCGTAATTTTATCGGTAGCCGCTGATTGGTCGGAACCGCTAGTAGGCGGTGGGTCTTTGGCAATTTTGTGCGCAGAACCAAACGGTCGTCTCCTAAATTCTGCTGAGCTTACGCTAGTCGACCGCCCAAGACCTTTATTGCTGCCGGATAAGTTACCACCGGCCGAGAGTGGTGGGCTAAGTAAGTCTCTATGTTGTGGCTGACTACTCCCAGAACGCAGTCTAGTCGGTGGGTGGTCGTCCTCATCTCGTTCTCGCCTTGATCTGCGTATGCTGAAACTTTTCCGTGGCGTCGTTGGGGGTTCGGTTGGCGAATGAACGTGGACTACCGGTGGATGCGAACGGTCCTTGTCGAGCCTTTCTGGTTCCTTACGGCGTCTAGTGCTGAACCGCCTAAGAATACCAGCAGCTGCACTTTCCTTCTTCTGAGGCGGATCCACAGGAGTCTCAGGAGGAACTAGCACATTCGGCGAGGGCGGGGCTTTCTTCGCTTCTTCTGGGGCGTCGTCTTCACCATGGGTCCTAGCACGAGGTCTTGATCTTCCGCCGGTAGCCTTCTCTCCGGCCATCTCGTAAGCTGCTGTATTCGTGTGTGCCTCGGGGGGTGGCACGATTTCCGGCATTGGGGAGTCCGCGACGTTCTTGGGCGTATGTGATTTTGGCACGGCGTCTACCTTATCCCGGTCTTGTTTCTCCTTCACTAGATAGTAGATGGAAATAAGAGGGCTAAAAGCATTAAGCGGGTCGGCACCAAGCTGAAGAGCATCCGTGCTTGGGGTCGTTAAGTTATCACGACTGCTTCCTGAGTTGCGTCGTTTATAGAAGTCGAATCCAAACCCTCGCTTCTTCTCCACATCTTTAGGGGCAGGGGGCGCTTCCTTCTCTTTCTGAAGGAGAGCCACCGCTCGCTTGTATTCATCAGATTCAATTACTCTCGTAAGTTGTGCCTTGATCATCTCCGGAGGGCCGAAGTTAAATCCAGTCATGGCACTGATGACTTCTGGTTCGAGCGGGAGCGTCAATGGTTCGCGGGTAGGTAAGTAATTCTCGGGCGGCCCACCATACCCCTTGATCATCCAGGGGTGGTTCATGACTTCGAACATTGTCGCCCTCTGTCTGGGACTAGTGACTAGCATACGGGAGAGTAGATTTCGGCATTCTAAAATTATTGTTAGCAACGAAAGTCATACCCAGAACAAGGTGGGTTTCTTACCATTAGATAGCCAGCTAGGATAGTCTACATCTCCCTTCTTGATCTTCGCATGAAGAGCTGGCATGCTCTGGTCATCGAATGGGACTTTTCCGCACACTAACACATATAAAACGATACCAAAACTCCATACGTCAACCTCGGGACCTGTGTAGGCTCGGGCCTGTAACAGTTCGGGAGCCGCGAAATACAAACTTCCGCAGAATGTTTTGAGATGACCACGAGGCGCGAAGAGGTTGCTAAGACCAAAATCAATGATCTTGATGTCGCCAGTCTTACTGATAAGTATGTTTTCGATCTTAAGATCTCGATGCACTATGCTATTCCGGTGGCAATAGTCTAGGGCGCTGGCAATCTGTCTGCTAAATTTTCTCGCTTGCTTTTCCTTTAATTTTCCGTGAGAGATAATATAATCTAGCATTTGGCCTCCATTTACGTATTCGAAGAGCATGTACCAATGATAATTGGTTCGGACCACATCTCGCATGCCGCAGATGTGTGGGTGTTGTAGAAGGGTTACGATAGCTGCCTCTCGCGCTGTTCGGATTTCTTTCGACTGGTCGGCCCTTTCTTTATCGGCTCGACTGTGATGGCCATCTTCGGTAGAGCCTCGAGGAATAATTTTGCATGCGACCTAAAGGCAATCATAGTTAGCGACGGGGCACGAAAACATGAAAACCGCCAATCGATCGATAAGACAAAAAATAGAAATACTGACTTGTTCTGTGCCATCTTCCTTCCGGGCAAGCTTCACTTTACCCATACTACCAGCACCAATTGTCTTGCCAAGAATCCATTTTCCAGATTGTGTCGGGATGGACGTCCTTGTAGTTCTTTGCTTAGTAGCACGAGCATCCACTGCCGCTTGCATGACGGGCGGGATGGCAGCTGGGCCGGCGTTGTTAGCGACAGCTGTCGGACCTGCCATCTCGTTTTGGGTGTGGGTTGATCGAGTTGACCGGGTGCTACTTCGACGGTGGACGCCTTTAGAGTCGGTGCCACGCGAGGCCAGGGGTGGGCGATCTTTACTAGAATTTCGCTTAGAATGATGATGGCCAGAGACTACGTTCGAGGTTTCATAGTCTTTCTGAGGTAGAATGTCTTGAATAGGACGACCGGAGGCTGAATTCTGGCGGCTATGATGACGATGGTGATGAGAGGTCGAGTTGGAATGGGGTTGAGGTTGAGATTGTGGTGGTGGACCCGAGTTGTGTTGGGATGGCCTGGAAGGCGATGCGGCGGTGGAACTGGTCGGGCGTGAACGAGTCGAGTGGGATCGCACGGATGGTTGACCGTTATTATGGGATCGGGGAGATGAGGATGAAGAATGGCGATGGTGATGATTGCGATGATGATGAGAAGAATGCTGGTGTTGTTGTTCGGTTGCTGAAGTTGACATTGCTTGCTTGGCTTCGCTATTGCTACAGCAATCAATTCTCTCTCTCAGTGTCTGGGTCTGGGTCTGTGTCGTAGCCGTAGCCGTACTGTACAGTATGGATTAATTAGGGTAGGTCTGGCTTGGTCCGGGTATGAACAAGGCAAGGGGGGATCAAAGCTGAGAGCGGACAAGGCCTCGTTCAGGGCCAGAATCTCTTCTGATCCATAAAAGTCAAAATTAAGAATTGGTTCATTCACTGCTGGGTTACTGCTGGGCTGGGCAGTTTCCAAAGATTTGGGCAGTGAGGGTGACAGCCTGGATAGGCCCCCCCGGGAAGTTGTGTGGTTGTATGGTTGTATGTGTACGGAGTAGGTACTGTAGAGGTAAAAAGGTGGTAAAAGGGTTGTAGGCCGTGGGCAGTCGTACTGTAACGGTTTCTGACCTGGAGCTACTAAAGTTACAGGTGGAAGCCTCGCCGCTATTTTGCTCTTTCCCTCCTTAAGAAGGGTGTGGATTGGGTGGATTAGGGGGACAAGGATTAGGCTTAGTGTCTCCTTAGGTGTACAAGCACGCTAATTGACCAAGTTGTCGGGCACTGTGACGGTAGATTAATCGGTACATGTGCATGTATCTTTTTTCACGCTCCAATTTAATACCATGATAACGGCGGGGGAACAGCTAGAAATCGGGCAAGTTACACATACAAATAACTGTTTAACGTCTCTAAATGTACCTAGATAAATACTGTGCCCACTACAACTCACACGTGTCGGCATCAATTAGAGCCATCTACGCTAATCGGGGGCAACCTACATCTATCTCCTCCACCGGGCGTTCATTCCCGGCGGCCATTAACAATATGGATTATCTTTTTCAACAATATCTGGACCTGTGCATCTAGAACACGAGGGCAGATAACATTCGATTGATACAGTGGCAAGAAAAGAAGATCCCAATTGAATTCCACCCCGCAACCACACGGAAGACCGATGTCGATATACGTACCTAGGTATCTATGTACACCTAAATACTCCAAATATAGGTACACAAGTACTTACGGAGTACTAGATGGATATTTTTCAATGTTAAACCTGAAATTGTTTCAACCCAGAAGAAAACCCCGAGAACAAGATAAAAGAGACGCAAAAAAAGAAATAAAATAATAACAAAAGTCAGGCTCGCGGCTTATTAACTAATCAAAAACAAAGATGACTGGGTTTTGTTATTGAACATTGAATGGCTTGGTATGCACCTTACGCATTCCAGTCCAGCAGGTGATGTGGCTTTGTACTCGAATAACAAAATGACGAAATCTAGAGAGACGGTCCCTGGAAACAAAGATGTACCTAAGTATAACGCAAGTACTAATCACCGGACTAATCGTGGACTAACGGGGGAACTAACGCACTACGGCGGTCCTTTAAAGATTATACACGACATTAGTCTGGTCCTTAACTCTCGACTTTTCAACATTTTTTGTCACGTCCAACGATCAAGAAACAACACATATGTTTGTTTATTCATGAGAATCCACTAACACCACTAATACAATACCAATTGGTCACGATACGGGTAATAGATTTAATACCGAACAAGTCGTTCAACTACACGTATTACGTTTCAAGTTTTAAATCCCCCTTTACTTCTCTTCATTCATACTATCTTGTCAAGTGATACTCCTATGTACAAAGTAGGCGAGTACATTTTATACATAAAAAAGAAGTCGACAAGTGCATACATCCACAATACAGGGCTGGAGGGTTATGACGACAGCACCCAAAATGTTCCCACCACCTATTGACTAACAAGGTTGTATTGCAGAATCAAAGCTTTACAGATTAGGAAAGGAAAGGAGTATGAATGGGCATCCCTCTTTTTTTCCATCTCGTTCGGTCAGCCAAGCACCATGATAGGTTGGGTCTTCACCAACTATTCCGCTTTCATCGATTTGTTGAATCAGAAGATGGTTGAACTACGTGATTGGACGCTGAAGCGAGATATCTCCCAAAGTAGCGAAATGGCATCGAAACACCCCCTCCAGCGAGCAAATACCCCTATTATTACACCTATCATTCAGAATCCGGTATGACTTTCAGTAAGTCTTCGTATGACTTAGTGAGGCTCATGCAAAGTATCAAGTTTACAAGTTGATATTAGTTCATATTGAGTCCTGATGGCAGGCATGCCACACATTCGCTTCCAACCCCCCCGTCAAGGCACCCTTTAGATTTCATCTCCCCCCTACCTCGAGCCATTTTGGGTTTTATAATACTACTGCCAATGGAAATTCATAACCACCGTCTAGTCTCTAGGAGGCTCTTATGTGAATATTTGTATATATTCCCTTCAAATCTTCGCAAACTATCCCCGACCCATTTGTTAGAATGAATCTCAACTTCCAAAACTCATTCCATCCCGCCCAAATAACGGACGCATACAACACCAAGCTCTCAACCCGAAAGCTACAAAGCTAGGATTCAAGGAGTAATCCTTTCCAGGCGAATCTCCAAACCACTTGGCCGCATCGTCAAGCTAGGATTCTGGATCTTGAACCCCTTTGCAACCTCTAGGATCCTGAAATTTCGGATAATCTCAGCAAGAATAATCTTGATCTCCATAAAGGCGAAAGATCTCCCAGGACATATACGTGGGCCACTAGAAAAACACTGGAATACGTATGGAGATAACTGTTCGCCGGACAAGCGATCCCACCGCGTCGGGTCCACCTCGTCGGCATTACCTCCCCATATTGCTGGGTTGAGCGCAGGCACCGAAGCCATGATGTCGAATAAAGTGCCTTTAGGGATCGGGACTCCCTGGATTGTGATGTCTTCGATTGTTTCGCGGAACATACCAGTTGCTGTTGTTCGGTTTGGGTTAAGACAGGACCTTATGAAATATTACTGGGGATCACTTACCAGGTGGGTACAAGCGAAGCGTCTCCTTGATAAAGTTATCGAGGTAAGATAATCTATCAAGCTCGCTAAAACTAGGGTCATCGCCTAGTTCCAAGATCTCCTCACGCAGTCTGTTTTGAATATCGGGTTTATTTGCCATGAAGTACAGGCCAAACGAAAGCATATACGCAGAGGTTTCATGGCCGCCGGCCATGCAATTAAGGAGCTAGAGAGGTGTCGTATGTCAGTATACACATTGGTGCAAATCGGTGCTTTACTCCTTTCAGTTCTTTTATAACTTACATGGCCCACCGTCTCTGATTCTGTGGCACCCTCAGCCGAACCGCCAGGCATGCTCTCTTCCAGCAGAAATGTCAAGATATCGCGCGAGCCACTTGTTTCATACTTCCCAGCATCCATGGACTTCTTGAGTTCTTCATGTCGTTTCCTCAATAATTGAGTCACATAATTCCTGAGCCATGAGGCTCCGAAGAGGAAGTCACGATTTGCTTGGAGGGGGAGCCATCGTGTTGGCACGTAGGAATTAGCAAGCATCAGTATCCCGCCTAGTGTTCCTTGTGCGAGGGTATTCATATAAGCATCATGGAGTTCGTATTTAGCTTCTATGTCGTGGGGTTTAGTCTCTCCAGGCAAGGTAGTCGAAGCTACACTCCCAGCATCTGTTCCGAGGACGGCGATAGTCGTCACGTCAAGGGTGAACTTGCTGAAGTACTCACAGCAGTCGATGACCCCGGTCTCACCGTCATTACCAACTGCGATAGATCGATCGAAGAGTTGGTTCACCTCGAATGCTTTGGCCTTGAACACAGGCTCCAACTTGCGAATATTAGTCACGGTGAAGCAGCTGTTGAGTATTTTCCGATGGGCTCTATGTCGGTCGAACTCCATGGAGACTATACCGTCGCCCAATATCTCCTTCATGATGCGTCGCCATGCGGCGGACTTCTGGAAGGAGTAGCATTTTGTCTGGAGGATTTCTTTAAAAGCTTCGACGCTAATGGGCACGAGTACTTCGGTGTTGGCGAAAGATAGATATCGGATGAAGGTAGCGTTAGGGTTCTTCCGCATCCAGTCGATGTATAAAGTGGTAGGTGTCTCGGACCTGAGCAAATTGACGAACTGGCCGATGAAAAAGAGGCTATTCTAGATGATGCTCTCCATTAGGACCCGGACATGATGGGACGAGTTCAAAAAGGGGAAAACTCACGGTTGGACCAGGTATGTGCCGTAGAGGTGAGAAGTATTTATGATACAAGAATATTCGGTAATATTTCAAGGTCAGATACTGGATAATGAAGAGGATACATCCTGCCTGGATGCGTGTGAAGTGCTGAATACCGAGATACTCTACAAGCCTTGTGACTGCGAAGGCTTCGATAGCCGCAAGGCTAGAGCACTTGATAACATCCATGACTTGATGTGTAATTTCCTATTTGAAATGCGATCTGTAATAATCCTACGTGGAAATCTGGTTTTGAGGCTACACGACATTTCCATTGAGTTTCAAGTTGAAGAGTATGGTGTCTATATAGTCCGTGGAAAGCAAATACTCCGAGCGTCACTCCGTGTACACCTATTACGAATATACCTATTCGAGGAACATACATATGTAACGTGGGTGTCAACCACTTACATTACAGATAATTCACACGGAAGAAAGCGAGATATCCGATGTTGTGAGACATATTACGCAGTGAGATCCCAATTTCAAGCTCCGAAACAGGTAAAGTAGATATCCATTTGGATCATGAAAATGGTTCACGATACCTAATGCAGCTGCTGGGCTGAATACGCCGGCTTGATTATATGGTTCAAAATGATTGAAAAGTGGCTGCAATACCAATCTCATATTCTGCAGTGAACCGAACTCCAACGGAACATTGCATGAACCCGAGCATGTATGAACGAATACTTATCTCATAAGCAGGCTACCTATCACATTTTGCTTTTGATTCCTATCAATTTTGTCCGTAAAAGGAAAACCGGGAGGATCCTCCTTATCACTCCCCGAACGCCACTTGCAACCCTAGAAACTTTAGAAGCAAGTATATTGCTGTTTATTATCAGCTGAAAAGTCGATCCCCGTGGAAGAGTAGAACTTGGGTCAACCTGCCAGCTCGCTTCTTCTAACCAAGTCGGTGAGGACTTCATGTGGGATTTTGATGGAAACGAATAGAGCAAATGGTCACGATCTTCTTGATGGTTATATTGACGTAATTTTGTATCTTGCTTACGTTATTTCATTGTGTAGGTTTGGTGTGTAGGACAATCTGGAGTTAAGGCTGCATTGTAGGTATGATCGGGGTGATAGATGATAGGAAAAGAGAGAGGGATTAGATGGTAACATGGAAATAAAGAGGATCGTGATCGTGGCTTAAATGACGTTGTGGCTAAGCAATCTTGTGTAATCTCAGATCGCCCAGCTCGGTGGTTCCCAATCCCGATACGCTATTAATTTTATCGATAAGAAACACCATTGTCTTTACGTTATCGTCTAAACTCCGTCTCGCGTCACTCTCATATGCAAATACCTCTATGATCCGCGATGTACAATATTGCAAACGCAATAAATAGACACTCTAGCACTTCGAATTAATTACAACGACCCCTGAAACAAATTGTGCTAGAGACTTCACCCCCCAACATAATACCTCCACGAAAATCCTCCCATGTCCTACAAGCGATCCCGCGCGACCTTCGAAGCCGACCTCCAAGCCCAGCAATCACCATACGTACTCTTCGGCACACCGCTGCCACCCCTCGACCCCGAAGTACGGGACGACGGCTCCTACGTTCCAGTATGGAAGCAAGAAGTGCGCGATGAGCGGGGGCGCAAGCGGCTCCACGGTGCCTTTACCGGAGGTTGGAGCGCTGGGTACTTTAATACTGTCGGGTCGAAGGAGGGATGGACACCGTCGACGTTTGTCTCTTCGCGGACGAATAGACATAAAGATGCTGCGGAGCAGAAGCGGGGGAAACAGCGACCGGAGGATTTTATGGATGAGGAGGATCTTGCGGATGCTGAGGAGGCGCAGAAGTTGCAGACGGCAAGAGACTTCGCTGGGTTGGGTAATACAGATGGAGATGGACTGGGCCGACGTGGAGGAGGGCTGACGGATTTGTTCCGGACGCAAGGGGAGACTATGGGTGTTAAACTACTGAGAAAGATGGGCTGGAAAGATGGCCAAGGAATTGGTCCTAAAGTTCGTCGAAAAGCTCGGCTTGATGTTGGCAGCGGTAAACCGGGCAGCACAACTCAGGATGGGCCCGATACATACCTCTTCGCGCCGGAAAATGTATCCATGATATCATTTGTCAAGAAACTAGATCGAAAGGGTCTCGGCTTCGAGGGTGAATCAAAATTGACACCTATGGGACCTAACGCACAAGCAGATGCCGGCTCAAGCTCGGACGAAGACTCACGGAATGGTCCATTAATACGTCCGAGTGCGACGAAGAAGAAAAAACCGAGCAAATTCTCTAAAGGGGGCATAGGAATAGGTATCCTAAATGACACAGGGTCCGACGATGAAGACCCGTACGAGATCGGCCCGCGAATATCGTATAATAGGGTTATAGGGGGTGATAAGAAAAAGAAGAAAGCGGCAAATCCGACATTACGTTCGGCGCCAGTGTTTATATCTCGGAAAAGCGCCCTTGCACAAGCAGGCAAGAACCTACGGAAATGTCACGACGGTCGCTTGCCACTTGATGGTTTCGTATTTGGCACCGAAATAGACGATCCAGCGTCTGCCATCAACTCAGAAGCGAATAAATGGCCTGCACCACAAATACCGCCAGACTGGAAATCCAGCAAACAACGAAAATCCGATCCATCATCATCAGACTACATATCTACAGCCGATGCAGCCAAAGCATCTAAACTTGACCCCAAATCCCGCGCCGCACTCTTAGGCGAGGCCCAACTTCCAGGGAAGTCCGTTTTCGACTTCCTATCCGCATCAGCGCGCGACCGCCTCGCTGCCGCAACAGGCAAAACCAACCTGCCGGCCGCTCTAGGTGAAATACCTGAAGGGTATACCCTAACCGAGGCGGAGCGACAACAGGAATTACTCCGTCAAGTCCCTGAACTTGACAAAGCAACCGCCGCGGCAGCGATAGCCCGAGGTGCCAGTGGTGCAGGGGGCGGACCGTACGCTGATGACGAGTCAAAACGCGCCCGCTATCGAGCATACCTCGAATGGGCAGCCGGTCTCTCCACCAACCCGCCCTTCAAACCCGCCAACCTAAAAACCGAGGATTGGTTACGCGAACTCCATGAATTCCGCAGCTGCGCGCTGATTTTTAAGCCCATGACCGGCGCCATGGCGTCTCGCTTCACAATTTCTACTTCTTCCTCTAAACTAGCTGCCGGGCCATCAGGTACTCCGGGCTCAGAACAAGACTTAGTATCGAGACCACCGCCAAAACCATCGGATCCAGCCGAAGAAGCTGCGAAGATGGGTCTGTATGGCTCGATGACGCGATCCGTGGCGGATTTTTATCCAGCGAGGTTGCTGTGCAAGAGGTTTGGCGTTAAGCCGCCCGCGCATGTGCAGCCGGATTATGACTTAGGCCAAGACCGAGGGAAACAAGATTCGGGTGCGGCAGCGAAGAGTATGCCGACTGCGGCTACATTCGGGGGTACAAGTACTAGTGCGGGTGCGATGACGTTAGATGAGTTATTAAAGTCGGCACAGATGCCAGATACGTCAGCGCCGACACCGCCTAAAGCTATAGAAGCACCACCGCCGCCGTCGCAGCAGGTAGCAGTAGTTAACGCGGAAGTAAATGAAGCGCTGGAAGGCAAAAGCGCGCAGGAGGATGTTCTGCGGGCTATTTTCGGCGATAGTAGCGATGACGAGGATTAAATGCATGGCTTGTACAAGTTTGGAATAGCGAGTAAATCATTTGGTTGATTGGCGTGCTAGATGAGATATACCCCTTGAATAAAAATAAAGATATGAATTCTGATTATGTGATAAGTAATCGTAGAGTTTATACCTTCTTTTCTGTCTGGCTAGTTTAAGTTTTGGGGGGGGTTCGTATTTAGTTTGTTCTACGCACGAATACTAGGTCATCGCGAAGGTAGAGAAGATCCCAAATTCTATTTTATGTTCGCATAACGCCGTAATATGTCGCCAATGATGCTATATACAAGCGCAGCGCTAATTCCACACCGTAGTTTAATGCGTAGGCTTCGCAATAGGCGCAATAATGCCCTGCTTCATCAATATCTTCGGCTTGGTAGCCTCCTGGAAGGTCTCCTTGGTCATCCACTCAGGTCCTACAGGAAGGCGTAGAGCACGCTCATATTGCAACCTAGACTCGTAAGGGTGTGGGAGTTGAGAAGCTAGAAATCTGTCGTTCTGTAAAGCATGTTAGCGAAGGATTCGGAATAAAGAATGGCTTGATAGAACGGCATACCTTCTTATTGCGCTTCTCGTTAATAATAACGCTCTGTAGCCCAGCATCCTTACGATCTTTCTTTGTGATACCTTCCTGCTTGGTAAGGAAACGTCCTTGATGTCGTTTCTTCTCGCGGTTGCTGACACCGTCACCGACCCAGCTACCCCACCCGGGAAGCGTATTATCGATGATCTTGTCGTCGTCATCCTCTTCGATGGCGGCTTTGTCTTGCTCAAATTCAGCGACGACATCTAAACCACCAAAAGCTTTCTCGATGAGATCTTGCTCGCGGAATTGAATAGGCAAGTGGCTTTCGCCGTCGTCCGAGGAGTCATCTCCATCGATGACAACTTGCTTTTTGCTCGGCTTGAATTTCTTCACCGGCGCTGCAGACGCCGCTACAGCTACCGAGTCTGCACCAAGCTCTAGCACTTCCACGTTAGAGCTAGTCTTCTTTCCTCTCTGTTTCTTCGAGGGTCCGGCTGCCGCGGGCTGACTCCAAGCACCAGCTATCGAGTTTGCATCCACGTCTTGTGGAACCGAAGCCGAAAGACCTTTCGACCGTCCGGCAGCCTTAGTTGTCACTTCATCTACAGGAATCTGAAGGCCGGCCTTCTCCGCCTTATCTTTCTTGCTAGCCTTAACGAGTTGTTCGCTCGCCCTGGCTTTTTTATCTCCCGATGGCTGACCGAATTTTCGTCGGCCGATATCTTCGGGCCCATCATCGGATTCATCGTCTCCATCGTCATCAGAGGCTAGATCCCGCCGTATCTCAGCCACCAATTCGTCATTGGCCTTTTTCTTAGCTGCCTCGGCTTTCCTCATAAACTGCATGCTCATCAATTTCGACTTGGGTTGCCCATCCTCAGCATCGGAAACATCATTAAGTTGTTGAAGAAGTCTCTTTCGCTCGTCGACATCATCTGAGCCACCCGAGTAGTCAGAGTCGTCATCAGAGTCACCATTAGCCTTTGCAGGCTTTCCTTCGATACGTCGGCGCAACTCTTCGTCTCGCCGCGCCATATCGGCTACTCCCACTCGAACATCGTCATCCCAAGCCGCACGGCCGTTTTTATTAGTCATTTTAGCCCACTTGCTTTCACGATGTCGAGCACCCATTCGTTCCATAGCTCGCTGGCGATCTTGAGCTTCACGTTCTTCTTCCGAGTCGATTTCCCCAGTCGCAGCCATGATTTCGCGTTCTTTAATCTCATCTCTTTCTCTCTGTTTTCGATGTACTCGATGGTACGCCTTACTCTTGATCTTTTTGATGCGTTTCGCTCTTGCGTCTTCTCGAGACTTGAGTTCTCTCTCGCGACGCTTTTGCTGCCACAGATCCTTGAGGTTGTTTCCTGAAAGACCCTGGGCGTCGTCATCATCTAGGTCTTCCGTTTCTTTCGTTTCCTTCTTGGCACTTGGACCCAGGCCACTTTCTTCCATAATAGCTAAAATGGTCTGTTCCAATTCAGTCCCCGCTGTTTTGTGATTTAGAGGTTGGATTTCGCTGTTATCGTGTCTGGCGAGACCGGTTTCTGTCTGCGGTAGAGGGAAGACGAGATGATCGGCTCTTCTGTTATGCTTAACAGTTTCGGTCCATCGATCTAAAACCTCGTTCGTTTTCTCATACGCAGCAGTGCGATCTAGCTTGGCTTGTTGGCGCCTTGCAAGTGGTACGTCAAGCTTCTGCGGTTTGCTGGATTTCTCCTCTTTCTTCATAAGCTTAAGAGATTTCTTAAGCTGAGGATCTTTGATTCCCAATAAGCCTAGGTCTTTTAACCCTAGCTTCGGTTTTGTGGTTGTCGGAGCTGCATCTTCTTCATCCGCATCCTTTACCCCAGAGAATTTGGAGACCCACGCATTGATACCAGAATCTGACACATCGTCATCTTCCTCGTCCTCGACATCGGAAGACTCATCGCCGGATACATCGTCATCTCCCGATTCTTCGTCAGAACCAGACTCTTCCTGGTCGCCTTCGGGTCCATCATCTTCCGACATAGACATATCCAAGGCTTGGGCGAGGTCAATAGCATCCGATCCAAGCGAAGCGCCATCGGCATCATCAATATCTTCGTCATCGTCGTCTTCATCCGAATCATCCTGTAAACCACATTAGCCATGTTTGACACAATCTCCCAAGCCATAGTAAATTTCATTACCTTTTTCTTCTGTTTCGGCTTCTTCCTACTCCCCCTAAACGCATAATCCTCAAATCTCTCCTCATCGCTCTCACCAAACGCCTCATCACTGTCAATTTCGGAATCATCATCCTCATCGACACCAACGCGCCACTCATTCCCACTACTATCGCTGCCATATTCCACATCCTCATCATCACCACCACGGCGCATCTTCCTCGGCGGTCCCTCATCTTCATACTCATCCTCTTCATCGTCGTCTTCGTCTCGCGCATGCTTGCTACCACCGGTGGCACGAGGGACATCTAGTTCGCGATTCCGCGGTGTGCGCTTTTGGTTATCGGCGTATTCTTCTGAAGCGATTGCGAATGCGTTCATAGCTTTCTTGGTCGATCGTGATTTCGATCGCTTTTTGCTTTTTCCGCTGCTGCTTGCGCCGCCGCCGAGCGGGCGCCCGTGGGCTTGTCGGCCGGGCATATTGAAGGATGCCTTCTACGAGCGATTTAATAGGATGCAAGTCGTTTATTCGCAATTCCAATATTGCCTTAAATCTTAATACGCACTCGCAGGCGCCTAACCTCCAAGCTCAACCCAAAGCCTAAGAAGCTACTGAGATGTAGAATTTACTATGCGAATTCCCATAAAATAAAAGCGGTGTCTAGACTTTTTTTCTGCCATTCGATAACGATAGTGGGGGAGCTTTAACTACCGTAAACGGCTTAGCGTATCTAAGCGTCCAATTAGAGTTATCAGAGTTTAACTTTGCATACAGTATCCAAGAAGTACCTAAGTACCGGGCCCACCCGAATTCGTCGGTTTTCAAGATCGCGAATTCCTCAATTCACACAACCTACGACCAGTATCAGCCTATGACATCGACCAATCGGCCTCTTCTCTTTCAATACGGAGGTAGTTACTAGCAAATCCGCATAACCTGCGACATAGATTACGATATACCCGACCATACCCGAATAAGCCCAAGAAAAAGAAGGGAAAAGACAAACCACCAAAATGCAGCCCACCCAAGCGCTTCTAAAGCGCTTCCGCAAGCTACCCTTAACCACCAAGGACATCAAGAAGGGATACTACAAGGGAACGCGAACAGGAAGTATGGGTCGACATACCAAGTTCGGCGGGTACATAATCGACTGGTCCAAGGTGCGGACATACGTCGTTCCTACCGGGTTAACTGAGTTTAAGGTACGTCCTTGTGTCTTTTGCTACTATACCTTCGTATAATCGTATAGAGTTGGAAGTGCTGTGATAGCTAGGTGGCTGGGGTTATAGTGGCTAACAAGATGATAATACAGTTAACGCCCTTCGTAACGAACAAAGTGCCGCCAACGAAAGGACGATACGAGGGCTATGCCAAGGGACCGAAGAGCCCAGAATTGTATTTAGATCGATGGAAGTCCGAGAATGGATTAGATTGAAGTGTCTATCACATGTCTCAAAATGAAAATAAATTACAATTGCAAACTGTATACCGACGAGTACACGAAACATAGACATATACGCTCGGCTTATTGACAAAGCCGACGACCGACTTCTTATAACGGGCTTTGAGTAACTTCCCCGGAAGCTACTACGACCTCAAGGCATAGTGGATGGCGGCATAAGGGTATGAATAACGATATATATGTAAAATCTGTATTATACCAATCACATATGCATCAATCATATACAGCTACACATAGTGAATTCAAAGCCATACTGTAATAATTTCAAAATATTCAATTTTTAAATCCTATTACTGGTGACTAAATAGCGAGGGTATATAATATAAAAATAACAAAATAAATAATAACGCACTGTCCAAGGCCTTTTTAACAAATGAGATATGATCTGGGTATATTGCTGTCCCTTGTCTCCCCTTAAACCCCAACTTCCGGAAATAAGAATTTTACTTGGTGGTAGGTAAATCGTCCCGTGCGGTGACGAACGTTTCCAATGGTGGCCGTTCTAGGTTTCCAGCGGCTCCATCAATAGTGATCATTGGCGTAGCGAATGGAGTGGCTAATGGCGTCGTCGCTGTGCTGTTGCCTCCTTTCGCCTCGCCATTCTCGGCGGCTTCCAGTTCCTGTCGTTTTAATGAGTTAGGGTCAACAACTTCGTCCTTGGCGTTCTCAGTGGTAGCTGCGACAACGGCGGCACTTGTTCCCGCTACTGCCTCAGTCTCCGGGCTTAAGGGCCTCGGGCTTGCAACACGATCTGGCTGGTCAATTGCTGAGGTCAAGGTGATCATGCTAGCTGTCTCGGCCTCTTTATTAAGGGTGAAAGGCACAGCAATTCCACCGACAATGGGTCTCTTGCCAGTTACCCCAGTCTCGGGTGCCATATAGTCTGGTGTGAGCAGAGCGCTTCCAGGCGATGGTAATGGCTCGATCTGCTTTGCCTTTTGTTGCCTCCTAGCCAAGAGTATGGAGACCGGAGTATTCTCGTTCACATCGTCATCTTCGGCAACCTGCTGCTCGTCCTTGACAATCTTCGTCCTCGACCGGCTTCGATTGTGTTTAAGTTCTCTCCTGGCGACTGCATTCTCCTGTTTTTGAAGGTCAGATGGCGAACGGGCGCCAGCTCCCTCTCCTTCTACAGTAGTAGCAATCCTAATTTCGGGGGCTTTATCTGCTTCATGTTCCCGGTTTACGGTTTCCTCGTCATGCTTAGAGCCCCATAGTGACCACAGAGCGAGGCCCATGCTCTTGGTCTTCTTCTTTTCAGCAAGGCTCTCGCCAGCCTTACGCCTGCTCGCAAGAGCGGCTGGAGGTGGCGTCTCGCCGTCGAAGCCCACATACCCGGCAGCCATCTCCTTAAGACGACGCTTGTGGATCTTGGCGCGGATGCTGCCATAGCGTTTATCCCACTGTGAGCGTACTTCAAGCCACCTTCGTACTGGAGTCTCCTTGACGACTCCAATGTCATTCCGATCAATAGTGCAACCAGGCAAGTCGGTAGCAGGCGCCAAGGAAGAAATGGATCCATGGCGGCCGACACGTTGACGAATCATGTGGTTTTTGAATGGTGGTAGGGGGTCTCCGGCTTTCCCAACCTCAGCCTTAGTATTTTCGTCCGAGCTGACATGCTTAACAGCCTTCTTCGCGTGGTCGCGGTCGGATTCAGAACTAGAACTAGAACTCGATATGACTGAGATAGAATCATCATCTAGAATCTCGATTTCGGTATTCTGAGCTCGAGCTAAAGCCCAAGCACCGAACTGAGCTACTGAGCGATACATGAACTTCGCTGGACGAGTAAAACTCAAAGTCGGGGCAACGTGGCATAAATCATCCCAAACTTGAAGCTGCACATCAGTTGGTTTGTATTGTTCCAATTGTTCCCGTGCAGCATCATTCATCGCCGATTCTGGTGGGGGGTATTTGGATGGATTGGCACATTTATGAGCTAGGTATATCTGTTCATCTCGCAGGATTTCTCCACTGCCCGTCATGATGAGTAGGGGTGGTAACCCACCAAGGGAAGGCTGCATAACAGGGCTAACCAGAGGATGCGACAAAAGTTCATTGGTAGTATACATCTAGAAAACATCAGTATGGGGTTTCTTACATGTTCGTGGGGAAAGACATACCTGAATTTGGTCCTTGAGCTTAATTTCTTTCCCGTCCAGGTTGATTGAGATGAATGCCGTCTCAGAATGACTATCAACCGGGTTATCGCCATTCACAGCCTTTTCTGCGTTGAGCTGAGCAAGATCCTGTGGAAGGCTCTTCTTTTCTACCGACTCTGGCTTCATCAATTTGGTTTGGCCTGGTTTTGCATTCTTGGCTATTTGCTCCGACAATAACGCATATTCATCCGCATTCAATGGAGGCCACGCCTTTGAAGGTTTATGATGGAAGCCATAATTGGGGATATAGTCTAAAGGACAATCGCCAGAGACACTTGGGAAAGAATGCGTCAAGTCAACCCACGGGCTAATGAGTATAGCACCGGCAGGCAGAGGAAGGCCTCTATCCCTCATAGTAACCAACATGCTCAGGACCATTCCACCTCCAGCAGAGTCGCCAGCCAAAATGATTGTTGTCGGGTCTTGCATCGTGAGTAGATACAGGTAAGCTGCAAGGCAGTCCTGAATGCCACATGGGAAGGGGAATTGAGGAGCTAGTCGATATTCGGGAGCGAAAACACTAGCCTTCAACTTCCGAGCATGACGTTGCATCTGATATCGATGCTCATCAACGCTTCCAAAGAAGTAGGCACCTCCATGAACGTAGAGCATGACTCTCTTGCCTGGATCACTAGCCTTCTTGCGCGCATGGTAGTCGGCTTTCATCTCGATCCATTCCGCCTTGAGAGGGCTGTTGGGTTTCCGCCATTGCCACCAATTCCTACCACCAACCTTCTTAATACCATCAGGACCCAGTTGTTCTTGTAATAAACCAGCAGCCTCTACTAGTTTCGGCTCGGGGATTTCGACCTGATCGACTTTGACCCATTGCGGATGAGGCACCCACTGCGAGGTAAAAGCTTGGAGGTCTTCGACGGTATGGTGCGACGCAAACTCGAGGAAGGATCGTATAAGATGTAGGCCCTCGTCGTACGAGAGATGGGCGGTTGGTCGTTCGCGAAGAGGTTTGCGATTGAGGTACTACAATATCACCGAACACTTAGTCTTAGCATGGACTTTTCTCGCAATGACAGCACACAAGGTTAAACAGCAAACAAGCTTTCGGTGAAAGGCAAACAACACAGGTAAACTAGGGTTAGCCCAGCCACTCGGGAACCGACGATAGCGACACATTGAAACAACCCAAAGTTTAGGTTGACAGGATATATAAACTAGGAGTATTCCCCGTTAGACTGGACGTTGGGCACGTACGTGAGACAACAACGTCGATACGACGGTTGGCGTAACCGCCATAGACACCGTAGCGGTATTCATAGCGTGCTACCTATATACCTAAGTATATATAAGGGGTAGGTTGGTATGGGGATATGGATTTCGAATAACTAGAACGAGGCTCGGAAATGCAGCTTTTCAAAAGCTACGATGACTCGTGTGAATCGAGTCGAGGCATTGGTCAGACTAATTGAAGATGATCATACTAGTAAATTAGGTAGATAAAGTAAGAATAAAATAGTTGGGTAACAAGAAAAGTAGGAATGCGCATCTCATGAATCTCAGTGGTGTTTCCTATAAGTGGATAATATGTAGCTTAACCTTAGCTGGCAACTGCCAACCTGCCCAAACTCTGCTCCCGTAATTTTACAGGTCATCTTTGGTGATGTCATCGCTGTACTTCTTTCAGACAGAAACAACCCCATTCTAACTCCGAGCTAGCCTAGCTCCAAATTGTGAACAGGGAATACAATCCCAAAAGGGGAAAAGTGCTGATAAGATGGGACTAGCGCGGATCTAGGAGCCGAATCTCTTGGTTCAGTGCAGTTTCCCGCGATGCGGCTGGCGGTGAAGTCCGGCAGAAACGATAGCGGGATTGAAGAAATTATTATCAAAAGTGGGCAGGAAAATGCGAATGCCCCTCCATCGCCAAAAAATAAATGCGACGCTCAGGGTTCAGCACATCGTCAGTAAATAAATATTGAGATCTGTGTAAAATGGCATCCATACAAGAAGAACTGTCACCAGGTATGTAGCGCATTATACTACTATACATTCAAAATTCAAAATATTCCTCTTCCGTATTTCCTGTCCTTAGTGCGAATACTAATCCGATCGCATTTGCTAGAAACCCGGCAAGCCCAGTTCGAACAAGGTGTAGCCATCTCACTACACTTGTGGCTCTCGCTCACGGTCGCGGTACAAAATGGATTAGGTGGAGCCGATTCCGAGGACAAGCGCGACTGGTTCGCCGGTGCCATTTCCGACATGTTCCCTAGTTTCGTCGATCTTGCCAAGTTATCACAAACGCAGCCTGAAAAGAAAGCACCTAAGGAGCCTGATGTAGAGGATGTCGAAGCGACCTTATTACAAGTGATGTGGGATGAATTTGAGACGAACGTCGACGATGACTCCGAGGTTGAGGTTGTCGAGCGCATATTCAAGGTGCGTGCTCAGTGCGCTGCCGGCAATTTCGGGTTCGTTGAGGAACTTAGGAGTAGATGGCTCGCTACGAAGGGAAAGAAGGTCGAAGTGCAAGTGGACACAAAAGACCAAGACACTGACTGGGAGAGCGATGACGACGAGGATGAAGAGGATGAGGACGTCGATATGGATGAAGCGCCCGCATTAGTTGCGGCGCCCAAAGAAAAACCACCGCCAGAAGTAGACGAGGACGGTTTCACAAAAGTCACGCGTAAGAAGCGTTGAATAGCGGCAAAGAACTAAAGGGATTAAGGTGCAAACTCTAGAAGCGGGTCACCAACAAATGGCAGAGTAAATCTGGGATGAAATGTGCTTGAAAGGATATATAACAGTGACAGGACGGATAATATCATGCATTCGAAGCCATCCAAAAGGGACCAATCAACGCCAATAAGAACTCCAAATTCAACGAAAGGCCACCAAATCAGACTTTGGGCGATAGTATCACTCCCATTCTTCGTCATCGCTATCCTCCTCACTATCTTCGTCACTATCCTCTACCTTTCGGGCCTCCTTAGGGCTACTAGGGGCCTGGCTTGGGTTTCCGGACGCCGCACCAACAACATCGTAACTGGTGTCACTGTCCGCTTGTGACTTCTCGTCGGATTTGCGGGGTTCGGCCGGTTTGAGATGACCCTTGTTGGAGGTACCGGCAGGTGGGTGAATTGTCGTAGAGGATTCGGTAGAGCGTGGCCTTGCGGGTCTTTCTGTAAGTTGGGCTGTGGACTTGGCTGGTACTTTCTCATCTTCAGATTCTTCCTCCTCTTCAGACTCCTCCTCGTCATCGTCGGATTCCTCGCCCCAACCAATCTCTTCCTCAGCAGATGCGGCTACATATTAGTTAGCTGGGCCCGATTATGTAGAATAAAAGAAATAGAAAGAAGCTTAACATACCCTTCAGCAAATCACGGCGACGGGCTTCGGCAGTCTCTATACTGTGTCGAAGGAAATAGTATCGCTTCCAGAAGTCGGCGTAGGGTACGGTGCCAGGGACAAGCTTCTCCATGTTGGCTCGTAGTTCCGGGTACTTGGCTAGATCGGCGCTAATATTTTCTGTCTTGCTCTCCGCGTCGAAGTTCTTTGCCCACGCGGCATATTCAGCACTAGCCGGGTCCTCGGTGAAGCTCCTTTCGGTGGTGTGGATAACATGAAGCTGGGCATCGAATCTCGAAGTATGAATTACTCGCTTTCCGGACTCATCCTTACTCTCGAAACGGCGAGTGGTTCCCTTAGCATCATCGGACTCGGGGGTAGATTTTACAACGATAGCATCACGGAAGAAATCTCGAATATTCCCGCCAAACTTCAAGAGCGCCTCGTCGGCAGCATCCTCGGCACGTTGGATATCCTTCAAGCGTTTCGCGGCTTCGGCCCTCAATCGCGATATAACGGTTTCCGCATCCTTAGCTGCTTCGTCGGAGCCGCCGGCCTTGGACGTCGTCGGGGTAGTCTCGGTATCTTTTTCCTTATCGCCGGATTGTTGGTCCTTGGGCTCCGTGGGAGGGGGTGACGTAGTCAGCGACAGCGCTCTAGCGCGGAGACTCGCAAAGCTTCTAGTGGCATCGGCGCCGAGGGAGGTGACTTCTTGCTGTGCTTCTCTGTAGACGGAACCGCCCTTTTATAGGAATATGTGTTATTTGATAGCTCTTTAGCATTTTTATATAGTTCTAACCCATACCTGTTTGATTACGTTGCCAACAGTTCCACCAAGCCATGTACCCCAGGTGCTGCTGGAGAATGCACGGTATGCTTCCTGAAGGTCTTCATTGAGGGTATGTTCGGGTTTCTTCTCGGAGGATTCCGCAGTTTGGTCGGTACCTTCGCCGTTACTATCGCGGCTATCCTTTGGGAGAGCTTCTTCGGCTATATGATCGTATGCGAGATCCATGGTCGGGTCAGGGGCATGGGATTTCTATAATTAATCACAAGGGCGAATAAGGAGGAACCCCCTCTTCCACACAGAAGAATGAGAGGGGTAAGGCGTAAGCAAAAATAGAATATGTACGTATGTATCTCTGAGCTGAAGAATATTATTTCGTGTGCTGTCTAATGATGAGGTTGGTTAGTATCATGTATCGGCATCGGTGCTTTGGTTGTTGTACGTATTGTGGTATTGTGGTATTCTAGCGGTAGGTGACGAGGCTGACCGTATCCGATCTGCTGATTGACGTATGAAATGGCCTAAAGGCACGAGGGGCGGGGTCCCTTTTTGGGGCATTTCCGTATCCATTGTACCTATTAGGCGTTATTCATGAAGGAGGTACTTAAGCTATGAACTGCTTTGCCCCGTACGGTTTAGCTTCCTTTATCTAAGTTCGCAACAACTCGTGTTACATAAGATCAATTAATGCTTTCAATGTATCTTCGTACCTTTTAGAGATGCGGGGGAAGAGGTACATATGTACATCAAGTAGATTGAATCTCTCACAGGCAAGTACAGTGTTAATTCAATATACCATACAGAAGTGGAAGTCCCTACCGAGCCCACATAGATGTAGCAAGTAATGGAGTTTCCCGCCATTCTCATTCTCTCCTGCCTCATTCAGTTTTACCATCTAATGAAAAGGTCAAGTAGAATCACGTGGGCATAATCCTAAGTTGGCCCCTTTTTTATTATGACTCTTCTCTTCTATTCCTTTTCTGTTCAACTACAGCAATGCAGCGTAAGAAATCCAACCACCATTTTATGTTCCAATGCTCAGACTCGGAATTGGAAATCCACTGATAAAAGTATCAATTGCTTCATATTGGTTAAAACTTGGCATACTTTTTCATATGCTACATCACAATGACCATTGACAAATTTTTTTTCTTTTTTTCTTGTTAAAGCAGCAATTGATGTTCCGTCATCATTTTCTATACAACAAGCGGCCAATGTCGATTGAACCCCCCCTTGCAAATATATAGCGGCAGTCAAGTTCAAACCTGGTGCCGTTACTTCGATGCTACATTTATACATGTATTTCTATAGCAATGCCCCACGCCCTCTACTATATGGAGCAACATGAAAAGCGCAATCTCAAAGACTCATAACACTTGTTAGTCGAAACCCAGTCTAGGGCTTATCCTGCAAGATAGCGGCAACTCATCCTTCATTACAACGAACCAACCAACGAGAGCGTTTGTTGAGAACTTGGTCGTATGGGTCAGGCTGGTAACCATGTTACGAGGCTGTTAGGTCGGCTCGTCGGTATTTTAACATGACCTGGAAGATGCCGCACTATGTATTATTACATAGTATATCTACATACTATTATGTAGTATATCGCGGACCTGCCTTTTAACACCTTCCCACTGCTTTGGGCTGGGCTGGGCTGGCCGATGACCAGAAACCTCGTCTCACCTTGGGAAACTATTACGCTGATCATTAGGCACAGGCCCAGGCACCAGGCAGCTTATGACTCGTCGTCAGCCATACCATACCATCCATCCATCCTGCCGTCTAAGTCAGACCCCGGAAAGAAAAAGAACCACGAGGATCTTGTCAGTCAGTCATACGGTGAAGAATCGTTTAAAAAAGAAACCCACCTCGCTTTTTCGCCTTCTTGCCATGCTCCCCCACCAGGTACTTAAAGGCTAAATAGAGATCCGATAACGTGACTCGGGTCCATTAAACTGACCGCTGAACGCGTTTTTATACCCACCGTGCCTGTACCCCCATGATGTATAACACTTCCTATTGGACGGGGTGGGTCAAGGTGGCCTTACTAACGCCAACGGGGATCACTCAACCTGCTGTAACTAAAAAATTGCTCCGTTCGAAAATTCGAACATTTTATATCGAAGGTCTAGTACGTATTCTCCACCGGATTTGAAACCAGGCTTACCCTGTCATGCCTGTATCATACAGCGGCCCCCTTTGCGCCTATACTATGTAGGTACTGTGCAATGTATCATTCCCATACATAGTAGCAAATATAGGTACCTAGCGTATACCGTATACATAGTTGTATAGATAAACTAGCAGCGTTAGCTTTTAAACGAAGGAAGGTCTTCAAGATTCGAGGCATTATTTAGTGGGGATTACCGAGGGGAAAACGAAATCGAGCAGCAGACGGAAACATGGCGTGAACGTAACATAAAGGGAACGCAAAAGGGCAGATCAGCCACATTCTACTCCGCTATGTCCGAGTACAAGGACCAGGTCTTCCCCCGCCACATTGACAAAATGCCTTTGAATCTGGTCTTATGCCATACCAGTACAGCTTACAAATCGGAAAATTGCCTGCCTTCTGCCCCCCTCTCTCGATTTCCTTCTATCGTGACGAACAACCCGCACTTGTTGCAGATCGGTTCTTCTGCGTATACCTAACTACTATACACACGCAAGCCTCTTTTTTTCCCACACACATTGAACACGCTGTTCTATCCTACCAAAGGAGTTAGGGGGGTGTGTTAGAAGTGTGGCCCCTACATTGACGCCCTCCGAAAAAAAGCCAGGCAAAAAAGGCGCCGCCATTATTTGTCCCTGCTGGTCTATCTCCCATCTCAGCCTCAGGACCCTAGGAGGCGAATTTTTGTCTTTCTTTCCCAACACCTCCCCACCAAAAATTGTGCGAATTCGGTCGTGGATAGCTTCGACCTTCAGTATTATCAGTTAACTTAAGACTCGATCTTGTCTAAAACTTACCAAGACCACGCTTAACCATTGAGCGCGGCAGTTGCTGCGCTTCGAGCCGTCGTCTTCCGCCTCAGCTTCGCTTTCCTCCAAACCTACCCGTTGTTGAGAGCGTTGGCTGGAGCGCTGACGTATTGACCTAAGTAAAAAGGGTCGCCAACGTATTCAATCCATATACACAACCTAGTTTTTACTCTTTGCTGTTCTCCTTCGTGATATAATTCTTTGATTCGTCTCTCTTAAGAAAAATTCAGTCACAATGGCCTCAACTCAGTCTCAGTCTCTCCACAATTTCATCCTCACGCCTCAGCAGCAGAATTTGCTCTTCCGCGCCCTCACTTCAAACCAGCCAGGAGGTAGCAACGGCAATCCAAACAGTGCGCTGTCTCTCTCTCCTGATTCGCTGTCGAAATCCCCTATTCAGAACCAACAAGGGTCTCCTGATTATAACACTACGAACGGCACTTCCAACAATAGTATCCAAGAGAGTCCTTTCTTAGACTACGATTACGATCTAGGACCTGATACCAGTTTCGACTTCGACTTTGGTAATGATGGCCATGCAAAGATGATTGGTGATCTTCCAGGGACTTCGCCAAACGACGATTCCAAAGCCAGTTCTCCCGACAACGACATTTCTGACAAGAGAAGCCACCCAGATGATGAGGAGGACGACGAGATAGATGAGGGTGGGGGCAAGCGCCGAGAGGGTGAAGGGAAAGTTCCCAAGAAACCCGGCCGCAAGCCTCTTATGAACGAGCCGAGTTCGGTAAGTTGAAGACGCCAATTAGCTTAGTCCCAAGTGGCCATAGTATCTAATAGTATATTTAGAAGAGGAAGGCTCAAAACCGTGCGGCCCAGCGCGCATTCCGAGAGCGCAAGGAGAAGCATTTGAAGGACCTCGAGACGAAGGTGGAGGAACTCGAGAAGGCATCCACAGCTACGAACAACGAAAACAGTCAACTCCGTGCCCAGATCGAGAAATTGACGATGGAACTTAACGAATACAAGAAGAAATTGACGCTGATGGGTCCTAGTGGTGGTTCTCGTGCACTTTCTGCACATCCAACACGAAGTCAGACGTTTGGCAGTGCCGCCATACAGAACCTCAGTGACGTCAACTTTCAATTCGAGTTTCCCAAGTTTGGTGTTCTCCCTGGACCTCAGGGCTCTTTCACAAATACCCCTAAACAATCCTTGTATTATTCACCACCATCATCCGGAAACAGCCCTAAGGACAAATCCAAGGATAGTCCCAACTCGTCCAAGAGCCGAGAGAACTCTGATGCCCAGTCGAAGGACGGTTCATCCAAGTCCTCGGCGTCTCCATATGATAGTACCTTCGGTGCTAGTGTATCGAGGACTAGCTTAGATTCTAGCCACAACAGTGTGAACGGAGCCAACACAGGTTCGCCTTGTTCGTCGACGGGTAACACCAACATGGGACCTAGTTCTTCATGTGGAACTTCTCCTGAGCCATGCACACAGTCACCGATGGGTTTCAAGCCTGTGGATACTCTTACCACTATCGGCGAGGAACAGCCATCTTTGACCACTGATTCAATGAACCGTAAGCTTACCCTAATCTGACGTTATTAATTATATCATACGTCACTTAGGAGAATAAGAACTAACTAAATTCGCAGAGTTTAACAATCTACATAACATAGACTTCTCTAACATTGATTGGCTATCACAGCAAAATGGTGGACAATTTGACCCTCAGCTTTTCGGTGATTACCGGGAGCCGCAGGACAACATCCTCGCCAGCACCACGTTTGACGATAGTTTCTTCAATGAGGCCTTCGATGTCGACTTTACCACACCGTACAATGTGGCGCCTAGTCCCAACGCGCCCAAGAAGAATCTAATCGCTGAAATCGATGCTCGTAAGGAGTCGGAAGATACTATCATTACAACTAACAACGGAAAGCTTCTCACTTGTAACAATATCTGGTACGTTGATCTTCTTGCAACCACCATATTAATAATCTCGGAACTAACGCAAAAATCAGGGAGAAATTGCAAGCCTGTCCGCGGGTCCAGTCCGGCGATCTCGACCTCGACGGCCTGTGCTCCGACCTGCAAAAGAAAGCCAAGTGCGGGGGCTCCGGCGCCGTAGTCGACGAAAAGGACTTCAAAGCCGTGATGACCAAGTACCTCGGCACCGACTCCGCCGGCCGGTGTCCGGACGCGGCACCCGTATCTAACTAATGAAACCCCACCTCCCTACTCCCGACGTTCATGAACATAGTCCCCCCCTTCAGGAGAACCCACATACCTCTCCTATTTGTGCCACCACCAATCACCAATCCACATTCATTGGGCAGACGGCGGAGTTTTTGTTGTTAGGTATGATTTTTGAGTATTATTTAGGCGGCGGTGGGGATTCACTGGCGGAAGGGAATTGAGGGCAAAGTAACAAATACCCTTTGCGGATTGCACAAGATGGACAGACGGATAGGTGGATGAGAGAAAAGATGATGATGATGATGTGAGGGGGGAGAGATGGCCTTCTTAGAGGTATGCAGGAATACCTATTGCGTCTCATATGTGTTCGTCAAACCATTCATAGGGAAACGGAGTTGCATTTACGACTGAAAGGCGGAAAAAACTATTAAACTTGTTCCTTAGTCGTGTTGTCTTTCGTGGTTTCCTATTTTCTTTGCTGGGCCCGCGTCTCTGTACGTCAAGTACAGGTGCTAGATGATGAATGATGCGAATAAATGGGTGAACATAACGGATGATAGCAATTCATATGTGTATTGCCCTAACGAGTTATAAGCCTAAGGCTAGTTGCTTAGGGTTGTACCTGGGATATTAAATACTAGGAAACCCGGCAGAGATACACATAGCAAGGGATTACTATGAAGATCTATGAATGGATGGATTTAGAGGAATGGGGTGTACCCTAACAATACCATCATGTTGATTGAGAATTGAAATGACTGTCAGCTTGAAAGCTCTCGTCCCTCCCTCGCGGAGGCAAAAGCGATGAAAAAGAGACATGGATACACTCAAGTTAACTTTCGGTCCTAAGTAATGTCCCTTTATAGGAAAATCGCACGCATATAGGAGATACAGTCAAAAATCATCAATACTGAAACTTATCCCTCTGTCAATGACTTCTAAATGAAATTGCAGTTGCCCCTTCCCCGATATCTATAGATTAGTACTCAGAAATTAGGCGATGAGCACTCAAATAGTCCATCCTACGACGGCAATAACCATAGGCTCGCCACATATAAATATATGTAGATGTTATTGCTGAAAATTTTACTCAACAGATTATGTGCTACCTATTCCTTATGTTTTATATCACTCCTCTAACGGTCCAATAACCATGTGCTCATTAGAAAACATCTCTTCGTTAAGCATACCACCAAGATATCATACAAGCGTAATGGTCTCTAGTGGAACTCCCCTCCCCACCAAAGCCTCCGGGAAGAGTCTCGGGTCTGAGTTAATCTCCTCGCCTGTCTCCCTATTCCAAAACTTTCTATAATGCAATGGGTCAGCCGTGGTTCGATTCCATTCAATAGGTTCCCACTCTGGGGGAAGCGGGATCTCGTCTAGGCGTGGATCATCCGTGCGTTTGACTCCCGTATCAGTGTTGACGAAACACACTCGGTACTGTCCGTCTTCTTCGCCTTCTCTGTGTAATATAAATTTCCAAGACTCAGGAAAGGGGCCAAGAAGAGCTTCGCCGAACACTATATAACGAAAGGTTAACAAAGCACGACTAGGGGTTGGAAAAGGGGTGGCTCGACAATTGCCAGACCCTCTCTAGTGAATTCACATTGAATTATTATATTTTAGCGGCTGTTCCGCTCGCACTCCAGATTGATAATGAGAAATAGGAATAATGCAATACCACTTACTGATACCATGTACTATAGGCAGTATAATAGTTAGCAGTAGTCAATTAGAAAATGTAATTCATCCTCAAGCCTTAAGAAGTGATAAATAAATAGCCGGTATTTTTGAAAGGTACGCACCGTAACAATCCCCAACAACTATGTAGTCTCCCGTCGGTGTCGGCCTAAGAAGCATGGGTGTTTCACACCCAAGTATTACAACAACTTTATCGCCTACCGCACCAACTACGTCAGTCTAGATAACGAATATGCTATCATCTTTGCACTTACCCTGCAGCGGTCTCCCTCCAATCACACCTATATGTCCATTCTCCAAACTGAATAGATATTTTTGATCCAACTCGGCCCCAATTAAACCCCTATACCAGTCGGATAGCATCGATCTAGCCTCCTCGATCCCCTCCTCGCTACGCTCGGCGATATCAACAATTTTTAACAGTTCGGCTTGCGAGTAATAAGTTTGTAACTTTTCATAATAATCCTTAACCTTGCCCATCGTCATCGTCAGCAGATACGCATCAAGGTAACTCTTTGGCTCCCCTGGTCCACCCAGTCCGGGGTATGGCGTGTCCCGTAGCTGCGAAAGCCCCATGCGCTTATACGCCTCGACAATGCACACCAAGCCGTCAGGGGAATGAGGGAATTGGTACTCGACACGTTTCACCGACGCAAACGGCAGCGCAATAACTTCAAGACGCCCTGGATTGGTATAATTTGTGCATGAAGCTGAGAGGCCGCTGGTGTAGTATCTGTCGCTAGATGGGCAGGTGCGGTAGACAAAGCGCGACCAGTCAGGCAGCCAAGATGGCCATCCTTCCTTCCCTAATTCCGATATTGATTCTGCATAACGTAAACCGCTGAGTTGTAACTGAGGAAGGCGCCTCTGTTTATCGGAATGTGCGCGAAAAACGTGCTCAAATACCTCCACCAAGCCTTTCTCGTAGTTAATCTCTATAGCATCCCTAATTTCCCTTGGCGCTAGACTTAATATTCCGTACACCTTATCTCTCTGGTCGGAGCACAGCCGCATATGGTAATTATACAGGGTATTTTCAAATGGATTATGTCCTAAGTACAAGTAGAAATCACCAGCATTGTTCAAATTGATTCGTATGTCGTGCGGTACACCTTCATCCTTATCGTTAATAGATAGAATTGCACGTCGGAAGTGACTCCATAGTATCTCATCATGTCCACATTGTACAATAGACTTCGCGCTTCCGAGATGGATCTCCTGCACGATCCACAAGCGTTTGAACCAAGGACGCAGTGGAAAATCAGCTATGGCGTCCCATACCTCGTGCTTGTACGGCAGGGACACTTCAGGACAATACCAGTACAGTTGCTCGCAGTCCACTGCCGGGAACATCCAATCGTCTCGCGTACATTCAACTTGACGACCTAAGTAGTCCAGTGTAGAAAGCGCGAGCTGGCTATTTAAAGACGCTGGGCCAAGCCATGCGACGACGCGCCGCGCGAATTGATAGATCAGGCTCATGCGCTTGACCTCATGGTTGCGCTCCTCAAAATCCTCCTGATTGATGCACAGCGCATCGATCCACATGACGCGGCCCTTATTTTTGTATCGAAGATACCGCAACGCTTCTTCGAGGTCTTCGTTTATGTGCAGCAACCGGTTTCCAGGCATTACCATAAACCGCTGTTCTTTTATCGTACTTTTCATTATAGCCTTCTTGCGCCGCATCCGGGGACCCCAGGCGTATGACAGAGCCTCATAGTCAGGTCGATCTTGATTCTCCAAGATTTCGGGATCGTAGTCGGCGCGTGGGACGCTAGGGTCTGGGTGGTCCCAGGAGCTAAATCTTTCGTTGTCCTTCCAGAAGACCACGCGCCCCTCCAGGTTCTCGAAGGCATCCCAGCCCTTGGGAAGTCCCTTTCGAATCTCTTTCAACGATAACCGCTTTGGCTTTTCATCTTCCGCCGGCGGGACGAGCGTAGCGTGGTTGATCTCGATTCGGATCGGGTCACCGAACTTCCCAGGTAATATAGTGACCAATCGAATATCGTTTGGATTTAGAGGTTTATACTTGTATCGGTTCATTTTCGCGTTCGCGTTTAGGTACTCTCAGGAGATAGACAGCTCTCTGTGTAATTATTCAAAACAAAACACAATCTGTACGGGAAATTTCTCGCCGGAAGGCCATGACATCGTGGCGAGATGCAACATTTATCCTATAGTAGGTAGGCTGCGCCTTGACTGGAGGCCTAGCTGAACAGAGTCGGTCTAGGTATGTTGTACTACCATTTCACCCAATTATGGATGAGATCTATAAGCCACAATGCAACCTCAATGTGGATTTTCGAAATACCCAACATGCCCAACTCTCCCACCCAAGAGTCACGCGGACTTACCAACGAGGCTGAGGCAGTGTGCCAAAATCGTTGACGAGTCATAGCAATCGCCTCATCGCCCTTTGCTGGACTGCCTAGGTAGGCTCGTCTTACATAGCTGACCGACCAGAATATCCCATTAACATTGAAAAATATGTATATTGCATGCTCTCTTTCTCTATACCCAACCCAACAGCGCGCCGGGCCAGATACTCATTCCATTCCATTCCTCTCACTATTAAACAGACATTTAATTACAGTAATAGTGTCTATATGTCCCTCATGCCGCCCCAAAACGGGCTGGAACATACTCTCATCTCGTCTCCCCGCAGACTGCCATCAGCAGCGGGTACTGTAAATCGTATATGGCTCTTAAACCCCGATCCGAGCAACCCATTCCCCAAGGTACGATAAGGTAGGTGAGTCAAAATGAGAAACAGCCCCGTGCCGACTTTTGACTCCTCCATTCCGTGGGTAGATAGATATGATTGCCTCTGATCTGAATTGACTTTCGAAAATAGGAACTCGGCACTCGAACATATATGTAGTTACAAACTAACACACGGCCCTGCGCGAATTTTCTCGCCTGGGGCCAATGGATGATAGGATGATAGTGTTAAAAAGGGAGAGTGAACATCGATTTGCTCTAGTAGGTCATGACACGGCTTTTGGTTCTAATGAGAGTGGTGAACGGTTCTTATTATTCAGTCGTGGGACCGGGAACGTCCAAAAATCCTCTGAAACCGATAAAAACATCGTGATCCGCCGAGTCGAATTAGTCTTCCACTGCTGGTGACTCGGATTGGCCTAGAAACAAGTTCGCTATATGGATGAATTTGACCCGTGGATGATTATACGGGATTTCTCTGCCATGAATGGGGGGTATAATAAAAGAGAAGCTCATGAAAGCCTCGCTAGCCGGTGTCCAATACCCAAAAGACCGTCACAATGTATGTAATAATACCTAACGCCGAAACAACATCAACCAACCACTTGTCGTGCTCCTTCTTTACCTAATACACCTCTCTCCTTCGGCTTCGGACTGTGGCCTCTTTTCTTTCGTCCAAAAAGTCCAAAGACACCGCCACCACCGGAAGAGGACTTATCGTCGTTCACTGCGCTGGCATCTGTCGGCAACGTAGTGTCTCTGCGAGCCAAATCCGACCAGCTTCCGGTGTCTTCCAGTGTTACTGATATGCCACCGGTTGGGGACTTCACTTGTATCCCAGATGGTTGGGAAGCACCCTGATTGTACGCCCGATGGTATGATGCCAGAGGTGGAGGTGCCCGCGGCCCAGTCCTTGGTCCACGGCTCGCGTTTGAGTAACTCCTATCTGGCCGGGGTCCATCTTGCACGGGTGAAGGCTGGTATAATTGCTGGGGGACTCCATTGTTGGTTGGGGCCGGCTTAACCTCGTTTGTGCTGATAGCCTGTGGTTCCTGGTTGGAAGGACCTGCGGGAGAATCATTATCGCCAGTTCCTTCACCTTCTATTCCCGTGATCCTAATTATGGGTTAGCGCCACACCAACAGCATATATATGCGTCAGTACGTACTTCTTATAGGCTGCCAAAGTGTAATCAAATGGTTGGAAATCTCGCTCGATAGTGCGGTATAACTCCTCTTCTCGGATTTCCTTCTCCGTTGCGTCATCCTTTAGTCTTTCTCTAGGTTTCTGCCTCCGTGCCCTGGCTTCTAGTGGTGCCTCTTCTAGTAACAATTCCTCAAGATCGTAGGTAGCATCGAAGTTAGTCTTTTCTGCCGACGGAATAAACACAGGTTCCAACTCTTTTCGTTCCAAGGCCGCGAAATCAATAGCCTGAAAGAAAGGTTCGTTGATGAAGCTTTGCCAAGTGCTTCCCAGTCGCTTATCGGGATTCGGATTTAAAGCAGAACCAATGGCGTAGAGGCACGGTAGCGATACTGGAGGTTGAGTGACAGGGAATTTAGGATTCGCAGCGAGGATAGTATTCGTCAGGGTGGATTCCGAATTACCCTCAAAAGGCCGCTATCATCCTGGTAAGCATCTTTGCTGACCGACGAGTTTCAGGTCTAATAATAATTTGGGTCTGTACCTTATTGTATATGCATTCGTAGAATAGCACTCCTAACGACCACCAGTCCGCCCGGACATCGTAACCCTTGCCTGCGTAAACTTCGGGAGCGAGATACGCAAGGGTGCCCGATTTACTCGTAAGGACCTTTCCTGGTATAACGTCTGACGCGACGTTCTGGGTGACAAGAGGTCAGCGGTCAGACTGAGGTAGTATATTGAAATTAAAGCAAGTTGACTTACGAAATCAGTCAAGTGAACGTGACCATCGGCATCCAATAATACGTTGTCGGGCTTTACATCTCGGTGTATTATGCCTTGCCCGTGTATGTATCTGAGCGCACAACCCAACTCAGCTATCCAGAATCGTACAGCATCTTCAGTGAATGTCTTTCTCGAAATATGGAAACGTAGATCGCCACCGCTCATCAAGTCGACCACAAGGTACCTATTAGATTAAAATCGTATTAGAAATAATCCATATCGTGGCCGTTGGTATTGGTATTTGGTGGTGAATTGGTAGTGCGTACATATACTCAATATCCTGGAAGCTATAACGCAAGTTACAGATAAATGGATGGTTTACATGCTCGAGCATGCGGCGTTCTCGTATAATATTGCGGACGCTCTCGGACCGTACGACTGCGAAAGGGCAATGGAGTTAACTTCAAGTATTCCTCGTTGTCGAAGTCAAGAATATTTCTAGGTATTTCGGAATCGACGCACCCTCATCTTTTCGGATATACTTAAGGGCAAATGATAGACCCGTATCTTTTCTCTCGACTATTCGAACTTTGCCAAAGGCACCGCGACCGACGACTCGTAACAATCGAAAGTGGTTGAGATTCACTGTTAGGCAATAGGCGAGGGGCACTTCGTTAGCCGAATGAAGCTGTTGACGGGACCGGTGGCACTTCTGAGACAATGGGGTGGAATTCGGAAATTCCCCCTTTGAGAGGGATAGAAGAGAGACATACCTTCGCCGTTGAGGTCAACGGGCTTTCCCTGGCTATTGCCCATCGGGAATTATTAAGATATCCTATTTATTCTATTTTTCTTCGTCCGGAATCTTCCAGTTTCGGCAATTCTCGAATCGTTGTTCGGCAGCGTAAGGACGCTGAACGTGTGACGATTTCGCGATGGGGCGGTTTGTACGTAAAAGAGACCAAGGAAAGATAGATAGGTAGTTAATAAGCGCAAAAAGATAAAAATAATGATAGGGAGAGGGAGATGGGGATCGATGTCAGGAGGCCAGAAGAAGATCCACTCTCAGATCCCTACCATATCCACGTACGGATGGTATGGGTTATATAAGTACTATTCTCAGCTTTGATCGACAAAGACTATGATATTATTCCGTAGTTATCCAGGGAGAGGGGGAGAGAAAAACAGATTTAATACAAAATCCCCAAGCAACGACGGGGAATAAATTGTAAGTTAATGGTGGTTAATAATAGTTATATAATTATAATGAATAGAGGAAGAGGAAGAGAGAGAGAAGAACGCAGCTAAAGAATTCGGAGAGTAATAACTTAGTAGGTTAAACCCAATGGCTTGACTGACCACTGACTGCTACATGTACACATGTACATGCATATAGGTAGGTACATAATGTACGTATATGCACTATAATGTGTGTAAGGTATGGTAACTAAGCAGGGGTGCGGGGGCTGTATAGATTACCGCACTGTGCTGTATTGGAAACGACGATGATGACAGTATCGTGTACTTCCGCTTGCAGCATTTTAGGTAAGTTCAGGTGGTACATATGTACACACTAGTACATAAGATACATGTAGATAACTCGTTACAGAGGTAATAAATGCATATGTATGAACTGGTCTATGAGAAACTTCAGTGTTGCGTTTTTATGGGCCATTCTGCAACTTGCAGATAACATGAAGAAGGATCGACCTTCAGCTGCGGAGTCCCATGTGGTGCTGGCGTAATTGCTGCGTTTGTTTGCTGACCGTGTGGCTTCCCTAAATTCTATACCTTCTCATTTTTCAACCCGCATAACCTTACCTAGCCTGCTAGCCTTAAGTTGCTTAGGTAGGTACATTTGCGCTGTACTTAACAGGGTACACACCTCCCACATGTCCCACCTAACCCAGGAAAGGCAAAGCTCCCAGGTTTATGTGGTGTCGACCCGTGTTTCAGCCCACAATCTCTCCACGCCTGTGGCTTGTGGACTTCCTTGCTTGCCACGCTTGCCACGTTAAAGTCCCCTTCTTTTTTTTCTTTTCCCTTTTCTTTTCTCCCCTATTCCCCCTAATCCATATGTTCATTCGTCACGGATCCATCCACCCATCCAATCCATCCCTACCAAACTTACCGTTGTCGCATCGCCAACTTTGTCACCATAGTATCTAAGATCACATAATATGGGATTTATGAGTTTCGGCTCGTGAGTCTCAACCAATGGTCTTTTACCGTATCACCAATTCATCTCACAAGCATTACAGTCGCTTCATTTGCCAAGTATTTCCAGTCCAATTAGGATTATCCCTTCATGATTAGGGTGTGTTCTCGTGTTACCAAAACTAGATGATTCCGCCCCTCCGTCATACCCGGTCATACGGGGAAATGACCATATGAAGCGTCCGTAGAGAAAGACGACGGACTCCTCCGGCCTTATAACGTGGCCCCCGTCTCCAAGAAGGTCACCGAAACTATTTAGAGCATGAGATACGCCAACTTCCATCGGCCCTAATGTTCGACTCCTTTATCCGACATATTTCCTAAGCAATCTTACGACAATGTCTTCTGTCGAGTGAATTAAGCCTGTTAATTTTAGCCCACGCCGAGCGGGTTTAGTATTGGATATAGTCCCGTCCACATTGGCCAATAGGTTGGATGAATCGGCTTATTCGACAACATGTTCATGCATTACATACGGCTGCCCGGTCAGCCTCTGGCCGGCAGAGTGGCGGGGGACGCCGTGAAAGGTTAACCGCCACGTGTAACTTCTTCGGCCTACTTCGGCCATGCCGTACCGCCGTGTCAAAGGGAAGAGATGACGACCCTATAAAAGACCAAGAAAGACTTTGTCGTGTGTGCCCCTGATTCAGATTCATTCGTTTTTTACCGAGCTTCGGGGAGTTTCTACTACCTAATATGCATAGCACAGCCACAAACATAATCCCCAATCTTGGAGACACCGATATCCAGATACTCCGAAACACTGCTCATTTCTACATATATGCCATATCATGCTAAAAATAATGCCATGCTGCGAATAAGGATACGATTCTCCTAACGCTCTGACAGAAGTACCACATAGGGAACGATGGATTCTGCGCAGGCAGTTGTAATCTCTTCTTTACGATCCAGAACCCAAGCGGCTACGATCAACCAATAAGCCCCACGTAAGACGGGTAGTACCTAGGTAGGTTCCTGACACCAAGGTGAAGAGCTGACTGCTCACTATTAACAATCATTCACCACAATGCAGCCGCTGGCGTAGAAATTAACTCATCAGAATCTAAATAAGAGCTAAAAGGTGAGAAAGATATCAATAACTGTCAGCGATACATGTCACAACTGCGCTGGTAACTCGGTCCGTCTTTTTTTCGTATACGAGGGATAGGCGTCTCATATTCTAACATGGGATTCGTAGCTTGTTCGGCGGGTCGCATCATGCCAAACCTCAATACACAACGTAGCTGAAATAAACGGGCTACTGGGTGGTTGGGAAATGAGTTGTTTGATCGCACAGCATATGTTAGCGAGGTTATTGACAGCTGTCTGGGTAGGGTAAGCAGCATGGTGCCAACCTAGGTAGGGCTTCAGCTCTCTCCACTCCAACTTCCAATACGTACTTAAATAGGTATTTTGGTACAATACATCGCAAGCGACGCCACCATGACGCTAGTATGGTACAGACAAACATGACTGGTTTCGGCAAAGTCACCGAGCGGATTGAGAGATAAAGTAGCAGTGCCCTAACATCCGAGTCGCCGTACGATAACCAGAAATATCTAGGACGGCTTCCGAGATGCTCAGGTAGATATAGCCGAGCTAACGATGTTGGACGAACCTGCTGATGACGCTAGGGATAAATGTCAAAATTGATACCATCGTTGATTTAGGTATATAAGTAGTCTTACCATACCTCCGTAGAAGAACGCTAATTAAGGATTTTGAAATTTGGTATTGCTTTTTCAGTACTTTAGGCAACAGCAAACAGACCAATAGATTTGGATATCTTCATTCCGTAATATGTAGGACTTCGCGTCATTGCCATTAAGCTACATTTCCAGCCCATTTTATACTTGCTATTCCCCTTCTATAAAAGCAAATTGTTACGACAGTAGAGACTGCAGATAGTCGATTGTTATACATTTGTACCTACTTCCTATTTGGGTAAAAGGTCAACCAGATTATGAAACCACATGGTCGGTCGAACAAAGGTTGGTGACGTAGGTAGGGAGTGAGATAGACCACACGACTTAATAATCATAATCTGTAACCAACATGTTGCCAAATAGGTAAATGATGTAGCGTTCTTCTAGAAGAATAATGGAATGAAGGAATTATGGATTGTCATGCAAATATTCGTAACCCCATCGTACTCACAACTGGAACTCAGATCTCAATCAAACTGATCGGTACCACCGAGATTACCACCTTGCTTGAGTTAAAATCATAAAATAGTGCGCGTACGTATAACTCATAGCAACACCATTTTCCATAATAGGAAATCCACTACTGCGGGTCTATCCGCGTCCCCGCATTTACCTACAGTACGTACGTATCGCACATATTGTTGTCCTTATCTAAGTAGGTAGACTAGATGGCTTTGGCTTTAGACTCTTTTTTCTTCATCAGCTTTATTGATTAACTGTTTTCCTAATTAGGTAAAAGGTAGGCTTCGAGTTAAAACTTATGAGATGCAGCGTCGTATAGGAGGATTATAAACTAGATCTGCAATTCGGGTTTACTATACTACGTACATTATCTTCAAACCTTGGAAAAGCTCAGCCGTCATTCTATATTGCGCGCATTACTAACCCTCTTTTGCTGCCCTCAACCTTGAAGCCCGCATCATGATAACATGCAAGTGAACCTTAAAGCCGGGCGGGCTTAATAATAGTATTAACTACAGAGAGTGAAGTTGAGGGGGCGATGACGATTAGGCACAGGATGTCATGGAAAACCCCTCTCTGCTCTATGTAGCTGATTGTCTATATAATCCGACTTCTCATCCTGAATAGCAAACGATTTCTTCTGCTTCATCGTGCTCTATCACACTCAATCAACATCTTCGGATAGTATAACTTACTAAGACCAACCCCCCTAACAACTTCCAACATTCATCCTATATCTCCACACACGGATAACCCACATCACTACGCGAAAATGCCTGCTGCTGCGGATAAGACCAAGACCTACATTCCCCTCTCTGGCGTAGCCAAAGATGGCTGGTCCACCGATACCGAAGCCACAGCAACCTGTTTCTGCGGCGCCGTCCAACTCTCCTTCGTAAGCCTCCCCTTTCCACCCCTAACCCGCCAGTATACCCCTACTAATACTTAATACCTAGCCGACTCAAGCCCCGGGTCTAGTCGACAGCTTCGTCTGCAACTGTCACGACTGTCGCAAAGTAACCGCCTCGATGTTCGCCTCCAACTTCATCATCGACAACGAGTACCTAACGCACGTACGCGGACAAGATAACCTGAAATCCTGGGGACAGGATGTTACCCCGGCCTCGGGAAATAAGATGACGAATTACTTCTGTAATACTTGTGGTACCCTTAGTACGTGACCCCTTAATATAGAATGGAATAGAGGAGTAAAAACTGACCAGAGACACTCCAGTGTACCGCGTCAGCTCCGGCGCCGCGAACCAGAGCTACCTGCGCATCGGCACCGTCGACGACTTTAACCTGCATGAGACCAAGCTACGCCCGCGCACGGAACAATTCATCGAGGGCCGCGTGAACTGGTTCCACGGCGTGGACGGTGCTAGACATGTCGAAGGCAGCGCTTATGGCAAGGCTAAGGAGTAGGTCCGAAGACACTCATCGGATCTATTATCTCATTAAGCCTAGGCCGTCTATTATTTCGGTTTGTTGATGGGTTGGTGTGCATGCATGGTATGGTGTTCAAGGGGAGTGTCTGTTCGTCCGTTGGGTTGGTTGGTGTGATGAGCGATGGGTGGTGAGAGGATGGTTCGGTGAGGGAAAAGGCGATTAGACAACATAAAAGTGCTATATTGATTAGTTGCTCATATTAACATTTCGTTTATTTCTCTGCTCAAATTAACACGCTTTATCGTGTATTCCAAGATGGCCTATATAGTGTTCCAATGAAACCTAACGGTCTGAGACATCTGCAGAGAAAAGGGGAAATCCTTATTTCTGCTGTATGTCTCAGTCACCCACCATATAATATTCCACATACACGTCGGATATGTTATATAATTGGAGGTATTAATGTGGAAGGTGTCAACAAATTTTACTTAACCTTTTATCACACGAAGTAACTGTCACAAAGTGATTTGGTAATAGGGTAACAGGCTTTACTTGGCATATTCCTTCCCATGGCCGTTGGTAACACAGTAGAGGAAAGTACTGAAAACAGATTAAAGTCCGATGTAATTAATAGAAGCCATTGGGCTTGTTGGTGTATAGTAGGCCAATTCCGGACAGCTTGGTCGCACACATCGAATAATACAGAAAGTCCGAACCAAGCCATGAATTCTAGGCAAGACACCGCGGAAACCCGCCCAACACCGAATATAATCCGTGAAGCCGACAGATCTTATATATTCGTAGCTAATTGAGAAGAAAAACATACGTGATCAATGCGGATGATTATATGAGATTGAAATATAAATATCACCGGAGATGCAAATTTCGTGATAATAGGTAGTAGAATGGAATAGAGGTAGGTAATGAGAATAACGAGACAAAATCTAATTCGCTATCTTTCTCCGCGGCGCCACTCCCTATTAACAAATCAAGTCAATTCTTATTGGTCAGTTAAGGTTACCTTATCGGAAGCTACCCCTTATCAAGTCCCGCTTCACTAGCCCACCTCTCGATGCTAAGCCTAAGAACTCAATCGGTTAACATGCAACTCGTCGGAACTTACGACCAACAACTACCAAAAATTGAAGGCAGCCGTAGAGTTATTTTACTGCAGATAGATCGCACTTGCTCGGAAGATTGAAAGCAGGTTATCTTTTTAAAATCCTTAGTCAATTAAAGCTTAGCTGCTAGCTAACTTCTTAAGCTTCCCTGTTTATTATCTAGAACTATCTCGATTTCATACTTCCAAAATATAATCCAATGAGATTCACGAATATCTTGGTTGTAGTCAGCTTTTCCACTGACAATCTATTGGTAGGTTGTTCCAGAGCACTTCGACGCCGGAGATGCAAGTATCTGCCATCAAGGACATGGAGCTCCAATTTCTATTTTGTTGGTAGACCACATGTCTACCTGTCTTGGTCTTCTCTTTACAACTTCATTCTCCTTCTCTAATTCTCACTATTCCTAATATCTCATACCTATCAATTTCTCTTTTCTTTTCGAAGAGTAACTTCTTGTTACCTGTATACCGTGTCGATTCACACGTGCTTCCTGTGACACGGCATATGTGTCAGGGGTGAAGCTGTGACGTAGTGGCCGCCAAATCCGTCCGTTCGGTCTGTATTTGATCTCCGAGACACAAAATGACGGTCGACAAGAGGACCAAGTTGGTCGTTGTCGGCCTAGGAATGGTCGGCATCGCCTTCATGTAAGAATCTGATTACCTACTACATTCTAGGACTATTTCATAATCTAATTGGCATCTAGAGAAAAAGTCTTAAAGCTTGATGCTAGGGCCCGAGAATACGATATCGTCGTTATTGGCGAAGAACCCCACCTCGCCTATAACCGAGTTGGTCTCACAAGTTTCTTTAACCACCGAAAAGTCGAGAACTTATATCTAAACCCCAAAGAATGGGTGAGTCTCTAGTTTGATATATATCATATTTAATAAACATGCCACTTACGTCGGAGTTCAGTATGCGTTATATACTCCGGATAGCAAATTAAATTACCACCTGAATACGCTGGTCACAAGTATCGACTCCACCAACAAGACTGTGTCCTGCGCCAATGGCGATGTCGTTTCGTATGATATCCTGGTCCTGGCAACCGGCTCCGATGCTGTACTCCCAAGGCACACCCCTGGCCATGATGCCAACGGAGTATTCGTATACCGGACCATCGAGGATCTACAGAAACTTATTGCCTTCGGAGAGTCACACAAGGGAACAGTCGGTGCTGTCGTTGGTGGTGGCTTGTTAGGCCTTGAAGCAGCCAATGCTATGATGGACCTAAAATGTTACGAAAAAGTGAAACTGATAGAAAGGAATCGATGGGTCCTAAGCCGCCAGCTCGATGCTGATGCCGGTAACCTCGTCGTCGAAAAGGTTACTGATTTGGGACTCGAGATCCTATTAAGTAAAAGGGTCGGCAAGATAAAAACCGACGAGGGAAATAACGTAACGGGTGTCATATTTGAAGATGGAGAACAAATGGATTGTTCCACCATATGCTTTGCTATCGGTGTACGACCCCGAGATAGCTTGGCGAGGAGTGCTGGCATTAAGTGTGCCGATCGAGGGGGCGGGATCCTCGTCAACAACGATCTAAGTACTAGTGCCCCAGATATCTATGCCATCGGCGAATGCGCAAGTTGGCAAAATCAGACCTTTGGCCTCATCGCTCCTGGAGTTGAGATGGCCGACGTCTTATCTTTCAATCTCACACAAGCCAAACTACATCACCCTCGAGTTTTCAAACGACCGGATTTAAGCACGAAGCTTAAGTTACTTGGAGTTGATGTTGCAAGCTTTGGCGACTTCTTTGCCGATAGAGATGGACCTAGCTCCTTACCAGCAAAGGCAGCGAGAAAGAAGACGGAAGACCAAAGTATTGTCAAAACGGTTGTCAGCGGGCCTCCTCCGCCACCCGTCAAGGCTCTGACCTATAAGGACCCCTTCGCTCAAGTGTACAAAAAATACCTATTCACAACTGACGGCAAATATCTGCTTGGCGGGATGATGATTGGCGACACGAGCGATTACATAAAACTAGTGCCTATGGTCAAGAACCAAAAAGAACTTGACATTCCCCCTTCCCAACTTATACTTGGCGCGAAGAAAGATGGTGATGACGGTGCCGATGACCTTGATGATGATACTCAGATCTGCTCTTGTCATAATGTGACTAAGGGCGATGTGGTGAAAAGCGTCAAGGATGGTACGTGCAAGACAGTTGGTGATGTCAAGGCATGTACCAAGGCTGGTACAGGCTGCGGTGGTTGCATGCCACTTGTCACCAGCATCTTCACTAAAACCATGACCGATATGGGTGCTGAGGTTACCAATTATCTCTGCGCCCACTTCAACTACTCCCGTGCTGATCTGTACAATATCATCATGATAAAGAGGCTGAAAACGCTGCCCGACGTCATGCGAGAGGCGGGAAACGACAAAAGCTCAGACGGTTGTGAAGCTTGTAAGCCTGCCGTAGCCAGCATATTCGCGTCGTTATGGAATAAGCACGTCATGGATAAGACCACACATGGTCTACAGGATACCAATGACAGATTCTTGGGAAATATCCAACGGAACGGCACATTTTCAGTCATTCCTCGTGTATCTGCGGGAGAGATTACACCAGATAAACTGATCGTCATCGGTGAAGTTGCTAAAAAGTACAACTTATACACCAAAATCACCGGTGGGCAACGTATCGATATGTTTGGCGCTAAGAAGCAAGACCTGCTGGACATATGGACACGATTGATAGAGGCTGGTATGGAAAGTGGACACGCCTATGCTAAGTCCTTACGTACCGTCAAGAGCTGCGTTGGTACGACGTGGTGTAGGTTCGGTGTTGGTGATAGCGTGGGTATGGCTGTTCGCATCGAAGAGCGATATAAGAGCATACGAAGTCCCCATAAGATAAAAGGTGGTGTAAGCGGTTGCGTGCGTGAATGCGCCGAGGCTCAAAACAAAGAGTAAGTCATCATCACCTATTAGATCTGAGTCGAAATATACTGACTGCTTAAAAAGCTTCGGACTCATCGCAACAGAAAAGGGCTTCAACATATTCGTCGCGGGTAATGGTGGAGCAAAGCCAAAGCACTCGGAACTCCTAGCCAAGGATGTTCCACCATCAGAAGTCGTCCCGATCCTAGATCGGTACTTGATGTTCTATATCCGCACAGCGGATAAGCTCCAGCGAACGGCTCGGTGGTTAGAAAACTTACCGGGTGGTTTAAGATACCTCAAGGAAGTTGTCCTCGAGGATAAACTCGGCATATGTGCTTCGCTCGAAGCTCAAATGCAAGAACTGGTTGACTCATTCTTCGACGAATGGGCCGAAGCCATCAAAAACCCTATCATCGCAGCCAAATTTAAACAATTCGCCAACACAGACGCCACAGTCGAGAATATGGAAACCGAAAAAGATCGCGATCAAACACGGCCGGTATACTGGCCTAAAGACGCCGCAGAGGAGGACTTCAAGGGATTAAAAGACCGTTGGTCTAGCACATCCTGGCAACCCGTCATTGAAGCCAGCTACTTCACGGGCGCGGATGCCACGCCCAATGGTATCAGCGCCAATATCAAGCGCGGCGACACACAACTTGCGCTATGGCGCGTCAGGGGGAAATACTATGCTACGCAGCAAATGTGTCCTCATAAACGCTCCTTCGCGTTATCAGATGGACTTATTGGACAAGACATCTCTTCACCTCCAACAGACGCAAAGAAAGAACCTTGCGGTGACACCAAAGCCCCTTGGATCTCATGCCCCTACCACAAGCGTAACTTCGATCTAGGCGATGGCACCTGTCGCAACGACGCACAACTATCCATTGCTACCTTCGAGGTCGAGGAGCGAACGGATGGGTTAGTCTACTTGAAACTTCCACCTGTCGAAGAGTTAGATGCTGCACTAGGCACGAGTAAATGGATGGTAAAGAAGGAAGATGGCGGGAAGGGACAGTTTGAGGAGTTGGATCGGAAGATCGGGTTTAAGGGTAGGAGAGGGAAGAAGCCTACTGCGGAATTTGGGACTGGGATGAGGAAACCGGTGGAGGTGCTTCCTGCGGCGGCGGTGGGCGGAGGATGTGGTGCTGCGCCTGAGTGGTAGTTGGGTGTGATGTATCAGGTTTAGGTGTCTTATTTCCGGGTTTTGTTTGCGTGTTGCAGCATCGGATATATCATATGGATTACAATAGTTTATGCTTAAATTGACGTGTCAAGACAACATCGTGTGTATTACCAGCATTATGTCTATACTTCCACGTACGTAATCATGGCTCCCTACACCACCATCGCTAGGTGCTGATGAAGGCGTATGATAGTTAGCTAGATTATTATCCTTGCTTGATTTAAAATGAAGGGATAACATGTAGCGATATCTGCTGACATACACATTCAAGGAGATTACATATACAAAGCACACTGCAAATCGAACACCACGTCCTACAAATCATCATAACAGAACTGCATTACAAAACTTTATGTAGGTATTAAAAAAGCTACGCAAAGTCATTAATTAGGTAATTTTGTAGGTGTAATTTGTACAAGACAATTGATTCTTGATCTTGTTACTACTAGCAATAATGTGCATTTGTTTTTTGTTTGGCTTCTCCAGACGAACAGACACCGAAAAGAGGTATATCTAACAAGTCCCCAAAAGACCATTCAATTGATCGTAGTGGATCAATTTTCATTAAGTACGTTATATCCATTGAAGGTCCGGGTCATGAGGAGGGGCGCAAGAGAATAGTATAGGGGGATGGGGAACCACCAAAACGTGAGAACATGCCAGCTTTCCATCCGTACCGCGTCAACAAACTGAGGTGTCCTGTTCCTGGAAAATGGGGTATATCATGGAGAAATTTACTCATCTCCCTCAACGGGGACTTCCTCCTCGTACTCCTCTTCTTCCTCATCGACACCAGCATCCTGGTACTGCTGGTACTCACTAACCAAGTCGTTCATATTGGACTCGGCTTCAGTAAACTCCATCTCGTCCATACCCTCACCAGTGTACCAATGCAAGAAAGCCTTTCGTCGGAACATAGCAGTGAATTGCTCACCGATACGCTTGAAAAGCTCCTGGATGGCAGTCGAGTTACCGACGAAGGTAGACGACATCTTAAGACCGCGAGGAGGAATCGAGCAAAGGGCGGTCTGGACGTTGTTGGGGATCCACTCAACGAAGTAGGACGAATTTTTGTTCTGGACGTTGCGCATCTGGTCCTCAACCTCCTTACCAGTGACCTTGCCACGGCTAGAAAAATATGTTAGTAATGGGTAGTAACAAATGCTTCGGGAAGAGAGTATCTTACAAGATGGCAGAGCACGTTAGGTAGCGACCGTTACGGAAGTCAGAAGCAGCCATCATGTTCTTGGGGTCGAACATTTGCTGAGTCAACTCAGGAACGGTGACAGCACGGAAAGTGTAAGCACCACGGCTGGTTAGAGGAGCGAATCCAACCATGAAGAAGTGGAGACGAGGGAACGGAACCATGTTTACAGCGAGCTTGCGTAGATCTGAGTTTAGCTGACCAGGGAATCGCAAGCAAGTAGTAACACCGGACATGACAGCGGAAACCAGGTGGTTCAGGTCACCGTACGAGGGGTTGGATAGCTTAAGAGTACGCATGCAGATGTCGTAGAGAGCCTCGTTGTCAATGCAGAAGGTCTCGTCGGAGTTCTCGACCAGCTGGTGGACGGAGAGAGTAGCATTGTAAGGCTCAACGACGGTGTCGGAAACCTTAGGAGAGGGAACGACCGAGAAAGTAGCCATCATGCGGTCGGGGAACTCTTCGCGGATCTTGGAGATCAATAGAGTACCCATACCAGCACCAGTACCACCACCGAGAGAGTGGGTGATCTGGAAACCCTGGAGGCAGTCGCAAGCCTCGGCCTCACGACGAACGACGTCAAGAACGTTGTCGACTAGCTCAGCACCTTCCGTGTAGTGACCCTTGGCCCAGTTGTTTCCAGCACCGGACTGACCGAAGACGAAGTTGTCGGGGCGGAAAAGTTGTCCGAAAGGACCGGCGCGAACGGCGTCCATGGTACCGGGTTCGAGATCGACGAGGACGGCGCGAGGAACGTATTTGTTACCAGATGCCTGTGCATGTTGGGGTGATTAGTAACTGATCCCTTCCGTGTATAGGCATTGAGCCCCGTACCTCGTTAAAGTAGACGCTCATGCGCTCGAGCTGGAGCTCGGAAGTTCCGTTGTAGCTGTTTATTGCTGATTAGTTCGCATCCTTGGCATATTGAATTGGCGAGTCGAATACGTACACGCCATTGCTGTCGAGACCGTGCTCGCCAGAGATGGTTTGCCAGAAGGCGGCACCAATTTGGTTACCCTATAATACTTATGAGTTCCCCCGCTATACCCAGAGATGATATTTTATCGGTTATGGTTGTACTCACGCATTGGCCGGTCTGGAGGTGAACCTATTTAGATAAAAAAATTATATGGTTAGCTATTATCCTTGATCGAAATATCATACACGATTTGAGGGTATCATGGTGTAAATAATATGGGTGTACAATCGTGTTTCGTGTGCGTGAGGGGCAGAAATCAAGGGGGTTTGGAGCTCTTTTTTTTTTCTTCCTGGGACGCGTTCAAGGGGGCTCCTTTTCGGGGGTGGTGGCACTCGGTTGGGGATAAAGCAGTAAACATAAGCCGAGTAAATAATAAAAATAACAAAATAAATAATACTTACGATCTCACGCATTTTGATGGTGATTAATTACGGTGTATCGAACACAACTAAGAGGTATCTGGCAAGTAGAGTAGGGAAGGGAAAAATAAGATGCGGTTCTTGAAGATGGTAATGGCAGAAGTAGAGGGAAGATTTAAAAAGGGAGAGGAGCGGTGTGGGTAAGTAAAGTAAAAGTAGAGAGAGAGGTAGCGTGGTAGCTCCAGGGCTGTTTGAGGAAGAGTTGTGGTTTGTGTTGTGCCTGGCCTGGGTCTTGCCTGGTGTGATTTTTTTAGGCGGGAAGAAAGTTGATGGCCAGCTATTTTTTTGCTTGGAGATGTTCCAAATAGGAAAGGGTCGCCCCAATTTGTCGACAGGGGATAGGATGGTAGCGTAGTAGCCCCTCTTTTTTTCTCTTTTCTTCGACTGCGACTGCTCTCATTACAGCAATGTTAAGGGGAACAGGGGGGGTTCAATGGTAGCAATTGGGTTTTTGGGATGCACGGACCCTACATTATCGGTAGAGAAGCGGGGAGGTACAAGTTACTTTAGATATTAGTCTAATTACACGTAATTTCCTATGTATTATCTGTATTATCTACCAATACACGTATTGCTTGGCAACCATTTTTGAGTCTTGCCTTCCAACATCAGCACTTTATATCAACACGACTGGATGAAATCATTTGTTTTTGTTTTTTATTTTTTATTTTATTCGGATGCCTACGCTAGGTTACCATATTCACATAATTGATAGTGTCAGCTAGATTAAGAGAGGAGGAAAGATAACCCACATGTTGTGGTGGTAACAAAAAGATTAAAGAAAAAAGGAATAAATATTTACTTGCTCTTGTTGCATAAGTGTTTACCCCTTTTCAAACCATTGGTTCGGAACGTACAAATTCGCCCAAGGAGCGGTAAAGACTTCATGTACACCTCAACACGATATATACTAAGCACCAACGTAAAAATATTCCCATTATGAAATGAATAAGCATCTGATGAATGGGGGATTATTCTTACAATGCAGTCTGATCCCCTAGGCAGCAACATAATAGTTCCAAGGTTATTTACGAGGACCAACAGTAGACTTATCAGTGGCAAGATATCACGAGAATCACAACTAAAACAAAACCAGCAATATCTGAAACAAGGTCGACCAACGTAGATCGCCTCGATTCCTCATTTACTATTCGATTTTTTCTGTTTCGGCGTAACCAGCCTGCCTTAAAAAAATCAAGCCGGATCCTATCTACCTGTACAATGAATGCACGCCGTATGCCGTATGTCTCTTTGCCCTAACCGTACCAATGCCATGCCTTTTTTTAAAAACTACGAGAAAAAAAGAAACAAAACGATTCATTTTTTTTTCTCCGAGTCGAAATCAAATAGAAAGTGGTTCGTCACAACAAACTGCCGCTTCGCAGCAGGATGGATATCGTAAAGCCGAGACGTGCGAACAAAGCTCATGGCATGTGATAGACAAACGAGAATGCATATATCATTAGGAGCCACTGAATTTTAGTAGCCCCATTTTATCCGCCTTCATGTGCATGGGGAGAGGTTATGAATCGTTGAAGATGGAGGCAACCTATCCAACTCTGTCGAGGTTCCTTCTCGCTCCTGAGTTTGTGCCTCCATACATAATCCCCATCTTCGCGTAGAATATATAGCCCTTTGAGATCCACCTACTGCTCTTCCGCTGGTATAGCAACCAAGTCGTGAGAGCGTGGATCGGGCTGGCGGAAGTCATTATTCGTATTCATAATACTCCGTGATTCTATAGGTGTAAATGTATTGTCATTCGCAGACGTTCAGAGTCGTGGAAGAACATCGACCAACATTAACGATCCTTCAGGTAATCCACGTTGCGGTGTGTATCCAGACCTTGGCAAATAGAAAAGGGATGGAGATATCGAATTAGGTTTGTATCCGGGTCGATTATTCGTATCGATCCGTCGGGAAATTTCTCGGCGTTTCCTCAATTAATTAGACGGAAACGCGAAGTTCCTTTGTATATGGGCGCAGTAATAAAAGAAAAACTAAAAACCGATCCTGCGCTATGCAAATCGAGAAAAGTTGACGGCTTCACATATACATAGCTCCCACTAGAATTAGACTATGAGGATTCAGTCGGGGAGGGGGTGTTTCGTTGGGATCAACTACACAAATCGTGCTATTTCAACTAACAGTCATCATCTGCATTCGTTGACTGATCCCATTTGATGGAGACGCACCAACTGAGCCGTTGCTGAGTATGGAGTTGTTACTTTGGCTATGTGGTAGTCGTCTCGTCGGACTTGACGTAGGTTCGTCAAATACTCGTGTAAAAGCAGGGCTACCATCTGCCCTCGTGTGCTTTGGAGTTCGTGCTGGACTCTGCGTAAGATGATCTGCCTTGCGAACGACATCAGATAGGCCATCTCGTAAGTCACTTGCTCGCTTGACTAGTTCTTTAAGGCTGTTTGTATCGAAGTTGAGCTTGCCGGAGGACTCATTCTCTTCGCGACTCGCGTTCAATCTTGATTGACGCGAATGCATTGCTTCCATGACAGATCTCGCTACACTAGATGAACCGAATTCGGGATTACCAACTCTGTTCTCCGGCGTTCTTGGTCGAACAGGAGCTTGCTCTTCATCGGCTTGATCCCATGTACCGAATATGTCGTCATCTGGAGAAAAGACCGACCGGCGTCGGCCAACAGGGCGATCACGGACAACTGCATTCCGCTGGCTTTCCGATACCCTAGAAGAGCCGTGGATATCCAGGGAGGCCCCGTCCAGTCCTTGATCGACAAATCGGACTTCGGGAAGATCACCACTCGAACTCGAGGAGCCTTGTCTCGACTCACTGGCCTCGGACGGTTCTTCGTCGGGGGATGCCAGAGCAATGATACCCTCAGCTTCTCTCCAGAGCTTTGCGCACGTACCACTGAGCATATCCATCTCACGACCAAGTCTGCATAAGCGCTTTAGATCGTTAACTAGAAGCGACAGTTCTCGAATCTGTCCAGAGTGGGCTTTGATCGTAGGTTGCGTAGCCTGGATTGACGCAGGGACCACCATCGCGAAGCGTCCTTCATCTCTCTTGCTTGGAGACAAATCGAAGTCATCCTCCTCCTCAAATTCGAAGTCGTCATCCCAGTCCTCACTGGCATTCTTTTGTCCAAGACCCCAGGTTCCGAATTTGGGAGTCGAACTCGTAGTTTCTGACTGCTCCGGGACAACCGGAACGCTTTGGCTCCTCACATGAGCGGGTGTAGGTCCCTTACGATTCGCAGAACGTCCGCCTCTGACGTCAATTTCCTGCTTACCATGGACCGTCTTCGGCCGTGCATGACTACCATCACCATCATGCTTCTCGTGCGCAGTAGGTTCTGTCCAGTCAAAAACGGTACTTCGAGGTCGTTCTCTAGCCGGGTCAGTACGCGCATTAGATCGTGCTGTCGGTCTCGCGTTGCCGTTAATACTAGCTAGTGCCGTTCGGGAATTAGGGCTTCCCCTTCGCGAGTTCATGGAACTTGGCGGAGATAGATGATTATAAATGCCGTCATCTTCTTCCTTGTCCCAGTCGAGATCGTCGTCATCGTCATCGAACGAGAATCGGGGGTCATCTCTACGTATGACCGAAGTCGGAGAAACCGGGTTAGACTCGAAGCCATCCTCATCTTCGTATACTCCTCGGATAGGGGTGGAGAGACCTTCATCCTCTTCCATAATCTTATTTCCGATATCAAAGGCCGGCCCCATGATCTCCTGAATTGATAATCGCTTCGGTTTACTATTGTTGCCAGCAGTGCTTGGGGGCGACTCGTCGAACATCGACTCAAGGGGGCTATCGAGAGTTCTCCGACGTCCCGACGCAACCGTCCGAAACGAGTCAAAGGGCGTGTCCGTCTTGAAGTCAGTGTCGTCATCATCCCCGGAAGTAAACCCGCGATGGTACTCGGAGCTGGCAGTAGTGGAAGAGCGATCGAAAGTACGAGCTTGAGAGGTATTTGAAACGACTCTTTGAGACGATGCAGAGTTCGTCGTCAACTCATCTGATTGGCCTGTACCCATCGACCCAAGCTTGTTTAGATCAATGTGAAAGCTTGAGAGTCGTGTAATAGGCGGTAGGGGTGACGAAGAATTTCGCTTTCGATTAGGTCGGAAAACGGTAGGAAGATCTGTCTCGATATTACGTGGCTCTTCTGCCTCTTTAGAATTTTCTTCGTGATCAACTGCGTCGGGAGCCGTTGTTGGTTCGGTCTCTGTTGTGACTGGTGCAGATACATGTCGTTTCGTCCCGCCCACCGTATCACCGCGTTTACGACGCCGAAGACTCCCAGTTTTCGATATCCAATTCGTAGGCGAACTAAAATGCATTGACATAGACCGTTTAGGTTGTTTGGATGGCGTGGCTTCAGGGGACCCTGAAGACTTCTCTGAACTTTGTGGGCTGCCGTCAGTATTAGTCGGGCTTTCTGGCTCAACAAGTGTTTCTACCGGCACCTCCGAGGCCGAGGAGCCCATGATCAGAGATCTCGGGGCTATCAGAAAAGCCCGTCGCTGACCCTGATGTTCCACACAAATTCGTTTGGAATCAGGGAGCCCGGCGTTATCGCCACTCCTTAGTGAGGACGACTTCGTCGTGTATCGAGATATTCGGGAATGCCAAAAGGACTTCCACGTCGATGGTCCCTCGGCGGGCGCAACGAAAACAGGCTCCTGCGGACTAGCCAAAGTCTGAGCTCTGGGACGACTATCAAAAGATATTTTTGGTAGTGGCGGTAGAGTTTCGGCGTTGATCTGCTGATGTAATGTAGCGGATCTTTGATGGCTTGTGGCCGGTCTTCGCAGTGTCATCTGTGCTCTTGAACCTCGCCGTACTAACGAGCCTGTCTCCCCTCCATTGATCGCTGATGCGCGTTTTACTAGTTTATTAGGAGGTAGTTGCGGAGATGAGTGTCCCGGAGCCCCTAATATTGGCGCCGCAGAACCGTGGGAGAAGGTGATCGAGGGTGAGTCAGGGCCGATACTTGATCTCAAACTTTCGTGTTGGGATAGCGGCCGTATAGACAACCTTCGCATCCAGGAACCGTTCGAAGAAAGGGAATCACGCGAGTCTTCAACTATAGGACTCGCAGGCGCAAATTCGCCTTGTCTTACGGATGTATATCGCGCAGCCGAGGATTTCGGGGGTGTTATTTGTGTGTGCGAGGGTCTTCGAGGAATTCGCGGTTGGGCTGTCGCATTAATCGAGGGGAAGGGTCGATTCGAGTCTTGCGTAAAAGCGTTGTTCGAGGTATTAGGGGCAGTGGAACTCGTTGTTCCAGGGCGGGATGAAGAAAAGACGTTTAAGAAGTCCCTCTCAGATATTATTGACTTTCTCTTGTTTAAGTCTGGTTGCGGAGGGGTTTGTCCATCCGAAAGTTCGCCAAAAGCCAGACCCGTCGCCGCGGCAGCGACCGCAGTACCGGCTCCAATGAGCTAATTCACGTCAGCAATTATTCGAATTACAAGCCACGCAAGGAGCAGCGAAATAAGCAAACGCCAAATAAATGTGCTGCTATTGGGGTAAAAAAAGAAAAAGAAAAAAATATCAAACCCATATCGGATGGATATTGGAGTTGAGAGGAAGCTAACTAGAATAGAGAATTATTCCAAGGAGGTGGGATATGATCCACAAGTTTGAACGAACGGGCGCGTTAGACTTACACTAGGAACCGTCTGCATCTTGGAGAACGGGCGTTAGGAGAACAGAGAGCTGCCTTCTGTAAAGAGGCGTGAGGAAGAAAAGTCAAAACTCTTCGGCGTTCTCGTGACCATTGTTCATTGAGACATGGGAATTCCCGTGTTTTAAAAGTACAAGAATGCAGATGAACCTGCTCTTATAAAACTCCTATGTCGAATGCCTGTGTAGTGCAGGTAAACTAGTCGACGGTCGTAGATCGAGAGGCCTGGCGCGACGATTCGTCTATTATGCGGGACAGGGACTGGTCCAATATTTACTTTACTGGCAAAGCAGCAGTACAGGGAACACACACGACCAGTTAAGGACGGTTGAATTATTTGGTAGTTAGAATCCGAATTGGATCTCGGTCGACCTTAAGGAGGGAAATTATTAGTAGTGTAAAGACATAATAGTAGTTAAGGTAAGGTCGTTGTCGTCGTCGTTATTATTACTACGGCTCCGAGTAGTTGAGTTCCCCCTATGCTATGCAGGCAATGGAAGAAGCCTGCCATAGGAATAGGGAAAGGAAAGAAATAAAAAATTAGAAGGAGAATCTCTCAAATCCGGGGGAGGGTAAGCGGCAGCAAGGCAAAACAACATACGACGTAAAACATAGCAAGGCAAGGCAAGGTAATTATTACGGGTCTTCTAAACCTGAAATCTTGCTTTGGGGGAAAGGAAGAGAGAGAAAGCAGAAATGAGATTGATAGACGAGGATTGGGTTCTTTTGACGATTAGCAAAACCAAAAGAGAGAGAAAAAAATAATAAGGCCCTGGGATGTTTACGGAGAGCTGGATGCTACAAGCGGCCCGGGCTGTGAGTACAAATGACGATCTAAGATTAAAGCCACAGATTCCCCAGTAAAATAGCTACGAAATGAGACGACGGGATGTACCTAATTGCTCCGTGCACCGTATATTACCATGTCGTAGGTACATACCATCCATTTTCCAAGGTTTGTAGATACATAATGTATGGTTTGTACGTGCAGGTACCTACATACCTACACGCCATCAATGTTAGCTTATCATTATGCCACTACATGAAGTTAGGTAGCTGGAGGTGTAATTGTCGCTGCAAGTTAGTGCATTATTGCGTTGTTGCAAATAAGCCCAGGCCTGCAGATGCGGGTGCTATTTTGGAAAGAACGCGCACCATGTGCTTGTCCACTTTCAATGCCCTGGTGCAGGCGCCTTCAGCGGGTACAGTGCAACACAGTATTAAAGTCGTCCGATACATGCTTAAAAGCCGGAGAGCGAGACCATACGCCAAGGTCAGGGTCTGTAATTGAGCGTCCTGCAATATGTAATGCGGGTTCCCTATTACATTTATTAGTATGTACACGCACTATACGTACTGGCCTGTACATACATCAATAGCTGGTATGAGCTACCGTACAGTGCATAACATATTATTAAGAAATTCGAGACTAGAACCAAGAAACATGGTCATATCTATTGTTATGCTAAAGCATTGCATCGTCGATACCGAGGTACAATACACGGACAGTAAACAATCACTTGATATTAGAAGCTATTCGCTTCTTTTCTCTACCATCAAAAAAGAAAATTCTATACCAAAGGACTGATATCAAATTTAAAAGAAGTAAGCATCTACGGATGTATACCCCTATATCATATAATGTCAGCAAGTACGGAATAATGAAATGATATAAACATGCCTGACTTATGTAATTGTCCTTGTCCTTATTGAAAAGATCCTTATGAATTTCTTATGAAGGAATAGAAATACTTTGGTACAATATTTCATATGAGAGAGAGAAGAAACATCAAGATGCATCCCTAATCCTGGAAGGTGGATTATACCTTGTCCACTTTCCGGGACGCGCACTCCGCATACTGATGTGATGATGTTATTATTATTATGATCATTATTTTTTGTTGTTGTTTTTTATTATTATTTATTATTGTTGTCGCTCTTATTATTATTAGGTAGTCCTTACTTGGATGGACCGATGCAACTCACTAGCGCCATTTCAGCATCCGAGACTTCTCTATAGCTTCTTATTGGTCAAATAACCTCCTTGGATGGGCGCTGAAAGACAAAACGGGCAAGACGGATTGCAGCTCGAGACTCCAGGCTAAGGTCCGCATGCCAGTCTTGGATTAGACCCTCCCTAATTTTGTTGTTCGGTGTCGAATGGATGGATGCCTTTTGATAATCGATTCATTATTATTCTATATCTCTGGAACTCATCTCATACATATCGGACGAACATCTCGGGATGTTGTAAATCTGAATGACGATAGACGATTGACGATTTGATATTTCCACTATATTAAGAAATACTTAGGTACTTAAAAATAAATACATGTGAGCAGCCCTAAATGACGATACTTTGTATTTACGTAATCTTTTGTGCTTAAATATGGCCAGTCCCAGATTCTCGGTTCCTGTCTAACATATCCCTCTGTATTCTTAGTCGTTGTTAGTCGTGTAAGCTACTGCGGCCCTAAAATACTTTCTTGATTTATGCTTTCGAATGTACACCAAAGTACCTACACAGCTACAATTGACTTCCGCTATAATCAAGCTAAATGTCATGCTTAAAGCTATTTAGTACGAACGGCTTCAATTTTTATATTATATTGAAGATCCCCCCCTTACCTCGGCGATTATTCCTTTACGAGCATATATGTACATGTGTTCCTGAATATTGATATTGGAAAATGTCGGCACCCGAAGCCGACATATGTGAACATCATGAATACGTGACTATATCAAATAAATTAATACCAGACTACGATGAGGTATGAGTTGGTATAACTTGCATAAGTGCTTATTCCTCAACCTATTGAGTCGTCTAAAACTTGCTTATGAGTATTATTGCTATGATTTATAAGAAAGAGTCGGAGAAGTTTAGCATCTCACAGTACGGATATACTGAATCGAGAAGTCCTTGCGAATGCGCTCTTACATAGATGCGGAGCTTTGATACAAACGGCCTCAGCATACAATAAGCCTCATACATGTTGCTTGCTATCCACCATTATATTTGTCGCCAATGCCGTACTTGCATATGCTGATGCTTTGCCGCTCCATTGTCAATGCTTGTGGTCCAACTATCTATCCCCCCCAACCAATGACTTGTCGTCTGCCGTTGCCCCGTTGTCACGAATCACCGCATAAGCAAAGCTATGCTGTTCATGGGGAACAAGCAAAAGTCGTGCGACCATTTACATATTAGAAGCAACTCTCACGTCGAATTATTTCAGGCCTAGCTAATTACATATAACACATAATCTACCTATAGGTACACCACCTAGATACGCAAGTCTTCATCTGCGTAGGTGTTGGTGCCTTATTGTTTTTGTGTATCCTCCCCATCCGGTAAATTCCTATGCTTGTACCATTTTACCTTACCCTGTTGATTTTATTTTTTCTTTAATTCTCCGGTTTTACCGTTATTCTTTTTCCGGAAGAGGGCGTTCATCGGCGTCTGTGCTGGTGCTGGTGCTGGTGGAAATGAAATGATACAAAAACGTGGGAAGCTTCTTTTTTATCCACATCTCACAAGAATCTTGCTTAGAGCAACACTAGCGAGCAAGCTGGTCCCAGGAGCTAGTGATGGTCTAAAAAGCTGCCGGGCGACGAGACACTTACACGAAGTGTTACTTAGATTGGCAATCGGTAGCACCTTGCAAGTTTTGCATTGTATTGACTGTACTGTATTGTACAAGGCGAGACTTAATTGTCCACCACCGCCAATCGAGAGACCGAAACACCGAGACAAGGCTCTGCTTGGTTGATTGTGGATAAGGCATCCTGCCGTGCTGTCACGATCCGACGGCTCCTCAATCACAAATCACAGCCGCCTTTGTACCATGTCAGCATGTCCGGAGTCATTTCTGTCACTTGTCATTTCGTCATCTCGGTTTACACACTAAAATCGGACAAACTACAGAAGCTACTCTTTCATTTGAGGGTGCTGATGGTACGGGAGTGATGATAGAATAGGTAGTTTAACCCTACTCAACAGCAAAACCGTAGCGGAACGGGTGCAAACATTTGATACCCGAAGCACATCTATTCGCCATGTAGCTCGCCTTTTTTCCTGCCTAAGGACTTCCGAGCCACGAAGGAATACATAGTGGTTAGTTGAGTGGAATAGTAAGTCATATAAGGGATATCCTATCAACGGCCGAATATCGATATTGTCCGCTACAGACTAATGAGCAGGGCGTATAGGTATTCTACATTGTACAATGGGGATACAATACTGTACATACCAACCAGATCGTAGATACCTAGAAATGTACTTGCTCGTGTCACGACGAACATCCATCTCCAGCTTTCTATGTGGAGAAGCAAATTCCTCCTTAAAATAGCTACGCGTACCCAGTTCTTTTTCGTCTTACCCCTCAGGGCACCCCTCACTTCCGTCAATGCCATTGATCAATGAGGCGTCGTACTTGGTACGCTGAAGAGATTTGGATGTGATGTGGCTTGTGAATTGAAACTCGCTTGGCCCATCCCATCACTCTAGAATCTGATTTTAGGCCGAAAGCCCGATACATCAGTTCATCGATTCAAAAGTACCTAACTGATCAACAGGCGTAACGAAATTTGTTACTTACCTATGAAATAACCCTTGGACGGGATTGCCGATATATCATTACGTAGCGCCGAGATATCTATGTACCATATGGATCGATTTAAATGCGCCGTTTCCAACGAACGGACTTTTTCTTGGGTCTATCAAACCAGTCTAACTACGAGTGGGGGCCTGAGTCGTAACCAGTGACGGTAATAATATGAACTACGGCTAGCAAGTCAGAGAAGTAGTGGAAGAACATCCTAGCCAATCATTTCCCCCAACGCGAGTTTCAGCTCCCTATACAGCGTCACATTCAGCGCCCAAAGCCTAAAGCAAGGCAAGAAACAGGTGATTCTAATTCTTTCAGCATCGTCAATTGCCTAAGCACTTGAAACAGGACTTACAACGATGTCAGTGGAGAACGAAGCAACAACGGCTCATGATATCGGAAAATTGCTAGGTAAACTACCCAGTATTTAGAAGTTTTTCCTCGGCTATTATTCTAAAGCGTCTCGAAAAAAAGAACCACCCGCTAATAACACAGCTGCTCCATTTTCGAAGAATCCAGCTGCGTTAGATGGAAGATCCTTGGAACTGAGAATACGACATCGGCGCTAAGGCTCATTAACATGAAGCTCACCTCTCACGATTTACTTAGTCTAATTGTACACCGCTTTGAGCTTAGATTCCTTCTTGAGGTATCCTTTTACCTAGTACTTCAATATGTCTCTTACTCGAACCATTCTTATCAAATCTTCGAGCAATGCAACCAAGAACGATGCACTGAGGCTCGTTTACCAAAAAGCCCCTCATACATAACAAGATCATATCATGTACCAGTTACCCAAGGAAGCGGGCATGAAACCCAGATCCTCTTTGATGCGGCGGCGTCATGCTGTGTCAAGCTCTCGCTATCTAGATAGGGGCCGCATATGTACAGTATTCCTCCGGGCACAGGATTATGCATTCGATGCCGGGTTAGACAAAAGCAGGATGCAGGTGACGAGCCTTGTTACCAGATATCTACGGACTTATGACAGAAACATGATTTAACACAATAGTTTGCTACCTCACCTGTTTTAAAGCCTAGTATCCAACCTATTGGCCGTAAGCTCACCACGACCAAATTCGATCGCCGGAGCAAACGCCCTAAAATAATTCAATCCATCGCGTGCTTGAGAAGAATACTTTAAGGATTGACCTACAGTTGCATCTTAAATCCAGCGCCACCTGATGACATGACGTTGGATTCATTCTCGAGAGGCGAAATGTAACCCCCCACACGAGCAAGATCTGCTTGGGAATAAATTAAGAAGTCCATTACGACAGTGAGACAAGACATGTACAACAACCCCAAGTGAGCCATATCTTGTTTTTTTGTGGTGAGATTTTTCAAGAAAAGAAAAAATGCGATAGATTACCTACGTACTTATCTAAGGTACGGATACCCCTAGATCTCGTTATATTGTGTAGGGCTTAATTTATCGAATGGCACGCGTGGGTTTATGAGAAGGGACCTGTAAGATACGTTGCATCTGGTGGGAAATGCGACGGTCTAGGCGTAGGCCGCGTCTTCCCCCAGCTGCGTTTGGTGTCGGCTACCCAGCCTAATAGGGATCCCGTAACTTTTTGTTGCAGCTCGAACAAGACCTAGTAATAGAAGATCTTCAAGACTTTTGCAACTACCAAGAATGGCAATGATAAGGCACGAGTCTCAGACATTGAGCCGACTGAAGAATCCCGCAATGGCGCAATGGCGTGCGAGCGGGAAAGGCAAGACAGGGCGTAAACTATGAAAATGTTGCCGTAGGATGACCAATCAGAAATGGGATTGGTACGAACAGGACGATGCGCGTTTCTACCTTCCAGACATGTAAAATAGGATGCGATACCACAACGCGTCTGCGAGTGGTCGGCGCGTCATCGCCACGCGCTGCGCTCCGGCACGGTCCCGTGGAAAGGCAAATATCCTATTGGTACGTCCGTATTCGACAAGATCGATCTGTCGATCATTGTGGCGTGTTTCTAAGTAGTATGTAAACTCCGAAGCTTTTCGTTCGTAAGACTTTTTTCTTTTATCGCTTTTTTTTTTCCTTTCCCTCGCAATTTAGGGCTAGCCTTGTGAAGCTTGTATTCATGTCGTTATAGATAATGTTGACTTATTGGCTGTGAGGTAAGTAAGGGTTCAAAGACTTATCCATGTTAAATATAGCCAAGCCATATCCCTTCACATCGGTAGCCTATCATAAACGATATACCAGCATACCGTTTGAATCTAAGCGTCGCTAAAATAGGACAACGTAGATAGGATCCTAACATGACGAAAAATAACCTGCGGGATGTTTGATGTTAAGGGCAGAATTGGTGAATTCGGATGGTGAAGTTGCCGCGCAAGATCAATTGATCAGGACCAACACGGGTTGGATGGATATTGAATATCACCTGTTTTTTTGCCGCAGCAGCCAACGAAATTGGATATCACGGACGCCCACATCAATATCAGCCATCCTCATCACATGCGATTAATACCCAATTGGTACAGTATTGATTGGTGTATGATGTATGTAGAAGGTAAAGGCAGAAGGTAAGGTATCAAGGTATTAAGGAAGATTGCAGGGTTATCGGAGTACAATGGATGGTTTGTTCCGTTACCAACAAGGCCGAAGATAAACCGACGCAAGATTACCTAACCCGTTACTTACGTAATTTGTACTTACCACAGTGTATTATCCGTAATGATACTATCCGTCTTATTTCTATCTCCGTAATATACAAAGTTTCCACTTTTTTATTCAGACGACATTTTGAGAATTTGTGCCAATCGATGCCTATTCCATACTTCTGTATAATAATTCATACGAAGTACATACTCAAATAACTTCGTGGCAGCACATCTGAGCGCACCGAATATTTGCATCGGGTGCTGCAACTGGAAATTAAATCTGACAACAAGGGACCCACGTTTCGTAGAAGCGGTGTTTCTTTCGATTCATTCCATTTTCAGGGGTGGCCAACCAAGGAAAGAGGATAAAAAAATAGGACACCCTAGACAAAACAAGGCCCCAGCTGAAAAAAAAGGAAGGACTCGCAAATTGTGTCCCGTTTTAAGAACCAGGAAACCCTCCTAGCAGCTAATATCCGGTTCCATTCACCCCGTCACTATGGACGCCGATATCAGAGCCGCTATTCCGGATATCGACCCCGTCGTCTCCGAGTATTCGGTAGGCTATCTCAGACATGCTTCTACTGCATGGGTTGGCGATGAGGAGTCCTCTGCCCTATCACCCTTAGCTGAAGCCGCTGCTGCTATCACCGAGCTTCTACTCTCGGCTTCTGGAGATGCAGCTGGTACCAACCAGGACAAGATTCGTTCGCTCGTCTCCAAGTGGGTAGACAAGTATGAAGAAGCTAACAGCGGTAATGGAGAAAGGCGTGGTCCGTCCGCCGTGAAGCGACTTGACCAAGCCATCCAGGTCGGTGCTCAACGGAACATGTCGTCAACACTAGCCGTCGCCACCGGAAGCGTCGATCTGGAGTCCGCCAATGCCCGTAAGGTGGAGTCTAAGGTTGACCGAAAGAAGCTCGAGAAGGCCGAGCGCAAGATCGCCGCTAAGCAGAGCAAGAAGCAGTTCAAGACGGTTGAGTATGAGGCTTCCAGGCTACTCAACCAAGCCGAGAACGCCCAGAGCTATGAAGAGTTTTACATGGCCGTCAACCCTCTGCAGCTTGGTTCTAATTCCGGTGCCAGCAAGACTAAAGATATCAAGATTGAAAATGTTGATGTCAGCATTGGTGGTACCAGAATCTTAATGGATACAGATTTAACACTCGCCTATGGACACCGTTACGGTTTGGTTGGTCACAACGGTGTTGGTAAATCTACGTTGCTTAGAGCACTTTCTAGGCGAGAACTGCCTGTTCCAACACACATATCTATTCTTCACGTCGAGCAAGAGGTACGTCATTTTCGTGATCAGGTGACTTTGTCCATATGCTAATGTTCTTCAGATTACTGGTGATGACACATCTGCTCTACAAGCTGTTTTGGATGCCGATGTTTGGCGAAAGGTGTTACTCAGAGAGCAAACAGTATGTTCCTACCCTTCCGAAATCTAGTAGCTCCCACTAACATTGTCGCCTTCAGGATATCACAGCACGTTTAACCGAAATTGAGACCCAGAGGTCATCTATGGCAGATACTTCTGCAGATGCCGCGAAGTTAGACCATGACCGAGAGGCTCTTGACCAGAAGCTTGGAGAAATTCAAGCGAAGCTAGCAGAGATGGAGTCAGACAAAGCAGAGTCCAGGGCGGCTAGTATCCTCGCTGGTCTCGGTTTCTCTCCAGAACGTCAACAATTCGCTACCAAGACATTCTCCGGTGGTTGGCGTATGCGTCTAGCCCTTGCCAGAGCTCTTTTCTGTGAACCTGATCTACTACTTCTCGACGAACCGTCTAACATGTTGGACGTCCCGTCTATTACCTTCCTTTCGAATTACCTCCTCACATACCCAAGTACTGTTCTGGTAGTCAGTCACGACAGAGCTTTCCTAAACGAAGTCGCGACAGATATCATACATCAACACTCAGAGCGTCTCGATTACTACAGAGGAGCGAACTTCGAGTCTTTCTACGCCACAAGGGAAGAACGTAAGAAGACAGCGAAGAGAGAATACGAAAACAATTTGGCTCAACGCCAACATTTGCAGGCCTTCATAGACAAGTTCCGATACAATGCCGGCAAGGCTGCCGAGGCGCAGTCGCGTATCAAGAAATTGGAACGCATGCCGGTGCTTGAGCCGCCAGAGACAGAATACAGCGTCAAATTCCATTTCCCAGATGTGGAGAAGCTCTCACCACCAATCGTGCAAATGTCAGGTGTCACCTTTGGATACACACCGGACAAGATCCTCCTTAAAGATGTGGATCTTGATGTCCAGCTCGATTCGCGTATTGGTATCGTCGGTCCCAACGGTGCTGGTAAAACAACTATCCTCAAGCTACTTATCGGCAAGCTATCACCTACGAAGGGTACTATCTCGCAACACTCACGTCTACGCATCGGATTCTTCGCACAGCACCACGTGGACGCGCTAGACCTAACTATGAGCGCGGTCAGTTTCATGTCCAAAACGTACCCCGGCCGCACAGACGAAGAATATCGACGCCAACTGGGCGCCTTCGGTATTACCGGTACAACCGGTCTCCAGAAAATGGAAGTTCTATCCGGAGGTCAGAAATCGCGTGTAGCATTCGCCTGTCTCGCACTCACGCAACCGCACATCCTGGTTCTTGACGAACCGTCCAATCACTTGGATATCGAGGCTATGGATGCGTTAGCGGAGGCACTGCAGGAGTTCCAGGGTGGTGTATTGATGGTATCTCACGATGTTACGATGTTGCAGACCGTGTGTAACAGTTTGTGGGTTTGTGAGAATGGAACGGTTTGGAAGTTCCCTGGAGACGTCCAGGCGTATAAGAAGAGGATTGCGGCGCAGGCTGATGCTGCGGGTGTGGTTAAGGCGCATTAAGGGGTGGGATGTGTAGATGAGATGATATGATTTGAAATGAAAATGAATATACGTCAATGCTATGACTCTGTGAAATTACATTGGCAATCTGATGACCTACCTACTAATCGGACGTCAAATGGATATCACGGCGCATATATACCATAGGCATGTATTGGCTGTAACTTCATGTTACAGTCCGCTCTCCTAAACTACCTCCTAGGCAGTTCAGTCTCTTAGTTCGTCATGTTAAGTTGTTCTATCATCCTCCATTTTCCCGTGACTGTCTTTTTTTCTCAGCTATTGAGCTGGCTCCCAATTCAACTCGGAAGCACATGTTTTATGATATCAACGCACCCGTGCTGGTGTTATTATAGGCCATTAGGACTCCCATTCCTCTTCCTTTATTCTTCTACCTAGCCAACTTAGACAATCATTAATACAATCTTTATTATTCCTTTACCCGTTACGTAACGCCTCTCCTGTGAAGAGACCTTGTCCACCGACAACTCTCTTACTCGTTTCCACGTGCTCCGGGACGTCATCGTGGTTCTTCATCGAGAAACATGATTTTCTATAGTGGTGCGAAAATGAGTCGTCTGACTGGATCGTTGGTTATGTTGACGATATGTATTCCATCGTCGATATATATGGTCCTTTTCAACCTTTCTTCGTCGCGATGAACTCGTTCCATAAGTAAGTACGTACATGTATTAAGATTGACTGACTAACTAACAGAGGAAAAGAAGAGGATCGGGAGTAGCCCGAATGAGTGGTGTATATGTAGAGAATTATGCATGGCCAACAGCTACGCTTCGAAGGGCGGTATCACCCAGTGAGAACACGTTCTCTAGGGGATACCTTTTTGTCGTACCTAGGTAGGATTCCGTATTTGATGTTCCTCAAGACTGGGAAGACGGCAATGTATTGAGCTATTGTGGTGTGTATATGCCGAAATGTCGTGATTATCGTAGTAGAATTTACATCATTTTATATGAGTCGGTACTTGTCGTTAGGGCCGAAGTCGTCCTTGAGATGTGTTTTTTCCATTCCCCGCCGACACCCAATGATAATTGATGGCTGGCAACTTTGGCTATCCCAATCTTCTTCCCTTCCTCCTTTCAGTTAGTCAATTCATCAATAATACATCATTCTATTCCTTACTTTCGTTACGTAACACCTATTTTCGTTGAAGATACCGACACGTACTGCTGTCTCGACGTCCACGAGGAGACCGGCGTCAGCTCCTGTCCCCGGTGCATCTTTAAAGGTATTCATCATCATATTATCGTCATATGTTGTAATGGGTACAGTCTGCCAAAAGGGCGTCTCCTTACTGCAAAGGCCAGAAGAATAACGACCCATTATATCTCTTTTATGGTACATTCCATTAAATGTATGGCTGTTGGAGCTGTGTGGGAAGCTTACCTCAACCTTTATCCTTTTGAAGTCGCGTGTTGCGTGGAAAACGTATATTCCGGGTGGTGCTGGTCGAGTACATCCTATCATATCGTACTCCAGGTTCGAAAGATGCCTACGATCGTGCCAAACTCGGACAAGGCATATATTACCATAAAGCTCTCGCTTTCCTAACGAAGACGGTGGTGTTTCATGCCAAGCTGGCTTCGAGTAATATCGGTTTCCTGGTGTCGCCAACATTCTGTGGCCGGGGCCGGGCGATGCTGTTGAGAAAAAGCAAAAGAGCCATGGAGAATGGGAGAGGTTTTGTAGGGACAGGGATGTAGCTAGGTATGGATGCCCTGGAGAATTCGTTGACAACTAGAATGTCTGTCTCTTTCCAAGCGACTGCTTTCCTATTCGTTATCGCTCAGACTGCTTTTAGCACGGCTATGGCGAGGCGTCGTTGATGTTAGCTCCTGCGTTGCCGGAGGTGGCAGTCACCTGGGCACAGATATCTGCTTCCACCTTCGTGACCACGTGTTCGTATTGTGTGGAGTAAGAATATAGAACATCCCAGAAGGGATACTGAGGTAGAATTTGATATATATAGGCATATTCCAGTCGTAGTTAAAACGAGAAGGATTGTATATGCGTCATCGAATAAAAGGAGATAATAGTTTGAAGGTGTATACTTGGGTGGTTCCGTGGAGACGACAGTGGTGTTATAATATGCGTTTCTTATTATATTGGCCTGTATCTGGTCGTTCTGTGCCTGAGTATTGTTGGGACATGGGACGGAGACTACGTATTTGTAAGGGATCGATACCCCTATTCCTCTTCCTATGCAGAGACAGTATAGACCTCATGAAAGACCTTATGTCTATTCCACTAGAACCAGAACAAACCGAACCCTTTGACCCCAGTACCAATAAGATAAAACACTTGACGCAAGTACCGACGGGCAGAAGCGGAAGAAGCAGGTTCCCATCCTGCATTAAACACTCATACAAGACCGAAGCATGCCTTATCCTAACAACATCATCAGGCATCCATTTATGCTAGACAACAACAAAGAAATCAAACATCTAGCAACCTTCAACCTTTATGAAGAGCTTGTCTGCCTATTTATGTATGTCCTAGCAACCTCATGCAATTGCCCAGTCTAGCACACTGGCAAACTACTTCTAAAAGCCTCTCTTTATCAAGCATGATGCCAAATATTAACTAAAAGGAAATAGCTACGCCATGCCGCTTGAGCGGCGAGACCACCGAAACACAAACAGTGGTCTGCGAAAGACCCGACGATATCCGCGGATAGTCCTGCCGTCAAACCTATACAAAGGACTATAAGAACGAATTGGCTTATACCTAGGAAACGTCGGATTGAATCTTGGCCTACTAGGATCTTTGGCAATTAATGAATTCAAAGTCAAGACGAAATACAGTTACTAAGGACTACGAGATGATATTCACAATACATGAAGGTTAAGACAGCAAGATGGAGTTTTCAGTGTTTAATTGATGCTACACCTTTCGATGACCCGACCCGTATGAGTGGTGGCGACTAATTGAGACAAAACGCTAGGAAAACCACACTACCCCATTTTCCGTTCATCCTTAGATGACCGCTGAAGATATACCTGAAACACAATGGTAGGAAAGAGAACCACTAATTTATATTCGCAAGTGGCGTCATTATCCGAAATGCGCCGATAGCATTGGACTGCTACCACTTGCCTACTCATGAGCAAAATGGGCTAGCCATCGCCGGGCTGCCCTCCAGTTCGCTCCATGCAACGCACATCCATCGTTATCAAATCAACCGAGTTGTGCGGCTTCTTCATATTTGTTCCTCCAATAATCACGCTCTTCCTGAAGCTTAGTGATCTGGGCTTCAAGCTCTTCAAATCGCATGGCTTTTCGCTCACGAGACTTACGGGCTGCCAAGGTATTCCTAGCTCGTTTCATGGCAACCGAATCCGAAGGATCGTCAACTACGATCGGTGGTAAAGGCTTGTCACGACGACGAGAGTTCACACCAGAAACAGAAGAGTGTTTCCCTGCGGTTCCCGACGACGGCGAATTGCCAGATTTTCGACGAGACTTAGAGGCGGTCTCAGCGACGTCCAACTCCTCTGATTGCTGAGCTGGTGATAGATCATCAGCGGGGGGAGGAGCAGTGAAGGTGCTTGTGCTCTCTTCAAACAAGGACGCCCAGTTCTGATCCTGGAGCTCGATTTCACCAAACTCAGGAGAGACGTTGCAACTGGCGAAAAGATCCGGAGAATCCCCGCACAAAGAAGGGGAAGTCATGTTCGTCAAGGCAGTCGAGTTCGGGGCAGACGTGGTGTTCCCATCAAGGAACAGCTGCTGAGGTGACACGGTACCTATGTTGCTGACGGAACTGGATACGGAACCGATAGGCGCGTCGTAAGGGGAAGAGAAAGCCGTGGAGGCTCCCCCCTGGAACATATCCTCAAATCTGAGGGCGTCTGCGGGATAAGAGTTAGGAAAGCTACCTAGAGAAGTAGAATGAACTGATATACCTTGGAAATCCATCTTGTTCGTTTGCTGATTGACACCCTGTGTGAAAAGCGGTACAGGTGGACGAGCAGATCGGTTCTGCTGGTTCGAATTGGGAGAGTTCTGAAGAGCTGCGATAGTATGCGCGTAGAACTGCGCGGGAGAATTGAACCGGTTGGTAAAAGCCGTAGGAGAAGATGTTGTCTGATGTCCTGTTGCCCTGATGATCTGAGCCACTCGCTGATTCTGCAATGTAGGAGATGTAGAATCGCTGGGGGTATGCGAGAAGTGACTAGTGTTGGCGTTTAGAGATCCAAAGGCTGCTGCTTGAGAGGCAGGAGACGATACAGAGCGGTTAACGTTCTGTCTCTGAGGCTGTGATGGTTGATCGAACAAGACGAAGTCCTGTTGCGGGGCTAGGAAATCGTTGTTCGGTTGCGCAGATGGTGCCGGCTGGCTCGGGGAATTGGAGGGAGGCCATCTTGACTGTTGAGACTCCGTGGTGAAGACTGAAAAGTCTTGTTGGAGAATGGTGGCGGTGGTGTTAAAAGAACTCGGGGAGTAGCTGTGAATAGCTTCGTTTGAGTTCAGATCTTCCTGGGTAGGGAGGTCTGAAGAGCAATATTGAGTGGGGAGCAAAGATAAACTGGGTTCCGTTGAGGACTGAATCTTGACCGTTGGCTACAAAGAGCACTTGGGAAAGAGAGACACGGGGGTCTGGGGTGTGCTTAGCGCATCTTGATGGGATGCTATCTATTACTTGACTTTCTTATGTGATGTGTGTTCTTGTATTGTATTGTGTTGTATGTCTGGTTGTATGTGTGTGGGAATGTAGAAGAAAGAAAGAGGGGAGAAGTCAAGATTTCGTGCCTGAATTTCGGTGGGAGAAATGCGATATTAGTATTTTTCAGGCAACAATTAACCTCGCACCGAACCAGAAAACGCCCTTGTAAACTAAGTAATGAAGAAGGCGCGCACAGACCATATAGTTAGGCGGACGCGCGGGTGTATTTCTGGAGTCAAGGGTACCCGTGTGCGGCTTAGTTAGGTCTCACGGTTACTTGCTAACCACTAACAATTTTGATTGTAGGCTACCCGGTAGGCAAGCTAGCTGTTGAAACAGTTAAGGAAGAACAAAATATGCTCGCTTGAACAGGTGTGAGTCATAGTTGAAAGTTCCACTATTCTGTCCCGCACTAACGATTTCCATCCCTGTCTACTTCTGCTAATCTTCCTCCTAGCGCACAGCCTTCCTGCCTTTCTCTCCGTATTTCCCTGCTGCGCATTTCGTTCTTTCCCCTGCCTGAACTGGATGGATGAACCGGTTGCAACGGATGGAAAGGTAGAAAATAAAATAATAATAAAATATTATTTTCCATGCAACGGACATAATGGCGTTTATGCAACGAAACGTTCCGTAACGTCACAAGCAATACTCTGCGAAGGGCCATCATACATGATAAGTAATACATTTGTTTTATTTTTGGCAATTTATTTTTTATGGATATTTAAACACCGAACATACTCCTAAACATCTGAGTACGCAACCCGATATTGAAATAGAAAAATAAAACTGCTTGTTGGTTGGATATGTCAAGCCTTATCACCGTGCAGCCACGGATTTGGAGATCGGATGGCGGGATGGTGAACACCGTTTCTCGTTTCTAAAAAATCCTTGGTTCAATTAAAATGTCAGTCCGGACTTTTGGCGTCTGTCTGCCAAGACACTAGTCTAAGGTTTCTGCGATCAAGGGCTTGTGACGGATTTGCGTTATTACCTGTTAGCTTCCTCCGTTTTGCGAACGTTGTTTCATTGGCTGGGTAGTTAAGCTATCGGCCAACCAAACGAGGAAAGTCTCCTCCATTTAGCGCTACGGATTGATTTTCTCCCTCGTGATACCAAGAATCTTAATTCTCAACCATGAGAGGCATAGCACATGTTTCGGTATGCACATACAACCCGACCTACCCACGCACGTATGTATGTATGTCAGATCTATTTCAATGCTTGATCGAAATACATCGGATATCGTATCGAATCGGCTATATTAGAAATGCTCAGGTCTTTTGAGCATTGCGAATTAGAATATCTCGTATGGATGTCGGGATCGGATTGGGACGATTGCCCCTGTCTCTCTACGTACGTTTATGGATATATTTCATTAATAATGTACCATTGTACACTTATCCACTAACTTGTGATACCGTATTGTTATTCGAGAATCTAGGGCGGCTGTGTCTTTTTTTTTCGGCCCCCTCTTCCATCTCGATTTCTTACGATATCCACTTTGAAAATTCCCTACATAATAATCCACATTCACTAATTTTTGAAGACACGAATCCTCATGACGTTGTTAATTCATTAGGTATATCAAATGCTAATCAATTCATTGAACATATCTAAAATATACGATGAAACATGACAGACACGTTGCCGCATGTCGCAACTGTCAGTCGTCAACTCAATTGCGTAGTCTCGCAAAGGCGCGTGCGCAACGCGACAACAAGAAAAAAAATTAATAATTAATAATTAAATCTGCATTTTCCTAACCCCACAAAGTTCGAGGAACGTTGCAAGAAGAGGCAAAGTTCCCCGCGGTCTCTCGTTTCGCGGAATCGAATTTCAATCCCAGACAATGCAAAGACAAGGGCATGGGATCGACAAGACCAAAAAAGTATTTTGATCAATCGGATCGATCAATTCGTTTCACTAGAGTTGCAATTTGCCAGCCCTTCCATTCCATTGTCGTTGTGAGTCATACTTGAGGACCCTTCCTACGTACAATGTGTCCCCAGGTGTACGTATAGATTACGCTATGGACGGATCTGGGGGATACTTTCGAAGACCCTCGCTATGTCCTGCCAATTTTTTATATTTCCCTGCTCTCTGGGTCTTTGTGTCTAAGACAAAAACGGCTCTGTTCCGTTTTACGGCACGGGGAACCGGATGGCCTAAATCCTAACGTCGTTTATTTTTGAGATGGAAACGTAGAAAGCAAGAAAGAAAAACTGTTTTATTCCTACGGACTACGACCCTAGTGTCGTGGGTGGGAATCTGCTTACGAGGATCATCTCGGATTATCTGCTCCAAGTCCTTGTCTTGCATACTTAGGGCCTGCACATCAGTGGGAATCGAGCCATGAAATTTTTTTGATGCGGACTGATGGATTTTTTTTCTGTCTCCGTTCTACAAGACGCAGGGCGCAGCCTTCTCTCTTTTTTTACGCCGTTGCTTGCCGAGAACGATAGGCGGTCCGCTTTACGCTTCTTTATACATACTGACATATTACATACACATATACATATGTAGGGTTGGGATTTCAAATATCCAAGGACAGCCAATCTAAGAAACCCACAACCCACTCGTCAACCCGGGTTCCTACTTGAGGTATTTCACGGGACCCTATGAGGGGATACCTACTGCCTAGAAGCCTGGTAGCACACGACATATTCCATACATAATCATGTCCTAAGGAGACCGACGGGAACGTGCCCTATCAGCCCTACGTATCAAATCCTAGTCCTATATGCATCTCGTTCTCTTTTCGTTCGAATACGTTCATTCATTTCTGAATTCATACACGAGGCCACGTTGCTTCTAGGCAACGACCACCTCCAAGATTGCAGAGCCGCTTTAGCATTCCTAATGAATGCCTCCGGCTTACGTTCAACCACTATATTCTATAGCGCTGTTACGTTGTGGATTACGTCGCGAAAGAGGTGTTTTTAATCGACCGCTCTGCCGCCCTATGCTCTCTAAGGCAGTACGCCGAGTCCGCGCCCTCCTATCGCCGAACCCTGCCAAGCCAAGCCGTATTATGCAGCCCGCTCTCGTCAGCTGCTCCTAACAAGTGACCCGCTACGCATCCTCAACGCGTATTATGATGTAAAGACATCCATGAATTATTTGGTCTGTTCACGTAAGCAACTCGCAGGAAAAACCGCAAAACTAAAACTACTACTACTTTATACCCATGTCCGAGTATCACGACAGTAGCCGTAGCCGTAGCGTAGTAATCGGAGCTCGGGCTGGCTGACGGAGAGAAAAAATAAAAGTAGAAGAAGCAGAGAGAAAGTCGGATATGTAAGGTAAATTCGCCGCCACAGAATCACTTTACCGCCGGCGAAGCCCGCGGGTCTTGGATTGGTCGTCTTTATCCTGATGGCGCTTTTATATCCGTCTTGTTACGGCCGGGTCCGGAGATATTTGATTCGGACGTGAGGCTGCGATATAGATTTATGGCTTTTATTATTAGCACAGCCTTCGCGCTTGCTGACATTGCATTCTAATATTGATTTGATGTTTATTTCGTAATTCTTATTGGTGGGGCTGTTGTCTACGCTTGGAAGAGGAAGAGGCTATAAGGTTAATGTAGGTAGGAGGTGTATATTTGGTAAGGTGGATGACATATGTTCTAGGATCGACGTAGTACTATCCTTATGGGGTCTGAATAGTTCCAGTAAAGAATCAAAACTGCTTATCATGTATTATAAACGTTGTCAATACTATCCCCGATAGATTTAGACTGGCCTGGGCAAATCTATCTGTGTGGATAAACAATATTCTAGTCACAGCATCAAGTCAAGTACACATGAGGCACGCAATCTTTGGTCAGTAGATGGGTATGAATGTTCGTTGTCTGAATTGGGTAAAGTATCATGAGTCCTTAAAAATCTAGCTTATAGAAAGCTGGGTGCAAATACAAGAGGGTAGTAAAGAAGAGAACCTAGACCATATGCATGCAATGATATAACGCCAGATCAATGCATCACCGGAACACCTGTGACTGAATTTCATGATACCAAGAAAGAGTCCTGTACCTTTTGTGCTTTCCATGCAAACGCCTTTCCTCCTATTGATGAACTGATCCTCGTAAACACCGTTCCGGGTAGATGTGATGGGAAGAACAGTTTCGACTTTACTTGTGGTGATTATGCGGTTTCATGATGTTGCCGCCGATTTGATTAGGTAGAAGAACAGAATGGGACAATGAGAAATGTCCCGAACGACTTAGTGTGTTGCTCGAAAATACTTTTCGAGCAATACCGATCAGCGACGAATTCGTTGGTATCGTAGCTAGTGTTGTCGTTAAGAGAGATAAATTAGGTAGCTGTTTTTAGGCGTTCGCATCCTCGACCTCGACAAGAGCGTTGTTACGAACAACAAGGTCTTGCGCGGCGATGCGCTCCATCATTCGCAAAAACCCAGAATTCTTGAATTTATCCGAATCGTTATCTGCCACGGCGTTCAGAATTTGTTGCGCGGCAACAGCTAACTCGGAATCGTTAGCTGGGCTCGCGGCCTGGGTCTGCTCGATAGCAACATTTGGCTCGGGTTGTAGGGAAGCTACAGGCTGCTGAGGAGCACCTTGAATGTCTTGCTCCATGGGCAGATGGTTTGTTGCGTTCGTCGCATCCCGGGCTGCGGTAGTTCCTCGCCGAAGCTCAATTGATTCTGTTACCGACGCAGAAGGCCAGGTCTGTACGTCGGGGACATCGGTAGCGTTCGCCTCCATCCATTTGTGGAGCTCAGTGTCAAAGTCGAAGTTCGAGTTCGAGTTCAAGTTCGACGAGAAATTGTCTTGCTTATTGACGAGGAGGGTGCCTCGGTCAGGCGAGGGCGGAATATGGTACTGTCCGAAATTTCGCGGAATAGGTACACGGACGGGCGCTGCAGGCGTGGGTGCTGTGAGGAGTACCTGGCCTTGAGGGGTTAGGGGGACATATGAATCCAGTCCCATTCGTTGGAAATCTCGGACCCAGCCTGGGCTTCCGGCGGCGTCAATACGCGGGATCGAGGATCTTGGGTTTAAGGACGTGACGTCGATGTGGTGTACGTTACGACTTGCATCATCGGGGAAAGGATTGAAGAGAGAAGCACTGCTGGCCTCGAAGGCACCAAAGCGAGCGTCGGTGAACGACGTGAAGGCACTGTTGGAGCGGAATTCGGTTCCGAAAGGACGCTTTATTACTGTTAGGTTCCATCATACATTTGTAAAACTCAATGGGTCGACGACTAACCTCAGGAGTGTTGATAGGGCGTAGTTCACGTTGTAGCGATCGATCTTGCTCGGCGTGTCGGGTAAGACCCTTGGCCGCGTTCGACGGGCCGCACAAGTCTTGGGCCATGGCGCCGATTAATTCAAGCGCAGCTCTTTCAGATGAATTTTTTGGTATGACAAGGTATTTGGAAGGAATTGTGGTATCGTGGTGGAATGCGATTAAAGCTGCGCCGATAATGCAACGAGATCCGTGAGGTAGAAGAGGAAAATGTTGTAAGGGATTAGGGCTTGTGAATTTCTCAGTGCGCCGAAAGAAAGAGCATTAAATAAAAATCGTCGTCACTTCCTAATCAGTCTTGTAAAAAAATAGAGTTTTTTGCCGTTTCCTTGTGTGGTGCAAATCAGTGGTTACATATGTATCTGGAAAGAACAGTGCTAAATCAGTACCTAGTACTTGGTGTTCATGGATCACATGTGGATTGGCTGATTGAAAAAGGGTATTTGCCTACAGTTTTTAATCGTTATATGTATATGTGATTGAATCAGATACTATATGACTGATAGTAAATGTATTGGTGACTCAAAAGAAATAACATGTATTCATTTAGAAACGGCGTTGAAGTTGAAGAAGTTCAATTCACATCAGCATCACAGGCTCTTTTATCGGTTCTACAGACGACGTAAAGCTGATTAGCCTCGGTACATTGCGAAAGATGACCGATCGGCCCAATGATGTCAATCGTCACAGCCGCAAAGTGTGATGGTACTTCTAAGCTAATGTAGGTACTTAGATACGTACCTAGGTACCTTCCAATTCGCCCCATCGCACCCCGCCGTTTTTGGTTGTAGGGGTTCTGATTACCTAATGCGGGCGAATTGATTTTTATTTGAATCAAGAGCCACGTACCGCAAAAGTATTCTCCGGAATCAACGTTAATCCGTTAATAAATCATTCTGATTGGAGATCTGGACTTGATCCACAACATCGAACCTTCCGACCAATTGATAAGACTGATTGATCTTGGTCTGCCTACGTCGACGTAGGTACGTACTGGAATTGAACACTTTCATGATTTTGGTGGAGCTTTCAACTTGTTGCTTTATCTGAGCTTCTACCAAAGCTGCCAACTTGAAAAAGGACGGGCAGTTCTAAAAACGACACTCCAAATATTGACGGCGCAGCTCTCTCTATTGAAACTTGCTTACTTCTACGCCGTCCCCTTATAATTTCTCTCCGAGATGGTATGTTAAGAGTAGTGGTTTGTTTACACTCATTGCTCTACAATCTGCTAACTCCGACTTGCAACAGGCGCAAGTAATATCCAATTCCGGCCACGATGACATGATTGTACGTAGGACACTTCGGCGAACTTCAGCCAACACCTCGATACTGAGCCTTTACCCCCCGTTGTCTTTCAAAGTTGCCTACTGCTACGGCTATTCCTAACCTTTGCTAGCACGATGCTGTCTTGGACTACTACGGCCGACGACTCGCAACATGCTCTTCCGACAAGACTATCAAGATATTCGAGATTGAAGGTGAATCACAGCGACTAACCGAGACATTAAAAGGGTACGTACGATATGCTTCCTCAGGTTTAAGAATATCTCTGACAAATTTGGGTATAGTCACGAAGGCGCAGTATGGTGTGTTTCCTGGGCGCATCCTAAATATGGCAACATCCTCGCCTCGGCGGGCTACGACGGCAAGGTCTTCATCTGGCGCGAACAGTCAAACCAATGGCAAAGAATTTTCGACTTTGCCCTCCACAAAGCCTCGGTGAACATGGTCGCATGGTCACCCCACGAATCGGGCTGCCTCCTCGCTTGCGCGTCCTCCGATGGAAGTGTCTCCGTGCTCGAATTCAAGGATAATAACTTCTCCCACGTCTCGTTCGCCGCCCACGGCCTCGGCGTCAACTCTGTCTCTTGGGCGCCAGCTACAACACCCGGTAGCATCGTTTCCTCGGCACCTACAGGGCCTGGTGCTCTTGGCCAACGCCGCTTCGTAACGGGAGGTTGTGATAATGTGCTCAAGTTGTGGGCTTACGACCCCGCCACACAAGGTTACAAGCAAGAGAGGGAACCGTTGGCAGGCCACACAGACTGGGTGCGAGATGTAGCGTGGAGCCCAACTGTATTACAGAAGAGCTACATTGCTTCAGCATCGCAAGACAAGACTGTACGAATCTGGACAAGTGACAACGCCAGCCAAGGCCAATGGTCGTGCAAGGTGCTGAACTTTGAGGCGGAGGTCTGGCGTGTCAGTTGGAGCCTTAGCGGGAACGTATTGGCTGTTAGCGGCGGCGACAATAAGGTCTCACTGTGGAAGGAGAACCTGCGAGGCGAGTGGGAGTGCGTCAAGACGATGGAAGAATAGGGTCCTAGCCTATCGGATAAATGAACTAACCACCTACCGCAAGGAAGAAAGTGGTCGAGAGGATGACTTGTTACGAAGCCCGGCGTTTAAGAAGTAGATGGGGGCACTAATTCGGCTGGACTGTTGAGTCACCAAAAAGGCAGAGTTTCTTATATTTTGCATCAGCCTTGAAAATTCATGAAATAAATGCGATATCCTACATTCATCGTACATAAAGTGATATGGATATTGTTATGGAGGTTGTAGTAGTACAGCTTCTTGACTCAAAATGTGCCATCTCCTGTTTTCTTTCCCTATGTCGATCTACTAGAAGGAGAACTGACTTCGATTCGTTCCACAGCTTACACCCTTTTGTGGCTTGAAGTCTTTTAATTTGAGATGGTCCTTGATAGTTTATTTTAGAAAGGATATTCTATAGCTTGTCAGAATATTGTCGTATCAATGCATTTATTTTCATTCGTACATGGGTGTGTATGTCGATGTTGAATTGGGGTTACTTCCTTCCCTTGACTTCTACAATTGGCCATTCACAGCGAAGCTTCTTATTAAGAGGCTCTTTGTAGATTATTCCGAGACTGTTTCCAACCATAATTTAGACTCGGTTCCGATACGCATATATTTATGAAAGTAAGTCTTCTTGCACTGCACATAAAGATGAAAGAAAGTTAATTCGATAGCTGGGTGAACTAGTTGGGGTCATTGGGCGGTTAGTCGGCCAGTAATAGTGCTGTGACCTAAAGTGGAAGCGGCTCCCCCAGAACTGATCGGTTTCATGTATCTTTACAGCAAATTTATTATGTACGATACATTCATTTGTGCTTTAGAAGTTCAGGGGTCTCACTAGCAACTAATAAAATTAAGGAAATAGTGACTGGGATTCCCAGATCCGTCGGCTTCATAATTTCAATTTCAACTTGTCTTAGGTACTCTTAACTTTCACTTTATTTTTGATGCTTACTACTACTTTGCTTCACTTTTGCGACAATCGCGTTTTCTGCCTTCGTCTATATACCCGTGCCATCGTTATTGTTTGAATTCTAGAACCGGCTTCCCCATGCGACAAACATACCTGCCGAGCAACCGCCCTGCGTAATCGAACCCGTGGGACTCCACGATAAGATACTCTTTGTAGCCGGTCATCCAGTACAAAAACAAGAAGAGCTTCCCCTTTCGCACACCCCTCATACCGCCAAATTGTCTGATACGCGGGAGGATAGTAACGGACAGTCCGTGTCCACCGGGCTTCCACCTATCAACATTGAACAAGAGGAAGAAGGGAACTTGAGATTCGAAAGCGACAGTGAAGAGGTGGATAATTTAAATCGAGGGCGTTCACCACCTCCACAATATCCATACTCGACTTCCGAAGCTTCTACCTCGACCTCATTTTCATTTGCTCCCTCTCGATCTGCCCCGCCTCCTTTCTCAAGCCTTTACACCCTCGACGACAATTTTAGGCTCGATCCGACAACTTCTGGTCCTGCATCTGAAGCTGGGGCATCATCCGCAACTGCAGCACCAGCTTACGCCCCTGCAGCCTCAGCATCCGATAGCCCTCTCGAGAGGTCTGGTTCTTTCGAAGATACTGTCGCAGAAACCAAGCGAGCGCTTCCGCAAGACGTTAAAGGCGAATCGAGCCAGAAAGGCGACGATCCAAGCGAACCTCCTCCCGCATACTCTGAAGGATATAGCCCGTTACTATCATTCACCTACCTAATGGCGGCCGCCGGTGGTGCATCGAGTATTATTACTCAGGTTCAACAAGGAGGACCTCCTATGAACTCCATTGGAGGTAAAAATGCCATGAATTTTATACTATTGGATTGAGGAAGGAAATACTAAACCGATATATAGATGTCGGAGCCGATGAGACAATCACTATGGATCTGCGGTAGGCAACACATATAGCCAAACATGCTGACAGACGGATACTAACTAAATTTCTTATATAGCGGCACGCGCTTCGTTCTCTCCAGAGATGAACTACTGACGTTACCTGAATTCGTCCTCCTGTCCTTATTTCCTAATGGTCTCTTCCCCGAAGGCCATATGGGTGGATTCTCCGAAGGCGACGCCGTGCAAGTCGATGTTAGTACATTCAACGATAACCCCATCGCTCAATTTACTCCGGTTTCCCCAACCATCACATCTTCACAAGAGAAGCCCTCTGCTCTTTACACCTGCTCCCCATGTTTATCTACCCTTCGCAACCTCGTATCTAATACAAATATACATATCACTGACTTCACATCTCAGTATGACCCTGCATCCCTACAATATATGCTAGATTTCTTCCGAAACGTGGCTCAGTCCATCCCCAATGAATCCTCCCCTAACGCCTCCCCAGACGGAGGCGCTGTCCCTATTGACTCGCTTGGTGGTCGGGGCGAGGATGGAAAACGAGCTGGTATCATTGTTTTACGAGAGGACCTAGACTTCTATGTCATTCCTCCGCGACCGAATATCGAACAAGCTGAAATGATTGAAGTCAAGCGCGCTGCTGCCCGCGCTTTGCTTAGACAGGATGGTATCTTTTCGGGTCTAAAACGGAGTGACGAACCCGGCACGACTGAGGCGCATTTAATTGAGATGCTTACTGCTGGGTAAGTGATCCTCACATCCTTCGCTGATCCCCACATTTGAATAGGCTATCGCTAACCTTTATCATAGTGGTTTCAACCATGATGATAGATGGGGTCATCGTGCCGGTGAACCTAATAAAGCTGTCGTTTGCAGCTTGGCTCTTGCACGACTACGGAGCGAAATTCGTGGCAACGACATGGGTAACAATGCTGTTGGTATGGCACACAAGCTACTACTCTTCTGGAGGAAACCAGCACGGCGTTGCTGGTGGGAAGGTGTGGATCTTACCGACGTGGAGGGTGTGGATGGGCCCCTGAAAGTGTGGATTCGCAGAGTGTGGACACTTGAGATGAGTGTCATAGGGCTGCGTTGACATTGACTTCTATTAAGCGAGCGACAAGGCGTTCGAGTCACGTTTTTTCTTTTGGCAGAAACTGCTTTTCCCCCACAGCAAACTGGAAAACGAAGGGCATATTACATATCACGGTCCCACGTTAACGGATTGCCTTTCACCACCGATGCATCACATATTTGGCGGTGGTATTACCGGTTCTCCCATTGTTTATACCTGGTTTAATCATAGGCTAGGATATTAGACATCGCCATGTCCTACGCTTGATGTATGCATACTACCTAGGTAGAGTAGGCATATCACATTGGGCATTTTTTCAAATCGAGGGCAGAAAGAATATAAAGGGAAACCCTATTGTTAGTGATATAAGCCATTGTAGCTTGTGGATTGCGTATTAGGATCAGGATATTACTTTACGATAACTTATTAAGTAACATATCAAGTATTTTGTTTATTATGAATTGATGGGTATGTGATAGTAGGGACTGAAGCTATCGTGACAGGTTTAACATGTGATACTTTTAATATATGTAGGTGTAGGTTTCGAGCATACCGGCAGATGGGGAAATACATACCTGGGTACTTAATGAAACTGATGGTTATTATCTTGTCCTGTGGCTTCCCTCACCCTTAGCTCCGGCCTGTTACTCCGTATGACTTCCTCGACCTTTAGATTTATGTATAGTTCTTACCTTACAAGAATGATTGGCAAGAATGGGGACGTGTACCTGCGTATACTGTATGTAAATGTAACTGGCCGTAACTAATCGACCCCACTCCCGAAATCTTATGCAAGGTGCAGGGGTGGAGCAATAAAGTGAGACCCAGTGAGCGTCATACTTGCGGCTTTCACTTATCTCAATGCAGACTATCGATCGTACGAACTTTGTCTCAGCTATAAAAAAAAAAAATTCATATATTCGTGGTTCAATGTAGACCAGTCATTCTTCTCTCACCGACACTTGTTAGTCAGTAGTATAATCGTCAATTGACTAATCGTTACTGGATAAAATTTCTTTTTTTCTGTGTTTCCTCAAACCTTTAGATACACTGATACAGATAAAGCCTTTGTCAATAAATTATTTAAGTTTATTATTTTTGCGCTAGCGTACCATTTTCAACCACTCGGAGTGGATCTTTTACTTTTTCCTCCCCATACAGTATCTACACCGGGAGGCTCATACTCGATACTTCCCTGTTCCTTTCCAGTCTTCCAAGCAAGCATCAGGGATAAGCAACATCGAGTCGGTTCTCACTGATTGAGATCATCGTCGAAACTCTCCTACATACTAACTACGTGTTCACGCGTTGCTGTGATAATCGACCCGACCATTTGGACACTCCACGATACATCCCCGTCGGTAAACGCATTGGTACCCGAACTCGACCGAAATTATTTTTTATTTTATTTTATTTAGTACCCGGTCCGTACCGTCATAATGCGTCAAGATGGCCGATGATTCTCCAAACGTTTCTCGTCCCGTCTCTTCTCTCGCTCATCATCCTCTTCCTACCTCTCTACCTTCCAATTTATCCTGTTCGTCCTTCCACGAGATGCCGCGCACTAGGAGGTTACGTCTACTTGTCGCCGCCAATGGCCAGAGGGACGTCGCATACGCCCAGGCGATCGCCGTGCGCCTACTCAAAGATTCCCAGATCGAAACTCGAGCTCTCGTCGACGAGATACCTGTCCGATTGACCCACGATATAATTGTCATGGAGAATAGGAGTTTGGCGGCTCTGGCGGTCGACGCTGATCAGAGGACTAGGGATGCGATAGAAGCAGCAAGACAAACTGCTTTCGAGCTTGTTGATTGGGCCGACTTGCTTGTTCTAGCACCTATTGACGCCGACCACCTCGCTAAGATGATGTCCGGTATTGCCGATACTACACTTCTAGAAATACTAAGAGCATGGGACGTTTCCAAGAAGATTCTACTCGTGCCTGGCATGTCCGTACAGATGTGGGAAAATCCCATGACGAAAAAGCAACTGAGCAAGATCAAGCGCAAGTGGAATTGGGTCAAGGTCATGGCGCCCGTACTTTGGCACTACGAGGGACAAAGTGCGCATAAGCGCATTGTGTCTTGGGATGGGTTTAACGACCTCGTTGGCATAATAAAAAATCAGGCAGAATTAATGAGCCTAGGACACGACGTCGAAGTCGCCACCCAACAAGCAATGCATACAACCGCACCGAGTCGATCTACCAAAACATTGCCTCCCGAAATATGGACTATTATATTCGAGCATGTTGGCGATTGGGAGGTAGCCACTGCTCTTAACATATATACGAATCTAAAAACTCCACCAGAATGGAGAACAGATCGTGCCACCCTTACTGATCCTATCGAATTATATATGCACGATCTCGAATGGCTAATTCTATCATGTCCCGGATCGAAGGCTATCTGCGACAAACTAGCTGAGGCACCTAAAGGACTCCGTTACGTTTCTTATTTGGCTGTTAAACTCATCATAAAGTTTTCGTTAACCGATGTCCTCACCTACCTCGAAGCACATCTAAGCAAGATCTTCTGGGCCTCGTTTAGCTCCAAATTACTTCCTAACAAGGCTTCGGGAGTATATGGTCGCACGGATATTCTCGATTGGTGGAATACATCTCCTTCGTTCCTGAAAAAGGAATACGACGCCGAAGCACTAGATAACGCGTCTCGCATGGGCTACGTCCATGTGCTAGATTGGTGGCTACGTTCCGGCCTTGCGCTTAAGTATACTGAAGCCGCGCTTGAAGCCGCCTCGGCGAAGGGGCACCTACTCGTTCTGGAATGGTGGCGCGACGCAGCACTTAAACACGATAACATCCCACTCAAACCCGGCCGCAGTCTACTCACAGCCGCCCAACGCGGACAGACCGCCGTTCTTCGGTGGTGGGAATCCTCCGGCATACCCGCGGCGCATAGCGAAGGCGTATGTAAAATCGCCAGCGCCCACGGACAAACAAGCGTCCTGGATACCTGGCGCGAACTCAAAGGCGACAAACTCTCCTTCGACGCACAAGTTTTAGTAGCTCCCACGAAACAAGGATACGTTGATGTACTCGAGTGGTGGAAGCAATACGCAAGAGGCGAACAACCCGGTGATGGCGGGAGGACGCGACGGGTTGAGTATAAGACTTGTGATATTGAAGAGGCGCTTGAGGATGCTATTGGAGATCCACGACCGGTTAGACGGTGGTGGGCTAGGAATGGGCTGAATTTGGGATTGGGGACAAATGAGTGGATGAAAGTTAGGAGGCTTTAGGTTGGTGAGGGTTTGGGAAAAGGGGGGAGGGGGGAGGGGGTGTAGCATAGTAATGGAAATTCGTAAAATTGAACTGCTCTGGTTTCGCCTGATGAGTACTAGAGAGTTGTATATGTTAAGATATACTGAGGCAACGAGATGGTTCTTCAAACTTACAATACAGTACCGATTTTGGAGAGCTTTGTCGCTAGCCGATCTATAGTAAATTCAGCATAAAGGGGTAGCTTATTCAGAAAGTCACCTCGGAGGTATGATTAATAGCCAGCATCCATTTCGCTCTTCGCTAATTTTACAGGTTTTCTAGCATCTTCACACGATAGCCACGCAAGACCGAGCTCATTGTTAGTGGTTGAACGTAACACGAAGACCCTGAAGGATTCATATTTGGGGGTCCCTTGTTAGCCCTATAATGGAGCTGTAAGCCATCTGCATTAGCGCATGTAAGAAACCAACCAATCAGCGTCCAGGAAAATAGCTAATTAGGTCTTATAGCTTCCCTTCCAGCGGCGAAGCTGTGTAGTAAATTTTGTGATGGGATCATGTCATGCCAGGTCTTGGATTTCGGTTCATTCCGCGGCTTCTCGAAGGATATCTAGTACAATATGAACTCACATTGAGGGAGATGGTGATCTATATAAGAGGCTGCAGCTTACTTCACTTCGTTCCTTTAATTTCATTATCCATTGAGTCGCTCCAAACCTCATCGCTAATTAACCCAAGAAACTAGCGATCTACTCTCACAACATACTTGATCGATTTTGCTTTTTGTACTACCACTTACCGCAAAATCTACAATGGCTTCAGGGCGCTTCTTCGACCCTATAACATTCCTCCGCGTCGCCCCACTAGTCACATCAACCGCCTCCCTCGTCATCGCCAACGACTCACACCTCTTCCTCAGCAGTCTCCTCGCCGTGAAACGGCACCGCGCCGAAGTAAACGTAATCGCACCTCGCTACTTCGAAGAATTCTTCTGGCGCGGGCTTCCCGAGATCTTTGTTACTTTTGGGTTATCTATCGCGTTTGGTCTAGCGAATGTGTATTACAAACCGTACGCCGCCTCCCGTTTCTGGTACGCGGGGGCTTCGGCGCTGGCGTTGTTGCATTTCACGTTTGTACCTACGATTGCGCAGACGGTGAAGGCAACGGTGGAGAGTGAGGAGATTCCGGATGGGAAGGCTAGGGAGGCTATTCGGGGGTGGTTGGATGTGCATCATGTTAGGATGGTGGTGTCGGATATTCCGTCTTGGACGTGCTTTTTTGTTGCTGCTTTGAAGGCTCTGACGCCGATCTAGGAACCCGGGCGTCGTAGGGGTACCTATGCGAGATAATTAGGTATCAGACAGGAAGATGTGGGTCTGGCCTCGACTGTTTATTGCGTAGCTAGCAATGATTGGTGGTCATAAAACAATAAAAGATTCTGGACAGTAGCTGAACCAAAGCCGACACCGCGGTTGGCTGTACGCGTTATATAAAGTAACCCTCTTAAAGCATCGCAGATATTGGACAGTGTACAAAATTATGTGTACCTACAGGTGTCAACTAATGAGTGGATGGAAGTCAACAGAGCCTACTTTTGTTGTGTGATGAAGCTTATAGTTCGATACCCTCGACTAGCTTGGGATTTCAGTATATAACTTCTGGCTTTCTCCCCAAGGTAAGTAGCTTTTTTTCCTTTTTGTGGTCTTATTCATATCCTAAAACCAACGACTTGATCGCCATGCCCCCCACCAAACGCCCCTTTCCAGATCCCTTAGGGGAAATCTGGTATGAAAACGAGCCCCTTTTTCGAAGACTCTATGAGAGTGAGAGAAGAACCCTTGAAGAAGTCAAGCAAATTATGGAGAGGGACTAAGGTTTCCCTACTAAACCGTAGGTACGATTGATATCCTTCTAGGACTGCTGCTAACTCAGAGAGTAGTCTATCGACATATGAAACTAAGTTACGAGAGTTAGGCCTACGCAAGAAGCTCAAGAGGGATGACTGGGCCGCCGTGTACCAGAGTCATCTCGACAGAAAGGGTAAAGAGTCGGCGGTCTATCTTAACGGAACCAATATCCCATGGAAGAAAGCATGGAAGGAGATCAGGAGGTCAGGGGCCCTATTGACTGAGAGGAGTAAGTGATTCGACGCCGTCTGAATATATATTGTATAATACTGGCGATTAATACATGCCAGATCGAGACGCTACACTCCCAAGGGGGGTGGTTGTGAGGACACCCTCTCCCGCAGGGCAGCTTGTCCTACATTCTCCACTGGTCTACCAAAATCTACCAAGCTCTTCACACTCGCCATTGGCACTTCCGCATTCACCACCCACTATATCACAGGATCAGGGGACACCTGTTTACAACAAACAGATTACTGTACACCAATTTGAAACCCATCAAGACCTATCAACTTTCATCCATTTCCTTGACCAGGTTGATGAGACCATGCTTGCCCTGCTTTTCGCTTTAAGAAACTATCGTTCTGTGCTGGAAAATATGCCTTGGGCTGTTTTTTATCGCCAACTACTTCGTGGGTGCTTTGAGCCCTTTACCTTAAATTACTGGACTAATAGATATCTTAGACGGCATTGGGGCTACTGTACCCTATCGTGGAAAGGAATTCGATGATGTATTGTTCCAATTATCACCGTTTAGCTCGATGAGTGATCTCGAATTTCTCGCAGTTGCGGGCACCGCGTTCCCATCGAGTACAGGCTGCTCAACTTTAACGTCCCCTTCTTTTGAAGTGGCACGGAATCTCGATGTTTTCTACGTTTTTTCTAGAGTTATATATGGTCTTTCCAATGAAAACTACCTTCTCAGGTTAGAGACAGGGCATTGTCCGGAAGAGCTCGAGATCTTATTTGATCGAATACCCCAGGCCATCGTGATTGGCCTATTTCATAGCGATCTTCCTACTATGAGAGCTCTGTGGGAGAGTTTAGTGTACGCCGCTGGAAAATGGGGTTACAAAGATACATTCGCCCTTCTCATCGATGTTGGATCGAAACATAATGGGTGGATTCTTCCTTATGGCACCGATTACCTCTCGTTCACTGCTGCCACGGGCGCGGTGGGCATTATCAAGACCCTACTGAAGATCGGAGCACGTGCTGACCGTCACGTCTCGTACGACGAAAATTCGCCCATTTTAGAAGCCGCTGTCACCGGGAATATAGAATGTATAGAGCTGTTGTTGGAGGAATCCGACGTAAACAGAGTGGTGGGAATGCTTGATTACCAAAACGCATCCAGTTTCATCTGGGTATTATGGACATTTATATATGGAAGACTTCCAACTTGCAAAAAACGGGACCATATATACCTATCAAATTCTTTCAAGGAAATAGAGAAGACCGGCATTCTAGAGCTTAGCCTTAGTCTTGACAACGAGTCACAAAGCCGAGTCTTAGATATGCTTTTGGATAATGGCGCAAATGTCGACGCGGCTTGGATATTCCCGAGAGATACTGCGCTACTAAGTTTCTACGCGCGGAATTATGTCACGGAAGATTGGCGCCCCACGGTCCTGGAACGGGCCTACTACTGGGACGAAGGGCTTTTCCGGAAGTTATTGCCAAGAAGCACTCACTCGACGAGGCGTATCGCTCGACCATATGTTTGTCTCGCAGCAAAACAAGGCAAAGAAGCTCTCCATGAATACTTAATATCACAACCAACAAAACCCGGATTCGCCATGCGGAAATTTCTGGAGATGGTTCTTGTCGAACAGTTCCTATTAGACGATATGGTCCTTGATATCAAGGTTGTCCAGGGGCTTATCGAGTTTGGAGTTGACCCAAGACTCGCCTCACTCTCGTTGAAACCTAACTATCTCCCCTTGTGCCTTGTGAAGAAGGCTCGGGAGTATGAATATAATGAAGATTTTGATTTCACCTTAAGATTACTTTATCAGGAAGGAGCGATAATAGATATGGATGTTCTGGAAGCTGGGGTTGAGGAAGAAGGAGTTGACATCTTGGCAAAACTTAGTAAATATGGCGCTGAAGTGAGCCGATTTGGTGCTGCAGCGTTGTCAACAGCTGCCCGTCTGGGCAACTACGGGGCGGTTTCCTGGCTGCTGGATGCGGGTGTGGATGTCAATGCCACGGTCAGTATGAAAGACGTAATCACCAATCGTTCTGAGTCGTGGAGCGTCATTGCCTTAGCAAGCAACTATGTTGGCTTCTCCCCTAGCAGAAAGTGCAGGGGGTGGATCTATGGCAGTGACAAGCGGCGGTGTGGTTCAGCTAATCGCGAGATGCTCAATATTTTGATCGGTCGTGGTGCAGTGTTGAAGAACAGCCCACACGATAAAAATGCCTTCAACTTCATGCACCGTCTTCTTGAAAACAGTTACCCTGATCCGAACTTATTGGATAATGTAAAATTCTTTCTGGAGTTGCAAGTGGATTATGATGATTTGCTTGGAACTGGGAAATGTCTATTGGAAGCCTGTCTCAATCCGATGAAGGGGGGGATAAAAATATTTGGTTTTTCTGGGTTCGAAGAGAGGCAACAAAGGCACGCTATTTTTGAACTCCTCATTAAGCATGGGATTCCGATCAAGAGAACCCGTGTGCTACTACCGTGCCTAATTAGTCAATGCGGCAAGCCCGAACTGATCCAACAGCTTCTAGAAGAGGATGCGAATATCAACGCATATTGCAACTCGGGAGAAGGTTGTCCTTGGCGATACAGCCCCATTCAAGCAGCGGCTTACCAGAGTAATAGGGCCTTAGTTGACCAATTGATTAATATGGGCGCCAATATCAATCAACCAGCACATCGTGGTTGCGGACAAGCCGCACTCCAGGCTGCCTTTTTGGATGGTTTAGCAGATATGGAATTTATACAATTCTTGCTTGAGAGGGGCGCAGATGTTAATGTCGTCGGACGCACTGATTTGGATGAATTTATAACAGTACTGGGACAGGCCGCTGCATATGGGGACTTGGAGTTGGCTTTTCTACTAGTTCGCTATGGGGCTGACCCGAATATATGTGGGGATTACTGTGCACTGGATTACGCTGCGGACGGGGGCGGGCTCGATATGGTTCACTTTTTATTAAACGTTGGTGGACTTAGTTATATTCGCGGGCGAACTGGATATGACGGAGCAATCCGACTTGCAAAGGAGAGTCGACACTTCGCTATTGCGGATTTAATACAACAATACGCGGATGATGAACTCAAGCGGTTCGGTACTAATCTCGCGATGTCTCGAGAGGCGCGGTGGGACTCAGATGATTCCGATTATAGTGATTCCGACGATTATAGCGATATTGGATCCGACGAATCCTGATGCTCCGGGTGCATTTGAGATTTGGTTTTGTTTCTTATGTACTGGATTGATTTAGTAATGTGGTTGGATTGAACTAAGCGCAGTCATTAGATAGCGGTGTTTCTCTAATTTATCCGTCAATCAAGTCTCTCGATGATAAAAATACGGTCTATGCTTGGTAGAGATGTAGTAGCGCCGTATAGAATTATCGACTGTCTATAACTAATAACCCGAGTCGACCCCGAAGCCGTCTATAGTTCCCCGCAGAGAAAGCTCAACCAACCCCTCCACCGAACCCCACGATGTCGGATGTCAAGGTAGCTTGTACCTATTCATCACCATTCGGATGGAATTAATATTTATATCTTGGCCTTTTGCTTGATTATCACCACTTCTTACTTTCCTTCTAGTTGGACTTCGCGAACAAGTCCTAATCTTCTCTTGTAAATATTATACTATTTTAAACATAGCCCCTCGTTTATCTACAACTCACTTGACGATAGCCGATACAAGCCGAGCGCAAAAATGCCCGAAATCACCATCACCGGCTGGAGGACCCGCGACGTGCGGTTTCCCACATCGCTAGACAAGACAGGATCCGATGCTATGAACGCCGCGGGCGACTACTCCGCCGCATACTGCATCCTCGAAACCGACTCCGAATTCTCAGGTCATGGCATGGTATTTTCCCTTTCTTTATTACCTTCCTTCATCATGCCCCACTTCCTCGGACTATGTCATCACGAACTAGAGGGGCAAACACTAACCCGAAACCCAGACCTTCACAATCGGCCGCGGCAACGACATAGTCTGCGCCGCGATCCCACACTTATCTCAGCGCATCCAAGGCCGTACTCTCTCCTCCCTCGTCGCTGACTGGGGTACCACGTGGCGACACCTAGTCGCAGACTCTCAACTTCGGTGGATTGGCCCGGAAAAAGGCGTTATCCACCTAGCCCTCGGCGCCGTCGTAAACGCATTATGGGACTTATGGGCGAAATCCCTCGGTAAACCCGTGTGGCGCGTCGTTGCCGATATGTCACCTGAAGAGCTCGTGAAATGTATCGATTTCCGGTATATCACCGATGCGATTACCCCCGAGGAAGCAATTGCCCTGCTAAAGGCTAGTGAACCAGGGAAGGAGCAGAGGATTAAGGATGCGCTGGAGAGTAAGGCTGTTCCGGCTTACACGACTAGTGCTGGATGGCTTGGGTATGGAGAGGATAAGATGCGTGCGCTTTTGCGAGAGACGCTGGATAATGGGTACAAGCACTTTAAGATGAAGGTTGGTGGGTCCGTAGAGCAAGACCGACGACGATTGAAGATTGCTCGTGATGTTATTGGGTATGATAAGGGGAATGTGCTTATGGTCGACGCAAACCAGATTTGGAGTGTGCCGGACGCTATTGCGCATATGAAGCAATTAGCTGACTTCAAGCCCTGGTTCATTGAGGAGCCGACATCACCCGATGACGTACTGGGTCATAAGGCTGTAAGAGATGCGTTGAGGGAACATGGTATCGGTGTTGCGACGGGTGAGATGTGTCAGAACCGTGTTATCTTCAAGCAACTTTTAGCCAGCGGGGCTATTGACGTGTGCCAAATCGACGCTTGTCGGTTAGGTGGTGTTAACGAGGTGTTGGCTGTTCTACTCATGGCGGCTAAGTTTAAGGTCCCTATTGTACCTCACTCTGGAGGTGTAGGCTTGCCTGAGTACACGCAACACTTAAGCACGATTGACTATGTGGCTGTTACAGGAAAGAAATCGGTGCTGGAATATGTGGATCACCTACACGAGCACTTCTTGCATCCCTCGGCTGTGAAGGATGGATACTACCAAACCCCATTAAACCCTGGATATAGTGTTGAGATGAAGCCTGAGAGCATGGATCGGTTTAGCTATCCTGGCGAGGATGGTGTAAGTTGGTGGAAGAGCGAGGAAGCGAGACCGATTTTGGAGGGTGAGAAGATTTAAAAATGAGGGGGCTGGATGAGGCGGTCATTAGCGTATGTGTAACATGCTATGGGAAGTTGATTCATACTCTGTATTTAGGAGGCACAGGTAGGTGGGCTAGGAAAAGAGGCAATTTGGACCGGGTTAACAAATTTAATACTGCAGTGATAATAAGATTGGTGACTCTTTACATAGGTAGCCGCAGAATAATCTTATCATCTCACAAGCACAAAACATGGCATGGCATCACATCATCAAAACAATACATTTAATAGACAAATAAAATCGCTCTTTTGTGTGCACCCTATCCGCCACGCTCTTATGTAGTAAAAATATAAGTCGCTGCAATTTACTCAGAATCCAACTCCAAACGCCGCCCTAGGTATCCCGCATCATGGACTATAGCTAAGAGCTATAGTTATCTCAACGGATATATAATTTGGTCATGAGAAACCAAAACCCTTATGTCTCATAATTGTTAAGCCCAACCTTTGTTCCTAATCCTTAGTCCTTAATTCCCAACTTCTGCTTTATCTCCATTCCCAGTACTAGCACCAGCCTCACCAGTACCATTCTCATTCTCACTCTGCACATTCCTTTCGGGCGCAACAACCCGAATCTTAAACCCCACTCCCGGTAGCTCGCTCCTCAGCGCAAGACTACTCGCGACAACACTTATACTGCTCAACGCCATAGCCAAACTAGCCCATACAGGTGGTAGTCTAACATGTTGCCCGTTAACCATCAAAGCGTAAAAACATCCCGCTGCGACCGGTACCGCAAGCAGGTTATACACAAGCGCCCAAGCGAAGTTAAACTTAATCCTGCGGAAAACCGCACGACTTAGATCCAACAATGTGACCACAGACTCCAGATTACTGTTCACAAGCACGAAATCGGCGCTGAAAATCGCCACGTCGCTGCCCGATCCAATTGCGATACCGACATCCGCAGTACTCAGCGCCGGCGCATCGTTGATACCATCTCCAACCATCGCAACCATCGCTCGACGATCAGTAATTTCGAGGTTACCCCTACGCGCTTTAAGTGTGGATTGAAGCCATTTAATTTTCTCATGTTTTTGCGCGGGGAGGACTTCGGCGATGACGTTGGTTTCCGGGATGCCGATGCGGGACGCGACTACCTTAGCTGTTGTGGCGTTGTCACCGGAGAGCATCCACACATCGGTGCCTCCTGCCTTAAGCGCTTGGATAACGGCGGGTGTTTCGGGCCGGATCGGATCGGAGATAGAGAGGGCAGCTGCGATGTTGTATACGGCAGTAGGCTTCTCGAGCACTTTGAGAGCGACGAGCGCCACAGATTTGGCTTCTCGCTTCCAAGTATCAAGATTCGTAGTAACGTCAAGGGGAATAGCGGCGGCAAAATCGCGCATGAGCGATTCGTTTCCGATGATGATTTCAAACGAGCGCAGTGGTGATCCGCTACTGTAAGTTGCCTTCAATCCCTTTCCAGGTATTTCCTCAACGCTAGCGATCTCAACACGCTCGGAAGTCTGGGTTTTGCAGAAGGAGACGATGGCGTTTGCAATAGGGTGGCTGCTATTTTCCTCGATAGCTCGCAGCGCGCCGAGAAGAGTATTGCGTTGTTGCTCGGTTGTTTCAAGTCCTGGGAAGATCATGGAGTCGGTAATAGTGGGTTTACCGCCAACTGTAAGAGTACCCGTCTTGTCAAAGACGACACAGTCAATTCGACTGGCCTTCTCAAAAGCCTCACCACCTTCTTTGACGAGAATGCCGTGCTTAGCGGCCAAACCGCCACCGACGAATATGGCAGTGGGAGCAGCAAGAGCAAGACCACAAGGGCAAGCAACAACAAATACAGCGATAGCAAATTGCAGCGAAAACACAACCCAACCTCCCGAGGATACGTCGAGGAAATGGCCCGGGATAACACCAGATAACCCGACCGACAACCAAATAAGCCAAGTGAGGATGGCGATTAAAGTAACGAAGGGTACAAAGTAAGCAGTCAGCGTTTCCGCTAAAGCCTCCATCGGCGCCTGCTTATTTTGGCCCTCCCGTACGATGTTGACAATTTGATCAAGCATCGATTTTCCGGCGCTACCGGTTATTTGTATCAGTATGGGCTTGTCTACGTTGACCGTACCCGCAAAGACATCGTCATTAGCGACCTTTGCGACTGGGCGGGACTCTCCGGTAAGACTAGATTCATCGAAGGTAGTCTCGCCAAGTACAATCTTTCCGTCGCAAGGAGGTGAAGCACCATAGGGAACGCGGACAAGATCGCCAAACTCTAGTAGATCAGTATTGATAACTGTCTCCGTTTCATGTTTATCCGTGACGTCTTCAACAAGGACTGCAGTGGTAGGACGGAGTTTTCCGAGGGCTTCCACCGCATCGCCTGTCTTGGATTTGGTGTATGCTTCGATGAGTCGACCCCAGAGCAAGAAGAATGTCAAGAAAACAACCGAGTCGAAGTAGAAATTGGCGTCGTTAACTTGATTAGGGTGATCCACAGCAGCGGCAATCATCTGACTGATTGACGAGATGTACGCGATTGTGGTTCCTAACGATATAAGTGTATTCATGCTGCCAAACCGATAAAATCGCTCGAAAATGCCCGTTGTGCTACCTCGTCTCCACAATGACCTGATTTCCTTGACCGCACGTCGATGGAAGATGTCTGCTGCGAAAAAGTATACGGGCGTCGCCATGATGCATAGTGCCAACTGTGCTCGGCTAATTCCTGGTCTCCACGGTTTCATGAGGAACATTTTTGACGGATTATGTTCTGGGACGAGACTCATATATACCACACCAATGATGAAAGTTGGAATCACTACTATTGTCGTAAACCAGGCGCGAATACGGAATTGATTCTGTTGACGGGCGTGTATTCGCTTCGTTCGTTCTTCTAGTGTAGGTGGGTGGTAGATGGACGCCTTGAATGCCGGATCGCTTGCTTCGATGGCCGAGAGGATCCGACGAATCGTGAAGTTGGGTACTATAGGGACATATGATATCTCTAGGATAGGTCGTTGGCGGGTGGGTTGGCAAGTAATCTCCACATCCTGGAGGAATCCCCTGAGGCTATTCGTAGCCCGTTCTGCGCAATGATCGCAGTAGAATCCGTCGATACGGATCTGAACAGTCCTTTCCTGTTTTGGCCGGTTTTCGCCGCCGTCGATGTTAATGACCTGGTGGAGTTCGACATCTTTCCCGGTATCTTCGATCATCTCAATGATTTGCTTCACGTCGTCCTCTGTGCCGATGTACTCGATAACTCCACTATGCAATAGGTGGGAGATTGTATACTTCGTAATCCATTGTCTCTTGCTTAGTTCGGAAGTGATAGGAGCTACGCAGGCCGCGCATACCATGCCATTTATGGCCATTGACGCCCTCCATCTACGTCCGCCACTGCTTGGTGGCTGGGGTTTCTCATCTTCAATAGTGAGGGATTTGGTGGACGCAACTATGCCGGGAATTGCCTTTTGATCGTTCACGCTTTGATCCCCTGACTGACTGTCGTCTTTTTCCGACGATGTACCACAACATTTGGGGCCGAGTACACTCAATCTTGTTCCCTTCACCCCCTTAGTCCGGCACATCCCACAGTTATTGAGATGTTCTTTCTCCGCAGCTGCGGATGATGCTTGCGCATGCGCAAACCTTCGGGGTAATTTGATGATTCGACCTAATGGACTATCCCTTATGCTAGGATTTGATGAGTTGTTCGTATCCGAGCGGCCGTGAATACCGGTAGGATCTTCGAGTAGCAAATTCGCCAGAGCAGCTTCGCCATTAGTCGAGGCTATACTAGAGACCTCGAAGCCTGCAGACTCCAACTTAGACGCCATCTCGGTGATAGACACATTAGGATCGTGCTCAACAGCAACCCATGAGGTAACGACATTGGGCGACACCCAACTGATGCCAGGTAGATGTTGTAAGGCATCTTTTATGGAAGATACACACGTGGGACAATGTATATTAGCCAGTAAGAAATTAGTCGTTACGGTTGGATGCGACGGAGCCATTTCTGGGTAGGTTGGTGCCGTGTTCCGTTCGGAGAACTATTCAGAAGAGCGACGTGCGCATGCGACGTTGATCCCTTTGGTCCTGCTGGGTACAGGCAGCTCTGACAAGGCGGAGAACGTACAGGGGCTGGGGCAACCGAGAATAGATACCGCGTGTGGTTGCTGGTAATATATTAAAATGGGAGACCGTTCTGGGAAATGCGGACGTCGGTATGCGAGGCCTGTGCAATTCAGCCTGAAGGGTATATGTAAGTCCCAGTATACCTTAGGAATCAACTCCAGTTAACTCCACCGATGAATGGAAGATCGAAAAAAAATCGAAGAAAAAAAAGATCGGAGAAGGAAGGTGACGTCTGCCAGTCTATGCTTTTACATATACGAGTTAAAATAGATGAATATGATTCCAAAATATGATATCAGCCTTAGAATATAGGGAACCGAGAAGGCGAAACGAGAAACTAATGCGTAAGGGATTGTTCTGGAACAGCCACCATGGTGATTCACCTTATTTAACAAAATATTGTAACCCAGCAAGCTCACAGGCACAAACAACGCAGTAGGTCTGTCCACAATTTTCCTCCAAGACCGGGAAGGGTTTGATAGGTCATCCTGATCCGATATAGCATCGCAAGACCCGGGCGGTGAGTCGCACACGCCGGGCATTGGCCGCCGATAGCCTGCGACGCATGGCTCGGCGTGCCCATAACTTGCCATGAGATTCCATATCTGTGTATTATGAGAGGTCACAACGAGAGATAGGATCTAAATATGACATAACATGTCGAATCTTCTCCCTCTCATGAGGTGACAGTAGTGTCAGGGGCAGGCTAGATCTAACCAGGAACCTACTCTCAGTGGAATGCGAGCTAACGGCGCCGGGTGGATTATTGCCACGCAGGGGTAGGTTCCGTAGGCCGGCATCCGTTCGCGGGAAAGGCCCTGTAGACCTGGGATGCCTGGTAGATGGGGTATCATGGGTGCTGTCCACTGGCTCTAGTTTACGCACAAAAGACGCAGAGATCCGCTGAGAATCTAACTAGGCGGCGCCGTTGGTCGGATGACCGGGGCTGACTTGAAAAAGACTCCATTTTTTTGCATTAGGTAATTCTTTTCGTAGCCGCAACTTGTCTATTTTGGTAAGTGGTGGCAATAGACTGCGATATTTGTGCGTAAGATAGCAGACCAGGGGGGAAGAAGTTGAAAATGTTACGTGATTCTGACAAGTTGACGAATTGCATAGAGTGACTGCGATTTAAGATTAGGGCAAAATTAAGGTGTGCATCACTGGATAACTTTACCGACCTAGCGCGGAGTTACCCCAAACGTTATGGGGTCACATTACCTGATTAAGTTTTTAGGTACTTTGGAGTTGAGATGAGATGGCAGCAGCAAGCCACGTTGTTCGAGATCGTTATCCGAGTCGGAGCTGCCCAGTATACGATATGATTAGATAATCCGCCCAATCCGCGTTCTTCAATGACATTGTGGCTGTTTCAACAACCCCTCCCTAAACTCTCAACCGGATTACGAATACAATGTTTACTAATACTCCAACTCACTAGACAAGTCATTTGTCATATTTAGCCAACACAAAGACTGTCGTCTTTGTGTATCTCACTAACGAAAGCAGACTATTTTTTAATGGAATAGTAGTAACACGAGTTTGATTACTTCGAAAGCGCATTGAAAGGAACTTCGTAGGGGAAGTAGTGATCACCAGGGGAATTGGCACGCCGCAGTTTCGAATCTGTATTTGATCAAAGAGACATTCCATATAAATCAAGATTATTCCAAATAGACATTCGCTAGGCTAATGGTGATATACACAGGTAGGTCTGGGTATCCTTACAATATTAACACATTAGTTAGTACACGAGTGTTTGTTCAACACCCCGAAACACAATTTATACCATTATGATGTGTTCCCTTTATTTCTTCTCTCCGGCTGTCTCAGGTGGTACGCTGCCTTGTCGAGAGTGTGCGGTAGGGGGCCGGCTCGAAGCTGTACCCGGTCGACTCAGCGTTCGTCGTAATTTCTTTCCGTTCTTTGTATCAAATAGGCTCTTCACCCTTCTTAGCCGTGCCCATCTTTCCTTGTCCTTTGCATCTCTGGCGGTTGTGTCTTCCTCGTCATCGCCTGCCTCTGATCCTAGCATGGGTGATCCTTCATCTCGGTCTGCCTTTCCTCCCTTAGTCGGTGTTATCGGAACTGATGCTGTGGGTCGATGGAGAATAGAACGCAAGGTGCTCTTCTCTGCTTGTGCGCGAAGGTAAGAGTGATTCTTGATTGTTTGAACTAGAACCTCCCAAGCGGTCTTGTTGTCCGATGTTTTGGCACCTGGGTTGTGCTGGGCAATGGCATTTCTCCAAGGGCAGAAAAACCGATGCTCGCGCACAGGATCAAGGTAGTCCATAGGAGCTGGAACAAGGATCTGGTTTGTAGCTTCATCCACCTCTTTGCTCTTGAACATCCATAAACCCAGACGTCGTAAACAAGTTGCACAAGTCGCTGAATTTGGTACTGCGCCAACACGTGGGTTTGTAAGACCTTGCCAACCTGTAAGGGCTAGGGCTAGAGCTACATCGTTCGGGGCTGAAGGGTTTGTACTAGGTGGCGGAGGATCGGTAAAGAAAGTTGGTGTGAGTTGAGATTTGGTGGCTTGCAGATCGAGATTTGCTGGCAGACGTAGGTTAAACAAGTAGGGGAGGAAGGATTGTCGCGCACAAAGATCATCATATCGTTGACGGAGGGACGCAAGAGCTGTCGGAGGACTCGCCAGAGGTAATCTGAGCAAAGAATCTGTCATTCGATAGTTAACATATATGCTCTGGGGATCTTGCAATGTGAGCGTAGGGTTCTTACCGTCGCAGCCTCGTTTTCTCCATAAGCAATCTTCTTGATGCGCGTGAACAATCAATTCGACAAACCTCTTAACTAAGGCTTGCTCGATATCCGAACCAACAATAACCGGGACTTCCTTGCCGTCCTCTTCCCTTTTGTTGATCCTGACTACTAGTTCTTTGTGACATAAAGTGCATCGTACACGCTCCTTTCCCTGGCAGACCCAGCCTCTCTTAGCCCATTCGATTTCATTGACCTTATCTGGCTTGGGTGTCCATTCTGTTAATTCTTGAAATGTCCCTAGTCGCCTTATTAACTCGTCACGATCGCCGGGGCAGTATTTTGGTGGTTCGTTTTTCGTTCCTTTGCTAGGAGAAATCGTGCTACCTCCTGGTGTCCATTTCTTCAATACAACATTTGAAATCGTGGTTTTGGTTCCAATTGGTTTTTCATTTCCCGTCGTCGATTCAAGCACGCCTACGCGTCGGCGTTTACTTAGAAAATTGCTTGGGGTTGTGGGTATATCTATACCAGCCATTCCTGGTGTCTGTGTCTGTGTCTGTGTCTGTGTCGGCGTCGGTGTTGTTATATCGTTGGGTATTAATTTCGCGGTTGGAGTCGAAGGTCTGTCGAGAGATGAAGAGGATTTGTTTGTCTGTTCAACTGCTGCTGGTGATGGAGGTATTGGCTTTGCGCCGATCCCTTGTAACAAGGCGTTGAATTTTCTCTTTGTAGTATTCATGGTTGTCGGTTCGATAGGGTACTAGGCTTAGCTGCCAGGGTAGTATTGTTGTTATATGAGATGAGCAGGATTTAGTAGAGCTAACAACAAGCCCGTACTTAGAGGATCGGCTCTATTACCTCTCCTGTTAATGTTGCCGACTTGGAGATTTCTTGGGGAATTTTATAAGTTGACCTGGTAATTTGGTTGTATCTATAATAATTAATAACAAATGTGAAGAATTATTAAGTTCGACGGTGTCGTATTGGTTTTGGATACAAAGTCGCTGTTTCCAATCAATAGTACATGTGATTCAGTTGGCCATTGAAGAAGGTACGTAGCTCATTGTTTTCGTTCGTTCTGCAATCGTCGCAATAAATTAAGCTTTAAGTCAGCCGCGGCCGTCGGAGGGGCGACCGACCAGGGTGTGGCCCCGACTTCCAGCGCTTAGACACTACCTAATCTCACTGTATCCTAGGTTGATAACCACTACAACTTCTACAACAATTGAGGCTATCGGACCTTACAGCACCTACCCAAGATGAATTGAACCGTCGAACAATGGAGAGTTTAAGATAATTCGGAGACCGATATGACCTAGCTTGAAATTAGATGTCGTGTATTTGGTAGGACCAACCGATTGAAATCCTCTCCACTATTAATTACCTTTTCGTAACCCTAAATCCGTTACGTGAGCTTTGAATTCGCGGGGCATTCTACTTTAGTTTGCACCCTCATATTTTCCCGCGTATCCATTGAATGCGTAATCTACCTACCCAGGACGGATCCCGCTTGTTAGGTAATATCGTATGGGGATTTAAGAGGGTAAAAAGAACACTTCTCATATAAAAGATTTATTCCTATCTTCTCTTCTGATCGTGACCCTGGCTGTGTTCCTGTCTCGAGCTCTGCCCCGCCTTACCTCACTATCCCTCCACCTTTCACCTGGCGCTCGTCAGCAAATCTTTACGAACAGCACCATGTCGTCATATGCCAAAGAACTCGAGGTGGCACAACTAGCCGTCCAGCGCGCTTCTATTCTAACTAAGCGCGTTTTCCATGAGAAGGCTAAGGGCACCGTATCGAAAGACGACAAATCGCCCGTGACTATCGGCGACTTCGGCGCTCAGGCCCTGATCATCAGTGCACTCAAAGCTAATTTCCCTGATGATGAAATTGTCGCCGAGGAGGAGGCCGCACAACTACGCCAGGATGCCAGTCTGAAGCAGACTATCTGGGACCTCGTGAAGACCACTCAGCTCTCTGACTCTGACGCTGAGGGCTTGCTTGGTGGGGCTATTGAAGATGAAGAGACTATGTTGACCATGATCGACTACGGCAACAGCAAGGGTGGCGCAAAAGGTCGCATATGGGCCATTGACCCTATCGACGGAACCAAGGGCTTTTTACGTGGTGGCCAGTATGCTGTGTGTCTCGCTCTGATGGTGGACGGAGATGTCAAGGTCGGAGTTCTAGGCTGCCCGAACCTCCCGGTTGACGACTCTGCTCCGCTAACGGGAAGCATGGAGTCTGGTCAGACCGACGTTGGTAGGGGAGTTCTATTCTCGGGTGTTCTTGGCCAGGGTGCTACGAGCCGTCCGTTGACTACGGGTTCTTTGGCGCATGAGAAGAGCATTTCTATGCGGGCAATTACGGATATTGCAGCCGCGACGTTTTGCGAGAGTGTGGAGGCAGGCCACTCGTCGCATGGAGACCAGGCTGAAATTGCTAAGCTACTGGGTATCACGAATCCTAGTGTGAGGATGGATTCTCAGGCCAAGTACGCTTCAATTGCGCGAGGCGCTGGTGATATCTACTTGCGATTACCTGTTAGTGCTACGTACCAGGAGAAGATCTGGGATCACGCTGCGGGCGACCTCATCGTTCGTGAAGCTGGTGGCGCCGTAACGGATATCCATGGAAAGCGATTGGATTTTAGCATTGGTCGAACACTATCGGGTAACAAGGGCGTCATCGCCGCGCCTGCTGCTGCTCAACCACAAGTTCTAAAGGTAGTCCAAGAGGTGCTATCGAAGAAATAGAGTAAAGAAACGCTGTATGTTGCAAATAGGGCATGCGTAAAAATAGTACATATTTTTTGGTCGGGTATCTGCCGTCATATAATACATAGATACACGTCTAAAAAAGGCCAGTACCCAAGTTCCCAGATTGTCTATTTGATCTTCTTTTGCTTGAGCTTGATAGTCTCCTCGTTGACGAAAATACCCTTTCCCTTGTACGGTTCGGGAACCCTCCACTTGCGTATCCTGGCCGCGAAGGACATAACCTCTTCCCTGTTAACACCTTCGAGTAGGATTCTTGTAGGTTGCGGCGTGCTAGCTGATATGCCGAGGGGTACTGGTTCTTCTACCGGGTGTGTAAATCCGAGCTTTAGACACACAAACTTTTGCCCTTGATATTCTGCCTTTTTCGGTCGCTCTTCGACTGTCGCTCGGTAACCCACACCAACGAGTCGTAGAATTGCAGTGTGTCCTTCCGAAACGCCGATAATATGTCGCCTGAGATATGCCCAAGTAGTTCCTAGTTCAACATAGGTTAGTTCTAGTCCTCGCATAAGTCGAAGTGGTCCGCCGTGATGGTGGTGGCGAGCGCCATTAATTACATACCCCACATCTCCATCTGTTGTTTTACTTTGGTATCCTCAATACTAAGCAAGGCCTTCCTCTCCACTTCGTCATGGTTGATTGTAAGGTATGGTGGGATTTCTAAGTCGAGCTTTCCTAATGGCCCAGATATCGTGAGTGTTCGCTTCGGTATTCTGAGGTAGGTCGTGGGGTCTTTCTTGACTCTGGGTTCGCCAATAGTCAATTCGACACCAGGCGGTATTGATATGGGCATCCGTCCGAGCTTTGAGGGTTTACTCGATGTGTTGGAGAATTGTCGTCGGGGTGTAGTTGATTGGAAAGCGGGCACGAGAAAGGCTGGTAGTGTGACGGCGGAATTGGATGAGATTGCTCTCTCGAGCACCTTACCCCTACTTGGTGACAGCATCGTAATGGTTTTGGGGGTCTGCAGCGAGTTCAATTGACTGCAGAACAAGATCCAGAATTTCGGCTACGAAAGCTTGCAGCGTGATGCTTGGCAAAGCAAGAAAAAAGATTGGGTCTACTCACGTGATAGCTCTTAGTCTCCAACCAATCAAATCGACGATTCTTGATATGCAACTAGTCTCATTATGTAAGCAATATGTACCTTCCCCAGAATATCCGTATTTCGATCAAGGAGTTCTTACTTCTGTTGTTGAGAATTAAATCACAGGAAAGCACTAGGTACATAGGTACTTGAATAACGCTATGCTGAAACATTTAATCCCAAATTCGGGGAGGTTCAAGGTCCTCCCACCTATTTTCTTCGATAGTCCCGATCCCTAGTCTTTGACCGCCGTAGGACAGTTCCTTCACCAACATGTTCACTATTCACCTTTAGACAAGACACAAGGAGAGGAAATCTGAAGACTCGCAACCCCACTCAATAATAATGCAGCAAAAATTATTGAGGAGTCTGAGGCACGGATAGGACGATTCTGAGTCTCATTCTCGTCCATATCTTGCGATTGAAACTTCCGAGGTTCCTTCATTATTGGCCTGCCCTTCCTTTCGGACTTCCGAGGCCAAAAACTTCCCTACCGCATATTTTAATATTTTCACATATCCCCATTCTCTTTATTATCAAATGATGAATCTTATTATTTCGGTGAAAATAATGGGAGACATGATGGAAAATGAACGAAATGCCCTGGGTTGGGTGAAGGTGGTGATTTTTGCCATACTTATACAGGCCAGCCTAATCGATGGGCTTTCATGGCGTAGTGCGCCAAGAGTCGACATAGGTATGATCCCCTTGGCGATCTCCCTATTTAATTACTTACACATCACTAGATAGGGCAAAGGACGACAAGTCAACTACCACGGGTGGTAATCTATCACAACTCCTTAGCCATGGAGCGCGGTTACCTAGCTCATACGAAGTGGCCCTGAATGAGCTGCGAGAGCTTGAATCCGAACCATTGTGTCACAGGACAGCTGCACGCTTATTGGTCAATAACTGCGAACTCCTCGAGGGCAAGAATGATGCAACTGCTCTTACTGATAGCGGCCGAATGATTAGGGATTTTGTTGATTCATACGCCGCTAGCCTAGCCATCTGCGACTTGGAGAGGGGTAGTTTCCAAATCCCAAGAGAGTGTGCCAAATTTCGGGAGTCGGTATTAGGTCAACTTCCTCTCCAGAACTTAGGCCACCTGCACGTTACCTCTATAGAGATTGACAGTTGCCTCGCTGGCTTAGGCGAATCTGATTCGGCCTAGAACACCTGGGTCAGCTATCGTCATAAAGCCTTAAGATTCTGCGAAGCTGCACGGGTAGACAATGAGAAAGGTGTGTAAATAATCATGGAGTTACGTTGGACGTAAAATGAAACATTCTACTGACTTCTTTAGCCGAACATATTCTCCTCTTCCAACGTTTGATGAAGATTATGGGTCGGTTCTCGGATGATGTGGATAAGCAATTCGATCAACGCATGAACGACCTACATTCACGAGCTCAGGCGACAGGCGGAAGAATTGACGAATTATCGCCCAAGGTTGATCAGTTAAAAGACAGTCTGAAGTCTATAGAGGAACTGTTCCTGGGGCAGCTCGTCCTTGCAGTCAAGGTAATTCTAATATGCTTTTCGCTAACAGAATCTCTTCTGACTCGACCTTAGGAAACTACGGAGGTGATCAATTCAGGAACAGAGAATGCAGCAAACCTAGAAAGAATGCTTGGGGTACTTTTCAAAAGCGTACTCGAAGGACAGGCGAAAGTCGCATCTATTCACGAACGATCAATGCAGCTAGCTAGCCAACGTGTGGAGACCGCGGCGAATGCGGCTTTTGAGGCAATAGCAGTGGTTACTGGATCCGCGGTAAAGTTGCATAGCCAAGTTGTACGCCATAGTCTCTTATATTTCCAGATTTAAGACTGATTATTGAAATTTTAGGAGCTTTCGCATCTTCGAGCGATCGAGTTAGAATCCAGACAGGAAAATCTAGAGTTGGTTGGTAACCGCGCGCGCCGTAGCGGTGTACTATTGAATGCTGACATTTGAATACAGGGAATGCAGCGACTGGTGAACGTGGCGGAAAATCTCACGGCCAAATACGACGATCACACGAATCTTCTACATCAAGCACAGAACATAACGGATGAATTACTTGACAACTTGGAGGATATGGCGGTTTCAGCAACATACATCGGCGAGTCGATTCTTAGGAGACCCTCCGATTCATCATGGTGGCCGTATATTTGGTGCCCTGCCGCTTCCCTTGTGTTAGGCTCGTATGGCCTTCCTCCTTCTGCAACGAGAAATATAGCCTTGCTCGTTAGAGGTAAGCAGTACGTGCATACTATGAAATGCGACCCACTAACATTTCAAAGGCGAAGTATTAGGGTATACGATCTCGTCAATCCAGTCACTATATTTTGGATTGTCTTCTTCCCCTACCGCAAGAATCTCCACTTTACTTTTCACCTGGGGACGTTCCTCACCTACTACAAGCACTACTTTCAACACCACCGCGCAACCTGGATTATCATAGATACTGGTTAACCACGGGTTAAGACCCTCTGGGAAGGTCTCGGCATAAGGGAATAAATTAGATGGAGATGGGATTTGAGCTATATTTGCTGTAACTTTACGGATCTTGGGGGTTCTGCTATCATGGGTGTTACTGTTATCGGGGATAATGGTGGGATAACTCCTTAAACTACGAAAAGGAGGTATTACCTGGGTATCTAAGCCCGCCTATCGCTACTTAGACTTATCAACAACCCTCAGTTACCTTACGCTCATTTCGCACTTTTTTTTGGTTTTGATGTTGGTCCTAGTGGAAATCCGGTACCCAGGTGCATTAACATTGTTTGGAAAGAGGGTTGAGTTTTAATGGGGAAATGCCGTTTAATACGGTGCCGTGGTTGCATAAATCTAGGTACTCAAGTAGGTACGCGGTGGTGCGATCGCCTTAATGATTTCGCAGTGATGGGATGGACTGTACGACCGGCGTGACTAACACGGGAGCTTGTGCTTAGTACCACACTAACGCATACCTAATTCGTCGAAACATCTCGAATCTGCGCCATTCCATTGGTCATCGAATTGATTGGCCTGCTCGGAAACTCTGAACGCTGATTGGTTAGTTTAGCTCAGCCCTCACGGGGCCATGACGTTTCCTCCGCCGGCCGCTGAAATCGCATGATCGGTGTGCCCTTTTTGTCCTTGTATTCGAGCGGGCTTTATGGGCTTATGGAGGGGCCGTGCTGACGGAGATAGGGATGCTTCTGCGGCCGACAGAAGGACGGTCGTATCCCGCGTAAGTGAGATCCTATGAAAGGTGACGGCTGTTTGTACTGTCAAGGCTCAGGTCATAGTTAAGAGCTGATGGTCTATATAAACTGAGAGTCTTCGTCCCTTTAATCGAGTAGAGATTTAGAACCATCCACTTCAACGGATATTCACTTATCTTTCGCCGATACCTAAGTATTCAAACTTCTATCTCTCACGCAACTACCTTCACGCCAAAATGCCTACCAAGCCTATCCTCCACCCCTTGGGCAAGAACGGCCCTTTGGTTCCAGCCTTGGGTACTGGGCTCATGGGTTTGTCTCTGCCTGTTTATGGAGCGGCTTCTAGCGACGAAGAACGGTTCAAGTTCCTTGACCGCGCTTTGGAGCTGGGAGCCACGTTCTGGGATACCGCTGAGTGAGTACTCCCCATTTAAGGCGAATATGTAGCTCTTTGAGAGACAATTGACTAAGACATCTAAGTCTCTATGCGGATGGTGAGGAACTGATTGGGAAATGGTTCAAACGTACCGGGAAGCGTGACCAGATCTTCATCGCCTCTAAGTACGGCTATGTCAAGGGCAGCAAGACCTTCGCGACAGACAGCTCATATGAGTACACCAAGAAAGCTGCTGCTAACAGTTTGGCGGCTCTTGGTATTGAATCGATTGATCTCTGTGAGTACAGCGCATCTTCCCCTCCATTCCTTCGAATTTTGAATAGGCTATTGCTAGTACCCGTATTGCAATGCCTGCGAGTTTCATTCGCATACCTAGTTCAGTAATTGGTTCTAAAAACCAAATGCTCATCTAATCTTGTGGCTTGAATAGACTACATCCACAGTCCCAACCCGGACACGCCTATCGAGGAGACTATGCGAGCCTTGAAGGAACTTCAGGAGTGAGTCCCCCTTACCCCCCGTCCGCATCTAAAAAATAAGTGAGTATGTGGTATGATATTAACTGTTTTTCAGAGAGGGCAAGATTAAGCACATCGGTCTGTCCACCGTCTCATCCACGACACTCCGCCGCGCACACAAGATCGCGCCGGTTACCGCCGTGCAGACTGAATACTCGGTCTATAACTGGCGTATCGAGGGTCCTTCTGGTACGGACCTGCTGGCTGCGGCCCGCGAGCTTGGCGTCGCCGTTGTTGTCGCTACGCCATTAGGTCGCGGTATACTCACGGGTGATTTCGGCAAGAGTGAAACTAAATTCGAGGGTAGCGACAGTAAGTAGCACTGCGATTTCCCACCCCCATGACCCCTTTCCGTTACCCTGGGTACCTATGAAGTAGGGCTCAGTACCGCATAGCACCTGAGACGTAGTTACTACAGGCTCTTGAACCTGGCGGACGCCTTGCTAATGCCTATTACTCTAGTCCGCCCTAAATCTATACCGCAATTCAGGGAGGAAAACATCCAGCAGAATATCTCCTTCGTATCCAACTTCCAGGCGCTAGCCGACCGCAAGGGGTGCACGGTGTCTCAGCTCGCGCTAGCATGGCTGTTGAAGCAGGGTGACGATATCTTCCCTATCCCGGGTACCAAGAGAATCGAGTACCTCGAGCAGAACTGGGCGGCGCAGGATATTGCGTTAACGGATGACGAGAACCGCGAGATTCGCGCGTTTGCTGATGTGCATAAGATCGCTGGTGGTACTGTGCCGGAGGGTATGGAGAGTTACTTGTTCCGCGATACTAAGGAAGAGGGTGCGTGAGTAGGATATTCGAGTAGGGTAACTTTGGGTGATAAAAGAAAGAGGAAAAAGCTACTCTATATCGGAGAATCGAACTCACCCGATATACCGCCTACATCGTATTATTGTTGAATTTGTCGTAAATTAAGGAAGCATGGTCATGCTCGCCCGGGCGTGGAAGGTGCTCATCACCCAAAGCATCCCCGCTCTAGCTCACTCCTTCCCTGCGAAGTGTAAGGTCCGTTCAATTAAAGTTATGAGGTAGTAAGATCCGCCGTTCCCGTAGTTTCCTTTGCGATGGCATTACCGGGTTTAGATCTCTTTTCGGGATTTGACTGTCGCAGTTGCCCCGTTTGACCTTACTTATTTGGGTATACCCGCATTCGATTTTCCAACTACCAACGGTCAGGAACAATCGCCGCATTCCAATTATTATAAATTCTTATAAATAATCCCGAAGTCATGGTCTGTTTTATTTATCGAAACTCATTCAATAATACGAATTTTTAAAATGTACTCTCGCGATGAGACTGTTAATGCTGTCCTAAAATTTTATCAAGAAATTATTCGCCATCCGTATCTAGACGATGACGCACTAATTTTACCGCCTCCGGATGGCTGGGAGTCAATCACTATCGACAACCCCCACAAGAAAACCGAAACAGTTCTTGACTTACTTCACCACCTCCCATATCTCCAAGCGAAGGGTATGTACGATAGGTACATTATCGCATGGGAAACTGTTCCGATCTGTTATGTAGGCTATAACTTTTGGGGTAAAGGCCGCGAAGAGTACCTCGCTCTTCCGCCTCACTGTGTCTACCTTGCACACAGTGTCGATCGCGAAGGTACATCTTTAATTCTCAACACCGATGAAGGCACAATAACAGAATACTCCATTACTGGTGGCCACATCACGGTGATTTATGAAGAATTTGACGCTTTGCCCGAGGCAGACAAATGGAAAGTTTATCGCACAACGCCCGTCACGGAGTTTTTTGAAGGCTGGACTCAGAGGTACCAAAAATTGGTGTGGATGTTAACCCCTAGTACGCGTAGTGGGGAAACGATGGGGACGCTCTATAGTCGCGCTGATAACACCCCCCAAGAGGAGGAACTTCTGCTGCAAGAGCGGCTGGAGCCGTGGCATCCGGACAAAACTACACACGAAGACGACCAGGAGGGGCACGCGGAGCAAGTAAGACATGCAGCGGTAGGTCCAAGAGCCGTGCTAGGGTTGCAAAGGCTAATCATATGCTTGCAGGCGGTTTATAATACGTACCTTCGTTATGGTTGGCCGCATAACTTTCGTAAAGAGCAATGTAGATCTGAACTGCTGGAACTAGAGAGGAAGTACGAGGAGGATATGTGGCAGCGGATGCGAGAAATGGATCCTGAATCAGAATAACCAAGTAGCTTTCATCCCTAAGAGCAGACGTAAAAACTAAGGAAAATCAAGAGCCATAAGCCCATGGCCTGCCAGCCTACCTAGGTACATACTTCAGCCTTAATTGCTATGGTTACTCCAAAGGCCGAGATCGAACTCGAAACTTGGGGTCTTCCTCAAACGTGAAATTTCTCTCACCCCCCCGGATGTTAGGGAGGTCGTTGTAGTAATGCTCATTGAAACATATTTTCGAATTTCCCAAATACTTAAGCAACCAACCCAACCTCTTCGTCCAGTCATTATTATTCCCATAGCCAAGCCACTTGGGCACCAAGCAGCTAACCATTTCATATCCTTACTTACTTCATTTATTGATATAAAACCTATGGACTACCATTTAGCAGTGTCGCCCGTACACGACGGGCTATGCGTCCGTTCATATATACTTGTGAAATTACTCTCGAGCTCTATGATATGGCGTGTTGTAATTCGCCGTCGCAACGAATACCTAGGTAAATTTGCTTTGCTATTGGCGCAGCACGCAAGGCTTCAAGGCCAGTTAGCTAAGGTAACTAGCAATAAATTATATTATGATCTGGCCCTTTGAAGCCCTGTCGATGTTGTATTTACCAATACATATCTTGTTATTGCTGACGAGAGCTATTATTTCGTTACCACCGACGGGTCTAGAGAGTCGAGGCGTCACCTCAGACTTGTAGCCATCAGCAATGAGTTTTATATGACTACCTAGGTATGTAAGAGATAGAATGGGCACGTACGTAGGTAAGTGGGCAGTGTCAAAGCCTAATGGCCCTATCACATACCCAATGAGACAATACCAAGAGGCCTTGAAAACGAGGCATTTTGGAAGGTAGACTTACTATATGCCTGAGCCCCCATTAAGGCTTGGACATAAGTATGAACCCCTAACTACCTAGGTAGCTACACTCTGAAGACAGATTCAACAGCAAAGTAAGAGCCATGGACATCATTCCGGCGCCCTAGGACGTTGCCAATCAAATTGAGCGTCGCCGTTGCGAGAATTCGGACAATCTCCGGCGGAAGAATCAGTCGCGAGGCCTGTGTGATGGTGATATTGTAAGTAGTCTGAGGAACTACTCTACCTTTTTCTGAAGTAGTGTTAATAATCTAGTTAGGTCGAAGAAGCTATAGCTATGAGAGCCCGCCTCCTGAGAGAATTAGAAGAACTAAGGAGCGCCGAAAAAAGGCTAGCAGAGGAGTTGGAATTAGAGGATGAACTAGTAGACTTAGAGCGACAAGTGAATGCAGCTCATAAGAGGGAGCGGGAAGCTGAAATAGAGCTGGCATGCAGAAAAGCTCGGAGGGCAACTAAATACCGAGAGAGGGAATCACAATCACAACCAATAGTAGAAGCCCTTAAAGCTAACACCGACACCGACACCGACACCGACACCGACACCTGCACTGGCACTGGCATTGGCACTGGCACTGGCACTCACAGCTCGAACACATTAACATCTGGAGTCCAGGTTGCTTCACCCCATGGGCATACGGAAGCGACTGAAGCACCTATTAGCAACCCTGGTAATACTAAAACGGAAACATTGCGTCCTGACTGCATCCAAAAACTAGCAAGTTTAATGTACTACAATGTCTTGGATACGACAGTGACGACAATACGGCCACACCCAGCCAATATGGATCTAGATGATCTTCGACGCCTTGCAGGGAATGGGAAAGATACACGCCCTATAGGCCATACTTTTTACTTCCTATTCTTGAAGACCGGCAACATTGAGGATCTTCAGTGTGCTATTGACCAAGTTAAGGACCAACTACCGGGTAATTCCGACCACCGTCACTATTGCGTCTCGATTGAGAGATCTTATTATAATGTTGGTTAAGAAATGCCAGCAAACCAAGCCACTAGACGCTCTCCAAGAAACAATCATCCGCGCACTTGAGATGGTGGGAGCCACGCCATTGGATCACCACGAACGCGTACCGCGCCTTCGCGATTGGGCCACCCTACTATTGGCCAAGGCTAGACATACTAGATCGCAAGATGATTTGGACGAGCTAATTATTTTATCGCGCGAAGCGGATGCTCCGTTTTCCTTCTGTGGGCCGAGGTAAGGCGTTACCCTTAATAACTAGGCGAATTGATTTCTGACAAACCTTAGAGCTAGCCAGGCCTTTTCACATAAATCGAATAGGAATGACGGAGATTCTTGGTCAGAGCTATTCGATATTGACGAGGAAATGGTCTCGGTCCTTGACGAGATGAATGATGAAGACCTCCGGTCTTTCTCGTTACTACACTCGAACGAAGACTATGTGAACGATAGACATTGAGCTACAGATCTACGCTTATTTCCTTGCATTTAAGAAAACAATGTCGCTGGAACACCTTCAACAAGCTATCTTGCGAACGAACGAGTGGAACGCAACTCTAGCTATCGATCATCCTGATCGTACACGAAGGCGTCGAATTGGTGATATGATGCTGGGTTGGAAAGACCATTTCGATGTTATGTCGCAAAATGATAGACCTTCATTTCTAGAGAATAGGTAAGCTCGGGGCTTTCCCCCCTAGCTTTCCGCCTTTGTGGAGCAAAGATGCGGTGCGGATGTGGATATATGTTTGAATTTGGAGGTACTAATATGTTTGAGGGGATGAGCAGTCAAGAACCTGCTGTTAGCGCAACAGACGGCCAGAAAGGTCGTGCGGTCAAACTATTTTTGACATATGAACAGACCGGTATGCTCGACGACCTGAATGAGGCAATCAGTATAATGGAGCAGTGTGCAGCGACATCAGCGAACGGGCTCAATGGATGACCTAGAACGTGCCGTCGATATGGCGAACACGCTAGCTAATGCTGTACGCAAGGGTAATCCTCATGAACTTTTGTGCTTGGTGACCCTCAGTACCATACTTGGTGCCCGATTCTTGCGAACAGGTTCTATGGATGACCTAAACCGCGCTATTGATGTCACAAATACGGCACTCAATACTGGATTTTCAGACCGGTTTGATCGAGCTATGTGCTTGAATTCCCTCGGATGCCTACTTGGCGACCGATTCTTCCGGGAACACTCAATGGATGACTTGAATCGTGCTATTGGTGTGTTGGATTCGGCATTGGATATTGTACCTCAATATCACGTCAATAGAGCGGATATCTTAGCTACTTACGGTACCCTCCTCGGCTCGCGTTTTAAACGGATGGGAACTCGAGACGACATAATCCGTGCCGTTGATATGGTGAAGACAGCAATAAACATCAAACCTTGGGACGACCCGAGCCAAGCCTCGTGCCTAAGTAGACTGGCATCGTTGCTTGGTAAACAATTTGACCGGACCGGCTCTGTAGATGATCTAAACCACGCCATTGACGCGGCAAGTAAGGCAGTGGATTCCACCCCTCACGGCGCCCCGATTCGGGTTCAGCAGTTAGTCGGGCTTGGGGAACTGCTCGGTAGGCGGTTTCGGAAAAGAGGATCGATAGATGACCTGAACCGAGCCATCAGCGTAGCGAATACAGCAGTCGAGACTGTACATTAAGATCACGTTGATCGGGCGAAATGCTTGAGTAACCTCGGTTGTTATCTCCAGGAGCGACATAAACAGACAGGCTCTATAGACGACTTAAAAAGCGCGCTCGCCTATTATAAAGAAGGTTGGAGTTGCCACAACGCCAAGCCATATTGGCGTATTAGTTTAGCTTATGAAACAGCTATAATCTTTGTCCTCCAATCAGATTGGAAGCAACCTTGTGCTATTTGCCGGGCTAGCTTCAATGGCAGCTGTTGCGTCACTCTATGTGGGGGAAGAAGGCAATGAGGATGCCTCCTATGATGCTTTGAAATTGCTTGAGCTTGGTCGCGGCATCATTGCTAGTTTGTTAATAGATATACGGACGGATATCTCAGGTATCAGGAAGAAATACCCAGTTTTAGCAGACGAATTTGACTCGCTTCGGGATGAGTTAGGGTTTTCAACAGTTGAGCCAATTTCTTTAAGTCTAAGCGGCGATACAACTTCTTGAGAGTCGCGAGCGAGACGACGGCGTGAAGTAGACCAGAAACTCAGCAAGCTTATTGCGACAATTCGTACAAAGCCCAAATTTCATAACCTTCTTCTTCCACCGACTAGAAATGAGTTAATGGCCGCAGCAAACACAGATCCTATTGTTGTGATCAATTTGGACCGCCATCGGTGCGACGCCTTCATTATCGAGAGTAGTCGAATTAGGACGCTCAAACTACCCGATCTCTCGGTGAAAGATGTCGTCGGATGGGTTCTTTACCTTTGGTCGTTCCCTAATATGAATATGACGCCAATGTTAGAGTGGCTCTGGACGGCAGTGTGCCGCCCATGTTTAGACGCATTGGGGTTTTCAGCCCCGGCGTCCAGCGACACTTGTCCTCGCGTGTGGTGGATTCCTACGGGGCCTCTCAACCAGCTGCCGTTGCATGCAGCCGGATTCCATTCGCCGGGGTCTACCGACACGGTCATTGATAGAGTTATGTCTTCGTATGCCTCGTCAATCAAGGCCTTGGTACATGGTCGTAAACCCCAACTTCATAACATTACCAAGTCTACATCTAACCGGGCTCTCTTGGTCACCATGTACACAACGCCAGGGCTAGAGGCGGATGGAATTCTCCCATTTGCTACAGAAGAAGTGAAAGTCTTGACAGATCTTTGTCCGTTATACCAGCATTGCGCAAAGATGAGATCATGAGCGCTTTGAAAGACTGTAAGATATTTCATTTCGCCGGTCATGGACAGTCAAACCAAAAGAACCTTCCCAAAGCTGCTTGCTGCTCGAAGACTGAGAAGAAAATCCACTTACCGTAGGAGACCTACGTGATCATAAAATTCAAGAAAACCAGCCATTCCTTGGCTACCTGTCTGCTTGCTCGACAGGATCTAACAGAGCTATAAACCTTGCCGATGAAGCAATCCATCTCATCGGCGCCCTCCAACTCGCAGGTTTTCGACACGTCGTGGGTACGCTCTGGAAAGTATCGGACGAGCACTGTGTTGATGTGGCGAGAGACCTGTACAAGACTACGAGACGAGACGAGAGGATGACAGATATCGCGGTCTGTCGGGGACTCCACCGAGCCTTTATAAAACTGCGCGGCAGGAAGATTAACAAGATGGCGTGGGAAAGGGATGCCGAGTTGGTGGAGATGGAAGGCTTTCACTGGGTTCCCTATGTACACTTTGGTGTTTAGAAATTGCCGGCCTTGACCTCTCCTTGATTTATATGGTTGAGGTCATTCTTGGTGAATTTTTAAGTAGATCAACAACGAGCGCTTATGTAGGATAATTCGCTATTAACGATAAAATCTAATACTTGGATGTTTGTGTGCGAGAACCAAGAAGTAATAGGAAATGAAATCAAGGTGGTTGGAGGTACCTAAGTACTCTTTACAGTAGAGAAACAACTGTACTAACACAGTACCCGCTAACTGGACTGAAGCCACTGACGCGTCGATGTAAACTTAGAAGAAACAACATCAATTGCTCACACTACCTAGATACAGGTAGGTAAATATCATACAAATTTAATCAAATTCTCTCAGGGGATGTCCGTAATATGTGAATGGGGAAATTAAAAGCCATCCAGTCCTCGTCTATTCCGTTTTTACGGTCAGGTATCCTGCCTTCACCTTTCTTTTTTGCTAGCTCATCGAGCTTAGGCAATGTTAGCATCTCAAACGAGGTCGGATGGGATGTTATGAAGACCTTGATGATGTCTTGGCACGAGTGGTGCATTGCAGCAGGGACCGTTAGCCGTATGTTATTCATGAAGTGTGCCTTGATCCTTGGAAGGGTCCCTATTGGATCCTTCTGCGGAGGAATAGCTTGGTATGTGCTGCGAAGGATGTTCCTGACTTCCCAGCAAGGGCCCAGGTCGTACACGTGAGCATATAACACTTCCCCCCCTTTATTATCTATGTTATTCGACTAAGATAGGAAGTAGATATTGCTATTCAGGATATTATATCCACATACTTAGCCAAGCAAAGTGGACCGATAATTGTTCGGCGGCTCATCCTCATATATATATTGTTTTGGGAAATATATTAACCTTCGGGGTGTGCGGGGGCCAAGTACGCTGTATACCTTCGTATGTAACTGTGTGCTCTACTCCGCCGTGCGGTAGTTTAGTTTAAGCCTTGCGAACGCCTAGGTGGGCATTGCTGATATCATACGTTAGACACACCGATTTTTCTAGAGTATTATAATTTTCTAGAATAATATCCCTCTGGTGGTTATACGAAAATTTGCCCCTGGCCTCTGTGTACAGAAGTAATGAGCATGGATAACATTGAAAAGGGGAAAAGTACCTACCCTTGATCGGAAACCTTACACAAATTATTAACTATGCATAGTCGAAGAGTATAGGGCTGGGTACCCTCGGTACACTGCACTTCTCTCACAATATCGTTCTTGGTTTATATTCCGTCGTTTCAGCAAGCTTCGAGCTCGAATACTGCTACTAAAGCAGGACAGGTTGTATCAGCTCGAGCAGCAGTTAGAACAAGCAGACAAGCACGAATCATCGCCTCTTTTTCTCGGAATGAGCCGATGTGACGCGAATGTCAACCGACTATCTATCTTGTCAAATATTGAAGTAGCTATGGCTGACTACGGTAAGAGCCTTGGATATCTCCTACGCATGAATTAATAGCGTTAGATCAATATGTCGAGAGGGCTAGCTGGACAATGAGTTTACAGACATAGAAAGCCTGCAGAATTGGGTGAACGGGACTGGCTGCTTGGCTAGGGATGAGACAACATATCTCTCATGCAGGAACGACCTTGTCTGCCTAGTTCCTGTGGTGGACAATGCTGCACGACGGCTCGAAACCTGGGTGGAAGAAACGCTTATTCGATACCGGCCTAATTATTGTGGCGTAAGGACACCACCGCGATTTGACAGCTTTGTGTTTGTGCCCAACTGACGACCACAGGACCGATCCCATAAGCCCTTGACCCCGAATGTATATATACGCGGAGGACGCTTTATCCAGAGAACGGCGACGGCATTGTTAATCTCCATAATAACACTTCTCCTGATGCTTCCGGTTGTGGTATGCAATATCATCAGTATCACCTCGGCTAGGATCATCGTCGTCATGTTGTCTACGGTCTTGTACCTTCTCATCCTCTCCTACTTGACCAAATCACGGACGATGGAGTTGATACTCGCAGGAGCTACGTAAGTGCCAGTTAATTCATAGTCATCGAGTGACTAACCAGAGGTAGGTATGCTACTGTCTTGATCGTATTTGTCTCTGGTGCTACCGCGACGCAGCAAGTGTAAAGCCCCAAACATACTTAGGTACCTAATACCTATCGCAGTTTCTGCGCGCAACGGAAAATAATTATTTCAACTGCTGCCCCTAAATGAAACGATGTTTCCTCGTTGAAGTATCCTAGATTTCTTTTTTTAATTAAATCCTTTCAAATATTACTATTAGAATCTCATTGAACTTTCACACATTGGATATTACGAATTAAGGCTTAGTTGCCCACACGGACGGAACTCCCAAGCGAAGGATACCATTTAATGTGTTTTACTTCGCGGGTGTGGTGGTATACTTAAGAGGAATTAATCGAATGATGGGATGTGTCATCGCGAGGCAAAGACTGGGGACGGAGTGTCAGAAAGCACCGGCATATGAAGGGATAATACGTACCTACCTACACAGTCAGTTATACATTATCTCAATGATGGAAACGTCGGCTGGGGCCGTTGAATATCCCAATTAAGGAAATTCGTGGCGCATATCATTGGATTTATTCGTATACTTGCATGTTATGTTGGTCCAACATCGAAAATCCTCCGTTATTGATCAGCTTTAAAACAACTGTGGGTTTTGGAACGACAAGTTGCTAACAAATTCCCATCGTATGTTCCTCCAACACAACCGATCTCTTGGCCATTTTCTAAAGATACCATTTTTTAAAATACCTACGAACTTCAGTAAAGACGAGAGAAGCCATGTCAGACGTCATTGAGAGACTTGAGGCTCTTGCGAAATCCCCGCCCGAAGATCCCGTTGCGCGACTTAATCTCCATAATGCCGCTAAAAGACTCGTGGCAGCTACCGAAGATCCGTCTAATATCATCTGTCGCGTTAACGGTTCGGTAAGATCCTCAATTTTCTTAGGTCGCGGATCGGACTATATGATCTTGTATTGGTTGACACATCGCAGCCCTTGATCCTTACATTTTGCCAAGTAGCTTGCGATCTAAACATCTTCGTGCACCTAACAGAGGCGCACTCTCCACTTTCCAGCATATCCCTAGCTGCCCTGTCGGCCGCTAGCCCGAAATTCTTAAGTATAAGCTATTAGCCTGGCATCTTAAGATAAGCGAGATCTGGATATCTAACGGGACATGGTTAGGTCGTGTCCTTCGTTTCCTAGCCTCAAATGACATAATTCAAGAAACGGGCGAGGACGAGTTTACGGCAAATGCAGTTACTCGTACCCTCGCTCGCCCCGGATTCAAAGCGGGAATTGCTCATACGTACGTAGACATTTTTCGTTGGAATCAATCGCACAGCCTCGCTAACACAGTGGCCTGACGCGAAAGATTCATGGTCGTTATGCCTTGCCTTCAGGAGACACCAAAGTATCTCGCCGATACAAGATATGCAAATCCGACGGATGTATTTCACAGTCCCTTCCAGATCGCCCATAAGACCGATAAGCCGTCTTATGTGTGGGGTATGGAGCAGCCCGAGTTAATGGCTAACTTCAATGTATGGATGGCTGAGCAGCATCTAGACCAAAAGACCTGGCTAGATGTTTTCGATTTCGCCCAACATGTGGGAAATTCTGCAGATGATAGCCTGATATTCGTCGATATTGGTGGTGGCATGGGTCAGCAATGTGCACTCCTGAAGGAGAGGCACCCACACGTCCTTGGTCGTGTAGTACTGCAGGACCAACCATTTGTGATACCTTACGCTGTTCCAGTGGATGGAGTTGAAAAACAGGAATTCGATCTCTGGACCGAGCAGCCTCTAAAGGGTAGGCGTATTTTTCTCCCGCGGGCTAGACCAGCAGCCTTACTAAAACATTCGCAGGGGCCCGCACATATTACATGCGCAACATTTTAGAGGACTACCCCGATGATAGGGCGATGGTCATCATTAAGAATACCATGTCAGCCATGTCACAGGACTCAGTTCTCATTATTGACGAGATGATTATTCCGAATCGCGGCGCGAATCCGCGATCGACACTGCAGGACTTGACCATGATGGCAACCTTGGCGTCGACGGAAAGAACCGAGAGGCAATGGGACGACCTTCTTGATAGAGCAGGGTTGGCTGTGCTGCAGAAGACTGCCTATAATGCAGTGACTGGTGAAAGTATCATCGTGACAACTCTACGATAAGACTCCGCCCCGAATCTTAGTATGGGTGACACAAGCAAGCCACCCCCTTTTTACATGTAACGAGGGCACATGTACACCGCAATAATAGGGAAGATAACACTGCACAGTAGCGTCGCTCCGCCCTCTTCAGATACCTGTCAGACCTGCGATTGGACGTGAATAGCACTCGTGCTCTCTGTAATTGTAGCGGACTATAGGTGTTGCAGCATATTAATAATCCGCCAAATGTCTGCGCCTGTATGGTGCTCAGGCTCTAATCGGATAAGACTGAATATCTGCCTAGGCATCATGGAGACTGCCTTGCCATTATGCAACCCGACGACTTCGATCTAAGGTAATATCGCCGAAAGGGCGGTAATGTAACTGAATAGGTACCCTTCTAGCTGTGTTACTAGAAAAAGTAGAAAAAATAACCATCTTTGCTGCCGGCCAGCCGCCTGGGCACCCACCTACCAGATGCCCAGGTGTTTTGAATCATTAGATCGGATAGCCCACTATAGTTTTAGTGCGTTTAATGGCTATTTTCATTTCTATCTACCTGGATTAGCGTGCTAGGTTTTGTCACAAGGGTCCCGCAGCCCCCGGATCAAAATAATAGCGGCAACTATAGCGCCCCCTCTTACAGCGTAATTGAAGCTACATAGGGATAAAATAGCGCGGATTATTACCTGGTTTCCCCAGATTACGAATTAACAACATTAAATCGTCAACGTCCCCGTTAACGGTAAATCCCGACTACTTGATCCAACGTAGATCGCATATTCTCCCTTCTGCAGAAGCCAATTTTGCGCAACTACATCCCATGTGCTTAGATCCCGTCTAGTGAGCTCAAAATCAACGGCCGCCGACTCTCCAGGTTGGAGCACTGGCTTTGAAAACCCACGAAGTTGTTTTACGGGCCCATTCGGAATTCCCACGTATAATTGTGCTACCTCTGCACCTTCAACTGAACCTGAATTTGTGACCGTCGCAGAGACTTTTGCTAGAACGTCCCAGAGGTCTTCATGACCACCCTCGACAATCGGCTTTGATGGATACGAGGAAGTATCGGTCCCCTCAACCGCCGAGGCCTCTAGGCCTGAGTAATCAAATGTCGTGTAACTTAGACCAAAACCGAATTCATAGCGAGGAGTTATGTTCTTAGCGTCAAAGGCTCTGTAGTCGATATAAATGCCTTCAGTAAAGTCCGATTGTGGGAATAACTCATAAATACCGTCAGGATGTGTCTCATTCTGAAGCGGGCCATAGTCCGATTCATTGCGGGGCACTGAATATGGCAATTTGCCCGATGGATTCTCGTCACCATATAAAATCGACGTTAGGGCGCGGCCGGAGTCTTGTCCCGGAAGATGGGCGAAGATAAGTGCTGTTACGTTAGGATGATCGATGAATTGGTCTACAAGTCGTACGCCTGCGTTGTGGAAGACCACAATAGTGTTGTTGCACTGGGACGCGACATTGGTGATGAGAGCATCAGTGAAATCGTCGTGTAGCCCCACTCTATCCCATCCTTCTGATGCGAACGCATTGCCTACGACGATACATGCATCGGAGGACTGGTCGACTTTAGGATTGCCGCTGTGGAAGTCCCACCACAGGCTTGTGTCATCTTCATATGCGCGTTGGCTCAATGCTTGAGCGGGTGAACTGACGTATGCCGGCATGTTTGCTCCTGATCCACCGCCGCTGATCAACGTGCCGTTTGCAGCAATCTGGGTGTGGATCACATCATCGCCATTTGGGATTAAATCGGCGGGTGCTAGAGATTCTTGTCCTCCGTTCCAGCCGCCAGACCATGGGGTATACTCATCGAATGACTTCGCAGAATATCCGAATAGGGATAGCAGCTTAGGTGACTTCAGGGGAAGTGCATTGTTAGTATTTTTTAGTAGCACATGGCTTTCAACTGCCCCCTGTAATAAGATTTGCTTATTGCTTGGAGACTTGGCGATGACCCGTTGGTGGGGTTGGGAGAGATCATAGGGCATTCCTTGTCCTATGGCGGGGAAGCCTTCATCCTGGCCAAGTTTATACCATGAAGCTATGATTCTGCGTTTTGTTAGCGAGAACCACACCCAGATTAATTTCAAGAGATTATTACCTTGTTGCCATATCATCAATTCTAGATTCAGGCACTGATCCGTTGTTGACAGCCTCAGTTAGGTTACTTGACCAATACGGGGAAGCGGATGGCATAACCATATCTAAACCCGCTAATGCTGTCGCAACGCCTGCATGCTGGGCGCCCCAATCGGACACAACGAAGCCCTATTCATCCTGTCAGCCAGGTATTACTACACCCTAAGGGTCCCACTAATGATTGAGTACCTGAAACCCGAGTTCAGTCTTCAAAAGCCCGTTTTGCGTCTTACTGTTAGAGCAACCGTAGCTGTTGTTGATTCTGTTATAAGAACACATTATATTCGCTGTCCCGGCTTTCACTGCATCTTGAAATGGCCTGTATTCGAGATTAGCAGGGACTAGTTCTAGCGAGCTACACTAGGCGCGTACCAGAGGTATAATTCATGAATTGTCTTGTCGTCAATGTTGGACGACACTGCAGTAACATTGTCCTCGGGATTTCGGTTTGTTTCTTGTTCATTGGCGATGAAGTGCTAAGAAAACATGTTAGCTCAATTTTCACATTAGCAATAAATACCTCTAAATAAAATCGTTTACCTTGGTGCTTGTTGCGACTCCCACGGATTGTATGCCTTTTACAGTGTCAGACGCTAAAGCGCCACATAAATAGGGGTCATTCGAAAAGCCTGCAGCGTGTTTAGTGAATCTCCCGCCACCAAAGGGGCCTGTACTCACCCTCCCAATTTCTTCCACTGGTTGCAATACGGCCTAGAGGGCCTACAACAGGTCCTAAGGCAATGTGAACCCCCTTTGCTCGGAATTCTCCGGCCATGCCAACCGCTCTGCTGTGTGCCAACTCGCGGTTCCAACTAGTAACATATTTTAGCACACCGTTTCTTCATGACGAGTTAAAGCAGTGTTACCTTGCACCAACTGAGATACCCGAAGCCCAACTCGATGCAAAATTGGTAGTACGAACTCCATTACCGGCATCACTGAGACAAAGACCAGTGAAGTTGAGCCTTTCAATAGGAGGAATAATGCCAGAACAAGAGCTATCTGCTTGAATACCACCGGTAAGGTTAACCTATAAAGTACAGTTAGATGTAATCTTCTAAGATTTTTGAGATGTTATTGACCTTCTCTTCTAACGTCAATTGAGCTACAAGAGCCCGTGCTTTAGAGTATGCATCGGCCCAATTACCAGTACCAGTTCCATTAGCTATAGGACAATTAGCACACAATCTAGTAGAAGTGAGAATAGCGCAGTAATTAGCTTACGGGAAGGATATACTGGCGGTGATTGGCCATAGAATGTTGTGTCATCTGTAATGATGGACTGTGCAGTGACACCAACGCCATTATTCCAAGCAGCCAAGCCGGCCAGAACATACAACGAAGTCGACAACATGGTGTACATATTAGACAACACCATATGAGTTGTCAGAACTGGAAGGTACATGTAATCATCTAAATGAACGGCACACCATAAAGACGAAACATTCATTTTTATCTCAACTACAACTGACTACCAAGAAGGTAATGAGGGGTCAACAAACGATCCAAAAAGAAGAATCGGCCCTTTCCCCGAATACCGTACAGCCGGTAATTGATGAAGGCAACTTCCGCACCCGAATTACGACTTACATCCAAAGACCGGAGAGGTAATAATTGGCAGGGGTTGGAGGCGTCAATGACGAAAGATCTTGGAGAATGTGGGGAAGCTTTCGGATAAAGGACTGGGGTAGAGATGTAAACAAAGAAAAGGGAAAAAGAAAGGGTTACAATCGGGATAATCGATACCGTGAATTAGAAATTAGTAGAGCAGAATGAGAAATTACGATGCCAGTCCAGTGAAATAGCCCAGGAAACATTGTTGAATCGGACAGAGGAAGCCTTCGGGCTCTGGCTTATTCATCATTGCGTGTAACATGATATCGAGAAGTGATCTTCATTTCTTACATAACTCACATGCACCCCGCACTTCGTATTGTCGATATCCCGGCATACATGATGAGGTAGGATCAAATGGTCAAGATAGAATAGGGCTGCCAAGATTTGGAGAGGGTGGTAATCATACGAGTGAGTGAAGCTTGATTTCCCGCAATTTTTTGTAACTATTGCTAGTTCCCAAGAGCTTCCGAAAGAGCCTCCGATAGATGCAACTTGATCAATCTGCCTCGGCAACCACAAAGTTAACGCGTCCACTCGTCCCCATCCGAGCCGTGCTCCATCCATCCTGGCATCAGGACTTGGCACCTAGACTGGTGGTAGGATAGATATGAACACGCCAAATATATGTAAAATGACAATGTAGCTCGCGGTAGTTGTGTCGGACAGATTTCTCCCCATACAACGGGGAATTCATAGGGCCCCATCTAGGTATTCGAGCGCTGTGTAGATATTCATGGTGGCAGTATTAGGTAGGAAGAGAAAAGTCATAGGAGTTCTTAGATATCGACGTGAGACGTACACCGAGGCCTGAAAAGCTGATCAACTCGCCCTAGCATTATTAAGAAGACTAGAAATATTACTTAATATCCGGAGAAATATTTTACTCCACATGGTTCTAGTTTCGCCCAAATTTGAGAGATTGCTCGCGATAGTTAGGAAGTCAGGACATACTCCAAGACTCATGATTTAGTCGTTGCTTGTACACTGGCTCGGCACACATTTTAAGCATGATGTATCAACCACCTCTTGAGGGTGTTTAAACGGCCAGTGTCGCCAATGATTACTACGACTATTCTAAACACCACGATGGCAGTCCGTCTGAAGATGGGTTTGTGGTGAATATTGTAGTATGCGATTTGGATTTACTGTGTAGATGAAAAGGGGGCATTACTTCATTTCTATAACAAGTATAAGTCATGCCCGTAGCGGGGGGTTAAATTTACGAAGTATCTTTCTAATTTTCAATTTTGCCCACTTCGTGACCCTCGATCATTCTACAGACTTGAAGCGTTTAATAAGCGATTTTCGAATTTATGTTTCACGGAGAGATAATCAAACGGTAAATTGCAATAGTTGAAATGGCGCCTGTTCATAAAGTCGCTCTTATCCAACTTCATCTTAAGGTCTGTGGTTTAATCGTTTTATCAAGCGGACCAAGGTTATGTCGTCATCGGCTGAATTGATGATCACCGATTCGATATATAATCGTGGCTAAGCGATATAATTCATATTAACAATTTTCAAATAGAAATTTCATATGCTGACTATTTAATAGCCTCTTTCCCCTGCCGAGAATTTCGCCAAAGCCGAATCGTTTATAAGAAATGCCGCCCAAGAGGGGTGTCACTTGGCTGTCCTACCTGAATATCATCTCACCTCTTGGGTCCCGGATGAACCGAATTTTAGAGAATCATGCGCAGATTCAGCAACTTACCTGAAGAGGTACCAGGAATTAGCTAAAGAGTTGAATATTTGTATTGTACCTGGTACGATTATAGAATTGGAAGGCGATTCTCTTCACAATATCGCGTACTTCATATCTTCAAGTGGGGAGATAGCGGGGCGATACCAAAAGAAAAACCTGTGGCATCCAGAACGAAAACATCTAGTATCATCAGCCGATCAATCACACGAAGCTTTCGACACACCGTTGGGAAGAGTGGGATTATTGATATGTTGGGATATGGCTTTCCCTGAAGCATTTCGAGAACTTATCTCCGATGGTGCTCAAATCATATGCGTTCCTACGTTTTGGAGTTTGAGGGATGTGTCGGATGAGGGATATGCTCTTAATCCAGATGGCGAGGCGCTATTCTTGAATAGCACAGTCGTTAGCCGAGCATTTGAGAACACATGCGCAATTGTGTTTGTCAACGCAGGGGGTCCGCCAGAGAAAGGAGAGAATACTAGCTTCGCAGGGTTGAGTCAAGTTGGTGTGCCACATATTGGTCCCTTAGGAAGAATGGGACGTTCAGAAGGAATGTCTATCGTGGATTTGGACATGGATGTGTTGAAGATTGCAGAGGACAATTATAAAGTGAGGGAGGATATGAAGAGAGAAGGATGGCATTACGCATATACACAGATTCGGGATGCCAGTAAACTATAGATGTAAGTACATGTATATCTACGGTATACCTTTTGAATGAAGATTGTGGCTGACCATAATAAATATAATAGATCCCTCGTTGAAAATAGTTACATATGTAACTATTGATAAATCAGGATGTTTGAGTAGGAGGTATGTACCTAAGTACTTTTATTCTGGAACTTTGAATTCAATTGATTTTAAAAGTTGCCGGTACCGGTCGCGGCATTCTCATGGCGCAATCTGGCATAACATCTCGCGCTAAACCTATTTCATACTAGCTTACTATGGCGTGATCGCGTTCTTAAAAGACGAATTGCGCTGTTTCGCATTTCTAATTCGATTTATGAACCAACTTCACGCCATCTTTTTCCTCGACACCCGCTTGTTCGCCCCTCGGTTCACCACCCGAGAACCGTTGGCGGAGCGAAGAAGGTAAAAATGGGTTCAGGCAAAGTATGGAGTGTTTTTGGCGTGGAGGTAGGTTAGCCCTTATTTTTTTCAATTCCCGGGGCCAAAAGAAAAAAAAACAATAAAATTCATTATTCGTCTCCTTTTCGTGCTGGTCGTGAAGCAACCTGGGTACCTACATCTAGGTATCGTCGTGTTTCGTCTCCCTGTTCGTCTGAAGAAAGAACAAGTGGACGTCTTTGATTTCGATCAGTAGCAACAATAGATCCTCCATTTATTTGGTTGGAAAAAAGTATCTTGGATTTCAGTTGAGTCGCGGCAGAATCATTTTGCCTGGTCTAATCTACTATATTTATCTTTCCAGGAGGAATTTACGAATTCCTACTCCCACAAGTTTCGGCTTCCAAAAAGCCCTCCCAGAAGTCCAATAGAATCGGTTAGGATGCAATTGAAACAACCCGAAAGCGGTGGTGGTGCTCTTGCGGATCAAATAACCATGCCGGAAACGAAGACTTCTCGCGCCGAGTTCACTAAGTCATCCTCGACTTTACCCTTCGGCCAACCCGTGTCTTATTCGTCGATATCCGGCCCTACTTACGTTACCGGCCAGTTGCTCGTCCAACAGATCGCCTACGCCTTATCCGACAAGATCTTCTCGTACTCGCCCGAAACCTTCGATCTCGATGTTGCCGTAAGGAGCTGGGCGGAGAATGGGGATAAGAACGTCCACGGATATCCTACTGCTGTCTTACCCCTCCAGACTCGCTCTGGTGCTGGCGCTTTTGCTCTTGGTTATATCTTCTCGAAAGACTTCGATTTAAGCAAGAGACATATACCACAAACTCTCCTAGCACCATCGCTTAGTTTGCGCCATTTGCGCTCTGCCCTGGATCAGCTGGCTTTGTTGTATGGTGTCGCTAGTCCCTTCGTCGCCCATGTCGCTGCCACGGATTACACCTCCGATGCCGGTCTCGTCGCAGAGTATGGAACAGCATTGCAGTTATCTGAAGAGCTCGGGCTTGGGCTTATATCGAGTGGTTCTGCCTATGAGGCTCAGCATATCTCGCTCTTCGCTACGTTAATGGCCAAGATTCTGCCCACTCTCCACGTTTACGATGGCGTCCGTACGTCGCGCGAGACCCTACGAGTGATTGATGTTTTGAGCCAAGTCGGCGTCGCCGATCTTTTCAAGAAGGTTTCTACTACCGCAGAGTCATTGAATAAGCGTCTTGATAACGCCGGCAAGGTCCTCGAACTTTTGCGGACTTTCAACGAGGAGCTTGGTACCGACTACGAACCTTTCGAGTACATTGGCCACGACGCCGCGGAGACCGTATATGTTGCTTTTGGTAGTGCCGAGGCCCAACTTGCTAGACAGGTCGTATCCAAGCTTGCTGCTGATGGAGCGAAGGTTGGCGCTGTCATCGTTAGAATCTACAGGCCCTTCATCGAGGAAGCCTTCATCAAGGCTCTACCTATCTCAACTCAGCACATAGCAGTCCTTGGTCAAGTTGCGACCGAGTCTGCGGTTTCGGATGCTTCTGTTCAGTCTGTCCTGTACTCGGATGTCTTGACCGCAGTTTCTTTCTCAAACAAGTGGGCCTCTATCCCTCCAGTCACAGACGTCAAGTATCCAGCTTCACTTGCTTTTACCCCGTCAAGCTTTGTTGCTACAATTACTCAGGCTACGAGCAAGGTTACTATCTCTCGCATTCGGCTTCCGCAACTTGAATCTGTAGGACAATACGTCTTTTGGGACATTGACGGGTCCGTCGCCACCGTCGCACCGGCTGTTGTTGGTGGGCTCTTGTCTCGGGACTCCACCAGCAATATTTACTTGAACGAGTCACACGACAACTTGGTGCAAGGAGGTGTTGTCCGATCCGACTTGCGAACCTCTCCAAAGACAATTGATGCCCCCTACGCAATTGAGGAGGCGGATGTTGTTTTGGTTGGTGAGGAGAAGCTGCTAAAGGAGGTGGCAGCATCTAGGAGCGTCAAAGACAACGGGAAACTGATCTTAAAGTTGCCCAACTTTAAGGAGGAAGAGGTAGAAAAGCGTATACCCGCATCGATCCGCAAAGATGTACAAGAAAGGAACATCTCGCTTTATATCCTAGACTCATCCTCGTCTCCGGCCTTCGAAAACGATTCCAATGCTGCTAGGCTACTTATTGAGCTTGCATTCCTCAAAGTCGCCAAGCCAGATATTAAGCCAGAAATTTTAGAGAAATTGGCGGTTTTGGAGGCCAATCCTCCCACTTTGGAAGAGTGCATTGATGCTCTGAGCAAGAGTCTTAAGCAGTTGGAGGTTCCGGAATCTTGGGTAGAGTCCGTCAGCGAGACGTCTAGGAATCTCCCCGAAGTCCTAAAGACGAACAGCTTTGCGCCATTTGAGAAGCAAGAAACTGAGCAGGATCTACAGCTTAGCAGTTGGGAATCGGCTGCTAAAGGTCTTGTCTTCAAAGAGGTATATGGTACGGATACCACTCTTCGCCCCGATCTGGCGGTCAAGACATACACAATTCATGTCAAGGAAAACCGTAGACTTACGCCCGTAACTTACGATCGAAACATTTTCCACATTGAGTTCGATCTCGGTAACTCGGGATTGACCTACAAGATAGGAGAGGCTCTCGGAATACACGCGGACAACGATGCCAACCTCGTCCGTGAATTCATTGAGTCGTATGGCCTCAATGCGGACGACCTCGTCCAGGTGCCATCTCGAGATGATGCCAACGTTCTAGAGACTAGGACTGTTTACCAGTCGCTAGTCCAAAACATCGACATTTTCGGCAAGCCCCCTAAGCGATTCTACGAGTCAATCGCTGATTTTGCTACCGACGAGCTTGAAAAGAAGAGGCTTGCTTCTCTTGGCACACCCGAAGGCGCCGAAGAGTTCAAGCGTCGTGCCGAAGTCGATACAATCACATTCGCCGACGTTTTGGAGGAATTCAAGTCTGCTCGCCCTAGCTTCCCCGAACTCGTCCGTCTAGTCGGTCCTCTTAAGCGCCGTGAGTACTCAATTGCCTCTGCTCAAGCTGTAACACCCAACATCGTCGCTCTCATGATCGTCGTCGTGGATTGGGTCGATTCCAAAGGACGGACTCGTTACGGTCAAGCAACTCGATACCTCAGCTGTCTGCCTGTTGGCGCTGCTGTGACTGCTTCCGTTAAGCCCTCAGTCATGAAACTGCCCACACGTGACGACGCACCTCTCATCATGGCAGGTCTTGGAACTGGTTTAGCGCCTTTCAGGGCTTTCATACAGTACCGCGCGATGCAAAAGGCACAGGGTAAGGAAATAGGCGCTATCCTACTGTACCTCGGTTCTCGTCACCAACGTGAAGAGTACCTGTATGGTGAGGAGTGGGAGGCTTATCTAGACGCCGGCGTCATTACCCTTCTTGGCGCCGCCTTCTCTCGAGACCAGCCCCAGAAGATCTACATCCAAGACCGTATGCGTCAGACCCTGAGTGACGTTATCAAGGCATACATCGAAGAGGAAGGATCTTTCTACCTCTGTGGCCCTACTTGGCCGGTGCCCGACGTTACCGATGTCCTTAAGGAAGCCATTGCTGCCGAAGCGAAGGCAGGTGGGAAGAAGGTCGATGCCAAGAAGGAGATTGACCGTCTCAAGGAGGATGGACGTTACGTGCTTGAGGTCTATTAGATGGGCATTGTCCTTAATCACATTTGTTTCTCATAAGCGAGTTAGATTTGCGTTCGTTACGACATGAACATTCCATACTCCAATAGACCATGAACCCTTTATCAACACACCATTTGTCCGAGTAGTAGTTGCTATACGTATGATTACGTACGCCTAGTCTTACGGTTTAATTACTAGGGACGTATAGGGTGGTACAAGTAACAACTTGTACCCAGCCCTTGAACGTACCCGGGCCGCATCTTTTGAATCTTCATACCAAAAAAATCGTCCAATAAAATATCACAATTTTATCAACGACGTAATGAGCCAGAGGCTTTGAATGATGGGGAAACGGTGTGCCTTGGCACCCCGACAAGCAAGTACCTACATAGGTCAGATTTTCTTCAATAAACGTCGAACGTTCGTAACTTATTGTACCCAGGTAATCGGCCCATCGAGATTGGGTTGGTTGATACTACCTATTATGGAGGTAAGCATCACAAATCATCCTCGGGCTGATATGGTATGGTCCCAATCAAAACGAAATATATAAATTTGTCTCCACGGCGTCCCAATATCCTACACTGCTGCAACCAATCACTCGAAAATACGATAAATTGATGGGTTCAGGTCACCATTGTAGCGGCAATGTATATTACATCTCGTCCCGAAAAGAAGGAATGTGATGGTGCGAATGTTTGACTCTGCCACATAACCATTCAAATGTATCACCGCTGTTTCCGCAGCTAAATACTCTGTGTGGCACTTCAAAGTTTTGGTAGATGATAGCTGAATATCTGCCTAGCCATTCGCCTTCGGCTTCAATAGTTTTCGGCTGGGGGTGAATCGGGATAACCTGGGTGGTTTCCTATTATAAATGGCCTCTTAACGACAGCGACGTCGTCTTTGATTTTTTATTTTAACGCAGACTTCCACAATATTAATCCAACGTCATTATGGATGCCACAAATACGGCAATTAGTCTCTTCCAATTTGCTCTCAGCACCTTTGGGCGTATTCAGCTCGCAAGGGAATTCAGGGAAGATTTCGAAGCACACCAACTGAAACTTGACATTATTCAACTTCGGCTTTCCCGCTGGGGTGAAGTTGTCGATATTACCACACTTGACACCCGTTGCCCCTCTGCTAATGAGCTGGAATCGGCTGGTAGAGAGCCTAAATATGATCTGGCTTCAATAAAACAAACACTCTCCGATGTCAGAGATCTCTGCAATAAGGCGTGTCGCCAAGCGTCAAGGATAGGCAAGGGATTAGATGCGAAGACACAAGAAATCACTCCAGAGTCATGCGTACCATCGGATCTAGAGAAGCTTCGGTTCTGGCTCAAAGAATGCCTCCGCAAGCGTAGAGCCCAGGCCTCTAGGACCGTCCAAGGCGTCAAATGGGCTTTTTACAAGAAGGAAAATTTTGAGAATTTTATAGCCAATCTAACCGCGCTAATTGACGCCCTCGAGAAGATTATGCCAGAGGTCGATCGCGAAAAATTGCGTCAGCTTAGTGAGGAGGAGTCCAATGGGATCGACAAGTCTGATACTGAGGAACTCAAGGACGTCATTCAGGGATGCGATCCATGGTTGGAGCGCTCTTTAGACACAAAGCTGAACGCCGGTGGCGCGGGGACTATCATCAACCAGTCACGCAATACAGGTAGTACGGTTGGAATCCACAGAGGCAATAACTACGGTGTCTCCAATGGCACCAACAGCTCGCAAACGAATACATTTAAGCCGTGAATTTCTGATAAGAGAGTGGAAGCGTACCTGGGTATTGAAAAGAGCAGTAGGCTATCGTAAAGGAGACTGAATTGGTTAGCTAGAATGAGGATACGGCATAGGACGCAATATCTCCAACCCGAATGAATTATTATTTTTCATTAAATGATTAAGGTGTATCTATCTATACACCTGCCTAGGTACCTAAGGCAGGCTGTCATCACATCCACCATAGCGTACCTAGTTGACGTCAGAATATTGGCTGCCGTTATATCCGGCTTCTTAATAGGTGAATTCATTTATACCTAAAGGCGGATATACACTGGCTACTCTTAGCCTACCTAAATCAATACTGCTACGCTAATGAGTATTGCGTCGCGATTTAATTTACAACCCAAATGAATCGGCGCGATACACCTGTTGTGGCGAGATGGGTGTGTAGGTAGGTAGGTAATCCTTAGGCGCCACTTTGCTACCTTTCTCTTCTGTTGCTATCTCGTGATATATGAATCATGAATTTCCTAGTCAGTAAACCAAACCCACAGATTCTTGTTAAGGGGCAACTACCAGTATTCCAGACTTCTCTTTTCCACCAAGATGTTTACAGAGAACTACAGAGTTCGTCAACAGGGGAACGTTGGCCTGGTGCAAGGCTACCACTTCGGGGATAACGTCTTCTGTGAGTTCAAGATTTTACTATGCGATGGTTCCTGGTGGTGCTAACGTCTTTAGATGACGGTACCAAAGCCGACTTGACATTGAAGCATATATCACTCGAGACTCATAATGAAGTGAAAGCGAAGTGGCAGGTTTCTGGGACATGTGACTGGCTCTTGCAAAAGAGTGATTTCCAACAATGGGAAAGAATGGAGACCGAATACTCATTCCTCTGGCTACACGGCCGTCGTAAGTTATCCTGATAAAACGAAATACGAATTTATACTTATTTTTAGATAGGCGGGTGCGGGAAATCTACTATGATGTAAGGAAGTGCTCAGTTTGGTCCCGCTCATCTTGGGTATACTGCGTCTAAGTAAAAGCCAGGCTAACAAGTTAACAAATAGGTCTCGTATAATCGAGAGTATCTACGAGAACCAGTTCGTTTCAAGAAATCCGGATTCTATCCATCTTCTATACTTCTACGTTGGCCAGGGCGATGAGAAAGAAAAGGACAAGCTCTATCGAAACATGCTGGTGACTTTTTGGCAACAAGCCATCAAGAAAGCCGAAGGGCGACCAATAAACATATTCGGAGGCCATTATCCTCCTGAGTTCATCGAGAACGAGTTGCACAAGTTGCTTGTTTCATCACAGCGCGATGTGTACATTGTCATTGACGCACTAGATCAGCTTCCCCATGATTCTCAACATCGGCTGATAGAGGGCCTCAACAGTCTAGTCCAAAAATTTAAGGCCGAGAAGTGCAACGGCCGCCTTAGCGTGGCTATTAGTTCTCGCGACTGCGATGGCATTGAACACTTGCAAACGCATAACCTGTTCCCAGTTGAAATAACAGCAGAAAACAACAAACAGGACATCGAAAAGTATCTAAAGCAAAATCTTCGATCAGACCTTTTTGAGAGGAAACCGGCACTTAGAAAACAAGTTTTTGAGGAGTTGAACAAAAAAGCAGATGGAATGTTAGTATCAATATCAGACCTTCTCCTCTTATCATGGCTAATTGGAACAATTCAGGTTTTTATGGGTTAGCTTGCAAACGTCGAACATCTGCAGAATGAAGATGGAATCACAAATCTTGAACGCCCTAAAGAGCATCATACCCCCACAGAACATACATAAGTTGTACGAATCCTATGCCGAAGAATTTGAGACCACAGAAGAACCAATCAGTCAGCAGATAGCTCAGCGGACGGTAGCCCTATTAGCACACAACTCGGGATCCATGTCAAAAGACGCCATTCTTGAAGCCCTTTCGCTGGACGCCACAGGGAGAATGGACCAGGAACTTCATAAGGAGTTAGACCAAAATCCTACTACTATCATTGTTTTCTGCAGTCATCTGATTCGCATCAACGAAAATCTTGGGGTTTTCCAATTTTGCCACGAGACTGTATTTGACTTCTTTAGGGACTACAAGACAGTCACGTACAACCAGCGGATCGCGGAACTATGTCTATCTCACCTGTGCTCGCCGGACTTCTCTCACGGTCCCCGAAGTGATGCTACCTGGTACAGTCCCGGTAGTCTTGGGCCTATTTTACGTTGTCATCCATTCCTACAATATGCATCCTCTAAGTGGCCGACCAGCGTCAAGGAGAGCTTTCGTCCTAAAGCTGAAGAGGGCGATCAGGGGTGCCAAGTTAAGGTTCTCAATTGGCTTGAGGTACTTCTTGGTAGTGACGAGGAGGGGAAAAGTAAAGAAAACCTACAATTGGCGTTCCAGGTATATTTGTTCCACGTAGGCAAGACAATGCCGCGTGGGGTCTGTCATGAGCATATAATCAGCTACTTTGCTCTTGTTGGGCTCTTTGAAACTTCGGGATGGTTTGATCTGGCTAAGTGTGATGGCGAAGGGTTAACACCAATCCATTGGGCCATACGAAACGAGACCGGCGTCGATGCCACAGCCACAGTTACTGAACTTATTACGCACGGTGCCGATATCAATGCGAAAGACAGCAAGGGTCGCACCCCCATGTATTACGCGGCCCACAGCGGAAATATACGTGTAATACGGTTGCTCATTAAGAAGAACGCTGAACTTGATTTGACAAATCAAGACGGGGAGACTGCTTTGATTGCCGCTTGTAGAAAACACAACGAGAGCGTGGTACTGTGTCTCGTTGGGGCCGGAGCGGACGTCAAGATAGAGAGCGCCTTCGGCACCGCCCTGCAAGCCATTTCGGTAATTGGATGTTGCGAGTGTGCTGGGGCCATACTCGGCCGATATGGTAATTCCAGAATCATCGAAAATCATGATCCGTTCGGCACTTCTCTTCATGCTGCAGCATTTTATGGCCACTCGGATCTTGTTAAACTTCTATGTACGAAGAGAACGAATCGTCGCGCAACGCATAGAACATATGGCAGTCCTATAACTGCAGCAGCTACAGGATACAATCCAGGGCTGGATCCAGCCCCTTTCATGGAGATAATACAAGTGCTCATTGCACATGGGGCAAAGGTCAACGACCGAAGTGGTCTAGTTGGGCCAGCTCTTCGTGCTGCAGCCTACCATGGGAGCCCGGACCTTGTTAAACTGCTTTTAGAGAAAGGCGCCAAGGTCCGCAAAGCTAAGGGACCAATGGGCACAGCGTATGAAGCCGCAGATGAGCGCGGTCATCAAGAAGTCAAGGACATTTTGCTAATGAATGACGCAAAAGCCGCAAGATACGCCGGGAGCCATTCCACCGCAGCGCAGGGACGCCAGCTCGTCCAGCGACGAGTCTTCAACGCCACAGTCAAAGCGAGCAGCATGGAGACTATCAACAGCCTCATTACACAGTTTGAGAAATTCTTTGAAAAAGAAATCCCCAAGGGTGACACTCCCTTCCTCAGAGGATTAGCCAAACTTGGCGAAGATTGCTTTCAGGATGTCATAAAGTTGGCTACAAGGTCGCATAATGGGAGCAACGAGAATAAACCAGCGAGAGAACATGGAAATGGCGGTAGATCGCGTTTCCGGGACACTATGCTCGGGCTTTTATGCATACCTGGGAAATTCAGCGAACCAGATTCGAAAACTAAGCCCGCAGGGACGTCCCCTCATCTCCTCAGAGCAGCAAGCACATTTGTTGTAGACGGACTTGGAGAGCATTTCCAACAAGTTTTAGATCGGATGACCCAGGCTGCAGTAAAAATACTAGAGATTGCGATTGCGAGCGAGAACGAAACCGTGATAGGATTAATCGCTAATACCTGGGGCGAAGCGCTGAATAACCTCGTCTCATACCCCGGATTTGGGGAGTCAATGCTAGAAATGGTAGTTAAGAAGCGCGCGGACGATTTGAAGGACTATTTAACAGACCCCAACTTGAGCCTGGAAGAAAGGCTCGGAAAAGCCAAAGCCTTAGCCTTGGTCGGAATTGAATTGCTCCTAACGGCTGTTGAGCGCGGGCAGAGGGGTGCACATTTGGCCTTTGTGATTTCTAAGCTTTGGGTTAGAGCGCTTAATGATGTCGAGGATTTGGGCGAAGAGGGAGAGGCGCCAATACAGGAATTGATCCACGTATTTTCTAAGCGCTTCTCAAACGCGATCAGAACCCAAGATCGAATCAACGCCGAGACCTGCGGCCATGGTGGCATTGAGCTTGTGAGGACGGCGGCGATGAGCCCTAAGACCGAGTTGCTCGACAAGTTAAGCAAGGAGTGGATGCTGTGGTGGGGGGTGGCTCTCGAAGGAAACATGGAATATATGGTCAAGGAGTTGGTGAGCCGGCGATGGAAAGAATACCAACGCTGCATCAAGGATAACAAGTATGAGGAAGCTCGTGGTCTCGAGATTGCGGGTATAACCGTGCTTCGCACAGCTTTCAAGCATGAAAACGAGTCCACGATATCTACACTGCAACCATACATCGAGTCCGGGTTCCAGTTGATACGAGAAAGGTACACAAACTCTGGCCAATTGGCAGAGTCCCCGCCCGTGCGGAACTCATCTGGGGATGTAGGAATTCTTCTCAATGCCCTCATACGTTTACTTGCGACATCTGAAGAGAAGCAACCAGACAGATTGAGAAATTTGACTTCGAAAATTCTCGATTTTACGAGAGTTGCAATAAATGACGAGAATCAACTGAAAGAGATCATAAACAATCAAATTGAAGGGACTTCTCGAATTGTCATACCGGCTGAGCGTAAGGGGCAGCTGATCCAGATCTCCAGGGCAATCCTGTTTGTCCTAGATGTCGCATTGTGTTCAGAGGATGAGAACACTGTCATATTATCGATACTCAAAGACGTGGCTTTGGAAAGTCTAAACAGAGCATTACCACGGTTCACAGAAATGGAAGAAGTTCATCGATATAGAAGAGCTATTATGAACCTGAATCAAGAGAATTGAATGAATGTCGATGTAGAATGAAATTTAGGATGGATGGAAGGGGAAGGGAAGGGAAAGTTGACTACTCGAAATTTTGGTTGCACCCAGTAAAAGAAAAAAGGAATACCCCGCTATGGGGCGTTGATGAGTCATCAACATGTATTCTTGTTGAATATTAGTAATCAAATTGAGAGCAGTACCTAGGTAGCACTTTAGTCAATTTTTAGTTTTGGATTGCAACTTTGATCCTAAAAATTACAACATTATTTGCTCTATCGCATTCCTATACAATTTAGAAGACTAAACTCATAATTCAACGATTGATTCCGAATTGGCCATGTCCAACATAACAATCATGTCGATACCTCTAAGAGTTGACCACGCAGGTCAAGCTTCCGTTTTCTTCTTGGCATGCTGAAGAACATATGCTGTTAGCCGTTGTGTGAGTTTGGAGAACGTCCTGTCTTGGACTTACTTCCTTTAGCTGTGTTTCGACTGTTTGAAGGGTCGGTGTAGTATGCGCAACTATGGCCCGGACCGTAGTCACAGTTGTTGGGGCAGTTGCATGCGAGGTCTACGAGAACACTGTTAACGTATGATGAATGACATTCAAGTCCAACGGTACTCACTTGGGTCGGTGGCAGTGGCCACAGCACGAGCCTCTTGGACTTGAGTTCCAGCGATGGCTCCCATGGCCTGATTGGCCATGAGGAGAGTCACGGCTGAGAGTATGGTCTTCGTGTTGAAAAGCATTTTAAAGTTAGGTGTTGCTGATGAATTGAGATACTAGGGATTGTTGTATGTCTGATGGTTAGTTATGTTAGTTGCCTTATTAAATGGGTTCTATCGCGAGACTTTATACCCTTCGAATCAACTGAACGGTAGCCTCGGCCGAACAACCTTCATCGCAAAATCCAAGTCCTTTCTTATTAGATGACGAAAATAGTTATGCGGTGAGTGGATCTTGTTTCTATCCGGAGGCTTCATATTACAGAATGATGCTTACAAAACGCTCGAGCTTCTTCCTTCCACCGACCGAGGTTGTATTGGTGGCTTGGAAATGCACTTTCGCTAATAACTTGCCTAGGTATTCAAGTAATCTTAAGGCGCTATGGCCATGATCTACTATAGTCGTTGCTTAGACGAGTTCCAATCCACGAGCTTTGAAAATATGAAATATGACCGATATCTAGCATTCGTAGCCTCATATATCATATGCTACGCTACCCGATCATCTTACTCCAAATATTGCCGATCTCCGGCTAGATGCAGGCATGGCTTTCAGCTTTGGTATGCATCTAGGTAGGTACATAGGTAGTGTTGGCCATGCTGTCTTGTAAACACTGGGTTACACGATTTTGCCGCTTTTAAGGATGCTCCTAGTCTATTGAGAATGTACCTTACCTCTTGAAACGGCGACTTCGGTGTGAGCAGACCAGATATCTACCTACCTAGGCACCTAGTAAGCCGCCATCGAAATGGTGGTAGTGAAGAGGTTGTTAACAATGAACTAGGTATCTCCGTGGGTATTTGCATGTTAGTCGAAAATCAGTTTAAAACGGTATCATAATGTTAACTGATTGCAAAACGGATTGAAATGGCCATGTTCAACATAAAAGAGAAAATTCATTTGTCAAATATCGTAAGTTTCAAGAACTCATATTTTATGTCTAACAATTATCTAATATTTTTAAGTAGCAGTATGATTATTCATTAAACATTTTCGTTATTTTCTATTCCCAAGTCAACAGCCGTCCGTTGAAGCTAGAACTCTTACGGGCGATGAAACTCAAAGTCCGTTTAGCTAAGCGACACGATCACCGTTTCTTCCATCTAGACGCAGAGTGTCAATGATAGATCCACGGGCTCAGGGCAGCCGTACACCTTCTTGGCTTCCGGCCTGCTGTAGCAACCGGCGTCGAAGGCTGCGCAGTCGAAAAGTTCGCAACCAGTGCCCGGCGTTAGAATGTTATGCGACTTGCCGAAGGGGTTTCCCCACTCCCTGCGAGAATGTTAGTCAACTAGAAAGCATCGAGGGAAAGTTATAATGGCTTACGAGCTCAATTCATCTATAGAGAGTGTGAGTTAGTACAGAAGATACTAGTGCTTCGGGTTCGTGGACACGGGAGTCACTTACAGTAGGCGTAGTCTGGGTTTGAGCTGAAAGAGTAGCCGAAGAAGAGCGGGTGGGCGAGAGTCTTGTCGGTGTCGATCTTTACGGTCTGCCTATGTGATTAGCTTGCGTTGAACTGGCGAAATGAAGATTAGGGCAACTTACCGAACCTGACGGACGGAAATCCTCCTTGAAGGTGTCTCCGGGGTTCAAGGTGGTTAGGGGTCCGGATGTGCTTCCATCGTAAGGGAATGACTGAACGTAGACGGGAGCTGCGCAATTGTTCGTTACGGTGGCTTGTTGGGCAGAGGCGCCAGTGGCGACGACGGCAGCGCCCAGGATGGTAGCAAAGAACTTCATTTTGGAGTTGTGTGAATGTGAAAGTTTGAAGAGCTAGCGAATGGATATGGTTAAGAGCTGTGAGATGATGTGTGAAAGTGGTGGTGAGGTGGTAAGAATTCGCCAGGTAGTGGTCAAACCGATCCTGTTTTATATATGTTTTTTTACGTGACGCTGAAAGAAATCACCAGTTGAGGCATCATGTATTGGCACCACGATCGTTGCATTCCTAGGCATGTAACAAATACGAGTTCTGATTCTCGTATAACCCCGTCACGAGGCCTGGGTCAGACCATGCATGATCTTAGATCTAATTAATGCTAGTTTTGCCTGAAGGATCCCGTCTTCGCGGAATGAGACCCAATCCGGCTGCGACGATTCGCCTTGTACTAACCTAGAACACATTTAATTTCCTAAACGTTGCATAATACTATACTTTTCAAAGCGAGGAATATAGCAAACATCAACACCAATCGCTAAATAATAAAGGGTTGGTTTAGGTAAATTTTATATAATAAACTTACCTATTAACCTCCAATTGAAGAGCTGATTAGTGGATACTTTAGGTAGATTAGCGAAACAAAACTGCTATAGCTTTACAATGCCTTGACTTTTCAATTCTTTTGCAAACTCTCTATTGGAAACTATGACGTAATTCGGATAAGCCAATCAGCTTAATTCACGTTTTGTATAAAGACTTCAACCTTTAATTAACTATATTATTGGTCTTATATACGAGTCTATATCTAGGCCGTATTTGCTTAGCAGGTATTCTATGCCAACTGTCCCGTAAACATTAGCTGCGCCTCACCTATTAAGCCAGTGTATCCATTGAGTTTTTACCCAGTGGTTAAATCCTTGCATTTGTACGCCGGATGGATATGAAGAATGCCCCATTCCCATTCCCGTTTCCGTGGTCCCTCGCCATTTCCGTCGACTTTACCAGATGCGTTAGACTGGTTCGTATCTCTCTTCTAATCACATTCGCGTTTTGGGGTGTTCGGCTACTGCAAGGCGGTGAGGAATCCATGCTGGTACTCTTCTTAAAGCGCCTTCCTTTTATTTCGCATTTGGGGAAGTATGGCTAAGGATAATAATAGTTTTCGCATGTAAGCCTACTGAATAAAAAGAACATTCAATCCATAATTCCGTATTTTATCAGTAACCGTTTAGATACGTGTATGTGTCGAATTTTCAAAGTCTTAATCTCGACCGTACAATCCGGCACAATTGTGATCCAAGCTGCTATCCGATGAGTCTTATGCGGGCTCTTTCTAGCCTTTGATTAGAATTGGAATAAGTATACTATCATCCAATCCAAGGAGGAAAAGGCCATTTACATGGATATACCTACGCCAATGACGTAGTGTTCTTTTCTATCCTGGTAGCTAAAGATTTCAGCGGGGTAAAATTGGACCACTATAGATCGATTATGTTGAAGACCGCTATTTTTTTAATTCCGCAAAAGCAAATCAACGCGCCACGGCCTGAAATTACACAATATCCCAAATAAAGAATCGTACTTCTTTACCAATCAAAAATCAGAAAATAGTAGGTGGCGTAAATAAGACTAGATACTCTAGTCCATCTTGATTTAGACCTTTTATTATTCCTATACTATTATCATATCAATAGGTACTTTGAAACTATTGTACCTTCTGAATATTGTTAGTGATATACATGTAGGTGGTCAACCAAAGATCGCGGGGTTTAGATCGGGGAGATATATCCGTAGATCAACATCGACATCCAACGCGCTACCCGCATACGTAGCGTCTTCAGCAGGCTAACCCCTGTAAAGCTAAAGGCTTGCGTACCTAGGTACTTACCGCGGGAAGATGCTACGCGCGCGGGCGGTCAATTATCGAATATCGCAATGTTACAGCGAGTACCAGTGTTTTTCTACAGTATGGTGACGTATGTGACGAAGCAAACGCCCATCGCCCGTGCGCCGGGAACTTGCAGAACTATGTAAGAGGACAACGAGACCAAATTCAAAAACGGGGTCCTGTCGACCATAGCAATCGTCGCTCGTAGTGCTATATTAAGAATGTCGCTCATATGGATATGCACTGGTACAATATTTTTCAACGTACAAGAATAAGTAGAATTAACAAGTTAACTCGAAAGTCGTTGCTGTTTACAGTTTGAAGCTTTAGTTTCAAACTCACTAACGTCATTATCTGCTAATCTCGAGACCTAGGTGTGTTACACCTAATATAATAGACTTTCCAGGTTGGCGACCTGCATTAGCCCCGGGGACGATCCGCGTTCGGAGTTTACTTACCCCGTCACTTCGTTTTATTCGTCTCCTCTCGGCTCTTCTAATTTATAACTAGAACTAGAACTAGTACATACGTAGAATTTCCCTACCTACCTAGGTACCTAGTCAAACTTGGTGATATCGCTCCGCGACGGAGTGGATACCTAGGTATGGCTCCCCTGAACTCCCATCTCGCCTACAAGCAGGACACGAGCCGACTCATATATTGGATCGTTAAATCCTCACCTTCATCTGACCTCCCTGAAGATGCCCCGAAAACTCTAAACACCAATGGGCAGGTCACCATATCAGACCTTTTAGCCCTATCAAAGCTCATTGCAACGCGCATCAGCTATGTCCCTTCCGCCATCCTCGGCTTATTCGATACCGTTATACAAGCACGGACAGCCACCTACCAGGCTTTTCAAGAACTTGTTGCTTATAGACCCGACCCTGATATTGAGCGAAGTAATGCCTCTCACAAATACTTTATTGACGCCCTTGTCGAGGCATTTGAAGCACTAGGAGGGCCTGCATGGGCCGATAAAAGGAATTCGAAATCGGCAGACACTAACACAGACGATCAGGCTGATCTCGAACAAGTCCTCTTTGCTAACACATTTTCCGCACTCAAACTCGACGGAGATGCGGCGTTAGGCGAGGAGGATGAAGGGGAAAGCGACGATGGATCCGACATAGAGTCCCAACAGAACCAAGCTTATCGGAGATATCAGCATAAAAGATCAAGAGGCAAAAGCAAGAAGCAGAAATATAAGAAGGGTGCTAAGAAGAAGGCGAAACAACAGCGGCCTACCGACGAGGAGCCCACCCTTGATGACGTCCCTGTGGAGAGCTACCGGATCATCGATGATCAAGAAGGGATCGTCACCGAATATTCGATGACCGTCCTTTCCCCCATTAAGGAATGGGCCGAGCTACGTGGCTATCTGCAGGCGACATGGCGAGAGGTGATATATGATGGGCTCAACGGCGCCGCTGCCGGCGCACTATCCAACGTTGCCATCAAAATGGTTGAGCGCTCAGTCGCCGAAATCTTTATTTGCTTCCCCGGACACGACTCGTACGAGACAGTCATGAATACCATCACCCGCGGAGATATAGAATTGTCACAAGGTCTAATCAGAATGCGTTTTGAGGTAGATCCGGACCAGAATGACGGTAGCAAAATTGGGGAAGCCCCAATTGACATCAAAGAGCAGTTATTAATCTACGCGTATAATGACCTCGTCGACTTTATCATCGACTTCCAAAAGAATAGAAGCGGGAAACCAACAAAGCGCATGCTCAAAGAACTTGGCAATTGGGATCCCGAATTTGACCTCTGCCGCGCAAGCGAGCTAGAGAGGCTGAAATGGCGCCGGTGCTATACTATCAATTGGCTGTATGATCTTGTCAATGTTTTTTCAAGCATTGTCGTGCAGCGTAACGCCACGCAAAAAGAACACCATAAACTGGAATCGGTGGACTGATCTACCTCCGGTCCTTGGGATAGACATCGACGGCTTTACGGGTTGAAAGAATTCGCCGGATTTGTCACCAATCTTGCCATGCAGAAACCAGAATCGGATATCCGCCAAAAGATTCTTCCTCACCACGTTTTTCAGTTACAGTGCATGGCTGACGCGATGACGGTTTCCCGCGGATGGTCTGTTGGCACCCTTGGTCACCTCGTCGAAGCACCACCCTCGGGCTTCAGTCCACTGCGAGATATTGACTTATTTCTCGATCGAAAAAATGAGCGATTGGGTTCTGGATTTCTCTGCGCGGTCGACGTTCTCAGGGATCTCTTAGAGAAGGAAGGGGCACTTAACGGCGATCTTCGTCGTCACGACTTTCACCACCAACTATTTGGAATCGTTCAATATAACTTAGCCAACTACCTCGGTAGGTCGAAGTATATAGATGGGCTAGACAGTATGCCCCCATCTCGTTTCCTCGCCACTAATACCAACGGTCTCTGGGAATACTCACCCTTCCTTTGCGGTGTCGGCCTTGCGGAGGGACTCATAGAAGCATATAGCACCAGCATCACTATCCTTGACAAGCTCCCCGAGCCCATTCTACTCGTCCATCTGCATAACATGCTCGTGCAGAAAGGCTACATCACCACTCCCATCTCGTTATTCAAGGCACTTACGGAGACGTTCCCAGGTGCTTTTTTCGCCAACAACGAAGCCCCGACATCGAAATTTGCCAGTACATTCCAAACGAGGGTCAATAGCGAACCGCCACCGCCTGGTCATAAAGCTCAACGCACTGTCGGAGATCTCAAGAAACTGGACCTGAACCGCTTTGTAAAGAGGAAATCATATCTGTTAGCGTGTGATGCGGCAGGATGGAATCCCGATCGAATGCCGGATAACGAGGTACGCGTGCCGTACGCCCTAGGGGCGTATCGCATTAACCGCACAGGATGTATGATCGATCCGATTACGGGAGAGAAACGGATGAAAGAGACAGAGCTCGTTAAACATGCAAGGTCTGCAGGCGTCTCTGAGGAGATGTTGACCACATGGGCCACATCTGCGTTTAAAAAAATTGAAAAATATAATAGACTCCCTAAACCTTTCGCGGGCGAAAGCGTCCGGGAGGGCTACTCGCCAATGCTCTTTCCCGGGCAACCCAACGAACCGACGCTGCAATGCATAGATATGCTCTCCCTAGTACTCGCGGACTTTACTACTGACATACATGGTCTTGTGCTACTCTCGGGCATTAACTTTCGTCGCGGTCGTGATCCAGTGTCTAGGACAGTTCCATAAATTCGAGGACGCACTGAAAAAGCTACGGAACCCTCTATACGTGCATGCCTATGAAATCGACCCGAGATGGCGGCAGCAGAAGCGAGTTGGCCTTGGGTTTCTCGCCCTCGAGCAACGAAACGAGGAATGCCTACGCGTCATGGCGGAAGAAATGCAGAACCCGAGAGTTGGAACCGCGATCTATTGGGACGGCTTGGATGATCACGAGAAGACTTTGGAACGCGGTAAGAGAAGATGGGAGAAGAGGAGAGACAAGCCAGACTCGCATCTCTGTGCGGTAATGTGATTTAAGAACGTATTTGTTTGGCTTACGGTTCACTTTGTGAGTTTGGATTTAGATGTGGGTTCGTGTTTCTTTCGGCGGGTTGGGCTCGTCGGTAGCGAAGCTTGGCTATGTCTAGGATAATGTTTGGTACACCTACCTGGGCGGGTGGCAATCAAGGGCCTCGAAAAAAGTTGCTAGATTCTTAATGAACTCATCTATACAGTTTCGATAACAATCCGGCGATCATTCGCAGAGGAGCGGTTGGAAAGACGAGGAGTTGAAGGGTGGGGCAAGAGGGTTTTATCGTAGACTCACGGCTTGATAGCTTCTTCTCTGCCTATATGAATATTCGCAGTGTCGTTCTCGTTATCGAGAATTGAAGGTGAGTGTGGATAACCCCGCTGATGCATTCCTTGCTTTGTGGTCAATAGTTAACACTCAACGTTCCTTTAATACTTGGGTTTCCCCGGGCGCGTTTCATTCCGGCACCACGATGGCCATCTCACGGGCTCCGCCGTCGATTATATTATTGGCCCTATACACCGAGGGGCTGGTGTCGCCTATTAAGCGATTATTCGCAAAAGCTATTCCGCATATTCACATCGCCGTCGCTAGCACACGAACATCTTTAGTCACTCACATTCTACCTATCCTCTGTTGTCCCTATAGTATCCTGGAACGAAGAAGCGGCTTCATATCTAGTAATCCGTATCCTATCAATTCAATTTCATAAATTACCCCGCTTACTTCCGCAAATCGAACCAATTGAGGATAGTATAGTCGTATTCCGCCCCGTAGCAGTTTTATTTCCAATAATTATTACTCAATTCTTCCCTCTTTCATTAGATATTTACAGAGGTCCCAGCCCTAATTTGACACCGCTTTCCAGCGCCTTATTCGCCCTTCCCAAATCCCATCAGCATCGTTTGAGCCCCCATTTACAATGAGCGGCCTAGAAATTATCGGAGTTGTTTCCGCAGTCATTCCATTCCTTATCAGTGCCGGTGGAGTTAATGTCTCTACCTCGACGTTAAACTGGCTCTATACCAAAGTTACTCGCACCCATCGTATATATCGCAAAGATGGCCTGGTCGCGGTTCTGCTGCTCAACTTACTTCCAGGAGCCTCGTCGGCGATAGATCGAATAGATAAAATTATATCAGATACCGGTACGGATGCGAGGCTGTCCGAATTCCGGCAATCTCTCAGCTCGAGCATGAATATGGTTGCAGTAGCTGTGAGATCCCCCCAAACCAATCATTCCCATACTCAATCATGTTTAATGTCTTTATTCTTTACAGGGCGCCATAATTGCTCAGGTTGCTATTACAGGGTTGTCGCTTGAAGGTATTGACCAAGCCCATTGGACTGCCGCTGCTTTCCTTGTCGCCAGCCTCATTTTCGGGGCTATATCGGTTTATGCTTGCTTCATTGTCCAACAGGAAGTAAATGGCTTGCTGGGAACTGACGGTCTCTTGGATTGGCTCTCTCGGCCGTTGACCGAGGAACAGGTCAACGAAAAATTACAAATGATATTGGAATATCTTAACTCCCTACAAGGCCATCCTCCGCCTGGAGATCCACCACCACGAAATCAAGCGGCCCCGCTACCCGAACTTGATTTTGTCGATCCACTAGATCGAGAAGCTTCCGCGTTGGCGGCTATCGTTGTAGCGGCACCATCCGGCCTTCTTGGATTATCACTCAATTGTTTTGTCTTTGGCTTTGGTATATATCTCGGGGGTGTATATTCTAACAACTTGATTCCCGGCTTTGGGCGGGGCGGGTCACTTGGCATCTTGATATTCTACATTATCGCAGCAGCAACGAGTACGTTTCTATATACGTTTCCTCGAGTTTTGAAGACTTCGGAGAGATATGGTACCGAGAGAACTGGGGATTCCCGTGTTCGATTAGAGGAAGCGAGCCGTACGTTGCGGAATCACGAGGCTCTTATGGCCAGGCGCAATGAGCAATTGCTGAACGTTCATCCCTGAGCGGTGACTCAGTCGTTGGATATCGTAGCACAAAACAATATTTGGATACGCTCTGAACTAAGTTCCATTGAACGGACCACCCAATGGGCTAAATATGGGCCGATATACCATAGCATTCGCAGACTAGAATCCCTCAGAGCTCGATCCTGGTCCCAACCCCCTCCCCCCAAAAGTTACTTGACGCGAGTTAATCTCGAAACTACCAACCCCACAAGCTACTGCGTTTTATCGGCGTGATTCCGCGTTCCTTGGATTTAGGAATTCTTGTTCTTGGCGGAAGTGGCCTCGCTTTCACTCTCTCCTCCCCTAAACAACCAAGCCAATCCAGCCCCTGGACCCGCAACCGCTACAATCCCCAGAAATGTAGGTAGGGAAACGCTCCTAGAGGACTTCGCAGTAGTAACTTTCTCGACAGATAGCGTGTAGAAGCCGAGAGCAAGTACAGATAGGGTAAGCGCCGTGTAGCCGAATTGGATGAAAACCAGGAGAACATCAACGAAGATAGTTGGACCCTCATGAATACTCCAGGGGTTAGGTAGGTAAGTCCCGCTAAATGTTAGATTAGGGGAGCTGAAGATCCACGCAGAAACACTGAGGTGGGCTAACGAGCTGACCGCGCCGACGAGGTTGTAGGCAGCGCCAATGGGGTTTGTAGAGCCTTTATAGGAAAGTCCGCTGGAGGCGATGAGGCTACTGGCTATACGCTGGAAGAGGCCGACGGAAAGCGGGCCCCAGAACCAGAGGAGCAAGCCGTCCTGAATTCGGAACGGATGTGCACCTAACAAGGTGGGGAACAGCAGAGCGGAGGCGAGAAGTAGGTTCCAGATTGTAGTGAATGGTATAGCCTGAGCCTCATTTCGAGGCAGCTTTGGGCCAGTTTGAGGCTGCTTCTTAATGTACAGGCTGAAGTAGGTGGGGAGAACTGAGGCTGCACCAAAATAGTTTCGCATAAGCGACCAAAATGCTGAACTATCGCACACAAAATTGTTAGCATCGCGACGTATGGGTCAAATGAATTATCGATGATTAGAAATGTATATTATATTGTTAGATAGTTTCTTACTTTCTGAGTGGTCCCGTCTTGTCTCGTCGGCTCTCCGTTAGGATTACCGTGTCCCAGACGGCGAGAGAGAAGACCAGATCGAAGAGTAGCAGAAACGGCGTAGGGTCATGGTGAACGTCGAGAAAGGCCGCGAAGGTCACTGAGATGTATCGGAGCACGAAGTCAATGGGCTCTATACCGGTCCAAGTTAACTTAAGAACTCCGCCGTTAGCTAAGACGCCTGCCTTCGTCGCCTCTACCGATACGGCAAACGCCGTTGTTGCTAACAGTGGAGTCCATTGGCAAAGCAAGCCGAGACCAGCTAGAGGGAGGAACAAATAGTCGGGTTCTAATAGCCATTTAGACGAGGATTTGTTCGTTTTCGCCATGGTGATCTCCGAGAGGGGTGTATTACTTGTTACTGTGAGGCAAAAGCTGGGACTGCTGGATATTTGAGAGTTGGGAAACCTGAGCGGAACTATTCATTATTTATTATACAAATCAGTAAACTACATTACCTAGGTATCAACATGGTGAGTCACTCGGCCAAAAACGACGAAGCACATGAAGTGGAGATACGCTTGTAAAAGGACGTCTCCTTAACCAGCAGACGTTTACGATCATGGTATCGTACAACGCGTTTCATTCGCGTTAATGGTCGTTGATTAGGTAACATCCACTTTTTCTAGAAGTTGTTGGTTCAACGCGAAATTCAGCTTTGGAATTATTATTCCCAAATAGGGTAAGTACGGTTGCGGATCGTAGTGGAATGTGTGGCTTCGGAGGGTCAAAACACTCCTAGTACCCGAACCAATTGTCGATGCCCTTTACTCATCTGGGGGATTGGCACTAGGATAGCTGTACTACCTGTGCCGTATGTGAGAAAATCGGGTGAATTCTTACAAATTCGACCCCGGCGGTAATGGTCTGAGTGACTGAACACATCTCAACTTTGAAGTTACAGAAATTATTGTTCCGTACTTCGTCTATCCCGCACCATTAACCCGGACGTTGACATCCGAAACCACTACGAATACGGCATTAGTAACGATGATCTGGGCCAGTTCCACGGCGTCCATGGTGGGGATCGCTGCAGTTCTCCTGTTGTGCCATGTACATCACTTTAACTCCGCACTATGCTTCTTTGCTAACTTGCAAGGTGTTCACTATCTGTGTCTATCGCCTAGTATTTCATCCCTTGAAAGATTATCCTGGACCATGGATTGCGAAAGTAACGGATCTCTACGGTGTTTTCATCGCCCTTGGTACGAAAGAGCACTTTGTTACCAGGGAGAATCATCTTAAATATGGTGGGTTATGGTGCCCCAGTCGATGTGACTGAAGTGTCTAACCGTGCCAGGTCCTGTGATAAGACAAGGCCCTAATAGGCTTGTTTTTAACTCCGCCAAGGCTCTACATGGTAAGAACCGAATCATATTGCCATTAGGGAAACCCTCTCAAAACAAAGTGCTAATGAAGATAAAGACATTTACAACAATGATAGAATCGTCGGAGGCCACCGCACGCCTTGCGAGAGCCACCAATGTCTGGAATGCTGCCGATAAGCGGCTACACCGGTCTAGGCGGAGACTTGTCGGCGAGACCGTATCAGAACGCTCAATGCGACGATTTGAACCCGTCATGACTGAGCAGATTGACATATTCATCAAGCAGATTCTCGATTCAGCTCGAAGTCCTAATGTAGAGACGAATATTGTAAATATGACACATAGGATTAAACGACTTAGTTTTGATATTGTTAGCCGGCTCGCTTTTGGATATCCTCTAGATTCACAAACAAAACAAACTTATAGGTTTATTATGGAAGCCTTGAATGCTGGTACTCAAATAAATGTGAGTAACTTAGCGGACATCACATCTCTACTCCTAGTTAGTGCAGAGGCTTCTTTCTATCGATTTTCTCCGTTGTTTATGATATCCAAAATAACTACTAATCCTAGCCCTTGTCAAAGTACGTGTCTCTACAACTTCCGTCAATTGCACTGCTCCAACCATTCCTTTTCGCAGGCATCTTTAACTATGGTAGATTAAGAGACTACCACGAAATGGTTACCAAAATGATATCTTCCCGTCTTTCTAAAGATGTAAAGTCGATTCACGACCTCTACTCAGTTATCGCAAATGAGATAGATACCGAAACAGACGACGAAATCGGATCTAATGATTTATGGGCGGAAGCCGTATTCTTTTTCCCAGCAGGTCCGCCATACCACTATTCTTTTACTTCACAAGACATTGCTAACATTACTTAGGCGGTGACACGGTTTCCACTGGTCTTTGCGCACTATTATTCTATCTATCTCGAAACCCAGAAAGCTACGAAAAGCTCGCCAAAGAAATTCGCACCGCATTCACGAATGCAGACGAGATTCAAGGCGGTCAGAAACTTACTGGTTGCCGATACCTCCGCGCCTGCATTGACGAGGCACTCCGATTGTCTCCACCCCTAGCAGGTGCATTATGGCGGGAATTGCCAGTGTCCGACAAGGAAACCGAACCACTAATCGTAGACGGACATGTAATCCCCCCTGGAACCCAAATAGGTGTAAGCACATACACTCTACATCACAACGAAGATTACTTTCCAGACCCATTCGCCTTCCAACCAGAACGCTGGCTTGCCTTGGAAGACGAAACTGAGAGGAAGCAAGCCCACAATGCTTTTGCGGCATTTTCTCTCGGTTCCCGTGGTTGCGCGGGGAAAGCAATGGCTTACTTGGAGTCTAGCTTGGTGGTGGCTAAGACATTGTGGTACTTCGACTTTGAGAGTGCACCGGGAAGCCTGGGCAAAGTTGGTACGACGCCAAACGCCACTGGCGCTGATGAGTTTCAGCTCTTGAATGTTTTCACGTCATCACACGATGGCCCTAACCTGATATTCCATCCTCGAGGTGACTCCTGGAGAGAACTTCAAGCGTGATACAAACATACCGCATTTTACTCATCATGATTCCGGTGCGCATGAATCCATTTGAGGATGGCTCAATGCTGACCACCATTATCGATGTCTTTTTAGGGATTTTGTTCTATTAAGGAGGTATATATAAGGGCTTACTATGGATCGTCAAAAGGGAATGGTTGGGGTTTTACGGGACTACACGGAAGGGATATCAGGTTAAAGAAAACATATACGGGTTTCTAGGCTGAAGACTGCAATGTCCTGGGCGGTACTTGCATAAGTTTTGAGCACACAGTGTCTAAGTACACGAGACCATCCTTTCGAAATACATATGTAACTTAAGTCCTGCTCAATCTGATACTTCTTTAATGTCGGCACAGCCAGTAAGCGCGCTACGCATGGGGAATTGGGTTGGACACCCAGGATCCTTAGCAATTTAGGTCGTCATATAGGGTTATAACCCCTGATTACCAAAGTTGCTGGAAATGTATTTTCTATTGGACCTCAGTTGTCAACGGAGTGAAAGCCATGTCGACAAGCCCAAATACATCTTCTCTTAACTTACGCTATGCTTAGGCGCTTTGCCAATGGGACCCCAGATTGCTCGCTCAACTAGCCATTCCAACCTTCCGGTCACCTTATCCACTTTTGCAAACATGAAGTTCTCAAATTCACTATCCACGCCGCCAACCATGATTGTACCACCCATGCGAGCAGCAAGCTGGTCGCCGTCACAGAGAAACTCATGCCTATCGTAGAGGGGTACCATGTTAGTATCAAAAAATACAAACCTGAAAAAATGCAACTTACACGACAGGCTTGTGCTCAGCGCCCTTACCGTGCCGCTCGGCAATTTCCTTGACAGAACCGCCATAGTCTAAGCGGTTGCCATTCATAACATTGTAGTAAGTGGGAGTCTGTACAGACTCCGCGTATGCTGCAGAATCTTCGAGACTGCCCGTAAGAGACCATTCCATAGCACGCTAGAAGTCTTCACGCGAAGAATTAATTCAGACATACCTAAGTAGTGAGGCAGGCTATCTGTTCTCAGATTCCAAAAACAATTGGGGTTTTTATCGCTTCTATTTGCGATCGGAAACCCATTGGTGACTTGGAAGGTAAGAGTCCCAACATGCTTCTACCTACATTTACCTATACATACTTCACAGGGAGACTGAGGTATAACACACAAAGCGGTTAGGTACCTACTTTCTGCCCCGCATTGTATCACCCCAACTCACTACGTCGTCTCTTTCGTTGGTGCAGTCCAGGGTAGTCCCTGGAACAGGAATTTTCATCAACATCGGCAATGAAGTCATTTCGCATCGCATATCCAACTTCTTACCCATATTGGACAGTCGTTGGGTACATGTCGGCAGAACATGTAGCTAAAATGCTGACATAAAGCTCATTGCTTGTCGATTGCGGGCGAGATACATAATGGGAAATTAAGAGGACTGCATCTGCAGATGGAAACTGGGGCGTTATACGCTAAGGATGTTTGCGCGGACTCAAAGGCTACGTCCTTGCAAAGTTGGCATTTCGTTTTCGATCATCTTGGTTCTTTACTTTACTGGTCCGTTTTGATATCTCCTCAGGTAAGCTATCCGCACAAAAAGCTTAGGTAGGTCTCCTCTGCCTAGGCGGCGTTTCAAGATTGGTAGCTGGCGAGAGTAATCACTTAGATAAGTAAAAATCGCTCATATAACGCAAACGTACCTAAGCCGTTGACGATTAACAATGTGGCAATTCCCGATGAGTGCCTTGTAATATCTTTCTCAATTCAAGGACCAATGCCATAGAAGCCATCTGCGTCATACTAGCACGCTGGATGTCCGTCATTCGATTCTCGTGACCCATAGCAGGGGTTTGTCTGCAGCCCGGCTCCTACCCTAGTAGCTGAGTAGCGGTCTAAGCTACGTTGCCTGCTAAAGACTGTGCGTTTTTAAAGTTGTACTCCCCTCAAACGATCAAGATCTATAGAGCGATCTATTATTAGATTTTAAAAATAGTTTCATCTTGTCATAAAGTCAGGCATTAGAGAGTCGTTTCATAAGCTTAGATGAAGATCTAACTTTTCGTTTAAACATATCTAGAGATGGAATTCTCTTGGTTTTCTAGAACTTCTCGGCTAGCGTTGAGACTAACCAATCCTTCAAGATCGGTCCACGTCTAAAAGAGACGATACGGGTGCGATTCAACACCATATCATAGCCTCAACTAGGAAACAGATAGCGCTCGATCATATCACGAGATTGAGAACTAAACAGGAAGACCCGGTCCCGAGAAGAATAAAAAAGCAAGGTCGCTAATGACAAGGTATTAGATCGCGACAGCTCCATAGCATTCAGTAATTAAGCAGGTGGACTCGGCCGTTTCAGCTTATATCCTGCCACTCACCGTTTCGCCTCGTGTAAGGATCCTGAATCCTTCGAAACAGGATGTCAAATCAAATCCCATAGCAAAATGCGGTATAGCCTAAGTTGAGCAAGCTGACGTTATTTCATTTATCCCCGCCCACGATTTGAAATTCAATTAAAATGTTTTCGCCTCTATTTCGACAATGCGAGTTATCGCCATCCACACAATACCCGGCGGGGTAATTGGCATAGACATAGGTATTTGATTCTCCAGTGTCGTGATTCCGAGTTGGCCGTCAATGAGGACAAGCGTTGTCGATTAGTCGGTTCACATAAGAGGCTCGAATTATCGCCCCGAACAAATTAAAACCCATCACATTGTGGATGCCATATCGAGTTCGGTTTGCGATGTTGTTGGTTCAGTCTCACGTGTTAATGGAGCTGGTGATTGGGTTTAATAGGGCTGTAATACACCTGTCCACGCATATGTATGCACACATCATGCCCAATCTAGGAGGAGAATGAGGAGTAGGGGCAGATCCGAACCAATATCCTCTCTGTAGAAGATAATAACAGTGCGCGGAACGTGGCGGCCATCGATTTAAATACTACCTTCTTCATCGTCGGGCCCTATGGTTGGTTCACTTAGGTCGCAGATAACTACAACAAGATCCTTCGCAATATGTTCTAACCGTCTTCGATTTTAGTACATCATCTAGCTCGTGGCTCACGGACTTGACTCTACGACTGCCAGATGAAGTGCATGCTCCAATGTAACCCTCCACCGGAGAGCATTTACGTGGTTTGGGAATAACGGGAAGAGTTTGGCAGGTCGGTCATGCTGACCGATCCTACGCACCCACTAACGTCCTCCAGTGAGCCTCTAGCACCAAAATGTGGTATAAAAAGGCACAGAGTACCTGCCAATAGTACTGCGTCATGTCACCCTCCTAATTCTCAGCTGCTCCATAATGCTGATTCTGAGCAAATGCCCTTTTAGGAATTTGATCCACTACCACGCTGTTTGCCATGCATGTCAGCGCGCCGGCCACGCATCCTGCCTAATGTAGTAATTCTTCAGTATACGACTTCAGTCATGTCGTTGGGTATAGATAGAGTTCTTACCCACGCGTTCGCGCTCTTGTGCGTCCTTGAAAAGGTCTCCCGTTTTCCAAAGCCACTTGTCCACCGGCCCGACTGCAATTAGCCATTTTTATTCCCATCTCGGCCTGGATGTGGTACAAGCGACGGCGGAGGAGAATCTTCGGTGGGAAAGAAGTCACGTAATGGCGGATCTTTCATCATTGACCTCGGCCGAGCTGGACCAATATCTCGATAAGCCGGCCCTCGACCCGCCCGATAATATTATCCCAAACTTCGACGATCCGCCGAATAAGAATTACGCTGCTAAAGTCCTATTGCCTTTATGTTTAGCGATAACAACGATAGCGATACTATTTCGAGTTTATGCAAAATTATTCTGTGTGAAGAAATTTGAATTTCCCGATAGTGAGTGACTAGTGTATGATAGTGACTAAACGATGCCTCCTATTCTAACGTTCATTTATTAGTTTTAATGTTAATTGGCTTTGGTTGCTATGTAACGGATATTTATTTCGGTTATCGCCTGCTGGGCAATACAGGCGTTTTTGTGCATCAATGGGACATCCGTTGGAAGGATATGGCGGATGCCATCTTTCCTATCTTCATCAGTGGGAGCTTTTATATCGGAGTCATCATGACCATAAAGGCTGCCATTCTTTTGGATTGGATCCAGGTGTTCATCCCATATGGAATTCGGGATCGTTTTTTCTGGCTCTGTTACGGCGTGCTGGGCGCGAATACCGTTTTCTATATCATACACCTATTTCTCATGAATTTCGCCTGTACACCGGTTGAGAAAAATTGGAATCCCCTATTCGATGGCGGCTCCTGTCATATTGACATTCAGGTCTTCAAAATTGCGACAGCTACTGTCAATCTATTTTCGGACATCATCATGTTCCTTCTGCCACAGCAAGTCATCTGGAACCTAAAATTGCCAACGAGGACGAAAACCGGTGTAATCGTCATTTGCGCATTCGGTCTATTGTACGTTTCGCTCTTCGCCTCCTTTTCTTGTTTGTATTAGTACCTATGGCATTTGTATGGCTAACCGGAGGAATGTAACAGGTGCTGTATCGCAGCTGGCTTCCGCCTAGGCTCAGAAGTCAAGTACACCAGATCGGACGATCAGTTCTACCATACAACGCCTATCTTGCTTTGGGCGCTCGTAGAAATTACATGCCTGTTTGTAGTTTTCGGCGTTCCTAGTCTAGCTAGGATACTGACTGACGTCCACCTCCCAACCTCATTCGGCTCACCACTTTTATCAGTCGACGACCGGTTTACTCGACGGCCCCTTTCTAAGATCAGCAAGATAAGTAGTCTTCGCTCGTCGCCATGGGCCGGTTCCGGCATGATTATCAAGCATACCCGGGGACCTTCATCCCACACATTTTATCGCAAGATCAATAATGGCCGTGGAGGCATGATGTTGACGACAATTGACTCTTCACGTGGCCCAGCGGTGTCGGATTCGATGGAAGGATTGAGGGATGAAACCCTGCAGCACGGTATCACCAGACCCGAAGCCGGCGTGATAATACGAACGACGCAGTTCGTGAGGCGTGAAGAATTTGGAAACTATGAGCGTAGTCTCTCAGACCACAGCGCATATGACCGCCAACATCCATGGGCAAAGGATCGCATATAGAGGTTATATAGAATACATACCATTCTCTCCTCGCGGAGTAGTTAATGAATCTGATACCAACTTTTAACAATTATCTATTCTTAATTTTCCCCACTTTATCATATCGCTGCAAATATCTTCGAAGAAAATGGGTACAGGATTGCGTACAAGGTGTCGCCATCCCTTTCCTTGAATTTTAATATATTAGGATCCCGAAAAGGGGCTAGGGTTATAAGACTAAGGTTATGATGAAAATTTAGGGTCGTTGTACTTAGAATTTCTAATCACTCCGCAACATCTTCATGAATAATAATAGTGAAATAATCTAGCTCGTTCTAAGTTATAGGTATTTAGAAAGGCTAAATTCGCGCATATTTATTTCTAAAATAGAATAAGAATTGCAAATGTTATTGAAGTGTAATTAATCCGTGTTAAAAATAGGAGGCGAGTTACCCCTCATTACGGGTACCTAGACCCCTATATTTTAATGTTTGGTAGGGCACCACTAGTGTGTGGGGTACGCTATAAAGACTACCTAGGTATTGCGACCATCACCACCAACTTCCAAGGTTACAAGTCAAGTCATTCCAGTTTATTATTCTGCTATAGACCACGACTTGACATATTGCTCGTGCTAACTTCTGTTCCTATCATGAGAATACCAGAACTTATGAAGATCCACGTAGGCTGTGAGGATGAAAGGGAACTCAAACCTCCAATCCATTCAGAGCTTCCGTAACGGTCTTGCCGTCATTCCACTTAGCATATAAGTCCTCAGGCAGCATTTTCTTCCGATGTACTTCCCGCACAACCAACTTGTCCCGCGTCGGGTCATATTTGAGCACAACGCTTCCATTGCGACTTCTCGCTAGGCTCATAATCTTGCGAATTAGCGCCACAAGGCGTCTAAGGTGTATCTGATTGTCCAATTCCCATCTTTTGACCTGAGCGGATACATCCTCCACCACTGGCGGCCGAAATACTCCTCGTTGGTGATAAGCCCGGACGAGTCTTGGGGTCTGGGAAGCCCAAAGCTGTGGTGCGACTTCGCGGATCTCAATCGGTTTATGGGAGACGCGAGTCTTGATTTCGAGAGTTGAGCCTTGAGTAACCATCTGACCATTTTCTTTAATGGTCAATTTGGATCCCTTCGGATCGACGGCAGGAGGTTTGGAAGATGGCCCTAGGGATAAGGACTCTAGTATGCTGGATAAATCCGCGGGTGCCTGTCCTTTGCTACTGGAAGACGGCATGCTATTGGTACCTACGTACCCATCCGTCTCATAGCGCACAATGAGGTTCAAGCCACCAAAGCTATATGAGATTATTCGATGATGGCCAGTACTGTCTTTGACCTTGTCGGTTGTATACGCTTTTTCGAATTCGTGACCAAAGCCCCTGAACTCGTGTGGACGAATGATCTCCTGAGTTTTGGCCTCATCGCGAGAGAATATGACGGTATTCCCCACGGTTTCCACGCCGATGGTGAATTCTTCAAGGCCATTCTTCGACATACTGGGTTCGATGAAACTAAGGAGTTTGCGGATGTTGTTCCGATCAGTCACAACATCGATAGAGTTGATGTCGAACGAGGGATTCGTGATATATAGAGCACGAAATAATGGCTCCAGTGGACTATCTGGGTGACGAGCCGCATTCTGTGCAATGTATATGAGTCCGGAATCTTGCTTCAACTTCTGAGCAGTTTTAGGAGCGGCCCAAAGTGCCGGACTGCCGGGAACGGCAATAGTTGGTGTAGGGGCTTCGATCCAATTATAAGAGGACAAATGCTTGGCGTTTGAGATCGACGCAGTAGTCGGGGCATCAGGTAAGCTACGGAGATCTGACCGAGAGATCTCGGCGATAGCAGTGGATGACATTTTTGAAGATATAGGGGTAGTCATTCCGCTTGTGGTTCACAACCAGAAAAAGGTTGAAGGGAAAAGGAAGAGTCGTAGGAAAAGGGCGCAAAGCCTCGCTCAAAGTACTTATGGCGATAGCCTGACTTATCTGGACTGAGTGTAATGTATTCGTATGGTCGCACTACATAGACCTCTGTCCAGTCCTGGGCTGTCGCGCCAACGCGCAAAACTCTACAAGGCGCATACCCCCAATAAGCACAGACAACGATGCGGGGAATTACACCAACGGCCTTGACCGAGACGGCACGCTGCATTTCGAATATATGAGATATGATGAGCGAGCCATGACAGAAGCAACAATATCCACGCCCCTACGGATCACTACCGAGTGGGTAATCTACGACGAGTCCGCCCGCTTCTTGGTGGTAGCTTTGAATCCCTGTTTCAATTTCATCATCGATAAAGAAAAGGAGGCAGCCACTCGAAAGGAGAATTCGACACGTCCTGCATCACAGGCCGCAGCCCGGCCTCCGAAGTTCTTAACAGCTCTCGTTAGGCACACCCCACAGGTATGTGGAAGAAACGGACCTGGTTGGGTTCTAAGGAGGTACGCAACACAATTAGGTAGTGCTAGACGAGATTTCCGATCCTACTTGTTTCATCAGGCGCAAAACGATCGTGATTTACCACTCAATTTTTAATATTGCAAATGGGAAATAGACGCTCTATTCCTGGGGAGGTTATCACATTGCTAGTAGCCCTTATGAGATCTTACCCCTGGATCCTACCTACGTCCTTTCAACTACAAGCCCACCAAGCATCCGTCATCATATAAAAACATTATATATTATTCCAAAAGTTTAATATCCCCATACCATCATCGTCATCGTCGCATTTGCCATCAATAACACCAATTTAATAGTAAATAGGGTTTTCCGGATCTGAAAGATCGAACACCACGGAAGAGTGGGGCTTGGCACCGCCCCTGTTCGCGAATTCGCGGGGGAAATCTATGCTGCGGTTAAAGCTCAATGATCCATCGTCAAGGATATCGATGTAAAGCGCCTTGAAATCGGCTGGAGTGTTGATGAGGCCGATTTCACCGGTCTGCACGAAGTAGTCCGTAACCACGATATGCTTCTGATCCGGCGTAATCTTGATATAGTGGGGACCAATTGTGGGCTGGTCCTCGTCGGGGTCATCGAGTCGCTTCACGTTATCCAAGTCTGAAATGTCGAGAGCCGCGATGTGGTCCGCCGTGGTTAGCGTGAAATAGGCGAATTTGCCATCTGCCGAGATATCGGAGCTGGAAACATTGATTAGTTCTCTATTCTGAATAGCATGTAGGGCATTATGAATGACATGGGTTCAACTTACTAAATAGCAGTGGTGTCACGAGCTTTGGGACCCAAGTCGTATAATAGCTTCGCAACTCCCTGCTTGCCGTTGCTATCCTTACGGAAGGGATAAATGATCCACACTTGGCCCAAATGCACGGCGGTCGCAAGAGCTGCTGTCTCAGGGTTACCGGGAATGAACTTGACATCTTGAATACCGCCTCCCTATAACCATTGTTAGTAAGAACATTGAAATGCATATAATTAGGCACATACATCCGGAATTTCAATTGTGCTAATGATTTCTCGCGAGGGAAGGTCCCATAGTCGCAGGGTATTTCCTCTCTGAATACCTAAGCTGGGCTTCAAGATACTGAGCGGAATAACGTAGTCGGATGTCAAAATGACATTCTTGTCAAAGTCAATGGTCAATCCGTGCGGAGAGAATTGTTCCCCAAGGATATTGAGGACACCATCCACACTCTCAGGCCATTCGTGAATGATGTTGAATTCGGCATCCGTTTCAACGAGGCGACCGGGTGAAGTGCCGAGAGCAGCTAGGGTCGGGGTTAGCATTTGTTTTGCTACAACCAGGAATATACAAAGTGTAAACTTACATCCCATGTACGTGATGAAGAATCCTCTGATGATAACTGTTAGGAGGCTTTGTCACTGCTGGGTGGGGCGACTTACCCATCGGGCTTGGCACGAATCTCATCAACGATAGACGAAAGAATACCACGGTTACTCTTCTTGAAAGTTGGACGGTACGGGTCTGAAACATCGAAGTAGAAGGCGGTGTCTTGGGTCTTCAGTAAGGACAATAATCCGCCACCAATGAGAGTCTTCCCATCATGTGAAGGGCCAAGGTGGTGGGGACTATTGCCACTTGATGGGACATCAGTAACCCAGAGCAGGGTTCCGAAAGTGTCCTATTCAATGTAAGTGGCCAGAAATATTTTGACGTAGATGTCAACTTACGTCGTCAAGACTATAGGTAGCCAAGAAATCTATGAAGCGTTGGTAAGCGTTGGTACACTTTGGTACTTTACGTTTAATAGATGTATACTAACCCTTATGTTGATTGTCTCCCGCGGCTGTCCAGAAATAGCCTATCTTCTTGGGTTTAATATTGCTAGCCTCGAAGGGAGGACTTTCCAGCGGTGGCGTTGGGATTTGCAAGATAGGAAGAGGAGGGGCGAGAGTACTCAAGGGCTCGGTAACTCCAGGAATGAGGGGGATCAGCGGTGGTAAGGAGAGAGCCAATGCCGACGGCGCGAAGAGGAATGCTGCTAGTAACGCAGCCGCGGAAGAAGCCATTTTGTTCCTGAGGGCCCAAGCCTGAATCTCTTCAAAATAGTTGGGTGCTCGTGGAGAGTTAAGTAGGGTCACATAGAAGGGAGTTATGTGACTTTTTATACTTCAACTCGTCTTATAAGCCCAACCTGTCTCTAGGTAAGCACCAACTGTTGTCCCTCCTCAACCATCGCTTCTCATCGCTTATCGCGAACCCCTCTCATCCATCATATGCCACGCCCTCTCCAACAAGATGCCGTCGATCAAAATCTCACCTTGATGTTGCCATTCCTCACCTCAATAGCATCATGAAGCTCTAGATCGTGATATTATCCCAATATCGACCGCAGAAGCTGAACTTCCTAGGAGTATCGATGTCATGAAGTAATCAACTACTTCTTATGAGGTCAAGCCCATTCACAGGAACGGCAAAGTCAGAAGTCTCTATAGCCGTATGTAGGCCTGATCAGCATCTTGCATACTCCTCATATCCTTTCCCAGGACTTTGGTATAGCAATAGTCTACCAAAATGGGACAATGAGCATGGATATATGTCAAACTAGGCCATAGACTGCATGAACCAACATTATGATTGCCTGGTAAAGGACAAGTCGTGCAGCGCCAAGCTAACAAGTCCAATAGTCGAGTCACAACTGCCGGGTCTTCGGGTCTCTTAAGGCTAGCAAGGGTGTGGTCGCCGACTTATAGCATGTCTCGGGTAAGGAGAGGCTGAATGACCTCATCGTTGAAGCCATACCCGAGCACTGTTATCATTGCCCATTCTCGCCCATTAGCCCTCTTGTCTGCGCTCAAAATGAGTAGGCAGTCGTGTAGGTACTCGCTCATAGGGGTGGGTGCGCCTATAGCTTCTCTCGTTGATAGCAAAATATGGCGGTAAAGTAAATATTTTCCGTAGCAGAATCACTAATTAACATGTATTCGTGCGTGCCTTGCATTAGTCGAGTAAACCGTCGTGGTCTAACATGATAAGCAGTAGTCTCTACTAAGGTAGTCATTAATAATGATGGTCCATGCGTGATTAACAGGTCGACTACCTAAGTATCGGTCTAGACAAGGATACATACCTGAGAGACGGGTAACTTTCAGACGAAAGTTCCCATTTTAACATAATACATCAATAAGCGGGCACTCAATCCCGTTTTTAGTCCAACGACGAGCCCGGCCCCCGGTAATTGCGACGACCCCTGCGCGTCGCAGAAACAGGGACGCCATATGGCGCAAGAGGTCATTACAAACATCTTATCCGTGATGAGCGTAAATAGTTCGAGATATGCTTCCTTCTGCTGTAACCTTGGAGTATGGCTCATCAAACTATGCAGCATTTATTTCCCGTTGTGAGTGTTTGCCAAGAGATGACGTTATTTTAATATGGATGGTGTGTTTAGGAGCGCGGCTGATTATAGGCCCCCGCACATGAGAGTGAGCAACGTCGCGCGGAAATCTATTCAACTTCATCAATATGTCCGGGGTCGACCTTGCTTGGCATCTCTCGTTTCTGTATGTGGGTTGGATTGTCGCAACGCTTGTGATCTTCGTCATGCTGGCAAACCATGGATAGAGATGTGAGCCGAAGCTCTGGATATTGCGTGCCTGGATCCAGCCGGATGCAGATCCGTATATTAAAAAGTATATAAGCCTTTAAGCTTATAGTTTATCCTCTCTTCATGCCATCCTGAACCGTATTCGCCCCTTTTTGCTTCTGTAGTGATTGCCTCTCGTTGGTTGCCAAAATGCGGGCTCTTCAATTCTCGTCCGTGTTTCTTGCTGTATTCGGTGCCAGTGGCTCTGTCATAGAGCGTCAAAGTCAAGGCGGTGGCTTTGGCGACGGTCAACCGATCGATGGCAATGGCAAGGGTGCTCCGTTGTCTGGTATGATGCGTGCCTATCAATCGCCATCATCATTAAGTGTTGATGCTAACCAAACGCTGTATAGGTGGCACAAACCACGAACTAGATCTCCAGAACCCAGATAATCTAGGTCAGCAGAGCACCGACAATGGTGTTGTTCCCAACATCAAATGGAGTTTCTCAGACTCTAAGACGAGAATCTTAAGAGGTGGTTGGGTCCGCGAGCAAGTTGTCACGGATCTCCCTACCAGCAAGGAAATAGCATCCGCGCAGCAGCATTTAACCAAAGGCTCAATCCGTGAGCTTCATTGGCACAAAGTGGTATGTTATAATTGAGCCGTATATAAGCGTATCGCTAATATGATTACCAAAGGCTGAATGGGGATATTTGTACGCTGGGTCGATCTTGGTGTCTGGCGTTGACCAAGATGGCACGTACCAAGCTGTCAAGCTTGAAGAGGGAGACATCTGGTACTTTCCCAAAGGTGAAGCTCACACAGTCCAAGGCCTTGACGATGAGAATGAATTCCTCTTGATTTTTGATGACGGTGACTTTGATGCCGTCGGGTAAGTCACCAGCCGCTACAGCCTCGTCGGGAGCTGCATTAGATTAACTATCATTAGGACCACATTTAACGTGGATGACTGGATTTCGCACACCCCCAAGTCAATCTTGGCAAAGAACTTTGGGTTGCCTGAATCTGTGTTTGGTTCAGTCCCATCACCAAATCCATACATCCTAAACGGAACAGTTGACACTCATAATGTGACTGGTGGCAATGGAGAACGCACTGGAAACGCCTCCTTTGCTTATTTCTCCAAGGACCACCCTCTTGAAAAGGTACCCGGTGGGGGCGGCACGCTTCGCATCGTCGACTCCCGGACTTTCCCAATTGCGACGACTATAGCCGCCACTGTCGTCACTCTCGAACCGAAAGCTCTGCGGGAATTGCACTGGCACCCCAATGTGAGTCCCTAATCCGGATGCTGCTGCATATTGTGTCTAATATAAATTCAGGCTGAAGAATGGCTTTACTTCCACAAGGGCCAAGGACGCGCGACCGTATTCCTTGGCAGTGCTGCCGCCCGGACCTTTGATTTTAGAGCTGGGGATACGGGTGTGTTCCCCGATAATAGCGGTTAGTTTACACCCGTCTTATGTGCATTTGTGCAAACTGACAATTTCAGGTCATTATATCGAGAACACCTCGGATACTGAGGATTTAGTATGGATCGAGATATACAAGAGCGACCGAGTTGAGGATATCTCATTGACCCAGTGGCTTGCTTTAACCCCAGCGGGTATCGTCGCCGAGACTCTGAAAATCCCGGTTGAAATCGCAGAGAACTTGCAGAAAGAAAAGCAAATCCTTATCAAAGACAGGTAATAAACATTGATCCTCGCAGGCGAAGCGCTCAATATTGTCGAACCCGGCGCACTTCCGAAGCTCCTCTAGGATTCTTAATGATCCCCAGATCACAGAGCTGGACAACCGATTACCTAATTAATATTAGTCGGGTCTCACCATCAGATGTATCTAATTCGTAATCAACAACGAGCCAATAGATAGCTTAATATTTTTACTTGTAATTGCCCGTTTGTTACCCCGTTCTCTTGTCCTTTCTTCTGAGTACGACATGACAGTATGCAGTGTTACGACCACGTGGAGGAGCAATAGATCAGCCACCGCCCCAACAAGCTCCTTGGCTCCGTAATTAAGCGTTTGCGATCGTGATAGGAGCTTATTGTACGAAGTTCACCTAATACCATCAGTCCCTGAAATTTCCCCCGTATATCGGCTTTGTAAGGGGATTTTTTTTTAATGCCTTGCTTTTAAATTAAGCCAGCGTCAGCGAGCCTCATTAATTTGAGATCCACGTTGCGAAGCGGGGACCCACGTTTGATGTTTCTCTGAGTGTGGCCTTAGCTTGGGGGCTGAAATACGATGCAACCACTCATACATGATGTTGGGTGAGATTTCAAGACTTTTTATCATCTCGGATGCAGGCTCTGGCTGGAACTAGACCAATAACCTTCAGCTGACAAGAATAGCAGAGCTACACGGTCCTTTTATTGTACTTCACCGGTGACCCCGATCTGGTCAGCCCTAGCTGCTGTCTTCTAAAATGTGTGATCATATAGCTTTTCAGGGTCGCTCTCTCAAGCGGAAGCGTTGACCTTCAATCTATCCCATACTCTTTACCTGATCACCATCTGCTCTTAACAGCCAGAGCCACGTCGATCGAAACAAAGACAAGATGTCGCTATCACTCGCTCTCAAAGCCGCCATAGGCATACTCATGGTTGATTCAATCATCGAATTATCATTCGTTAGCAGCATGGTCGCATGGTTACACCTAACGGCTAGCAAGGGGTTTTCTTTCAATTCTGACGGGTCAAGCCATCGTCTAGCCGGCAAGCCCTTACATATGATGGTCGACCAAGGACACACCACCAACGGGGCCGCTGGAACCGCTTTCGTCCTCATCGGCCTCGGTGGTATCGTTGCGCTCACACTTCGGCATTGGTCTCGCGACGCACAGGGCGGATCGAGAGGCTTCGGGCGATTCATATACCAACTCTGGGTCGCGCTAAATATTCCAGCATTGCTCCTCACGATTGGCGCACTAGCCTATGTCTTCGCAGTTACGAACAAGCACCGTGGGCAAACGATTGATGTTCCATTGGCGGTAAGCCTGAATGGGAGCCCTTACCCGCTCGAGGACTGGACGCCGCAGAATTGGTTCTCAGCCGTTCTCCAATTGGACTTAACCAGTGCGAGAGACGATATCCACAGCCATCTATCGGTTATGAGGGGGTGGCAGTACAACTTGATCCCGATGTTCATTATCCAGCTCGGCGTTACGATACTTGTAGTATTGGAGTTTCTTGACTGGCGAAGACAGTATAGGGTTCTCGCGCAAGGAGAAAAGTAATCGGCAAATAGGTATCTCTTCGCCTAGAGTTTAGATACGTGCTGGGGAATTTCTAGCGCACGTGCCTAATTTCATTGAAGGGGAGCGATATTCTGGAGGCGAAGTGAATCCCCTAACACGTTGATTCAAAACCAATACCCACGCCGCAAACGGCGAGCCTTCGAAATCCTCCGTTTTAGTCGCCCCCCATTTCCACATTTATATAATATATTTTATTGCTTCCCTTTCATTTTATGTTGTCGCTGTGGATGGGCAGCCGGTTGGTTTCCCGGTGTTTTGGCGTTTGGGTGGCCTTGAGAGTCTCTACCACCGGCTAACGAGAAAAGTAATAATAATAACTTCAACGCGAATCGCCGTGGCTCGTGACACAATTCAACCAACCTAATTTGAGTCAAGTATTATGCTCGTCGGCCCGTCCTCTAACCAAGGATTATCTCCGTCCATTTCGTCCCCGGGTCAAACGAAGCATCACGGAATGCGTTCTTGTAGATTTTGGCCAGCCCAACACGTTCTGCTACCATAGTATTCTCGTTGCGGGTGATCAATAGCGCATAGTAGATGTACCATTCCGCAATATGCCGTTCCTCTGCGACATAATAGTTCCATGTATCAAGTTCTTCCATGGAGAAGTCTCGGGCTTCTGATACGGCAACAAACTCGAAGATTCCTCCTACTGAACTGGACCATTCCTCATTGAGAATGATTGTACCGCACCAATCGCCTTGGCTGTCTACAATTCCGAATCTGCGTAGCCCTTTCTCTAGCTTTGATTCGAATGTTGGGGTCGACATACTTCTTCGTGAAAGTTGGAAGTGGGCCGTATATGAACAAAAATGAAGGCAGCCATTGACAGGCTCAGTTGTAGGGAGTGTGGGCTTTGATGCATCAATCCCAAATTCAGATGCTAGTAATTGTCGATTTCGTCCGTATGGGTCCTCCGAACTAAAGTCATACCCAGACCATCTGGATCGAGCTTGCAAGTCCTGTGTAGATGATTCCCTTACCAACTTCAAACGTCCCTCGTCACCATAATACCAAGTGATCCATGAGTGATTAGACAGCCAGTCATGAAGATCGATTAGCGTACTCGCAACAGTCGATAATCTCCACATTGCACCACCTTCCCATCCACACCATGACCAACTGGGGAACAAGTAGCCCGGGCGCACGTTTGTCACCCTCTTCCCGGCCTCTTTATTCTCCCACAGTAGAGCCCAATCGAAATACGAATTGGGTAATCCGTAAACCATCGTTGCCGCAAGCGGAGAGGATAACACAGAAGCAATTCCCTCGAACGCGATCAATTTATCGCTAATCACCGTCAGTTTCCGAGGAGTATATAACTCTACCAAGTCGGCGAAAAGGCGGACAGGGTTATTCGAAAAGTTCTGCATGGGCGACTCTACCATCTCCAAAGTCCAGGTCCTCGCGGTAATATCAGAATAGACATCCTCGGACCACGTAGCCCCAGAACATTGAAAAAAGACGCGATCGTCAACAAAGATGATAGACCGCGGAGAAAGTATTCTTTCTTGGAATGTCCAGGCTCTAATATTCCAGATAGTGTCTCTAATCCTACTTTCCACCGATTTCACGACCGCTAGTTGCATGCCACAAACATCAGCGATAGCCTGTGATGCAGAGCGCGAGGTTAAGGGAGATCCGGAGATCCCACTTGCGCTCGTATTCCCGGAAGCAGCACATATATTCACCGTGCCGTTACTGAATATCGCATCCATGAGCGGGGCTATCGCAGCCCAGTCTTCCATGGAATCCTGAATAATGCACAGTGCGTCAACCCAAATGTAACGGATGCCAATTTCTTGGACAATTATCATTGCGTCTCGTATAGTGGCTGGCATGTCCTTTCTGTCCGGGCCCAGCCCTCCACTACAAAATTTGGCGAAATTGCTCTTGGATAGCGTTAGCTGCGGTTTCTGAGCTCCCCATACGTAACTCAACGTGGCGTAAGTAATGGCATTTTGGTCTTTGGTCAACAGATCTGATGCATGAACTAGGCGTTGCTCTTTCAGATCAATGTATCGAAGGAGCCCAGAGATATCGGTGCCTTTGACCTGCTTAGGGAGAATTCGGCAAGACTCGCCATGTTTCTTAGAACAAGTATCCATCCAATAGCGAATAAGATCCAAGTCGACGCGAGAGAAAGGAATTCGACGTGCTGAAAACTGTTGGATACTAGTTTCTGAAGATAGAGGCATGATATATGCATCCGGGAATAAGCGTTGCGGATTAGATATCAAGATCCGGCGGGATGAAGGATGACCGGGACTCTTGCTGTTACCGGCCGACCTACCGTCTGTCTCTAGATCTCGTCCATCGAGACGCCACTCAAGGTTACAATCAACCCGTTCGCCATTTCCAGCCAAACCATCACACCCAATTTGAGCACTATCTTTTGAATGGGTAGCTTCGAAAATAAGCCAGCAAAAGCAACAAGAATCACGACGTCGATAAATTTCAAGATATCCAAGATGGCGAGATTCTAATCCAACTGCATCGAAATTCGCATTTAAAAATCCGGGCAAGTTTCCCTTGGTATCGTCACCGGCACCAGGCCGAAACTTGTCGGGTAGTAAATTCAGTTCTTGGCATTGTGGACATAGTTGACCTGGGTTAGGTTTTACCTCGGCAACCCTGTTGCGACTTGACATGATTTATGATTTGATTAAAACCTTCTTCGAGGTATTTTAAACTTCAGATTGTACAGTACATACCTAGGCGGGTTGGGGGGGGGTTGGGGGGGTGTCCCTGGCAAGGGTTGTGTAAAGATGTTGCATAAATGACCTCGCTTGTAACGATTTTTATGTGAAATAATGGTTTTCTAGAATTCGATTAGTCATAGTATTCACTTATCATGATGACCACAGGGGTCATGATTACATAAGCCTACAATGATTTTACATTGGCAATGAATTCAATCCTGCAATGGTGGGGCTTCCTAAAAAGGTTACTGCATCTTAGCAGCTAGCCAAAAAGGGAAAAAGGGAAAATCCAACCACCATAAGAAGTCAAGTTTTAAATATTTTTTTTTACATGCACATATGAGGAATCGAACCGTTGATTTACGAGGTTTACGGACTCTACCATTGAGCCGATTACAGCTTACGAATTTACGAATGAGTGGGTCTGTCTTATTTTCTCCTATTACCATTCGCAGCCCCGCACGGACCCTATTACCCTTTCCGGGAAGAAATCCTGACATAATCACCTCAGCTGCAATGATTTTTCTACTGCAATGGTGGGTCCCACACCACTTATGTAATTATAGTAGTGATTATCTAAGATAATAATGATTGCTTAAGGTAATACGTTGAACATAGAGGTCACCTAATCAACGTAACTATCGTCACATTCATCGCCGTAATGTATTAAAAAGGCAATATGATTTATTTAAATAGATGATAAGAAAGGTGACGGTTTTTACCTGTATTCGTCACGCAATCATGTCGCAACCTATACTAGAAGAAAAAACAATTACATAATATGCAATTAAAAAGCAATGATTTCAGGAGACCCCTCCCACCCGGGTAGGTATATATACAATTAATCCGAATGCGAATAATTCAGGGGAAACGTTGGTGTAGCAGTACTCTAAGCCCCGCACTTCCCCCACTACTTCTAGCGGAAACGACCCATAAGGCTGAAAGATAGTTCACCTAAATTGGTACCTAAGGCTCTGTACTCAGGGGCAGTTTCTAGCGGGTAGTACGTCGCTACATCACTACTAGGTAGGTACGTCTTTTCGCTGAAGGATCATCATCACATCGCTTCAACTGCCTATTTCGAATCTGACCATGTCTATCCCACTATTACCCCTCTATTCTTCCCATTACTTAAATCAAGGACCAAACAGACGATAAAACTCACCAAGTTCCTTACCGATATTCCTTACCTTCTATACTTTCGACCATAAGAAATTCAGCATGTCTAACCACGACTACTACGGCGGCCAAGGGGGTGGCAATTACAGCAACTACCCGCCACCACAGAATCAATACCCTCCTCAAAACCAGTATCCTCCCTCGAATCAATACCCTCCATCCAACCAATACCCCCCATCGAACCAATATCCGCCGAACCAATACCAACCTCACGGCCAATACCCTCCTGAACACCAATATGGCGGTAACCAGCACGGCGGACCACCTCCCTCCCATTCGCCGAACCCGCACTCCTACGGCTCGCCTCCTCCGGGACAATACCCGCCGTACCAACAACAGCACCAACAACCACCCTACGGCTCACCCTCGCCGTACCCCGGTGGCCCGCCTCCATACTCGGCACAAGGACAAAGCTACCCGCCGTCGAACCAATACCCACCACCCGGAGGACAACCCTGGGACCACCAGCAGCAACACCATCAACACCAACACCAACAATACCCACCCGCGCAACACGGGGGCAACATCCCGCATAACCCGAACGGCGACAAGGGTCTCGGATCCCTAGTCGGAGGCGGAGCGCTAGGAGCAGTAGGCGCGGCGGCCGCATCGCATTTCCTTGGTGGTGGTTCACATGGCCACGGACACGGTGGACACGGCGGCGGGTTCCCGGGAGGAGCAACGATGATGGCGCCTGCGTTTGCGGCAGGGTACGGTGGACATAAGAAGAATAAGAAGCATAAGAAAGATAAGAAGAAGCACAAGGGCCACAGTCGCAGTAGCAGCTCCAGTAGTAACAGTAGCAAGAGCAGTAAGAGCAGCTAAGCGGGGCGCGTTTTTGTATATGATGTGTAGGATGAGGATCTTGGAAGATATGTCGCATTTAGATTCGGGTTGAGATCGTTTAGCGGAGCATAGTTGTTTACGACGTTGTTACATCACACACGCTGAGTTTGGCCTTTTAGACCGTGGATGTGGCATTACTGATGGTCGCGTACGCGAACAAGTATTCCGCTTAAGCCCTTTCGATATGAAAAAGTTCGGTAAGTGAAATAACTCCCCATTGCATCGATTTTCATTAATCGTCCTGCGTAGATGAAGAATTGCCCAACTATTCATGGGTTCTCATATCTCCAAAACATCATATATCCACCGCCGCGACTCCCCTACATCCTCCTCACTGTCATCGTCTCCATCTCCATCCCCACTACTATTCTTGTTTCCGCCTCGATTACTACTCCCACTCTCACTCCCACCACCACCACCACCACCACCACCAACCAATCCATAAGAAAGCTCTAAATGCTCACGAGTCCGCAACTTCATCCAACCCAGACGCTCAATGATCCGAAACTGCGCCACAAACCGCATCTGCTCCTCACGGGTCCACATCGGTCTAGCATCAAGGCACAGACACAATAAACGCACAAAAAAGCGCGGCAGCAAATCTTTAGAATTCCCACCGAACAGTTCGAGACGATCAGGCACGATGCTGACCTGTGGATCGCGCGCGTTGTTCATGTGGTAGAGCGCTATGCCCACTATGGAAAGACTTAGCGACCGTAAAAAGGGTGGTTGGGATATGAAAATACTCACTAACAGACCAAAGCGTGTTTCGCGGCGGCACGGTATCCCGCATAGTATCCTCGAGGCGCTCGCATATATGATACACGGTGCGATACCTAATCCGATCGATAAATTCGTCCCGTAAATCGTCCCCTCCGAGCCACGTCTTAGCTTTGACGCGTCTCCAAAAATGCTGGATATCGCGCCGGCGCGACTCGCGGTTAACGTGATAGGTATCGTGCCAAGTGAGTTCGTCCCACTGGTTACACACGCATGTTAATCTGAGTGTATACTCTCCATATGGACAGGAAACGAAGATATGACATACCTCGCGGTCCCAAATGCTAATAGTATGCACAGCTTTCTGAGAACTCCTCTTGCGATCTATCCGATGCTTGTGGATAAAACACAGAAATCGATATCGTGCCGAATCCTGTCCTATACTTCCAACCCGTCCTCCACCTTTTCCGGAACCCGTATGATCGATAGCTCGGATTGGCTGCCAATCTCTTTCCAAATCCTCTAGTATCACACCGTCGAGATCAATTCGTGGACGAACTTTCGTATCGATCATACGGACATCTACAATAGTAACCGGATGAAAATACGCCCATGGCTTTCGCTCGTCGTCGTCGTTAATCATCATCTGGTCGCAATTATACGCATTCAATGCGAATGGCACCGCTTCAAGGCGCGGGTAGCTTCCCCTAGCCAAGGCTTTGAGCACCGCTGTAAGGTCATCGAACTCATCCTCATCAAGGTCTGGGATGTTCCGTGCATCGTCATCGCTATACTGGAATGGTACCGGTCGAATGAGTTCGATATCTTCGTCAAACATTGAATCAATTTGCGTATAATTCAGCTTCCTTAAGTTGCGATAGAAGGCTCGTGACTTATAAGCCCTCAGAAGCACATGAATAGGTTACGAGAAGGTAAGTCTGTAATAAGGCAAGCCCATTCATTCAGGAGGTGGAAATTTCCTGATAACTATGCTCGAGCTACTAAGATATATTTAACCGATAGATAAAGGCTTTATTTATGGAATGAATTCAAAATTTCGGCCTTATAGCGGGCATCTAGGTAGATTTCACATTCTGGATGATTCTAGTCGAGGCCGTTTAACCAAATTCAAACTCTTTTTCGTTTTTCGGGGACTTAGAGACTGAATTGTTTGATTTGCTCATTAACATGGCATTTGATCAATGATGCAAGGTCAATAGTCATATTCCGAATATTCTATCTGCTCGTGAGCACCGTAGATGCATTTGCAAGACGAAGATACTTATTCCAATAGCTGTTTTCGACTTGAGCTCTTTCCTATCTAGCCAGGGCATACCTTAAATCTAAGCTATCCTCGTTTGTCCCTGCCCATGGTTGCCACAGTATAAAAGTGAGGTGATACCTAATATAAGCTTTGACCCGACCCATTAGCCCTAAGCCATACCTATGCAACAGAGAAGGCAAAGCTACAGACAGCCAAGTAATCACTCCTAGACATTGGTCCCTAGGAAGCCTGAGTTGAGGATTTCCACAACTTCGTTCACTCCGCCTCTATCCTGTACCTGTTCGATAGTGGGAGGTCTGCCAGTGGCGTCTCTAAACTCCTTAGACATCTGCTGTTCGTATATCAACCACATTATCGGTGTGTCGTCGCTACCATCGCCTCCGGCATATGATATATGCATCACCTTTGTGACAAGGCTAGCACTCATACTGTAGTACGGCCTGTTGCTGCAGGTCTAGCTTGCCAACACAAGACACTTAGTGCAAAATCTCGCCATGATAAGCGGACTGGTCCAACGCGATGAATATGGTTGGCGTATGATACCTGGCATTTTTAGTCGGTGTAAAGCTTGGATCTATTAGGTCCTAAGTTACCGTAGCGGCGGTAACGATTATGCTTCTTTGGTGATGCACACCCTAAGGGGAAGCCCTAAGTTAGGCAGCCACAAGTATAACGTGAATTCATGGCATAGCCGAGAAACGATGATCAAGCAGGGTTTCCAAGTACAAGCCGTCCGACTCCCTTCTAAGGGTCCATACAGTATCGTATCAGGTTGCGTATGGTGCCGCGAGCCAACTTGGAGAACCTGTGAAGAATCTGCAGCATTGGGTAATTCCCACAGTCAGCTATAGCGGAATCTGTGGCGTAGTTGTTGTAGTAGTCTTCGACCTCGGACTCCTCAAACATATCGTCGTACGTTGGGTCATAGTCCAAACATGTATCGAAATTTCCGGTATATAAAGCCATGATTGAGTTGTGAATTGGCGGTGATATGAAGAGCGAGAAATAGAAGAGAAAGGGGAACCAAAAAGGTGGAAGGTTGTGACGAAAAGGCTTTGGAGGTATTCAAGTCCGAGATGGTTGGTTGGGGATGCGGATTAGAACTTGACGGGAGGAATGGGGTGTTTAAATATTCGCGCGAAAAGTCAGACTAGAAAATGAGTTTCTACTATGAAAACATAACCAATAGGCAATTTTACTAGAATGAACCTTAACTTACTTAAGAGGCTGAGCTGAATGGATTTTAAGGCTTTGAGTTTACGTCAATAATAGTTAATAAAAAGGGATGACTTCTCTGTTCTTTTGCATGGGAGAGAATCTTAGGAGGATTACACTTTAGCTCAAACAACGAGAACGATTGAGTCGGAAGACGAGGAAGGCCGCCGATGCAAATATTGACGCTGATATATTCCTAGGGTATAATCTGTAAGGCACCTAACTAAACTTTATCTCATACGCCTTCCCACAGATACTTCCGTCTAAGCTCCATCAATTCTGGACCATGCTTCAACTCTAGTCGTTTACGTGCTCTTGCGCGTTTCCTCTCCTCCTTCTCGTCCTTGGGGGGTTCAGCCGAAGTTATTAACTGTAAGGTATCATCGTCGCGCTGCGTCCAAACTCCATGTGTCTTCTGCGGTAATTCCTCCCCTCGTTTAAGTTTCTCCATAACGTGGCCAGCATCACCGAGACGCCACGTCGTGGCTCGTAAGGCTCGGAGCACTATGTCTCTTGGATAACCAAGAGAACCAAAACGATCAATGACGTCGTCTGGCGTTTCTCGTACAGGTACAGGCCGATGTATTGGTCGAGGTTGGGCTTGTTCTCTAGGAGAAATCGCAGTGGAGGGACCAGGAGCGGGCGAATTTCTCTGAGTAAATGACTTGGGCAACGAGCGGCGTTTGGCTTTTATCACGATAGCTGTATCGGTAGGGATATTAATAGTCTGATTGGATTCTGGGGGCCCCGATGTCTCGTCGTCGGAATCCTGTCGGAAGGGGTTCCGAGCGCGTTTTCTTAGAATAGATGATCCGGGGTTGGCATTTCGCGTTTTAGCTTTCGGCGTAGGGGAAGCGGCTTCATCTTCTATAGATACGGCATCCGATTCCTGGCGGAGTTGTTGCGATGGCGTGATGTTGAATTGAGATTCCATATCAACGTTCTCCTGAGTCTCGAATGTCACGTTTTGAGTCTCTGGATCAAATCTAAAATCCTGCGTTTCTGGCTCTACTGGCTTCTTACCTGCACGAGGCAGTGTAGGTAAGTCCTGGATTATATCTCGAGATTCATTCTCTTCTGTCTCGTCATCTATAACGGGTAACACCGACCGCCTAACGGTAGGAGTCTCATCAACACCAGATTGACGACGTAATCTAGACGTTCCATTCACGGTGTCGGGTGTGGATGGGATCTCTGTGTCTCGAGCGATTTTTCGTCGCTTGGGGGAGGACTCTGGGTACGCATGATCGGAGGATAAACGGTGGGTATCAAACGATCGTTTCAAAGAAGGTACAACTGGTGGCGACGAAGGTAGCGGTACTTCTGAAGCTTGACCGTCTTCCTCTCCCTCTTCGTCGTCATCGCTAGCATCGGAAGCGTTAACCGCATTGGTGAATTCTATACAATAGTCCTCGAAGGCAGCGAGGTAATCGTCGTAGCATTTCCGGAGTTCATCGTGGACAGTATCATGCAAGACCCAGTCATAACCGAGCGTTTCTGCGATCAGGTGCCAATCGCGTTCGCTAGGCTCCATCTTTTGAGCGACAATAGCTTGCCACAAATCCCATAATTCGAAAGTACGCCCCTTTATGGTATGCCAGGGGATTAAGGCTTCGTGCTCTGGTAGGAACATTCTATAATCACGATAGAATTGTCCCCTCATGGACATGTCGTTAGAGTTAAGTTGTTCAAACGAGGGAGATGCTTCAGCTGGTTCATTAGTCTCAGCCCGGGGATCTTTCGTCGGGGTCTCGGCAATACGTGGTTGTCTATGATTTTCATTTTCACTTTCTGCGACGTTGGTCCCGTTTGCGGGGGTAACGGCTTGATTTGATTTCTTATTTGAGGTACGTGAAGTGTGAGGCGTGTTTGCCTCAATAGGCCTCAACGGAGTTGTAGCGGCATGTGGGGATGGCTGTGTTCGGGGCGTCTCTCGCCGTACTGGGGTCCCAGGGGGTTCACGGCCTTTATCTGTGTCTTGCTCCGTGGGCGATTTCGGTCGTGCTTCTTGCGACTCCTCTGGTGCCTCATCTCCTGGTATGATACCAGACTGCCACTGAGAAATCTTATCTTCAAGCTTCGGCGTAAGTTGCTTTATCCAGCGAGCTCTCCAAGACTGTTCTGAGTGCTGCGGAAACTGGGTCGAATCAGCAACAGGCGATAGTATAGAAACAACATATAACTTACATCATTAGCCAGATCGCGGAAAATCTTAATTCCCTGGAGAGGCTTGTCTAGACGAATGCACTCTTGGATATGCTTGATGAGAATCTCGTCATCATCTTCGGTAAACTCAACTCTAGCTCGACGGGTGGCAGGACTTTGGGTAGACACGCGTTCCTCTCTACGGACCTGCTGTGTACCTGCTGGAGATGGACGCGCCGGAGAGCTCTGCACCACTGGTTTAGAAGGGCGAGGCGATTGCTCATCGTCAGTGACTTCTGGTCGCGGAAGGTATTGTAATTTCTTAACCCAACGGTCTCGCCAAGATTGGTACGTATGTTGTGGATACTACATTATTTAGTTTACTATCAGAAGCAAGAAGATTGAGAAATTTCGTACCTTAGCTTCGAGGCTCTTGTATATCTCATTTCCGAATGTGTGTTTACCCTGTCGCTCATGCTTGATAACCCAGCGCATGAGGATGGAGTCATCTTCGTCGGTGAACTTCCTTCTCGTGGTTTTTTGAGCTGAGATCGAACTAGTAGGTTGAGATTCCGTGGTCTTGGGCTGGCGGGTAGCCGATGAACATAAATAATTTTCTAAATTTTGAAGAACGCCAGCCTTGATGGATTCATCGATAAACTTATAAGAATATGATCCTAAAGGTCCATCTTTCCTAGCATCATCGGCTATGAGATAATCGGCGTTCTTTTCAAGTGGAACCACTTTACCCCCATTATTCTACACATCGCATTAGTATAGGAAGTCTTAAATAAGATAAGCGATATATTCTTACTTGAATGCCTTGAACCCAGTTAAGGCGTTGTGGGACTCTGTGTCCTACCCAGAATTTCATATTTTTAAATAAGCCATTCCGTGGTGGCTCTTTGGTGGCCATAGCCCCCTCATAAACGATAGGGGCAGCCATATGTGGCTTACCCTAATTTATAACCCTGGAGTAAATTTCTAGGGTAAACTTCAGACCGAATGCCTATCGCCGTGCGAATATCCGAACAATCGTTTTTAGGTCTGTGCCGAATTAAGTTAAGTTGAATTCTCTCGATACGAATGTCGATTTCAAGTGTGGAATGTGGTGGTTCTTCCAATTTTGTTTATCCAAACAGTTCTGAACAGGGTTCGCAAAGGGTTGACTTTTCACGTTAGGTATCGTCGGATGGATTTGCTCACTGTCAAAGAACATTCTTCAAATGGGGATCGTCAATAAAGATGAGATGAGATGGCGAGGAAGAAGGAGCCCTTTTTATTGAGAAATAGAAATGGTCAGGCTCGGGTTTTAGGGTGAAGTCTCGTGAATAAAGTTTCACGAGACGCGTGATGAAGAATCGCGATTTTCAAGTTTCGTTTCGAGATAATCATGTGGGATTCAGGTATTATTCTTTTATCGGTAACATTATGGATTTAAACAGCACAAGCCTCATTGGGTTTTGACACAAAAGCGGCTGAATGACCCGTGCACCGCCCCAAAGATTCAACCAATTAAATTAAGAGCTGACCAAGATTATGGGGCTAGGAAAGCAGAAACATAGGCAGGTACACAGTGTACCCCTGTCCATACTGTACCCACCCTCCCGCACACGTCGCCCAAATGCGCTAAGTACCTTGCATCTGCCTTATTTCCTACTACTATTTCGTATCTTTTTTTTCTTTATTAGAAGTCATCCACACCAGCTGATGACGGCACATTCATGACTGAGGAGGAGGAGTACTGACCTGAGGACTCATCGCTTTTAAATATCTATTCACATTGCTCGAATATCATTTATTTGCTAATGATTCGCTTGTGACTTTTATTTATCTACATTTTGTCATCATCCTCAGTGTCTTTCCGTCAAGCTCTGTCTTACTCAAATGGGTTCGCATCGGTGCCTATTCCTATGCTTCAAAATTTAACAATGATCGAGATTCAAATCATCCTTCCAAATGTTCAGATAACTAAGACAATTTCTACGATTACCCTCACTTTTGGTACATGACAATGGGGGCCCTTGCGCAGATTGCCTTGGGCGTTCTCGCTATTTCTTTCATGACCTTTGTCGCATTCTTCGGCAGGCTTCCGGCGTTGAGGTATGACTTAAACCAGATTTTCCCCTAGTAAATAGCTTAATATGATGGCCTTTCTTGATCATCTATATAAAATTTTTATAATTAATCATATCACAGACATACACCAATAGCCTGGATGCACCGCGCAATATGGGTGTACATCCCCAACGCCATTCTAGGCCTCGATCAAAGGCTCACCTCAGGCCGCCTCACAACAGGGCTAGGTAGATTTGGTACCTATATAATGTATGACCGCCACCCAACGGTGCTCATATTCTTCATCCTGCTTCTCTCTATAGGAGAATACATGTATTTACCGGGAGTATGGCCGCACCTAAGCATTTTCCACAAGCTCCTAGGCAGTATATCTATTATACTGCCATACCTATTTCTGTACCTCGCCGCGGCCGGTGATCCAGGTATTATCAACACCGCCACCCACTCACGATACATGTCGCACTACCCATACGACTTCTCCATCTTCCACCCAGGCCAAGTGTGCCGAACGTGCGGCCTTTTAAAACCCCCTCGCTCCAAGCACTGCTCCGTCTGCAAGCGTTGCGTCCACCGCATGGACCACCATTGCGTCTTCATCAACAACTGCGTCGGGTACGGAAACCAGCACTACTTCCTCCTCCTACTTCTTTCGACAGCCTTCCTCACCAGCTACGGCGGTGCGCTAGGCCTAGTCTGCGTCGCTGACTCAGCGCGCGCGCACAACAAATCCTTCACGCTGTTCCCGAAACCCACCGGCTGGTCCTGGGCCGAGTACCTACTACTCCTTACGATGGGCATCCAGGAGGACGCGGGCGTGGGAGCCGTTACTTTGCTCGCTATCATGACGTCGCCGCTCGTCTGGGGTTTGCTTGGGTATCACGCATACCTGATTTACTGCGGAACGACTACCAACGAGAGCATGAAGTGGCAAGACTGGCAGATGGAGATGGACGACGGGTGCGTATTCAAACGCTCACTCGCGCCCGATCGGGTTAAGGACCCGCGAAACGAAGCTCCATGGACGAGATGGCCGCTCGATCCGATACAAGTGCTAATACGGACCGAGGACGGGGCGCCGCCGAGTGCAGACGGGGGCCCGGGAATAGGCGAATGGGAGCGCGTGTGGCGCTTGCGTGATGTTGAGAATTTATATGACCTCGGGTTCTGGGATAACTTGATTGATGTTTTTGTGCCTAACTACCCGTTTCGAGGGGCTGATACTATGCCGACATCTACAGCAGACTTAGAAAGGGGCGGCAAAAGGAGGACTAAGAAGCCACCGAGGGCCCCGCGAGCGTCGAGTCTGGTTGCGGCCGCTACGTAGTCTTTGCTAGAATTCTAGCAGGAGGATGTAAGAGACTAGGCTAGAAGCTAATGAATAGCATTTGAAGCGCATCATTTATATATACGTGAACGTAGTAGTGCTCGTAATTTATATACATTTGCCCTTGTCGTTCTAGCATCTATATGAGCAGCAGACAAAGTATTCATAGTACAGTATACCGCGGTTCCAAGGTGTTAGTAGCGCTGTATACTCTAATCTCAATTATAACTTCCGGTTATATGAGGGGTTCACTCCTCAGAGAACGCATTAGCGAATTTCTCCTCGAATTCATCAACCGACTTGGCCTTGTGTAGTTTCTTCTTCCTCTCCTTCCTCTGCTTCTTAGTTTCTTTCTTTGCCTTTTTCCTCTTTTCTTCCTTCGCCTCTTTCAGCTCAGGCGATGTCACCATTGCCTGAAACACGTCGGCCGTCATAGGTTCATCCGAGGGATCCACCTCCTCGACTTTCGCGGGGGATGGGGCTGCCTTAGCAGGTTGATATTTATCAACATCAACACCCATCACTGCCCGCTCTCGCTCCTTTTCTAATCGCCTCTGAGCACGCTCTTCCGTCTTCGTCAACCGCGCCTGGCGCACTTCCTCTATTCGAGCAGTATCCTCTCGGAAGCGCTTTTGCAAGAAACGAGTCTGCTTTTGCTTGAAATTCTCGAGGAGATTACGCTTCTCCACAGGTAACGGCCAGCTCCTATCTTGCTTAAGTCGCATGCTTCGCACGTAATTGCTACTAGTCATCTGCGTGGCCTTTAGCTGTTGTATGAACTCGTCTAGAACACTACGCAAGTCAACCTCTGCTGGAACGTTCGACTGAACGTTTGACTTTTCCTCGTCCCTTGACCTTGCACTTCGATGAAAAGCCCGAGCATGCGATCGACTGGTGGTCCGCGTAACTGGAGAGTTAAATGCTCGTGGCCTGATTCTATGGGGCCCCCGGTGTGCTTCTTCCGCCGAAGCACGTTCCAACTCAGCAAAGGGGGAACTAGTTCCCCCGGCACTCGGGCTGCTTCTAATGCTAGTTTCACGTTTGGGTGATATTCGCTCAGTTTTGTCGGCTCGAGGGGTTGTAGCCATATTTGTATCGGGCGCATACTGCAGATCATCAAACGAGATAACCTTCCCTGACCACTTCTTGTTTTTCTCTTGTTTTGGTCGTGTATCCGTCACTAAACCAGCCAGACGGGCGACGACTAACCTCGCGGTCGTCACTGTCGAATTCGCGACATCGCGATCCTTCGCTCCCACCGCAGTCACAAATATTTCCTTTTCCCAATTACACCTGTTATTCACCTGCTTCTTTTCGATGTTGAGAATAATATCCCATAGCTTGGTGCAGGTTTCCCGTAGCCCATCCGGCCCGCCTTTGACCTTATCCGCTTTCGTGAGAACAATAGCGGTCCTCGTACCAATAGAACCCAGTAGCTCAAGCAATTGCGTGTCCGTCTGTTTAGGGCCAACTTCAGCATCAATCAAGATAATAGCTCCCTTTACGCCGACCCGCTTCGTCAAGTACAACATGATATTACGACCCCAATCTTTCAAAGATGCGTGACCATACCCAGGCATATCGACCAAGTAGAAAGCATGCGTAGGGATATCCTCTTTGCCCTTATACTCCGCAGATTGAGCGGCGATGTCTTTGGGCAACGGCGCCGGCCCGAATCCATACGTATTCATAGCCCTTGTCTTCCCCGCCTTGGTACTGACATAGGCCAATGCACTACTATGTCTACCAGCAAGAGCATTGACGAAAGACGACTTCCCAACATTAGACCGGCCTAGGATGCATACTTCGGGTACGCGCGTGTTCTTTTTTAACTTATAAAAATCCGATTCGCCGTATTGGAAAAGTGGAGGGTTCTTCGTGAATAACGAAGAGAGTTCATCTTCGAGAGGGATGTCGGCTGCTGGTGATATGGAGAATGATTCAAAGAGCTCTTCGGAAAGGATCTCTTTGGGTTGGGAAATTCGGAACTCGGGGATTAGGAAAGCGGCGACGTTAGGGTATTTTGAAGTCGCATATGATCTAAGGCTCGTTCGAAAGATATATGTTTGGGCTGGCCGTATTCGCGTGGATGCACCGATTAAGGCGAGGCGGAGGGACACGGGCATCGCTAGAAGCGCATTGAGTTGGTTCGGTGTAGGCATCGTGGTACCTTCGGGATGATTCCCCGAATTCCTTGTCAAATTGACTTACAACACGCCATGCGCAGGGAAGACAAGCAGTATACATGCAGCATACATGCAGCATGGACGGGGATGTACATAATATATGTAGAAACATAAAATAAGATGATACGATTGAGATTGAGAACCTTAAGAGGAGATTTTGAGTTGTGCCTAGGGACATATCGAGGTAGTGATGCTTATATCGAGGTATGACATCTTCATATGTATTTATTCAACACAAGGTTTATCTTATCGTATTTCTACAATCCGATCTCTTCTTTCAATTCCTTTTCTTTCCTCTTCAACAATCACAAGGCGTCATGTCAAATCCAAATCCATCCCGATTACGCTCGCTTTATCGGTCACTCCTTCGGGAGCTCCCACCTAAACCGCGCTCAACCCCATCCACACAAGTGCGATCGCCCCTCCACCAACGATTAAGGCAGAGCTTTTCGGGCGACGCACCCCACGAACCCCACGAACACGCCGTGGCGCAAGCCGACCAGCTCCTTCAATATCTAAAGGCACAAAGGCAATACACGACCTTGCTAGAACGATATAACCCTGGTATGAATATGGATGAGGAGGAACGTGTTAGACTCACTGCTCGTCGTGTCGGCATGGACTTACCCATAGAGTACGAGAAAGGTGGGGAGAAGAGTTAGGAATGAGTCCCTGAACAAGACATATCTACAGAAGGTCGCGATACTTGTATCCAGATATAGGTCATACAGTTCGTTAGGTTAGTAAAGAAATAATATCCTTAACGTTGTATAGAGGACTCCTATGTCTAAACTCCAATCATCGCAGCGTTACGCCGCATCAGAACAACTACCTAAAGCGAACGAGACCTACATCGGAACGTGGGTAGTCAAGGAGGAAACTGCGAGACTGAGTTGATAGACCACCGGTTTGTTTGATTCTCGGACTAGTATGAGTGTAAATTGGATGCCAAAGCCTCTTTAACCTCATAACGTACCTACATATAGGTACCTAAAGTGCGGCCATTACGAAATAAGTCTCGCGCTTCCCACCATTGCTCGGTATTCTAGTGTATTATTAAGGTAGGATTTATTTGATGTTTACATCGCGTGAATATCTCTAGAATAGATGGTATTGTTACACGGGATCCTGGGAGACGCATCAACAGGTTTCACAACTCGTCACGACATCTCTACGCTAAGATGGGCGTTTCTCTGTTTAATATAGGGATTATCAGGACTATGTAACCCACGAAGGTGCGTACCTAGGTACTTAGGTGTGTAGGCCAATTACTATCCCTTGTGGTATTACAACGTGATGTTCCTACATACTTCGTGAATTTTTAGCCTTAATGATCGGCTTGTAAGGGTTTCGTGCAATAGCAAAAGAATAAGTTCCGCCTTTCATGCCCAGGGTTATTACCGCTTGCGTATCGTAGATAAAATACCCAGGTAAGGCAGAATCTATTCCTAAGCATCTTCTATCTAGTTTGCTAAAATTGTATGGCCTTACAATCTATTACCCTGGTAATATTTATAAACTGATATCTCTTACGAGAGCTTACGGGTAGGACTGATGAGTTACGGAATGTTTCTAAAGTTTATCGTCGGTAAGTACTACCTAGGTAGATGTTGCCTTCATGCTAGATGCGTAAATTCTACCGAAGTAAGCACGTAGTTCGTCAACGCCGATAACTAAAACTTGAGGTAGGTACCAAGGATTTACGAATTAAAAAGTCAGTCGCCGTTGAGTGTCGGTTGTATCGTCGCAGTACACTTGACAAGTCTTAGCGCCGCATACCAGACTTCCTAACCTGACTACCGAATTCTCACCTATGTAAGACTCTAACGACGAACAAAAAGTGAAATTATGTTCGAATCCTAAGTATCTCGGTACCTATATACCCAACTAAAATTATTTCGTTGTTCTTTCCATACATATTCAAACAGACGCTTCCTGATGCATTTTTTTGAAGTACTTTAGTTTAGTTGCGCGAGGTCCGGTTTAACTAGCTATGACCGCGTCTCAGCATACCCAACAAAGGAAAGACCCCACGACAGGAGAGCTCCAGGGCTCCCGCTAAGCCGGGTTCTATGGACAAATTCTAAGGAAGGAAACAACTTGATTTAATTACCTAATACCAATCACCCGCTTGAGATAGCAAATATAACGAAGTGTGCTATGCGGTACAAAGTACCTAGGATATATATATATATTGCGTAAAGTGCCATCAAAAAAACTTTAATATCCTCGTAGGTATCATAATATAGCGTTTAAAGATTAGAGGTACGATCTAGTTGGAGGCTCGCCCTGCCATAACCCTAGCACAAGGTGTCTACCTTAATTTTCAAAATATTCGTATGAGTACCAATCAATCTGGTTGCTTAGCATATCCAGTTTTAGCTTTCTTGTAGGCTCTAGCCACAGGGGTAAGACGCCTACGCCCCTGTGAGTAATTTCTTTTTCTACAGTAGCAGCGCCTAGAAACAGATTTTTACTGGTTTGGCGAGATACCGATAGTTAGTTAACTGCTCCTTCCGCCGTACTTTCCAGTGGTAAAATAATTATGAAAAAATACCGCCCGGCAATAATCTCAATCATTCTAATTATTAAGTGTGCTCCCACTGGAGGAATTTCCCAGTCTCTTCCACCACCTTCATCCCATTCTTAGGATACAACCCAAAGTTACAACATGCCTCGTATCAGAAACTGGCATAAGGCTGAGAACCCCCCCAAGGTTAACCCCCATGGGAGGGTTGCCCATGAACGAGGCCAAGGCTTCGTGTCCACGGACGGAATGTTCTTATGCTACTGTGGCAGCATAAATAAAAATACTGCTAAGAGTATTTCGAGCCACCTTACGAAGGCCCACAAGGACGACTCTGCCTACCAGAGGGGCCAGTTCTCAGAGGACGGCACCTCCTGGGAGTGCCCGATCTGCCACGGAGCCCAAGGAAAGAATGCCAAAAATCTACACGCCCTGGTCGCCCATGCTAGACGTGTACATGGTCTCCGCGGGTCGTCCGACGATCTTTGTAAAGAAGGCGACCCCTTCCGACCCAACCTGAAGTCCAAATTCCTCGATTTCAAATCGGAGAAAGAATTTGAGATCGCTGGTAAGTATCCCGAAGATGATATATAATTCTAATGCAATACTGATTTATTTTTCTTCAGCAATCCGACTCCGCATGCGCCAAGCTGTTTCCCGACACTAGTCAGTTCCTCGTCGGTTCGTCATCACCTAATATTTTCCCTTTCTGTATAAACCCTACGGACTTAACATAGGTCGAGTCGACGACAATACAAGCATACCTCTGCTCTGTTCCGGGAGGTTAAGGATTCTGCGGTGGACGAAGAAAACTTGCGAATATCGTTGGGTTGTTTCGTTGTTTCGTTGGGGACTGGATGGGTAGATACGGCCGAGTAGGCTGTCAATAATAATCCATCAACCAGACTCGATTTTCATTTCTCGCATGTGATTGATATGCCTAGCATACGTTAATATAGCCACCTAAGATTAATGCTAAATATTGCGTCTAAACTTTACAATATCCTACTCAGGTGGAATGCGATTACAAAACTCGGGTTTCTTCTTTCTATTAGAGTACATCAACTTCGTAAGAACGGCGTAGTCTATTGCATAGACAATCGTGAGTTAGACGAGGGAAACACGTGCTATTTCTATCTCCTATTGCGGTTATTAAGCCGGCCGGCGGCAGTCGCGGTGCCGGATCGGTGATGATCCACTATTCCCGATAGCCCATGTTAGGTAAAGAGATCGGGGTGAATGCGGCGTGAATGCGGTATTGTTACGGCAAAAAGTGCGCTAAGGCTTGTGGGGTGCCTTCCTTTGCTCACGGACACTGGAAAATTACATGACGCACTTCATCCTCGCACGATTCTGCAAGTTATGATCTAAGTTGACTTGGGGATATTCATTACTGAATTATACATGAGAGCGCTAATATACAAATAGACCAATATTTCTCTAATCATTCGTATCTATGCGGATGGTTAAGAGGGGGGAAATCTCCTCTTCGTATTCTAATCAGTTAGGCATACGATTGACCCAAGGGATCCTGCCGATAAATGGCTCTCTGCTTTTCACGAAAGTGAAGATGTGTGCGTGACTATTCACATGACCTTGCCCCCGGTTGAACATTAACCTCTCGGCCCACCGTGGTAGTTTTGACAGAATCCATCTGTCAAAGAACCAATAGATATAATTAGTCCAAGCAGAAAGACGAGCAGCGCGCGCCGATATATCGAAAGCTGCTGTGGCCACTTCCATACGAGTGTCTTGATAGCGCTTGAACACGGCCGATAGCTCTTCCGTACTGGGTTGGGACAATCCTCTTTTCTCGGTCTGGCTCTTTTTCCGGTTGTCGTGTTTGTTGTCGGGATCTCCCTCATTTGTTGGATTTAAAAGATCATTCAAACCGTTGGTGAGAACGACAATATCCTGAATACCATTGTTAAGGCCCTGTCCGATATTCGGCATTAACTTATACGCCGCATCACCCGCAAGGACTACACGTCCCCAGCTCCAATGTTGCAAGACACCTTCTTCAAGCTCGATCATACCAGCACCGTGCCTTTTCGGAAACATATCTTTAATCCTTACTTCTTCGTTAAGAGGTAGGTCTCCCAGGCGTTCCGCGAACTCCACAAGCTCGTCTTGAGAATAGAATTTCTTGTCCCGTTTTGGCTGCTCTAAGCGTTCGTATAAAAACATCCACGCGCGCTCACGCCCGGCTAGTAGTTGTACGGACGTATTCATAGAGTGCGCCTCGACACTTTTGCCGGGGGTGAAGCTAGGATGAAGTGGAAAATTACACCACATAGTGCGAAACTCGTAAAGAAATGGCTTTTCTGGATTGGCGTCCGCCGTAGGTGTTACCGCAAGTGAGAGGGTGCGCATGAGAGGTCGGACTTTGCTGTTCGCACCATCGGCACCTATCACAATAGACCCATCGTAGTATGTTCCATCAGCACAGTGGACACGGACGCCATCATCATCACAAGAGATGTTAATAACTTTTTTGCTGGTAAAGATTCGAGATTTGCTAGAAGTGTCTAATCCATTGTAGAGCACCTGTAGTAGCTGAGCTCGATGGTAGATGTGACCGAAGGTACCGTGGCTATAAGCTACATTAGCCTACGTTCGATTTTGCTTCTCTTGGATCGTGTAGCGTACTTCTCTTTATGCAGGCGAAGAGCCGTTGAGTCTTTATACCTATGTTTATCTAGTGTTATACAGGCGACACCCATGAAGTTGGTAGAAACAGCCTGTAGTTGGTCTAACAACCCAAGTTGGGCGAGGACGCGTATTGATCTTGGTTCCAAGACAATGCTGGCGCCAGCATCTTCGAGGACGCTTGGACGACGTTCCAACACCACAAAATCTATGCCAGCTTTAGAGAGGGCATGGGCAGCCACTAATCCCACAGGACCAGACCCAACAACTATGGCTCGGAAAGTATCAGTGCCCATTGGAGGTATATTAAATATGTTGAAGAACACTAACAAAAGTCAGAAATAATGTGTGATATGTTGCCCTGACAAAGCAGTAAGCCTGGTGCAGGTGTCGATAAAAGCTGAGAAGCGTTCCAGGAGATGATGTTGATATAATTCCGGTGTTTTATAACTTGGCTTTGTCTAGGTCTTGGATTTTAGAGTCCTATTTAAACCCGTATTGGCAAGAAGTGCACGTATCCTCTGTTGGTTACTTTTCGTCCTAGTTGCTCTACTAGATATCTCCATTCAGTTCCCATACAAGGGTCCATTTATAGGGGCTGTGTCAGCAGAACCCTGTATGCTTACCAAGCCCGCGCTTTTACATGTTAGTATAAAACAGATTCAATAATTGGATTAAATACATTATCACACGTTTTGATGTACTTTTGTTCTTTGCTAGGAAAATACTCTTTTCTAAAGACGTTGTGATAGGTGAAGCTATAGTAAAGACCTAGATATCCGTTCAGCCACTACTAATACACCCTTGTTGACATATCCACTTCGATTGGCCCTACTATACGATTGCATCCTAGACCTAGCAATGCCGTGCCGCAGCTAGGCCTCCGAACTACGATTCAAGTGGCATCGGACACTATTTGAATGCGAAACCCGCGAGGCTCATGAACCCGAGGAATCCGACGAGTCATACTCAATTGATACGGGAGCCGGGGAAGCTGGATAACGAAAACCTATTCTATTCCCCGTACAAAATATGTAATAAGGATAATAACGGGTTAAAAAAGGGGGGCTGGTAATCTATCCGTGTCGGGTCTACTCTGAATCCGGGCGCCGACATGGACCGGTAGTACATAATCACCCACAATATCACGTACATGACTGTTTATATCCTTGACTCTGCTGGTTTAACCTTCTATTTTTCTTTTTTAGAGAGAGAAAAAAAAATGAAATGAAAAAAGTAAGCTAATACGGTTGGTTGATCATCCTCATCACCTTTTCATTACCAGTTTCTAAGTTCTGAAATAATTAATAAGACTTATATTTCTTTACCTTCATAGTTCCAAGAAGTGATGAGTCCCAAGGTTATGTACCCAGGTACCCATGCCTACACGTTGGCAGGATTCTAGAATCCATTGAAACTCAAATGAGCTGGGATGGCTCTCTGCTCGGTCCACTCTGTACACTTAACAAGAGGTCGGCGTCGCTCCCCGGGCTTATAGAACGTTAGCGTATTTAAAGTCTTGAAAGGCTCGGTTTTCATACTCTTGATATTGAACGATTTCTGCTTCTTGGGGACTGGAACTGCTTGGAGAAGATTATCCCATACTATAGGATGAGTCCACCTGAGTAGCCCTTTAGAATGGAAGGTCCGGGACATTTCAGGGTTTTGGAACGGCTTCGATTGATGACTCATTCCAGACGCGATGTCTCCGATAACGTGATACATAATCCTGGAATTATCTGCGCTGGTCTCAAGGAAGATGACTGCGTGGTACCTTAAGCTGGTAATGTCAGGATCTTCCAGGGCGACGCTGAAACGAAGCTTATAGACGGCATAATAAGACGAGTGGGTGGCCATATTTGCGGTTCTAAGTTCCGGAACCAAGATACTAGCAAGTGCCACACAACCCGAAGAGTACACACGACTAAATATGCACCGCGGCGCACAGCATAATCATACCTAGGTACCTAGTTATTGTTTAGACACATTGTAAGCACAATCGTTAGGATGAAGCCGTACAATATAAGTGGTAGATCAAGACCTAAGGCCGGCCATGACAATGTATATAGGTTAACCGCCATCATTCGATAACTCAACCCTTATAGGCAGGCCATACAATGGCAACGTGAGCTAGCTCTATGTCGTAACTACCTAGGTAACCGCGGTCGCTGTCACACGGGAACAGGTGCCAAGGCACTGTTGGTTACCATGTTAGAATTATGGGTAGTTAGAATAGATATTATTGGCGGACCGACACATCAGAAGATATACAAGAGCATAAACACAAAAGGTTCGAGAAATTCGCTTAAAATACACATACATAATACTGGGTATAAATAGATCAATTAGATTTTCTTCCTTTAGGGAGAAAGGGATCTAAGAGAATTATTAGTTGAAACTAAATATTATCAAGCCCTTATCACAGTCGGACGTAAGTAGAGCGGACCGTAAGCTTTGAGTAACGTCATGACCTATACCTTGAGGTCGACCTCCAAAGCCTACCTGGATATTCATGATACCTACTTGGAGGTAATAAAAAAAATGCTTCCATATGAGGAGTTGCGTATGTCATGAGACCAACCATATGGGGGGTTAACAACTCTATTGTTGCGCGAAGAGATCACAGGTATCTATTACGGGAACTATTGTATACATATATGAGTAGTTTCTTTATTCTACGAGTTCCTTCTTCCTTATAAGGGGTCCTCTTGATACTCCCCAAGATGTATTGTTTTATATAGCTTAGCTACCTACTGACAGCGTATAAATTTCGAAATACGCATTGGCGTCGCGCTATCGTCCGCTGTCCCACAACCGACAAAGACGATTATCGAAAGAATCCCCCAACAAAGAAAAGACTTATGCGTGGTTTTCCAAAGACGCATATTAAATAAAGAGTGAATTAATACAAAAGCATTAAAGGACTCCGATATATTAAAGAATTATTAAATAAACATTAGCGACCTTATGAAATTATTAATAGACTATTGATGGAATATTTATGAAATGTTTTGATACAACATTATATATTTATTTACCATATATTTACCTAGCTACGCAGTAAGTATAGGCCGAAATGGATAAGAGTCGTCTTATTTATAAACAGGTAACGTCAGCAATTAATCTACTCATCTTTTACCACCCCTTATACATTTCCCAAGCATTTCGCTACCACCATGTATCCAGATTGGCCCAAGCCTGATACTGATCTAGTACCACTACCTCGGTGGTATGGCCCTAAGCTAGAGCCGTTCAAATTTCAGGGATCGCAGGAAATTGAATTTCTTGAACTTATCGGTAGCGGCTTGCATTCGAGTGTCTTCAAAGTCAGAATTGAGGGAAAAATATACGCATTAAAAATGGTACGTACTACTATGTAAAAACGCGCGGAGACATATGAAAGCTAACTCTGCTGTAGTTTAGATTTGCGGATACGTTTGACTGGAAACGTCGTCCCCCCGAAGATTGTAACCAACAAGTATGGAATCATTGGCAATATTGTTCGGAACCCTTCAATTGCGAGTGCCGTGCCTACGGTCGGCTTCGGGAAGCTGGTTATGAAGACCTAGTAACGAAGTGTTATGGTTACGTGCTTCTTAACGAAGAACAGGAGCATGCCGCAAAGAAGTTCTTTTGTGGCCTCGACGACCTTGCCGATCTCGACGATATCAACAATAGGTTGGAAATTGAGTATCCCGGTGATGATTGGGTTGAACCCCGCAAGCGTTTTTTGTTAAAGGATGGCAGGGAGGCACCCGTGCGATGTATTATCAAGGAGTTTGGCCAAGGTACAAAGTTGACCACACGCCTTGCAAGAAAGCTCCTCAAGGATATCATCAAGTTGCAGCAACTCGGAATTATTGACTTGGACTTGGCAGACCGACAGATTATCAACGGCAAAATTTCCGATTTTAGCTGCGCAGTTACTTTACCACATTTTCCCCTAAGTCTTGCCGATTTGGGTCCTGGCCCGAGAGGGAAGGATAACCTAGAGTTAGAAATCTTCTGTACTTGCATTTCGGACTACTGGGACTTCGACCAGATGATATGCGAGTGGAATTTGGATAACAAGGACAATATAAAAGTCCGTGCGATCCCTCGTGAGTCTCGGTATGATTTGAGAAGGCAACCGACTAGGCGTTTTTACACATTAGTCGACCCAAGGAAATGTGCGTCCTTTGATATAAAACCGGGAGGATATGTGCCCTTGGACCCAAGGAAACTAGGAAGAGGGGCCCCGAAGAAGCTCAGACCGACTAGGTGGTATTATGATTGTGATAGTGCGAAAGAAAAATACATCCGCAGAAGGAGGGGTCATCGAGGACAGGTGTGTTAGTTTTTGGTCATTTCTAACCTGTCATATACTGTCTACCTCATATAATAAATTATGGTAATATGCCTAGATATCAATCGTCATTCCTTTGTCTCACAGAAAGTGACTTTCAGCTCCTTCTTAAATACGAGGATAGGGAGGAGAGTAGGTAGAGAGGCAAGACAGGTTGCACGAACCCTTGTGGTTTGGCTTGCTTATTTATCCTAGGTACTTGAAAATGCCTTGGGTTTACGAAAGTCCAGGATGCCTTGAAACTCGAAAGAATTTTAGGATACCATAAGACAAAACATAAATGGAAATAATAAATCGAAGGAAATATCTAATGGAAAGGGCTCATAGTCCGTGTTAAGAAAGATGAATGCTATAAGCCGAAGTCTGGTGAAGAAAGATGTAGAAAGTCCTGAAAGGCCATACAGCCCAATTATTCTAGTATCCCTTAAGCGGAGATGTTAAAATATGGTCAAAGGGCTATCTTTCAGGTACTATATAAGGTACTGTACATAGTAACATCAGTAGTATACTTTGGAATATATATATCTCAAGACTTCCCCTATAGATTTGGTCGCAAACACAATAGTCAATACACCAAATCTTTTAGCACCCATATTTCACCTACCTTAAGCTTGGCTCTTTTACGGCACTTCAAACTCCCTCGTACTGTATTCATATATTCATACCCGGATATCTACCTAGGTAGCCATTACCATGTCGGATGGAAGCACCACATTGAGAACCATACTTACCCAAAAAAAACCTCCCATAACATGTAACTTGAACGTCGCGGCCAATACTAAATCTCAATATTGGCCGGATATTCAAGCTAGCCTCTGGCATGGATTCGATTTGAACAGTTTAAATAACAAATACGCTGATATGCTCGATGAACCTGTCCAAGAGGAGACGGTCGCGACGAGTCCACGAGCCAGCCAGATGCTTACTGGTCTCATTATCGATCAAACCAAGGATGTCAGGTATCTCCTTGGGTGGAATAAAGCATTGATGGGTTTTGCTGTCAATCTTGTCAAATCCAAGTTTTCACATGCCGATGGGTTCACCATTATCCACGTGTGCACGGACGCCAACGAAGCGGCGGCCCTCCGCGTGGGAGAGAGATTCCACGTTGATCACCTCATTGCGCTTGATAAGATACCGAGCCAGGCTCTCGTGGTTGGCCTTGGGAAATCGAGTGCAATAATCTCTTTGAAGAAATTCGTATGTAACGGTCAGCTTGTGCTGAGTAATAAACGGCATTATTGGGTGCTGAGACAGCTCGCGAACGTGTGCAAGGCTGCCCGAACTCCCTACGGATATATTCAAACGGACACTGAGCTCATTGTGTGCCGGTTTAGAACGAAATTAGAGCCAAACCTATACTCGGTAAATGCCATGCCGGTCCCATGGTCTTCGCATGGCCCGAAGGTGCTCACAACAGATCTTGCCCTATGGTGGCTTTGCACGAAGGCACTGTCGCCCCCAGATGATATTCCGACGGAAGGGACGGCAGCTTCTGGAAGTAGGATGACTCCGATACCAGAAAACTCATTTCAGCCCCAGGAAACGAACGATCGGGTGTACTACGACGTTTCAACCAATGCTGATTGGCAGAACTATTCGTTCGATGATTTAGGCCTGGCGGAACATCCAGGCCCATGAACGGAATCCTCCCTACCTTAGGTACCTACTAGTACGGCTTACTACGGGCTGTCTACTGGTCAACCACACAGTAAACGTACAGGTGGCCATCGGGGGTATTACGCGATGGGGTGATGCAGCCAAATTAACGCAGATAACATGGCCTATTTTAGAGCGCAGTTTTGGGAGCTCAATATACGGTTGAATAGTTTCTTGCTCGCATTCATTACAGTAGTTGTGAATATGAAATTGTTTTCTCTTAATATTATTATGCTACGGCGCCAAACAAATCCTCCATTATCGTTCGCCATTTATCATCGGATAGATAGCACCCGGCAGCGCAATATCATGTCGCCATTAACGAGTATCCACTGGATATTGTATATAGACAGATGCACCTAGTTGCATTTGCATGATTTCGGCCTATCTTGACAATGCAAATTATACATCCTACCTAAGTATGAATCAGTCTCGCAACCGGTGTAAAGACTCAAGGGGTCCCTAGCTCCACCAACGGGAGAGGAAGTTACATCATAAGAGGTATTTGGAATCCGGCTCTATCACTGTTGAGGAGAATATAAGACATAAGAGCAAAGAGGCTACTAGGACAAAGGTGCCACTAACGTACGTATAGGTACGCCCCGAAAATCCACCTAGATTTTGACATCCCTGATTCATCTTGCGGCGACAATCCAACTTTATGATTGGTTATATGACAAGTCAAATATTGGTCTACTACTATCCAAAGTACCAAATTGACGAGTAAGGACGAGCTGTACGGGTTTGCTGGGTATAAGACGGGCCTAAATATGGATAGAAATAAGTTATCATTACAAATGGCTCCTGTTTGGATCTAGCCGGGGTATGTGGGTATTGCCTCATTGGGACAAAGCAACGTAAGGCCCTGGTGCCAAGTTAGAGGTGAAAGAATCCCTCAATTTGTTTCGTTCTTTGGCATTCGCCCCCAGACCTGGATACCGCCCCCGAAAGGGCCCCAGCAGCTAGTTCTAAGGCCTCTCATTTTTCTTTCTGTCCTTTGATGGGTATTCCTTTGTCTGGGAAATACCCGTGGACCTGGGTCACTACCAGGCTTAAGTCAACTGGATGCTCCTTGCATGGTAATTTACTATTGTTCAGTAGCTTGGGAAATTCGGGTGGCCTAATGGTTGGGTTCAAACGAGTGATTTACATGACGATGAAATGACAAAAAGTTAGGTAGTCGCACGATGATGACGGACGCCAATGAGATCTGAAGACATTTTAACTACCTAGATAGTTAATAATTACGTATATATTGTTATGATTTTGGATTTGTCGAGATTGCATATACGTCATTAGCGGGTATGCCTCTCGTCATTGCTGCTGGGCTCGTTTCGGGCCTATTCCAGGTCTGGTCCCGGGTTTGAGTCTGTTTCTTTGGGGGCGGAGGCGATATGTGAAAACATTGGATAGACGATAATAATTTGTGATAGAGCAATCAATAATGGATAAGTCTACACGAGGTTGTTTGATATTGATTCGGGGGCTGTGCCTAAAAGGTGTCGAAATCATAGACCTGCGTACCTATTGGCGTAGCCGCTGTATGGAAGCGCCAAATATCAAGACTTTTATGGCTCATAAAGCTAATTAATGTGGTTTATCTATCTGGATCGTACTTAAATTGGATGTATTCATTCAATCGATTGGTATTTCCGCGAAGGAACCTGCGTGTCTGTAGCGGCTCACGAGCAAAGAAAACGTTGATTTTGGGTATATGTATTTCTGTCACTCTGCATGGCATTCGAGATATTGATAACCTGAATCTCGAGCCCACCTAGGAGATCCGGAAGGGAAAAAAAAATAACTCAAGCCATAAATCGTATCGTATCGTATCCGCCGTGGAATAAAGGGGTATCACAAACACGCGGGAACAACTTAGCGATCGCACATGTTCCATCACACCAACGCTGTTTTTGTAAGTCGGATTTCATCTCAGGTACTAATCCCGAGGTTAGACGCCACCCACACCTCCGTCCTCAAGACTCTCATCCCACCCGCCAGTGGATAGAAGCCACTCGCCAACGCGCTCCTTAACACTTCTCATCGCCTCACCAAGTGCCCCCTCCCACTGGTCCTGCACAACACGTACTTTCTCCTTCAAATCATCTGTTAGCTTCGTCTGCTCCGCCTCTCTCTCTTTCTCGACAATCCTGACATCCCGCCCCTCCGCTTCACCTACTTTCGCCTGCGCACTTGTTACCGCCTCTTTGATCTCATGGAGTAGACACAGCAGATTAGTCTGGGACTCAATGAATTGGTACGTGCTCTTCTCGGCGTGTAGTAGTAGGCTAAACAGATACTGCAACGGGTGCTCATGGTAGCTAGGGTTCTCATCGAACTCAGCATTTGGGATCTGGATGCGGAAGCCGTGGTCAAGGACAGACGGGATCTTATCGAGCAGACGTTTCAGCGGAGGTGCCAGGTCCCAGAACGCATTGAGTTGCATATCGACGCCGCGCTCCACATTCTCCTCAACCACGGACCGGAACTCGCGCGTCCGATACAGTACCTCGTTAGCGAAGGCCGCGCGCCGCTTCGTCGCGTCGTCCACGAAGAAAGCTTCGGCTGTCCGCAGCTTTTCGTCGTTCCCCGAGAGTCGGTACGGCGTGATCACCATTTCTTTGTACCGGTCGTTGCGGTCCGTTAGCAAATCATAAATCTCCCTATGCAGCATCTCCCGCGCCTCAAAAATCCACTTCAGCAGCGTAAGTTTCTCTAGCAATTCCGGTTGCTCGTCGCCTTCTTCTTGCGGCATGTTAGGGTTCGGTGCTTGTGTTTCGACGAATAGACGCGAGCGAAGTTCGTCGAAGAGGGATGTCGCTTGTGCGATACGCCCGGTTAGGAGCTCGTTGAGAGGCATGACTACTGCGTTTTGGAAGCGGTCGAATTCGTGTTTTTCTAATTCCTTGGCTTTGGCGTTTTCGGATGCTTGTGTGTCGGCTTCGATGGCTGCTGCTTCGGCGTATGACATGTTGCCTCCGCTGATCTCGTGCTGAAGGTTTGTACGTAGCGCGTTTTGTCTGGAGGATGAGGCTTGTGCGGCTTCGTCGCGTGCTCTTTGCGTGTCTTGTATGAACCGGTCTTTTGTTGCTTGAACTTCTCGCATGTCGCTTAGAGCGCGTACGAGAGTTCGAGTTGACGCTAGCTCTGGGTGGTTGTTATTTACTGCGGGATGATGCCGGGGATATGGTGGTGGTAATGTAACGAGCCGTGATACATCGAGATGAGAGGGACTTGGAGTATTTGGTGTGGATGACCCTAGAGATAAGAGAGAACTTCGGAATGGCTGGGGTGTATTTTGCTTCGACTCGTGCCAACCGACTTTTTCGGGAGGATACTCATTTTCCGCATATTGACGACTAGGTCCCGCGTGGCTATCTGCGCTGTTTGGGGGGTCTTGCCATTGCAATGCTTCTCTTGCCTCTTTGGGTACACCCATATACTTGGACTCCCGTTTTGTCCTCTCTATTCGATTTGACTCGCCGCCGGATTCCGTTTCCCACCATCGGCTTGCTGGTCTGCCCCGAGAACTCGACTCATCTAGATGCTCACTAACACTCATACTAAGAATCGGCGATAATGAAGGCATATATTGGGAAGTCCAGTTCGCATTAGGCGGAGGAGGTGGTCCGTTGATCGGTGAATTGGGAAGGTTCGCAGAAGCCGGGGCTGAATGCGACTGTGCCTGGTCGCGGAAGACAGAAGTCAGGGAATTCCGCTGTGATCTCGACTCAGGCATCTGTGGCGTCCATTCACTAGTTTGCGAGTTCGTCGAATCGCGCCGTGCCTTCATAGGGCGGAACAAATCCCGCGTTAGATCAAGTATCTCAGACCCCATCACTCCGATAGCTGTTGCATATCTCTCGCGCCGTAGCCTCGACTCGTTGACTATGAAATCGGTAAATAGTTTTACTCGTTCGGCGTCCGACTCCGCAACCGCTTCCTGATTGGCGAATGCTTGGAACCGTTCTATGCTGCCTTGGCAAAATTGCTCGGCCGTCTGACCGACAATGGCTTGTTTAGTAGTGGGATAAGTAGAGGAATTAATCGATGAGAAATTATTCATTAATTTGTGTATTTCAGGACGTGCCTGGGAAGAGTTGGAAGCAGATCGGCTTTGTGGTGGTGGCGTAGGGAGAGCTTTGGGGGCTATAGGGTGACCCGGCTCTGTAACCGGGTATGCCTTTTGCGGATGCGGTGAAAACGGGGGCGTCGGCGTTTCTGGGTGAAGTCCGGCCGACGGGCGAGGTGTTGAGTTCCTAGAATCAAAATTCGTGTCATCGCCGGATCTTGGCATGTCGGCGATTGATTTACCGCCGCTTCGAGGTGTTCCCTTATGGACAGAAAATCTGCGGGATAAACCTGGACCACTAGGCACTATAATGTCAGATAAAGGCTGAATCCCGTCCTCTGGTTTTTGTCTTGTTCGACTCTCGTTCCGCCTTTCTCGCAGGGATTTTTCACCTCGGACGGCACCCGTCCTGTTTAACCCACTGCCGGCCGAAGTTGACGCGGACCCCGAATCGGGTACGGCCTGGGAACTGGATTCGGAAGCGGATGATGTATCAATTGTTAACCCGAGATGATTAGATGACTTACTGCGCTCCTCGCGCTCATTATTTTCCCAATCAGCTGGCGTTGGTGGGACTGGCCCAAGGGCTGTTACTCCGCTGGGTGGCGGTCTCCTGGTAGGTGGTGAGACTATAGGTTCGGTAGTCCTACTCAGGCTTTGAGATCTAGATTGAGGGGGAGGGGGGCCCGGTGGTGGTGGGGGAAGAGGCATTCCAGGTTCCCATCTTGACTGCGATGCTGATCTTGATCGAGCCGACGTGGGTGTATCAATCGCACTTGCGGATGCTGCTCTGCGCGAGTTAGGAGGCATAGACGTGGGGTTGTTTTCAGTTGGATTGATAGGAATAGGCATCTGAAGCGCGAGTGTTTGTGGTCGAGGAAGTGGAGCCGGTGGATGAGGGTCTGGTGGTGAGATAGATTCGGGTGTGCCTCGGTCTCGTCGCCTAGTTAATGAGGATAGGCCAAACCGCCTTTCCCGGGAACCACCGCGTCCATTTGCGCCCGGTGGAGGAGGAAAACTCTGGGTATTTGACGGCTCTGGCGAGGGACGATGGACACTCGATGCGGGTATTCGCGCAGCGGAGATATTTGCTGGCGGAGTCTCATAAACTATACTGGCTGGCCTCTGACTCCGTGGAGGGGAATATGGTGGGGGGGGCGCAGGAGCTGACGCTTTGGTTTTATCAGCTTTCATCTGGTGTAAGCTAGAACACTATCGCATAGAATGCTTACCTTGCGAATCGCGCAGCGACAGCGATGGGGGAAACTGGTGAGTTCGCTCATGACCGACGGCGGGGGATTGACCCCATTCTTGAGGATTGTATGGCTGTATTGAACTGGCTGGCGTATGATGACCGGCGAAAGTATGTGATGAAGTAACTGACACGGCGGAATGCGGCGTGTTCAGCTGGTTATGAAACCCTCCTAAAGCCGTCGTCCGTAGAGGATTGAGGGTCTGACGAAGTCGAGCGGTTGCACTTTCGCGCGGACTGGTCATCATCACTTGTAACGGCCGTGGCCGTGTTTAATGGAGGCGCGCGGGTAGGGCGAGGCGACAATAGATAAGTCCGGGAATTGGCGCTGACACGGGCGGGATGTTGATTAATTACCCTTCGCGCTGATATCCTTGATCGAATCAATCTGGTGGCTGACGCTCGGTCCGCTACCTTCACCTTTTGACTTTTCAGTCGAGGAATTAAGAAAGATCTCTGTCGCTAATTACTTCCATGTCGCGATATTATTTCGATGGCATGAGAGATGATGTTCGGTTTTTGAAAAGCCGGAGGATATGCTTACACCGCGGCTCAGGAATAGTCTGTACTATGTGAGAAAAAGAGGGTGTAGGAGACAAAAAGTAATGGAGGGACTGGATAGGGTGATCGATCCCCTGGGGCCAAGGACGTGGGGGATAGGGTGACTCTTGGCAGATCCCTGGACTATGTACATATTTGCCCTGGGGTATACATAGGCTGCACGGACTCATCAAATTGGTTAATGGGAGATAGGATGGCAAATTCCGTGAAACGGGTGTGACCCTATCCACCTACACTTACATGTGTAGTCTGTATGTATGTACGATGTTTCCAACCCCTTTGTATCAAGGAGTACATCGAAACATGGGATTCTTGCCCTTCAATATCTCGTCTAATACTCAAGATATGAATATAGGGTCCTCTTTCGTGCGTGCTGTTTATGCAGGTCTATGTAGCTCTAAGTGTTAGTGGTAGCCTGAGTATGAACTCAAGCTAATAATTAAATCGCCCTACATAGGTACCTATGCTGCAACTAATGGACCCCATTTGCGGCAATGAAGGGCTGCTTAATCAAGATGTAAGTCAAGTTGAACGAATGGGAAGTATGTGATGGAATTGATGGAGCGATGGTGGACTGACCATACTGGCCCGACTTGGGACTAGAGTGGCCGGTACTTCGACATTGGTATAAATTAATGTTGAATCACGATTGGTCGAATCCTAAAGTAGACCCACTATCTATATATAGAGGTCATTAACAACGGACTTCTCTCATTGGTTGGATTCTTCTTTTCCCCTCGTGGTTTAGAATTGGTCGGCGCTTAAAAGTTGCAGAAACTCCTTTTCTCCACTTCACAACGACTATGATTGGTTTCTTCTTTTTAAGTCGGATCTCTGTCTGCACAGGAGCGGGGAAAAGCTCATGATGTCCAGGACAAGACCTACTGTATGTATGAAATATGTTGTAGGAATCGGTATGCCTCGGATGCGTCGTAACTATAAAGCAGGGAGCTATTCATATAAATATAATATAGAGTATGCATTGATCGTCCGCATAATCTACTTCCCGCTGCAGAGCAACACACTCTAAGATCCGCCGTTCGTTTTGTGCATTAGAGGGATTGGGATTACTATGCTATGTTAGAGGCTCTCAACTTAAGGGGTTACTAAGGCTGTTTGCTCGTAGATACCTAAACAGTTGAGCTCATGAAGAATAACAAACTATATAAATCAGATCGTAGCCTCTTTGACAGAGGATATAAATAGTATGTGATGTGATCGCATTGCATATGTCCTAGCACATTTCGCACGTGGAAATTTTACACCTAGGGAAACTCGGATGTTAGCTTCAATTGAGCGATGGCATGGACCAGGTAGGTCTTTCGTCCCGATTGATAAATGCAATGCATATATATCGTTACCTATCCATAGCTGTGGGTGCTTAAATACCACCTCAGAATTGTAGGTACCTAAGATATAAAATATATTGCGGCTTTTATGACAAGAAGTTATGTTTATAATAATCCGGAGAAGAAAAAGAGTCCCCTTGCCTTAGACACTAGGACTATCGGCGTTGGCCGTTCTTAGTGTGAGCGCGTGTTGACGTAATAGGCCATGAGCAGGTGCTATTTCCCATTCTAGGTGCGCCATCGATAAAAAGGAAGCTACAGTAGAGTCAAACTTAATGACCGGACCGAGGTTTCGCCGGAGCTAGGCCCCTCTCATTCCTGTATTTTCATTGGCATAGCATTCTTCACTTTTTTTTTTTCCTTCCGTGAACCTAACAAACTTCGTCGAAATTCTAGAGCGTTCGGCTGCATCTTTCGAAGCCGAAGCATCTCATCCTGTCGGCCTTGTGCCCTTCATGTCGTCTTTTTCTTCCCTTCAATTCGTCCAACTATGATTACAGATTGATTCTTGTAGTCAACTTATCCGTCCATCTGTCATCGGTAGGTTTCTTTTCCATTTCTTATTTTTTTTTTTAACTTCTATTTTATCTGCCCTTTTCTTACCGTTTGCATCCTGCGAAATCTCTGATGATACACCAGCTGGCACCAGTCATAGAGTGACTTGTACTCCCTTCATTGATGACCTATAGCTGTAGTCCTTGAGACGAATATCTGATCGACGTTGTTCCTCGCATCGAGTCTTCTGATTTGCCATTCCTCACAAAGAAGAAACAAATTGCTGACCAATCTTGGCCCCATTTAGCTTCTCAAACCGAATCTATACTTCGTTCGAATTATCCTCCCCCGTATTCCACCATGGTTCTTCACAACCCCAACAACTGGCATTGGGTCAGTAAGAATGCCAGCGAATGGGCTAAGCAATGGTTCGAGGAAAATCTAACCAAAGTCTCGGCTGAAGATGGAGAGGTCACCGCCAAGATTAGTAAGGTTGTCAGCATGGACGGTGATGTTGACGTGAGCCAAAGAAAGGGCAAGGTTATCACCATCTACGACGTAAAGCTCGTCCTCGAATATTCTGGTTTGTTATCCCCGTAGTTATTCGTAGTTATAATACAAAGTTATCAGATTTTCTAACCTTTTAAAAGGATCTGCACAGGGAGAAGAGGGTGTATCTGGTACAATCACCGTGCCCGAAGTTGCCCACGATACCGAGCAAGATGAATTCGTTGTAAGTACCTAGTTTTTTAGCCTAGTAATTGTAATGCCTTGCCGCATTTACTAATTATCGAAAAGTTCGACATAGACATTTACTCGGAATCGAAGGAAAAGCAGCCCGTAAAAGACCTAGTCCGATCCAAAATCACGCCACAGCTGCGACAGGAATTCTCAAAGCTTACCCCAGCTTTGATTGCCGAACATGGCAAGGATATTCAACACGCTGCTGGCTCGAACCCATCAAGTGGTTTCAGCACACCAAAGTATCACGTACCAAGCAGCACCGCTGCGGCGAAGACCGACGCTAGCACCACCCAGAAGAACGGCGATAGCGTTGTTAACACTACGACTGTGACTGACCAAGAAGAATTCCGAACCACCGCCGCTGAATTATACCAGACCTTTACCGATCCTCAACGACTAGCTGCGTTCACCCGTGCCCCACCGAAGAGATTTGATGGCGCTAAGAAGGGTGGCAAGTTTGAGTTATTCGGCGGTAACGTCTCCGGCGAATACGAAGAACTTGAAGAGCCCACCAAGATCGTCCAGAGCTGGAGACTTAACCAATGGCCAGCAGGTCACCACTCCAAGCAGGTGATTGAGTTCGACCAGAACGACGTGGACAGCGTGACCGTGATGAGAGTGACTTGGACTGGCGTTCCCGTAGGCCAGGAAGAAGTAACCAAGCGTAATTGGGAAGAATATTACGTGAGGAGCATCAAGAAGACTTTCGGGTAAGTTAATTCTCCCGACGTTGACATTTACTACCACACGGGCGTACTAATATCGAGAAGATTCGGAACGATCCTATAAGAAGTTCATCCCTATTAGCCAACGGCGTTGTCTGGTTCAATGGCGTAACTGGTAAGAGGTACAATCAACCCTCGCGGGCGATTGTTTGGCCATTTTTATAAAACCATAGAGTCGTAAGGTAGAGAGGACCAGGTTCTAATTCCTCATATTAGACACCTTGCATAGTAAAAAGTGCATTAAGAAGTCACAATGATAGATGATTATTTAATGATATACTTGGTCGTCGCTCATCTTTTTGTTCGACGCCCCAATAAGTAAGTCTTCAACTTCGTAGGCCATTTTCGCTCAAGTAATTCTCGACATGACGCTTTTGCCCTTGTGAGAGTTTTGGGCAGCGTTTCGCTTCTGGTCCTTTCATGCGATGCGATATAAAACTTGATGCACAACCCAGCGACGATATCAAGATTAAACATTACAATCGGCCTATAATATAAGGTTAAGTCAGATCATCCTGTTATAACTAAACATAACTACATATGTAGGTGCGTATCAGAGATGCATCACCAGGTACCTAAAGTAGGATCTAAAATCCAAAACCCCTAGCCTCCATCTCCAAATCGCGGGACGGCGGCGGGACAAGCCGAGCCAACTAACTAAAACCAACTACAGTAAGCTACGTCACCCACTAACTCTAGGCGGAAACTCAGCTTTTTATCCTTAAACTTCCAAACCACGGAAGACTTTCAGACTTAAATCTTTCCAACCTTTTTCATAAAAACTGCCCTCGCACTTGATTCCATGATTTCATAAACGATTAGATAATTTATATTGTTTCATTTATGATTTGCAATTTCTTTTCGCTTTCGTTCTCGATACCCCCTTAGATACCGATGTTTTGATAACGTTGATACCACCCGATGGCATTTCCCCTCGCGTCGGGATTCCCTAAGCCTCTATGATTGAAGTATCGCCAAGCACCATTCGTTCAACTGAACTGCGGGATCATCAGTAAAAGATCTGTATTTGATTTTAAAAATTGCTTTTCGTTATGGCTTCCCATAACTCTTCTGGGCTTGCCCCAGTTGAGAATGAGGATAGCTTGGAGATCCGCCGAAGTCTGGAGCTCCGTGTGGATTTACGTGTTGCTACTTTAGCTCTGAGCTCCGAACCAGAGCTCGCCCCTCTTACTTCGTGTAACGCTTCATCACGCCCAGACATACAGCAACCCGGCGAGATAGACATCCAACCAAAGAAGATTCCAGACTGGAGTAATCTGAAAGTCATTCACCGCAATACGTTGCCTCCTCGGAGTCATTTCCATCTCTATAACTCCGAAAGCGACGCTCTTTCAAGGGATGTGAGCCGCTCCAGAGCTGCGTTGCTCTCCGGTACTTGGGGGTTTGAACTTCCACCAGGTCCATTCAAGGGCTCGCAAGACTTTTATAAGCCCAACTTCGACCATACGGAATGGAAGCTCATCAAGGTTCCGGGCATGTGGCAGCTTCAAGGGTTTGGAAAAGGCCCTCAATATACTAATGTGAACTACCCTTTTCCAGTAGATCCACCAAATGTCCCATATGATGATAACGAATGCGGTCGCTATATCACACGATTCTTGGTGCCGGATACTCTGAAGGATGGAAGTCAATGGCGGTTACGGTTTGAAGGCGTCGATTCTGCTTTTACGGTTTGGGTGAACGGGAAGGAAGTTGGTTATTCGCAAGGCTCGAGGAACCCTAGCGAATTTGATATTTCCGCACAACTTGACATCGACGCCGAGAATACTCTTTGCGTGGAGGTCTATCAGCGATGCGATGGAAGTTATATCGAAGACCAGGACCAATGGTGGCTTAGTGGCATTTTTAGAGATGTCTGGTTACATTCGTTTACCCCCGTTCATTTTGAGGATTTTCATATCCAGACCATCCTAGATGACAACTACGAGGATGCTTGGCTCACGATTGACGCTAAGCTGAATAAGGACGGCGAAACTATCTCGGCTAAGCTTCTTGATGATAAAGGTGAGGTGGTCTTCTCTGATTCACACTTATCGCAATCCCGGTCACACAGATTTAAATATCAAGTTAAAGATCCTCAGAAATGGACTGCGGAAACCCCGTACCTATACTCCTTGGTTCTCTCCGTTGGATCAGTCTACGTCACTCAGCGGGTCGGGTTTCGTAGGGCCGAGCTCATTGATGGCGTCTTCTCCGTGAACGGGAGTCCCGTCAAGATTCGTGGGGTCAATCGCCATGAACACAATGCACAATCAGGGAGAACCGTTCCATATGCGGACCTACGGTGGGATCTTCAATTAATGAAATATTATGGCGTTAATGCTATTCGCACGTGCCACTACATCAATGATCCAAGGTTCTATGACCTTACCGATGAAATGGGATTTTGGGTGTTGGATGAAGCTGACCTTGAATGCCACGGGTTTGGCGAAGTCGGCGGTAATCCAGCAAGTTTCACGTCCGATAATCCTGAATGGAGGGATGCATATATAGATCGTGCGGTACAAATGGTTCAGCGAGATAAGAACCATCCTTCCGTCATCATGTGGTCTCTCGGGAACGAAGCTTTCTACGGTAACAATCACCAAGCCATGTACGATGCCATAAAAGAAATCGACACAACCCGCCTCGTGCACTATGAAGGTGACCAAGAAGCCAAAACCGCAGATATTTTCAGTCGGATGTATACTCCTGTTGACCAGATGATCAAACATGCGGAGGAGAAGAGTTGGAAGAAGCCTTTCGTCATGTGCGAATTCATTCACGCGATGGGTAACGGTCCGGGTGCCATGAAAGAGTATATCGAAGCTTTCTACAAGTACCCACGCCTCATGGGAGGTTTTGTGTGGGAGTGGGCTAATCACGTAAGTCTACAGCAACCTCTCGTTTCTTGGCGCTTCATCCTTGTTAAGGCAATTCTAATAGATAATATATAGGGTCTGGAAACTGAATCGAAAGATGGCGAAAGGTATTATGGATACGGCGGCGACTTCCAACCCGATGAACCGAATGATGGTAATTTCGTGATGGACGGACTTTGCGATTCGCGACATTTCCCTGGTCCAGGACTCGACGAATATGGAAAGGCTATCGAACCAGTACAGATACTCGGCGTGAAAGGCAACGAAGTAACGATTATAAATCGCTACGACTTTCTGACCTTAGACCATCTTAAATGTTACTGGGAACTCATTTCAGACCGACAGCAGATGATTGGAAAAGAGATACTCATCCCGGCATCAATTAAGCCCCATACGAATGCGACCTTAGTGCTCGGTGGTCTTCCAATGACTCTATCGGCAGATACATGGCTTCAGCTAGAGTTTATGGCACGTCGAGAAAGCAAATGGACACCACCCGGAAGGGTTGTAGCCCGCGGTCAAATTTCCCTTACAGTGCCTCAATCCCTTACACTCCTCAAATCCCTTTCCTCACCAAGTCGTCCCCATATCCAACGTAAAGACGGAATGCTCTACGTCACCCTTTCTAAAGGCACAACCTTCGGCTTCGATACCGGTAACGGTACTCTATCCTCCCTAACGCATACTTCGAAGCCAGACGACAACCTCATCACCGTTCCCTTAGCTCTCGACTTCTATCGCGCGCTCACAGACAACGACCGTGGCGGCCACGGCCAAGAATGGATCGACCGTCGCGTCCACCAAACACGTAACCATTTCTCACAACTAACCGTTACCGAGACAGAATCTAGTTGCACCATCGTCGTCAAAGGCCGCGCCGCACCACCCGCCCTCGCCTGGGGTGTCGACACCACGACAACATATACCCTAACATCTTCGCACTGCAGCATCCGCGTACAAGCTAAGCCCAACGGATCTCTCCTCCCCTCCACATTCGCGCGCTTCGGCCTATCCTTCGGTCTCCGCGGTGTGCGAATCATAGAGTGGTTCGGTCGGGGCCCAGGTGAATCCTACCGCGACCGTAAACGCGCGCAACTAATCAATACATGGGGTTTCTCGACCGCATACCCCGACGCGTTATTCCGACACTATGAATTCCCACAGGACGCCGGGAACCGGACGGATGTTCGATGGTTGGAACTACGTTCCCATTGGGGCGGCGAAGACGTGTTTCCCGATCGACTACTCCGCGCGCGCTTTGGCGATCATAAAGGTGCGAGTTTTAGCGTTATGCCGTATACCACGCGCGATGTGGATGAGTGTACACACCCGTATGAACTGAGGAAGAGGAGGAGAGAGGATCATATCGTTAGGTTGGATTGGTATCATCATGGTCTTGGTACGGCGAGTTGTGGGCCTGCTACGTTGCCTGAGTATCAGTTGAGGACTGATCAGGAATTTGATGTTGAATTGTTGTTGGATTGAGTCGTTGGTTTTTTATTGTTGTTTTTTATGTGTGTTCATTTTTGGATACTGGAAAGAATCCCTCGTATGGTAACGTGAGGCGGCTCTACCGTCAACTTTGATTTATTCAGCCTGTCAGAGTTGTCTAGATCACGATAGCAATGAGGAATGTCGTCGAAAGCATACGTTCTATTTTCGTTGTGCGATTGTACCTCGAAGTACGCCGAAATCTAAGTAATCGAAAGTTCGATGTTTCCCACGTCTTCTGACTTTCTCCCCCCGTTACATCTCCCCGAGTATGGCTATATTGTGCCAACTCTTGTTAAGCTGAAATCATGTCATAGCATAAACAACCATAAGTCAACGCGACTAAGACCTCGCAGCTATATCTGCGTCCAGAAAGCTAATGAGATGAATACCACGCCAAACAGCAAACATATTACATAATAAAAGGTAACCAGCTCTCACCCTGCTCTCCTTACTGCAAATGTCAGCGTTAGATGTACTGCCAGGCCCCGACCTCCGCAGTGGTCCCGTGAAGTGTAAGTCCGATGGCGTCAATGCAGTTCGTCAGATTGAATCCGGGGGTGTGGGCGTAGAGGCGGTGACTAGCGCCCGTGCCAGCCATGAAGGCTTCAACATCGGGACATAAAGCGATACCGCCGATGCCAGAACCGTCCGTGGATAGGAAGTCGAGTACATCGCGCGGCGGCGCGCAATCCGATAGTACGGTCTTGTTGAACCAACCGCCTGTGAAGGAGCCTTGGGGTACGGATGCTGAGTGCGCTTGCATGTATTGCACTTGGCCTTTGGGCGCGACGTAGATTGATTGGCCGCCGGGGACTTGGACCTACCGGGTTGGGATACGCGTTAGTAATTGGATACCTAGGTAGGCAGTGTGGGATTTATTATGAGAATAGGCGGGGAGTGACCTACAGCCATACCGGTCAGACCTGCATACACGAGAGTACCTTGGACCTTGGGACACAAGCCGACGTTCTGGGGACAGTACGTAGCTGGACCCGATGTCCCCGCGTAGAATCCCTGACCGGCGGCTTCGAGTAGGGCTCCATCTATCGAGGTATCCGGCGCGAACACGGTGAGGAAGTATGTCGTGGCTGATGCGACGGTCGAGTAGGCGGCGAGAGGAAGGAGGAGTTTCATTGTGTCGGTACCCGTAATTGGATTTGGATTATGTGAATGATAAGAATGGAGAGGGTTGGTTCTTTGGCGGGATTGATCATGAGGAGGATAGATACCAATTGTATCGCGTCTTTTGAAAGTATTCAAGGGACAAGAGAGTGACTTGAGAGGGTTAGAAACCAAAGCTGTGGAATTGATTAGGAGGTAGTCGGGGGCTGCTGCACAATTGATGGTGTACAATTGAGAAGAGAATAAATTTCAATTGGGATTAAATAAAATTTGGAGGTCAATTATATGTAGGACAAGAGCTACCCGTTGGTGTAGCCTGTTCATCTCGTTTGCTCCTGCTTGATGTATCATCTTTTCTTTGAGATTCGTACCTTCCGCTTCTTCGTCGCCTCTACTTCCTGTTTGCGCCTTCTCTTGTGATAGCAAACTATACTTGGTAATACGTATTAGCTGTTCGCAACTTCCCAAACTCCGAAACTTCCCTTCTTCAAAGTGGCTCCAGATCACGCGCATCATTGTCCCCGTAGAAGAGGGTTAAGGTCTAGACTTATAAGGGTTATAAGAGTCCAAAAGATAGGGGGGCTTGTATGACATAAAAGTTATGTAATCTTAGTCAGCAGTTTCCCTTTGGACGTCAACCTCATAAACCAAGTTATTAATACGGCTATTTAGGTATAACTAATAAATAGTTTCCTCTCATGATCAATTGATATATATTGTAAGTTCCAATTATGCGCGAACATTTTTCATATATATTACTACTGCCCAGTCAAATTCAGGGTTAGGGTTAGGGTTAAGATCATTGGTGTGATGAATCTTACGTAAACAAAAACCATCAATTACATAATCAAGATTTGATTATATGAGCCAGCATCATTCTATCCCCTTACCCAGGTAGATACCTTAAGTATTTAATTGCTACTACAACCACTGACGAGGGTATCGACTGACTACTATTAGTTGCGGGCCAATACACTGGTCTACGTGAATAGCACATATATGATCACGACTCAATATCGAGTAAATCTTGACTCGATATATTACGTGGAGGTTTGAGTAACATGTAATCATCCGAAGCATTTCCCAAAAACTAAAACAAATCGCAAAACCGGAGATCAAATAATATAGCATCCTATTTCGCGGTTTAGGTATCAAAAATCAATTCATATCTACTTAAGTAGGTACCTAGGTAGATAAACGCTTCCAAAACCCCCTACCTATAGGTAGGCATCAAAATAGATAAGAGAATAACGCCGATGTAGACCTCCATCGCTAGAGCCCTAATTTCCGCCCTTCTCACGCTCGTCCCGCAGTCTCTTCTGTGTTTCGTTCAAGGTGAGCCTGCTTTGAATGTCACTCTTCACGGATTGCAAGGTAGTCATGGCCTCGTCGGTCTTGTCGACGATATCAGCGTTGCCGCGGTGCTCCGACTTGGCGGATTTACATACGTCCACTGCGTCCGGAATCCAGTCCTTGGCCCGGTTGAGTTCTGCCTCTTGGTCGTCGGGAAAAACTCCTTCGTCGGAGACGCTGTCGTAGTAGTCCTGGACGGCGTTGGCTGCGTCGAGCATCTTGTCGGCGTCGCCGGCGCTGCTGATGCTAGATGTGGGGTAGTCTAAGCCCATGGTGAAAGATGATGTCTTTTTGTTGATATGATAATTTTGGTGATCGTGTATGTTTTTGGTGGTGAAGTAAATGTGGTGTGGTGCTAGTGGTAGAAGAAGAAAAAGCTTGAAGATGAACTCGTTTATATAAAAAAGCATTGTGTAATATCGTACGAAATTACGTGTCGCGTATGGGTCAGGGACGACTCAGGCCGTGAATAAGGACGCACAAAATCCATCGCATTTCTCTATAGACGCGAGGTTTACGATGACGACGTAAATGAATCAGGAACGATGAATATTTCCGTCTTGCCAGGTGTTGTATTTCCAAACCTATCTAGAAAGCGTGTTCTAGAGCGGACGTGGGTCGTCTACTCATGTCCTGCTATTTATTTAAAGGTGCAACTCATTCAGTTTCATCCCATTTCCAAAATCCACTCCGATTTTGTTGTGATAATTGTCAATTGTCCCTACAGCTACTCCTCATATGTATGAGCCAGGTACTGCCTCTTCGATATCCCTATAAAGTCTATCGCGCGTCGTATATATAGGGCTCAGAGGCTCCAGGGAACTTGCCTCGGTCTCTTCATATATAGAATGTACACGTTTCGGTTTAAAATGGCCTCCAGCTGCTCTAAATATCGATTTTGGGGACCGTTTTCTAACGAGAAACTGTAGCGTTGGAAGGCAAGCAGCACATACACCTATTCCGAGTTCAATGAGACCCCAGTACAGATACTCTGTTAGTAACGCTGTGGTCAGGTTAGAGCGGTGATAGAATGACGATATTTCCCCGTCAAGGAATACTCACAGCCCTCATTCATCGGGTCAAATTCCGGTTGACCAATCCTAAACATCATGATTGACATCATACCGAGTCGAATAACGGAGGCAATAGTCGATCTAAAATTTCCAACGTTGTTAGAATCAATCATCTACACCTACATAAAACATTGACCACAATCACATACACTGCTCCTAGAAGGAAAACGGCGCTAGCGGCAAACTTCTTCGAGGTTGTTAAATTCAAGCGCCAGACCTGGTTCATGTTAGCTTCACCAGAACCCGGGGGCGGCTTCAATTTGGTACCAGGGGTATCGGGATAACTATTATCATAGCATCCGTTATAAAGTCGCAAATACTTATAGCAAATGCCGTTTTCATCATATGAGTGCAATAGATCAAAATATCCGCGCTTGGACCTTCCATCATCGACCAGTTCGTTACGCATTGAATGAGATCCGCTAGGAAAAACGCCGTTGAGAGTGAAACGACAAGTATGATCATTCCAACGAGAACGTAATTCACCGTACTCCTCCTTGTGACCGAGAAAATGCGCATGTAGAAAAATAGAAAACTCGTTTTAATGCATCCTAGAGTTAAAGGGAAGATCAAACCGAAAACCCATTGAATCTGGAAAATGTTTAGTATTCTATCTCCAAGCTGGCAGTGAGCACACTTACCAGGCATAATGTCGAATGCTTTCCATCCGAGTGTGGTGGCGACGTTCCGATCGGATATGCCACAACCTTTTGTGAGACGCCATATACCACACAAATGCCACTTCCACAAGTCAAAAGCTAATATTATCAGCACTATAATATCATTAGAAACGAGGATACAAACTATAGCAGGTATCATGAGCCAATCGTCAGCTTTCAGGGGTTGTTTTTGCTTTTTCCGTACCCAGAACTTTAGTATCACCGCTATCAAGCCAACCAGTGGTAGAACCGCTGCAGCGGCAATAATAGGTCCTGGTTGGTGCATATATGTCTGATATGAATCCATTGTGAGCAACACCCCTTGTGACACGGTAAACCGCGTTTACTCGAAAGACTAAGTCTGTGCTAATGAATCGGTCGAGAATTCTGGCATACCTCCCTAGGTAAGTTTTGTTCAGCTCAGCATCTGGGACATGGGGATAGCTGAATCATATGTGAAAACCCGCAGTATACTTTCTCCAAACTTTGGTTACTCAACCAAGACTCATGATTCGGACCTCGGGTTATCTACCGAAATACTTTTGGCATGCTTAGCTACCTTGATATACATACACCCTATTCGGTGGGCGTTTTCTGTACTTTACTTCGTAACACAGCAGTCAATAACGCTACACTATCATTTTTCATCGTAAGAAATCTTAGGCAACGCTAAAAGTAATAACTTGAGTTTTGTTAAAACAGGCAGAATACTCACTCAAGTATGTCTTAAGTACATACACATGTGTGTTGAGATAATACCTTGATAAGCCACACGCTAGGCCATAGGTCATCTATTTGTATAAATTCGTACGAGTATGACTCTCCTCTCGTGACACCCTCTGGATTGGCGTATCGTATCTATAATTAGGTAATTCGGCATCCCAACAAAACACGTCAGTCCAGTGGCGATGCACGGCCAGAAATAGGGGCGGCACGATCTAGTGGCTATGCAAATCCTCAAGTTTGACTAAATGATATCATAATCCGACAGTTACACAGATCAATCATCATTAACCTAACCCTAACCCTAACCCCTAGGCTCATATTCATCTAGTATTCTGGTATCGAATTCGGCCGGACTCAGAGAAGAATGTAAAAGCTACGCAGCTCTCTAGGGTACCTAGTATTGTAGGAACTGAGGGAATAAAGCTCGGGTTTACCTGTGAGAGGTCTCTTTTTTTCAACTACACGGGTGGAACGAAGCTTTCAGCCGTTCCAGGTGGTTACACAAAACCTGTGGGAGTAAGGGTAAGATTCCTAAGCCTATATAGCCACAGTGTTTCGAAATACGGATAAAAGGTGCGATATCTCACACAAAATCATATCAAGGCGTTAAATACTAATGGTCCCGAGTCTCCAGGTACTCGACGTCACCAAATTATATCCAGGTAGTTGCTGCTTAATCAGACAAACCCCTTTCCCCCGTTTTCCCAACATAATCAAGGTAATTTGATATTACGCCTTTGCATACACTCTTCGTTCCACTAATGCTTATTAAACTATTCCCATCTATTTTATCTCTCTGCTTTCTTATGTATTTACTTACCTACAATCTTTAAGACAGCTTCTCTAGTCGCCGTTAGCGTCGACTATCCGCCCCATAGACGAGTGGAACCTCCGGGGTATTTACGTGTCTTCCAAGTTCTGGAGATCTTCTAGCGCCTTAGTTTCTTGTTTTCTCCTAGGCACGTAACGACATATCGCAGCTACTATTATCGGACTATGCTTTCCTTTAAGAGCGAGCATTAACCTATATCAATGGAGATGTGGATATAACCAGGCCCACTGGCACACCAAACAAGGAAATAGTAGGTAGTGATTGATACGGCGTCATGTTCTTGCCACAATGTTATTTTCCCACCTACTGCCCCGGTCGCATAATATAAACCATAATCCAACTTGTTTTGTAAAGGGCCCGGCCGTATAGGGTTAGGCAGAAAGCGGGAAGCAGCTGAGGATTCCACGCAAAGCTACTTGACGTGTTATAGCTTTTAGCTAGGGAGTTGTTGAAGATAGATGCCTTTCAACTTGATGATGAAGCTTTAAATAATGCAAATTCCTTGACTAAACCCATGTTGCGGTCGTCACATACCAGCTTAACACCCGTATTTACTACACTAGCGCGACGAGGGGCGGTTAGTCAACATCGTCAGTCCTAATCTAGACGAATCACTACAACTATGAAATATTAAATACAAAAAATCGATCTTGGAAGTGTTTCTTTGCCTTGACATGATATTCCTGGAAGTGGTGTGGCGATATAGTTCCTGGAATCCACCATAACGTCAACTTGGACGTCAAGGACATCACTCTGGGTCTCCCAAATAATCTATAAAGAGGCATACAACCTGTCTCGATTGCGTAGGCGTTCTATTCCTCTATGATCCAACCCAAAGATATACACAGTCTATACTCGTCAGAATAAGCAATATGGCGACCCATCAACCCCATATCTGCCACGTTGTACCACCATACTTGCTATCGGCTATTGCCGATAATAGCAACAATGAGAACCAGATTCGCGAATCCGCTCGTCACACACTCACACTCCACGCAAATTACATCGGCAAGCGAGAGAAACGATTTGCGGCGTTGACTAAACCTCGAGGTAGCCGGACCTCGGCTCCAGCTAACGCCCACGGACGGCAAGGTATCGTGCCAGACCATATACTTCAGCACATCGCCGATTGTGAAGACGTTGACGATGATACTCGAGCTTGCGCGAAACGAGACTTGGAGCACGTTAAGAATATCCATGCCAAATACCAACAGCAGCAAGCTCGTGAGGAAACATCCGATCAAAAGGCAGCCGTAGCAGCTAAACAACCTTCGGATACTACCGAAAAGACCTACCGCGCCGTGTACGACGCAAAACACGACTCCGATGAAGCCAACCTACCCGGAAAAGTCATTCGTGTCGAAGGGCAGAAAGCATCCAAGGACGAGTCAGCTAACGAAGCCTACGATAACGCCGGACACGTTCTCTCATTCTATTACGATATCTTCAATTGGAAGTCCATTGATAACAATAATATGCATGTTATTAGTTCCGTACACTTTGGTCGGAACTACGAGAATGCATTTTGGGACCCCGAGGCCGCGCAAATGGTCTATGGCGATGGACACAATTTCTTGACCAACTTCACCGGCGCGGTGGATGTCATTGGACATGAACTTACACATGCAGTCACAGAACACACCTCACCCCTGGATTATTCGGGCCAAAGCGGTGCACTGAACGAGCATGTCTCCGATGTATTTGGCATCATGATCAAACAGCGAGTCGAGAATGAAACCGCAGATAAAGCCGACTGGTTGATCGGCGAGTACTGCCTAATGCCAGGTGTGAAAGGTGTAGCACTGAGAAGCATGAAGGCTCCCGGGACAGCATATAATGACCCGCGTTTCGTAAGTGTTATAACGCGAAGTATTACCGTGCTCACAGCTAACTCTTATTAGGGGAAAGACCCGCAACCAGCCAATTTCAAGGACTACAAGGCAACTTCGGACGATAATGGAGGAGTATGTAAACCCCAATCTTGGTGGACGAAAATATAACTGACATGTCTAGGTACACCTCTACTCGGGCATCCCAAATAAGGCATTCTATAATGCATCTATCGCATTTGGCGGCTACTCGTAGGTCTCTAGGTCTTATTCTCATACTGGTAGTTGCTGACAAGTATACCCGTAGATGGGAAAAAGCTGGTAAAACCTGGTGGGAAACATTGAGGAGTGGTCAGATTGCTCCTCGTTGCACATTCATTCAGTTTGCAGACGTGACTGTGGCGAAGGCAGAGGAGCTATTCGGAGAAGAGGCGGCGTCTACGGTACGCAAAGCCTGGGACGATGTGGGCGTCACGAGACGCTCTTATACACGCACGGGAAAGGACTAAGAGAGCCAATAATATCTTCAATTGGAGGCAATGACCTGTGTTTTAGAGTGAGAGTTGGCTGCGTCGATAAGTGAGAGAATTTATCATCCCTACAAGTTCCAGCCATCAAATTAAAGAAGTGTATAAAAAAGGAGGAAATAGGGGAAGAAGGCCCTAAATTTCAGGGCGGAACCCACTGAATCATTATAATAGCTACTTGCTAAACCTCGCTGAATATAGCACTATGTTAGCGCCCTATGACAGTGCGGGGTCACTATTGTAGAGGAGCATCAAGCCAGGACTTAGGCGACAGTGAGTCTATACCAGATTGCCCTAGGATAAAGGCGTCACCAACTACCGTTAGCGTGTATACCTTGTAGAGTTAGGTAGGGCGTACGGAAGGTAAAAAACAATTATCTGCAAATTGCGGGGAACGCCACAAACGTGAGGGGAGCAGTTCGCTATGGTCCCTTCTATGACAGCGCTATCACACGGGAAGGCAGACTAGAGGGGGCGTAGCGCTAGCCACCATTGTAATCCAGCGCATCGAATCATTAGGTAGATAGATACCTACAACGCACAAGGATGTTCTCAACATTGAACTTAGCCGTACTTACTCGAATCGATTTACACTCAGTTAATAGAAACAGCCTTTGAGAAAGTTTGAGTTCAATAAAGTCGACCTGTATTAAACTGTATTGAGTATAGAAGATGATAGATGAAAGACGGTAAAAGACACTTCAAAAAGCTTGCAAATCAATGTGTATAGATTAGCTTAGCTCTGTAGCTTCCGAGTCTGTACTGGGCTGTGGTGGGCAGCCAACTACGCCGTCCTTACAGGGAGTTATCCCACCTTTTTAACCCCACAGGATTACCCCGCCCAGGTATGTACGTAAAGCCCCCTAGACCGCCGTCACATCACCAATAATTACAGCGCCTCGAAGTGAGCATCCTTATTTTTCCAACTCCTACACCATAAAACTAGATACATACCTGAAAACGGGCGTGTTTGCGTCCCTATATCATACATACATGTAGTTTTCAACCACTAAATAGTCAATTGGCTAAATTACGAATTGGTTATATTGCCAACTCATTAACTTACCTAAATGTTAAATGAAGATTCGCCTACTCATTATTGTGTTACCCAGTCTCCTTGATCCGTTTTCGTGTGAGGTCCTTTTGGGGGAGACACGCGCTGTAATCCACCATAATTACAAGGGGCTCTAGTGCCCTTACCCCTATAATCAGGAGTCTACTCCATTGATCCATTGTGCCCTTCGTTGGCTCAGATATCTAGTCAGCGAAGGGACATAGATACTGACATAATTTATAAACCCAATGAAACGTGTCGATACAGCCTCCGGTACATATGTACCTAGAAGTCATGTAATTATCTCCTGCCTATTTTGCTGCTAAGTGCGTACGCGGGTAGACACCACACCTCTCCCATCAAACCACGCCAGGATAGAAATCCATCAACCTTACCATCCTCAAAAGTATCGCCGTTAAGCCCAACGCAAAGCATTCCGTCCGCGAATAGTCCCGGCTCTCCATGATGATTATACAGCTACGGATGTCGTCCAGCCGCCCGACATTCCATTCTGATCTCCTTTTTCGACTTCCCAATAAATCGTATGTCGATCGAACGTTCACCCTCTAGGCACATCAGGGAAGAATGAATTTCATCTTTCTCCTGCTCGTTATTCCACCCCGTAACCTCAATCATACCCGGAGCTGATTCGTATCGTTCCGGGTCCACATACATGAATTCCTCAAATAATTCGAGTACCTCATCAACTAATCGACAACACCCCATCGCGCAATAACACTCCTCAAAACATAATTGAAGTCGCTTAAAGTATGAGAATGGGATACTGCGTACGCGACTATCCCACTTCATTACTAACTTCACCCTTAATTCTCTATGCATCTCCTTTAGAAATTCCTCTTCGTCGACCGAGCCAGTGTCTAGTCGTCGTCCTCGCCCGGTCTCATCGGTTGGTCGTACCTTGCGTTGAACATTAGGGAACTGCTGGTCGATACATCCCGCATATCGAAGGTGTAACTAACATCGCGCATACACCTATATATAGACTCATATTCGCCTCCTATGCCATACACGCACCTGAACAGTTGGGAATCGCATTCCCCACATGGAAAGACGAAACGATTAAAACGGAAGTATACACATGCCGCTTCATATTGAATGGCTTTGCTGACGCCCAATAATAAACCAATAGACTGGCCAGGGTCTTTGTGACGACTTAGCCGGTGTTGGCCCAGGCCTTCATAGCGCAAGTAAGTATCTCCAGAAGCATCATGGGTTCCCTTGTTGTTGTACGTGAGTATCCGTTTTCCGACCACATCTGAACAACCATAGTTTGGTGGGAATACGGATCCTTTCACAAGGAGGTATCTATAGATCATGTTGCGGATCTCTTGAGGAAGATCCATGAAGCCGTGAAACTCCTTGCCGATACGAGTATTAAGGGACTGTCTCATGCAGCGACGAACACATTCTTCCCAGGGTGTTGATTCTTTTTGTTGGCGTGTCCAGTACTCTTTCAGACGGAATTCCCATGGTCTAGTTCGTTCCTCCGCGAAGTATGACACATGCGCTGCTACCGCGGATGCTTCGCTCTCCCACTTCTCTGCCTGTTCTCGGGAGACAGGCATCACGCCGATTAGGCAAAAAAAAGTTATTAAGTTAGAGCTGGGTATGCAATCCCGGAGTTCTCATAGGGAAAAATACACTAAGTCGTCGGAAGGAGTAGAAGGGCTCTGAAAGCTAAGTAGGATCGAGTTCATCAATGGAAGGATAAGACCTGCGAGGTGTTAAGTAATAATCTCAGGGGGAATAGTAGGTTATGTACGCGAAGTAAAGGTTACCTTTGAATACTTAAGAAACCATGGAATGTCCGACACCTACCCAAATAGATAAACTTTCTATTCTTCTCTCATTTCAATATCTGCCTAGCCAGGCAGCAAGGCACGAAGGCCTTGACTTCAGTAAGTTCCAGCATGTGCTATATATACCGTAGGTATGATTATCTCAAAGCTCGTGGTAATAAAAAGATGAAATTCTATAGGGACAGGCACCCTAGCCATATTTCCGCTACTTACCAAAAAGATCTATCCCCTTCCCATCTTTATTTTTCAACCGCGCTGCACCCACGGTATTAAACTAATTTGAGCATTTTGTCGTTAGCAACCGCTGGTGTTTGGGTACCTAGGTAGTCGGTTATACCGATTCAAATAATGGAGGGGGCGCTAGAACACCGCTAAATTATAAGCCTTGTGATGGGGTAGGTAGCTGGTAGATAGTGGGGTTAAGACTGGCGGAGCACGAGCTGTAAACCCCTGTAAACCCCCCAGACCCTGCTAAAGTAGCAGGTACGAAACATGACCAGAACCGTCGACTGAAAGCAATCGTGTATATTGGCTAAGGGTTCAGCAAATCTTACGCTTTAACTTGACACATGTCAGCAATACCGGAGGATGTAAGTTTCTCCATAACAAATAACCCCTTGTTATGTCTTTAGACCATCCTTAAGCGGATGTCCACGCCATTAAATCAGTCGCAAAAATCAGCAAATATTTCCTCAAGGAATTACCCCCACCTTCCAACTGTATCCCCCGGCAGACGAATAGCTAGTCCACGAAATTCGCACAGCCACGAAGACTGTTAATAAGCGCGGGGTCAAATTCTGAGAGCCAATTTGGCTCATTTGAGTCGCAGTCCGAAGAGAGCTCTTCGTTCTCACACGCTTCGGAAGGGCCCGAGTCAATGGGAAGTGGTTGGCGAGCCAGGGGTTCCAGGGCAGTGGAGGCCGGGGTGATTCCGCTTGAATTCTCCAGCGACTCTAGCCATGGCGAACTTGATCCCATTTTTGTTGGTTTCCATTCTGTTGATCCTGATAACAAATATGTTTCTTGGCCTGAAAGACTAGCTGAAGGCAAATCGAAACGATCAGATGCCTTCTGCAACTCATTAACGGTGGTAAAGCTGAGATTAGGTGACCGACCAGAATCCATGCTTTCTTTCAAGGTCTCAACAACACCTGGATAAAGCGTTTCATCCTTCCTCATCGTCTGAAGTTTGCTAACATCTTTAGATTTGCTAAGGCGAATAATACTCTCTATATCAGGAAGTTCGTCGTCATTCTCAAAAACGTCACTATCATATTGCATGTCAGAGTCATATCTCATATTCGCACAGACCCCATCATGAGCACCGAGAGCTCCACTAAACAGCGAGTTGGATAACTTGGGTTCCCCATGGCCGCTAAATGCACTCATAACAGGTAGAGTGCTGTTAACTACCCCCTTGGGCATGTCAAAAGGACGTTGGGATTTTTTCATCCCGTGGGTGCCAAGCGTTAACGACGGCAAGTGCTCGGTCTCGGTTTCGGGCGACATCGTAGAGAGGTCAATACATTCAATATCCGACAGGGCGTCTATGTCCGAAGTATGCTCTTTAGTTTTACTTCGCTTCTTAAGCATCGCTCCTTTGTTGGCTTCCGCAGAGCGCTTCCTCTTCACATTTGGTAGATTGGCATCGGACTTCCCAGCCATAGGTTGGCCCGTGGTAGTATGTCGTTGCTGGGAGATATGATTAGTCGCAGGTCTCGCGACTCCCTTCCCTCTGTCCTTATTGGTCTTGATATCTCCGGCAGCCCCCGAGACTTGTGCTTGTTGCGTTGAGAATCCAGAGGTAGAATCTTCTTCTTTGGGCACATTATTCCCTACTTCTTTCTGATTCTTCTTCTTTTTCTTATCCTGCGGTGGCGGCCGAAACCTATTTATCCCTTCGTGGCAACATTTATGGGTGCAGGGCTTGCCGGATGAGGTAGAGCCGCCATTGCGGCAACGATGATTGCACATCCATTTTCCGTTATCCATCTTGGCAGGTTCAAATGTCGAAAGGCTTGCTTCCTGCGATAGAACATGGTCGATCAAGGGATACTCTTCTTCGGCATCATCTAACGGTCCTGGGTATTCCGACGATCCCATCTCGTCAGCCCCGTTAGCTAGAGCCAAAGTAGCGCTGAGAATCTCTTCATCTGAAAGATCATCATAATCCATATCATCGTCTAAGATAGTGGCGGGCGCCTGGCAGTTAATCACTTGGGCCTTCCTTTCCTTCCATGCAGTCTTCGGTATATCAGGGTCCAGTTCCTTCACAACCTGAGTTCCGACAATCTCTTCGCAGCCGAAGTAACAAGAGACCTTCTGGTCTGGACCACTAAGTGAGACGGGAAACTTCAGGTCTAAGCCAGTAGATTTCTCAATCTTCCTCAGGTTCCCGCGCCAAAAGTATGCGAGACACCCATCGGTAGTGAGAACGAAGAACGTCGCTGCCGGCACTTTATGGTTCCATATCGGCACACCCTTCGCATTTCGATAGCAGAGGTTGACCTTCAACGTTACCGTCACACTATCTTCGGGTTGTGACTGTCGTGGGATACTAGCAACGAGATGGGTCTTCATGTCCAGGCGGGGGAAGTTCTCCAATGTTTTCAACATATTCATACCATACGGAGGATTCCTGCTTGAAACGCGCTCGATCTCGTTGAAATCTCTATCGGCCAACCCCAATACTGTATGGACTCCATTACTCACCCACTTTCGTATCATTACCGGCCCCAGCCCTGGAATCTGAGAAAGCTGCGACGGTTTATTGTCCCACGAATTTGCAGAGAGAGCACGTGCTAGCTCGAGGCCAGCTTTCGTGCTATAACCATCACCATCAAACACTCGGCAGTCCACGAAGCAGCGTACTAGACGGTTCAGTCTATCAAATATGGCGGATTTCTCTGCCCCGATTTTGAACTTCATGAGACCGGATCCCTTTTCGTGCGGCAACTCTACACCGCCGAGAAAGACCTGGGCCACGAGGAAGACCTTGTGCCAATTCTGATTCACCGTCTCCTTGATTGGGTGAAGGATGAATGGAGACTTGTTTAGTTCCCGAAACAAAGCCCGTTCGTCAGGTTTAAAGCGGAAGTCTTTTAACTCGGCAGCTTTACAGAGCGTGGTGAGCTGCAAAAGTCTGTTAGCAATCCATCCGAAACACGAGCATCCGAATGTCTCGATTATAGACTTACAATTTCCTCGAGTCCTGCCCCTCGAGGCATAGATAATAACAGTTTCATCGTCTCGATGTTGATCATATACCTAGACATCGCATGTCCATATTCCGTACATTTGAATGGTGCTTGCTTTGTGATCAAGCCACACTCTTGCAGTAGCTTCACATCTCGCTCGCACCATTCCTCCATCCTCTTATCGGCGTCTTCAGCGTTACGAGCATCTTGAAGATGGTACAGCGAGGGAGACTGACGCACTCGTACGCTTAGAAATGTACCTCCAATCCATTTCTTGGCCGTCTGCACATCTTGAATAGTTCCCAAGCTAATCTCGGAGTTTAGGTGTTCCACCAAATTTCGATGAAGTGTACTCTCCAGTGTCTCTTCTCCAGACATCATTTTCTTGTATCGATCAACATTCGCCGTTTTAGTCATAATTATAGCCACGGCGCTATCATCAAACTGTGGGCGACCAGCACGGCCAAGCATTTGCATAACTTCCAAGTCCGAATATTCTTGGGCTTTATCGTCTGTGTAGCCCGTCGTCCCTTTTAATACCACCGTATGACATGGAAGATTCACCCCAACCGCCAATGTAGACGTGCAACAGATGACATGGATTTGACCCTCAAGGAAGTTTTGCGCTACTGCCGATCTATCCTGGGCGTCAAGGCCCGCGTGGTGAAAAGCAACACCATGCCGCACAATCTCTTGAAGCGACGTATTTATGACAGGAACCCTTCGCGTCGGTGCGGGCCAGGCCTTATCCTCCGCTTTGCAAGTCGACCACCACTCCACCAATCTTCTAGCGGTAACCTCACATGACTTTCGCGTGAAACAGAAAATCATGATTGGCTTCTTCTGTGAGTGCTTTGAAAGGAGCATAATCAACTTCCCATCAAGCGACTTGTCAAATATGAAATCATTCTGATAGGAGCCGTATCCATAGACATATCGTTGTAATTTGACCGGTCTCAATTCTTCGCCAAAAGCTTCGGCCCTGGCTGGTTCTTGTTGGTTTGAGTAATCCCGACCGAGCCATCTTGCAATATCTCCAATATTAGGGATAGTAGCACTCAAGGCGACGAAGCGGACATTCGCTCCGATCGTTTTCATACGCGAGACAACGGCTTCCAAGGTAGCGCCGCGAGCGTCCTTCAAAATATGCACCTCATCGATGAGGACTAGACGAACCATCTCTAAAAGCTTTCGGTGATCCGACCACTTCCTCGTAATAGAATCCCACTTCTCTGGGGTAGTTACGATGATTGACGCATTACCCACTCGACTCGCCTGCGCTTGTGAAGTATCGCCAGTAAGTTCGACACATCGTATATTCATATGGCTGAACTTCTTTTCCCAGTCTTTTGCACGCTCCGAGCACAGGGACTTCGTAGGTGCTTGGTAGACAATCTTAGCATTGTCACTACCAGGGGCCATGATAAGTTTGCAAATAGCCATTTCTAGAATGGCCGTCTTTCCAGACCCCGTGGGAGCAGAAACTACAACGTTGTCATTTGTGCCGTATACGAGTGGAAAGCACTTGGACTGGATAACATTGAAGAGTTCATACGGGAAAACAGTACGGAATTTATCAGGTAGCACCTCTCCGGGGTTAATAAGGCGAGTACCGTTTAGGACGGGTGGCTCGTCTGGGGCATGCTCGAGGGTCAATTTGAGGTTGCTCGCCTTCTTCTGTTTTACAAGAGGATTGCCATTGACCTTTGCTGCTTGCTTGAGGCTGAGGCGTGTGGAAGGACTAGATCCGCCAACCAGTGTCGGAGAACTGCTTGTAAATGGACTTTCGAGGCTTGGGATTTGGCTAGATGCTATTCGTCGTTATTACAAATGCCCATTCAGAGAATATACTAGAAATTTAGCTCACCAGAGTAAAAAGGGGGTGTAACCACCTGCGCTCCAGGTTGTAATTCGCCAATCCTACGAGAACCGTCCCTGTTGAGAATAGATTGGGAGGCTGGACTTGGCTCAATTCCTCCTATAAGCGCCAGGTCATTCGAGAATGGAGATCGATGGCTGAAGTCCCGCATCGGAATCGGCCTAAAATGATGACTAGCATCGCCCACCCCTCGTCGCGATTGATTGGGGGTATTAGTATTTGGCAACGAAAGACGAGGTTCACGGCGCTCCGAGTTTGGGGGGTGAAAAAATCTCTGCGAGTGCCCCAATAGGTTGCGGTCTACGTAGTGTTAAGAACCGCTTGAGTCAAGTAATGATATCTTGGGTAGGAAATAGTTGTCATGAGTCAACTTACCAAATATATCTAGGTCTTGATCATCGTCCTGAAAGTTACCCAGTTGGTTCATAAACATCCCATTCCCATTAGCACCTCCCAAAGGATTCAATTGAGATAGTTGATAGCGACGGTCCGGGAATAGAGTATTAGTATGGTCAATTATGTTTTGAAGATGCCTATCTTGCCCCATCCTGTTCTGAAACTGATACATATGGTGGTCTTCACCCGGCTCGGCATCGCTGGACATGGCATCCGTTGGAGATAATTCTTGTACACACAATATTGAACAAGGTTGGTAAGACCTAAGAGTTGAATAAGATAGTAGAAACGAAAGATACTATGGTTATATGTAGTAATATAGGACAACTAGCCGGTAAGAATTCGGATTGGGCACGTTGTACGCATATGGCGGAGACATGGGATGTAAATGTCAAAAGGAAGATTGAGTTTGGAAGTTTGCGGGAAGAAAAAGGAATACGCAGTACGTGACACTTCGCTTGATAGCACCTACCTACTTAAAAGTAAAGTTAGCATACAACAGATCGAGGGAAATCGGGAAGGCAAGTCTCAACTACACCTTGCATGCCTTCTTGCGTGCTCCTTCCCACATCAAGTTGAAGAAAGTATATACCACGTGACTGGGCGACTGGCTCCCTTTATTATGAGTTACACAACTTTGGAATCTTCAGATTCGGATCAAAAACCACCAAAGTTAAGGAAGGAATTTGTATATGATACACACAAGACCTATTGTTTTCCCCTTTTCCTGGTCCTCTTATTTTCCTCGCTCCTTATTTTCGTATCCAGCCGAGGTCCCGATCGCGTTTCTCCCAAACTCGTCATCATCGTTCTGACAATTTGCAATCGTATTGCTCATATGTAGGATAGTAGAATATCCTTTGCAATGCTCGAAGAAGTCTCACGTACGTAAACGCGGGTATCTTCCAAAATTCGGCTCGGCACTTAGTATTGTATACAGGCCGGTTCGCCTCATAATCCGAGGGGTCACCACTATGACGTATCATCCGATTACACTCCGTCGCCTCAGTCGTCCCGGTTCTTCCCCCGCGACGATGGTACACGACTGTGATGTCGTAAAGGAGATGCCGGACGAGAGGTTGATAGACCCATGGCCTTGATGTTCTCCAGTGGGTCTGGGACGCTCAATTTATCATCAGTATACCTTGGTGTACTCATCGGATCGATTGTCGTCTTTTCATAATTGACAATGTTGATCGGTGGCGGCCGGCCGCGTTTCCGATCAGGACCAGTGTAGAGGAAGGTCGACACAAGCACCAGGGCTGTGCCAATTAAGAACTATGAATTGTCAGCAGTCTAGTTGTATAACCAGCGCACGTTTTTAGTCAGATAACGTACCGTCAATGTTACATGGACCCTGAAGAACCAGACGCTGAACAGGAAACCTATCACGATGCTTATACTAGTAGCAAAGTTCTTGGCAATGTTGTCTGCATAATTAATGCAAAGAGAGGCAAGCACACCACCAAAGGCCTGTAGAATAATCAATGCCCAGACGATCCAGTTGTAACCATCGAAAAGTCCGTGCTTCGCAATCTCTTGCCCATCTTTAAACACAATTCCCAATAGTGCCGGGAATAACGAGTAGAACGACAGCTGAATGTTGCGAGTCCAGACAGACGCGGGGCTTTCGGTATCTTTCAGAACCTTCTCAAAGTAGACGCCCGTCAGACCGGAAAGGACTGCTACAGCCATTACGGCTGACAATCCGATTGAGTAGTTCATAACAGGGGTAGCAACTTGATCCTCTTCGATACCTTCATATGTTGCAGAGCGTTTTGCGATAGCCTGGCCGACCTCAACTACTGTTTCCATACCACGCTTCGTAAGCTCCCTCGCAACTTCGCCCATACCGTTCGCTACTTGACCTAACTCGTGTACCGATCGAGGGAAAAAGTGATCCGTCATGTCATGAATCATGAACGAGCTGTCCTTCGAGTTCGAGGATGGAATTGAAACGATCGAAACTCCGACGGTCAGAATAATGAGGGAAATCCAGCGCTTAACAGTCACGGATCGACCGAGCATGGTCACAGTAAAGATAGCTGTCGTGAGAATCCTAAGTTGGTATAGGATCTGGAAATGTACCGGGTCTAGGTTTCCGACCGCGACATATTGAAGGATATTTTGCAGTGTGTACAACGTCGCAGCAATAGCTACCTTCCATCCATCACCAGAAAACACAGAGTTATAGATCTGTTCGAATATGACGGTCGCAGGAGTCGAAGGCGCTAGGTTTCTCGAAACTTCATATATGGCGAACGTCAAGGAAATCGCCAACTTGATCACCTCGGTTAGGAACACGGCTGTTGAAGTGAAGTATCGATGGTCGCCACTCGGGGGCATCATTCGCGAATAGTGCATTAAGAGGATCAGAGCCGAGTTTTGAAATGTCAACTACGGGGAATAATACATCAGCAAGGCTACAACATGACTGGATAGTGCCATCTATATTCCTTAATATACATACTGTAATAAGAGAAAGTTGCTTCATGGGCACACCGAAGAGTGTCGGCCCTCCCACGGGTTGCGGGGCACCATCTAGGAGAGCCATGGTGGATCCGAGGTTGTGAACGAAGTTCGTTCAATTTTTGCGAGATTTTGGTAGTTCGCGATCGCGTAGTATTGTTTCTCTATATTCCGAAACTCCTCTGAGTATTAGAAGTTTTCAACCCAATAATCACCGATCAGGCAAATTGAATACTCTTGGAAAGTTCTATGCGAAAAATGGGTGCTCGGTTTTAATCCGTATCGTAAAGGACCTCGTAATCGTATCGATTTTTCGGTATGTTGGTAACAAAAAGATCCGAATTCAAAAAATGACGGAGGTGCGTCGCGTCTTGTAAAATAAATTAATAAAGTGAAAAAGATGCAAAGCATTCAAGACAAGGTCTGGTATTACCGAATTTCAGGTGGATGGACGCGCTTCAATTAGGTACCTAAGTACCCACACGGTACCTACACCACCCAGCTTGGCTCCTTAAAAAATGAGGGGCTACGCCTATTAAGCTCTTTTTAACCCCTGAATGTGACGCTACAGCTCTGAAGCACGCAAACAACCTGGGGAGTCCGTGACACTCGAGCTTTAAAGGTGGTAGAAATAATGTTGATGCGTCGTACCCAAAAGCTATCAGGGTAGTTAGTTCAGTTCAGAGGGTAAAGTTGGGAAAAAAGAACGAGAGAAGAAAATAGAAGTAGGAAGATGTTGATCAGTAAAAGGGCTGTAAAAAAAGAGTTATGTATGCGCTGTCGCGCTATCTGTAGGCCTTATTAGGGCTGGCCCATATTATAAGACGATGATATCAAAGGCGTTCGATTATCGCCCAAATACGTAATGATCATCAAAGCTCGAGCCGCGCTGTACCTGGACACTACAGGGTTATGGATTATGTGGTACCACGCAACCCACAGCTTCACTTGATTTCTACAAATGATATTGAAATCTAGTTGAAGATACATCGAAAGGAAAATGAATGTGAATACAGATACTACCTTCGTGTAGTAAGTAGTAGATGTACTACTCATTATTTACAAATCAAATTTCTAGATACACTGGTACGTACGAACACCTCAGGCCGTAGCAAACAGCGACGATGATTATTCGAAATCGACTGCTTCGCTTCTTAGAAGGTTTACAACAAACCAGTCGGTAAACGATTAAGTTCTCCGAACTCCGTTCTACGCATGCAACACAGCACATGTACTAGTAGTAGTTGTCATGCATGGGAATGCCTAGAACGAAGTCAGTACGAAGGTGTCTAAGGTTATATGGGCGGCTTCAATGACATATCTATTACTAGAAGTATTCTAGTTGGTTGGTTGATTGACGCCTTGACCCTTTTGGGGCTTCCGTGATCACCGCGGAGCGATCTGATTGTCGTGGGGGAATTGTCCGAAAAGAGCAAGGTGAAATATTCTTGGTATCTTCCGGGTCACCTCCGGATCACCTCGAACAAGACATGTTTCGAATTGTTTGAAGTATCACATACGTAGTATAGAGTTGTACTTGCTTTCCAAATGTAGCAATATTGGTATAGATATTTGTCTAGGTCTTGTGTATCCGAGAGCGTCATGGACATCCTATCTTCGCTTCCATCAAAATTCAGTAAATGATGTGTACGTGACTCTGGTCCGTGATTCTGCTGCATGCGATCATCACTAACGTCGTTAATATCCTTGCGAAAGTGTTGACTTTAGCCTCAACGGGTTCGAGCCTTCAGATTACCATTGACTAGCAAGCCTCCTCGTGAGCATTATGACAGCGCTAAAACAGCAAATGTAAACTCACCAACGAGGAGAATATCACAAGGCCATCGCCATCTTCATCTCCTTCTAGGTATAGCCAAAATCTAAATATGCAGAACATATAGTAGGAACGTCTAGTGCATTCCTACAGTGACCTACTGCAAGTCATCTTCCTAGACTATCCTCTTGGCAGCAGAGAAGGTTGAATTTTCCTTGATTTACGGGCAGTCCTGAATTTGTTGGCTGAATGAAGATCGCGGGGTTGGATCGTCACTTTTTTTGGTGGTCTACATCGTTAAGATCGATGCCAATCAATGCCTTCAACGTGGTAAACAGAGCATACAGTGTGGTTACCAATCGGCGGTGAGTAAATTTAAGTAGAGAATCGAGTTCGGAACTGAAGAGTGTATGTCTGTATACGGGTAAAGTACAGAGAAACTGATGAAGAAATATCGACGGCGCAACTTGGTAAAAAAAAAAAAAAAAAAATAGAAAAGCAAAAAAGAAAAAGAAAACTTTAGAAAAACACAAAAAGTAATGTTGCCAGCTGCAGGGTTCGAACCTGCGCATCTCTCGATAATGGTGTACAAGATCTTATGAAGACTTAAAACCACCGCCTTAAACCACTGTAATGTCTGTTAGCTCGTGAACCAATTTCAGAAGAACTTGGTATCGCTTACCTCGGCCAAACTGGCTATTTAGTTGTATGTGGGAGGAATTTCGCACTAATTGTATCTAATAACCCCTCACTGCTCCCCACACTAGCCAATGTTTTTTAGGGGCACCTCGACTTGCATCGGTACATACATGTACTACGATACACGCAATACCACCAAGTAATATATCATCATTGAAGTCCAAATGTTTCAATTCAGCTTTTTTTTTTCTAATATTTTTTTAATATTTTTTTATCTCGATCCTTCAACTATATGGGGAAATAACCTGCAAAATGCAGATTCACAATAAAATCCCACGGCTCTTCTCAAATGCCCGATGCAGCAAAAATACGCCTCTACCGCATTACATATCAGTATCACCTCCCCGAAAAGCATCCATCGTACGTAATCCTTTCGATGCTCTTGTTTCCTAATATTACACGGAGCTACTTCCTTCGGTACATAATGTAGTACATAAAATGCACGCAAAGCAAGCATGCATACAGAAAATCCAACAGAATGTTTTTGTCTCTCCCTTACTTTATGAGATAAACCTGAAATAGGAGGTAGATAGTTCCAATCCAATCCCAAATCCCAATCCGCATGGCCATTTTCTTTTCTACATCCGACCGTGTATTTGTTGAGATAAACAGTGAAAAAGTAGATAGACAGAGCCCCAACCGTTCCCTCTCAATAACATTACACATTCCGAAGCTCTTCTCTTTTAAACAAAGATAAATGAGATAATAATGAGTAGGTAGATGGTAGGTAGATGTAATTAAGTCGTAAGCAGTGATGCTGAACTCCCGGTTTATAAATATTCGACCCTGTATTGACTCCTATTTGGACTCGCTGGTCGGGAAATCATGAAAAATCAATCGCTAAATAACGGAGTATGCATGCATGTATCTTGAAAACATAGTAAAAATGTGGATTCTACTTCTGAGCAGCTCGCCAAACCATGAAGAGGTGAGTATCAGTAATCGGATTGACCCTTGACAGCAAGTAGGTGATCGATAACTGGCAATAGATCAATCATCATCACCCCACCAAGGCACTGGTGAGCTAATTTGTCCCACCGCGCTCAGTCTCACATTGCTCTTCTTCCCCTTCTTATGACCGAGAGTAGACGGCGCCAAGAATCCGTCCGCTGGAGAAATAGGGCTATCTGGCCTAGGAACCTCCACCTCTGGAACCGGCTTCAGAGCAGGTAATTTGCGTCTGCTGTTCGCAGGTTCGGGGAAGGCATCGAAGTCGAAGTCGTCAGCGTCAATGTCCTCGTTAACCTCGGGTTCGATATTAGGCATGATCTTCACAGGACTGCTCTTCGGGCTGATAGGGCTCGAGTCGGGGCGCGGTCGCCCGGTTGATTCCCGATTATAGAAAGTGGGTTGGGAACCACCGAGCTTAGATCGAGTGCGACTTTGACGGCCGTGCATTGGGAAATCTAGATCGTCCTCCATGAACTCGCTCAGGTCGGGGCTTGGCTCTGCCTGGTCGATCACGTCGATACTATCAATCGGTCGGTCTAGGTAAAGCAGCACCCGTTCGTGGCGGGTTTTACCGGTTCGTCGGGACTCGTGTTCGGAGGAAATTCTCGTCTTGTGATGGGCTTTCTCGGTCGGTTCACTATGACTCGTCTGAGGGGGACCATCCATACCGCGCGGCCCGTTCGAACGATCGCGTGTTCGACTGTGTCCGCTTACGGATCTCTGGTTTCGTCCTGCAAGGGAAGATGATCTCCTCGGGTAATGATTTGGTTGATTTTGCTGCTTAGACCTAGCGTACGCTTCTCTGGCCTCCTTCACCTCCTTGGCCGCCTGTCTTTCTGCGTCCTTCAAATTTGCTGACGCTAGCTTCTCTAGATCTTCGGCAATGGCATCACTCTCTCGACTACCCCTGTCCTCTTCAATCTCGGCGAGAATATTCTCCCGCATTCTAGCCCGCTTCTTACGCAAAGCAGCCAGAAGCATTTCTTCTTGCTTCGTCACAGCCATCAATCGCGCATTGTGAGACTCGCTGGATTTGCATGGCGGCGGCGGCTCTTGCCGTGTTGGTTCTGGAGACTTCTTATAAAATTCCACGCTGCTAGGCGATAATGGTGGTGTCGGTTGATCTGACGTATGAGAAGTTTGCGATGCGCGCTGTCGTATTTGTTGTGGGGGTATATGGTTCATATTTTGTAGCATTCGGTCGACTGACGTTGCAGATGCAGCTGCGGCTGTAGAAGCAAAAGGCGTTAAAGCGACAGCCCTCGCCTCCTGCACACCGTAGCTTGTGCGATTACTATAAGCGGGAGATAATACCGAACCCGTAGTAGAAACCGACCCACGAAGATCTTGTTGACAAGGTATCGAAATTCGAGTCGCAGTACTTATAGAAGAACTAGTTGATTGGAGAGTACCGGATGATGGTGATCGGCTAGTTTTCGCTTTTGGAGAGGCATGAGGAATGGTGAGGTAGTCATTGAGTTGCGCGTACGATGCGCCCTTGACGCTGGTAGAATGACTACTAATAGATAATCGTGACGATAATTCGGGTTGCCTTTGGCTGGACGACACGCTAAGATCATCGCGAAAACTATTTTCGTACGACGGCAAAGATGAACCTGGTCTCGAGTATGTGGTCCCTTCTTCGTCGGAGTCGGAGTCCGTAAGAGACAACACACTTTGCTGCTGTCGGTCAGAATCTAGAGTACTCATTATGGACGGTGTAGCTTTTGAAGTCCGCGTATGTCGACTCGATACACTCGCTGGATAATCGCTTCTTGATGTCGGACGTATCTGTAGAGTATTTGGTGTCCCTGTTCTTGTCGCTGTAACTTTGCTCGCTTGTGAAGTATTTCGGCTATGATTCCACCGAGAGTTTAGATCTCTATGAATAGAATTCGGCAAAGGTGTAATCATGTCCTCACGAGACATGTCGGAAGCAGCGGGTTCATAAGTCCGAGGCAGTAATTGTGGCTGCTCCAACAATTCCCTCTTCCGTATCACGTCATCACAATCTTCTTCATCTTCCTCTACCAAATCTGTACCATGACGAAAAGACATTTGTTCATAATGGTCGTAAAGTTGGTGTAGCGTATTCGCATCATGTGTCCCTTTTAAGCGACCTGGCCTTCCACTTATTCTGGGGGGTGGTTGAGGTTGGAGTTTCATATCCGGTCTCGGTCTTGGAGTTTGTTCGGGACTCGTAGGCGAGGCCAAGGTATGTGACATATGCGACATAACCGACGGCGACCTCATCACATAATTGTTTCCTAAAACAGGCCCAACTTTGTTAGAATCAGAAGCGTGATGATCCTTGCGAGACCTCAGCCTTAGCTTCGAAAAATCTAACTTGGAAGGCTTCTTCTTTTGCTGCTGCACGGGACCATAAAGTGCTCCATCTATGTCCAGTAACGTGCTAGCTTTAGACGGTAGTCCTTTTGCCATTGCCGAATTGGAGGTCTGCTGAGATATAGAGAGTGGTACTTTGGTTGACTCATAATGCGAATAGACGGTGGAACTAGATTGAGGCCGGCGAGAAAGCGATTCATCCGTCATATTGTCCCGACTGCGGGTACCAAGGGTAACCGCCGACCTCTTTGTCTTCAAACCCTTCTTACTAGAAGGCCCATTCGCACTACGCAACCGTCGCGGCAGAGCCTCCGATTCCTCTTCCCATAAGGCCCTCCCATAAGTTGTTCCGGCGAATCCATCTTCATCCCCCTCTAATACGCTGGATTGACTCGCGCTACTCTCAGATATCGATATACTAATGCCGCCGGTCGAGCCCGTTTCCCATGATCGACCACCATCCCTAGGAGCAGTAGGTGAGCCAAGACTCATCCCACCAGTTCCCAAGATTTTATCCGCTTTCGAGAGTGGATTCGAGACCGTTACGGTAGGTGGTTGCTTCGAGGAGCGTCCCGGCATGGGAAACGTGAACTTGGATTTGTGCCCCATCCTCGTGATAATAATCGATATATTAACCAATAGGGTTAAATGATGGGACCTGCGATGTCCGATAGTCGAATTGTGCTTCGTCGTTCGTGCCTATGAATGCCAACCAAACCGGACCTCTCAATACGGCAAGATAAGAAATCATGTGTCGAGCTCCAAGTAATTCTTCAATCCCCGCGTTTTGTCCTCCCAACGGTAACGCCTCCAAGTGGACAATCCCGTTCCGTAAACTGCAATTCCAGATACCGAGATACGTTGCGCTATAGCTGAGCTGCAGCCTCGGAGCTGAAACTAAGGGACCGGATTTCGGGCCAATTGTCGAACAATCGCAGTATCGGTAGGCGATCAGGGAGTTAATTCAAGTGAGCTTCAGTCGGCATCTCAAAATGGAACCTCCCTCCTCTCATAACCTACGAATAGAAATTCCAATCGTACTCAGCATTGCACGTCTCAGCAATACAGCTAACTCGAGTTGCCGCCGAAATGTAGAGTTAACAAGTCAATTACCGGGTTGGCGAAGAAAAAGAAGACCACGACCTGGTTCGTATGCTCGGCAAACAGCTTCGATGGTTGTCCCGCATAAAAAACACCCCAAGAGTTGGGAACGTAGGATAGTAACAATTGGCTTTTTTTTTTTTCTTTCTCGCCCGGCTCTTCTGCTCCCCGAACTTCTTCAGAGACCCTCGTCCGATCTCAACATCAACTTCGTAGGCGCAACCCCATACGTGATGTTAAAAAAGACAGAATGTCAAAAGGGAGGGGGGAATAAACAAGAACAAAAAGGGACTGGATCTATGGCCCTTCCCACGACACGGACTCTTTTTTTTTTCTCCTTGGATATTAAAATTGGAGAACCCAAGACGATGTACCTCCCCATACAGTAGGCAATTCGTACCGAAATACAATTTATTGGCACATCTCTTGCACATCTGCATATGCGAGCGGGATGCGCAAGTACCAAAGTTGACATGCATATACATACATATGTATGTACGTATCCTCATTCCTCCCGAATCATTAATGCCGTACGTATTACAGGCTTATGTTCAAGGTGATGCCGTATTGGGTAAAATCTAGGTGGTTAGAATGGGCGGCCGGAACGTATTCCCTACCCACTTGCACCCACTTGGCATCCACTCAAACCACCGACATGATGGCACGATATTTGACAGGCCAGGCACCTTACAGGCACCATATAGGGACCAAACCAAAAGCAGCTTTAGGTGACCTGCAGATAGATTGCAGAAATTCAAATGAGCCGTCATGCCGGTCGACCCACCCAAGCCACCGTCGTCGCATGGGCTTGCAAGCCACCGACGAGTTTACGAAAGAGGGGATGGGGGAAGACCCCTGAATTCGCCCCTGTAACAGATTTCTTCTTGCATCGCATCGCCTCGTGTTATCTAGACTTATATAGGTTAGTCAAGAAAGGGAGATCTGTATTTGTGTATGTAAGGTACGGAAATATTATGATATATTGTGTTGTATGGTATAATGTAACGTTATACCAAGTATGCGTAGTAAGTAAACATCTTGCGACGATCGAGAAGCAAAAAAATTGACAGAAAAAAAATCAGGAATATCAAACCATCAAACCAACATGGTACCAATGCCCTTCCGGTGGATGATTCAAGGATTGTTGCTCCGGGGGCTGCTTAAACAAACTCATCTTAACACTGTAGTAACGTAAAGACTTGACCTCCTAGGCAATCAAGGATCTGACAGCCAATAAATTTTGATTAAAATACGGGTGTTTACCGCTAAATTGAACAAACGGGCAAGGTTCATGGGGAGTCAGGTTCAATGGTGTCGAAAAGAATGATATCCAAGCACAAAAAAAAAGCAATAAGAGATCCAATAGCTCGTACCGCTCGCTCTTCCGTGCGCAGCCCAGCATCTATCTCCAGCCCAGCTCCAGCAGCAACCCGCGTGGTTTTTCTCACCCCATCCCTTGAAATGTCAAAGTGCATACATAGTACGTGCGCTCCCTACGATGGCATGGCATACGATGTAGATCTTTCAGCAGCCCCAGCCTCATCAGCCTCAACTCCCTGTCTCAGACAATCAATCGTCACCGCTCTAACTAAGTAGTATCTAACGCCTAAAAAAGACTGGTCACGAAAAAATAAAACAGATCGACCTTACACCAACGGCTGATTATTCACCAATAGATCGACGAGCGAACGTCCATAAAGCACATCTTATCACAAATAGTGGCATACTGGCGCCTCCACAGCAATTCACATGGCACACATGGTTATTTCCGGTGGGCACAACGAGAGAAAAAAAAAATATCAATCCATAGTCCATAATCCATAATTGGAATTATGCAAGACCTAATATTCTAGTCCATAGAACCAAAGTCTTGGACCCTTAGGATGCAACTTAATCTCTGCTAAAGTCGTCTATCTGCAAGGAGCTGCGCACATGGCATCCCCATTTTCGTCTCACGGTCCCTCACATTTCTACCAAGACAATTGAGTTACAGATTTACTACCGGTTGCCCACATATATAGACAACTCATCATATATACCTAGGTATACACCCAGGTACAATATATGCCTAAGGACACACCAAGATACTTAAGTCGTTGCAGAATGTCTCGGCACAGTCTGAAGCCACGCGATAGGTAGGTAACACAACATACTCACACATAGATTAGATACCTGTCGCACAAACCTATGTCAAACCGTAGAATTAGGTATGAATCACGGAAGAATAATACCATCACAGAAAAAAATAGATGCGTAACATAACTAGCTGTAAGGAACCGACGGGATCCAGCAGCAAAGACCCGTCCGAGGAACTTTTTTTTTTTTTCTAAATTATCGGCATGATCAATTAAATCGATCTCATGCAAACGAACGAGCGAGCCTTAGCCCGTGTGTAGCGTGGCCCGCGGCGACCACCCGAACTTACCGGCGTCCGATGATGGCGTCTGAATTTACTGCCCATCTCCTTGTTTATTACCCGCCATGTGCGTCATGGATCAGGACACGATGCAAAAACATTCCGTTCTTCCAGAAGAACCTTACTGGCGTGGGATTCTAACGATTATATTCAACGCTTGCCAATTTAGATGCAAAATGTGCGGAATTGGAATGACCTCGGGAAAAATTACTAGAAAATAATTAGGTACATAACCCCTGGACATGACTCGTACGCTCACAACCCCGAGTCAGTTGACATTTCACAGCAGTTTATGGAGTATTAAAAACTCCGTTCGGCTATTATTTTCTCCTCTTCCCGCTCCGAGGTATTTTGAGACTTTCCACATGTTCTCTGTCTATCAAATCGCATATGACGACAGAATTCAGAAGCATCCATACCGTTAGATTAAAACTGTCGCGATTTTTCCGAAAACGATGCCGGTAACCGACGGAAAAGGATTTACGTATATATGGATGTTTGCTCGCTTATTAGCGCTCGTGATGCCTTCAAATTCGGGTCTAGACTAGGTAGACTGTTGTGCTAGCTACCTGCCTAGGTAGTTTGTTCAACCAAGGCAAGCAAGCACTCGATAGATCGTGCACGCCCTACCTAAAAATACATTCGTACACTACATTATCGCTTCTAGCTAGAATAGTATTATTCCAGCAATAGAAGCAATGCCAGCGCAACGCCGCATGATTTAATAGTTGCTCTTTAATGAATTATGGCAGCAGCTAATAGTGTCGTCAATTCGCGATGTCAAGGCTATCCTAGCTAGCGTCCTTAGGCCATAAGATCTGAGGCGGTCGAGACCTATCTATTAGTAGCCGCCATAAGCGACGCACATCTTTCGATGCGATCTACACACGTTGCTTCAGGCACGTTATTACGTAGGCAGTCAATGGAACGATGTAAAGAAAAACAGAACTTTTATTGATTTAGCCCTAGGCACTAGGTATGATGCAAATTGAGTCTTTAACTAGGCCTTAAAGCAATCCTCCTTGGAATCATCCCTCTTTATTATCCCTATCGTTTCTGGGGAGTTCAATGTGCTATTCTGGTACATCGATAGTGGCTGCTCGTTAGTACTATTAGTACCAAGAACGAACCAGTCTCGTATGATCCAGTGCCATTAAGGGGATGGTCTATTGTCTATGCGAACGCAATGCGAAAGGAAAAGAAAACACAAATCGTAAAGGAAAATGTCGTGACGTCGTACAACAATGTGCCACTCCGTATGGTCCAGCGCCGATTGATCTTATGAGACAGGCGATTGATGACGAGGGAAATGGCGTAATGCGAGGGAGGAAACATCCTCAATCCTCTTCAATTTGCTGCCGGGAAGCGTCCCAGCGCAGAAAAAGCAAACAATCCATGCGTAAAGATGCTTTTAAGAACGAAGAGTAACACAAAGAAACTCCGAGAACTCCGCAGTCGGAAGGTTGAAAACCGCCTCCGTAGGCATGTGTTGTATGTCAAGGAGTAGTGCCTAAGCGCCGACTGTACTATTCAGGCCGCGTCCGAGCGACTCCCTTAAAACAACGGTAGAGTGCCAGTCTCCTTTGCGCGGCGATACTGTTCCTGTGAGCAAGCTTCAAGGATTTCTAGCATATCTCGTCCGGCGCCGTCATTGATCTCCTGGCCGTTGCGCGAACGTGTGACGGAGAGGAAGTTGTTAAAACGGTTCATGATGTGCGAGACCTTGTCACTGTCAATGGTTATTGTGTTATACCACTCAACGCGGAACGGGTCGGAGATATTCCACCGGACTTCTCGAAGCCACTTGGGGGCTCGTATGGCACGGGATGGTCCAGAGCGCATGATAGCCTAAATTAGAGATGCTTATGTTAATATTAACTGTCCCAAAGACTTCGGACGAAAGAAAAGAAAATTATTGACAGATTTTAGTTATAGGACAAAAGTACTTACGTAACCTTGTATGCTGTGCGATCTGTTCATAGCAAAGAACAGCACGACGGTCATGTCTTCCTCATTGAACGCCTTCTGGAGAGTTCCGACCTTCTCTGGCTGAGTGGCCCAAAGCCCATCCGCCTATTGATGAATTGTTAATCGGACTAGTTCGTTATTGTCAATCAGGAGTCATATTCACCTGTGAAGAGTACACATGGTCCCAGCTGTACGAACGCATTACAAAGAATCGGACTTCTATAGCACAACGTATTAGCAAACTTTCAGATAGAGGGATCACGGTTTCTAGCTTGGGGGCTTAAGACTTACTACCTTTGGGGCCAAGGTCCATAGGCCTAGGCGGGCGAAGAGTCGCCAACTCGAGTCGCGGATCGCGACTATCGTCCATCTTCTCTCTACTGAAGCTGTGAGGTCGTCCAGACGCTCTAGGGCGGGCACATCCGGGACCAGTAGGAGGTCCTCGGGGAGTACGAGGGCGGCCACGGTCCTCGGAATCAGAGCGTTTGAAGCGATCGCGGCTTCGAAAATCGTGTCGGTTAGGAGGACCACGAGGCTGGGGCGAAAGGGAACGTCTACGGCCAACAACAGGAGGGCCGAAATCGTCTGTCAATCCGGCGTGGTTCCCTGAAGCATCGTGGCTACCGGTTGGGAGGTGATCAGTACGATCCTGCTGAGGAGTTGCTGGATTCGCAACGTGAGGAGTCGAAGGAGTGAATCCGACCGCCTCTTCCTGCAGCTTTGCTTGGCGGTATTCGCTCAGACTGTTTGTTCGATACTGGACATCATGGTATCCAGTAAGGGTTAGCCAATCCAACAGGTCGGGTTGTAAAAGTGTGTTGGCATTGGCATTGTCATTATGGCCAAGGACGTTGCCGGGAGAGTTGTTTCCCGTGGGGTGTGCCATGGTTAACGGTGTGCGAATATGGTAGGGTTCAATAAAGGATGAGGAGTGAACGGTTAAGCGCCTTGTTGGCTTCTTCTCAGACGCGTTCCCTGGCAGCAATGTTAGAAAGTAATTGTGATAATAATTCTATGTGATAATTTCAGTACCGTTAAGTTGCGAAATTCGTGTAGTCTCGCGGTCGCGTGGTCGCAAAGTCGTGAAGTTCTTCAGTCAGTACCTCAAGGTAATGATAAAGAGATAGTAAATAGTAGAAGGGATGTTTGGGGGAAGACCTCTAGGGATGAAAAGAAATCCGTGGGTTGAAAGGAAAGTCTAGTAATATTTCCTGGGCGTTTGTAGAAGACCTAGATGTATTGGTAGAAAGAAACAGTACTGTGGGTTGAGATCGGGGGAATTACGACTATTTTCGCAGCTGCCAGGTGAACACCCCTACGGCGGATCGGACTGTATGTAGAAGTAAAGACCCTAGGATACGGTTGTATTTTTGGCAAGTGCGCAAGTTTTCCACGTGTTTCCATGGCAAGCACGCCGAAGGAAGGCACCCATTGATGAAAAGGGGAAGCGCTATAGCGTTCTGTATCTCGTTACTGTGGTTTCCTGCTGCTATCACCCCCCTAAACACGTCGAATAGCGCGTTAGTAACGCGCCTGCTCTACCAGGAGCCCCCTATTAAGCGAGAACTTTATTTTTTTTCTAGCGTCCTAGATGCTGCACTTACCTAAATAACCAGGTAGACGAATTAACTGCTCTGTTAAACGTGGGAAAGTCACAGTGTACCTACCTAAGGTAGAGGAGTAGAAAGCTGTTACCACTTTAAACATATTAATTGTTAAAAGGAGGTAATGCAATTTTCTGTTATGTACTGTGAGTGTATTTGTTGAGCTACCTAGGTAGTAACCTATTCTGTATGCGCTGTACCTAGGATATGAAAGGGTCGCGTGTACTCCATTGCTGAGCTACTTGTAATTCACCATATAATATCGTGGAATCCAATTCTATGTCGGCCTCCCCACAAGATGTTCGTATTGGAAGAAAAGTGTTAAGCTGGTGGAAGAAAAGAAGCAAACAATACTCCTTGGATAGTAGCGTACATGACCATGTATCTTACGATATTACTACCAAACTTCGACGTACTCTTATCAGTCATAAGTCCTGCTAGCCACCAGTACCAAAGTGGATAACCTGACGAGATTCTTGTTATGATTTGAATATGATAGTTTGTGATAGCTAGAACAGCCAAGATGAGTTGCGACAAGGCCATAGACTGGACCAATAATGTCAAATAGGATGGATTGGCTGGTATGGTTTTTTTGACAGCAAGGCTCAGTGGCTCCTTCAGAAATCCTAGACCGGATTTGAGAAGGAGGTAGAGCATCGGTGTAGCAAGAAGGAAGAGTGGTATATTCGGCGGGGTCCAGTAACGAAGAAAACCAACATTCCTGCCCCTGGGGTTAGCGTGTTCAACACAAAAGGCACCTTCACTAACCAGTAACGCTCTTGAACAAACGAATAAATAAGAGGAACACTGCTTGTACACCAAGGTCTTAATTCAGACCTGGAAGGGGCAGAACAAAACGTTTGGTAGGCAACTAGCTGTGGTAGCACAAAGCCGATAGCAATTGCTAGACCACCAGCAATTAGAGCGCATCGTCGTCGTATGCTAGAGAGAGTAGGAGCTCTGGTGAGTTCGTAGGCTAAGGCAACAGCAAACGGGATCCCATTAAATAGACCATTACTACGAAATGTCGTCGCGAACCCAAACCACATGCCCGAAGCAACCAAACTCACATCATGTCCGAACGTCTGTTTTGAACCGAGCAATCCCTTTGCAAGAAAGAGATAACCGGTAAATGATAATAGAGCGAACGAGCTCTCGTTATATGGAGCCGACAAGAAAATGCCAGCTGGAGATAGTATGTGTAGAGATGCCGCGATGAATGATAGCCTCTGATCCTTCCAAACAACAAGTCCGAGCTTGTACAAGATAAGTACTGAGAGCAGATGTGATGTATGAGCTACAAATACTCCAACAAGTGGTTCGAGAGAGCCATGAATTGAGACACCTAAGCTAGTCAATACTATTATTGTTAGCACGAGTGCACTGCAAATAGTAGGGAGGATAGGGTCAAGTTACCTTGGGTAAGAAAGGAGATGACGGTCGGCAATCCGCTACCGAAAGCATACTCCTGTTCAAACAGATAGCCTCTACGAGAGGCTTGTATGAAATATATAGAATCCCATCGTGTCAATTTGGTACCTAAATCAAAAGTAGATTCGTTTGATGAAGCTATTTCAGGGGATAGGAGAGTGCTTGAGGTGTCATAAGCTGGGCCTATCCCACTTCCAATGGCAATGACTAGCAGTAAGGCTTTCCACGTGATGAATGTGCTAAATAATGACCGAATTGGTCTTTTAGAGTCAAGCAGGGCCATGACTAGAAAAATGAGGACTGAAGTGAATGCATTGATGTTGTTTCCATGTTGAGTCCTTGTGAATAATTGGATGTACACGTAAAACGAGTGGGCCCAAAGGAAAGTTTGGGAAAAAGTGGACCATCCATGCCACAGAGCTCGCGCCACATTAAAATATCCCCTTTTTGGGTGAAAGTGGCTTATCATTATCAGAGATAAGATACGGAAAGGGCACGGATGTACCTAGGTATTGTACTTTCACTGAGTAAGCAGGGTTCCCAAGATTAAAAAAACACAGCCACCGGTAGGAATGCGCCGGAGATTGAAGATTCAAAGAAAAGAAAAAGAAAAAGGAACCATCATCTGCTGACGGTGAGACGATTAGCGACCACGACCCCATGATTATTGATTATTATTATGACGTGACAGACTTTGCATCTTTCATTTCCCGCAAATCGAGGCTGATTTTATGCAAGATTTACTGGGCTATGTCCTTTCCCCACGTTCATTGTCGAATTGTAGGATGTATTCTATGCGTGATCCGTATGGTATGTATTGCAGGTCTTGTGGTTATTATTCTCTATTCATCTGATATCTATTACCTACTTTAACCATAACTACCACTACTTTAACATGCTTGTTCTCTTCTCTTCTCGTTTCGTCTCCTTTCCTTCATCCTATTTAGGAAAGGAGGCACGTTTAGGTTCCAGAATAAGTCAGATTTACACGTCACCGTAATTATTGTTTGACTCGTTAACTCGAGAGTAGTAATTAAATAAAGTTGAGCTGTTAGATGTAAAATGTACTCAAGTAGATATAGGTATGGACGGAATTTGCGGCATGTCGTCATTGTCTTACGCAGTACTTGGATACCTACTGCATTGACAGAATTTGTCCGTCCGCCTCAGCGGCTAACCGGCAATGATGGTACTGAATCTGAGAAAGCCACGAGGATAATCCATCCTCCTCTCATCATCTAACAGGGAATGTAATAGTGCGATCAATAATCGTGTGGTGGTACATGAACCCGGAATACTCGACTTCCAATTCTTTCAGCCATTAATTCTGGATAAGCGTGATCAATATTACCACAGAGCACCTTGAAATAGATGCCATTTATGAATTCTCTCTCGGGATCGGATCGAATGTAGATACTGCATTATATGCCTCTTATCCTACCTAGGTAAAAAGAGCATTCTAAGGAAAATAGTCTGACTTCTTAGTTGACTTGCTAAAAGCACATGGCTCCATGATCATCAGACTCCTACGGTTCTTGTATCTTCACCGACATGTTGGATTGATACCTACCTAGATACTTAGATATCGGCCCCCAAATAGAATACGACGAATACGAAAACGAAATGGATGGATGGGTGTGCGTTAGGCCCGGTCCGTAGGTCTTGGCTATTATTGACTTTTGCTTTCTTCAGTCAAGAAAGGGTTGGGTTAGGTAATACGTCTATGCTCAGCTATCGAATTCGAAGGAATACAAATTATATAATACGTATTTTTAAGATGAATAACGCACGTAAATAATAGAAATCCATCTCGAGTTTATTATCTATATTAAACCTGCAACTATATCTTGCTGCCGAAGACATAGGCTTGGAAATAATATATCTGACGAGTGGAAATACGCCGGCACATGCCAAATGACGAGATGACAAGACATGGAACTCTCTTCTCGACTTGGCATTTTCAAGAAGCCGATATGTGCGATGGCGGGTTCGGGTGACAGAATGATACCGTGTCGGTGTGATCGGCCCTCTTAAGTCGAGACCGGTTAGGTAGTATAGGTGGTGAAGTAAACCAATAGGAATGGCAGGGTAGAAAAGGCTCCGGACCAACCGCAACAGAAAGAATATAGAAGCCTGGAAAAATGAGAAAATAAGTTGAAATGTTTTAATGTTTTAGGGCTCGATTTGATGCGTTTTCAGTGGCCTTATGGGGCCGTCGCGCCCGTACCTAGGCTGTTAACCCACTACCTAGGTATGTATAGCTGTGCATTATCCACCACATGCATAACTAACTGCCGGCCAACCAGGTTCCGACCCATTTGGGTCCATCTGGTTTAATGCTGGCTGTCCCAATTAGATCGTTTCGTCTCTTTTTTTCTAGCTGCCTAAGGTCCTAAAGGTCCTAAGGTACTTACCAACCTTTTTTTTTCTACCATCCACTGCATTGCACCACACTCAATCTACACCATCATCTGCATTTCCCATTCTGTCGGTCTCGGATACTTTTCGCATTCGCTCTTTTTATTCCTACTCCTATTGTTCATTCCCATGTACCTTGTCCATCTATCCATTCCCATTCCAACATTCTTATTATTACCGTAGAACGAATTGCATATATTATATATCAATAATACTTAATGGAGAGAGGGTAACCCTCGAATGCTACCCATCCTGCATCTTCTCATTTTCAACTCCAACCACTTACATGAGTAGCTTAGCTACGTAACTTACGTGAACTGCCTGATCTTGTTTCTTTTTTGTAACCTTATAATCTAATCAGACCAACCTTGACGAATTTCACCCCTCTTTTTATTTTCCATTCCTCGGTTTCATGAGTCGGGCGAGCCCAGTTAGTGGGCTGTTACATAATAACGGACGAGAGAGAGAGAATGATCCAGACTCGACTTTGATTTGATAATACATCCTATTATATTATTTTATTCAATCCTGCTACCTGGCTACGACACCAACACACCCTTCAAACGTGCTTAAAAACGTCTCTGCGGGTCCTTGCGAGACTGAAGACTGGAGACCAGAAACTGGAAACCGAAAAAAACCTGGACCTCGATCCGAGCAACAAGCAACGAGCTGAGGCTGTGGAACTTACCACCGCCGACGGGGCACGCACATGGCTGGCGGAGATCAAGATCCACTAACGCTAACGCTCCCTTTCCGCCCGAAGCTCTTGAAGCGCCCCTATTAATAAAGCCCCCCTGGTCCTGTGCCCCTTACGCGTTTTCTAGGCGAGCCAAGCGGTTCAGCCTGTCAACTCAACTCATCCCAGCACCTAAAGCAGCCCAGTTTATTCCAGTCATCCTGGTCATCTTCAGCTCTCCACTTAGTCTACCACCTCTTAAACCTCCTCCCAAGTAAACCTGCCCCTCGAGTTGTCGATACCACATACTCCATGCGATATAGTCTAGTGTAGTCCTCTTCTATCTCTGGTTCCTCTGTTACTTGGTTCCCGATCCTGATCGAAACGCGAACTCGATCTGGACAATTCTCTAAACGTTTCGAGAGTTTACAACCAAGTTTGGTATATCGGGCTTACCTGACTCGCTGCAACGATAAGACGACCTCGGGGGCCAAAGGATTGGAAAGAAAGACTGAAAAGGACGGTTATGACTGCATTTGGGATTGATCTACCATCAGGACTTCTTACTCATCCCTCGACACTGCCAAATCTCCTCCCGAGGTCTTTTTTATGAAAAAAATAAGCCACCAACAGCAGTAGCAGCAGCAACAGCCACAGCCGTGTAAATCGAGTACAACGTGAATGGCTGGTTCTTCATAATGTTCCTGCATTCGGGAGCGAGCCTGCACGGCCATGAATATTCCAATCGCCCTACTTCTCAACCAGGTCATCGACGCAATACCATCCTACGATCTGCTTTCGCTACACCTATAAGTCGAACATCATCTTATCGTACCAGCACCGATTCTACCTCTGATGTACCTAATCCTACGGCTTTACGGCGAGCCACCTTCTCGGCACAGAATACTCCTAAGTTTTCAGACGCAGTTGTGAGATTCCAAGAGCCCGAATGTTACAGTACGCCACCAGCCAAGCCAGAAGCAATGAGCGAAGACGAAGGCTCGATTGCTTCCGATAGCGACGCAAGCCGGGTCTCGTCTTCGGTCCGTCAGACTCGTCGGAGGGTTCCTCGAAAAAGTACAACATTTATTCTTGCTCATCCACCTCCGAAGTTCCGCAGCAAGCAACGTCTAATTCCTATTCGTCCTATGCTACTCCTCCAAATGCAACTCTTGTCAGCTAATAGGCGCCCGCGACCCGCTATTGACGTATACCCTTCCTCCGCCATAGCTGGATCTTTGATTGCGCCCTTGCTGAAACGGTTCCCCCGGATTGCTCGCATAAAGCGTGAGTTGAATATCCAAGATGTAATGTTAGTCAAGAGCGAAGATTATGCGGCGCAATCTTCCGGGTCGGAAAGTGACGATGGCGACGCGGACGACATCAAATCTCGCGAGCTCTTAGCTATATTGAGTCCCGCGAGGACAGAAGATAAAGCCGAAATCGTGTTAGCGGATGGTACAGTATGGATCGCTACACCACGCTCCAATGGCGTCAATACCTGTTCTTACGAATTTGTCACCGTTGACCCCAAAGGAAATACTACTACAGCCCGATGGGTTCGCAAACAAGTCGCAACTAAATCATTGCCGGTCTCGCCGACGCCAGCTGGATCTACGTCTCCAGCGCCTCCAGCAGCCGCTGACTGCAAATTTACCTTTAGCATCATCGATCCGAACTGTCGGCGTCATCCCATCATGGCTACGCTGACAAATTCGTCCCTCGATATCCTCGATACCTATACTACTGTTTCCCAATCCGCTAGCCGTTATCCTCCAACTTCACCGATGGCATCCCCAGCTGCATCCCTTGTCAGCGAAGAGAATCCCTTCGAGCGAACAACCCAACCAGTCGAGGATTGGCAAAGGACTTTCATTACCATCTCGGCTGTTTGGGTGATACTTCGCCACGGTTGGTCTCCAAATTCCAAGGCAGCCGATTTTGGCCCACTGGGTTGTCTACCTACCACCACAACGGATAACACAGTGGGTCGTAGTAGGTCACTAAGTGTCAACTCCAATATAGAAACAAAGTCTGGAAGTCCCGAGGGCCGAGGACGAAGGAAGTTCTCAGGCGCTTTGCGGATGAATGACCAAGGGGTACCAGCTACGACGCCTAGAAGAGCGACGTCTACCGGGTCCTCGTTCATACTAGGGCGCAATGCAAGAGAGACGAAGCCGCTGGATCAACCAAGTGACAGCCCTGAACGAGTGCTGAAGAAGAACAAGCGAGCTTTTAGTGGAGACTGGGGAGCTACCATAGCGAATCGAAGCATAGACAACTCATTAGCGGCCATGCTAGATTCACCGCCAAAAACACCTCAGCCCGAGGCTTCTACAGCAAGAAATACCTCATCCTTAGCCCCGCCGCCTTTATCCATGAACCGGCGGGCTGTCTCGGCGTATTATACAGTCGACCGCACACCGCTCAAATTTGACAGTTCCGAACTTGAGGAAAGCCCTGATATTCAGCGCGACTATTTCCAAACTACGCCGCAAAAAGGCCAAGAAGGTTCTCAAGACCGAAAGGCAAAGCATCAGAAGTGGAAGAGTATGGCAAATTGGTTTCGGAAGCTGCAAGGGCGGTAGGACTGCCTGTTGTGCTTCTCATAGGAAGCTTCGAGATTGTAATGTTTCGTCGACTCGTTGTTGCATAAGAAGATGGACACATGTATTATATATTTACATACTACTAGCATGGACCGGAGTTATGGAAAGGGAAACACATTTAGCGTATCGGATTGGAAGGGAAAAAAGGGTCGCATTTTGGTCGAAAAAAAGCATTGAATCTAGTTTGCAAACTAGGATTCTTGGAAACTTGGAGGTTTGGACTTGAACGAACTTCATACGGCGTTTGAAAGAAGTCAATGGAGAGGGCTCTTTGGAAGGATGGCATTGGACCATGCATAACAGATACCTACCTATTTAGAAGGAATTACTTCTTGAACAGCGTTCATAGCTACTAGCTTCGATGGCTGGTAATATAGCTTTAAAGAAACTCAAATTCAATATTATTATTCTAATTGTTTGACTTCGCGGTAATACCTTATGAATCAGAGTAGCTAGTACAGGGTCAGACCCCAATGATTAAGATGTTCCAAGATGTCTAAGTGTTACGTAGGGCCGTGGCACAGATTGTTGTCAGTTGGTGTATGGCAGGCCACGGAAATAGACGGGCCGGGCCGAAATTAGTTCGAGATGTTACACCCCAATTCTCCATTGTGAGTACTTGGGAGTGGTGCTTTCTAGCATTAGAGGCTCGTAGCTGGTGTTTTCGAAAGTTATGGCATCTTGCCATTTATTGAAGATCCAATGGAAAGGTGTCAGACGTTTCATGATCCATGTTTCGGGACGGATTACAACCCAAGCACATGGCTCACAGTCCCATGAAGTTGGTATGCATGATAAAGGAACTGGGAAGGAGTAATAAGCTTACACGTGAGAAGGAGGTTGGTAGTGAAGATCTTTTGTGTATGTGTATTTGGCAAGTCAACTATGATCGATGGGCGCAGAGAGGATCATTAGACTTATCTAGGGAGGCGAAGAGTAGGATTTAAAGCAGAAGACTTAAAAAGATATTGATTTTCATATCGAATTATCTATTTGATCATCTTAGGATTTATCATGCATCTATCGTCTATCTTGAGTCAGCCCGTTTACACACCGCTATCCCAACCAGCAGCTCCGAAGCCTTTTACACCGGGGAGGCGCCGTAAAGAGGAGAAGATAATGGATATACGGGCCGAAGAAGCAGACGCAAGGAATTGCGGAGCTCGTTCGAGAGCGGCCGATGCCGGTCTTGTGTGCATCGGGGCGACAAACACCCCAAGCGATAAAGGCGGAGATTCCCTTTTCGGGAGACCCTCAAAAATGACGGAATAGAAAACTTTCCCAAACTACCTTGGTAGGATGTGTGGGGAGGTAATCCGATATTCTACCGAATGCTATTAAACATGCTTCCCCGGCTTGGCTTCTTTGCCATCTAGGACTAAGGACGATTAATGTAGCAATTTTCGTGAGTCAACCGGGGTACTGCTTCTTCGCCTCGTGTTCGGTCTGTTGATGATTGGTCCCGTCTGCCGGAGCTACATCGTTGGTATATAAATAATAGAGGCAACGTAGCTTAATTTGCTGTGAAGACTTGATACTCTCTGTCTATTTCTTTTGATAAGTTAGCAGATCCGACTTTTCACGATGGCGACACGTGTGCAACAGAATGGAAGCTCTTCGACTTCGGTCATGGAGGTGGAGATGGAGCCGGTCTATCTAGTATCGCCGTATCCTAGAGGAGAGAAACCGATTGAAACCCCGATTGGTGGGCCAAGTCGTCGGACAAGTAGCAAAGACGAAGAGAATGTTGCTCCCGAGCAGGATACAAGTCCGCTTCCACCCCCGAGTATTGCATCGGATGTTGTGCAACGATGGAACTACCCACGCAAGAATATTCCGCGGGTAGCTTCTTGCTTTTGGTCATTCATCGTCATGGGTTCTAACGATGCTGCTTATGGTGTAAGTTTGGTATTCATAATTGCGGGTTGGGGAAGTTTTGCTGACGAATATTGAATAGCCTCTTATCCCATATGTACGACCTCTCCATATGACATGTATATAGAGCAAATGTTGAGCTAACACTAAACGCAGATTCAAGCGCATTATAACCTGACATACCTGATTGTTTCGCTAATTTTCCTCACGCCGTTCGTGGGGTACACAGCAGCTGCGTTCTTGAACAATATGATCCATATCAAGATGGGCCAGAGGGGCGTCGCGATGCTCTGCTCCGGATGTCATTTAGCGTCTTATATCATTATTGCCGTTCACCCGCCGTACCCGGTCTTGGTGATCGCGTTCATGCTTGCAGGTTTCGGCAACGGTGTCTGCGATGCTGGTTGGAATGCTTGGATTGGTAATATGGCCCGCGCAAACGAGATGCTTGGATTACTCCATGGTCTCTATGGTGCTGGCGCTGTACTTAGTCCGGTTATTGCCACGACAATGATCACCAAGGGCAACTTGCCCTGGTATGCTTTTTATTACCTCATGGTGAGTTGTTCCATGGATTGAAGTTGATATGGTGTTCGTTTGGCTGACTGTATTAGATCGGTATGGCTGGCCTTGAGGTGATGGTTTCAACCACTTGTTTTTGGACAGCAACTGGACACGAGTACCGAGAATCTCTAACGAAACACTCTGACTCTCCGAAAGGTAGTCTGAAAGACGCCTTGTTCAAGAAGCCTGCTGCTCGCGTCACTTGGCTATGCTCCTTGTTTTTGCTTGGCTATGTCGGTCTCGAAGTCGCATTGGGAGGTTGGATCGTCGAATTCATGATCCAAGTAAGAAAAGGAGAACCTTTCGCTAGTGGTATGACAGCTACTGGTTTCTGGCTTGGTTTAACAATTGGACGTGTCCTCCTGGGCTTCGTAACGCCGAGGATAGGAGAGAAGTTGGCGATTATGGTAGGTTTTTCTCTCATTCGTGCTTGCGTTAGATTCTCTAGCCGAGGACGTTCCATACTAATTGATGCGCAAAACAGATATACCTCCCAATAACAATGGGATTAGAGCTTCTATTCTGGCTCGTCCCTCAATTCTACGTATCAGCAGTCGCTGTTGGACTTCAGGGTTTCTTCATCGGACCACTATTTCCAGCTGCTATTGTCGCCATGTCAAAACTTCTTCCTCGACATCTTCACGTCGGTGCTATCGGATTCGCGGCGGCGTTTGGCGGTAGTGGCGCTGCCGTCCTACCTTTCGCTGTTGGTGCGATTGCGCAGGCTAAGGGCGTGCAGGTACTGCAACCCATCATCCTCGCCCTGCTGGCGGTCATCTTTTTGTTCTGGGTTGGATTGCCGAGGATGGATAAGAAAAAAGCGTGATTCTTAGGCAATCGCTTAAATACCTATCTAATACGAATTATATGATCCGGTATATATTGCTGGCGATCTCTGGTATATAAGCGAGGCTGTATATACGTGAAGTTCTAAGTAATTAAGTTGGAGGTACCGACCTACACACGGCTTGGAGGACCTTCTCGGTGTGACCATTTCCCAATGTGACATGGAGCGTATTTAGGGCCAGGCAGATCCCGATGATGTGGCTTAGATATATTCTCTCCGTATATTCCGCGACACGGCAACTCGCACTCGTTACGTATACGACTGAAACGGATCCCCCACAGCCTCCTTAGGATTCAAGATGTTTCTCCTTTGTCGGATCTCGGCGAAGCAGGCAAATCTGTATACGTACGTGTATCGCCCTATCGGCGCTTTCAGGAGTCACCGGTATCACGTAATGAACTTGCGTCGGCTTATCTGCCTAAGTACCTGTTTAGGTACGTAGACATGCAGCCTTGTGGCAATTTATCTCGTGTATATCACTATTAGATTGGTGAGCTGTCGTAGCACTGGGCTGGTGGAACATAAATCAATATATCAAATACAACATCCCTTCGGTATGGCGACACAAGAGATAACAGGATAGCTCTCTGAGTAGCCAGGTTAGTAGATATCCTTGGCTTAAGATGAAGAGTAAGTCATGTGAGTGACTGTATATGCTGTCAGCAAGGATTTATGGGATATGGAAGGTTATACAAGAAATTCGCGCGGTTATCCGCGATGCCGGAGCTGTGTAAGTTGGGTCGCCTGTGGTGAGTGTATGGGCGTAGGTAAGGACATAGTATCCTACTGGGGTAACCTTGTCCTATAAGAAAAGGGCAAATACAGTAAATTATTAGCATATTATTGTCCTGATTGAAGAAGTTCCTCAGAATATGTGATGTGATGTGGCTAGCTGCGAAGAGTTGAATAGTTGATCGAGACGAATTGACGGGAGTTGATCCCATCAAATCGGGTGTAATTCCACAGCCCGGTCCGCACTATCCGCACTGGTTATGTGCATGGCGTCTTGCAGTAGCTTATGGTACATTTCTACCCATTGATATTTCACGATGCTTTGCTTTGGTGTATAGGATCGAACCTGTGAGTTTGATGATGATATTTTGTAAATTTGTAAGTTTGTAATTTCTATTTCTTTCGTGTAAGAGTTGATAGATAAGTCCTATGACGTAATTAGCCTCCAATCATAACTTGAAGTACATACATATATGTAACTTCCCGTTCATGGGGGAACAATAACCCCCTATTGCGTAGCCTAACTTAAACATTTCTTTTTGCTATAGAAAGTATTGTACCGTACAGTACCTACACGCTATGAAAAGAAGAATTAATCTATTATTCAAGCATGTGTTCACCAATGATATCCATTCAAATGATTACCAACCAACGCCATAATCTGATCCATATCTCTATAGTAGAGATGGGAATGATTAACTTAAGGAAACAAATTTTTTTTTTTCAGCTCGATCAACTTGCAAATATCCAATAAGGTAGAGATCGATACCTAGGTAAAGATCTATACATATTCATGTAGCTATTCAGACATACAGATTTACCTAGAGCACAGCAAGGAGCTTGGGCCATTTTATTGTCAATCTGTACCTTCCTAGGTGTTCCTTCAGCGCTCGTGACGCTAATGAGAGTGGTCATGGGTACTAAAACTTTCGGCTACTAATCACTAAAAGGTGGGTGCACCTATTACGTACCTTTCCTGGTGCCTCTGAGCAAGACGTAGAGGAAAGAACAACACTTAAGACAGGCAGAGGAGTAGGCGCAGCAGAAGTTATAACTTGACGAATTGAGTTCGACTTTCAGTTGCCTTAGCATATTCCCCACTCTGAACCATCAGCACCCAAATAATAATTATTACATACTTTCCAGACTTACCTGCATACTACATCCTCCCACTCTACTTCATCAACCGTTTATTTTCTCTTACAATAGTATTATCGACGGGTTTTAAGCCAGCCTATGCTTCGCTTTCCGTCAGGTAACCCTCGATTCCTTTTTTCTTATTTTCCTCCTTGTTTCCTTTTTGTTTGGTCACCGAGATAATTCGGATCCCGTGCTGGCAACGAGGCCAGCAAACTTGTCGTACATTGTGCTAGGGGGCTCGACTTGTTCTTCTTGATTCCTTTTTTTACAGGTAGATCATTCGCCGTTTAGAGGAACCCAAACCCAATTAGTAGCAAGCTTACAGAAGCTCCGAGAGCTGCGACATGTCAGCGCGCGCCCGACTCCTAGTTGCAGCACGAGACCAACGCCACCAACAAATAGCACTATTGCAACAGCACACTGACAACCATTTTCACTAAGTGTGCGTATGCAGTTGTGTAATATAGGAAATATACACAGAAAAAGAGAAAGAGACATATCGCAAAGCCAAGCCCAAGCCTGGTATCGATAGGTCCCAAAGAAAGGAAACAATAAAGCAGGGATCACATTACAACGATACCCCCCTCCAAGGATATCCCCATTCTAGAGAACAGACCCAGACCCAAATTTGATATTACAGGTCCGAGCAAGAAAAAAAAAATAATTACCAGAAAACGACATACGATAACCGACATCTCCCAAATCATGGATGAGGTACTTGATCCCTCGCAATTTCTGAATACCTTTATTGCCGGCGATACTATTTCTCGCGCGACTTCACCCGGCTTGCCACCTTCTACCTCAGCTGATATCGACGATTCTAAACGATACCGACCACGAACCTTTGCATATTTCCAACTGCTCCCCTACCCCGTCGAAGACGATTCCGATCGCGATGCTGCCCTGCAAGGAATATTGAAACAGCTTTATATAGCTGTAAAAGCTGAGGATTTCTCCCCTGGCGCTCTCCATTGGACGCGCCAGCTCCAAGGATGGCTGTCTTTGAAGTTCGATATGCCTCGCGAGCTCCGCGCGAGGCTCGTCAAGCTATATTTCCACCTCTCTCTCGCGCCCGGTCTCGATAATAATTCAGCCGATCGGTTTTCAAAAATGGTAGTTACGTTGATTAGGAGGAAACAAGCTCTTAAGCCCGAAGACGATTTGGTTCTCGACTGGAGGCCGCTTTGGAAGGAGTTAAAAGCTTTAGTTCTGCCAGGAGAAGCTGCTGCACATCACTCTTCTCGAAGAAGAGGTGCTAAGCATTTACGGAAGTTATGCCTCTACTCACAGCTATACTTCGATCCCAGGGAGCGAAGAGCAATACTGGAAGAGATCCTGCCTTATTTCAGCACATCGGATATCCAAAATGCCTACATAGTCATCGGTATTTTGAATATCCTCATGCCTACCACTCCAGCTCCCCCCACCGAGCCACAGTCTCAACCGTCAGACTTTATACCTACCTTTTTCCATCTTTGGTCGTTGATGACGCGATCCAAGGTTGTGGACAACGCTTTCATCGACATGTTCTCTAGACTAGCCAGAGATTACCTAACATGTCGCCATATCCTCTTCGGCGAGCATGGCATTTTCACGCGGGAGCAGTCCGACCTAATCTTTACTTCCATCCTCCGCCTAACCGAGATTCCCGTCGGACAGGCAAATTCGCCATACGCATCTCTCGACTACTCGGCTGGAATGGGCATCTTTCTCGAGAAAGACAAGAAGAAACATCCAATAGCCTATATTATTGCTCGCTGGGTTATATCTTCTCTGTCACCTCATTGCCTAGACAAGGAAAACTCTATCTTGGATAGTCTGGAAGGGTTGATGGAATCGGTTGACACATTCTTCCACCCATCAAACCAAGGTTCGTGGACTAAGATGCTTGCGCAGCTGACTTACTACCTCAGTGAGCTGTTTGTGTCTCGTTGGAACAGGGAACAGAATGAAGAGCAGGATACGCCCACCGAACGAAGAATCAATGATGCTCTGAAGCGTAGATTCGTCTTAAGTTTGCGAGAAGTCACCTTTATGGGGCTTTTCGGTAAAAGTTCCTCCATTACCAGCTTGTACTTCAACGCTCTCCAAAACCTTACGTACCTTGAACCCGATATGATGCTACCTGGCGCACTCCAGAGATTCTACCCAAGTTTGCAAGGGTTGGTCGAAGTGCATCGGACTACCTCTAGTCTCTGTGGCTTAAACATGATCGCCAATATCATGTCGCGCCAGAAGGGCTTTAGATGTCACATCACTGCTCTATTAGCATTAGCTTTACCTGGTATTGATGCTAATGATCTTAACAAGACACAGTATACATTGAACTTCATACAAAGTGTTGCGTACAGTATTCCATTTGTGACTTTAGCAAAGGAAAACAACAAGATCCATGATACTAGCCTTGCTATGCAGTGGGTGCAGGGTGAAATGGAGCGTATGGAACGCGAGGGTCAAGACGTCAAGATCGATTATAAAAATGAATTGACTGATGAGGACGAAGCGGACATAGTTCGTTCGTCGACGGCTGGCTTCGGCGAATTCATCATCGCGCTTCTAGGGAAGGTCTTTACGTTATTGGAAAACCTTCCAGATGCTGCACAAGTACGATCGGGATCCCCCGAGGATAATATCATCAACACTCTACCAGCTGCATTGACCCCGATGTTTGCCTCCCTATCGCCGGAACTATTTGACATTGCCCTAGAGAAGCTCTCCACCTTTGTCTCAAGCCATGTCGTTCACCAAGCTCGTGATGCTATGGCTTGGATATGCAACGCACTTTGCAAAGTGAATCCTGAGAAAACTCTCAAGGTATTCATTCCCATGCTGATTGTCAACATCCGCAACGAGATTGATTACAACGGTGCCGCATCCGATCGGAGTAGCGGTACTGAAGTTCTCCCCCGGGATAGAGCTCTAGTCTGGCACGTTAGCATCCTGAGCATGTGTGTCGTTCACGTTGGAAGCGAGGTGCTCAAGTACAAAAAGGATCTCTTCGAGATCGCGGAATACATGCAAGAAAAGTGCAAGGGTCTTCCCACCATCCATATCAGCAATTATATACACCATCTACTGCTCAACCTCACGCATACGTACCCAATAGATACTTCTCTCTACGAACCCGATGTTATAGAGCGTGGTCTTGATGTTGATGACTGGGGGAAAACTACGACGCCAGCAGATCTGACTATCCGATGGCACCGACCTTTACAGGAGGAAATCCAATTCGCAGTTGAATTATTTGAGTCCCAAGCTGGGGGGGCTATGGAGAGACTCGAATCTTTCATGAGTGACAACCCCCCTGTTAGCCGCAAGGGGAAGAACAAAGAATGGTCGGATGAGGTCTCTCGTCAGCTCACTCAACTGCGACTGGTTATCTCTGGTCTTGCTGCTCTGTTTGATCCTAAACAAGCGTCCGGAGAGTCAAATGGACATGTTAATGGCAACGGCAAAGTAGGCGAGCAGGAAGACGAAATTATGGACGATGTTGATGACGATGATAGCGAAAACCCGTTAGCTGAAGTAGGGGAAGATGACGAGACGAAACCGCAATTCAAGTACCCAAGCGGTTATCTACTCACGCATGGCAGCCAACTTTTCAATCGAATCCATAACCTCCGAGAGGATATTGGAAAATTACTCTCCCGAACCCATTCCTTCCTCAATGCCAACCAAGAGGATGATGTTGCTTGTTTTACCGCGTTGTATAATACGTATCGTACCTGGATTACGGATGTAGGATTTGAGCGGTCGGCCCATCCACTGGATCGTCTCGTTCGGCTCTACAGAGCAGATATCGCTCCCTTCAAGATTAGCGGTCTACGAAAGCCATACCCTCGGCCTCTTCTTATCAAACGAGCTGATGCCTACCAATTACAACGAGTGAAGCATAATGCATCAGTTCGGAGGAAGAGTGAACTAGACAAGCGCTTGTTGCTTGACCTCGCAGAATCGTCCGTCTCGTCGTACGCAGATGTGCGACGAATAGCACAAGGTGCCCAAGACGCGTCACTGAAAGCATTAATAGGTGGCCGCCCACTTGTCATCCCCGTTATCCTGGAAAGATTCCGCAAGGCCCTCGAGGAAACCGATCACGACCGAATTAAAGGCGCGATGTTCACTTTACTCTTTACAAGTCTTCTTAGAACATTGATGAGAGACTGGAGATTCGCTCCTGACTTAATGCGGTTGTATATCCAGACTGCCAATGTCGACAAAACCTCAATCCAAAACCTAGGTGCTACTGCCATCTATCCGCTTATCGAATTCGGCAAACGGTTTGAATTGATGGTGTTGACAGATGAGCAAGTAGTTAATTTGATCAAGCCGGACGACGATTGTTCAAGAGCCATTGAATCAAGACACGACTTTATAGTTGAACGTAGGAAGAAGGTGGAAGAGAAAAAGGCCGCTCTAGGTCTAGAGCTGGCAGAGCTTTCCAAGGAGTCTCACTGGAAGACAGCAAGTCGCTGTGCTATTTTCACAACTAATTTGTGTCTACGCTTTGAAAGCATTGCGCCTCCGGAGTTCATTGAGCTTATCGTCAAGGGTACAAATGATCCCCACCCCGGTCTAAGATCTAACTATCTTAATGCCTTCTCGAGCATTTTCACCGCCGTCGATCAGCGTGCCGTCTATGGACACAGTTACCGAAACTATCTCGAGGAAAAAGAAAAAGACCTCAATAAACTTGTGATTCCAGTTCCGAAAGGCGACGCCGAATTTACAGAGACATTCCTAGATAGCTTCAAGCATCCGGAAAGTTCCGAATACTTCGTCGACACAGATCACCCAGGTTGGTTGGTCTGGGGTAAACAATTCAATGCTTTTAAAGCAAGGCCAGAAAAATTTGACTCTTACGACGAAGTTGAAAAGGCTGCGAGAGAACAAATTGGCAAATTGATCACGAAGGAGTGGCTCTCCAAATGCTTCGATTATTTGAAGCAAGAACCGCGTGACTCTTCGTCAGATAGATTCCGGGCTACGAATGTTGTATTCCTCATGCATATTTTTGACCTTATGATCTATGGGCAAACGGAACTCAAATTTGAGGACGTCAAAGCGCTTGTTGCCGAAGTATATGGGGATGGAAGTGATAAACATCAGCATCGCGCTACGGCCGAAATTCTGGGCGCCTTGATGGTTGGGACGGCATACGATCCCGTCCACATGAAAGAAGAGGTGTGGAGCTTTGCACAGCCGATGATGCTCGATATCATAGCAGACAATCTGACCCCTGACAACCTCGCCTACTGGGTTACATGTCTTCACTTCATCATTGACACAAAGGATCCCCGTCGTGCTCCCGAGCTTGTTAACCGTTTAAGCTCATTCCGCTTGGACATGAATTCTAATGCTGCCTTCAAGGAGTCCTCAAAAGTACAACTTCTTGAGTATTTTATTAATGGTTGTGGCTGGCATTATCGTCATGAGAAGCCAATTCTACAAGATTTCTTAGCGCACATTGATCACCCTTATAAAGCTGTTCGTGAATCTATCGGCCGTGTCATTGCTACTATCTACAGAACCCGGTACCACGAATCATTCGAGAATGTCGGTGCTCTGCTAGAGCAAAACAAAACAGATTCTAATATTGGTATTCGACCATACCAGCCAACTGATGAATTCGCTGCAACTATTCGCGACGTATTCGCTCGTCTCGAAACATGGCGCCACGAACGAGCGCCTGGTCAACAAACTCCATCTCCCTATACGTCTGGGTCAAAAACTGTGTTAATATGGCTAGATAATACTCTATCCTCGCAGGAATGTATTCAACTCATTCCTTTCTTCCCGGATCCAATCATTGACCAACTATTGCACATGATGGATGTCAAGGAGGATCCTGAATTGATGCGGTTAGCCTACCATGTTTACCGTCATTTACCCAATATCCCTTTCAGGACTGGCGAGGACGCGCCATTCATAGCGGCATTGATCCGTCTTGGAACAACCGCTACAAGCTGGCACCAACGTCTAAGGGCGCTCGTCAATATGCAAGTAATCTACTTCCGCCGACTTTTCCTCATGGATGCGTCACAACGCAAATTGCTCTTTAATTGCGTGGGTGACATGCTAGCCGACCCTCAACTTGAAGTCCGAACGGTGGCCGCCTCGACACTGGCAGGCATGATCAGATGCTCGCCTGCCACAATCCGAAACCCCTTCATTAAGACCCTGAAGTCGCGTTTCGAGAAGCAGCTAGCAGATAATCCGATGCCAAGGAAGAAAAAACCCGGTACCGAAACGCCGGTTAACGTCACCCAACAGGTAGTGAAGAGACATGCTGCCGTTCTGGGACTTGGATCCTTAATCGAGGCATTCCCATATGCGACTCCGCCGCCAAGTTGGATGCCGGAGGTTCTTGCCTTGCTTGCGAGGCGTGCAGCTAGCGATCCGGGTATCGTTGGCAAGGCAACAAAAGGAATTCTTTCCGAATTCAAAAAGACAAGACAAGATAGCTGGGGAGTTGATCAAAAGGTAATTTGCACCCATTTTGGAGTATTGTCGGATAGCATGCTAATATTCTAAATAGTATTTCACCCACGAACAGCTCGAGGATCTAGAAGGAGTCCTCTGGAAGAGTTATTTCGCGTGAGTGGTCAACGAGCGGCTATTTCGAGTTTGTTTTGTGTATGCTGGGCCCTGTGCGACTAGGGATTGGAACGTAAGGCACTCGTCATGTGGAGTTTTCGTAGAATACCTACTAAATGTGTGAGCAAAGGATGGCACCGAAGCAGGAATAAGGATAGATTTCACGGGGTCTTCTTTTTCCTCTCTTGGCACCCATATTATAAGAAACAAATGTTGCGTATAGACTTGGACGGGCATACCGAGTGAGTCTGGACTAAGGGAACCCGGTTGTTAGAGCATACGCGTCACAGGGGTTCCCTATCTATCTAAGGTAGGCGCACGTAGATCTTGTGCGTCGCGTATATGATGTGGTCAGTAGACCTTAGGAAGTATACGCACATAGAAAGAAAGCTTTTGCGAGAAATCAATGTGTTCTATTGTGATTTAGTATGTACCTAGACTGTGCTCGCGAGAATGTGGCGTTTGGTGAACCCCTAAATTCTCGATTATGTAAGCGATTTCGGAAGTTATCCGACGGACTTCGACTCCGTGAGGAGAGTATCGGAGTAACTCCGAAACATGTTTTCAATTTCTGTATTGAAGATAATGGGAGACAAAGATGTTCTAAACATCTATTCCACAACTTGGTTGTCGTTGATGGGAATCTGCGTAGATACTCAGCAGATTTACGATACAAGCACGCAATGGGGAGATGGAATGTGTATCCTAGGTACTTTTCACCTGGAAATCGTAGAGAATTGCCGGTTCTGTTGTTTTTCGGATACATCCGATGAATTCTGAAGCTTCTCCGGTGTATTAGCGCAGGATTTTCTACGGATGTTCCGCGAACTTAGGAGAAAATCAATGAGCCCAGAACCAGGCAGATCCGTTTCAGGAACAACCGCCTTACCCAGATACAATTGTTATCTGGGCTGCTTGCATGATCCTTGCTTAGTTCTCTATTTACCTACTTGGGGGGTGTAGTGTACCTTGGAAATGCTGGCATAGTCGGGAATGCTCTATAGTTTCCGGCATAATACAGAAAGGAAACCCCTTAGAAATGTCATACACCAGCCTTAGAAGGGTTTGATAACGAGGTTTACGATGAATTATCCAGGTAGTTCATGCCTACCTAGAACTCCACTGTATAACCTCCTGACATGCCTAGATACTTGATGTTAGGAGTATATAATTCAACCATATATCATCCAAGTATGGAACGAGACCAGGTAAGAACAAAATAATCAAATGGAATCGACGCTGAAACAGACGACATACTAGGGCTGGAACCAAGCAACAAGGTGAATTATAACGCATACTAAATCATGATTTGCAGATGACGCATTATCTTCGCTCCTGTCTCATAATATGGGGGTTATTGTCGTTTTTCAGAAGATATACACACATAAACCACCCCGTTGTAAACAGCGCAAAATAATTAGTGTATCACTAAGGTAGAGAATAGAACTCATTGCACTTATCTACCTAGGTAGTAATGCCTAGGCCTAGTATCTTGGTTCTACCAGGATGTGCTTGCAAGCTAAATTAGGTAAGTGTACGGGTAGTGGTGAAAGCTTCTGATAGATGTCGATAACTACTTAGTAAGGGAGAAATGGATGAGTTATACTCATGCAAACCGCTTTTAACCATCGGGTCGCTTATAGGTTCGCTCGTAATAGTGAGGTCGTACGCTTTTCGTTCTATAGACATTCTATGCTACTGAATATATACCTAGGTACACTTTGGAACCGTAATATGGAGTACCTGGATTTACGCCAACGGCTCACCGTTTTAGAAGGCATGGTACGGAACGATTAGGTTCTGATGTGTGAGAACCTTTCGCTTAGTGCGGCACATAGAGACCAATACAGTGTGCAGGCCGTTGTAATAGGTACTTGTGATTCTAACAGTCGGTACGGCTTCTTTCTCTCCCATTAGGTATACGGGTACCAAGTCACTAAGGCGGGGAATAGCATCGGCCATAGGGGTAGCCACTCTAGTTCTAGAATTAGACAGGTACATACCATACGACACCTTCATGCCTGGAGATACAAGTTGAATACGCATAGCCTATTGGAGCGGAAAGCCACAACCTAGACGCGTACCCTGATAAGAGTACAGTGCATAATTCGTTCTCTAGAACGATGATCACGAACCAAAGACTGCTGTACACCTGTAGAAGGTGATGCTCCCCATCCACAGGCTTATGCGTAGGAAAATCCTTGCTAAAAGCCGTCTAGGTAGGACACCAGGGGGGAATGATTAAGAAAGCTGACGAGTATCTGCTCTCCAATCAGCATTCGTAAACTCCGAAGGATCAAGATTTCGTGATACGAACGGAGTTTTCAAGAAGAGTCAGATGACAGTAGCTAACTACCGTACTTACTGCGATATTACCGTAAGCCGTGTAACGAGCACCTTGTATACTAGCGAGGAGGTTCTATGGTACAGAATATCATGGCATCGTACGGGTACCTACATCCTGCTACACTATACCTAATATACGATGTCGTAGCGATGTATTACACTATAACGAGCATAATAAGAGTCGCATGTTCGCTGCCGGGAAGCAACTGCCGTAGGTTAGGTAAATAGGCCAACCAGGCAGAACCTCGCCCATCCATGCAACACATCTCAGGTGCGCCGGAGAATTAATTTAAAAAGCGGCTACAACGGGGGTCTCCTCATCTGGTCTCTCTCCAGATCCAACCGTTACAGAAGCTGGCTAGGCTGGGCTAGGCTGGCTCTATGTAATTACTACGCCACGGGTTCAACGGCTCGAGAAGCCAACTGTCGGTTCGGCGGCCTTGGTTTCCCAGGGTTTCTCTCGCTCCCGAGTAGATCATGATCTTGGTGCCGTCGCCTGTGCATCCTCAAAACAGGGGTGTAGGACAAGCTTCTTCCAGCTTAGCGAGGATTTCTTTACACGTCAAAGGCGAACGCAGGGTCGTACTCTGTGACTGTGACCTGAGAAGCGAGTAGGTAACGCACGTACACGAGGAAAAAAACAAAGATAGATAGGAAGGAGAGGCTTCAACCCGGAACGTCGATAGGCCGTGCTCGGCGGAACTCGGTATCCAGGTCTAGGCCATCATACTCCTAGCTCGACGCTAGGAACTGCGTATCATTATGGTGATATTCAAGCAGGACGGGACTCTATTCTGTATGGGTTTCGGGAGATTAAGTTCCAGAACCTGCTCGTAGTATTGAGTACTAGTACATGGAGTAAGCAATTGCGTACGGTGAAAAGAGGCACAGGATGGCGAAGAGACCTTCGCGAGTGCAACGATAGCAAATTACTTGACGACGATGTGGATTCATAAAGTTAACCCAAATTACCACTTTGTTGAGAGGTTAGTTAGAATGCGGAATAGCGAGGGTAATTCCAATGTTGCGATTTGTGGCTTGGACGGAGATGAATGATGAAAGCGATATAACATACCTGGACAGAGGAGGCTGGGAAGGTTCCTCTGTTGCCAAGACTATTGCCAGATCTTCGCTTGTAAACCCGACAGGGGTTAAAATCAACGGTGGTTAATGAGCATCGTCAGACCGAGAAGCATGTTACATACGTCAGGGTCGACAGCACATTGAAAGCCTTGGAAGACGTAGTCTAGCCCTTGAACGATCTTAGGGTTCTGGGTATGGCATTCTGACTACTAGCAAGTACCTATTTCGACTAGATAAATGTGTACTATCCTCTGAATTTTGAGCGCGATTTGGCTTTTGAAAAGTCTACTTTTGCGGCGTGTGCGCGATGTAACAACGGCTCGCGGAAGTTGTACCCTTGACCTTGATGGGATCATCTCAACGGGGCCCCTGATTTCCTGCTTGTAACCCTCTCAGTGCAGTACCGTGAATCCCTGACATGCGGGGGTATAACAGATGTGTGTTATTGCTCTATTGGGCTTAAAGAGGAATGGTGGATAGTGTCGGAGATAAGCTTGGAAAGGGGTAAAGTGTACTTATCGGGCTTCGTCCTTGTTTTCTAGTGAGGGGCCTTTTCGAAAACTTCAATAGGGAAAAAAAGGAACGAAAAATACAGCTTTAGGTGTCTCACCGCAAGAAAATTATCAAGAGCCTCCGGTGGGGATGGCAGAAGGAATTTTTCTTATTAATCCTCCGAATTTGGGGTCTCCTGCAGCGTTGACAGCAGCCCTTTCGAGCCTTTTCGTGTCCGTGAGGGGAATAGGTAGTATTCGGGTGAGGAGTCTGTGTACATAGTCGGACAGGGGGGCTGGGAATGAACTGCATTTTCGTAGACAACTTATTACATACCATTTGATGTCACTTGTCGATCAGTTTGTTACGCCATCTCGACGTCCACATGGGATACCTAGCTCAACTAAACGACTTGTAATATTCTGTATCTGCCACATACAGGAAATGTGCGGAGGTATCAGAATCGGCAGGTACAATTTTGCACTGGTAATCTCGCATCGAACAGGTAGGAATGCCAATTTAGAAGAGTTTATGATCCTTCTCTCGGATTGGGACAGGCCGGGCATCTCGGAGCATGGATGCAGTACAATATACACCTGACTCTGAATCCTGAGGGGCGAGGACACGAGTCAGGCGTTGGAAGGATGTACTTACATAGGTACTACAAGATAACATTATCGTAATCAAGCAATTTAGTTACCTCCCTACAGATCAAACGATCGTATGGTATCAGAGCACAGCCTCAACCAACGGCAGACCACTATAATACCGTTTATACTGGTAGGCATAAACTTCGATCCCGCTGTTACAATCTCTGCCAACTTAGTTGAGAGATATACCTTGTTTTTGATCGGAAGATTATTATGCTCGCTACCTAAGAACAATTAGAGAAGGTTGAATTTTCCTGTACTCCGCATGCAGTCAATTTACCCCCATAGTCCAGTCCAGATCAAGGAAAAGACGCCCTTTGCTATTACCGCTTTGGGATTGAGGGTGTGCTCATTCTGCAACCCCCTCTAACCCCCTACGCGTCCGGCAACCTGCAACCCAAGTCATCCGCGCCGACTGCGGGCAGGCTTGCATATGTAGGTCGCTCTGAAAATAGCTCCCGTTGGTGCTGAAGCGAGATGTCATTTACTACAGCGCTTACCTGGTCCAATCTTGATGCCAAGTCTCGAACAATATACAACCCATTCAAAGTCGCGCAAGACAACGAGTAGGCCAAGACGGCCAAGCAGCTCGGTGTGATAAAAAACTTGGAGGCAAATTACCTACCTACATACTCTTGCCAGTCTTGCCCATGTACATGTGTACTTGCTGGTAGGTACGCGTGCTTACTGGTAGCGTCATTCGGCATAGATCTAGCGTTCATTTTCTAAATGCGTCCCTAGCAAAGTTGCCTTATGGGGGATATGAACGAAGTGACGCCCCCGGCTCCCCGGCTCGTTTCAGGGATGGCGATGCCGGATTCGGCCGTCGCAAATGGCGATTCGAGGCAACTCTCGGAGAATTCTTTCGGAGGCTAGGGCCGAGGAATGACCCTCGTCAGTCCTTTAGGCCTGTCCAAAACGTGTCAATAGCTCTGCAATGTACATATTCGGTGGCTAGGGACCTGTGTAGAATGACTAGGGTAGCTAGGCAACGAACATGGATCATGGCTCCGCGTGGACGAGCAAGGCGACAGGGTTACTGCAGCAGGGGTATGTTCTGAAGAACTCCACGTTTCAATGATTATCTGCAACTTCAATAGGCAAGTTGTGTAATAGTGTAGAGGTCGCGGGTCCAGATGCAACGGTTAGAGCACATCATAATTGATGTTAGTACCTAGTATGTAGACATCGCTTTAAATGTGGAGTGCGTAATACCGCGTGTTGATTCTCACCTGAGGGAGATTTATACGAGAAGATTTGGTTGAGATGTGGGAATGCCCGAAGTATTGAGGAGGTTTGATTGGCAACCGAGTTGAATTGCCACCAAACTATTGACTTGGCCATGCTTAAGTCTACCTACATATGTATGTAGCATATGTTACTTTGATAACAGAAGAGTACTTATGTAAGTAAATCGTTGATACGTTGACCTACATTAGGGGACCGCGTAATTGCGAAGCAGGCCTGGTAAGGGACTTTAGAGAGGTTACATAATAGGGAAATTCCATGGCCATCCTCAACACATCGTGGGTGTCACTAGAAACTATAGCTTAATATTGAATGCAATTATTCTATATAACTCTCATTCTCCATACATAATAGAGCAATTAACGACTTAAAATGTCTAAGCGTTCTCGAATATTCAGAGGTTGTTTCACTCGGGAGAGCCCGCTAGCTTGGACCTGGGAATGTGAAACCAAGGGCACCGAGCATTCACTTTACACTTAAGCACGAAGCCGAGCGATCCCCAGTGCCTTGGGTAGAAGCTCTTTGGGAATATTGGGGGTTGGAGAATAACAAAATTTGCCGAGAAATAATAAGTAGCGTCGGGAACGAATCCCGGAACATGGGGATTAATGCAGTCTGTGTGGCTTAATTCCGTTGTTATACCAGGGTTCACCAAACACGTGAAATATCACGATATTGGATAGGTGAGCCGAATAAATATGATGAACTGATGACAAAATAGGACTCTTATGTTTATAAGAGACAAGTACAGTGAGATTGTGGCAGCAGTGGGTGCATCTACCTAGGTAGGCTTAGGGCTATTGGGACATCAGGCCACGGTAGGTCAATGACAAGATATCTATGCTAAGAAACTCCGAGATGATCAGATATGGGCATGTACCTCTGTAAGAACATCACTGTATTGTAGAGGCCGTAAGGACGTCATCACCTGAAGGGGCGCAGTGAATTAATTACCACATGTAGCCATCTTATGTAGCTGCTTACCTACCTAATGTTCGCTAGACCTTAGATCATTTTCAGCCGTAGGGACAGGAATAGGTAACTGTTGTACAAATTGAGGCTAGATTATAACTTGGTTTCCCTGATAGAGCTAGTGGAAGATTATATTACGAATAATAAGCGGATAGAATTCCCAACTGGTTGCGGCGTATTCCGCTACACAGTACCGTCATGCTTACAACTATTCATATGATTTACAGGGAATCATAGCAGACTTACAATGAAACATAAAGTAGGTAGTTGTGTAGACATAGTACCTAGGTAGACTGTGAAAACTGGCTGGGGGCGCTTGTTGTAGTAATGTACAGTACTTCTTCGCTCTATAGTGCTGATTTCGTTTGCCTCACTGCACCGCAGTACTTAGTAGACACATTCCAGATATTTCACAACTCTGGTTCCGCCCCTTGCGGGGGAGAGTTAGCTTGGTTAGTTTACTTTGATGGTATCTTGACCCCCAGACTTAGGAGCATTCTGATATCTAGCAAGAAAAATACAACATACCCTGTCTCGTAGTAATTCAACTATGAGTTTCTAGATCTTCTGATAGAAATCCTGATCCGTGTTGACGTGTCTGTATGAGGCTGTAGCTAGATACCCTACCACTATACCCTGGTTTGATATCTGCAACGCGTCCCCTAGAGCTGTAATGCACTTCTATCACACCTACCTCCTGAGTTGGTAAGCGGAGACCTTTCGCCCGCGATACTCCGGCAAGTCCACAACATAACTCACTATACTATAAATTCTTGGACGGTGAAGTGTTGAAGACCATTTACTTAAAGTGGCCACTCGGAATTACATGTCAGAACCGATGAAGTAAAATTCAAGTATTTTGCGCCAAGCTCGTAGTAAGTCAAGTCACATTGCAGAATTCAGCTCAAGCATTGCAGCGATGCTTTTAAGTCTATTGTAATCTAGCAATTAAAGCGGTATCTTAAGGTGCTCGTGGCAAGGGTTCTCGTGATATCAAAATTCTCCGGGGGGGCGAATCCATTAACCCCTTGACGTGCGTACATCACAACAGTAGTAGTGGTGGTTATAGTAGTAGTAAAAAACAAAGGGAAACTCGAGCAGCGGAGGGGGAATATGGGAAAACCAATGACGCAAAATAGCCTCCATTTGGGTATCGTTCAGACAAGTGCTTTTTTTGAAATCCCGTATTTCCCAATACAAATCCGAAGAGGATAAACCGGCTGAAATACGACAGTGTGCGTGTGCGTGTGTATGTGTCAAAAAATACCCTCACCATGCATCAATTTCCCTGAAATAAAATCAAACAAAACAAAACAGTACCAATCCGCGTACACATACGCACCTACTCACACACTCGCACCAACGCCTCCTGCCTGCCTGTGGACCAGAATAATTCCACCTGAATGCAATGTTCCGTGGCGATGCGTGTTGGGAATTCGAAAATAAAACGAACGATGATGACTGGCTGTTTGCGTAGTTGCAAGGATATCGTCATAAGGTGCCAGTGAAAGAATTTGTAAAGTATTATTCTAAAGCGTAGGGTTTTTATTGATCTCGAAAAAAGGGGTATATGGCGCCTCGTTATAGAAAGTAATATTCGTAACAGATCGGCGAGCAATGCTCTCAACCGTAATGATTACCTAGGCCCAACATGGGAGTGAGCAACTCCGTCCACTGCTAGTGGTCTTGTTGTGTCTTATTAACCATGTGGCCAAGGTGATGGTCGAATGTATCCGCACCTCCGATAGAGTATGATCCATTCAGGCTTTCCGATGGCATAGTTGCCGTCAACGGTGTGCCTAAACCGTGCTCTCGGAGACTTCCGTGATCGTAAGCGTTCTGCATACTTTGGTAGGGTCCTTGATTAGTATAAGGTGATTGGTGTGTCGGATGTGTATTCGAAGTCGGCGGCGCTGTAGTATACATATTAGGTCCGACTGGTGATGCGGTTCCCGAAGGTGGTGCGCCGTTTAACGGGCCGTGGGATCGGGGAGAAACATTGTGTATCGGTGAGGCCATCGCGGCTTGCGGGTGCGGTGGAATCGGAGCGAGATTCAAGGGCGGATTATTTCCGGTATTAGAACCTGCTGTGAATATAAAAGGATGCGAGGAATTTTGAGCACTCGCGTTTCCGAACTGAATCGGCGAGTGGGTTATCGGCGACTGGCGTTCGAAGCCATGGGGCCCTTGGGCCATGGAAGAGAAGTGAGTATCGATACGGCCGGTCGGGGGAGGCATCGAAACTGTCGCAGCCGTGCTCGGTGGTCCTGTAGTGACTGATCCTAATGGTAGCTGCTGAGAATTGTATGTCGGGCCTGGAGGAGCGGGATAGGAGCTCCATCGCATATCTGGACCTCCTTCTTGTGTAGGCGTTCCTGGATTAAGTGAATATTCAGATCGATGTCTCTTCGCCACAGGTTCGTCTCCGTAGTCGTGGTAAGATCGCTCGTCGATTTGTGGCATACCGCCATTTTGCGAAGTGCTTCCCTGCCTGTGCCCTGTTTGCTTATCCATTTGATCCGTCATGCGCAAATTCTTCTTCTTGTTGGCGATCTGTCTCGAATCCTTGCGTAATCGAAGACGGACTCCCTGATCGCTGAACGATCGCGTAAGAAACGTAGATTCCGCCATTCCCGGAAAAGCTCTTCCCGCGTGGACTTTGAAAGGATCGCTTGTCACCGAACATATTGTAACCCAGAACTCGCCGTCTTCGAGGTTATCCATCGTCATTTGTAACAAATCGAAACGAATGACATATTCTCCCTCACTCTTGATTGTTAAATCTCCAAATACGAAGAACGCCCCTTCTTTGTTAGTGGGATCCTTTAGTCGATGTAGAGACGATACTGTTGTTCCAGCCATCATATTCGCCGGCGGTGACGCTTGGCCGTTCGGACCTGGTGGGTGCGCATATTCTAGATACGCAACCGCTATGAGATAAGGGCCTGGAGTATGTTTAGCGATCGTAAATAATGTTTGGAAATAGTACATCCACTCACTTTGTCGATACACGCCGTCGGGGTCTTCGTCACTCGGAACGTGTAATTGTAGGATAGGAGGCGGGTCGACAGGTTTTCGATCTACTAGAGTAAGTATCATGCTATGGAAAATCCAGAACAAGAGGGCATCAAACCTTTGTCCTTGCCATTGGCTGCCTTAGCCATAGTAGGCTGCTGCAGGACTTCTAGCCGATACGTTTCCGGTCTGAAAATTCAGTTAGTATTGGCTCCAGGTATGTTTATTTCCCAGATCACATACCTTTGAGGTTGAGGTCCACTTGGTTGTGGGTGAGGCTGGTGGTGAACTTGAGGACCTGGTAGAGGAGGCATGGCTGGGCTCATGGCTGGCATATAGCCAGGTCCGTGCCCGACCCAATGGCCGCCCTGCTGTGTATGAAACGCCATCCCTGATGCCAATAATTAGACAAGTTCAAAGAGAAAAGTAATATTTTTATCGATGGTGGTTTTATGTGGACACTTACGGTGTCATGCAATATATCATGCGTAATCGCGCGAAGTCGGCTTTGAGTGGTCGTAGATAAGCGTTACCTCAATCTTCAGAATTAGAGGGCAATGGTACTTTGCCTAATTAAAATAAAAATAAAAATAATACTTCAAAGGTCGAGTTTCGAAGATATTTGCGTTCTACGTATTGGTGTTAGTATCTCCAACGCCACGAGAAAGGAACAATGTCAAATCAGACTGGATACTGAGTCATCGATACAGATCACCCAGAGAACTAGGGAATTTGAACAAGAAAAATAAGGGTAAGAAGGTAGAGGGGACTGACATTTACGTGTTGATTCGCCGACGTGTTGTGCCAGAGATTTCCTCTCTAAGTATTTTAGCAGAGCTGTTACTTGGACGACGAAGCCTAGTTTCCTCTGTATTTTGAATATCTTGACGCGACCAGATTTTATCCACCCACAAAGTCGCGACAAGTTACTGGTATCGTGTCCAAGTGATCCTCCAAGCTTGCTTTCACGCAGAGTGTTGTTAGTCTGGAGGAATATATCGGCGAGCGTGTAACTCCAAATAAGGACTGCAGAGAAATCACCCCTACAAAGCAATTTCCGTAATATTTGCCTCTTGCCTTTTTCTCTTGCATCGGTGTTGATCTTCCCTCCTCTCGAGACTGTAAAGTCCCGTAGTCTCTATTGCAGTCTTTTGACAAAACCCCAGACTCTTCACGCTCTTATTCCGCTAGTAATCAGTAGCCTTTATGCAATAACGCTCTTGCTGTGTTCGATTAGTAAGTAGAATGACTCTCGTGCCTTTAGAAATTCCTCTTCGCAATCCAAACTGCCTCGAAAAAGCTCGCCTTAGCCATCCAAGTTACCAGGATCCCACTTCAACCTTGCAATGAACAGTGGCGACGTATCGTTACCCCCGATGATTTACAAGCAGGCGCATGACTGTGTGAATCAGCTAAGAAAATAATGTTTCCACGCGGACGGGCTCGATTTCCGACGTTCTACTGTTCAGGTCCAGTTTCACGAGAGAAAATCTAACAGCTTTCGACGATTAGAATTAGAACTCGGCGCAAGGCTCTGGTTTGTCTCGTTCGTATACTTAGACACTCCGCTTCGACAAACAAGACACAATGCGGTAACCGGAAAGGTTCGATAGGAAAACTACTGGTGGGTAGTAGCCTAATATTAGGGCCGCGGAGAATAGCCCAGGAGGATAGGGCGAAAGCAGATGGGTGGACGGTACGAATGGGACGAGGCCTATTTTTGCGATGTTATATTCGTCTTGGGAAGCGGTACTGGATGACCTGATGTGTCCGATAATAGCTTTCCCGGTGTTTGGTTAAGACGTTAGTACCGAAGGTCTAGTGATCTTCCACAAATTCCTTAATCCTTCTCTTAAGTTCACACCCAGACTAAACGTCAGTGGGACAAGAATTCTTAGATCGCGCTCCGAAAAAGAAGGCTCGCCGAGAGGATGTATAGTTATTATAAGGCCGTCGTCCAACCCTACTCTACTTTGATGATTGGCAGGTAAAATGGGACCTAGATTCGTGGGCCTGGAGCTTGAGAATCCGGATAGGTGCTATTAATCGGATTCGCCTCTAGGTAGATAGCAAGAGTCTGTTGGGGTTTAAGGTAGCTCCAGCCGCTGAGATGCTTGCCCAGGTTTGTTTGAACGAATTGAGCTGGTTCGTCTGTATGCTGGTGTTGCTTCGAAGCTCTACAAATCTGGGGAGGAGGTCCAACTCAGGAAGACGAAAGAGAAAGGACGGGGTGATTTGGCAAGGTGGGCGATGGCTTCGTGGGGGTCTTTCCGCTTTCCGGGACCTTCCAGTAGCATCGATAGGCCAGATGTATGAGAGAAGTAGAGACCGTCCTGGTTGTAACCGGGTTTTCTGAAAGTCGTCGACAAAGCCAGTAGGAAGTCGATAGGAAAGACGACGCGGCGTCCTCGTCGTGATTGTTCAGAAGGCGATTTTGGAACTAGTCATGTATTTGGAGTGGATGTTCGATGTGGAGAAGAATCACTACGGTATATCATATTACCAACGGGAAGGCATAAGCTAGGCAATACATACCTATGTACGACCCAAGTACAGATGGCACAGTAGGGATTCTGAGGTAGGCAAACGATAAATGGTATGATCCGGCCAATAACTGCAGACAGCTCCAGTGAAAAAAAAAATACCAACATTAGGCACTGTGACTGTACGGGGAATGACGATGGTGGGCCAAAAGGTCTAGGGATCAACCAGTAAGTACTACATAGTACTACGATATGTACTCGACCCTCGAGGGTAGAACATAAAGAAAATAGGTACCCTCGAGGGATGTATACGGAGCTTGGCCACTTTGTACCGGGAATTCGTGATTAAAATGGTGAACACCCAGCTCCGCCTTGGCTATTGGTACACCATACTACCAAAAGCTTTCTCTGCTGACGAAACCATGCCTGAGTGTACGAAAGTATACATACTTGCTGTGGCAGGGGTCAGCTGCATGAGGACTACTTTGCAGCGAGGTACAGCAACGAGTGTGCATGGGGGCGTTGTCAACGTTGTCAACGATCAGAGCAGAGAGCGACAGGGGGGAGCCACTTCAAGCTTTTGTATCCGCACAAAAACGACTTATGTATTATTGTACATGGGCTTGCCGTTAGTCTGCGAGTCTGTGCTGTGCAGACGAGGGACTGGATGCTGGCACTTCCCGCACCAGACCTTCTTGAACGCAGAACCATAACGCGCCTGCGCGCTTCTTTATCCCTCACGTGTGATATATAATTCAATATGATATATCTTTCGAGCCTGCCTCCTAAAAAGTGATAGAACGGAGAAGTCCAACGGGACAGGTAGGCTGGTAGGTAGGTAGGGATACTACAGGGCATAGGCGTTTAAGCCCACTCGAGCTTGGTGGTGGTACCTAATTGCGGTTCCCCTCGAGTTTTCGAGCAGGCGAGAAATGACACAGTGTGTGTGGTGGGCCATGCCCAAACCCTTGTCCGTAGAAATGATTCCTCCAAGTGCATACAGTAGAGAAAAAAAGACTGCCACACACGCGCATACAGTAGTGGGTGACGAGACCGGGACGGCGACTCGGCGACAAAAAAGGTACAGACTGATAGACTAACAGGCAGCTTCTAGAGCCGAACAGTAAGTGCAGATATGCGCGAAAGAACTACGCCCCCTCGCATGCAAAGTGGAGGGACGTGGACGGTGAAGGCGAATGGATCCACTCTCTATCAAAAATATGTAATCCCCGGCCAGTGCCAAGTATGGTACATCAATTGCATCGTTCCTCTTTAAAGTAGCTTTCTAGGAGGGCCGATGCCACCTAGTAATTAACGCTGTTGAAGTATAGGTACGGCCCCTAAGACCCCGTATACTGAAAGGATCTTCCATAATTAAGTCTCTTGGGATGATGACTGAGTGGCCTGCCGACAACAAGAACTCTTGTTAAATTAACCCAACATTTTTTATTATATTTTTTCTCCTTTCTGATAATCCTGGATAGCTTTTGCCGAGCGTAACATGCTCCCTCGGCTGGGTTCTTGACTTTTTTGGTGTGTGTCAGTGAGCAATGCCCTAGGTACAGTACCGTGTGTGTTGCTACCGCGTTAAGTACCCCCCGTTGCATTTGTGTGGTGGCCATGAGAAGATCTGAATTCGCCGAATGAGCTCAGCAATTCAGTCAGTACATAATCTGTAGTGAAAAAATCAAACCAGAAAGACGCAAAGGGCAGCTAAGGGTCTGCTTGCCAACCAGGCTAGGTCCAGGCCTGGCTATCCGTTTTTCTTATTTCAAGATCGGACGGCATCCCCAGCCGGGAGCTGGGCCGGCAATGTTTCAGAAGCTTCTACAGCCCATGTTAAAGAATGCGCATCGAACGAAGCCACCAAACGCTAAGATGGGTAGGGCGACCCGGTCTTCACGACCTCCAGGTTTGGACGGTACGCCGCGGCATATTCTCCCCTACCTACCTACTCCGTACCTACATTATATGTAGTGTATGTATGTATGTACATAACATAAACCCTTAATGCTGACATCTGCTGTAGCACGTCAAAATATTTAGGTTGGTAGATGTCGTGCCGCAAGACCCCCAAAGAGATTCAACATGGTTCAGGGTTCCGAATAGTACACTAATAATAAAGGGGTAGCGTTCAGTGGCGAAGTAGGTCGGGTTCCTGAATCCTTAGGCCTTAGTAGTAGCTTACGGGCCAGGGAGTCGCCATAGGTAGGTGAATAAGTAATGTGTCAATGTGGCCAAATTGAACCCATAAAGATTTCAACGCCACCCCTTTTTCGTTTTCGTCATGGAACAAAAGGATTGATGAGAATGAAGATGGATCGATGCAGGCTTCAGCTGTCAAATTGCTTACAATAGTTTGAGCCAGGTCCAGTCTTCATTCCAATCGCGAATTGAAAGGCTCCATATCGCTAATTGTACACGGACACGCCGTATCTTTCTCCAGTTTAATAATAATAGTAATAATAAGAACGATAACAATAATTTTTTAAATAAAATTTATCCCAGCATAGGATATGTAAGAGCGCTCACCACGCAGTAGCCCACGATGACTTGGTGCTACGACCTCTCGGAGAGTGTGTCGCATACGAAATAAGGCAGGCTACTGATGATATAGAATCATGCAGTGATACCATACCTAGAACATAGAAACACACCATATTGAAATGGAACTAGTCCACGTGAGAAATACCAGGACCTTTGCGTCGACGGTGCTAGAGGAGCTCTCCCACATGCCGTTTTGGGAACATGAACAATACCGATTGATTAAGAAACAATTTAATTATCTGAATCCGGAAAGGGCCGTGATTAAGAATGGACTTGAGACGAACCGGGCGACACGCTACTAGAACGTAGCTAATGGGCTCTAGATGGGCCAAGAAAACGGCCACCTAGATCTTGGTCGGCGATTTTTAGCCCTGTACGTATGTGTGAGCTATGTAAGAGTGTACCACAGACCTTCGCGCTACTATCCGGGACTAAGGTAGTAGGCGAACGACGATGATACACTCTATTCCTTGTCTATTTTTTCTTCTTCTATTTTTCTCCCGGATAACCTAGGCTAGACCCATAGACTGAAGATTCGGCGCGAAGCGAACCGGCCGAGGATCCGGGTAACGGTAGAAT